CATGATCTCCAAGGAAATACTGGGGGGCCTTGTTCAACCAACCGGGCGATTAGCGGTGATCGCGAGGACCTGGGACAATCCTCGAATGGGCAGGACAGGAGCTTTTCCCGGATCCGGTTCGTCCACGGTCTATTTTCATATACCGTGTAACTCAGCTGGTGGGATAGAGAAGGGGCAGGCTGGTCATCATGGGCCTCATGGGCCTCTGAGGCACGATGATCGGAGATTGCTGTTAATTGCAGTCTGGCCCATTTAAGTTTTGGTTAGGATTATTTTGGGTTGCTGAGAAAGTGACACGGACCAAAATAGCCCAGAAGGCTTGAAGAGGCGGAGCTGGATGGCGGGTCACGGCCGGAATACGATCCAGCGGGATGGAGAGGTTCGGGTTCGATGCAGCAGTCATCTCGGAGCGAGTCGTCTGGGGACTACCAGGCTCGTCCACCGCCAGGTACACTTTTCTAGATGGTGACTAGAAGGGCTCGAATGCAATGCCACCCACGCATCCGGGGTCAATGCGGGCCTGTGACTGGTGGGAATCCCTGCACGGGGAGGGGAGAGGGTCCAGCATCAGGGTGCAAGGCTTGTCATCCCAGCGGGACCGGAGGCGTCAGGAGCGGTGAAGTTCGAGCGTATCGCGTTCAGCAACTACCAGGTTCGCTGTCATCCGTGGCCCTTCGTCTGGAACAGGAATCAGGTTCCCCCTTCCCCTCCCGGATGCTGTCATTCTCAGCCCTACACCGGTTCGCATTTCCAGCTAGGACCGCCCGACGAGTCATGGCCATGGGGATCGTGCAATCTGGCAATCCAACGAAGCAGGGTGTGTGTACTATGCGAGACGCGGGGCCCCGAAAAGGGAAATCGTTTCATACCGAGGAAATGGTCGGATGTTCTTCCACCATATAACATATCTCATGTTATCATATGAAGGCTTATTATGCTACGCCATCGTTCTGGAGGATTTACTCCATCGAGGAGGTTGGCTCCTCGTGGTGCTTGAGATGCATCCCGCACGGGCGACTCGATGGCCTATGCGAGTTCGCATGGTCCTCTCCTCTTCGAAATAGGCTCAAGGGGACATATGCATATTTGCATGCTCCGGATCCCAGCCCTCTGCCGGGTATCTGATCTCCGTGGTAGAACCAGAGGAGCCAGTAGAGCCAGTAGCGCCTGTAGAGAGTAGTAGACCAGACAGACTGGACAAGACTAGGCGAAGGACCCTTTCCCTCAACTGGACCCATGGGATATCAGGCTGTACATCTTATTGCCACTCGATCGACGCACTTCAGACATTGGCCCGTTGCCTGCACGCCTACAGCCAGACGGAGCCTCGATGCTCGTTCGCATTCTCTGCCATTGCCATGCCCAGCCCTCCAAAGCCCGTCCCAAGGTCCCAAGCATGGCGCTGCACCCGTGCTGCACCCAGCACCTCACTATACCCGTCTAGGAAATACCTTTCGTCGAAAAAGGCCCCCGCCCAGTGCCCACAGACCCAAAAAAAGCTCATCGGGTAAGCACCTTGGGACCGTACGCCGCATCCCAGATGAGCTGCAGATTACGCCAATCAGTTGGTCCAACCACGGACATCGCTTTCCCTCCCAGCAGATGCCGAGACAGAGACGACGAGACGAGAACAGGAAAGTGAGAGCAGAAGCGAGAACAGAAGCGAGAGTGAAGCGAGTCGACTAGGGAAAGAGGGAATTAATCTGACGGCCACGGCACCTAGTGGCATTCTAAGCTTGACCCCATACTTTCCCTTTCTCTTTTCCGGTCTATTCCCACCCCCTCCCCCAAGCCGTCTGGGACACGAACCTAAAAAAAAGAAAAGAACGCCATCTAGTGATATCCTACATTGGTTCCCCGAGTGTTACATTGGACCGGATTCAGATTGGAGGGGGAAAGCGCTGCTAGAGCGTCTCGAGGCCGAGCATTAGGGTTAACGGGCTGAAATGGTGATGCATGACCGCGCCCCAGTGAATCCTCCCAGGCCGACAGGAAGGTAGAAGTCTCTAAGAGCATCATTACAACAACAAATTCGAGAGAGCATCATAGGGCTGGCATCGAGGGAAAAGGCCTAAGGAAGAAGACAATGACCCAGAAGAGAGCAAAAAAAAAAAGGACACGTAAAAGACAGATACCCCACGGTCGTAAAACAGCTATCCGTATGAATCCTTCATACTTTCCAAGTCATGGTCCTCTCCAACCCATTCTGTTTTTGATCTAGGCCCAGAAGTTATGCTCGATGCCATGCAACAAAATAATAATAGAACCTGAGGGGTGGGAAGGAGGGGGACAGCCGATCCTCCTGGAGGATCCAACTGACCATTAAGCGACAGGTTCATAGGATGTTTCCTTCCAGTCCTGTCGGCACCATACCCTCCCCTTCTGCTACCTCTATTGGCATTGGCACACGAGCGGCCCAATGGCAGGGGTGTTCTCTCTTCCCGGTCATCGAAGTTGGGAATAGTTAGGCGAAAACGATACCCACTCTTGGCCCCGGAGCAGGGGTTTGTTTAGTGACCTGGCCCCGCCCGTTGCCCCTCCGCTTGGCTTCCTGGTTGCCTCCAGTGGGGTTGTCGCTGTTGGGTGCTTCGGGGCGCCAAATCATAACACAATCCTTGCTAGACTCGTTGACGCTCGAGCGATCCGATACTGATGTGCGGAACACCCGGAGTACTATACATGTACAGATCATATATTATGTTCTCGAGCGGGCGTTTTCACCATGCTTTTCGCCATGCGTGTCATGGGCATAGTGCGGTTGATTTCACTGAATTACGATCGTACATCCTTGTCACTAGAACCGGGATTGTATGATCGTGAGACCCCGTATAATGCCCATTCTGTTGCTGTGATTCCCATCCCCTTTGCTCGGGCCCAGATTTGCTTTTCTTTGGGCTTGTTTCCGGCCCCCCTCCTCCCTTTTCGCCCTACCCCATTTCCCGCCCTTCCCTTTCTCTTTCTCTACCTCCTTCTCTTTTGTCTGTTGTCTTTTGTCTTTTGGGGCTGCTCACTTCGGATTCCCCACTTTTGGAGAGCCCCCGATTCCCGTTCGCCCGTTCGATCCCGTTCGGACTCCGGGTAGATACTACGATCCTCGCAGGAGATCAGCACAACCCGCTGGTCAGATCTTTATCCCTCTAGTCCGTTGCCAAGCATAAGAGGGACAGAACGCCCTCCTCTCCTTTCGCATCGTACAGATGGACGTACATCTGTCCCTCGACTACGTAGTCCAGTCTCTCGAGTAATACCAAATTTCGAAAGAGACTCAAAATGATCATTTATCTCCCGCCCCCCCCCCCCCCTCCCAAAATTAAAATAAGATAAAAAACCAAATCGAAGATAATAAAAAACAAAAGATGAATCCAACCACGAAAATCAAAACTAAGAAAACTAAAACTAAAAACGTGGTCGAACTCGTCTCTCCCCCTGTCCCCCTCCCTTTCAGCTCCCACGTGAGAAGCGAGAATGTTAGTGTAACCGGCCTCTTGGGTATTTACGCACTTCCCCGTTTCATCTTCCTCCCCCCCCCCTGGCTCGTGTTTCGGCCAGTTAGGACGTTCCGTTGAACGTTGCCCCGGCCCAAAATGACACGAAATGACACGAAATGACCTTGTCTGGTACGCTCTGGTTCGTTCGCTTGGCCCGCTGCTGCTGCCACCCACATGTGTCACAAACATACTTCCCCTTCGCCCTTCCCTGGCGATCTGAGATCGTCAATCCCGCAACTGACCGGTCTCTTGGAGCCCGGGTAATGCAGCGGACAACATGAAGACAAAGCCAGTAGAACCCTTCCCCCCCTCCCCCAATTCTAATCCTTGTCCAATTTTTTGATAAAAAAAAGCGAATCCCGAGAAAAAAAAAAAAAAAAGAAAGTAAGAAATGTTGAGCTCATAGGTCCAGCTAACATCAAATGCACCGGGGTGCAAGATGAGGAGGGTGAAGAGATGGGGGCGGGCAAAATCTATACTCCTGAGGAGGGGGTGGATGGACTGATAGTCTTGCAGTCTAGGGAAGAAAGAGGAAAAAATGCGAGCCTCTCATAGCCTCTAGCCTTGCTGGAGCGATTCCATCAGGCAGGATAATGTAGGCGGACCTATGACGAAGAGGGCAATAGAGTAATAGGGTCAGATAGCTAAGGCCGAAGGGACGAGACTTGCTCCGTGCACTACCGAAGAATCCGTACTAGGGGTACCATTACGGACGTGACAGGGGACTGAAGGAGAACCCAGTCGAAGTTGAGAGGTAGAGACCTTCCTAGCTGGCGATAGCGCCCCGTGCAGCCTCTTCTGGGAATAAAACGTGGGATTGGTGGATGGGGCCCACGACCCCGAGGCTGAGAACTGCCCGGATCCATCCCTGCCCATGCGCGCTTCTGGATATTGTCGACATCGATTGGGGGCTTTCTGGCGAGGATCAATATCGACTCTGTTGGGGCTTTTTTTTTCTTTTTTCTATTTTTCTATTTTTTTTTCTGTTTTACTTTCTTTCTTTTTTTTTCTTTTTTTTTTTTTTTTACCTCCCCATTTTCTATTATCCATTTTCCCATTCCTATTTTCCATTTCCCATTTACCCATTTGAGGTTAGTCTTTGGCATCGTTTCTGGGTCAGAACTATGCTCGTTTGGGATTTGTCCCCCCCCCTTCCCCCACCCCCCAGGACGACACACATGGCAGTCGAGTCTAATGCGAGCACGGACGGATGCTGGTTATCGCAACGGACTCGGGGGGCTTAGCAATCTGCAAGGCCAATTTCCAGCTGATCGACGGGGATTTAGGAGCCCCATACTCTCGTCCCCGACTATATAATCAATCTACCCGGTGTCCACCACGTCCAGTGATTTATATACACCCCTCCTCCCCATCCTTCCTTCCTGTCCTCTGACTTCATAGAGTGATCCTGGATTCCTGCTTCTCTATCCTATACCCCCCTCCCCAGCGTCGATCTTCTATATCTACTCTTCCATCCTGTCTTCTCCCTTACCCTGGCTATTGAGCTTCACAATGCACCGCGCAACCGCCTATGATGCCCGCTCGGGGGCTCGTTCCTCGAGTCATAGCAATAGTAGTGCCTTCAGCCCTAATGCCAACCCGAACGAGGACTGGACGAAGATCTCCGATCTGGCAGAGCGTCGTCGGATCCAAAATCGGATCGCGCAACGGAACTATCGTAAGTGCCGAAGCCCGTCTGTGTCTGAAGCCTCCGCCGCTAACGGTCTTCTCTTCCCCTCCCACAGGTAAAAAGCTGAAGCGGCGACTGGAAGATCTGGAAAGACGTGCCGCCTCGTCCGCTTCCCCCGAGCAATCCCACGCCGAACCCGTTCCTCCCCCCAAGGCCACGCAGAACAAGCCTCGCGCCAAACAGCAACCGCATGCGCGAGCCAGCAAGCCCGGGGACTCCAAACCATCACACGCGCCGCATGCCCCGCCCCCAGAGCGGGCGTCGTACGATTACTACAGCCCCGATGAGCGCACCATGTTCGCCCAGCAATGTACTCGCCAGCTGTCGGCGTCGCCGCCACCGGTCTTCTCGTATCCGCCCATGCCAACTTATGACACCTACCGTGCCCCCTACAGCCAAATGCCCGTCTATCACACAGTGCCCAGCTCCTACCACGAGATGTCCTTTGCCGAGTACGGCGAGCCGGTTCACTCGGTGGTGCCGATGATGCCCAATCCTGCTATGGGCGCTGCCCGGAAACCGGCCTATGACGAAGACATTATCAGTCCGTTCAGCATGAGCTATGCCTCGATGGCCGGCATCGATCTATGTCCACAGCCCTCACACGCCGAGCCTGGTCTTCCGGTACATTTTCCTCGCTAGAAACACCTCTTTTTCTGTTTCTTGCCTTGTTTCTTTATTTTTTTTTTGTGACGCAAAATCAAAAGAAAAAGAAACACGAGCAGAGCACAAAAAAAAACCACTTTTGCAACGGACCAACGATAAAGCTAATGCGTTCTTTGTTTTGTCTGCTTGCAGATGCCTTCGCTTTCCTACGGCTATTCGGATGACCAGAGTGCGGCGTCAACTTCGCCCGAGGCCTCGATCTTCACATTCCCTCTGACGCCCGAGTCTCCCCCATGCTCCCCGCGCTCCATGCCCGGACCGTACGAGTACGATCTCCGGTGCTGAGCCGGATAAATTTGGGAAAGAGCTGCACCCACCGATATCACCTCCCCCCCTTCTCCACTCGCTTTCCGCCATCTGTACCCTTCTAGGACTGATGACTGAGGGGAGATGGCCGTTGTGGGCGTGAGAGGCCGCATAGATCGCCTAACCCAGCCTTGCGGGTACAACCGCTCTCCTGGGCCTGACCCCAAAGAGCTAGGTCGATCCTCTTTCTTACTCTCTCCTCTCTCTCTCTTTCTCTTTTCCAAACGAGAATTTCCACCTTAAGTTGGTTTGCAGCAACAGGAGTCAGTTGTTTTTTTGTTGGGGATTTTCTTTTATTATTTCATGGTTTTATTTACGACTCTTGTGATTGGTACATGTGTGACGAGCGAGCATTCATCCTGGCGTTTTCTTGGGACCCTGTTTTCTTGGATCGTGTATTGGTATAAGGGAAACGATACTACAGACGGCTAGCCTGGTGTTTTGAGGGAAATGGAACGGACCATTGACTTTTTGGATCTTGAGCTTTCTCTCTTTTTTTTGGGCCATACTTTGTAATTGTGTCATTTTTTTGGTTTCTCAATCTGGATTTTCCCCCACGGGCTTTTTCCCATTGGGACAAGTTGGAAATCCTGTTGAACCCGACTCTGAACTCTAGACCACAACGCTGATATCTTTGCATCGGGTCTTTCTATTCCTTCTGTCCCTTTGGCACTCCTGCAGGCGGTGGGGATCACTATCACCGAAGCCCACTAGTCCCTTAGCTCCCGACCCTAATAACCTTTCGATCGGCTGCGGCGATTGGCTCTATCGTGGGGACATAAACTCCGCTTGGCCCCCAAACCTGCGGGAATTTTAGGCCCCCCCCTCCCGCTCTCTATGTATGGTGTACAGTACTCGTGAGTCCTCCGTATTTCGTGCGCTGTCGAAACTCCTTGGGACACTCTGCAGCCGCCCACTACAGGATCCCCTCTCCGTAGCGGGATTTCGTTGCAGCCACGGCCCCCAGCACCTATGCGCACTAGCCCGTGACTTTCCAGCCCTGTCTCGTTCCGGTAAGTGCACGACATGCCGGATTAGGCCAGTCCGTCAGAGCGTTTTCGTGTCGCTGAAACATGCTGCTTTTGCCCTTTCCATTATTTTCCCTCCTTCCTCCTCGGTCACTGTTGGATTCTGCAACATTAATTAAAACCAAAAAAAAACAAAAACAAAAAAGAAATCCGGCCCCTCCTTGACGCAGATCCGATCTATAGATAGACACGGCTAATAGACAAGAGGAACCGAGGAGACGAAAGACGAAGTGAAAAAACCACAACGCCAAACTATACTACACTATTTTTACTGTACACTATACATCCAACATCCTCCTCCATCTTCCCCCCTCTCGCCTCAATCTCCCCTGTAAATGAGATACCAATCAATGAACCGTAAATTGCAAAACTTATCAAGATTCAACCTAACGGCAAGCAAACTGCTTACAACCTATATCTCTTTTTCTTTTGCCTCCTCTTTCAATTCCCTCCCTCTCGGTCTTTTCCCCTCTCTACACCTCATCCTAAACCCACCCCCAAAAGTGGAGTAAAAGCGTAAAAACAAAAACAAAAGCAAAAGCAAGAAAGAAAAAAGAAAAGAAAAGAAAACCCTCGCATCGTTTTGCCCAGGCGGGGGGGCCAGAACCAAAGCCAACCATGTGGCCTCCATCCAGCCGGTCGGGTTCGTGATCGCTGCAGAAAAACGGGAATGAATCCACCCCGACCCGCAAACACCGGGCTGCGATTCGCCGCCGACGTCAAATGCGAGGGTTTGGTTGCCTGGGTCTGGACTGTGACTGTGACTGTGACTGCCTAGAGCCCGTGGGCCGTATGATTGGAGGAAGGGGGCGTGGGAGAGTGGGAGAGGGGGAGGCAAGTGGGCAAATGGCCAATGGCAAGTGGAAAAATAGGAAATTGGAAAATGGCCAAATGCTGGTGTTGGTGATCCTGGACTTTTTCTGTCATTTTGTTGACGGGGTTGATCTTGGTCTAATTAGGGCAGACTTGTAGAAGCGGTTCCATTCAATAAGGAGGGTTGGAATTTTTTGGGGTTGGGGGATTCATGTCGAAGAGTAGGACGGTACTCCATAGTCAGTGTATTGCTCGGTTCTTAATTTGTTACTTTGTTTTTGTTGTTTTTGAAGTAGTAGTAGTTGTTGTAGTTGTTGTTATTTTGGGATCTTTTGAGCGGCAGAGGGGGGAAAAGGGCTTGGGGGCACGGGGAATGCGTTCGGGCACAATCAGTTAAAACCCGAAAAGCCGACGGACCTGATTTACTCCAGACCATCGTCGCCCTTGGCCCTCCCGAGTCAACTCGAACCCTCGAATTATCGTAGCCGCCTGCACTCTCGTCTTCGCCCAGCCCTGCAGGCAATAAACAAAACAAACGAACGTCACCCTATCCAAATACCCTCCCAACCCAACACCCTAAACAGCCCTAGGCGAGTGGGTGCAAGACTCCGCGGAGCAAGAGCCGCCTCTGACAAAAGTGGACACACTACTTCCACCCCCCGGTCAAATCCACTCGACTGCTCGCAGATCCAGACTGCTGGGCCCGCTGAACGAGGTGAATGCGAGAGCGAATCCCAAAAGTCCCCCCGGCCGGGGGGAGGGGGAACCAACCAGGTGGTCGGTGCGCAGAGGGCGAGTTAGGCGTACATGCCTCATGCCTCATGCTTCATGCCCATCCCCGTCGGTTTTTAGCCCTGCTGGACTTCGGACGGGGTCTTCGTCGACACTCTATACTCCGTTGGGCGTAGGGCCGGACACTCTCCGCCGTCAGTTTCGGCCGTAGGCCTTGCCTGGTTCCTCCCGTCCCCTCGTTGGTCCTTTTGATTGGTTGGTTTGTCCTCGTCGGCAGCCATAGGAGAGAGAGAAAGAGAGTAGGTAGGAAGAGCAGGAAGAGTATAGTTCGTAGAGAGAGTAGAGAGTCGCCTATATTCATCTATCTTATCCCCAAACCGTGTCACTGTGTCAAATAACCACGAGCCATCTCCCATAGCAAAACAGCCGATAACTCCGTGCTATTTCGAGCATTTCCACGATCGTCCTATCCCAAACCACCAAACTATTCCAGCCTCTTGCCCCCCTCTACGAGGCTCCTAGTCCCTTTTAGGAGTTGCCCCGGTCGCCGCTGAAGGGTCCTGCATTGCGCAACCGGGGGGGGGGGGGGCAGGCCTCGCCCGGCGCCGGCCTTCATTTCTGGCCCAGGCTGTCCTTCTGAAAACCACAGACAAGACACCGTGGGAAGTCTAAAAGGGCTAAAAACCAGGACGGAGGCACCTTCCCGGGACCCGTCGAAATGAATTGGGCGATCTGAAGGGTGGCGGGACCCCCCTTTCTCTGCAACATGTTTGGCGGAAAGCCGCCTTTTCTGTTTTCGGTGGTCTGTACTCCTCACAGGTCGAGACTGCAGGCTTGGCTTCTGACCGGCGCCTTTGGCCATGAGCTGGGTTTCGTGAGGGGCGATGGGGGTGGGTCTGCAGTGTGCATCAGGGTGCAGTTGCCGGGCGTATCAGAGTGCCGTTGAGCAACTCTGGGCGAGATGCGCGACTCCCATTGACGAACTCGAAAGTATCTATGCTCTTGGCTTGTAAGGGTCCTTATCCGAAACCGAGAAGAGAGAGGGGCAAAGACAGGGAAAGAGAAAGAGAGAGAGAGAGAGAGAGAGAGAAGAAAGATCTATGGTTTGAGACATCTCAGACATCTCCCCGAGATGTTCGGTATCTCCTCCATCCCGTATACTTCGCATAGATAACTTTGCACACAGGACTTTTGTAATCCGCTTTTCTGAATATATCTGCTAGGACGGGATCTGATTATACTAGAACTCGGCCGATCGAGTATTGACCATTCTGGATCGCATCGTGCATGGCTGTCCTCCTTTTCTCCTTTCCTTTTTCCCCCTTTCCCCCTTTCCTCCGGCATGGCGTCTCGCCCGGTCGCCTTACGCCTCTGGGTCGGGAATCCCATCTCCCTCTCCCAGGATCAAATAGCATCTGCGTTGGTGCCACCGAGACCAACAGATGGATGCCAATGGCGCAATTGGAGAAGAAAGCTCCGCTATCCTCGCGAGCCGTTGGATCGGGTTCGAGTGGAGTCTCCTATAGGTGGTGGGGGGTTGGCTCTTGACATGTCCAACAAACTTGTCGTCACAGAATCCTCGTCATCCCGGCTTTCCAGCGCCGCGCCACCAATCCTCCAAGTCCCGATGGCCTGTGTAAAACCCGATAGCCCGGCAGAGCCAACGATATTCCCAGCTCCATAGCCCGCCGAGCCGAGAGACTAGAGTCTAGATCGAGAGCCTAGATAGAGAGTCGAGATAGAGAGCCTAGATAGAGCCATGTAGAGAAAGGATTAGGTCCAGGGAACGGACTGCCACTATCATGGCGACTCGATGACTCCACCGCGTCGCCCTAGTCTTCTAGTTCCTCCTGTTTCGAGCCCGCTTGTGCCCCGAGTTTCAAGCGCGCGACCCGAAAAAAGAGCGGACTATCGGAGAGGGGCCGAAGCTGTACAGGACGTTATTTTTATTATTATCAATCTGAGCTGATACGTGGGTTTTGGTTTTAGGGGGGAGTGACCTTGGTTGGAACCCGCACGAAGACTCGAGTCAATTTAAGTTGCCCCACACGCCCACTGCTGATTCATGGGATGGATTCCTTTGACTATGATGACTATTAGCAGACCTCGCAGGGCTAACTGTTCTCGGTAGGTCCTTTGGGAGGCCTGGTGTCTTTCTGGTGCAGACATTCTGGATTTCTGTATGGAGATACACCCCCTTATCCACACCTCCAACAGCCCTTTTGGCCCCCATTCCTTTCCCTTTCTTCAAAATCCGGCTAGCGCCCCGATTTTTCCTGGTAGAAATCAGAACCTGCAATGCCCCCCCGCCGCCCGCCCGCGAGCGGAAGTAGCCGACCCACGACGCATCGACAGAGCTGCAGAGGGAAAAAGAGAGAGAGAGAGAGAGAGAAAGAGTGGAGAACTGGAGGACTGGGGGATTGCCGCTCGGAAGGATGCCGAGCACATACCCAACAATAACAAGGACCAGTTTGGGGATCGGCCCACCGGACGGCGTCCAGATCGAAGGGGGGCCGAATAATAATAGACTCTATGGGCGCGTCGAGCGTCGATCTGTATGAAGCATGCCACGTACAGAAGGCTAAGGGCGACAGACTGATCATTTTGGTTTTCTTGGATCTTCTCCGTCCGGAAACTCCCCTGTATACAATACATACACCCAATTGAATCATTGAATCCTCTAGTTAAGTCGGGTGGTTAGTAAATACATAGGACTCTGTAAACGCCATAAATATTCCCCCAAACAGATATCCCCCAAATTTCCAGCCCCATCCAAGTCCATGTGATCGTGCAAACACTTCAAGTCTCCTTCTTAGCCTAAAAAGGGAGGAGGGAAGGGGAGTGGGTACAAGAAGGGAAAGCAATGAGGAGAACCACCCGAACAGAAGAAACGCAACCAGCCGAGTCGCGACCTACTGCGTCCCTCGGGCCCTATCGCGGACCGCGGGTTCGCTGGGGCCGCGGTGACGTGGGAGCTGAACGGACCACGCAGACCAGTTTGCGACGACGACGCTGGGCCCTGCGCGTTGGCCCCGGGCTCTCGCTCTCTCACCCCCGTGCCCGGAAGTCTGTGATTTGTTTTGTCGGGACTGGAATGGGCCGAATGGCCAGGGTGAGGGCGACGAGGGGGTGTTTGCCGTATATTATCAATGCATTAGAAATCAGCTACCACAAGCGAACGGGATTTGCGGGCTGGTCACCGGTGCCGCGCCCGCACGAGTCTGGAGTCTGCCGTGGCAGGTCGCACAGGAAAGTATAATGTCGTAAAGCTGGATCGGCGTCGCCGAAGGTGGGAGGGGGCGAGAGAGCAGGGGAGCAGAGAATGAGACAGGGTTAGAAACGAGACGGACCGAGAGAAGAATCTAGATCTGAAGAAACCCAGTCCCTTGTACATTCCTTGAAGTAAAGTGCTCTCACATGTATATCGACTCCAATGGGTCGAGCAAGCTTGGGGCAACCCAAAGTATACAAGTAGACAATATACTACTATACAACTATACAACCATACAACTATACTTCGACCCTTCTATAGATCGTCCCAACGACAAACACACGCCCAAACACAAACACACACAAAAGCAAACCCTCAGTGGCGAGTCGACATTTCCACTGTGAATTTCTCATCTAGGTGATTTGGAATTCATTCGGAACCATCTCCAGGCATCCCACCGCGCAATCCAACCGTACCCGAACGGGAGTTAGAAAAGGACTGAGATATGTGTCGGGCGTCCTCTTGACAGTACATGATTTCAAACATGACTGGTTCCCCCTTACGACGTGGAAAAGACCCCGCGGGTCTGGGGTGTCGGCGGCGGTTCTATGTCACCGCAACGGTAGCAGCGACGATTGGCAGTTGGGCTGGCATGTCTTGCCAGAACAGCAAAGCTGGGACGTTGAAATCGCAACGCAGGCCATGACGTTGAAGCTCTTTGAGCAACTTCGAGGGCGAAAGGTGACACGGGGTCGGCAATGCATGGACGACGAGGCAAAGAGTAAGAGTTTCCCGCCATCTACAACAATGTAGACCTCGATTACTAGCAGTTGCCTTTTTGACATTTAACATTCAACATTTTAAAAATTTGGCATTTGACATTTTGACATTTCCAATTTTCGTGATTTTTTTCAACTCGGTGAAGCATCTGGAACCTTGCGGAGGGGCGTCTTGTTAACCCATATCAATATTGGAGCGTGAAATCATTCAGTTACGGCCAGCCAGTCTTGGATTGCAGCAGTCAGCTTTTCTGGTCTTTTCTGAATGTAACGATCAAATTCATGGAGCCGAAGGAGGAATAGTAATCTATGGCATCGCAGGAACTACTGACGGTGGGCTGGATTCTTGAAGTAACATGATAAGTCTACATGGCAGTCAACGGGGAAATGGGCGAGGAAGCACAGAAACAGGTTGAACAGTCGAGAACGTCGATTAAACAGACGGCGAAGAGGCTCATATATTATTAGACAGGCAGATTTACTCAAGCTGCCCCCACAGATTCATCAGGATGTGGGTTCTTCAATTTGACCTTCTGGAGGACCGCAGAGGAAGGAAGGCTGGGAAACAAGATGCACACACAGATACAAAATCCAAGCGGCCGACGACGGTACTTGAAAAGAAAAGAGAAACAATGGACATCCCATTCAAACAACAAGAAAATAATAGGAAAATACAACCAAACTCTCATGACCTGTCGTCGTCAATTCCCAGCTCCTCTGTCTCCAGCGGCAGAACAAGAAAAAAAAGGAACTTCCAGGAAAGCATTCTACTTCAAAGAAGCCCTGTTCCCCTCATGAGGATAAACATGTGTAGATGTGAAGATCCCCCCCCCTCCCCCTCCCCCTCCCCCTCTTGATATATTTGTGGTCATGTCCCTTCTGTGCTGGAATCATGCACCCTGAACACTCATCTGGTCTGATGGCGCCGGCTCGTCTACTCGTCGTCGCCGCCGCATTGGTGCCTTCTTCCTGTTCGCAATCGCTGCTTCTTGGGATCGCTGAGCGGTCATATCTGCATCACCATCCTTGTCGGCTTCACGTTCACGTGCCTCGTGCTCTCGCAGGCGATCGCGGTACGCCATCATTTGATCATGGTTCAGAGTCTCATCCAAGTCGTACAGATTCCGGGGTCTCATCCGCAGCCATTTCATACGTGGTCCGACTCGTGAGACTTCCGAAACCTTGAAGCCATAAATTTTCGGGTCATAAATCCTCCCACGTCCAAGGCCAGGACAGAGGTTCGTCGCATGTACGCCATTAATCTCCAGCGGTTGCTCCTCAGGCGTGGGGGGCTCGTTCGGCACCTGCGGTGGTGGGGACCGGTTGGCGAGCTGCGTCTGACTGCGGGACATGGACGATAGAGAAGTATCCAGACGTGGCCCAATGCTTAGATCTGGGAACGTCATAAAGAATAAGCAGCCAAATGTCGTGCCAAAGAAGGCGCCGTCGACGGAGTGGAAACGACTGTTCGGCGGGGTGTAAATATCCATGCATCCGGGGCAGAAGAGCTTAACTGTCTCTTGGCCGGGGGTATCAGACCGGCCGACGGGGAGGACCTTGCACCCATTGCAGTTGACGCGCGGGCACACACCAAAGTGCTGCATTTCATATTTCTCAAGCATTTGTTGGATACCAGGCCTGGAAGTGATATATCGCTGGTGGATTAATCCATAAAGAAGCTCGGCAGAGCTCTCGATCACGCTTAGGTCACTAGCCACGCGAGCGTGTCGTCGGTCACCAGCCCTCCGATATGCCGGTCGGTCGCCAAGGATATCATCGTCATCTTCTTCTTCTTCCTCTTCTTCTTCCTCCTCCTCATCATCTTCGGGCTCTACGTCAAGAATCATCTCAAGAGCCTCTTTGTACATCGGGACTTGCGATTGCAAGCCAGTCAAGTTGAAATCATCCTCAATGAAGTCCTCGGATACTTCCGCAAAGAACTCATGGCCCATTAACGAACAGAAAGAGGAGATCCATGACTCCGGCGCACCTTCTGACGAAGACATGTCGAACGAAGCGGACACAGAAGAGGAAAGGGTTGATTCAGACAGTTGACTCAGATCCAGCCTGTCGAGGCCGTCGGCCAACGCCGAACCTGTCTCTCTCGACACGTTGCCGAGATGATCAGTGATTAAGCGGGAGAAGTGTGGCGACGACGAAGCAACCTCGTCACGCGAAAGAAAAAAAGAGAGGGGCTGATGCAGGCGGCAAAAAAGGATCAGCAGTGCTTTGCGTGGGGACGGCGGAGGCGATGGAAAAGCTGGAGAGAAACGGGACGAGGGTTGAGTAGCTCGGGGGTGCTGAAGGTGCTGAGACCGTAGACTCGACCGAAGAGAAGGTAGGTTGGTGCTTCAGGTGGGGAAGCTAAACAGGCATGGAAATGTGCGGGAGGGGTGGAGGTTGGAAGGGGTTGTGCGACAAAGTCGAGAACCCGAGATCTCAGTCTAGCCCCACCAGAGGCTTATCAGCTTCTCATCAATCACGATTTCGATAGGGAGAATTGGCATGTGGAATCACGTACGGTGACAGCAGTGCGCAGGTCAAGGATGGTTCATTGAACGTCTCCGTCCGAAATCACAGGGTGTGTCGATCGGGGAGTCTACTAAGTTCGGTTCGGATCGTGGGGCGGTGGGATGATTTGTCCACTCGGGTTTGGCACTGCGACGAAACAAGTTCCCTCCAGGCTGAGACGAGTTGATCTCGAGGAGGAATCAGCGCGGTTCAAGAGGTGTAAATGGCGGCGGGGGAAGCAAAGCGAAGTGACCAGTCTTGATGGAGTCTCGCGAGTGGTGACTAGAAGTCACGTGCGGGCATGGCTCAACTACAGCAGCCTCACAGGCCAGGGAAACCGTAAAGACTACGAGACAATAATAAAGCGTTGTTCAAAAGGTGGTACATGGAGGGGTTACAAATATCGTAGCACTTCAGAAGAGATCGCGAATTATGCGAGAAAATTCCTCATCGCCTCCTAGGATCCCCGATAATCCTTCCCCGGTGTTCTGCATTTCTCCATCCGCGCCAACAAACCCATTGATGCTGTCAGGACCACTAGTACTAGTCATGAAACTGCCAAAGGCCCCCACAGCCTCGAAAAGGTTCGTCAGTTCGTGGCTCATTTGGACTCCATTCAGAGGGCTATTGCCGAGTTCATGGACCCCGTTCATAGGTCCATACATTGACAGATCGTCAATCGAATGGCCCGCCAGGCCCGCCATGGCGACGGCAGCATTGGAATGAGGATCATTCCCTTCCGGACCAAACGGACGAGAAAACACACCCAGCTTCTCACCAATCTTCCGAAGACCTTTGATGGTCTTCCAGAGTCTCTTCGAAACATAAGACTTGGTGCTGAATCCGTTGATCAGATCCAGTGCCATATAGAATTCATCTCGCACTTGACGGTTAAAGTCAGCCGGTGCGTGACACACAGCAAGGAACAGAACTGCCAATGCTGCGACAAGGAAGTAGTTGAATGTGATCTGTTGTGTGCGGTAGATATCGGACATCTGATTCAACCGGGTGAGGACCCGAACAGTGTCTTTAGCAACATCTACCACCGTCTGGGCATGACCACGATCTTCCATAATGCTAGCGGAAGAGTGAAGTACCGGACGGTAGATTAAAATTCGAAGTTGATTCATGCGTAAGTATAGCAAGACTCGTAGGCGTCGCATCCCTCGGCTTGCGGACTCTCCATTCTTCGGAGACTCTACCGGGTAGAACTTGAGCTCATCTGGAATTTGCTTATACCACTGAAGGACTTGGTAGTCCAAATAACCAATTTCATCGCGACGGATATCAGTTGTACCTTCTGAGCCAATACCAGAGTACCAGATCTTGGAGCTGATCCGGTTGTACGAGATCATGCATCTTAGATAAGGCAAAGATGCATCCTGAGGAGAGTTCCAAGTTAGTTGCATGAAAGTATGATATCATGGCACGAGCATTATCTTACCGGCTCTGGTAGGTTAGGGTCAATGTCCTCATCCTGGATAACAAATGGTAGCCCTGTCCCCAAACTCCATCGCCTGTCCAAGCTGTAGACAGTCCAGAAGATCCGAGTGATCTCGGTCCACTGGTCCTCATTGGGAAATGACTTGACAAGAGCGTCTCGTCGGTGAAGCCCCATCTCCAGGCACATCCTTGCTGCAAGGCCAATTAATCGATAGGCCATTGCATCGTCATCGGTATGAAAATGATAAGTAGCCTGGAAACCATACATTAGCCCATATTTTAAGATCGATGCCGCATCCAGAACTCCCGCATACCACGATGGTAAAAAGTTGAATATTCTTAATGTCATAAGGATCCCACAACTTGGATTCAACCACCGGCTTGACGCTTAGGAAGAGCCGCTGCCCAAGCTCACTTTGGCCACCTCCTTCCACGACCAGCGTGGTTGCGAGAATCAGCTTCAGGATAATAGTGCTATCATCATGAAGGCTGTCAGGACCTGGAAGACCACGCTGTGCGAATCCCGTGCGCGTAGCAGCTTCCATGAAGGTGTATAGCAGATTTGCTTGGTTAGTAATTCTGGAGATATCCACCACAGGATACATAATGCCTATTTCTTCTTCATAGACTGTGCAAAGGCGCACAGCCTCATCGCGGCGGATGGTCCAGATTGGATCCTTGGTAGGGTGGATGGTAGGAACGAGAAGTCCAAGATGAGGAGGCGGGGAGCCTGCGGGTGTGACGTGCGCGGTTGTCAGATCATCTGGGATCCCGTCCTCTGGCTGCGTAATGCCCATACTCTGAAGGCTAGATTTGGCAACATCAAAGTTGAACGCTGAGCTGGTAGGACCATGGAAACGGGGGTGCCGCGATCGAGCCTTCGGCATCCCCGTACGCATAGGAGTGAAAACAGACTGGGAGCCATCGCGCGAGACGTGGTCAAAGGGTGGGGACTCGAATGATGGTTTTTGAACGCGAAGTTCATTCAAATTGCTAAAAAGGCTATTGACTTGTTCTTGTAGCGTGGTGATCTGAGATGTCATTGACCGGAATTCCCTGAGTCGGGGCAATTAGCTATGCCAAAGAAAGCTGGGATTGGTATCAAAGGCTTACTCGGAGTCCTTGAAATTATTATTGCAACAATTGGGCGCATATCGGCCTGTTTTCAATGTTAGTTCGTGTTAATGTTAGTTCCGAGGGATTCGGAGCGGAGTAGGTGCCCGAGCGGACGCTGGGTGTTGACACCAGGAAGCCGGAGAAATTGACAGGCCAAGTTCATACATTCTAAGTTGAGGTGACCGCAACGTTGACATGGAACCTGTCCATTGCACTTGATCTTGCGGCGTTTGCACTCGTTGCTAAACAAAATGACTGGCAGTTAGCTCCGGTAGTGTGCATCTTTCCGAGTTTCCGATGAAAGACGGAGACCACCGAGCATGGTATGATGCCTGCTTCATAGCAGGCCACTCCAAGCCCGTACGGCAATTTGGATCGGCCCTAAGACGGACTTTCGGCAAGAAATAACAGGCGGGATCAGGCCATAGGGTCATACCATGCAATGGAAATATAACGGTTCCGCTTTGCGCGCGTATGCGTTCCGTTGCTTTGTTCCGCCTTCCTCTTGGCTGTGTCGGTGGTCGGAGTAGCGGACTGGTCGCCGGGGCCAATCTGAGGCGGAGTCATTTCGATCTGAGGCGATTCTGAAGCCATCACACACCATATGCTAGACCACCGCAGATGGAAACTGGGGAGAAATGCCGGCGACCGAGTGCGGAGAAATTCCTCGCGGGGTTTGCCGTTCCCCAGATTCGTGGCTGACTCATCGCTTTCACAGCTGGATCATTGGCCCAATCAAAAAGTACGGGATTGTAAAGAGCCGACGAAATAATTAAAATGGAGTTCCGAGCATGAGCCAGTTGGGCTTCACACTCAACATGCTCATTAAACCCCTCATTCGATTGATAGAAATTTGGAATTTGGACGTGTGTGCTTTGGGTAGGTAGAAGTCGAATTTCAGTACAGCGCCAACTATGCTTTCCATATCCTAGACTACTATCTCTAACGGAGTAGACTGCTCTCAAGATCGAAGAATATTTCCTGGATGGATTATAACAAACTGAAAAGGGCCGGGTAACAAAACAAATTACGCTCGTTTTCAATACCCCGCCTTTGACAACAACCAATTCCTCCCAGCCAACAGAGCCTGTATAGCCTGGATTCGCCGTTGCGGGTTCTTCTGTAGCCAGGCCAGCCCAGCAAAAATACCAAAGAGAAGAGACAGACGTAGAGATCTCCGGAGGCTTTGTAGGATTTCACCCTTCCGAGTCCGTTTGGCGGTCCAATCGCTCCATATGGGGAATGTACATCGGTACCAATAATGAAATTGAGAGTATCTAAGAAATAGGTCAGCTGGTAATTGCTTAAAAAGGTTAACAAAGTGACGTACGGATAGGTTGACGAGTTCCAGCCGTCTGCAGTGATATACCAGCTAGAGCACACGCCACGACGGAAGACAGTCTTCTGTAGCTGGTCCTGCACCCGGCTGGTCCAGGCGCGTTCGGCACTCTCTTTGATTTCATAGGAGCTGACATGCCCCTTCAAAATCGGCTTGATGAACTTAAGGGAGTAATTGACCGCATTTTCTGTCGCAAGTATCACACTGCTATGCCCAGTCGCCGTGTTCGGTCCGAAAATCATGAAAAAGTTCGGGAAACTATCCATTGCAATTCCCTGGTAGGCTTGGGCTCCGCCGCGCTCCGCCCAAACATCTTCCATATTCTTGCTGTCTTTGCCAATGACTTTCAATGGATGAAGCCATTGATTGGTTGCAAAGCCATTGCCCAGAATAATTACATCGGCTGGGACTTCTCGAATCTCGTCCTTGAGCTCGGTGTTGGAAGAAAAATAGTTTCCCGGTCCTAGCGTCACGCTCTTCGCATGGACACGGGTTAGTGGCTGTGTCGTCAGCTCCACATTTGGTGCATGTAAGCTGCGATACCATGTGCCATCAATTATACGGCGCTTGCAGCCAAGACTGTAGTTTGGAGTGAGGATTTCATGGTATTCCTTTGGTGCTAATCTGCGCATATTCTCCAGGAATGCCTTTTCCATCCGTGGACGTCGCCAATTACTGTATGCTGTGTCTGTGAAAATTGAAAGGAAGTTATGTTCGCACATTAGGAACATAGTCTTGCGCAAAAGACGTGTCAGGCCTGGAACATTTGCCATCAACATCGGCATCCATTTTTCCCACATGGCAAGCATTTCTGGAGGCAGGAGATCCGGCTGAACCCAGGGAGGAGTGCGCATGATCTGAGTGATGGAGCGCACGTTTGCTTCTGGGTTAGCTAGCTCGGGGACTACTTGGGCGGCGCTGCAGCCAGAACCAAGAATGATCACATCTTTGTTCTGTAGGTCAATATCGCCGTCCCACCGAGCCGTGTGCATGATATATCCTTGGAATTCCTCGAAGCCAGGAATATCCCCGGGCCATGTCTTTGGCTCAACCAACCCACCCACGCCACTGACAACGATCTTGGCTCGGACCATCTCAGTTTTGATAAAGACCCGTTCTGGACCTTCTTGAATGGCGAGCTGCTCCCGGTCATACGAAGATAGATCACCAGTACCGGGGACAAGATGAGACAGAATGACTTCCCATTCTTCATCTTCTTCAACCCACCGGAGCTGCTTCACATCTGTATTGAACTGGATTTTGTCGACGATCTGATATTCCTCACAAACATCGGCAAGATATTGGGCAATCTCTGGGCCAGAGGGATGCAACGTAGACCAATTTTGCTTTGGGGCAAAAGAGAAGGAATAGAATAGGGCAGGTCTACAGAAAAGTCAAATTAGAGGCCAAAGATTTTCAAATTGATCATGAAGTACATACATATCACAGGCGGCACCCGGATACCGATTAATCCACCAAGTGCCTCCTATACCCGATTGTCGTTCAAATATTCTGAACTGGTCGATCCCCAGCACCTCTTTGAGACGGCAGCCCATCGCCACCCCTGATTCTCCCGCTCCGACTATAAGAACCGGGTAGTAGGTATGGGCATCTTTGCCATAGGCGTGGCGTTTGTGAATATTAGTGATTGAAGGCATTTCGGTTTCTGGTTCCCCGGCAGGACCCTGACTGAGGGCCGGGTCCTTAATACACAAGAGGCTTAATGGAAACTAGATCTGATTTGTCGCTTGGATGTAGCACGGCATGTGATGCTCGATGAACAGTGAACATATACAACATATAACCTAATAGAAAGGAAAAATTTACCGAGCAGTCACGATCAGCAGGTTTCGGACAAACAGATTCAAAACAAATCCTGCAGAATTTAAGAAAAAGGTGGAAAGGACTGATTTTAGGACTGATCGTCAGGGTGAGGGGAAAGCTCGGCAGCCTCGGTCCCCGGCGCTTTGCATGGTCGCTGGGCCATTTCACAATTATGTTTTACCGAAAGCGTTGCAATTTTTGCTGAATTAGCTTGTAGTATGCTCGTTCGGACTAGGTTCGGGCTTCAAAAATTTTTTTTTTGACATTTTCTTCATTTATGGCGTCTGCTATCAGAACCACGATTCCAAGTTTCTAAGTGTATTGGTCGAGGAAATCGACCTGTAGCCATAAATTAACCCCAAAAGGACAGATACTTCTATTTCCATCGATGTCTGCGAAGATGATGAATCATCACATAAATTGCTAATATAATCTCATTGTTTCACCAGGTCGTTTGCGACAGGCGTGGCACCCACCATTGTACTTTTGTACACCTGAAGTGGTTAAAGTTATTAACTAAATGGATTGACCAAATAACGTATCTCCAGCCGACCGAACAGCTCTTTCCAGCTTTTAACTTGTAGATAAGAAATCCCTGCCCATATCCGACAGGCAATACTCGACGCCTTTTCTAGATCGCGTTGTTGCATATGTGCTAAAACTTGCGGGGAAGAAGAACCGGGAGATTTTAAACGATAACCCGCTATTGGCAGGCATATTGACCCGACGCTGCAGCTGCAAGCTAATGGGTCTCGCTCATGTAGGAATTACATTATTCCGACAGCCATCCACGACCCGCAGATACGTTGTTACCTTTACAGTCAAGATAGGCCGTCCCCAACAGAGGTATTCTTCATAGACAATTTCAAACAATACCTAATCAGCCAGAATTGAGGATGTCTAATTCCCTGACCCTGGTTTTCATACCTGGTTCTTGGCATCGGCCCACTTGCTATGACAAGGTCATCAAGCTTCTTCGGGAACAGCATGGGTTGAAATGCGTCGCAGTCACGCTCCCTTCAACAGAGGGCGACCCAGCTGCCACCTTCAAAGATGATCTAGATGCAGCTCGTGAAGCCATATCCAATGAAACAACCCAAGGGCGCAATGTGGTGGTTCTGGCTCATTCGTACGGTGGTATGGTTGGCAACAGCGCCATCAAGGGTTTCGCAAAGCCCCCAGAAGTCAGCACCAGTCTGACAAATTCACCCAAAACTGGGTATGTTATTGGGCTGGTCCTCATAGCTTCCGGTTATACCCTAACTGGGTTGGCTTTTATGGATCCTTTCTTTGGCCGCCCGCCTCCTTCCTGGCGAGTCAATAGCACGACCGGCTACGCCGAGCTTGTTACTCCACCTCGCGAGCTCTTTTACCATGATTTGCCAGAAGAAGAGGCTGCGTATTGGGTATCTCAACTCGTCACCCAGAGCCTTAAGGCACTGTTTGAAGGTGGCGAGTATACATATGCTGGCTGGCAAGATGTACCTTCCTGGTATATTGGCACGGTTGAGGATCGAGGACTACCAGTTCTCGCGCAGCGCATGTCAGTTGGCCTAGCAAGAGAGATGGGTGGTATTGTGGAACATCGAGAGCTGCAGACAAGCCATTCGCCGTTCCTGAGCCAGCCTGAAGCCACTGTATCAATTATCTGGGACGCTGTTCGGGCCTTTACGGGGAAGTTGGAGAAAGACGAACCAATATCGAATGGCCATAGCGCCACGATCTTTCGACCGAGTTTCAGTATCTGGCAGCCTTCTACATGGTTTAAATTTGGAGTGCCGTTGGTCTTCGGTCATTTATTGGGAAGGTGTTTCCTTCTGTTTGGTTTGGGGAAGAGGGTCTGGAAGTCTAGGTTTGGCTTACGTTCTGGTCTATGATACGGTTATTCGGTACATGATTTCTGATTGTAAATATATATTTTTATTTTATTTTCTCGCTTTTGAATTGTCTCCGATCCTGCTTGTCATCAATATCACTCCTCTTTGATTCAATCTCTCCTTTCAAAAAGGTCAGGACGACTTGGTTATCCTTACTGTCTAGGTGGTAATTTGACCACATTAGATCAAATTCTAGCCGATAAGCGAGAGAAAAAAAAACCAATGGATCCGAACGTCCTGTTAGCATTGGTCTAAATTAATGAATACATGGAATTGAAAGCGATTTCGTCGATGGTATGAGGACGGTTGTGTCATATCGATTACACACCTGCGAGGCAAAGGTATGGTCTTCGATTTAAATGGCGAGCAAACTCTGGACACTAATTCATAAAGTAGAGAGGTAGAACAGTATATATATATACTTATATTTGAGGGGGCGGGAGACGAGGGAGATATCTCGGCCTCCTACTATAAGTTCGCGGCCAGGGCGTCGGTTTCCGCGGGCAGAAAGTCCCCACTTACCATTGGCAGGATTCCTTACGTCCTTCCACTTCTCATCCCCCACACGACCTGTTGCCTGGATGAAGCTCTCGCCATGGCCATATCATCTCAGCCCCAAGGTCCCCAAGCGACCTTCATGTCACATACATCTTGATTTACTGCAACGAATCTCCATTGCGTGCAATTTCTCCGCGTCCACCGCTCGCCCATACCGCACTCTCGACGCTCTCCAACATGTCGATGTCGGTACCTTCCGCGCGCAATACTTCATTCCTGAACAGCCAGTAGTTCTCCCACGCGGCCAATTTCGCAGTCTCTCTGCGGCGAAGCATTGGTTCCAGAGCGACCAGAGCAGCAGCGTTGCTCGTTTAAATGTGGAATACCTCCAAACCCTTGCCGGAGACGCGTTTGTCCCGCTGGAGCTGACGGAGTTAGCAAATCGGGATTCTGTGGAAAAGCCCACGCCAAATGACATCGCGGCGCATCAGGATGTCGGAACTGATGTGTTGAGCTTTCGTCAATTTCATGCACCGTTGACACTCTTTCTTGAGTGGATGCGCAAGGCCGAAACTTCTTCGCAAGCAGCACGCTTATATCTTGCGCAATGCCAGCTCCTTGATCTCCCCCAGGTTATACGAGATGATTTCCCGACACCGGAGCTTGTTTTAAAGGCTGGAAAGGGTGATGTGTATGACACGAATGTGTGGATTGGACACGCACCCACCTACACTCCCCTTCACCGCGATCCCAACCCAAACCTGTTCGTCCAACTAGCTGGTCAGAAGATAGTCAGGCTGTGTTCTCCCTTGGATGGACAAGCTTTATTTTCCAAGGTGCGGCGACAGATGGGACAAAGTGGAAACAGAGAGGCTGCGGCATTTCGAGGTGAGGAGATGATGCAAGGACAGGAGCGCGCCTTATTGGATGAGATGGTTTGGGGTCCTGCCGCTGCCTCTGGTCAGAAGGCTGAGACTAAATACGAAGCACATCTGGAGGCTGGAGATGCTCTGTTCATTCCGAAAGGATGGTGGCATAGTATCAAGGGAGTTGGAGAGGGCGTCACGGCTTCTGTAAGTATCCCGACGCGATTGCGTTATAGCTGATCGACAATCATGGCTAATAATTGAACAGGTCAATTGGTGGTTCCGATAACCGGCAGCATGAATATAAATTAGCTATACCATTCTGTAGAATACAAAAATAGAGCATTGAATTTCTTAAGATTATTGTGAGGTGTGTTGTTGTGTGTGACAACCAACCAGAGCATAGGTTCCGCTGGCAAATTCCGCAACTTGGTCTCCGCTCCGCCTCCGACAATTTCATCCTTTTGACAAGCCCAGACTTGCACCACCTCCCAAAGCCCCAGAATGCAGTTGTCGCGTACAGCTTACCGTGCCGCCATTTTTCACCTCAGCGTCAACCCAATTTTTGCCCGCGCCGTCCTCACAAACCCCTGGGCACCGAGCAGCCTCGCCAGCCTACCACAGACACCGAGCTCGCGGCTCTACACTGTCTTTTTCCCCCAGTGCGCGCCCCAAAGCCCCATACTCGAGACGATCCGCCAATCGCACAACATGTCTACCTCAAACTCTAATGCCACCACGAAACAAGGGACAACCGAGCCCCAAACGCAAGAAGAGAACCAGAACCAATCCCCACAAGAACGCCTCTCTCTCCCTTCAGCCGACTCCTCAAGCGATGGCGAGGCGAAACAAATTCGACTTGACCTAGGAGCTGAGGGTGGCGTTACGCTCGACCATCTCGGCCCTATGGTAGTCAATGTGGACGGCTCTCTCTCTCGCATTGGCAACTGGGAACAGATGGCGGAGATAGAGCGCAAGAACACGTTGCGGATATTGGGCAAGCGGAATAAGCAGCGTTTGGAGGCTCTGCGAGCGGCCGAGGCTGAGAAGGATCAGAAATGATGAAATCCGGCTTATTAATTTACACATGTCTGGGATGGAGTTTACAAAGCGTTCTCTTCTGATCTTGTTCATATATCAGGTTTTTGGTATTGTTGGTATATACAATGCATGATCATATGAATCGTCACTTGCGTCATCATTTCTTAGACCTTCGCTTCGGTTCAAAACATCCACAGCTACTAATTTATTCACGGGATGTTACTCGAAGAGCATGTTCAAGTACTTGTGAACGATACTCCTGGAAATCTTGTTAGCTGTCGCATTTACTATTGGAACGACGATATCGAAAACTCACTTTGGAGGCGCAGGGATGAATTCTCTTGTGTACTCTTCAATCTCGGCAAGGCCTGAAACAAGATCCACCTCTTCAGGTTTCAAGAACTTTGTGCGGTGAAAGATCTTCCACCCAAAGTAGAGGACTGGAAACACACCGATCATGGTATATGAAAAAAGGAATGTTGGTACGGACCAATTTCCAGGCAGAAACACAGTATACCCACCAACGAAGGCCATGATCGTGGTGGAAATGCAGGCAATATAAGCGATGTACGGCTGGAACCAACTGCGGTAGGGTAAAGTGCTGCGTGAAATGCCCTGGGTGTCAAGGGCTTTTTTAAATCGGATGTATGTAAAGGTCACAACAGAGAAATTGATGAGTTGAGAGGCAGTGACCTTTGATCAAGTTAGAGATTCGACTTTAATAAAACAGGGCACCATAGGAGCAATGCCTACCAGATTTACAAACCAATTTAGGACCACTGAGGCACCATTTGACACCTGAAGAAAACTGAGGAGTGCAATCAGGAGGACGACTGCAACACAGTATATAGGCACGCCACGTTTCGTGCATTTCGTAAGGACTCGCGGTGCCTTTCCTTCCAGTGCGAGACCATAGAGACTTCGGCTAGCGCAATAGACATAGCTGTTGCCCGCACTGAATGATGCAGTGAGCACGACCGCATTGACAATATGAGGCAGAATAGGGATCTGCAATCGATCCATCGAAATGACATATGGCGATGCAGCCGCACCCGGCTTATCATTATCAAAAGCATCGGCCATCGTCTTGTCATTATAAGGAACTAGGATGCCAACGCAAAGAACTCCCAGCACGAAGAAAGCCGTCAGACGGTAGAAAACACCATTGAAAGCCTTAGGCAAGACGATCCGTGGGTTCATTGTTTCACCTGCGGCCATAGAGACATAGTCCGGGCCAGCGATGGTAAAGCTAGCGGCAATTAGAGCAGATAAAAAGGCTAAAAACTTGCCTGTATCTCCCGTCTTGTAGTACTCCGCGAATGCACCTGGTTCGTTCCAGTACCTAAATCCGAATCGGTCACCCAGTGGATTGCCACCAAGCATCACGATAAACGTGTAGAAGATCAAGCCAACGCTTAGCAGAACCTTGCCGAGTGACAGCCAAAACTCTGCTTCACCGTACCATTTGACAGCGAACACATTGAGTGCCCTAAATTTCAAGCTTTAGAGACGTCATAAACCATGGGGGAGAGGAGGTTTCACTAACATGTAGAGTACAAGAACGATTACATTCATCGCAGCGACTGGAATGGCACTGGTCCAGTAATTGACGATCAGGCTGACGGCCACCACTTCGAAGGGAACCAACGCCGCCTCGAAGATAAAAAAGTTATATCCTGCCGCGACTCCCAGGGCTTCATCGACATAACGGCCGGCAAAGCGAATGAAAGGGGAAGAAATAGGCAGATAAGTAACCATCTCTGCCAAGCCTAAATGCAACTGTGAGTCTCGGCGGTCAACTTGGGAGAAATGGAGGATGGTTCCGGATTGAAGAAAGGTAAGGTCCAGGTAGATTAGTTGCTATGGCAGAGGATTTTGAAAAGGTGCTTTTGGATTGGAACCGGGCTTCTAGACGAGAGATGGGGGAATTGGGCGAAGGATTGAATGGGAATCCGTACAAACAGTGATAATCAAGATCACAGCGCTCCTAGAAAGTCATTTTATGAGATTTCGCAATTCAAACCAATATTGCGTGGAATAAAAGTCAAGGCATTTGCTGGGCTTGGGAGATGTGACAAATTCATTGGGCTCGCTTTGGGGGGATGCATAGTCAATATAGGGCCGTGTGAAGTTGTCCTTTGGTGCCATTGAAAGAGCAGCAAGGCTTTCATAGAATAATCTGTTTACGGCCCTTGAAGAATGCATTCGAATAGTCTGAAGCGAAATATGTGCTTCAAATTTCCTTTGATCTCTTGTCTTGTTTTCTCCATACTTTGCTTCTCACTTATTTTGTTCCAAGTTCAACCCTACCGTGGAATCGCGAACCTTGGGGGCATAGCTCATCTAGATCGAGCACCCCAAACAAAACTGAAAAATTGCACCAAGAAAGCAAGAAGGGCAATTTGCAATATCAGAAAGAGTAAAGGCTTACCAAATGCTGAATCCGAGAAACAAGCTTGCCGGGCCACTGGTGCGTAGGTTGGAGCCAATCTGCACGTACAAAGCGGTGCCAATTGTCCCCCCAATGCCAATTAGTTGTAGATGACGAGGTTTTAGCTTGCGCCGCGTATGGTCATATGTCGGTTTCATTGAGCCACCATCGATCGAGGCATCACGATGATTCAGCGAGTCTTTCTCGGGTATCTCAACGGTCTTGTGGGTAAGCTTAGCCGGCTTCCCCTCGGGGTCGTTGATGCGGGGGGATTCCGCGTGCTGAATAGCTGCTGCCATTGGTGTATGAGGGTCAAAATCTAGAGAAATCCTTGGATTGGACATGTTGGCGAAGACCACGGGAACACAAAAACCAAAACTATCAGAAGACTACCCCAAGGCCGTCGCAACACTAAATTGAAGAAAAAGACTCCTGGTAATGGTCGCCCCAAATAAAACTTGCGACCAAGAAAATATTTTCCAATCTTGGCAATTGCCCTCCATTTGCTTGGCAGGCCACACACATTCCCTCAAACGAAGCGCTCCAAACAAGGTAGCCTACAAATCGGCATAGTCCGAGCAACAGCCCGACCCGGGGAGCAAATCAGAGGGAAGGCCCCGGGTTGGCGCGACCACCAGCCCGTGGGTGGAGCCTCACTTGCCTCTTCCTGAGGCATTTGACCTGAGCCGAGATCACAATAAGGTAAATGTTTTGATCATCCCTGTGGGAAATATTGGGGGTCGGCATTTGTTGCCACTATCTTAGCTGATGAGTGTACTTTATCTTACATCTACCTTTCTGGATCCCTGCCGATCACGCATACATAGTCTGTTGGCGGCAAATGCTGCCGATGGATGCCATGCCATGTCTCGCGTTCTGGAATGTGGAGCTTCACGTTGCCGAGGTCCGATTTAATACAGGAGGCCGCAAGCCTACCGGTATTTCTTGCTCTCTTGGCTGATTCCAGAATTCTGACTCAAGGCACCTGAGTGTATGATGTGTATTATCACATATTATATTGCATTCCTAAGAGAACAGACCCAGTAAACCAATGGCATCCATCGTTCAGCCAGATACAAGATAGTTCACACGCGATAAAAGAAATGATTCGGTCCATTGGGATTGCGAGTCCTCTGTTTTAATCTTTGGATCCATGGCTAGTAGTGCTGTCGCTTGACGATCTTCGTTCAGCGGATGCTTTCTCTTTTCCAAGCCAGGGTGGCGGGAAAAAACTGTCATTGTCTTCGAAATAGAGATAATGGGTGACGTCCGACTTGGCAGGTGCTGTATTGGAGCTGCCGCGGTTCCGAGCAGGCGCCTCCTGCGAGTTGAGCCTGGCGGAGCTGCTTTGCAGGCTGGAGTACGCGGAAGACATGATGTCCCAGAGGACCACGAGGTCTTGGAAGATATTTTCTTGTTTTATTCAAACGAGCTTCGGAATCCAAGGGAAGAAAACCTTGGGAGTCTAGACGTAGTTGAGAACCAGCAGAGTGATTGATAACTCAAAGAGATTACGAAGTTGACGTCAAAAGTCCAGTATGCTTATTCTGTCATCTGATATCTGATACGACGCCACCCACCACGCGTGTTTGTGGTCATTGCACTTTGAGCAGATCTTTTGACGTCATCAAGGGTATCATGTTACTGGTGCGACCACCAGGGCCCATCAGATTGGAATCTATGAGAGATGTTTAAACTATAACCTAATATCTAGTTGTCCACTCCCGGAACAGAAGCTCTCTCTGACCCTGATCGAATCCACATGTGAAGCATGGGGACTGTTTTTAGATCTATTGCGGGATTGGCCGCGATCCCAGCAATCATTGCGCCGAGTTCGTCAGCAGCCGATGCCCATTGAGCAATGTTTCCCCGCTTACCCGCCTGACTGCCGCACCCCCACCGACCTTCATTTTGTCCTTGGTGAACTGTCTCTTCTCACACCTTCACAATCGTCAACATGAGCGATCGCTTCACACCCAAGGTCCCTGTCCAGTTAGATCCGCCCAAGGACGACCCAATCTCTAATGAAGAATTGGCTAAGTGCGACGGTAGGTCATCGTGGGACCTTAAGTCCATGTTTTCTGTGACGCCGTCGACTGACCTACGTTCTGCGACACACAGGCTCCGATCCCAGCCGTCCAACGCTGGTCGCTATCAAGGGCATTGTCTTCGATGTGACTCGGAACGCTGCCTATGGATCTAGTGGCCAATATCGCGGTAAGCCTCGAGAAATCTGCAACCAATCGGCGATCCCAGGAACGCGGGGTCGTCAATTCTGCGCAGGCAACGGATCTGACTTGACGATTCATCTAGTTTTCGCAGGCAAGGACTCCTCTCGCGCTCTGGCGTGCTCGTCGCTGAAGCCTGAGGACTGCGTTCCGGAATGGTCTGACTTGGAGGATAAGGAGAAGACTGTGCTAGACGAGTGGTTCACCTTCTTCAGTAAGCGATACAACATTGTCGGCAAGGTCGAGGGTGCGACCAACACTTAGGGCTTGTTTCTCTTAATATCGGATAAGGGAATTGCCAGAACCCAACGGTATCTACCTACCTTTACTTTCTGAGTAGGATCGATTGGATGAATTATACCCGCAACCGCAAGACTTGTACGAGAGGCTGACGATGATTATGATGTGTACGCGAGTCGAACTGATAATAACAATGCTTTTATATTTGCAACATGATGGTATCGGGCAAGCCAGCTCATTAGATACATAGCCTCCGAGATGGGGATGGTAACCGGTAGGCCATCGCCATCTCTCTATACATGAATGAAACGACGGGAAATCAAATAACAGACCCTCTTCACGCCTTACCCTTGCGGCCTCTCCGCTGCATGCGCTTCTTTGCGATGATGCGATTGCGTTTAGCGATTTTGTTTTCTTCCTCTGCATCTTCCTCGCCCTCTTCATCCTTGCCCTTGTTACCGCGCTTCCTCTTCTTGTCATTGGCATTCTTGTCATCCTTGTCCTCCCCATCTGCCTCTTCATCCTTCGGGCCCTCCTTCGCTTGTTCCCGGCGCTTGGCTTGGAGTTCATTACGGCGCTTGATCACTTGCGCGTTCTCGATAGCAAACTCAACAATCAGGCGCTTCTTCTTGTCCTTATCGACTTCTTCATTGTTGGCAGGAATGTCGATTGCGTGACCATTGAGCCAGCGAAGACTCATCAGTGCATGTCGGTGGGTGAAGTACTCGATAAATCCGTAGCCTCGACTGCGACCAGCTCCACTCTTCTCGGGAACTTTAGTACCCTCGCGGGTCTCGTAAACGACCATGGCTTGTCGCACAATACCCTGCTTCTTCGTCTTCCGTAGATGTTCGAGATCTTTCATATCTTCAGATGACCGAGCTTGTTCTTCCTTCGAAAGAGGCTGGCGCAGGCTGTTGCTGACATCAGTGGCAAAGCCAACAACGGCTTGTCGGGCAAGTTGCTTCAAGTCCTTCGATGTAATGTGGCGGGGAATGTTACGAATAGAGAGTCGAGTGAGACTGAGGTGCAGAGACGGGTTCTTCTTGATCAAAGCCTCTCGCTGTTTGAAACTGGCTTCACGTAGCTTGATTTCCGAGGGCGCCAGCTTCTTGTACATCGGGGTGTTCGAGGCAATGGTACCCTCAGACAGAAGGTAGAGGCGACGCTTATCTTTGTCGCGAACCAACCGGCGCGAGACACCTTCCTCCTCCAGCCGCGTAGCCTCGCGCTTGTTCACAGCCCGGGCAACTTGTAGGACACGTCCCTCCATGGTGTACTTTCCACTAGGATCGGCGTCCTCGTCTTGGAGGACGGAGTGCTTCAGGGCGGGTCGAGAGCGATCCTTGTCTGCAGTGGGCACCTCCGTGGTCTTGGGGGCGTTGCGGATACAAGTATTCGCATCATCGAGCTTCCAGAAACAAACGAATCCCGTGCCTCGGGGACGTTCGGTCTCGTGGTCGACAACAATTCGGGCGTAGCGAAGAGGTCCAAACTGGGTAAAGTGCTCGTAAAGTGACTCGTCGTTGCAGGTGAAAGGAAGGTTGCGAAGGAAGATCGTACAGGCTGTGCGATCATCTTCAACCTCTTCCTCCTCCTCTTCTTCTTCACCTTCTCCAGCCTCAACATCATCCAAATCGTCAAGGCCCTCTAGGTCGTCATCGGAGTCTGCATCGGAGGATGTGCCCTCGTTAGAGCCCTCCTCAGCCCCCTCTTTGTCTTTCATGTCCACATCCTCTGCCTCCTTCTCTTCCTCTTCCTCGCCATCTTTCTTAGCACTTTCCCATGCTTCCTTGTCCACAGCCCAATCAACAGCCAATTGACGGCCGTCGATCTCCTTCCCGTTCACAGATTGAAGAGCCTTCTCGGCATTTTTTTTGCCTCTGATGATAACGAAACCGAATCCTTGAAGCGTGTTCCCCTTCTTGGGTAGAGAGACGTGCTTAACCTTTCCGAAGCTACGGAAAAGCATTGCCAAGTCATCTGGCTCCTTGATGCTCCAGGGCAAGTTGCGGACGATCAGCTTGGGAGGCGCGTTTTGCGCTCTCTGATCCTCTCGATCTTGCTTTGACTTGAGAGCGGCGGCCGCGGGAACACTCTTTCCAAGTTTCTCATCAATTTCACGGTGACGCGGCTGGGCGTATTCGACTCGAATCTGCTTTCCATCAAAATCTGTTCCATTGAGTTCCTCCAAAGCGCTCTGGGCATCCTCGAGGTCGGCGAATGTGACGAAACCGAAGCCCTTGGATTGCTTGGTCTCTGGGTTCAGAACAACAGTAGCGTGCTTAATCACATAGGACTGAGAAAAACGCTCCGCCAGGCTTTCTGTCGTAGCTGAGGTAGGGAGCGATCGGACGAAGAGAGTTTTGTTGGGCTTCTTTGCGGCCGGCGCCTCCGAAGGAGTAGTCGTAGTTGTGTCCATAATTGTATCGATATCTTGGGAGGTTCCCTCTTCCGAGAGGCGTCGTTTTTTAATCGATTCAGCCATAATGAAAGTGCAGAGGCTGGTGAGATTTTCTGCAATCAGAGGAACAAAAAAATTGGCGGCAGAAAAACGGATTTGCGCCTTGGGCGGTGAAGATTGAACAGCGCCGGCCTCTGATAAGCCGCGGATGAGCTTTATCAGTACCACACCCCAGTTCCACCATGGACGCTCGATCAAGAGACGATTCGGAGGCTCAATCTCGGAGTGGGAGCAATTCCAATCCTCGCACTCCTAATCCCGGGATGTCCTCAACAATTCAACCAAAGGTTCAACAGCTGAAACCACAGGCTCTACCTAATAGGTCCGGGCCTTCTGCGATCCTCGTCTCCACGCGACAGAAGGGAAATCCAATTCTCAATCACATCAAACTTCTCCCATGGGAATATGCTGATATTGTAGCCGACTATATTGTCGGAACAACCACATGTGCCCTTTTCCTCTCCCTTAAATACCACCGCTTGCATCCAGAATACATATATTCGCGGATCAGACTCCTCGCGGGCAAATTCAATTTGCGAATCGTCCTAGTCATGGTAGATATTCCCAACCATGAGGATACACTTAAGGAGCTATCAAAGACATCGATTATCAACAACCTTACCCTAATGCTTTGCTGGTCTGCACCCGAAGCCGCACACTATCTTGAGCTCTTCAAGTCGTCCGAGCACGCCCAACCCACAGCCATTCGCACTCAGCAGGCACAATCCTATAAGGAGTCCCTGGTGGAATTTGTGACGACACCCAGAAGCATCAATAAATCGGATGCGGCGAGTCTGATCTCTACATTCGGAAGTCTCCAGAATGCGGTCAACGCGCAACCAGAACAAATCAGTTCTGTTCCTGGCTGGGGAGAAAGGAAGGTTCAACAATGGTGCAATGCCGTTAATGAGGATTTCAGGGTAGAATCAACGAAGAAAGCCTCAGCCACCACTTCAAAGCCTCAGCCCAGAGCACCGAAGCCATCTTTGCGAACAGGACACCAGGAAATGGACCAAGATGAAGAGATTCTGCGCTCTATTCTTGCTGAGAGTCGTACAGCAGACTCTACAGCCTCCATACCTACAGAGTCTGTTACCAAGGATCAGCCTTCGGAAGAAATGAGTGAGGGCATAACGGCAGCTCTGGCAAAACTGCGAGATACAGGTGGTTGAATGCGACATATGCAGACAACGTTTTGATATATGGATTTTGATTTGACGATATACCCAACACAAATATTCAAAGTCTTAAGAAAGATTGCATCCTGCTCCCTGACATTTCTCAACAACCATGACGATGTGCTGGAATTCTTCGATTCTGGAAGTCATTGTAGCCATGCTGAATCCTGGCTTAGATATTTCAGCTGATAACTAACCCTCTCAAGCTTCAATATAGGCAAGATATTGGAATGGCTTGGTAATTGTGACCAGGAACATGAATGTCACCCGCAATATATGACAATTCTGTGGCCTCTCTACTACCTACGGTCACTATAAAGGCCCCCATGCATATAATTATGCCCTGCTTTTTTTAGGTCTTTTATGCAGCCGAGGCATGCCCCTTAAAATTTCTCATTCTATGCATATCGTTGCAGCGAAGGAGATTATTCAGTGGGATTTCTACCTAAGCGGGAGCACGCGAGTAATCTCACTTCCAACATTGGCTTGTCCAGCTTAGCAGGGGTCTAGGCTAGACAATTTAATACACGGCTAATGTTTTTCGCTGCTTTTCGACGTCTATCAGAGACTTTTTTTAATATTGTTTGGACTTTTCATGGTCTGATAGTACTATAGTGACGCGTATCTCGGATGTAGCTCCAGTTAGTGGCGATCCCCACCTCCCCACCTCCCCACTGTAAGTGGGAAAGGTGTACTGGAAAACTAGCATTGATAGTATGCAGCGGCGGTATTTGAAGCAAAGACTTGAATTGGTGATGTTTCTTCCTTCCTTCGAAGACAGACAACAATTTTTCGAGGAATCTATTGCGATACTCTACATACATCAGCGAAAATGTCACCACTACTACACCCTTCAAGCTCAGACGAGGATGTGCCTATCCTGATCGTAGGCGGAGGACCATCTGGTCTTCTTTTGGCATTCATGCTCTCTCAACTAAATGGTCAGTTTACTCAGCACAACGGGTATGGTATTTAAACTGATAAGAATACCAGTTCGGTCTCTGGTCGTTGAGCGATATCCTACCAGACTGGCGGCTCCCAAAGCACACGCTCTTTCGCCCAGATCCCTCGAATTTTGCCGCCAGGCTGGGCTTGATGTGAATGAAATTCGCAGCATTGGCAGCCCTCGTGAAGAGGCACACTGGGTCAACTTCATCACTAGCTTGTCGGGGAAGCAAGTGGGTCGCCTGCCTTATGAACGCATGGATCCTGAGGTTTTGAAGGATACGCCGACAGTAAGACCCTGGTCTTGAATTTAGAAAGAAATTGTCAACTGATATTCCAAAGATGATTCATAATATTCCTCAGCCATCATTCGAAGAGATGATCGCCGAAAAGTTATCCCAGACTGATTTGGTTGAAGTTCGGAAGAATCATTCCTTCGTCAGCTTGAAGCAGGTATGATGTTGGAAGAACCGACAAGTGAGCATTATACTAAGGTTCTTGAAGGCAGACGGCTATGTCATCACAAGTATTGAGGATCGAGCTGCTAAGCATGAATACAAACTCAAATCTAGACATGTTGTCGCCTGTGATGGAGCCAAGAGTGCCGTTCGAAAGTACCTTGGCGTTGAGAGCGAGGGCGAAGAGACCTGTTCGTTGATCATGGGATCCCACCGCACATATATGTGATACTCACAGAAAATCCTAGGCGAAACTATGATGACGATCCATTTCAATGCTAATCTGATGCCAGTGCTCAAGGAGCGTGTCGGCATGCTCCACTGGGTTATGGACCCTATGGTATCTGGATTTATTATTGGCTATGATTTGACCGGGAATCAAGTGCTCATTTGCAATTTTGATGTCAGTGATAGGCTATTTCTCTCTCATGGTTCGTTTACCAATGCTCATTTTTGAAAAGCCTGAGAAACATCCCGTGGAGTCATGGAACGAAGAACACTGCCGTAAAGTGGTAGATGCGGCAATCGGTACGAAGGTTCCTTATGACATCCTTAGTTATCGTCCGTGGGTTTTGAGCCGTAAAGTCGCCTATTCCTATAGGGTTGGCCAGGTCTTCTTGTGAGTATCTCGTTTATTCAATCTCCATTACGACGTATTGGCTGACCTCTGAGCTCTGTTCCAGAGCCGGAGATGCCGCCCATTCTTTTCCGCCAACAGGCGGTCTTGGTCTGAATTCCGGGCTTGGAGATGTTCACAACCTTGCATACAAACTTGCAGCTGTTCACCATGGATGGGGTGGCGACATGTTGCTTGACACTTACCAAGCCGAGCGACGTCAAGTGGCCCTGGTCAACTCAAACCAGAGCGTCAAGAATGGAAAACAGATATTTGGTCTCCTTAAGGCCCTCGGTACTACGGATCCAGACGTGGATATTGCGAGAAAAAATCTCTACCGAAACATTCAGGATTCCGAAGCCATGGTTCAAATCAACAAAGGAATTGAGGGCCAGCGAGAGCACTTTGATAACCTCGGCCTACACATTGGATATGTGTACGGTGACAAGGAAATACCTCAAAATGTCTCCCGTTTTGAATCTCTGTGTGTTCCTGGCGCACGCCTTCCTCATGCCTGGATCAAAGTTGCCCCCGGGATACTCCAATTGCCTCCAATTGATTCCTCTTATGTGCTTGAGTTCTCGAAGAATCAGGTCCTGGAGAAACAGTTTTCCACCTTGGACCTGTGTAGCCTCGATTCTTTCACTTTGATCGTTGATGAGGCTAGTGCGTCTAAGGTCAAATCAATGGTAGTGAAGGTTGTTGAAGCTCTTCCACCGAAGGTCGCGAATCTTCTATCATTGCGAGTCTTGGTTCTTGGGCAGGACTTTACACTTCAACCTGGATCAGAGAACCAGCAGTGGGCGATGCTGATGGATTTGAAGGAACAAGCAATTCTTGTCCGCCCAGATCAGCATATACTAGCATGCCTTTCGATTGCATCCAAGCCTAAAGATCTTCTTGAACATCTCGAACAGCATCTGGCATGGTAAAATTGGAGAATACATGACATCAATGATGTAGTAAGAAAGTTTGATAGAAATATCGTCGTCCATGGAGTAATCTCCAAGAATTGTGCGTAGCAAATTTCATGGGCCATGGATCAATGACAAGCAATTTTCCAAAACTATACAGTCAGACTCGCTCATTTTAAATTTTGATGCCCGTCAAGTCAATCTATATAATTCATAACCGAAGGCCACGCATAATGCCCAGGTGGGACGGATAAACTTCCCCACCTTCTCATTCCCCCACGCCATCATCAATTAATGCCGGCTGTTCCGAGATCTATCGTTATTTATACCTGACTTTTTGTTTTCTACTCAGCAAAAACTCCCTTCAACAAGCGCCAACACCATATCTTACCAAAGTATATTGCAAATTATCCTCAATGACTCTGTCAAGCTTTCCGCCAGCGGGCCTTGCTTTGAAAGATGCCCGGCTCCTCCTCGATCATTCCTACCTTCCAATGGAGGCCGGTGTTGCCTTCACTGAAGACGGCATGTGTCAAATTGCTGCTTCTACCTATATGAAGGGCTCCACTGGAGACATGATAGACTGGTGGTTTGGATGGATTCACAACACAGATCAGTATAAGATCTGGCACCCCCGAGACCACGTCTTCTCCGACTGGGAAGGTCCACGCACGAATGATAGCAACTATATTGGTGGCCACCACCTGGTTCATGAGTACATTGGTGGCGAGCTTCATAAGCTGAAGATTTCCTTCAAATCCCCCAGCGAGTATTTTGGCAACAGCTGGGAAGCTGCGTTTAAAGAGGCCGGATACTCAACTGCAGTGTGTGGAAGAACAGGAGTTTGGAATGACGATACCGGGGAAGTTCTATATGTCGGCCATTTGATCCATTTAATCAAAAATGAGCCCGATGGTGTGAGAATGCGGTCGCGGTTTTGGCTTGGAGATGTGGATGGAATTACAGACCCGGAGGTGAGAAGGGCAAATGTATCTGAGGCTTTTGCCATGGGTCTATTACAGCACGCCACAGAAGAAATGGCCATCCTTGCTAGCGTTCTGCCAGATATGTACAACAAATATTCCAAGGGTGCACAGGGGAAGATATGATCAGAATATGCGCAGAGGAATGATCAGATAAATAATGAAGGTAGCCCGATTTTCAAGTTGGCTCAAAAGCTCGTAGCTCTTCTTTCACGCGCAATGACTGCGAGACGTGATATTAAATCTTCCATTTGAGCAGAAACACCCCATCTCGAGGCAACTGTCTTGAGAATGTGTTGTAAGGAGTTGATCTCGTCTAGCAGGTGAATAGGCACCATCGGGACTTTGTCATCGGGGTTTAACTTTCTCATGAGTTCTTCTAGGGCCAGTCCGTGATCTAATGATTCATGTTCATCATCAAGTTGGCTAGCCCATACGTCGGTCCACGTATAGTTCTCTGGGATTTCAATGATACTCTGCTTTAAAAGGCACATAGTAACGATCACCATAGCTGAGGTAAAGACGGCAGTAGGAATATGCATGGTATAGGCCTGATTTAGAGGCAGATCATCCAATAGCCGTGTGATGGATATTGCATGTAAAACTGCGCGGAAGGCGTCAGCCTTCTCTGCCCAATGGTTGACATCAAACTGCTCCAGTCGGCTCTTGGCATGGATTCCACCCAATGTTTGAGGGAGCTGGTAGCGATTGCACATCCATCGATAAATCGAGATTGAAGGAGCGGTCGCCTCAATGAAGATACAGTGCCACCTAATGAGAAGATGTAGATGATGGACACTCCTTGGCTGCGACATCGTTATAATATTTCCCTGGAATATATTAAGCATCGCTCGTACTACTTCCTGCCGAGAAACGGTCCCAAATACATGACCTCGAACCTCGTGAAGATCAGCAATCAAAGATTGTAACCCTTCAATAATAACGAAAATTGAGAACTGCGACAGATACGTTGGGTTTGTTGAGTATCCTGGAGAGCAGACACGGTAAAATGCTTCTGACATTGGCATTTGGACTCGTGATGACCGGGTGGTCTCAAGAATCCAAGCGTCAGCAGTTTTTGCAGCGAAGACAGTATCGGAGCAGGCTGTGTCAATACTGTTTATCAGATGTCGTGCACTCGCTGGAGAACCAGATGCTTGTGATATTAGGCCATCGAGAATATAATGACCAAGAATCACTCGGCGTTGAACCTCAGTCGCGGCCCATTTTCTCCAGACAGTATTTTTGTCGGCTTCCGGCATATCCAAGGTTGGTATTCCGTCCGCGAGAATGTCTTGTATCATGTACATGCCAGAGTTTCTAGCCCAGTAGAACCCCAGACCGTGAAACACGGATGCAGTGGTACGGACACTGGCGCTACTTGATAGAAGTGCATATGTCTGACCAAGAAGTGCTGTGAGGACCAATTGAATCCCATCACAGGCATCATATGGTCCTCTCATTCCAATCAGGGTCTGCCAGGATGTTGCGACAGCCATGTGGCCAAGTCGCCAGAGCATCTCGCCCTTCTCAACAGCACCTTTTTCGCAAACAAACAATGATCCCAAAGCAACCATATTCAACAAAAGCGTTGGTATTGATCTTTGCAGGGAAAACGTCTGTTCATGAATCACAGGGAACCCCGGGGCGACCCTTTTGAAATATTCATGTAGACAAACATCCAGAAAGCTGGACGTAAAAGCAGAGAGGTGAACATCCGAGTTGAGCTTTTTCGACAGGTCATCAATCAGTTTGTAAATCTGGTGAAGTGCCAGATTCCCAGGTCCCTGGTTTTCCTGCACGTCTAGGTGATCAGGAGTAGGGAGATTAAAAGCAAAGTTGAAAGTATCACTTATGGTTGAAGTTCCCGGTAAATCTAACAGTGGAAGTGGAACCAGTGATCCTCCATATGTGTCTGACATTAACCACTCCAGTAAATTGTCAGACTCGAACAATCCCTGGGGGTCTGGGAGGTTGGCCTGTGTGAGAGGGTCGGTCTGAGAAAGACAATCTGGCACAACACTAGAATGACCTTGTGCTATAGATTGATCTTGGCTATGCTGAAAGCCTCTATTATCTTGTCTTGCTGGTTGAAACTGCGAAGAACTTTGGCTTGCATGGAGTCTCATATGCCGTCCCAGTACATCTTGGCGCCCGAAGCTCTTCCCGCACCGGCGACATTGAAAGGGCTTCGAGTTAGAGTCTTCAAGCTTGTTAGTGGATTTCTGACCGGAAAGAATTGGCAGCGTCACACACGTGTTCTTTCATGCCGCTACAGATACCCCCGTTAGTTCAGTTTATTAAAGAACCAGTTCTGGATCTTATCGAGTAATCAAACGCACGTTGAGATGCTCTAGTTTCGTGTACCTTTTGGGACACTGGTGGCATTGGAATCGCCTGCTGGTTGCCATCTCTACCCCATGATTAGTTCGTAATTCCATTTTTGATGCCTCGCATTAACCGGCTTTGATGCGGAGTGAAGCAGTCAGTCAAGTGGGAAAGTGGGGGAATCCGAGGGTGGAGAAATTTGATTGCCGAGGGAATACAACAAATGCGGGCGGCGCATTGTCATCCGATCAAAATTGGCGACTCGCCAGTAAAATACGTTAGTCAATCAATACTCAAAACTTTTAGCTGAACAAAGATTAATTACCAGTAGCGAAAAACAGGTGACGGTAAGGCTACCGACTCGGGAAGCAAGCGGCTCCCTGATCACAACCTAGGCCAAACCCGGCGCATGCGCTGAGCGCACAAGACAACTTGTGAAAGCTGTTTGAGTTGCTGGGGGCTCGCGAAGAAATAATCAATCAGATCAACAATGCAGAGATTCATTATGAGAGAATAGGTGATGGTTCTGAGGGTGGTATTGACTTTTATACAACCGCGCACTGCGATACGTGATTATCCCTGCGTGTGAGATTGTGTCTGTTTTGGTATTGGTTGTAGATGTGGATATGCATGTGGTTATATCTGTGTCTAGAGGGAAGGTCGCGAGACGCTATGCTTCCGCGAGGAAGGGGAGTTTCCTGCGTAGTCGTGAGACGATTTTCATTAAGCGGGCTAATTCTTCGTATGGGGGGGAGGTGGTGTGGTGTTGGGCCGGGGGTGTTGCGGCGAGCAAATGCGCTGTAATTGCTACACAGAAAGTACCTGAGCAGTTTCTAACTCGATCACTCTATTCATAGTGAGAATTTAGAGGTCAAAAGTCAATTTGATTGATAAACATAGAGCAGGAAGGTAGAAGAGAGGAGACGATAGAGTTGATTGAGTTGGAAAGTGCAACCCAACCATGGTGAAAGTATCAAATTAAGTCTTTGTTGCAACCCCGATGTAGTCTTTCTTTTCCGGTCCCATTTTATTTGAAGAGAGGTGAGTTCATGCGAGTGTGAGGCTCTGAATATAAGCTAATGATTAAAAAGTTATATATGCATTTTTGCCTCTGCCCCTCCTTTACGCCTGCTTATCGTGAGTTATACTATTGGTAGCTTGCCTTTTATACAAACTAATATGAAACAACTTGAATAAAGTAAACAACCATCTGCCCCAGACCCTCTCAATCCTCACCAGCAACTCCAGTTAGTGCTAAAGTATACACGAATTAAGTGATGGTAAGCGAATACTAATCTTCTTAAGTTACCCTGCAAGTCTGCTTTCGCCTCTTACCTCCGAAGTATGCCGAAATCCAGCCATGTATCTGCACCACTACGACAAGCATTGATTGAATGCTTTCGAAAAAACACCTGCCTGGTCCGTCCTAAACTACGTCGTCAGGTCGTCCTCGTTGGCGGCGCTGCCAGCATTGCCCATAACTCGGTTTTATACACTGAGGACATGGATGTTGCGGCCCCGAGCGATGTCATCCAAGATATCTACAAAAGAGTGATAGACGGCACCCTCAATTTTTCTCTCGAGCCCGACGGCAATATTGCGTTCGATAGTAGCCAAGGTATTCGTGTCCGAGTCGACATCATCGAGATCGGAGACGCCATCAAAAAAATCCACGCAATAGAGCCTTTTTTCGAAGGCTCTGTCGCGTCCATGTCGGACTTGCTGAGGTTGAGGGCCGTGACGGTGGTTGAACGTGGGCGTGATGGAGAGGCTGATGACTTTCGATGGCTACTGGCGGAGGTGGCGAAGGCAGTACAACTTATCCCAGGGCTAAGCCAAGAAGAATTGGATTATGTGCGCGAAGCTGGGGGGTCATGTCTGGGGGGATTGGATCGTTTGGTTTTATATAGTATTCTACAGGAAGAGGATGGAAGAATCCTCTAATTTGTAGTTTTTCCTCTTACTTTTCCTTTGGTCAGATATGGTCTGTTTTGGAGGCACCTGGGTCCCTCTCTCTCTCTTTTTTCTTTTTTTCTTTTTTTCCTTCCTTCTTTTTCTACTAAAATACATTCTTGTATTCATGATTGTCTTAATATGAGTAGTAATAAGTGCAGTGAACAAGTATGTTTTATAACGTGATAAAGTACCAGTGCCCATACAATTCAATTCAAAGCTCAATTGACCTGATGCAGCCTACTAACTCGGAATGTCATGACTATGCAGGCGTTACCTCCGTTGGTACCCAGAGCCATGCAAACGACACATGTATAATGTAATAAATCAAATGGAGTCTGTCCGTAGCTATGCAAAAGAATATAATAAACCCAGCAAATCCATCATGGAACCCCACAATTTCATACTCACCCCCTGGACACTACTGCCAGCTCACAGTACTCCCTATGCGGCGTCATCCCATATAGCTCTGTGGCACTCACAAAAGCTCCAGGTCCTTCCATCTTGTTCAATCTGTGCTGATCCTCTCTGGTTATGCTTTTGTGGCTCCAATTTTCATTCGATATAACCAGCGTCTTCATGCCCTGTTTTGAGCCCCCGTCAGGACTTGATTTTTGACTGGCCGCAAGATCCACCGCTTCGTGTTCCACATCACAAATCTGGCCAAGAATGCTAATTTGATGCATGAATTCGGCCAAGTAGTGAATGGCCTGCGGGTGTGATATGATGGGATTGTACCAGTGCCTTCACTAATGCACTGCATAAGCCTGATCAGATCCACAGACGAGCTCATTCTAGTTTTTTATGACATAAAATTTTTCAGATCTCCCATCATCATGCTGGTGGGAGATCTAGCTCCACGATCCATGCTGGTTGTATTGGTAGAGCTTTCTCCCCTTCGATTGCAGCATTCACAAAAAGGGTCTGCAAGCCCATCTTGAGCGGGCTTGGATCAAAACAGCAATGGCTGGTGGAGAAAAGCCCCGTGGGAATTTTGGCCACCTTTTTCCGCATTGTAGATAATTTTTCTATTATCATGGACCTCTCGTTGTCGATATCAGTCAAATGCGAAGGCTTGACACTCGGTTTCTGGCGCCAAGTGATAAGCTTGGCTCCCCAGCCTTCATGGATGTGACCAAAGCAGTGCATACGAGGCCGAGCTCGGGCTATCGCTTCAAAAAGAAAAGGGCACCCTGCTCTCTCAGCAGAGTAAGTCATATCCATTACACCTTTCGGAGGACCATGGGTAATAGCAACATCGACATTATGAATTGAAAAATCATGACCGTGATCAGGGTGGTATTGGAATCCCCAATCACCTAGCGAGGGTGTGTATGGGCTGGCATAGACTCTCATAATTGCGCCATTCTCTAACCGAAATTCGTGAGTCCCTTCGTCAAGGAAAGTAATTCCAACTTCTCGGTCAAATAGCTTTCTCGCCTCGCCTTCGTAGCCATACGTCTGTTGGACCAGAGTGGGATCCAAAGGTGGTTTGACGTCAGCCACCTTTCTTTGAAAGGCAGAAATATCCATCGTGAAGTCATGGTTTCCAGCTATTGCAATTTTGAGCGGTGCGTTGATGGTATGGAGGAGGCGAATGGAAGCTTTGTATTCCTCAATCTTGGACTCTGCGGTCAGGTCTCCACAGTGGATGGCGGCGTCTACAGTATGATTCGGGTTATCCTTTGCAAACGTCTCGAGGCCATGTGTGTCGGAAATCACGAGAAACCGTGTTTTGACAGGGCGCTGGTGATCTGCCATCGTGAAGTGAAATATTGAATAATTTAAGCGATGTGAAGAAATTTGAAAAGGTCAGGAACAGGAACAAGTTTTGGTAAGTCAATTTTGAACTTGGATGCCGTAGCGGCAGCAAGGAGCGCGATCTCGCGTGTGAAGAGATGAATGGTAATAGTAAAGAGCTTGTATTGTGATGACAGGACGGGATGACTCAGACAGCACTTACGTGCAACATTGAAGTCTAAAGGACCCGCCATTACATGATCTAGCATCATCACTCCGTTAAGGAACTAGTACTACCTAGTGAACCAGGGATTCTCTCACGCAAACCTGCGAACGCACGCAGGATGAGATGGATCAACGAACAAGCTACTCACAAACCACACCACACCACGATGGGAGGAAGCAGATGCTGCTGCAGCGAAAGATGTGTAAGAATTGAATCTCTCTCTATCGGAGATGCGAAGCTATATCCTGTAAAGACTGTGTACTAGGAAAGATATCCTCCAATCAAAGGCCCTATCTCAAAACTAGCAAACCCCAAATACATCCGGAAAAGGCAATGTAACAAACTGACTGCTGGAAGAGCAGCCAAAGCGTGTCATTGGATGATCCGAGTTTTGGGCTGCTTCTCACGCCTGTTACTGATCCTGTTTGGCTGGACAGCCCAGTACGCGGTCCATATCGAAGTTCCGACTATCGCCACCTTCATCACCGGATAGACATTAGTTTTCATGCAGCCAGTCATATTGACCTATCTCTGGAACTTTTTCTCATCAAGAAGCGCCGCAGCTACCGGCAGGATCAATCTTATTCGATACTTGTCCACTGCGGGCGATACCGGCTTTGTGATGCCTCTGATTAACACCGTTGGGGCAGATGCTACTCTTACCATCTGTGCCGCTGCTCAAATTTTTCCTGGTTGGTCCTCAGATTCAGCGGAGATTTGCGGCCTCATGAAGAAGAACAGCCCAGTAGAAAGAGGCAAACTAGGTGTTTAAACGTGAAGCCTAACCTGATTCATCAAGCAAGGTGCGTTGGATTGGCACAGTCTAGAAACATCAAAAGCCAGGAACTCCTGACATAAGGTGTAGTTGAGCCATTACGACTATCTGGAATACAAAGATCGCACTAATCATCAAAATTAAACTATATTCTCCATGTAATGACTTCTATAGATATCGTAGGATAACGCGAAACGAAAGAACTCTGTCTTCGAGTACGGACTGGGTGCAAAATTTAGGTAATAGTAATGTTAAAAGAGTCTCCACTCGTAAAAATTTATACTTTTTATCTACCTGTGATATCAATTTTCGATCTTACTAGGCATTTGACCGTCCCACTGAGACTTGGCGGCATTGAAGAGCTTATCATTGGTCAGCATGTCCCAGCCTAGAAGAGACAGGCCCTTGCCAACAGTAATAGCTTCTTGGTGTGCTTCATCGGTACCGGCACAAGCAGTGAAGGAAGGATGATGTGGGTAAGAGCCTTCGGGTGTGGGGATGGCGAATGTTGAATGAAGTGTCGGAACAGCATAGCTAACATTTCCTGTGAGAACATTATTAGAGTCTATCTGTTTCGTATTGATTTATTGCGAGAATCTAGCACTTACCAACATCAGAGGAGCCGGTCAAGACTTTGTCGTACTTGGTAATGATGGTCTTCCCATAGCCTTCCATGTGCGTGGCATATCGCTCGCAAAGTGTATCATTTAAGACTATATCAGTGTAAAGTCCCTCTCTGGCAGAAAAATGCTGGTCAATATGCAAAAATACATCCTGATGTCTCGTGGCATGACTTACTCTTCAATTTTCACTGTACAACCGCTGGTGGTAGCCGCGCCTTCCATGCAACGGCGAACTTTCGTCATAAGTTTATTCAGCCCCTCCAAAGTCGGGCTTCTGACCTGCCAGTAAGACTTGGTATATGCTGGAATGATGTTGGCGACCTTTGGCACATCCAAGAATGCACCGTGGATTCGTTCATCAGGCAGGATGTGCTGCCTCAACGTAGAGACTCCGTTATATGCCATCACCAGTGCATCTAGTGCATTGACACCTTCCCACGGATTTCCCCCCGCGTGTGCATTTTTCCCGTAATACTCCACCCAAAGCTCCTTGCGGGCATTCATCAGGACTCCAGCAACACCGTCAGAGGGTGTTCCCACCATCTTTTTTGGCCCACCATGACTATTGGTCGTTAGCTTGCCACGGGCGCGCCAGGTTAGCAAAAACAACGGGAGAAACGTACGCCATTAAAGACACATCAACTTCCTTGTAAGCCCCAGCATCGAGCAATTTGGCCTTGCCTCCACCGTTCTCTTCTGCAGGTGTACCTAGCAACTGAATACGACCGCCAATCCCAAACTCTTTTTGCAGATGGCTTAATGCCAAGAATGCTGCAATACTGCTGGTAGCAATGAGGTTGTGCCCACAGGCATGTCCAATGTCAGGCAAGGCATCGTATTCCGCATTGAAGTTGACTAGGCGGCCTTCTGTGCCACTGATGCATTCGAAGCTGGTATCCACGCCGTAAGCATGTCGGGTTACTGTGAAGCCTTGGCTTTCAAGGAATTTGCAAATATTATCATGCGCTTGATGTTCTTCGTAGGCAAGCTCGGGGTTGGACCAAATCTGCATACATGTTGGTTAGTCGCTGTTTTTGATTTGCTTGCCAGAGAGAAGGGAGTTTCACGCTATGATTCAGTTCACGTAGTGGTTGAGCAACCCTTTTCTAGAGCAGCGTCGATACTCCTCCGGAGCTGAGTGTCTGACATGGTGATAGTTTGTACTTTAGTCATCTTGCTAGCTGTTCAAGAAGTGCTGCGTATTTATCAAATTTGCGAAGTGCCCGGGTAACTGAAATATGTATCTCTGTATTGATCTCATGCGAACTCGTGGATTATTATAGAAGCAACCAGCTGTGAACTGACCTGACCGAGTGTCAATTGTGTTCGGAAGACACGGCAACACACATACGACACCAGTGATAAGATTTCGCGACATGAGTCCGCATAAGAATTGTGCCCAAGAATTGTACCCAATAATTGAAACTTTCTTTTCGTTCCGTGACTACAAAATACCCGTAACAAGAAGCCCCGGCTAATGTGCGGAACCGAGAACCAAGTCTTTGGGTAGATTTCCCCGCTGGTTTAGGTTCGCCCTCGCGTTGCCAGGCCATCTAATCATTTTAAAGCTCGGCTACGTTCAAAGGCGTATCTTGAAAGGCAGAGAGACACCTTTCATTCCAGTGTCTCGTTTCCTGTCAATAGGCTTTTTATCATGGCACTGGCCAGAAGCAATGATCTCTCAGAAACATAGGTCTTTCAATGCCCCCTGTATCTTTCAATATCGATTAATTGTTGGTAGTGAGTCAATATCGCTTTTGAATATTTTTACAGCAATTAATTATCCTTGACACTACTTCTATGTTCATAACGTTATCGTTATCCACGAGACGGCATAAGATAACAAGGACCAATACCAACGCAGCGATCAAGTTGCCAGATTGCCGACCTTTGGACGAAGACCAATCACCGTCATTATTCTTGCCGAGCAGCCATCACCCAAATGGTGCTCTTGCCGAGTTGACGCCTCCTACTCCCTCGGCACTCTGAACCTCCCGCTCTCAGACTTTCCGCGGGAAATTAGGCTTTCATCGGATAGAAATCATGAGTCTAGAAAATTGCGGGGGCTTTTCCTATCCAGAAATTCATCTACCAGACATGATTCGTGTCTGACACATGTCTTATGACTATCATGATTCCAAAGGTTGTCGCGTATTTGCTCTCGCTAATCGACGTCTTCTGATAATGAGTTTCCAGATAAGATGATATCGGCATTAGGAATGGGTGTTTGGCCAAAATCCAATGAATATTGCAGTATAAAAGACTCACCCTGGGCTACAGACGATAGATTCGGTGAGAGATTATATCGGAGTCAATTGATTCAATTCTTTTGGTCTTCAAGTATGCAGAAACTTCAACAAAGCCCCCCTCTCTATAATGAGAAAGGACCATACGTTGAAAATAAAACAGACCAGGAGGCTGGTACTGGGGAACTCTTGGAGTACCAGGTATCCCCTGAACAAGAGCGCCGATTATTAAGAAAACTGGATCTCTTGTGAGCATCAGCGGAAATGGGAGCCTGTTGATATCTTGAGAATATGTTGAAACTTACTGATTTCTATTCTGAAGCATGATTCCGACTATGGGGATATGTTACATGCTACAATACATGGATAAGCTGGCTCTTAGCCAAGCAACACTCTTGAACTTGCGATCAGACCTTGTGAGCATATCTTCATAGCATCCAAGGCACGTACGCTGCCATTCGATCAAATTCTCATTACTTGACAAGCATCTTGCAGGCTCACAGTACACATGGTGCTCTGCAATATTTTATTTTGGATACCTAGTTTGGAGCTGGCCCACCTCATACCTGATTGTTCGCCTTCCATTGGGAAAATACTTGGCAGTTTCAGTGCAAGTTTTTCAGATATCACCAGAATATTGAATTTACAACCTAATGCGAATAGTTTTATAGATTCTTGTGGGGCGGTATTTTGATGTGTCATGCGGCTTGTCAGAACTTCGCTGGACTGATCACTGCACGATTTTTCCTCGGAGTTGGTGAAGCTGCTGTCGCGCCTGGATTTGGCTTGATCACTGGAATGTTTTATAAGCGTGAAGAGCAGCCATCACGGTATCAACCTACTGCATTAACCGAGATAGCACAAGTGAAGCTAACATTTATTTTTTTTGCGCAGTCAAGGTGCATGGTTTGTTGGTAACTGTATCGCCAACATAATAGGTGGCGTAGTTGCCTATGGAATTGGCCACTCTGCTTCGAGCCTACAGAGCTGGCGTCTTTTATTCCTTGCCCTGGGTGCCATAACTTCTGGTTATGCTGTGTTTCTCTTTTTCGTTCTCCCCGATTCGCCCGCTACTGCTTCTTTCCTCACACCCTCGGAGCGAACTCTTGCAATGCATCGAACACTGACAAATAAAACTGGTGCTTCTCAGTCCACGCCATTTCAGTGGAGTCAGGTCGTGGATGCGGCAAAGGATCCTCAGGCATGGCTTTTGGTGATATACACTTTTTGCGTGAATCTTGCCAATGGTGGACTGACTAGCGTATGTTGATATTGTTGACTCCTTAGCCCTCCGGTCATTTTATCTGGCTCTAACATCTTGATAGTTCGGTGCCATTATTGTCGAAGGATTTGGTTTCTCTGCTTTCAAATCATTGCTGATCCAGATGCCAATGGGCTTTTCCCAACTGGTCTTCCTCATTATTACGGCAACTATCGCGACATACGTTTCCTCAGCTCGAATCCCCGGAATGATGCTAAATGTCGTTGTATCTGTAATTGGCACGGTCATGATATACACTCTCGATGATGTCCATAAAGTTGCAAAGATGGTGGGGCTGTGCTTCGTCGCAGCGTTTGCTGTCAACATCCCCCTTGCCTTAAGTATCGTCAGTTCAAATGTTGCCGGTGTTACGAAAAGAAGTACGGTCAGCGTTTCTATCTTCGCTGCGTACTGTATAGGAAATATTGTGGGTCCACAATTCTTCTTGGCTTCAGAGGAGCCCGTCTATGGCGTACGTACATCTCTCTTGTCATTTCAAGACCATATGACTAACAATTTTTTAGACCGGTATCCGTGCTTCGCTTTGCGGACTTGCGTTAGGTATTTTTTTTCTAGTTTTACTTCTCATATTCTATATTTATGAGAACAAAAGACGAGACGCTAAACAGAGCCCGATGGACTTTTCTGATCCCCACGATCTTGTTGCGGAACAAACGAACAAGACGGACCGGCAGATTCTTAGGTTTCGTTATGCTCTTTAGTCGGAATCTTTAGTGGATGTAAAGAGCAAATTTCAGTCTTTTTTTTCCTATTTTACAAGAAATCGGTTGATACTGCGTCAGTCACTTAGAGTCTTCGATAACCAGAAACAATTCAGGACTTCAGAGGCGGGTCAAGTCCGAATTAAGCAACGGACGTACGTAAAAACAGATAAAGTTGACATTTGCGTTTTTCCAATATCTGCCTCTCGCTCCCACATCACGAGTCTAGGTAAAAGTGTCGGGATTTGGTTATGATGGCGAGCACCTGGGAAAGTGCCGGGGGCTCTAGAGGAAACTTCCATCGAAAAATTCAACCACAAGCCTGAGCGTCTTTGACTCGAACTGCTGTGATTCCGCGATCACCGTAAACGATATGAATTCCTGTGAGAGGATCCTCCCTGAGCCATGGTGAAGTGTTTTCCGTTTGGTGCCAATGGTAGAGGGCCTCGTTTACCCCAGCTCGCTGTGTATGAATCTTCAATCCATGGTCTGTTCATACAGTGCACCCTGAAACAATATGTCTAACGAAGCAGCGTAAGAAGGCAGCATCTTATGACCTGATGTAAAAGCCTTGAAAGTGCAAGTGTGACGAATGCCCAAAGCATGGCTATCAAGAAGATGTGAACCGAATAGGCCGAGAGATCAGCTTTTAAATAGAAAGACGCGAGACTGGAGACCAAGGCCAGGCAGAAACGTATCGACATTTCTCCGCTGGCCTATGTCCAGACTCTTTGGGAGGCATTTTCTAAAGATGCGCAATGGGAATGGAATGTGAGATGCTGTAGGGTTCGGCCGAAAGCCAGAGGGTTTTGGGTGTTTATATGCTGTCAGGACACCCTTTCTGCTTCAAATACCTCCTACATAATTTTTTGGAGTCTTGATGAATGATGTGGAGCTCAATTTTGAGAATTTCCAGTTATATTAAGTACTGTTCAATATCTTCGGTCAAAAGTTGCCTCACATTCTCCTCAAAGTCGTGGCTGGAGACAGTAATATACCAACGTGAACGGTTCAGACTCGAACCCCTCCTAAGAAAGGGAGAAATCGAGTTGGGCTCACTGATGACGTTCTCTGTAATCTATTGGATGATAAAAGGAATGCAGCAAGGGGCCTGGTGCTGTTGCTGTCTAGAAGCACACACTGTTCCCAGCCGATCAGCCACCATCCGATGGCTTTGGGTGGCGTAGGGCGTAAACCGCCCAAATTGCACCGCTGAGCATATTAATCCACAATTAGCAGCAGCTTGGTGGGCTCTACGCCGACTTACCGAGCAAGAAGACCTCCCAGCTCCGATGCCCCCAGCCGTTGGCAAGAAGGGCCCTAGCGCATCTGTTGACCCATAACGCCCCATAGCAATCGTCATGGGGGGCTTTGTTGTCGTTTTCATGGACGAAATAATGGTTCACATATCATTGACCACCCTTTGAATAACTCCTGCTTCCATGAAATACCAGTAATTGAAAATCCGGGACCGAACCAGCGGACCTTCGGTCGTATTCACGGTGTCCAATTAAATCTGTATACGGATAACCTCTCCATAGAAGCCACCTATATCTATCCAAGAATACCTACGATATTATACCCCTTGGACGTGTTCAATCTAGAATAACGGGGTCGGTGAGGCCTAGTACCAGCTGCAACGCCTGGCAATTTCTCTCGGGAGTGTCGATTTCAGCGGAATTCCTCTCCGTATCTAATTCTTGTTAGAAGAGATGTCAGAAATGAAGAGCTCCCAGTGCTTCTTAACTGGCCGTCCGATCTGCTGGGCTTTCTTGCGAGGCTTCACCTAGGTGCCTATCTTATATAATATAGAGCTGGCTTGTGGAGGACTCCTGCTGCATTGAAACTTGCTCCAGGTAGGCTGCGACAGTGTCTGGATTTGGCGACATATATGACAAAGGTATCATCTCCATGATGAGTGTGGGTCTCCGCTTGTATTGCTGGCATCTTCCTTCCGACAGGTGATTCTCACCCTATCTATCGCGCTCGTACTCACCCAAATCGCGCGACGCTGAAGCAGCGGTTTGTGCTTTACCAAGTTTTCCAGAATCATTAGATCCTAATTACTTCCATTATAAGTACATACGACCATAGGGTGTGGAGAACAGGGCTTCCCGTCCGCTCAGCCGTACTTAAGCCACACGCCGGCAGGTTAGTAGTTGGGTGGGTGACCACCAGCGAATCCCTGCTGTTGTATGTTTTTGTTTTTTTGCCAAACCTAAGAGAGCTGTTGCTGGTGTAAACTGAGTAGCGTCGGCAAGGGCAGCCAGCTTCTTTGGCGGTCATATTTGGCAGGTTCGCGCGTCGGGATCATCGGAATTTGATAGGAACTGTGGTCGTTCGCTATCGAAGCGAAGAGTGTTCATAGTAAATCACATACCTTTGAACATCAGCCCTGAACGTTATTTTTATAAAAAGGCCCTGTACAAGATCCGGTTATTCACACTGGTGGAGTAATGGGTGGGGGCGTGATGATCAGGGATGATATTAATCTGCAACTGGTCGTAAATAGGATCGTGATAGTATTTACTGCAGTTCATATATTTATCTTCGTATTATCAGGGTCTGGATAGCCAAGGAACTCCTACATAGTTTCTATTGTATATGAACTGAATCAAGATAACTCAATCACTTGAGGCAGATTTCAGGTAACAAAGTTAGGTGAATATGGTCGACTTATTGATTTCAAAGGATTCTAGATAGACTAAGAGGCCGTCATTTTTCCTTATAGGTTTTCTCTTCACAGTTAATTAAAGAATAAGAGCGTACAACATAGGCAATTGGCAATTCGAAATCAAGGGTACAGCGAGATTATGATTCCCCGTAGTCACGTTTAGTCATCACGAACTTTGCTAAGCTATTCGAATAAACCCGTTAGCTGGCATTTGTGGTCAAATATGAGGTCGCGTTATCCCTAGTTACTTTCTTCCCAAGGTCTATACCAGGTTTCCAATGTTCAGCCTACCACGCTTATTCCAGCGCCCTACATCTCCAGTGCGGCAATTTTCTCAAACAAATTTCCCTCTCCTCTATTCATCTGAAAAGCTTGAGGAAGAGACACTCCCATGGTACACGGAAGATGGGTTTTACCCCGTTAAATTGGCGAAGTGTTCAACTTTAGATATCAAGTAATTAGAAAACTAGGGTATGGTGGATATTCCACCGTTTGACTTTGCAGGGATCTTCAGTTCGTCTACCCAACCTTAACACAGGATACTATGAGAACTGATTCTATAATAGGCAGCATATTTAATAGAAGCCTACAGCCATTTAAATAAGCTCGGCGTATACCATGACGATGCTGTGCTTATATGTACAGCGCTAGATAGCTTCCAAATAGCTTCGGCAGAAGGAATCTATCGGTGTCTTGTTCATCCACCCTTGAGAATCAGCTTATATAATTTGCAGAATCAATTCAAGGCTCAAATACTTCCCGAAAAGCTACTCAAAACGACTCTATTACATATCCTTCTTGCCCTTGATTTTCTTCGTACAGAGGCTAGAGTCGTCCATACAGGTATGATTCTCCACTATACTTTTCAATAAGAGTTTCTAAATCTCTTCAATAGATATTCAATAAAAGAATATTCTACTCGGTATTGAAGACACCTCAATCTTAGACAATTTCGAAGAGGAAAAGAACTTCACTGGTGTGACTATGCGGCTCTGGGTGGTATCGACGGGCACGCTGCTGCAGGCTTGGATTGCCAGGGGTCAATAATTTCCATGAGGTTCTCTCAGGATGATTCGTGTTTAATGGTCAACCTGGGTACTCTTTTAATCTATTCTGGTATTGCAAGGTCCAAGTCTGTTTCGCCTTATACGGTGCCAAAAATAGTCACCAATTACGGGCAGAAGGTTACTGTACGTAACTGCAGGTAACTTTGGACGGCAATGAGGCCCTCTGGCTTCCTTCCGAGGTTCGACCTAAATGTTCTGTAAGTTATAGCAACTTTCTTGTCCTAAAAGATGCATCAAAGATGCATCAGGAAGAAAACATTTCATTGGAAATAGAAAATTCTGAACCTGTCTACACCTGACGCCATCCTCAGCGCCAAACTCAACCTGGACTAAAGAGATCGAAGTCAAGAAGTCTACATGATGAAGCTCTTACACCATGGAAAAATCGTCAAGAGCCATAATATAATAGTATAGAGATAGATCTCGCTAGGGGTGTAATAGGGATACCCACCCTATTTCTAGACGCTATTTTTGGTATGGTAAATCGGGTAACCCCAAAACCGATGTCCGTAACGCACTAGGAATCAGTGAAGAAAGGAAACCCAGTGTTTTCTGACGGACATTTTTGAGAAACTGTTCTTTTTCCAAACAATTCAAACTTCTCAAATTTCAACGTTGATTGAGCGAAATGTTTCTCAACTGGCCTTTTTACTTGACGCTCTAGAATGTATATCGATATGAGTAGACAAAAAAACTTCTACGATTTCAAAGACGTGACATGGTAAGAAAACAGCCCATGAACTCTCGGTGCCGGAAATGTGGTCCCGAAAGGTTCAATAGTGAGTCCAAGTAAATCCACCTGGAGGTCATTTGGCTCCTGCCACAGGATTTCTGGCAATACGGGTCCTCGGTTTCCAGAGATGATGGGTACTAACCCCTCACATGTATTCCATGTGCTGTTCACAAAGAATTAGCGGCTCGGAAACAGGTTCACCCCCACTTACCATAAAACCGGGCGTCATAGTATCAAATCAAGGCCCTCTAATGTATATAAAACCCAACCTCTGCCTCGCAAGGTTAGGAACATCAAAAGTTTCTAATTCCGTGTCTTTTATTCTCCTCAGCGCACATCTGGTCATGGCTCCGCAATTATCTCTCGGGGGGTTCCTGAAATACATCGAGGCATTCAATGCCAGAGACTACAAGGCTCAACATGACTTCTACCACAAGGATGTGACTCTTGTAATTCCCGATCCGGAAATCGGCACTCTGATCGGATCAAAGGGTATCATGGATCACTATGCCGTGGTTCATGCAGATGCTCGCGAGACGGTCGTGCCAATGTGTGTCATGATGGATGACAAGCGAATCTTCTTCAACATGGAGGCCTATTTCTATTATCTCAGAACGACCGACAAGGCAGTCCACAGCCACAAAGTCAACCCAGGTGACGTGATTCGAGTGAAGGTCTGGGCAATCTACGATATGGTAGATGGCAAAATGCATCGGATTACCTGCAATGCTCTTGGCGACGAGCTGTTGGGTCAGGTTAATGTCAATGACCTGATCAAGGAGAGCTGGAGTCGTGTCGATGATGATATTAAAGCGAATTGGGGTCCCAAGTCTTTCCTGTGAGCCAGATCGTGTTATGTTGTTTGTTGCGGCTTCTTTCTAGAAACAAAATCGACATTTATTACTATCTGGATATTTGTAAATCAGATATCAGACTCATACAGGAAATTGGATCCGCACTCGGATTTGTCAACCATTTGTCAGAGAGAAAGAAGAAGAATAGGTCAGAAATAACAATATGAATATGCTTCTTCTTTACGGTCAATTTCCTGAATAAGAATTGTGTTTTTCATTAAGTCTTGCATGTATTCAAATAGATATCGCGAGTGATAAAACAGATAAGCCAGTTAGATGCGATCAATAGGTTATTCAAATCATACATTTTTCCGGCACTCCAAATCATTCGATCATCCCTGAGAACAGGATATTGAACCGGATCTAGTCTACGTGAGATACGAATGGCCAGGGAGACCGGATTTACTCTGCTTTGACAACCTCATCCATCAGTGAATGGCAGCCTCAACTCATACAAAATTCCATCGACACAGATGGAGTACTTGTTACAAACTGCGACCTTATTGGTCCTTCCTTAGACTTGGAACTTTCTTTGTCAAATTTAACGACCAATTCAAATGCATCCATTGGGTATTATTGTCTGGATCTCTAACCACATTTGAGAACAAGCATAAGGAATGAAAAAAAGGCAAAAACAAGGCAGCAAAAGATAAAAAGCCCGAGACCTCCAACCCAGGTCGATAAAGACGTGAGAATGTAAGCAGAAAATAGGATGCAGAAATCGACAAACGCAGGGATATAAAGTGACCTGGCGAGGGGGCACGGACCAAAGTGCCAGGACGAACGTTGGAAATCACAGATCATCATTAGTCGAGCACTTTATTTCATCAGAGCAGAGTAGTGGTTTTTTCCCCTCTCCCTATATCTCCTTGCAGAGAAGGGCATGAAGCGCAGGTGGAGGGAGAAATAGACAAGCAGACATCACGGCATGTCAGTAAATACGGGAGTCGAAGTGAATTCGTCAGAATGCGCCAGGGCAGAGAGAAAAGAAAGAAGAAAGAAGAAAAGGATGAACGAAGCACATCCATACTGAGGGCTAGGTGGGCTTGTCACATCCGATTCGGCCCAGCAGGGCCTTCCGATCACTCTGATCGAAGGGAACACGACCACGACCACGAGCGCGCATTGAAGCCGCACCATTTGAAGTGCGGCGGTCAAGCCCGGGAGCGGTCTCATTGACGACAGGAGCAGCGCTAACGCCATCCTTTGCGGCCAGCCGCACGGAACCGTTAGTAGTAGCTTGGCCGTTCACTTCGACCTCGTCCTCCTCATCGCTGCGAGTATCCTCTGCGTTGCCGTGGGCAATGACGCCGTAAGCGACACGGACAATCATGGTGAACCAAACAATGGATAGGATTTGTATGGACAGTAGGAACGAGAGGAAGATCCACTTGATGGTACGGTTCATGCAGATAGGGTTCTCCAAGCCGCGAAACGGCGCGAACAAGTAGGCAAAAGCATCGGGGTAACCATCGGTGCTGATCATTTCAGCTGTGGTGCCCGAGTAGCAGCCATACGACATATTGGCAGGCACGTTCTTGTAAATCGACCACCAGAGCATGTTGTACAGAATGTGGCGGGTGACGAACCAAGTGGCCATGAAAACACCGAAGGCCACATTGCAGGCATTCTGAAATTTCAGGTACTTCAAAACCTTGGCTGACTGTGGGATGAGATTAGCGAATGGCTTTCTTTTCGCGAAGCAAGTTGTCAAAACGTACAGGAAGGAGGACGTCGACAATGTCCATAAGGCACAGCACCACGTTGGAAACGTTGTAAAAGCCATAGATATAAGCCGAGCTCAAAAGAGTGCTGGTAATGACGTGGTGGGTCAACATCTGATAGTGATCCTTCCGCTTCTCCTCGACGTGAATGACGAAGATCTGTTGAAGGAGGAAAGCCAGCTCCACCAGTAGATACCACTTCATCAATCCGGAGAGGGAGCGCGCGGGCCATTCATTCCAGATAGCACCAAAATTCATCCAGTAATTGGAGTTCTTCCACAAATACTAGAAAGCGCAAGGCAGAAAGCCATGGTCAGCCTAGGTGCTATTTTTGGCACTTGCTCTTTTTCCCAAAAAGAACATACCAGTCCAACAATCCAGATAAATCCATAGTATAGAACCTGCCAGCCCTGTTCGGCGAGGCGGAGCGCTGCCTTTCGTTTCAGTCCCAATTTGCGACCCAATGGTTGGAGGATCCATTCAATGACCGTCGCGCGAATCGCCGTCAAGGCCAATGCGGCACTTATGACGAAGTAGACATCATCCCAGCCCTGGACGTAGGAATTGGAGGCGGGATCGTAGTAGGAGAGTTCGAAAAAGGGCTGCGTATAGGGGCGCAGGGACGGGTAGAGGTTATGGAGAGCCAACAACATAGCCAAAATGGTCATGGAGATACCTGTAGCGAGGCGATGCCAAGAAATGTTAGTGATGCAAAAGAACCTTGGAGCTGCCGAAGTGCTCAACAAAAAGAAAAAGCGACAATGCCCTGAGATGAAACATCCTTCGAGGCTTCGGGGAGGGTGTGCCTGGCTCGCATTTCGTACCGATCTGGTTGGTGACCACCCACTCCCGGAACGTGGTCTCCTTGGCCGGCCGCGGGCCACTCGAACTGGAAACATAGACATTGAGCTCCGGCGCCGACTGGGAAAGCGGCACAGAAGACTCTTTGGCCATGACGAGGGCAGTTCCAAGAGAGCGGTTGAGGAGGGCAGGGGGAAGGCTCTTTTTCTTGGTTTGCTGAAGCGAAGGAGTTGCGCCGGGGAAGGGAAAAAGAACGAGAGCGATTCGGCACTAAATTAGAGGGAGCGGGATGGGTCTGGAAGCCTCATAGGCGGGTCCACCACGCGGTCGTTTAAGAGCGGAGAGAAGGTGTGACAGGATTCGGAGATCCAGAAACGAGAGGAGGAGCGATCAATTTAGGAGAGGATTGCCAGAATCCGCGAGGTCGTGGGGAGGAGGGGGAGGGGAGTCGAGAAAGACAGAATTGAGGGGGGTTGAGAAGCTCGTTTCATGGCCCTCAACACATGATGATCGACGCTCCACACCGCCTCATCGAATGGGCGGTTGGCTATTGGAGCGACGCATGGAATACACTTCTGTTTGCGATGCGGGGCTTGACGGCTACGATCGATTGAGCTGATATACGCGAGAAGGGCCGTCTGAGTGGATGAACGTATGCAATGTATAAGGATGTATGGAAAGATATGAATGGCCCGCGGGTTGGCAGGGTTTGTTTTGTATACACTACGGGACCCCCGGGACCAACCAAACCTGGTCTCAGTCCAGGCCCTCCGTCACCCCACGCACAAATTGCCGTGCCTTGAGTCCCAATTGTGCCGTATTAATGCTTCCTTCGCCAGCTATCGCCTGCGATATGGCTCGAGCCACCTCTTCGTCTTCCCAGATGTTGTTAGTCATATCGTATCCTCCCGTTGCATGGATCTCCGCACCCACGTCACCACGCCGGGTCGGATTCTCCATAGCCGCGACGGTCTGCCAATACAGATCGTCACGCGCCTTCAGCTGCCTGTCCCTGAGCACCGCATTGCGGGTCACACTCGCCACTTGAAGCTTTTCGTTGATACTGATCGACCTCGCTAGGACGGCTCTCATGCCCTGATCCAACTGTTCCAGCGGGGGCGGCGGCTTGTAGAAGAGCCGATTGGTAGAAGAAAGGTAGATAATTGCCGCACATATGGCGTCACAGAGCATAAATACCAGCCACCGCGCCCGCGTCAGACGGTCATAGAGGCTCATGGGAGGCACCAAGCCATCGCGCACGGCGGGCGGGCTGACCGCGTCGTAGGAAATCACCACGCAGAGGTCGAGAGCCATCAGTGCCATGCCAGCGAGAATAAATTGAATGCGCCAGCGGGCACACTCCCGACCTGCGATCTCAGAGGACGTGGCCGTACCTAGGATCAAGAGATGACCCAGATGTGGCAGAAACACGTGGAACGGCAGGTAGTAGAGGAGATAGGTCCTGAGACTGCCGAGCGAACACCATTGGCATGATACCAGGGCATCAGGGCCAAAGGTCAGGTACACTTTGCGGGAACCAAGGGAGGTCAGCTTGTCTTTGAGCAGCCCGTCGGCGTCGGTTAAGACCTCGCCAGGCCGGAGCTTTGCCAGTCGGTTGAAGATCACATCGGCCGGGGTATGGATGCGCGAGCGGGTCAAAGCGAAGATGTTTGGCTCCGACGCCTGAGGACCGAAAGGCAGGCTGAGGAGGAGAAAGAAGACGACACTGGCGAACAAGAGGTTTAACGCTCGACCGGCGGCGGCGGGAACAGGGCGCCGAGGAGCGCTCGTGACGGATTTGCGGGCGCCGGAAATTGTAGAGAGCAGACGAGGAAGACCGCGAGCTGCGACTAGGATGAGGAGAAATCGGACTCTGGTTACGAATGGGGTTAAAACCGTGAAGGGCGACGGAAGAGGCCACAAAGACTTACAAACTCCAGGCGGGTGAGTCTTCCGAGTCTCCAGCCATGGTGGTAGCCGGTAGACAAGAATCACTTCATCTGAGGAGAAGAAGAATTGAGGGAGAGAGGATGTCCCCGGGACAAAGGGACCCAGGTGAGGGGGGGAAAGAAGTAGCAAAGAAAGCAATTGTCAAAGGGGCCAGAAGCCATTCTGTGTTGGCGCTTGCTGGAGCGCGCGTTTGTGGGGGAAAGCGGGCGGTGGACGGAGTTATCGCCCCCCGAAGTATATATCCCAATTCCCGCTCGAAAGTGGGACTACAACACCATCCAGGAACACACTCGCGCTGCTCTTCTGAACAATCTCGATATTCCGAATAGAACAGACACTGTCGGGTATGAGCCTACATTTTTGCACTACAAGTTTCGGATCAGTCCATCGAATATAACTCGCCGCTTAACCATTGGGGATATCTCATTGCAAAAATGCATCACAGAACGCCGGCTAATAGAAAACAGGGAACAACAAGAACGAAGAGAAGAAAAGAAAGAAGGCTCGGATGGAATACAGAGATCTTCAATCTGCATCCCGGGAACGCTTCCCCCAGTCCAGAGAACAAAAGAACAAACGCCGCCTGTCCAAGTGCCCCGTCACCTCAAGAGCCTTGCCTGATATCCAACCCGAAGCCTAGACCTGCGAGTGCATCGCTGGATGATAGGCCAAGTCTGGAGCCCGGATGCCGGAGTCACGCGAGTAATAGGACGATGCCGCATCGTTTACATTGGCGTGTGCGTTCGGATCCAGATTACTGTTGCCGTTATTGTGGTTGATGGGGGAGGAGATCTTGAGTGGGAAGCGGCTGAAGCGTTTGGTCATGCGCTTGAGGGGATTCTGAGACTGCTGCTGGGTATAGGACGGGAGCGAGTCTTCACGCTTGGCACTTAGTTGCAAAGACCGGTAGCTACTGGTCCGACTCACCAGCTCTTTTGGAGCCTGGGCCCCATATTGCCGGACATGACGAGCGCTGATGGCGCCGCCATCGGTGTGGTAAGAGAAGATGAAGGTCTGCGTTCAAGGATATGTAAGTGGGTGTCATTTGGAGGGGGCCAGAGGGGACGAGAGGACTTACTGCCAGCAAATTAACCACGCTCATGACCATGGCCAGGATCCCGGCAGAAATGACGATCTGCCAAAATGACATTCCAAGGGACTTCTGACTCATGGCTGCCATATTCAGGTTTCCTAGCACCGAGACGCCCAGGATCATCATGATGGCGGCCAGAGCAATAAAGCCGGCATCCTCGCCAAACATGGGCCACCGGCGGTTAAAGTAGCTCGGGAAGAAAGGGAGCTCGGAGATGATGAGAGCAACTATCGGAAATGGTAAGTGAATGATTAGCAGGGAGTCCATGAAGCTAGCTTGATACTGAGAGTGGGAGCATGGCTGGGAAACTTACTACTGATTAGGGCCACGATGGCGTGGGTGACTGCTTGGAAGAAGAAGAATCCATTCCGCGTGTTGGTCTTGATCAACATGACAACAGAGGCGGCTATGATGTCCAGAAACACAATGATATTTAGGGCGCGGATCGCATTGAGGATCACATAACCTGGGCCAGCCAGTTTCTCCTTCAGTTTCGACATCATGATTTCGAAAGAGTTAAATCAAGACGATTTTAAGAAGGAGGGTGGTAAGAGATGAATAACAACAAGAAGAAGTAAAAGCTGAGTCGTCGTTCACGTCCTCGGAGAGAGATGATATTAAGTCGTAAAGGGCACCAAGAAAGCAGTGGTGGTGGAGATTGAAAGGCAGGGAAGGAAGCCACTGGCCAGCAAGTAGCTTGAATCCTGGAAAGAGACAAAGTGACAAAGAGATCCCCGTTAGGCTCAAGTCTGCCTAAGAAAAGAAGAAAAGAAGAAAGGAAGAAAGGAAGAAAGGAAGAACAGAAGACTGAAGAGGCAGATGAAGACAATCAGGCAGAGAAGGTGCCGACATATCTATGCCTGCGCAGAAGTGCGTCTTACCACCGGCAGCTTGGGCTCTGTCGCGAAGTAGACACGGACCATCTCCGACAACAATGAGAGAGCATCTATGAATAGCACCTGAAACATTGTTGAAGAACAAGACAGACTGCAGCATCTGCCTCACAAGGGCGGACAGGCAAGCTTCCATTCTGGAGGCGCCGTAGTTGTCAGAAAGTGGATGTTTCATCGCCGGCCTTAGGGCACCGGTTGGCATTGGCAACTCATCGAGCGCCATGCGATCTGTGACAACCCATCCAGGAGAGGGTCCACATTTGGAGTGTGTTTCGATTGGATTCTCGTCTATGAGGTTCGATCGGTTGATGAGTGGCAGGGAAGCCTTGGAGACAAACGATCATGAAACAAACCGCCGGTTTAGAGCGCAGGGCGGTTGGCGATTGGCTCTGGTTCGTCCTGCCCGGCTATCCAGACGATCATCACAACTCAGAATTTGCAATATCACAACCCCCTGTCAGCCCCTAAAAAAAGGGTTCCTGATGCTTGATTGTTTCGTGTGGGAAAACGACCGTGATGTGTTGTGTTCGGTGTTCGTTTAATTGTAAGAATCCTCGGGTGGAGCCATAAAAGGATGCGATAGAGTGTATAGTAATAAGAGTGATATCGTAGTGTATTTAGAGTGTGATCTAAGGTTGTTGGTTGTTGGGTTGTTGTTGGGAGAGTATCAAACATCTTCGCCGATCAGGCTGACCAGCATGAGCCCTTGACTCTTCAACTATAGCAGCCATCATCCCTAGATTCTGGTCTTCTTCTCCCATCCTTGAGGCTTCTCCCCCGATCTGCCATTGTGTATGAAACCATGCAGGGATTTACGCGCCCAATCACGGCGCCAACTCCAAACCCACGATCGTGCCGCCAGGAGAACAGGGGCCGTGAAGAATGGGGGCCAGCACTAGACCAGTCTTAGATGACAGAGACATCGACCAGATCGGTGCACAGATGAATCAGAAGAGAGTCCGGGTGTCCATGGCTCGTCCAGCCGAGCCCTGATTCGCCGCGCCGATGGTTTGCCGGCTGTTTCCACCCCGCCCCGACACTTTTCTTCCTCCTCCGCCAGCTCGTCCCCTTCATATCCCGTCCGCATCTCGGTATCTCCTCTCCTTCTCTTTTTCCCTCTCTTCCTCGCCATGACTCGGGGCAACCAGCGTGACAACGATCGGGCCAAGGCCCAGAAGAAGGCCGCCTCTGCGGTAGGAGCCCTTTGACACTATTCCCTCGCAATCGAACCCCCCGCCACTGACTCGCAACAGAAATCAAAGAACACCTTGTCGGGCACGCAGTTCCAGAAGGCCAAGGAAGACGCCGCAGCCATCATGCGCGAGAAGCAAAGAAAGGGTAGGTGTCGCAGTTCTCGTTCCTGTACATCCCTGATTGCTCTGGATCTGACTTGATTTTTTTTCCCTTTGCTTATACAGCCGACGAAAAACGAGCCGCCGAATCCATGCAAACGCAAGGCAGAAGGAACTAATCAAGTCCTTCGATTCGAGACACACCCTGTCTCTCTCCTTCCCACGTTCCATAGAAGTCATTGTCAACCCATTTCTGTGGGGCATTGATCGGCGAAATCGAGTACATTGCGCGATGGGCTTGTTGGGGACCGCGCACGATGCGCCGAATAACCGTTTGGGTGGGGGAATCGAATTTGGGTCACTGAATTCTTGATCACCATACGCCTCTATCTCCCTGTTTGTTACTTTTGTGCTGGTGTATAGCGAGGCGTTTTCATTGGCCAATCATGGCGTTCATTCCCTCCTGCAAATGCCTTAAACGAAAAGCATTATAGCGTCCATCAATAAACGATCTGGAACGAGCCACGAAACAACGTTGTGTGCATGGTTTGCGTCTTTTTTTTCTGGTTCTTCTTTCTATTTATTAGCTATACAAAATACTATGTACTCTAATTAGATCTGTATCATGGGCGACTGCACATTATTGCGTTGCTCCATAAGCGCCCCAGTAGGCCTGGGCCCGCTCCAGTCGGGCTTTCCACGCCCACTTCGAGGTACTTGCTGGGGACTGTGTGCTTGGACGGGATATAGATGCCGTCGGCTCCCGATCACATGGGAAAACTGCCGCTATCACACTCTCAAGGTCGAATTGGCGGACTGCAAGGTCCACAAATGTCCACAGGCTCTCGCCATCCCATCCAACATCTCGCGCAAACTGAAGCACTCTGCTCACCGCATCGGCTCGGAGCGCCGGTTCGGGAACACGCTGAAGCAAATAAAGACCAAAGGCCCAGCCCGATATATCCCGTGGATTGGCTAGACACCAGTTCAGTACAGGGTTGAGCAAGCGTGTGGTCCACTCCGCCGCCCAGTTCGGGTGGCTCTTTCCATCAGGGCGATTCTCAAGCATTGTCTGCAGCCCGCGCATATAGGTAAATGCATAGTAATTCTTGGGGTGCCGCTCTGCAGCTCGCAGCACGATATCTAGTTCCGCCCGCTCGAGACTGAACAGGGCCGCTGCGCTTCGTGGTTCGGCCTGCAACCACTGGTCCAATACCCATAGTCGATGGGACCAGAGAGTAGGAGACTTTGTATGACGGTGTAGAGGTGAGCACTGATAGGATCTGAGTAGCGTAAGCTCCGCGTCAAATAGCTGCGCTTTCGCCAGGGTCGGGTCTGTGTGATTGAGACACTGCGCTGCGGCTGCCAGCAGCCGGCGCTTGCGCCAGTTACAAGCAGTCAGATGCTCGCAATCGAAGAGGAGCATTATTTCAGTGACGACAAGATCTGATGCCAGATCACTCTTGTCTTCCTTCTTCTCGAGGCTGGCGCGCAGGTCATCATCTGTCATTGGCAGGAGACGTTTAGTAAAGAGGTGCCGTGCAACCGTGAAGGCCCGGACTAGAGCTTTCTTTGTGATGCCAATGAAGCATCCATCCTGAAGAAATGAGGAACCGAGACTCGAAGGGATAATTTCGATCTCGAGGATCTTGTTGCCTCTGGAAGCAAAGACACCCGCAAGCTGCTGGAACGCATCTTCGGGGGTAGTCATGGACAAATCGAAGGGGTGTTTGGTGAATAATGCGATAGAAATAAACGGCTGTCAAGAATACATGGCCTTATGTTGAGAAATTTCTTGCAAGAGACTCGATCTTGGAATCTTGATGCTGATCTAGATTGTCGTGGTGGGGGCCAGGCTCATGGTGTCGCTGCGTCGGTGAAGGCGGAACAAATACAGCAGCCGTGACTTCGACCTCGCTCGATCGCCGTCCAAACGTCATTCTGCTCACCCCCGACCTTTTAGCCTGCAAGGCCCGACCACAATCTGTGCCTCGCAACATCGCAACCCCTATATCGTCGGCTAACTGTCCATCTCCTTCTGGATTTTCTCGGCTCGTGAACTAGACTCGCAACCCTTGGCCAGTTGGCCATTCCTCCGCCACCATGCTGTCCCTCGTGCTCACCATTCTCTTTGTACACATTGCGATTTACCTCGTCAACACTATCGGCGCGTCTACAATAGACAATCTGGTATGTCCTTCCCTCCAGCTAGCCATAGATCGCATTTCGCGGCACTCTGGAAATTTCCTCGACCCTCACAAGATCGCCCTGCTGACATGGAACCTTTCACGGCTAGCTATGGCATCTTTACCTGAAACTCCCGACCTCAACCTCCAAAAATGCCCGTGATCAACAGCGCATGAAAAGCGAAGTGGTTCAGCTCAAGCGCGAGATGAACAACACGAGCTCACAAGACGAGTTTGCGAAGTGGGCGAAGCTGCGCCGGCGGCACGATAAAGCCCTAGAAGACTACGAAGCAATGAGTGCGTGTCCCAAACCAAGGCCTACGGAATCTGTCCTAGTTGCACCTCTCCGCTAACCCTTGAACCTGGTCGTCCACACAGACAAAACCATTTCTGCCCAGAAAACCTCGTTCGACTGGAGTGTCAAGAGCGCCCGCTGGCTCAGCACCAACGGCCTGAAGATCTTCCTGCAGTTCTGGTACTCGAAGACGCCTGTTTTCGCACTCCCAGCTGGCTGGTTTCCATACTACGTTGAATGGGTGCTCTCGTTTCCTCGCGCGCCACTAGGCGCAGTGAGCATTCAGGTTTGGAGCAACGTGTGCGCGACTGCGATCGCGCTGATTGGTGATATCTTGGGGTCGCTACTAGTGCTGGCTTCCAGCCAGAAGACGGCACCAGCCTCAGGCACGGAAGCCAAGAAGACACAGTAACGACGATCAGACGACACGCTCGACGAGCCTGGGTTGTACTATAAAGGCCAAAAAATCAAAACTTTGTGGGAAGCCACAGTGTAATGAGTATCGCATAGCCATCGCATTTCATTATCATTTTTAATCGAAATCTACAAGTCCAAGAAATTTCCCCCTTTTGAAAGCATAGCAATGCCTATAAGTTCATCAGATATTGAATAATCGTTTATCGTCAATGACCTCTTGCCGTAGCGTGGATCTCTGTGCTTGACTCTATGATTGTATATCATCACACGAACATGAAGCTAATGGCTAAAGCAGATAGAGAATATTGAATATCTCGAGAGTCCGGCCCCTTCGACAGGGCTTCTGTGACGCGAATCACCGCTTTTCCATAAGCTACAGACTCGAAAAAAAGACAGGAACTCCTCGCCTCAAGAATGAGCCCCATTGAGTTACCCCATCTCAGAGAGATGAAAGGCAATCGCATGACTATCGAACCACGACGAAAGGCAACCCAATACAAAGGGAGACCGAAGCCCCCCTTCTCCCTCCGACCACTAGCCGCGCACGCCATTGTGTCCAGTAGAACCGTCGGATTGCAGACTAGGGCCGGGGAAATAGGGCAATAAGCCGCTATCGAATTGCTTCTATGGCGGCGCGTTTCCGCATTGCCTGGCTTGAAGAACTTTGGAGAACCAAAGCGCAGGATGTCCGGGGACTTTCTCCCAAAGCGAGGGGTGAAAGAAGAAAACTTCTTTGTGCGTAAGCTTTGAATGCGATTCTTCGAGCGAGGAGTTGAAGGGAAAAAAGAACGTCAGAGATTTTGCCGCTTTTTTTAAGCTGATGTGGTTACGGTCATGTGACTATCGACCTAGGCCCAGTCGGGGTAAGTGTAAAGTCATATGACCATACTGGCGTCCTGAATACCACACAGTATAGCAACGTATAGGCAATCATCGAGCGGCTATGATGGATGTCTTTTATGCAATTGATCGCCTAGATCTCAGGTAGTGCCGAAAGTTTTGATTTTTTTTTTTTGGGGGGGGGAAAGTGCGGTGTTCGTTTATACTTGAAAATTTTTAAAAGTTTGGCACCTCATGTTGAACGTTAAAACGAATGCATGAAAGGCTATGTAAGAAAGAAAATACACAAAACAATTTTGTACACCATTTACGCCTTAGCCTTCGACTTGCCAGTCTTCTTGGCTGTTTTCTTAGTCTTGGTAGCAGGCGACTCTGTCACAGCCTCTTGTTTGGGAGTTTCTTGCTCTGCCTTCTTGCCCTTCTTGGCCTTCTTGGGGGTATCTTCAGTCGGGGCAGGAGCCTCAATGGCCTTGGCGGGCTCTTCAGTAGCGGCCTCAATAGCCTGGGGCTCATCCTCCTTTTTCTCCTGGATGGGGACATCCTCCACGCTCTTCAGCTGAGGAATATCAATCTCGTAACCGATAGCCTTGAGCTTCTCGGCCTTGGCCAGGCGCTTTCGCTGCTCCTGCTCAACGCGCTTTGTCCACTGCTCACGGGTCTTGCCCTTCTCGAGACGCTTCTTCTCGATGCGGTTCCACGGGGTCACCTTGAAGCGGCGGTTGGCACCCTTCCAGACCTCAGGATGAAGCTGCTCGCCGGGAACAAACTTGCACTTCAGAATATGACCGAACATCAAGTAGTTATCCATGGTCTCGGCGACGATCTTGGCGACAGTAGTCGAGGCAAATTCCACAAAGGCATAGTGCTTTGACCGGCCGGTGAGCCGGTTACGGGAGAGACGAAGACGAGTGATTTCGCCAAACTGAGAGAAGTAGGCACGCATCTGGTGCTCATAGAAACCGTGGGGGATGCGACTGCGAAGAGAACAGGTTAATATATGGCGGGGGAAAAAAGGAATTATTCGAAAGTAACTCACCCAACATAGACGGTACCGGGCTCCTCTGTGGTACCAGCCTGTTGCAGCTTCTTCAACTTCTTCTCCGCTTTCTTAGTACTCGGGATCTTGGGGACTGGCTTATCGGCGTTATATCCTTCGTCGCCCGATTCATCCTCTTCATCACTGCTCTCAAATCCCTTGATGAGCGCAGCAGTCTGATCATCTTCAATATGCTCCTCGCCTTCATCCTCGCTCTCCGCGGACTCAACAAGCTCGTCCTCGGATTCCTCTGGAAGTTCCTCTACCTTCTTAGACTTCTTGGTGTTTTTGTTGGCAGGAGCCTTCTTTTCAGCAGCCGCAGAGACGGTCTCCTCCTTCTTAGACTTCTTATTGCTGGCAGTCTTCTGAGTAGCAACAGGCGCAGGCGCAGCAGCCTCGTCTTTCTCCTCGTCGCTGAGGAAGTCGGCGGCGCGTTTGCGAGGCTTGGCCTGGCGGGTAGACTCGCCATTGGCCTTCACGGCAGGCTCGGCCTTCTTCTCCTTAGGCTTAGCAGCTCCATTGGCCTTCTTCTTCAAAATCGACTTCGGTGCGGCATCTTGGGCGGTCTCGGCGGCTTTGGCCTCGACCTTCTTGGTTTTTTTCGCGGGCGAATCGCTGCTGACGGCGGGCGCTGCATAGGAAGGTCAATGAGGTTACATATATTATTAAAATATTGAAGTAAGTCACATACCCTTGCGCTTGTTTCCCTTCTTATCAGGGGCCATTTTGGTCTGATGTGGTTGAAATTGCAGACTGGTGGTTGCTCGACGCTCTGCGGAAACTTTTTTTTTCACAGACTTACGTCGAAGGCGGTGAGAGCCTCCGCAAGCCACATCGGCCAACTCCATGCGATGCTTATTCCACCTCCGCCCTTGAGGAATGGGGCGAAATGGGCAAATCTAAGAAGGACAAGCCTCTTTCGCACGAGGAGATATGGGATGACTCTGCTTTGGTGCAATCCTGGGATGATGCGGTTGAAGAATACAAGGTACTCCTCACAACGCCTATCTCACGTGACCGCTATCTGACCTTGTTGATGAGCAGCTCTATCACAGCATCCACGCCAAAGGAGAGAATATTGAAGATGTTTTGAAAGAATCAAAAGCGGCAGAGCTTAGTGGGAATGATGGCATTGTTGAAGAAGACGCCGCAGCAGTTGCTGAGGTGGATATTATGGAGGCCGATACCGACGACGTGGAGTCACTGCATCACGAAACAGCGCCAAATATCCCCCAGGTATGGAATGAAAGAGGTTTTCTAAGTTCGCTATATTTGCTTACCACTTTATTTCATGCTTCTCAAATACAGAGTGGAAACTCCCATGCTTCCTATGCGGACAGCCCTGCTCTTCCTACCACTTCAGGATCAACTTTGCCTACCGGCACGATGCCAATGCCCATGCCTGGCGCAGGCTTCCCGCCTGGTAAGTATTAAATCTTGAAATGTTCTCAAACTGTGTGTTCTAACCATGCATTCAGTCCAAGACGAGAATTTGAAACGCCTGATGATGGCCTGGTACTTTGCAGGGTACTACACCGGTCTTTACGAGGGGCAGCAGCAGGTCAACCAGAGCACGAACTAAGGGGATGGCCGTCTATTGATACTTCAAACACAGTGTTGCTGGGAAGACTCGACTACAAAATTTAAATACCCAGATATGAGGAATTGATCTCAATCATTGAATCCAGCTTATCTTTTGAAACTTAGTGGGCAATACATGAGACTGGAATATTTGTGATAAATATGTGATTATCGAACTATCTAGCGGGTTCCATAATTTATGAGCTCGTACAACGCCAACGCCCACATTGAAAAAGTACAGTAACGAATTAAACCATTTTTTCGAACCGAGGACAGTTGTCCTCACCTCCGCCACCCATTAAAGTTCATATCAAGCCTGCTAGTTGACATTTACAAGGGCCCACCAGTGCCTCCGAGAAGACCGCCGATAATGGGAATACCACCCAGCGCATTGGGCTGCGAGCTGGGGTGATGGGTAGTAGTGGCAGTCGGAGTCTGGAAGTTACCAGAGGTGGGCTTCTTCTGGGTGGGAGTAGGACTGTCTTCTCCATCCTGTTCGTCATCGGCTTCCTGGTCATCGGCATCAGAATCACCGTCCTCGGCCGGAACATGGGCGGCTTGGTTGTTCTTGTTGTTGGTGTCCTTGTTGTTCAAGCCGTTCATCAGCTTGGTGGCAGACTGATGCAAAGGCTTTGTTAGCATAATGCGAGATCTTTACTTGGAGCTCGGATACCAACCTCAAGACCCTCGAGAGTAGTGTCAAGGCCCAAGCCCTTACTGTCGTCACGCTTGGTCGGCAACGACATGGCACAGGATGCGAGGACCAGGAAGACGGTCAGGAAAGACAAGCTGAATCGAGCCATTGTGGTGGATATCCTGAACAGTATGGAAATTGAGAGAGGGTAATATAGACCGGTATTGAAGATCAAAACGAGCGGATCTGAGAATGTCTCTTCACAAACAAATGTGCACTACCGGAGACACAAAAGCAGGGAGAGTCTTTGGCCACTGGGAAGATAAGCTAGATTTATACTCTAACCCCCTTCTTTCGTTGCAGTTCTTAGAGGGCGAGAATGGAGGGCAAAGGGGGGAGGCCAGGGCGCTGGGGCGGGTTACGAGGAGCACCAATGCTTGTTTATTGCCATGTTGCCGCGAGGTATCCTAGCTATGAGTTGTATAAACACCCGTTTCTGTCCCACTCTTTGTCGCCTATGCTTTGCAGGTGCCGTATCTCGGAGGTAGCGTCTTCTCAGATGGAAAGAGAGGCATCTCACCACATCTGCAGATTCGGTAATGTCCCTGGAAGACAATGATCAACCGTCAAATCAATCAAGGGGTATTCTTTGAGCCAGTTACATTGCGCAGGCAAAAGGGAGAACATAATTTTACGGCTACAAAAAGGCTCCGAAGGTGGAGTCTGCACATTCCAAAGCAACGCGTCTACAGATGCATTGTGCACGTATTTGAAACCTTACTCCCGTGATCAAGAGATATTGCTCATATTTTGGCTTCAAGATGACTATCAGAAATATGCTCAGGGACCAGAACACATGCTCTATAGGATTGAGGTACTACAGATGTTCTTTAAGATGGAATCTCATTGCAAGAAATCATTACAACACGCTTTGACATTGAAGACAGCAAATTCATTGAGACATCCTGATTGAGACCCTGCCAGGGCCAGGGATCTATGTAAATCCCAATCTGTTTACATTCCACATCAAACATGTGACTTAAGTACTGCTTATTATTGTGTTGGCCTTGTTGCGCCTCACCGCCACAAGATTCTCGGGCAGAAAAAAATAATGTTTCCAACGTTCCGTTGGAGGCAACAAGGAATGTATCTCCCTACTTTGACACGCACAGCCCCATATGAGAGGCGCACGCAACACGAGGGAGTCTCCAGAAAGACATTTTGTCAAACTGTGATGGCTCACTTTTGGCAAGAATTTTGACCTCAAACATCATGGAGAACAGACGGACGAGACTTCGAATATGCCGTAAGAGGATTGTGTGAGAAACTTGTGCATTTATGGGCGAGATGGGTGTGTTCACAAAAGCGATGCTACGTGATAATAACGGTTGAATGAATCCTATAGGTTAGCAACTTGGGGAATGTTCCATCTTCATAGCACCTTGTCAGAAAGCAGTAACGTTACACCTGCACTGAAAGACATTATTTTCGGTGCAGGTTAACACTTCTTCCAGGGGGCTGTAATTGGCGTGGTCACCGATGCAGATAGAGCTGCGCTCCAGTCCATCAGCAGGGCTGTCGGTGCATGCCAAACACTCAGGTATCCGAAAGCTTGTGTGCCTCAGATTCCAAAAGCAAATCTTATCTCTCCTCAAGGGATGTGAGCTCAAAAGCGAACCCGACCACCTCGACAGGAACGGTAGAACCGATCCAAATGGCAGGGGTCAGGATTAGAACGAGCAGACATTATTCTGGGTCTCGTCACTAAAATTTGCAAGTGGAATAATGTCCATTCACAAGGGTATGTTGGAGACCGTAAAGTAAGATATGTAAAGAAGGAAAAGAGAAAAGCGTGTGCGGCAGGAAATTTTAGTCAATCCACAATATCTATTACATAATCATATCACGTGCATTTGGACAATTTTATGCAGTATGTAGTACTACGTAGTATCGTTTTCGTGGACAGTATATAATTTGCACAATCTACAATTGTTGTCAAGATAAAAGAACTTTGGATCCAATTCTTGCTATGTAATGCTACCTTTTTGGAGAATTTAATGCAATGCTTTTAGTCTTATTCTTGGCCTCTTCCATCAGCCATCAGCACCATGACCTCAAGAAAGAGAGATCATGAGAACTTAGGCCAGATTCTTTCCAAAGAACTGAACACATTTAGCACCAGCTTTATCAACCTTGTCATAGAGGTCAGCATGTGTCAGACCATCCACAACGTATAGCTCTTTGGGCTCTTTTGCCTTCTGTACACCGTCCTCGCTATACCATTTAGTCGCAGCCTTGGTGCCGGTGATCATCAGCAAGGGTCGCGGACTAATCATATCATTGTGGGCAAAGGCATCGAAATTTCCCATGAGGTCCCAACTGCGCGGTAGGCAGGTGTTGGTGGCGCGTGGGTGGAACGCTCGAGGAGTGCGGTAATAGTTCATCAAGTCTCGGAAAGACTCTGGGAATTCTGCAGGGGCATATTCCGGTTTCTCGGGGAGCATGTGGACAATGGGGACCTTTTCGCCGCCGATATCACTATTTCGGTCTTTGCCAGCGGTCTCAAGTTGAGTTTTCAAGATGTCCAAGTTGGAGGAGTCCTTGTCGAATCCCCGACGAGCCATTGTGCCGACGCAGACCGCAGCTGCGGTGGCGCAAGCCTTGATGCGTAGATCGGTCTGGGCTGCGAAGGGCGCATAGCCACCCGATGCACAAATACCCAGCACCCCAATCTTATCAGAGTTGACATCCTTTCGGCTGACCAGATACGTCACTCCGCTCTTGATATCCTCGACACGTTGGTAAGGGTCCTCCAAATCTCGCGGTTCGCCCTCCGACTCGCCTTGGTACGCGGCGTCATAAGTGAGACAGGAGAATCCGCCCTGAGTCAGAACACGAGCATAATTGGCAGGTGACTGTTCTTTGATGGAAGTCCAGGGGTGACAAATGACAATGGCAGCACCGGAGCGGTCGGGCGAATTGGCCACTGGAGGATAAAAGAGTCCCGCGATCTTATAGTTGCGGGAGAGAAAGGTGACCTTCTGCGGCGACGACATTGTTGTATAAGTGTCTCAGGTGCTGTCTAATGTATCACTGTATGATCTGATCTTAAATATACTAGAAATCATATCATAGTTCTTTATCAGCCTTTTATAGTTGACCATGAAACTTCAGACGAACCTGAAAACTCCGAATTTTGTCGGAATAGAAGCTTCTTTTCGGCCACGGCAGCCCACTTAACTACGTCATACAACGTATTTCACTACCGATTGAGCCACCCTATCACCGACGATATTTGAAACCATCTCGATATATTTTTTTCTCAATCTATCTACTAGGGCAGTGGCTGATCCTATGACCTTTTGGAAACAATTGAATCCCGAAAAAAAGAACTTGGTGGAGGGCCCAGCATTCTCAGTAGACTGCTGGATAGGCCTATCTTGGTCGTGTTGAATCGTCTCGATCGGCTCTATTGGCAACATTTCTGGTTGGAAGACTCAACAAGTGCTAGGCCTTCTCCTTATAGATTTGCTTGTTTGACCGTGTATGCTTTTGGCTCTTCTTCGTATTGAATCTGTGCAGTTACCGAATTCCCCCTGCGGGTAGCACAGTGTTATGAAATGCTAGTTAGACACCTTTGATTAATTAATCTAGCACTCGCTTGGTAGGACTTTCTGGCAATCGTGAGCACTCACGCAATAAAGCTTTGATACGGGAAGCTTGCTTAGCAAGCTGCTTTGTTATATATAGTGTTTTAGGTGTGAGCCCGCCAGATCTACTTCTAGGTCTGTTAGCTAGTGATGTTGCTGTTCTGAGCGATATATTGAACTTGGATAAAACTCGCTCAGTATCAATTAGAAATAGTCCTATGCTGGTGAAGCTTGATTGAATCGTGCCTGCTAGGGAAGGCTTCCTAACGTGCTAGTTTATGAGATTCTAGGAAATCAATCTTATCAACAGGATTGTACCCTCGGCGAGCTTGCTTCGGAAGATTTGCCATATCTTGAATATACAAAGGCCTAGGGGAAGAACCACATAAATTTAGTGAAAAGATCCATGGAAAGGCAAATGTTTTTCTTTCTTGTGTTAATTTTATCTTCAGCTAGATGTCTAGAATTAAAGAGAGGAAATTGATGCTCTACATGCAATAATTCGAGTAAAAATACATCTCGACGTACCCCACATTCGTCTTAACCAAAACCTATGGTTCTGTATCACCATCTAAATTGTTGTTATTGAGACATAAGACAATTTCCCCTTCACTTATCGGTCTCTCAAACCCAGTGATGAAGCTCTCTAGAATCTCCTGAGTCACCAGGAATGCCGAATCGCCATCCTTTATGTCCAGCTCGTTCCTTGCTCGGACTCGCCGGCGCAATTCGTCATCTTCCACATCAAGATATACGAGCACCCATCGTCCCCCTGAACTTTCAATCAGACTTTTCCAATCGTCTCTAGTTTCTTGAAACGCAAAAGAGAAATCTAGAATAGCATCGCCAGTACCTTGCCGAACCAGCCGAGTTAGCTCTTGCCGAAGGGCATTCTCCGCTTCTTGTTGGTATGAATTATATTTGTTTGCAGGATAGTCGACATTATAAAGCCCATAATGATTATAAATGTAGGCATCAATTGAGAGACGCTGAAACGATGGATGATTGGAGACTATCCATTTTGAAAGTGATGACTTCCCAGATCCTGTACAATAGACTCCTGTGAGCTATATAGCTCGACAAGACATGTCATATGGTGTGACCGGGATATAAAAACATACCCGCAATCCCACAGGTCATGGCAATAACAGGGCGGGGATCTGCTTCGGTGCGTTGCAGGAAAGGGCTGAGCGCTTCGGGCGTATCGAAAACATGCGCGGACACATCCATGGCGTCTTATACCCCCTCTTGCGAATAGGTTAAGCGGAAGAATGCCCAGTTGACCACTGGTCACTAGGAGTTGTTGGTATTTGGCGATCCGGAATTATCTTGGAACGGGATGCAGACTCCAGTGACTCATGGGTGATACGAAAGGAGCATCATCACATCTTGGATCTACGCTTTGTTGCCTCAGGCATTCATCCCGCATCCACCTTGGGGATCCGTTCCTTCCGACATGAAAAACATAACTCCAAGAAGCTTCATTGCATTGAATGTTGATTGGGAGGGAAACAGAATGGACTAGTATGCCCAAGATTCATTTTTGATTGAAAGGGAATTTGGTGATGTCTAAGGAACGAGGATTTAGTATGGAGCCAGTTGAATGGTAATAATAATACACGCGTTATAGTTAGCGCGGTGGTTCCGAGGATACCCGGATTACCATACAACACGGGCAAGGAAATCTCTTGAACGTATCATGCGGTATTGCATCCCCTTCCAACTTGACATTGAATCAATTGTCACAGCATGAGGCGAAAAGTTCAAAGGTCCTTGAACCAGGTCATCATTTTCTGTGCTATCCTCATTCTGATTCTCTACCTTAACCGCTCTGAGTACAAGGATAAAATCTATGCATGGACGAAGATCCGATATCAGACTACTGCAGCCTCTCTCCCTAGGACGCAAGGGGTTTGCCCGAACCTCTCGAAAGCCCAGAAGCCCGCTCTAGTGGTATCGCATGTTGAAGCAGATGGCGACTCAGGCTGGCTCGAGATGTTAGCCGATCGCTACCATCTCTGTATCTACAATGTCGATGCTCCACCCGACATAACTTCGGAGTACCTCCAGGTACCCGCAAACCGCGGGCACGAGGCAATGGCGTATCTGACATTCCTGATTGATAACTACGACAACATTCCCGCCGCTGGGGCAGTCTTCGTCCATGGGTCTCGTTGGGCCTGGCATAACGACGCACCAGACTATGACAATGCTGCCCTGCTGGCCGCCCTTAACATTGATCGAGCTCTCGAGCCGTCGGGCTACCACAACCTGCGCTGCGATTGGAGCACCAGCACATGCCTACCCTCCGCTCCGGCACAGGGTAGTTTCGAGATGCGTCTGCAGTCAACTATATCACCGTGGAGCGCGCGCGCTGCGTCCGATATCGCTCTGCCAAGGGCATTCGCCTCGCTCTTCGGCGGGGATGAAGGGCAGGATGCCTCGACGCACAGCGCGGTGCAACTATGGCTTGGACGCACAGAGACTGTGCGATCGCAGTGCTGCGCGCAATTCATCGTCTCACGGGAGCGGATCTGGCAGCACACACGCGAGGAGTACGTGGCCCTGCGACAATGGCTGCTGGACGGGAGTGATGATGGAGCGTCACGACGCTCGCGAAACGTTAAGTCCAAATCCGCGCCCGCGGATGACCGAGTTGCGGGCCGGATTGTGTCATATATGTGGCATATTCTTTTTGCGACGCAGAGGGCGGATGGACAGATCGATCTGGAACAGCTTAATAAAGAAGCATGTCCGAGTGCGCAGGATTGCTACTGTCGGCTATATGGCCGTTGTGACCTGCAATGTCCAAATCCTGGAACATGTAAGGGACAGTACAAGGTCCCGCCTTACTATCGACTTCCTGATGATTGGGAAGCGACTCATTTATAGAGAAATTCAACAAATAAAAACATTTTTTTTTCTTGTATTTTTTTGAGAAATAAAAAACACAGTGCCAAAAAAGATCTCTCCCTCGGGGAATCGAACCCCGGTCTCCCGCGCTTATCGGTGTTAATGACAAGCGGAAATCATGACCACTAGACCAAGGAAGATGTGTTAGCCGAGTTACTGCTCGGCCACTTGGTGCTGGTTGATGTCTGTTCTCCATTTTAAAAATATATGAGCTTTTGGGAGAAAACACTACAGATATTCTTGGCTCACCTGTCTTCGCCTCTAATGCAACGCTCCGGACACATCCATTCGAATACTAAAATTATGTGGGAATTGCGAGATGAAACGTTTTTAAAATAAAAGTCATTTGGTCCGTAATCCTGCTAAGCACATACTATATACAATTTCCGAAAAAGCACAATATATATTTATTTAGAAGCGGGCAAGGACCCGCTCCTGAGCATCCGCAACAGCAAACTCACTGCTGTGCTTCTTGCTCATCACAGACTTGGCCTGCTCCACAGTGAACCCCCGAGCTTCAACCGCAGGGTTGTAGCCAAGGCCAGTGATCTTACCAACGGCGTCTGAGGGAACGGCCGCAGCGACCTTGCCGTCCGCACGCTTGTACACGGTCACCACGACTGCTCCGCCCAGACCCAGGTTGTGTTGAAGAGCGGCATCAGTACCCGCGATCAGACGGTTGTTGGCCCAGCCTCGAAGGTGCCAGACCAGCTCGGCGCATTGGGCGATGCCCGTGGCACCGAGTGGATGGCCCTTGGAGATAAGGCCGCCGGAGGGGTTGATGACCATCTTTCCACCGTAGGTGATATCGCCGCGGCGAACCATCTCGTGGGCCTTGCCAGGCTCACATAGCTCGAGCGCATCAATGGTGATCATCTCGTTGGCCGAGAAGCAGTCGTGCAGCTCGCACACCTTGATGTCCTTAACGTTGACGCCGGCCTCGGCGGCAGCGGTCTGGCAGGCGTAGCGGCTCATCCCAAAGCCCATCAGGTCGATGGAGCTGCGGTTGTAGACCTGGTCAGTATCAGAAGCCAGGGTCTGACCGGCGATCAGGATCGCCTGATCCTTCAGATGAGGGCGAGCGTCGAGGAATTCCTGGGAGACAATCACGGCGGCCGCGCCGCCATCCGAGGTCGGACAGCATTGCAGCTTCGTGAGGGGCTCATGGATCATCGGTGCCTTGAGGATCTGCTCCAGAGAGTACTCGTCCTGGAACTGCGAGTAGGGGTTGCGCTTCGAGTGCTCGTGGTTGATGCGAGCGATTTCAGCGAAGTCCTCGTTTGTAGCACCATACCTAAAGGAGAAGAGCAAAGAGAAATCCAAGTTAGCCCAATATGTACAACGAATCAAGTTCAGAGGAAAGAATGAAAATTGCGAGCATACTTCTCCTTATACTCCCGGCCCGCATTACCGAACATCTGCGCCGCACCGGGGGCGTTGGTGATGCCGCGCGTCTCGGCCATCATCATACCGAATAGGCCGGTCGGGTTGGCACGGTCGTTGTACATAGATTGCAAGCTTCCTGGGTTCATCTTCTCAAAGCCGACGACAAGAACGCAGTCTGCGGCACCATGAGAGACCATCGTGCGGGCCATAGCCAGGCCAGTACTGCCGGTCGAGCAGTTGTTGTTCACGTTGTAAATAGGGATATTGGTGAGGCCAAATTGGTAGAAGACGCGCTGGCCGCAGGTGCTGTCACCATAGACATAGCAGGCAACACCTTGATCGACATCGTCATAGGTAATCTTGGCATCCAACATGGCTTTGATGCCGGCTTCGTAGCCCAGTTCATTGTAATCAACCTTGCCGCGCGGCTTGATAAACTTGGTCATGCCCACGCCCAGGACATAGGCGGGGCTAGTCTGCTTCTTGACCATCGTGTCGGTGTGATTGGGAACGCTGAAGGTGGAGAGAGTGAGAAACTTGATGGTGTGAGTCTCAGATTAAAAGACGTTTGCAGAAAGGACGTCTATATAGGAGGCGCATTATATCACGGGTGGAGAGAGCTGGGGTTGCGGGGCGCGGCCAAGGCCGAGGTCCCGAGGATGCTGGGCCCGAGGACACCTGGGAGCTGACCGTGCACAAAGTCCCTCCTGCATAAAAACCTTGGAGATCGTCATTTCTCTGCTTGTAAGGCTTCTGGATCTGACACAGGAGCAGAATATACGCATATAGCCTATATCAAGAGATGACAGTGTCGGAACATATGTTTTGAACCGACGCCGATCGTATCACGTGCACCCGGGGTTTTGTATACCGGCCCCTCTCTCCAGACTGCTATTTGCGACCGATGAATTTCGAATGGGCGATATGGCGGACCGCTGTATCTAGAAGAATAATACCCCAGCCTACCCACATTCCCGAGGCTTCCAAGGGAGGTAATCGGGCAGGTGTCCAGGGATCCAATTCCAAATATAATACCCCGTGTCTAGTCTCCCATGCGTCTACTCGCTAGTTTATCTGCCTGCTCGACTCCAGACTCGGTCATGATCTTTGATCTTGTAGCGGAATCCCGCGCTACCTCTCCTAATATCAAACATAGAATCTCACGTGTAGGTGAAGACTGCCTCCTGTTAGGCTTTGTCTCGCTTGATTTATTATTGGTACAGTCCTGCGAGACTAGCGACGAGCATCCTCACTGTCACTGGCATCTGCACGACCGTAGAGATGATCTGCAGCTTATCCCCAACCCCAGCGTCTTTTTCGTTTTAGTGTTCTTAAGTGGGCATCGACCAGAGTGTGGAATTTCCCGTCGTCCGCAAGTCGAGTGTTTCATTCCCGCCATTCCCAAGGTTGGGTTCGAGCATGATCATTGGCGGACTTGCCCACGCCAAAAAAAAAGATCGATGGTGCCCCAGGGATCGCATGCCTGTGGGGACTTGTGCCGGAGGACAGTCCTCCATCGGAGTATGGAGATCATAGACCAAAGAACCCATGGGTCTGTGACTTTTATCGCCTTAGGGAACCTTATCGGAGCGATCATGGATTTTTCTGGAGGCGTTTGGAATGGGCTGCCAGTCGTTTGTTTCTCAATGCGCCTATCCTCCCCCGCTCTCATGCACAAGCAACTTTATGTTCTCGGCCCATGAGATACACGAGATAAGGATGGATGCTCATTCGCTCGTTCGAAGGACATTGGAGGGGTTCCAGACCAAAACCGGTTGGCAATGCGGGATTCCGACCGGGGGGGGGGGGAGGTTGTCCACAGCCACTGCTGCCACCCGCCGACCCGCGATTGTAGGCCCATCGGACTATCATGAAAGTAAAAGGGCAAAAAGCGAATTGAACTGGCCTAGAAATGCCGCATCGTAAATTCCGGTCCGTGAGCCCTGGTCATAGCTGGAATCCGGGGCCGCATCTTCCGTACTGTACGCCGCACATAGTTCGAGTTGAACGCGGGCCGTTCAACTTCACGACGACGTCACTGGGTTTCGCCCTAAACCCATTCGAGGGGCCTTCAAAGCTCGGTCCACATGCCATTTGGCTGGTCTTTCTTCCCTCCTCATCTCTCGCTGGGTTGATCGGGCCGGCCCTATCTCTTCTGAATCACGATCCAGACCATTTGGCCTCTGGTAAGTGACCTCTTTGCTGCATTCGCTCTGCAGCCGAGCGGGCCAGGGGGACCGGGCAGTGTGATAGACACTAACGCCTGTCCAGCTCCTGGATCACCTTTCTATTTCCGAAGAAGATCAAGTTCAGGGAGCGCCGCCCGGAGATCTTGAGAGAGCTGAATCCTCTCTGGCTGGAACAGGAAATGCTGTTTGGCTAGAGTTCATTGCACCTCTCAATTGCCCTATCACCGGGGAATTAGCTGCCCGATCGTCGCCGCGGGGCTCCCATCCACTTGCCGTCTTCGTCTTCCGAATCTCCAACCACACCGAACTCCCGCCCCTCGACTTACGCGACGCTATAGAACTCCAGGTGTCCGTTTTGCAAGAATACAGATCCTCAGGATCTCTTCTTGATTGCGTTGGTGCCGTTTGGACTGCAGCAGTCCAGCGGATGGAGGAGAATTGTGGGACGCCGAACGGTCTACTCTGAGTGCTGAGAGGCCGCTTTGCGTTCCATAGGGTTCCCCAGCCTGTCATCGTACTGTCGCGTCTCGAAACGACAATTTTGAATACGCCCCGTGAAGCATCACCTCGAACCCCCCGTATCCAAATCCGTTGCAGCCTCCCAATGGACACTTCTCCGGCATGACTGTTGACAAGCACTCTGAACATGCTCCCTTCCCTACGGCTTCCCAACCTACACCCGCCATTATGCCGAACCACAACGCCTGGAACATGGATGAATCCACTCGCAACAAACTTTTGAAGAAATACAAAACACAGGTGGCTTCAGCGACATCGACTGTGTGCGCGACCTTGGCGGTGGTGAGTAAACCCTTCTGATCCAGATCTCCGCTATCCTGATGTCTTCACGATGGATACTGACGACAATCGTTGCCTGACCTAGACTCCCCTGGAAAATGTGAAGACACGCATGCAAACGTGAGTCCAGTCCCAAAGATGTGCCCAATCACAAATAGGAAGCGATTGACTGACGATACGACCCACATAGCCATAATTTCAAGAACATTTTCCAGTGCATTCGCTACCTGTGGCGGACTGAGGGTCCCCGTGGTTACGTAGCTGGTAAGTTTCTGCTCTTTTCGTCCGAAGTATGACTACGATGGCCTAATCGATCTATAGGTGCTCTTCCACCACTGGCGAGTGTGACTGCCGTCCGGGTCGTGAACTTTACCACCTATAACTACGCTAAGCATGCCATTTCCGACCTTTTCCAGAGTATCACTGGCGAGTCGCCTCTGGATGAATACAACAGGCCTGGAAGTACTCCTACCGTGACCGGTCTTCTAACTTTCACCACAGCCGGCCTGTTCGCAGGATTAGTGGCCTCACCGCTTGCTTGTAAGAGATGATTGAATGCCGGAGCCCTCAGACTTCCTCACAGTCTAACCTCTAATTTGATATTGAATGAACAGGCCCCTTTGAGCTAGCCAAGAACGTCGTCCAGACATCTGTCTTGGTCTCCAATCGTGCTCAGGCGGCCCCAGACGCCGCTCGGGATCCCTCTCTGCGGAGCAAGCCTCGCCTGGGTACGATTGAGGCCATCCAGCAGATCGTCAAGCGGCACGGGTTCCGTGGTCTCTACACTGGATTCCGTCTGCATGCTATGCGTGACACTGTGGGTTCGGCGCTGTATTTCAGCGTCTACGAAACAGTGAAGCAGGTGGCCGCTAAGGAGCTTGGATCAGACAAGTCTCCCTTCGGCGCACCCGCAATCGCGGGGGCTATCTGCAGCACGGTGCCGTGGTTCTGTGTATGTTTACTCCTCTGCTCTGCTACCATTGGTGACTTATCCCTGAGAAAATGCTGACCTCTAACTTCCGATCACAGACCTATCCTCTGGACACTCGTAAGACGCGGGCACAGAGCGTATTACTGGGAAAGTCCAAAGAGATCGGCGAGGCCTCCGTTGCTGTCGCCAAGTCCAGCATGTACAAAGGTCTCTCGATTATTCTCATCCGGACTGGCGTCAATAATATGATCCTTCTCAGCATGTTCGAGTACATCAAAATGCGGATCAATGAGCTTCCGGCATGAGGAGATGACATATCCACGCTGGGCTGGTGCTCGGAGACTTCTGATGGCTTGCATTCACATCGTTCAGAGATATCATGATTATCATGATTATCATGATCTCTTTTTTTTTTTTTTTTTTTTTTTTAGTACATACCTATGTGGATGAGCTTGATGCTCGCCAGCAGCAAATATGAGAATGATACTCAACATTCCCTCCCCCCTTATGTCGCTGTAGAAAGTAATGGTGCCCATGTCCTCCTAATCCTTCCGATTATTGCATCGATACCTAAGCATCCTGGTGTATCCAGAAATAACCCGAATTAGAGAAGAACAGAAAACAAAAACAGCGATCTCCGCAAGAGCACGCGGATTTGGTGCCTCAGGCTCTCCACACGTCATTTCGGTTGCCGGGTGGGGGTTGGAGCAACTTCGCGCGGTCAACAAACGCAACTCTCGTTTTCTAAACCTTCAGGCTGGACCCCCGCCTCTCTCCACAATGGCGTCGTGAGTGATCCCGTAATATACCTGCAGTAATTCTCTGATCTTTACTGACCCGCCTTTATTTCCCTTCCAGCAATATCCTGCAGCTCCCATTTCGTCGGTCCCCCACCGTCTCGCTGTCGGATGCGATCACCCAGTATATTTCCTCCAAATATGACCAGCGTCCGGATATGTTTGCGGAAGATCTGATGATTATCGATCGTCTCCGCACCGAGGCAGTTAATGTCCAGGAAGCGCATGTCAGCGGCATCAGCCGGTTGGTCACATACGCGGCGCAGCTCAAATGGCTTGGAGGGAAATTTCCGATAGATGTGCGCAGTCTTTCCCGGGTCTCCGATGATTTTTTTTTTCATTTCATGATTGACGGGTGGTGTTCGATTAGGTTGGGGTTGACTTTTCGTGGTATCCGTCCCTGGGGTTTAATTCTTCGCGGCCTGGTGAGTGTATTGCATCTAGTGCTTTGAGAGCTGGATGGCCTTGTCTTCGTACTTGGATTTATGCGTTGAATTTGGGACTAGACACTGACTTTGATTTTTTTTTCTTCTTAAAAAACAGTTTCTCAAAATAACCTACGATTTGAACTGGCAAATATCCTTTTTAACCTTGCGGCTCTATATTCACAACTTGCCTATGCGCTGAACCGAACGACTGCAGATGGGCTGAAGCAGGCCTGCAACTATCTTTGCCAGGCAGCCGGTGTTTTGAGTCATCTCCGGACAGAAATCATCCCGGATCTTCGGTCCTCACCACCGGAGGACATGGACGATGCAACCTTGCAGAGCTTAGAACAGCTCTTCCTCGCGCAGGGACAGGAATGCTTTTGGCAGAAGGCCGTGAAGGATGGATTGAAGGATGTCTCGATTGCCCGCCTGGCGGCCCAAGTCTCCGACTTTTATGGGGACTCTGGGGACTTTGCAGTCAAGTCCAATGCTATCAGTACCGAATGGATCCACCATATGACAGCCAAACACCACCACTTTGCAGCTGCAGCACAGTACCGGCAATCGCTTGATTGCCTGGAGAAACGCAAGTACGGCGAGGAGGTGTCCCGTCTGCGTGATAGTCTGAATTGCGTCAACGAAGGACTGAAAGAATCGCGCTGGATCAATCGAACAGTGCTTGGTGACCTGAATGGACTGAAGAGCCGCGTCACAGATGACCTAAAGCGTGCAGAGAAGGACAATGATATCATATACCTCAACGCGGTGCCCCCGAAGTCAGAGCTGAAGACGATTTCTCGTGTCGCCATGGTTGATTCTAAGGCACCTTCACAAGTCACGGATGCAATTTCTATGCTCGGTGACAATGGACCACTCGGCCAGCCTCTTTTCGCGAAGTTGGTCCCATATGCGGTGCATATCGCGGCTAGCATCTATTCTGATCGTCGAGATCGACTGGTTAATGATTCACTTATTAGAGAGCTGGAGTCTATGACTGATAAGTTGAGAGAGTATGTTTGCACCCCTGTCGATTGTTTTTATTTGTTCTGTGGTTCTTTGTTGAACCTCAACTAATATTTTTAGTCTACTGTCGTCACTGAACTTACCCGGATCTCTACAAGCGTTGGAAAAGCCCCTGGGTCTCCCAGGCACTGTGGTTTCCCATGCGGAGGAGATGCGACAGCAAGATGGCTTGAATCGTTTGCGGCGGTCTGTTGAGGACACAGCCACAGTCAAATCTAACGACCGATTTATTTATAACGAAGGCGTGGAGTTGCTGGCGACCGAAAAAGCCGAAGATAATGCGGCACGCCGAAAGTATGGGACCGATCGATGGTCCCGCCAGTCTTCGGAGGCTGCTGCGCCAAAGATTTACAATACCTCCAAGGAGATCAACGGCTACTTTACCTCCGCACAAAGCAGTGACGATCTTGTTGAGCGCAAGTTGCGGGACTCCGAGGCCGTTTTCCGTGTCTTGACCGGCACCAACCGAGACCTCGAGTCTTATGTGCCCAGTAGCCGCAGAGCTGCCATTCCTCCTGAGGTGGAACAGGAGTCCATCAAGTTGCGTAGCTGCTTAAGTGAAGTCAGTCGGATGGAAAACCGCCGGCGCCGGCGCATTCAAACCCTCAAGGACAAGGCCCGGGCCGATGATATCCATCCGGCCCTGCTGCGGGAGACTGCGAGGCTGGAGCGTGAATTTCCCATGCAGGCTATCCAGGCAAGTCAATTCGAGGGTCTTTTTGAAGACCAGCTGCGGCTGTATGATTCGGACAAGGATATGCTTGACCAAGAACGGGCCGATCAGGACCGGGTCTCGGACCAGGTTCGAGAGGCCAATCGAGCCTTCACCCGCGCGCACAAGGGAGATGCATCGACCAAGGAACGGGAAACAGCCCTGCAAGAGCTGGAGAATGGGTACCTGAAGTACAAGGAAATCATTTCGAACCTTGAAGTAGGTCGCAAGTTCTACAATGATCTGGCTAAGATCGTGAGCCGATTCCGGGATGATGCAAAGGCCTTTGTGCACCAGCGGAGGATGGAGGCCAGTCAATTGGAAATGTATGTGTACACTCACACAACGCTGGAACATTTTTATATTTTATTCTAACTCCTACGATCACAGTGACATCTCCAATGTCGCCGCCATGAACTCGCTGCATATCTCGCAGCCTCATCTACGTCAGCCATCTCACCAGCCCACTCCCGCACTTCACACCTCATCCGCCTTTGCATCTGCTCCACCATCACAGCCGCCGTCGCAGCCGGCTCCTCCCATCCATGCCCTTCGGTCATCTGAAGCTGCTGCCCCATTGACCGCGCCGCAACCTGTGCGCGCTGCCGTTCCACCCTCGGTTCCCACGCCAGGCATGTGGTCTCCCGAGATGGGCATTCGCTTCGACGGTGCTGCTATCCCGCCAGGGGCTACCCCGAATGCTGGCGCAGGAAGTACCGGTCGACCGCCTGCTCGTGGAGGCCCAGCCGGGACATGGGATGCCAGTCAGGGCTTGCGGTTCTCATGAAGATGTTCGTATATGGCATCCACCACCTGCATCTAGCCGAGTTTTGTCGATCAACGACCCAGCTGTTTTTTTTGCCACTTTAGATCAAGTATCATACCTTCCCGCCCACCGGGTTGCCTCCTAGCATGTCCTATACAGGGTACCTCCGTACCGCAAAGATCCCTAGCACATACATTACAGTAGAAGTCCTCGAATTTATGCAAATACAAAGAGCAAATCAGCTCATCCCCACAGGGTGATCCTTTGCCTCCTAGGGTATTCCAGATTGTCCCTCTCGTATTGGTCGCTTGTATACATAAAGCATACTGTACTCCATACTTCGTCCTTCATCTGGATCGGACCGGACACCAGCATGCAGTCCAAAGGATCCGATCGACGATCGTTGTACGCGTCCTGCCGACCGCGTCTCCACGTTCCCAGTCGCCGCTCCAGCCTTGCAACGCCCCCCCGACTCGTGCTTCAGTCGGGGGGAGTATATGCAGAGGATGCGCTTGACCGACTCCCGGAGTCCCCGTAACCTGTGGCCCGGCGCCCCAGCTTTGTTAGGCTGTGTTTGACTGTCCTCCTCTGTCCTGTTCGCACCGATCTACGTTTCTTGCGTCAGACTGTCGGGCCTCTTCTCTCTGCCCTGTTTGCCCTCTAAATTTCTTCAAGCGCGAGCAGTTTGCCAAGCGTTTTGGCAGCGCCCGGCGTAACATGGAGCGCTGTTGGAAAAAAGGGTTCAGGTTCGCTCTGGGTGGTTCGTGAGAGTACCTTTGCGGGTCTAGAGCTTTCTTTCCCCCCCTCTCCCGTCCCTCTTTTGGAAACAGGCGCCTACTACCGTACTAACTAAGGGCTAGGAGATGAAGGGTACCGGCGATATTGAAGGGGATGGATACCTATAGCCCTCCTCCCCCCCACCTCTCATCCCCTCTCATCTCTCGTCTCCAACGCCCAACGGGGGATGGAGTATGGGCACCGCTCCAGAGTCGTACTGGAGCGTCGAGGGGAGGGGCGAGGTCTCCACCGGGCGCTCCGCCAGGAGCCACTGAGAGGCTCCGCTATGACATGTTGTCTCGCCCGGCTATATTGATGCCAACCCGTCCTGGCGTCAGCGTGGATGGCTAGTGGAGAAGAGGGGGGGGAAGTAAAAAGAAAGGGTCTCACGGGGTGAGACTCCGTAACCGAATCCAGAATCCGTTGTCGACGAGAGTGGGGGGGAAGAGGGGGAGGGTTGGGCGAGTTGGAGCTTCTGGGGATGAAGCTCGGCGACGGACGTTGGGAACGGGGGGTTGGTGGCTCGACGCGTGGCTGGACCGGGTCAAAGCTGGTGCGAGGCGCGTAATCAAACGAAAGTGGCCGGGAAAATAACCGATCGGGACGGATCGTTCGCTGTCACCGGATTTCGTGGAATAATACAGACAGAGGACTACGGAGCCGACCTCGATCGATCGTCGTCATCCGGTTGGTGGGGGTCTTCGAGGCGAGAGCGAGGAGAGAGAGAGAGAGAGAGAGGAAGTTAGGGCAAGGACGAGGCTGAACTTGGGTTGCGCCAGCTGGCGCGCAAATCGTTTTAAAGTGTCCCTCAGAACGTCATCAATCCACGATAGCTGTCGGCTGTCGGTCAATAATTTGCGCCTTCCCGCCACCGTGTGAGGTGTTCGAGAGCCATCTGGACTCGGGCAGATCAAAAAAAAAAGGGGCGGTGATGTCAGGGCTGTTGATCAGGGATCCAATGTCGACCCAGGCGGGAACAGCCCATAGCACTAAAGCACTCCGTACAGGAGAAGAACCTGTATGCCTGGGGTCGATCTCTGATTCCCCATGACATCAACGAGAGGATCCGATGTACAAAACTGGTATGGGAGGCTGTGGACGAGGCTGGGAACAAGAAGCGACGGTGGATCGATGCAATATGATGTACAACTCACTATCTACAGTACAACCAATATGCAAGATGCAAGATGCAAGATGCAAGATAGCAAGGATACGTAAGATGTTCATCCAAGTGAAGAGAAATCATACAATCCTCTCGTCCTCTCAAAATCCGCCAAAGTAGAGCCCTCGTTGGAGCACGCACCTGCTACAGCCCCCGATCTATATAGCCATGAGGATGGGTAGGGGGCTCACCACGGAGAGCTGTCGCTCTAGATCACCTCGATCATCGAGATTGCCCGCCATACTCTGTACAGTAATCAGTAACCTGTACATGGAGCTCATCTCGATTGTTGACGTTATGGTAGTAGTGGACGATCGACAAAGGGGCTCCGTCCAACTATGGAGAATGGAGTACTCCGTTGTATTCTCGTCATAGGGAGGGGGCGGTACTCCGTAGATCTTGATGCTTGGCCAGCGCTAACGCAAACCCTCTAGGCAGCATCTCGGCCGGGGTAATCGTTGGTCTCAAGGTCACTATGATTGTATTCTCTATTCTCTATTTTGGGTGTTGACCCTCAGGGTCTGGTGAAACTTGGTCGACCCGGCGCCTATTTTCTGGCACCCCTCCCTCGCCCTTCTCCCTTTTCCAAAACAAGGACCTTTGTGATCCCACCTGAAATTATGGACCTACGTATAGAGGATGAATGTATGGACAGACCTAAGACAAGGAAATGTGTTGGCAAAGGGGAAGAGCTCGCATGCATAGAGAGAGGAGGGTGAGATACTGATATCCGGAGAGAATCAGATAAACGATGGATGACCGCATCGCGGAACTGGGCGGATCTCCGACGTCCCAAACAGGACAAGGAAGAAACGGAACGGAAACAGGAACGGGCCCACGACCCCAAACGTGGAACAAGTCGGAGCCCACTTTAAAAATATCTGAGAAAAAAATAATAATACTAATCGCTAGCTATCGTACTCGTTCATCGTCCGGGGCCTCTAGGATAATACGCTGGAATACACTAGAATACACAGAATACAGAAAATACGCTGAATACAGAGCATCCATCGAATAATACACCTTTTGTTTGATGCCCTTTACCCCCCCCCCCAATCCAACCGGGACATTATGAGTATTACCGTTGTATTTGGCTGTCTCTCGCGCCCTGTTCCTGTTGGGTCGACTCGAGATCTATTCCTGTTCTGGCCGTCCTGCCATTCCTCCTCGTCCTCTTCCTGTTCTTTCGCCTCTTCTCTCCTCTCGCAACCTCCCCCAATCCCTCATTTCCGGATTTTCTCCTCTTCGACCTTCTTGGCCCGGCATGGGCGTCGCATCGGCGTCCTCTTAAACCTGCCCGCCCTCCATCCACCCGACGGCTTTTTATCGGCACTCCGATCATGAAATTCGTGCCGTGGCTGGCCGCGGGCCTACTGGCCTGCCTCACCCCGCTAGTCGGCGCAGAAGACCTGCTACAATCTCACGCCCTTGAACAGTGTTCCGATAGTACCGTCATCACCATCAACGAGTTCAGTGCCGTCTTTACCCCCAGCAACAACAGCGCCCGGGTGAGCTTCGATGGCACGGCCACCTATTCCGGCAAGGTGATGATCGACGTGACGTTATTAGTCTACGGATACAATGTCACCACCAAGACAATCGACCCGTGCGACCTCGATGTCGATGCGCTCTGTCCCATCAAGCCGACCACCTTGAAGGTCCCTAATGTGAACTTGGATGTTCCCTCGAGTACCCTGTCGATGATTCCAGGTGAGTGACAATTCCCTCCTCCACCTCCCCCGCAAATGATCTGGTTTTTTGGTTGTTCCTCATGGGTGTTCCGTCCTTCCCCCCCCCCAAATCAACCTTGTCCCCTCTTCCAGTTTGCTAATCCCCGACTTTCTGGGGGTAGGTATTGCGTACGGCATCCCCGATCTTGACGCGGTCGTCCGTCTGAACATCAAGGCAAAGGACACGGGAGCGAAGATCACCTGTGTCGAAGCTCGGGTCAACAATGGCAAAACCGTGGATCAAATGGGCGTAAGCTGGGCCCTCGCCATCCTCACCGGCTTGGGGATCTTTGCGACCATTATTGTATCGCTCCTCGGCCACTCCAACATCGCCACCCATATTTCCTCTCGAACATTGCTCTTTCTCGGATTCATGCAGAGCCAGGCCTTGTACGGAATGGCCGGCATCGAACAGCGTCCCATCGTCCAATCGTGGACGCAGGTCTTCCAGTGGACGATGGGTCTCGTGCACGCCGATTTCCTAGAAACCATTTGTACCTGGTTCCAACGGGCCACGGGCGGGACCACGTCGACGGTGCTCACCACAGACGACGAATATTCGGTCATTGTGCAGAAGCGATCGGTCAATCTAGCATCGATCATGGCGCGCGCTACCGAATCCAGCAGCAGCGGAGGGGAGCGGAGCGTCCGTGGTATCGAGCGAGTCGGGTTCCGAATCAACATCGAATCGACTAACATCTTCATGACCGGTTACCTGTTCTACTATTTCGTCACCGTTGTTTTTATTCTCCTCGTCGTGGCGCTCAAGTTCTGCATGCCGGCCCTCGCGAAGAAAGTGAAGAGCTCCAAGATGGAGCGGGTGATGGTTACGTCGTCTGATTGGAAGGATTTCATCCGTGGAAGCCTCTATCGGCTCGCTTCTCTTGGATATCCTCAGATGTGCGCGCTGGCCATGTGGGAGCTCACGCACCGCGATTCCGCCGCGGAAATTGTCTTGGCCATCTGTATCTGGCTGACGATGACCGTCCTCATAGCGTGGGCCATGTTCAAAGTGTTCCAACGTGCGCAAGTCTCCAGATCTCTCAGGCAGCATCCCGCGTACACCCTGTTTTCTGATGCGACCTGTCTCACCCGCTGGGGCTTCTTGTACATGAACTACAAGGCTCACACTTATTACTTCATGGTCCCACTTTACGTCTACACAGTAGCAAAGGGGATGACCATTGCATTTGGGCAGTCAAACCCCGTGCCACAAGCTATTGTCCTGCTGATCCTGGAGGCGGCAATGCTAGCGGCGACGGCCATCATTCGACCATTTAATCATGCCTTGATGAATGTCTTGGCCATTATCGCCGCAGTTCTCAATTTCTTGAATTCTATCATGTTTCTGGTCTTCTCCAATGTCTTCAACCAGGCCGATATTGTCAGTGGTGTCATGAGCCTGCTCTTCTTCTTCTTCAACGCGATCTTCACTCTCGTCCTCCTCATCGTCCTCTTGATCGGGTTCTACTACGTTTTCGCCCTCAAAGAGCCCACCGGCAAATACCAGCGCCTCACCGACAACCGGGAATCAATGCATATGGCCGAAGACCGGAGGAGATCAGAATTGATGCCTTTGGAGAAGAACCTTCAGACTACTGATGGACATTTGGGATCCAGCGGCAATATTTGGCAGCCGGCATCCATTCGCTCCCGAGATACCATCGAGATTCCCTCCCGACAATCCCTCCAGCCCACGCTTCCGAACGTATCCAGCAGCTCCAGCAGCTCTTTAAGCACCACGCGAAGAGCTGAAGGGCAAGCGATTTGAGTATTCATGACATACCTCCGGGAACCCTGCATATTGTCATATCTCATGTGATTGTTCCGAGGCACATTCCTTTATCTCTCTTTTTTTAATCCTTTGCACATTCTCATTGGGGGACCCCTTGGTACGATTTGGTCCCATAAGGCACATTTGGCGTTGAAATCTTGGACTTGTCTTTTTTGTTCTCCTTTTTTTTTGGGGGAAGGATTTGGACTGTTGACATGGGTGTTTTTGCATGTACAAAATAGGGTAGCGGCTCCATTGCTATTACTAACAGAGAGACGCCTTTAGATAGCCCCCCGGCTTTTCTGTTCCGGGGGTGATGATGAAATCTATAATGTCGTTTGTATCGCAATATTTGGACCCTTCGCTGCCTGGAATGATCAAGTAGCTATCAGATATCTACAGACAAAAGAAAACAAAAAACAACCCTTGAGTATCTTATTATCCTGGTGTTCATACAGAGTGTTCATTAGACATTAGAAATTAGCAGAGCAGCTAGATTATTGTACAGTATCGGCTGTCATCACTGTACATCATGGCATGTGTCAGCCCTCCTCTCTCTCTCTCTCTCTCTCGTTCTTCGATGCACTCGGCCAGTTTGCATCCTCGAGGAAGGAAGGTTGGATGAATTCCTTCTCGCTTGTTTCATACTAGATCGCTTCCAATCGTCATGTGCTATCGCCATGTCCCCAAGACAGAGAACAACTCGGGCAACACGAGTCCGACGGGAGTGTATACCGGTGAGCCGTATAATTAGCTAGGTGGAGCATGCATGCAACCATCCACACGAGATGCTCCGCCCCTCCCAAGATACGCATCACTTCAAGACCGCGCGCAACACGCCCAATGGGGTATTCAGCCTAGCAGCGCTGGCCTCATTCATCCCAACACGGACAGACCTAGTGCCAGCATAGGCAAAAGTCTACTGACGGCCCGTTTTCTCACGCGCAGCCTGCTCTTCGACCTCAGACTCGTCGTCGGAGCGATCGTCCTTCTTGACGCCATAGGCGACGAATTTCCACGCGCTGCGCAGAAGACAATACAGCCAGAAGAGATTCAGGCTCTGCAGCATGGCCAGCAGGGCGAAGGTGATGATGTTCGAGATCCAGCATTTATACTGCTGCGTCTCCCAGTTGAGCTCGTAGGGGCCGACGGTGCGGAATTCGGTCAGGAGCGAGTAGAGGATGCCGAGATTCAGATAGTGGCGGAGGTAGATCCAAGAGACGACGGAGAGGGCGTAGAAGGGCGCGATGAGGTCCGAGTCGAGGTAGTGGAAGGATTTGGAGATCTGGAAATCCCGCTCAGAGGAGGGTGTTAGTGGTGGGATTGGGGATGAGGGTTGGCAATGGGCACTGGGACGGACGGAAGGAAGGAAGGAAGGAAGGGGAAAACGTACGGCGAGGGACAGGTCGCTGAGGTCGTGGGTGATATAGACCGCGATGCCCATGTAGGTGAAGTGGAAGCGGTAGCTGAGGCCGATGAGGGCCAGGGTGACGATATGGTGCGCGACCAGCTCCTTGAAGTCCTTGCGAGGTTTCTCCATGCCGAGCAGCATGACGATGGCCTGCTGCGCCCAGTACGCGGCTTGGATTAAATAATAGCATTTGAACTCGGCGAAGTGAGTCCGGTGCGGAAACGCCTCGTACATGGCTTTCGTGTTGAAGTACCACACGGGAGTCTGGCGCATCACGTACAGGCCGGCGGGGCCGGCGATGCCGAAGTAGATGGCGGTATACATCTGCTCCATGAAGCGCAAGCGCTTGCCGTTGGACTTGATGCTGGAGGCGCGAGCCAGAGGCCGCAGGATCTCCTGCATGATGAACTCGCGTGTGAAGGAGAGCAGAACGGTGTAGAAGGCCACGAAGGCGATGTCCCACAGGCCCTTGCCATACTGGGGCCGGGCACCGGTCTCCGTCGGCAGCTTGTAGGACAGGAAGATGAAGTGGTGGATGACATTGGATTCAGTTGGATTGATGGCGTACAGCGATGCAAAGGCGACGAGGAGCAGCAGAGGGATGGACCAGGTGTGTTTGATGGCGCGGCGCTTCAAGCGGCGCAGCAGTGAGCGTGGTTTCTTGCGGCGCAGCTGATGCGAGTCCCTCGAGATCTGGCGCAGATGGCCAGACTTGCGCCCATCTGCGGGCCCCTGCCGATCTAACGGGGTCGTCGCCTGCCTCCGACGGCGTGCAGTGCCATCTGTTGCGGAGGGTAAGCCTTCGGCCGACGTATTGACCGGTATGGAATGCGCGGGCGCCGCCATCGATGTCTATGGGAATAATCGACAAAAGCTGGGGAAGAGGAAACGCCGCGGAGCGAAACGTGCTTGAAATGTGCTTAGTGTTTTGCTCGAGCCCCCTATTTTTTAGTGTCTCGATCATGATTCGGCTTTGTTTTCGTTTCATCTTACAGATCCGATTTTTCCCTTTTGGGCTAAGGTGCGATGGGGCTGTCTGCGAATGAGAAGCCTCGGTTGTCGATCTCGGATGTCGGGTTCGCCGATAACTTCATAACTTTGGGGACAAAGATTATACACGGGCACGGACACGTCGGCTCGGAAATGCAATTGTGGGCTGCTATGTAGTTCCTTTGGAGGGTGAAAGAGCTGAAAAGACCGGTCCGCCTCGCCCGGTACGGTGAGTAACGTATAACACTCGTGTTCCGAACACCCGTATCAATCGTCGGATCCCTAACGCGTTCCTACCCATCTTCCACTATACACCATCCACCTGGAACACGCCCAAACAGCGTTCAAAATCAGTTGAATAAGATGTCATGATTCCGCGTGCTATCAAGGATGTTCAAAAAGGGAAATATGGATTATATACGCAAGATCGCGGAACATTTCACAACCCTTAAGACTATCCTACTCCGCCGACTATGTGGCGATCGATTTCGACAAGAAACATGATCACCACATTTCTAATGAACATAAGAGAACGAATATAGATTTGTAAAGAAATAGGTGATATAGAGGGCATACCCCGCTCTAGCAACTCAGACACCCATTTCTCTTCTACACTATCCCTAGGTGTCCTCTCTTTCTCTTCCGCAACCTCTAGAGGCGGGCCTGGTTCGCAGACAGCGACCGTCTCAGTTCCCAGTTCAATATATAGGGTAAGTGATGGATCTTTCAAATTCTATAATCAAGCCTACTAATCACTGACAGGCTTGAACTTGGAAACCGTATAGTCAAAACAGCGGGAGAGAGATCTTGGAATCATATTCTACTCCCTATAACGTTACAGAGCCCATCTTATGTAACATGAGGTATCCATGCCTTCAGAATAATGAAAAATGTATTCTCAATATATTCTCGCCTCGTTCAGCCACCGTTGACAGCCCAGAACATGGTGATCAGACGTGCTTGCCTGACGTACACTGAGACTGATTCAGATGGAGTGTGGCACACAGAAATCTTCAGCACTACTTGAAATCACCCAATGTCTTATATCTCCTAAGTCGCCAATTAAAAGCTCCCTTGAAGCGGACGGAAATGCTGCTTCACCGCTGCGAATACCTTCGGCTCATCAAAGTATAATTCATTCCCACATGTGCTTCTCAATTATGTTATACATTGGAGCCAATGTGATGTACGCAAGAAGAAGCCCAGAGATCCTATCACTGTACCGGGCAACCTCGGCGCGGTGGAAGTATTAAGAGATGTCAAAGACGGCCGTGGAAAGCAGCTCCAGATCTTCTTTCTGACTCATTTATACAACACCCGGTTATGTTCCTTCCGCTGGAAATCGCCAGTATGATGGTGAGAAAGTACAGAGACTAGTGGATTCCAGTTCGCTACCCTGGTACCCTAACTCATTCAACCCGTGAACCCTTCATACCCCAACAGTAATATCCAGGCTCCAGTAGTACGATTGTAGCATCGTCGGACCCATTCAAATCTGCGAAGGTTCTTATGTATTCGTTCCCTTCTAATATGCTCACGATCCCTCCGCAACCCATTATGACGACAGCTGCCGTATGGTCAAAAGGTCCCCATACAAGGAACGGACCAGGCATTATCCAATCCCTGTTATATGCGCCTTCTCCGACCTCTGCATCGGTAGATTTTCTTGTTGAGGAAAATCGGCGTTCAATCCCTGTGCTATCTCACGCAGAGCTAAGACGTACCTTGGCCTTATACAATTGAGTAAGCTGTCCATTATCATCGGCGCAGTGTTGCGCATTGGATGTGTGGGTCCTCGCTGTATTAGGTGGCTTCTCATTCTCGACAGAAAAGGTTGGGTTACTGTATGGCGTACCCAAACCAGATGGTTGGAGGAGGGCGTAAGGCACTAACGGTAGAAATAGATAAGTGGCAATTCAAGTGTAGGTGGGTCTGGCGCACATGTTTGTCCTACAAGTTTAAGTGGTGATCTTTATTTATTTTTTTTGCATTCATGTCGATAGCACTTGCTATGCGGGTCAATTTATCTTTGTTGAACAGCATACATACACCCTCGATCTTTTTTGCTTCTACTTGTCATGTCCCCCTCCCCCTATCTACAGTTCGTATATCGCTACCTACCCACACTATTGCCAAGTCCTGCATCACCAGGACAAACCGAACGCCCCGTCCGCCCCGCCACGCTTTCACCCCAAAGCCCGGTGCCCATAGTTTCCAAGTCCCAGTCCTAAAAACAAAACCAAGCCCCCAATCCAGGAAACGACAAGCGAGACCCCACCACCACCTCCAAGCAGATCCAAATTGCGTCGTCCCGGATCTCTTTTCCCAGGCTTCTATCTCGCGCTAGAAGCCTCGGCACTCTGGCGATGACGCCCAGGAACGGGCAAGGCTGTGCGGCTCGGTGCCCCGGTGCTCCACTCCACGATATGATCGGATCTATACGAGGCGGTCGACTGCGATCCGCAGCGCCGTGGGCTTTGCGCAGAGAATATAAATAGCGGGTTACAAGACCGGTAGGATGGGCTCTTCATCTGGAAAAAAATCCGTCGTGCACCTTCGACGCAACAGACGATCTTGCAACTTGACGATCAGGGCTGATCAGAGCTCACTCGCGCAGCAACTAGCTGTGTACATCCTACATATCCATCTTTATACCATATAAATATATATCTATATCTCTCTCTATTTTCTGTTTTAGAAGCTCCACGTCCACACTATGGCAGGGTATGCATTCTAGATCCGATTGACTCCAGCTAACCTAGTTCCTATCATTTTGGAAATCCTCTTGCCACGTCTCCTACTGACACACCTTAGCTTCTCTCTCCTCTTCTGGAGACGTCGCTCCCGCGCCAAAGTTGCCGAGCAGCGCCGCGCCGCAGCCGCAGAGGACGAGGCGGCTATGCGCCGTCACGAAGCTGCCGTCATTGAGGCGCGCCGCTTGCACGAGGCGAAAATGGCCACCGCAGGCGCCGATATTGCGGCGACGGCGTCAAGCGCGGCATATGCAAAGCCTACGTATGCGCCGCGGTACACGGGGCCGCGGTATAGCTCTGTTCGGCCTTCGAGGTCGGGATCGAGGTATGCGGGGGGCGGTGGGTATGGGGGATCCTATGGGGATTCGAGCGGGTCAGGGGGCTATAGTTCTTCTGGGGATGGGGGTGGTGGTAGTTGTGGAGGAGGTGGGGGTGGTGATGGAGGCGGTGGAGGCGGCGGAGGTGATGGTGGTGGTGGTTGCTGATTGACGCGTTGTAGATATACAATGGAGGTTATGTCTCATGATGGGATGGTAGATCGGATGATAGATTGACTATGTATGCGATGACTGGGTGATGTTTTTAGCTGTTGACAAGATGAATTATGATGCTATTGTTTGGTCTGTTCTAGTTTTTGGATCCTGTTGGGCTTTTTCTTATGTAGAAGATGCTTGGAGGAAGTACCTTTTTTTGACTCGGTTTACGAAAAAGAAATCAGAGCAGAAGTGGTACATATGAAGAATTGTTTCAACACTATGAACAAATAGAATGAAATAAAATAAAATAAAATGAAATGGCTTATTTACAATATGTGAATACTATGTTCATCCAATGACCCAAAAATTTTGTTCAAAACACCACATGAGAGAAAGGAAATGCTTTACAGACGCGAAGAGCTGGCCGGAGCATTGGCGGCACAGCAGGACGTGGGGAATGCATTGGTCGACTGGCTGTCGACACAGATCGCCGACGGAGGCACCCACAAGCCGGGGTTCTTCTCGTGGAAATTTGACGCACGGAGCATGATGCTAACTGGCTCGGCCGGCATGATAGGGAAGTCCTCAGTACGCGGGAAGTGGGTGAGACCGAACTGCAAGTAGCAGACGATATCGGTGTTCTCGATATTCTCGTTGCGGTTGGCCCAGTCAACAATGGTCTGGTTGTGTGGGTGGTTCTCCTCGCCAGTGGATTGGCAGACATAGTCACCAGCAGGGAACAGCTCGTAGTCCTTGTAGGGGGTGACCCAGAGGGGCTTGCGGGCGAAGCCAGCACGGTTGTAGACGGTACTGCCGGGCTTGGCGAGAAGAGGAGGGCAGGAGGTGTTCAGGATCTTATAGCCAATGGGCTTCTTGGCGATGCTGTTGATGCGGTTGGGGTTGATGATGTCCCAGGAGCGTTGGGTCTCGTAGCAGTAGTCGGCAGCACCCTCGAGCGAGGTCCGGAGAGGAGTCTTCTTGCTCAGGAAAGCATTGCCGTAGGGGTTCTCGGCGGAGCCGACGGGGTGTTCAGCAGGAATTGCATCGCTCTGGACGACAGTGTTGTTGGTGCCATCAATCTCGGGATCAATACGAAGAGAAAAGATGTGCTGGTGGTTGTGGGCGGTGATTTGAGGAGCAACCTGAGTGCCGTAGGGAGCAGCCTCCTCGGTGGGGTGCAGGCAGTAGGTGTTCAGCATGCCAGTCAGCTTCATCTCAAGCTTGTAGGTGCCGTCCAGAGTGAAGGTGTGGTAGAAGCCGTATTCATAGTTGGCAGCAGTGATGATCTGCGAGATGATGAGCTTTCGGTCACGAGCCGAAATGACGGTGCCATCACGGTAGTCGGTGTGCTTATAGAGAAGACCATTGTCCTCCTCGTGGATACAGATGGCATTCTTGACGACAGCAGCATCACCGCTGGAGGTGGTCATAATACCGTCCATGTAGTGAATAGCACCCTTGCAGTCACATCCCAGCTTGAGAGAGTTGGTCATCAGACCGGTGCCGTACTCGCCGACATCGAAAGCATGCTTCTTGTGGTGGGGCTTCTCGGGGCAGCCATAGGGGACAACCATCTCGACAACAGAGATACGGTTAAACAGAGTGCGCTCACGGTCCTCATACATGTCGTGGGTGCGAACATCGGAGATAACAATACCCTCACGGTAGTTAAAACCAATATGCATCTTGTAGTTGGCCCAGGACAGTTCGCTGCCGCGGACTTTGAAGGAAACACCCTGGGGCTGAGTGATATCGATGGGCTTGAGGCGGTCGTGGATATAGGAGTCACCGATGAACTGAGGGAGGTAATTGTGCTCCTGCAGGGGCACAGCGGTACGCTCGCCATTCACAGTGCGAACATCAACGCTGAGGACCTCCTCGGTCTCAGTGTCGGCGACAACAGTGAAATCCAGAGGATGGGCGTACTGGTTGTCAAATTCCGAGGTCCGGTAGTAGGCCAAACCCTGCTGGAGGCGGCGCTCGAAGCCCCAGCGCTCGTCAACACCAATAGCCCAGGCATCCAAGAATACCTTGCTCATGTCTGTGATGCCGATCTCCTTGCAAGCGCGGATAACGCGAGCATCCTTGCGGGCGATACGCTCCATGACATCCAAGTCCTCCAGAGTGAGAGTGGGCATGACGTTCTGGACATCCTTTTGCTCCTCGACCTTCTTGGTCTTCAGGTTGACGACGATTTCGGCAACCTGTTGTGTTTCGCACACGATGATGATGGCGAATGCCCGGCGGTCCGGGGCAGGGATCTTCCCGGCGCGCCAAGCCTGGTACTCGGCCTTCCGGGGCTCACGGAGAGTGAGGCAGTTGAATTTGACGGTGTTGGGGCTGATATGTTCCCGGATCAACTTGGCCGCCACGGGAATTTCCACGATAGAAAGTTGATCTGTGCATAAGTCAGCGGCTGCAGTCTGCGAGGCAACGAAAAAGAAAGGGACTTGCGCAAGTCGTACCTAGCGGGTGGGGAACACCCTGTGGGAGCATGGCTGTCGCCGCAACGCTGTCATAGTCGCCCTCCCGGAAGATGGTGTAACCCGGGATGGATGTGGTATCAGGGGCGGAAGCCATGGTGCAATAGAGTACAAGAGAAGAACTTGTAGAGCTGTAACAAAACCGAATGACCCCGTCCATGTCCAGCGGTCTTATATAGGCTGGTATCCGCTTCTATCAGATCGATAGGGCCCGCATGTACCTGCCCAAATGGGCAGTCGAGACGTATCTGGGTCTATCGCGCTTGTCTCGCGACTCTTCCCGAGCCCACTTCACGCGTGGACTCTCCTGCCACTTCTCAGTTTGGCGAAAGCCTGGAGAATCCATTTACTAACTTACGTTTTGCCTTTGATGCCTGCATGGCGGGAATGGTTTCTTTTTCGTAACTGTTTGACTCGCGGAATTGATGGCCAATCAGCACTCGGCAGCTTGACATTCCCCCGATCAAGTAGCATGCAGGGGACGAACTTAATGCCGATAGGGCAGGTTGACCCTTTGTAGGCCTGTACCCTGTGCACACCCGCACTTACACTGTCGTCCGTGCCAAGGGTCATTGATTCAAGCTTATCTTTTCGCGGGGAAACCACGTGAGGGACAAGGTCCCCCTGCTACTTTGAAACAACAGTCTGAAAATTAGACATAAGTGTCGGCAAAGAGCCATAGTTTTATAGTTATACGATAGTCCAAAAATCCTTGAAGTCAAATTTGCTCTGCTGCGAATTTTCACTCTAGGCGTTGTCTTGCATGAAACTCGTGCTTTTAGCAATGTAGGCCTCGTCGGCCTCAAGATGTCGTGGCCATGGGTTGCATGGACCTACCTCTTTAGGACTAGTGTCCCGATAGCCAATTTGCCGCTGAGACTCTTTCGCTTCTCCGCGCCCGACACCCAACCCCGACTTGGCCCCGTTCCGATGACTGGAGATGCCGTGTGGGCCCTGTGGGTAGTTCTCCAGATACATTCTAGGGGCGAATCTCATTCGCCTTCTCAAATTGGCATGTCGTGCCGACATCGTTATCAATGCTGTCTAGGTCATAGAGCTACAGCTAGTGGGGGAACTTAAGAGCTGCACGTCTTCAGTTGCACGGATTACGGAGTACTTTATCGCCTGTTCTTTCCTCAGTAAGATCGCAAAGATCAAAATTGGCTCCTGACTCTCCTCTATCATGGCCTCATTATCTGTTCAACTGACTGCCCCTAATGGTCGCGTTTGGACCCAACCCACCGGATTGTTCATCAACAATCAATGGGTGAAGTCGTCGGACGGCGACAAGATTGCTAGCATCAACCCTGCGTGAGTTCTAAATTGGCGGTGGTCTTTACATTTATCACATAGCCCTATCAATACAACTAACACTAAAACTGGGGGAAATCAGGACCGCCAAGGAGATTACATCTGTCTACGCCGCTTCCGCAAAGGATGTCGACACCGCTGTCAAGGCTGCGCGCGCAGCCTTGAACCACCCGAGCTGGCGAGATCTCCCGGGAAGCGACCGGGGTAAGATGATGAACCGCCTTGCACAATTGATCGAGGATAACCGCGAAACCCTCGCGACGATCGAGACCTGCGACAACGGAAAGCCATACACAGTTTCACGCGATGACGATTTGACCGAAACCGCCGAGACCATTCGCTACTACAGCGGATACGCCGATAAAATCTTTGGACAAGTGATCGATACTACGCCAAACAAGTTCGCATATACGGTTCGTCAGCCGGTCGGTGTGTGTGGTCAGATCATTCCGTGAGTCTCCTTCTGAGCCAAGTTTGGATCAGTTGCATGTACCAGAGTGTTGCTAATTCATTCGCTCCCTAGGTGGAACTTCCCTCTATCAATGGCAGCTTGGAAACTTGGACCTGCTCTGGCTTGCGGTAACACTGTCGTGCTCAAGCCGGCTGAGCAGACCCCTCTTTCCATTCTGTTCCTCGCAAACCTGATTGTGGAAGCTGGCTTCCCTCCAGGTGTCGTGAACATTGTCAACGGCCACGGTGCAGTTGCTGGTGCCGCATTGGCCTCGCACATGGATGTTGACAAGATTGGATTCACCGGTAGCACCGCCACCGCCAAGCAAATCATGAAAATGGCTAGTGTCAATCTGAAGAACATCACCCTTGAGACTGGTGGAAAGAGCCCTCTGATTGTTTTTGACGATGCCGATCTCGAGCAAGCAGTTGAGTGGTCGCACATTGGTATTATGTATAACCAAGGTCAGATCTGCACGGCCACATCGCGTATCTTAGTCCAGGACAAGATTTACGATAAGTTCCTGGCAGCCTTCAAGGCTCAAGTCAAGAATGTCTCGAAGGTTGGTGATCCATTCGAGGAAACCACTTTCCAGGGTCCCCAGGTGACCCAGGCTCAATATGACCGCATCATGTCTTTCGTCGATATTGGCAAGTCGGAGAAGGCTACTCTTGAATATGGTGGCAAGCCCTTCCAGGGTGTTGGTGAAGGCAAGGGCTTTTTCGTCGAACCCACCATCTTCACAAATGTGAAGCCCAACATGCGCATCTACCAGGAAGAAGTCTTTGGTCCGTTCGTGTGTATTGCTCGCTTCAGCACTGAGGAGGAGGCCGTTCAGATGGCCAACGACACCACATATGGCCTTGGTAGCGCCGTGTTCACCACTAACCTGACCCGCGCCCATCGCGTTGCAAAGCAAATCGAAGCTGGTATGGTTTGGATCAACTCTAGCAATGACAGTGATTGGCGTATTCCTTTCGGTGGTGTGAAGCAAAGTGGTATTGGTCGGGAGCTGGGCGAGGCTGGTCTGGATGCCTATTCGAGTATCAAAGCAGTGCACGTCAATATGAAGTCTAAGCTTTAAGTTGGCTGGCTGCCAATGGGTTTTATTACTGCATGTGTAACTAAATTTCTTGTGGATATGGAAAATGATACGATAGTCTAAGAATACTTGTATATTTCTCTGGTTTTACCTCGAATACTCAATCATAATCCGACCTCCGTCAAAGTCGAAATTTATCGGCTCTTTATATAAAATTAAGAGTCATAATCATATACATTCTCCAGGTGATCCTCTATATACTCTATATCCATCTATATACAGTAACCAAAAAAATCATATGCTTGTTTTCCTTGCCACAAATCGAGACTTCAAGGCCACTTTCCCTTCCACTCCGATCCGAAACATCTTCAGTCTGCTTTGCATAAATTGTCTATTCCCGGTGCCGAGAGGTTGCTTCCTCCGCCTTTTTCGGCTGAGGGACGGGAGTCTCATTTGCCATCCCATCCTGTGCTTGAATCACCTGCGCAATGGATGACTCCTCGGTGTTCAAATAGGTCCGGCTACCTTGAACAAACCAGAAGGAAAGAGCGATAACCAGCATCACACCAAAAACGGCAATAGCGTAGTTCATATCACTCCCCGAAGGATTGGGATAGGACGGGAAGAAGAAAAAGACGGTAGTGATGCAGCAGTAAACAATGCTGACCCAATTCACCGGACCTCCGATTCTGCCCAGATTGAATTGTCCACCAGGAGGAAGGTTTTGCCGTCCGGCCATCAGAAGCGTTATGATTGGGAGGCCGTAGGAAATAGTCAAGGCAATTGTGCTCACGCTCAAAATGGCGTTGAGAACCGTCTCAGCAAACAGGAACAGAACACCAACCAAAGCAATTAAGATTCCCTGGAACCAAAGCGCCCGCACTGGAGCTTTCCATTCGGGGTCCACGTAGCTCAGGTATTGGCTGAAAGGAAGTCCTCCATCACGGGCAAATCCCCAGGTCAAACGAGAAGCAGTTGTCACAATGCTAACTCCTTGGCCAAGTCCGTTGGTGATGAAAAGGGCTATCAAAACGGCAGCTCCATTCGTTCCAACAGTCTCCTGAACAAGCTCCAAGAAGGGGAGACCACTAGGAGAGTTGATCACTGTATTCACATTCTGGATACAGAAGAGGCACACCATCATCAGAAGAAAGCCACTGATTGCACCAGAAATGACAGCTAGGTAAATAACTTTGGGGGCATTCTTTCTCGGGGCGGGAATTTCTTCTACCATGTGGATCACAGCATCAAAGGCTGTCAGACCATATGCAGCCTGCACTAGGCCAATGAACCAGACAACACCATCTGGCCAGCCGGTCTGGTTAATCCACTTGCCAAATACAAAGTTGGCAGGCTGGTAAGCAAGGCCCTGCTTGGTCCCAACGGAGATCAGGAGAGCCAACAAAAAGACGAAAAACAGGCCAAAGAACCAAACGCCAACAAAATTGTTCAGCCAGGGCAAGAATTTTTCCCGTCGGCATCCAACTACGTTGACAAGGGTCAGGATGAATACACATCCTATGTAGACAACGAACTCCAGCCACCCCGTTGACGCGCCGGTCCAGTTGACATCGAACATGACTTTCATGCCCAGGATGAAGTTGGTCATGAAGGCGACTTGAGAGGCTGCGAGAGTCCACCAGCCAAAGACATTGATCCACGCGCACATATAAGACACAAACCGACCCAACCGGGAATCCCACAGTCGAAATATCCAGTAAGCTTGCCCCAGAGCCGTGGGCATGCTGCTACAGATTTCTCCCAAAGAGAGGGCCACGCATGTGTTACAGAATGTAACCAAGCAAAGACCCCATAGGATAGAGACTGGACCACCATTGATCAGGCCGTCCGAGAGATCTTGTGCGAAAGTCGACCACGTGCCAAGGACGCAAAAAGCGAGAGCTAACATGCTCCAGATGTTGAATTTGCGCTGTAAGCTCTGGTCATGGCCAAAGGCCGCGAGATCGTCGGCATCTTGAACATTTTGATCGGTCGGTTTGAGGGTTGTGTCGGTTTCCAAGTCCATAACTAATGGTTGAGACGAGATCGTAGCGAGGGCGTGTCAAGTCTGATAGCGTGTGGTCATTTCCGAATGCAAAATTTGTCGATATACTTGTGTGAGCTGGGGTCGTGCCAAGTCTCAACGGCGTGGTCCTGATATTGGAACGGGTTATAAGGCAATAAGAAGGACGAAGTTGAACACCTCGTTCCCCCAAACCCCAACGGCCTGGGGGAAGTGTTCTTCTCTCTGGGGAACCCCACGGGTTTCGGGGTTGTGTGGCTCTCGAGGGGTAACCTGGTCTGGGACACCGGGCATGGCCCACTTGGCGTTACCAGAACCTGGAATTGGCCTGGATCTTGGGCGAAACAAAATAACCATTCTTCAGCTTCCACGCTATCACCAGCTCCACTCGTGCCTTCTTCGAGGCAGACGCTTTCCTGCCCTGGAAGGTGAATGCGATTCTCAGAAGGCGCGTTCGTACATTCTCAAAGGTGGAATCATCCGCGTGACGATCACCAGGCCCGATGGGAATATTGATGCGATTTTGGTCTGGCCGAGGAAGCATGTCGCCTGCAGGACCCGATTCCATGACACACCGGGGCATCCATGGTCCTCCCGTTCGGCCTCCGAAGGTGGCAATGCGCACGCGGATTCGCTACCAGCACCGAGTCCGGGGAAGCCCGCCCGGGGTTGACCAATTTAAAGCTGTCCGAGAAATCGGAGACTAGGGATAGTCCGACCCAGAGTATTTGCCTAAATGGCGATAGCGACATCATCCGTGGAGCTCTAGGGCAACCGACAGCGCTTGCTTGTACCTTCCAAAAGCGTTGAGTCGCAAAAACTGCCGAGCTCCACCGTGGAGATCTTCCGAGCAGCGTCACCGACCGCGATCGCGACTATAAGACGAGGGGTTCACGTTGAATACCCTGATTGAGAGGGATTTTGAGGGCCAAATACCAGCTTGTCTTTGCTGTTGGCCCGGCAGGCACTCCCTATCAAGGGTTAGAACGCGCTATTTATTCACGCCTGAGAAGTTTGATCAGCCAATCAGCGTCCGTAGTTCGCTTGAGGTGGTATATACCCAAGCAGAGGCCTATATGAACAGAATGAAGCATACGCGCCCCCTCCGTTACCTCCAAAACTTCTTTTCTTTTTCCTCGGTCGCTTTGAGGATCTTCTGAATATCCACCCCACGCATGCCTGTCTCCGAGAACAGAAGAAAAGAGGCGGTACACGCCCGTCACCGCTCCCATAAAGGTTGCTGGACGTGTAAACGAAAACGCATCCAGTGTGACGAAACTCGACCCGCCTGTCAAAGATGCAGCAAGAGAGGAGTGGTATGCGAGGGCTACGAAATCCGACTGCGCTGGGGAGCCGGGATCGCTTCGCGTGGCCGATATAGCGGGGCAGAGAAGCCTAGTAAAGAGTTTATACCGCCGCCTTCAAAACGGAGGTGGGATCTGCGAGCGAAGGGAGAACAACGAGATGAAGGGGACCAGCAAGGACAACCTATGGTAATTTTTGGATCCAGGGTCACTGAAGGTACTGTGCTACTTCATAACTCCCCCGGGGTTTCTATTCGCTTGATGATCTATCATGGCAAGGGGGAACATGAAATACATTTCACTCTCAGATGAATTCGGGCTCCAGTCCTATTACTTCAGGAGATAAGAAAGCTAAGATATCTTTCATCCAGTCAAAACTTTGAATGAGCCCGTTGTCTTCGAACGACCTACTGTCAATATACTTAATATCCCCTACGGAGAAAATCCTGAAGAATATATTAGCATCAATAAGCACTTTGAGCTGCCTGTCTCAACGGGAAGCCTAGGAGAGGGGCCGGACAGAAAGCTACAGGTGAAAAAAGGACTTGGTTCGGATAATTTTCCAGACAATATGCAACGGTGCTCGGCAATCATAGCGTGAATCATACCTACAGGAGTATTTATAGTTCAAGTCTAGTTTTTTAGCAAGCGAAAACAAAATATTATTGAATTTAATTTGGAATTTCATCTTTCCGATAATGCGTGGGTATATGTGGCTATATAAGCTTCATCTCCAATTGTAAAATATCCCGCAGTTCTCGAATATTCTTATAGCTTGTAAATCAACCTACGGTTCTGCCGATCCGTTAAATCCGAAAATGCGTTTGCTAGATCGCTCGCTTCATCCATCTGCCCATTTTCCTCAATCTCACGTTTACGGGCAGTATTTTCCCTAGAGTAAACGACATATAGACCTGCAAACACAATCATGTTGATGATGAACGAGGCCAATGTCACAAAGACCCCTGTGGTATAGCGAGGCGATTCAGATGCCAGAAAAGTCTGCGGGGAGATAATATTGGCCACACAGTAGGCTGAAAAGAACAAAGTGCCAGTCACAGTCTTTTTTGTGTATCCGGCAATGTTGGACGCCAGAATTGTATACATCAACCCGCCCGCCGGTGCAACCATGGGTATCAAGTAGACTGCAGCCAGGTGAGCACCCAGGGTGGAGGATTTGATAGGAACTCCATAAAGAAGGCCACAGGCAATGATGCCGGGGACGTAACACAGGATGATGCAGATAATCTGCTTTCCTTCGCCCCATCTGGATGAAAGGAAAAAGCCAAGCAAAATCATCGAAACTGCCATGACAGCACCGACTGGAATCTGCAGCAGGACTGACTGGTAAGTGGTATAACCAAACCCCTTGATTATCAGGCCGGTGAAGTTTGTTTGAAGGCTGTTGGTCATATTGTGGCAGAAGATTGCCAGCAGCAACATCCACACCCGGTAGTCAGTGATCGTCTCAAGGACTTGGTCTTTCTTGTGGTGGCTGTTTTTAACACCGGTCCGATTATCCTTGAGACGCTGAATAGCGATCTTTCGCTCGCGCTCATCAAGCCATTTGCAATTTGCTGGAGTGTCAGGAAGCAACCACCACAGGCTGACTCCAATCAAGACGGTCAAGATACCAAAGATGATAAACATCCATTGATATGGAAACATACCATCGACCTATCGGGATTAGCTTGGATTGTTTGAAGTTCAGTCCATCTGGATTCTTACATCGATGTGTGCAATAGCATAGAACAGTATACCAGCTGGGACGGAGGCCATCCCATTGGCGCTATACCACAGACCAATACGGGAAGCCTGCTCCTCTCGTTTCCACCAAGCGGAGGAAATCAAGACAAATCCAGGATTGAGACAGGACTCGAAAACGCCGAGAAAGAACCGAGCCGCAGCCAGTGTAGAAAACGACGTCGCACTTCCGGTCGCAGCAAGGACAATACCTTTAAAAAATTGTCAGGTCTGTACCAGTATATCAATAACAAACAACTTACCCCAAAGAATAAAATTGATAGTCAAATACTTTCCTGTGGGAAAGCGCTGCATTAGATAGCTTGTCGGGTATTGAGCCACCTATTTTCCTGAGCATCAGTATCGATGGCAAGTAACTTTGGAGTTGCTTTAGGGGAATTACCAGATAGCCAATGTAAAAAATGGTGATGAGAAGACTGTACTCTTGTCCCACCAAGTGTGCTTCAGTCACAATGCCATATGTTGCTGCGTATGAAATTGTCTTCGCGAAACTTTAGCTTTCTGAGAGTATATGCGTGTTTGTCGAATTTCTCCATACCAATTTATCAACGAATTGGATTCCGTTAACTATCAGCATTATAGTGACAAGGCGGTAATCAATCTTCCATCTTAATTTCCTTTCTTCTTCTGGTGTGTATTCAATAAGCTCTCCCTGGAGAATCTCCAGGGCCTGGTCGCCATCCTGAAGCTTGTCTGAGAGAACAATAGGCCGACCGGCCGCTGGGTTCTCCAGCTCAATTGTCTCCGCTCCATTCTTGTTTGCTTCTGAGGCCATGATCGGCAATTCGAGACCAGCGGATTAATTAATCAGAGAAGTGGAGCAATTCAAACAGTGAGGGAGGTAGACACCCCGTGGGAAATCTGGGGAAACTGGAGAACTGAAAGAATACGGGGATCCACTACCATTTTATAGCAGCGCGCACGCGGGGGGTTCAGCATTCGCCTACAATGCGAGGAGTCATCAAACCCCTCAGAAGCAGATTTTCGCAGCGGTATAGCCCTTATCCGAGTAATTAGCGAGCGGTAAAGCTATCAAATGCAGCAATTTCCCCAGCCCGGCACTTTCGTCGACTTTCCCCCACACTCCCCCTCAAAAGTGGAGCCGAAGTTTTGCCGCACAAGCTATCCGGGGCCCCGTGAATCGATCTAGAGCCCTATGGCGAAAAGCCAGGGGCCACTAGCCAGTCACCGATTCAAAATCGGTACTAGTGGTAGCTCTTGTCTCGCTTAAAGATTCCAATCTGGCGAGGACGGAAAACCGTTCACCCTTGCCCAGTGAATCGTTGATAGAGAAAAAACTCGAGATTCTTATAAAATGAACCCCTTTCAATGTGACCGAGACTCGGCCTGAAAGAAGGTACCAGTTAAAGAGACTGATAAATCTCTCCTAGCCGTCATCCGGCGGGTCCGACGGGGATGGATCTCCGGAGAACCCCCAGTGCGTCTGCAGAATAAAGCTTAGCCGTGGAGAGCCTTGGATAAAGCTCATCCAAGAGCGGAACAACCCCGCACGCTGTGATGGTATTGTTTATCCGGATACTTAAAGGCAGCCCGTTCATCCAGCGCATTCGTCCTTTCCGTTGGACTCTCTTTGCTTCCAATTCGTGCCCCAGCCGTTTTCTTGACTGGTGTGCTGCTTCTGATTGATTTGCTTCTCTGCCATGGCTGACATGAATACAATCTCTCTCAAAGCGCCATCGCTCGGCGCAGAGCTAATTGGAACAGTCGACAAAGATAATGACATCGCTCTCTTCCGGGGCATCCCCTACGCAACCCTCATCAAGCGATGGACGCATAGCCAGACAAAGGATTCCCTGGATAGTGTTTTTGATGCGACGAGGCTTGGTTGTCGATGCAACCAATTGAACGGATTGGTGTTGGTCTCCGGTGGAAGCAATGATCCCCTCCCTGGAGACGACGAGTTCGAATGTCTCAATCTCAACATTGCACTTCCTCGGGAATCTTTGGACCAACAGGCAGCCAAGCCGCTCCCTGTCATGGTCTGGATTCATGGGTGAGACTTTCCTAACAATTACCCTCTACGCTTGGCAACGAGAGGTCGGCGCTAACCTCGTCTCTAGTGGTGGCTTTGCGTTTGGCGCCAATTCAGTGGCACGATATCGCCCTCAAGCGCTCGTCGCCCATGCGCGTGATTCTAAGACCCCGATAATTTTAGTCTCGATCAATTATCGCCTCGGAGCCCTGGGCTTTTCTGCGTCCGAAGATCTGGCTCAAGAGAGCAACGGAGGCTCAAAAACACACCCTGTTGGAAATTATGGTATTATTGACCAGCGCAATGCGCTGGAATGGGTAAATAGACACATCCAAGACTTCGGTGGCGACCCATCCAACATCACTGTTTTTGGTGTGAGTGCTGGCAGTGTCAGCATTCATATGCACCTTTTGGCCGAACATGCGCTGTTCGATCGGGCAATCATGATGTCCGGGGCGGCTCCAATTCTCAGCCCTTTGCCGATGGAGATTTATCAAAAAGAATGGGAGCGGCTCTGCCAGAAGACCGGAATCAACACTGCGAGCCCCTCAGAGCGATTGAAACAGCTTCGGGCGCTGAGTGTGGATGAAATACTGAAGAACTCCAGTCCTGCCGCCATGGGACCTTCCGAGGACGGGAAACTGCTCCAATCAGGCTGGACTTATGCCGATAATGTTGCCAATACGCGCTGCAAAGAAATCATTTTGGGAGACACAAATGTCGAGGCAATTATTTTCGACGGGCTGCTTCGACGTCTATCTCAAGAACGCTTCCATCAGCTGGTTGATGAAGCACTTCCGAGTGACTTTGCCGAACAGCTATATGTCAAATTTGGATTCAGTCGAGAGCTCCAGTCGGAGGACTTATTCCGCAAAGCCTTCCGGCTGCTTGTCGGCAATACGCTGTTTAACTACTCACACGTTGGTATCGCAAACGCATCCAGAAACTCCGAGGCTTGGCGAGACAAGATCCATCTTTACCACTTCGAAGAACCATCCCCGTTCCCAGGTCCAACCCAGGGTATCTCCTACCATGGACTGTGTGCAATGCTCATGCATCTCAACGAGTTCTCCAACTGTCCACCCCCGACGCAACGAGTGTCCTTAGAAGTTGCTCGGCTCTGGGCTGCATTTGCTCACGGGCAGCAACCGTGGGAACCGTATTCCCAGAACCAGAAATTCATGCGCTTTGGACCAGATGGAGAGTCTGGATTGTTTGATTTTAAGAGCGATGATGTGAGAGATTACCAGTTCCAGGATTGGCTTGGTGAGAATATCGCACAGGTGGGACGCTTTGTGCGTGGCCTTGTTTTGGATTTGGAGAACAACGATATCTAGGTCAGATAAACTTGTCGTAAAAATATCAACATGCAATTATCCATGAATTCATAGAAAAAATAGACTTTGTTTAGTCATTTAAAATTCAGTCTTGTTCCCCCGTTTAACCTATTTTGCTAGCAAGCTGGAGAACCTTCCGCTTACGATCTAAAAGAATAACTCAGGCGCCAAATCGAATTTTTGAAATATCTCGGTAACGACGCCGTCTATGAATCCATAGGCAGCAGCGAGTCTCAAGTAATGCTCTTAGTTTCACTTTGATATCGATTTCATTCTAGTAGACCTACTATCAATATATTGCGTGCGCCAAAAGGCGTTTCAAGAGTAGTCTCCCGCACAACTCAATATAACCCGGACCCCCAGCCCGCGCTAGATTAGGGTTTAGGCCAAAGTCTCCGACCCAGCGTAAGGTCCAGACTACTAGTTGTAACCCGGACTTAACTTAGGGCTTCAATTAGCTCGTAAATACAATATATATACTAAGCTCTATTGACTTTACAAGCTATCTTTTTTTAAATTATAATATTTAGTACCCATGGTCTCACAAAATTATATATCGCGACGATCCCCTGCCGATCAAACTCTAGAATAAAATGTTATGCTATGGTATTCCGTAGGACCATCGTACGCGTATTGAGACCGGAAGCTCAGTAAATCAAAGGAGTCCTGACAGCCACGCCAATATTTGGAGATATTACGACTTAAAATCAGTGTCAAGTTCACTCTCATGACTCTTTGGAGGGTTGCATCTGCTTCATTCAATAGAAGAATATTGGGGCACCCACGGTAGAAGAAAAGAACGAACACATTCCCTTCTTCACAAATATGTAGGATGCATGACCCGAGGCTATGGAAATGCAATTTTATTCGTTACTGCCATACAGTGTGTGTGTATGTGTGTGTCGTTCATTACGGTGATCCCTCGCTAAGCGATATGCAGCATACAACAACTATATATCAAAGTATGTACATGTGTCTTGATTCACTTCTTAAACGATAGAGTCTCCACTAGTACTACAGTTCTGTCAAAACCTCATATCCTAATTATTCCATAGGAATAATTCAACTATCAGGGTATAGGTCGATTTCTGGCTTAGGTAGTATCATACCACCTCCTGTTGGAGACGAATTTGTTTTTAACGGTCAATCCGCCTGCAGCAGCTAGAATTCCGGCGGACAGGCCCTCTGTTAGCGCATTGGTTGACAAGAGCAGAGAGGAGAGGAGAAGACACCGTGGAAGAGGTGCTATAATTATTTCCTGGGTCGGCGTGGGGGTTCACTCACGGTCATAAGCTTTGCCATCCTTCCCATAGGTGGGCTGGTTTGGGAAACCTTGTGCCCAGTTGCCCGTCGCGAGGTCAGCCTGGTGTGGGGGAGGGGGGAGGTATTGACAGATCGGTCTCCGCTGAGCAGGTGTTGAGGGATCAGACCGATGACTTTCACCAAGTTCTGCAAGAACTCATCATATGGCTTCTTCGGTGGTTCTACGGCAGTGAGCGGACACCAGGGCACCGTCGGACATTCCAACACCCGAGTCCCAGACCCGCTGTTCTCAGCTTCAGGGCGATAGACACGGTACTAAATGACGGGGAGGGGAATCATCGCATCAGTCACTTGCTGTCCAAAATCTAGGATAGAGGAGAGTAAGTGCACTCACAATGGGGTTTTTCCCTCCTTGCACCTTTCGCAGCTCCGTTCCGTGACGGAAATTAATCTGCTGAATTCCAAAGTTCTTGTTTCTGCGGCGGAAGTGTATATGCATCACGATGAAGCGGTGTTCAGCGCGTTGTTGTAAGGTTTTATCGATTCAGGATCCGTGCCAGCTAGGAACGCCACTGCAATAGTTGCCGGATAGCTCAGCTTAGTCTTCACTTCATATGATTGTTCGCGGGTTTAACCAGCCTACTCGACCTAATTGCATACCTTCTAGCTCGATTTGCTCGCCCTGACCCCCGCTGCCGTAGCGAAACCAGTGATAGTACTCAAATCTGGCCCCTCCGGATTGAATAACTTCTAGTACGTGGCCTATTGACAGTATTCCATTGTTCTTAGCTGGTGTTAGGTTGGGGTCCGTCTGTCCTGTGATCCGTCTCAACCAGAGCTCTTCCGTCACGGGCACGTCTAGCGAGGTAGCATTTTCGACGGCGCGCCGCGTGGTGCTCGTGCTACCATAGTTGCAGAGGTCGGTTTTCATGGCCGTCAGGGGCTCCGAGTTCCAGATGAGACCCTTAATGTAAGCATAGCCGGTCGAATAGTCGTTGACGCGGTTAAGGTCGTTCAAACAAGACACAGCGCCCTCACGCGCTAGATAGTCAATGGAGCCGGCGATTACATCTTGAAGCGAGCTGAGCTGGTAGTTGTTAATCTCTCGAAGACCCTGCCAATCCTCGCCAATATCCTCCAAGACGACGGTGAAAACGCGGGTGGGTGAGATTTGGTTATTGACGGTGTACCGGTTGACGGTTTTGTCCGTGATGACGGCCGTGGCGAGATTTCTCGCCATCTCGTTCACGGTCTCCGAGTCTATACTGAGCGGGATGGAGCCGCCATAGGATTGTAGGCGCCGCATCTGGCAAGGCTTTATAGTCACAGGGACGTGTCGGGGAGTGGCAGCTCTGTCGTTTCGTTATATCCTTAGCGTGAACCCGCGTCGGCGGCAAAGCTGGCTCTGGCTCTTCTCGCTTCTTCTTCGAATCCAACCACGGTGGTCGCGTTCCCACCTCCCAACCTCCCGACTTGGTTCCGTCCGCAGTGCCCCATGTACGGGGCACGCCCCCAGCAACGCAGTCAAGCCGAACATGGCCTCAGCTTCCTGCAAGTCCAGGGGATATGCGTTCGCAGTCGCAGCGACCCAAACCTCGCAGCTCCCGACCGTCTCTGTATGTCCCGGATGGGCAGTGGTGCCGGCTGGTATGCGCACATAGCCCTCGCATAATCGAAGACTGTTCCATAGCGCGCTGGCGGCATCGAGGCAATCCTGTTGGATTGGTGCACACATGCCTGCGGTGCAGCTCCACCCATCGGCGCTCAAAGCGTGAGGAAAATAGAAGAAAGAAGTAGCGAACGAAACCAGACTGACTTTTTACGGCATCATGGTCGTGACTAATGAGGCCAATGCGAAAAGAAATTGTCGACGGTTACGCTCGACTAGGAGGAGTATATGGCCTCTATTATAAGGAAGAGACAGCATGCACCGGAGCTCGATGACTCTGTGTGATGTGATTCTCAATTTTTGGGACCTATACTCTTGTGCCTCAACAACTCGCTTTCATCGGCACTTATCCGTTTGACATTATCCATCTCATCACTAGCTCTTACTCATCATGGCTATGCACCTCGATCTGTGGGTGTAAGAGCCATTGTCTGGCCCATCAGAGGGAAAAGGGGAAGATGTGAAAAAAGACAAGATGGAAGCTTTTCAGCCTTTGTATGCGCCACCGTATTCGAACTGTAAGCCGGTCTTTTATGTATAGGTGAGATTGATGTAAGCTTACTACTGGCGATCTCCTCTAAAAGCTTGTCGTGAATGAAAGGGACTCATATTTAGGATGGGCAAAAGTACTCAGCCCTACCAAATCTAAATCAATAGCTTATTTTTGCTTATCAAGTGGATGGTGATCCTTGCCTTATGAAAGCGGAGCTGAAAGTAAGCTCGCTAAAGCTTTCGGGGACCCCGCCACTAGTGTCAGTACGGGGTTTTCAGGCCACCCTACGGACTATATCTGTATAAAGCTAGCGAGATTTTTCCTTCGTTTAGCCAAAGGATAATAAACATAGAGGTTATGACCAACATCATTCATTGGTGGCCATCACCGAATGACTTGAAGCCATGAAATATATCATAAATATATTCTCGCCATGCTCCGGGGGAAGGGGGCCCTGAATTTAAGGTTTAAATCCTCCCCCCCCAAGTACATTAAATAGTGGTAGTTTTCGATCAGGTAAAAAAAGGGATCTCTCTGTTCATAAGATGGGCTATTATTATATCTTTCTATCAAGAAAGATTAGTGGATTCCTAGTAGATTCCTAGTTAGAAGGTCCTAACCCAAGGAGGGTAGATTGTATCTAGGTGATATGTCCTGCGCCGGGTTAAAGGTCCCAGCCCCTGGGGCTTGCTTGTGTTTTATATTATATGCATGTATGTATGTATATGGAGGGAGATTAAAGAGACTCTAACCAAATAAAAAAAAGAAGTAGAACAGGCCCGAGCCGCGGATCGAACGCGGGACCTCGCGCAATTATGCTTGGGGTGTAACCCTAAGCGCGAATCATACCACTAGACCACCCGGGCTGTTATGTTTTATAAGCAGAAATTAAAATCTATTAACCAAAAATTCCTATGAACCGACCATCTGGGGGCTTCGTAACATTTTCGTGATCTAGTACTATCACTAACTAAATATTCAAGATCTATGAGTGCATGCAGATGCCCATATATCAAATTTTTGTTCACCAGAAATGAAGTGGTACTTATGACAGGTATGTTCATTCCCAATTAGATGGTAGTGGTTTTCAAGGTTGAATAGAAGATAATGGGCCCGTCACAAGACATCCAGCCCAACTCGGACAAGTTTGATTCCAGGCCAAACAGACCGAGAAACCCTAGTACGCCACCAACCGGTTCTCGTACTTTGCGCATTATATACAAGGTATGTCCAGGACAGGGTATGTACAAATCAGAGAAGAATTATTTCCCCACCCCGCATTTCCCACCCCCAAACGCCGGCCAGGATATGTTACAGTTCCGAGGGCCTCCCGTCTCCCTTCGCATCAGTGGAGGGTCCAATATCCGCCTCTTGGTCAACGGCACCAGTCAAGAAGAAGTCCAGCTCGCTGGGCCCGCCCTGCGAGTTCTCGTTCTCAGCGAGCTGCTCCAGCAGGCTCAGGAATGGGTCCTTTTCAAGATTGCCTGTTTCGCTGCCCGCCGTGTGCGAGCCACTAGTCTGGGATTGAGCGCCCGGCGTGAGCGCGGTGCCTCCAGGGCCTGACTGACTTGCCCCGTTGAGGTTGGCATGGGATGCGTCGAAGGGAAAGATTGCGTATTGGGGGTTTGGAGGGGGAGTTGGGGCGATGTTAAGGGATGGGTCCGAGAGAAAGTTAGGCGGTGATAAGCCGAAGGCGGAGGGTGAGAAAGCGCTGGGGAGGCCGAGATGGTTGTTGTCTGTGGGCGCGTTTCCAGCTTGCCCGGTGGTAATATCGGTTGTACCGTGGACTGGAAAGATGGAGGAGAGAGACGGAGAGGGTTGAGAGTGGTTGTTGGATGGTTGATGGAAGTGGAGGGCGGGAGAGAGCGGCCCTGGGGTTTGTTGTGTTTTGCTGGAGATCGATTGGGAGTGCGAGTTCCGTCGTTCGGATCCCGGGGTCTGTGACGAGGGAAGGGGAGGTGTGGGTCGGGCGTTGGAATAGAAGCCTGGGGTCTGAAACGAGGGGGGTGCCATTGGGCGTTGGTAGAAAAGGTCTTGTCGATCCATTAAGCTCGACGGACTGGGAACGAAATTGAGTTAGTATGACGGAGGTGTGCATATCCCCAAACGAGACAGAAAATGGCTGGAGCGTATGCTTTACCTTGCAACCAGTTCATCTCCCGTATCCACTAGTCGAACATGAGCCCCATCCACTGCGAGCCCGGGATACCTATCCAAGAAGTCCTCGAGGTGGAAAACGGGCGAAAAGCGCATGGGGCTGGTAGCGAGATTGCGTACAAGCTCGGCGTGACAGGTGTAAATGGTTTGGAGAAGCTCTCGCTGATGCTGTACGCCTGCCCACGCATTCCGCAACCAGGCCAGCTGGTGCATTTCGCGAGTTAAGAACTCGGCACTTGAGGAAAAGACCTCGCCCTCACGGCCCTTATAATGCACGCCGTGAACATGAACCGTGCCGGCTGTACACACACAGTAGCCGACAAAGGCTGGCCACTCAACCAGAGGAGAGTTCCGTCCTAGCTCGACCAGCTCAGCGATGGCATTCGAATGGGAAAAGCAGAGGTTGGTGGCTTCAATTTGCCAAGATTGATGCTGACCGGTACCCCTCAGCTCCACCAAGTCGATGGGCAAGAAGGGGCGGTAGATCAAGCAGTGGACTAAGTGGTAGATCAATTTACTGAGCAGCAGAATGGTGCTTTCGGGATGTCCGAATAGTGCTTCAATGGATGCGAAAACATCTTGGGTCCCTGCGGCCCAGATATCCAGCTCCTGTCGGATTTTGGAGAGGTTGGACAGCGCATGCCACGGGAAGTGTGAGTCCCCCTTGACACCACCGGCGGCCAAATACCGGTTGGTGACCCCCAGGATCCGGGTTATGTCAATGAGTAAGGAGGCTGCGCTGGGGGTTTTACGCCGCGAGTCGGCGGAGTATTGGATGTTCGGTCCCACATGAAAGAGCTCGCCGTCCAGGTTGAGACCGGCCGCATGGGGTGACCAGGACGGAAGACGCAGGACAATGGCATGATCTGAGATGAGACAGGGCCGACGAGATCCGCAGGTGATGAAGCGATCCAGGAGGTAGACCGTCCAAAAGAGCCTGCGTCGCATCTCACGTTCCGTGGTGGATAGATTGACTTTTGATGGCACCTCGCGGAGCAGGTCCAGAGCTACCACCATGGCCACACAGTTTGCTAAGTGAATCATGAGCCGGCGCACACCAGACAAATCTGGGACGAAAGGGGAGAGATCATACAGAAAACCATGTACGCTTTCTTGCTCAGACCATAGGCGAAAAAAGCTTGGGACAGTAGCACTAAGGTCTGCAGGCCCTCCACAGTGGGATTATCCACATCAACCATACGGCGCGCCTGTAAAGCAGCCTCGAGTCCCAATATCAGGGATTGTTCGGGCTGGCCGACATGGGTGTATCTGGCAGGCTCTGATTAGAGACTTTGCTTTGGCTTTGGGCCTCGTGGCCGGTCGGGGAAGAGGCTCACCTCAGAGTCATCGCCGATATCGCCATGCATAGATGTGGCGGCAATTGACTCAACTGGTAGCGCTGTCGAGTGCTCGCCTCGTCCAGAACGTAGAAGGGCTTGCCGTGGAGTCGCGCAAAGTACGCATCTAGTAGAATCTCGGACAAGGGTCCATTTTGTGGTGGGGCTGACGGTGGCAGGCCGGGGGAGGGTCCATGCCCGGTCGGCCGGGGAAAAGGCTCTGGATTCTGCGACCCGGGCGATGTGAGTGTCGGGCGCGCGTCGACAGGAGAATATGGCTGGAATGAGGATGATTCGATGGTGTTGCGGCGGGGAATTTGCTGCAGCGGGAGATCGTCGGGGGTCTTGTCTGGGGAGGTGGGCGAGATGGGATTCTTCTCGTCCTGGAGCCTCCTCTCGAGCCCGTCAACTCGCTTGAGCAGCGCCTCGAGGACATCGGTTTTAGGGCCGCGTTTTTTGGGGATTGCATCTGTTGCGCCGTCGAGTTGGATCAGACCATGTTGCGTGACCGGATATGTAAGGCCGCGGGAGGGGGGGGGGGGGAGATGTCTCCGGCCTCGGGGCCCCGACAGACACTCACCATATACACAAGGACACTGAAAGACCTTGCAGGCCTCGCAACTCGGGCGTAAACGATTGCATTTGATCTGGAGAAATTTGAGCAGGCGGTCGTGAGCATAATGAACTCGGGCACTGAACCTTTCGCTTGCGACAAGACTTGCAATTCATCGCCTCGCGCGGTTCGGCCGTCGCGCGGCGCGGCGTCAGACGGTCGATGCTGACCTGCGGACGAGACATCGCGCATTGAATGTATTCAGGAGGGAGACATGAGGAATGGGGTGAAAAGGGAAGGAAGAGAAGAGAAGAGAGAGGAGGTAAGAGAGCAGAGCGAAGTTGGGGGGAAAGAAGGAGGGAGGAGAGAAGAAGAGGAGGAGGCTAAAGAGAAAACAAAGTTAAAGCGCCTGGGGAAAAATGGGGAAATAAGAGGTCGTGGAGGTCTGGAGTCTTCACCACTCGGCAGTGACCACTCCGCAGGGCTAAAGGTGATCTAGTGCCGTCTCGTGCAAAGTTCTGGAGTGCTCTAGTCATTCCAGTCTCAAGTAAGAAAAGAAAAAAATAAAATAAAAGGAAACCAAAAAAAACAAGGTCGTAGCCGAAGCAGCAGGGGGGACTTCTCGAAGCGTGCAAGCGGGAACGTGGAGGAAGTGCGGAGAAGTGCCACCGGAGTTATTCTTTGTCGAGCCACGAGTTGGGCGACCAAGGAACTATATTCCTGCTCGACAGCATCTGCTGCGTGGCCTCGGTAGATGCATACATCCCTAACACACATATTCAGACTCATACTCAGACACATATTTATCAATAATAGGTAGATCAATAAGATTCACGTTAATAATGTACCGTCTAGCTTAAAGAACTTGCCCCCCTCCTCTCCTTGGGGGACTTGGCCCCAGAATTGAAGCTTCCCTGAGCCGAGAAACAGCCGTGGACTAGTTTTAGTCCTGCGCTGCGGATTGCGGCATGCATTGACTTCGGATCCACCGAGTCGTTTTTAGTGGGCATCTTAGGTCCTGGGCTGTATTCCAATCCGCTTCGAGGGCCAGCGATCATCGATTCCTCCCCATTCTATGAAATCCCCAGACGCAAACTAAAGAGCCCTTAAATAAAAGGGTTCCCGAAACGCAATTAACCTATAGCGTAATCAACAATCCCCACGGTATACTAATCTGGATTTATGAGACCCTCCCCTTAGTCTCGGGGCAATTGCTGTTTTCTTCGCCGTAAGGGTTTCGTGCATCTGCCGAGACGACCGGACTCGCCATCACATCCACAATGTTCGGAATCAGAAGACGAAGGCGTACAATAACAGGTACAATAACAAGCATGAGGAGTCCTGGCTGCTCTTCTCCTGTGCGCCTCCTCAACTGCCCCTTCCCCTTCTCATTCGCTCCTCGCTCCGCTCCACCTTCCATCACGAGGCAGGGACCGCTCACAACCTGGTACCTGGTCTGCATGGCCCTCGTCGGCCTGCAGCGAGTCGAAAGCCACCGCTCAACCCCGTTCCCTGTCCCCGTTTCTGACATCGCGGTGTCCGTCCGGTCGCCGAGAAGCGTGTCTTGCAGGGTTTCGGTGCAGAATGTGCGTCAGCACCTCCCTCCTTTCTCCCCGTGTCCTCCTTTGGGACTACTGAATCTCCAGATCGGCTTCCCTGAAACACCGCTCCAGAGATGAAGGAACACCTAAGCGCCCGGCGGGGGACTGACTGGGCTACTCGTATTCGAGTTCCTGGTCCCTGTCCATCCTGTTTGGCTCCCCCCGCCCTCCTGGATCGACGACCTGGCATACTGCATTGGAAACGGGGGACTTGCCAGTGGGGAGTCAAGGCGAACAGGAACTAACAGAGCCAAAGATGACCAGTGAAAATCTCCTGCATTTCCATCCGACTCCACGAAAACACGACTGGAGTCTGAATGGAGTATGACTGAGAATGAGAGTAGGGGACTCCCGACCGGAAACCCTTTCCCTCTTCAACCCGGGTTGGCCATAGTATATACCCTGGATACCCGGGATACCCTGGATACCCAGTACACAGGGTATACTGTATAGAAGAAAAGTAGCCAAAGACAGCCAAGAGACCCAAGTCCTACCCCGTACTTGATCCCACCCCTGTCCGGCATTGTCCAAGTCCTGCAGGCCTGCAAGCCTGAAGAAATGCACGTCTTAACAGGGTAAAAACGGCGAACAAGCATTTATCCAACCGAGGGGAAAGCCTGCAGCGTCCAGCAGACTCGTAAAAAGCATACTCGAGTATCAACCCTAACCCTCCTGCGCCATGATCTGCCCAGACCCTCTTCTCCTCCCGAGACCCCCGATCCAGGACAGCAGGGACAGAGGAACCACGTAGTCCCAAGCCTCGTCTGCACGACATGCTCCGCATAACATCTAGTGCAGGCCACTCGCATCCCAGGGTTAATGCCTCATGGCCTCTTTCTTCTCCCTCTACCTCCACCTTCCTCCCCCCTCCTTCCCAACCCCCGGCCCACCCTCGTCTGGCTCCCCGATCATGATCGATGATCCATGAACTATGATCTCTCATCTATTGTCATCTACAGACCTAGCCCGACTCTATTTCTGTCCAGGCAGTAAGGACCAGCAAAACGGCCCGATCGGCGACGATCAATGATTTAGTGGCCTGGCTGGATTAGGCCCGGGGCGCTGCGCCATCCGTGACGGCTTGGGGCTTGGATCATCACCAGCCCAACTCCTCCGCCCGCCGGCCATCCTCTTCGCGCGAGGTGACAGACAGACAGAAAGAGACTCATTCTGTGGAAGGAGGGGGTCTTGTGTGTGAGGGATGTTGTGCATGACAAGCGCCGGGACCCCCGACGTCGAGCAGCACCAAAACCACCTGCAACCAACCAATTATGGAACCCCGGATTTCTGGGGCGCAGATAAAAGCGGCGTATATGGAGAGGCGGGGCCCCGGAACCCCCTAACTAACTACAATAATAACGGAAAAAGTACAGAGAGGGAAGAGGAGCAGGGATTTACTCATACAGGAAGACCCGTCCCTTTTTTTCCTTTTCCTTTTCCCTTTTTTGTATCTTTTCTTCTTGTAATGTTTTAGCTGACTCGTGATCGGCAAACCGGGGTTGCAGACTGCAGAGACCGTTCATAGACCTGGGTTTGCATCCAGAAGAGAAAAAAAAATATTCTAGAAATGCATTGTAATATCAGGCTCGAATATAGAATATACCCAGTCCAGTCCAATCCAATCCACGAATCCAGATCCAGACTCCAGGAACACGGGCTGAGCATCAGATGACGGACACGACAAGCAAGTCCCGTCGGGCCGTAGTCATCTAGATATCCAGACACATACAAGACAGGCGAGGAGAGAGAGAGAGAGAGAGAGAGAGAGAGAGAGAGAGAGAGAGAAGGGGTAAATATCGAGAATAAAAAAAAAGAGGCACGTTATGAAGAAGCAAAAAAGAGCCCTCCCACCCTCTCACTCGCCCCGCTACAATTTTCCCAGTGCTAGGCTAGACTGCTAGACACTAGAGACTAAAACAACGGGCGGCCGGACGCCATGCGCACAAAGTCGAACGGCACATTCTGCCCGACCAATAGTCGTAGCGTCGCTACCGTCGTCCAGGCGCTGACGTCCTCCGATCCGTACGCCGTCCACCCAGCGCTGGTTGCGACGCCCAGCGGATCGCCCTTCCGCGGCCCGCTTGTCAAATCCAAGTACACCTTACCCCGCGTCGACGGTGGCGAGGAGCGGCCGTTGGCGCGGTAGTGACGCAGCAGCGGCTGGACGAGCAGGGACTTCTCGGGTGGCAGAGCTGAGACGATGACGAATGGCTGCTCGACCAGCTTGACGGACTGAATAGACGTGAAGGGCTCGAGGCCGGCGGCAAGCGGACCGACGGCTTTGAAGCCGACGGTGTAAATAGCGCCGACGCCGAGGCTGCGCAGGGCATAGATCGCGGCGGATGCATCGGTCTCCGAGCCGGCCAGGATGATTGCTGCACGGCCGCGGTACGCCGAGGGGACGTATTCGCGGGTCAGCGTAGCGCGGATACCTTTCCAGGCAGCGTTTTCGCCGATGAAGCGGGCGCTACCGGAATCGGTGGACGTGGACAGTGCGATGGTGTCGATGAGCCCGATGGCGCGGGCGGCCTCGCTGACGGCGGGGAGGTACGATGTTGAGCTGGGGATGGGCGGATTGAGCGAAGCGCCCCCAAATTGCGGTTGCATGAGCACGGCTTCCATGGAGCCCTTAGGGCCGCGGTCGATGGAGCTAAACGTGTGCGGCAGACCGAGCTCATTCATACACTTCTCCATGAACATGGAGTGGGGGGTTGACCGAAACGAGCCGACGGCGTACAGATCGCGTTTGGGCAATTGACCCATGATATGCAATGCCTCGTTGATCTCGGCGGCAGTCAGCTGGCCGGGGGCCGCAATCATGGGGAGAAGAGGGTGAGTGATCGGAGAGAAGACGGTGTTCAGGGCTCGCGAGAGCTGGCCCGTTTGGCCCATGTTGACGGCAGACAGGAGCGGACCAGGGCCCTGACTCTTGATAGTGGACCGGAAGTACTCCAGTTGATAGTTCTCCTCGATAGTCGAAACCATGGCGATCATCTTGACAATGTCACCGTACTTGGCGCTTTCCGTGAAGACGCGCTGGGCCTCCGGCGAAGTCCAATTCCACGTTCCGGAGAAATCATGGAAAGCAGACATGATAATACTATGGCCCTTGACCTCCGCCAGCCGCCGTCGAATTTCCTCCGGAAGCCACAGTTCCACATCCACATACTCGACTCCCCACTGAATGGCCCGCCGCAGATACTTGTAGAAGAGCATGGGGTCATCCACGGGGAACTTCCCATTCTCTTTAGTACAACGTGTTGTAAATATAATTGGTAATTCCGTATGTTGCCTCAGTAGCATCAATTGCTGGCCCACGTATTTCAGACTCGGCACCGAGCCCGCCGGAGCACCGTCCGACGTAGGCTCGACTAGCAAGTCCACACGAATCTCGACGGCATCCGATCCAACGGACAGGATATCTAAATTGGGCAGTGCCGCATGAACGTCCGGAAATGTTGTCGAAATAAAATTCGTTCGCGTCTTGGTGCGCAGGTCTTCATGCGGCCGAGTCTGACCCAGAATTAACGAGAGGAACCGGGTCAAGTCGCGGCGGAGAAAGGGCGTCCGCGAATACAGGAACTCATAGTCGCAGACTTCGCTGAGCTGGTCCTCCGGTGCAGATCCATCCTCCACACAGTGCGTATTGATCAAGACCAGCACAGACCGGTCACAGCCCTGCAAGCTCCGACCAAGATCATGCGCCAGGACGCCCGCCACCACGACATCACTGGCCCTGGTCAATGTTGATAATTCGATCTCCGTCGTCCACGGCTTTCCGAGCACTTCCGCGACCATATGTACGATATGTTCCTGGCCAGCCCCGAACACAATGACTATAGTCCCCGCGGGCGTATCCGGTGGCGGCGTAACAGGTGGAGTATCATGATTTTGGGGCGACGACGCAGAGGCGGGATTCACGATGAACGGAGCAACATTCAGGGTGGAAGAGGCATTGTTGCTTGGAGCGCCAGCGGCCGTAGGAGCAGCCACGGGGGCAGAGTTAGGGGAAGTATGAGCGCCCGGGTCCTTCAGGGCCGTGGAAACGGCAGCGGAGTCGTCAAGCAGCGGCGTCGCCATGGGCGGCAGGGCAGTTGGCATCATCGCATAGCAAGCCTAGGCGTTTTCATACTTGGGCGATCAGCAACAGTCTCCCCAGGCGGCGGTCCGAACCATCCACGGGTCACACGAGAAAGAGCGACGGGGCGGTTTCCAGCTCAACAAGAGGGACACCGAAGCCCGAACCGCGGCGACAAGGGAAGGCGAGGTCTTTATTCGCCAGAACAGGGACGCGTGCGACGGCAAAAAGGAGAGGAAGGGGGGAGGGGCTGTGGGTAGGCGAGCGTAAGTGTGTGGGTGTAAAGGGAAAAAGCGAATATCAGCGCGACGGCGTAGCACAGAGCAAGTAGTACCCGCGGCGCATAGACCGAGCGGCGTTTGGCCGAGCGTAGGAATCGAGCGTAGGAATCGAGGTCAATCCGGGTGAAGTGCGGCGAGGAGTAGGAGGATGAATCAGGACGTCAATTGCAGGCTAGATAGAGTTTAATACGGGGTGGCCCTGCTGGCGAAGCAGGGTATCCACGTATCCACGGCATTGAAAGACCTGGTGGAAGAAGAAATCGCGGACATTCCAATGCGCAGCGGCGCGAGGATCCATCTGGGGCGCGCGGGGGAACACGGGGAAGCATTTCTCCGCCAATGAGCGGCGCCGGACGGGGGCATCGTTCGGTTTGGGGGGTTTGGGGGTGGCCAACTATCGGGCAGTCCGGCTCCGAAAAAGGGAAAGGATTGTGTCAAATGGGTTGCATATAGGGGCATGAGGTTTCATTAGGCTGATTCCATAATTTCCCCCCTTTAATGAAGCATCTGTTTGATTCCACTGGGATCGATCTTGACGAACTATATACCTCGGCGCATGGGAAATAATCGTATTAACCTCAGGCCACAGGGCCCCAAGGTCACACATCCTTGACAATGGCCCGGACGCTGCCATCTCCATGATCTGATACGGGGAAAATCTCTGGCTACACAAGAAACACGGCTAAGAAGAGCCAATGACCAGGTCCGGGACTATCCACAGGGCTAGATATGCAGCGGGAGCCGGAGGTTCAGCAGGTTTCGGCCGTCTACTGCCGTCTACTGCCGTCGAATTGGCTGGATGGGGACAGCCAAATTGGAGCCTGGGGTAACAGAGCTGATGCAATTATATGATTACTGATAGGCCCGGGGAGAAGGTGAAGGGACCAATTACGGTGGTGGTTTTCCATATCAGTCTCGCATGAAGGTCTCCATGTACACACACCTTTATCAATTCGATTCTCAAAGGGTTGACTTCCCCTAGTGGATGAGTAACGAGTAGACACAGAGGAAGCGTGTATTAGGCTCCATATTTACAGGTCAAATACTTCATCAGGGATATCCGCACCTCAAGACTTCGTGCTTTCTTTCATACGTAAAAGAAATAATCAAGGGAGAGAAAGAGAAAATGGAATACAGCTTGAAATCTCAACCAATCTGCCATTGAGATGTCTTCAGATCGCTCATATTGCAAAGGCATACCTCACGAAAATTGGCGGATAGCAACCCACGAACTGTACTTGAAAGCAAGAGAGAGAATGAAACGAGAGAAAAATACCAGCCGAGTAAAGGGGGGTATTGGAATCAAGACAGGAAGCACGGGGGAATAAGAGCAGTCGCAAGATAAATCTGACTAGAGGGACAATAAATCAAGACAATGTATCAGGTAAGATGGAATAGGAAAACACAACAACACATCTCGCGCCAGATTTGCGCTTTTGGGGGGCTTGTTCACTCCACTAGGCATCAAGCCGGAGTAATCCTATGTACGAGGAAGACTTTCCAATGATAGACCGCCCGCATCGACGTGGATCCATCCAGGAAGCGTTCTAGGAGCACGTCTGGAAGAGATCCACGCCCACGTGACATACGCGACGGGGGACGAAGGATTGGAAAAGGAAAAAAGATATGCGATGGCAGTGTCCTGGGCCATGCCTACCGCTGAACAGAGCCCGAGGGTCTATCCCAGAGGGCATCTGTAAGACGAGGCCTCCCATCTGCAGATAACCTGCGGGAGGTAAGACATCACATCATAGGGGGGAAGAAGAAGACTGATAGAAAAGCAGTCTTGGTAACGATCAAGAAGGTGTAGAACAGAAAGCTCAGCCCGATCAGTGGCCCGTGTTTCCTGGTTTGCGTAACAGCCCAACCGTAAGTGGAGACGACCGGCATCCCTCTATACATTGCCAATCAGTTGGACAAATGCGGGCGAGACTGTTACCCCCAAGAAAAGCCGAGACCGAGCTAGAGCTGGGATGCTGGTTTCAGAAAGCAGGTCAACGGAGAGTCACGTCGAACGTGAGACGGCGATGCAGATGCAAGAAGGCGGGCGGCGGGCCCACACGGCCAGGCAAAGTGCCATGGAAGAATAATCGGACGATCTTTGAAGTATTCACACCAATTAACTGGGCGGGGATATCGCCAACCCATTCATAAGCTTGGGAAGTGGCTTTCTCCGGGCATTATTTGCCGTCTTGGACACCCGAGGAGCTCCATGGATCATGCGGGGCTCTTTCATGAGACTGGTATCGAGTTTTGCTGGCGCTGTGGTGAGAGAGGGTGTGTTAGTTGAAGAAAGACACATGAAAAAAAGGGCAGACGATGCTCACCTCGTTGAACAACTCGACTGTAATCACCGGAGAGATTCGGTTGGCTGCGGCTGCTGGGAGCAAAGAATGTGGCACTCGCTGTCCGCCATAGATGGTTGGAGGTGTCCGACAAGAAATCGGTGGTTGATCGGCCCGAGAAAATAGAACTGCGCCCACGATTACGCTTCGAAAGCACGATTTCGTCAAAGAGCGCCATCTTCGAGTCCTTGGCCTTGGGACTAGTCCTCTCCCGCTCGCTGATGAACTCATTGAACCCTTGTGTCTGTTGCAGAACAGCAATGTATTCCGCATGCTCATGCGGAAGGCTCTTCAAAAACGCCTCCATATTGAAGGTATAATACATACCAGCCTTCTTCTTTTCACCGCTTGCTGGCACAAGGTACTTCTTATATGTATAGAACAAGCTGGCGAAGCACCTCACGAAGGCAGCGCGGATTTGATCAGGGTGGAAAGCTGCATCACAAACCAGGCAGACCTGAGACGCACACCGGTTGTGGACGGTCAACTTGCACTGCGAGCACTTGAACATGCCTTCCTCTGCGCGGTCATCACAGATGGCGCACGTCAACTTATCATCCCATGACTGAGTTTGGAAATAGTGACCCTCAACCCAACAAGTGCCTTCAGCATTGTTTACTGGCTGTGCAGTAGCCTGTGGAACAATCGTTGAGGCAGCGATAGTCGACTGGGCATACACCGATGGAGCATACGTTGAGCCTGGACCATAATCCGTGTTGAGCGTAGTGACAGATAAGTTAGAAGTATGACCAAGGAATGGCGCGCTAGGTCGCCGGGTCATACCAAAGGATGAGCTTCTGCGGGATGCGGCATCAAAGTGACCGGAACGCTTCTCGCGCAGCGATGCCTGCAGCGCCATTCCGGAGTCATTCCGTGAAGAAGGAGTAGGAGGAGGGGGGGGAAAGTGACCTGAAGTCGGGGAGCTCTCTCGTGGGGATGGCGGTGAAGCAGCAACTCTGGAGGTTGAGGCTGTGCCTGGACGATCATAGCTCTTTGAAGAAGAGTAACCGCGCGAAGAAGCCTGCTCGTGACGGGCATGGAGGAATGCATTGAAGATTGGAGGGTGATAAGAGCCTGGAACCACAGCCGTGGTGCCGAATGCACTGGAATTCAGCCCGACATACTTGGCAAGGTTCGTGGATGGCGCCTTGGAGGTATATGTGGCGCTGCTTTCAGTCAAAAATGTGTCCCAAGGGTACGTCTCAATCGCATATGCTGGGGGGCCTGTTGTTACACCACAACGACTGTGATGAGGAGCAGCCAATTGCAAAAGCGACAACAGCTTGCGGCGCTGGTGCCGTGGTAGGGGGGTTGGTCGAACTGTGCTTTCAATCATGTCGGAATCCAAATCCACGAGAACAAAGTCATCGCTTGGCAATTCAACTTTCTCATAGCGACGCTCAATACCCACGATATAAGGGCAGGGGGCTTCGATGGCCTGGACTAGACGCGCTGGCAGGACAGGAATTAAAACACCCGCCCATTGGATGGGGAACAGCAAATCCACCAGCGCTCTGGTGGCAAGGTAGAGCATGGAGGTGTGAGATGACAGAAAGATGATTCGAGACTCGGTCAGTGCATACTCAAACAGGATAATAATGTTTTGAACGGACAAAGTCCTAAACAATGCATAAAGATCCGTGTTACGAGAGCCAGGAAGTTCATTGGACGCCTCTTGTCGCGCAAACAGTCGCAACTCTCGGATCGCGAGTTCCACCTGAGTCTTTGAAGAGACAGGGCAAAACGCTTCCGTGCAAAGATTCATAACATAACGCTCTAGGGGCTGCCAGACACCCATCCGAGTGGAGCTCGGGGGCACACGTTGGATGCCACCTTCGGTCATAGGGATGACAATTGCCTTGAGCCATTCCTTCCAGAAACTCGTCATGTTGGCCTCCCGGCCCAGGATACCATATGCACGCGGAATCCAGAACCCAGTGTCACCGTCGGTCAGTCCTTCGATTTTCGAAGCTGCACCGTGTCTCACCGGACGCAGTAGATCAGTCATGAGTCCAATTTTCTCCTCGACCGCACTGATCTCATCTTCGAGCTGTTCGCGAGATTCAGAGCCCGAAGGAACGTTGGGGAGCTGGGCAAGCAGACGGGATAACTTGGCTCGCTCAGATGCCAGTCTCTCACCCAGGCTGGCCGCTAGCTCACGCTCCTCGTCTGTCATGTTTTCTTTCCGCCATTCGTCGCATCGCTTCTCCAGCTCCTCCGCTGCGCGCGGGTTCAGGGGAATCCAGATAATAACGCAGATGGCGTGCAATTTCGAGCCATTGTCCGTGGTCATGGCAAACCCGTGCCATGTTGACCGTGGCCGTTGGTCCGAGGAAACAATATTGATGTCATTCGGGAAGGCGAACATGGGAACATAATCCGGAAAGTTACCGCGCTGCTTCAACTCATCCGTCATACCTCGTGTGGGGTATCGATCCAGCAATACTGGTTCGAACCGCCGCTTCAATGGGTGCATTGAAGGGGAGATTTCAAGAGGCTGCGGGACCGGGATGACGGAATTGTAGTTGCTCAATCGTCGAGAGGTGCGTACGGAAGCTGGAGATCAACGAGAATTCGCGGTTAGCAGGAGATCCATATCCTGGTACATGTTTATATGTCCATTCCAATCGGCGTCTGGGGAAGACTGTCCCCTCGAAAAACGAGAGATTGACTCGAACGGATCGACTCACCTTGTCGCGCAATCGACGGTTGCCGTTTCATACTATTCATATCTCGGAACGACATGTGTCGGCGAACACTGCCAATGCCGGATCTCAGCAGCCCGGAGCCCTGGGATGGCGAGTCCTCCGATACGATCTTCTGGGTGCGCATGCGGGATCGTGGGCGCGTGTTCGGCGTAATGGCACCGGCGCTCAAGCTCAAGTCGGTCAGGAATGTATCTCGCTCGGAGGTGAATTTCATCAGCGCTTGGTCGAAATCGAAGTCGTCGGAAAACAACGAGGAGCCCCGGAGCGGGGACGAGGCGCCCTTGACGGTCACACTACTCCGATTGCTGCTGGTTCCATTTGCCTGATCAGAATCAGTTCTGGACAAGGTTGAGAGCCGTTGGGCCGAGCTCCGACGTTTGCCCACGCCGGTGAACAAGGTTGAGCTGGGCCGGGACGTCCCCTCCGGCAGAAATTCCTCCTCGGCATCGGCATCTTCCTGAATGGCATCCGTGAGAGCTGGACCTGGGGAGGCAGCCCCATTTATTCGGTAATCTTCACCCAAGCGCTTGAAGGTATCCAGAATCTCCGATCCATCCACGCCCGCAATCCAAAAGTAGTCTGCCAGGGGGCGCCTTCCGGGGTGGTGCTGGAGGAGGGCATGGTGGAAGCGTCGCGAATCAAACCGCCCAATCTGGTCAATGTCTTGGTCGCTGTGGTCACCGCATGGATTGCAGGAACTCCGATCGCATCCAATCAGGGGGGAGGGGGCAGCGACGGTGGCAGCAGGAGCCGCGGGAGCTAGAGAACGCGCGGGGAAAAACGATGGGCTCGCGGAAGCATGCGACAATGAGAGGCGAACAAGAGCAAGAGCACCTGAGGTGAATTGAGGAGGGGGAAAGGGGAGGAAAGAGGGAGGAGAGATAGGGGAAAGGAAGAAAGAGAGAGAGGGGCGAGGGGTTTCGGGGTGACGATCAATTTTGGGGTGGGCTGGATGTCGTTCCTTTCAGTGGTCCCCGTGGTCTGTGGTCCCCTCGAGTGTTTCCCGCTTCACAGAGAAACCACATGGACGTGGATGGACTGGACTGGATGAACGAGGTTCCAATTACACGAACAGTCTATAATATATGTGCTTGATGCATTTCATGCGCGGTTGGTGTTAAGTGGTGTTGTCGGTGCTGGAGGGTGTTGTAGGAGTCGTTTTGCACTGCACAAGCGAGACGCTTGGGACTCTTTGCATGGGACAAAACCAGCATAGGACAGATTGCCTACTATTCTAAACAGTTGCTCTTCTTGTTGAAGAAATTCAAATTTTTCTGCCCTTCTTCTACTATTTTTGCGATTTTTATTGGGGGTTCGACAGGGGGCGCGGGTGGTTGCGTAGGCCTCGCTGGTAATGCGGTTACTAGGCGGGTATTGTTCACGGGTCAACTTGGTCACCTCGCTGAATTCTCTCCAACAAATGAGAGAGTCAAGAATATAGTGATCTGTTGGCCGAGCAGCATTGCACTATCAAATCTCTCTTCAACGCACCGATGGGCCTGGAACACCGAGGAAATATGTGGTGCCCGAGAAGCGTTCTTGTCAAGCCATTCGGAGTGGCTGCTGACGTACCCAAGCACAGGCCAGTTCCTTTAACGCCTCTCTGCACCCGGAGCGCGTTCCCCACTATGAAGAATTGAAAATTGCATTGAAAATGTATTGCTAGGACTTGGTCCCTTGTAAACGCCGACTGCTAAACCGCTGATCCTGAGTTGGTTGGAGAAGCCCGTCCTGCATGAACCACAGAATATAGACCTCCGATCCTCACCTCCCAACCTCTCCCAACCCGCCCAATCTCTCAAACCAACAATCCGCCCCATTTCTAATCTCACAGGAGGCCAAATCCCTTCAGGAACACCATTTGGCGTTAAATTGCCTAATGTGGAGGGTGATCGTCCACAAACGCACCGGCCATGCAAACCGGCCCCGAGGCGCCCCCCCTCCCCCTTGTTGGGTCTGACATGGTAGCGACCTGCAGGCATGCCCCGTCCCGGGTCCGTCTCACCTAGCTATGGGATCCTGGACCCTGCACATACAGAGCGAGCGCATCCGCTACTTACATGATACTCACATGAGATTGGACACTAGCGTGGGCTCCATGGTCGCTCTCAATGACGCTGGGAGTGTGTGGGCAGCCCAATCTCGGCCAGTGGGAGATCATAAAGGCTCCCCGATGCCCCCCTCCCCACCGCGCACCAGAAAAATCACCGCCGATTTGCACCATCGATAATCGGATCGGTGGAGCGTATCGCAACCAAGATGCTAGGTGGGCACACGATAACATCTGACCCCAATCCACCGAGTATCCGGACAAGCCGTTCATGAATCGGGAGAACCACGATGCCCGGCCCAAGGGCCGCCCGCTCAAGTTCCATGGAATAATCTGGCTAGGATCGTCAAGGCGGCGGGCAGAAAGTTAGGTACCTGCCGAGCAAATCGCCAACCACTCGCAATCCGTTCCAATCCTTCCAAACGTTCGTCACTGGTGCCCGAGAACCGAGACCTATCTACTTTACTCCTGCTGCTGACCCACAGCATACTCAAGATCTGTTCGGGTATCACGATGGATGAGGAGGGAGCCATTCTTACCCAAGAGATAGTTGAGGGGATTTTTCTTCCCTCTTTCTCTCTTTCGCTCTCTCTTCGTTTCTCTCGCCTTTTGCGTGAAACATGGCGCTCTTAGGGTCGCTGATCAATTGCAACCCTAGGCAGCGGACAATGGCATTAACTGATATTTCTCGACGCTCACCGAATCACGGGCAAATGGCCTCGGAAAGACCAAGAATCTCATTTTCCAGGGCTCGGGCGTTGATCTACTGGATAGGCAACTTGTCGGAGGTTGCCGAACACCTGTTTCGCATATCGATCGTGCCAGCATTACTTTTGATCCGCTCGCGACCTCGAAATGTCTTCAACGATGATTGCGAAGGAAGCCCCATTGGTATTAGTGCCACAGTATTTTTATGATGAGAAAGCGGACTATAATCTTTTCCCTTGTTGCATTTCTGGGGGCGTTTCATTTTTTTTTTTTTTCATGTGAATCTCTCGCGAACTTCCCAGAAACACACCCTGGTCAGAGCTTGAATCAGGGGAGCCCACAATGGTGGAGGCCTGTGTGCCTCCGGGGCAGCCGATCCATGCCCAACGCGACTACCAGTGGAGACCACCCATGTAAGTGTGAATTTCTCGACGCTATTCCATAGTGGGATCGATGATTTTCTTCCTGCCACGAAGAAGAGAGTCAAATATTGTCCTCATGTACCCTGATGTGCTAGTTCCGCTACCGAAGTAATTAATACGCGGTTCTGATCTATACTTGTATGCATAACCTCGTGGTAAGAGGCAACACACGAGGTTGCGTAGAAAACCCTAATCCACCACAACCCTCAAATTGATTCTATGCTTTCTTTCTTTCCTTCCCCCTGGGAGACCACCAGGACCAGACGGGATATCCAGAGACCAGAGACTCGGTCTTCGGCCTCTCAATTGGCCCCCCTCCATGATGTCCCTCAGCCCGCCACCGTCACCCCCCTCCCTGAGAGCCAAGCATCTGCAGCCGAAACAGAGGCGTAGCATGTCCGGCAATGCACCGGCCACTCTTTTTGACTTGCCGCAGGTCAAGGCCACAGCAAATTATCCCAACCAGGCCGATGCGTACCTCATACATCGTGATACATGAAAGAAGCGGTGGGCGGTTCTAGATTCCCACCGTCCGGTACTTTTGAGCGGGGGGACTTTTTGTTATTTTCGTTCTTTTTCTTCTTCCCCTCCCCCCTTCCGGGAACTAATTTATGTCGATGTTTAGATCGAGCGGATCCAGTTTGCTAGTCATGCCTGGCCCGCACCTTTGTTGGTTGGGCAGTGATCGCCTGATCGCATCTAGACGCTCTTTTCATAGCCCCGACGGGCCCAGCTGAACATCCCAGCGCACTGGATCCCGTTTATCAGGGGACAGGGGACGCGGGCCCCGGGGTCTAGACTGTTCCAGACAAACCCGCCTCGAACCATCACTGGACGCTTACCAGTGGGAACTTCTGTATACATACCCAAGCCGATGGTTTATTTTTCCCCCTTCTCTAAACCCGATCACTGTACCCCCGTGTCTTTGCCCTATACGGGTAAAGAAGCCCGCCCTCTACTCGGTACTGGATTTCTGGACCCCCAAACCTCGAGCACGCATCTCAAACGCCCTCACTGTTGGAAAATTACGTTCTGGGCTCGAAGATCCCCCCCCCTGTATTCGACTGAGCTGTGTAACACATCGAGACCTCCTACATGCTGCATGGCTCCGCCGGACGACTCTCCATGCTGGGTGGCGCCCCGCCCACACGCCACGGGTGCGGCTCGGCCATCTACCGACGAAGACTGGCCTAGCTTAGCCTATCCACAACCCTCGCTCAATCAGGAACAAAAGGAAAGCATGCAAGCCTCGTCCTTCATTCATAGCATGTAAATTATATGTACTCCCATATGGGTGATCGTCATACAAAGCGTCCTCCTCCTCCCGACGGCAGAGCCCACACATCCCCTTCCATCCCCGTAGGTTCTGCAGCCGAAAAGCAAAACAAAATAAAAACGGCTATATGCACTGCAGCGGACGCCCAGCGCCCCGGCTGCAGTCACACCGCGTTTCAAGTGCGTTTCCGGCTCATGAGATTGCCGGTCGTGAGGAAACCCTTGTCCCCCATGGCACCGCGCCATTCGATCGACAGCTGGCCTAAGGTGGCCCGGCCATCACGTCGCAGATCCTTCTGTAGAGCGTCGAGCCCTTCTTGCTGGCCTTCTTCCTGTTCGACCAGGAAGGCAAGTTGTAAGACATCGCGCGGGTTCAGGGTTGGCGGTGTTGCTGCGGACTCGCCTTCCACATTCGTATCCCAATTGAGAGACTGGGACTTGAAGGGCGCCTTGGGATTTAATCGGGTTTGCTGCAGGAGAAAAGAAGAAGATCTTGTTAATCCCCAGTTTCAACTTCGTGCCTGGCTGGCTTTAAAAGAGCCGGGTGCGCTGCGATTGGTCGTGCACACCAACGCCTCCGCCACGGAGCCAAAAAAAAAAGCAAAGCAAAACATAACGAAGAGCGCTTACCTTGACAACAACTGTTCCATCACCCACATTTTCCAGCTGTGCTTCCAAGGCAAAGCGAAGCAAACGGGTTTTCCCATACGGGCCCAGGGATTTATTATCAACTTCCAACGGCGGAAGCTCCGACGCCTTCGTGCGCACGCTGAGACACGGCTGCGCGACGAATTGATAAAGCTTGCGGAAGGTCCGGACCCGGCCGCTGGCGGCCTGCGCGTGCTCGCCGATCCGGGTCTCGGTGTAGCTGACGCTGACGGCAAGGATGTGGTTCCCTTCCTCCTTCAAGTCATAGCGCACGATCTTCTGTAGAGACTCGTCGATTTGTAGGCCGTTGGATTGGGCGGCGTCAGTGGGGGGTCGAGATCGAGGGCTGCGACGGACGAGGGAGTTTGCATTTCGGCAACGATGCGAATGGAGGTCACGACGCGGCCTGTTTCATCTTTAGAGATTTCATTGTTTGCGCTGAGGGTGCAGGCGAAGGTTTCGCCGACGTAGACGGATCCGAATGCGGGGGGAAGCGTGAGCTAGTCTTTCCTGTTAGCGAACCAGGCTTCGGGGATCTCACAGCGGTTGGGCAATGCACACACGTTCGGAGTAAGAGTGAATTGAGTATCAGAATCGGCGGATGGGAAGCTCAAGGAGACCTTGGGCGAGATTTTGGTGTTGGCTGCGGGGAGGGGGGATTGAGAAGACAACGATGGTCGGGAGAGGCTAGCAGACGTCAGAGCGCTTGCGATCAATCTGGGGAAGGGGGTGATGGGCGATTATCGGGCAAAGCAAATATACCGTAGCACTAAAACGAGCATATAGTCAGCATTGTTTCGGCATATCTCCTTGCAGCACTCGGAAGACTCGCGAACCTTTCAATGAAACCGCATGAGGTTCCTTTGGGGCATCAGCACCCGACGCAGCTCGGGGGCGGGCCATGGCTCAGCAGATGGCTTGTTAGGGTATTGGTGGAAAGTTTGATTTCTATTCTGCAGTCCCAACGGGCATTGCAGTTTCCTCAGCGGGTCATGTCGACGATCTGTGAGCTTGGGTGGTGGCGCGGATGAGCCGATAACGATAGGTATAACGATAGGTAGCCCAAGCGGCCCGCAGCCTGCAGGCTCCGGCTCCTCCAACTACGACAAACACTGCAAACTACATCTTCCGCTCGCCGATGGACTTGAGGTGTCGCCTGAGGATCAGGTCCCACAGGCGGAGCCGCGTAAAGCGTCGAGCATCTGAGCTGGGCCCAAATGAACCTTTAAAAATAGGAATTCCATGTTTTTGCCAGTGGACCGGTCAATCGAAATAATTGAAGAAAGCGTTTGAAATAGAAAGCAATTCAACCCCTCGTGGCTATTTGAGAACTGTGTCAAGCATCTCTTCGTTTTCTAAAGTATGTGGTTTTGCGAGTTACTTAATGGATTTCGATCATCCTTGACCTTATTCATGCAAATTTGAAGCATTTATACAGTGTGATATGATAAGCCAGACTATTTAGGAACTACTGACTAAGTCTCACCGACAAACAGCAGCTCCCCCATTCAGTCTCAGTTGTTCCAGGTCGAAGTATATATCAGGCCCTTTCGCGTTGGACTCATACACATGGGAGGTCTTCTGATTCCTATGACTCAATAGTTCTTGTATCAAGAAGCTTTTCGGATACCTGTGTAAATACATGATCCAGAGAAAGGTCTTCGGATTGAGACACGTTCCTGTCAACGCCACTGAGGCTAATGATCGTACTATCAAGGAGACATTCTGGATAGTGCCATCTGAAAAGCCCCGACCATCACTTCAATTTGGGATGAAAGATGGATCTCAATGATTGACTACCAGAGTTTCTTGCATGGGTTATCTGTCATGTTTATTGTACGGAACAGTTGACAGCTCCGAGTCCCCGCAATGCTTAGCAAAGCAGCCCGGAATACCACATTGGGAACTTCATCGAGCCCGCTGGGATGCTCCTTCTTTGCTTGCCATGTGGGAAATCTTCAAAGTCCCCTTCTTTGGCGTCATGTTCGAGCTTGTCCAACTTGACTCTATTCAGTCAATTTGTCTGTAGATCTGTATCTTGTGCGATACGGGGATCTGTGACGTCAGCCATACTTTTCCAACTCACCACACTCCCGACACATAATCTACCATTTCCCTCATTCGACGTTTCCCCATCACCATATTTGGTAGAACCCAAATCTTCATCATTTTCTCTATACATTTCAAGCTCTGAGTCTGTTCACGATGAATCCCCGTCGCAAAAAGGACCCACCAAACCTTGCTACCTCAGCGATGAAACCCCCTTGTTCCCCTCAAGGTGGCCGAATGCTTGCTAAACAGGCCCGGACTTTAACAGAGTCCCCATTTCAGGCTGCTGCTCCAAGGCGAACCAGAAAACGAAAGGTAACGGGCTCTCAGACTTTGGCCTCCACTATAGAAACCGCCGACTTTGCCGAGCCACCAGCGAGGAAACCAGCCCCAGCTGACTTCGCTAAGAAGCTGGAAGCCGAGACGTCTCGGATCCCTGTTTCAGTCCCCGAAAAGGAAAAGCGATCTCGCAGATGGCGTAACTCACCCCCTATCAGTTACATAGAACGTCTTCGCCGAATCCAAAAGACAAAGTACGCACATCGAATGAGAGTTAGAACTAGCCTCTACCAACTAACTGATCTGTATCTGAAGAATGTTCGTCGTGGGCCAAGAGGTTGGCGGCACCAAAGAGGCCCCGAATTTTGTTTTCGATGTCGTTGGTTCCACCGGAAACATCTATAAAGTCACAATCGACAGGGACCCCGTTTGCGACTGCCCTGATGGTGCGAAAGGCAACCAGTGCAAACACATCTGCTATGGTGAGTCCTACGCTGGCAAGATCATGAACCTGCTGCATCAGCTGAAGAAGCCCTTGCTACTTTATTATTATGATTTATTTTTACTGATAGCATGCCAAGTTCTTCTCCATGCTCTCAAGGCCCCTAGACATCTCCAATACCAACTTGCTTTCCTGTCCTCGGTAAGTGGCATTGATCGGACTGGAAAGGCTGGTGTCACTAGCATCAATCTAATGTTGCCATCTAAATAGGAACTTTGCACCATGTATGAGGGATCTCCGTTAAGCCAACTCCATGCCGCCTCTGCTCAACCCAACGAGGATGGCTCGCGCAAGCCGGTGGAGGGAGATTGCCCTGTTTGCTTCATGGAATTCAACACTGGCGATGAAACTGTCTGGTGCAAGGCCTCGTGCGGTAACAACATCCACAAGAAATGCTTCGAGAAATGGGCCGCTGCTTCGCGATCCTCGGGAAATGTTCGCTGTGTTTACTGGTGGGTTCAGAATGCCAGCTAGATGCTCTCCATTCGGTTCAGTGTGACTGATTTCACTACAGCCGCGCAGACTGGGAGCAGGATAGAACCAATATTGACGTCTCCTCTATTCGAAAGTCTGGCAATCCGAACGAGGAAGGGTATTTCAATGTGGCGGAGCAGTTTGGTTTGTCTGGTGAACGCGGTACGGCTCCATCCTTGTATTTTAACCCTGTCCTCTCCAACTTGATAACGTTCTAGTATATTGACAGTATGTATGCCAAACAGACTATTCCGTCTACTCGTCTTTCTCAACTGCCCGGCTATCTTGATTCTTTGCGCATCCTAGACGTTGCAAGTTGGAAGGTGGGGGGCTCGATTCTCGCTTTTCTTCACTTCGGGCAAGTGATTATGGTATTGACTTACGGCGTTTAGATGGAAAGAGTCTCAAACACGGCATTGATTGCTCACTATCATTCCACGAAGATTGATAAAAACCGTATACATAGTTCGTTAAATATGCAATAAGGTGTGTTACTACAATTCATGATCCCAGGCAAGATTGTACTTCATTCAACTTCAAACCAGCAAATCATCCCCCTTCGCAATTAGATACGGAGATAAAGCAGGACTAATTGCCATGAAATTTGAATGGGATTAGGCACCATGAGCCATCCGAAGCTGAGCACAAATATCCTCAACGTACAATTGAGCTTTCTTTATGAGCAACATATGCATGAATGGGTGAGGCACGCCGGTGTATCGGCGAACAGTGACCTGCACACCTGCTTCAAGAAGGCACCTCGCGTATGCCTCGCCCTCATCCCGTAGAGGATCACATTCAGCAGTGGCAATGTATGTTTTACAAACACCACGAAGGTCTCCTTGGATTGGACTTCGGAAAAACACTGGCCGGGCCTCAATTTCGGCAAGTTCGGCATCGGTCTTCGGCATGTACAAGGATTTGAAGAATTTCAACCGCATCAGGTTGAGACATGGAGCAAACTCGTTTTCCAAGTACGACGGATAGAGTGTATCAGATGCTGTCTTTGTATCACTCCCCGCGGTGCTGGGAACAGCTAAGATAGCTGAATAGGTTGTTAGGTCTTAATTCTATTGAGAAGCCAAGTTAGGAAGTCAATGAAATCATGCTCACCTAACTGAAGATTTATGCTAGCATCCCGAGCTAGCTGTTGGCATACAGCACTAATATGCCCACCCGCAGAGATGCCACCAATGGAGATGGAAGCAGGTTGACCATTAAGTTCTGCACCATGCTCATGGACCTAGATTGATCATAAGCTTTCATAAATTTAAGCAATCAGAGGTGGGGCGAGACACATACCCAACGGATGGCCGCCCAAGCATCATCATGTCCTTTTCCGAAGGTATTCTCTATCCAATGTTAGCTATAAGCACACGAAATAAAGATTGTGTCTAACTATACCAGGGGACAGTCTATAATCGACGTCTATCACGATGATCCCGACTTTGTTTCGGACTTGCATGCAAAGCTCTGCATCTCCGGTCAAATCGCCTAATACAAAGCCTCCTCCTGAAAAAAAAAAGGATTAGTGGCCGATCGTGAGGCTGTCAATAGGACGAGATTCAAATCAATGGAATTTACCATGAAAATTGATGTGGACAGGATACGGTCCTTTGCCAAACGGAGACGTCCTGTGGTCGGGCTGATAGCATCGTGCTGTAAATACATGGCCATCTTCAGACTCAATATGGAGGTCTTTGACGAAAGGTTCGTAGGTAAAATCTCGATACCAGGGGGATGCAAATTTTTGCGGCGTGGCTCGGATATCCTTGATTGTGATATTGTGGGTAGCTGGCTTAATGGCTAAATACTTGTTGTAGTAATCGATAAAGTCATCATCCAACCGAGATAGAAAGCGAGGGTCAATGGGACTGGGAAGCGTGGACGTTGACATTTCGAATCCAATGTAGAGTATACCCGGTGAAGACTCGATATGTTCTACGGAGTATTACAGGTAATGCAGACAATTCGGGCTCTTATAGACAACTTGTCAGTCCAAGTCAGCGACCTGGATGACATTGGCGCTAGGCTTTCCCGATCAATGTCTGTGGTCTGCCGAGAGCACTAGTCTAATTTTGGGGATGGAAATTTGCATACTGAAAAGTCTTTGATTAGTTTCACACATTACTAATTATCATCAACTAGTCTCTGGGGCTTGTGGCTGGCTTTAAAAGCGATTATTCGTAGAGACTAGGGAGCTGTCGGCAACTTGTCGGATAGTCGATCGGAAATGCCGATATACGAATACGACTGTCCGATGCCCAGATAACAGCTGGATTTTATGCAATCAATATATATGGAAGGCATTTTCCTATCCTACAACAATTCAAAATTTCAAGAACTTATAGCAATGTTACTATTTACAATAAATGAATTATCACCAGTTCACAGATGCATAAGAAACCTCGTTTCGTGGAAAGTCATCCCAGACATCAGAATCACCACTTCGTGGCCAACCCTGCATTAATGTCAGCCAGACTGATGACTGGTATTCTGCACGGAGGTCTAGAGTCGCGACTCTGTTGAGACGAAGCAGCGCGTAAAGAGATTTTGGAATATTGGCCTGCGGCGTTCCATCACCGGGGCTTGGGCGGTATTCTGGAGACTGTGAGTTATACCCAACGGCAATGCTCGGCTCGTTTGTCGGTGACGGTGTAGAGTCCTCATCTTCTATGGCACCTAGATACGCAAATCGATATAGAGCGCGCATCTCCTCCAATTGTCGCAGCCAGATACCTGCGACAGCCCATGCCTCTCGCCAGGATCTGAAGAGCTTTATATAATTCTCAAAGTAGACTCCAGCGCGGTCTCTGTCGTTATCAAACCCATGAGAGCCTTGCGAATACTGTAACCATAAAAGAGGGCTAGCTGCAGACAATATACTAAGAGCTATCATGGTGGATTGTCCTTGGTTCTTGAAATCTTGATCAGAGGTTAGGTGGGTTGCAATCATCTCGCCCATTTGCAAAGCATGAGACAGGCAGATTGATATTAGAGATGGTTCTCTATGGAGAAGAGGCCATCCTGCAGGGTCCACATAGTCCAAAGAGATCGAGTTTCCGTCTGTTTGGGGCAGGTAGTCTTGATAGGAAACACAACGTGCACTTTTCAGTAGACAATGGATGGCCAAGTATACACCTCCGCTGTCGAGGTCAAGGTGTATTCTATAATTCTCTTCCGACCATTGTATACGTGGTGGTAAAATATTTTCCCAGCTCTGAAGGGAAGAAGAAAGTTGTGCAAAGCGACTAGAGGGGTTTGTAGGTAGGAGGGTTGAGACCATGCGCTCCTGGGTGACATGAAAATCTGCCAAGTCACTCCATAGACAAAGACTCTTGATCAAGTATGGCTGGAGCCCAATTTCTGAAATAGTTCCACTGAAAGTCTGTAAACTTTCTAGTGTTGTTGCTCGGGATTTCTCGCCATATGCGAGAGAAACATCATTACCGGGGAGGGCGATACTGATATTCCTCAAAGATAGGGTGCGCGGTTTGACCAGGTAGAAAGCAAGCATCCTGTCAAGCTGTAAGCACGCCCAGAATGTGCGTCGTCGAATTTCACGCTCTTGTTCCGAATGGTTTTGATGGTATTCCTTGTTCAATCGCATGATTTGTGCCATCCGGATTGCCGTGCCCGCATACATCCAATGACTCGACCCATTATCGGACAGAAGCTCGGAAAGAGATAGAACTAGATTGGCTTGAATATTCGACACTGGCAATGTTAATATGTGAAGCAAAAAAGAGGTTGATTATGGTACCTGATGGGTGGTCTGAATTATCACGTGCAAAACGCTTCGCTAAACTAGTATAGGACAGACACACTTCGTGTGGGGAATCTTTGCCAAAGTCGGCTCTTGCTTCCTCGACTGAAAGATATCGGGAGCATAAAGATACAATAGCCGTTGTAAGAAAAGGTTGAAGTAAAGCGGCTTCTTCGAACTGAGGCTTATAAAAGAAAGAGCAGAAGTCGATTTTGAAGTGTTGCTGGAAGAAATACTTCAAGCATCGTTGAAGTGCTCGGCGACTTGGCAGGTCACCTTGGGTAGCCTCGGTGGATCCAAGTCCAATTGGATTGAAAGTTGAGTCCTGAGAATTCATATAGTTTTCTAGCCTGTTAAGATAAGTTGGACCAAATGCCCCTTTAGGCCATTCGCATGGAACATCCCGCGACGAGCAGTGGCCGCATCTAGGCCGTACGCCATTGCACTTGGTCTTCCTTCGGCGACTTTGAAAATCATATCAGATGAAATACTTCAGATTGCTATCATCTATTTGAAAACTTACCATGTCTGGCATGCCTGCGGAGTCCGGTGTGAGCTTGCACTGCCCCTCAGTAGCATTCTCGCGGTGCATTTTCCGTGCCTCTCCACAGGATCCGAGATTAAAAGGGCCGAGGCGCGGGAACCTTCGCCCCGTAAATCCCGAAACGGCCACGTGAGCAGCATCGCGGCTACTTCAGAAAAGGAAGTGACTTATGAAATTTCTGCAAGCAGCTTAGCTATATAATAATCAATAGCAATGTGTCATCCTCTACCGAATGAGTATTCCATAAGGTGGCGATTTTGCCGCGCCGACCATCGCTTATGGCTAAATCTTATAGCCATTTGGGATAGTTTATCACTTGGTATCTCGCTGTTAATGTATACTATTGTTAGATCAATGCTATCTAGTAACGGTGATGCATTGAGAGAACGGGAACTGCGTATGATAAGCCCTAGTCCAGCGCCAAGTGCAAAGTAGATAGACACACTATATGTATAAAGAAACCATGGAATTTATTGTCAGCTGCACATTGATTACGACTCTCAACAACAACTCAAGTCTATATTTCACAAATTAACTAATCATTTTGCTTAATCCAAGGTCGCGCCTTCCTGGCAACCAACAGGCTTGGTGCGGTAGTTCAGATTCGTGGTGGTGTTATAGTTCCACCAGAAGTCAAGTGACTGAGGATAAGATTTAGGGACCTTGCAGGTGGAAGTGTAGCTGGGGAGGCTCTTTGACACGATTGAGGTATAATCCTTCAGTGAGCAAGAGTAACCGGGTCCGGAGGTGCATTTTTTGAATGGAACGACTGCCTCGTTGAGGACCAGGCGAACGTAAGTTCCAGCGTCTGAAAGAGCGGTGGCATCGCAGCTAAGACGCTCGATGGTGAGATGGCCTCCCTGCGGCACGATGTCTCCGGTTGAGTAGGGGTTGCCAAAAGGAATACGGTCAAGGGGCAAGTCCTCATCAGGAACAAGGATACCCAAGGCGGCAAGAATGGGAGTAATGTTAGTGTCATGGGCACTGCCAGATTGAAGGTTAGTTTCGGAACTGAATTGAATCACGGATTTAAAGGGACTCACAAGTTGAAGTACAGAGGATGGGCTTTCTTGGGACCTTCGTTCAGAAGAGTCAGACTAGCATTGGCATAGACAGCCCCAACCGCAGCCATGTTCTTGTCGCCGGGTCTGCGAAAATTAAGAAATGATTAGAATACAAGTGCAAAGCTATTCGTCACGGTCACAAACATACCCGGCGCAGTAATAGTAGTCCAAGTCCTGCACATAGCCAAAGCTCACCCACTCGTCCTGGGTAAAGACATTGATCCAATCCGAAAAGGCACGAGCATTCAGCTCAAATGCAGCCATGGCTAGAAAAATGTCAGCATCGGTTCTGAAGGTATAGTTTTGCTCGTGCTCCTCTTACACATCAGGTAATAAATGTCTAGCTCGTCAAGCCCAAGACCAGGGTTCTGAGTATTCAGACGAGCTGCAGCAACCTTAAACTGTGGCATAACATTGGTGAGATTGTCACAGGTAGTGTAATCATCATCGGTATCGCAAGTAGGAGTTAAACTGTTGGCACCCATTGTCTCCGACTCTGAAATTATGTTTAGAGCCGCATTTGTCGAGTAGTTGTAACCGAAGAAGCCTTCGCCAAACTTGCGTGCAGTATTGATAACACGGCCATAGCCACTACTCCAGAAGGGCACGACAATATCCTCATCCAGAAGGTGGCCATAGCGATCACGGTAGTCGGAACCGTGCTGGTAACCATCCAATAAGCCAGCGTAAGGCCCGCTGAAAGTCTCGGCATTATACCAGCACTTGTTGGGGACGTAGTAGTTCCAATCTTTGACAAAAGTGAGATCCCCCTTGAGCTCCGTCACATTGGAAAGCTTAGCAAGAGAGGCTTCAATACCTTCACCGAGGGCTGGTGAAGGATATCTCTCGCCGTGGCGCTTGATCATAATTACTTGATCAACGGCACAGCTCTCTGGCGGATCGCGAGAAATGCCAAATGACCGACGCTCTGAGTAGGGTCCATTACCGCCATAGTGCTTTAGAATACTATAGCCATCTCGAAACTCTTGAGAAAATTGTTTCTCGAGGGACGACTTGGATACCGAATCATCATATGAAAGGGCGGACACACCGGCCAAGATGCTCAGAGCGCAAAACACGCCCGACACCCAAGAAGAAGGCATGATGAGCTCGAAACCTCCCAAAATTAGAAGAATAGATTAATTCAAAGCTCGGAAAGACGGCTTTGTCTCTGGTCTTTCTGGTTTCGTTTCCCACAGAAACTTGCGCGGTTGTATCCCAGCTTTTATAATATCAACTTTACACAGTGTCTAACCATTCGGGGACAAATTCACGCGCATAATGGGACCCAGATGATCAAAACCAGATTAAAACAATCAATGAGACAAACAAAAACACCTCAACATCACCAGAAAGGAAGGCAATTCATGCCCACGTGCTCATGCTACGAGATAAGTGATTCGTAGGGCTGAACTCGCAACCAAAGCAATTCCGTCCTGCCATACTCCGTACATCGGGACCATTCTTGGAACGCCTCGTTCCACTCCGTGGTTGTCCCCGATTCCCAATGAGACTGTCCGAGAGCCAGGCGTGTGCCCTCCACTCACTCTCAGTGGCCGGTGATCAAATACGCTAGGCGCGAACCGGAGGGAGTGTGGGTCCAGTTCTCAGCATCCTGGGGCTTGGGGGCGGAGTACAAGCTTTTTAGCACACGGCTTGGCTTCGTGGCTTTTTGGAAATGATGCAGGAGGTAGATTTATCGATTGATTTGGTTGGCATAGTTGTGCGTGCCGAATGAGCCGATGCAATTTCGCTTATGTGCTCGGAGAAGTGTACTCTGTTTGGAATATATCGACGAGACCCCTGGTTGGGATGTAGCAAATAGATTTGACATGATTGAAGCCAATTCAGGAAGCTTTGACCCAGGGTACAAAAGAATACGAGTTAACCAAAGACTAATACTTTAATATACTAAACAAGAAAGCATTGCAGTGCATGGCTTTGGTTGTGTTGGTAGTTGGGAAAATAGCAGCCTGATGGAGTCGCAAATTCGATTTTTGGAGTGGGCCTAATCCCGAACTGCAGGAAATTGACCTCGGGTCATTTGAGAGCCGAATCACCCGAGCAATCGAAGGAGTATTTCCGAAGAAATTTTATACTATCGGCCGACTGGAGAAACGGTATGATACAATAGCATCTCGATTCAAAACTACAGTAAAGACCTTCAACAGCATCCCCCAAATACAGCAGTGAGCATGGAAATCTGCCACCAAAGAAAGTGGATAAAAAGGAAAAGAGTAGATTAGAAAAGAAAACCAAACCAAAAAAAGAGAAATCCATCGACCATAAAAGTTCCTAGCAATGTACATGGCCCGAGATTGTTCCTCGTGCAATTTTCCTGAAACAATCTCCCATTGAGCACACGAAAAGTGGAATAGCAATCACCGAGTAAACGCAACACGCTAAGCTCCCAGAAAAAGAAAAATCTCAGGCTCAATATCAAGATAATGACCAGATTGCGAAACGAAGGCGGTTTAAAAAGAGTAATTCAATGCGCAAATAAAGCGCCGAATAGATGAGAATCGAAATGTTCAAAACAAGGATCGTGAATGTGCAAATGTGGTTCGGAGAAGGGTATGGTATCTACGTGAGAACGTAAGCAAGACAAATAAAAGCGGTTGTTCCGTCACGAGGAGTGGTTGGTGTGGTCATGGCGGTTCGTTAGAGTTGCAGACATCTAGATAATCTGCAGATAGTTGCTTGGCACCAGGCCAGGGTGGCCGCGTGCGTTTGTGACTTCAGCTTCCCACCATCCATCGTCTTGAAGGCGGATAACGGCTAGGACATCGCCTTTCGAGAAGCCAAGTTCTTCGGGAATGGCAGCAGTGTAACTGTACATTGCGCGAGCTGTTGGGACAAGTTAGCGTACTATCAGCAATAGAGATTCAAAGCCAATGGAACTTACCAAAGTGCAAGATGGGACGTCCATCACGACTGAATTTCCTTCCAGGCTCAGCAACAGCCAAAGTACGACTGCGAGAACGGCCAACAGGAGGAGGAGGATTGTCGCCATAGTACGACATAGGTCGGCTATCGTTACGACGGGGGGACCCGTATCCATCACGGCCACCACCACCGTACATGTCAACCTGACCAGACAATTGCAGCTCCATGCCCCCAGCACTGGACGGACGAACTTGTTGCCGGAACTGAGGCTGAGGTGAAACCGCACGGTGGCTAGCAGCCGGGGAGGCCCGACGAGTGTAGTCATTTGGAGAGTACGGCGGGTCTTGGGCCCGGTGTGGGGTAGGCGACTGGCTGTAACGACTGCGCACGCTGCTTGATTGGTAGGCAGTTGGGCTAGGGGCTGGGCTATTCCCACCTCCGTTGTACTGGGCGCCCGCACGGGTATCAACTCGAGGCGAGGCAACGCGGGGAGCCGCAACCTGAGGACTGGCGCTGCGCCGGGGTGCTGGAGATCTAGAACGAGGCGCCTCCGTCTTAGTCGCGGGGGCTCTGCTGGGGTTATTACTTCCACCTCGGAGCATGCTCTGCGTCTGTCCAGTGTAGCGTTGTGTGGTCTTTTGCATTTGCTTTGATGTAAAAGCCGGTTCTGGTGCGTCGAGTCGCTTTACCGAAGGGTCGTTATATGCCGGAGGCGCACCAGAAGAGCTTCCACCATAGGCAGATGAAGGAGCCGAGGGAGTCGGAGTTTGAATACCGTGGTATCTATCAGCCGACACGCGAAGACTGGACTGCTTGCCAGTTGTCTTGAGATCCGCAAGAGCTCGGGCAATAGGATCCATATCATCCTCAGCTCCCTTGTTCTGCTGGGCTCCTGCTCGAGTATTCTTGTCTGGAGAAGCCACGTCGAAGACATTATTGCCAACATTAAGCTGGAAATTAGCACGAGGGTCGACTGGTTCAGGGCTGTGGCGTTCAGGCTGGGCTTGAGGAGCCTTGGTCGGGCTGGCCTGTTTGGTAGGAGAGCTCCAAGGGCTTCGCGATACAGGCTGAGCCGAGATGGTTGGCCGCTCTTTATCATGACGGCTCTTACGCCGGAAAGGACTGTTGCTAAAGAATGCACTCTTTTTCTTTTGAACTGACTTGTCATCTCTGGCATCTCTGGCATCCCTGGAGCTCGGGATTGGCTCGCTATTGGTTGGCTTCGGTGGAGGCTTGGTCATGATAGGGGACTCCACGCTAGACATTGAAGTTGGATTTGAAACTTCACTTTGAGAGTCCCGGCTTGATGGTCGGTAGCCACTAGCTGCGGAGCTTCGCTCTGATGGTGGTCCGGTGCGACAGAACATTGTCATACCATCAGTTGGGTAAGCATTATGAGGGATTGAGTTGATCTCCCCATGCTGCTCAGGGTCATAATTTGGCGGAAGCTGTCCGCCTCGGCGTAAATCTAGGGGAGCTGGTTGCTGTGCATTGTTTATGGGAGCAGGCATAGCAGCAGGAACAGCAGCAGGGGCAGCAACAGAAGCGGGAGCAGACACTGGTGCTGGCGCTGGCGCCGGTGCTGGATGACCCATTTGTGCTGCAAGGTCAGACTGAGGATCATGGTGGGACTCGAAAGTCGAAGGCTGTGGAGAAGACGTGCGGAAGGCAGGGTTCATAGTGCGTTGGAACTGGGCGACAGAGTAACCTTCTCCGTCTTCAATATCAGAGACGTCGTCGTCCTCTTTACAGAAGTTGATGAATCGAGGAGCATCTGGGATCTCTTGACCAGTTCCACGCTCCTTAATAAAGTAGACAATGTCCTTCTCCACTTCGCAATTCTCAAGAGAGAGCCGGATCTTCTCACAGGACTAGGGGAAAACCATTAGATTTCAGCAACAGAGAATATGGCGGAGAGACGGAGAAGCGGATAACCATACAGCATCGTCGCTAACACAAACAGTCGACGCAATATTCGCATAGGTCCACAGACTGCTCTTCGTGAAGTCGAGACGTTCTTCTTCGAGATCTTGGAATTTCTGTAATGCGTGTTAAAACAGGGTAATTATATCGATGTGGATAATCACAAACATCACACGCAGCTTTCCACTCTTTATTCCACCGGCCGGTCGTATCCTCGAGGATTTTGATCGCAGCCTCGTATTCTTGGCTATTAGACGCAAGCTGGATCTGGGTCTTTTCAAGCTTCGCCTTATTCTTCCGTTCCTCCTGACCCATCACCATGTGTCCTTGTGCAAGGTATCCCTTGATTCGTAAACAGTCCTGTTCGTACCGGTCTCGAGCCTGGTTATATTAGATCAGTCTCTCTCGCAAAAAGGGGTATCCGACAAACCTTGTTGGCAGTTTGCGTTTGCTGCATCTTTGTCTTGTGGAGGCGCTCGATGCCATTTTGAATGATTTTCCGTCTCTCCTTAAGACCACTAGCAAATGCCGTTAATGGTTCTTCGAGCTCGATCTTCATCTGACCCGCAATAGCAGCATGTGCCTTGGCGATCGCTTCAGTCTCTCCCCGTACCACGTCGAGGGAAGTTCGCAGAGATCCGGTTTCGACTGATCCTAGGGACTTGCGACAGAGTGCCTGGAGTTTGCGCGCATATTCGTCTTCGATAGAAGCTCTCACTTTGAAGGCATTAGCGAGGGCAACAGAAAATGGCCCGACGACCTCGATCTTCTCATACCGCTGTAGAAAGCCTTCAATTCATCACTAGTGACCTTTGATCCGTGCATACGATCCAGCATCGGCTGTAGACCTGCATCTTCCTTGCCCCAGAAGTTGTTGGCGACTGGTAGTTGTGTTAGCTGGGCGTTGCGCTGAGCAAGGGCCTGATTGTCTTACAGGACATAGAGACCGTCGGTCCCTCGGCGACCGTCCCAGGCATTGTGTCCAGTAGATGAGCCTCGGCCAGCCTTTGCTCACAGAATTCGAAGACAAATGGAACAAAAAGCAATCGAAGAAAGAAATACGGAACAAAGCACAATATGTGTAAACAAAAACACAGAAGAGACCCTGTGGTCGCGCAGTCTTTGGAGGTGCTGACCAGAGGGATGCGGCTTGCAGGTGTTTACGGGCGCGTCACTCGGGGCAACGGGGTTGATCTGGTGGTGGATCGCAATGCCCGCTTATGTAAATCGCCCCAACGCGGTTCTCCGCTACGCTAGTCAACTATTGTTCGAACTACATCTGACGCGTCACGAGCAGACAAACCACTCAATGATTGTGAAAGGATGCTGATAGGTGATATTCAAACTTTCCATTCTGAATTTTCATGATATCTATCTAACACCGGGGGCAGTATGTTCAAATTTCCAGTCTATTTAACTTGGGCCCCAAAACAAAAAAATCATAATCATAAAAAGTAAAAGAATACACAAGATGAAGTCGTAAGCAAACCCAGTCCCATAAAATAACGCCATGATGCGCCCCACATGAAAACAGGAGAACTAAATCTGCAATAGCCTAGCTGTCAAGGCAGCCGAGATCTTCGTTAGGCATCGTGTGTCGTCTTAAGTGTCATTTTCATCTCGGTCGGTCGAAGATCTCATCAATTCGTGCAAAACCATAATGGTCAATATGCTTCGGAAGCCGAGGCGTCGTATGTGTCGGAATTCCCGATCTAGTAAGGAATAGAAGAAACGGAGGGAGAAGGGCTGAAGCTAGCGGAAGGTGTAGTCGAACCCGAAGCACCCGGTTGGTACTGGTTGCCGAATTGGCGTGCAACAAGAGGGGTAGGCCCAGCTGGGCTACTCAGGCTGGGGTATGGCGCACTGGAAGAAGCCTCATAGAAGTCACGAGCGATGACAGGGGTGGGGGAGCCAGCGAAGCTAGAGCTGGGAGATGAGGGCAGCTCCGCGCCGGGCTTCCGGTTACCGAATTGGCGAGCAATCAAAGAAGCAGAAGGACTGGCAGTGGCAGAGGGAGTCGCAATCGAAGAAGCGTCGTAGAAGCCACGAGCGACCATAGGGATAGAAAAGCCAGCCGGGATGGAGCTGGCAGACGAGGGCAGTACCGTGGCGAGGCTCTGAGAACCGAATTGCCGAGCAACCAAAGGAATAGAAGGAGCAGCACTGGCGGATGGCGTGACAATGGGAGAAGAGTACCAGCCTTCAAAATTACGAGCAGCCAAAGGAGTCGCAGAAACGGGTCCCGGGCCGCTCGGAGATGGGGTGTAGCTGCGTGCAAACTGGAGCGGGTCACCAGCAGCCCTCAGCCCACGACGAAAGAAGCTCTTGGAATCCGGATTAGGGAAGAACGACCCGCCCGGGGGAGGAGGAACATGGGAGCGAGGGGGCCCGCTTGGGACGGCTGATGAAATTGGGGTGCTAGAGGGAGTAGCAGTGACGGTGACAGTCAAGACCTCAGCTGTGGCCCCGGCAACTGTAGCCTCGGACTTGATTGTTGCAGTGACAGTCTGAACTTCGGGGGCGGCGGAACTGGGCTCTTCTCCATCGACGTTGACGACTTGATAATCGGCTGTGCGACGGACAATATCATTCTCAGAGTTCGCGACGGGGGCAGCGTAGGTCACACTGATCGACGAGAAGGCGAGGAGGGCAGCGGCCACGGAGAAGTGCATGATGGTGAAGTTTAATGAAGCAATTGGAGGATATGAAGGTGAGTCGTAAACAATGAAAACAACGAAAACAATGAAGTCGACTTGGAGTGATAGAATGCTCGGATGTGAGACAATTCGGATACACTTCGAATTAAAAGAAAATCAAGTAGTCATAGGCGTGTGTGCTCCAGGGGGAACGGAATAATGGATTCGTAAAGCGAAAGAGGTCTGGGGTTTAAAAGTGGTTGCGATCTTGATCTAGATCATAACGTCTGGCAACATGAAGTATATGCGGCCCACATGGCAACCCTACGATTGGCCGAAAAATAGACAGGCTGGGATCGACGGGGCTGGGGATTTGAAGGAAACCGGATCGACTCACAGGAACCCAGCCACCTTTTTCCAACGCGGTCTCCACATGGCAACGCCACAAGCGCTGCACAAGCGTATCCTCATCTTCCAACGTGCGGAAGTGCCGCGTTGCTGGAGCGATCGTCGGTTACATAAGCAATCGTCAAGTGGCTGGGGACTCCACTTCACGTCACAACACTACATAAAGAAAAGGTCTGGAAACCCCGGTGCCTAGTCAGTTTTTTGAGAGGCCGAATGAGAGGGCCAGAATCCATTTTGCCTCTGATCGACAGGGACCCATTTGTAGACCGACTATGTATATTGATCCTGGATCAACCGTGTGCCGAGACAAGTGTTAGCCGGCCCACGGTGGCAGGGTAAATTAATCAGATGGCCAGATCCTCCACCCGCAACAGGCCACAACCCAGTCCAGCGCTGGCCCATGCCGCATTTGAGTGGTTGGGGTTCCATCCCAGCGCAGCGACATGTGTGCTTTCATCATGGACAGTGGTGAGAGAGGAGCCTAGGACGGGTCGTTTCTCGCCCGTCAGGTTCCGAGCCAGACTCTGTGTTTCCGCCCGGAAACCGTCGTAAAATCGGCTGATACCAGGACCGTGCGGGTCGGTGCCCTGAACCCATTCGTGGGAGAACCAGGTCTGTTGCCAGTGCTGTTCCTTGGCATAGAGAAGTCGCCGGACGGGGTTGGAGCCCACGACTTGCCCACCAGCACCACCGTACAGGACACAAGGATGCCATGAACTACATGGTGCGAGAGAGGTCACCGTACTTGGAACTTGGCCGCAGAAGGTCGTGCCATAGAACCGACGAATTGGCAACATCCGACAGTAGTCGTTCTCGTCACTAGAGAAGATGCAATGAAGCAGTGGGGAGTAGCTAACGTGAAGAGCTGCCTGGCGCATACGACCCGCCGAGGTGGTCTCAATCTGAGGGTCAAGAATGGACCAGAGCTTAGTTTCGCCATCCATAGCGATGGTAGAAACGAGATGAGGATTATCCGGGTATGCGGATGTGATGCTCAGCACAAACGACGCGTGAATTGGGCGATAAAACCAAGGCTTGAGTGTAGGTTCAGACGAAGGTAGAATGCTCCAAATTCCGACAAATCCATCCGATATCCCTGCCGCAATGTCATTTGGAGAAAGCCATGTCAAGCACGTACAGACATTTGATGGCGACGAAGACGTAGCTTCAAAGACTGGCGAGTCAAATTTAACTAAATATGTGCCCAGTTAGTTCTAGATGTTGCAATGTCAATCACGAAGGTCGTTGTGTCTTACCAAATTCTGGCTTTTCACTCCGCCCTAATTTGATGTCCAATACTCGTACTTTTCCATCGCCCCAAATACCAGCAATTAAGCCTAAATTCTTCGACCCGTCTTTATCATCTTCCTCTCGTTTCTCGCGAGGCATTGGACACCACGATATACGGCGAATATCTCCCCAATCGGTGCATATAGTCAGCCGAAGTCGTGGTTTTTTACTCATGTCGAGGGTATCCGTGATTTTGCCAGCCTTTTTGCCCTGAAACTCCCATATTTGTAAAGCGCAAGGGTAAGACGGTAGTGGTCGAAATGCTGATGGATGATCATTTTCTGGGCTGTCAAATTTCTTTTTTTGTTCATTCGTAATTGGAGTCACCACAGCCAAATATTGTGAAAGACTGTCTTGGTTAGGTGCCCATGCCACGCATTGAATCTTCTGTCCAAAATTCATCAGCCACCCTTCGCGAGCCTTCGACCCCGCACCGTCACTTCTTTGAACTTTGGCTTCTGGCCAAGCGTCACCATAGTTGTAGACTTCATGATGGCCTAGATGAACAGGTTGCTGGTTGTCGAGAGGGCCAATGAACGCAGTATATTTCTCCTTTCTTGGAGTTGGTAGATATTTCCGGCGGGCATCTGCCTCCTTGAGCTTCGGGTCGACGCGTTGTCTTTTGCGGAATCTTCCACCAATATCCTTGTCGTAATACCAGTCCCAGCCAGAAGTTCTCTCCTTTTCCATATCGCCCGGAGCAACACCGTGTGTTGGACCATACTCATAGTCTGGGCCGCTCTTAGATTCATCCAGGGAAAAGCGGGTGGGAAAGCAAGAATCTACGCCTCGGGCCCATCGGTCTCGCCCATAAACAGCAGAGAGCAGATCTCGGTCGTCGGAGCCAAATGTGGTCATGTAATGCATGACCTTTGAGACATGTTCCTTGGCATCCACGACACCACGTGAATGTGTTTCGTCTGCAGCAGTCTTTGCCTGCCAAAATGGTAACGGCGTGGTGCCACCATTTTCAGTTTTTGTACCCCGAGCGCGGGAGGCTCGCTTCGGCTTCCTCTTGGGGGTCACCTTTGGCCTGTCGACATCCATCGCCTCAACGTCATCATGAATGGTGCCGAATTCTTCATCTGCCGCTTCTGAGTCATCGCCACCCTCAGGTCTATCATCATTCTCTTCCTCAGAAGCGGGGGCAACGAACTCCTCATCGGAGCTGGAATCGTCCCGTTGTCGGCGCTTGCCCTTCTTCTTAGCCGTCAGGCTGGGCTTTTCGGAGCCGGAGTTATCACTTATTCCGGCTGACTCAAATGGATCCTCGATATAAACCGTCCTTGGGCCCTTGACGCGACCTGACCGACGAGTGGAGGCCATCTTACCAAAGCCAGTGGTGTACCATCAATGTTAAGAATTGAGATATGAGCCAATAATCCAGAGCTCAACGTTTCACGGAAGGTTGAAAGCGCAAGGATCAGCTACAGCAGATGATGGGTGGTTATGGACTGAGAGAGCACTGGAATGCTGCAGCTTGGAGGAGGGACGTACCTTGAGAAGCTCGAGTGGCGCTATACCCGATTGGGCCATATCCCTCCCCACATCGCAAACAGCATGAAGTAGAAACCCCAAATCATCGTGCTGAGGCAGGAGAAAGACGGAGTCTTGTTCCGATCAACTCCGACTCTATTCTTTGAAAGTTTAGTCACAATATATAAATTGCCACTTTGTTAAACAATGCAAAAGTCAGCATCGCTAATAAAACGAAAAAACTGGAAGTTATAATGGTATCAGTCTGTGACTGGCTCAGTTTTGGTCGATGAACTAACCAGCCTCAGCTAGTACCATATATTATTGTAATATTCTGGTATGTTTAAGAAACATATAGAGAAGGAATTGCTTCAATGAAGATTGAAACAATATTCCAAGTTTTTTTTTGGGGGTGTTATAGTGAACTCAAGCACCACGGACATGCTTTCGACTTAAATGTAAGAGATATGATCTATATCACCAACTTTACAAGATGTTTTATCATTTAACGAGCGTTATAGACAGTTCCACTTTTACAACCCCATATTTGAGGAATTTGCAGATACTTATTCGAGAATCAACTGCGACAGAATTTGATCCAAGTGTCGATTTAATGTGAAGTGTGTATCCTCCGGGAATTCGGTCAACTTGCAATGTGGAAGACGCCTTGCCATATACCGAATCAGCTCTATCGGGGCATTCGCATCTTTCGCCCCATGCCAAATCTTTACCTTGTTGTAGGTGACGTCCTCAAACTGAATCCCCCAGTCTGAAGTCAATAGCCGAGCGTCGTGCACAGCCGGATCAACGCCCTGCCGGAAAGCCTCGAATACCTGCAGCGCGAGAAGTTCTCTGCGCTCATCAACGTCCTTCTTTGACTCCAGGACGTCTGTATTGCTGTCGAGCCATTTATTTATCCTTGTCACCCCAGACCGAGAATCTAACATCCGCCGGAGAGCCCAGAGAAATAGATTCAGGATTCCGCCATAACCAGAAGGCCACCTATGTGCAGCAAAGGCAGACAGCCGATATGGTAGAGACATATAATGGTCTCCAGCTTCCCATGGGCCGGCACCAGCCATAATGCCGACAGCCGAGAGCATTTCGGGAGGTAGGCGGTATGCACATGCGAGTGCATAAGGACTACCGCCAGATGCGCCCAGAATGGCAAACCGCTTCAATCCCAGATGTTGAGCGAGTGATTGAACATCAGTGGGCCAGTCCAGAATACGCCGAGCTTGATCGAACGTGGTGAGACCATAGCCATTGCGGTCCGGGGTGATGATACGGATGTTATGGCGTTGAGCAGTTTCATCGATTCCGAATGTTTCAAGGCGAGAGGTGGGATAGCCGTGAATGAAGAGAAGCGGGTAGTCAGTTGACCGCCCATGTTCTGCGAAGCCAAGGGTTCGACCATCGGGCAGTCGCATGATCTGGCTGTGTCGGGCGCTGAGGCGGCTCGCATTTCGCCTTATGCAACGACAAGAACCAAGCGGTGGCGGCCGAGGAAGAATGAATCTAGATGGCTTCATGATAAGGATCGAATTTTGAAAATCTTACCAGCGCCAGGCAGGCCCCCGGACTTTAAATCAGATGCTCATGGCATCGTGACTTAATTTGAAGCGCCTCAAGAGAACGATTGTCGAAAAAATGCTTCAATCAACACGGTCGCGAAGATGACGCCAAACTCAAACGGGTACTACGGACCGCCAAATGACGTCGGCCTTGATTTAGGGGCCAGTCTTTATACTAGCTTCAAAAGATTTAATTAATCAGAGCTAGAAAAGGCAGGGAGGAAGCAAAAAAAGAGCTCTCAACAGACAGAAATACATTTTATGAAAATAACTAATCGGGCGCTCTGTCGAAACGGGCGTTTGGGAAAGTCCAGGATAAAAAGCCCAGGGAAAAGAATATGAATGTCTTAGGCTACTATGATTCAGAAATCTGTCATAGAGGCACCCAAGGGTGTTTCTACTATATGTTGAAAAGAATTGACATGCCTCAAACTTAGACAACCGTGCAACACCCTAGTTACGTTCGGACCACACACCATATAATCCAGCCGCAATTTTAATCACATGTGACAAGTCTTCGGCTCTTGCGCCATACTGTATGATACGCAAGGCAGCACACGATCAGACCGAGTCTTCTCGTAAGTACAAGCAGCTTGTCATTGTCGAATACGAGTTTTCAAGGATACCTGGCGGAAATCTTGCCCTTGAACTCCTTGGGAATCATTTGCAAGCTATAGCAACGTAATACTATTCCACTAGAGATAGAATCATAGGAACTTATTGTCTTAGGAATATAGGGACACTGCAAAATAGTATTATATGTAGCTTGGATACCACCCGCATGAACGATGGGTTTCAGAATACTCTTCAATACCAGAAGGCCTTAAAAGGAATTAGTTCTTATGGCACAAAGCTAGCTTGCATACTAAATAAGCCTTGTTTTGGCAAACAATCACCAAAAAGACGAATAGCTTCCAGAGCCCTTGACTCTTTTGATTACGAAGCATCTGCCAAAGCACAATGTTTTGAAATGAAGACATCATAATATAATCATTCTTTTTAGTAGCTCACATTCCTTGTATGTTTCAACTATGTTCCAGTATCAGTTGGTACCCATCAAACAGGTTAGAGATGTAATGTAATGCATACACCCGCACAAACTTCAAAATAGACCCGCGCTGGAATCATTTCCAGTAAATGAATGAAGTCGATTTCAAGAACAAGATTCGCTCTCTAGCCCTCAGACATCACAAAACATTACGAATAAATAGCCCGACGCGCTTCCTCGGAGTGCGTTCCAAGGGCTACAGAAAAACAATGGGCATTTTCACCGCTGAAGTCGTTTCAGCTGTCGAATGAATAATGCAAACCTTAGGGCTGCTCTCTCTGGCTATAATTATAAAATCTACAAGTGGCAATTTTTGAAACTAACCGAAAGCCTTTGTATAGCTGGATATTCTAACTACCTTGGTTGAATTTAAGTTGACTTTGAGATTACCTGCTTTCTGTTATGATGATAACTCTCGTTTCATGTTTAGTACAACTCTGGTGGTATGCCTACTCAAGCCTCCACTTGCTGAATACCAGAAATCTGAAGGTGGCTTGAGGATTTAGGTTAACTTGAGGATTCTCTCTCGGAGCCCCAAGCAAAGACTGTTTGTTGGGCCTAGAAAAGACTCGCCTTGAAATTTCTGCATTCCGAGTACGGAAAAAGATCAGCAAGTTTAAACTTTTGAAGGACTAACAAATAGAAAGTTGATACTAGAGAAGTGCGGTCAATCAAAACTGGTCCGTAGCCGCCGAGATACCCGCCTTCCGCATCCGTCACGGTTGGAACCATAGATGAACAAACTCCCTCTCAGGAGCACGGTCGAAAACGGAAGCTACTTCGTTCATATAGATTCCAGATCAAGAAAAACAGGATTGAAAACATACGTTCCGTGGCAAATTGAGGTTTTAAAGTCTCGTGGTATTGAGATACATATACAAATTCTCGGAAGCTGTTTGTGGACCGGGCAGTAACTTGAGTTTTTCTACAAAGATCGAGTGCGTCATATTTGAGGATAATAAAGACTAATTGTGCCATCTGAAGTCCTAATATTCGCGTAGAAGAGTTTCAACGCGAACTCTTCTAGAATATTTGATATTCTTGTCCGCCATTCGCGAGTTATTTAAACGTACTTGGATTCCTCAAAACTGAATAATAATTTCTCAATCTACAATGCTCCTATAAACCATATCGCCATATCGTTAATCTTTCGAATCATTATGATGTTGTCTCTGGATTCGCTATTTGTAGTGGCAACTCTTGTCACCGGATCCATCGCGAAAGGCACAACTTGCGAAAGTAACCAGGTTGTTGTTTGCAAGGGCAATGGAAATGGCGGTCTTTTTTCATTGGGAAACATTGCTCCAGGCCTACTTGGTGACAACTGTTCCGGGGGTGATGTTTACTGTTGTTCTGAGGAGGATGTTGAACAGGTATAGTGCTGAAATCTTTATGTAAAACCTATTATAATAACTGACGATCATCCGATAGATTGGTTTGGTCAACCTTGATCTGAATCTGCAGTGCAGCCTGAACCGGGTCTTATAAGATCTCGAAATGTATACCCTTTCAATCAGTCCCTGCGACCATGAAAGGGATTCCCTCTCTGAACCCTTGGCTTTAAACCTCTCTGAGAATAGAGATTCTTTGACATAATAAGCCAGCTCAAAGCAAGAGGAAGAAATATAATATAATTTTTACGTGATTGTCCAACTGCCAAACAAAGGTAGAATCTTTGTAGCAGAGTTTATCTGGTTGGAGCAGCAGTAAAGATTAGTTAATTTTAGTTCTAGTGCGTGTTTCTTACCAAACAGTACTCCTATGTATCCTCAACTCGTTCCTCAAGTGGCCGCAAACCATGACAAAGCCTATGAGCATTTCTTAGATACTGCTTGGATATCGATGTATACTTTGATACAAACACACCTCCGGTGCTAGCCTAAACTGATATACCATGCCCTTGCAGGTATACTTAGAATGAAGATAGTTCTCCTTTCATGATGTCGATCTGACACAATGACTCTTAGGCTATGGAGCAGATTCTAACTGAAGCTGCCATGAGTTTACGGACCATCTCCACTTCTTAATTACATTTGAGAAGCCTCCTTTCGATCCTTGAGAGGTAGATTTAATGCAGGCAATTAAGCAAAGCATGTCTAATAGGATTGGCTTAAATCTCTCTTGGAGAAGTTAGTAACGCTCTCTTTTCTGTTCAACAAGATATTGACGAGTGAGTGATTCTGCTACAGACTAATCTTGTGAGACCATACTCCATAGCTCTGGCTAGTGCACTGCCCAGAATTATCTGAAACTCCTGATGAAAGATCATCTTTCCTGATACTGTATGCTTTTGAAGCTTGGCTATATTCCTTCTAATTTTCCTTTGACAGTTTCGCAGAAACACATCATTCCAGCAAGCAAGATACATGGTTTCTCTGGATGTGCAATGATATATTAAGAACTATATAGCAGAAAGACGTTGTGCACATCCATGGAAATTTAGACAACCTCCTTGTAAGCAAATTTTCTTGCAATCTTTGAGCAATTACCTAGATGCACTGAAATTATCAACACTTCCAGTCCTAAATGCCTTTGACAGCTGTGGCAGCTTCAAACATACTCCTCAATGGTCTCTTTGATAGCATGCTAGGGCTCTGGCTGATCAGCCCATGGTGACAAGTCAGGCCTCCCATGCGAGTCAAACAATCTGCAGCCAAAGCCTCAATATGTGGATGATCAGTCATTACCAATAACTGCACCTGTTTGTAATCATCACCCGTTATTTCAGTTCCAATTCATTGGCCAGTCCATGGGTGCATGCATGGATAATGAGGGAGGGCACGGGATAGTTTGGGACCACCCAGAGCCCCGCGGTGGATCAGGGCCGATGCATCAATCGCCCCGCCCCAACGTCAATCGATGGAATGATTCAATTTTGGTTTCTTTTTCCCCCCAAGCAATCCTAAAAATCATGTCTCCTAGCACAAACCGTAAATCCTCACCCTCTGGCATTTTGCATCAATATGTATGGTTTTCTTAAACGTTCAATGTCCTTTCTCTGAATCCAACTGACCTCCCACGTAGGCTTCAAGGCTGGTAGCCTTTGAGTACACTTCCCCGGCCCAGGCCAGCAAACCGAATAGCTTGATCTTCGTGGGTGGGTTGACCGATGGATTCAACACCGTTCCCTACGTGTCCACGCTGGCAACAGCCCTCCAAGACAGCGATTGGTCGCTGTTCTCTATTCTCTTAACCTCCTCCTACAACGGATTTGGAACCAGCAGTCTTGACCAAGACGTTGAGGAGATCGGCCAGTGCGTTCAATTTATTCGGGACCTCAAATCCGACCATCTTTCGGGCAAGATCGTGGTCATGGGCCACTCGACGGGCAGCCAGGATGTCCTTCACTATCTCTACGCGCCCAACCCGGTCCCCAAGACCGAGATTGATCTCGGACTGCAATATCTGACTCGCCCCGCTATTGACGGTGCCATTATGCAGGCGCCCGTATCGGACCGCGAGGCCACTTTGTTGAAGCTGAAGACGGCCAACGAACCCAACGAGGTGCGTGGCGCATACGATCAGCTCGTGGACGCCGCAAAACGACAGCCGTGGACGCCAGATGGGCATGATTCGCTTCTACCACTAGACATGACGGCCAGACTGGGACTGCCCGGTGGTGCACCGATCAGTGCCCGTCGATTTCTGAGTCTTGTCAGCCCGGATAGCCCGGCAATCCCCTCGCAGGATGATCTCTTCAGCTCGGATCTGAATGAAATGCGTCTGCAGGAGACCTTCGGGGTGATTGGGACCCGGGGCTTACTAAACTCGAAGCTGTGTGCCTTGTATTCTGGCAGCGATGAGTATTGCCCACCATGGGTTGATAAGCAACACTTGATGCAGCGGTGGAAGCAGGCAACCGAGGCAGGAGGAACACCATGGGATGAAAACAGTGGGGTTATCTCTGGTGCAAGTCACAACGCCAAGGATGTGGGCCAGAAGGACCTGGTCGACCGTGTCCTACGTTATCTCAAAAGCGTCTGAAAGCGATACATCGTGGAGAAAGATATCAATAAACAGGGCATGGAATCTTCAATCATTCGGAGTAATTTTCCAGCTAAGAAAACCATTTTAGAGACCACAACCGTGGGAATAAAACATCTGATTTGAGGCATTGACACTGTGAAAGGGTTTTAAAAAAAGACATGCAGACACCGCCCAGGAGAGTATAGGAATTTGTAAGAGGAGAAGAGGTCAAATGGGGTATATTGAAGCACGGACTAGCCTACCCAGCAAGACAACAGGGGGGCGTTGGGGTTTTATGAGGCCCGCTGCAATGCTCAAGGTCTAAGAAAAGTCGCTGTGCTCGGAACAGTAGCAGGACTTCAAACCTTCAGCCACAAGGTCATGACACCTTTGAGATACTCCACAATCTCGCTTCCGCCCAACTTGCTCTCGCCGTAGAGACGATCAACAAAAGTGATGGGACACTCCTCGACCTTGTAGCCCATGGCCTTCGCACGGACCATCATCTCCATCTGGAAGCTGTAACCCTTGCTTTGGGTGCTCGTGATAACCTTCTCCAAAACCTGCTTCTTGTACAGGCGGAAGCTGCCAGTCAGATCGCTCACGCCGGGCATCAACATGACATCGGCAATCATATTGGCAGTACGCGAGGTAAACTTGCGAAAAAGATCCCAGCCATAGACACCGCCCTTGATATCACCACGGTTCGCGTATCTGGTGCCGGTAACAATGTCGGCATCGTTTTCCTTCTGGATTCTGATCATCTCGGGGATGAACTTGGGGTGGTGGCTGAAATCGGCGTCCATAATGATGACGAAGTTGCCGGTAGTAAACTTAAGACCGTGGATGTAGGCGGTACCCAGGCCAAGCTTGCCCTCACGGGGCTTCAGGATAATGTGTTCCTGGCCATAGAGGCGCTGGAGTTGTTTGGCGATCTCGAGGGTGCCGTCAGGGGAGCCATCGTCAACAACAATAATCTCCCAATCCAGGTTGCTTTAGCCGAGCACAGTTTGTTAGCTTCCAATTGTATATTTGCATAAGACTTCCGATCCATACTTCTCGTTGAAAGTCTTCTGGATCAGCCAGACGATGATAGGGAGGTTGCGCCGCTCATTGTAGGTCGGCAAGATGACGGAGTACTTGTTCTTGGTGGCGGCCATTTCTGGGGAGTTTTCAAGATTAAGGAGGGAAGTCAATACCTCCAGGGTAATTTAATTAAGGTGAAAAAAGGAAAATAAACCAGTAGAGAGCGAATGGCTGACAGCTTGTTGCTTCGGGGAAGTCCAAGTCGCGCCAGCTTGCCAGATCCGGCGGTCCACCGCTTTGGGCAGAACACGATAGCTTATCGCGTCCTGGAGCTTCATCTTGTATTGTTCAGACTTGACGTTATCCTCGTCAAAACACCCTTAGATCCGAGACAAGAATGGCTTCACTCTCACAGCACCATCGCAGTGTTTCCAGAGGTATGTCTGTATTGTATATTGGCAAGTCACCATGGATCTCTCTTTTCCTCTACTGATAAACTCTCCAGCGTCACGGCCCCGCAGGTCAACCCGGGATCCCCTAAATGCGACAGAAGAGTGAGTCCGCAAAGTTATGACCGAACACTCCGAAATTATTCTAATCTCAAGCCTTCAGTCCTCTTTCGCCATCCCATTCCCCCACTGCTCCCAGCCAAAGCAACCAGACATCTGTTGGAGATGACAACTTCTCCGGGGCCTCCTTTCACGAGCTGGACCCGTTGGCTCCAGATGATTTGCCAGAGACCCTAGGCAAAGATCTTTCCTTTCTTCTCCGACCAAACATCTATCACCCCCTCTCTCATATTGACATTCCTTCTCCATTACGCTCCGAATTCATTGTCCTCGACCCCGGTGAGCCTCTAGAATCATCACTTGGCCTCCTCGAGAAATTGCTGGCCCAGGGTCGTTTCCTCGTCGCGGCGCACTTCTCCGGCTCAATACTTACCTCCTCCCTCATATCTCCCACGAACACAAAGATTATATTCGCTTTGTTCTATACTCGTCTTGCCTGTCTGGAGCTATCTGGAAACACAGTCCTTGCAGCCCAAGAATCCAAAGCTTTAGAGGATCTCAACTCTGCATTTTACTACATTGATTCCAGTTTGGAGGCATCTGAAGCCGAAAAGGAGCAAAACATCCCCAACGAGCACTTCGCTCGCCACATTGTCCCCTGGCCCCTTCGTGTTTTGGCTGTACGGCTGCAGAGCATAGGATTCGGCGATTCCCGCAGGAGTATCGGTGGTTTGTATGAGATTGGCTTAGAAGCACGAAGAGAGATCATGAAGAAAGAAACCGGCGAGGCTGTGCGGAGCCTGTGGAGAGAAAGGTTAGCGGACCTTGGGGTAAGGACCGTGAATGCGTTGGTAGAGATGGGTGACCTAGACGCTGCCAAAAGATCGCTCGATGGTCTCAGATCATCCGAGGCAGACACAGAAATCATGAAGTTCAGACAGGCACTCTTATTCATGCGAATCGGTGATCTTGACGCCGCGGGGAAGGTTTTCGAGAATGCCCGTGAATCGCAATGGGCGACTTTGTTGCAACCACTGCTCAGCATGTCAGAGGGCCGCTACAGAGATGCTGTCATCGAGTGGCGAGCACTTCATGAAGATAAGCAAAGATCAGATGAGGCTCTTGTGGCACAGAACCTGGCTGTGTGCCTTCTTTATACCGGCCAGCTTGACGAGGTATGTCATCAAGCCACTTGGACCCTGATCTGTTGACTGATAGCTTTTTATAGGCATGCACGCTCCTAGAGTCTCAGGTCTCGGCCAATCATTCATTTTCAAGCCTCATCTTCAACCTATCCACCGTGTACGAGCTCTGTTCTGACAATGCTGGTCAGTTGAAGGGACAGTTAGCAACTACCATCTCCAAACATCCCATGTCTGGGCAGACAAATTTGGATCGGCCCAACGCGGATTTTAAGTTATGATGCAAGTTATGATGCATCAAATATTGAATGACCGATAGAGGCCGTGATGGAATTTCAGCGCTTCTGTATAGTGATGAACCCTAAAATACTCCTCAATAACAATAACACCTAATGGGCCCAACGCCATGGATCCAAGACAGTCCAAAGAACAAAATCCAACGCCCATAAAATGCTTTATGTACACGCTCTAAGGACCAGTGCTACTAGGCTGTGTTGGTGTTGATACCGGTGCAGGCCGTGGCTTCGGCCGTCGAATAATAACTTTATCTCCCTCCTTTTCCCAGCCCAGGTTTTCCGTTTCTACCAGTTTCTCCCAGGTCCAGCCCTCCACGTCGCCAGTACATCCACCCACAATCCAATTGACATGGACATTGAGGTATGCACTACCAACCGCTTTGAGGGCATGTCTCCGGACGCGATCGACAGCCCAATCCATCACTGCGCGCTCGTGCATGTCTGCATTTTGGCGGACCTGCCAGAATAGCACCCAATTGTCATGCATGAGAGCGCTCAGCACCTGGTCGACAGTCCGAGAATGAAACGTATACTCTCGCCGCGCACGCGAGCGCAATTCAAATGCAGACGCCATGTCACCTAGACGACAGGCATAGTCGAGAATCAACCATGAAACGAGCTCCTTGACTTCGGATTCCGGTAGCGGGTGGGACTTTGAGTGGAGTTCGTCGAGGCTGTGTTGTAAAGAGGGGAAGTAGGAGGGAGGGTGATGGGCGCGAATTGCTATGCGAATCGAGAGGTAATGAACTTTCTGCGCAAACTCGATCGGAGTTGTCGTGGCTGTGGCTCGAACGGCCTCTCGGAGCTTGCGCAGTGAAAGGAGGAGTGTGGAGAGCTCTGCCGATGGCGGGGGGACGTCTTTCGCGGCGGAGCGAGGCTTCAAAGTAGGTCGAGCGGTGGGCGGGTTCGATGTCACATCGTTGGAAGCGCTGGTAGGAAGGGAAGCAAACGCAGCATCTAGGTCTTTTTTGTGATCGTCGCAGAATTTGAAGTATCGCGTCACAATCTTATCGAAATACTCCTGCTGAGCTTGGTGATTGAGTAGCCTATTGGCAAGTCCCCGTCAGTGATGCTTTTCAGGCCCATTCTCCTCGTGGTTGGACACACTTTTTATCTCCTTTTGAGACAAATCCAACATTTTCCAATGAATCTGCGACGGGCTTAAGCCGACTTCCTGGCGACCTGGAGTGCATTGCGCGTGAAGCATGAGGAACAATGGACGTGGGGATAAGGTGGGCCACGATGATGGCGATGTTTGGCTCATTTGCACCGAGGTTCCCAACGGTGCGATGACTCTGGTTCCCCAACTACCCAACGCTCCTTTGTTTTATAGATTTTCATTCTTTCTCTTCTGAATTCTTATCAACAGGTGATAATTGTCAAGGTCCACAGTGCACCTTAGTTCCTTCTTTCTACTTGAACATATTCCGTGCCTACTCCGCCAAGTTCAAAAACACGTTCTTCAGCCCTGCATCCGACTTCCGTTGCATGTGAAGAAACTACAAGAACAATGCCACGCCAACGCCGCCCTGTCCGGGAGAAAGAACCTCAATCGGTCACCCAAGCAGCTGTAATGGCCAATTCGGTTCTCGAGGTTCCGCCGAAAGTCGTCAAGAAGCTTCTCCATTGGGATGACCTGCCCCATTGGCAGCGTGACAACCACCACATTCATACGGGGTACCGGCCTGCCTCGTCTTCGTTTCTGGCATCATTTGAGTCACTAGGCTACCTCCATAATGAGACCGTGAATATCTACACTCATTTACTCCCAGCCATGATTGCGGTACCGGCTGCGTACAAGCTTTATCATGCTCTCGCGCCTCGCTATCAGACCGCGGATGACTCAGACATTATGGCCTTTGCCTGTTTCTTCGCTGGTGCCGCCTTCTGCCTCGGGATGTCTGCAACCTATCATACGATCTCGAATCATTCGCCCAGTGTGGCCCGCATTGGCAATGCCCTCGACTACATCGGCATCGTGGGTCTCATTGTGGGCAGCTTCGTTCCCAGCGTGTTCTACGGGTTCTACTGCATTCCAGCCCTTCAACAGCGATACTGGACCATGATCTGCTCAATTGGCCTAGGCTGCGTCTGTGTCTCGATTCTCCCGCGGTTCCGGACACCCCGTTGGCGGCCGTTCCGCGCGGCCATGTTTGTCGGGATGGGCCTGTCGGCCATCTTCCCAGTCCTCCACGGATTGATAGTCTTTGGATTCGACCGCATGCGTGAGCAGATCGGTCTCAGCTGGCTCATCCTCCAGGGCTTCTTGTATATCCTCGGTGCGGGGATCTACGCGGCGCGGGTTCCGGAACGACTGCATCCTGGCCAGTACGACCTTTTTGGCAGCTCGCATCAGATCTTCCATGTGCTCGTCGTATGCGCGGCAGTAGCCCATCTGACGGGACTGCTGAAGGCGTTTGATTATCGGCACAGCGGGACTGCAGAAATTTGTCAGATCCCACGCGGCTGAGTTATGGCGAGCGCAAGAGAGGGAGGGATAGCGACGTCGGACAGCATGCTCATGGCTATAAGGTAGCATGTAATGAAACGCTAAGCCGTTACCACCATTTGATGGCGATTCGTATGCTTCTTCCAGGTCTTAAAATGGTCTCAAAATGTCTCTTGAGGCCTCTGCTGACGAAAAATCCGGTTCCCGGCGTGCAATGATGACTGTCGCCAGATGAAGCGGTGAAAAAACGACTCTGACGTTGTGTGAATCTGGTCAGCCGAGTCAAATCAGCTTTGTCTGTCTGCATTTCACATGGTGCTGCTACTTCCTCCGGGTGTAAAGGCCTAGAGGGTTACTGAAGGCGCCTAGGATGGTGGATCGCAGCCCCGTCTCATTGGTTGCTAGATCGGGCCCAGCCGATGACAGATCCAACGGCGCTGGGCTTATGTCTTTTTTTTCCTTGGCCGGTTCCCTTCCAAGAACCAGGGAGGCAACTGCAGAGACACAAAACTTACTAGGAAGAGGGGTTGAGGGGGCAGGAGGGTGGTGATTTACGATGTTGCATCAGGGTGTGCAACTCGAAAAACCTCTAGACGGTTACAAAAAAGACAGAACCTGAATCAGAACGTAGCCTCAGCCAGTCTGGACCCCTATTCCAACAATTCACCTGGTGGACATGCTAATAGCGGCAAGAATGTTCCAAAGGAGTAATGGCTACCCTCTTCGTCGCCTGCTCCATCCAGTGAGCCCGAACCCGTGCTCCCGAGCCATTTGGATCGATCCGACGTGGGGAGATTGTAAGGGAAACCCTTTTAACGTGCCAGTTGGCAATCCCATGCGAGGTTGATCAGATGGAAGCATCTGGGGTTTCACAGCGGCTGACCTCTGTATGCGGCTGCCGTAGGTACGGGAATCCGAATGCCAGTGTGACTTTTGGGGAGAGGGCTAGTTCTTGGACAATGAAGCTTTCATCTTGGTGGCAGAAAGGCCTTGGGATGTTTGGTGTTAGGATTATATAGACGGGCCACTCCAGCACGTGCTCTTTTCATTTGACATATATCGTGCATGCCCCAGTCTAGCCATTTAGGCTTTGTCTTTTCTTCGTCTGTTTTTTCATCTTTTCCTCTCTCGTTTGTTTCCCCTCCTGGAGCCTTTATATATTTTTTCAACCGAGCGATATTCCGCCATTGCCGTCTTCGAACTATCCCAGCCTTGAGCAGCACTTGCCAGACCTAAAAGAGAGTTTATCCGTTGATCTTCTTAGCATCTTCAAAGGGCTCTTTCTCTGATCCTTCGTCGGCCTCGATGCTCGCCGAGTCCAATGGCAGTCCGTATGCCGGGGGCGATGCACCGAAGCTGCGAACCGCTTGCGAGAACTGTCGCCAGTCCAAAGTCAAATGCAATCTGTCTGGCAAGAACGTCTGCACTCGCTGCCTGCGCCATGGACTCCAGTGTCAGTATGGGTTTGCTAACCGGTCTGGGAAGCCGAAAGGCAGCAAAAACCGCGCAACCCTCCGCAAGCTGGGCCAGTTGCAGGAGGAGAAACCCTCAATACGCGGGTTCCGTGGTAGCCGCCTCGTGCCGCCTGCTCCAGGCCGAGAGCCCTTGATGGCCTATCCCGCGCATCTCAGCGAGTCCATGGAGGATGAGGATGTATGTTAGTAGTCTTTTATTATCTCCCGCTCGTTCTCCCTGTGCTCACCCTGCTGAAGCTCTCGCCCTCTGTCTGACAGGTATGCTTGATCCCGGGTCCATTGGGACTGTGGGATAGTCCTCGCACATTCGGCGGTACCGCGTTGGACACCCCGATCTGTCCTTCGCAGCTGAACACGATGGATGGCCCACCGTTTCCAGACCTGCTGGACTCCTATCCTGCCCTCCCTGGTGGCTTAGGATGCCCGCACACGCCAGTCACGCCGACCTTTTTGGCATCCGACTCCCTCGCGGATGGGCTGGGCAGCCCTTCATTCGGGTCCGTGTCGTCTCCGTATACTGTCGCGCCGTGCGAGTGTGTCGATATGCAGTTGTTCCATATGAACCGGCTGAATCACCTTCTGGCCGATTCAATGCCTCTTCGCTTCGATCACAGCCTTCAGATCCTCAAGACGACATTCTGCGCATGCCAGGTCTTCATGTCATGCAGTAAATGCACCAAAGACAGCGCGAATCTTCTGCTACTGATCTCCGTGATCAATCTGACTCTACAGCTCTTTGAATACTGGATATCTCGCGAGACCACACGCCCTTCACGGGCCGAGCAGGGGGGCGAGATTCGGTACGGCTACTATGAGATTTGCCAGGAAGAGAACCGACACATCCGCCCGTTCCTGCTGCGAGGCCTCCTCCTCCAGTGCCGGGAGGTGTTAAGCTCGCTGACGGCCGCGGTTGACGCCATTTATCTCCTGCCCCCAAACCTGTCGATGACGAGGGGACCGGCGATTCCAATATTTCCGCAGAGGAACCCGCGACCCAGCCCTGGCATCTGTCGGACCAACTTGGCATGGGTCCGTTGTCAGACCTGGACCCGGGGACTCTGGCCAGCAGCCCTGACAATAATTATCTGCTCTCTATAATCGCCGGCTACGAGGCGACTGTGATTGCATTTCTGCAGTCCATCTCCGCGAACGACTGTGTCTGCGGGTCCAAGTATGCGGCACGAGATAATTGAATCCATTCTTCTTTGTGATCATGTACATGACTGTTAAAGCAGGCGGTCTGGCTCGATTGAGTATGTTTTGTTATTTCCTTTTGTCGGTTTTTGTACTCTAGGAAAAGAGAGGGGGAGAGGAGAAGGTGGGGGGAAAGGGGGAGAATATATCCTCTATCAGAAAGGGCTGTTTGATTCCCAGCTCGACAGTAAATGCGGATCTGCCATCACTCGTATAGGAAAATCATGTCTCAATTTGAGTCCTCCGGGCTTTTCCCGCGGCACATTATCTTATAGCCTATAGCCCCTGGCCAATAGTCTATATCGCCTTCTTGGCTGCGCAGAAATTTTCAATATATGCTCCGTACATTCATTTGTGCTGCCGATCTCGTAGTGTACGCCGTAGTGTTGTTGTTTATGACCCTCTTGTGCTTTTTTATCTCCGCGCCTTTAACCCCACATTTTGTTCGGTCCGCGGCGAGCCTCGGCATTGCACATTGGACCGCCGAGCGTTGTATAAGGACGACTTCCTTTCCCCCTCCCTCTCCGCTTCGCCCTCCAACCCCAATAGCCACACGAACAAGTGATTGATCATGGCTCCCTCCGATCGCCTCAACCAGGTCAATAAGCACCTCAACTACCCGGCCGGCATGCTAGCCGGCCAAGTCGCCATCATCACCGGCGCAGGCCAGGGCATCGGCGCCGAAGCAGCTCGGCTGTTCGCCAACGAAGGCGCCAAAGTCATTGTCGCTGATATCGATAGTAGTACGTGTGACACCGCGTGATCCACCTACAAGCAGATCCCCGTCGATCGGCACAAATCAAAAGGATTCACACAGCAGAGCGCTAATCCCCTCGCAGAAAAAGCCAATGCCGTCGCGGACGCCATCAACGGGGTCGAGCCGGGCCGCGCTCTCGCTGTTGTCGGTGACATCCTGGACGGCGAGTACATCGCCAATCTGGTCAAGCAGGCCGCCGACTTTGGCGGTGGCAAGATCCACATCATCGTCAACAATGCCGGTTTCACCTGGGACGGGGTGATTCACAAGGTACGTTGCTTCCCCTTCTCGCTGATGTGTTCCTCGGTGCCCTGTCCTGTCCCTGCCTCTATACGGTTGTATACGTGAATACATGTATATGTGGTTCTATAATACGTATTGGAGTCTTGACTAAAAACGCGATCCTGCTCCCCAGATGACCGACAAGCAATGGGACACCATGCTCGCCGTCCACAACACAGCACCCTTCCGCCTCGTCCGCGCCGCAGCGCCCTACTTCCGCGTCAAGGACCAGCAGCCACGAGTCATCATCAACATTAGCAGTACAAGTGGCATCCATGGCAACGCGTGAGCTCCCTTTTCTTTTCAGAAGAAGCATAATGCCCCCCTCCCTTCCCCCACCTTCCTTTTAAAAATTCCCCCACCAGCGCGCACCATATATCTAACCTCATCTCTTCCCCCGTACACAGCGGACAAGCCAACTACGCCGTCGCCAAAGCAGGTGTCGTCGGGTTGACGCGCACGATCGCGAAAGAATGGGGCCCGGCGTTTGGCGTACGCTCCAACACCATCGCATTCGGCTTCGTCACGACCCGGCTGACCGCTGCCAAAGAAGCCGGTGCATTCATCACCACGCCCGACGGCACTAAGGTTGCCCTCGGCATCCCCGGCAAGCAGCTTGACGGCAAGAAGGGCGCCGATGCCGACGCCTACCCGGATATCCCGCTGCGGCGCCCAGCCAGTCCTGAAGAGGCGGCGCGCGCGGTCCTCGGCGTGGCGAGCCCATATTTCTCGTACGTGAATGGCGAGACGATCCGAGTGACCGGCGGGCGGAACATGTAGATCTGTCGATGGAAGAAAGGAAGGGGAAAGGGAATATAGAAACTTTTGGGCTACAGTCGAGGAGATGCTCCGTACATAGCATGTCGTCTGGAATGTTTCTGGACATTGTATCTATTCTTAGGGCTTTTTCTTTTCGGATGAGAGGAAGAGAGAGACCAATCTCAGCTCTACGTAAGGGTGGCCAAGCGGCGCGCGATACCGAACAATAAGAAACCGATTTTTTTTTTCTAGAAAAAGAAAAGAAGAAAAGATAAAGAGAAGCAAACCTTATATTTCGAGGCAGTGAATATTCTTTTGGGATTCCTAGGGTGTTTCTTTTCTCCCGTCTGACTGGGCTTCAACAGGAGACCGGTTCACGACGTACCACCTCGGACGCTATCTAGATCGCGGGCCTGGAGTAGGCAACGCAAGGAAAGTTCCGAGCACAGAAATGATAGCATGTGGAATGACGTTCGAAAAGGCGAAAAAAAAAAAACAACAGGGCCTATACCCAGGGGGGCGGCCAGGGAGGAGAAGAGGGCGAGGTTTCAAGCTCAAGAAGGCAGTCTGCCTAGGCTGCACCACACTGATCGGGTTGGCGCTGCTGGTTGGGGTGGGGGCTTGCTGACGTCTCACTTGGGCAGCAACGACGTTGTACAAAGGACGTCCGGGCTTGTGGTCTGGCGGAGGCGCACACGAGATGTACCGCAGGGCTGGAGCGCGGTTCTCGACTGGCGCCGTAGGACCGGCGCAACGTTGCATGGGAAAGAAAAGGTGAGACCGGAAAACTGGGAACGAGGAACAGCACAGCATAAGAATGACGAGAGGGAGCAATGCGGCACTGTCGAAAAGGCGGAAGGGATGAGATGAGAAGTTGGAAAGTTAGTAGGTGCAAGAGCAACAAAGTTGTGGATGTAAAATGGTAGATGTCAATTCGCTCCATGGCCTCTCCGTAAGGTATCATATCGTTAAAAGTGAAATCGAATCAAAATCCAAAAAAAATCCCCAAGCCAGCAAAGAGAAACAACATTCCCATCCAATATCCAGCCATGCTGCGAAAACACAAAACCAATGTCTATGCACAAGATGCAAGAGGTAGAGACAAAACCCGAAAAGATCAGAATACTCTGATTGCCACCCCAAGTAAAAGCAAATCCCCAAAACAGGTGGGTAGGAAGACAAGACACGAGAAAGCAATAAAAGACCTACAACCATCTCCGAGGTGTGCATTGTCAACGCCTTCAAACGACCATTGCAACATTTCCCAAAAAATAAAACAATATTTGTCATCCAGCAGCCCCATCTCCAGGGGACTGTCTGATATCTTCAGTCATGCCTCCCAATATATGATCATGCCAGGAAGTCATAGCAGTAACAATTCAACAAGCAAGCAAAATGAACAAAAAAAAAAAAAAAAAAAAAAAAAAACAGGCCATCCGTCCGGTATGTGGTGGATCAATATTAAAACAGAAGAAAGGAAAATTCTTGATCCTGTCCGGCACGGACAAGCACGGGTGATGCAAGTTGACCGTTGTTGCTGAGGCAGGATCAAGGGAATATGTGTGTGGTCCAGGTCCCAAAGAAAAGAGGGGAATATGTCCAGATTAATGAGGTATAGCAGAATGAAAAGCTGGTGGCCGAGTCCTGTGGAATCCTCGGCGATCACCTTTCTTTTTTGGGTGGCAGCTTTTGACGAACAATAGGAATCCAAGAGAGAAGAATCCGAGATGCCGATAATGGCGGGTAGAAAAAAAGAACTCCGAGGGTCGTAGCAGGAAAAAAGGATATCAACCAAGGGGTGGGGGAATCTCAGGAAAGTAAAGGTAGGCGTAGTATCGTGCAGCTGCATTAAAAGGGGGGTAGAGTTTGAGTGGTATTTAGAATCCAGTCACCTTTTGCCATTCAGCACACCGGGATCGGTGGGCCCATGATGAAGCTATCCGTCGGAACGGGGTGCTCCACGCACATGGAGTTGGGAAACACCACCTTGCAGTCTGGCACCTGTTCCGAGATGACCGGGGACATGCAATTGATGTCGGAGTAGTCCTCGGTCAAGGCAGATGCATCGGACACAGCGGACTCGGAGAAGTCCGAGTAGTAGCTGGAATCCGAGGAAGAACCAGAGGGCTCGGCATGCAGAGGTTCCAGGGGGATGAAGGGCATCGGGGGCTGGGCAAAGAGGTCGTCGGCCTGCGGAATCTGTTCCGGTCCCCATGGGTTGGTGGCTGTCGCCGTTGTAGTGGCAGCGGCGGGGAGGGGCGACTCCGTGAATCGCGGGCAATCCACTATCAGTTGATGCAGCTCGGGAATGGTAATCCTCTTAGCCGGGTCGCGTTCGAAAACTCGGCCAAGGATGCAGACCAGCTCCGTAGACAGGGGCAAGATGGACTTCAGGAAGAGTGGATCCTTGAGATAAGCCCGGAAGGTAGAATCCTCAAATGAGGCGCGCTTCCATGGGTTGCGCCCGCAAGTCAGATTGACCAGCATCACACCCAAGCTCCAGACATCATTGGCGGCCGAAGCATAACAGGACATGGGGCGAGGATTTGTTTGTTGACATTCTAAGGTTTCAGGTATATTAGGATGGTCGTTTCAAGATGATGGGAAGGACTGAGCAGCACAGAACACGGGGTGAAGGGGGGGGGGGGAGACAAGGAGGGGGGCAATTAGGGCGATTGCACTTGACAACCCACATTAAGGTGTCCCAAGTGTCCCTAAGGACAAGAAAGAGAGAAAAAAAAAGCATCGCACGACATCAACGACTTACCGGGCGACATGTAGAATGTGGAACCGCAACCGAAGTCCGAGGTAAAGTAGTCCGTGGTGGCCAGGCCAAAATCCGCCAGTTTCACGGTCATTCCCTGGTCCGTCACCAAGACGTTCTCAGGCTTGAGATCCCGGTGGTATATCCCGAGGGAGTGGCAGAATTGAACGGCATCCAGCAGTTGCAAAAACACCCGCTTGACCAAGGGGTCATTGCCGATGTAGTTGCCCTGGTCGGTGATGCTGGAGAACAGGTCTCCCTCCGGACAGAACTCCATAACGACGTAGGTGCAATCCACGGAATCCATTATGCGGACAAGAGACACAACATTAGGATGTTGGCTGGCCAGGTGGTGCAGCCGGATCTCACGGTGCTGGAATTTGAGTTGTCGGGGATCCAGCCCTGTCTTGTTGAGCGCTTTGACGGCATAGCGGATGTGGGTGTGGATGTCCACGGCGGTATATACGACTCCATAGGCGCCGACGCCTAGGATACCTGTGAGTTCCAGCCGGTTGGCCAAGATGTATCCTAAACGATCCTCGGGAGAAAAGCAACGGGGGGTGGGGGAGGGTGGAGGAGTGGGAAGCATGGCCGGATACATCATGAAGATTGTATAGAGTATCCGGAAATGGGGGGCAGGAAAGGGAGAGAAGAAAACGAAGTCGAAGTGTTCCAAAGAGATGCGGGTCCCACTAGTGGTCTCGACCGGATATCAAAATGTAGATATAATGTGGAGAAGAATCCAGGAGAGGGGACGTGGCGAGAAGTTGTTTTGATCTTCCGGAGATCAGAGAGGACGAGGATCTAGTTCACGGTCGCGTTCACGTTTTCAACGGGTCGACAAACCAGATCAAGGCACGTCGAGTCCAGATTTGAAGGTGGGGAAGATCCAAGGCTTTTCAGAGGGAGGGTCGACGAGGAGGGTCGCGATCATCCAAAGGGTCCAAAAACGAAAACAACAGTCCACGGCAGTTAAAGGGGAGAATCCATTCCACGGGGGGTCAAAAGGTTCAAAAGTTTCCGATCTGGGTCCAGCTGGAGTCCGAGTGGATAAGGGGGGACGAGAAACGAGGACACGTTTGATTCCAGACGGTCGCGCGAAGGAGTGTGTGCGGAAGAGCACGCAGAAGAGAATGTATGTGGGAATATAGGGGATGGAGAGAGAGAGATGAAGAATATATGGTCAAGGAGAGTAGGATGAGGTTCGTTGAGGGAGAGAGAGAGAGAGAGAAAAGGAGGAGGGAGAAGGATATAGTAGGTCAAGTACGGGAGGTTGAATGAGGCGAAACAGTCCAGGAGGAGCGAGAATAGAGATAAATGATAACGAATAATATATAAGAAAATGACAGGATAATAATAATAGTCGCAGGCTCCGAGAGGCAAAAAAAAGATCTCAAATAATCAATTATTACATTTGTTTTGGCGGGGGGGAGGGGGCCAAACGATAAAATAAGATTCGATGATGCGGACGAGTGCGTGTCCATAAGAGGGGAGAAGGCCGAAGGACGGAGTCGGCGGAGGATACGGAGGAGAGACGTCTAGGGGGGCGGGACCAGTACGAGGCTTCAGCATCAGACGGTCTGGAGTCTCTGGCGTCTCTGGAGTCGTGGACGGAGCACAGCGGCCCAGCCCAGTCCGTCCAGTCCAGTGACGACCAAAGGAAACACTCCACATGGGCCAAGCAACCCCCCCGGTCAAACTAGATCCAATCCAAAGTCAAAGATCCCAGGTCCCAGTATTCTCTCCCGGTTTCATAGGCGCGTGTCGCCAGCCAAGTCAGAGTCGGAGTCATCCAAGTCATCCAAGCCATCCCAAGTCAAGCGGTGTGCAGCTCGCAGGGCCCGTTCCACTTGGTGGGCAAATGAAGACTCGCCCGGCCGCAGCCGTGCAGTGCGCCACCTGCATCCGCTGATTGGTGTGGGCCCGGGGTCGCACATAACGATCGACTGGCGTTGCAGAAACGACTCGCCCCCCTCTCCCTGGAGTGTTGGGGATAGTGCAGTGGCAATAACGACGGGAGTTCCGTGTCGGAAAGTCACGCCAAAAGGCAGCGTCAGCTTTGAGGGCGTCCGCAAATCCCGTCTGGATTTGTCGACTCCAGATCCTCTAAGACTCATTGGGACGCGCGAACGGCAATGGATCCTCTGACTCCACTCGTGACTCCCCAATGGGCCTTGTTCTTCTGGTCCCCGCCACCTCATCCCTCCTCCATGATCCATCGTGGAAGTATCCAGCATGTCCGTCCAGCATGTCCAGCATGTCCAGCATGTCCAGTAGGCCTAGCTGGCCCAGTGTATCTCCATCGACTTCAATCGCTCCACATGGGCCCCAGTCAACCGGTGGGAACTCCTTGTTGACTCAAATCACCGGGCGATTCCTCAACTCGTGTCCTCCTGTCTTCGTTTCATCCATGGTTCCCGCGAGGTTGATTGTTTGCGGTGTAGACGCCTCCCCCCGATCGACGCGAATGCCCGTTCGACCCAGTGCCCCATAGCCCTCTTGTGTACTGTACTCCGTAGAAGGGGAGGAGGAGGGTGGGACATTGTCGACCTGTAAACAACCCACGCACAGAACCATCCTCTCTGGACAGCGTTCATACCTCGCAACTCTATTCCCCACCCTCCAGATTTCCCACTGGGCAGGACATAGGCGAGAACAGACCGTCCAGTCCAGCCCCCTTCTTCCCCCCGGTCGTAGTCCACTCAAGGACCACCAAGGCGGACTGAGAAACAGGCTCCAGTCGCAAAGTGAGGCGATGAAGGAGGGGGCGCTCTGACCAACCAGTGAAGCGGTGGCGCGTTCGTTTCGAGAACGAGTGGATCTTCCCGGCTTCGCACGGGCCCGGGACCCTGGCAGCTGCACTGGCGCCCTGGAACGACGGTCGCCTTGTGCAACTCTCTCGATCAGGCCGGCGCTTACAGGGGAGGCAACGAGAGAGGTGGTTGGTTGAAGGTGGCTGGGGGAGGAGATGGTGGATGAGGTGGTGGTAGATGATGGGGCGAGTTGCTGGTCTGCTGGTCTGCGGGCAACGCGCGGAATAGCAGCCCTTGCTCTCGTTCAGGTTCTCATCACCTCCCATCACGAGCGGTGAGCATCACCTGATCTACCTGGTGTATCACTGGGACAGTCCCGCTGTACCCCAGGATTGGCAATGCAGCTGAACGCCCCCTTTTTTTTCCCTCGTTGCGCTGCTCGCTGCTCACTGCTCGCGGCTCACCGCTACCTGAGGCCGCATGCGACGAGTATACTCGTCCCCCAGAGCTCCCCCCTTCGTGCTCCATATCGGCGCAGGAGAAGAGCCAGCTACAGCTTTCCACACATGACTAGATCAATAGTGCCGTTTTGTATGCCGTACTCTGTGCAAATCCCAGCGGTGATAGGGTTAGTTTTTCGCCCCATCGTCTGGCCATTCAATGAGCCTTGCGCTCTGCAGCGCAGATGTCATAATTCATAAAATGGTCTACTATATATACACACACACATGTACATGTTCATGCGTTCGATTTGTACCCTGTATGGGGGAAGAAAAAAGGGGGGGGGGAAGAGGGAAGAAGAAATATACCTACTGTAAGATAGCCCACTCTCTCCCGCACAACTGTCTCCCTCATCTTTCCCACCTCTATACCTCCTTGCCGGTCTTCACGGTGTGTTCGACAGCTGTATCATGCTCGGTTGTATAATTCAAATACTCCATTTACAAAATATCAGCTCGCTCCTTGTACTATACTCCATCAATCACCCTCGTAAAGCAAGTGTATCACAAGTCCCAGTATGTACCAGGTATCTGCAATATACGTATCATCATTAAATACAAAGCCATTCTCTATCCCCCCTGGAAATGAAATGAATGTCAATAAATCGGTATTTATAGATTGGAATTATACCCCCACTTATCAAGACTGAAAAAAAGCAACCTACAGTGGATGAGGAACACGGTTTATACACAGAATAATGTCTCTCTCCAGGTGAGGTATAGTATTGCATATAGCGGGTATCTAGTCCCTCCGCTAGCCCTGGGTAGATTCCTGCAGTCGATCACCCTTTCTCAAAAAGTACGTATATACATCCAAAATAAATAATCTTCTACCGAGTAGCTCTACTATCAAGCCTTTTGTCACGTTCTATTAGCCCCCAAGCAAAGCAGACCAGCATATCGCCCGTGTGTATACCATGTAACCAACAAAGAGAGAGAAATAGAGAGAAAGAGAGAGAGAGAGAGAGAGAGAGAGAGAGAGAGAGAGAGAGAGAGAAAAGAAATCTATTCTCGTAAAACTGTCAACGCTGCCACACACAACGCATCCAACCCCGCCTTCATTGTCGGCTGGATCACAGGCGCAAACAATGCAGAGTGATTCCCAGGGATCTCCTCCCCTGACGGCTCCTCGCCATAGACGCGATCCCACAGCGCCGGGTCAATGCCGCCCAAGAACCAAAAGCAACATGGCACGCCCTCTCCCGTCGCTAGCGTCGAGAAGTCCTCGGCCACATTCGTCCGCGGCGTATCCGCATCAAACGCGTCCTTGAAATGCGCCGCAAACGCCGTCGCCAGTCGGTCGGTGACCGTATCATCGTTGACTGTTGGCGGGAATCGCCGTGTGGGCGTGAATATCGGGGGCTGCGGCGAGCCGCTAGCAGCACATTCGGCCTCGACGATACGGCGGATCGCGGCGACCATCGCGGCCCGGGTTGTGGGCTTCACGGTGCGGAAGTCGAGCCCGATCTCGGCACGGTCGGCGATAATGTTCTCCGTTTGACCAACCTGCAGGCTGCCAACTGTCAGCACACCTACGTCAGCCGGGTCTAGTTCACGGCTAACAATGCCCTGGAGCCGCACAATGATGTGCGCCGCCAGCAGCGCTGGATCAACCGTGTACTGCGGCAGCGAACCGTGGCCGCCGCGCCCGAACACGGTCACTTTCATGCTGTCCGCAGCGGCCATGATGGTGCCGGGCCGGGAGCCAATGGTGCCTGCGCGCAGGCGCATGACATGCTGCCCGAAGACATAGTCCGGGCGCGGGATCTGGGCATATAGCCCGTCGTCGATCATGGCCTGCGCACCCGCGCCGCGCTCCTCGTTCGGCTGGAAGAGGACGATGAGCGTGCCGTGCCAGGCATGCCGAGCGCGGGCGAGGAGCTCGGCCGCCGCGAGTAGGCAGGTCATGTGCATGTCGTGACCGCAGGCGTGCATGACAGGCTTCTCGAGGCCGTCAGCGTCGCGCATCTTCACGGTACTGGCGTAGGGCAGGCCGGTCAGTTCTTGGACGGGCAGAGCGTCCATGTCGGCGCGGAGCAGCACTGTTTTACCAGGGCCATTGCGCAAGATACCGACTAGCCCGTGGCCGCCGATGTTGGGGTGAATTTCATATGCCTGGAGCTGGTGGAGGTGAGCAGCGCATTTCTGGGCGGTCGAGGCCTCTTGCAGGGAGAGCTCTGGGTGGGCATGGAAATGCTTGTACAGGTCCTCGTATGGAGTCAGGTCCAACGCGGCCCCCTGCAGGATATCTGATAAGCCCGTACTGGTCATGGTTTGGCGGTTCCTTTTCTTGCAACGTGGTTGGAGAACCAAAGGAGGGGGTCTGACGTCTGACCAACCATTGGGGGGATTCGGATAAAGTCCAGGATGGTGAGTCAGGCTGGGCATCCTCGGTATAGTAGGGATCTTCGACAACGACACAGACAACACCTCCATGTACTGGGCAATAAATATACATCTCGAAAACGCGATAGGAGCTCACAGGAAGTATACAGGTGACTATAGATTACTACAATTGGAAATAATTGGGGGTTTGTGTTGGTATAGTATGTGATCTATTCGATCCAGTGAGGATATATAATACATAGAACACGTAAAATATATAGCATACACAAAAGCAATACATAAAACCTGCACAACTAGTTGAATTGGACCACCCGCACCCGACGCTTATTGCGGAGACCGGCCTCGCTGACAGTCTTCAGTGCCGAGTCACGAGAGGTGGATTAATGCCTCGAATCCCAACTTTGCGACCCCAAAGACCCAACAGCTCATAATCAGCCTCGTCATACCCGGTAGGACCAATCCTGGCTATAGTTCTATGGGATATAGCGAGTGACTCCACTCTCTGCCCATGTGGCTGCCTGCATCTTTACGGTGGGAATAGGAGTGGAGGCAACAGGCAAGGCATAATCAATAGATCAGATTATGACATGGTATAGACGGCCGTCATGCCGGTGATGAGCTTGTTGGGGACTGGCCCCCTCCGAGAGACCAAAGGCCCCCACCAAGCAAAGGGATTGTGCGTGTGATGAAGGGTGCTGTAAGGTGTGGGTGGTGAGATGTGAAGCGCGATGCCCAGCCCCCTTCAGTGTGACTCGGTCTTCCATGTGGCGGGAAGCTCGGGACCCACAAAATAAACACTCGCCGACATCATCACAGAATCATCACATCACATTGCCTCTGCAACGGGCATACGGAGTCCTTTGCCACTAGCTTGGTGGCGAGCGCTATCACCGATATCACAGTCGATTATTATTCTGGACCCACAACACGCCCTCTTTGCCTAGTTTCTTGCGTTGGTTGGTTCGCCATGAGGGATCGACGCCTTCTGGAAGGCATCGACATCTGTCATAGACTTGTTGGACTCAGCGCGGCCCCACTGAGCGCCGCATATCCGGCCCATATGGGCATGTTTGGGACATCACATCCACGTCCACGCCACAGCTGAACTCGTACGGACTCCTCTGTACGGGAAGTATACCACGCAACTACAGCGCTTCCCCATTTCTAGGGTTGTCACGCTCACCGGCCACCGCATCCAAACCGGGTTCCGCAGCTTACCACGACACCTGGTGGCTTTCGTCTCTTCGTTGGTTGAACTCTCGTATCTGGCCCCTTCTTCCTTGGCCGACGGGGCCAATGAATGCTTCGCAACACCCCCTCATTGGCTTCCTCCTTTCAAAGACAGCAAACAAAGGATTCCTTCCCCCAGCCAATCGGCTCATACCCGCCTTCAAGGACGTCCAGTAAACCCCTCTCACCTCTACTGCAGCACCCATGCATGCAAGAGCCCGGGTCCCCAATTTTCTGGCACCCTCAATTTGCCCAGTGCGCATGATTGGTCCCAGGGCATAAACCATAAGACACAAGAGAGGAAAGAATCCAAATATCTCGCAGCCGTTTTGCCTTTTCCAAGCCCTCGGAACTCAAAATTCCTCCTCTCCGACCTGGCCAGGGAGAAAGGCCGTTTCGGCCGATGAAAGGGGGATGTCTGCTTTGTGATGGGTCGCAAGGTCCCAAAAGCCTGGTCCCCAACAAATCGGCGCGGCACTTGGGGGAGGGGCTGGGGGGATTCCATGGGTCGTGCGTGTTAGATGCCAGGATCTAGATCCTGCCAATGGCCCCCCTCTTCCCCCGGGCCCCGCAATCCCATCGGATTTGAAGCCGCCGAGAAGTATATGCGGGGATGTCCGTGTTTGCGTTCTGGAAACCTGATACTTGATGGAAGAGAATGTGGGACCTGAGATCTGGGTAACTCTCTAAAACTCTCGGGGGGGGGGGGGGGGGCGTTTCCAGACGGTTGTCTCTTACCCCTGCGTTTGCCTCCGTATTTCCTGCTTTACATTTGCTGATGGGAGGACGAAGCAGGGCTCGTTTCCTTTGCCGTCTCTGCTTGGGGGAGGGGCGTCTTTCCATGGAACTCGTCTTGCTTTGATCTAGGCACTGTGAGGGGAGTTGCCAGGGATTCTGCCTTGGTTCTAGATAACCCTTGGAGGCAAGCTGTCAGAAATTCCCTCGCGCTGGTTGCAGATGTCGTGCGAAGCTGTCACGCCAGGGATCTGGGAACGGCGGGGGTCCGGATCAAGCGTTGTGCCATGCAGCAGCAAGGCTTCTCGATAGAGTCGAGGCTCGGCAGCTTGCCTTTTTTTTTCTCTCGATGCCGCTGCGAGACCAGGGGTTGAAGAGATGAGAGGATGGCAGGCTGGCGCCACTGACACAACTTCTTCTGTTTGTTTTTTTTTTTTTTCTGTTTCTTTTTTTCACCCGGGCACAACGAGGGCCTAGAATGAGAGAGGAGGATAGAAAACAAGCCCAGGGCTGGTGAGATTCTTGGCTTGCCTTTGCTTCTGCCCCGGTCCTCCGTACTCCCGTCTGGCGGCTGTACTGCGTCCATGAATTGCCACGGGTATCGAAGAGAAGTCCCACAGCCACTGGGACCCGAGGCGGCTGAAGTCTCACAAGCCAGAGTGCGAGGGAGGGGTCAAGGGACTCTGCTGTGATCAGGATTCCCCAGCCTCCCTTGGGGTCGTTTTGGACGTCGAATATACTCCCTAGTGCTGTTTTTGGCGTCGAATAGAACACCGAACAGTCTGCGACCTAGAATTGACGTCACAGCCTCGCCCAGGCCTGAGTCTGAGTCTGGTCTGGATTTGGTTTCAGACGAGATTTGCGGCTATCAACTTGTATGCGTCTACCCGGCGCATTGACGGCACTGACCCTTTGTCCGAGGAGATATGGGGCTGTGTTTAAAACAGGCTGTGAAGGCGCAGCAGAAGGTGGAGTTTGAAGGAGGTCGAGAAACATCAAGACTCGACCTGGGAAATCCACGGCCAGTGCTCTTTGAAACTGCGGGCTCAAGAGTAGCCAACGACTCCTGTAGATGTAGAGCCCATTCATGTGGCATGCGAGATGCGAGGCAGGAGATCGTGCTAGTAATCGGACACGATACAAGGACGTTCCTACATGCTATTCTTACGCCTTGCTCGGGCTTCCTTGGGGCATTGCACTGTTCCCGGGGAGCAAGAGGCCGATACCATGATAGTACAATATGATTGAAAGTCTCAGAAGATATCCCAACCATCTCACAGCATCTGTGATTTGGGGTCAGATAAGTTGTTAGTAAATACGTCTCGTTGTAGATAGGGCAAGTGAAAATCCCTTTGTAATTCGCACTGTTCTCTAGTCATTCAATGGGAGTAGGTATGGATTTGAGACGGTGTCATGAAAAGTCAATAAAATGAACGCCAGCATCAGTCGCTCGCCAAAGGGGGGACATAAAGAATATCGACATTATTTCTACTTTCGTGTCAAGAACGGATGCTTCAACGCTTCCGCCGGCGTGCACCGTTTCTCTGGATTCAGACTGAGACACCGGTCCAAGAAATCCACAAACAGGGTCAAATCCTTCGCCTCGCTATCCGACATCCCTCGGGTACCTCCGCCCATCAGCCGCGTCTTGAGATCCCGCGTAGGCTTCTTGAAATCTACTACCCGAGTCACTGGGCGGCCGGTGATCTTGTCTACCTCGGTGCTGTGGAAATTCATCATTTCGTCAAAGTGCAAGTGAGCAAGAGATCCGCGCCGGAGGACCTTGGGAGGGTACTTGCCGCGGCACTCCATGATCGACTTCAGCATCTGGTTGTTGTTGCGGCCAGTGAAGAGAATTTTGCCCGTATACAGCTCGAACAGCGTGCAACCGATGGACCAGACATCGATGGCGTAGTCGTATGGGATGCCGAGGATAATTTCCGGAGCGCGGTAGAAACGACTGACCAGGTAGGGCGTGATCTCGTTATCGGAAGCTGGGGAAGCCGAGCCCAAATCGCAGACTTTTAGCACGCTGCGTTGCTCGTTGACAAGGAGGTTGTCGGGTTTGAGATCGGCGTGCAGAATGTTACACTTGCGCATTAGACTTAGACCAAGGAAAATCTGCTGTGCGTAGGCACGAATCGCCCGCAAATTCAATCCGACGTCGCGGCCAAACTTCTTGAGGACCTCGCGGAGGTTCATACTCAGGTTTTCGAATACCATGCACAAGTGGCCCTTGTGTTCGAAATAACGCTGGAACTTTATGACGTGCTTCTTGTCCTCGGGGTCGGCTTCGCGGAGCTGTTCCAGAATCCCAATCTCCTTCATGCCAGCCTTGCGCATCGTATCATTTTGCCGGATGAACTTGATCGCAACTAGGTTTCCGGTTTTGGAATCAGTAGCCCGCACTACAGACGAAAACATACCCTTGCCCAGGTTCTGCTGTACATGGTACCGGCCATTGATCAATTCGCCGAGCCGGACGTTGTAGTAGCCCTCTGGGTCATCCCAGTTGTCCATCATACTAATGTCTAGCTCCTGGGGCTGGGGCACAGCCATCGCGGACGCATGCGCAGGTTGATCGTCTTTGGTGTCTTCAGCAAACATGTCATCATCGTCGTCAGCGAACATATCAAAGGGGTCTTTCGCTTTAGCGGGCGCCGGCGCCTGCTGAGAAGCATCCGGGATTAGAATGTCCTGTCTGGCTGTCTGTGTTTCGTCATACGCGGCCGATGAGACATCATCCTTGTTGCTCTGAACCCCGTTATGTTTTTGGCTTTCCTCTTTCATGTCGAAAGTCGGGTCATAGTCTGCAGCGGACGGTTCATCTTTCCCTTCATCAATATTTCCAGACACATCCGAGGTGACCAAGTCAGCGTCTTTGCCAATATTGAAGTCAGAAAACGAATGTCCGGTCTGTTCGCTCGGTGTCTGGGCAGGTGAAAGCCGCGGTGATTCTATAGCAGCCACAGCGTTTATGTTAGTTTCGGTTGAAATAACCAAATTGGTCTTGAAAGGAGCAAATTTACCCGACGTGTCTCGCGCGCTTGCCGGCTCGGTGCCAGGGGTAGATGAATCTGTATCCCCATCCCCGATCTGCAAGGCCTTCAGATGCATAGGGGTCGCCTGGCTCCGGTATTTCGCTCGAATAGCCTCGCGGCGTTTGCGGCGGGCCTCGAGAGCGGCGGCTTCGTCCATTGGTTCAGCTGGCTCTGGTTCATTAACAGCGTCTGGTGCGGGTGTCTCTTTTCTGCAGAGCGCTGTTAGCCGAGCCTTATCAAGTGCACTAGACGAATTGAAAACATACTCATCAACCACATAGGCACGTGTTGGAAGAGCCTGTTGCATCTGATTCTTTTGTGTTTCAGCACCGAGCTTGGAACCTCGAGCGTTCGCTGGAGTCTTTCCTGTTTCGCTCACTGCTTGTTTAGACGGTCTGCTCTTCACTGCATCCGCTCGATATGCTGCGCCATCTGCCTTCGGCTCCGACTCATCATATCGTTTCGGTTTTCTGACTTCACGGTACGGCGATCGGCTGCGGGTGCGCGGTCGTTTATCCTTGCGACGATCGTGGTCATCAGTATAACGTAGACCTCCCTCATATCCCTCTCCGCGGTCATAGTCGTAATACGATCTCTGTCGGCGGGAGGGAGCAGCTCGATCATGGTCTCTATTATCGTATCTTGACCCGTAGCGTCGAGACGGCTCTTGCCGAGCATGTCGGTAATCGTAATCATCATAGTCATCGTCGCCGCGCCTGCGCTTATAGCCTCTAGGGTCCCGGTACGGCGAGCGTGATCGGGATCGAGATTTCGAGGGCGACCTTGTCCATGATCCTCGTCGGCGAGGCGATCGACTCTCTCTCAGCGACGGGGGAGATCTGGTCGCAGAGGATGTCCTAACTCTGGAGGGACGGTCAACGCTGGTGCCATTAAGAGGAAGTTTTGACGCAGTTGCCTTCATCTCTGAGCTTGACTCGATGATCTCACCCTCAGAAAGGGTCGATGGGGACTTCGACCGCTGTCGCGAAGCCATGATCTCGACTCTGGTCTTGCAGCAGACTGATATTACCGCTCGGGAAACGGATTCTTCTCTTTTCTCTTTGTATAAATTCTCGACTCGGCCTTTGGCGGAGGCTTGAATGAGAAACGCTCGGTCAGCGGGAACTCAAGTGATGAAAAAAAAACGAATCTTTGGGGATGTTTGAAAGTCCAACCGGCTTGAGAGGCCTGCCTTCACACCAAAGCCAGCAGCTTTGATAATCCCAAGCACATAGCACGGCCAAAGGAAAAATCTGAGAAAAGGTCTTGTAACCTCCTCTGGTAGGTTTTGTGTAAGGATGTATGACGCAAGTTTCGGATAGATGGAATGAGGAGACGCCGTGGTGACATGCGACGGTCTTTGGCATGGCCGCGATAGGCAATTTTGACGCCATCACTACTTAGGAAGGCGGTGAGAACTCCCTCTGAGAAGTGGGGATTTTTTCCTTTTGCCATCGCCGTCCCGACGCCCCAAACTCTTGTTCTTTCTCATTCTCCGTTCAAACCCCTGTTAACTCAGTTAACAACCTGTTAATTCTTACTCAAAATGGGTGGCGCAAGCAGAGAAGGTACTAACATGAAATTCAAGCTCTTCAAAACTTCTCAAACTCTCCGTGCTCATGCTAATAACCATAATAGGCGGCAAGGTCAAGCCTCTGAAGGCCGCTAAGAAGGTGAAGAAGGAGCTGGACTCGGATGACGAAGCGTACCAGGCGAAGTGCAGAGATGGTAAGATAGATACCATCTTCTGACCATTTTTCACTCTTGTTGCTCACCCCAACTTCTATCAACAGACCGGAAGGCCAAGGAGGCCATGGCGAAAGCGCTGGGAAACAAGCGGGGTCCCCTCAACACCGGCCAGCAAGGTATCAAGAAGTCGGGCAAGAAATAGACAACCAGACTGGCATTTTTTGGAGGCGTTCTCGCCTGCGTACCCAATTCAATCCTCCCGTTCAAGTTACGATCCATACGAGTCAAGTTCCAATGACAGCCGACGAAGGTGACATTCCACGTCAGCACTTTCGATTACTGCGCCCTTGATGTACCTAGTTCTTGCATACCTAGCTTTGAGCTATCATCATTTCACCAATATATGATGTGCTTTTCTTTCGCAAAGTTTTTTTTTCTTTTTTTTTCTGATAATTTCCAATGCAACCTAACCGCTCGGGAATTGAAAAACTATTCATAATTAACACATAGTAACAAGCCCTGGGACGCGAAGGGAGGTATCGTGAATGGCCTGCCTGTGCTGGGAAAACAAAAACGAAATATTCCCGACATTCATCGTCACCAGGAAGAAACCAAAATATGGAGGCATAACAGATCAACCGGGTATTATTTGAACGGCAAAGAAGGACAAAAAAGGCCTCGAGGGTCAAAAGGGAGAAGCTCAAGAATTATGACCTGCATAAAAGAGAATAGAGAAAGAAGAAAAAACACATTACCACCCAAAACGCAAGCCATTTAACTTGTGACACGCTTGACCCAGAGGTTACTTCCATCGCCATTGTTCTCCTTCTCATCCAAGCGTCGCCATGCTCGGGTCACTTTCATTCCCAGCTCGTGTTCCTCACGCTTAATCTCCGCAATTTCATTCTCAATACTCTGCACGGTCTTCTTAACTTCAGCCTTGGCGGCCAGATCATAGGCGATGGAGCCCGGTTGGATCACCCGGGTCAACTCCTTGATCACCGTTTCCAAGTTGAATCTGCGTTTGCCAAGCTCGTCGCGCCGGGTCTCGAGGGCCTGGATGCGACTCACAGGGTCTTTGGGGATATCTTCTGGGGGCGGCTGAGTCTCTGAGGCTGGCTCCTGTTCCTGAGAGGCCTCCAAGGGAGTGGGCTTCCTTATTGGTTTCTTTGAGACAGGGGTGGAGATCGGGACCGGGCGGCTTCGCGACATGATGGAGGAGGTCAGGTCATCCGTAGACTTCGATCCCAGGGCGAAACTTCCATGCAGGCTATGATCTGCGCCACCCTGAGCGTCTTCTGCAGTCATAATGGGATCTGGTGGGCCGAAACGACTGGGAGGTTGGGCGGGCTGCATTACACTTGTGATGGATGTGTCAAACTGCGCCTCTGACTGGTCCCTCACAGCACTTTGGTAAGTATGCGCGGCGGCCGGTCTCTCTGGCAACGGCTTGGACTCTCCAGCAGTGATCGTCGTCACCACGGTTGGCATGAAGCCAATACTGGTGGGTTGAGGACTCGCGTCTCGCCTGTGAAATTGATTGCTGGAATGCTCTGTCAACGGAAGCGCGCGTGATGGCGCTCGGCCAGCTGGTTCATTCAGAGTCGGGGAGTCACCCTTGGAGAAACTACTGATTCGGCTGCGTGCCTGGGCTAGCTTCTTCTTGGGCTGTAGCTGTTCGCGACCCCAGTGCAGGAAGTGGGAGGCATGGGAGTTTGATGGCTTGTGGAAGCTCGTGTTGCGCGGCGCTACCTGGCCTGTTTTCCCCACCTGACTCTGTGTTGGCTCGCCTGAGTAATCATCCCAACGTGTTGGTTGTTTGTTGTGCTCGCTGTATTCTCTATTTTTGGCGGTAAACTGGACTGTTCTGGGAGCAAACGGCAACGAGCTAGGTGGCGGCGCGGTGATATCAGTAGCCTGCGACTGGGGGGCAGGGGCCATCGCAGAGACCTCCGACCCCCGCGACCCACGGCGCTGATACAAAGACTCATCATCGTCATCCAGCGGAGAAACACAAAAACTGCTGGAGCTCTTGCGATCTTGCGGTTCAATCTCAGGAGATGATGCGGGCGAAACATCCGAATATCTTTTGTATCTTTTGACTTCGCGTGGGGCCGGGCGAGGATTGGCAGACAGGCCGTGCACGGCTGGGGTCGGTTGACTGTAAACACGAACATATTAGCCCCTGGAAATTATAGCATCGTGATGGTGCATACTTTGGCAACGCAGGCAAGTCCTTGGTATGTTTTGCTGTCTGCCCAAGATTAGCCGAGATTGCCCAGTTGCCGGAGGTCTTCTCCGCTGACGTGGGGTTGACGCTTGGGCGCCGTGATCGATTGAAGGGTCCTTTGGGCCACATGTTGGGCAGTGCGGGCAATTCGATGTTCGGCGATGTGATAAGGAATCAGCGAGATTAAAGGATGATGGCGCTTCTTGTCAGCAGCGGGACTGTGAGGCTAGAGGAAGTCGAAGTTGATCTGGTTCTGGACCAGATGATCAACGACCAGGCAGCCGGCAGATCCGCTTGCCTACCACGGGAACAAAGCAGGAGCGGAAGAGTGGGAGAGATGTGCTGGTGTGCTGAAGAAAGAAAGCCTAGAATCCCGTGCACGCTTGTGAAGACAACATGGCACGTTGAGTGGGGATCACATCAAATTAAAATGGGGGCGACTGTTGAGTGGAGTTGAAACATGGCAGCTTTTCAGGGACTGGGCTGTGTTGCTTGGTTTCATATTGCTCGGGGGGCTTGGGGCGCCCACGTATCAAAGAGGAAATAGAACTATGAAGACTCGGAGACTCGGGCGCTTTCCCTTCAGATCAGGGTTTCACGGCCATACAGGAATCCAGACCCTATGATTGAATTGATCGTGAGCAGATAAGGCTCGGTACAAGACATACAAGGCCGATGTACAAAGTACAACATCCATCCACATGGGGAATAAAGTAAGCAGGGTAGCGTCACGTGGGGCGGGGGCTGTCGATGTCATCCATGGATTCCTCAGCTCCGCAGCCTCCGAACGGATCATCCTCGGTTCTCTTGAATCCCTCGAAGTCCTCAAAGTCTCTAGGAACCTTTCCGTTCCCCTTGACCTTTTGACCTTCTCTGGCCCGGTTCCTGGCCTTCTCTCCTCGCTCTCAAAATGGCTGCTGCTGGTAAACCGCCCCGTCAATCTCCCTCCCCTAGCATTACCTCGACTGACTCGACTCCCAAGATACAGACGGTTCCGCGCCGCAAGCCGAAGTGTAAGTACTGCCCTGCAGGCCCCCCACCCGTGTGAATTGATATCACGAGCGAAACTGATACCAGGAGCTTAGTATGTCCATCGCCTCCCCCATTAACTTGATCCTCGTCTCCCTCTTCGTCGTCCTGGTGTATTATCACTTCCGCCCCAAGCCACCAGTCACCCTCCCGCGCGGCCCACCTCCCGTCGTCTTCCGCACCTACACCCCCAAGACCCTGATTGAGTTCAACGGCGAGAATGACCGCCCCGTCTTCTTAGCGGTTCGCGGCCGTGTCTTCGACGTATCTCCAGGAAGGAACTTCTACGGTCCGGTAGGTGGCGATATGAAATCCTATGCGATGCGTCAAGAGAAGGAAGGGTTGGAGCTTATGTAGCTGATTATCATGCGATTTAGGGCGGCCCGTACGAGAACTTCGCCGGCCGGGACGCATCGCGCGGCCTGGCCCACCAGAGCTTCGATGAGGAGATGTTAACCAAAGACTTGTCGGCCCCACTGGACGACCTCAAGGATCTGGATGCTGACCAACTGGAGAACCTGCAATCGTGGGAGGAACGCTTCTCCGAGAAGTACTTGGTGGTCGGTAAGCTGGTTGCCGAAGGTGATCCCGAGGCACCGAAGTCATGAAAGCGACGAGCGTGTAGCTCTTCCAGTCTTTGGGTGTATGCAAGTGCAGGGACCATTAGGAACACAAAATTCCTTTTGAGAGAATTGGTAGATATTGGAGCACATAATTTCTGTGTCCACATGAAAAGCAAGCTTGGTTTGATTTCGGCTTTATCTTACGGCTATTTTAAATGCGCTGGAAGCGCGGGTCCAACAGTATGCTCTTGTTGTACATATAATTGCCAAAGCTCACCGACGGAAATTCATTTTAGGGACAAACTATTATTGACAACAAAAAGGAGAGATGAGCTAGATAAAAAAAAAAAAGGCAATATCCCCAGAAAATAACATCCCTAACCAATCCCCAAGAAGATTTCAAGTGTCATAAATCGTCGTGTCTGAAGTATCATCGCAGAAGAGGAACCATCCATTCCCACCGCACAGAAATGAAGGAGTACAAGGTTACAATTCTCCCCGTAGCTTTTGCGTCTTCTCAGAAACCTTCTCGCGGATTTTCTCGGCGGCTTCCTCGCCCTGGGCACGTCCACTAGCGGCACCGATCCTCAGTTGCTCCAGCGCCCAATGCAACGTATCCATGACCTTGGCATAGATGGTTTCTTGTGGATTGTTGGTGCCATATTTGAAGTAGGTAGTCTGGCGCCGTGCAGCAGCGCGCAGCTCATTGATGCTCGAGCCCTGATAGACCGGAATGCCGTATGAGTCCAGGTACTTCTTGAGGTCAGAGTGCGACCACTGGTCAAAGGAGACATCCTTGACATTGCCGGTCGCTTTCGCAAGGTTCGAAGTCGCCGAAGCATAGTGCTCGCCGCCAGCCTTAGAGGCTTTCAAGTAGGAGTCCTTCGCATGCTTGATTAGCTCTTCACGGGTGGCATCGGCCTTCTTTGCGGCCTTGGCATTCATGGCAGACAGGTATTTCCTAGAATGAACATCCATTAGCTGGGTTTTCGACAGATGATATCAAAGATATCGGACTCACAGAAGATGTTCCTTGTCCCAGGTATCGAAATTGTACTCGTTCCAGCCGCCAGCAGCCCGGTGTGCATTCGCGCGGACAGTGGCCAGAAGCTCATCACGTTTGCCATATTGTGGAACAGGAACTCCGCGAGCATCAAGGAAGGCCTTCAGGCGAGAATCCGACCATGTTTTAATCACAGCATTGAATTCATCCTCGGCCTTTAGCTTTGCATCGTCCGTGGCACGGGCGTATTCATTTCCAGCTTTGGTAGTAGCAGCACCGAAGGCTTCAGAGGCAGCAGCAGAAGCACTCGCAGCTTGATCGACAAGATAGGCGCGGTGCTTGCGGGCCAGAGCGATGAGCTCGTTGCGCTTCGAACCCTGAGGAACTCGCACATTATGCTCATCGAGGAACTCCTTCAGCTTAGAGTCGGACCAGGCATTGAACAGCTCCTCGCTCAGCGAGGCTTTGGCCGCCTCAGCAGACGCCAGCGCGGATGCACTAATGCTCTTGGCCTGTAGACTAGCCAAACGAGAGTTGCGTCGGACGGAAGCAATGAGCTTATCGCGGTTGCTTGGCTGAGGAACAGGCCAACCTCGCTCATCAAGCCATTCCTTGAGGTCTGATTCCGACCACTGTTCGTATAGCCAGTTACCAGGGTAAGACGCAGTTTCACCCACTTTCTTGGCGACAAGCTCATAATTCTCTCGGGCGGTTTTGATCAACACATCGCGCTTGCGGGGCTGGGGCGCCGGAATTCCATGGCGATCTAGGAATGCTTTCAGCTGGGAATCCGACCAGCTGGGAATAGAAGCGTCAGCAGTCGATCATACACCAAGTGTTTTTTTTAAGACAGGAAGGCAGAGAGTAATCATACGTGTCAAAGACCCATTCCTTTGCTTGATGGAGCTCATCGGTGATTTGATCTGCAGCTTGCCCAAGGGGTTTCTGGACCCGGCTGTCCCAGTTGGACTTGACCAAGTTCTCGAGGTCCCTGCGGTCTGCGGGGGATGGATGGGGGATATCTATTGGAGTCCTGTTAGACTTTCTTATCGACATGCGATCGCGACGGGTGGAGAAAATAATACCATGATCGGAGAGCCATCTCTCAAGCTCGGTTTCGTGCCATTTGTTATAAACTATATACCATGACGATGTTAGCTTGCGGGGAGGATCGGCCATCTAGGCCCGAAGTCGCGACTGACCGGCCTTGCTCCACCAGCTGGAAGCCCCCACAGCTTCAGTGCTTGCAAGCAAGAGAACCAGGCCCGTGGCCAGATGGAACTTCATCGTGTCGTTCTGAAGTGTTAGATGAGGTTGTCAGAGCGTCGTCGTGGAAGTTGTAGTGCCAAGATACGCCAGTTGACCGTCTGTCAATAAGTCGTAGAGGATGGACAACCCACACTGGTTAAGGTTGAGAAGGAGAAGATACGTAGTAGGCGCGCGATTGTTTTTAAATATGAGAGCTCAGATCACGACCAGGTCGAGTGCCAGGCAAGGAAATGCGACAAGCAGGGATGATCGCGGAGTGACGTAGTTGGGGAATTTGCCTGGTTCTATGAGTGCATGATTCATCAAGCGGGCCATTCTTTATTGACCCAGTTTGGCGTCATCTGGGGAACTTCTCCTAGTGTTTTGGAGCTTCAGTGCGTGGATCAGATTGGCCTGGGTGAATTTGCAGTCCCTATAATATGGTCTTTGCTATCTGGCATTCTTTCTAGCTGCCCGTGGCTTCCCTCAACAAAGGTACCCATCGGGAAGTATATTCTCGCCTTGTCGGCATTCTTTTGTTGGCAGGTCCTCCTCATTCAACTCCATCGTCCATTGACATATATATATATTTTCATAATCTGTCCCGTTGGTTTGATATTATGACTTTGGTGCTTGATTATCTTGACTCTGCTGACAGATGTGTGAGATACTCAAATTCTAAGCTCACACCCACATTGGCGCGCTCTTTCTTTCCGTTTCCCAGTACCCAGTATCATAGTCACGCATTCTGAAACATTGGTTATGCATTGCGTTGCTCTATACAACTGTATTGAAGACTCTCAAAATAAATTTCAAAAACAAATCAAGTCTGGGGCTATTCAAACCCCTGAAGTCCCTCGACTTCATCGAGTTTGACCTTAATGCCTGAGGCAGAAGAATGAACGTCCTTTGAGCCAATCACCGTGCGCAGCTGATGATTAATTCTTAATAAGCGGGCATAATAGCGACTGCATAAAACTAATGCGGCTCTTCTGGCAACACCGAATGCAGCCTCGTATACAACGTTATTGTCAGACAGTCGATCGTTGCCCAGCGCAATGCCAGCGCAGATGTTACATGGAATGAAGATGTCTTTAAAGCTAGTTTCCCCCAATGTCCACCAAGAGTCTGTCTATCGCCAGTCTATCCCTGACATCCGTGGCCACCAACCATCATTGAGCGGCCATGATATCGACTGCAGGGCGCCCAGAGGACTTTATGAGCAAGAAGCTCTTCGCATTCTGCCTGTTCTCTATTGGATTCACCATTTTTCTCCTGTTCGGTTCCCCATCTCCGCCATCGCCCGAAGAACTGAATCAAGGTCCAGCGCAAGATCAGCAGCAGCCAGGCACTTACCGCGGTCGGCATGCCATCAGTACTTTCCTCGATTCAAAATCCAATGGAGAGAAAGGCGCCAATGACGATGATGATAAATATTTTGTGAGCGCTCGAACGCTCATTTACCAGCTGCTCCACTCGCCAAGCACCAAACTCAAAGACCCGGTGCCCGTGGTGGTTCTGGTCACGAGAGACGTCCGGGAGAGCAAGCGCCATAGGTTGCGTGAGGATGGTGCGACTGTTGTGGAGGTCGAAGATGTGACACACAAAATCCCCATTGCCGCCGAACGCTGGATCTCGATGGCCACCAAGCTCCACGCTTTCAATCCTACTATTGTTCCGTACGAGAAGGTGCTGTATATGGATGTCGATATGGTCCTGACCCGGCCCATCGACAACATTTTCCAAGATTTTAGCACAGAGCTTGGTGTGATCAATGAAACAGATCAATCAGAGCCGGGCATGGGACCGCTCCCGGAACATTTCATCATGGCAGCCGCCCCGGAGACGAAGCAGAAAGACCATGCTTACCCTTTCTTGGATTCCGACCACACTGTCAGCACGTTCAACAGTGGCCTGTTCATGTATGCACCATCTGTGCAGATATTCCAATACTATATGACGCTTCTTGATCACCCGGAGCTCTACTATACCGGTATTCCGGACCAAGACATGCTCAATTATGCGCACCGATGGAGTGGCCCGATGCCCTGGAAGCGCCTACACTGGTCCTGGTATATCAATGGCCCCAATGACAACGACTTACAGGGGAACATGGCATTGATTCATACCAAGTGGTGGGACCAAGGAACCTCATTTTCTACAGATGCCGTGGAACAATTCGCGCTTGCGCGGAGGTGGGAGATGGAAGGATATTGGATGGGTAAAAAGGACAAATCTAAGTCATGGTAATTATCAGCCTGCGGAGGGCTTTGATACCTTTACTGTATTTTGATTATAGAAATTCGAACTATTACTGCGAGTTGACTTGAGGTGAAAGCTGTGTTTTGGTTCCGGTGTTTCTGCCTATCAATTGCATATCTTACAAAAGCTGCTGAGATGTTTAATCTGACTTCACCAACCACCCGAAAATTTTGCACCTCGGCCAAACACTATAATTTGGGTACTGGAAATCATCGACCATTTAACCGGTACATCAAAGACCTTGGGTGAACAATATCAAAGTATTGTGCTGCCCATCCATTGATAGGGCTGCCATATGATTATAATTTTGTGTTTCAAATAGAATCGTTGGTATCGTGTTGAGGCGGATTGCTCTCTTATCCTCTCAGAAATAGACCTTGACAATTTTACAGTTTAAATCTGGTGCCATGGAAACCCGAAGATATCTGGATGGCAATCCGTAGAACTGCCCTGGGAAATCATCACTTATCTCGCACTTTTCGATGGTGAACACAAGTAAAAGCGATTGATGGTTAAAACGTAGCTGCCAAATTGTGAACGTGCTCAGAAGTGTGTCGTAGCTAAAAGGGCATCATCCTTCAGCACCTCTTGGTCCCGTTACTTTCGTCAGACCGAGTCAGTGTTTGACTTCCTTTTCCTCTCTTCTCTCTCAACCCATTCCCTCTCCGGACTGTCGTTCGCATAGTAATCAGTTCCCATCGTCTCAACCTTTCACCATCCATCAAAATGCTCTTGTTTGATCTGCCAAACGAGATCATTATTCTTATCGCCAAGTTCATCGATGACAAGCGCTCCCTTGATGCGCTGGCAAAGACGAACCGGAGTCTCTACCCCGTTGCTAACGAGGTTCTGTACATCCGCAATGCCCGTCATGAAAGAAGCTCGGCCATCGTATGGGGTGCTGAGAACGCCGTCACCGGAACGGTCCTGATGGCGCTGGATTTTGGCGCGAATATCAATGCCATGGATCCAATTCGTCGAACTCCCTTGCACATTGCCGCGGAGCAGGGAAACCTGGAGTTGATCAAAATCTTGCTCGGCCGCGGAGCTGACACGAACGTGCCGGACAGAAATGGGTATACCCCACTGTTCTGGACCATCAAAGGGCGCGATATCGAATTTGCCCGTCTCCTGCTGAAACACAACGCCAACCCCAATTGGGCATGCATTGATGGCTGGTCACCGATACATACGGCTAGCATCGGTGACGACTTTGTCCGGCTCCTGCTCGAATACGGCGCCAATCCCGGGGCAAAGGACCGTTTTGGCAATACGCCCTTGAACATAGCTGTCAACACTGGGCCTGAACAAGAGATTGTGGTTCGACTCCTCCTTCAGGCTGGAGCTAGCACCGAAGTCATGGACCGCCGGGGCCAAAGACCCCTCACAAAGGCTGTACTCCGCCACCATCTTGGCCTGGTGCGCCTTCTACTCAGCCATGGGGCTGATATCACCGCACCAATAAATACCACTGAAGACACTCTGCTTCATATGGCTGTGGAAAAGAGCACCTTCGAAATGGTTCGATTGCTCCTCCACCATGGACCTCGTGCCGACTTCGTGAACCAATACATGGAGACTCCTCTGCACCTGGCAGCCAGGAAGGGACGGAAAGACATGGCCCAGATTCTGCTTGAGTACGGTGCACAGGTGAATCTCAAGAACATTGATGGTGATACCCCTTTGATACTAGCGGCATGCACGAGTCATGGACCTCTGGTTGAGTTGCTGCTTCAGAACGACTCAGATCCGATTTACCGTGAATTTTTTTCCCGAACCTCGCTTTGTGATTATGGCAGTCCACAGGCCATAGAATTGTTGGAGCAGAGGGGTCTCTCGGGTACACGGCTGGCTCAGCTTGCACAACGAAAAGTACGATCATGTTGAGAGATCAGGTGGGACCTGTCGCGGTGAGCAAAAATGCGTCGGTGAATCAGGATACGACATACATGTATTTCAGTGCACGGGAACATACAGAAATTTTGCACCTTAGCAGTAGGATATCAAAAATGATATGCTTTTGAGAGTTGACCGTGGAGGTTGATTTGTAGACAACTGTATAGATGAAGGTTGTCAAGTGAGAAGCTCGGGGGCGATGACCCCCGGGAGTGGAGCCGAAGCCTTTAGCGCCGGGCCTTACCGCCCTCACCGCCCCAGCCCAACGAGGCCCGAACTAGCTACCCGCGGCCACTCTCTCCCCCAAGTGCGGGGGCGATGCACCAACCCCCTTGGCTTCTTCACATCTCCGTGTTGTCTTCTTGTTATAAACTCACTCCTATGAATATGCACCTATAAACAGATATTTAATACATTTGTGGTGTGGTTATTGAGATCATCCGTTTGATGTTATTAGATCAAGACGCCCATTCAGGTCTGACAAGGAGCTTCAACGTCATTTCCGGAAGGGCTTCCCATCTCCCCGACCTGCTCGCCTCTGAACCATACTCACGTACACACATACACTAACACCTCATGGATCCTTCAACACCCTATTGTGGCGAGCTGGCCTCACCAGGCGTCTTTCAACCTGTGCTTTCTGTGTACATTACCTCCCAAAGCTTTGTATCAGCCCAATCAACTGCTAATACGATTCTAACAGCTTAATCGTCATCGGGATTCTCATCTCCTACCTACCCCAGCACATCCGCATCATCTCACGTCGAAGCTCCTTCGGTATATCCCCATATTTTGTCCTCCTTGGGACTACGTCTGGCACCTCTGCCTTTGCAAACATCCTGGTCTTTCCCAAGACCGCCCAAGATGTTTCCTGCTGCCAGGAGATTAGTGGTTTAGCATGTTTTGCTAGCCTCCTAGGCGTGCTCCAGATGGGCACACAGTGGCTCTGCTTCTTTTCCATGTGAGTAGACGCTGGCATTTGTATCCTCTCGCTCCATCAACGCGTTAACCTGTCAACTAACCGGCCTAGCCTGCTCCTATTCGTTATCTACTTCCCGCGCGCCACGTCGCCTACCGACCCCGTTGCCTCAGTGTCCTCCTCCCCACGCGGCTCTACATATCGGACTGCGCTGGCCATCACCGCAATCTGTCTTCTACATGCGCTAGCTACGATTATCATCTCTGTTGCCTTCGCTATTCGACAGCCAACAGCTCTCCACGCTTGGGCCAACTTCCTCGGCATCCTTGCCGCCATCCTAGCCTCAATCCAATATTTCCCCCAGATCTATACCACTTTTCGCCTCCGCTGCGTGGGTAGCCTCAGCATCCCCATGATGTGCATACAGACCCCGGGGAGCTTGGTCTGGGCGGCGAGCTTGGCTGCTCGCGAAGGCATAAAGGGCTGGAGTATCTGGGGTGTGCTTGTAGTCACGGCTTGTTTGCAAGGGACGCTGCTGGCGATGGCGATCTACTTCGAATACCTCGGACCAAACAGCAAACAGAAACCCGACTACCGGGCAGATGAGAACGGCACGGTCAATGGGAATGCGGCCGAAGGCACAGAGAGACCCGAGACACCGGCACGGAATCCGGCGCATACAGACCAACCCTCGGAGGCAACTCCGCTGTTGCAAAGCCAGTAATGAGAAAGCCAAAGAGGTGAATCTGCACTAGATTCGCAATGTGGCCCGCCCCAGAAGTGGCGTATACTGCGTATATAGTTCGACACTATAAATGAAATGCATGTCCAATATAAATGGATTGAATTTGTCTCAACTGGACAACTTGGATTTGAGCTTGTAGATTTGTGTAAAGACCTATACTCTAATCATGCCATTCATCATTTCTCCACCAGGGCACGCCAAGTACCACCCACAACCAGGTATCCTCCCCGTCATCGCGTCGTAGCAATTGTCTTTACCCGCTCGCCGCTTACGCGGCAGCGTAGATCAGGCGGAAGACGTCGTTCAGCACGAAGTAGCTACCGGCACCGTCGGGCTGCAGCTTGAAGAGCTGGGTGTAGTTCATGGGCTTCTGCTCCTCATCGACCTGTTCACACCCGAAGCTGTTAATAATTTCCACCCATGCCACAATATTCAGCAGGGTTCAACGTACCAGGAGAGCGCCGGTTACGAGGACAATGATGCCGTTCTCGCTAGAGGGCTGGGCATCAAAAGTGGCGATCTGGTGCTGCACCTTCTGGAAGGGCAAGCTCTGTTGAAGGAGGTCCTATTTAGTAACTCATATCGGGTGGATGTGGGGTAGAAGGGGACGAACACCCAGCTTCTCAGTGATAGCGCCGGCACCCTGAACAGAGCTGTTCTCGAAGGTGAGCATAGAGTGGTCACGCTGTTCCATATCGCAATTTCCATCAGTACCCAACTCAAGTTAATTACCGCTGATCTTTCCCTAGCATCGGCAAGGAAAGCCATTCAAACAGAGCGCTTACGTAGAGAGGGGCCAGGCCCTGGCGGTTCGCGTCAAAAGTCTGGTAGTAGAACTGAACGAACTGCTCTGCACGGCGGAGGACGAATGGTTAGATATTAGATCTTCCGCGAAAGGTTTCATAGCGGTCGCAAGAGGGGGGTATCTGGCGAGAACAGGGTTTGTCGTCTGCGCGGGGCACTGGATCTGTGCGCGGGCATTCGATGTTGAGGATCAGGGGAACGTACGAGCGATGTCGGTGAAGTCTTTAATGTCAAATACCATTAGCAAATATTGATAGACGGAAAGACCAGGTTTTTTTGGTTCAAACTGGTCCTCATCTGATGCTGCACGGCGCAATCGAGTCGCAGAGTCGGCTATCACACCAGAGATTACCCCACCTCAACAAAATCGAGGGGGTCTATGCCGATTCCACGACGCCGGGCGCTTGGATTATAGGACTTACCGGCCATTTTGAAAGGTGAGGTCTGAAAGACAGAAAAAATGCGAGGTATAGGGAGGAGTAAGAGAGCTTTAAGGAGGAAGGTATTTGTTGACGCGGGAGGGTAAGAGGGTAGAATGTGTGGGGCACGAATTCTGCCGTTGGTGCCTTGCAGCCTGATATTACTCGCCCAAGTCGAGTATAAAATGTGAACGGTTTTACGGAAACCTGGTGGATAGATCGATCTACAGTAGGCCAATCGACTGCTAAAGAGAATTTGGTATCATTGACAATCATCGATATAGGCCTAATTACAGTCGTCTGGCTCATTCCGACTCCGACGCAAACATATCCTCGGCTTTGGGCCGTTGCCTTCGTGATCGCCTCGATTCTTCCTCTTGCTGCCCGGTGGCCTGCTCGGGCTGCATGGGCTCCTTGGGTAGTGGATCTTGTGTATGGTCGTCATCTTCTAGCGGCGATGCGTCTTCGTCCATGGGCTCCCAGTCCTCGTCTGGCATTTCCAGGTCGCTATCTTCCATTGGGACCCCGTCGATGTCACTCATGGATTCGTCTTCTGTAATATCGGGCAAGTTGGGCATGCTAACGTGTTGAGGAAGCTTCTCTGCAGGGCGACTTGGGTCGAACTTTCCAGATGCAGGGTCATCATCAACAGTCTTCCAACGGTTCTTGCTCTTGGAAAAGGCACTGGCCGCATGTTCGGCTTCGGACTTCTCGGCTTCCTTCTGATCTTCTTCAGTCACTGGCGGCGTTTCAAACATTTCGACGAAATGTTCTTGGCTTGACTGTGGGAAAACACACCACCCTTCCCACATATGAAGAAGGGAGCCCACACTTCGCTTCCATTTCTCAGCCTTGAGTCTGCCCCAACCCAAAACCTTCTCAAGCCGACCAAGATGTTCAAATACTTCTCGCGAGCGGAGAGCATTTTCAAATAACTGCCGATATCGCCATGCGTGGCGGACACCGCTTGTGGCTGAAGATGAGAGAATATCAGATATGATATAGAGCCCCACGAGCCTGGCAGAAGACACATCCATATGATTTCTGGATGGATTCGTGTTGTCTTTGTCGCCACTCTCCAGATTTGCAGCATCCCTTTCCACTTCGCGGTGAGGGTTTGCCCCAGTATATGCTAGCGGATTGAGAACATTCAGTACAATCATGTCAACAACCTCATCGGCACCAGCTCCTGCATGCTTAATTGCAAACGCGGTGACTCTCGCGACATCACCTCGCCGGAGCTTGGCATGAGTGGTTGGTAATCGTGCAAGAAGATGAGTAAGCTTGGCTTTTTGTAAAGGATTCATATAGCCGAGACCATCATTTTGTCCATTGGCTCCTTCAGGAGGTCCACCTCCAATATTTCGTCTCTCGTCTTCATTATCCGACTGCTCCTCATCGGATGAGTTGTAGTCCTCATCAGACACAAATTCATCAAGGCATGTAGAGTATTCGAATTGAATGCTGCTCTCTGGGGCCACCCAATGTGCTCCGCCTTCGAAAATGGCAGCAGTCTTTTGGATTGCTGCCCTTTTAGTACCACGAGCTCGAGGGTCGGTCACAATTTGCCATAGTCTCCACCGGTAGTAAACCCCACCAGCACTTCGCGCATCCCAAATCCAGGCCCATTTTTCTTCTCTTTGCACTTCCGGTCGGCTCATAAGTAATGCTTCAAATTCTGGTCCATAATTTAGAAGATTTTCGAGCGTTTTATGAATAAGTCTTAGTTGTTTGATATCCGAGGGCGCTTTCACTTCAACTTGTGTAGATGGACCACTTCTGCCATGGGTGGGACCATAGGAGCTCGGAGGTGCAAATCCTCCACGATGAGGTCCATGGGGTGGAGCACGGTTTAAGCTGCCGCCAAAAGTTGGTTGAACATTTTTTGCGCCAAATGGAAGGGGGTTAGTCGTAGATGTACCCAAAGTTGGCGGCATATTCGAGTTGATCGCAGCTGATGAGAGGTGTCGGGAAAGAGATAGATAGTAACCCCGGCCCAAGTATTTATTTTGGAGGGCGCTTACTGCGTTATCGATGTCGGAAGCAGCAGTGTCACTAGCGAGAGTGACAATTGCAGCTGACGATTTTCGCTCGAATGGGGACTGGGTAGGAGGCCGGAGAACATTCACATGGTCCACGGTCAGAAACGACGGAATCAAGGACTTGAGCACGGAGGGAGATGTGCCGGGTGGAAGCGATGCCAGGTACAGAGTTGGTTTAGCAGCAGCTCTCTCGGCATCCTTTATTTCGGCCCTTCGATCGTCTTCATCGTCGGATGGGCTGCGAAAGGCCGATGGTGGACCTGTCGAGCCTGGATGCTCATATCCTAGAACACCCTGCGCCGAGTCTCGATTTCGTGATGCCGGTGTAAATCCTTCAAGTGTCCGCTTGCGAGATAGCGATGGGGGCGGCGGGCCCAGCGAACCTGGACCACTGGTCCGTGGGCCGGACGTTGTGAAGTGTCGCCGTGCTGGTCCTCCTCCCAGACCACCGCCTCTATTACCAAATGCGCCTTGACGTCCATCTGCGGTCCGAGAAACAATCGGTTCATCATCCTCGAACGATTTGACAAAATCCTCGTAGACTGCGGCAGTCTCGGCCTTCTCGCGAGCGCGTTTAGCTTCGGCTTCGGCTTTCTGGCGTTCGAACAGCGATTTCTTGGGTAGTGCCGAAAGCTTGGCAGCGACATTTGGCGCGCTCTTTCCCTTGGAATCTTCAGGCATTTTGTGGAAAAGCTGCGGCCGCAGCAACGGTGAACCAGCCTGCTGACTGGGGATAGTCGAAGCAGTAGTAGCTCCTGGAGTCCTTCCCGATCAGGAATCCCCAGCATTGCGCTGGGCGGTGAGAAAGGCGGTCTCTTGTTGCCCCCTCCCTTTTGGCTGGCCAAGGTGCTCTCCTATCTGACATTAGTTATTGAACTTCTGGTGGCTCTCTACATAATGCAAAGTCGATCCTCATCTCGAGCATTCTAACCTATAATGGCCACTGCACAAGTTCCAATCCTCTTACGCTTCCTGACGCAGGATGCCAAGATTCCGTTAACCGTTGCTATTGGGAAAACCGTAGAGCTTCAGAAAGCTAACCTAACCAGGCAAGGTCCTATGATTAGTTCCTGAGCAACGAGTTTGTTCTGACAAATATCAGCCCGGAAAGTATCGCAAAGTCAAATCCCAAGGTTCTCCAGAATATTTTTGAAAATGAAAAATTTGCCAAACAAGTGTTGAATGCTGGGAAAAGAGTCTCCAAGAAACGCGGAGCCTCGGCAGACAACTCAGCTACATCTCCCCAGAAGAAGAAAAAGCAAATTATCACAACTGACACGCCGCCCTTTGAGATTGAGTCACATCTCAGGTTACCAGTCTCAGTTGCCACTGACAAGGAGCTACGGGACATAGTTATAACGACCAACAGAGCTCCACTGGTACTTGCTTTTGCCGTGTGCGTCTTGAAGTACACAATGCCAGAGCAGCCTATCTCTAGCAGACTGAGCCTCGCTCAAGCGCTGGTCAGCCTGAATAGCCGTTCTAAAGCCGTCAGTCTGGGCATCGAAAGTGGGCCGTCTGCGGAACAAGAAGGCTGGGGCCAAGGACATCCTACTGTCAAAGTTCTTGGCAGAGAGATCCAAGTATTGAAGCGATGGGACTACAACCCCCACGAAGGGAAACCAAATGCATTGCCCGAAAACGAACAATCGCATTCTGACACAGTGCCCGCTGATGAGTTTCTGGGTAGAAACTGTGATGGAGAAATGGAAACGATGCCTCCACTATGGGGTGTTGATTTAGAATCGGCCCGCGCTTCACACAAAAGTGCTGCAGGTGCAGATTCAAATTTCGATAGTAGGCTACCGATATTCACAGCGGAAGCCGCGAGAACATACCTCATGCGATCCATTACAAAGTCGAAGCATGGTAATATGTCCTCCAAACCCAGATCGGTGGGTTCGATACAAGAGGAAAAGGAAGAATGTGTCGGACATCTACTTTCCGCCATCGAGTCGGTATGTCTGTCATGGGTCTCAACCTTGGACAAAAAAGAACTTGATAAGCGTGCTTGGTCTTGGTATCTGCATGTTCGACCAGATGTTCAAAGCGGTGTTCAGGGCTGGGGAGAGAAAGGGCAAGTGAAACTCTCTGATATCCTTGACCTTCGAAGAGTTCCCTGAGACTCCTCAAATCAAATATTATTAAAATAAATTTAATTTCAAATTTTTACAAACATTGTAGGTGTCAAGAGAGTGGCGTTGGCGTTTATAATTAATAATATTCTTAGTAGTGGTTGCTAATAATCATGCACGATTTGAATGGTGTCCTAAAAGCACCGGCATATTCAATTTTCTGCAGCAATAACTTTCAAAACTTCATCAGAAATATCATACTCGATAAGCTTCTGGAGTTTGCCGGCCATCAGGCTTGGGAAAAAGCCTACGAGGACGTTAGTACGTGCATTCATGAATTGGTTTTATCCTTTGCAGGCGGCGTTCACTTACCCATTATCTTCAGAAAAGTATACATACTGTACTCTTGGATTAATCCCATATCCTTCTTGTTGCTTTGGGAATGTTGAGCGTGCTTCAAAATTTCATTGACACGGGGTTGACGCAGAGCCATATACTGTCTTGCTGCCTCTTTTATACACCCCTTCAACACTTTTGTTGTCATAGCCCCTTGGATGAAGTCTTCTCTTTGTAGGTGATGGGATAAAAGAAGCGTAAATGCTTCTACATCCTCAAGCGCTTGCGATGAGCCCTGACCTGAGCTTGGGGGGAGCGCGTGTGCTGCGTCGCCCACAAGAACTACGCCATCGCGCTCCCAGGTCGGAAGTGGAGGCATTGTCCATGTGGGATACATGTTCTCCACATTCAAGGACTGGAGAATCTTTTGAATAACCGGGTCTTTCCAATACGCATGTCTTTCGCGCAGTTGGCGAGTGACGTCGGCCATATCGAAGTTTTTGTAGTCAGGGCATTCTTCAATTTCGTATGTTGACCACCATGCGAGCGATTCACCAGGCTCAGATATATGATAGGGCGAGTCACGATTAGTGGCAGAGGAGGCGCTATCAGAGAAAAAATATCCGAAGAAGCCATTTCCACCAAAGATAAAGTTCATCGACCCTTTCTCGACAAGGCCTTTAACCTCTGCGGAGGGTATGAAACCACCCACACCAACAAGGCCTCTATTTTGATCAATCACATTAGGCTTCTTCGAGTCTCAAATAGTGTTCCCGCTTATCACTCTTGTGTGTACTTACTCATAATGAGGGGGGTACGTGTCTTCGTCGCCAGGGAAAATTGCCCGTTTGGCCGTGCTTCGGACTCCATCTGCTCCGATGACCAAGTCCGCTTCCACCGAAGGACTGCCATCTACAAAATGGACCAAATTTGTCCCATCAGGGCGAGCAATGACATCTGAGATTCGCTTGTTGATGATCTTCTCCTCTGGGATTCGCGAGCGTAAAGCCTGCCAGAATGTATGGCGGCTAGATGCAACCGTATGTAAATGGCGAGTGGAATCGACAGAAGCCGAAGCACTCATGGATAACAGAGACCAACCATTTTTGCTCTTCATATTAAATTTAGATGCAACATACCCGTTCTTTGTCACCTCTCTGAGTAGATCATCATCTAAGCGTCGCAGGACATTGAGGCCGTTCGGAGCAATACCAAGGCCACCACCCACCAGAAGTGTTGACGAATGGGTATTTCTTTCATGGTCTTGCTGTCTCAGTTCTGGTGTCACATTTATGTTTGTGCTGTATGCTTCGTAAATGATGATTTCATAATTTGCCTCCGAACTAGAATATTTCGGAAGGTGCTTTTGCAGTTCAAGGTATGCTGTGCATCCAGCGATGCCAGCACCGATAATTATAATCTTCATTTGTATCAATGAGTAACTTGAAGATTTTTTGGACAAAAATGATACAGACAAAGAAACGAGAGACACAAGTCCAGTAATAAATAATTTGAGAATGGCCATCCATGGGCGGTATACTTCCAAGAATCACGTGTACCCAGTCGCAAATCTAACCTAATAAGGATTAGCGCTATGGCTCAATTGATGTGGGTCTCTCGTATCCGCCAAGTTCTCCATGTCTGGGAGGTTTTATAAGTGGAACAACCAAAATTCAGTATTCTTTGGAGGGAGACAGCTGCCTAGGTAGACAAATTTTTCGGGCACCGATTTTAGATTCTCGCTTCACGAGGCTGGATGTAGCCCTTGCGGCTTATCCCGATCTTCTAGGCCGGCATCTGGCCTAACATTCCATGGGCTTGCCACTGAACCAAGATTCTGAACTCTGTATTCGCATAGCGAAAGTGAAGAAGCCCAAGTGCAAAAAATATCTTTATGATCAGATATTCATCTTATTAGCAGGGACTTGATATTTGCAAATCTGTAGTACGTATGAAGCCACGTTTCCAAAGAGCATGTTTGAGCCTGCCGACAAATCCGTAGCGTCACTGCCTTGATTATCCTGCCCTGGAAAGAGATTCCTCGTCATATGAATTTTGTTGGATGGGCCCCAAATGGAGAGAATTTTGAGTGGAAAGCCCATAATCACAGACCCACGCCCAGAGGCAGGGCCAGGCATTTCCATAATGAACTTCTTGGCTGATAAAATGGATTTCACATGTTGCTGTATGCGCTCTTCATGTTTTTGGTCAAAAGGATGAATCAATGACCAAAGTCGGAAGGCTATAATATTCACTGCGTCATACAACGCCACTAAAGTAGCTGTAGGTATATCGTAGTGAGGAAGAAGTGGAACATGTTCAGGATCTCCAAAAAAATCGATAGACTGTTCGCAAGGTGTCCACGCCCATATTGCGGAGTCCTCTTGAATGAAGTTTGGTGTAGATACGCATCTTGCCCACCAAAGATAGAGTTGGGTAAGCACCGTCGTTAGCAGCTCATGCAGCCTTATTTTGAGAACATTGGCATTTTCAGATTCGAGCTCGATAATTTTATTTGCCAGAGCTAGGCATGGTAAGAGGGACAAAAGTATGTCCACGAAATAATCAAATGCGCTTTTTGAATGCAATTCAAATGGAACTGTTATCCACTGGCGCGATGAGAAAACATGTTCCTGGTTTTGAAAAATCGAGGCAATGAACTAGAATTTTAGGGGTTTCTTTTAGCATACACCAGCAAGCATATATATGAAATAAGGTGGTAATATTACTCACAGCTAAAAGGCGTAAATGACGAAAGAGCTGATGTAAAAAGCCATCGCGACAGCTCTCTGCACCTCTCGCTTCAAGCAACGTGGCCGCACCCTGTACATGCTGGAACCAGGCACCCGCGGAGGTTCCAGCCATGTTCTCAAAATGAGTGAGCATGACAACAGAACATATCATATCTTCAGCGAAAGCAGAATTTGGCCGAGATAATTGTTGTTGTAAGCCTTGCAAAGCCTTTAGATACCACTTGGAGGCTTCCGTACATATTGAAACGTCATGTGCCAGTGTGCCATAGAAGACCATCGATCCCGCACGTATTGAATGCTTCACTAGGCTATGACTCGGAGAAGAAATAAAAGTTGCTAGTTGGTCTAACCATGTGCTGGACGTCGAGCTATCAGTGGCAGAGCCATTGAAACCAAATGACTCAATGAAATGAGACACAAAGAGTTGATCAAAAATTTCGGCACGGCACGGTTGGATGTAATTAGGCAGTGATGGTAAATAATTACTTCCAACCTGGGGACCAGCTTCTCGAGGCTCCAATTCTGCGGAACTATGCTTTGCAAGTGGCTCGTAGGGTAATGGAGCTTTAGGCAAGGTGTGCACGAAAAATGCTCCTGTTCGTGGGCCTGGACACCTCAGGCCAGCTTTGGTGCATTGCAAACAAGCTGGGTGGCACTCATCGCACTGAAAATTGGAATTTATCAGCATGAAACTAGACTGTCAATCCAATCTGAGCCGTCTTACCTTGATCTTGCGTTTGCGGCAGGGCAAACACCCTTTGCTTCTACCTGCAACATTGACCATAGCGCTAAATCAACAGTCCAGTGCAATACTATCGTTGAACCACAATAAGTGAGTCTCTCATACTGATTAATCTCGATCCCATTATTTGAATACCTTTCACCATCATCATGTGTGGAAGAGCGACAGGAAAGGCGGTCGGATAAATAGATTATCCGTTCAGTGTTCCAATGTAGACCACATTACTTCATTAAGAGCAAAGAGGCTCCGAGAACAATACTAGCCAGGGCATTCATAATGTCTCAATGGCAGAATGAGCGAACGTCAATCTTATTTTTCTGATAATCAGCCAACTTTAATTCTCAAAAATACAATATACGTACAAGATTTTAAACAGTATAAGCGGCTGAAAGTCATGAGCGTCTTGGCACTAAGTATGCACTGGAACAAAAAAGCTAGATCATTCAAAATCCAAGTATAGCTGACTTATTAGTAAAAACTGTGCGTAGGCCTTTCCCTCAAGACATAAATTCTGATTGGGGCGTGGTCTGGGCCCGTCCGACCGCCAATTCGCGAGCTGGACAAATTATTGTCTTCGGTTTGGATTATGGTGTCATCTCGGAATTCAATCGTGTCATGCGGATGAGTGGGACGTGGACATTGGTACACGATATATCTTGACTCTACTAACATGACAAAATGTTAAGTCGCTGAGATTCATACCTTCTTTCTGCCTCCAGGATGGTATCAAAAAATGTTCATCATTGCGGTAGCGTCGCTGCCAGCCGTCGAGTGAGCGACCTAACTCCGGAGCAAGTTGAAAAGAAGCGAGCCATCGACAGAGACAATCAGAGACATCATCGGAAGAAGACAAAAGCATACATCCGGTCACTTGAACAAAAGGTCGCCGAATTGACAACTAGACTTGGAAAAGCTGAGACTATGCTCGAACAGCATCGAATGCGTCAAAACGACAACTCTCGGCCTTTTTCTGCATTGTCAAACTCGTCAACAGACTTAATAGGAGCCTCAGATCCGCCAAAATTGGTTGAAGCAAGCAACAATCCAGAAATTATAAGATTAGAGTCGGTCCCCCTCACTGCGGAGGATAGCTTCAAAGATCATCTTAATTCATTGCCTCTCGATCTTGGTACCGGCATGACTATTCATTCTTGGAACTCCGTTCAGGATTTCAACTTTTTGGACTGGGAATTAGCCGACGTGGTGGACAGCTTATCACCCAATATGGATATACTACTCCATGATACGTCTATGTATGATACGATGGTACCACCCTCTTATGAGGTGAGAAATCGAACCTGGACACCAGAGTGGCAGATTTTGCCTCTTCACATCCCAGCTACAACAAAACTAGATGAGGTCATCATCAACACGACAGATGCATGGCGTACACGCCTTCAGCAAGGCCACCATGATGAAGACCTCAATAAAAGTGTCTTTCCCAGTATACCATCTCTGCTCAACCGTCCAAACCAGGTATACAGAGTTCTATCAACGTCCTTCTCTGACACTGTTGCCGCTCAAGTGTGGAGAACGCCCATAAAGACCCTTCCTGAACGCATTGGTTTTGTATACAACCTGGCCCATCTCATAAGATGGCTTGTATGTCGTTCCAAAGATACATACGAGAAAATGCCGGCCTTTCTCAAACCAACTAAACTACAACAAACAGTCCCGCACGCGGCATGGATCGACACTGTGATATGGCCAGAGGCCCGGGATGCATTGATCAAATATATGGATTTGAGTCGGTTTGAAGAGTTGAGAGCACTATCGGGCGGATCTATCTCTGTTAATTGGCCTTCAGCAAGCTCCGGGATGTTTAAAGAGTCACCAGATAGGCAGACTCTAATGTTATACCCAGAATTTGAGGCACATATACAACAGGGTGAGAATTGGAGGTTTGGACGGGAAGTTGGCATAGCATTTCCTTTTTTGAAACCATTTTGTCGCTAGATTCGAGATATTGACTGCTTCGTGTTCGCTCTCCATAAATAGTACATGGAGAATGCTGAGACAAAAAATAACATACTTCCCTTCAAAGCGCGATCTAATTGGATCGCTGAGATATTTCTTAAAGAGAAACTTCAAATACCTCCCTCTGTAAAGCTTCTCTCTCATATAAATTTGCAACTTTGCTCTGGAGCTCCTGGAGTCGACTTGTTCAAACTCCTGATACAATCGAGAAAGGTCAAGATCGCCAAATAACTATCGAACATTCAACACGCTCGGCTCATATTTACGTTCATACGACTCCTCTAAGCCCAGCCTCTGGCCTTTATTTGTGATTAAAGCGCTTTCTTGATACGCCATGGGCACTTATCATCTTGGATGTCCGTTTTAATCATTCTAGTGAGGCCAAGGTCATCAATGTCATATTGTACGCGGAAATACCCTCCATAGACATCAATATATCATGTGTCAGCCAGATATTGTGAGGCGTATCGAGTTGCAACCAACCAGCATTTCTAGGAGATAAAAGTTGGAACAGACGATTTTATGGTGAACAGCAGAACCCAAACAGTATCGGGAACTGAAAGACCACTTTTCAATTTGCACCCTGTGTGTTATAATCTCAACACTGTTATCATAGGAATGATACGTTAGATTGTGGGTAAATACAGACTGGTAGTCCTATGATCTCCTATAGGTTTTAAAAATGAATGATAACCTTCTTTTGGAAGATCTCTGAGAGCCTTCTCCATGATTTCTAAGAAAATTTCCTGGAAGTCAATCCATGAGCTAATTCCAAGGCTCTCTTTATCAATAGGCATGGCTTGAGTTGCGTTTGAACTTGGTAGTATTTGTGATCAGTTTCAAAGGCTAGACAGTGATATAGTTGACGGGTCTCGTTACGAACGAGGAACTTGAATTACAATCCGCTCTTTCGATCGCCTTTGCGTGGTTTGCGTTACCAACAAAATGTCGGTTCTGTTTGTGCACTTTTGTTCAGAGAATATTAAGGCTGGCACAGTGATCTCGGCGACCACACCGGCCGGTCACCTATCAAATTTCTTTTCCATGAACAGGCTACCTTATTGCTTATATCATCTGTGGCGGGATTTTTGACACAAAAACTTTGATATCACCAAATAGGTTAAAACAGCTTCTCTGGATGGCCTCCGGATACCACGAGAAGAGGATTGTGCTGCACGTCATTCTATTATAGCAAATAATAACTAGATACATCATGCTTTCACGTAAGATTCAATCATATGGCGCAAAGAAACCGACATTGGGAACCGAACATGCTTGATTCGCTCACGAGCTCCATCCATCATGGGAACAAAGTGCAATCCTGATGATACCGACCGGCTCAATAGTGGTGCGCTTGGATGTAGACCAAGAAGTGTCATATATCTGGTATAGACTTCTAACAAATCATGTCTTGGATAGTGCCGATTGTCTTCGAAAGCCACCGCAAAATCGGGAGAGGCAGCCGACTCTCCCTTGATTAAGTCCATGGAGATAGCGTCCACAATAGGTGTGATCTTGACAGCAATATCAGCAAGCCCAGTGGCTTCTGTCTGCTTTGCCATGAGGACGCTCATAGTTACGCCATAAGTGTTTGTCAAAATATGTCGCCAATTCTCAGCGAAAGCGGAATGTATGCAAAGTTTATCTCTCAGTTCTTGGTCTTGCTTAACGTAGTATTGAACCAAATACTGTCGTAATAGGCACATTTCCATAAAGGCAACGTTCTGTGGGCCCACTCCTTCCTTTCGAAGACCCTCGAGTAAGTCTGCCAATGAATTTCCAAGGAGCCGGAACTGTCCATTCATCAGGTGGTGTGGAGGAATCGAGATGTCTTCAACAACCGTAGAAAATGCAGTATAGATATGTTTCCAGCAATGGTCCTTGAGCGATCCGTGCCAGTGAGTCCACCATTGGATTGTATCGCGCATGGCATAAACACTAACTTCATCAATCAACATGTCACCCTTTTGGGAGATGATTGAATAGTCTTCGACATTCTTGCAGATAGATGACGTGGCAGCGAAAATGTCCATCTTTTGACGTAGGTTTTCGATTGACTGACAATAATTAGGTTGCGCACACAGATCTTTCAAGTCTTTCACTAAGGACCTCTCGCCTTCTGAGATTGCCGGGCGATATGGACTCAAAGATCGCTTGATATTCGACTTTCGCGTTCCTTCAACTGGGTATATAGGTATTGAACGGTCATATTCGAAAATTCCGAGGTGTTGCTCATGAGGATGGTAAAATATGGAAGTCATCTTGACGTTGTCAGGTCTGGATGTGCCAAAGTTTTCAACTATACCGTAAACCGAAAAGAAAATTCCTACGACGGTGTTTGAGAAAATTCGCCTTCAAATAAGTTCTTATCTCTCATACCCGAGCAATCTCACAGCTAGATTTGAGAAATTCCATAATTACGTCTTCATAATTACTTTCTTAGGTTGTGTAACATGAGGTTTCACGGATTGACTCCTGCGTATCCAGATCGACATTCTGTACCATGCATCTCTCCTGCACAGGGCTAGAGCAAGCATTTTGCTTTTCTCCGCACAAGAAGAGTCAGTCAATCCTGGATTAGAGGCCCCTAAGGGGGTATAATAAAGGCAAGTATTCATTCTGAATGTCGCCATCTCTTCCTGTATTCGCTTCCCATCGAGATATGGATCCAAACGCGGGTTCTTAATGGGTTGACTAGCTCGTACTTGATTTTATTCGTTTTGCTTTTTGCAAGATAGCTATGTATTCTAGATTTTATTTAGTGGTACAAAGAGTGTCGGCGTACAAAAACAAACTACCATGATATTGAAGCACGAAGTCCAAGCTACAAATTTTGCTTCGGCCTCTTTCGCAATCCAGAGTCGTACAAATTAAAATATTGCATGATCACTTAGCTGCACGATCATAAAAAGTCTGTTTCTCTATCTAGCTTTCACGAAAACTGCCACGGAGTTGAAATGATGCAGAAATCAACAACATTGTAATCATTTCTGACCTGCGGGATGAGGGCCTATTCACGGAATGCCTCATGGGCATTTTTAGTGCAAGCGAGCTAGAATTCTAGTCTCGCCTCCTTCATAGAACAAAGATAATCAGGGGAAGGCCTCATCGTACTTCAACTCATCTTCAATAATCTTATCAAAAACACACTACATGATCTAAATCCTAGTCCCCTTGTCCTTAATTTATATTCTTGCTTTCTTCCATTTCATGCATTATGCTGTTTTAATTTAAGTACAGCCAACTTATGTGAGGCCTCAACTAATGAAATAACCGTTCGTTTAGCTAATCGTCCATCCAGGGGAAGACATGCACTTCAAATTAATTTCAAAAACGGTGAATTAGAGTATCTGGGAATCCTTGCCTTGAGAATATAACAAAAGGCCAGGAGTAGATAACCTCTTTTGTCAGTAACCTTAATCGATTTGACAATAATCACACTATCAGAAAGGATATAATAACAGTACCGATTCATTTCACCGACTTTCCTGTCTCCTTGTGGTTCATTAATCCACCCACTTATGTAGTCTTTTCGCTAGTCGGGGCCTCGGCCCGCTCGTTCCCGTCAGTCTCCACATTGTGGTAGTAGGCTTGTGATTACCTTCCTCCAATTCAATTGCCTTCCAGATCTTGATACCGACATCTGCCTGTGTCGCGGTGCAAATCCATGGTTTCTCTCTTATGGATGTTCGTGTAGACCGGGAATATCATGGCGAGAATATAAGCCTATCAGGAGAATGGCCATGACATGTGTGCGTTCACTCATCTCTGAGTATAAATTGTGAAACCACCAATCACTGATCAGGCTGGTGGAAAATGCAGTTTCAACCTATTACACCCGCACGCATTATAGGTGGTCATTATGGGTGGGAAAGACCATGCCAGCCGAGATAGCTGCAAGAAGCATTTAGTGGCCCAGCTTTGTATGGCGACTGAGACCACATAGAGCTAGGGAGAAGGTGGTTGTGATCTATTTTAAATATCTGGTCGACTCGGATTCTGTGCCTAGTACGCTTGGATTTGAAGTGGTCCTGATTGAAGGTCGAGGGGGTTACGGTTTAGGGCTGAAGATCTAGTTCAAACCAGGATGGAATATTTCGCTCAAAATGGGCATTTCTAGCAAATATCACAGGGATTTCTCGAATATTAATACAGCCTATTCAGATATGCAGCAAGCTAGTACATTCCACTGGGAGACGATAATCTGCAGTCATATGGTTAGCTCAGTCGTAGGCGCCGCTGCCTTCCTTAATGCCAACCAAATGATGCAATTGACAGCCACTCTTAGATGTGTTTAATGGTATTTCATCGGCCCATAAAATCACCTCCTTATTGGAGCCCATACTTAAGCGCCACCTTCGCCATCACATCTGGGTGGATATACTACCACCGTCGCCCGATATGCCTTTCTTCCGAGTGACTTGGCCATTTCCAGTTATGGTAGTATGTATACGTATTTAATTAATTCTCGACATAAATATTTACAGTTAGCTCTCCATTGGTTGCTATCGTCATGAGAGCAATATTCTCCCTTTCTAAGTGTGCCTGGTTCACAGAGACACCGATGACCCGATTAAAGAAAAAGGGCCGCGACATTAGGAATGGTGTGATATCCAGAACCGCTACGATTGCTGGTTCATTTGATCCACTTCATCGCAACGAATAGAACATCTGAAATATGAATTGTATGGACCTAGCCCATCACTTCCAACCATCACCTTACGTCAACAGGATCGGCTCCGGTATCCGAACATTCCCGGGGATGGGCGGCTATATCAGATTGGCCATTGGACCAAAGCACAAAGCAGCGTGCACGCCGGAACCACTTAAGATGTTGTGAACCAAACAAGGAAGTGAGGTTCAGGTCCAGATCCATGTCCAGGCCCAGACCTTTTGGGTCGGAGCAGCACAAAGGGACTTGAACGGAAAGACTGCCCCAGTTCCTGAATCTACCCCTCAAAGGGTGACGCGTTTGTGGCTGACACCCCATGTCGATTGAGAGCCGTGCGGCGCGATAGTCACCCAGCAACCCTGATGGGCTGAGACGCCGCAAGCTGCCCAAGTTTCAAGGGCGTTCTTGATGCGTTTACATGACCACGCATAATTCTAATAATCCCGACAGCCATCGTCAGCCATGATATTCCAATAGCCAAGACCAAGACCAAAGTCTGATCATTTACGCGCCGAACAACGGGAAGGGCTGTATCCGATTCTTGGCAGTGGACCCGTTTTTTTCCAGATGCTCTCGGGGAGTTCCATGGATCCTTGGAAACCATGCCCATGTATTCTTCTCTCTTTTAAAGTCTCGAATCGAGGTGATGGATTTTTATTAGGTCCACAGGGGAGCAAAGAACAGGGCCTTCCGTTCTGTGGAGTAAGGGGCCTGAAGTACGAAGTAAAAAAGAAAACTCCCGACAAATTGGGTGCTTCGCATGCGAAACTTGAAAACTCGCACGTAAACCTTTCGACTCTCTAGTGCTGTTCTCCCTCTTTTGGTTTTTTTTTTTCAGCGCTGGCTGGGATCTCAGTACCTGCTTTCACCCGTACCCGTACGGTTAACATTTAGTCCGCTTTTTAAGACATTGCGATGCATGGTCCGAGATATCCGCTGGCCAATCTTCAGCCCTGCTGGGGTCCATCTGTTGCCTGAAAAGCCAGGATCCAGCCAGATTGAGTTTTCACAAAGCTGATGGGCGTTCCAGGTTTCTCTGTAGTTGTCCATTTGGCCAAGGGAGGGGATGGGCCTTGCCCTTGTTGTTCCCACGGGCATTCATCTTCGTTAGTACGAGCGTTTATGTTTGGGTCGCGGGTGGGTGGTCCACCACCACATCATACGGTGAAAGTCCGGACGGGTGAGGCCGTGGAGATTTTCCGGTCAACTGCAGCTGGAGGACAGCGATGATCTGACTTTGCAGGCCGAAGGGAATCCAGACCCCGTATCAAACCCGAACACGCGTGAGTTCTAGGCTTCAGGGAGGTGAGCTCTCGTTGATCTGGCGCAGGCGTAGGATTCTAGATTTGAAGCCAAAACAACTCTGCGCGACACCACCAGTTGTGTTCCAACCCTGGGGTGGGTGGCGAATCCTAGACCCACTGCGTGCAGCCGGAGGTGACTTTAGTCGCTCGCTGGGTCGCCCTAGTGGCTCATAGTGCACACGGAGGAGTCCCAGTCGATCGCGGCCAGTCGAAGGGTCTCCTCAGGTCCATGGGGAAATTCCCTGGAGCAGGGTCTCAAAAGCAAGTGAATTTGTCGAGCAATGGGTGGGAGTAATGTCGAGAGAAGAGAGTCGGCTGGTCGATGAGGTCGTGGGAGAGTACAACAAGGGTATTAAACTCGTGATTACCAGACATTTCAAGCGGTTCGTTACGGGAGGCTTCTAGACGCCGGCCGCAGCACAGCGGCGCCCCCTCCCCGACGTATTACCGCCGTCACACCCAGTTTCAAACCCAGTCCGTTCCCCTTCCCTCACCATCTCACCTCATCATCCACACCTCCACCACTCCCTTTTCCCATCCTCCACCCTCGACTCTCGATCCTCCCTCATCCACCATCACGACCATTCCGCCACGGCCCTCGATCTTCGCTCGCCGACCGAAGAACGTCCGTCTCATATCGTATTGACCTTTTCTTCAACCGCCACCCATTCTCCCCGGGGGCCCATCCTGAAACGGATTGAAAACGAATCAAGTGGTGGCCCGACAGGGCTGCCGTTAGTTAGGGGATATGTCTGGACACATTTCATCCGATCATTCTCGCTCGGCTTCACGTTCCTCTCAGACCCCTCGCCTATCTCAAGGCCAGGGTTGCGACCCGATGTCTCGCCACTCCTTCGGTCGCACTTCGCGCGTCTCCAACCCCAATGTCTTCTCCGACGAGTACTCATTAGAACCGATTGATGCCGACCAGATCGACCGGGCCCCGAGTCCTGCCTCCATTGCCTCTTCCTCCACCCTTCGCTCGACCCATCACCCCCCAAAGACCGTCAGCCAGGCCACCACGGAAAATGACAACCCATTCAACGATGACGCCAGGGTCTCCTTTGAGCAAACCCGTCGGTCAAGCCTACCCCAGAAAGGGGTAGCGGGATTCTCCAACAATCGTGGCTCAATCGCTTCCATCAATAATACTGCCGCTTTTGCCGTGAATCGGAACCAGAGCGTCTCTTCCCGTTTCTCGATACCCCGCGCCATGAGTCCCTACACGGGAGCGACCGGTCCCAGCCATCCGTACGCTATGTATCCCCAGGTTGGGGTCAGTCGTTCCCCAAGTGTTGCAAGTACCTCCACAGTCCGTCAACATGATCGTCCCCTAGGTGAATCAAGTGGCCCCCAACATCCTTACGCGATGTACCCTCAAAATGTGGTCGAGGAAGGAATGGACGAAGATGTTATCCCCCTCGGCTTTCCTGGTCATAACCCTCCCTACCAACCACCACCTGGTCGTCGAGACAATGATGTAGGCGACATCATCGGCGCTGACGGACATGCGGAACCACTCCCACCTTATTCACGATACCCAACGGGTGTGGTTCCTAAACCTCCCGGCGCCGAGACTATGGCTGATTTAAACGGTCCCGCGGATATCCAGCAACTCCATTCAATCTCACGAGACCAACAGCCGATCTCAGAAACCTCTACAAGGGCGCTTGTCTCCGACAATTCTGGCGATGGTGACAATGGTGATCGAAACCGAGCAGTGCCCTTGACAGGCATCATGGCCTTTGAGGAAAAGCTCAAGCGCAAGGGGAAACAAACCGCTTGCTGTGGACTACCTGTGTGGACTCTTGTCCTCATTGCTACCATCATGGTGATTGGAGGATGTATAGGTGGCGCCATTGGCGGCGTCATTGGTGGTAGAAAAGCCGCAGAACATGATCGACAAGCCGCCCAGCAGTCACATGGTCCATCTATCGTGACAGTCACCGCACAACCTCAGATGGATTATTCCACGATGACGAGCACTCCGACCAATATCATGAGTGTTCCAACCGGCCATTATCTGATTCCCTCCGTTCTGCGAAACTCTTCCAGAATGTGTGTTGAGGACGACCAATTTAAGCGCTCTTGGGGATGCATGGATGACCCAACAAACTTCGATGTGGTCGTTGAGGAAAGTCATGGACAACATTCTATTGTTTTCAGTAACACCGGTCCTACAGCAACCTTCACCTACGGTGCTCAACCTCCCATTCTCCCCACCCCCACCCAAGCCTTGAGCTACGCGATTGACACCAGTGAGGCCAGCATGGGCCCTGCCCTATTCTTCTTCACCAGGTTTGACAAGCTGGTCATTGTGCCAGAATCAGCATTTGATTCGAGCTCGAGCTCCTCGAAACGATCATATGTTGGAGACTCATCATTTTTGGAACGGCTCCACCGTATGGAGACGGCACAGCCTGGTGATAAACCGTGGTTTTGTTACTGGAACCAAACCGTGATGGAATTCTTCATCTATGTCAACCAGTCGGCGTCAGACTCATCCTCTGGCACCACTGCATCCACCGCTAGCGACATGACTGCCAGCACCGCCACCGCTCAGTCCTCCAAGCGTGAAGATTCCGTTCTAGATTACCCCCGCAAGATCAAGATTGAAGAACGACGCGATTACTCTGGAACTCAAGCACCCTATTGTCAACAGATGCAAGTGGGCTCTGATGGTCATATTGTCGGAGCCATCCAAAATGAACTCATCAACATTAAGGAAATGGAACCCACTCCGACTACCACTTATATCAATTCAAATGGTGGCAGTCAGCAGACATATACCGCGAAGGCGCAATATGCGACACCCTGTTACTGTCTGTCTACGACTGATTAAGTGCAACTTGTTTTCTCCTTGACTTTTGAGCGACTGCCTTGTTCTTTTTTATGGTCTTTGGGGTCCGGAGAGACCAACCGCCCGGCGTTGGCGTTCAATCAGCCATGAATTGTTCTTGCATCACTTATGCGCACACGACTGTCCCCCTTCTTCTGTGTGATTTTATATCCCTCTTCCTCGTCCTCTTTAGCTCCTGTCGACGGGGGCTTTCCCTTCGATTCCCTGTTCGCGCAGTCCTTGTCTTTCTTTTCCTCCGCTTCCATTTTCCGAACATCTCATTTGCGACATCTCATGACCCTCCTTTGTTTGGTGTGACTTCTCTTCTCTGTTGGGTTATACATGATCTTTTTTTTCCACGTTGATTGTTAGTGAACCTGGGATTTTTGTGGCGTTTATTGGACGAGATGGTGTGGCTTGGGTCCTGAGCATGTCCGGTCAAATATGCTCTTGTTCTTGTATCTTTTGTTTTCTTTCCCCTCTTCTTGCTGAGGCTAATGGGGCCAAATTTTCTGTGTCCTGTCTTAGCATCTCTGATGGCAATGCCGTCATCTACCTAGTGAATAATCCAGGATACGATGATATGGGGAATTTTCTACTTTCTCTAATGGGCCAACTGTGCTTTGACGGTAATCACTAGTTGAAAAAAGCCCAGCTCCACCTATATTCTCTTTTGAGTTTTGCGCTTTGCTGCTTACTTGACATTGCAATCTATAAATAGAGGTTTGGCTTTTTCTTCGGCTCGTGCTAGGAAATGACCGTCATGCTCGGGGAACATATTTAAGCACGGCGACCTGGACCGGATTACCGGGGTGCTGTGGCTAGCGAAACTCGGTGGGTACCTCGTGTAAGCTGCCTTAGCGGGTCTTGTTGACGATGGTCAGGGTCTTACACCCTCTCAATCTTCCTGGTGTTGGGCAAGGTGTTCTCCCAACCCGAAACCTATATCGACTATATCGGTCTATATTCACGATCAAATAGGTCGATCGTCTAATTTGTTTCTCCAGCATCCTTTTGGACTTTTGGAGCGTTACTGCTTTTGCGTGTGAGCGAATAACTGGACTATTGTGGCTTACGGCTTACCCCCCGGAAGATTAGTCTAAAAGAAGCCCCCCCCTCTTTTCGGCAACTAAATCTCAGCCGCTTCATCGGTTGGGCAATGTTTTCAGCTACGGACCGGGAACTACAAAAACACAGTCATGCGCTGTGAAAATCCTTTCCTTAGGTCGCACCCGCTGAGTAGTGAGCCTGTCTTGGAGAATTTTGAGCCCGTAAGAGGTGAGATCTCTCGACTGTACCCCACGAGTGGAAAAGCACATTGGCAGATCCGATGTCCGCAATTGAGGTCAAAGACGACTACAATCTTCAGGAGGCGTGGGACAGAGCATGTGGGTCATTCGCGCAGACAACCAAAGTCGATCTGACCGCATCGCCCAAGTATACGGTCGATGAAGTGCTTGATCAAATTCGGGCCAAGCAAGATGAGGACGACGAGAAGAACAATAAGTACAGAGTCGCCAAGGATGTGATCGGCAAAACATTGACCTTTATTACTGTTCTGGGGGGCATCGCCGCCCAGGGCGCCAGCATGGTAAGGGTAGTTCTTGGGGGTTTCAAGTTAAACGCTCCTGCTAATGGACCATACTGGTAGGTTTTTGCACCCAGTAGCCTGTGCTTCAATGCGATTTCCTATCTCATCAACACGGGCGCCAAATACAAGCGCATTTTCAGCAGTCTGGCGGAGCTATTTCGGCGGATCTCTGATGTGTTGGAGCGCTGCAAGATTTATATGCGCTTGCCTCCAGACGCGGTGGATATCTCCCTCCGGAAGATCATCAACGAGGAGCTCGTGTGCTTCGTCGATATTTGTGCTCTGTCTATCAAAGTCCTCAAAGGTCACAAGATCTTTACTGCGCTCAAGGTCTTTGCATTCGACAGCGACGAGGGTGTGAGTGCCCAGTTGGGTCGTCTGGCTGCCCTCGTTGAGCGCGAATCCCAAATGCGGGGCACGCTGGGATACGAGTCGCAAAAAATCACCGAGAGGATTGTCATTGAGAACCGAGACGGCACTAGGAAGATTAGTGCATCGGTGGACAAGCTTCTTACGTTTGAGAAGAAACGGGACGCAGACAGCGCCGCCAAACGGATTCTCAACACCATCGATGCTAGCCTCGATACCCCCAGTGAAGCGTACAAGATTGTTCAGACTACTTACAAACGTCTCCTAAATGGACAAGTTCCAGACAGCGGATCGTGGCTTCAAACGGATCCTTTGTACGATGCATGGATTTCAACCCAGCATTCACCGTGCTCGATCCTGGGGGTCTCGGGAGCTGAAGGGTATGGGAAATCGTTTCTTTTCGCTGCTATCATTAAGCACTTGCAGGAGAGAGATACCCAGGATGCCGATGACCTGACGTGCGTCTCAACCGCCTACTATGTCTTTGAGCCGGAACAGAAGGATACCTCCCTGATCAAGGCCCTGAAAGTACTTGCATGGCAGGTTGCGAACATCGACATTGTATATCGCAAAGATGTAAGCTCCGTTCAAACGACTGGAGTGAACCAGATAGCAAGCCTCTGGGAGCTTCTATTTGCTAAGTCGTACAAGAGCGACTCGACTTTCTTCCTCCTTCTTGACGGCGTGGACCGAATGGATAAGGCTCATCTCAAAGAGTTTATCCAAGTCCTCGCAAACCTGCAGACTGTGTCTGAAACCTGGCCTCGCTTCAAGCTTCGAGTCCTCCTGTCTGGACGGGATGAGACCATGGAGAATATGAAAAGGCAAATCGGAGAGGGAATTTCGATCATGGATGTGGCTTCCAGGAACAGTGATGATATGCAGAAGTTCATTACTGACCGCATGAACAAGATGGACATCCTTAGTGGCTCATCAGACCAAGTCATTCATTTGCGTAGGGAGATCCTTGAAGCCCTGACAACCGAAACCCATGGAGATTTTGTCAACGTCGGCCTCATTCTGCATGAGATCAGCGGGAAGCAGCGCCCGGGCGAGATCAGAGACATCTTGTCAAGATCTGGAGGGAACCGATCAGACACGATCGTGAGAAAAATGGAGCTCTTGAACGAAACACTTAGTGATGAGGACATCTCGGACCTGAACGACCTCCTCACCTGGGTCGTATTTGGCAAACGCCTGCTCAGTCTTCAAGAGTTGGAGGCAGTTCTCTTCCTGAAGACTCGAGAGTCGTCTCTTCGATCATTGGCTGAAAAGATCACCAGCCAATATTCCTCGCTGATTCGAATCCAGGGTGAGCCGCACCCAGTAACCAAAATCATCCCCCCATCATCCTGGGTATCAATGGTCTCCGATTCAATCGAGGAGTTTTTACGAACAGCTGTGGAGCCTGGCAACCCCGAGGATGTCGAAAATGTGGAGCTCGCTGGCGATGTTAACGAGCTGGAGGTCCGGATTGTCCGGAGATTCCTCGAGTCTGTATGTGACGACAAGTTGTTCCAGAAGTTCGGATTCGAAGACTTCTTTCAACGAAAACTCAAGGGCAAAACTGCTCGCGTCGGGGTAGACATTGACATGGCGCATTTGAGAATTGCAGTGGCCTGTTTAGAGGTTATCAGCGCGAAAGAGTCGCCCGATACTGCTCCTTTGCTCGACTATGCGATCCTCAACTTTTGGGAGCATCTCAAGGACGCGGACCCTTCACTGACACATCCGCAACATAAAACAGCCTTTGGTCCGCTACTGGTGAAGCTGTTTACAGAAGAGGAGACGATTGAGCGATGGTGGACTCAGGAGAATACCTGGCTCCGGCTGTGGATTTTTACTGACGAGCTCTCGGACCCAGTATTGAAATGGTTACGGGACTCGGCCGTCACGAAGAACCTGTCCAGTGAGCAAAGCAAGTGGGTAAAGAGCCTGAGCTCCAAGTCCGAGCCCGATGCAGATCTTTTCGAACACATTGCTCGGTTCATGGCGCGTACTTGGCTTCAGTCCGGCGTGGCTGAAATTGTCTACACCTTCAACACGGTGTATGGATATATCAATAAGGTATAAAAGACGCAATTTCCAGCCAAGAACCAAGTAAAATATGTACTAACTAGCTTCCAGATCGAGAACCGCAAAAATCCTAGCATCAAAAGAATTACTGGTGACAAGGACATTGAGAGCATTGAAGCATCGCAGATTTTCGATACAGCGGAATGGGCACAGCGTCAAATTGGACTTAAGAGCTTGGGCTACGAAGAAACTCGCAATCTGGCACGTACACTCCGGGAGCACGGGAAGTACACTGAGGCCATTGAACAATTCAAGCTTGCCTCTAATTTCGAGAATGACAACTGGGTTGCCCAATGGGGACTTGCAGACTGCTATGCTTTCCAAAAGGAATATGACAGGGCGATTGAGATATTAGAGGCCGTGAAGAAGAGAATTGAGACCGGCGAGGTAGCCGAGAGTGAAGATGCGAGAGTAGATCTTCCGTATATCTCCCGCGACCTTGCGGAGTGGAATAAAGAGGCCGGCCATAGCGAGCAAACGCTTGCGATATACGAGGGCTTGCTCCGGGACAATCCGGACGACTGTGACACCGTGCTATCACTCATGATGCTCTTCCACCAGAATGAGAATTACCCGGGTCTGCTCGAGTTTCTCAAGTCGCGCAAGGACTCCATGGAAGAAAGCTCAGGAATGGACCGTTGGACACAGGCATTCCACGCCCACTATAACAACGAGGAGTACCACGAAGCCCTTTTCGCGCTGGCATCCGCCCAGGAGAATTTCGATATGGTTCTCGACAGCTATAATGTTGCCGCGACAGCCGCTCAAAAGCGATACAGTGAGGCGCGAAATTCGGGCAATACCTCCGAAGAAGAGTTCAGCCGGGTCTGCCAGGCTTTGCTGATGCACAATGCTGCGCTATTATCTTACAAACATGCTGGTCATAATGTCGAACGCACAGAATTTGCCATCGATCAGTGGATGCGTGTTCTGCAGATGGATGAACGAGAGGAATCATACCTGTCACATGTGAAAACCTTCGTCTGCAACAAGTTGGCAAGGGTTTGCTTTCAGGAAGCTCGCCGAGATCCGGCGACTGCTGGGCCTTATCTTGAGCATCTCAACGAAGTGGCAGTCTTCAAAAGTACTGGTAGTCTAGGCTGGGGTTACGATGGGGCGTATCCAACGCGACTCCTTGCTCGATGGCACGCGTTGCAAGGTGACGAGCAGAAGGCCAAGGATGTCCTCCGCGCTCATGTCAAGCTCAATATGGACATTCTTTCAGACGAGGATCCGCTCAATGACTGGCAAGGATACCGGGGACTGGCAATGCATCTCATGTTTGCCGGTCAGGAGGCCGACGCCCTTGCTGCGTGGTCTTTAATTGTTCCTGTGGATGACGAAAAGAGTGAGGACAGCCAGTCGGGAGATGGCAGCGCGGACAAGAAGCTCGAGGGCCCATTGAGAGACGTTTGTGACGGAGACTGCGACACCAAGTGGACATTCTCTGATGATATCTACGTGTGTCGGGACTGTGATTACATGGAGTTCGACGAGCGCTGTTTGAAAAAGTTGCGTGAAGGAACTCTGGGCAGTTTTATCTGCGACAAGGATCACGAGATGATGCATGTTCCAGCTTATGATCCTGCTAAACGTCAGAGAATAGGCGAAGGTAATGTGCAGGTTGGAGAACATATTCTCCCGATCGAAGAGTGGCTCGAGAGGATCAAAGCAGACTGGGCGATCAAATAGGCGTCAATTGCTGCGTAGGAGACTTGGCAGTACCATTAGGTAGGTATGTAAGAAAGACCTAGAATGCTCTATCTTGCTTACTTGGAATGATCGATTTTCATTTGTGGAGATGAAGAAGCCCATAGATTAATATTTATGTTTGTTCCTTTCAAACATCTAGCTGATGTCGCGGATATGAAGTAAATGATGCGCCCTGAATTGAATAAATATGATCAGTTGCTTTCCCCGTAGTAGCACTCTTAGTAGCCAGTTCAACAAGACTTTAAAAAAAATAAAAAAACAAAAACAAAGAAAATTATTTCCCATGATTTTGTTAAAAGCGTGAATAGGGACTCATGAACTGTTTCCAAGGACACTTGAGCACTTGACCAATAGATCCTATTGACCGATTAAGGAATCTTGTAGTGTTGGAACCACGGAGTAAACAGATCCGGTTGGGTTCCGGCGCACCCCACGACATGATCACGTGATAATTATGATATGTCATGTGACGAGATTGAGACCTCGATGCGTGAATGAACGACGAGGGACTCGAAAATGCTGAGAGAAAGCTGGACTTTGAGTCCTTCCGAACGGATTGATTATCCTGTGCTGAAGTGATTGACCTGCTGCATTCTGCATTCAGAGAGCCCTTAAGCCGTCTCCGACCTTCAACTCGTGCCCGAATGCCCGAAGCTCTTCGTGGTTGACACCTGAGGCAGCCACACTTCCGACACCTCGCATCTTGCACACCATTCCAACCTCTCTTCATCGCCCAACCCATTCTCCTTCTACAACCCACCCACTCCCATCTTTTCCCCCGCCCCTCTCTCGATTCTCGATATTGCCTACGATCTTTCCCACCATCGGCCGGCCTTATCAATCCCGTCTACGACGCCCTCATACTTAAAAATCTGTCCTTGGACCCTCCAGATCAAATGATCGCGTCTCCTAGATGACCTTCCCTCCCCCTCACCCTTCCGCCCAATCGTCGATTGCTTCTGGCACCGATAAATCTTCTTCGACCAGGACTGAGATTGGTGCCTGGGGTCGGTCCGCGTCGCAGTCCGGCATTCGTCGTGGGTTGACTCCTCTCGCGACCAACCTTTCCTCCACCACACCCTCTGCATCCGCCCGGGGCTTGGACACAGGCCCTGGGGTCTCAACGCCTTCGTCGTTCTCTGCCGTTCTGAGTTCTACCAGAGGTCTCTCAGGGGGCAGCCCCAAGCCTGTACCCTCGCCCTTCACCTCGCTTCAGTCAGGCTCGCAGCAGCAAGCCCAATCGCTTTCGTCGCCAAAGTTCCGCGCACATACTCCTTCCGCAGGCTCTCATTTCGCCTCCGTGTCAGGCTCCATCCCGGGTGGTGGAGGTACCGGGGGAGGTGGTGGGCCCGGATCTTCTCGAGGCGTTTTCTCACCATTGTCGTCCGGCACAACCGTGAATTCACCAACAGGCTTCGGTTCTGATAAGCCGGGATCTACGGCTGCTCATTCGAGTCAATCCTCACTCACCAAGATTTCGATTGCGCAGGTATTTTTACTGCTAGACTCGATCACAGAGAAAGAGGGTAAAGAAAAGTGGGAGACGAAAGCTGCTCAAATACACAAGGTAAATCAGTAGCCCTTTGAAAATACATGCTCTGTGAACTGGCAAGACTGATGAATATCCATTTAGCTTGTGACATCAAACGGAATGGAGGTCTTCTCGAAGTATTTCCGCCGCCTTCTGACAGGCAATGCGCCTCAGATCTTCCCTGGCGTGAACAAATCCGTCGAGAATGCAGGCAACTACCCCCTTCTGGTCCAGGAAATGCAGAAAGTTTCCTCGGACATGGAGCAAGCACAGAAGATTGCTGAGACGGTAGACACCTCTGAAGGGGACATTTTCCGCGACTTCGACTTGTCAACCTTTCTGGATCACTTCCGTCTTGATCCCATTGTGAAAGTTGCGCTGGCCTTGGCCTTCAAGCTGACCAACAAATCGGATCTTCGGGCTAAAGGTAAGTTTCGCATCATATTGCAAAAGCCCATCTTCTGCATTATATCTCGGCTAACAATCCTGTGCTTTCCCAGCCGATGCTATCCTATCTAACTCAATCGTGCCATTCCTCTCGAGCTTGGCAAATCCCTCCGAAACGAATCAAGATTTCCAAACATCTTTCCTTGGCATGACAATTGAACGGTTCATCTTATATCCTCCTCGCAATTTCACCAACGAGGTCAAGGGAAAGCTGGTCTTCGCAGCAAACCTTCGGTACCAGAAGCTGGGTCTAGACATGCCACTCGAAGTGGCTTCAGCTTTGCAAATGTTCAACTTTGTCAACCCCGAATATACCCTCGTGAGACAGCTCCATTCCAAAGGCCCTCGCGCAACTGCGAACATGGAGGCTATCACGGAAGTAATCAGCGCGGCAGGGCCAGAAAGCTGGAATGAGGAACATTTGGCTAGTGCTCTTTTGTTCATGATTCTGTCCCAGAACTGGCAACAGTTTTCAATCGAGACCCTTCTCAACGCGTACTCTGAGAAGCAGATCAATTGGGCACTAGTGTTCCAGAACTTCGACCGCGAGGGCTTGAGGGTGGATTCAAAGCAATTTGCCAAGTTATACTACGTTCTTTCTAACGCGGCTGCCAATGATTCGTCTCTGGATGTTCAGAAGCTGTGGGGGGAGATTGGGAGCATCGGGATACGCAGATGTCATTTTTGACGGCGTTTATTGCTTCACGCACGGATGCGTCCCAGATCCGGAATCTCCGTGGGGCCTTCCCTGCCGACTTTTTTGAGGAGGCTCCTGAAGTTATTAAGCTGCAGGGCGAGCGTGCGGCCAAATCTCCTCTTCGCTCCATGGATGCCATGAAGGCAATTTTTGACGTTGCGCTATTTTCACAGGCTTCCTGGTCTGCAACGGAAAGCCAGCTTTTGATCAAAGCTGTGGTCCAGTTCGATCTACCAGTCTTCTTGGTTTCTGCTCTCGCTATTCCCCAGCCCTGGTCCAGTGTTCAACAGAGCTTTGTTCTTCGAACCTTCCTCGTATTTATCTCGAAACAAGAGGATGGATACCAGCTAGCACTTCACGGCGCTTGGCGACAGGACAGACAATGGGTTGCGGAGCAGCTTTTTACTGCCTTCACCCAAGATCCGACATCTACTGCAATCATTTACGAACATGCTGCCGAGTACGGATGGCTCGATTATTTGCTTGGATTTACGAACGGCCTTGCCTTGGACCTTGCCTGCTACTCTCATCGGAAGGGGACTTTCGACCTCGAACAGTGGGTTCGAAATGCGTCTCAAAAGGGTCCAATTGACATGGGCAGCCTCCTGTCCAAGTTTCTTCGGATCAAGGCAGAGGATGAACTGCATGTTCAACGAAAGGAACAACCCAGTCCCCAGATGGTCAGCCTCTCCGTGAAGACCGTTTTTACACTTCTATCTGTACTGGAGGAGTATGTGGGCGACCGTGAAAATCTCACCCCCGTTCAACGTATCTGCATTCAGACGTACCCTCGATTAATCAACTATGGCGAAGGATTCGATGATATTATCGACGCCAACGGTGAGAACGGCAACACTTTACCTGAAGCCATCGATAAGCAGATGCAAGACCTGTTTGGGAAAATGTACCATGAGGAACTATCACTCCGTGAGATGTTGGAGCTGATGCGCCAGTACAAGTCCTCGCGTGAATCCAATGAACAAGACCTCTTCGCTTGCATGGTACATGGCCTTATTGACGAGTACCACTGCTACCACGAATACCCGCTGGAGGCTCTGACTAAGACCGCTGTCATGTTTGGTGGAATTATCAACTTCAGACTAGTTGATGGAATCACGCTCAAGGTCGGTCTGGGGATGATTCTCGAAGCTGTTAGGGAGCATGAAGTTCATGACCCAATGTACAAGTTCGGCGTGGAGGCAATTGAACAACTGATCAACCGCCTTACTGAATGGCCTGGCTTCTGTCACTTGCTCCTTCAGATCCCGACTCTTCAGGGTACTCCCATCTTCCAGAAAGCCGAAGAAGTGCTACATGAGCAACCGAACCAGATTGGCGAGAGCGAGCTCGCTGGATTTCCGGAAATGCCCCCTCCCTCTCTCCCCAACGGCAACGCTGATGAGCCCTTGGCTACCGAAGGTGCCTCCCGAAAGTTCCGCTCCGTATTCGTCGATTCTCCTCTGCGGTCCGATCTTTACCAGGACCCGGATGAAGATATTCAGGACAAGATTTTGTTTGTACTGAACAATGTCTCGGAGCAAAACATTGACGAGAAGCTGCGTGACTTGCGTGATGTATTGCGCGACCAGCATCACCAATGGTTTGCTTCGTACCTAGTCGAAGAACGCGCTAAATTGCAGCCCAACTTCCAACAGCTCTATTTGGACCTTCTCGAGCGCATTGGGGATAAGATTCTTTGGGCCGAAGTCCTGAGGGAGACATATGTCAGCCTCTCGAAGCTCTTGAATTCCGAAGCTACCCTGACATCCGCCACCGAGCGTGGCCACCTTAAGAATCTCGGCGCATGGCTTGGATCATTGACTATTGCCCAAGACAAGCCCATTAAGCACAAGAATGTCTACTTTAAGGGCTTGCTTCTGGAAGGCTATGACACCCAACGCCTCATGGTCACCATTCCCTTCACCTGCAAAGTTCTTGTCCAGGCTACAAAATCCACGGTATTCAAACCTCCGAACCCCTGGCTCATGGACATCTTGGGTCTCTTGTTGGAGCTGTACCATTTCGCCGAATTGAAGCTTAACCTCAAGTTCGAGATCGAGGTACTGTGTAAGGATCTTGATCTTGACCATAAGGTCATCGAGCCATCTGTCATCATTCGTGACCGCACTGCTCATGGTGAGGAAACCATGGCACCTGTCACTATTCCAGACGGATTGGAGCAGCCATTTGATGATTTGGGCATTCCGACCATCAACCAAGGCATTCGCAACGAACGGCTGTCCCCAGCAGCCATTATGTCAACTCTTCCGAGCCTTGATAAGATTCTTGTCTTACCTCCATCTGCAAGCAGCATGGTCGATGCCGGCGTTCTTCGGCAGATTGTTCACACTGCCGTGGAACGTGCTATTGCGGAAATCATTACCCCGGTTGTTGAACGTTCAGTTACGATCGCTTCCATCTCCACTGTTCAATTGGTCTCGAAGGACTTTGCTATGGAGCCCGACGAAGAGAAGGTGCGACATTCCGCTGGCATCATGGTTCGACAACTCGCCGGCAGTCTCGCCCTAGTTACTTGTAAGGAGCCATTGAAGGTTAGCATGACCAATTACATTCGCATGATCCAACAGGACTATTCAGATCAGCCCATGCCCGAGGGCTTGATTCTGATGTGTGTCAATGATAATTTGGATGCCGCTTGTGGTATCGTTGAGAAGGCTGCCGAGGAGAAGTCCCTGCCTGAGATTGAGAAGGTCATTGAGCCCCAACTGGAGGCTCGCCGTCGTCACCTGGCCACTCGGCCCAATGAGCCTTTCATTGACCCATCAATGAACCGATGGGGTCTTTTCATCCCGGAGCCTTATCGGCAAGCCCCTGGTGGCCTCAATAAGGAACAGCTAGCTATCTACGAGGAATTTGCTCGTCAATCACGTGGTACTGCAGCTGCTCACCCTCAGAACATCTCGACTGACTCTGCTCGCCAACTCCCGGATGTCCTCCAGGAATCTTATCCCCCCATCCCCAACCTATCCACTCCTGCTGAACAGCCAGCTGTTCCTCACAGGACACCCCAGGCACAACATGCAGTTTCCCAAATTGCAGTTCACACCAACGGTTTCCTCGATGCCCAGAACCCACGAGAACGTATTGAGTCCCTCATCGCCGACCTCCAACAATCTGCTCGTGGTGCCCCGGAAGAACATGTCAAGGACCTCGATCGAGAGAGTGCCGTCCTGCAGGAGTATAACCAAGCGCTGCGCACCATCTTGGCTTCGCCAAATGGCGAAGAGTTGGCGCGTCTGACTTCCCTCAAGGTCTGCACCACTCTCTACTCACAGTCGTCTGGATCACTCGAAATTGAAGTCCTTGTGCATCTACTCGCCAAGCTCTGCGATATGTCTTCCCTGATCGCACGTTATACTTGGGCACTCCTGTCAGAAGTGGACGATGAGCACATGTTCAATGTACCGGTTACGGTCGCTCTCATTGATGCCGGTCTTCTCGACATTCGCCGGGTCGACATGGTCCTGACTCGCCTCATCCTGCAAAAGAATGTCAGTGCTCTTGAACTTCTCGAGAACCTCATGAACCGAGTACTCTTCAACGACGAACCATCAGCTCTGCGGTCGGACTTCTCTGGCAGCCTTGAAGCCATGAGCCAATGGCTTTCAGAAGACAGCACCCTGGCTCCTGCTCTAGAGATCATTCGCAAGCTCCAGGACGTCGGTATTCCCGAAGTTGTCAACCCTTTCCTCAGTGACCAGGCTCGCTCCAAACGAGATCAGATGGAATATATTTTCAGTGAATGGATCGGTATCTATAAGGCCTCGGGCGCAACCGAGCGTACCTACCTCTCCTTCCTACAGGACATGCACAATCGTCAAGTGATGAACACCCCAGAAGATTCTTGCCTGTTCTTCCGCCTCAGCATTGACATCTCTGTTGCTATGTTTGAGCACGAATCTCAGAACCCGAACGGTAGCCTGGATGAGGCCTTCCTCTACATCGATGCCCTCGCGAAGCTTGTTGTGCATCTAGTCAAGTACCAAGGCGAGAGTGCTGGTGCTGTCAAGGCAGACAAGCCTACTTATTTCACTTCCATTCTTTCGGCCCTGATCCTGGTCCTTAACCAGCACCAAGTCATGCGAGGTGAAGGATTCAACCAGCGCGTCTTCTTCCGCCTGTTCTCGAGCATTCTATGTGAATACTCTGTTGCCGAACTCCAGCACCATGAACAGCACCAGGGCATGATCTTTGCTCTGGCCAACAAGTTCCTCTCCCTTCAACCCCGCTATGTGCCTGGGTTTGTTTACGGCTGGCTTTCTTTAGTCTCCCACCGTGTCTTCATGTCTGACATGTTGAACATGCCGGAACGTGCAGGCTGGGCACCCTACTGCGAGATCATGGAAGCCCTGCTTTCCTACATCGGGGAACAGCTCAAGGCAACGAATATCTCCTACGTCGCCAAAGACTTATACAAGGGCGTGCTTCGCATTCTTCTGATCCTGCACCATGATTTCCCCGAATTCGTTGCTGAGAATCACTTCCAGTTCTGCAATGTGATCCCTGCTCACTGCGCTCAGCTTCGCAATTTGGTCCTGAGTGCCTACCCCTCATCCTTCCACAAGCTTCCGGATCCCTTCCGTGAGGGTCTGAAGGTGGAGCGTATTGAAGAAATGCGTGAAATTCCCAAGATTACCGGGGATATTGTGACTCCTCTGCAGCAGGCAGACATCAAGGAGATTGTGGATACCGTGCTTCAGAACGACAATGCCTCCGAATCCGCGGTTCAACAGATTTGCGATGCTATCCTTACTTCCGAGGCCCGGGACACTGCCCTGTTCTACGTGCCGATCAATGTGGATATCGTGCTCGTGAATGCCCTGGTTCTTTACATTGGCCAGCAGGCAGTTGTGGAGCATGCGTCTAAGACAAATGCTCGTAGTGCATTTGAGAACTCGGCACACGCTACCCTTCTGGAGAAGCTCGCCCAGGCCGTGGAACCCGAGGCCCGTTACTACTTGTTGAGTGCGATGGCAAACCAGCTGCGCTACCCCAACAGTCATACCTACTTCTTCAGCTTCACCATTCTGCGTCTGTTTGGGGTGGACTACTCCGAGTCTGACGACTCTGATATCCGCCAGCAGATTATCCGCGTTCTGCTGGAACGGCTCATTGTCCACCGTCCGCATCCATGGGGCCTCATCATCACTCTGCAGGAGCTCCTCCAGAACCGGAGCTATTCTTTCTTCCGCCTCCCCTTCATCCAGGCGGCCCCTGAGGTACGATTGCCCTATTTTGTCATTTTTAGCCACCAGAACCTTTCACTGACTCCCCTAATAGATCGGTCGACTCTTCAATGCCCTTCTCCAACACATCCAGCAGCAAAGCCCTCGTCCTATTGCATAGGCTGTCATGTCCCCTCTCCTCCTCTCTACATACACTTTCTAGTCGGCATTTCCACCTGCTGTACTGCATCCTCCTTTACATTGTATTTCTTCACGGGGTTTTTACTGCTTTCACGTCTTATTTTTACGTCTCATGTCACGGCTGGGGTTTGCCGTGAGGATGGCATGCATCTTTCTTACCGTGTCACGATTTCCGCATGACCTGAGATGCTATGATATTTCTTTTACTTCTATTTCTTTTCTTTCCGCGTTCCGGGGCCGCGACCTGTAATGATAAGATTGTAAAAGCTGGAGTTGATGGTTTTTGCATTGATGGTGGGACTTCTTAATTCAATCTATCATTCATGTCCGTGTCTTGGGTTTGTCCCGGGACAATGATCGCGATTATATTATTACTAGAACAGGAGTATTTAAACTGATGATAATTCCTCTCTCTGCGCTCTTAAATCTGGTCTTTTGAATAGCATTATAATGAAAATGGCAGAAAACGGCAATGTCTCTTGCTCTAGGTCTATGCTAGAGACCTTACGTTCCTATCGAGGCCAATCAATCCCCTCACACAAAAACGTCTACTTAGTTAGGATGCACTGATGTCACTGAGCCCGATAAATGTACTGAGTAGTAGGAAAGAGCATCGGGTCTTTCGGGGATAGTCGACTTGGACCCTCTATTATGTCTTCTATGAGGCCGTGTAAACACTCTATAAACTGGGCGCACCTCTGTCTGAAAGCTCTATAGGTTCATCCTCCACACTCAGATGCACTGTTTTCAATATGTGAAGCCCTCGGCCTGTATCTGATTTGTCCATTATCGGGTCCTCTTCTCTTTCCCATCCCTTGAGTTGGTGCTCTGCCCCGTTGCCACGAGTTGAGAGTCGATGGAACCCCGAGTCCTTGGACTTAGACAACCCCGGCCTCGATCCGGATTGGGTTGTACCTTTCGACCCCGATTTTGAGGGGCCTCGGTATGTGTATGAGATTCCGTATTCATCCTCGTAGACGGCCAGGAATGATTTTAGAAACGCCGTCAAGAGACAGCTCACGCTGAGGGCCAAGTATATTTCCGTGCACACTGTTGCGAAGGATCCGATGAGAGTTGGGTTTTCCGAGTCGAGCTGGACTTTGATATAATGAATTCGCACCGCGGCCAAGGGAATGAGTCTATGATATCACCTTGAGGTTAGTCAACCTGCGAGATATCTGAATTTGCGCTTTTCAAGGTGAACCTACATCATTCGACTCTCGAGAGCACAGAAGACGATGACTTTTTTCTTCGTAGATATTTTGACTTTGTAGATTGCAAGAGCAACATAGACCAGGAGCAAGGCCTCGGTGGATATATCGATAATGGTAACTGCTTCCCAGCGGGGGAACTGTAATATCGTAAAATCGTCAGCTTGCGTGCTCTTTCTTGCGGGTTTTCCTCCCTCCTTCGGTAGTGTTTCATCTTACCAAACCACTGCATTGAATGGCGCTGATTTCATTCCATGGACTGGAGGTACATCGGATCGCCACTAGGAAAACGGAAAGCAACGTCCATATGATCGTCCCCAGAAGAAGGCTGCGAATGAATCGACGCTGCATTTGCGAGAAAAGATTCTCGTAGAAAATACAAACCGTTATCTTCGAGAGGCCCAGCACAATTACGGAGAAGATATCCGCAACATAGCCGATCTGTCCGGACATCAATGACTTGGTCTTGATTGATTTGATTTGCGGGCGTTGGCCTACCTTGAACATCTGTTCCTTGCTGTGCGTGTCGATAGATTCGATCCGAGTTCCCCATCCAAAATGGACCTCAGCGAACACCAGCGTCACCTGAATGATTGCGGCAATCTATCATGTCGTTAGCTGATGGCAACAGGCCCAAGCCAGTATTGTCTTTCGGGGAGGAAACATTATAGGGATCATACTACAAGGGCAGCAAATGTGTAGTCATCTGGCGATAGGCTGCTTTTCTGAACCGAGGAGTAGACGCGTGCTGCGATGGCAACGATGTATAGACACAAGCACACCGCTGTGAGGACCACAATCAAACCGCTATGGTCATTGTCATTGTTGGCCGTGAGCGGTGCGCTAACATCTGAAGGCCATGAATCCGAAGATGCCATTGCCAGCCAACCTCTCCGAGGTAGCTATGCAGATGCAGGAGAAAGGTCAGCGAGGGTTGGATCTCTTCTTCAAGAGATGTAAAATGCCCCCAAAGGCATTTTCAAGTATATAAGATAGTTAACTGAGTTTTTCTTTCGTCTTTATTTTTATTTTAGCAAGATAGGACTTTTGTGCTACGTGGGAAATTTAGGTATATGAGGTGCAGGGGTACATGTGTGCGTGGGTAGGATTTTTCAAGCGACGAAGAGCTGGAAAGTGGAAAAGCAGTGCCTAGCCACAGTCGAATTCATCTGCAGTCACCGGATCAGGGGTGCTCCCTTCAATGACCGGGATTCCTACTTGATCAGTGATGAGATTGTGGACACTTTATCGCGCAAATCGCGTCCAATTGCAGTCGGAGGCAAACCGACGAGCAGGGATCTGAATCCTTCGCAAACTTAGTACGATCGCCGGCCCCTATTTTACTTATCAATTGTTTTTCTCTTGAAGTAACCAGATAGCTAACTATAAGCGCCACGGGAATAAGAAGCTCAAAAAACCATCAAGACCTTAACGATCCGGTGTCCCCTGTAAGCGAACATTGCTATTGTGGCGGCAATTCCGAGCGAGAGTTGGGATTTGATTTGAATGGTCCAAGATAAGTCGAACGCAAAAACACACTAGCCCCAACTATAATAACCAGGCCCGCAAATTCGGCCGGCCAAGAGGTCTTGGTGGCCGATTAACCCCGGGCCCTCCCGAGGCCCGGGGCGACTCAGAGCAGGTGGACGCGCCCAAAGTCCCCACCGAGCACGGCCTCCGAGTTTTGTGTTTACATATGCATCCTCGAAGGGCGGAGTGGTATCAGGGATGATTTAGCGTATAGGAATTACGGAGCAGTTCTTGGGAAGCTGCTTCGACACTTTCGCAGCCTTTCCACCGCCCCATCTTCCGTACCTTTGTCCTTGATGGGGTGATTCGTCACGTCTGCCGCTGAAACACACCATTTCACTTAGACCGACACTACCAAACTGCCACAATGGCGCCTCTATATGAGGTTATGAGGCCGTTCGAGATGAGCTGGGCCAACCGAGACCAGGATGGTCTAGCGCGGGTCCGCCACCGTGCAGCGGGCTTCAAGGTCGCGCTGAAGCCCCCGCCTCTCGCCATCAAATGATTCTACTTTGTGCCACCCTCACAAAGACCGTAGTTAATAATAAAAAGTCAATTTAGCTTCCTTCTAGCACGGCCCCTTTCTTTAAAATAAAAAACAGCTCCCTTCCGTGCTCTCTCCCTGCTCCGGTTCAGCCAAACGTCTTATCGCAATGGAGGCCTCGGGCAAAACAACCGCTCTGGAAATGGTGGACATGGAGGTCAATCGCCGCGAACCGGACGTCTCTGAGAAAGGCGAGACGGTGAGGGACAACGACGAAATGAATCGCATGGGAAAGGTTCAAGAGTTCAAGGTAAAATGATCTCGATTTGGGGCTTCTGTGGGGTTTTCATAGCTTACCAGCCCAATTCGATCGCGATTTAGAGAAACATGCGACCGCTGGCAGCATTGAGTTTCGCATCGGTCCTACAAGCAACCTGGGAATATCTCATCCTGTAAGCCCAATGCTCGCGCAGCCTCCGGGGAGAGAGACCTGGCAATATACCTTGGCCGGACTACTACTGACTCATGCTAGTTCCAACTATACGGGCTTGGAGGATGGCGGCTTGCCTGGAATGTTCTGGTCATATATATGGACATTCATTGGATTTGGATTCATTATCGCCTCACTTGCAGAAATGGCCTCGATGGCACCCACTGATGGTGGCCAATACCATTGGGTGTCGGAGTTTTGTTCTCGTCGACACCAAAAGTTCCTCAGCTACGTTACCGGTATGTCTCTCTTTGGAACCTACCACCATCTGTAGGAGAGCGTTGGGTGCTAATAATTACTCTTCTCTTTTTTTCAAATACAGGTTGGATGTCCGTACTGGCATGGCAAGCTGGAACCGCCTCTGGATCCTTTCTCACGGGCACACTGATCCAGGGCTTGATCAGCGTCCGAAACCCAGACTACGCGGCGCCGGGCTGGCAGGGTACCCTACTTGTCTTTTCTATGGTTTTGGTGATCTATTTTTTCAACGTATACGCGTCAGAATTGATGCCGATCCTCAGCAACCTGCTGATGTTATTCCATATTCTATCCTGGGCCGTGATCTTGATCATGTTCTGGGCTATGGCCCCCCACCGGTCTGCTGAGGCGGTGTTTGTCTCGGATTGGAAGAACATGGGAGCGTTACCTACTATGGGGGTCAGTGTGATGGTAGGACAGATCTCGGCCATTTACGGTTGTCTAAGTACGTGCTTTTTATCATTCAGTAGTGGATCTATTTTCAAATTGCCTTTACTCACATCACCTATAGGTTCTGATGCGTGCGCCCACATGTCCGAAGAAATCAAAGATGCTGGTCGCAATGTCCCACTTGCAATGTATTGGGGATACTTTGTGAACGGTATCATGGCTGCTATTCTCCTCATTGCCTACCTCTTCGCTACTCCATCTGTGGAAGACTCCCTGAATGATGCGTCGGGTTTCCCATTACTTTACGTGTTCAAGCAGATGACCTCCACCGCAGGAGTGAACGGACTGACAGCGATCATCATTTTACCTGTGATCTTCAGTAACATCATGTTCAATGCGTCCACCTCGCGACAGACATGGGCTTTTGCTCGTGATAAGGGTCTTCCATTCTCTCGGTGGATCTCGAAGATCGATTCCAAGCGCAAGATTCCTGTCAATGCTATCGCATTGTCATGCATAATCAGCTGTCTTCTTGCTCTCATCAACATTGGCTCGAGCACCGCGTTCAATGCCATCATTTCACTGAACACAGCCGCCCTGATGTTCACTTATACGATCTCTATTTCATGTGTCATCTACCGGAAGATCTGGTATCCTGACACCCTTCCTATTCGCCGTTGGGATATGGGGCGCCTCGGCTTGCCTGTCAACATTATTGGGCTGTTCTATTGCGTCTTTGCGATGTTCTGGTCTTTCTGGCCCACCGAGCTGCCCATCACAGCTGACAACTTCAACTGGAGTGTTGTCATTTTTGTTGCAGTATTTATCCTCAGTCTTGTGATGTATGTTGTAAAAGGAAAGAAAGAGTATGATGGGCCGGTGGTAGACGTCAAGCAAAATTAGAGGGTTCAATTGGGGATTGTACAGCTATGTGTATGACAGATATTTAATCATCCTTTATTGTGTGGAGTATCAGTTCCTGTTACTGCGCGTTCCTTGAAACTCGTGGATGTCGATAACATTATTTGCGCTCAACAATAATTCATTAGAGTTGAAAATTTACAATAACTCTTCACTAGTAATCATACACAATGTGAGCTTTTCGAAGTGGCACATTATATATCTTGTCAACGTGTAGCTCTCCTGAGCAGGCCATCTCTCATTCCTGATCTCACCCGAACATAAAAATCTTCATGAATATACTTATCAATCATCCTCCTCTTTCAGTTCACGAGGATATGCATATTTGCTGTGGTCAACCCCCTCATTTAAACATTTCACGGGCGCGACGCTTGGACCCCGTGGAGAGCCAAGTTTAATCGAGCTCCGCTCCGATAAGCAAGGCAGGCCCGCGTTGCCAACTGAGGGACGTGGATCCTCTCTTTTAACAACCGCCCCCTTCCGCCAGAAACGTTCCAGGATGGCCGAGTCAGAATACACAGACGATGAGACAGAATATGAGGGGCCGTCTCACCAGACGGTTGTCATGGTTGCACCTCCCGGCCCTTCTACCATGCTCCGACTCTAACATATAACAGGACGCGCTCCTGACACCATTCCGCGCGCTGGTCTCCACGACGGCTCTGCGCATATACCTGAATGTCCTCCTTTTCCTCGGGGCCACACTGCTTCTCCTGGGCATCTCAGGCGTCGCATACGGCATATTCTACTACAGATTCATTCCGACGGTCGGAGTTGATCGGGAGGTCCATCTACAATTTGGGTATGATCGCGCGACAATCTCAAGAACGATTAACAGTGGCATACATGCTAATCCTGTGATAATAGCGACGGTAACCCTTGGGGAACTGCTTCCTTCGAGTCCGAATTTGTCTCCTTCCAAGCATACGATGTTGCCGTGGCGCTCGATCTACCCCGAACTCCTTCGAATCTCGACGCCGGCAATTTCATGATCGACCTGACCCTATATTCTCGCGACGATAGCTCTGGCTCACTGCTTCCTACGTCCGGCAATGCACTCAAACCAATCTCACAGGCTCGCAGACCGGCAATCTTGACTTATACCTCGCCACTTGTCGATGTCGCGAAGAGAATGGTCCGCCTCCCGCTGTACGTGGTCAGTTGGCGCCGGGAAGCCGAAACATTGGAAGTGCCGATGATGGAAAGGGTGGAGTTTGCTCGAGGCGCTCGAAACCTCCCGCAGAGCTTACGTCTTGAAATTCAGAGCGATGCGAAGATGCAGGTTTACTCGGCACGAGTAGAATTTCGCGCTAGGTTTACAGGGCTTCGGTAAGATTGTACAAATTCAATCGATTCATTCTGGTGCCATACGCTCACACTTGAACAGGTGGTTCATGTATCGTTGGAAGCTAACTTCTTTTGTGATTTTCAGCTCCATGTTCTGGAGTGTATCCATGGCTTCTGCTGGCCTAACTTGGTTCCTGTTGACTTGGGCTCTACAACCTGCGACAGAGACAAAGGAGGAAATCAAGGAAGAATCGAGAGAACTCATTAAAGAAGAAGCCGAGGACAGCCTGTCGTCTAGTGAGTTGTTCAAGGTCAAGCGGGAGGAACCCGAGAGCAGCTTACTCCGAAGCTATTCTTCGGAAGGTGAGGATGCTGGTCTAGGCTCAGGACTCGAAAGAGCCGAGGCGCGCGGAGTACAAAAACGACGAAGTCGATCAAGCGAGGGAGACCATTGAGAGTGACTAAGGTGGAAAAAAAAATCCATAAGTGCAGCCCAATGTACCTGTACAGCCCAAGATACCCCATTCGGTAGTGATGTAAATGCCAAGTCGAGATTAGAAGTTCCGATAAAAAGCCCCGCGGGGCAAATCTCCGATTCCTCTTCCCCTCTCCAATTCCACTCCCGTTGACCGACTCACCATGCACATCCTAGTCAGTGCGGATCCGATTGAATGGCCTGCATATATGCATATATGCATGTAGCTGATTCTTTTCTCAGGTAACTAACGACGACGGACCGCCGTCGAACCAATCCTCGCCTTATGTCCATTCCCTCGTCCACTCCCTTCAGTCCGCTGGGCACACCGTCTCGGTCGTTCTTCCACACCAGCAGCGATCGTGGATCGGTAAGGCGCACATCGTCGGCGCCTCTATCAAACCTACCTATTTCCGCCCAGGCACTCTTTACCAGGAGGACGGGACAATACACCACCTTCCGAAAGGTAGCAATGGGGAACCTGATGACGATGGGGACGAATGGATATTGATCGACTCTACTCCGGCAAGCTGCGTCCAGATCGGTCTATACCATTACTTTCAAGAGCGAGGCCCGATCGATGTTGTAGTTTCCGGCCCGAACTATGGGCGCAACTCCACGGCACTATTCGCGCTGTCAAGTGGAACCATCGGCGGTGCTATGGAGGGCGCTGTATGCGGCAAGCGCTCAATCGCGTTGTCCTATGCATTTAGCTCCCGGAATCACGACCCTGTCATTATTGCAGAGGCATCAAAGCACTCTGTCCGGCTGATCGAATACCTATGTGCTAACTGGGCCGACGATGTGGATCTCTATAGTATTAACGTTCCTTTGGAACCTGGCGTGAGCCAGAACAAGGTGCTCTACACGTCCATGCTAGAGAACAAGTGGACTACTGGGAGTTGCTTTCAGCCTGTCGACGCTGGCACTGCCGACGACCCCGAACTACAGGAACAGCGACTACGTGATGAGAGTGAATCTCTGGCTGGCAAGAAATCCGAACCGAATGGCAGTGCTACGAAGTCTGGCCCCACTAGATTCCAACACACTCACTTCAAGTGGGCGCCCAACCTTCACGACGTCTATCGTAGCGTTGAAGAGAGCGCGCCCGGCAACGACGGCTGGGCCGTTAAGGAGCAAATGACCAGGTTAGATCCATTCCTTCGCTGCTCAGCAGTCGACGGGCTAATCGTTTAAATAGTGTTACGCCTCTCAAAGCATGCTTCAAGCATACACCCGGTATCACGGGGGAAATCAAGCTGTGAGTGGAGTTTTTGGCATGATGGCTGCAAAGGTTTCCTTTTCAGATATTACATACTACATTGCGCCATAGATATCTGCTCTAGCTGATAGACATCATGCCCCCATATTCCCATTTGACAATTTCTAGCCTTTCTTTGGCCTTTGCATTCAAATTTTGATATATATGGAATTTTTCTGATGGAGGAGGTCTGTAGATCGGACAACCAGCCTACGGTGTATTCCATTGTTGACTGCGACGACCCTTACGTTCAAGCACTCGTCGAGCAAGCATTGACCCGCCGTCTGGGAAGTGCTGCTCGAACCCAGCGCATCTCAGACACCTCTGATCTACCCGATTCCTCTGCGCCTATGTTTCAATACCGTGAATATGAGCGCATCGACTTCGAGCACACCATGTCCAGGTCATCGACTTCCCTAGCAAACGCATATATCATCCGAAAAGCCCTGATCCGCAAACACTACCTCTCGAATACTGTGGCGAACTGGATATCCAAGCACCCGGAAAGCGTCCTGCGCCACCACTTCAAGCCCGCTTTCGACTTCGAACTCGACTACTCGGAGTTTTTAGACGAAGCCCTATTAGAGGCGTATGAGCTTCGCGAGAGCCTGGAAAAGAACGAAGAGCGACCTGAGGCTGAAAAGGAATGGTGGATCCTCAAGCCCGGCATGAGTGACCGGGGCCAAGGTATCCGACTGTTCAACAGTGAGGATCAACTGCGTGAGATCTTCGAGGAATGGGATGAAGATTCTGATGAGGACGAGAGTGGATCCGAAGGAAACGAGGATGACAATGCCGCACCAGCTGCCCACGACGCGGGCTTAGTTACATCGCAACTGCGCCATTTCATGGCTCAACCCTACATTGACCCCCCACTACTCCTGCCCTCATCTTCTAACCGCAAATTTCACATCCGAACCTATGTCCTGGCCACCGGAGCCCTGAAGGTCTACGTTTTCAAGGAGATGCTTGCTCTTTTCGCAGCAAAGCCTTATTGTGCTCCACATGAGGAAGACGACGACGTCAAGGACCTGGCTCGCCACCTGACCAACACTTGTTTCCAAGAAGGTGGCAGTTCGAACGAGGGCAGCGTGCGGCGATTCTGGGATCTTGACCACCATGTCCCCGGTCTGTCAGCAGACTGGAAGGAGAAGATTTTCGAACAGATCTGCGCTGTGACTGGCGAGGTGTTTGAGGCTGCTGCGCGGGGCATGATGGTTCATTTCCAGACTCTGCCCAATGCCTTCGAGTTGTTTGGTGTTGACTTCTTGGTCGATAGCACTGGATGTGCGTGGCTGCTGGAGCTCAATGCCTTCCCAGACTTTGCACAGACGGGTGAGGATCTCAAGGAGGTTGTAGTTGGACGGCTGTTTGAGGAGATGATCGATGTGGCTGTTAAGCCCTTCTTTGGCCTGGAAACGGGTTCTTATCAAGGAGATATGAAGCTGGTGGCCGACCTGGATCTCGGCAGACACGCCTAAGCGAGTCGGAGAGGAGGTTCCTTACCCTGAGATCCTACAATTTCGTTGGGATTTATATTTTATAAACATGCTTCAATTATATCAAAAGAGGTAGGGGCGTTGTGGATCACACAAAAATAGATGTTTACTGGGTTCAGAAATGTATGATGGAAAGTATTTTGAATAATGAACACTGGTAGAATATTTTTTGGTCCATAATTTACATTGGGATAAGTCTAGAAAGAAGATTTGACAGTAGGAATTGCCGATTATCTCCCATTTAGTTTGAGCCCTCACCCTTCCAGAAGATACGACCCTCAAATAGGCGTCGTGCAGTACGAAAGACGGTTGCGGAGCTCAACGTACCATCTGCATCAAAGCTAGCACCGACCAACAGATTACCACTGGCATGGCCAATTGTAATCCCTGACGTATCGACGAGATCCTTGCCTATAACTACCTCCGCTACTGTACTGCCCGGTACTCGTGCCGCAGCAGCCAAGGCAAGAGCGACGGTAATCGGAACTGCTTTGTGAGGCTGACCCACTGAGAGCGCCCGAGCAAGGAGATCGATATCAGTAGAGGTTTGTTTCTGCACTTTGTCCCGTGCATTTGAGGCCGAAGGTGCTGCAACCAAGCAGATCTTCGGGATGCTGCCCGGGACAGCGGTATTGGTCTCTGCGAGACCCATCCTGACGCCAGCTTGGCGCCGAATAGAGTCCAACCGGCGAAGAAGGTCTCGGTGAGCACTGATCTCATCTGGCGTCAAGTTCCCATCCACACCGAGATCACAGGCTCGCACAAATACACAGGGATTAGCAGCATCAATACAAGTAGCCTCGATGCCGTCAATCGTGTCCGTTGCGTGTCCGGTTGGCAGTAGTTTGCCTGTTGCCGAGCCTGCCGGATTGATGAAATCGAGTTGAATACGGGCGGCAGTGCCAGCCACCCCATCAATTGAGAAGTCACCACCGGAATCAGCCTCGCCATCGACGACGGGAAACAACGAGTGGATTATCTTGCCGCTGTTGGTATTGTGGATACGAACCTTGGCCGACCCTGCACCCTTCGCTGCAAAGGTTAATAACCCTGAATCTACCGCGAAAGGGCCAACGGCGCTGATCATGTTCCCACAATTGCTCGAGTAGTCGACATCTGTGTTTTTGATACCCAACGACACGAACGTATAATCCACATCGGCGTCATGATGTGTAGACGGGCCCACCACGCACACCTTGGAGAGACTGGAGATGCCGCCCCCAAGTCCATCGAGTTGCCGACCATAGGGGTCCGGACTGCCAATTACCCCCCGGAAGATCGAGTCCCAGTGCTTGCGTTCGGATGGAAGATCCTCTTGTCTGAAAAAGACCGCTCTTGAGGTTCCACCGCGATAATATGCCGCTGGCAGAGAGTTCTGTCTGGTCTGGAGCAAACGCCGACCTGGTGCGCCGAGGGGCGCCCAGAAAGGCACTAGAGTCTTATTGAACCTGTTATTCCGAAAGATCATGTTTTATGTATCTGGTGTCGGGATAACCATGGAGCCAAATTTGGTACAGCGGTCTCCGATACATTATCAATGCAAACGCACCTTGGATGATGTCGTTGGTTCTCGGCGAAGTGCCGAGAATCGGAGCGGTCGATACCCAGCAACCTAGCCCCTTGCGAGTTCGTTGGTAACGAGCAACCTTGAGTTTCGTCTCCGAGGTTTAGCGTTTAGCGCCGGGACTTTAGCGCCCGAGGAAATGATTGAGAAGGTTCTATGATCCCTGCGATGATTTCCAGCCGCACGATGATGATCCTTGACAATAATGAATCCAGTCCAACAGATCACCGTCTGAGAGAGAGGTACGTAGTTCCTCAGATATCCCTAAGCCTACTGTTTTTTCCCATTCGCATGCCATGTAGTGTTTGAAAGGACTTCTACCATAGGTGGTAGCTGAGCCTTGTCTTACGATCACTGTGGACAACCTCGGGGTATATTACACAAATTTATGCAGTCGCAATCATAAAGCTAGCTCACTCATCTTTTTACAAAATGAAATATTGATTGGTAGTGGGACTTCGTTCTCACGAACTGTCATTTCTCATTCCAGAAAAAGTATTTGAGTAAAGCTCAAGTTCTATATTGGACAACCGAAGAATGGTCTAGTTTTCATTTTCCCCGATGTGTCAACTCCTAAGGACCTTATCCTTTGGATGCTCATCATGCCCGGTATCTCTTTGTCACGGTCACCGGCGCGAACTTGGTTGATTTGGAGAATACGACCGTTCCATCAGTATACACATGCGCCGATGTCACAGGTTTATTCAGCTTCAAAAACACCACGCTCCCATGCAGCGGGTCGACGGTGCCATCCCTCTTCCTGGTCGGGTGAGGATCACCGCTATGATAAGATCGCTTAGTCAAAGATTGAAAACGTCTAAATGGGCTTCCATGATATACTTACTTGATTTCTCCCCTTGTCACACCTTCCAGTCCTTTATGGAGATCAAGCGCATCTTCTGCCTGATGCCTCACCCAGTCGGCCTTTTCCTTAGTGGTGCCCTTAAAGTCCCAGGTTATTGGCCGCAACTGGCCAGCAGTGGACGAAAAAGCCCGTGCCCCCTGTGCCGCCGCGTTCACAACAGGTCTCGACATATTCAAATCCTTTGAATGAAGATATAGATTCTTCGGGGGGATACTTTGACTCAGAAACGGTCAAAGAGATGAGAATTGAGCTGTGCTTTTGTTGATTGAATTGATTGCTGATGATATTGAATATTTCATTGGAATGCTCAGGCTCTTTATATGTCTATTAGGAAACACATCTAGTATTGATTTTTATAAATAGCAACTTATTTGGTGCTCGTATATGCCATTGTCTCCTCTGTTGGCCTCAATTCAATATCTGAGAGCGTCTACAGAAGTTAGTATCCTCCATGCTAGAGGGGTCGCGAGCGCGTGCAAGTAGTATAAGAGTTGAGATATAGGATCCATACTTGTGAGCGTCTACTGGGGTTGGTTATTATGTCGAGTACTGATTGTCGCAGATTTTATGTTAATTCACTGTTCTATATGCCCATTTTTCCTCTATTGGCTTCAATTATGTGTCTGTGAGCGCCTAGAGGAGTTTGAAATCAAATTTACTACCAACTTCATCACAAATGGCAACTCATTTTGTTTTTCTGTATGTCAGTATCTCCACTATTGACTTCGATTCGAGCCGTGGGCGGTTACAGAAGTTGGAGGTTTCCATACTAGACGGGTTGCGAGTACATGCAGATAGTATGAGAGATACGATATAGGTCTATGCCTATGTGATGTCACTTTTGATTCAGTTCAGCTCCACATGGTCGCGAGAAAATGTTGCATTTTCATATGGGCTCCATACTTGGCCCCAGGGGCGGCTATTAATCCTCACACAAATAGGAAATATTCGACCTTATAGAATCATAGAGTATGGAGAAGTTTGAGACAATGGAAGCGCTTAGGATAAGGGGAGCGTCTTTGAGCAAAAGTTGGGATTCTTGATGCTCATTATAATTCCTCAACGAGAGGCACGGACTGTATGATACGTACTAAGAAATAGCAGATTATCCCAGTTATTGTCGGCCGGGTTGCCAATTTTCAAATAGTCTACCCATAATGTCATATACCGACATTGTAAGAACCCTATTGGACTTGCATGATGTAACAAATTTCCATTTAACAGGTTCAGAATAAATATGACCTTGTTGAAAATTAATAGATGCTCCATTGTGATTGGAATTACAAAGCCTGTGCGGAGGAAATGATTCGCGGCTCTGCCCGAGTGTGATTGTGTTAGCTATGGTATGCACAAATTACAGGAACCGATCACTAACACCAACAGCAGGCCGCATCGTTCATCAATTGACCAACCCACGAGTGCTGTAACGCACATATCCGGCCCCACCAGTCACCCCCATCATCCATATATCATTCAGTGGGTCTCTCAGCCCCTTGCGGGCTGCAACGAGGCTGTGAAGTTAACAGGTCACGTGTTGTTGGATCGCGGATCGCAAGTCGCGTTACGACGTGTTGGGTTGGATTGGATTGGAAGTTGTTGTTGGTCTCCTTCGCACCTTTATCTCTTTTCGGTTGAATCTTTCTCAGGAAGTCTGGGTTTCTCCCTCTTCCCTCGGTATAAATTGTCCAAACGTGATCGACAATGAGGGCAATCAGACCTGTAATCAGAGCTACGATGACACGCTCATTGTCTTCTCTTTGCAAGAAACCTTTTACTCTTCCACCCCTTGGCCCTCCTCTGCCCAGAGATGAACTCGTGGATGAAGAGATATGCCCAAGTTATAATTCCAAGAATTTCTATCCAGCAAACCCAGGCGACGTGCTAGCCGACCGTTATCAGATTCTCGTCAAGGTTGGCTGGGGGGTTTCCTCGACCGTATGGATTGCTCGTGATATGAGGGGGTACAGTTCCGATTCTATGATTCTGATATTAATATTACCTGCTAACAAGTTGGACAGAACCGAAGAGGACCCCGAGGGCGTGGTCGCGCTGAAAATCACAAACACCAACCAAGAGGCAGCTGATAGCGAATGTCAAATTGAGCAGCATATCGCAGAGGCTGATCCAACGCACCGCGGTCTAGGTCTTTTTCGGACACACTGCGAATCTTTTGATATTACTGGCCCAGAAGGCCAGCATTTGTGTCTAGCTTATGAAGTTATGAGGGAGCCATTCTCGATCTTCAAGAGGCGTTTTGAAAATGGCAGAATCCCGCTTTTTCTTACAAAGACATACATTTTCGTGCTCCTTGCAGGCCTGGATTATCTACACACAAGCTGCAAGGTTGTTCATACCGGTGCGTCTCTTTTTTCCAGGTTAGTATCCCTCTGGTATCGAGTTAACATTTAAGTACAGATTTAAAACTTGAGAACTTTATGGTCACGCTGGAAAATCCGGAAGTGTTTGGTGAATTTATGAATTCTCAGTTTGAACAGCCGATGGAATACAAAGTGGACGCTGATGGTCGACATGTTTATCGCTGCCATAACGATTTCGGGCCACTCAAGACATTGAGAAACATCATTCCAAAAATTGTTGATTTTGGTGGATCTATAAGACTTGATGGCGATGATCAGTTAGGAATTCTCCCCGTCCAACCCAATCACTACCGTGCACCCGAGGTTATTCTAGGCTGTGGCTGGGATTCGAGCACCGATATCTGGAATCTAGGTGTCCTTGTATGTTTAATTTTTTTCTCTTCTGGATTGATTGATTCTATTGTGTAGCTAACAATATTTTAGCTGTGGGATATGATCCAAGGTCAAGAACTGTTCCGACAGGTTCAAGATTCACAGGGTCGTTATGACGCTAAATCACATCTGGCAGAAATGATCGCTTTATTGGGCTCTCCTCCAGCAGAACTGCTTACAAGATCAGAGCATATGCGAGAAGTCAGGTGGCCTATGGAGATACTGAATGATCATGGCGCTCTCTGCAACACCGTGGAACAATACTTTGACGGGCCGTTCTTTGATCAAGATGGTAAGTGGCTGGTTTAATCTCTGTCCCTTAGAATCTGTTGCTAATGCAGTCGCTATAGGCAAGTTTTTACACAATGACTTGATTCCGGACCGAAAGCTTGATAGTACCATTACTGTGCTTGAACAAGAAGAGAAAGAGCAATTCTTATCTCTGGCACGACTGATGCTCGCTTGGAACCCGGATGAAAGAAAAACAGCCCGCGAACTCATGGAGCACCCCTTTCTTAAGAAAAACTAAACAAGGCATAGATCTGATACTGCTCCGTCCTACGTTTTAGAAATCCCCGCTTATATGATCGGTCTCTCCCGTGAATACAATATTACTTCAACCTAAACCGCAATATGTTGCTGCTCACCTTCGCGCCTCCGAACTTTATTGAAAAAAATGAAATCAACGAGCACCTTGGAGGTTAATTGATGATTAAAAGAAACCCCCTCACTAGTCGCTCATGGTGGTCCAGATTTCCTCACTGTGATAGGCAAAGCATGAACACTAGTCTCCAGCGCCACGTAGACTGCCTACTAATCGGTGTCTCATATGAGCAAATTTGACCCAATCTTGCACCTTTGCGTTAATGAAATCAACGGACCCTCGAGGAATGAGGAGATGATTTCGTACACCATGCCATGCTACGGGAAAGGTCGCGTGATATTTTGATTTGGGTATCATGCTGTACAGACCTCACAGATTGGCAGATCCTGACTTTCAGACCAGGTTCCAGCAGTTCAAGCACTCTGGAACGGTGACCAAGAATTGTTGACGTGGCACAGAGGCACGGCTCTAATAGCTGAACTGAACAAACTATTACAATTAGATCACAAAGCATGGCTCATCATCACGAGCGAAGAGACCAGTCGTATGGTAAAGACAATTTCTCTGGTGCTGTAACCTATAACTGAGATACTTATATGCAAAAAGAATAAACACTACCGATGTCTGAGGTGACATAAAATCGAAATTTAATCAAATCGCCTCTTCCTTTTATTAAACAGAATTATTTCTGAGTGGTAGAAATTATTACAGGTCTATTGAGTGTTTTGTTAGATACTATCAAGGGGAGTCCAATTTATGTCCTTCGGGGGAGTCCTAGCAGAATAGCCTTAAATTGAGTCGCATATCATTCTTTTGAGCCCTGGAGAATTGTTTGATCATGCCAATTTAGTAGAGACTTGAATTTCGAACAAGGATGTTGATATCTCGGGCGGCTCCGATGTCGAATTGCGGCGCTTCGTGCGCCCCGCGCCGAACATTGTCGCAATGCAACCAGTCGGGTGAGTCATGATAAGCACTAGATTGAACCATCAATACTCTATCCCAAAGGCCTATTTGAAGGCAGAGGTAATCTTGCATTCTAAGAAATCCCCTCCGTCATTCTATCCAAAATTACAACGCCTAGGATTATTTGTGAACGAGTCAACTTCCACCCAAGGCCGACGTCTCGAGTTCACTCATCAATCCACCTCAATCGGCATGGATCGTCCAGTCGGTCCTATAGTTTCTGAGGGACCGGCTCTGCCGCCACCTCAAACCTCATTAAAAGGCCGCTCGGTCCAGCTTGAACCATTAGATCCAAAGCACACGAATGATCTCTTCGACGCCATTGGACAGCCAGAGCAGGCCGCTGTCTGGACCTACATCAACAAGGGCCCCTTCGAAGACAAAGCCTCATTCAGCGAGTTCATCATCAGTCTCTCCCAATCCACCGATCCAGTATTCTACGCTCTGATCGACCAGTCTCGAAAGAAAGCAGTTGGCTTCTTTAGTCTAATGCGCATTGATCTGTCCAGTCGCGTTGTCGAAATCGGATACGTCGTCTTCTCGCCAGTTCTGCAGCGCAGCACCGCCGCTACAGAGGCTTTTTATCTCCTCGCGCGGGCAGTCTTCCGGGATCTTGGCTATCGGCGCTTCGAGTGGAAGTGTGACAGTCTAAATGCGCCCTCTCGGCGAGCGGCGGCGCGCTTTGGATTCACGGCCGAGGGCATCTTCCGGCAGCATATGATCGTCAAGGGTCGTAATCGAGACACGGCATGGTTCTCAATTCTTGACTCAGAGTGGCCGGCGCTGCAGAACTCTTTTGAGAAGTGGCTAGACCCGGCGAACTTTGATGCTGAGGGGAAGCAGCGGCAGTCGTTGACCTCCTTTCGCGGCGAATGAACTGATAGATTAGATTATGATTGACCTCATCCAAGGAAATATAGAGTTTGTAATACAATCTGTTATCGGTCTGTGAAAGTTGGATGTGATATGTTTTTGGACTAAGGAAACCATTCAGAGCTTACCAAGCGCTATCTAGAAAGGGTATATGCAAGTGAAAAAGTAAAAGATATTTAAAAAAAATCAACCGTAACGCTGCTTCGCCAAAGCCTGCAGCCAACCAATAGTCTCCTCCTCCTTCTCGCGGTACTTTTGAATCCGTTCCTCGCGTTCAGCCGCGCGAGCCCGTAGAATCTCCTCCCTCCGAATCTCGCGTTCATTCTTCTTCCGCTGGTCTCTCTCTTTCTCTTTCTTAAGAGAAGCGAACTCGTTTTCTCCCGAGCCCATCAGCTCCTCCTCGGGTGCCGCTTCGGGTGAACCACCGCGGCGGGTTTCAGCAAAGGCCTTATTCGCAGCCGCTACTTCCCGCCGCTTCTCGAGTTGCCTCTCGCGGGTACCAGCTTCAGCGCGCGGAGCGACTTCATCTTCCAGGTGGCGCATTTCTGTTTTATGGGAGCGCAGCTCGCTGCGATATTGCTGTCGGGAGTCTTCCCGAGCAGCGATCGCATCTTCAATGGCAGATTCTAGGGCCGAATGTTAGCAAGTCCCGAGCATAAAGTATCCTGATGTTGTCGTACCTCGTTTGAGTTCCAGGTCCTGCATATTCGGTATTGTTGGACCTGAAGATGTTGTAGCTCTCATTGACACAAATCGTGGCAGCGTCGGCCCAAACTCCTCATCGTCGTCGTCCTCTCCTGCGGGCTCCCTACTGCCCGTCGCTTGTTCTGCCGGCCCATAGTCCGGCGATGCCCGATTTTGTTCGCCAGATTGTTGGTACTCTGCTGCGCTTTGGCGGGCCTTTTCGAGCGTTGCCGGGTCATACCAGCCTTCGGCAAGCTCGCCACGGTTCCTGCGTAGTAGGTTAGTTTAGGAAACAGCTCGTCAGAAAAGCACCAATGTACGCACCATTTTCCAGTAAAGCTCTTCCATCGGCCCTTTACTTCATCTTCCTGAAGATCTTCAATGATAAGCCCCTTCTGGATATCCAAGTACATTGCGAACATGGGCTCGTAGATCTCGAAATCGCGTTTCGAAAGCTCCCGCGCTTGCAATGGGAGAACTATGGGTTGTGCAGGAGCTTCTTTCCGTTTAGAGTCTTGGCGATCTCGGTCTTGTTTTCGGTCTCGGCCATGTTCTCGATCATGCCGACGGTGACGGTGCTCGGATTTGTGGCGGTCGGATCGGTGGGGAGAGCGCGAGCGCGAGCGATGTCTGTGACGGTGCGACTTGTCATGACGACTGCGGTTGTGGTGACGGTCTGCATCTGGTGCAGATGGCGACTGCTGCCTGTGCGCGGACCGAATGGGCGATGGCATTATTAGTTGGTGATATTCTGTTGGTTGGAAAGGAAAGTTCTCGACTCGAAGATGGAATGGCCGTAAGTGTTTCTTATCGGGCTTATCGGGCTTAGCCGCCAGCCACTTGATTTATTGAGTGCTTTGCGACGGAAAACGTGTCTCACATGCTTCTTCGTTGACGGCCAATATGGTTGTTTCATAGAAAAATCTAATAGAGTGTTCAAGCATCGCGAGAAACTGTCGGAATTTTGAGGCTACCCGGCTGCTGTCCAAGGCTGCTATTACCCGGTAGTGGGCAATAACTTTATCCAGATAGATCTGAGTTTTGAGATCAATGACCTAAATGATGCGGGTTTCAGATGCTATTGAAGAGCAAGTATATCTATTCAAACGCCGTTTATCTGGTGTAGTAATGTAGATTCTGAATATCAGAGATATTCAGAGTCATCGCTGGGCATTCGGGGTGCTCTAATGAAGAAAGGCAACTAATTATCGTGCTAAGAGACAACATTTCAACGGAGTTGACGCAGTGGCTTAATAGGCTGATTCGAAAACTACTAGGGATAATATGTAAATACATCTAAGCGAAGAAGTATACAAGATTCATTTCACGCTGATCGGTCACGATTTAGCTGGGCGGGGCAGATTGTTCGCTGCTGGATCCAGCCGGTTTGTCACCGGTGGCGGGAGCCGGGCTAGACTGGGAAGAGCTCTTGGATCGATTGGCAGCGGCCATCTGCCAGGCTGGGATGGATGCAGATCGGCCGAGCTTCGAGAGAGGGCTGTCAGCACTCTGGTTGGCGGGGGCTGGGGTAGGGGCAGCGACAGTCTGAGGCTCTTGCTCGACCGGGGTCACTGTCGCGTGCAGCCCGTTAGTCGAGGGAGTAGCAGGAGTCAACTCTGCCGCGGGCTGAGGAACGGGTGTAGCGGTGGGAGTAGGGCTGCCAATAGTCCGTCCAGCGACGGGGGTAGCGCCGCTACCACCCAGGCGGTTGCCCAGCAAGACCTTCAAGCTCTTCAGCTCAGATCCAAGCTCCTTCAGTCGGTTCTCGTTGCCCTCCCGAGCACCTTCAAGGGCTTTAGGAATAGCATCTTTCAAAGACTTCACTTCATCACTAATCCGGCGGGTCTCATCATCTCTCCGGCGCGACGAGGTCTTGAGATCTGAAACAAGGTTCTCAACATCCTTCAGGGCCGCATCGAGACGCACAGTACGAGCCTCTTCAGCGGCCTTCAGGGCTGCGGTATCGGTAGAAAGCTGGTCAATCAAATCAAATGCACGCGAAAACTGCTCATCAATATTCTCTTTGTCCTGCTCCAGCTGGGGAGGAGTTGGCGGGGCAATCAATGGGGCGATATACCGCTAGATTACTCGTTAATACATCGGCACATCTAAAATATTAGCGATGAAAGCTTACTTTGCCAACAAAGTACAGTCCGTAACCAACTCCACCCATCACTGTCGCCATGATAAACCAGTCCCGCCAATCGCGCTTGGGCGGCCTGTTGAGCGATTAGTTATCAGGGTTCAGGGTCGCGAAGAAGGCCAGATGTGTACATACTCTGGAGGTGGCTGCCATTGATTGTATGGGGGATATCCATATCCCGGGGGTGCTTGTGAGGGTGGGCGATATGCAACCTGTTGTGAAGAGGAATAATTCTGCGATGATGAAGCAGTCCCAGCGGCCGCAGCAGCCGCGGCCGGGTCCTCGCCCACGCGCGATAAGGCGAGATCAACTTCTTCTTGTGTGAGATTTTTCGACTGGAGAAAGGCAACTCGTTTCTCAATGGGAGATGACGCCACTGAGGGGTCCTGTAAAACTGTTGAATGGTCAGCACGCAACTTCTCGACCACGCGATAACGTGGGGAATCGATCGTACAGGATACCTAGGACGTAGTTCAGTTAACAAGCCTTATCGCAATGAGGGAACAGGTATTTACTCACTGCAGAGGTAATCAGCTCCTCTCGGGGAGCCATGGTGAAACTGCGCTGTCAATCAACAGCAGGAGAGATGCAAGAAGGAAAGACAAGAGGCAGGGGAATGACCGTCATCGGCATCCGCCGTGGACCTCGGAACTTAGGACCGCCAAGCCTTCCCCAGACCGAAGTCTCGTGATTCCCGGCACAACTGTTTTTCCTGCTTTCCTGGGCGATGACACCGCTTTCCAGATCCGGTGGCGGCATGGTTTTGTTTACATATTCCCGCCGGCACTGCTCGCTCAAGAAAACAAGTCCCCTCCTTTGAAATATTTGCGCGCCCGCCCGGTTGCGCGTTCAATCTGGACGTTCAAGTCTTCAAATTGAATTTTTAAAATATTCTTGTCGCACTCGTCAATCTTCCACGTTATCTTCTTGCCGCTATCGCGGCTTATTGTCATCATGTCGCAAGATACTGGGCTGTTCAGTATCAAGCGCACCCGAGAGGTATGGGATTTTTCCTAACTATCGCAAGCTAATTTGGGTGCTCACGAGAAAATAAAGACCCTCGGGAGCGTTCAAAACTATTCTTCAATCCCTCAACCGTCATCGGCCATGAAGCGCACTAGCTCCATCGGTTTCAATAACCCCCCGTTTACTTCACAACATACCCGATCGACTTCCCTTATGAATTCCGCAGCCCGACCTCAGCAACCGAACTTCAGCCGCGCCTCATCGGTTGGAACATTTGGCGCCGATGCTGGCCTCTCGTCTGTACGCCGATCCGTGTCGAGTAATATGTTCCATGGGGCAAGTGCGGGTCGACAAAGCTATGCGCCAGGCTCGCTTTCATCAAATCCTGCATCGCAGCAGAACCTGCAGCGCCGAAGCAGTGTATTTTCACGACCCTCCATGGGCGGACCTATGGGCCACCAATCTTTCTTCAATCAGGTCCCGGCCGTGGCTGGTGTGCCTCGGGATCCGCGACCCCTTCGTGATCGATCCTTCCAAGCGCGTATTGGGCAAGAGCTATTAGAGTATTTGACTCATAACAACTTCGAGTTGGAGATGAAGCATTCTTTGGGCCAGAACACACTGCGTTCGCCTACCCAGAAAGATTTTAACTACATTTTCCAGTTCTTGTATCATCGCATTGATCCCGGCTACAAGTTCCTGAAAAGCATGGACGCCGAAGTCCCTCCTATTCTCAAACAACTGCGATACCCCTTTGAAAAAGGCATCACCAAATCTCAAATTGCGGCCGTTGGTGGCCAGAACTGGTCCACCTTTCTGGGAATGCTACACTGGCTGATGCAATTGGCACAATTAATGCAGCGCTTTAGTAGTGGAGAGTATGATGACGCATGCGCGGAGGCCGGGGTTGATGTCACTGGTGACCGTATCATCTTTCGCTTCCTCACTGGTGCCTACCATGACTGGCTCCAGGGGGGCGAAGACGAAGATGATGAGATGGCGGAGCAGAGATTGATTCCGCACATTGAGCACATGTCGCAAGAGTTTGCTCATGGGAATGAGAAATATGTGCAGCATATGGAAACCTTGGAGGCCGAAAATCAGGCCCTGCGCGAGCAGATTGAAGAAATGGAGAAAAATGTGCCGGACATGGCCAAGATTGATAAGCATTTCCGCATAATGGAGGATGACAAGAGGAAATTTGAAGATTACAACCAGAATGTTAAGGGAAAGATTGACAAGTACGAAACGCGCATCAAGATCCTCGACACAGAAATCCAGAAGACCGACGCCGATCTTCAAACAGCTGAGGCTGAGCGGGCCAATCTCCAGGCCAGTGTCGACCAACAGGGCATCACTATCCAAGATATTGATCGCATGAACACAGAACGTGAACGTCTTCAAAAAAGTCTCGAGGATACCATGGCCCGCCTCAAAGAAATCCACGGTCGTGTCATGGAGAAGGAAGCCGAGGCTAGCCAAAAACTCGAGGACCTGGAGCAGATTGTTAAAGAGTACAATACCCTTGGGTATCAGACCAGCCTGATCCCGTCATCCGCCGAGAACGCCAAGGGTCAAGACTTCGAGCTTGGTCTCAACGTCAACGAAAACAATTTCTCCGCGAGTCAGATCGGAGGTGTCCCGAACCGGATTTCATCCGACGGCGATCGCCTCTTGGCAGAGCCCTATACCGGTTACCACCCGGCGCATTTGCTCAATCTAGACCTACGGGGGTCTGTCCGCAATAGTTTACAGTCTCTCCGGAAGGAAATCAATGAGCGCCGCAAGCGTGCCATTGACGACGATCTGGACCGCCGCAATCTACTCGACAACATTAAGGAGGCAATGGATGAGAAGCAAAGTGAGGTTGAGGCCTTGGAACACCGACATCGGGCGGCTAAGGAGGAATTTGAACGGACCAAGGAGATCACCACCACTCAAAAGACGGCTTCAGACGCCCAGATCGAGAAGATGGAGATGGAGCTTGCCAAGATGCGCGCCACGTTGAGTGACAGTGTCCAATTGATGGAGCAGCGTGAGATGAACACCAACATCGAGTACGAGCAGCTGACACTCCGGGCGAATGCCCTCCGTGAAGAGCTCCATACCAACGTGGAGACAATGCTCAACGATGTCATTCGTTTCAAGGTCCATGTTCAGAAGGGCCTCGAGGACTATGAGAGTTTTGTAGTGGATGAGGTGGAGCAGGAATTGGGTGGCGATTTGCCCATGGCTGAGGACGAGGAAGAATTATGATGATTCTTTCCTTCTTACTTTGCTCCTTCGTCTCCCTCTTTTCCCCTTGTGAATGTTTCCTGGTGTTGTCATGAAGTGATGAAAATTCATGAAGTCGATTGATTGTATTTTGTCCCAGTATCACGTTAATTGAGCCCCTACATATTGTCCCCGCTCCCCAAGTGTACCATATTACCCCCCAGCGCAATTGATCTAAGGATGATGCCACAATTTGCCTTGATTGACTATTTTAGAGTGAGGACGCGCAATGCCGAGTGGGCCAAGCTTGTCGCAGATCATTAGCGTGAGACCAGTGGCGTTTTCTTAGGTCTTTCCAGGTCTTGTTAGGGCTTCTGGCTGGTCTTCCCAGAGAATCTTTGGTCAGCAAACAGCAAGCAGGAATTAGTGTGTTTCCTCGCTTGCATGGCGGGTTTCAGCCAATCGCTAGTCGCAGCCCAGTCTGTCTTCGTCACACGGGGACGCTCAACCTGAAGCAGTGCGGGATCGATCGACAAGACGACGTGTAAGCCGCGGTGGAGTCTCCCCTCCTGGCTGGGCTCGTCTCGCGTTTCACATTTTGATCTTGTCTCCTTTGACCTGCTCCACGAACACCCAGCGCTTGCTGTGATCCGGACCTGCATTGAGCGGTTTCGTACCCTGATCCTTTTGAGGGCCCGTGGAGCCCCTCTGCTTCAAACCCCTGGTGGCGTGCCCCCGCCAATCTTCCTCCGCGATCGACTCCTGCTTCGGCTCCACCGGGGCTACTTTATTTGCACCAATATGCTCATGGCCCTATTGTCTCCAGTACACAATGCGCCCACACATCCTCATGGACCGCCCTGATTCGACGTGTCGCCCAAGGAAGAGAACTCGCTAGCTGCACAGTGAACACTTTCCCAATGCCGATCTCCACGGTTCCCCGGCTCCCAAAGCTGGACCGCCGGTCTAGATGTCTCGGATTTGCCGTCTCTGACAGCGGCATCATGACTGGACTCCCTCGCCCGCTGCTTGGCAAGTCTGGCCTACCGGGTCCCTAGGAGAGAGGGCTGTTTTGGGTGGGTCTAGTGAAGTCAGAGCATGTACTGAATGGAAGACATATAAAAGACCTCACATTTCCGCCATCGACAATTCTTTCGACCACAGTGCTGTGCGCTAGTTCCCTTTCCTTTCGTTACAAGCTTGAGCTCAATCATCACCGGGTGACTCACTCTTCGTTCCTTTTTAACCCACTTTCGTTTTTTCATCAACCAATCTTTCAAGATGAAGTTCAACGTTGTCGTCGGCCTGGCTGCCGCTCTTGCGATGACCCCCAACGCCGTTGCTTTCAACCTGGTATGTTGAGGAACAGAACTAAATATCTATATCTCCATGCATGGACCCCCTTGGTATTAACGTCTTCTCTCCGCAGTTCGCCCGTCAGGATGCCACTCCCACCACTGGTGCTGAGCCCTCGGGCACCATCGCCAGCGGCTTCCCCCAGGGCTCCGGCAGTGTTGGCGGCTCTTTTCCCTCCGGCGGTGCTGGCGGCTCGTTCCCTTCTGGCGGCGCTGGCGGTTCATTCCCTTCCGGCGGTGCTAGTGGCTCTTTCCCCTCGGGCGGTGCCCAGAGTGGCTCCCGGGGTGGTTCTCGGGGCGGTTCTCGGGGCGGCTCTGAGGATGACTCCGAGGGTTCCTCCAATGCGCAGGAGTCTGGCCGTCCTCGCCCCTCCGGCACCATTTCGGGTAGCCCCTCCGGCGTTGCTGGCGGCTCCTCTCATTCCGGCGGCTTCGGCGGCTCTTCTACCTCCGGCGGTGCTGGCGGCTCATTTCCTTCTGGCGGCGCTGGCGGTTCATTCCCCTCGGGCGGTGCTAGTGGCTCTTTCCCCTCGGGTGGTGCCCAGCCCAGCGGCGCCGTCAGTGGCCAGAGCCAGGGAGGCCAGAGCCAGGGAGGCCAGAGCCAGGGAGGCCAGAGCCAGGGAGGCCAGAGCCAGGAAGGCCAGAGCCAGAGTGGCGAGGGCGAGAGCAGCGGAAGCCAGGGCTTCCAGAAGCGGCAAGAGAGCCAGGAATCCCAGGAGGGTCAAGACGGTGCCTCCCCCTCTGGTGCTCCTCAGCCCAGTGGTAGCTTCGGTGGCTCTGGTGGCCATGGCCACGGCGGTCCGACTCCTACTGGTATTCCCTCTGGTACTCCTACTGGTGGTTTCCCCTCCGGCACTCCTCCTGCTCCCTCTGGCGGTGCTGGCGGCTTTGGATCGGGCAGCTTCCCCACTGGTGAACCTCAGGGTAGCGGCTCCTTCGGTGGCTTCGGCCAGGGTGGTCAGTCCGGTGTTCCCACTATCTCGGTTGCCCTTCCTACTGGCTCCGCTGCTCCCCAGAGCGAAGGAAACCAGCAATTTGAGCGTATTCACGCTCGCCAGATTCGCCCCCTCTGGGCTTAGATCTATTTCTGATCATTGCGCTCCTTTGCGGGATTCACGTTGTCTCCTGAAATACGTTCCGAGGTTGTGCTACTGTGGCTGCTGGTTCAGTTATAGAGAAAGTGTTGTATCATAGCCTGCAATCAATGCAAATAAGCGAACTTTGCTACTATGAAAAGAAAAACTAGTCAATACTAGGTCACCCTTATATAATTCGGTAAACTAAGCATTTTTTTCCAGAAGTCCGTCATGCAGCCTCTTAGCAAAAATTATACTAGACTTTCCTCATCTTCCACTGGATATCGACAAGAATCCGCTAGTCCGGTCACCTTCCACACCCCATTCAATTTATGCAGTACGAAAAACCACACCGATGGGTGGATAACATTACAACTTCCCCCGGTATGTACTGTACAATACTGTACTGTCTTAGCCCCGAATCGAATGAAGACAAAAATTGAAATCAACTATTGGATTCAGACTTGGCGATCATGTTAGCAAGGCCATGTTTATGCTGACTAATAATCTGTGACTAATCACTGCTTCTTCACCCTCCGTTCTGGCAATCATCCATATTTCGATATCATTACCGCCGTCAAATCTCGCAATGTGGAAACCAGTTGATGTCCCTTTTCAGAACTCCCAACCTCTCCCTACTCTACCAACAACCGATGAAATCCGCGCTTGTACCAAGGTTCTGGGGGAGACCTCGGCCAGCAAGGTTGTGGCGGTAAATGACGATATTGTTGTTAAATATGGGCGCCGTGTAGACCTCTGGGAAGGCCAGGCTTTGATTTACCTTGAACGACATGTCCCAGAAGTTCCGGCCCCTCGACTGTATACGATGTACTATGATTCCGAACAACTTTTCTTAATTATGCAACGCGTTCCCGGGGTCCAGCTGGATTCAATTTGGCCATCATTGGCGCCCTCTGAAAAGGATGATATTATCGCAAAACTTCAACTTACATTCGACGCAATGCGAAAGGTTAGTCATAGAGGAAGCTCAAGTATAAATGGAAATATTGATTGATTGATTGATGTGAAAGGTTGAGTGTCCATCGCCCAACTTTTTTGGAAGCTTAGACGGAGGCAGCGTCCACAATTTCCTATTCTATAGCGAATCTGGCGATGGGAAGTATCTAGGGCCTTTCCCCGACGAATCTTCCTTTGTTATGGGCCTTATCGGGAACTATAGAGCCTTAGTTGAACTTAATAATTGGCCAGACTATAAAGCTCGCTTTTACGAAAAATACCTCGCTCGGGTCCTGAAAGGTCACCGGCCTACGTTAACGCATGGGGACCTTCAACAGAAGAATATTATGGTTGTGGAGAATACGAGTCGCCTTGACAATCAGGGTCATAGAGGGCGATCATTTGATATCGTATTAGTTGACTGGGAGAGTTCCGGTTGGTTTCCTGACTACTGGGAATTCTTTTGTGCATCTCGACCCCTTCATTTTTACTGGGAAGACGACTGGTCCTGGCGAATCACGGAGTTTCTTCAAGTATATCCCGCTGAGATAGCCGTGATGCAACAGATAAATAGAGATCTAGGCTATTGAAATACGTACTATTTTTTAGAACGAAATCAATCTATTTTCTAGTTCCTACTATAGTTTCTTCTATTTACAAGGCGCTATATCGGAGTTTGCGCCTTCAGGTTCCCAGCCTAGTGCGTATGAGAAGTGTTGCCCACATGTTGAAGCTGATCGACAACGGTTGGAACGAACAGAAAAGAGATGTCTGATTTCCAGTCCTCTGCGAGCGGAGTAGTCTTATATACATCAATCCTGAGTCATCCTGCAGACCACCATTTCCCCACTACACAATTTAAGTTGCTGGCAGAGAGTGTAGATTATTCCGTATCTCGCTAACTAGCGTGTTACGATGCTGAGCTTCCGAGTATACTCGGGATACCATACAACACAAGCAGGGAACCAGGTTTTTCTGTAAGACCCTGACGCTTATTTGGGCCGTGGTGGTATTTGGCCGCATCTTCCTGTCGACACAAAATAGTAATAACTAATAAACATTACGCGAGTCCTGGGTATCATGATAGTCTTCCAGAACGGTTGAAAATCATCAAAAAAAGGAAATACAACACAGCCCCCGCATCACTTTCCCTCTTCCGCTTCTATCACGTACCACTTCCCACTGGCATACTCGATTCTCCAAGTCACACACCCTCTCAAACACCATCGGTCCAGTAGGACCACTGCTTTGGATGCGCATGATTGTTGCTAACTCCGCGCGTGATCAATGATTCCAGTTTCATTCTGGTGGCCGCCGAAACGACGTGTCAGACTCAGTCTTTTGTTGATTTTAAAACTCCCGCCTTTCTCAACGCCTCCGCCGCGTCCTGTGTCCATTCATTACATTTCCTGACTGGCCGTGTGGGTATGTTATTTGGGGAAGGTGTCCCATCTGCCTCAATCCACACAACCTTATTCCACGTGTGATCCTTGACCGTAAAATTGATTCCCTGCTGTCGAGCCGGTCTTTCAACTTGAATCAAGATACTGTTTACTTCCGAAAAACCGGAATCTTTTTCGTGAATCCATCCAATCTGGGTCATGTTTGCAAAATCCCGGGAGTGTATAACATCATGGTTCCTTTTCGTCGCGTACGGCATACCATTTGCCATCATGAGGTCGCCGGTGACGTTATAAAAGTCTCCTTTGCTGTTCGCCGGGTCATTTTCAACGAAGATACCGTCGTGGAGTCGCTTTTTATAATCCTCTAGAGGATCTGGGTTGACTGTGTCGAACTTTGGTATGAATACTTTGTACCACCCGTCCTCTCTGTCAACGGATGCTGTTCTCGGTGTCGCCCTATCCTGGGCCCTTTCCCCTGAGCGTTCTCTTGGCACCCCCGTTTTGGTTTCTGGGCTGCGACTGCGGCCGTCCCGTTGCGGATGGGATCTGGACATGTTTGATATTTAGATAAGTAGATGAAAAGAGCGTAGCGTTTATCAAGGGAAGCAGAGTTTATCAAAGGATCAAAACACTGAATAGTGACAACATGGTGGTGTCAGTCAAGATAAGACAAAGAATAGTGATGTTTTTGTTTACCACTGAACTCGTGTCTTCCTTTTATTAGTCAGCCTCGATGTGTCTAATTATAGATGGAAGGGGTCACTTGAATATGATCCCTGAACATAAAATATTTCAAGTATTATCTCGCGCGCGCTAGCTAGGAAGTAAGCAAGCTGAAATGAGGTGACTATGCAAGTTTCGTCCATGGCCCCCATAGACTTGGATTTGCTTTCTATGCGTCCGTGACAGAAAAATTGATCAATTTTGGGAGAGAACAGGGATCCCATTGCAAATGACAAATAACCTGCGTCTTGCCGGCGCATCCATATCGCGTGTGCGCTGGCGAGCCATGGGTATAGGCCCGCTTTATGAGACTCGGCGTAAGATCTTTGATGGGGCAGCCACTCATAAGCCTGTCCTTAACGCAGAAGATGCTACCCGAACTTGGGAGAATCCTGATCCACGATTTCAACTTCTCAGCACCGGAATTGGTGCCACACGGTAGGTGCATAATCAGTGTCAAGGGTGCAATCTGAAATACAATGCCGCGGATTACTAACTCCGAAGGCGTTGCTACCCCTCCCTACATCATATTTTCAAGGCCAATTCGTAAAGGAACCATATGTACTTAAATCTCCTCAAGATTCAGACTATTGAAATCATAGGAGCTACTGCGTTTTTTCCTAATTTAACCATTCTCGATTTGTGAATCGATATTGGCACTGTCCGCCTAAATAACGGACAAAGTAAGACCTCCTCCACCATCTATCAATATGACGGTAGCACGCGATAAGACTCATGTTCAATATCTGCCTGAGGCTAGCAGCTAACGCAATTCACAATATATCAAGCTCACTATTTATCGTCAGGCTCAGTAACTGGATCAGAATACTCGAGTTAGGCTCAGTAATCAAACCAGGATACTCAGGTTAGGTTCAGTGAATAGATCAGGTAGGTTACCTACTAGATACTCACTGACGACCTCGGGTCGCTTAGCGGCAGACTCAATTCCACTCGATGACCAACAAGTGGCGAGAGATGAGCACTTAAATTAGAAGGGAAGGTCAAGAGTTGCCAGACATTATCCGGGATATATGAGTTAATTGAACCAGTATCATCGAGTGAAGTAAATGTGTTCGCTCTGATTGGCTGCGACCATGATTCGGAGCTTGAATGCTGACTCAGCGTCTGGCGGCCCAAATTTCCAGCATCGCATCTCCGCTGTTGTCCGCTTTTTTTACAACACTCCCTCGTCAACGAAGGGATTGACGGCTTGTTTTCAGCCGAATCGAAACCAGAGGTGCAGCGCTAAAACCTCCTGCGACATGTCTAATTCATGACCAACCCGAAATGTGCCACATTAAACCCGTGTCCATCGAAACCGTGATTTCTCCGCAGGCGCCTCCCGCTAGGCTTGTTGCCGTGTCATGAGCAGGTGCTTGTGCCCCGGCCGCATCTTGCGAATTGGCCGCGGGCCAGTTTCTCCCAGACCGTTGCATCTGTCGCATCCGTCGGTCTCTCGCATCCACACCCGCCTCGCCTCGACGAATCGGAGACCGATCACACACGATGAATATTCCCTCCTCCTCTCATACAATGACTTGCCTCCCCGGCCGCTTGAGTCTTGGAGGAAGTTCAACCCCGATGCCTGGATCTCCATCCTAGCGAAATTCATGCGTCCCACTCGTGAAGCTGAGAGACAGGGCGCGTCGCTACTCGAGTACAAAGATGATCTCTCTCGCAGCCATGCGCTCATGGGATATCTTTTGTTGGCAAGGACACATTCAAACTTAGATCTTTTGGCACATCTGGGCTTTAATCTTAAACAGTGGTCTACTGTCCATGCTCTTCTGAGCCAACTCATCGACACCTACGAAATCCTCCTCCCCTACATTCCCCCTCAGAACTCTCTGCAAGGATTGGACTGGAATTCGGATGGGCTCTCTCTGGATCAGCTCGCAGACGGAGAAACCCCGTCAAAAGGATTCCGCATAAAGCCACTACCGGCATCTGATCCCATTGGTCTTGATTTCTTGACCCTGCGGCCCGCAGCGCGGGGATTTGCGCAACGACACTTGTGCCAAGTACTCTTGAGCCTGGGTACTTTGATTCTGAAGGCAGCCGACAGTCCACAGACTGACGCAAATCTGGCAATGTCTTGCGTCTATCGCATTTTGGCCCGTTTGCACCATCTAGATCTGATCCCTGACCGAGTCTATCAGTATCCAAAGAACGATCCCAGTCAAGTCTCATTCCGACCCCCGGGTCTCAATTTACTCTCGAGTCATATCATGAGTGTGTTGTCTGATGCAGCATGGGTAGAGCATGAGGCAGCACTCGCAAACGCGGCCAACGAAGCAGGCGAGCTGCCCCCATTCCTGCCCTTCAAGGTTGGAGTTCGGGAGCTTGGTCCTGAGGTTTGGTTAGAGTTCATTCTTTGGTGCTGTGTCGAGCATGGCTTCGCGAAACAGGGTGCCTGGTTGCTTCGGGAAATGACTCAACGAACTGGAAACGAAGCATGGAAGATTGAGAGCTGGCAACCTTTGATTCAGGCTCTTGACCTCGTCCAACAAACAAACATTAGCACAGAGACATCCTGGCGCCGTCCAAGTGATGATCAGCCGCCTAAAGTATTCAAGGGTCGCAACAAGCCTCCATTCAACGGGCTTGGCAAAAGGACAATCAGTACCGAGGTGGTCGTTAGCTTGCGAAGTAGCTTGGCCAACAAGGCTTATACTGGAATCGGGTTTCACGGGTTATCCCCCACGGATATCCTGCGGTTCTCCTCATTCATGAACTCTTTACTTGATCCCTCGGGAAATGGGAATGACCTTCGGCCAACGAACAAGACGACCAATTGGCACATTCTGAGAATTCTCCAATCAGGCGGACTACAACCATATCAGGACCCGTTGTCATTTGAGAAGACACTACGGTCCACTCATAATGTAGTACCACCGTGGGACGGAGAAGCTGTGATCTCTGAAGAATATCTGAGCAAGATAACGAGATCGCAAGTTTACGACGAGAGTGCAGCCATCGCTGGCTTGGTGGAATATAATGTCAAGGCGTACTCCCATCAACGCTTGGCCGGACGCGCTTTCCACCAGTATGCCTGGCTGCAAAATATTGTTGATGCCAGCAAGGCCTATCATATACAGGCCTTCTTTGAACACCTTAGTCGATCAAAGACAGCGGATGTGCCCTTCTTCAATTCCCAACAACTTGGCGCGGCAGACCACCAGTCATCTTCACTTCCTCAGGTTTCAACTGCCACACTGGCTGAGCTTCTTGACCTCGCCACTGTCAATCGCGCTTTTGATTTCGGCAACTGGCTGCTCTTCAACGATGATGTGGATGGACCTTCTATTCCGGTGAGCGCGTATCGAAATCAGGTTCTGGCACCATCGATTCTTCGGTTTGCTGCTGCTACGCAAAACGCCAAACTCAGTGAAAAAGTTATTTCATCGCTCGAAATGCCGCTCTCTGTTAATATGTTGAAAGCCCTGGTCAACACCCACTTCCACATGGAGGACTGGGACCGTGCAATAGTTACGCTGCAATACCTCCGCGATTTTAGATTGAAGTCGTGGGGGTTCAGCAATATCACTGCGCTAGCGGCCAAGATCATCCGTCTCGACGCTACTATCAAGGACATTGAGTCGGGTGGAGATGTTCTGGCAGAAAAGGAACGACAAAGCCTTGAGCGTGCTAAGGACATCCTTCTACGGTTCTTCCGCATGGAATTTAATACTCCCGCCAGCAAGAACCGACGAGTAACCAACTTCCAACAGAAGGTGCTCATGCGTCTGCTCCCTATTCTCAAATCTCTTCCCAGCCCTCTATCAGATATCACCAAGCAGATCAACATGCATTTGAAGCCGGCCAGCCATGTCAAGCTCCATTATCTCCCCTCGGTCTCATTTCACACCCTTCTCTCCGCAGTCATGGATGTCCACGGCAGCACAGCCGGTATAGAACTTTGGCTGAGATGGTGCTTGAACCCCCCATCGCCCACGCACAAACGCCAACGTGAAGGCGGCATAGTTCGGCTTTTCAACCGCAGCGAATTGGCCTCGCCTCGATGGTCCCGAGGCGACCCAGGCTTTGACCCGAAATGGACCGCCTGGGTCCAACGCAAAGCAGTCATCCCGAATCTGAACACCATTCGCCTCATCTCGCAAGCCGCGATGAAAGAGTATGAACTGGACCAGGTCAAATCTGACCCGACACAACCCCACTCAGCTCACCACCCTCTCCAATACCCCAGTCGCCGCCTCCCCGCCTTCGCCTACGCCCGCCCCTATAGAGCCATGCTCCCTCACAATCTCTACAGCGCCATATCCAAAACAGGTGGCTCTCCGCCCACCACAGCCCCCGTCGCCGCCCTCGACTTCTGCGTGAGCATGTTCCTCCGCGCCGGCCTAACCGAAGACCAAATCGGGCTCGAGGTCCCGGGACACTTGCAGCGCATGCGCAGCCGCAACATCTTCGCCGGCCTGGGCCGACGCGCCAGGACCCAGCTCCAGAATACCAAGAAAGACCCTTGGATGGAGGCGTCGCCGTAAGCCAATCACCTCGCATCGTCGCGTATGCTCCTCGGGTGTGGATGTCGGAAATCCAGGCCCGGTCTCTCGATGTACATTATTATCACTTCTCATCCGTCCACCTACCGCCGCCATAGATTCGTGCTGTATAGAAGACAAAAATGTGTATATATACCCCCTTTTATTACCCAACATGACAATTCAGGGGCCCTACCAAGGCCCAGATCAAGCCCTGCTCAAAATCTTCCTTCTTCCTACTTCCCCTGTAAGTTACTACTTTTTTTTCGGAAATCGATAATAAACACCCCAAGACGCTCACCGAGTCGTCAACGAGCTGGATGATATATTCATATTACAATCTTAAGAATCGAACGAGAGCTAGCCTTTTGAGGACAGCCCCCTGCTCCGTACCTGCCGGAGAGGGTAGATAGAAATAAGGAAAAAAGAAAAAAGAAGAAAAGAGAAAACACCCGAAACACCATCCCAATTCCCGTTGAGCTCCTCACTCAAAACTCCCCTAGAAGACATTGTCCGGATATCAAACAAATTCCTTCCCGAATATCCCTCCTTCTGTACTCTCTCTTCTGTATCAAATCGCCCAGACGCCGACCTTCCTGCGGGGAAGTGCGTTGATAACATGAGGTATAAAGCAAATAAAATATATGAAGAATGAAGAAGAGCAAGAAAGCGAATACCAGCCCAAAAAAAAGAATAGTGGGAAACACTATTGCAGGAAAGATTCGCCTATTAGGTATATGAAGTAGATGGGTAGGCGTAGGGTAGATGAGAGGGTGTGAGAAGGAGGTTCAAATGAAGTTAGAATTTTTCCGAGAACAAAAAAAAAAACAGAAAAGGAAAAGGAAGAAAAGCGGATGGTAAAGCAATGAATAAGTAAAATGGGATTGTGTGCGGTTTCACTTGTTGACTCGTCACAGGTGCATTTTGGCATTTCATGCCCATAATCCTCTTCACAGAACAAGCAAGGGAAGAGCGAGAGTATATGGCCGTTTTGAGGACTATCATGGCGAGTCTCTGGGATCGTATAAGCGAAGGGAAGCGTGTGGCCTGTGAGTGACTTGATCAATGCTGTTCCCAATTCTGGTCTTCCTCGTTGGTGTGCGGGAAGAACGACCGAATGAATTCGCCGCTAATAATATCGTACGGGAAGTACACGTCGTCCGTGATCTGGGCCTCTGTCGCGAGTGTTGCGACTGGATCTGAGATCGAAACATTCGTTGGATAGGTGAAGGGATCGCCAGATGGGTTGTGGTTCAATTCAGTGCCGGCTAAAGAAAGATCTTCCAAGTGCGCGCCCCAGAAATTGGGAGTCAGCGGTTGGTCAGAGGCCTGGTGTTGTATGCCTGGGTCGGTTAAGTTGAGAGTAGAGGTCGGTGATTGGTGGTATGTGGCAGATGGCATATCCGAGACATCGAAATGCATGCCGGTGGCGAGGCGACGCAGGCCGATGTCGCAGAGTTGCCAGGCGCGACGCGATGCGATGCTATGCTCAGACATGGCGAATAGCCAGCGGATGGCCTTTTTAGAGAATATAATGAAGTTTTGTTCGTCGTCTGGCATGTGCACGGAGCCGAAGGATAGCTCAAGGAGGAGGACCGTGGCGGCTTGCATCAAGTAGTGCAGGATGCACCACCACGGGGATATATCGTAAAGCTGGGCGGCATTGGGCTGGTCGGGGATGAGATCTAGCATTCGCATTGCGGACTCCAGGGTCATCACAGCCAAGTCATGACTGAAGCTTGACTTGTCAGCTGGGTTCTTCTGGCTAGCATCACGCCTACAGAGGCATGGGCGGCCTAGGGTGATCCGTGCGCTATAGTAGTGAAACGCGAGAGCAAGTTTACAGCGGAGCACCTCGGGGCCATCATCCGCCTTGCGTGTAAAATCGAGGAAGGTCGGGATGCTGCGAAACCAAAGATCGATACGGCAACGCAGCTCGCCGATTCGATTTTCGATATGTGCCCATGGCACCATGACACAATCGACAGAATACACCTTGTTGACAATTTCCTGCGTGACTACCGCCAAGTCACAGTAATAAAGATGACAGAGCCCTGAGTTGAACGGTATGTTCTTTACCCATGAGTTGTCGCGCTCGCGAGACTTATGTGTGGCCTCTTTGCCACCGGTGGGATTGAGTGGCATATGCCGAACCCAGGCGCTGGCCATGACTTTGTTGATGCGTTCATCCCGCAGAATAGTGTTATTGAGGACTTCAGCTGCTGCGGGCTCGTGCAACTTGTCCTCGTTAAAGGGCACTGGCAAAGGTGTAGTACAAATACCGTCCAGGATGCAAGTGGCCCTACCAGTCATGATTCCCAGCATATGCTCGAAGGTATATAGGCACCACCAGACCCGGTAGCGAGCCTCCTTCGATATGTTAGGGGTTGTCGGACTGCTGTTCTTCATGTTGATTCCAAGTGTGATGGCGGATCGGATTGCCAACGCTGATATTCTCCAGGCACTGTAGACTGTTAGCAGCTGTTCGAGCCCCAAAACGGTGCACGTCTACTTACCGATTGATCTGGTCTGATGAGAGCAGATAGAAAGCAATCAGACCTTCGACTTGGACCTGCTGGAGATCTGGGTGACTGAACAATGAATCCCCATTCATACTGAGGATCCTGGCTCGGGTCAGGTACAGCAAATGGTCATGTTCATTTCCGCGCCACGGCGCCTCTATCAAAAGAGCATGTTTCGCCCCGATAGCGAAGATCATATTCAGGATGGCAAGCCACTTGTCCCCTGGCTGGGCATTGCTATCGAAGAACGTTTGGTACTGTGCAGTGAAAAGAGGGCAGTTGATGATGGGGAAGAACGGGTGCACGGTTCTTAGATAGTCTTCGAACAATTTGTCTGCCAGGGAACGGGGGGGCATTGCATATATCTCCACAGGCCCGGGGACAGATATGTCCAAGTCATCCAGGTGGTAGTTTACCGCGTGCAAGGCGAGATCGTCATCCTGTCGTTTACTTTGGCCTGGCTCTAACGATCCAGGTAATCCCTGCGAACGGTGCTCCGCCTCTCTTTGTAATCGCTGCATCCAAGTCACTTCAGAATTTTTCCCCATAAACCCGGTTGCTCTCGAATGTTCCGTTCGGTTGAGATCTTCTTCTACTCGGTCGATTGCCTCTAGCGATCCAATGGAGGACGGGGAACTGATTTCGTCGGGATCACGTTCATCGGCTTCGGGAATATCATCCTGGGGGGTTGCTGAATGGGATGGGTTGCTGTTGGACGAGTATTCGACTTCGAGACCATGCTGCACGTTCAAAGAAGTTCAAGTCAGCTACGTGGAGAACAAAGAGGGGGAAAAAACGTCTCCTGTGAAAATGAAGCTATTACGAACCTTGTCCAGCAAGCCCTTGATCCTTTCTGCAGTGCGAGTCTCGACCATAGCTCCCAGTTCCTTCAGCAGATTTTCATAATCGTGCGCCTTTTCGGTCAGTTTATCGACTTGTCTAGCGGATCACGACACCAGTCAGTATTGCAGAAATTACATTTTCCATCAAGCTTCACCCAGCGACTGCATAACAGAGCGCATGGAGATATGCCATACCTCTTCGTCCGTTCTTTCCATCCCACCGGATAGTGGCAAGCTACTCGGAGCTCTCGGCACTGGCGACAGACTGGCGTATCACCGCTGCATTTTGTTTTGCGCGCGCGGCATGATTCACACGCACGGGGGACACGGCGGCCGTAGCGCGGGGCAATACCACCCGACCTTTGACGAGGGATCGCGACTTTCGCTGCGTTTCTGGAGTTCACGGTGGACGCCGTCTCGGCGATCGATGCAGACTTGGAGGCCAAAGCAGGATCGGGTTGTGACTGCGGCCGCGGGATGTCATTTAGCGACGCCAGGATCTCTGGCGGTGCTTCCGGGATTGGATCCTTCATTGTTATGAGAGCGATTCCGTCAAAGAGAACGAGCTGGAGGGGGAAGGGGGTGGGCGAAGATTATGGGGGTCGGGAGCGGGGTGGTCGGAGGGCTATAGAAGAAAAATCCCGATGCGCCGCGAAGTAATATCGATCGAGAGGAGTCGGCAATGCGGGCAGGTTGAAATCAAGCGCAAGCCAGAGCAGTGGCTTACGGAGTAACGCAAGCCATAGACTCAGTTGCTTGCAAGAATCCTGTCGAAAAGCATACACGGACTGAGAGAAGCATGCCGAAGTGGCGGGGAGCACAAGTCTGCACGGTTCAACGTCCTGCCTGGCCGGGCCCAATGCCGCTTATGTAAGAAAACGGCTCCCGCGAATGCTTAACTTTGAGAGGTCCAAAGTATTTCAAAAAAGGTTCAACGGTTCATATTTGAGTAAAATGCAGACAAGTTCCATGGTTTTAAAACGGACGCCTAGGCATACAGAAAAATATAACATCACGATAAGACAAGAGAGTCGCTTTTGGCCCTTCTTTTTTCATAAATCCCAGTAAATCCCAGTAAATCTCCCTTCTACCCATCCAGGGCGAGACCAAAAATAGAAATAATAATAAAAAAAAAAAAAAACATGTATATATACAGGAAGGAGACATTAGCAAAAGAAGTAAACGAGGACGGCATAGAAAAGGGAGGCCGACATATACAAGGGTCAAAAGAGTAGGGGATGTAGGGTTCGAAAGAGAAAAAGGGGGGTATAAACGACGGCAGCGGCTCTGTGGCCATCCGAGAGCGGAGAGAGAAAGCAGAGATAGGTGGGGGAATCAGCAGCAGACATCAACAGACATCAAATCACAGGAGAAACAGAACTTGGAAGACGGGAAGCGAGGCCATAAGGTGGTTAGATTTCGCCAAACATCTCATCAAGCTCGTCGACCTCGACGGTTTCCGGGTTCTGCAACTCTCTCCACGAGTCGAAGACAGACTCCACAGGCATCGCGGTGAATAGCCGAGGGCTGAGAGTGAGCTTCTTATGCGACTCGGTCAAATCGGACATCTTCAGATCGACGTCAGGGAGACCGCTGTTCAGCATTTCAAGCGAGCGCTTCAGGGATGAGACAGGGGCGACATCCGGGTCGGTCGGGAGGCTGATTTGTGGAGCTGTCGGCTCCTCACCATCCTCTCCGACATCCGGCAAGTCACTCGTTCCAGACGAGACTGAGGATGCAACGGAGGTCAGCGAGGGCGAGGGTGAGGTGCCAAAGAGGGTGACAGCAGCCACTTCATCCAGATCCTGCGCCGCGTGGTGGGAAGAGTGCATCTGGGAGAAGTAATCACTGTACTCCTCCTCAGACATGCGGTCTCCCACGGGTGAGAGAGATCCCCTAGTCACAGGGGAATCCGAGATGCTCATGTCGTCGTCCATGTTGCTGAGTCCCTCAGAGAGGACAGAGAGGCTCCGGGCCGATTGATTCGCCTTTTCCTCCGAGGCCCGCTCGCGCACGGCACTGGCGGTCTGGGTGAATTCCTTCTCATCGCCCTCCAGGGGCGGCGAGGCCGCACGGTGTGAGTGCATGAGACGAGTGTGGTTAGACGCGTCCGGAAACTGGTCGGAGGGGGACCCTCGGCCCGCGGAACGGTCAAGGTTGGCATCCTGGTCCTCTTCAAAGTCCGGCGACGAAAGATCCACTTCGGGACTGGGACTGCGCTGGCGCGCGATCACATCCTCCTCATCTTGATCGAGACTTGACACGCTGGGAGTAATATGCTTGCCGTCTACTGCCATCACATCATCCGACGGTTCCGGAATGGGTTGACGAGGAAACGTCGTTAGATAATAGTACACTTTGCGCGGGTGAATTAAAATTAGTTCCTTCGCGATCGGGCATGGCGCCAAAGCCGTCCAAGAACGTTTCATATAGGCGGCCAGTCGCGATGAAAGGAGCGCAGCGGGATTGGCAGAACTAGAACAACACGAGAGTTAGTCTCAGGGGGGAAGGGAGGGTGGAAAAGAAGCGGAGCGAAGGAGCGAGGGATGCGCTACGTACTTTGCGACGGTTCCATTCAAGGCCATCAGCACGGTGGCCAATTCTTTGACGAGATGGGGGCGATTGCCGGTCTTCTCGAGTTGCTCGATCACCGCGACCACGATATCATCATGAATGCCTTCCGTATCGATCTTAGGGGCGACACCGTCCAGTGGCGAGGGGGTGGTGTGTGTTCGAACGCTCCGTGCCGGCCGGCGCGCACGATAGATTCCCGACGCTCGGTTGACGGCTCGGGTGATAACGAGGTGTGCGACCTCTTTACTTTCTTGGCCGGGGGTACTTCATCGGTCGCATGTGAGACTTTTGAAATCGATGGTGAACGACGCGACGAATTTGGGAGATGAATGCCGAGTGACGGAAGTGATAGTGACTTTCGACGGGTGTTGTACGGCATGATGATGTCGGATGACGGAGGGGGGATTTCAAGAGGCGTGGGATGGATGCGGCTTGGGAGTGGTTGGGAGAGGGAGGGAGAAGGAGGGGAGTAGATCACAGGGAAGGGAAAGGAGAGTCGAGATGTGATGCAATAAAGAGGGAGTAATAATCAGGAATAAGGAACACGGGAGGTAAACGGAAGGGAATAATAACACAAAACAGGAGGAAAGATGGAGTGTGTAGAAAGATAGAAGTGTCGGGGGGGGGGAAGAAGGGGTCATCGAGATGCGACGAGCTCCCGCTGGATGGCGGACCCAACGGGCCTGAGGAATCTTTGTGATGGAACGGTGGATTCCCTTTTTTTTCTGCTCTGTTTTTTTTTTTTATTTTTTTTTTTCATCGGTTTTTTAATTTCTATATTTCCTCGTCATGACCGTACCATCGGGATTATGCAGGCGCTGATTGGCCGGGGTCGAGCATTTTGCCCCGATGGGGTTTGGGTTACGGAATGCGGACTGAGCCAACCATGGATGGAGGCCCATTTTCCGGTTCGCTGCATCGGAGCTGGGTTCCTCGGGCCAGAATGGAGGTACTTGCACCGTCTTGTCCAGCGTGAAGTGATAGATCCAACATTTATGTACTTCTCACGATCGAGGGTGAGTGATCTCTCGCATACGATTGCAGTCCGGCTGCTCCTCCGAGATCAGAATCTAGTCGGACGCTTCAAGTCTCTGCCAGGGATGCGACTACAGGACATATGCGACATGCGACATGCGACTCCAAACAGATCCCAAAAAAAGAAAAGAAAAGAAAAGAAAAGAAAAAAAAAATAAGAGAGAAAAATCCATGCTCGAAATTCCAGGCGGTCAGTGGAGATGGGAGTGCAGTCCATCCCTATTCGGACCTTAGCCCTGCCTCCTTCCTCTAGTGCGGCCGGCCCATTCCCTGCTGGGCGATAGTCCATACCGCGAGCCCACCACCAAAGAGAGACAGCCCTCTGAGAAAGCAGAGAAGCAGAAAATCAGAGAATTCCAGACAGAGAATCGCGCAGGCTCCTGTCCCGAGGTGGAGCCCAGGCCATGTGTCCCATCACCCGAAATGGCCCTGGGCTCCACGACTCCATCTCCCTCGACCCTGCCATCGGCTAATCATCGTTCGATGGGAAGAAATAATAAGACCTCCCGAGAGCCTGATTGGGCTGGGGGAACCGGCTGCTGGGACCTGGGACCCGGAACTCCAGCTGATCACTCTGCTATCCATTACATACTATCCATCAATACGGAGTACTCCGTTCGACGATGACTGCTATGATTCGGCCACGATGGGTTGAAAGAGTATCCGTTACGTCTGTATGGATGAAGAACAACGTACCTCGATGAGGCCGAGCGGCATCATGCATATCATGCATCCACAGCCCACCCAGAGCCTGCATGTTGGCCCTCGGTCCCCAGGTCTGGAAAGGACCTCGCTGCGATCTATCAATGGTTGCTAGGTGACCAGTCGGTTTAGGCAAGACCCTCGGGGGCGGTAAACGAATCGATCCCTGACCGCCGGGATCGCCTCCAATATGGATTCCGTTGCTGCGATGGACTCTTTATGCAGTGCAGTTGTCGGTTGTGCTGGCTCAGCACGATCAACGATGCCCTTCGTGCTCTCCCTCACTGGTCAAGCCATCACGGTGCCGAGTCAATCCGAGACCTCCGGGCGAAAACACCGGTTGCCCAAAAAAGATCCCTAGCGTCGCCGTTGACTCCGTCGGTGGCCAAGAGGTCCAGTAACCTCCATCACGGTGGAGCCCAGCCGAATCGACAAGTACAGGTACCGTATGGTACGACGGTACCGCGCCACGTACGGAGCCCCGGCAAAAGCCTCGCCACCGACAGCTGGGGCTTGCCGCCTCACATCGCCTACTGTAGCTGCATGCATCATGCTCTGTGGTTTATACTCCCCCCGGGAGAGGCTCAAGAGCCAAGACAACTGGCATCAAACAGCTCAACCGGGGTACGTTTGTAGATAGAGAGCAGCTGGATGGTCGAGATGGAAAGCCACAGCTGCCCCGATCAGGGCCAATCTGGTCTCGCGTCTATATCAGGGGGATGTTATTTCCAACGATCCAATCACATCGATTTGATCTCGCATCCCAAAAAAGTGATGATGCCATGAAGAGGGGGAGCCCTTTCCTTTGCCTCCGTGTCCGCGACGTTCGATTATGATGCCAGCAGAGCACTGGCTCCCACTCCGACGCCGAAGTATACTTTTTGAACTATTGTGAACGGAGAACTAGTCTCAATCTCCGTAGTAAATTATTGGACTTTTTATCTATATCCTCCCATTATGATACCCATCCATAAGCTTCCCCTCTCTGACCATATAATCCTACCTCCTATAGGTAACCTATACCCGGTCTCCACTTGGATGAGAGGCTGCGATATAGTTGGTCTGTACTCCGTACTTCGGTTCCTTTTTCATTCCCCCCCTCGCCGGATGTCGTAGTTAGTACATCATCGGTCGGCCTCACCTTCTCCGGTTCTCTTCCATCCCAGTTGTAACCTGAAAATCGCCTTTTCGCCCTCCCTTTTTCTCCTCAGGGCGAACACTTGGCTCTTGGCACCCAGCAAGGGCGCGGGAACCAACATTGCAGCTCATGCACATTGGAACTTCAAGAGGGGGAAGATCATTCCATCATACCCTCCACTCCCCTCCACTCCCCTGCCAGAGGAAAACTATTCCAGATCTCTACAAACCGCCCTGGAGTATTGCGTATGTCCTCCGTCCGTCCGTCCGTCCATGTGCATAATTCGCAATCTCACTACTCACACTTCATCCCCCCTCCTGTGTTTCGCCGTTTTCATGACATCGTCTACTATGGGAGGTTGGAGGATTGCCTCAGTACCCGACCCTCTCAACCATGGAACCCTGGCCCATTTCGCCGCCCATTATCCCATTGTCTGATTGTGTCGGCCGAAAGGGAGTCTATTTTATCTGATCGGCAAGTCCGTAGGCATGGGTACAGTAGAGTAGATTCATGCACGCGGTTCTTGGTCTTGGTGTCTTGTCTGGGTCCAGCCGAATTGAGGACCAGATTACAATATGCAGGAAGCGGGTGAACACTAATTCTCCGCATCTCCACAGATCTAGTAAGGATGTCGTCTCCAGCCAGTCAGCCTTGCCCAGGCTTGCAGTCGATAGTCTAGTTTTTGTTTCATTTGGGCAGGTTTTGGGACTCTGTCCCGCCCTCGCTACGGAGTTGCATGTTCTGCCAGGATTCGTGTGATATACGAGAGAGAGAGAGAGAGAGAGAGAGAGAGAGAGAGAGAGAGAAACCAACATGAATATGGCGCTGATTACCATGCGCCTCCATCCAGTTCAGCTCGCCCACTATGTCTTGGGTTGGGGGAGGAAAGACCAAAACATCTACGATCCTTGCATAGTCCCTGTCTCAATGCATGATCTCCTCCACCCCCAAATAGAAAAAGAACGCCAAAAAGGGAAAAAGAAATATTAAAAAAAGCAAAAGCAAAAGCAAAAAAGGGCATACATAGTGTAGGTCACAGCGCCCACAAACGCAACATCTTGCCCATCTGGTCCAAATACCCCTGCAGAGGATCTGCGGCCCGCATGCCTCTATTGACGGGGATTGGAAGGACGTTGCCTCCGTAAGCCGCCCTCGTTTGCACCAGACCACCATCAATTGCATGCCCTGCTCGAGTTCTCAGTTGGTGCTTGAGCGGGAGCACGGAGTAGACTTTTCCCTTTCCCGACTTGACTTCGCGTCCCCGGCACAGCACCACCGCTCGGATAAGCTAGCTTGGTACGGGACAGACGGGATGGAGTGTTTGGCCCCCGCTGTGCTTTCTCTGTAAGCGCTGTTGGGGGGCGGTCTTCGTGGGATTGGCCGTTTGTACTCAACTAAAGTTTGATGGAAAGAGTTGCATTGTGAAACAGGCCTACTTGGTAAAGGGGGTGAGGGGGGGCTTGGAAGGGCATGCCAATAGGTGGTTTCAGGCATGGTCCCGCCCTCATCTATCTACGACGCGTTGCGTGGACAGGGCGACTATGGGGCAATGAATTATCGGCCATGTTGTGACATTGAATGATTTTGGGGATGCCCACGGACGTACACTTCATGTAAACAAGTACTCAGAGCTAGATAAACGAAAATATTATTTACCAATCATCAACTTTCTTTCGTCCATTCGAGGTCTTGAAAATGTTTATGAAGATCCATTGCCAAGCAATAATGACAGTTGCTATTGTACATGGAGTCTATGCAGACCCACCTCCAAATTATATATCGCTTCTCTTTATATCATCGATTCGATATTCGTACATGGCTCTTTCCAAGAGGTATATACAGTTTCCAATCTTTCAACCCAATTATCCCCGAAGCCATCACCAGGCCTCATAAAAACGTACTTGAAATTTGATTTACTGCCCCCCCCCCCCCAACTGTTCCTTTTCCACCAATTCAAGTCTGCCTTGGGCGCAAAACGTACCTCCACGTCGTTCCAAAATGCCATCTCTTCTCCTCCACGATCTCCAACCCACTTTCCTTCACTATCGCCCCAATATCCCGGTTCCACCAACATCCATGCCGGTCCGCATGTGATGGGGCCAAGTTATCCAAGATGCGATTCAACCAGTCGTAGTAGGACCGGCCATGCTCCAACAACAAAATCCGCCCTTTCTCAGGCTCTGTAATCGCGCCCAGATGCCGCAGCGTCGCCACGGGGTCCGGCATCGAGCACAAGCCCATCGTTTGCACCACCGTATCGTAGTATCGCCCCTTCTCCCACCGTTCCTCTTCACCCTCGCCAGCCCTCCCCACCGGCTTGACAACCTCGACCGCCCCCGCATCACAAACCCGGAATCCAACTCGCGCAAACTCCGACCCCAGCGCCTCAAACTTCGCCCGCGAAAGCGCCAACATCGGCGCACTCAGATCAGTCAGCGTCAGTGACCGACACCCGCGCACCGCCGCCCGCCCTGCCTCGTCTACGCCACGCCTTTCCCCGAGCTCATAGAAGCCTAGGTTCCGGCCCGTGCCACAGCTGACCTCGAGCACGTCGCCGCGCGCGCGACGCACCAGGTCCGCCCGCTTGGCGCCCAGCCGCATAGCTTTCTCGGACAGCTCGACGTCGGCGTCGAAGGAGCGCGCTGTGTGGTCATACCGGTCCGATACGTCGCGCGGCACCGCGAGCGCCTGCGCCGCGGCGACTTCGCGCGTGTACGACGCGTAGAGGTACCCGACATAGGTGCTGATTGTGAGTGCGGTGACGCCGAAGAAGGTGAGGACGCGGGGCGATAGGCCGGACGGGGTGGATTGAGGGGATCTGTTTTGTTGGGATGGTTGCGGACGTGGAGGGAGCTTGGGTCTGTGGGTGGGTGGTGAGTTGTCAGTGGGATGGTTTGTTTGATATTGGGAAGGGGGGCTTCGCCTTGCGGCGAGGAGGATATTGGGTATTGGATCATACGGAGAGCGTCTGGGACGAGGGGCTTTACTTTGCACGCCTCGGATGGATGATGGATTGGGCCATTTGGCTTGTCGGGACGCTCGCCCTACACGGGATGCGTTCATTGTGACTAGACCGGCTGATGGCCGCCGGGGCTTCGGTTGTGGTCAATGAATTGGCTGGAGAAAGCTTTCTGTGGTGTTGTCTTGGAGATGACCAATTGGGTTGTTTGACCCAAGCTGGAGGGTAGGTAGGGCCCAGCAGGCTGTGAGACCAGCCGCTGAAAATTTGTGGGCAGATCGGAGGGAGGAGAGAGCGGTAGACAAGAAAGCAGGTTGAACTTCAATCACGCCTTCAGTTCCTGTGTCATATGCACAGGTCTCGGAGATCTGTGTAGTTGAATAACGGCAGAGTTCCCCGCTTGCCAGGACTTTAACTCGACGTCAAATGGAGCCGGACTCGGGAGCGGAGGCCGAGAGGAGACGATGTTCGGGGCATGTCCGTTATCGGGCTATCGGGCTATCGGCCCATCAAATCCCCTCGAGGTCCAAAGTCGCTCTCGCTCTCGCCCTTCTCTTCACAGCTATTAATCTTTAATCGCCCGGTAAAATGGCACTGCCGCCGAACATTCTAATCGTGGGAGGAGGCGTTTTCGGCTGTAAGTCCTAGGCCCGAGCTACGTGGACCGTCCAACGACGGTAACACACTCCGCACGCACACGCACACAACCCCAGAAAAACCACCTCGACCCCAGGATTCCTCCCCCGGAATTCGATAAAACCCAATTCACCAAACACCTGCATATGCCGCTAACAATGCCCCCTCAGTATCAACTGCTCTATCATTGAGCAAGCGGCACCCAGGGTCTCAGATTACTCTGGTCGAGTCCTCGCCCACAATTCCCAACCCGCACGGCTCATCCGTAGACACTTCTCGGATCGTGCGCGCCGACTACGCCAACGCAGCATACTCCAAGCTCGCCGCGGCCGCCATCCAGCGCTGGCGCACCACGGACTGGGGCCGTGAGGGCCGGTATACACAGAATGGCCTGCTGCTCGTGTACCCTGAAGGGGGCGCCAGTGCCGAGGCCTACGCGCGCAAGAGCTACGCCAATGTCCGCCAGATCGAGGGCGACAATGTCGTCTTCCTGCCCTCCCAGGCCGACGTGCTGAAGGTTGTACCTCCGTACGGCAAGGATCTGGAGGTGGCCGGTGGTTATGTGAATTGGGGCTCGGGATGGTCCGACGCAGCGGCAAGCGTGCAGTTCGCGAAAGCGCTGCTTGACCGGGAAACCAAGGTGGCGGTCCGCACGGGGACGGTTGAGCGGGTTCTGTACGACACGGCGGGCACGAAGCCGCGAGCGACGGGGGTCGCGCTGGCGGACGGCTCGGTGCTCACGGCGGACCTGGTCATTTTGGCGGCGGGGGCGTGGACGCCACAGCTAGTGGACTTGCGGGGCAAGGCAGTAGCAACGGGACAGGCGATTGCATACATTGAAATCACTGACGCGGAGCAGCGGGAGCTGGAGAATCTGCCGACGATCTTGAACTTCGACACGGGCATGTTCATTATTCCGCCGCGGGACAACTTGCTGAAGATCGCGCGCCATGCGTATGGCTATCGCAACCCGACGACGGTGCCTGTTCCGGGCGTGGATCGCGCGGAGGGAAAGATGATGCGGGTGAGTTTGCCGATGACTGGGACACCGATCCCCTTGGAGGGTGAGGAGGCGTTCCGGGCTGCGTTGAAACAGCTGTTGCCGCGGTTTGTCAACCGGCCGTTTGCTAGTACTCGCATTTGTTGGTACACAGACACGTAAGTATAGCCTTGCTGCACCTTTCCCCTCATCAACTCTTTCGATCCGTTGGAGTGTGAGAAACTGAGTCCATATGCATGCTGGTGGTATTTCACGCTAACCATCTGGGCCCCCTCTTTCCGTAGTCCCGATGGTGATTTCATTGTATCTTACCATCCCGAGTATGAAGGCCTTTTTCTGGCTACTGGTGGCAGTGGACACGCCTTCAAGTTCTTCCCCGTGATTGGCGATAAGGTCGTTGATGCCCTTGAGAGAACGCTTGATCCCGAGCTGCAGGCTCTATGGACTTGGAATGAGCCGGTGGTCCCCAGGGAAGCGGATGACGATGGTGAGGATCTCTTCGATGGTGATGGCAGCCGCTCTGGCGCGAGGAACTCGAATCTCAAAGAGGAGCTGGCCAAGACAAAGAAAGCCACAAGAATGAGTGCTCTGTAGTACAGTAAAAGGCCTTGTAGATTAGTACATAACATACGATATACTAGACTTCGATTTCCATTGATCTACTTCGTGCGGCAGTGTGATGATCGACCCTCTCTACTTCCGAGGACTTTGGATATAGACCACGCCACACCATGTATCGAATCAGACACTTCCTACACCTTCTGCATTCGAATAATCACTTTGTTTACTTCTTCTCTTTCTTTGTTTGATCTCGGAGGTTGGTTATCCACATCACTCACGATATGCTCAAGATCAGCTTACCTGTCGTGTTGTCCATATTTCTTTTGTGCGGCTGGTGGTTCGGGTAACACCACTCACACTATCTATGTGTCTATCGAATCGTGCTACACAGTTTGGGCTCATCGGAAAGACAAGCATCAGATTGACAAATAACAACAGCAATTTGGTAGAAGTTGTCTTGATTAATTAAATTCAACCGACTCCCCTTTAACTCCGGACTTACGAGGACCTTTTCTTGATTGAATTCAACATCAAACGCCCTCGGGGTCGAAGAACCGCCATATCATCTCATATAAGACCGAATAGTTCGCTTTTTGAGAGGGAACATTTCAAGTTTTACTAAGAGAAAGGAAACGGGATCTTCAGAATGAGTGAATCACCGATTCCATCAACTGGCTCCCATATGGCGGAAAAGAAAAATCTCTCTTCAAATGACCCCGAAGCTGGCACCGTCGAGGAATTTGGGTATGATCCGGCCTACCGGCGAGTGTTTCAGGGCTTGGCTACATTCTCGCTCGTGTTGGCTACAGCATCGTATGCTCCAATTCCCAGTTCTAAATAACACGAAAGAATCTGTCCTGATCTCAACCATAGTCCAATGACCGGTATTTTCATTCAATCGCCATACCAAATTGTCTATGGAGGCTATTGGGGCTTAGTATGGTGAGTGATAAATAGAAAATTCTATATCGAGGACGTTAATCGCTCACTTTGTCGCAGGGGCTGGATTATTCCTGCCGTCTTCATGATTCCCCAAGCCCTCGCAGTGGCCGAGCTCTGCTCGTCAATGCCCATTAACGGTGCTTTCTACTGGTGGACGGCGGCCTTGGCTCCTCCGTCCTGGTCACGTCCACTGTCTTTTATATCGGGCTGGACCAATGTCTTCCAGCTGATTACGAGCTGTGCTGGATTGGGATACGCTTGCGCGACGACTCTGACATCGATGGGCGCGGCACTCAATCCCTCTTGGACTCCAACAAACGCAGAGACTATGGCCATCTCAATGGCAATTATGCTTCTCTACAGCCTCCTCATTGGAATCCGAATGGAGCAGCTATCTTGGATTTTGATCTCCGCAGGTATGATACGATGACCCCATCTGATCTATAGCAAAGTCAAGCAATATAGCAATGTCATACTTATGTCTTGCCTCCCAGCTGCCGCCGTCCTCATCACCACCGTCTTATTTATCATCGCGTTTCCGGTCAGCACTGCGACTCAGCATATCGGCTTTGCCAAGGCATCTGATGTCTTCGGGAACTATACCAACTACTCTCTCTGGAACGACAATGCCGCGACCCAATTCACCTTTTTCGCCGCCGCCTGGGTCATCACAGGCTGGGCCGGCCCAGCATTCGTCGCCGAAGAAACCCATAACGCCTCGATCATCGCTCCCCAATCCATCTTGAAGACCTACGCCGCGCAAGCTATCATGGGCATCATCGTCTGCCTGATCTGCGCCTTCTGCATTGTAGACATGGACACCCTCGCCCACTCCGCGGGCTACCCGATATACGACCTCATTCTCTCGCGCTGGGGCACCCAACTCGGCGCAGCCTTCATCCTGCTCATCATCATCGTCACCATCATCGGCGGCTCCTCCGCAATCCTCACCGCAGCCAGCCAAATCGCAGCCTTCGCCCGCGACGGCGGCACCCCGTTCGCCACACTTTTCAGCCGCGTCAACCCGCGCACCAATATGCCCGCGCCTGCCATCCTCGCCCTCCTCGTCGGCACCCTGGCCATCCTGCTCTTCAGCCTCTCCACCAACGCTGCCTCCATCATCTACTCGCTCACCGTAATCGCCTCCTTGACAACCTACATCCTGCCCATCGTGCTGCGCCTGTTCGCCGGCCCGCGCTTCGTCCCGGGCCCCTGGCACTACGGCCGCTTCAGCAAGCCCATCCATGCTCTCGCCGCCCTCTGCCAGATCTACTTCATCGTGATCGAGTCATTCCCGACTACAACGCCTGTGCCAACGGCCGCATCCTTTAATTACAACTGGGTCCTGACTGTCGGGGTCATGGGCGCCGCGGTGGGGTTGTGGTTTTTGCAGGGACATGCCTTTGCGGATTTATCGGGGCAGATTGCGAGACATCATCAGCAAGCTAGGGGTAGCCATGAGGAGAAGGAGTGAGAGACTACGACGAAAATGAGGTTTGGCGTTGTCGGGAAAAAAGTGATGGTCATAGGTTTTTTTTTCCCCTTTCTATTTATATAATAATTGTATACTGACGGTTCTACTCGCGGTTCTTGATTATGTCTTTGAGGGCCGTAATTTTCTTGCTTTGATAAACTTTGCTCTCGATCACTTATTAGGGTTGGTGCTATGCTTGATGGGCAAGGCTTGAATACTGGCAAAGCAGTATGGGAATTGACATGTGCAGTACATAGCATATATAACTGTCCAAAGCATGAGTCCACATTGTGTCCTTGGCTTATCGGGGAGATTAGGCACAGGTGACAAAAGCGTGAATCTACTTCGCCAGGTACTTGAAAAAAAATATGCAAGATACATACATACATGTCCTACTGATCTTAAACTCTCTACGAATTGATAAACAGAAGACACTGGTTTTGCTTTAAAACATTTTTCATTTTGATAACGGAATCACCGCGGCAGAGACAGAAATAAGAAACAGCCGCGCATTCAATCTCCCAGCTATCCCACCGGCAGTAGCAACGACGGAATCTAAGAATGCTCGCCATTTTTTTGGGCCCACGACAGGTTGCCCTATCGTGGGGATGACCAAAGCACAAGGGAAGAAAAAAAAAAAAAAAAAAAATTAAGAGGCAGCCATTCGACCAGCGCACAGAACCGCCTCGACTGCGGTGTGCAGCAATCTAATTGTAAACAGTCGAAATGATGGGTGAAAAAAACCGGGGATCGCCCAAATCGCTAAAACGCCCAACAATGCTTGCATGAAAAATCGTGAAGAGGTAAAACAACGGAAAGATGGCGGCGAGGTGGTTGCGAAACAGATCCCGGAAAACCGTGTTCGACCGTCGCGTTTCAAGGGGGTTGAAGGGGTAAATAATAATGGCAGAGTGTTAATACAGAGTGGTGAGAATGCGAAGTGCAATGACGATCTTCCTGATGTAAAGCAAATCTCTTCAAACCTTGCGGAAGTCTGGACCAAACGGTTAGCGGTGTGGTCTTGCTGAGGAAATGACGTCCCACAGGGAGGGGGAAAGAAGCGGTCACATACCAGAGAGCACAGGATAGATCAGTTCAAAGGCTTGGTAGATCTCCTCACGCACTTTGGCGCCAGTCAGGACAATCTTACCGCTGACGAAGATCAAGAGCACAATCTTAGGCTTCATCATACGGTAGATCAGACCCGGGAACAGCTCAGGCTCGTAGGAACTGAAATTGTGATGGCGACTGGCCAAACCCTCCAGGCGAATAGGGAACTTGATATCACAGGAGCCGACGATGTTTTGGATCTTGAAGTCCGTGAACTTGGCGTTGAAGCCGAGCTTTTGGATGATACGCGCGTATTTGCGGGAGGCCAGCTTGGAGTCGTCCTCCGATTTGGCACCGGTGACGACCATCTTGCCGGAGGCGAAGATCAGCGCCGTGGTCTTAGGCTCACGGATACGCATGATGACGGCGGCGAAACGCTATTTGCAACAAAAAAGAAACCAGTTCAGCCACACTGTACCCTGAATGCATGAAACAATCTCAGGGAAGGTGCGGAATATACCTTAGGATTGTACTCGGCATTGCGCGCATGTAGTGCGATGGTCTTCAGATCCAGGCGGCAGTCCAAGTTGACGGTAGCCACGATGTTTCTTGAAGAGAGAAAAACTTTTGTTCAGCCTTTGGGTCTTGGAAGAGACACAAGAGGAACTCCGAAGAAAAGAGTATACTCACTGCAAGGTAGGGACAATGCCACTGCTTCCCGTGGTCGCTCCAGGGGTTGCGGCTGGAGTAGCGGGCGTCACCCCGTTGCCGTTGGCGGCATTTCCTCCAGCCTGCTGCTGGCCGTTCATCATCCCATTCGCGGCCAACTGGGCCTGGGCCTCTTTCTCAGAAGCAGGTGGGGTCAAATCGCCCGCACCGCCAGGGAAAGAAAGCGACGAGGGCGAGGTGAAGGCTCGAGCCTGCTGCGCGTTCGACGGGTGAGTCGTGAGCGAGTCCATGCTGACGCGATATCAGTGGAACAGATGCGACACGATCAAGTAGAGTGGTAGTGTGAAAGGTTAAGCTTTTCACAACTGGGAAGAAGAGAGGTCAGCGAGGTTGAGATGATGAGGTGGTGGCGAGATGACAGAAAAGTCACTTGGGACAAGGAGTCGGGAGGGTTCCGAGTCCAGAAGGCGGTGGAGCGTAACAGAACCGTCGCAGGATCAGGGAGGTCACATGACTGGGAAGCGGCCTTACCAAAATGGTGGGAGATGGACAAATCAATGTATCCCCCTACAGGACAGCTGCTGGTCGACCGAGATACTGATGTGGAGGTGACACGAATCTCAAGATCGCAGTAGGATCCGACGGTAATAAACAGAAAATCAAGAAAAGCACACTGAAGTGTTTTCAGGACAGGGAGACGGGATCGCCGAGATGGACTATGACAGAAAACACGGAGGGGAAGAAGTGGTTTTTTTTTTTTTTTTCGAGCGCAGGTTTTTTTTCTCGATTCTTCTTTTTTTTGCCCACTCTGCTTTGTTTCTTGGATTGGGATTGTCTATCTGCGAAGCGATCTGAATGAGAGTGATGAAGCAAGATCCTGATCAGTAAGAACGGGAGGCAAGCTTCAGGTTTAGGTAAGCCCAAATGACCTGGTATAGATGCTCTTTTTTGAACCAAAATACTCCTTTTTCCAAGGGGAAAAAAAGGAGAGCTTCCCAAGAGGCAAATCAAACCTTGAAGGGAAACCTTAAGGTGATTTGACGATTAGTCGAGACAGAGGATCTGCCTAGGAGGAGGGAGGGGAGGGGAGGGAAGCGCGATAGTTCCAGCGGATGCCAAGACCGAGACAGAAATCCCAGAGGGCGGCCGGGCGTGGGAGGTTGGGCCCTTATATAGTGCTGAGTCACAGCCTGCGTCAGGGGAGGCTGGGCCCGGTGGCGGCAAAAGCAGCGAGCGGTCTCCCCTTCCGACCCATGGCTGCGCTGCCTGTGCTGGCCCAGCGACTTGTCCATCGCTGGTCCTTTCGGCCTCCACCGGGGGCCGCTAGCGGCTCTGGCAGTGGCTCGCTTGTCCAATCACCGCCCCCGTCGCCCAGTAGCCCCCAGTGGCCCCCATTCATTGGTACTGTTTGGCCCCACCGCCCCTCCACATCCGTTCTCACTCGCTCGTCCGCCCTTGCTTTTTATCCTCCGCCGCGCCGTGGTTGTAGCCAGTGGGCATCCAGTCCGCTGGCCTCCTGCAGCTGATAGTCGGGCCCATCCCCATCCTTCCTGCCGCTGGCCAATCAGCACCCTCGATTCTGCTTGGCCGCTCCCTGTGCGACGCGCTATCCTCTCGCCGCTTTAGCGGATGGCAACTGAACAAAAATTGTTCGGGGCGCCCGTCTCTTCTCCCTCTTCTCCTCTGGTGTCTCTCTCCCTGCACCCTGGTCTGGGGAGGCGTTTGCGAAGCGCCGGTCTCCCGAGAGAGCCTACCCGCATGGCCCCGAGTCCTATCACGTTGGGGTCTTTGGTTGTCTGCCTTGTGGTGTCAGCAGAATGACTTTTCATTTGGGGTTCCCCTCTTCTAGGCTCCCTTGCTCTGGTATTCCCATCAGTTTTCCGTCCCTTTTCGGGGATTGTTTTGGCCCTCTGGTCGAGTTGGAATTCCGGGCGATGAGGACAAGTGGCCGTTTTGGGGGGAGGGCACTCGTCAAGAGGAGAAGAATTGGGGGTTCGACAGGTCGACTGGCGGATCTGATCCACCGGTCGCCAAGCCTTTGAGGGGGGCGAATCTCATGGCATGCAACGATGATCCTTCTCTCCGTTTCGGGAAGCGATCCCGTTTGCCTATCGCGAATACGGAGGAGTCATCATCATTATACTTCTCGGTTGGATATGCTACGTTCTTATTACATGTATATTATCCTATTATTACTATCATCATCATCCTTCGGAGATGCTTGTGATCATTCACGATCCACTTGGGTCCGCCTCTAGTGCGGAGGGTGGTGGAGGGAGTATATCGCCCGGCTGCTATAGCGCATCCCTATTCCGTCCCCGTCAGCAGGGAAGCCCTGATATTGTACTCCGTGGTCATCGCTCTGTTCAAATGCGCGAGAGGATGGGTATGGCAGTATGTATTGTTGCTGCATTTTCCATTGGGCCCGGGTATGTTGAATACATACCATACCTAAGCGCCGTCTCCTCGTCACATTCCTGCAAATGCCCGGTAAGAATCACATCTCGACCTTGTCCCGGTCGCTCGTGTTCCCTCGACCGATTTCCTGTGGAGCGGTGTGATAGGCAGTTGGGGTTCCGCCTGGTCGGTGATGGCTAGTTGCTGAAGAAAGTCAAGTCTGAAATGCCCATTTTCTATGGGCCCCTTCAACGGAATTTGATCGATGATGATGTCAAGATTGTCTGGTTGAGTCCTGGAGATCCAGAGGCAGACTCGGCCCCGTCACATGCGAGGCACGTGACCAAGGATGCAATCCTGCTGGTAGATCGTATTTCGTGCCTCATGCATTTGGGAGAAACGGATTGGATTCAAAAATTCCAAAAAAAAGTACGTAGCTTTCAGCCCTAAAGGCTGACCGACCCAGATGAGGCCCGCACTCGACTGCCTAGATCGAGGGCGACATGGAGCAAGGGCACATCTCCGAGAAGCACCGTGTTCGGTGAACCAGAAAAGGTGCCAGCGGAGGACCAAATGATTCCCATCGCCGGCACGCTGATTGGTCCACCCGGCGGCCCTCAAGCCTCGGGTAGGCGGTTTTCGGCGTTTTCTACGCAAAAAGTTCGGCTCCAGTCACTCGGCTATTCAAGGAGGAAAGAAGCATAACCAGAACCCTCCACCTTCTCCTCTGAACGCGACCGCTCAGATTGAACAACGACGACTCGACCTCGACGAGAGCCTCTTGCCATGCTCATTGACCCTTGACCGTCGGTAACCGCGCCCGCAACCTCTCCTCAACTCCGCCATTCGACACATCTCCAAAACAATAAAAAATGGCGTCCAAAGGCGCCGTGCTGCCTCTGCTGAGGCGTGAAATGCGCTCCACCCGTCGATTCACCCGAGTCAACGCTGCGTTGACAACTCCAGCCCGAAGCTTCATCACAACCCCAGTCTCGACCGCCGGTCGACGATTAGCTCGCCGAACGGCAACCTTCACCCCGCTTCCTCAGATCCGCGCCTTTTCACAGTCAGCAGCACGACGGTTGACAGATGAGGGTGGCAATTTCGATCCCCGAACACTGGAGCGCGAGTCAGATGAGGTGGATGTTTGCATTGTGGGAGGTGGTAGGTAGCCGTGAAGTCCGCATACGCCGTGGGGAGACAGCCTCGCCCCCGGGGATTATTCGAACCTGAGCCTGAACTAACGTTTCATCGTGCCAGGTCCCGCTGGTCTAGCCGCTGCCATTCGGCTGAAGCAGCTCGCCATTGATGCTGGTAACGACGAATTCCGAGTGATCTTGTTGGAGAAGGCAGGTGAGCTCGGAGCCCATATCGTCTCGGGCAACGTCCTGCAACCGACTGCCATGAACGAGCTCTTCCCCGACTGGCTCGCCGAAGATAACCCATACCGCTTCGAGGGCGCGACCCCCGCCAAGGGCGATAAGATGCGCTTCCTCACCAAAAACTCCTCATTCCCTCTTCCCGCACCCCCGCAGATGAACAACCATGGCAACTATATCGTTAGCTTGAACGAGTTGACTAAGTGGCTAGGCGAGCGCGCAGAGGAGCTAGGAGTGGAGGTGTATCCCGGATTTGCGGCGAGCGAGGTCGTCTATAAGCCCGATGGCTCAGTGAAGGGCGTTGCCACTAATGATCTCGGCCTGGGCCGTGACGGCCAGCCCAAGGACAACTTTGAGCGCGGCATGGAGTTTCACGCGCGTGTCACCCTCCTGGCTGAGGGTTGCCACGGCAGCTTGACGAAGCAGGTGATCAAGAAGTTTGATTTGCGCCGGGACAGTCAGCCGCAAACCTACGGCTTGGGTATTAAAGAGATTTGGGAGATCCAACCGGAGAAGTTCAAGTCGGGTGAGATTATACACTCCATGGGCTACCCCTTACCCAAGGACACTTACGGAGGTGCCTGGATGTACCACTTTGGCGATAACATGGTCAGCATTGGTTTGGTTGTTGGTTTGGACTACCCGAACCCGTGGCTGTCACCATACCAGGAATTTCAGAAGATGAAGCACCACCCGATGTTCAAGGAAGTACTGGAGGGGGGCAAGTGCATTTCTTACGGAGCCCGTGCCCTGAACGAGGGTGGATTCCAGTCCATCCCTAAGTGTGCATTCCCTGGCGGTGCCCTGATCGGCGACACAGCGGGATTCTTGAATGTGCCCAAGATCAAGGGCACGCACACGGCGATGAAGTCCGGCATGCTGGCTGCGGAGGCTGCCTACAACGCGCTGCAGGGCGAGACCGACGAAGGTACCGTATTCCTCTTTGATTATGAGAAGTCCCTCCGCGACTCGTCCATCTGGAAGGAGCTGTACGAGGTGCGTAATATGCGGCCATCCTTCAACACTCCTCTTGGCTTCTTCGGCGGCCTGCTGTACTCCGGTCTCGAGGCCTACGTGTTCCGCGGCCGGGTCCCCTGGACCCTGAGCCACCACGGCACGGATGCGGCAGCCACCAAGCCCGCATCCCAGTATAACAAGATCGAGTACCCCAAGCCCGATGGCGAGATCAGCTTCGACATCCTTACCAGCGTGAGCCGCACCGGCACCAACCACGAGGAGGATCAGCCGGTGCACCTGCAGGTGGAGGACTGGGACAAGCACAAGGATCTAGCGTGGCCCGTGTACAAGGGAGTGGAAAACCGATTCTGCCCAGCCGGGGTGTACGAGTACGTGGAGGACCCCAGCAAGGAGCATGGCGTGCGGTTCCAGATCAACGCGCAAAAGTAAGTTTTTTTATTTCCTGCAAACGGAGATTGTATGATTCCAGGCTGACTTTTCTTTTTTTTTCCCGTTCTTTACTAGCTGTATCCATTGCAAGACCTGTGATATTAAAGTACCAACCCAGGACATCAACTGGCAAACCCCCCAGGGCGGTGAAGGTCCTAAGTATATCATGACCTGAGCAGTGCTGAACTGCCGTCAGTGGGCTGCTGCCAGAGAATGGGCGTTTCGGGGAAGGAGTTTGAACATACTACCCAGTCTGAGGACCGGGGCTCGTTTTGTACTGTGTGTATGTATATATATACCGATCGATCTATCTGAGAATACCAAAAAAGACCGAGCGTTGTTTTTTGTGATGTTTGCCAGTATTGGTTGTAAAAGGCGAGGAAACAAAAGTACCGCACACACCCTTCGATTGTGATTGATGTGACCTGGTGTACAGAGCACATCTCCCGGAGTGTGACATGCACACGCTACTGGTGGCCGCGGCCCGCCCCATGGGGGAGGCCAAGGGCAGAACCGTGGAATGTCGGTGGAGGTCCACGAGGCGGGTACCCGATAGCTACTCTATATGCTGAGTGAACTATGGCCCTAGGAAGGAAATAGCCAAACCATGATCCATGAACTATGTACAATGAACTATTAGCCCGCCCCATTTGAACCGATCACTTATCATGATCGCAAAACAACTTCAGAAATCCGTCCTGTTGCCGAAGCTGCACAGCTGAGACGCGGGAGGCACGTGGATCCCAAAGTGAGGCGGCGACTCCCACCGCCAGATCATCTTGCTTTTTCTCTTTCCCTCTTTTCCTCTTTCCCACCCCCCTCCTTTTCTCTCCTGCACTTTCCTGCATCTTCTTTTCGTGCCGTCTTTTTCCTGCTGGTGTACCCAAAGACTAACCCAAAGCCCACTCTCTCTTGCTACCTTGGGCTTTTTTTTTTGGGAAGAGGATACGCCAAACCCACGTCTCTGATTCGGCCAAACTCGGTTCTCGCCGGTCGCCTCCTGTTGGCTTTGGCCCTGTTGCTCCTGGGCTCCATCCATCCCCCACACCTGATCTGATTCTCCCGGCCTGACTGGTCTCGTCCGCCCTCTCCAAACCACCATGACGGAGGTCTCCTCGACCCGACTCTATCTCGGGAACCTTCCCCGCAATGGTATGCTGACACCCAACGTCCTTTCCCTCCACCCTGAACCTAGGCTGCCAGAATATTGATCGGATTTGCTTGCCCTCCTCTCTTTTTAACTTTTTTTTTTTCTACTGCCACAGCCGCTGACAAGACCTGTGACTTAATAATATACAGTGACTAAACAGGATATTGAAGAACACTTCAACACCCATGGCTCCGGTAAGATCACGGAGATCAAGCTAATGAACGGCTTCGGCTTTATCGAATACGAAGATGCCATGGATGCTCGAGACGTTGTACCTGGTATGCATTTAACCTGGCTTTCCATTTCGCTTGCTTACGGGGGACCTGTCTCCGTGTCACCTACTATCGTTTGCTTTGCTGACTCTTGAACCCTGTCCGGTCTCCATAGCCTTCCGTATGTCACCCACCACTGACTACGGCTTATGAAGACCTGACTCATTTACCACCTTTTACATAGACGGCAGTGACTTCAAAGGCGAACGGCTGACTGTACAGTTTGCCCGTGGACCTCGGCGCAAAGAGAATTTCCCAGGTCCTACGGACCGCCCAGCGGCTCCTCGGCCACGTCGGACCATGTTCCGGATGCAGATCTCCGGTCTCCCAGAAACAAGTTGGCAGGTTAGCAGCCCAAGCCCATCCTTCCCTGGATCTCCCGGACTTCCTTTACTTTCCCTGGCTACCTCTCTGCGTACTCTCCTCAATGCCCTCCAGTCCGTGCGCCTCGTTACTGGGTTAGATTGGGTCTCAATTCCTGGATCTACGGACCCATTGCACTCTCGGTCCGGATGATATGGCCAAGGTCTTTCCTTCTGGTCTTCTTCTGCTCTGCCCTGGGATCTTGTGCAATTATTCTCCACGAAGAACGCCCGAGCAGCTGAAGTGCGACTTTCGTTGGGAATCATGAAGCACACTCCCAACGAGGCCATTCTGGATCCTTGTAACCCTTTGACTTGGACGTAGACTTAATTACCCACATCCGCTCTCTCCCTCCACTTGGACCTGCTCGGACATCTCTCTATCACTCTACTATCTTCCAGGACCTGGACTCACCATTCCTTTTTTAGGACCTCAAAGACTTCGCTCGTCAATCAGGACTGGACGTGGTCTACTCCGAGACCGGCCGTGAACAAGGACGAGGGTGGGTTCCCTTTCATCTTCCGAGCCATTCGGTTTCCCCTCCAGATGGTGAATTGAACAACCCCCCAATTAACTCGACTTTCATCAAGGTTTGTTGAATTCGAAACCGCCAATGACCTCAAGACGGCCGTGGAAAAGCTGGACCAGCGTGAATTCAAAGGATCACATGTGACCTGCGTTGCGGATGTAAGGACTCTCCTGGACCAAACACCTCGTAGAAAACAAGGATCCCACGTCTCATTTCTTCTCAGATCCAGAGCTTTGAAGACCGTCCCTTTCGGGACCCATACCGGTCCCGTTCCCCTCGCCGGCCTTACCCTCCCATGGATGAATACGACCGTCGATTTCCTGGAGCCCCCCGTGGATATAGTCCCCGGGACCACTACCGTGAACGGTCTCCTATCCCTATGCGCCGGGAATACTATGAGCGTGATGGCTATGGTCGCCGCAGCCCCCCTCGCGCTCGGATTGAGGACTATCCGCCTCCCCGTCGTCCGTATGAGGATCCCTATGATGCCCGACCTCCGCCTCCTCCACGCCACTATGATGACCCGTATCTAGCGGCGCGGCCTTACGGACGCCCCCGTTCCCCCCCTCGAAGTGACTACGTTGCATATGAACGTCCTCGTTACTGGTAGACGGCCACCGTTGTCGTTCCCTCTGCCCCTTTTTCCCCCTCTCACTTTTCCCGGATATGGTTTTTCACGGATGCTTTCTCTTGTCGGCCACATGCAAATACCCGCTACGTATCGTATTGAACTTCATTAGGGGGTGCACATGATTTTGTTTTTTTTTTCTCCTGGCTTCCGAGGGTTATCGTGTTTCTCCAGACTGGACGTCCGTTGATCGTGAGAAAGCCCTGGCTTTTATTCGCAAAATTTTCCTCGAAAAAGTCCCACTGGTCTTTCTGGACTCGTCGGATCCGTCTTGGACGCGAAAGGGGCTGGGTCCCGTCCAGGCGGATTTTTTTCCCGATGGAACTTCCCAAGCCGACGCTAATGTATTTGCAACTACAATACTCTGATTTTTCATACTCTGGTCCGACTAGCGCTGTTTCCCCCTCAATTTTTCGTTTTCCATCTTCGACTGGATTTGACTTGTCTGTACAGATACCGAGGTTACGAGGATAGGGGACAACAACGGAGCGGCGATTTCTTTGACTTTCTGCGTCTACATTCTAACGACAGTGATAACATACGGTTTCAGATAGTGCCTTTTTTGCTTCGTCTTTTACAGGATGATAAAGCCCAGATCGCCTATTGGTGCTAAATCTACTTCTTTCTATGTTCAGATAGCAATCTTTAACGGGTGTAAGACCCGAAATCTACGGTTGATGAGTCCAATGTGCCTGACTGTAACAGACCATGGCAATGTACCTCCTCATTCAGGTAGAATCCAACAAGTAGATCCGGGTTTTGAGAGTTGATGGCGATGTTGGCAGACGTTAGCCCTGGGGAAGCTTGTCCGGGGCTCGTTGCCGTCATGATCTGCAAGCCCCGCTAAAAAACTTCCCGAGCTCCTCCTCCCCCGCCATCCCACTTCCTTCGAGCTTGCGCAAGGCGATTTCTGATTGCAATTCCATGCCCACGTCCTTCTAGGCGAACGTCTTGCTTCCAAGCAGCTTTCCACATCCTTCTCTCTCTCTCGTTCCTTTTCTCTTTTAGTGCAGCACCAAGCTCTCGGCATCTCTCTTCGTCGCAGATAACCCCGACGACCACTACACGACCCTCCTTCAATTCCATCAACTTCAATTACCCCCCCGCACATCACAAAGCATCAAAAAGCCTTCACAATGTCTCCTAATCGCTCTGCTGTCCACATTCCCCAAACCCCAGCGGTCCTCGACAGTGTCCGCCTGCGCGACATCGAGCTGCCTCTCCCCGCCGCTCCAGACCCATGGCACCGTCCCGACAAAGCTCAGCCCGCTACAGCAAGTCTCAAGCTCTCCTACTCGTCCGCTATTGCAGCCGCCGCTGCCGACGACGTTTCCCTTTCCCTTGACTATGGCAAGCTCTTCCGCCGCCTGGAAGCCGATATCCGCGACATGGCACACCATACCACGTCGCCGGAGCACCCGCACCACCGCATGATCAGCATCGACGGCACGCAGCGCGAGGAGATGAAAGTCAGCGCCGTCGGTCAGGACCCGCGCGTGACGGCCGGCATCGTGGCCAACGCTGGTCTCGCCCTGCTGGACGAGACCGCCGCCGCTGTCCGCCGCATGGCCCACGTCCACACCAGCCCGCGCTCCAGCTTCTCCGGCGCGCCGGTGCCCGCCCCGCCTAACGCCCCGCCCGCTATCGCTGGAGATTTCGGCCAGTGTGAGGTGTGGCTGCATCTGCCGAAGGCGCTGCTCCGTGCGGAGGAGGGCCTGCGCTACCGTAGCGTCACGGTGTGGGGATACCGGCCGGGGATCGACGTGACAGAGGCGGTAGACCCGGCGGCGCGTAGCCCCGTCGTGATCGAGGAGGAATTTCGCATTGAGGGTATCCGGTGCTACTGCATTCTGGGGGTGAATTCGCACGAGCGCGTCGAGAAGCAGGCCGTTATTGTGTCGCTGGAATTCAAGGGACCGGGCCAGTTGGCGTGGGGCTCGACGGTGGTTGATACGTATCAAGCAATGACTCGGGCTGTGGCAGAGGTACGTTGTTGAATGATGTTCTCCTGGTTTACTTGCTTTGTGTTTCTCAGCCTGTTGGGGTGCTAACTGATGGGTTTGACTTGTAGAAAGTCGACGAGACGACGTTCCAGACTGTCGAGGCACTGGCCACTTTCGTGGCGCGCATTGTGACGGTGGACTTTGGCAATGAGCGGGTGACAGTGCGCGTCGAGAAGCCGAGTGCTTTGGCATTTGTGCAGCGCTCGGGCGTTGAGATCACCCGGTCACACACTTTCTTCAATGATCACGATGTGGCCAGGAGGTAATAATGTCTAACGTGAGTTGGGCATGGAATGGACTGCAGGCATTGTATGTGTACGAACAAGGATACTGGTCGATAATGCAATGTTTTATGCTAGAAGGGAGATCTAAGTCTACTTTTCTTTTTCTCGCCGAGTTTCCTGTTTTCGTTGAAGATATTAAACCTGAACCAAAAAGCTATAGATGCCTGTAGGAAAGTTAGTATTTATTCAAAGAGTCGGGGTCCCTCTAGATAACATGTTGCTTTAGGGTATGGATAGCTCGATGAAATCGTTGGCTAAAGGAAATACCATAACCATGGGCCCGAGTGTCTTTATCTGCCTCGCAAACAGAGCAGATAATTCTATACAGTTCGGTCAACCTTTGTACGGGCTATCATACCCGAGAAGCAACAGTCCATGATAATTAGGACATCAAGACCATTGAAACTATTATCGCGGGAAATGAAGAGGGGAGCGCGGGCGGTGGCCCAGATGATTCCTCGGACGAGGATTTATTCTCTTGTGTATTCAAGAAACGGGAATGAGAGTATTGGGTTTCTCCAATTGTGCTGATTGCGTTTCTTCCGCTGATGGGCCTGCAAACAAAGCAAAACCTTTTCGTTAGACGCTTTAATTTTGTATGTTCTGTCTAGCTGGTTCAATCTTGTATCCTGCTACCGCAAGCTCGACGAAGCAGTAGACTTAGCAAATCATTGATTCCAGCTTTAAGGAGCAGCAGCGTAGAGTCGAAACAAATCTGAAGTGGCTGAATTCTCTTAATATAGAACCATAGATATATGATCTAGACACCGTTAAAATAAATATTCACTTTAAAATAGTAGGGACTGCACGCCAATGGACGGTGACTATTAAGTCCAGAAATAAATGTGAACCAGAGCCGGTCACAACCAACATGAGAAGTCCCTTATCGAATTTGGTCGTCCTGAGACAATATGCTAACTCAGTTTCCTACCAAGCATGATACTCTGTTAGGCCAATAGTTATAAAAGGTGCATAGTCATATTTAGCCTTATAGATGGGTTAGAATGTGTGTGTACTAGCTCTTGGCTGAGCCGTTGATATAGGTATGATTGTAGCGAAGCTTGCTCTTTCAGTTTCACTTTTCTATTTTTTCCTAGAGCCAATTCACTAACTCTGGGTTCAGCTTTGTATTACGAGATATCACCTTCTCGGTCGACGGCTTTGTCATATATATCGATCTGCTTAAATAAGGTGATTAACCAAAAAAGTAATTCACACGATAGCCGCGATCAGCCAATAGAAGCTAGCTCACCGATGGAGTAATTAGTGGAAGGACTGAAATAGAAGTCACACCTGCCATCTCGTGGAGCTCCCTTTTTTCCTTTTGACAAGTCGATGGCCGATAAAATTATCTGGGATAATAAATCACTCTTCCTGTAGTAGATGAATAGCTGAAGAAGGCAGAAGAAGAAGGGAGACTTGAAAATAGACGGACAGAGGTAAGCGAAGAAAGGAAGAACTTGTAGAAAATGAATCTCTCGCGACCCCGAATCTTAAGCATTCTAGACTAATTTAGAGAGAATATGTATGTATTAGGAAGACCAGTCATCGAGTGACGCTTGTTTGGAGTCCAATGCTCCATATCTTCTCATCCTGACCCAACAACCATCGCCACTAGAGACCACCAATGTGAGCACCTGCTTTTCCTCGCCAACTGGCACATTGAACTTTTCTGTCATATCAATGATTTCAAATGTTTGTAACAGCCTTACGATTGTAAATCCAGCTTCTAACAGCGCAAAATCCTGTCCTAAACATATCCTTGGTCCTCCGTTGAAGGGCAAATACCCCCACCCGACATTCTTCAGGGCATCGTTTTTCCAACGCTCAGGGCGAAATTGATCAGCGTCCGGCCCATAGATATCTTTTCGACGGTGCATGGCATAGACACAGTATCCCACTGCTTCACCCTTTCGGACGAGCACAGGAGCTGTCCCAGTAGGACCACCACCAACGGGGAGGGTCGTAGTCTTCAGAGCCGCTCGCGAGTTTACCGGTACAGATGGATATAAGCGAAGAACTATTCGTATGAATTAGTGATAGTTTAGTACTAAAGAGTTGAGTCACCATTATTATCCTAATACCTTCTTTGAGAACAAGCGACAAATATGGCAGTGCTTTAATTTGACTTATTGTAGGTATCGACGCTTCTGGGCCAAAACCAACTGTATCTCTGATCTCGCAACGGAGCTTGAAGAGAACTTGGGGATGCTGCACTAGAAGTCGACTTGATTTCGGCAACGTCAGTTTTCGGCGTGACTAACAACAATCATTTCACTTACAGGCTCCATGTGAGGCAACATGCCGTGGTATCTCTTCCAGCTAGCAAGATATTAAGGCATTGGTCTCTCAGAACTTTCGGGTTACTGCTTTCTTTGACGAGTGCGTCGATAAAGACGTACGGTGTCGTCTTCGAGTCATTATTTTCCGCCGTGTCTGAACTGTTTAGGGCCTTTTTAACAGCGCTATCTACAAAATTATGACAGGTTTTACAGGCATCCCGAAACCTCTTACCCCCTAGAAGCCAGTATAAATCGCCAAGACGACCTCGTTGGGCAAGGTAGTCCTGGCTTAGATTGAAAGCTTCTGCAAACTCGGATTCACGGCCTGCTATGCCTTCTGATTTCAAAGACGGCAGATGCTGTCCAAACAATAAAAAGAGTGTGGTTTCGAAGGTTAGGCGGAAAAACAAGGGCTGTAGATCAATCAAGTCATTATCTGGCACGCAGGAAATGAGATTTTTCACGGCATCTGCGATTTGCTCGAAGTTATTGGACCGATTGGTCATAAATTGCGGTCGCAGGAGATCTCGCGAGTGTCGCCACTGTTTGCCGTCTTGAGTGAAGATACCACTTCCTAACAAAGGGTCGAAAGTCGGAGGTCGCAATCCAAGTCCAAAGTCTTAAGTTTAGTCATTTGTTAGCGGCATCTATATTAATACCACGAGAGATGCACTGACCAGTGAAGTGACTTGATAAAATAGCCTCAATATTTCTAGGGTCAATTGTGTCGATTCCCCGGGCGAAAAGGAGATTCTGCTCGAAGGTGTTTCCGGACTCAGCCACTACGTCAAGAAAAAACTGGAGAATTCGCAGCTTGCGCTCGTGGCGAAAGGCTTTCAGAAGCAAATCAAGCCCCATTGGCCATCTTGAATTCCATTTTTTAGGTGGCAGGCAGCCTTTTGCCGCAGCAAATTTTCTGTCCACCTGCCAGTTAAGTCAGACATAATCGCGGATAGGAATAGTCCACAAAAGTCCAACTTTCTTGTAACAAACATACTCGTAACTCATACCAGTGTATAAATATTCTGTATATGATTAGCGAAATCAGAGATACCGCAAACAGATCCCAAGTTAGGCGTAGTGAGAGTAACATGTTGCCCGAGAGACAGGTTCCCTGAAACGAGTCAGAACACGGATAATGCCTGTCTTTCTCGGTTCGTAGCTGGAATATCACGAAAGAAAAACCGCAAATGAAGGAAAAGGATGGCAACGACTGAGGGGCTGTAGGTTTCTAGGAATGGGATTAATAAACAAAGCCGCAGGACACATGCTAAACCAAAAAGGATGGAGTCCATAGGCGTCTAACAAAGGGGCGGTCGTTCTGCTACCGAACAGTAGCCCGCGAGTGATTAACCTACAAAAATGAGTCACCAAATGGTGTTCGCATGAAGAATGTATCTCGAAGATCTAGCCAATTTCAAAAACCTATGGGAAAATTGCAAATGGAGCCTTGGTACCTGCCAGGATATAACAACGCAACTCGAGTTATTCATCCACGAGATCTATAGCAAAGCTGGATGGACTGAACAAAGAAAAGTAGGTAGCGGTAGCAGAACAGGGCATGATGAGACTGAATTTCAGAATTCTTTCTCTGGGCTCGCCAGAGTCGCCAGATATTCTGTGGGTAGGGGAAAAGTGTATCTCTGTGACGATGAATTGTGCTCAGCGATGCCTCACCGAAGGGTTCCGATCGCCCCCCAAAGCACAGACACTTAATATCTACACTTTCGACTGGGGAAACTCTGATAGGCCGACAGAGAACACCGGGATATTTTGCCATGATAATTTTTCGAGTTGAGTAATCACCCAGAAGACTTCAAATGTTAGAGATTGTGACAGGGTAGAATGTACTCCATTGATCATTATTCGAACACTTCAATCCTCTTCAATTTCCAAATGAGCCCTTTGCAAATCACCAGGGGAAATACAAGGCCATTATGTACATAGACACCTGTATAGTGCCTACATGGTTGAAGGTGGACAGGCTATTGAGTAGTTAGCGAAAGAAATCTATCCTTGCAAGCCAGAGCTTACTAAAAAGCTATTAAAGATGTTCACTGTTATATAAATAGGTTACAACTGAAAGTATTCCCTATTCCTAGCATCTAGATTATTAGCTCACACTATATTCAGCATGGCATCAACCAAGTACATTCTACCAGGTTTGTGGCAGAAAGCGCCAGCACCGCCTTTCCTTTCCACTAATTGAAAACTAGAAAACAGTGAGGAGATGGCGGCCAGTCATGACAAACATCAGGCTTCAGTGAGGGGCATCAGCATACTACACACTGCGAATCTACAGTAGCAGCACAGATCTGCCCACATACTCAAAACTTTCACCTCTTAAGAGGCAAGGGGAAGCGCCGACTGGCCATCGGTAGGGACATTGTGAAAACTGCGACAGTGAATGCGCTTCCACGGAATGTTTTGGGATTCAAAGCCAGCTGTCAACCTCTGCCATCGGGGGAAAATCAACCTTTTAAAGTCAAATATCTTGTTAGAAAACTGTGAAACAAACTGCTTCTAACAGTAAGAAGTGCTCACAAACCAATCTACAAAGTGAGATTGTTGTATACACATCTTATCACGTTCAAGCTGACCAGCGAGACTTCAGCAGGCGCATCTAGCTTTGATGCAATGCCTGAATCTGGTAAACCAGCATTGGGAGAACTGGCTGCTCCAGCCGCAAGTGGCTTTTTTGGAACAAATTTCCAAAAGCCTGCTTTTAAGCCCTTGTTGTTCGTACCAGCAGGTCAACAGAACGAAATTATGGCCAAAGTCATCTGGTGGGTCGATGCTGCTTGCCACGAGAGACTCCCTAAAGGAGGCAATCACTGGTGCCTTTATCTTCGTGTTGGAGAGAATCTTTCAGTATGCATCGACATCACGCCGTCCTACACCGTACCCAGTACCTTAATTCCCGGCGGCTCAAAGGCCAACATGATTGTTAGTCTTCTGGATTATGCCATCTCCCCTTCGGCTCAGAAGATTGTGAAGTTTGATGTTATGCACGGCACGAAAGTAGGCGAATTTATTGACCTCTTTATCCAACACGGCCGCCACAAATATGAGTTCAACTCCGAGGGCCAAGGGTGCAGGTATTGGACTGATGACCAAATAAATCTTCTCCATCAATATGGACTCTTGGTGAACCAAACTCAAATCCAAGCGGCCAAAGCAGCTATTCTCACCCAGTGGCCTGATGAAAAGTACTACCCTCTTGTGCAAGGAGGCTACCAGTGATTGTCTATTGACCTGGAACTGCTTGGGTCGATTTTCCTCTGAAAGCTGTATGTGCTATAATGCACCCTAATCTAACTCGTATCGAAGTTGTCCGACGGTGTTCTCTGAGTTGGTGGACTGTGTGCCGATTTCATATTAAAGAGCTTAAGATGCTATCAATTCGAAATATGACTATCCTATCTGTAGAAAAATATTGATCTGTGATATTAGGATCTGGAATATAAGGTATCGTCTCGGGGTGGGCGCACTTTTTAGTGCAAGGGATAATAGCACTGAAAGCTGGATAGTCTTCTGGTCTTGGGAGGATCTTTTAGATCTGTAGTTCACTTAAAAACTGCTATTAGTGGACGATGTGCTCTTAATAGGATAATTATTACGATATGTTGTCTTTAGTAAGAGGAGTAATGTAAATCAAAAGATGCTCCCTATAGCCTGTTAACAACTATAAGTGGGACAATTCCTACTGTTCAGTTTCTATTCGCCCTAGGGTTTATGGGGCTTTATCGATAATTCCTCGGTGCATATATAGCAAGATCAATATACTAGTCAAGTCTGAATTTGTTCAATGCCTTGAAGAGGTGCAGAATCATGAGCATGTATCTTGCCGTAAGATACACGGGTCCTAAGCATGCTGCTCCCTCAATCTATTTCTATATACCATATAAGCAAGGGATACTGATAAACTCATAGTCCAAGTATGTTCAGATGAGCGGGGATGAAGTGGATCTACTTGCATGTGGTGATTGTCGACGAAATGTGATCTACAAGCATTGTAGCTTTTGACGAGCTGAACAAGATGAATTCACTTTGGCTAATCTCAACAATAGCCATCGGCGTGCCTCTATCAGCGAGAATATGGCCAATGTGACCTTCGATGCATTGACCAGCTTCACAGTACCCTGCATGGCATTGCTGACTGGATGGAATGAGAAGCCCAGCGCCCGTAGCAAGGGTAAATTGAAAGCCAGGTGGCAAGATTGACAACTCCAGCATTCTCCACTAGACTGGTCACAGATAAATTATGTGATGCCTAGACACTCGTTATGTGTATTTATTTATGCATCTACGCGACGGATCAACTACTTCAACATGACCGAGGCTGTTTACATAGCGAATCTTTAGCTTGTTGCTCTTTTTCCAGTTACTTAAATCCACCTCATTCTAGCGGGAAACTTGTCGAAGACCCTGGCTATTCTAGAGCACAAGAAATAACATGCGCTATTCACAAGACCATTTACTATCCAATTTTGATACCACCTCCACTGGCACTCACTACAGAACCAGTAATCCATCTTGCATCCTCGCCACAAAGGAGTCCCACCACATCCGCTACATCATTAGATTGTCCGAATCGTGGTATGCTCTGCAAGGGAAAGAACTCGTCCTGAAATTCTTTGACTGCTTCTGGACCGCAGTTGACCACAGCTTCTGTCTCGGTCAAGCCGACCGTAACTGCGTTGGCCGTGGTACCCGTCATGAAATAATACCTCTCTTCTTTGCCACCGAAAGCATGAGCCCAGGTTCGACAGAGCGACTCGCCGGCCGATTTACCGGCGGCATACATGAGTTGCATATGCCATGGCTGACGTGAGCGAATAGAGGAAATGTAAATAATGCGACTGTTTGGCTGGAAGAAGCGCCGGCGAACCAACTCCTCGACAATAAGGACTGGAGTCTGCACATTGCCCAATAGGCTACGTTGGATTTCTTCGGTCCCCATCTCGCCGATGACGCCTGGCATAGGATCGCTTGCACTATTGACAAAAATATCGATGCGACCATTGAAAGTGTCGCCTATCTCCTCAGCAATAATACCAGCGCAGTCATGGGAAAAAATATCGGCGACTAGCCCCTTGATCGTCTGCTTCTTCGGCCTTGTTCGCGAGGTGGCTTCAAAGACGCTTCTGGTAACTTCGTCGTTGAGAGTTGACGAAATGGCTGCCACACCTGCATTAGAAGTGCATGTCCCGAGAATGGAACATCCACGAGATGCAAGGTTGAAGGCTATTGCGCGCCCGATTCCACGGGATGCACCGGTGATCACAGCCACCTTGTCGATAAGATCCAGTTCTCGCCCACGAGGGGCCTTTTCTGACGGGGGAGCAACAGAAGACATAGTGCTCGTTATTAGTTTTCGAGAACATTAAAGAGAAAGAAATTTGCTCTTTTCCTTATTGTTTGGCTCCGAAGGCGCGCATTTATGCATTACGGCTAGACCTAGCGTACACTTGGGCCTCTCCGGCCGCCGGGTTCTTGAACCTGTCCAACGAAATCTTGCATAGCCTTCTGACTCACACTCATATCTCCACATCCTTTCATACGCCACTTTGTGAAAGTTACCTGTCGGCAACTAGTCTGTAGCCAGGAAGGGTTCTGGGCGAGTCACATATCAAGATGTCCTTCAAGTACCTCGTGCTCACTAGTGGTGTACTTCACGTCTCATTTGAGTATGAAAGAAAAACAGCAAGAAGGTAGCCTTTATACGAACTACCTTCGCGGCTTGCTTTTACTAGTTCCGTTCTCTTTTACTTGGTTCTATATAGTACGAGTAGCGTTAGGGAAAACATGCATCCTATCTTTTTAAATAATAAATTCTCCAGGTTCCACATGTTTTGCGTGCTATAAGCAGACCACCAGTATAGATGATTGAGGTTGGGGTATATACGAAAGAAGTTTTTATCGACAGGAAGAAGCTATTGAAAACCGCGAGGACCCACATATTCCTCTATGGGTAAGATCGATCTGAAGTCGCGAGAGTGCACTTAGGCTATTGTAACTCATTGAAGACCCGATGATGAGTTTGGGCTAAAAGTAATGTCAGAATAATTTGTAATAAATGCGGAAATTTTCTGGCTCGAAATACGGTTCGACCACGTATAGGCCTTCTTCTTGGTGCCAACATATATAGGATGACAAAAGTCTTTTTACACTCCTTCCCGCCCCACCCCACCTAAACAACTACCTATCTTCTACCACTTCCTATATTATCATTATGCGCTCTATAAACCTCGGACTCGATGTAAATAGAAGAACAAGAGGCGAATTAAATGAGGCAACACGCGCTGCTATTATTTACGCGAGCGAAAATAGTGTTCCGAAGGCTAAAATAGCGCATGATTTCAATATCAGTAGGCCTACTGTTTACAATATATCAAAGCGCTTTCAAAACACAAAAAGCCTTGCTTCACTTCCTCGAAAAGGGCGTCTAAAGAAGCTCTCGAATCCTACTATTCGTTATATCCTTCGTTTAACTCGGAGGTTCCTAACGATAACGTGGAAAGATCTTATTAAAGAGATCCCTTCCGATATCCGACAAGATGTTTCTCTTCGTACGATTCAATGTGCTTTATACGAGCAAGGGATTCGAAAATAGGCCTCGAAGAAACGTTGTTAGTTAAAGAATAAGGATACAAAACGTCGACGATCCTAGACTCGAGACTAGGAAAATTTTAATACTTAGGAAACAGTTATCTTTTCCGATAAATACTCTATCTAACGGAAGTCGAATTCGTAAATTCAATTTATATTCCGATTAAAATCTGAGCAGTATAAACCTCAGTTTGTTAATTTATTAAGCTAAGGAAAGCAAATTTCTTAAATAATCTAGGGTGCAATATAGATCGGTAGCCGCTCGGATATTATTATTATAGAAAAGGAGCCTAGTAAAGGATTCGACGCTAAATCCTATATTTAAACACTTAAAAAGGGTCTCCTTCTAATCTATAAATACGATTAAATCTTCTAGCAGGATAACGTACTAATTTATTCAGCGAATATTACAAAATTATAGTTTAAAGATCGAAGGATTAGAAGGATAGAATAGCCTCCGTATTCGCCTGATCTAAATCCAATTAAGGTTGTATAGTTTATGCTAAAACGAAAACTATTTGAACTCTATCCAAATCTCGCTAAGATAGGAAGATCTAAGCTTGACTGGAATTTATTTAGGCAAGCAATTCGTGAAGCTTAGTGGGCTCTCGATCAAGAGAAGATTGATAGCTTAATCCGCTTATTATTAAAGCGAATTAAAGCGGTTAAGAAGGCAAAAGGGTGGTATACTAAATATTAATATTAAAGAAGATTATATCTTATTATGGAAGCAATTGAATTTGATTTGGGTGAGAAATCGTTGCTAGAAAGTGGTAGGATTAGTGGTAAAAATGTGGGGTGTAAAAAGACTTTTGTCACCCTATGTATTCTCGCATTTGGCATTCGCTCTGCCATCGAGACTGTTCAAGAGCTGGGAGATAAGAAGTGTAGGAGATCTTACCAAGGAGATCCCCTCTTCCGACTGGAGCGTATTTACATGCAATGCCGCAGCGCAAGTGGGAGCTGGGACAGTGCTCGAGAGATTTTCAAGGCCTTTGTCCCTCGCAGTGAAAACAGTCACGAGTTCTGGCTTACTATAGATGGGAGAAGATTTAACTGAGCGGTACCTGTCATCAGTCTACTTGGCTCTGCTCCTAAATTTTCCTTGTACATACGACCACAGGGTGTGGAGAACAGGGCTTCCCGTCCGCTCAGCCGTACTTAAGCCACACGCCGGCAGGTTAGTAGTTGGGTGGGTGACCACCAGCGAATCCCTGCTGTTGTATGTTTTTCTTTTTTTTTTTTTTTTTTGGATTGGTTGTTGGGTTTAGTGTCCTTCCTTGCCTTTGGGAGCCTCGAAGAAATGACACTTCTATCAGTCCTCCCTATAGAAAAGGAAACAAGGTTCAAGTTGACACAAAAAAAATCTCTTCAGGAAGATATCTGAGCGGTAGTATGTCATCGACGACCTTGACACCAACGGCTCCATACTGTTCCTCTGGAACGGAGAAGCTTTCATCAATTAAAGCCTCCCAGAATTCTGGCTAGCCATGATCTCAGTATCGGCATCGGGATCCTACTGGCCTATCTCATAACAGCAGTCCTCGAACATGGATCACGATACGTATATTACTTTTTACCTGACCATCACGAAAGGATAAATAGAACGATACAAGCTTTTGTGAGAGGTAAAAGCATATCGAAAAGCTAAAAGGTAATCTTTATAGTTTAGAGCATCCTGGTTGCGGGGAAATTCAAATGTTTTAAATTCGGCCATGATATCAACAATTATTATTTTGATCATGCTACGATAGTGTTACGATAGTGATTAAGTCACCCCTCTGTTTCTTCCAGCCCGACTGGGTAGGCTCCTCCTATCCTCAGACGCTACGATCTCACAAACGCACCAATTTGACTTGGTGGTGAGTCCACCGACGGCGAGGACAATCTTTCTAAGAATTCCTTTTCCTGCGAGAGTCCTTCGTCGACAGTATTGCTCTTCTCTTGGTAACAGGAAGCCGGGTTTATGGGAGATGTAAAGATGATGTTTTATTCTTATGAGGGAATTAATGATAAGCTAACGGTGACGATGCCGTCACGTGGTAACATCTCTCAACCGTATCTAGTTTCGTTACACCTTACAATAATGCCTATCTATTTGTTCAGACTCAAGACCATAGAGGTTGTATTTTAGTGTAGAAACGCCTTGGTTTTGCATCCTTAACTCCATAGCATATCTTGAGAGAAGACACAACTTATCTTGACAAAGTATAAAAATAGACAAAACCACACCAAAGCGAGGGCATTAACCCGAGAAAATAATCTCCCAGATTAATTGGGCAATATCCTTGAGCTCCTGCTCATCAATAATTATATCGTGCTCTCTAGGAGGTTCGGCGGGTCTGAGGAAGAGAAGATGGAAGGGAATACGGAGCGGGCTACCGTTCACTGTGACTTCGTCACCTTCACTGCTTTCTATGATCTCGATGGTCTGAACAGTTTCGATCTCTGCGTTGGCGCCAGTATTTTGCCATCTTTCGATGGTGATTTTGGGGCGCTGTCGGTCTGCCTTTATGGCTAGTACGATCTTCGCGAGACCATCGATTGGGTCGAGCCATCGGCCAACATCACGACGCAATTTGAATTTTGTCTCAGTGATTGCTGTTTCCACTACCACAGTGGGTCTTCGCGGAGTTCCAGGTGGTGGTCGTCTCGGGCCCCATGCTGCATCTGGTTGTTTGGAGCCATTGGCCACAGGAAATGTGGTGGAACGGTAGTGGTAGATTGATCTTTTAAGCCCCATGGGACCTAACGCGTCCCCTATAGCTGTTTCGAGAGCAACAGAAAGCTCTTCGTGTTCGTGAAGGACCATTTTGACGGCTAATGAATTGATATGTTGATCGAATGTGGTGTGGATAGAAAGTTTTGGTTCGGTATTCGGATCTAGGAAGTCACGATCGTACGTAGCCGTATCAATAGCGAAAATAACATATTCAAACACATCTTCAGACTCCTCCAAGGAATCTAAATTTCCATCATGGTATATTCCATCGGATATAGTTCTAATAGGATGCAGTGAACGGTGAAGGCGCTCACGCTCGAGGTCAATGATTTGGGGAAAATCTTCTTTTCGATAGGTATACCGTCTGACAGATAAAGGTAGCCCTTCCGGGCCACAGTTACATTCGGTGAGTTCAGACATTGCGTGCGCTCTTAGTAGGATTTAGAGGGAATACGAAATCCTGTAAAGACGCCAGGACTAAATTTGCTATTATCTAACGATGGCGTATCGGGCGACCCGGAATGGCCAGGTAAAGGCGGTGAATATGTGCGAGACACGAGTCGTGCATTTATTTGGCAGAATCTTAGTGGGTTCAATATTTTGTCAATTCTACGATGCAACCAACGAGATCAAGTATGAAGTACAGTGGTTAAGTCATTCTCTCTGCTATATATGTACATATTTATAGCTAATTTAAGCTTCCGAGACCGGCCAACAACAAGCCTCAAGGAACCACAAAGAATAGTCAAAAATATCTCCGAAATGGGGGTCCTAGTAGACACTCGCCCAGTTGATAGACTATGGGTGATATTACTATCTAATAGTTACCTTAGGGACATCCCCGCATAAGCCTACGCTAGCTATTAGTACATAAGGCGCTAACACCCTGAATCCCCCTGCCCCGATTATATAATTACTTGGCTCTACCTACCGTACATCACGGAACTGGACAGTAAGATAACAATATCGCGACGAAAGGATTGTTTGTAAATTCTAAGTTCTCGACGCTATTCCTTAAAAGGGGGTGGAGGGCTATATACTATATACTAGTTACTACGCCGCGGCGGCCTAAGGCCTACTATATTGGCTAATATCATATTGAGATGATACTTCCAACTACACTAGATAGATATGCGAAGAAGAGGAGAAAACTATCATTATATCACGCTTATGCACTATAGTACTTCCTTAAATCTTTTCCTCTCAAGTTTCTCAGATTACGACTTCTGTGTCCCATTTTCAGCTCTTCAGGTGATGGACTGAACGGGCACTGAATAGGGCGGCGAGCCGCCTAAGCCAAAATCGTGGGCGCTAGGTAAGCACCGACATACAATATCTGTTGTATGATTTTAGTTTTCTTAACAAATTGACAACAAAGTCCCCTCCCCTCGGGCGGAGATCTCACTGCTCAAGCTGCTCGGGCCGAAGAAGTACGGGGCTGGCGAGCAGCCCTGGAGTGTGGGATATGAAGCAATTCGGGAAGTTGCTAAAGCAGATGGGTATATGTCCAGCGGTGCCAATTTTCCGAAAGAAAAGAAACGAAAAGGTGCTGGTCAAATGGAGCCTTGGGCTTGGGCTTCCTTTGAATTAAATCATTCTCAAACACGGATCACCCCCGAAGGAGAAGAAATACATTTCTGTTATAGCAGGGGCTAGCCTTCAGGGGACAAATTTTTTCTGTTTCTTTCTCTGGCAACTATGATGCGGCCAGATTGCATCTTTAGATGGAGATCCCCTGAGAGGTTTTGATATTCCCCGCTCTTCGACTTGGATTGATAGTTATGGCACCTGGAGCTTTTTGAAGATGGTTACGTCATCAGAAGGGCAGCGGATGAAAGATGATAAATTTGAGCTATAATGGAAGCCTTATCGTTCCTCCGGTCGGGCATTGACCACCTCCCCGGTGGTGAGATTGGCTTCCAGACTGACTAGCCGGCTACCGACTGGATGAAGGCCAACTGCACCCTGTGCGATAAGCCATTCATGGGTGACCTGTGCCGCGAGAATGCTACCGCATAGGCCTCGCTATATTCAGTCGTGTCCTCTGCGGCGATGGATATCTGGCTCGTCGACATTTTTCATACATTCCATAAGGCGCTCATCGACACCATTGAATTCTACTGTCCGGTTATCAGCTGGAAGCACGACTGCGACGCCCTCGTCCACAGATACACGACCCCCGTGGCATTCAGACAGGAGAAACCAATCTGCCGTGTTTAGGCAGGCCAATCGGCCCGAGAATGGTGATATTGCGCACAATATCCGTAGCGTCAGCAGCCTGGATCTAGGAAGACACAGCCGCGGAAGAGTAATGGCCATTTTTGCAGTTGCATAATGACAATTATGAGAGCACGACAATGGTTATAGGGTCAGAATATGTTGCAGTAGGAGGATGTTCCACGGGCAGATAATAAAACGTATGATAAATATACACGCGGACGAGTTCAGACTGAAGAATTTCGAGTTCAAGAGAGAGACATAGCCTGTCAAGAGAGCGAACAGAATTGGCCGGGATTTACAATCCAGACGTCGATTCTCCGCATATATACATTCAAGTACAACAGCTTGCTTCTAACCAATCACTGTAAAATAGACGACCAGAGGTGAGCTTTAAAGTGCCATACCATCAACAGACCACTAAAATATCATACGTATACTAGTCAAGGTGACGCGTCATCCCTTGAGTCACGAAAGAAACTTGAGCCTAATGTGTAGCCAGCTGAGTAGAGTCCACAGGGTTGTCCTTCACGCATGAATGGAATAGAGCGTACCTGCTGAAATGGAAAGATATCATGTTTGAGGATTGATATCTCGGAAGTTAGAGAGCGCAAAGGAGGACATCAACACAAACACGCGGGCGGAGCTAATCCCAACCCCAACAGACGCGGGTCTCGAACTATGGATCTATTAGCTTGGATGCACTCTAATCATACATTAGGATTGGGCCTATTATTAAAGGACCCGGCTGCGACCCACGCAGAGAGCTAGGTAAACACGACCATCTTATGCGTGGGACCGTATCGAAAGGAAGTTGCCTGTAACAAGCAAGGTAGAAGGAATTATACCCATCGGTCTTCGTGAGTAAGTTCCCAGCTTTCAATCTCTGGGTCAGCTAAATAATTCCTACTCACCGCTGCCCGTTTTTTAGAACCGTGAATCACCGGCTTTCCATTCAAACGACTGACGCCACCACGTCCGCCCAAGAGAACTTCCACCGCCCCTCCCCGAGCTCGGTCACTTCAAACAAAAATTCTCGCAGTAAGAATCTTGACCTTGTCGGCTTTTTTTTTCGTTGTGCCTTGCTGCTCATCTTCTAGCGCTGTTCAACTGAGGCCCTTTTTTTTTTTTTTTTTTTTTTTTTTTTGAAAAAAGGCTCCGAGGTACGATTACTCAATGATTCCGAGAGAGCAGAAGACTTGGAGTCCTTTGACGAAGACGGAAATGAGATGGACGAGCAAAATTTTCTCCAACAGAGGACATATAACATCCGCTCCGGTTTCACCTCCTCATCCGGGATCCTGGCAAGCCGGGCGCCGGTCATCCCAAAAAGTGGGGTCAAGAGATAGCGAAAATACTTCTCAATGGCGAGAAGACTACACCCATTCTGACCCCTGACGACCGTTTTGCCGCTGTAGGAATTGGAAATGAAATTCGGTATCTGATGTCGAAACACAAGGCCGCGTTGAGGTGTTGTACTGAAATCCCGGCGAAAGGGTGATAGCCACTGTCCTCTTCCCTCCGGGCTGGGACTATGATTCCAAGGGGGAAGAGGCCTGTGACGCATCATATTTGTTAGTCGCACAGAGCGAAGAGAAGATGGGTTGAATGGGCTCATCATGATTGTGGAATTTGGGCCACAAAGGGAAGCAAGTGCCTTCTTCAACGAGCACACTCAAGAATGTGCCTGTCGATGAGGACCGTCACTCAATTTTTGACAGCTTAAGTGGGGTTCCAGGTGAACTTGGATCTTTTGGGAGTTCAAATTTTGGTCCTGATGGTGAAACCATGGTATATATCGTCCAGAACACCATCGTACAGGACTACAGTCATGAATGTCGTTACCAACCCAGCGTGAATCTCTGGGATCTGAACACCAAATCCCTTCGACACCAGCTGCCTGGCCATACCGATGCGGTCATGTGGATCGGTATCAATCCAAATAGCTCGCTTGTGGCATCTATTGCATGAAATGACACAGTCCGAATCTGGGATGCTCGCTCCGGTGACTCTCTCCGCATCCTTGGGCCCTTGAAAGGCCAACTCTGGTGTGGCGCCTTTTCCCCAGACTCAATATATCTGGCAATTAGTCAGGGATATCCTTCCTCCATCCACATTCACGATATTTCAACCGCACAGGCAGTCTGCCAAATCAAAATTCCCACTTGGATGCGTTCTATGGCCTGGAGCCCAGATAGGGCCTCGCTCGTAGGGGGGCTTGAGAACGGCACCCTATGTGTCTTCAACACGAGCAACAGAAACAAAAACTCGAATGGTCTCTAGAATTTAAGGACGACATAATGCAAGAATTTGCCTCCATCAAAGGCGTGCGATTTATCGATGGGGGAGGGGGAAAATTGATGTTTCGAATACTAGAGGGGACCGTCGATGTGTATGACATCGGGACTAATACCAAGCAACAATCTACTCGGGGTCCGGATGATAAAATCACCGTATGCCCTCAAGGAAATATGATCTGTCACAAAGATTCCAGACTTCTTCTTATTCCCGGTACTGACTGTGCTTTGCGCTTCTGGGGGTCTGTAGGTTGCGTTCAAGCAGGCGAACGGAACGAAGATGATAGATATGACTGCCCTCAACATGTAGCCATGTATGGCTCGGTTTCTTCTTTTTTTTTTGAAAACTAAGTCTTTGTTCAGGAAAAGTCTATTATGGTGTCAGTAATATGGGACATTAGGCATATTTATAGATTAACCCAGTATGGGAGAAGACTTGAATTAGAGATTTCATTCGGCTACAAGGCAAACTTCTCTTTCTCCCTGTTCCTGACATATCACTCTCTTCCGGATAGGGAACCTCAGCAAGAAGAAGTACAGACAGGGACAACACTTCTTATGTGCATTGGGCTGAAAACCAGATGGCGCAGATCCCTACATAGCACCTTGTAAATAGAGAAAGCCCTAACAGGAATAAGAATATCGATTGATTGACAGAAACAAATGTTGCAAGGGGCGTATGTGCATACGTGGGAAATGGCCGCTCTTAATACCCTACGACGCACTGTTTAAGACGTATCATTAAATAGCCTCACTTCTTGCTCGGATCTGGTAGCAGACGTGAACTCGGACTCGCAAATGGTCGCCGACCACTCACGCCGACGTAATTGCACATGCACGTCACGTGTGGTCCGCGTCGGGTTTAGCCGCAGGACCCCCGGATTTGCGCCTCAAGAGAAGCCGATTTTCTTCAGCTTGATCCTCCACGCTTCCCATCTCTCCCACTTCGCTGTGGGATTCATGAGCTTACCTCTCTGTTATACGCAAACTAAACCACACACTTTGTTCTCTATGTACCTGTCTGCGCCATCCTCGCCCGCCTCGATCTCTCTGTCCAGCTCTCTGGTCAACCTGAACTCGACCTCAGCTCTCACTTTCGACGCTCTCCGTGCTCCTCCCGACGACTTGGACGTGAACGACTTCTTTCACTCTCCGCTGGCTTTTTCGGCCTTGATTTTTGACTCCGCAGCAGGGGAGGTGATTCGGGTAGGGGTCCCGGGTCCGTCCTGAAGAAGGGCGGACGGTAAAACTACTTTAGAGATTGCAAGCTGGTTCGAACTGAATCTGAAAGGAGACCGCCGTTCATCTTCCACGTTGAGGTATGTAACCCTGCCTCGATTCGAGATCTTCGCCGTCACTTCGATTGGTGGGGCGAAAAAGTCTCGCGCAAAGCTCCATTTACCCCTCCAAACTCGCAATTACACCCCAAAAATGAAGAAAGCTAACATGGGTGCATTCATGGGAGTAGCGGCTGTCATCTAGCCATCTCGAGTGTATCTTTGCCAACTAACACTTCTGTGTGTTTTTCATTCTCTACTGGACTTTCATCGTTGTTGGCGCCTTTGACCGGGGGACAACCTTGAGCCTTCATCTTGAGACATCTCGAAACTCAAAACCCTCCATCGGACGCCCAACTCCCGAGCACGTAAAATTCCTGGATCATGCCTTCCTCTGCTCCTCCTGACGACCTCTCCGTTGGGGACGTTTTTAGTCCGCAGGCCGACAGCGCGCAGCCCTCCGTTGAAACTCCGACCAATCATCATGTCCCGGATGTCCACATGGGTGATCGGCTGTCACCTCGCAAGCAAATGGCCAATTATGCCGCTGATGGGCTCAAGGCAATGCAGCCACCCGCATTCCATCCAGATCTGTTGTCTGGAAGACAGCGTCGGAAGAAGAAGAAGAAGCAGGCCGCACAGGCGGACCCGGCCCGGTCAACGGTGCACGGCTTCACTCCGCTGGCATCCGCTGATGAAGACTCGGATTTCTCAGCTACCAGCTCGCGTGCTGCGGAATCTCGCCCAGCCACCGCCATTGGTGGGGCGAGCCCCCTCGTGCAGCCGGCCTCGGGCCATGGAGTCAGTGCATTGAAGCTCCAGTTCGATTCACTGTTGAGTCTTTCTGGCAAGCCCACTGCCGAGACCAATGGCCTTTGCTCCGCAACTCCCAGCAATGCAAGTGTATACTCGGACAGCGACCAAACTGAAGTTTTGACTAGCTATGAAGTTCCTCTGGAACATGATTTCGTCAGTGCAGATGCTGCTAAAGAAGATCCGACCAGCGTAACAACAGATTTAGCCGGCAATGGTATAAACGTGCGAAACCAACTTTGCCGCAAGATGACCACTGAGGATTTTGAACCCTTGCTTTGCCTCGGCAAAGGCTCCTTCGGCACTGTGTTGCTTGTCCGTCACGTCGTTACGGGCAAGCTGTATGCCCAGAAACAGTTCAAGAAAGCATCCATTACCGTGCACAAGAAGCTGGTGGAGCAGACCAAGACTGAGCGCATGGTCTTGGAAAGCGTCAACCGGCACCCGTTCGTTGTAAAGCTCTTCTATGCGTTTCAGGATCATGAGAAACTCTACCTGATCCTGGAGTACGCCCAGGGTGGGGAATTATTCACTCACCTTGCTATGGAGCGCATGTTCCAGGAGGATGCGGCCGCTTTTTATATGGCAGAGATGGTCCTCGCCCTTGAACACTTGCACCAAAACGTTGGCGTTTTGTACCGCGATCTCAAACCCGAGAACTGCCTCCTGGACCGCGAGGGTCATCTGCTCCTTACGGACTTCGGTTTGAGCAAGATTGCTCTCAGTGATGATGACCGCTGCAACTCTTCTCTCGGCACCATTGAGTACATGGCCCCAGAAGTCGTTCAAGGCAAACCTTACGGCAAAGCATGTGATTGGTGGTCACTCGGTGCACTGGGCTTCGACCTCCTCACCGGGTCGCCCCCTTCCGTGCCAACAATCACACCAAGCTTCAAGAGAAGATCGTCAAACAGAAGCTCGTTCTGCCTTACTTCCTCGGCCCAGATGCCAAAGACCTTCTCACTCGCCTGATGCGCAAGGAACCTTCGAAGCGGCTGGGCTACCACATGCCTAAGGACCTGCAGACAATCAAGAAGCACCGCTTCTTCCGCAAGATTGACTGGGCTGCTCTCGAGCGCCGCGAGGTCGAACCCCCGATCCAGCCAATCGTCACCGACCCGGCCCTCGCGGAGAATTTTTCTGCGGATTTTACCCAGATTCCGCTCAGCCCAATTGTCGGCGGAGGGTTTGATGATCTCTATGCATCAAGCCGTTCGCGTTTGTCGAGCGGCTTCACCGGCGATGCCGATCCATTTGGCGGGTTCAGCTTCGTTGCCTCAAGCAGCCTCCTCGACCATGGGTTGGGCGCTGTGACTGCGGGCTATTAATTCCTTTTGAATCTGGGAGTTTCGGTGTTTTATGATATTTGGGGCTCTATCTGTTTCTGCTTTCAACTCTATGGGATACTGCCCGTCTTTTGTTCCTAGATCAGTTTTTGCGCAACTTCATACACGCCAAGCGCTTCCAACAATACACATTCAAGATTAACAAGGGTTCTTTGTCATCGCAAATTTCGTAGATAGTCATTTGATATACACACGGTCTGCACTTTCCCCACCTTGCAAACCGAAACGTAGCAAGCAAATCCCACGGATCCAACGCCCCCTAGAACTCCTAAATTATGATTCTAGATTTCGCCTTCTTCACTTCCTTCCCCGTCATTAATGTCGCTTCTTCTGGGTGGCTCGTCAGCAGGGGCTGGAGGGGCTGCAGTGCTCGAGTCGGCACCCTTGTCCGAAACCTCGCCTTCTTCAGCGCTGGTTTCCTCTTTTGTAGTGTTTGGTCCCGAGGGCTGTGTACTTTGGTCGCGGTTTTCGCGGAGAGATTTTTCTCCAGATCTAGCATTTCTGAGTGCCTCGACAGCACGGAGAGGGATGCGCGGTTGAGATGTAGATGGTGCTGTTGCAGCACCTGTGGCAGGATGCGGTGAAATAGTGCGTTGGCGTTTCGGAGATCGATTTCCATTTAAAGTGGATGTTGGCTCTGCAACTTCCGGGGCATGGGATTCTGGCTCACGAGAGCGCTTACGTCCATTCTGCGCAGATGAATCACTGGCGGGCGTTGTAAGGGAGGGGGTGCTTGAAGGCTCAGCCACAGGGTTGTTATTGAAGAGCCGAGTGGGGTCGCTCGGGTCCGACTCTGAGAAAGCAAAGTCTGGGTAGCCCTTGCTTAGGTTTTGCTGGACACGTTCGTAGATCTTGACGATCATCCGACAGGCGCGGACAAGGTCCTTCACTTGAACATCGAGTTGTGCCCACCACGGTCGACCCTGTGCGTCATCTGGGAAGGCGACCTGGCAGTGGCGGGCACCAGCATAAAGAGCTGCCGCGGCTATGACCCGCGGTTGAAACTGAAGGCAAAGGACAGTGTATGTCGAGTCATTGAGAAAAGCATGAGCTGCATTTCGGAGAGGTCTGTTGTCTCCAATGCCGAGGAAAAGCCAATAGTCCCAAAGAATGCGGTAAGGTGACTCCAGCTGCAAGTCAAAGCAGAGAAACTCGAGCATGACGCTTTCATTTTGGAGGATCAAATCACGCCACTTCCAATAGTCCTTGGACTGCTCGTCGACGACGAGGTCAGGTTGTTTCATGGCCACACGGCAGCATGCCACAACAAAATCCTTCATACGACGCATCGTCTCGTCCACCTTGAACGCAACGAACAGGGCGACAGCTGCGATCACCTTTGGGTGCATGAGATCGGCTGCCAGCTCTGGGTATTGTCCCCTTAAGGAGTATCGCATGAGGAAGCGGTGCATAAACACAGTGGCTGTCATTGAAGTCTGTGGAGGCATCTTGAGCATCATGCTCACTTGCCAGATGAACTCGACAGCGCGGTGACGTATGTAGTCCTCCTTCTCTCGCTCGATCTTATCGATACGCGACGGGGTGCGTTCAAGCTCGTCATCTGAGAATATCCATTTTATCTGCTCAGACGCAACGACTGGATTCGGCAGGCCCGGGATGCGGTGCTTCGGCGGTGCCGGAGACGCGGAGGGTTCCATTTAGAAGAGAGCCGGACAAATTCCGAGGGACGAGTGTGGTAAAATCGGAGATAATTCGAGACAAGGTGAGGGGAGAAGAGACGACCAAGGGTGATGATTAATCTCTGTCTCTTTGTAGACGTGGGCTCAAGTGAAGCGCGCCCGCGCGCTTTTGCGTTTCCGGAATGTCCTATCGCTTCTTGCTATCCCAGGTTTCGGTGTTGTCTTGGCCAATCGCGCATAGCGGAACTTCTCATCGCATCCTTGGGGGATCGAAGGCGTAAATTCGCACTTGTAAAAAGTGCTGGGTGGACGGGTACTATGATAAATAAAGACTCCCAGACACAGGGAGCACGATCAAGGTAGAGGACGTTGTCGGCCGCAACCCAGTGGAAGCTGCTCGGCCCGGATTAACCAAATGATCCGGGCGTCTCTAGTTGGATCGCGGAAGTATATGAAGATAAAATTTGAAAAAAAGAAGTCACAAATCAAAGAATTCTAAGAATGAAAGCCATGGCAAGATATTTCATCATACGTATTATCAATAAAATGGACAAGTCTTTTGTCAAGGAAAATAGTCGATCGTGATTTCGACATGTTCGGTGCCGCCGTCGTTTCTTGCCCTGGGGACAAATCCACTCCAGCTGTGACAGTGTCAGGAGATGTAAAGGTGATGTTATTGGTTCTGTCTAAGCCTAGCTAAGAAGGTGCTGAGGGTCACTTGACCCAGCTTAAAGGGTAACACCAGCCCACCAGTTCAAAAAAGAAAGAAAGAGAGATAGAGAAAGAAAAAAAGGTTGACCATTGAGGTAACTTGGAGGATTTTATATCTCTACATAGCTCCACATCCAAGTTCCTTATTGATGTAGCTGATTTAATTTTGGATTTTCATTGTAAATATCTATATGGATTTCAGACATGTTGGTCCATCCATGCTTTATCTATCTACATGAGAACGCCTGCAGCCAGATCAAGCTCCATCAAGTAGAGGATTCAGCAACTCTTGTGATGATTGCTACAATTTCTTCAGGGATACTGAGAAAGGATGCATGGCCCGAAGACACTCTGATGATATCGTGTTTGCCCAACTCTGCCATTTTCTCTTGCCATTCGGGGGGTACCGACTTATCATTCTCAGAAAGAACATATGTCTTTGGGCATTGATAGTCTGCTGCCACATACTGCGGAAGTGTGCGGAAACTCTTAATTGTTTGCTTTCTGAAGAGACTGGCGAATTCGATTTCCGCTTGTTCGGGAGGGATGTCGCTGAAGAATAATGGCTTGGCGTCTTCCAAAAGTGTTACAATACCATCCTAGATAAAAAGTCAATGCCCGTGTCAAGCAAAGGCAACAAAAACCCTCTGGAAGATAAGTACTAATACTGACCTTCCATATTTGATATGGGGGTGGAGGAGTGGATTCCTCCTCGTCGCCCGTAATGGACTTGTTCCTTGCAGGCCACACAAATCCTGCCAGATTGATAACGGCGGCAATACCACCTTTTAGGCCCCTTGCAGCCCGCTCAGTGATGGTTTGGCCCTCCATCAATGCAGACGCCGGCAATGATCCATAGCTATGGCTGACAACGACAGCTTGTCTGCCTTCATCAAGCTGTGGTATTAATTTCTTTTGATCTCAGCAGCATCATCAAAATGATTGAGTTCTGGGTTCAACAACTGATTTTTGTCCGAACCAGAAATGCTGCAGCAGGTAACTAGATCAACACAAATTGTCTCGTAGCCCTGGGCGTGTAGCGGCTCCAGGATTTTGCGATAATGCACGGGCCTGTGAAAAGAGCCTGGTACAACGACAATTATTGGTTTGCGAGACTCCATAATTTCTAGTTTGTGGCCCGGGATGTATTTTGAGAAACTCGTGGCAATTTGGACTGAAATAATATGTTCGCGGAGCAGAGCTGACCAGGCTGACAAGGGAACCCGCTTTTATAAGAAGTGAAGCCTTCATGCCTTGCTCAACCCGTATAGTTTTAGCCAATGAGAAAAACTATTAATTGAAATACGTGGTGAGCTAGCTTGAATTAGTAACAGGGGCGAGAACGGGGCCGTAAGCCGGAGAGGGGAAGAGAGGGGCCAAAACGTCTATGTGGTGACCCATCCAGGTATTATCCTCTTCGCTATTATTTAATTTGCTTCTTTATTTGCGCATATATGCCGTGGAGCAGAAACCTCCCAGTAAAATAATGCTGGAAATCGAAATATGCAGGGACATGTGGAGGCAGCTTAGCAGCTCCGGCGATGGACAAGTCTTGGCCGTGTGCTCTCATGACATCGTAAAAATAGCTGTTAGTGGTGTCCTGAAGAAGGGACTATTGTACTGAGCTCGATATCATTCATTCTGATAAGCCACTTTGCCTTCAGGTTCTCTACCAGGTGTGCCTCGGGGATACGTGCCAAATTGTCCGTAGCGCGGAAGTATACGTCGAACGTGACGAAGGCGGAGGACAAGTATCGAGATCCGATACCTGCAACGAAAACGGGGATGCATCTTGCAGGTGAAGATGAAGACTCTTTGCGAGATCGGCGTCGATGATCGTCATTACACATCTAGTATCCAGACAGGCGACGAGCTATCGTCAATAGCGCCAAGACTTATATGATAGGCCTGGCTGCGAGGTCCTGGGTCCGTTTGACTGAACGACCTGCAGTTCTGATGGCAGGGAGTCCGCTTCATCTGGCGAGACGCATTGCGGAGTAGCGGGGATGATCGGCTATGCTGATATATAGGAGGGTGGTGCCGTAAAGCTAGAGCGAGAAATTGAAGTGATCTCTTGCGACGCGATCGCGCCGCCGGGGGGTTGAGGGTTGGTCCTTCTCACTAGGCATGAGGCCTGCAAATGTGAGATCGCCCAGCTTGGGGTGATATTGTCTTTGTGACAGAGTCAGAAGATGTAAAGGTTATCATATTGGTTATCCTCTAAACTAGCTAAGAAGGTACTATAGGGTCAGGTGACCTGGCTTGGAGGGTAACACACCGTCACGAATTCTTGCAACCTGAATTACCAATAAGTGCCAAAGTAAGCCAAAGACGCAAGTATATGACAACAGTACCGCTAGTTTTAATATTGTGACTAGTAGAGTTTGGGAAGGCTGGGAGGATGGGGGCTCTCCCATCCATGGATGGCAACACCGGAATAGATAGCGGAGCTATCAACTATGCCAGTACGGGATATCTAGGACTTAGTGCATAACTATGAGAGCTTTTTTAGAGAGCACGAATGCATATGAAGTGATAGTAAACTAGAACTTAGGTTTATTCTAATCACTTTCGGCATTCTACACTTTCATTTCTATCCCACCTTCCTGCTAAAAGCGATTGTATAAGGGCCAGAAATATCAACACAATGAACCTCGATCAGGTATGGTTGTTTCTTTACGAGCGCATAGATAGCATTGCCTACCGGCTCGAAAGCCGAACAATCGGCGAAGTCTCAGAAGTAGGATTCATATTCCGAGCCATCCTCGAAATACTCTGGCTTGATGAATCCCTCGAATATAGCTTCTATATCACCAGTGATTATATAAGGAAGGCAGTGCCGCTCCTGCACGAAGAAAGCATCTTCCTCATGGCCGAGACCTACTGCAAGAACGACCCTGTTGTGACCATCATAATCCGGCCCCCGAGAGATCCTTCCCCAAACCACAGCCAAACACCGAGCGGTATCAAATCGCTCCTCGAGCGCCGCGAGTTGAGCGCGCATAAGGAACTTCAGAATGTGGTCGTGCGCAACCAGCACGGCGGGCATCTGACCATGGATTCCGTCCATGTTCTCGGCCATATACTAGAGGACGTATGTTTAACGAAGTGGAGCGAAGTCTGCCAGAGAGCCTACAATCGATCGCAGCATTTGAAGTGGCTGTGTCACAAGTATCCCTACTTTGAGAATAATGCCCATGCCCTCGTACAAGACCTTGTACACTACACAGATCCGGCGCACGAGAAGGCCGCGACAGCCTCGATCGCATCAATCAGTTGTCCTTATGTACTAGGCCCGCCATACTTCTCTAGTGAGGCTGTCGAAGACATTTTACTGATTCCTATGGGCAATTCAATGACCCTCCAGGACCACCTCGATGCGATGGTGATGGACGCAGTTGAGCAAAACTCGGTGATTTGCCCGAGCTGTAATCTTGCGCCGGTGTTTCTTTGCGCCTTCGGGCTGGTCTATAGTGAAGATGAAGAGAGTGGCCGGTTCGATATCAAGGAGATCTGCGATCAGGAAAATACGCAGTGGAGTTTACGGACGCTGAAGCGCCAGTTCGTGAGAACTGGATTGAAACATTTGAAACCTCAGCAGCCCCCTAAGAAAAAGAGACTTTGTATGGATTGACGGGCCGGAGTAAATATAGGTCTCAGTGGACCTTCCTCTTGTAACAATCTCTGTGGACTATAGATATTTCATAGGAACTCTGTCTGTTCTTCATCTTTTCTTTCTCGAGTTATTTTACTGTGCAGGAATCACCCTAAGGAAAGGAATTTTTACATTAATAGTCAAGAAACGCAGAGAATTTGCCTCCTCAACTGAAGCCTTTCATCATGAAACAGAAGTAGGAAGACCACAATGGGAAAAGCAGCCAATAAGTTCCATTGCAATAATATTTATTATCTGGTATTTGGTATCGTTGGTCCTACACCTAAGCGCCGCGCTGATATGCAATATTAAAACAGCGGAGAAGCTATTACTCTTCCTCGCTGACTTCACTCTCGTCATCGCTAGGAACATTGTACCGCCCCGAAGTCGATGTGTGACCATACTGTCGGTTGCGCGCCTCCTCCTCGCGGGCGCTTTCTTCAAAGGCGGCTTCCATCTCTGCGGCCAGCGCATCATCGTCCTCCAGGTCATCTCCGGTATCGGCCGAGGGCGGCGGCACGGACTTGGTGTTTTCGACTGGAGGGGGGAGTTGGAGCTCTTCCATGTACTCGTCACCATCGTTATCATCCTCCCTAGCGTCGGCTGGTGTGTTATCCGCGGAAAAGTAGATCGGGTTGACCTGAAAGGCTCGTGAAGGGGGTGGTGAGCCCATGTCGATTATGAGGTCCCCATCAATGATAATATTAGAATTCGGTGATTGACCAGATTGTTGGGAGCCGTTGCCGATGCCGGCATCTGAAAGCGATAGGCGCGGCTCATCCTGGTCGAGTGTTGGTTCGGCGCGTGAGGGTGACTCCGCGGGAGGCTCGCGGCTGGTCTGTTTGGGAGGATTCGGGCGAGAAGCCGGCTTCGGCGGGCGCTTTGTCTCTCGGAGGGGATTTGTTTGCGTCTTGGGCCTGGGTGCAGGCTTAGTGACAGGTCTGGTAGCAGGTATCACTGGAGTGTTGGCCTTGCTGGTGCCGATCGGCTCGGGGGTGCTGTTGCCCGAGACTTGTTCGGCGCTCTTCTTGCGAAGGAAATGTCGGAAGTCGTATGGATTATTGTCATCTGCTTGTCCTTCACCATCACTGGCGCTGCCACCGTTGGGATCATCGCTGGATGTGTGGTCCTCCTCTTGAGATATGCGCAGTTGCTCGTACTGCTCCAGTACCTGCTTTTCCGACTTCCCAGGGGCCGATCGGAGGTTGAAGTTCAGTTGAGTGGAGACCGGCTCGAGAACAAACACTTTTCGATCAGGGTCGAACACCAACACCAGACCTTGCTCTCCAGCAGGGTCCTCACTACCCTGGTATGAATACGTCAAGTTGTGATCGGCGCTCGGGGCCTTATCGGTGACGGAAAGGTCGTAGAGATCGCGGGACTGGGAGGAACGGGTGATGGTCGATCGCTGATGAGGCGTGGATGCTTTGGTTTTGTAATTATAGTTGACGTTGACGAGACGACTAGACTCAGCCTTTTTGGCCAGTCGTTCACCCAGAACAATGGGATATTCGGCCTGCTTGGTTGGGTCGATCATGGACGACAGCGTGGGGGCGGCCATGATTCCGCGCAGTTGAGGAAAAAGACCAGTCAGGTATAGCAGGACTCCAGAATCGATGTGAGGGGGTGTGCAAGAGGAAACGGGGGGTAGAGGGAGGTGAATGAGTGTGAGAGAAAGTCAGGGAACGTGAAGAAGAGAGGAGAGAGGGAAAGAGAGAAAGAGAGGGCGCTGGGGGGTGACACAAGGCGCAAACACGGGGAAAGGCGGAGACCCGCCCGGGCAAGAGAGTCTAAAAGCCTACAGGCTTGGCATCCATGGCTAAGTATACTAAGTATAGGAACATAAGTACCGCTAGTATCACTACAAAGAAAATGCACGCTCGTTCAATGCACCGGAACTCGACTAGTCAGCTGCTCCAGGCGCCCAGCCAATGCTCGATGCTTGCGCATCACATCCTCCCACTCGTAGCTGATGTCTTCCTCTCCGCTCAGCTCCGTCAGAATCATGCCGAAATCGCCCCCAAGTCGGCCTAAACTTGCCGCGCAATACAATAGCTGAGTGAGAAGACTTTCTCTGGAGCTGCGATCCCGAACATTGGGGAGGTATGCCCGCATCGTATCTGTGAGTAATTGCACCAGGTGCATTGGGAATGTCGCTAGGGCGGACGGTAATCGTTGAAACGGGTCGTCCGACCGCGCCGATGGTAATTTGCTTTGGTGGCCTTCAAGAGCCCGTACACTCGAGACAGCCGGATCGGATTCCGACTGCTCAGAGCTGAAAATACTCTTATATAGTGAGACGATGGCGAAACTCTGCTCGCGGAAAATTTCAATGTATCGTTTCAAATATCGATCGGTCTGCTGGCCGTCAGACCAGGTTTCGCCTTTTTCCTTGCCCTGAACTCTCCGTTGGGTTTCTTGATCTGCAAGCTCTCGCAAAGGGTCCAAGGCCTCCAGGGTCGAAACCAGGTGCGCCAGTCGACAGATCAGGAAGATTGCGCCCAGCGCTCCTTCTCCCGTTCCGGCTCCCCCGTCATTCTGCAGACCCTCTAGGTCTGGGGCGACTCGTCGCAGCCAGCCCACGGTCCGCATGCCAGCTGCTAACCGTAGGTTTTGCGAGCGAAGTCCCGCGATGAGGTTGGACGTCATGTCTTTCATTGCATCTTCCGCTTGAGATGCCACATCTTGGATCAAGGGAGAATCGGGGTAAAGTGTCTGGAGTCGTTTGATATGGGCGTGTAGATCGAGTGCGGAGGAGTAGGTGGAGGAGGCCGCACCTGCTGAGTTGGCAGACGCAGCAGACACCGCGGCTGATAATAGAGACGGCAATTCCAAGATATCGGAGAGTCGGTCGACATTGCGCGTTAATTGCATAGCCTTCTTCCGCCGTTCTAGAGCGACATTGTCGGTGATCTTGCTGTATTTGGTGGAGAAGCTTACAGCCTCCTCATCGAGCTTTGGGATGGCATCGCGGAGTTGCTGCGCCTCATGGGTCAATTTCGGGATAGAGGAGCTGAGGTTGGAGAGATTATCGGCGGAAGTTATGAACGCTTTATGGGAGCGGTTGGACAAGGCCTGGAGGGAGAGGAGAGACGAATGGGAGGACTGTGCGAGAGATTGCGGTTCGGTGGTCTGGAGGGCCTCGAGAGAGAGTGTGGACAGGCGATTGAGATACTGAGAAGTCGTGGCATCCTGGACCTGTGGCGTCTCCAGGTGCGGAGCCAGCAATTCCAGAAGCGAGTCGGCCATGATCTCAGCGAAGTTGATTGCGTTGCGTAACCGGCGCGTTGTGAATGGCGAAGGGAGACGCACATACGGTGGCCCGTGCGGCCAGTTTGCGCATCTCCGCAGTCTCTCCAGCAGTTCCCGACTTTTCCTCGTGGAACGTCTCCTTCTATTCTTCGATCAAGAAGGCCAGAAGGAATGGCAAGAAGCCCGGGCATTCGGATTGTATGAACTCGGTTGCTTCGTCGTCGTTTTTATCGTTCTTCTACCCCTCCCCCGCATCTCAAGTGGCCCTGTTCCACATGCCACTGCAAGCATGGGGAAGCCACGGGTAAGTTTGATCCAGTGAAGGGCTGTTGGCATCGGGTCCGATCCTGACATCAAGCGCTATAGATGATTATTCTTGTTCGTCACGCCCAATCGGAAGGAAACAAGAACCGTGATATCCATCAGACCACTCCGGACCATCGAGTTAAACTCACACCGGAGGGACATCGACAAGCACAAGAGGCAGGTCGTCGGCTACGTGACCTTTTACGCCCTGATGACACCTTACACTTCTTCACGTCTCCATACCGCCGGACGAGGGAGACTACTGAGGGTATGCTTGAATCCCTAACTTCGGATTCGCCCTCTCCGTCGCCGTTCCAACGACACGCCATCAAGGTCTACGAAGAACCACGGCTGAGAGAACAAGACTTTGGCAATTTTCAACCATGCTCCAAAGAGATGGAGCGAATGTGGATGGAGCGGGCAGACTACGGTCATTTCTTCTACCGCATTCCGAATGGCGAGTCCGCGGCCGACGCCTACGATCGAGTGAGTGGGTTTAACGAGTCCTTGTGGCGGCTCTTCAATGAGGAAGACTTCGCGAGCGTCTGTGTCCTTGTCACGCACGGTCTCATGACAAGAGTGTTCCTGATGAAATGGTACCATTGGAGTGTGGAGTATTTCGAAGATCTCCGCAACATCAATCACTGCGAGTTCGTGATCATGACCCACAACCCGGACAATGGAAAGTATACACTTGAAAACAAGCTGCGGACATGGTCTGATCTCCGCAAGGAACGGAGCCTCGAGAAGCAGCGCGAGCGGGCGGCAAGTGGGCTTGACCCTGCCAGTCCCACCTCTCCCGTGGATCACATTCCAATTCGCAGGAAATGGGGCGGTTGTCCTGATGGATGCACCCATGGCCTTTCTCCAGAAAGCAAACGGTCCCTGCGAACACACGTACTGGACTCAATGCACCATGAAAATGGGCATTCCCGAGGCATCACCAACACGCATCCTGAGCAGCCCTCGCCTCTCAAAAATACCTCCACTACTTCTGACAGCTTAGACGCGCCATTCACCTGCTCCGAAGATCACAAGTCTCCTCAAGATACCGAGAATAGTACCAACGCCCACGGACCGATTGATCACAACTCCCAATCAAATAAGCATCTCGCAATCGAGACCCTTGGGACCTATGGCTCAAGTCAACCGTCCACCACCAACACCAACAGCGCCCCGGTCCCACGCCGACCCAATCTCCACGACCTCCACCGCGATAGTGATGACCATCTCTTGCACCGCCCAATATCCCACAACTCCACCGCCTCCATCAATCTCGCCCTCCTCCATCTTGGCGGCCGTGACGGCGGCGGCTCCCGCAGCGGCGCCAACAGCCTCGCCCCCTCCGACGACGAGACCGACGACGTCCACCCCCCAGCAGCCAGCAGCAACACTTCAGCCTCGCCCCCGGGGCTAAGCCACCCATACCAAAGCCTTGCGCAACAGCCCTCGCAAGACCTGTCCTCCGATGGCGACGACGAGCTGAGCACGCACCCAGCTGCGAAGACCAAGCGCCGGCCCCACCATCACCACCATCACCATTACCAACCCCACCCCCACCACCATACGCACCACCGGCACTCGTCGTCGACGGCCTCCCAGCCTCACCGGATGGCGAACATTCTCGGCGACGGGGACGACGGGATCTCAACGCAAGACGAGGCCGGCGCTGCCCCGGACGAAACCTCTCTCGAGGCAGAGCAGCGTGAGGACCAAAGTATCCAGGGAAGTGTGTACTAAGCACTGTCCGAGAGTGAGAAATGTGGGGGGTGAGTGCGGGATGGCGAGAGGTCTGTGTCTTTGAATGAGGCTCTTTCTCTTTCTCTCTCTCCCCCTCTTCATTCACGTTCGTTCTTGTTGGATGTGGGCCGTGAGGATAGATACATGGGGGCGGTTACATACTATGCCGGATATTGATTATGACGTTACGGGTTTATGGCTAAGACAAGATAAGATAAGACTCAACAGTATGATGGGATCAGGTCGTTGATTTTTTTTCCTTTTTAATTCTCAAGTTATTTCCATTACTCACTCTTTTTTTCTTTCTCTGGCTGTTTTCTTTGTTTTGTTTTTTTTTTTTCTTTTAAATTTCCCTCCTCCGACGAATCTCGATTCCGTTTCTGTATGAGTCGATTAAGTGGGGAGGGGTTGGCTAGTCAAATGCATCTGACACTGACACTACTCTCGAGAGTTGATAGACTCCAACTGGCATGTAGTCAAACGAACTCGAGCCCCCACGCGATATCAACGGGGTACAATTATACATAGTAAATAAAGTCTACAAGAAGACAAGAATGACAGTTACACGACAAAGAAAATAGTTTGTCGCATTTTTTTTCCTGGAATCATCTTCAAACCTAAGCGTCGACACAGACAAAGACTATGACATCCGCGACGTAGAACCCCCCGGATCCAGCGACTAAACCAGGGCTCAAAACGCGTCATGAGGAAAACAGCGCAGAAACCAGGCCGCGAGCATAGGCACAAAGGATTAGGGGGGAACGTGCTTGAAAAAAAAAGACAAGAGACACGAACAGAACAACCCGGTAGACTACATACAGACGGCTTGTCGGCTCGCCAGCGGACTAGCTTGATAGGTAAGAGAATCCCCCACAACAGGGCGAGAAACGCTGCACGGGATGCTGGAGAACCACATAACCTGCTGAAAGGGAAAAGGGAAGGGGAAACCCAGAACCCATTCATTCTCACTCACGGCACCACTATCCAAGACACATAAAACGGTGTGCAAGTATGAGATAAGAGAACCTGCAACAAGCACTGGTCCTGATCGGGGGGTTGCGTTGCAGCCATATGACCGGGAAGTGAAAGGTCAATGGCACCGAATGCAGGAGACCCGGACCGGGCTGAAATCGAGAGTAGAGAATATCCGTGAAAACGAAAATGCGGCCTTAGGAAAGTTCAAGTTTGGATGAAACGAGGAAGGATCGAAAAAAAACTGCGAGTTGCAGAAAAAAAAAGGGTTCATAAAATGTCGATGGAGAGTGAAGAGAAGTATTAACACCATACACACTTCACGCAGACAAGAGTGTGGGCGTGTCGAATGGAGGAAATTGAATGGGAATAATGTACCGACATGAAGAGGAGCTGAAAAAAGAATCAAAAACAATCTATGGGTAAACAACCGCCAGAAGGGAAATGCCAAGCAGAAAGAATGGGCAAAGAGGCGCGAAAGGAAGAAAAAAAATGAGCCGAAGATATGAACCGAAGGTCATGGTAATAGACAAGGTCAGATTTTAGGGATTCGTGATCGTCGTGACTGCGGTCCCGGCCGGGGACATGTTGCCTGGTCTCTGCAGAAACCAGACAAGAAAAGAAATGATCCGAACAGTACAGCTCTGCGGCGCGTACCACGCATGTGTATACCCCGACACAGCCCGAGGGCAACCATCGGCGCAGGCAGCAGGTATGGAAGGCCAAAGAGTGAGCATTGCGGACGAGGCCGGGACGTGCCAATGTCGCCGCGGGAGCGTTTTTTCCTCTTTTTTTTGCGTTTTGGAGTTTTTCGCTTGACCGACGAGAACCAGCAGATCGCAGAACAAAAGGTACTTTTCAGGTTGACGTAGATTGCCGATCACTCTGAAGTGGGGAGGATGGCCAGCGAGTCAAAAGGAACAATGGGCAAGAATAAAACGGCAAGAGGGGGGCGTAAACGTCGAATCGGAAGAGACAAAAGTAAAGTAAGAGCAACGGTATCATCGAAGAAAAAGAAAATAAACCCATGCAAGATCCTCCCAAACGGTCGAAGTCGAAAAAAAAAAAACAAATTCTAGAATCGGAAGGAGAAAGGAAAATCGGAGGCCAGAAGAGACGGCTTTTTGAGTGTCCTGTAAACGCGAAACGCCAGGTGCTCAAGAGTAGAAATCAGTCGTCTCGGTTCCATCCATGGTCATAAAAAAGAAGAAAAAAAGGATCAGCAATGCATCAAAGAAGAACAAGACAACTAGGTCTTAGCCTGCAACAATGGGTTGCAGGGCATGGAAATTGTTAGACATGTAGTGCTCAAGATGCTTTGCACAGTACATGCAGCCGCACGATGAACCATGACCAGTCCACACACTCTGGGCGAAGGGAAGACCATACGCAGGAGTGTGATGGTAGGACGGGGGTTGTGAGCGCGGTGCTGATTGGGCAATATACTGTGGTGGAGGAATCCAGGCCCCTCGGGAGTAAGGCGGCGGTGGGTTCGAAAAGGCCCATGGACCGACTGAGTAGTAGTCAGGGGTGTTAGGGCCGCTGTGAGGAGCCGATGGCGGCGAGTACTCGGATGCGGCAGGGTTGAGCCAGGAGCTCTCAATATGGGAGCTGCGCTGGTACTGCGGGGGGATGGGGCCCTCGGGGGACATCAGGGGCTTCGCGACAGAGGCCTGGTGTCGGACAACGTTAGTGTCAAGGGGAGTCAGGGTTTGACGAGACGATTCTTGAGCCCGGACGTTGGCCTTGGCACGCCAGTTGTCCCAGTGTCGGCGCCACGAAGCAAATCCATCCTGCTGGTCATAAATGCGATCGTGGATCTTCCACTCGAAGGCGAAGAGCCACTCCAGCTCCATCTTGTTCAGCTCCGCCACGGGAATGTTGCTGACTTCCGCCCAGGACTTGTTCTGGAAGGTGTTGTCATCCAAGAACTTACTTCCCAGCAGAAGGGCCACCGTAAGCATACGGTAAACCTGGCCACTGCCGGTGTGGAAGACCCGCTGGGCGGACAACATGCGCATGCGGCTGGAAAGATAGAAGAGACCCAGCAGGATGGTCGAGCTTGGGAGGCGAGTGGAGGATAAGATCTGATAGACGTATTTCCGGAACTGGGGGGGAACTGTAGATCCTGGGGAGATGCTTCGCGCGAAGTCAATATCTGCAAGGGTGATCTTGGTGTTGTACAAATCATACATTCCCTGGGTCATTTCCGCCACGAAGTCGGACATGCGATCCATCTCGTAATCCAGATGGGCGGCGACACCGCCGGTAGCTTTCTCCTCCTTGCGGGGCTGCTGCTGCTCCGGCTGTTGCTGCGAGTGCATCGGGGCGAGATCCTGACGGCGATACTGCGGCGGGATGGCACTGTCCATAGGCGGCAGTTGAACATTCGTCCGGATTGGAGGCAACGCCGTTGCCATCGGACCATACATGGGCTGAGAGCCCAGATTATGCATCTCCCGGGCACTGTGCATGGGGTGAGCTGACGCCGGGTGAAGGCTCATGGGGTTCGGCTTGGCGTAGCACAGGGACTGGGAGTATTGCTCGATGAAGTCGGAGCCGCTCTGGTGGTAGCGAGGAGGGAACGCCGCATGTCCAATGGGGTAGAACGCAGGTTCATCCAGGCGACCACCGCTGTTGACGTGAGGAGGCGTTGGCAGGCCATGGCCTGGCGCGAAGAAAGACGGCATCTTGAAGAAGGGAGGGGGTTGGGAAATCACCAGTTCAGGAGACGAGGGTGTAGACCGTAATGGATGCTGATGGGTCGTTGAGATGTCAGCAAGCCGGCCTCGGTAGAGGGGGGAAGAGGGAAAGCAGCGAGACAAGAATGGTAGAGAGGGGGGTTCGCGGGGACTGGGTAAGTCGATCGAGATGGCGAACGAACCGTCTACAGCTCCGTCAGGCCCTGATCCTGGAGAAGTGAGAGCGGAGGGGGGTGGGGCTCCGTGAGCGCGTCGCTCTGATGTGGTCGTAGAAGATGTCTCTAGTTGAATGACATTGAGGGAGTGCCAATCGAGTAGACCGAAGAACAAATGAGAGTGAAAGAGTGTGGATTGCACAAAAGCAGGTTGGAGGCCCTCGTTCTTTCCAGAGAAGTTTTCAAAGCCCAAATCGCCAGTTCAAAACAGTTGCGGAGTTTCGAATCACACACAAGGCGAGGTGGAATCTTCGCACCGAACCAGGTTTGAGTGTCGTTTCTCGGGAGTGGATGGCGCGTGTCGGAGGAGGGGATGGTTGAGAAGAGTAGGAAGATTGGAATCACAAAAAAGAAAAAGAAAAAGGGAGTTCCCTCGCGTAGAGGCAAACCTCACAAACGTGAGATCAGCAACGACACTTAGTGAAAAGCTCGTTGGAAGAGGAGGTGGTGGTTGAAGAAGGGGAGGAGTGAAAGGGGAGAGAAAGCGAAAAGGGTGAGAGAGGGTGCGAAGGGTCGTTGTGTGGGCGGGTGACCATACGTGACGAGGTCGTATGGCGGGCACTAAAAAAAGCTGAAAAAAAAAAAACGAGCCCGAACCAGGCAGTGTGGATTGCAGTGACGGCGCACGGAAAACCACGGTAAACTATGGTAAGGGGATTACGGGGGCCTCGACTCTGGGCTTTGTCGCCCTTGGTCTGGTGTTAGTTTGTTAGCTGTTAGTTGTTCGTTTCCCTTCCCGTTCGCCTGTTGCCCTCAACCCGAAACCCGACTCCACAGTTCACCTAGATTGACTCCATCCGCCTTCACCGGCACCTTTGTGAATGGCTCGGAGGGACGTGTAATCTAGCTAAGACGTGTACTCCAGACCCTCCCCTCTCTCCCCAGAGTAGGCCTAATAAAAAAAGGACCGTGTTAGGGGGTGTGAGGTGTTAGGGGTGCCGTCAGCGGCGGGCGTTTGGCCACTCGCCCTCCATGACCCCCGAGGGCCAGTGATGCAACGCCCGTGTCACTGAGCCTGAACCGCGACAAAAAAAGACCCAGCGATTTTCACGATTTTCACCCCCCAAAAAAATTTAAAAAAAAAAAACCGAAAAAAGAAAAGAAACCGGACTCGTGTGGACTCCACCTGACTAAGCCCCGAACCACTCGTAACGCCCATTACAGAAGATTACGGAAAAGTACACCACACCGTTTCTTCCCCGCCGCCCCTGACCCTCGCCTCTGACCATACGTGACCATACCGACCCTCAACATAAGGGGGGGCCAAGCGGTACATTCCCTGTTGCTTGGTCTACCGAACCCCGTCAGGCACGACAATGCAGGACTGTTCAGCACTATCACCACTTATTGGCTCTTCCCCCCCCGTACTCTGTACAGCCTCCCCAGCTGGTACAGCCCTCCAGACTAGGCACTGCAAAGGCACTGCTGGACTCGTGGACTTTGAGGCGACTTGGATCACACGGCTGCTCTCCACTATCACTGCCCATCACCCCGTACAACCAAGCAAGGGCACCAGCGTGAGGGCCCCCGATGACTTGTTCACGGCCCCTCTGAGTCACCAGCAACCACGAACCCACCCATCTCCATGGAAGTCCCTCCCTCCTCACAATGGAGATGATCCCTGCAGTATGCATAGCGTCATGCCTCATCGTGATAATACGTGAGTGGAGGAGGCAAATCCCATCAGGAAGCAACCCCTAAACCCAAAGAGGCACCGATGAAGGCTATTTTTCGGACGAAAAGTATGCGGCAGCCGCCGTATTGGCAGCCGCCGGTCCAATTCTTTCCTCCAGCCTCCGTCGTAGGAAGAGGAGGGTTGGGGTGGGGGGCAGGAATCTTCCGTACATGTACTTCAACTAGTTCCTCGGTACAAAGTCAGGGAGCGCGTCCCCGCCCGGCGAGAGACAACACCGTGTTCGAACTGACACGCTGGACGGGGCCGCAGCCGATCATCTCATTGGGTCCGTGATGAGTTCATGACGGACCACTGACCACTGCGCCTGCGCACCGAAGAAGGGGGGGTGAGAAACCGCCTCGGGCTTGTTGATCCAGATCACAAACACCGAATCATCATCCTCATAATCATAATATCAGTAATCAGTCATCAGACCTGGTGAACAGGGACAGGTCGAGACCTATGGATTTCATCCTTCTCGATCTCTGTATACGGAGTACCTGGATTGATTCTCATTGTTCGAGCCTTGTGATATGTTATTTATACCCGAGACAGCAAGGCCCACCGTATCACCAGCCAGCACGGATATATCAGATATTGCTATCGTGCGGCCTTGAACTAGTAGGCAATATCATGACCGTCAGTTCTTTTGTATCTCCTTTCTATAGCAAGATCTCCCACATGGCAAGCCACCGAGACGTCATACCCGCATGTATCATTTATATATAGGGTATACAGCTTCGCCTTGCGCTGGCGACCCAGACGATATATATACCGCGGTCGATATTGTCTCAAACAGGGACACCAATAACACTAGTTGCGCACGCCATAAGTCTCCGACAAACACATTCCCAGCAACCAGCAACCAAATCCTCTCAAACTATATAACTATAACCCCCCCACCCCCTCGGATAGCGACTATTGGAAGTGCAATGCGAGGAGGGCAAAGGGTGTAAACATTCAGCTCAACGCGATTGTCCCCAGTGGGTAGTACCGGTGCCTTACTACTTCTGATCAATGTTGCCCTCCCCCCTTCCCCTTCTTCAGTCTTCCTTTATCTCGGTATTCCAGGTATGTCCAGCCCATCCTATTCGCTCATCCATCCTCGTCCTCTCCCCCTCCCCCCCGTCTCGACTGTTGGAGTAGTGTAGTAGGTCCCCTGTACGTGTTCGGCCTGCACCACTTCACCCATTCCCCCTCCCCCTCCGCCCACGCCCTTCTTCCCCAAGACCACAGTGGAGCCATTCGGCACACCCAAAACACCCGGCTACCTTCGGCCCAACCACTCGTGCAGGGTCGGGCACACTGCATCCTCCACCGCCCCCGCCTGGAAAGGACCCAGGCGTATGTACCCCCTCTCCTTTCGGTGCAGGCGGGGGAGGCAAAAAAAAAAAACACACTGTACACATCATGCCTTCAGACGCCACGGTCCGAATATCGGCCGGGATGTGGTTGGTGGAGGGGGAGAGTCGATCCGACTGGGCGCGGCGGGGGGGGATTTGTTTTCGTGAAGGTTTAATTTTAATTAACGTCAGGACGGACTTAGGGAGGGAGGGGGCTGCACCGTCCGCGGTTCTCCGGGGCGGGGGAGTCCAGAAGCAACTATGTTAATTAGGTACATGTCCTCCGTACTCTGTAAGTAAGAGCGGGTTGGGAGTCAGTTCTAGTTCCTAGTTCCTAGATTCTTATTAGTTAGGTTTAGTTAGTTACTTACTTTCCCCCCTCGCTGGCTTAGAAATCAGAGACGGAGGTTTCGGGTCAACGGCATCGGGGATAGGTAGCTAGTATACGTCCTTGAGGGGCTTGGACGGTGGGGTGCGGAGGTCTTCGCCCGTCAATTTCCTACTGTGCCCGATGCCAATGATGTACATACACTTCTTTAAGCCCCTAGAAGAAATCTTTGGGCTGTGGAGGCGATGGCTAAGAGCGGCGGGTATATACTTGTAATGGCAGCTATTTGGCTTTGCTGGACGATTGCTTCGAGGACAGCCTCCCCTCCGTCTTGTACTCAACATATGTAAACAGTGCTGGCTAGTTTGACGCATACACCACACAGTTGCCTCCGGATCATCATCGCCACCACCCCAGGTCTGTTAATGACCTTTTGTCGCGGCCGCGGTATAATTCAGAGATGTAGTATAACAGACTCTTAGTCTCTATGGGTCAAAGGAGCTGGTGTTGTGCCAAATATGGCGATTCACCTTGGAACTTTAGGCCTAAAGGAGTAGGTAGCAGGCAGGATCTCTTGATGTGAACCTACAAATGAAAATAAATGCCGATCTTTCTCTATGGTGAACGGTGCATATTGATTGGGTATGGGAGTATACAATTCTACGGATAAGTCCGTGGCATACACGTCCTCTCGAAGCGCAACTCGTCAAAAATGATTTGGTAAATTTTTCTTCTCTCTCTCTCTCTCTCCTTTTCTCTATCATGCTTAGCTTTTTTGTGTGCGGGTGATTTGAACATGTATCCGGACACCGAAGAAAGAATGTCTCGGGGGGTAAAGAAGGGGAACATAGAAAGAAGGGAGACGGGATGGTAGCAGCGTCGTCGGGGCATAAACTAACGCCCCAGAACAGACTGTTTGCAACCACCACCCCGAAAAACGAACACTCCCTCGCGGAGCAGTTCCCTTCTCCAAGGCAACCGTGGTGGTTGTAGCAACCGGAATGGCCCACGAAGCCAAACCAAACGGGGAAGTAAAATAGAGAGGAATAGAAAAGCAAAAAAAAGGGAGAAATAAAATCCAGAAAATGGTCCAGGCGTATGGCCTGCCAGAACAGGAGGGATATCATGAAGATTCAACAGAACCCAGAGACAAACAAAAAAATGACATAAGACTCGTATACTCGGAGAGGTCGTCAGGGGGAGGGTAGGGAGCCTAACAACGAAAACACAAAACCTCCCCCCAATTTGCGAAATGCCCTCCCGGCCGGGCACTACCAGAGCAGTGGGAAGCGCATCTGCCTTTCCGCTATCCAGCCCTCGTTAGTTCCAGTCCCGATGACCAGGCCACAAGGACTCGAGGGTCACAACAAAACACCAAAATGTGCCTCAAAAAGTCTCCTCCCCAAAAAAGTGAAATATCCCAGGAAGGTGTTGACCGAGGAAGAGTGAATGAAACGGTCCGTGCTGTTGTGACTGGGGAGCACAAGAACACAGTTGGATGGCCATTTCATTCCGATTTTTTCACTCCCTTCTTCTTTACTCGTCCTTCAGGCTTCCGACCAAATTGCGGAGAACATCCATGATGACGCCTTCATCCTTCGGTTCGCCGCCGGGGAAAGAGCTCTCAGTGGCATTGCCCAGGACCCGGGCCCGTGCGCTGCGGAGGACCTCCCGGATATAGTTCTTGTCTTCGTAATCCTCCATAAGAACAGCCTCAAAGTCATCAATCGCCTTGTTGGCACGTTCAGTAAACGAAGAGGACTCCGAGGGACCTGGCGGAGGCGGCCCATTTGACTGCACAGGCATAGAATGCGGCTGTTGAGAATGTGCCGGCGGACCTGGGGGTGGCGGACGAGATTGCTGCGGTTGGTGATGCGGCGGAACATGGTGCTGGGGAGGTGGATGCGGCTGCGAATGGACCGGCTGCTGATGCTGGTGTTGGTGTTGGTGCTGGTGGGGATGCGGGTGCTGATGCTGATGCTGGTGCTGATGCTGAGATTGATGCTGAGGTTGAAACTGCGGCCCAGAGGGAGGAGGGTAGGTTTGGGGTTGTTGGTTGATGTGCGGCGGTTGGGATGGGGGCGGCTTTTGAGGTGGTGCGTAAGGAGATTGATGTTGTGATTGCTGCGGTGGTGGCTGCTGCTGCTGCTGCTGTACCTGCGGCCTTGAAACAGACTGGGAGGTCTGCGACTGCTGCATATGCGATACCTGCGGAGGGTTGGAGGCGTAAGGGGAGGTGTAGGTTGAAGGGATTGTTTGGGCGAAAGCGGCGGGGAGATTGTTGCGAATAGTGCTTGGAATTGGGAAGGATGCAGGAGCAGGAACGGGTGCCGGAGTAGGTGCCGGAGCAGGCGCTGGAGTTGCAACAGGAGTCGGGGCCGGGGCCTGGGACTGAGCCTGAACCTGAGACTGAGGCTGAGGCTGAGGCTGAACCTGAGCTTGGGGAGGCACTGTAGCTGGAGCCGGGACTGCTGGGGCAGAAGATGGAGCAGAAGCCGGGGCAGGAGTTGAAGCCGGAGCTGGAGCCGGTGGAGGAGCAGAAGCAGCAGCAGGAGGAGGGGGAGGGGGAGGTGGTGCATAGGGGCTAGAGTGCTGAGGAGGAGCTGCGGACGGCGCAGAAAAGGCGGTTGATGGCATGGTAGGGAATTGGAAGTGTTGATGCTGATTTGGCATCGGAGGAGGGCCACCTGTTGGAGGAGCATAGGAATGGGGCATAGGAGGCATATACTGTTGAGTAGCGGGCGTCGGCAGCTGCGGAGGCTGCGGCGGTGGTGGAGGGGAAGGACGTCTCTTCTTCTCCTTCTCAACGGATGCGCCAGGTCGAAGTTGCCAGGACCAGCCCTTCCCATCTCTCTCGGCGTGCATGAATAGATGACCATTGCCATTGAGGTTGTGCCGTACACTGGATGTCCAACCCTCTGTTTCGCACTTGAAGCGGAAGTATGGGTACTTCAATTTCAATGCGCGATAGATCTGCTTCAGCGTCATCGGGTTTCCAGCTTCCGTCAGAGCATCGAAGATAAGAACAGCGTAATTGTACGGAGGTTTGGCCAGATCCTCGGGTGTATACGCGGACTCGGGAGGATAATTGGGAGACGGAGACCGTGAAGGCTTGCGTTTTTTGACGGGAGGTGGTTTGACATATTCCTCGGGTCGCTGCTCTGCAGAGAACTGGCCTCCCTCCGTTGATGGCAGGGCGAAATCCATCGTGCCGTCTCCCTTCTTCCTCTTGGTGTACTTGCGTTTCTCGGCAGGTTTGCTGGACGTCGGTGACTCGGCGCCAACCGACTCCTTGGTAATTGTCTTTCCAGCCTTGGGTCGGTTGATCGGTGGCGGGGGAGTAACGCCTCCATTGGCTTCGCGCTTCGCGGCCATCTTCTGTTCCCGGGCCAATTCTGCTCTTTCGCGCTTGGACATGATACCATCCTTGGGGGGCGCCCCGGTCCGCGTCGGCGGGCAGGCTGTCCTCCATTTTCTCCGACTGCCTCAATCGAGGCTATCGGCTTCGAAAGATCGGAATCCTTGGTCTTGAGGACAATCTTGGTCACCTTGGAAGGCTCCTTGCTGTCCGGACTGTCGCTCAAAGGCTTATCCATGTCGTCAATCTCGTGCTCCGCATCGACGGAGCCCCGATCGGCTTCCTCTTCCTCTGCCAATTGCTCTTCAATACGATCCGCTCCGGTCTCACCAATGGGGACATCGGGAAGTAGGAAACGAATGCGCACTCCTCCGATCTGGATGTAATCACCACTGTGAAGAGGACGTACTTGTCCAGGAGAAAGCCAATCAGCTCCGATGAACGCTCCATTACGGCCCATCACCTCCATCTCGAACAAATTGCGGTCAAAATTGTAGGAAATTCGAACGTGCCGTCGAGAAATTCCGCGGTGGCCAGCGGCAGTACCGTCAATAGTGGATGGAGGATGAATGGGGATGGTAGGACACGAGTCCGGTGACGGGAGTAAAGCCAATGTATCCACTGGTTTCGGATCGCCATTGCCGTCTTGTAGAGACTGCATTGCAAGGGCGTTGTAGTCGGTTGTGGCCTGCAATTGAGCAGGATTGGCGTGCAGGGGCACGACTGAATCATCGAAAGAAGATTTCGAGGAGCGCCGGCTCAGATTTAAATTGGCAGGGAGATTCGGGGGAACATCTGGATCAAAGCCCATGATACCGCCTCGATCGCTGACCACGGAGCCCATTACAGCGGCACTTTCCTCTCGCTTCATGCGGTTCGGAGTATGGGAAGTGTTGCCTCCGCTGGAACTCTTGGCCCGAGAGCTCCGCACGGCCTGCCGATACTGAATCTCTCGCTGGTGAGCGGCGCGTGCTGCTCGAACGTCGCGTCCCAGAATGAACGAATATGTGTTGACGTAGAAATGGCCGTCGTCAAACTCCAACTTGGCGAACGCTTGGATACGGGGTTCCGAGCCGGCAATCGAGGCCGATCCATCCTGATACCCCAACGCCGACAGATCGGCGCTATGTGACAGATATGCGGCGGTCAACATCTCATTTTGTTGCAAAGCCTCGAAGGCATTCGTAGGGGCAACGGCGAAATCGAAAGCGGGGAGGAGCGAGGGTTGCTGGTCCAGGCTGGTCTTAGGATTTAATGGGTCGGAGATATCCATCCCATTAGATGGCTGAGGTCCCGAGTTGCTTCCTTCTGGCGACGTCGCACCAACTCCAGCAAAGATGTCACCAGTGGCTTTCCCACCGCCATTGGACATGCTTTGCAGCCCCTTGGGAGAAGCCGAGGCTGCCAGCTCCGCTGGGAGGGTCGCGCCGGACGCTGTGCTGATGCCCTGCGGATTCTGGCTAGCATCTTGCATCCCTGCCTCACTCATTTTCACATCCTGCGGCCCTGTCTCATGCGCCGCGGTCAGCTCTGTCGTCGATGCAGAGTTCGTCGGCGCGGGTTGATTTCCGAGTAGTTGGGCCAGTAGCGCGCCGGCGGCCGACTGAGTATTGAGATCCTTCTGCTGCTCCGACGCAGCTAAGTCCTGACTTTCCACGGGTTCCGTTTTAATTCCGATTGGGGTGGCGGGCAAGCCCTTCGACGTTGGGGCAGAATTATTATGCATGTCGCGGATTGCGGAGTCGCTCCTCGAGTCGGGTAAAGGCGAGTCGTCGTGTTGGGAGCCGCCATAGTCATACATGGGCGTATCGGGGCCTGGATCAGGCGGTCGATGGCCCACTGCTGGCGCCGTCATGGTCTGCGACGACATGGCTCTAGGGGAGAGGAGAGGGAAGGAGGAACAAAAGCTGAAGTTCTTCTCTCTCTGCCCGGGCGGTGAGCGCCGGCTGCCCTGTTGGCCGCTGCCGAACTCCGTACTGGATCCCTTTTTTTTTTCTTTCAACCAGTTGGCATGGCCCTGGGATTTGAGACTCTCAATTTGAAGAATCTGACCGAATCAAAATCGAGGCCTCTTTCCGATATGTTGATGAGATGCTTAACTTTGTCCGCTCTGGTCTTTCTTTCTTTTCTTCCTCCCCCCCCCTGGCATAGACGATCCTCCGGGTCAAATTTTCTCTTCCCGCCCCGCTCGAACTTCCGAGTCGATCCACTCGTTGGGTGCCTGGTTCCTCACCGATTTCAAGATCTACTTCTTTCCCCAGACTCTGCTATAGTTCGTGGCAGAGTTCCCTCCTTGGCCCCCAAAAGAAAAGCCCCCATTTCTATTTTAATCAGAGATGCGGCCCATGAGAATTGCCCAGACTATCTACATCCATTGATGTTCTCCCTGATCGAGGTTGTCTGACATGCAAGTGGAGCCAACCCCTCTTATGATAGTCGGTGGCTTGCCTCCGCTGCAGAACTCGGGACGTGCGATGTACTACTACTCTCTCACTCTCTCTCACACAACAGGGTCAAAGGCTGGACCCAATGTCCACCATATAATGCATTCTATTCTAGATTCCCTACTATTCTCCTCTCTCTATATCGTTAATTTTGAATAAATACCGCCAACCAACCTTGTCCAAGTACACAAGTATTAGACCGGTTATGGGAGCGGAGAGCGACGCCCGTGAATTGGAGAAGGCCAGCGCCCAACGCCGGCACCAGCTTCCCCTCCCTTAAACAACACCCCCCCCCCCAATCCACCCTCCACCACGTCCCTCCAACCAGCAACTTGCACCAGCACCAGCACCGCCAGCACCACCGACACCACCGACACCACCGACACCACCGCCATGCCCAAGCCAAAGCCCAAACCCAAAGACCCCAAGCGAACCGGTACCAGCACCAGCACTAGCACCAGCACCAGCACCAAACAACCCCCGACCACCCCCAACTGGCCCCCTCTGCGCCCCCCTCCTCCCCTCCTCCGATCTCACCCTGACCCCCCTCGTCCCGCACCAAATCTACCTAATCCGCAACTTCCTCCCCGCATCCCTCTGCAAGACCTATGCCGCCTTCCTCTCCTCCCTCCCACTCACCACGACCCCGGGCCGCCCCAAGAAAGACGAGGCCGTGCGCGTCAACGACCGCTTCCAAGTCGACGATGCACGCTTCGCAGAGACACTATGGAGCACAACCGCGCTGCGCGAGCTCGTAACGGAACGCTTTGACGGAGACCACGACGACGAGTACGAGCACGAGCACGAGCCCAAGCCCGAGACCGAGACCGGCGACGGCGACGCCCACGTTCACAATCGCCTCGCTCAGACGCGCGCGCTTTGGGGCGGCATCCCGCTCGGCCTGAACCCGAACATCCGCATTTACCGGTACACGGAGGGGCAGTTCTTCGGGCAGCATTGTAAGTTTCAGTTTTGGGGGGCGCGCCTAGCCCTGCGCTAGAGTCCAACCGTAACCTCAAACCTCAACCCCCAACCCCAGCCTCAGTTTCAGTTGCAGTTGCAGTCGCAAAGCCTCCCCGGCCCTCCCCCTCGCTCACACGCACATTCCTTAACTTTTTTTCTTTGTGTTTCTCTTTACACAGATGACGAGTCCAATGCATTGACATTCCTCCCCGCGGGTGCGACGCGCGCTGCCCCCGCGCGCACGACCTGGACGCTGCTCGTATATTTGACGACGTGTGCGGGCGGCGAGACGGTATTCTATCCGGAGGCGACGCGCGCGGAGCCGCGGCCGGCGGCATTGGCGGTGGCGCCGGAGGTGGGGATGGCGCTCTTGCATCGGCATGGGGATGCGTGTATGCTCCATGAAGGGCGGGAGGTGACGGGCGGGGAGAAGTGGGTGTTACGGAGTGATTTGGTGGTTGCGCGATGAAAGGGGAGGGGAAGGGATAGGGATTCTTTCAATATATCTACCTACCTATCTGGCCGCAAGGACTCGGCCGAGGGGACGGTTTTGCATAGCGTATACAATGCGCGTCTATATAAACATAGCATGGTAAGGAGCTTCGGAAGGTGATACGTGATCAAATGAATATAATAAAATGAGAATCTAGTTCAATTTGCGCGGCACCTGGCGAAAAATAGCAGGGGCCATCTTGTAAACACGGATTCCAAAAAGCGACTCAGCAAGATAGTGGTGACAAAGTGACGATAGTAGGTACCTGTGTCAGAGGACCGCGTCGTAGAGGATAAAAGAAACAACAGTTATTGGTAGATACAGGAAGTAGAATTGGAATTGGGAGTCATAACGAGCGTGTCTGGTTGGGTTGGGAGGAAGTTGGAGGGGAGAGCGGGAGCAAGGAAGGGAGAGAGAGAGAGAGAGAGAGAGAGTGTGTGTGTGTGAGCAGTAAGTAATTGAATAATAAATAAAGGCCAAGGGAGGAAATGGAGACAGATGGGCGTGATGCAATGCGGAGGACTGAATTATGGAGGGCGAAATCGTCCTCTTCATAATCCATGGTTGGATGTGAACATGGACGAGAACAGACAGGAATGGCCTGGTTCGTATCATACTCGAATCAATCCTCGTTTCTTGAGTATTTCTTCTTCTGGTGCTTTGGTGCAAGATTCCAAAAATTCCAGACCCAATGTCATTGTTGCCGTATCATTTTCATGACGAAACAGGAGACTTGGTCGAATCCACCTGGTACTCTGTCCGACGCATGATCTCCTCCACCGGCCCAAGCAGTCTCTTAAATCCGTCTCGGCCCAGCCGTGCCACTTTGACATCGGTTTTGGTGACAATACTCGCCGCACGGGGCTTGTCATCCAGCAGCGCCAGCTCTCCAAAGTAATCGCCGCGCTGATAATTCTTCACAGAAACGCCATTTTTCAGGGCTTCAGCTTCACCCGACTCCAGCAGGTAGAATGCGTCACCGGGGTCGCCCTCTGTGATGATGGTCGCGCCAGCGGGGTATTTGATCGTGTCCAGAGCATCGGCGATCTTGGAGCGCTCGTATGGCTTGAGCGAGGAAAGCAGGGGAACTTCCTCCAGGAAAGCCTCGTACATGCGGCGGCGCTGGAAGGCCGAGTCCATCAGGATCCGGCGGAAGGTGATGCGGTCGAGCGCCCAGAGGGTGCTCTTTGCCTCAGTCGAGATAACCGTCGCGGCGCGAGGGGCGTTATACATCAACGCCAGCTCACCAAAGGAGCCACCTGGTCCGGTGGTGGCGACCTTATTGCCCAGACCATCCGGACCTGGCTGTACCGAGCCGGAGGAGTGGATATAGATGTCGAAGTGGCCCTTCTCAACGATGTAGAAGTAGTCCCCGGCGTCACCCTGAGAGATGACCTTGATATCCTTGGCCGGAATGGGCTTCTCGACCAGCGCATCCAGCACGGTCTTGAATTGGTCGTCATCCAGGTGCGAGAACAGGAAATTTCCGCTGACCGCGGTCTTCAAGCGAGCCAGCTGCTCGTCGGTCTTTGGGTGGCATGGCGGGGTCCAGCTGTCCGCGCCGGCGGACGTGGGGTTCAATGATTCTGCCGACACAGAGGTTCGACGACCCAGTGCGTAGTTGTTGGGGAAGCCCTGCTGAACCGAGCCGGTGGGGAGCGGGCTTGGTTGGTCTTCCTCGCCCTCGCCCTCGCCCGACGCGAAGGGACTCCGACCAAACAACGAGCCCGAGGCCCCGGCCCCAGCTGCATTGCCTTGTGAGGCTCCTTCCCCGAATGCACTGCCGCCAAATAACGCGTTGCCTGGCGAGCCGCCAGCGTTGGCCCGTTTGAAGGTCACATCGGTTGGTGACGTCACCTCAAATTCCTCCTCTTCGGAAATTTTTTGGATGTTGGGGAGTTTGTCGGTTTTAATGCTGGTGTTGATGAAGGGATTGGTCCCCGGGAAGGTGTTGGAGCTTTCCGCCATGATGGGGTCTGTCCTAAGGGCCGGAGAGGCCACCACTCCGGCCACGATGAGGGTGGAGATGGACGGTGGGAGGGTTCGTACGAGCGCAGAGCAGATCGGTCACCAACGGGAGAAAGCGGACTCGAGGCTGTTCTCCGGGAGAGAGAGAGACGACGGTCAGGAATGAAGCACAAAAGCCAGACGATATCAACGATGGGGTTGAAATGGAGGGGCGGAAGGGAAGGGGAAGCGAAGAATGGAAGGTTGGAAGAATAGCAGGAAAGGACGAAGGGGGAAGGAAAATGGAAGGTGCTGAGCCACAGGTTCCGTGGATCCCCAAAGTTGCCTAAGTTCCCAAGTTTCCGAATGTCCCAGCTGCTGCAGAGTCCCAAGGGTCAAAAGGGCGAAGGTGTTCGGAAGGGAGAAGAAGCCCAAGAGAAGCACGGAGGGGCAAGTCTCGGCCCAGCAGCAAGCTGGCCATAAAGTGGGGTGGGAAGGGCGCGGGAGTCTAATTGGAAGATGTGGTGGTCCCCCGCCAACTGCGGTCCTTCCCCTCCGTCACATTCTTCCCGTCTTTCTTTGGCCGTCGTGAGAGGACCGTAGTTAAGAGCTTGTCTTGCATAGGACTCGTCTCGATTCACCATTCACCCCGGAAGGGAAGACAGGGGAAGAAGGAGGAGGAGGAGGAGGAGGAGGAGGAGGGGCAGAGACAGAAGACTCAAGACTCAGAGAGCCGGGGAATATGCAGGAACTCGGGACTAGGAACTGCAGAAACCGACGAAGCTCCAAAGAAAAAAAGAGACTCACCTGGAACCAACGGGGAGAGGCGGAGAAACAAGCTGAATGACAGTTGGGGAGAAGAAGAAAGGAGAATCCGAGGAGACCGATTAAGGTTGTGGACAGGCAGCAAGCGAGGGTGTGAAAGTCTGCACTACGGCGTACACACAGTCCAGGACGTTCTGAGCTCTCCACAAGAATCAGTCCAGCTCACGGGTGCAGGGGAAGAGGCAAAAGGCTCTCATGCCAAAAAGGAGGGGTAACAGCCCGGATGGTCTGAGCTTCATTTCCGTCGATCATCTGGAACCCAAGCCCGCGAGATCGACGTCACCGATATTGCCGTGGCGACTCTCCACCGCCGGACTGATATTGTCAGATCGCCAGGATCGTGCGATTCTATGTGGTATCCTTTGGAGTAGTCTCCCTACATGGACAATCTATAGCGCCTCGCTTGGTATCAAGGAGTCTCGAGGAGACTCGAGCAACCGATGTAAGCCCCGGACCTCTGTCCCACGCACACGAGGCATTCAACATGCGACCGAACGCGAAAGAAGAAAGAGAAAGGCAAAAAAAAAAAAAAAGCTTCGGCACGCCTTGTTTCTTGGGGTGTTCTAGAAAACCAACATACCAGGAGAAACCCTATGGAGTGGAACGCCTGCGTGACAGTAGATGATCATTGCACCTATTGGGCGCCACTGGAGTGGGACAGCAGAGTGGCAAAAAAACTACACAGGTCGACAAGAGAGAAAATAGAAGGCGTTATGGGGGTCTTCAGACCAAGCCCGGTAGACGCGCTGGAGTCTGCAGAGAAGAAAGGATGACTGGAGGCACAGTATCCAACCGGATCCAAACGACAAGTCTCTACGGGAGGGGAAAAGACGTGGGTGCGACCAGTGTTGAAGTCATGCATCCTCGCCCGACGCGCCGTTTTCGGACGAGGTCCATCCCCGGTGGATCCCCGCATAGCCAACTGGAGCCGACGAGAGTTGATTTCCGTATTGGGGGGCTATTTATGAATAATGAGCGACTCAGAGCTAACTCGTAGCAACGCGCCTAGTGAACTATGGACGGAGCTATGGCGTGCACTATTGAAATTCGGGGGTGGTTGAGTTGGTCGTGAAGAATGATTGATTCGATACCACAGCCCCTCGTGGTATATACACAACATCCTCCGTCGGATGCTTTACATGGGAGCATATCTCGACCACGCTGAGTACAGACGATTTGTGCGGCCTACAGTCGGCGGTCTTATCATCCCCGCCAACGGATGACTCGGGTAGTGTCGATCGGGAGGGGGCGGCGCGACCATCTGCCCTGCTAAGCCGTCTCGCTTGGGAGTTCGTCCATCCCTCGCACGGAACAGCTGTCGATCCATGCAGGCATCAAGGGGGCGGGGAAAGAGAAGGACAAAAGGGTCGGACAAACTGCAATCCTCTCATGGATCTGGCGACCTTTCGCATGACAACGGACTCTGGGTTTCTCGTATGCCACAGATTGTCGCCATCGTATTCGGACAGTCTGATGAAGGATTGGAGACATCATGGTCGAGACTCGCCCGCCCTACCGGAGCGGCTGGGGGCGGGGTCCAGACTACTCTCGAGAGCGGTGTAGAAGAATGGGGAATCCTCAATAAATTGATCATTTGACGATAGAATGATAGGATGAGAACACCCAATTGTGCAAACTAGCGCTCAAGTAAGCCGGATTCGAAGACGAATTCAAGGCCTGAACCTTCACGGGAGCCTGACCGTCGATTGGGCCCGACCGCTAGCAAAATGGAGGGACTCAGGTCCATCAGCTCTCTGTACTTTGGCCTGTCCGTTCATAGCTCTGTGGCGAGTTCAGAACAGTCGCCTATCAAAAGAGCTTAAGATTAAAAAATCAAAGACTGGATTGAGTGGTCCAGGAAGGTCAAGAAGGTTGCAGTAGGTTCGTAGGCGTAGGGGTCGAAGAGCCTGGTTTTCGGCCTGGTCTGTGTCACGCTCCCCACCCGAGTTGATCTTGGAAAGGGACCCAACCTTGTCTTCTCTTCCTCCCTTCCCCTCCGCTGTTCAGCCTTTCATTCTCTCCCTTATTTTTCCTCTGACGTGAGGCGATCGGACTGTTGCCATCGTCCACAATGGGGTCATATCTTTTCCAATGGTGAGTCGCTCCTTCCCACCAAGCTGCGCTGAAAAGGACTGGGCTCGTGAGCTTTTAGCGCCCGATATCTCCAACCTTCGAGTCTGTCAGATCTTTCAGATTAGGAAGGGGACAGGAGACGGGAAAAGAAACCCCACCCTCCTTGGGGGCTGAGCTCGAGTCCAGGTGCCAGGATGGCTGGATTGGCGAATTGGAGGGATTGGAGCGCTGACTGGTCGGTTCCTTGTGGCAGGCTCTCGCCCGCGACCGAGGTGTTCGTCACCGGCACGTTTGATGATTGGGGGAAGACGGTGAAATTGGATCGGGTGGGAGACGGCTTCGCAAAGGAAGTGCCTTTGCCCGTGGGCGAAAAGGTCCAATACAAGGCATGCTTCTGATTCCCTTTTGATCCCGTCCCGAAAGCGCCTCACAAATGGCTTGCACGGCCTGGATTGTCTGGATTGCGGCGCTCATTCGCTGCTTACGATATCCCCCCTTTCCCCCTGTCACGTTTAGAGGGGGCGCATTGAAGTCGAGTCCATAGATAAAAAAAAAGGACCAGAAACGCGGATGCGGTGAGGTTGCCAGCCCCGTCCCTGCGGTCCAGGCAACCCCGACTTTCCATGACGCTTCCCTATTCCGCTGACGTCACTTGACTTCCCCCCTCTTTCTCTTCATTCCCCCCAAACTATAAAACCACCACGCCGCCATTTCATATACGACCTCCCCTTTACTGACTTGAAACCTTACTAAAGTTTGTGGTGGACGGTATTTGGACCACCGACAGCCGCGTGCGCCAGGAAAGTGACGGACATAACAACATCAACAACGTGCTGTTGCCCGAAGACATCCAACCCCAAAACACCGAGGAAACTTCGACCCAAGCCCTCCCCTCCTCCACTGCCACCGACGCGACCACCACCAGTATCCCCAACGCCGACAATCCTACGATAGCGAAAACCATGTCCGGTGTGACCCCGGATTCTACCACCGCCGCCCTGGCGGCCAACGTTCCCAAGGAGCATCCGAATGGGAACCTGCCCGGCACCTTCCCGGATACCCCAGGACAGGAGTCTGAACCTACGCTCTCTGTGAATCCCATCCCGGCTTCAGGAGGCTACGGCAACCCGATCAAGTTGAACCCTGGTGAGAAAGTCCCGGACCCGAGTTCGATCCATGGCAACACCATCGAGTCGACTGTGAAACTGGACAAGGAGTCATATGAAAAGGGTGACAGCGTGCCGCTAGGCAGCGCTGGCACCCAGAGTGATACTGCGGGCTCCAGTGCATTTACGGTGCCCCCTGTCACCAAGAATCTCATCCCCGAATCCAGCCTCCCCATGGGTGGCCCCGCACAGCGTGCAGCTCAGGTCGATCAAGAACCCACCCACGCTGGCGGCCCCGCCCAGCAAGCTGCTCTGGCTGATCCCGGCTACACTATTCAGTCCGCCGCACCCACTTCAACCACCGCGGACCTTGCGGCCAAGGTGCCGCTGGAGAAGGATATCAAGCAGCCCAATGGCACTGAGCCTGCCAAGGATGTTCCGCAGATTGTAAAGGAATCGATTGCTGAGGCCGATTCGGCCCCCGAGGCAGCGGCTAACACAGAGGCTGTGGAGGAAAAGAAGGAGATGGAGAATGAATTACAAAAGAAGGTCAATGTGGATGACTCGGCCGGCACTCCGGCCCCGACTACCACCGCCGCCACCCAGGCCGTCGCCCCCGGATTGACGGTCCCTGCCGTCGACTCCACCGATGTCTCCCCCACCTCAACTCCTCCCCCGGGCCATGCCGCGCCCACTTCTGCCGCACCCACCTCGCAGCCCACTGGACCGACTGTGACCAGCGGCATCAGCACTGAACCAACCCCTGAGGTATCCACTGCTAAGCCAGTCGAGCCAGCCCAGCAGTCCGCCAACACCACCGGTGCTGGTGATGCCCATGTCAAAGAAGAGAAAAAGAAGAAGCGTCTGAGCGGGTTCTTCAGCAAGCTCAAGGAGAAGCTTAAATAGATCTGATCCTTTTCCTGCTGTGGATCTTGCTGTCCCAGACATCACAAATCTTCCGGGCGGAAATCATTCTTGATACGGGGGTTGGCTGCCTGGCTGACCATTTTAGACCCGGCGTGAACAAAAGCCAGCATCACTATTCTGGTGTTTTCTTCGCGTCTTTCTTCTTTTATTTTCGTTTGGCAGTTATCGACCTGTTTTTAGTTCTCTCCGTCCTCTCTGTTGTGGTTTTCTTTCAGATCTACTCCGCTCCCCTCTAGTGGATGGACCCTGTCCCGGAATTCGTCTTGTATCTTTCCTTCTCTTTACCTGTTCGTTTTTTTTGTTATGATCTGGATACCTCATTTGCACCGTATTGTCGCATTGTATTCCAGCAAGCCAGAGCCCTTTATTGTTTACTACCTGCCGTCAACCCTAATAGTACCTACCGAGTTTAATGGGACTCTGTTCGGTATCGCTTTTCAATTAATAAACCGCCTGGTATCTATATTCGACATTTTTCTATTGACGGATCGGTTCTGGGTGTCGATCAGCACGGTCACCTCTTTACCGGGCTGCATCGCATCCACCGCGTCTTATGATAAAAGCTTTCACACGTAGAATTTGCTACGGGCTCACGCAGCCCCGAGTACCCGAGATGCATTTGGCCCCCATTGCAATAAGAGCTGCTTTTACTACATGAGTCGAAGTTGCAATCCGGAAGCGATGATATTAACGCTCTGCTTTGATCCGTTCTATTCGCTAGCCAAGCGAGGGTGCGCTATGTATTGAAGCCGCGGCGAGCGGCATTGGCCCTAAAATCCTCAAAATATCGAGTGTAGGGAGGTAATGCTTGCTCAACAACTTTGTGTGACATTCATAGATCGTAGCTTGTAAGTTAAGATGAGGGGTATGATCGTATTCCTCGGCGCCCTTCGGCCAGAAGCCAACCAAAATATAGTGAAAATGAGAAACTCGGATGATCTCCTAACGCCTGACCTTTGACCAATTCCTCCACTTACAGTCGTCAGAATGGTATCGCGTTGCTGACCTGCCCGTTTAATTTCACAGGATATCCCAACATGCTATTACGCGTTAGGTTGGATCTTGGTGGCAGGGGGGGGGGAAAGGGGGGTATATCAGTGCGTACTCGCGACCGGTCTGCGTTAATCCACACCCACAGAAGATCGAGGTTGGCCAGAGAACGACCTGTAGGAGGACCGAACAAAATTAGCTTGAGATACTCAGCCTGGACAGATTGAGAGTGGTTTTTCTTTTTCATATATGGCTCGTCTTAATCGTAATGGTCTGGGGGGTGGAGGGGGTGGAGGGATGCTATACATACCGCTGCAACGATGGTGCAACAGAAGCCTGGACCGACGAGTTAGATGATCTCTTTTGTCCCCGTTTCTCTTTTGCTTTTCGCCGGTAGCATGATGAGGATACATACCGAGAGTCGGACCGACGACTTTACAATGGCATGGATTCTGATCGGTGCCGCACTGAAAACAGATAGGAAAGATGGGGAAGAAGGGGATGTCGCACATGGTGGATGGACTGGGGTAAAGGGGGCGACAAGGATTGTCGACAGGGAGAATGAATCTTCTTTTTTTGGCTTTTCTTATTGCTGTCTATCTTCCTTTTTTTCTGCGCTTGCCTTTTCCGCCTCAGATCAAGCGAAGTCTTACTGGAAACAGGTTGAGTTTGGGATTCTATCATGATGACGCAGATGAGATCGCGATCCCCCGATCTGCCTGGTCGCTGCGAGAACTAGAATCGGATCTGGTCTGAATATATAGGCAGAGGTAGAGAAAAGCTAGGAGGGTAGATATGGATAGTCAGGTATTATTTTCTTTTCTATATACTCTCATGAACCCGGTTTAACCCTGTACCGCGATAACTTTTGGTAGTACTGTACTCACACTTGTACTTCCTGGTGATCTGCGGGAAAACTAGCCCCTTTGGGACGTGGCTGGTGTATGTACATAAGAAACGGGCTTCAACCTCTGCCTGACTAATAATGTACAGCACAAATCACATGCTCAACCCCGTTTGCCTCGAACGAATCAACACGCAACGTCACAGGGGCAGCGGCAGGTTGTTATGATAGCGACTGATATGTACCTGCTCAGCTGGACTTTTTTTGGCCCTCCTTCTGGCTCCCACAGGGTTCAGCTGTGCCCGATTTCCTACCTCGACCGGACTTTGCATCGTTTCGACCCTCCTTTCTTTCCGCCTTTCAGGCAACCGCGCCAAACCCTCTCTAAGCCCTGCACCCTGCACCCTGCATCCTCGGACCTGTTACCTTACGCTGCACACGACGCCGACACTCCACACCACCCGCTATTAAAGGAAACGGTCCCGACTCTACTCCACCTTCGTTTCAACGCCACACTTCCTCCCCTCGTCAGACAGCCACATTTTACAATCCCTCTCATCTACTTCGACTTTTTCTCGTCTCCAATTCCCAAACCTCACCCTCCCCCCTTTTATTCGTCCTCCCAAACTCTGTTCATCATGGCCAGATCCAAGGGCAAAGGCAGCAACATTCTCCCCCTGATCCTGCTCCTCCTTTTTGTCGCAGTCCTCGCCGTCGTCGGATTCGTCGTCTACAGGATCGTCCAGGATGTCAGCAAGAACACCCGCGAGAAGATGGAGCGCAAGCACATGGTCTTTACCAAGGACGGTATGAAGGTTCAGGTTAAGGAGATGAAGGATGAGCAGTACAAAGACCGAACGCAGAGGTGAGCTTAGATTTCCTCTCCCCCTCCTCCCCTCCCTAGTGATCCACCGCGAGGCCTGAGAATTGTGTGTCAGGCTGACAAGATATCATTGCTTTTTCTTCACAGCGTCCTCGTCAATATGTGGAACCACACCTCTTTCCCCGCTTACAAGAGTCGTCTGTGGGATATGAGCGGCGAGGAACAGCAGGGCGTCGAGAAGCGCAAGCCGTAAGTTGATCTACGAACCCCAACATTTATTCGCTTTCAATCCCTTTCCATGGTCTCTTTACATCTCAACCAACGTTGCCTCTAACGCCCTTTAACCCAGGCACTCGAAGTAAAATGTCGTCTCTCCTGCCAGGATGACAAAATTGTCTCCCTGCCAAAAGCAAAGCTTTCTCCGCGTCTTATTTCTTCTGTACGCGTGGCATAGTGTGATGGATTTCCATGATCTAACCACTCCATTCACAGAACAGCCACGGCATTTGGCTTAGGGTTGATGCCAATTTCCAGTGTCCTGTCCACCCGGATAGGCCTTCTATATTCCATTTATTTTCCCCTTCACCTGTTCCTATTTGATTCGATTGCACCATATATTTCGGGCCCCCCTATTCATCCTGAACATAGGTTCTTCTGTCCATTTTCTGTTCTCATTCTCCTATCCATTTTTATATATCTTTTACCCTGGCTTCTCTTTGCGCTGCGCTCCATATCCATTCTTACTCCCTCTACTTGCCCTGATATCTTTTCCAATCTGGTCAATGCGCCACGATGTACGATATACGCCGCCTTCCCTCTCGTTTCTCTTCTTATACCCAGGCATTCTGCGGCGCTAGCGGGCCTGGACTCTCCCCGCGCCAGCCTTGCCCCCACATTGCTTACAATTTTTTTCTACTCCCATTCTTGCTATCGATTTTTGTTCCTGATCTGGCTATCGTGATTACTAGTCAATTATATGGAAAATAAGTACACGGAGAATAAGTACTCCGCAAATACGAGATCTGCGCAATTTACTTCTTCGATTAGCGTTATATCAACGCATTGTTCCTAGATTTCCGTAGGCTCATAGGCACTGCTCTAATTCTAGGAATGCCTTATTCCTCTCCACACAAGTAAATACGAACAAGCCTCAGCGTAGTTCGTCTATTCCCGCTCTCATCACTCCGGTCCTTCACAAGAAAGAATGAAAAGAGAGTTCCCCTTGAGAGGCCCTTTTCATATCAGAACGTATATGTACACTCGATACCGCGTCCAGAACCAGCCCCTTCTCTGGCCGCAGTGAAACCTGGGACATCTAATCCAGCGCAGCATAGTAACTATAATCCTGGTTCAGCAGGTAAAACGAGCTGGGCTCTGGCTGCCCGCTGCCGCCCTCCCAGGTGGGTGTCGCCAGCGTGACCGGAGTATCCGTGCGTCGCGAGGTGCTGAATATCTCTTCGAAGGTCTTCGCCCACTGCACGCGGTTGTTCAGGCCCTCGAGGTCCCAGAGCTCCTGCAGGAAGTGCAGGAACGAGCTGTGCGTGTACGCAGAGTTGCTAGCGTACGAAGTGCCCTGGTCGTGGATGAGGGTGTTGGCGGGAATGAAGGGGGAGATGAGGAAGGCGGGGACGCTATTGGGGGAGGGAAATTGTTAGGCTTTTTTTTTTCCTCCCTTAAGAGGCAGGGAGAGGGGCAGAGAAGATGCACGTACCGGACGCCGAGACGGGTGAAATCGTAGGTGACGTTGTGGCCCTCGGACGTGCCGCTGAAGGTGATGCCGTCTTCGGGCTGGGGCACGTTCATGGGCGGGGGAACGTGGTCGGCAAAGCCGCCGTGCTCGTCGAAGTTGATGATCAGGAGACTGATTTGTTAAGGTGGTTAATAGGCTGTGTAAGGGATTTGGCTCTAGAGAGGTACCACTTACGCGCTGTCCCAGTATTTAGACCGGCGCAACGCATCGTACAGGTGCTTGACCATTTGCTCACCCGATGCCATGGGACTAGTTGGGTGCATTGAGTCGATGGTGCAGCACTCAGGGTTGATGTATGAGAAGCTGGGCAGCGTACCCTCTTCCAGGTCGCGGTAGAATTGGTCGGCGTGGGCGAGGTGGTCCATGGCGTTGTCTTGAGTCCACTGCTTGGGGTCAGCGCAAATGTCCCTGGGCGACATAGATTTGCATTTCAATTCAAGCGGATGACTCACCTTATACATGAATGCATCGACGATGTCTGTCTCGTAGTACTGGATTGACACTGTGAGCCGTTGCATGAGAAGTTAAGTGCCGAGGGAGGAGCATCTCACGTTCTTCCAGGAAATGTTCTTCTTGCTCAGCGATTCAAAGATGGATGTGGCGCATGTAGTGCCCGTCACATTATTCCAGAACCCGGCCGACTGGTCGGTGTTATCGACGAAACCGCACGATGAACCCGAGGTCGCGAATTGGCGATTGACGTTGGTGGGACCAGGGTGCTCCGCAAACTAAAATTGACCCCTTCCATTAACATCGAGTGGTGTCTCATTACACTGGAGGTACTACTACAACTCACGTAGGAATCAAAGAAAGCAAAGTTCTTGGCCAATTCAGCCAACAAGGCCGTCTTCTTCTGATCGTAGGCCTTGATCACAAACGCTGCGTCACCCGGAGTGGCCTCGTACTTCTCCGATTGGCGCTCGACGAAACCTCCCATGTTGGGCACATCATCCTTGGTGACGTTCCACTTGCGGAAAATCTCGTAGGTGACGCCGGCGAAGTTGTGATCCGGGTCCAGGAGCGGGACCTCCGTTTCGAATGGTCCCGCGCAGATCTCCAAAGGCTCGTCCCAGACCGTCCAGTTGGCATTGGTGTATTCATTGCAGTAGTTGATGTTGCGCAAGTTGTCAATGTCCGGATGAAAGTCCCAGTAGCCAGCGATGTTGTCGAAAGAGTGGTTCTCCAGAGTGAGATAAATGACATGCTTGATCTAGTGCGACGAGACTGCATGAGCCGTCGAACGAGTTCTCTTCATTCCCTCTTCTACCTTGGATTGCCGGGGTGACACTTACGTTCTGGCGCAGGTGGCTCCAAGTACTCGCGCTGCGGGCTGTTGGGCGGGCCGATGCGGCCGCGACCAGACCCGACAGGGCGGCGATCGTCCAGGCTGACTTCATGGTTGTTGCTGCGCGTGTCTTGCCCTGGGGATCTGAGATCGGTATGCGCTGCCACTTCCGTGCTCTCGACTGCGTGATCGGGGCAAGGAGCCTTGGAATATGGGAATGGGCATTTTTATAGTGTGGAGAAGGCTCTCCACCCTCCCTGCCACTGGGCCGGCGTTTATGATTCCCTGCTTGGGCTAGTTGTGTGCCTCGTGCCTTGTTCCTCCATCGGCATCGGCCGATTCGATTGCGACGGAGATTGAAAAGGCGGTCTTCATCACTGGACCGGGAACGAACGACCGAAGCTAAAACCACCACGAGGGAGATGTCCGACGCTACCGGGTGCTGTCGGCATTGGAGGCTTCCGACCACTATAGCAGTGGACACAATGAGATCCACTCATCCTGATGGGATGGATTCCGATCCCTGCAAGGAGGTGGGGAGGTGATAAGAAAGATGGGGGGTGGAAGAGGGGTATGCCCAGCAGTATGTAGGGTGATCTCCCTAGAATCCCCGCATGTCTCGACTGTAGAGAGTATGGAGGATCGTCGGTGGTTGGAAATGATTGTACTCATTCTCTGGTGACTTGGTCGTCTGTATACGAAGTTCTGTTTAATTATCCTGCTGATCAATGGGATCGCGTGTACCTGCTTTGGGCCGATGTCGAGGCTATGTTTTCCGCACTCGAATCAGTTGCAGCAGAATCGACACGCGATCTAAACAAGCACCGGTCCCACTCTGTAGCTCGCTTCTACCCAATTAGGTCAAGTGCCTCCCTAGTGATTGTAATAGCGCAGTGATGATTGGCCGCCTTCTTGGAATTAAGCAGCACCACATCTCCACTGGATCCACTTATTCTCCACATGCCAGCTGATCCTCCACGAATCAGAGCTGCACGTGCCTGGCGTTGCAGTTGTTGCACTGGCAGACGCCAAGCACGTTGTGCCTCAATAGGCTGGGATGCACTGGAAGTCACTGGGATGCACCGGCACGGGGCGCCGAACACACCGATTACTCCGCACCAGCATTGTAACGCTTCTACGCACATGGCAGCTCGTGGTCGACTTAAACAAATCGCTTCTCGAACTTTTTTTTCTTCTCTTTCTCCCTCTTTAGCTTCCATTCGAACGAAACCTCCATTCAACAATACATTTTGTTTGCTGGCCATCATGTCGATCTCATCATTAAGAGGCCTCATGTCGAGCTACTCCCCTGTATCAGACCGCAGCTCCGCCACCGACGATGAGAAGGAAATGCACATGCACCTGCGAGCAGATGTCGAGGCCGGCAGCTCCTCGGGTACGCCCGAGGGAAGCGACAAGAAGACTTCTCGCTGGATTGATGGTCGCACTGTCTCCGACGCAATCATCGGTCTATCGGACGGCATGACTGTGCCGTTTGCGCTTACCGCGGGATTGTCAGCTTTGGGCGATACCAAAGTTGTCGTCTTTGGTGGCATGGCCGAGCTGATTGCCGGTGCTATCTCAATGGGGCTGGGTGGTTATCTCGGGGCCAAGAGTGAAGAGTAAGAAGCTTCCACCCGATTTCCCCACCGCGGGATGCATGAGGAGAAGAGGGGTAGACACGGAATGAGGCCATTCAAGCATCTAATCTAACATCCCGGTCACAGAGAATCCTACAAAGCAACCTTGAAGGAGACCCAAAACCAAACTATGACTGACCCCGCCTCGGTCTCCACCACGATTTCCGATATCTTTGAGCCATACGAGCTGCCGGCAGACCTAGTAGCGCAACTGACCAACCACTTGTCTGTCTCGCCCAATCTCCCCTCGTTTCTCATGAATTTCCACCACACCCTCCCCGAACCTTCCGAGTCGCGAGCGGTCATCTGTGCTCTGACCATTGCGTTTGGCTACTTCATCGGCGGTTTCGTTCCGCTACTCCCCTACTTCTTCGTAGGCCCTCACGAAGCGTTCATCGCGCTGCGCTGGTCAATTGCAACCATGGTCATCGCTCTGTTCATCTTTGGATACGGCAAAACCTGCTTCGTCACCGGCTGGGCCGGTCGCCGAAATATTCGAAAGGGCTTAATCGGAGGTATTCAAATGGTCCTCGTCGGCGGTATCGCAGCAGGGTCGGCGATGGGTCTCGTCAAGGGATTCCAGCTGCTAGCACATGGAGGGGATCACCCTGATCACAATTAAGGGGTGCGAGTCTCGTTTCGATCAATTGCTTCTAACTTTGTTTTTATTTTCTCTATTCCCCCTATTCTTTGCTGTTTAATTGGCGTTTACGACATGGCATTCTCGATGGGCGAAACCGGTGTACGGGCGTTGTTTTTTTTCTTTTTCGTGCTCTTCACGATTATGGCGGGGAGGCAGCTTGTAGGCAAAAGCAACCACAGGGCTTCAGATAGATACTCTCATTTGCTCTTTCAAATCTAATTCGATGATCTTCTTCCACTCAGATACGGGCGGTAGCCTTTTGCTATCCTTTGCCCCGCCACATGTCGTCCCGAAACATTCACAGAACTTCTCTTCCTCCAATATCCACATTAAGTGATGATTGAAGCTTCTGGGAAACAGTTTCACACTGTCAATTACTTGTACATACACTTCAACATACGAATACTATTGAGAAAGGGTTCTATAAATAAGCCTAGTTTACTTGATAATTGAATTACTCTTTTTAGTTAATTTAAAGATAATATGACTGTTCAAAATTCCAGGGGAGGTTTTGATATATATACTAGTAATTGTTACAGATAGCATAAAGGAACACTACTTAGAAGTTAGAGAAAATATAGAGAAGAAGGATAAGAACGAACCATGCTCTCTATCATCAACTAGAGACTCTAGAGGGCTAAGGTTTTGTCTAGATGAATAATATTTTGATAGCTTGACATGAATGAGATACATACATGTCAGAATAGTTCCCAGAGATTCAACAGTTCAACTTTGAGTACCGGCAAAGCCCCTAATTTGACGCAACAGAATCAGAAGCTCGGTCCACAGGGCTGTGATTTTCTTCTTTCATCATCAAGAGGTTCGAAGCATGATGTCCAAAACAAGGCCAGCGGTCTATAAATTCTAGGCACCTCGCTAGCCAAGTTGGAAAACTCCAACCAAGCCAGAGAGTGATACTTCCCGGCAACTTCCGGATAGTAGCCATATACTCGGATGCCTTCGAGCTCTGAGATATGGAGAATCCGAGAACCCTGCGGCATGCTGTCTCCAAACAGCCAGCTGCTTCTGTGAGTGTAACCACCGCTTGGAGGGCAATACACATACTGTGGAATTTCTACCGGTTGGCACGCTCCAGGACCGGATTGGAAATATACTGTAAAATAAGATACTGCCATATCCAAAGAGGTAAACTTTGTAGTGATAACATTAGATACATGTATCTTTGACCCCTGTGGGTTTTGCGAGGAATTCAAAAGTCGCAGGGTTCAAAATCGCGGGTTTTGTCAGGTCTAAAAGGATGTTCATAGTGCTGACTTTCACAACAAACCAGTAGCACAGTAGGAACGTCGAAAATAGCTCTTATGTTGTCGATCGGGAGAACGGATTGATTCCTGATCAGTTTGAGAATCGTGATGTACATGCATCTTGGTTTATTGTACTAGGAGGATCATTCGAAGAACTGATTTCGTCTGCCTTTCGACAGAAATAATGTGGCGTGCTTACAGACTCCGATCAAATTCAGATTTCAGCCGAATCAAATACTGTTCAAATAATTTTGCATTTTATTTTAAGCCACCGTCTTGACTTCTTACTGTATCAGCTGGACCTCATCCGCTTCTTCATGGCGAAGAGAAAAGTCGTCATGGATGATCTCTCTCTTGATATGAAACACACAAAAATCAACTGAACTTGCTCACCAGCCGTCACAAGGGAAGGTGGAATAGATCACAATCATTTTCCAGCGAGAGTGCTTTACCATGAAGATTTCAACCTCAGCAAGGGCTTATTCTCGGGCGCACCTAGCAATAAGGGGCTGCATCTCAAATCTTTGCAATATTCTACTAGAGAGGGTACGCTGAATGTAGCCGAAGGAGCTACCAAGAGATTTGGACAAAAAGTCTATGCTACAACTTGGCAATGATCCTAATATATTGACTCTGTTAAACAAGGACCATTCGTATGGCTCAAATTGTGATGGTTCAGTACAGTGCCGCCGAGGTTCGCCTTCCATGTCGGAAAGATAGGGAGGCTCTTTCAAACCTAATCATATGATACTATATATCCTGATACGGTTACTCTCGTACTTTAGATCACGTTTCGGTTTCGAATAGTAAAATTCAAACGGATGAAAGATGTAATATTTGTATTATTACTAATCCAAAAATAACCACCTAACACTGTGCTTGCTACGTTTCCTGACCTTACGTGCTCGCCTCGATTTTTCAACTACTCGTTCTATATTTTTTCTAACTAGGTCTATCCTAGTTCACAACTCTTCTTATATATTATATGTTACGTATATCCGCGTTTTTCTACTTTGTCTGTCGCCGTTTAAGTAATCTAAAAATCTATTTTATATTAGGTCCTAGAATAAGTCTGAGAATCAACTTACACGATTATATTAACACGCTAGTTTCGGTTCTATATTCTTATAATAGCTAAGAAAAAACCGAGTAATAACTAAACTATTAACTAAGTATTTAGGAGCGCTTAAAATCTATTGCTAGACTACTACTAACCTATAGGCGCTAGCTTTTTCTATTCGCCTTTTCTATCGTATATAGCTACTTAGGATTGTTTAACTCTACTTACTGTCTCCGTAGTAACTTTCTTAGTCTAAGTAGGGGAGATCTACCGGTTATATTATACCTAAAGCCTAGAAAGGTATTAGATATTGTTGGAGGAATTAGGCCTAGCAATCACGTGCTCTAGCAGCCTATCTATCCTCTGGAACGGAAGGAGGAAGCTCCGAAGTCAGGATATATATAGAAGAAGAAGAGGGGTTTTCCTCAATAGGAAAGAGACGAGAAGGCAATCACGGTTCCTAAGCCGGAAGCTGTTTAGATGAAAAGGTAAACAAGACTTGTGTTAGGGAATAACTACTTATACAGGGTAGAAAGCCTGTCGACTAGGTAGGAAGATAAACGTCAAGTAAGGAAAGCAAAACACTGTTTCTTGCTATCATGGATCTCTCCATAATCCTCAATTTATGTACAGACTTCAACACCTTCCCAGATGACCAAGGCAAAGGCAATGGATCACATTACAACATGCGGTCTGACGTGGCCTACAAGTAACAGAGGTAAGCAAAGGCTACAGGGAAGAGGGGTTCACGAATCCCTACTGGAAGGGCACCGAACCCTTAGGCCTTGTAGGTCATGCATCTATGTTGGGGAGAAGTGGGGCTGTTATGACGAAGCCTGACCGATAAGGTGTCGAACTGACGCCTGAGGCATGGAGTTGGGAATAGCCTCATGTTGCAATATCATATGACATTAATATAGGTTAATTAAAAATAAACTCTAATTTCTAGTACTTTAAAAAATAAAAGAAAGGTTAATAAAGTCTTTATATAAACTATTCGTATAAGATAGCGCTATATATAGGTCGAGAGGATAGAGGAGGAGATCTAACTATAGAGCTAACTAAGGATATAGGTCCTCCCGGTCGTACCCTATCAAAAAATCTCCGCTAAACCCTAGGAAATTAGGGTTGGATCGTACGATAGTAAAACGTGACCGTAGCAGCTCAAATTAAAACGCGAGATAGTAGATACTCTAACTTAAAATATCCTAAAATTTGAGCTTAATCGTACGAGGAAAAAGGCTTGCAGTCTGCCTTGGAAAATCAATTATAGTAAAGTCTAGCGTCAAAATACTGCCTATACTAAAAGACTCTGACCGCCTTGCAGTCAGGCTCACTGCACCCGGTACCATAGGATAGAGGTAAAGGCCAGCAGCTATGATTCCAGCGTAGAAATTTTCGGTATACTGCAATTGTTGCAATTTTGGAGCTGTTCGGTGCTGGTGAGCCATAATTCCGGCGAGGGTAAAGATAATTGTTGCTGAGGAGAACCAGCATACTACCGGCCCGATAAATCCCTTCTGAGGGCTCCAGTGGAAGGCCATCGTAAGAAGATATATTATGTATGCAATGGAGGCTAGGATCAATGAGACTGCTTTAAGGCCAACATGCCTGAGTTTATCAATGACTGGCTGAGTGGTGCAAGACAAATGGATCTCACCATCGCTGAGAGGCTACTCTGTAAGTCTTTTCGGCCACGATTATCTGATTCCAGTTCTGCGCTATCGCACAGATGTTGAACATGATTGCCATGGCACACAATGTTCCCTACTAGCCAGTTGGAAAATTGTTCTGGGGGAGATGACCGGGATGCCATACCGAGGCGACGGGAAAGCCGATTGATGCCAGCCATAAGCTTAAGCCGTGGTTAATAAAGCAGACTTGCGTGTTTCATCGGGGACTTGCCTGGACCTCTTTTTTGAGCCGGTACGATTGCGGTTAGCTTCACAGTCACGGTGTCCCGACAATTCATCTCTCGGACAGAAAGTCGTGGAGTGAAGAGCATATGCATCTTGAAATGGAGATATGGTAAGATAATAATTTAGAAAAACAATCATTTTTCATCCGTGGTGATTCAGTGGCTGGTCTAGACACCCCGGAAACTAATCCGATCGAAGCCGTTTCCAAGGTACGCGTGTTGCTGGGAACGGTAACTGGAGCAAGATCCACATGAGCTCTTATGATGAATTAGAATTTAGGCAACAGTGAGGTCACATGCTCTCTTAAGCTCATTTCTAGCTCCTTTTCTTTTTTTTTTCTCTTTTTTTTTTCGGGCATTTTTGGAAATCTGCTTGTATGGTCTTCGCTTAAATAGACCGACCTTGAGGCGCCTCTTCCTTGTACCTCAAGTTCTCTATATATGAACCTATCAAGAGACTTTTTCCTGGTTAATATAACAATATTCAAGCTCTGGAATTCAATCACCGCGTTAAACATTATCACTGTCATGGTCATTTCATGAAGTTCAAGCTCAACGTATTTACTGCAGTTCTGGCGATACAAAGTGCTATTGGCCAATTGTCTTCGATTCTTGGGTTGCCAAACTCTGATTTAGGATCACCTGCTCTTACTTTCTCGAACTTCTGGTGTGACGGTAAGACTTAAATTTCAGAGACGGGAAGAGAGCTCCCCGCCGCTGCTCTGTACAATTAACACAAGCACCGCTATTCTGACAAGCGCTCCAACTTCCGCACCATCTCCGAGCACAGAACGCAAATTTATACAACATGTCTCAAGAGAAGCATACAGCGGTGGATCTTCTGAAAAAGATGGGGGATACTGTCTTGAGAATTGAACAAAATCTGCAGCAAAACCGACTTGACAGGAAGAGCTTCCGCAGGCTCTTGAATGAATACTTGCTTCGAGCCGAGTCGGATGGGAGATTAATGAATGCTGCCAGACAGGAGCCCCATTGTGACAACCGAGGTGTATTCCTGGCATACACCCATATGGAATTGATCACGTGGTTGTCCAAGAACAATTACACCCTTCTATCAACGTCGGTAGGATGGTATAGCTGGCGTCAGTTTTTATCCAAGTATCGCATTCCGCCATTCTGGGATTCGGAAAAAGCAAAGGACTTGAAAAGTCAGTTGCATCACATCAAGAGAATAGCCGCTTTGGTTTACGCAGATCTTCAGGCTTATCATGTAGGTCAAAAGAAACTTGAACATATGATCTAGGATCTGCTGCTCTTACTTGAAGCAAGATTTCTATCCCAGAGACTGCTATCCAATATCCTAGTGTTCCCGTGGGAGAGCCGGCTGCGCCGCCTGCAGAAGGTATGTGACTGTTCGAAAAATATTCTCCTTGAGGACACTTTAGCTAACTATGTGCTGGATAGCATATGAAGACCTCTTTCATCGAGGTAGTCTGGCACAAAAGGCTCTAGAGGGATCGGCTCCGGCGTGAGGAGTTTGAAACCTGCTCTGCTGGTTTTGATGTTCACGTTGGCACTGGGAAGATGAGTCTAATTCCTTTTTTGTCTTGGTGAGTCATTGAGGATTCGTGGGATTTAATGCAGTCAATGATATATTGTTGATCGTTGCTCTGATAATTGCAAATGAACCACGTCATTTACGCCTCGGATGAACACAGTCCAAGCTTTATGCTGAAAATATGCCACAGTAGAAGCATTTGAAGGGTCCGCAGCATGCTGATAGGCCGCAAAAAGTGCGAGAGCCGCGTAGGCGGGAAGGACCAAGCCGTTCGGCGTTACAGCCCCATGCTCTGATCTGGGTACTGGGCGAGCCTTAATTTTTGAACCGTCATCTTTTTTGAAGTCAATCCTCCTAGGGGCATCGATCCCTTCATCAAAACAGTCAAAAGGTCTTCATTGAAATCTTCCATATCCGGTTCCCTTATAATCTCGAATGCTCTCTGAAAAATTGGGGCCAGGGGTTCAGGGGCCCAAGGCTAATTTGGAGCGCGGGATGATTGGCGAGGCGCTCGTGGCTGGTGGGTCCAGGGAGGATTGGGCTGCGGCTGTGGAAATCGAATCGGATTATGGTCTTAGATCCCTTGAGCGTAATTTTTAATTTAGCAATTCGATATTGCAGGACTCTAAATTCGATCGAAGGCCATAACAAGAATTACGCGTTTTCAAAAGCCGGTAGTGCCACAATGCCTCTGGAGTGGAAGTTGATTGGAGTCTTGAACATGACTTACGCGGTCTTCCTAAAAAGGCATAGGTTCGCACCAAATGGCCCCTAACCCCACTGAAGCGCCTACGGACAAGGGAAAGAATGTCCCTTTCATTTTAAAATCAGGGATCGCATGGAAGTCTTCTGTCAAACGACGTTATGGAGCGTCTCGTGGGCTCTCGCATGCTCCGGCGAAGGGGGGTGCTCGTCTTGGTCGTGATTTTACTCGCCAACGCATATTTGTTTTGGCGCGGATGGCCAAATCATCTAGGCACCAGTCTAACGGGCATGTCAAGCTCGAAAACCTCCAAGCTGGAATCCGTATTGGATTCAACAGTACCCGACATTCATTCTGTAACGCCTCTGAATGATCAGCGACTAAGCTTTTTACGATATTTTTTCAATGAACTCAACGACAATGCGCCACAATGCTCTAGCGTGACTCACTCTAGAGATGTATATGGGATTGGATTTGATGCCGTGAATGAGATGGAAAGACCGGATTACATTTCTCATGCCGACGACATCCGAGAGCCGTTAACGAAATCCCATAATGGGTTTGTTGCTGGGATCAAAGAGAATTGCTCTCTGCCCTATAACCCAGGCACCAGAGGCATTGTATCCTCGGCCGGTGGGGATTACATGCCCACCTTTATCTCTTCTCTACGCACCATGCGCCGAACTGGCTGCACGTTGCCCGTCGAGGTCTTTCTCATTGATTGGTCGGAATATGAACCGTACATATGCGAGGTAGTGCTGCCCAAGCTCGACGCAAAATGTATGGTACTTGCGGAAATGATGGAAAATGTCCATTTCCCGGAGGATGAGGAGTTTCTCGAGATCAAAAAATATCAGATCAAACCATTTGCGATGCTGTTGTCGTCGTTCGAAACCTTTGTTTGGTTAGACTCTGACTGCATTCCTCTTCACGACCCCGAAACCCTTTTGGAATCTGAACCCTTCACATCAACGGGACTTGTGACCTGGCCAGACTTCTGGGCTAACACGGCATCTTGGCTATATTACAACGTCAGTGGCCAAGTCGAGCCTCCCATGACACACCGAGCATCCACAGAGGCGGGTATTTTACTCGTCTCGAAGCCAAAGCATGCCTTGACCATCGCCTTGTCTGTCTACTATAACTACTATGGGCCGGATTACTACTGGCCACTGCAGGGACAAGGAGCACATGGCCAGGGTGACAAAGACACATTTCTGCAGGCTGCTGGAGCCCTCAACACGAGCTTCTATGCCGTCAGTGAGCCTATTGCGAGTGTCGAATACATTTCAAAATCTGGCGGGTTCACGTTCGCCGCGATGGTACAAGCTGACCCTTTCGAGGACTACAATCTGACCAGTCAGGGTCTATGGCGAGTCAAAAATTCATCTGTTGCACAAGCGCCACGGGTATTTTTTGTGCATGCCTCGAGCCCGAAATTCAATGCTGGGACTGGTCTTCTCAATACACTAGATCGTGGAGATGGCACGTCTGGTCGAGCATGGCTAAATCCGCCCATTGTAACCAGTCGATTTGGCTACGATATTGAAAAGATTTATTGGGAGGAGCTCAAGACAGTGACATGTACTCTGGAGCATGCCTTTTTCTCGTGGCAACACAAGACTGGACTTTGCAAAGACGTCCAGAGTTTTTGGAACAATACAATCGACAATCCCGATACCACCGTGCCACAATTAAATGGCACCGTCATTCTCGATGCTCCATCCCCAGCCACGGATGACGAAGACCAAGATGATGAAGACGGAGATGATGAAGAAGAATCCAAGGGCGAACCCAAAGACGAATCCAAAGACGAATCCAAAGACGAATCCAAAGACGAATCCAAAGACGAATCCAAAGACGAATCCAAAGACGAATCCAAAGACGAATCCAAAGACGAATCCAAAGACGAATCCAAAGACGAATCCAAAGACGAATCCAAAGACGAATCCAAAGACGAATCCAAAGACGAATCCAAAGACGAATCCAAAGACGAATCCAAAGACGAATCCAAAGACGAATCCAAAGACGAATCCAAAGACGAATCCAAAGACGAATCCAAAGACGAATCCAAAGACGAATCCAAAGACGAATCCAAAGACGAATCCAAAGACGAATCCAAAGACGAATCCAAAGACGAATCCAAAGACGAATCCAAAGACGAATCCAAGGAAGAAACCGAGGAACAGGCGAAGGAACAAAACAAAGAAGAATAAAGAAAAATCAAAAGATGAATCCAAAGATGAAGGCATCTAAAAGGACCACTTGGATGGGTGTAAATCTTTTGGCACCATCCGGAATATTATGAGACCCTCGATTGTACATATTCTCTTCTCCTACATATTCAATTCCGAGTTGCATTAATTCCAGATCCATGGTGGCAACAAATTGTATCCAAGAAGACTATTAAAACGACGAGGAGAAAAAAAGCAGAAGAATCTCGAAGTTGAATACGCCAAGGACTGATACCACCATCGAACCGCAAACTCTTAATCCCACGACTTTCCTACTTTATTGATGTCGATCAGGATTTCCGTCCGGAATATGCTAGACATGCTAAGCTTATATCAACACCTGAGGGATAAAAAAAGGCAACACCGTCGAAGTAGATCTAAGGCCGCCATTCTCACCCATCCCTTTCCCTACTCTACGATACTGCCAAGAATGACAAAAAAAGACACAAAAACATACAACAGTCAGGATTCGCATGTGGTCACCCACCATACTACTAACTGACCGGCGTGTGGCTTAAGTACGGCTGAGCGGACGGGAAGCCCTGTTCTCCACACCCTGTGGTCGTATGTATTGGATTATCACAGAGAAAGAAATCTAAAGAACGTATTCGCACAAGAAAAGTTGATTTTCCTGGTACCTCCCTTTAATATGCAAGCCCTTAGTAAATATAAGTCACTCTTCAACCTAAGTAGATCCCGTCTTTCACCTTGTCTTCCACCATATCGTCCACCACATCTCCCTACCTAATACTCTACCTTCCCACTTCCCCTTCTAACCCTACACTTGATTATTTCCATCGCCACAGTGGCATCAACTACCACTTCCAGCAACCCAGATATGGTTCCTTGTGCTGGACGTGGTCCTGGATAGCGTGGTGGACAGGGTTCAGATAGTTTAGTTAGTGGCAGAACGTCCTTTATTTCGAAATTCACAGCGTTCAGCTTGTTTCGCTGCCCAAAATGGTATTTTTAGTGTAGGTTTTACTGTACAAACCAGAATCAAAGGAGAAGATTAGGTGCCTAACAAATCAGGCATAGCGTATTTCTCAAGCGAGCTGCGCACCTCAAAACACTTAGTTAAGGCGATATTTTCTATCCCTATATCTTAGCCATCACATTTTTATTCTATTCATTTTTTATATCAGTAATCATTAATAAGACTGTCAGTATAATATATTAATTTTAAAAGATCCGCGCACTAAATTGCTACGATACCTAAAATTATATCGATACGGGCCATGAATAGACATAGGATATATATATCTCAATTATTCAGCTTCAGTTGGTTTATAAGCCTGACAAAGTATATTCCAGTCTTGTCGTACACTGGACATCAAAAAAATACTTATATGCGAAGGCTTGCACAAAGACAAGCGTGAGGATTCTTGATCTATTGATGCAGCAGTAGGAGTTCCATACTAGGTGTAGGAATTCCGCTAGCTGCATGTACTTCTATTCTCCTATCATGGTCCGCTTTCCTGATTAGGTGCTCAACCAAGGCCTCAACCCTCGCAACATGATCTCTATCGTTACTACTCGTGTGTCGTCCCTCCCTCTCAGGCTGTCCTTCATTATCCCTTTCCTCGATAAATTCAAACTCCTAACTCACACATTTGAGCCCTCGCCGTTGACAGCCAAGATAGACCGCATCGAAATTGGCTAGAGAGCTGGGTTCTATATACACACATTTCATCTTGCGCTTTTTGCACTCCTAGCAACTCCTAGTCCCTTTGCGGATCTTCCTCCGCTTCACTTCCGATTCGGCAGCGTAGTCTATATTTATATCCGTCCGTAGAATCGGCCACTTAGGTAGTTAGTTACGATAAGTTTACTACGGAGGCCGTAAATGATATAGAAGGTGAACAAAGCAATTCCAAGATTAGACCGCCAGCGGGGGAATTCTCGGAGGTACTAACTCAGCGGATACTATTCTACTGCCGCGAAATGCAACATACGGCGGACGAACAGCGCTCTATATTTATATTAATCGTATAGGAAATATCCTGCAGCGGGCTAGTGACTATTGAATTATTCGTTCGTCCGGCTAGACAGGCTCAAATTCGGCAGACATTTGTAATATATCCTTTTCAAAATTATTAGAAAACTCTCAAAACCATACCTATATGAAACTATTCTTATTTATTGCAATTTGTCCTCTTGTTTCGATAAAATTATCCCTCTAAAAAACATTGACCGGTAAAGATCTATCACTACCGACGAAAATAATTACAATATTAGATATAGAAAAGGAGCGCTAGAACATAGAATCGAGCGCGTTGTCATCGATAACCAAAGCACCTTCTACGACCGATTTGGAGCGCAGAAGATATAATACTCAAGATAGACAAGAGAGTTCCAAGCCGCCGGAAAAGGTAGATACTGAAGAGCAGGACCTAGATAATCAAGCATAGTACCCTTATAGTCTCAAGCTACTCATTATTGTCGTGGCTCTCGGTATAAGCATCTTTTTGGTTGCCCTCGATATAGTATATCTTATAACCTTAGAGGAATAGGGCTTCTTTCTAAAATGCTATCCTTATCTAATATTGATATTAAATAAATAGACGATTATCGCGATAGCTATTCAAAAAATCACCAATTAGTTCTATAGCCTCGATAACTCTAGTTGGCATAGTTCTGGTTTCTTGATGACTACAGGAGGCTTTCAATTAACTAGGGGAAATATAAAAATACTTTCCGCTTAAGATCTCGTTTCTTCTCGTAGTCTTCATTTTCGAGCTTAGAAGTTTAATATATAGTGTAGCGCTAAATTCCGTGGTATTAATTATTGGTCGTGTAATTACTAGAATCGGCGCAGCTCGAATTCTTCCTTGAATCTTCAATCTTGTCACTCTATTCGCTGGTTTCCAACGGAGGCTCGTCCTGGATACTTGGCGGTCCACAATGGTTTATTTATTCTGGGACATGCCTTGGGAAGAATTCCCATTTGGGGTTTCTTTTGTAGCGTATCACAAGAGAGTCCAGTGTGTCCCAAGAGAGTTAAGACTACTTTATCACCAAATTTAACTCCATGCCGTACCAACGCCGCAGAGGAAATATCTATATGCTTGGCAGCTAGGAAAGAGAAAGCACTAGCTGAATATGAGAAATCTCGGGGACCGGTCTATATGCCGCATCCTGTTGTAAGGGATCCTGAGGGATTCTACCTAATATTCGTCTCTAGATAACCTCGGAGTCCTATCCCTCCTACTCCGTGCGACCTGTCATATTCCTAGAGTGACTCCTAAGCGATTCTGGTGTTTTTAGCCTGAGACCCAAGATCCCATCTTTTCAATCTTTCAAGATTCAGTTTTTGTGCAATATAGGACTACTAGTGTTTCGTGTCTTATTCATTGTAGATTCCTTGCCTAATCGACAGCCTACTACGCTGACAAGTAGTATCTTACACCTTTCTAGCTACCAACAGAAAAAAGAAAGCCCCCCTAAACTACCATCATCGCCCCCTTCAATTCATGTTCATGAGACCATCCAAAGCGAAGAGTACTAATGAAGGTGAAACTTCTGGTAGCTAAAGAAAAGATGGAAGGGTACATTCTAGGTTGCCTGGTTTCGCCATTATTCCTAGTAAAATAGATCGCGATCCAGTACTAATTCTCAGTCTTTAGTTTGAGTTGGTATACAGAAGACTATCGGAATTTAGTATGGTTCTAATTCTAGATTTCGACTAACTACTAAAGACCAGAATCACTATCTACGAACTAGGCTCATCCACTAGGGGTAGTAGGATTATCAGGGAGGAGCTCTAGGGATATGAAGAAGAGAAGATATCTAACCTCTACTTCCCTATTATACTACCTCCCTTCTATAGCATGTTGACGTTGACCGTCACACTCGCCTCCATCGATCACTCGTTTCACCTACGTTTCATCCCTTTCACGGGACGGCCCCCATGAGGGGGCCATTGATCGGCCGTCGCTTTACTCGTTTCAGTATTATAATGTGGAGACAGGGCTGAATTCTTCCCGCCTGACTGTTGACTACTTCTCTGCTCCCATAACTAGAAATTTCGCCCCATCCATGAGCAAGATGGTGCACACACGCGACAAAAAATGTCACGCCACGGGTCCTATTCTGTAGTCAGAAATGACACTGATGAGCCTGATGAAGATTCATCAGTTTCTCATAATGCTGTACCCGATTCACATAATGATATGGACCTGGAAATGACGCAGCTCAGGTAACATCGTTGGTGGGAGCCTCGACCCTCTGGAAACAAACTGACCGTGCTACTAGGAGTTCTTGTTCAACGATTTCATCAACATCACAAATTACCCACGATGGAGAGGAGAACCGTGATGAAGAACTTGCATTGGAGGATCTCCTTAAAAAGGCGCCACAGAATAAGCCATGGGAGGATCCGGTGCGGTGGTGCGTCTATGCGACGGCTGCGGTACTGCTCGTCAACATCATCATTACTGTCACTGCAATCGGGACATCTGCTTCTCATTATGGCCCTCTCAGTTTCGGCTCTATAACAACCTATCGAGGTTCCTGCGACAGAGTCTCATATATGAAGACTGGCATTCACCTAGTTATCAATGTCCTAAGTGTGATTTTGACTGCGACAAGCAGCTATTGTTGCCAGATCCTTGTTGCACCTTCACGATCAGACATAGACCGAGCGCATTCTAGTCGTTCCTGTGTATCTATCGGTGTCTTCAGTCTTCAAAACTTCGAAAACACCAGCCGGATATGCAAGTTCCTGTGGATTTTGCTGATAGGGACATCATTCATGATGCAGTTGATGTAAGTATTGGTCAAACTCTATCACACCGGATGTTTATTGATTAGTATCTTACCAAAAAGTTATAACTCGATATTCTATTCTTCTACCAACGCTAATTCCTATGCGGCACTTGTCGCATCAGAAGTCTTCGTATCAAACCACAGTGTTCCAACTTCTACATACGAGGATGTTTCCTGTTTCCAGAGAGATAACACGATGTGGAACATGACAGGGTGGAGTTTACCGGAATTTCGTTCAACTCTCCTTAATGGCACTTTCGAAAAACTCAGCAAAGAAGAGTGCTTCGATACGTATGCTGTCGACTATCTGAGCGATAGGCGTACTGTCGTGGCTGTGCCGTCCGATCCAGTGCCCATTAATAGCAGTCTTGCCTTAGCTGCATACGGATTCCCAACACGCATGACCGGAGCCATTCCGGATAACCCAATTGGCACCCTACAGCGGAGAATGATCGGCGACAGTGAAACTAGTGGCTTTGGATGGATGTGTGCCAACCAAGGAGATGAAATGGGCATTTCTTGCTCAAGGAATGACTTTCAAGGATCAAGTCCATGGGTTCTCTTCTCAGTGTACTACCCTAAAATTACGCAGGTCAATGTGACAGATGGTGACTTTCAAGTGACGGCATTTTCTATTTCCAATGAAAGGGGGGATCTGCAATCTAAGGCAAATTTGACCGAGAAAGCGATAGATTCATTTGTTAACTTCCTCCAAGACAACCCCACCGTGAGTCAGACTGAATCATATTTTGAAAATGTCGCCTGGTCAGAGTCAACAAGCAGCTGGCAAGTGTCATCTTACTGTGACGGATTGGAAGATTTGTCTTGGCAATACCTACAAACCACCAGCATTGGGGGCGGTGGAGGGGATTGGTACGGTATCAGTCAAGACATTGATTACTGCCTAAGCCAGAAAACCGACGAGGAATGTGAACTTTTATATCACTTGCCAATTGCCTTTGCCATGATCTTGTGCAATATTATAAAGTTAGCGTGTCTGTGGCGCCTAGTTTATATCAACCGTCACGACCTCATTTTGAATATTGGGGACGCAATATCCTCTTTTCTCCAACGTCCCGACCCAACTACAAAAAATCGCTGCATGCTTTCACACTCAAAAGTACACCCATATCCTGTCGATGATTGGTGGAAACGATCTAAGAACCGACAAGGAACGGGTGTTGTGATTTCCGATACACCTCACCCCGAGGAAATTTCCACGAAATCTCCTAAAATATGGAGCAATGCGAGCAAAGCGAAGATTTGGATCTCGACTTTGGTCGTGTTGATACTGTATATTTCCATGACACAGCTCCTACTGCAGATTCCCGTGAACAATTACCTGGAAAAAAACATTTGGGACTCGAAAGGATTCTCCCAGACGACACCTGATACCCTGCTGCTCAATCTTTCCACGAGCTACATCGGCATGGAACTTCTGGCCAATACACCACAGGTCGCTGTGTCGCTACTATACTTCTTCCTTAATGACACACTCACGCGCATGCTTCTCGCAGCGGACTATAACAAATACGCTGTGTCCCGCCGCCCGCTGCGAGTATCTTTTCCTCGTGGCGAGCAGCGATCGACATTCTATCTCACCATCCCATACCGCTATAGCGTGCCATTCTTGCTAGTCTTCACGTTGATTCATTGGCTTGCTTCCGAAGGCATCTTCTATGTCCAGATCTTACCATATGATATCTATGGTCATCCCGTCTACTCTGCTATTGTGATGACATGCAGTGTGTCGACTATTCCATTCCAGATTTCGATGTTTCTCGCAATCTCGATTTTTCTCGTCATCGCCTTTTTAGGGGCTAAGAGGTTCAAATCCCAGGCCATGCCGGCTGTATTTGAGTGCAGTCTCGCTCTAAGCGCGGCTTGTCACCCACCTGCTGACGACTCTAAAGCTGCTTTCAAGCCGGTAATGTGGGGCGCTGTGGAGAGGGGCAAGTTAGAAGAAGAGTATTTGCATTGCAGTTTTAGCTCAAAGAGAGTGGAAACACCTATTGAAGGTGTGAAGTACGCTTGAAAATGCGCCCTTTAAAATTGAACACGTATGGAAAACCACTCATTCAAAATCGTCAATTTGTTCCAATGGTCCAATCCCAGGAGATCATAATTTATTGAGTTCAAGAGAATACGTACAAACTGTCCATACAACGTTTCCGCTTGCTGATCTCAACGTTTGAGATAGGATTCGGGCGGTTTTCGAAGCCAAATTCAGGTAGATTCAAGGTTTTACTCATCTTCATTTCATGATCAGTATATTTCATGCTGGTGAAAATGCCTAGGCTAAGGGAACTCTCCTCTTAGTGCCCCGACGTAAACGGTACCGGAATAGAGGCATGCTCGCTGCGACCTCGCTGCGGACCTTTTCTTCAGAAAACATCATCGCTTCGGGCTCAGGAAGCCGAATCATGGCAGAGCCGCCATCCTTCAATTTCATGCGGAGCACTACATTAAAGTATCCTACTTTCGGGTGCTCCCGCCGCGTGACCGCGATGCACAGGAGTACGAACATCACAACCCTACCCCTAATAAGGTACAGTATCGAGAAAAAAAGCCATTGAATATAGCAAGGACCACCAGTTCCTCTGTGCCACCGCAATTATTACAGGAATTCTCGATTCCTCATTATTTTTGTATGGTATCCTGGATAGACTCGGAACTCAAAGCCGTAACACGCTAGTCAACGAGGCAGGAGATATTCAATACTGCGTAATAGTTTACACTGTTAGATAATACTATGTCGAGTATCGTATTATATTGGATTCTAATTTTATTAGCCTATATAGTATCCTAATATATTGACATAACGCTATTCCCACCACAGTACGCCATCCCTATGCATCACAATGCGCCAAGGTAACCATCTCTTTTACGAACTGATAATAACAAGTTCCAGGCCTTGTTACGTATCCCCATATCGGTCCTTCACTGGGAAACCATCTCATTTTTATCCCACAATACATATATCTGATTGTGATGTGACGCCATATAAGGCTAGACTTTGTGCTTCCCAGGGCATACAGCTCCATCGGCCTACATTAAGCGCACGTAATGTGGAGTTGATTCTTGTAGGCTCCCCGCTCAGCCTGAAACTCCGCAGTCAATAGATCTGACTTGGCATTTCAGTATGCATATCCAACTCACGCCGCTCATGTCGCGCTCGGGTCGAACCGATCATTCTGGATTGTTTAAAGGGATATTATATTTTGGTCAATACAGTAGGACCCTGTGTAGGCTTGTGTGAGTAAGATCTAATAGAATGCGATCCTCAATATGATGATATCTATCGAGCTCAACTGGCTGATAGGGAGTGTTGAATATCTCCTACCGCGCTAATTGGCGTCTTAGAGCGCTGAGCTCTGAGTATCCCTATCAGAAAGCAGTGAGGAATATATATATCCTCGCGATATTATATAACTTCTTCTTGACAGAGAATGAGTTCCTGAACTATAGGACCCAAGACTTTAGGATTATTAAAAAATTAATATTTCAGGAACTAGTGATACTATAGGGTGGTGCACACTAACTGGTGACTTGCTATTTTCAATTGGTTTGGCTTCTGTAGTTTAGTCAGTCATATAAATTTATATCTCGGCAAATATCATACCCCGGGGCGGTGGCGTAGTGGTACCGCGTGGGATTGCAAATCCCAAGATCCCGTGTTCGATCCACGGTCGTCCCTCTCTTTTTTTGTACTTATTTGCCTTCTTCGGTACTAAACCGTAGTGTCGATGCGATCTAAATTCGTCATGATACGAGCCAGCTTCCTTTAAAAGGACAGACGGCCCATTCCCTTTTTTTTTTCCAATGGATCAAGGATCAGAAACGCGTAATTCGATATCTACTGTTTGATTTGGCCGGCACATGTATCAAAACGTTCCCTCCACTCCGTAGTTTTTCTTAGATGAGATAGCCTGCTGCTGGTAAATATATTCCTGGCGACTGCAATTTCTACATTTCGCAGTCTACTCGCTATAAAACCCATAAGTTTGGCCCACAGCCAACGATTATCTTCCATCCTTCTGGAAAAGAAACGCCCAACTCAGGAAACTCTGGGATGGGAGCATTTGAATCGTGCAGACAACCGGGGCGTTCTCCTTTTCTATTAGTGTGTATTCTCCTCGCCTGATCAAAAGACATAAGGATCGCCACTCGCGTGGCAGACATCTTATTCTTATTCTTTTCCTTTTCTGACAAAATAGCTATCGTAGCCGCCGAGGGTCCACCTGCGGCGTTTGGTCCTTTCCGTGAGCGAACGAATCACGAAAGTCGCTTCGTCTCGGTTCGGTTACCCGCGAACTACTAGCGCTGTGTGTCGTTCGTCGTAAAAAGCAGATCTAGAACCTGCCTTTCAAAAGGGGCAATTTAGCAAGTGCCACCTCGACTATCATTGGTTCATTCGGAAGCTGACTCAATAGTTCATCCTGATCAAGGTAAAAATAGCGGCGACCACGTCAACAGGTCAGCCATAAGCTTGATTTTGTCAGTAGAAATCGGTTGGAGCTAACCTCGAAAAAATTAGTTTATACTATTTGATCGAGACGTACGGACAACGCCGTGCGAACCATCAGCCTCGATCGATCAGATTATGCCGGATTCCCCGGTCATCGCTTCGCATGGCTATGAGATTCCTTAAAGCTCGAGCAGAGCCTATTTCACCCAGAATTTGAAGGGCGCTCGTCCCGTCGTATTTTTCTTCCCTAACCTATGACTCTCTTTAATCATCGCATTTATTCCGCTCGTTAACTCCTTTTTCTTCGAACATCCTTTACACCGACACAAGGAGAACAATTCCGTTGACACTCCATTTTGCAAGTTCTTATCAAGATGGCCTACTGGCTGTCCCTTGTCCTTTTCATTTATGGTGTTTTTGCACAGTCAGCATTTCAATACGAAGATGATGACTACATTCAATATCGCACTGTCAGTCTCACTCTGTCTTGATGACCATCGGACTCATTCTAATCCCGTTTATAGCTCCCTAAGCATCGCATAATAAAATGGAATATTACCTACCATGATCGATCGGCTGTTGCGCCTGGATATTGGTTTACTGCCCCGTATTGGACACACGATGGTGATAAGGTGACAAACCAGTGGGTGCCGTATCAGATTGGGCCTCATATCTTTGATCAAGACGGAGTTAGTGATCCCACATCTTTCAGCAATTTGTCCCCGTGAATCATATACTAAATGTCCCATAAGGTTCTGATCTGGTCCGGCTCCGTTGAATTCAAGAACCTGAATGTATATGACTTCCGAAGGATCGATCTCCCGGATGCGACTGGTAAACTACAACCACACTTATCCTGGATGAGATGGCATATGCCGTACGACATGCAATCTGACGGCATGACCGCGGTTTATGATAACAACTATCAACCCAAAAAGATTTTGACAGTTCCTGCACACGAGGTGGACACGCACGAGTTCAATGTGAAATACTCCCCCAATGTCCTACAGATCCAAACTCGAGGCGAGGTGATAAAGCTGGACGAGCTTGGACGACCAGAAACCGAACAGGTGATAACCAATAACGGCTTCACCGAGACGAATCTCATGACTGGAGAAAAGATATTCGAATGGAGAAGCAACAATCGTGTCAAGCTTGATGAAAGTTATATCACACGGGTAGAAGACCAGCATCCTCATCCGGATTATATGCATACAAATTCTGTTGACAAGAATGACAATGGAGACTATCTGCTTTCTGCGCGACACACCAGCACAATCTATCTCATCTCAGGCAAGGATGGTCACATCATCTGGCGCCTCGGTGGAAAGAAAAACAATTTCGAAAAGAATTTTGACTTTTACGGTCAGCACAATGCTCGGTTTATTTCTGTGAACTCAACACATATGACAATCTCCCTTTTCAATAATGGAGCAATTGATACGGACGTGCGTGAGCCAGTCTCATCCGCTATGTATGTTCAACTTGACCTGGTCAAGATGAAAGCGACCGTTTTGCAGCGCTATATGCGTCCAGACGGGGGTGTTACTGACCGGCGAGGAAATATGCAAACCCTCTCCAATGGAAATGCCCTGGTATGTTGGTCCTGGGATGGGTATATGACCGAAGTTTCCCACGATGGGCGACTCTTAATGGAAGCTCGATTTGCTTCCGATCGACATGACACATATCGTGCATATAAGTTCCCTTGGATTGGCCGCCCCTCCTATCCGCCAACTCTTATGTCGGAAACTTACGGCGTCAATGGCTCTGAGCTCTCAACAGTCTTCCATGTGAGCTGGAACGGTGCAACCGATATCAAATTTTGGCGATTCTACGCCCGCAATAACTCAACGACTGCAAAAAAAGTGATTGGTATGGTGTCAAAGAAGGGATTCGAGACATCTTTCATTGCTCGCGGGTACATGGATTGGGTATCTGTTGAGGCATTAGATGCCAACCTAGAAGTTCTCGGGGTATCTCCTGATTCTAGAACTATCCCTCCAGAGTATTGGGCTGCTGAAGCATCATTGCCACGACCAGATAATCCCGAAGCTCCACACGCAGATAAGGTCACAGACATGCAACAAGCTTCTAATCAGGCTGTAGAGTTTGTTCTTCTTTTCTTTGCCGGTTTTATTGCCAGTGTTGCATTTGGTACTGTGATGCTATACCGAAGAATTATTACACGGTTGATTCTCATGTCCTTTTCAAGGCTGATCCCGGACGGCTATGCACGAGTGTGGATGGAGGACCCTGATGATCTGGAGAGCGGAGAAGATGAGATGAAATCTTGGAAAGAAAAAGAGTAGTTCACATCTGCCCAATTTTGATTTTCACAGTTATATTATATGCATTTGCATTTGAGGGCGAGGGAGTTCTTGCGGCCAAATCCTACTTGCTGTATTTTCGCTGATAATCGTTGCATTTACCAGTTCTCTTCACAAATTCAATGGTCATACCCGTTATTTTATATACATAAGTTTATAATTATTGAACTAGTGCTGAATTAGGCTGAGATTGAGAATCAGCATTATGTTATGGGATTCTGATAATTGGTCATCCCTTCAAATTCTGAAAATGGTTTGATAAAACCACCGAGAATTATTTCGCTCTAGTTGTAAAGCCCCGGTAGTACGTAAGATTCGGTGAAATTCCAGAGTAAAGACGAATCCTGGCATTGAAATGCCCTTCCAGTATGTCATCTGGCTCGATAGCCTTGCAAAGCGTAGAGCCGCTCATAGAACCCGTTCAAAATCCGGTCATTGGGAACTGTCAATTCAAATGGGGTATGGCTATTGAATCGCGAAAATTCTGGATGATCAGATAAACCTTCAGCTAGTCCATTGTCCTGCATTTCCTGGACATAAGACAAAATCTCTCTATGAACATATGTGTCTGGGAGACTTTCTGGGCTGCCGTACTTGATCTCGAAAAGTCCTTCGACCGCCGTTGCTCTGACAGAACAAACATCTGGGAGCCCAGGAATGTTTTGTGTAGTGCCAGCACTGACCGACCAAGAGACAAAATTTGCTGGTAGCCCAGTGTTTTTCTATTAAGTTTGTGTAATAACCAATAGTCTTGAATTCTCCAAAGAGGGTGAACTCGCGATGATCAAGAGCGAAAGGGCTCATGCTGTCCGGCTTTGAGGGAAGCGCAATTAGAAGCTTTCTTGCTTTCACTGTTTGTCGACCGTGTGGTGTTTCTAAATGCAGTTAAATTCCGTCATCATTTCGATACTGGGTAGATGTCATACAGCTGTTTAAGAAAATGGCTCCTCTTTCCAGACCCGGCCAGACGCCCTGTATATAATTTATGCATGCTTAAGTTTGATTTGCGCAGGTCGACGCTTCACCAGACTATGGAACTGTCGAGAATTTACGGCCGCGAGGACCTCAATATCATGTCCTTGACATCTGCCTTCTCGGATGTTGGGTCTAGTCCCCACACGTCAATCATGCCACCGAAAGTTGCATTGACTGGTTCATCGTTCGTTCCGAGGCCCTCCACCTGCAGGACCAGTAGACACCGCTTCCCGCGCACACCATTCTTCTCATCGACATTCCACAAATGTAATAACCACCCACTCGCTAGAAGATCATCATCCGACACATCTACAGACCGGGAAGACACAATGCGCAACCCATCTGAGTCCTGGCGATAATGACGGAAGTAGGTAATATGATCTTTCGACACGCGGAATAGACTCATTGCCTGGCCACCCGGCCCCTTGACCCGGAGTTCATCCGATTCGAAATTCTCGTCAGAAAATTGCAAAGTTGGCTGCTTCTCTGCAGGCAAATTCTCATCTGCATGAGATTCAACCAGGAAAAGACCAACAGGCAAAAAGGCACCATCGACAACATCCGTCCACTGGAAAGGTCGTTTCATCGTACCTCCCCTCTCTTCAATCAGACACTCCGGAAAAGGCAGAAACATCATCATCCATTGATACTTTTCAACAAGTGCAGATAGAAACCTCCTCTTGATGTTTTCCATAGGAAGGTCATAACTGACTTCAATATTCTCCAACTCCATTGCACCTACCAAGGCCCAGCAAGAGTCCGCCAACACACCATACATTCTGCTATATTTCCCAGCCAAAATGAAAAGAGGACTATACTCGAAGAACATCACTAGTCCGGACTGAACTAAATTCTTAAGTGATCGACGTAACCAGATCACGGACTCTGGTGATTTTGGTAGCAAATGACCGAATTGACCAGCGCCAGGTCTTGTGGTATCCGGATCATGTCCTTCGCTTTGGATGAAGTAGCCGGAGGCGAGGTTGAAAGCAAGAGTCGAGACAGGGATTGAAAGATCTCGAACGGTAGCTTTGCGGCCGGTATAGAATCTGCTATCAGAGAGTGTATTCCCGTGCCCGTCGATTAGACAAGTGCTGCTTAGAAGAACACCTTCTTGTAATGTCCAACCGGACTTCAGCCAACGTTCATCCGCTTGCGCAGTTTCGATGTAATTGTCGACCTTTCTTGTGTAACTTTGGACAATTGTCGGGTCTTGAAAGCCAGGTTGTGACATTTCTAGAAGGAGTACCTCTTTCAGAGCTGAATCATCTTCCCATGATGTGGAATGAAGCCAGACAATGCTTTTGCTCGAGTTTTTGTATATATGCCTAAAAAAATCAGAGAAAGCAAGTCAGACATGGATTTAAAAATGTATCACTTACAATTGCTTCCCAATCTCCTCTCCTTTGGCTTTGAGAAGCTCGGGAGTGAGGTCTTGCACGCGGCCTTGAGGAACACACATCCAGTCCCACCAAATATACCGGGTGCCAATCTTCCGCATGACTTCTCTTGCCCTTGCCAAGCTCCATTTCGAAGTGGTGGGTACTGTCCAAACAATCCCTTTGGGCACATCCAGGGCGGGTTTATCCCACTGTGCAATATACCCCCAGGTATAGGAAACTATTCCATAGCCTTCACCTTCCAGTATCTCCTTTGGAACCTCAGTGTAGGGCTGTATTCTCCATTCCTGTAGATCCAGAAGCCATCTTGGAGCCTTTGGGTCGTTGGGGGGTATGTTGATGGGTTGCATACTTCATTGACAAAAGTAAGAGATTGAAGGACTTGTGGATGTGTTTGATAGTGATCCAAGGTGGCTTTTATCATCAAGATTGGGAGAAAGCGGGGTTGTATTCTTCACCCCACTGCAGAAAATGATCAATTCGCTGTATGTGCGCATGCTGATCATTGACTAATTGGTTTAGCTGAGTTCTGTCTTTGACCACTGGTGTGATTCATGTGCTGATTCGCACAGATGTATAGACGTGTCACAGTATCCACTCTGAGGGGTTGGAGTAGCGGCGCGGTACGAAAAGTGGCCGAGTCAAGATATTTTCCAATTGTAGGAGATGTATTGGCATAAATTGCCGGTGCTTTGGGCGTTGTGTCTAGTATATATGAGATATAAACTTCGAGCTGGCGGATATGTGCGATCTAGCCAGCCATATGTTTGGTACTTGCCAACATTGATTGCGCAAACTAAATATATGATCTAATTCCAACAATAGGCACTGCATGAATATGCCAGAGCCTCAGAATCCAGGAGCTGTAAGCCTGTGTATATGTACTTGACTTCTTCAGAGTTGTAGACCCGAGAGAATGCTGTAATCAAAAGCCAGACTCAAAATTCTCTCACTTTATTGGGAGCATCAACTTTGAGGCCGCTGCATCGAACAACTTGGAAGAAATTTGATCATACAGCTCGGCAACACTCCAACCTGGTGCCCACTGAACTTCACAGTGGACTGGCTTGCCATCCCATCTGCCTTCGGCCTTGAAAGTGAGGGGCTTGTTCGTGATAAACACATCAGTAGAGCCAACAACGTGAATCAGTTTGACGGTGGGAACTCCCTGTTCCATCACACGGACCCTTCTCTGTGCTTCCTCGACGGTATTATCAATACCATCACCAATTTCTGTGAGAGCTTTCTGGATTTTGCGAATCTCCGCCTCGACAGCTTCGTGATCTTGGAGCTTGTGCCTATAGTCATCCTCAAAAGGTCTGGTTTCAAGCTCACCCTTCAACTTCTCAACATCCTTTGCTAGCTGCACCTCCCTCTCTGTAATGCGGCCTTTGTTCTTTATAAGTTCCTCGAGGGCAAGGTTGAGTTTTGCCTTGATATTTTTGGTTGTGCTTTTGAGCTCTTCGATCGTCTTGATCTTTCTATCCCATTCGCGGTCCCGATCTCTTCGCAGAGCCTCAATAGCTTCGGGAATTTTACCTTCCATAATGTTCTGTATAGCAACGGAAGCGTCCTCGAGCGCGTCCCCTGCTTTCTTGAGCTCTCCCTCGATTTGCATCCACAAGGGAGAACTGAAAGCCTTATTTGCTGCATGCCGAATTTCTGCATCGATTGCTTGTCTGTATCGGATATCCTTCAACTGGGCCATAGCCACCTCGGCCTTAAGGTTCTGTAGTTGCAAATAGTTAGCTGTGGGACTATTCAGATCAGGTCTCAGTTCTCCCTTACCCAGGTGGTCACATAGGCGTGATCCCTCTTCCACCACGGCTTTTCCCATTCCGCCCAAGCCTTCCTCCGACACTGATCCCACCACCATTCCTTGTCCTTCGCCTGTTCTGCAAGTAGATCATGGTGAGTTTCTGTTTACTAATTCCAAAGTTTCAATTTGAGGAAAATCCAGACTTACTTTCCCACCATTGCCAACTCCTGTCAGCCTCTTCTTTACTCCTCAAGATATCGCCAAAGGACGCATTTTTCTTGTCTTCCAACCTCTTCTTTTCCTTGTCGCAGTTTTTCTCGTTTTCACGCGCAGCTTTCAGCTCGGTCTCATAATCTTTCTGTTTGTTTCGTATTTTTTTGTTGAACCTCCGCTTGATCTGTTCTTTCTCCAATTCAAGGTCATTGATCTTGCTCTCGTTATCCTCTTTCTTCTCCTGGGCTTCTGCCACTGCATTCTCTAGTCGATCGAGCTCTTTTTCCAACTCTTTTCTCTCCTGAGTATCTTGATCAATTTTGACCTGTCGATCCTTTACTTCTTGATCGACTTCCTGCTTGAGAAGTTCCAGTTCGATCTTCAATTTGTCCAGATCGGCTTGTTTCTTATACACCTGGCGCTGAAGATCCTCCTTGATATTCTTGCTCAAGTCCGATGCCATTTTCCCAATCGTCTCGATAGTGTTGTTAATGGCCTTGAAGAAGGCTCCAACTATATCAGGATTTAGTTCGGCCGAGAACTCCATGACTACACCCTCCAAGGACTGCGAGCTTGGAACTTCAGCCTTCGCCTTTAGACGCAACATGATGCTTTCCGTGAACTTGAGCGAGATTTCGGCTTCCAAGCGCCTCTTCTGGAGATATGCGTCGATTATAATGCTCAGTTCAATGGCATGGAAGCTGATTTTACCATCCACAAATATCTTTTGTTTTTCGCCCGTCATCTCGATGTCCATGGTGGCCCGCTTGCCCTTTGACCTGGCTGATTGAATCTCAAGGCCACCGATGTTGAAATGATCAATGCCTCCCTTAATCCTGATTCCGTCTTCGAAGACTCGACCATCGAATTCGCCCTTCTTGCCAAAGAATTCCATCATACCTCTAACGTGTATGCCTCTGTCATAGCGCTGTTGAAGTATCACGCCACCAGTAGAAAACAGGAATTTGACCTGACGGAACACTAGGAAGTCTTCTCCTCCATTCATGGTCTGCAATCCTTGAACTTCTATCATCTCACCAGCCAGACGAAGAAGTTTCGAGATATTGATTTCCGAAATGTTGACGGTGATGACTTGCTCTTTCCTCAAGCCTAAGCCCAGCGTCATGTCAGCATGGAAGTCTCGCCCAACGTCGATTGCTCCGCTGAAAGCCATTTTGCTAAGACATGTTAGAACTATAGATAGCACAAAGGGGTACGTTCAACCTACTCAGGACCTTGGGCCCAAACTGTGGCATAAGTGATTCCGGCTTCCACACCAAGCTTTGATACAACAACCTTGTCGTTCAACTTGAAGGGATTGATCCATTTATCTTTCGGATGCATGACGCTGGAAATCTGTTGAGAATGCGATGCACCAATACCTTGGTTCCTTGGAAGACTCACAGTTCACCACTTGCAAACAACGCCGATCCTTTAATTGCCCCTCTTATCCTGATGGGCTCCTGATCGTCAAACAACAGCTTCATTGTGCTGCGAAGCTGAAGTGCACCCTCATGGGCAATGATGCTAGCACCGAACTCTCCTAGAATGACATCGGGATGCAGCGAGACCTGTATAATCATAATCAATATCATACAATGCACTTCGAGTATCAAATTTTGTGGTACCTCGAGATGCCTCGGCAAGTCAATGCTGATTTTGAGGCCGTCGGACGTAAAAGCAATGATCAACACCAGGCCGTCGATTGGCTTCTTTTTGTTGAGATTTTCTATGGGCTCGAACCGGTTTATGGTAGCACATAGTTGGACACCTTTTCAATTAGTCAGGCCACTTTTTGGATATCCGCACTTCCAACTTACCTTTCACGATGGGGTACTTGTATGATTCCACTGTTTCGAGAACACCAGCATGAGCAAGCTGCTCATCTTTCTTGTCGCCATCCTTCTTATCACTGTCTTTTTTCTTGTCGCTGTCCTTTTTGTTGTCTTCTGTCTTGTCTTTCTTGTTCTTCTTATCCCCATCCTTTGCCTTGGTCGCACCTTTTGGACCCTTTTCCACCGTAACAACTGCGGGTTCTTCAACATCTAGCTGGCTCTTGCTATTGTCATTTTTCTCATTCTTCCCCTCTTCCTTTTCTTTGCCTGTTGATTCATCTTTGCCCTCCTTTTCTTTCTTCTTCTCCTTTTTATTTTCGCCCTGCTCGTCTTTTTCTTCTTTGACTTCTCTATCCTCAGAAGATGCAATAAGGGCGATGTTTTCCAATTGTAGATTAAAGGATGGATCCTTAATTGCAGGCACCAATTGCGACAAACTGAGATTTGCAAGACTGCCGAAAGCAAGCCATTCGCGCTTCTCCTTTCCTTTCGTTCGCGCAGTATAGAACCCAACAGACAAGGTGACTTCGTGGATCTTCACAATGCCGAGAATTGCGAACTCGCTTTCTCTTTTGTTCTTTTTCTTCCCGCCATTGCCAGCGGAATTTTTAACATTCTCCCTGGCGGTTTTACTAGTTTCGGAGTCTGTCTCAGCTGGGGTTTCCTTGTTGCTTGTATCCTCTGACTTGGAAGCGGCCGATGCTTTGGTCTCCACGATTTCGCTGGGATTGTCCTCTGAAGCCCTAGTATCGGCAATTGGCTTTTTGTCATTGGCATTCTGCTCGTCTGGACTTTTGTCCTCCTCCTTATCCCCCTTCTTATCCCCCTTCTTATCCTTCTCTTTGTGGTTGAATCCGATGAAAATGAGCAGTTGTGCCTTCTCAATGATGACTGGTGTGTCGGGGATCTTGAAGTCGGCAAGGCCTCCTTTAACAGTCAGCCCATCCGTACTAAGCTCCAGGAGTGCACGAGCACTGGATTTTCCATTGAAAGTGACGTGGCCCTCCAAGAGCAGAGAGTTTTTTGTAATATCATCCTTCTCAATGAACTTGCGAGACAAGTTCAGGTGAAGCTTCTTGAACGTAATCTCATTGCCCTTGGCCTCTTCTTCTTCATCCTCCTTCTCTTCATCTTTCTTTTTCTTCTCCTCGGCGGCACTTTCAGTGGACTCCTTCTTTTCGTCTTTTTTCTTTTCCTCTGTAACCTTTTGTCCCTGGATCTGGGCGTGGATCTTCTTGATGTCAGTGAGCGTAAGATCACCCACTTCAGCATCCACAAAATAATCCCCTGGTATAACTGTGAGATATGCTGAGCATAAAAAGTCTACAGAGTCACATACCCTGGGCGATCTTTCCCTTGACCTTGAAGCTTCCTGTGCCAAGTTTCATCTTCGCAGACAGGTCAAATGCCATCGTCTTCTTGAATTCTCCTTGTTCAAAGGACCACTTGAGCTCGGCTTCTTTCATCTGCGGAACTTAGCGATCTCATAGATAAATAGATACTGCCGGACTTACTGTCACGTTCTTGACCCCATAAATGTCTTTCCATTCATCGCACGAGATCACCACTTTCCACATCCTCTTGTGCTTGCCGTCAGAATGCTTCTTCTTTTCAACAGATTTCTCCTTTCCCTCTGCTTTGGCTCCCGTCTGGTCGTCCTTTTCTCCGCTAGCATGATTGGTCTCTTCTGCGGATGATACCTTCTGAGACTCAGTTGTGGTGGGCTTGCTGGGTTCCATGGCGCCACTGCTCGTTTCATTTTCCTCGTCCTTTTCTGTTTCATCTTTCTTCTTGTCGTCATCTTTCTTCTTGTCGTCATCTTTCTTCTTGTCGTCATCTTTCTTCTTGTCGTCATCTTTCTTCTTATCGTCATCTTTCTTCTTGTTGTCGTCTTTCTTTTTCTCGTCCTTTTCAATCTCGAAGTCCCTTGCAATCCGAATGTGCATATCCAATGGAGAGTTAGCGTGAGGAACCTTGATGAATGACACTGTTCCGAAAAAGCCAAAACCATAATTGTATGACTTTTTCTCTTCTTCTTTCTTATTGCCTTTCTTGTCGTCATTCTTTTCCTCATTTCCTTCTGTACCATCTTTCGACGAGCTGTTTTCGTCCTTACTCTTCGTATGAGAGCCATGCTCACCAAGCCCAGCAGCTGGATCGTCTTGCTTGATCTGGCTATATTTAGTCCCTTTCCTTGAATGTGAAGATGAGCACAGCAATCAACCTACAGAGGACTTTGTGGAAGTAAGCTTTGCCTGAAGCATAGTCACTGGATCTATGGTAGATTCGGGCTTGAGTTCATCATCTTGGGCTTTCTGTGGACCATCGGCTGACTTGTCCCCGGTAGGATCGGACTGTGATTGTTCCTTGGTCTCATTATCGATCTTATCTGTCGCCTTATCGTTTCCTTTTTCCTCTTTTTCGTTCTTGGATTTCTTGCTCGCCGCCTTTGTAGCTGTGAGCTCCAAACCAAGTGTCTTAAATTGCAAAATATCCCAAGCTTGAGAGCCAAATTCGGTGAAGTATCCTTTCAGAGCAAAGTCTTCTACTTTGGGGCGCTTCGACCAATCTCTCGTTTTACCGAGGTCCGCACTCAGATGAAGTTTCTTTGGTGATCTTTTATCACCAAACATCTTCTGGAATGCATCGCTGGCCCATTGTAGACTATCCTTTAGCAGGACATCAACTTCAAGCCGGAGTCCGGGAGGGAAAAAATGGCCACTGTCCTCCTCACAATAAGTGAACTCAAGGCTCTCGATGGGGAGGTTTTTGATCTCATCACTCTCCAGGAATGGAAAGAGAGTACCCAGGGGTTTTCCTAAAAGTGACAAACTCTTTGGATTGATTTTCACTTTCTCACGTGCTGGCTCTTTTTTCTCTTTCCCTTTGTCGTCCTTATTATCCTTCTTGTCATCTTTCTTGTCGTCCTTCTTGACGGCACTCTTCGCTTCCTTATCTTCCGGCTTTTCATCTTTCACTAGCATATCAGGTTTGGTTTCCAATATCTCCTTACCTTCAATTTGTTCCTTTTTCTCAAGCAGTTTCTTCTCAGCAGTAGACGGAAGCTCATCCTTCCCTTTTTCCCCTTTATCCTGCTTGGTACTCTTCTCGTCCGTTGCCTTCGCTTCTTCCTTGGTTTCGGGACCTATGCAATTATCAGAATCGTGATGATTTTCTGAGCTGTGAACTCCCTACCTTTGAACTTATAAAGTTTGCCTTTCAATCCATTGATACCAAAAAGATTTTTGATATCTCCCGAAAGCACATAACTTTCGAGCTCACCCTTTGCAACTTTATCTGTCTCATCCTTTCCCTTCTTCTCTTCCTTCTTGGCCTCCTTCTTGTCTCCCTTCTCCTGCTTTGTTTCCTCCTTTGTCGCTGTGACATCGCTGGCTTCAAGTTTTTCCTTGTTTTCGGCGATCGTCTTCGACCTCGTTTTCATCCTGTGGGTCGATCTAACATTCGAAAGGAGGGAAGTAGTCACAAGTTGCGAAAGGTCACCGGGAGCCTTCTTGCTCACAGGGTTTCCCTCGGGATCTTCCTCCGGCATAAGCAGCAAGGGAACATTGGCCGTTCCGTCCTCCTCTGAATCCTTCCTGATAACAGCGAGCAGCTCAGTTTTCCGATGCCCAGGCGCCGTAATCGGGAGAACAGGAATGTCGACATAACCGCCTTTCCTGTCTTTTGGGAGAACCAAAGCGACATTCTCGACGACTGCACCCCCAATAACAATCTTACCTAGGGACCCTCCCGTCGATGTACTCAACAGAGTACTCATTCCTGTCAATTGAGGAGGTGTGCCCGGTTCATCATCGCTCTCTGAGTCGCCGTAGATAAGGTCGGGGGCATCATCGAGTGGTTCGGCTTCAATATTGTCACGAAATCCCGAATCTGTGTTTTGTATGATTGATTCGAAGTAGCTCCCCATCGGCTCGATCTCAATTCCCTCAAAAGTTCGCTCATTCTCGTCTGCTGAGAGTTCGAGACTCCCCTGTTCGAGTGGCGCCGACATTTCGATTATTTTGTCTTACCACAATTGATTTGCCCAATGGCTCTCAACATGAGGTCAATGTTCAAACCACGTCAGGGAGGGATCATACTCTAGGGTTCAGCTAGTATTTGTGAAAAAGCAGCCAGCATGAACCCCTCATACCTTTCACCAATAAATAATAAAGATTCCATTTCCATATCGAGCTAATGCATGATCGTGATCGGACCCACTCCACAACCACCAGATGACACTACCGAAGTGACACAACATGGACAGAGACGAATCCACGATAAGGATCAACCAGCTTTACACACCTTGGGGGACTCTAGGTGCACGGATATCAAAATCAATATCTAAAGTAGGATAAGCCGAAGGTTAACCCCAAGAAGTCGTGGATTTTCACCAATGGGATGTATTACGGAGTACAGATAACTCCTCAGCTTGGACCTCAGGACGAAATCTCATCACACCGGATAGGGTAAGTCCCTCTGCCGATCTGAGATCTCCGGCAAGTTCCAAGATTTTTCGTCAAAATGAGCTGAACTGTGGAGATACCATTGACGTTGGCAGTGGCATGCATGTTAAGCGACCTGGCTGCCCTTGTCCTCACGTGTGCATTTGCGCTGCAATTTGTCACCGTAACTCCAGTGCACGATGGTCATTGCGGACTTCTTGTTCGATCTATGGTATCTCTGTTATGATATGAAGGCTGGTGCATATCAAGAACCAAGTCGCAACATCAGAATCAATTCCCGAATATTATTTTGATTTGGACCCAGCTTCCTCATCCCAGTTTAGCACCTGCCTCCACCAACTCCGACTCTTCACCGCCTTATGGCCGACCGACCCTCCAGGATCTAGAAATCGCGGTGTTTCGGTTCGTCGTCAACCTGTCAAGATTGATTCTGGTTGGATGCATGGATCCCCCAGCTTCGTCTCATACTGGCCGGTCTGACTTGTTCTGTTAGGTGTTTAGATAGCTTCGTTGAAGGTCAATTGATAAGAAATTAGTATTGCAACCATGCCGTAGAAAGGAAGAAACATTTCGATCAGGAATATTATCGACTTGGATATCATCTCTTTCAAAACTTATGAGATTCTTGGCAGAAGCCGCCTACTGAGCCGTGTTCTGCCTACGAAGAGTTCAGTCGGGTCCTCATGCATGATAGTCACGTGATGAGACAATAGTGCCTGCGGCCAAAAACAGCACGAACCAAACGAGTCGTGGGGCGGATTCACTGGATCTCCAGTCCTCGGCGACCGTTCCGCTTCCGCGCCCAGTCATCCTTTGACACCATACGGCGACCAGCCTCCCTTCAGCCGCGTTGATGACCCTATCGACTCCCTTGTCTCATCTTTGAGATATGACCGAGTCTTCCGACCGCGAAATTGCCCCACTTTCGTCCCAGAAGGCTAGAAAGAGGGCAAAATACACCCAGATTGCATGGTACGTCCGCTCCCCGGCTTCCTGTTGCATTATAATCTGTATGTGCTGTTCTCACAATCTTAGTATTGAATGCAAGCGGCGCAAACTCAAATGTAGCGGGGGTGCTGTATGTACACGCTGTGCTCGTGGTGAGATCCGATGTATTTATCCAACGGATCGGACGCCAATTGAAGAGACTGAGTTCAAAGATGCGAGGTATGTTCCCCGGTTTGTCTTAATTTTGTCCCTCCCCATTCAAGCCTGTGGAGTGAGATCGATGGGTATTCCAACAAGCTAAATCATTGTAGGGTGGGTATACGATTTGAAGCCGTTGATCGGCAATTGGAGAGTCTCCGGCGGGAGATGCGGACTATGCATGCCCGCCTCCGAGAATTCGAATCTTCTGGTTCTCCTGTGGGAGCGAATGTGCCGAAGACTTCAACAGCATGGGAGTTGGATCGTATCTTGAATGCTCCAAAATCGCCACAATATGTTGGCCCAACTAGCGCAGAGTTTGGTTTGCATGCCTCACAGAAGCGTCCATCACAAATAGTGGACCATGACGAAGAGGAGGGCGATGACATTGAATCAGTCGCATCAGCAAGATCCCCACTCTCAAAAAGAAAAGAGAAACCTTGCGCCGAAGACAGATTCGATCTGGGGCTTCAGGATGCCCTGCGGCTGTTGCAGGTTTACGAGGACAATGTGGGAGTTATGTACCCCTGTGTGGATCTGGAAAGCGTTCGTGCGTACGTGCACGAGTATTATCGTTCGCATGCCTCGATACTCATTGAGTCATCGGAATTGTCCACCCAAACACCCTCAGATCAGGACTGGTTCTTCGCACGTGATATACAGGTGTTGAAGATCATTCTAGCCATTGCATTGGTGGCCGAGTCTCATGGCCGTAGTGAATGTGCAGCTCAACTTGCGAACAGCGTCGAAGATATATTCGCGAGTAGATTCAAGGTTGCTGAGGTGGACATGAAAGAGATTTTGATTATGACACTCTTGGTGAGTCGCTTGGTGTTGTTCTTTCTCTTTCCTCTTGTGCTCTCTACTTTAGAGTTGAGTCTATTCTGCTACTATTTTCTAATCAAACGCCTAGTCAATATTTCATTCTTACCGAGATGATGAAGTTATATCGTGGCGTTTAACTCGCATTGCGACAAGTGCTTGTATGGAGCTAGGTCTTCACCGCCAAGAAACCTGGCAAAGAACAGGAGGCGTCTTCCCAGGAGAATTGGCATGGACATGGGCAGTGCGACTTTATTGGTGCATTTATGTGCTGGATCGAAAGTGGTCGTTTGGCAGCGGACTACCCTTTGGAATTCAAGACACTGATATGGACGTGAACCTCCCTGAACCAGACCAATCTTCTCCCTATTTGACCTGTATGATATCATATGCTCGACTGAGCACCAAGATCTGGGGATTGATCATGGAATGGCCGAAACGCTCACGACTAGCCACGTCTGATAAGTGTGCCCAACTCGATGCGCAAGTGCAACAATGGATCTGGTCTATTCCCCGCGAACTACGCTTTGACCCAAGCTGGCAGACTGGGGCAGCCATCGAGCTGGAGCGTTCGGGGCACTCAGACCGAATCATGATGCTCCAGGTTCTGCTTGCCCTCCAGGGAAATCAATTACGTATCTTGGTCTATCGACAAAATTTGGTCAGCGCAGAACGAATCGACGAAGATGTCACCGGAGCTTCCATCGCAGTTGAAACAGCGAAGCGGACCATTCATATGCTGGAATACTTTAGCCAGGTCACTGATATTTACTTCCAACGCCCGGAGCCCTTCAATTACTTCCTAATTTCTGCATTGGCTGCGCTCCTCCTCGCCGTTTTGCATGCACCGAGCCGCTTCAGTAATGTCTGCAGACAGGAGTTTTACACAGCTACCAAGCTGGTACGTCGCTCTGCAACTCGCGCGCCAACGTCAAGACGGCTCCAGAAGATCATCCGTAGCCTGAATCAAATCCAACTACATAAAAATGGCGTGGAAGACCAGTCAGGTGGAAACCAGGACCGACAGGCAAAAAGAAAACGTCGGAGCAAGACATCGCCAAGTCGACCTGTCCATCTAGAATCGGAAATCAACCCGGGATCCTCTCATCATTCATTAGTGATCGCGCCGGAATCTTCTAGCATTCCTGTTCAGCAACCGCAACCGTACGAGGTTCAAGTTCCCTCTACTTCGTGGCAGTTTTCCCCTGGGGCAATTATGAACCCTGAAGAAAACATTTGCCAGAATTTGAGCAGCTTTTTTGAAGTAGCTGGTGATCTTTACTTTGGTTCGACCGCGGGTACTGATTTTCTCGCTGGCGACGTCGATCCAAACCTGTCCGTCCCGCCTGACGTACTGTCGTCCAGCGCTGCTGATATGTTCGAAGCAGACAATGAGGCGCTAACCCGGGTAATGGCTGATCTTCTTTGAGGTCAAAATGCACGCAGCTCTTTTTTAGCCTCATCTTGTTGATGGGGGCTATTCCTCATACTGTCTGTCTCAGTAGCCTTCCATACTCAATTGAAAGCTCAAGGCCCTGGATTTCGAGGATATCTGTTGTCAATGGAGCCAAAAGGATTGATGTCAACGGAACACAAATCTGATTGAGTGCTCTCTTGTTTGGTCAATTGCAAGGCAAGATTGCACGCTAAAATACTTGGTACTACGGCACTCATGTATAATATTCACGCGCACGGTCCCCAGGGGATATCCAATGCAACGAGAGAATAAAACGGGAGATATTAATTTTCTGATTTAGAGACGGAATCGGGCAAGTTCTTGAGGAGTCAATTTAAATCTTCAAACATCTCCTTCTCGTAAAATGTCTAGTCCTGGCCCATTTGACCGGCCTTGAGCTCAGAGCTTATCTCCAAGTCTGACAAAAAGCCGCGTACCCTCATCGTAATGCGGGGGAGGCCCCGCGACGTCCCTCTCGCGCGCGCGTTCTCCCTCTCGTAAACTCTGCCATCGCACCGAAAGCAAGATTCCCTTCGGAGACCACTATGGCATCTATCTTGCATCCTTTACTTGGAGACCGTAGCCCTGGATTGATTCACCACTCACTTTTGTCATTTCCCGAGGAAGAAACCCTTGTCGCTCGATGGCGCAGGGTTGTCGGCAACTTCTTGAATTCGAGATGGGGCCATTACCTCATCCTCCTGCTCGTCACTATCGATGTCTGCTGTAGCTTTTCTGTTTTCCTCATTCAATTGCATGTTTGCGAGTTGAAGTTGAACGGGTACCTTGTGGACCATGGCTGGGGCATTGCGGAAGAAGCTCTCGGTGTCGCTGGGCTGGTGATTTCATGCCTATTTATGGTTGAATTGATTATGGTAACGTTTAGCTTTGGAACGGGGTAGGTTTCTTCTTTAGCGAATTTCGTGACGCTTGCGGTTCTATCGCACTCCCGTCTCGGAGTCTCCCTGCATTTCGTACCATGCTGACAATCGGGTTTAGGTATTTTTCCACCTGGTTTCATATTTTCGATTCACTGGTGATTCTAGTTGCCTTTGTCATCTCAATCTCGTTTCAAGGCTTTGAAGAGGAACTGGGCTCGCTCGTGGTCGTTCTGCGTCTCTGGCGCGTGTTTCAAATCATCGAAGAGTTGAAATCCGCCAGTGAGGACACCCTCGGGCTATATCAACAAGAGATTGATAGGCTTCGGGAAGAGAATTCTAGTCTGCGGCAGAGATTGAACGTGGTTGTCGACGGAAATGACGGCATAGCATGAGAATGCTTTGGTTTTGAGACTGGCTTGTGTTGGAGGACATGATACATATGCATGCGCATGCCTCCATAGTGTGATCAAGACTGATACGAGAGCATCGAAAAGTTCGTCAATATCAAAATATCGGAGAGCATAGAGGTGACAGCTTCGAGAGCCCTCTCGGACACATAATTATTAGACTAGTTGGTCGAGCTTTACATAGGTCGGCGGTAGGCGTTATGGGGCCTAGACGAATTTCAGCTGTCATGGAGTTGCGTTCATTGATTTCACTATCTTCACTAAGTAGTCTGGTGTGTCTCTACCAATAGATTTCCGTAGATCTTTGCCAAATACAGGAATCGAAATACGGGAGTCGATCGTTGAAGAGAGTTTGACTGTGTATCCCTTACCACTCACTTCATGCATAGAAGGCGCGCGGCGTTTCGGGCCACATAATCCTACATATTTCTAGAAACATTGAAGAGCACATCTACACAAGCCTTTTCATACCTGCAGGGGAAAATACTCCTTCAAATAGTGAACATGTCGTCTACCCATCTGCCTTCGATAATTGGAAGTAGATGGACGTAGTCCCCAAACAAATGACCTCCATGTACATTTATCCATATCCTCTCTGATCGACGCTATGCCTCTACATGTATACTTTCACCTGAACAATTCTTTTGCTTTCTATGCCGAAAAAGCAAATACATAAATTCAAGTCCTTGGCTGGTCGCTCAAGCCTCGGAGTATCTGTGATGGCATTTCCCACAGTATTATTTATAGACGTCTTTTTCAGGAATTCCATCAACCCGACAGCCCACCATGTTCTCAACAAGGAACCCGTGAACTGCCGATCGCAAGCGGCATATGTAAATTGGAATCGTTCGATGCAAGATGCAAGTTCTGACCAAGCGCGGGGTCCGTGCCTCGTTCGCCTCGACTTGCTCGGGAACCTTGATGGAGTCCAATTGCCCCACCATCGAGGAAGTAATTTCCGAATTGCGCGGTCACGGGTTGCGGCCCGGATGATTTTCCCAGCACAGACGGATTCCGGTCTCGTGTCGAGTGAACTCAAGAGGGACAGCTTTGGTTGTCGACGCCCTGTTCTTTGACCTCTCTCGTCTTCCGACTCCCCGGCATACAGAGTACCAGTCCAACGGCGCTGGATCCTCTAAGCCCCCACTTCTCATCACACTTGACACTTCGGGCCAGACGCTTGGGACTCGAACTAGCCCAGAAGTCCGCTAGCTACATCTCACGAGCGGAAATTCCAGTCTCGAACACCAATTCGCCAGTCAAAAGAACGGACTTTTATGTGGGCTGCGCTATGATATAGCGCGCTCACCCCCATCCTCAACAGGGGTGTTTTCTGCAGTTTCCAAATCTCCGCGACCCGCCACACGTCCAAACGTCCAGATAAAGACCCTGAGAAAGTCAGCCCACGATTTCCCGCTCGCATCATGGCCCGCGACATCACCATTGATCCGGATGTGCATTTGGCACAGGACGAATATGACTCCCAAGACTGGATGTCCGAGACCACCTCGATCGGATCGTCGATATATAACGGCATTTTCGAGAATGGCCGCCGATACCAGGCCCTCAAGGCCGATGAATACTGCTTCCCCGCTGATGAGCAGCAGCTAGAAAGCTATGACGCCGCACATCTGGCTGCACTCATCGCGGAGGTTGGCGAAAGAAACCCCCTGTTCCGCGCCCCAATCGTCCCAAAGCGAGTCCTCGATATCGGCACCGGGAAGGGCTCCTGGGCCATCGACGTCGCCGATATGTTTCCCGAGACTATCGTCCGCGGCGTAGATCTTTTCCCCCCGCCCGTCACCTGGCTACCCCCCAACTGCATCCTGGAAGTCGACGACGTCCTTCAGGAGTGGACCTGGCGTGAGAAATTCGACTTGATCCACATCCGTATCGCGGCCAGTGCGTTCACCCCCACCGAAACAGAGGGCCTGATGAAGCAGTGCTACGACCGTCTAGAGCCGGGCGGTTGGATTGAACAGATGGAGATTCATCCCACGATCTATTGCGACGATGGTAGCGTTGCCTCGGACAATGTCCTCTTTGATGTTGGACCACGGTAGGAGCCCCGCGCCCCCGCCTCGCGCATTGTCGAGGTGAACCCCACTATCGGGATCCTGAACCCTATTCTAACGAGCTGTCTAGGTTCGACGCGGCCGCCAACAAGTCCGGCAAGCCCATGGACCTAATCAACACCATGCGCGCCTCTATCGAGAAAGCTGGGTTCATCGACGTTCATGAAAAGAGTGTCAAGTGGCCGATTGGCCCATGGCCCCGGGACAAGACTCTAAAGGACCTGGGTCTGGTTAACCTCAACCACTGGTTAACCGGCATGGAGGGTTACACGATGTACCTGATGACCAAATTTGGCGAGCCGGCCCCCTGGTCGACGGAGGAGGTACAGGTGTACAACGCCCAGATTCGGAAGGAATTAGTAAATCCGCGCCAGCATGTCTATCAACGAGCGAAACGAGTGTGGGCTAGAAAGCCGCTTGACTCGGAAGTGACCAGGTCCCCGGAGGCCGAACCTGAGGAGGCTGAGCCTGAGAAGGAGATCAAGACTGAGACCGAGGAATAATAGACTCCATTCAGTGAATAATCTGGCGGAATAATGATGTTATGGCTTTTTGTTTTTCTCGGTTACCTTAGGGTATCTTTGCCGATTTATATAGTACATACTCCTGAGCCTGACAATATGATATCCCATAGTTCAAAACTAGCCATTTCGCACCTGTTACTAGTGCCGAGAAAAGAACTATCCTTCCGACGACGAAGAGCAGAATCTCGGCTTATGATATAAAAAGAGCCATACGAAGCCTTTTGAAAAGTCCCCAAGAATACAATCCTATATGACTCGAGGAAATTGCTCCGGCTAAGCTCAAAAGTATAGGAACATAGATATGAATTAGACATTATAATTTATGTTGTCGACAAGTATAGACCGTAACAGAAAACTGTCGAAGCCTGGATCATAGATCCGCACGACAAGTGCCACCAGTGCCATCACCACCAGTGCCGCCAGTCTGCTGCGCAGGAGAAGCTGCCGGGCCCTGCGCGGTATGTTGCTGCGCTGGGCCTGCCGGGGTCTGTGTGCTCTGCTGCGGTGGGGCGGCTGCCGGGGTCTGCGTGGTGTGCGCGGCCTGCGCGGCAATGCGCTCAGAGAGGGGGTCGTGGAACTGGGCGGCTACCTGGGGTAGAAACTTTGTCGTATTGTTGTATTCCACCGCTGGATAGTGTGGTCCTAGAAGAGGACCCAGGCCCGCTGCGGAGCGGTCTGCCCTAGCCGGTGGATACGACCGATGGTCTGAAACAGGGAGTTGAAGTTCAGCGTAGGCTCTATGAGCACGACCCGGCCATAGTTCACGTGCATATTGAGACCTGTCGCGCCGTAGTTGTAGGTCGTTACGAGGACATTGGTAGTGGAGACCTCTTTCGTGAACTGCTTGATAGCGGCGGTCCGTATCTCGCTAGGTATCCCCGCGCGGATCGACACGAAGTCTAGGGATAGCGCGTCGAGGAACATCTCGACGCATAGTTATAGGCTAGTAGTAGAAGATGAGGAACCGGCTAGGGGCGCCGGTGGCCTTCTAGACGCCCTCCTAGTGAAACAGGAGCAGCAGGTAGCGAAGGCGCGGATACTCGTGCGCGAGGTACGAGGCCTGCGCGATACGGGTGGTCGGGATGCGGTCGGCGCGGTCGACGTGGCTACGGGACTAGAACGAGCTGAAGCCGCGATCGCCCCCCTCGGCGACGAAGCGGCCGACGTCGGCGGCTAGGACGGCGCGGACGGAGCGCGCTACGAAGATATCGAGCTTTGGGTAGAACGCTAGGTGGCAGAGGCGGCGGAAGGTCGCCTAGTTAAGGGTCGGCGCGCTATCGGGGTCGCCGGCGTTGCCCCCGCCGCCCTTATAGAGAGTGGAGAGCAGGGCGTAGTAGACGCCGTCGTACTCGCGCTGGACCTCGCGCGTGAACCGGAGCTCGACGGTTGACACGGTCAGGGGGGGATGTCCTCGCTAATACGGAGCCCGGCGCCCTAGGGGCCGCGTATCGGCTCGCCTATATCGCGGCGTAAATAACATAGGTGTAGGATGATAGGGAGGGCATAGTAGCCCTAGGCGGTAGTGAGGTGGCCACAGTGGCCGAGGGCCACGAGCTTCCGCGGGCTCAGGAGGAGGTAGGGCTTCTGGGCAGGGAGCACCGTCAGCTGGGACCAGGCCCGGTACAGGGCGATGGGGTCGTCGTCGAGGGCGCTCGCGTCCACGCCGGGCGGGGGGTAGACGGGATTGCTCTCGTCCTGCTGCAGGTCGGAGCGCCACAGGAGGGACAGGTAGCCGCAGAAGTCGAGGGGCTTGTTCCACATCGGGGTCGCCGTGAGGAACTAGGTGGCGCGGCGCGCGAGGTAGGCTACGCTCTGGTGCTGGCGCGAGGAGATGGTCTTGACACGGTGCTTGGCGGCATGGAGGAACAAGCAGAGATATAGCGCCTGGTTTCCAATTTGACTAGTGCTTCAACTAAGAGTTCTTCACATTTCCACATTGTAAAGCCGCATAGTGAGACATTGAAGAAATTCTTACGGTAATAGTGAGCTTCGACTGGTTTGACAGTATCGAGTCGTTCAGATACTGAGAAATCCGTTGAGGTCTGAACGCTCAGGGTAAGGCAACAGATCGGGCCCCGAAAATAAGTACAAGGACTCCAACATATACTTGACAAATTGGGTGTTCGACTAAGCTATGATTAAGTTTTGTTTTGATCACATTTAATCAATCAAGACGACTTCACTAGCAGACTATTGCGGACCCTCTTCCCGCCCCGAGAGAAATATTAAAACGCTCCCATGCATTTCAATGCAGCTGTATGGAAGAATAATGATTTTATTTTTCAATTCTTTCACGTATGAGGGACGCATGGCTTGACTCATTTATGCACAGTCCGTGTTAGAGACTGAGGAAACGTCTCGGGCAAGGCTCAGAAGTGCTAGAGATATGTATACTGGTGCTCTCTGGAGAAAAATCGTGGAAGAGTAGACTGAATATGTGCTTCTTGATATATTGACAGAGAAAACACTTATCAAAGTTCTAGTTCACTATACGCTTATCCAACATTGTATATATGACGTAGACTTAGGCATTCATGGATGAAGCGAGTAGTGATGGACAAAGGATGGCCCATGTTATGTTTCTGATCTTTCTGGCTTACAGACACTGCGAGTAGTACGCATTCTGCACCTGGCAGGTATACCCGCTGGCACACGTCGTCGCTCCCGTCCAGCCGATGCCGCCGCACTGCCCCCAGTGGGCTGCCGTTGCAGTAGCAGTAGATCCTGTGCTGGTGGTGGTTTTAGTGGTAGTTGTGGTTGTTTTAGAAGTAGTTGTGCTGGTAGTTGTCGATGTAGACCGTGTGGTAGTGGATGTGCTTGATGTGCTTGTAGAACTGCCTGATCCTCCTGAGCTGGAAGGGAAATATGCAGACAAGATATCAAAGTAGTAAGTATAAGCAGTCCCTGAAGGCGGCTCCATCGAATAAATATAAGTACTCCACCATGGCCCTGCGGCCCACCAGGACGCTCCAAGCCAGACGTCACTGTTCTCTTCCATGTAGTCCAGCATTCCAGTCACAGCGCTCTGGCATACCGAGTTAGCACCACCGGCGAATTCGCCCAGGAAGCCAAGTTTGCCATTGCTTTGTAGCCACTCTGTTGCCGATTGTACACGCTCCTGGCCAATTGTGGAGCTTACGCAGGTTTCGGATGTACCAGACCCATCCGAGTCGAGATACTGGTGCATCTCGTAGACAATTTTGTTCTGGGGATCCGTTAAACTGACTAAATTAGTATTGACGGAAGTCCACGTCCAGGCACCACTCCACGAATTTCCTTCGACGAAAATATACTGCGAAGTAGCTCCAGCAGCCCGAATGGCGTTAATGGCTGCTTGGTTGAGGTTCAGAACCAGAGTTTGGTCCTCCGAGTTGAATTCGTTGTCTGTGGATGCCGGTAAGAAAAAGAAAAGAGACAGTAGAATATTGACGCTTACTCGTGTCGAAGATGACCTTGTCATTCGATGCAAACTGTGTTGCCACGGTCGTCCAAAATGCAGCGAAGTCACTTGTTGAGGTGATGATGTTGCCATAGCTAATTGACCTGTGAGTGGATTTCCAATTGAGAGGCGGGGGAACATCAACTGACTATCGCCCAAAGTTATGTGGGTCAACAATAGCATACGCGCCAATAGACGTAATGTACTCCACCGTCTGGAGATTGATAAGCACAGGTCATATTCTGGATAAGGACAACGTACACTCTTCAGACTCTGCAGATAAGTTGCATCCGGACTTGATGTCAATGTACCGGGAACCAACCGCTCCATCATGAACGGCACTCGAAAGATGTTCATGCCCCCATCGTATAGCGTTTTTATGGTCGAAGTATCCGGCCAAGTATAGTCGGTGCCTAATACACCCGGAATATTCTGATTGCCAAACTCCGCACAGGACTCACTTGTGCCAAACCCTACGGAGAATGGTTAAATTTGGCTCGGTCTTCGTGGGTTCTGAACATACAAACAAAGGACGACGCCCGCTTGGAATGGCCTTGAGGCACTGCAAGAGCCAGCGCAGCGCTGGCTGCGAGCAGGAGAGTGTATCTCATGGTTTTAATCTTGTACTTGGAGTTATGACAGCGTGGAATTCTTGGGTTCCTTGAATGGGGTGGTTCCAAAGCAATTTATACGAAAGTACAAGCCCAAGTCTTCTGTCTTCGGACTGTCGACAATGCCCCTTTCCTCCGCGGTCATGCAGCCGTATCGTCCCTTTTCCCCTGCAGAAAGTCCTTCAATGTTGGCAGTACTGCAGGGCATCATATTCGGGAAAGAATTTCTCGGACGGCCCACCATGCGTGACTGACCCCTTGTGAAAAAGCCTCTGGAAACAAATCACTAATACGATGACAGGATAGGCTGTGAAGATTGACAAGTGCTAAATTGGACACGGCATTGAGCATAGTGTAGGGAATCAGGTCTAAGGCATAGACATCGGAGATGAGCAGGAAAGCACATAAAGTGTTACTAGCGCCTGAGAAAGTAAGATCAAATGTCGGGGATGGATAATATGGAGTAGTTTCCGGACCAAAACGGGCAATTATGCTCTAGTGGAAAGCTTCATATCGAATTTTTCCAGACAAACAGATGTTCTTGGTCTACTAAAAGATTTGCGGGGCTTCCATGCCACCCCACCAACCCCTGATTCATGGGTGAGAACCGAGAGTGACTGGCATCTTTATTGGACAAGACTACTCAGACTGGAGGGGCCTGAATGATTTTGCTGGTAGAGCCTGCTAGATTCTTTGCGGTAAAAGAGCTTGGTTGTCGAGTACTATCGCAACCACTGAGATGTGGATATTATTGCTGGCATTTGAGATGCGGCCTGACGATACTGGGAGCATCATTCTGCAGCCCCGCAAAACAATTTCCACCCTTAAAATTAGCGTCTCGCCAAGGTGTGACGCTGGCAATGCTCGGTAACAAAATGCAGAAGAAAGGGTGCGCAATGGCTTGCGTAGTCGGAGCGCCCTCCGCGTGGCGTCACCCTGCATGTTGCAGAAATGTGACGGACATAACTACCAACAGGAGTGGAGAATAGACCAATTGGGCACATCCTGATTGGTTAGTCCAGAACAATAGACCTTGTGAATCAAACGCGCAAGTCGACACCTTCAAACAACAGCCTCGTTTTCGCTCTTCCTTCTTCTCTAGACATGAACAGGGTTGTCATTCTAGCTATCTGGTGTATAGAGATTATGCCCATAATGATCATATATAAGACCCGCTGTACCAATCAGGGTGCTTGCCGAGGTGGCAGACGGCCAATGTATATTTCCTCCCTAGGAATTCGACTGCTCCCAGTCTATGAAAATGTCTTAAGAGATATAACAAGCCTTAAAAACACATAGAATTATACAAAGATTTAGTTCCCGAGTAAATCCATTTCCTCATCTGGTTACAGAACAACTTACGCTGATAACAATTCAGGATTATATTGAATCCGAATTGTGCCAATGAAGTGATAAAAGAATGTTAACTTTCACCCCTCATCATTATACGTCATTTATTAGAAAATAGAAAAATGCAAATTTCTGAGCTGAATCTCTTCGTGATTCACTTATTGGTTGCCCTGCACTGTATTCGGTAGGAAAAGAAAATTCAAATTTGATTCATACTAAATAGAGGCTTCATTCACTAATAATTCGATGCCAAAGCTTGTATCTAGAGATTTACTCAACCAAGAGACTGTTCTCAACTTTATTGACTTCCTTAAAAAGAAGGATTGGCATTCACAAGCAGCTGCTCGAAATAGGCCTGTAAAGTATCAGCAAGGGCACAGTTATGATGATAATCAAATTTACATAGCACGGGTTAAAACTCACTTCGAACCATGTTCCTGCTTCTGGGGCAGGCTGTAAAGCATCACTATATCCGCAGTGTGCATCATATCGTGAAGATGTGGTGTCTGATGTACCGTCGCATTCTCCGCCGGGCTTGACCCAAACAAATGCATCTTCAAGAGTATCCCCAGTATCTGTAGTAGGGCGAACCCCAAAGCCAGTACCAATAACGTTGCACCAGTCACCCCAGGCATTTTGCTTGGTTGGCTGAACACCATTACGTGCTATTCATGGTTAGAGATTCCAAGTTATAACACTAGAGGTATCACAAAAGCTCTCAAGATCTGAGGATTCTACTTACAAGTATCGGTGATGAAATGGGCGGAAAAGCCCGCAGCAGAAAGTAGAGGGGCGATGGCATTGACATAGAGCTTTTCGTCACAGTTAGTGTTTCCCGATGTGTAGGATGGACAACTGCTAATTGTCCAGGCATTATAGTTGGCAACGTTAGTGGCTAATCCGCGCACAGCAGCGGGGGATGACGCGTTCTTGTATACATTGGCAAAGAGCGTGGCGGCCGGTTGAAGATTAGCTGACCAGCCCAGCCAGCCGGCATGTCCTGAGAATAAGAAATCAGATAATGCCTTCTGGACGAAAAAGACAAATAAAGAAAGTCCATGGAAGGAATCATACCGGCGTCAAGATACATAGCCACGTTTGGCAAGTTGAGCTGGATCAACGCATAGTTGATGCCCTCTAGATAAGCAGCCTGAGCATTGGCGCATTTAGCCACATTTAGATTGGTAACGAGATTGGCGAGGCTATCCGGCTCTAGTGAGAGTTAGCAGAGCGAATTTATTTGTTTGTAAAGGCATAGGATTCCAACCAATGACCAAAATAGTTTGCACATCAGAATATTTGACAATCTGAGCCCTGATTAAGTCAATGTATGCTTTGTAGTTCGCTAATCCATTATTGGCAATTGAATATTCGCCGTTACTGGCAAGAGCGGCGCAGTCACGGTCTGGCAAGTCATAAACCACAAAGATCCCCGCAATAGGTGGGCTGGCACCGGCCGCATTCTTTGACTGGATGTCGGCAAGATATGTGCCCATAGTCGGAACCTTGGCAGCAGTGTCACTATTGAAGAGTTAGGTAAAGGCGCATCTTAGGATTTGCAATCAGACCTACAGCCAAACAAAAGATGGAACTTCAGCAACCTTGCTAGCCTTTGCCGCGAGAGAGCTTGTCAGGGACGGAATTGCCGATGTGAAAACCTCGGAGGAGTAGTAAGGGTTTGCATAGAGCTGATAGCCGCTAAAGGGATTTCCACTGTTCGTAGTAGCAGGGGCTGTAGTGGTAGTTCCGGTTGATGATTTTGTAGTGGTGCTCGTTGTAGCCTTGGTTGTCGTGCTCGTAGCGGTAGTCAACGTTGTAGCCTTGGTTGTCGTGCTTGTGCTTGTTGTCGCAGTTGCGGAGAGACATTGTGCGTAGTCTTTTCAAGTGATTAGTGTTGTTATTGGAGAGGAAAGAGGGGGAACTAAAAACGTACAGGGGTTCAAGGTGCTGCAAGTTGCCGATGCTGTGCACACTGTTGATCCTGTCCATCCACTACCGCCGCCTAAAGAAACCATTAACCCTAAAATTCTGATAGATCAAAGACTAAACATTCTTACATTGGCCCCAGAGAGATTGCTCGGCATAGGAAATTTGAGAAAGGAGAAAAAGCACTAATCCTGATGTACGTAGCATGGTTACTGACGTTTTCGTTTTGCTGATAGTTTCGATAGTTCTGAAATCCAGAATCAGGTAAGTCATTGGAAATTGTCAATCTAATATATACCTATGTGACCTTAATGCGACGGAAACTACAATCCGCTTTTCCGATGATGCTGAACACCAATGCTGCAATAGCCACGGAACAATATCTCAAAATGACGCGGAACGTGGAGAGACCACAGGCTAACTTATTCCAGGTTACCTTGGCTTGAAGGCAAGATGCATTACTACGTCAAATCATGAGTGCTAAAGTCAAACTTGATTTTATTTGACTAGGCCAAATATAATCTACCCCGAGCTTAAGGAAACGAAAACAAATTGCAGTAGGACCAGGAAATGAAACATGATAATTGGCACGTGTCACATCCACGTGATCCTGCACGGAATCTGGTCCGTTACGCAAAGTAGAATTGAGTTTGATTCAAAAATCACTTGCTCTTAAGCCTAGTAATAATTAGTTTTCAAGAAATCCATCATCTTTGCTCACGTAGCTCGAAAATTGCATCTATCCCCAGGATCATCGAGTTGGTAGCCCTTATACATCACGGGGAGATTGAAAGCGGTAAGCGCGCAGGGCAGACATGAGGAACCTGTCGTTCTTCACACGCATGCAGGGTCAGATTATCTTTGGGAAACGCGGGATTGAAGGGCTATATAGCCTAATAAGCCGGGTATTAGTTCTGCGGGGCAACGTTGTTAATATTATTAATAATATATAATGTTACTGCAAAAAAGTCATTGGCTCGGCGTACAGGCTAGCAGGATTTGGGCGATTGGTAGTTGCTAATTGAAGAAGCTACCTGAACAAGAGGCTATAGGTTAGGGACGCATGCAAAAGTCCGAACATAGCTCTCCCCGGAAAAGAAAGCGGAAAGAACTATATAATTTGGGGTTTTTGCAAAGAAAACCACCTTTGCTAATATGCAACAACGGCAGGGCATACAAAATGGGGCATCGCACTGACTGGCCGATGCATTTCTGCAGGTGCCACAATGATAAGGCGCCTCTCGAAAAGAATGATGAAGAATACAATTAATGGCACGGAGACGTAGCCGGCAGCTAAATTATTACGGGCCACATGTCGCAATTTTAGACGGACTGCCGAGAACCAATCATTTCCCAGTAATCACGCCGCCAGGGTCCAACAGGCAACAATGTCAGCCAATTGATCAGGCTCACTGCGAAAGGGATGAGCAGACCCGCTCAGAATACTGTAGGTTATTTAGTGGGAAAATAGCCTACCATAGACTGCACCTGATTGGCTGATGTTTTTAAAAACAGTGTCATTACCAGTATAGCTTCATATCTCAGATAAACATAGTATTTCTACATAATTTTCTTTCCATCAGACAGTCTCTGTCTCTTTTTTGAAAGGCCATCCTTCAGCGGGGTGTGTGGTGGTTTGGTTGTTGGTTTATTGATTATACGAATTCAGTCTGCTTGCCGGACTTGCCTACGAGCGGCCTGGCTTACTATCTTCAGTAGTTATCATCGACGTATGAAAAAGATACTTTGATGACTTTCTTATGTAGTAAATCAGGGTGCTCTACGGCAAGCCTGAGGATGCAGGCAGGATGAGTTAGGTCGGCGAACAGACCAACAAACCACCACACACCACGATAGAGGAAGCCTCCCAAAAGGGAAAGCAGAAGCAGATGAAGCGAAGAGAGTGTGAAAGCTGATTCTCTCCCTATCGGAGATGCGAAGCTATATCCTGTAAACACTGTGTACTAGGAAAGATATCCCCCAGTCAGAGATCGCCCTTCCTCGGCCATTCCCCACTGCACTAGGTAGAAATTATTGCAGTATTTTCTGAATCTTAGAGGAGAATATAAATTACAATAAGAGTATACTAAGAAGATTAATAGACAATAAAGTTTATCTTGATTTCCAAAACATGAAATTTGTTATTGCCAAGGAAAGACCTAATATAAGAAAAGAAAAGGTAAGAAGTACTATAGAGTAGCGGACTGTAAGTGTCCAGCTCGGAGAAATGTGATCCGATATTCATGAGCTGCTTCTTCCTCTCTTCATCTAGCAATTTCTCGTAAATATTCGTCAGTAAATCCTATATACATATTTTCAAGGAGCTCAAACCTATATTCAATCTCCTTGAGATTTAGTTAGCTGAAAATATAAGAGGCTACTGTATTTTCTCTCCTGAAATGTCTTTAATTCCTTGCGTAAGCGACATTATACTACACTGACAATTAGTACCTTTACACTGATTTTTAAAACTGATAAAGAGATAAAATTTGTTGATCTAAAGAAGTTAAAGTTTTGGTATACTATAACAATAGAGTTAAATACTATAAGAGGATGGCTGAGTAGATGCCCTAGGTCGATAATCTAACTACTAGGAAAAAGTAGACTGGGGAAGAATATTACCTTTAAGATGAACATGGCGTATAGATTTGCACTTATTTTTTCTTATTTACAAGCATATTTACAAGCCCTCAGGTACCAACTTTCTTTAGGACGAGTTGTGCTTAGCAATGACGCAAGCTGTACGCCCAGCCGAGATTCTCTTCACTGGCAAGAAGACCAATATGCTCCACCATAGACACATGTATATGGTGACTGGCACTGAGTAGGGCCTGTATATCCCTCACCACCACATTGGCCCCACTGTGCAACGAGGCTACCACCTGTGGTAGTAGAGCTGGAGCTGGAGCTCGATGTCTTTGTAGACGTCGTTGTGACCAGTGTTGTAGCTGTTGTAGTGACAGAGATTGGCGCGCTGAGGTCGGTGACAACCTGGTCAAGGAAACCACTATTGGCATAGAGCTGCGACATATCCCACATCATTACACCACCAAAGCTGCTATACTGCCTAGAGTAAGTGATAGCAGCCAGGAGCTGTGATCCGCTAGTATAGCCAGCACCGGCAGCGCCAGTGTTAGCTGGAATACCTAAGAAGACCTTCACGTCAGGGTTTGGGCTGCTCTTGGCCCAAGTATCCCACACATCAAAGTTGAAGGCATTCTGTGTAGTAGCTCCTACTACAAAGTTCGACGTTTCGCACCAGTTGTTATAGAATTGCACCATTACAAAATCAAACGCAACAGCGTCAAGTGTTGTGCCATCTGCTGCATCTGGGAAGACACATTGCGGTGCCGCAGACAGATAATACTTTTTATCAGCAGCAGCATTCATTAACTGGCGAAGCTCAGCGCCAAAGGCGGGTAAATTGCTGACGGTTGATTCGAAATCAAAATCAAAGCCATCGACGACGGCATCTCCAAATGGACGATCGACATTAGCACTAGTCACAGGGCCGAACATCTCCCACACTGTCTGTGCCGCACTTTGAGCAGCAGCCGCGGAGGACCATCCTCCCTGGGTATACGTAGCGCCTCCAAGTGACAGGATAATTGTCTTTCCGTAGGTTTTCTGACAAGTCACAATATCGTTCCTATGCGGGAGTCAGCAAGTTTTACAGTGGCTAATCGGATTGACCTACGCAATCTGAGGGCAATTCAGGAGGTTGGAATTGTCGGCAAATGCAGTACAATTATCTCCAGCATTGGCAAAGTTCGTTATGGGAGGGGTAATTCCGTTCATGAATGCAAGAGGAATAATCTAGCAATCCATCAGTTTTAACATCGTATATTAACGTATGGATAACCCTCACATCAATTTCGGTATCTGAAGCCAAACAAAATTTCTCGGGTCAGTCGCTGTTCTCGTCTGATAAAATATACCAGGGTGTTTTCTGAGCCATACTGGAGCAATAATAAGCGAGATTCTTTTGGGCAAACGACCCGCTGCCCTGATTATACGAGTTTTGTCCTAATTGCCGAATATATCAGCACCAAAGTTCATTGTGCAAGCTCGGGTGTGGAATGCTGTTATTTACCCCAATATACCGCAATATTTGAAGAAGAGGTGGGATTAAATCCAGCGTAAACAAATGGAGCCAGAGCCAATGCTGAGCTCAAAGTTGTAAATGAGAAAGCCATTATTGATAGAGATATATTGAACGGCAATAAGTTGCGCAAGATATAGAATTGAAGGAATGTGATAGAGATCTTCGGTACCGCTACTTCTGATGTTCGTTTTGTGATTTTTGGTGGTCGGTCAAGAATATTATATAGTCACCAACCTTGTGGTGCCAGTATCTAAGGTGACATTTCAGCAGATTGGCTACCAGGGGGCGTAGGTCAAGTAGTGTAGACCCTACAAGACCCACGTGGTAGTAATGTGTGATGCTATCGGGATCTAGTCCCATGCAGAAGACCTTTTGAATCTACGGGCCGCCACAGTACTCTTGTCGCAGCTCATACTGCACCTTTTCTTACGAATAGAGTAACATTCAAAATCCCCCAAAAATAACGAATAAATTATTTGGATCTTTCTCAACTTTGGAAGAAGTTCTGTAGTTGGCTGAAAATTACGCCACATTAACATCGAAGTGCAACGCTCGAAAGATTTGCAATATCCAAATTTGCACTAATGAATAATGGCCAAATTTGCCATGTGAATTTTCAGGTTGAATATTTAGTTACGAGGGGATATATGCATTCCTAGCATTCCAGAAAGTGGATCATGGCTGATAAATGCGGGAAGTTGGCTGGAGGCGGAAGTCAGAAACAAGGCCTACTCTTCTCTTTTCGGCTCCCCTTTCCACATTATCCTCTTCCAGTACTGTTTCCGTCAGTAATTAACTATATCTCCAAGCTCCCTCCTGTCTCCCTGAGTCCCATTTTCGGGCATTCTTTGCGCTATTGAGTTTCTAGATGATGCTACTGAAGCATCAATTCTCCTTTTTCGGCTTTTCTCTTTCTCCAAAGAGCACCTCAGGTTGCGACCCTTTTCTGTTCCTGTGGCTGATACACAAGCGCCCGCAAATGTGACGAGAGCATGCATGGAAAATTGGAGAAGCATAGCATGCAGAAATTCTATTAGCATGGAATTTCATTTCCCTGGAGGTCGCTATTGTAGCTGGTTGGCTGAGGGCTTGATGAAACAGGCCGATAAGGTATCTGGCCTGTATGAAATCTATCCTCGGCAGAGACTAGCGCTTAGGCATTAACTCCAGCTAGTCCTATCTAGGATAATCGATTTAGCTCAAGTGACCCCGCAGTATTAGAAGAATGCAACCCTGACAATTTCAATGTTCTTCGCTCTTGAATTAATGTTGCTGGGTTGCTAGATAAATGTCGTCTTTTGAGTATTCTCGGTCTGTCGCGATACTACATTGTAGGGGGTCACCCCTTCCGCCGTCACATTACAGAGGAGGTTTTTCAGGGGGAGTATCCTGACATATACAGTAGTACTGTCATTTCTGAGAAGATGCGATCGAGATTATCTCTGCTCTGGGACTTCAGAAGTACACGACCATGCCTGAAAGAATGGTTCATGGTGTGTCTGCTGTCCTTCAGACTGAGTTCGGCTTTCTTATTCTACGGCCGTTCTCTGGGATAAGGCCCGCGTAGAAGTACATCACTAGTATTTGCTACGCATCTCTTTCGATCTTTCATATTCAATGAACAAATGGCCCTCGCTCTGTGATTTGAGCCATATTCAGCAGCTGACAATCTTATATTTTGCCCAAGCAACCAACAGAGAATAGCAGATTTCGTTTTGCAAGCTACACCAGCAGGTCTATACACATCAGGTGAGTGGGAATCTTAATTTTCATTGAGAGGGGTCAAGGTGAATGAAATATGGCGCGTGATGCGCAAACTGTGGCCATGAAACGATAAAAACGCGCATGGGCCAGAAATTCAAGAGAAAACGGATGTAGTATTGCTTTACTGATGCTTCACAATGAAAATGACCATTGGCCAATTAGAAACCAAGGCAGATAAAGTGACTACTAGCTACTAGTGAAGTTACACCGTGACCTTTGGAGCTTGAGCATTGTAATGCTATCGCGTAAGTATATCGGTGTGCGATGTTTCTATTGTTTTCGAGAACACCTCCCCGGAGGTATTGTGCTAGCTTGTGGTGAGTTTCCGTTTCCTCGGATTTCACGAAGAATTTGATAAAGACGAATAAGCGGGAAGGAACGGAAGAATGTAACAAAATTCTGTCGAGAATGAGAAGCTACTCAATACAGCGATGCCCTATATATTCCAATATGCGTCTCCGGCTTAGGGGAATACCCGTTCGCTTATTATTTTTGTAGAGTACCCCAGGCATACTCGGAATCTAGCCCTATAATACGCTATTTAGCAAGGCAGAATATATTCAAAAATCCTTCTAGGTAGTTCACAGAGTTAGACATTAAATTAAAATCACGTCCCATTTGATCCCATCTTTACAGGATCATACAGGATTTGAATATAGACATGGTACTATCAAGGAGTCTTGCGAAAGAGGGCATCTTATCTTGATCTCAATTAAAGTTGATGTAGTCCACTACGCAGCAGGTTCGCATAGGCTTCAAGAAGCCCCTTCAGTTGAAATATTCAATGAACTAGATCCGCAATATGGGTGTCGGTAGATCGGTGGCTATTTTCACGTTGTGCTATTCATGCGTTGAAATAGAGTATTCAAGGTAAGAATTGGTCTGTCATTGAATATCGATACTATCAGTATTCAAATTTTGTCATGTAGCTCAAGGTACCTCAAACTACCTCGTCATTTTAGCCCTTGATATAGGTTTCTCCTATACAAATTTTATAAGACAGAAGTGCAGCTGTTTCTGAGAAGGATGATTTTTCAACATTCTATAGTATGGAACCTAGAAAATAAAAAAAGAAAATATGTCGGTGGAGCTCAAGAGAAGAGCGTCTTTAGGAGAATAACCTATCTACAAATTTGCTGTCTGCTCACTGAAATCCTTCTCAATTAGAATACTATCTTGAATATGGGTAAGTGAGGTGTGTCTGCGTCGAGTTCATTCGGGATTACCTGAAAAAGCTCGTGGGTATTTAAAGCATCTGAAATATCTCCAAAGTTGAAGACTAAGATTAACAGTATGCATCAGAATTTAACCCGGTCTTGAATGGGAAGTAAGCGCAGCAATCATAGCCTTGCTTTCTCTTCAAGTTCGTCGCTGACGTTATTTCGGTGAATTCTATCTGTATTTTGCATCAACGAGGGCACATTATTTGACAAGAAACATTCAAGCTGTTCAAGTTTTATAACATATATACTAAATCCGATGGCCATAGATCATGAATCACTGGCAGGAGACCTGAAATTCAGGGTGTGTGCGAAGCCATTCCCCATACCGGACAAAAAAGTATTCCAAGCAGGAGATAGCTAGTACTATAAGGCCAAGGAAACTGTTCCCCCATCCATATTCCAGGTGGCCATATAGTAAGGGAGAAGTTAATGGTAGGAATGCCCCCAGAATAGAGCGTATAATTGTGTTGACGGCGATTGCACTTGCTTACCTAGTTATCTATCTAGGTTAATAGTTTATCGAATCCTTTGCTAGGTCCGACTTGCTAAATGTTTATTAAAAAATAAGATTCCTTCGGGATTCAAGACTACTTCAAAACGACGATACCTTATATTAAAATAGCGAAAGATTACCAATTCTTTATGATATTCGAACTTGTCCGAATCCTCAGGTGACAAAATTCCTTGTCCCTTCTCGATGTTCGACCTGCTCAAAGTCCGGGTATAACTGCCTGAAATGCCCATTGGAGAAATGAAGCTTATTATGTCAAGCCATATGGATATGTTTCTTTGGACGGCTTCAATATCCCATTGAAATAAGCGAACGCGGTAAAAGATACGCACAGGCTACCTGCTTCAAAAACGGTAGTGGAATGGGCGAATTAAGTTTGGATTCTTGAAGATCCGTTTATTTTCTCACTTTCTTGTGTCAGTTAGATTATCAAAAGGTAAAATGGCTTGCTACGTATTGAGATGGTAGGCTTGACGGGATTGAAGGTTGGAAAGCCAGGTAATAGCAGACCAGGGCGCATTTATCGTCACCTTCGACGCCAACAACTTCGATGTCCTTAGTAGTCGGGAATAGGACTAATTATTCTGGTGTACTCACTCTGGAGAGAACGTATTATGTGCGAGCTTCAATGATATTCGAAGCAATCGAGCGATCATGTAGAAAATCGACAAGGATTTGGTCAGGGAGGAGAAAGTATCGGTAGAAGGTTCATGTATCTGTCCCAGATTGACGGGTTGTGCAGTAGGTTATCTCTCACTTATCTTGTAGTTATTTTATATATTCTAGGGGCTGCGGTGCAAGCGAAGGTGTTATGTGTAAGGATGATGTTCTTATTCCCTCAGAAGAGGTCATGATAAGCTAAACTACTGACGTAAGCAGGCTGTGAACAATATTATTCTGCTGGTTAGGCGTGACGATCGATGACTTGGACTTGAGATGTCATTTGAGATTCTAGGTGATGGTATATAGGCTAAAGATGTTAATGTCTCCACATAAGACAGCGCTGGTGGTCTAGTGGTTAGGATTGCTCTCTTCCATGTGATGTTAAGAGCAGGGGGGGGTTCGATTCCCTCCCAGCGCATTCTTTTTTATGTGGTGGCGGAGATACGAACACTATTTTCATAGTTTTGATTTAATAAGCGCCGAGTGAATCTTTCATCTGAATAAAAAGCATCGCAAAGGGTTTAGGATGAAATTGAATTATTAATAATCAGCTGCGCTGGTGGTCTAGTGGTTAGGATTGCTCTCTTCCAATACGATGCCAAGAGCAGGGGGGGTTCGATTCCCTCCCAGCGCAAAACTCTGGTTCTTTTTATGATCCAATAGATGCATTTTTTTCCCCTTTTGGTGGTGAAAGAGAGATAGATACTATTTTAGTGATGCAATTGATGATGTACTTGACAAGTGTTGAGCAATTATTTTTTTTTTTGAATTAAAGTGATCGTAAAATGCCTCAGTACAATGATATTCGGAATTTGGTAATAAGTTGCGCTGGTGGTCTAGTGGTTAGGATTGCTCTCTTCCATGTGATGCCAAGAGCAGGGGGGGGTTCGATTCCCTCCCAGCGCACATCTTTTTTGCCATATCGTTTTTGCTTCTTAGTTCCAAGACACCTTACCTTCCTCTACATTAGACCTATATCTATTTCAGACTCGGCTCGTATTTTTGCTTAGCTGACAGACTTGCTGCGGTACCTCGCGTGATCGGAGGAGATTCTTACCCGCTCTCACCCGGTTCTGACCCTGTCTATTACTAGCCCTTGTTACACCAACTCCGCGAAGCTAAACCGGCGCTCACCCTCTCTCACCTTGGTGGCAGCCACCCGACTACTGACTACATATGCGCCACAAGCCGGCAGGTTAGTAGTTGGGTGTGCAGACCGCCAGCGAATCCCTGCTGTTGTATGGTTTTTTCTTTAGCTATTATTCGTTTTTTTTACCGGAAAGTCTTAATGATGATAGCACAAAAAGATGCCTGATTTGCTATCGCGAGCGGGAATCCTTACACGATAGCGAAACTCGCATTCCATAGTATGTAACTTTCACTCTTCGCAATTCAATTTCATATAGTTCAGAATTGTCAGCAGATCTATTAATTTTTCCCTCTAAAGGACATATCAGTTTATGTATAGAAATACCTATTTCCCGATGGATCTATCTCTGAGCTGCCTAGTCATAAGAAAATATCATGTATAACTATCAACAAACTCAACAAGGCAACTACTCAAGGTAAAATCGTTCCGAACGAATGATTCTACAGAGTCCTACAGATAGGGACCTGTGGTCATATCTGGTATGACTATATCAGGTAGAGTCCGCCCATTGTCTGGTTGCGGATGAGCAGTTACATCATCCAGTAGCATCAGTCTCGCTTGTTGAGAACAGGATCAGGTCTATTTTGCTAACACCACCAAATCATTGAGCTTTTCTATAAAGGCAAATCTTTCCTCAATGTAGATGTTCGGGTGACCTTATTTACAGCCACAGACTGGGCTGACACTGTGCCCATCTTGGACACAACCGCAGGTATTCGACTCCGGCACGAGATGCCCTGAACAGCCCGCTAGACAGCAGCGATAGTACCCATCTTGGCAGCGAGGACAGTCGTCGTAGGTGTCGCACTTGGTTACCGCTGTTGGTGTTGGCACCGAGCTGCTAGTGGAGGTAGGATCGTTCACGCCAATACAAAAATTCTGACGTCCATTTGCCCACCCGACTGCAAAATCACATTTGTTCACATCTGTGGTTTCCAGTACCGGATTCCACGCAAGTAGTTGCTCCACAGTGATTGAGTGGTCGGCTGCGAGCTCGGCGCAAGAGATCGGCTCGCTTGGACGGACATTGACCCAGCTGTAGCAGTTTTCTGCAAAATCTGAAGTTGGTGTGGGGGTTTCGGTTGTACTTGTAGATGTTTGGGTGGTTGTTGATATTGTACTTGTCAACGGGGTAGTAGTAGTCTCAGTAGATGAAGTCTCAGTAGTTGTGGATATTGTAGTTGTCAACGCGGCGGTGGTAGTCTCAGAAGATGAAGTCACAGCGGTTGTGGATTCCGTCGTGGTTATTTTGACGCCTCGGAATGTAAATCCCGGGTAGGAGTATATGGAAAGGCCTCCCGAGGCCGGTGTTGTGGCAGGGCAGATTGGAATATTGAAAGACGTCGAGGTCGTGGGCATGCTATCACAGGCCACAAGCGAGCTGCATGTAGTCGAGAAGCAGGACGTGGTTGCCACATCTCCCGAGTATGTTCCAATAGAGCAGAACACCTCACAATTAGTAACCGGGATCTGTGTGCTACAAGAAGTAGATGTGATTCTGGTCGCCGTTCCGGTAGAAGAACCTTCATTACTCTCGGCCTCTTCAATATCCTCCCTCAAGGTTGTGATGACACTGGTCAAGTCTGCAAGAATGTTTGTTATGGAGCCAGCACTTGCTGTGCCTCCAACAATCTGCAAGACCATGTCCCGCACGGTGTCAAAAATGAAGGAGATACTCTGAGCCGAGCCACAGAAAATGAGGCAAAGCCCAGGAGAGGATATGCCGAGGCCAAGACCAAAACCATTATTGTCTTATGAACTCGGTCAACCTATGAGGTTCAGGGATGAATGAAATAGCTATAGACTTACCCGAATGTGCCTTATCATTCGCCGTGGTCACGGCGCTCGCCTTTGACGTATCCGCAGTTGTTGAGGAGAAAGCGACCACAGCATCCGACAGACTGCTGAGATCAGACAAGACGGTCTTTGCTGATGCGATCGCAGCAGATGTGGACAGTGTGGTAACTGGGATAATCACACCATTTGAATCAGCAGTGCCGGTGATGGTGGTGATCACAGAACTACCTCCGGGTATATCGGATGTCACAACCTTAGTAACGATGGGCGGAAGAGGAAATACGGATGACGGAAAGATTTCTGAAGTAGTTGAAGTCGGCGATGGTAGCGCGCTAGTGCTTTGGGGAGCGGGCGGGATTGTTGGAAAAGGAACAGGAGGGAAACCACTGTCGGTGATGCCTGTAGAGACGGGCTCCCAGGCGATTCCACCTGGTCCAACGACAAGAGTGGTGGCAACCCCGTTTGGAGATGTTGTCAGAGTGATTTTCCCTGGAAGTGCAGTAAACTCAGTGAATGTGGTGGGGGTAAAAGTGATTTCTGCAGTGCTGGAACCATCGGAGGCCGTGATCGTAATCACCGTGCTGGTGGTACTACTGGAAGGCGTAGTTACTGGAGCAGCGGTGGTACTGGGAATTGACGATGGCAAGGTGGAGCCTGGAGCCGGAGTCGTGGTGGTAATTGAGATTTGTGAGCTAGAGGCAGTGTTCGATGGAAGAAAAGTCGACGAGGTGAACTGTGACGTGGAAGCAGATTGGTGAGGCATCAAAGTGACAGTCACTCCATCTGCCGTGATTGTCTGTGGTTCATCCGCGGAAGGCGAGACGGGGACGGTGGTCGTTCCAATGACGAGCCCACCGGGACCAACGGTCACTGTTTGTCCGTCTGCTGTCAGAGTGCTTGTTTGGGAGCCGATGGTAAACGTGGTCCCGTCAAAGACAATCTCTGCGCCTTGCATGCCCGGGCTACCTGTCGGGATGACATTCCCCGATTGATCTGGGTTACCAGGAGCACCGCTCGTAATGAGACTTTCGGACTGGTCTGCGGCGCTGGTTGTGCTGGTGGGAGAGAGAATTCCTGACTGATCAGGATTGTTGCTCGTGTGGATTTGAATCAGTTGAGATGAGACACAGCTTGGTTCGCATCAGCTTCGTCTTTTCAATTCAAGAATGTCAAAGGAGTCTTACCTATACTCCGATGGAAGATAGCAATCGTCCCCGCAGGCCAGCGTAGCCTGGCCGTCCAGCACCGGACACAATTTGGCTCCATAGCAGACATACAGTGATTCGAGATAGCATTGAGATCCACAAAGGAGGGTTGGCTGGCCGTCCAGAATAGGGCATAAAGTGCCATTCGCAAAACATGTATACTGTCAGACAGATTAGCCGTGTTGCGAAAGCCGGTCCGACTGAAACATACTTCGAGCTTCCGGAAATATTGGTCTCCGCACAAGAGCAATTCTGTATCTTCGGGACTTGAGCCTGAAAGGATTCGATCTTCACCGAGTGCTGGTACCTCCTGCGGATACCAATAATCATCATAGATAATGCCCCTCTCGATATGGACCTCATCCAAACCCATCATGGCCACGTAATCAAACCCCTCTACGATCAGCCTCAAGCCCCTCCGGCCTGCGAGATTGGCATCGTAATTGGGATCATACTCGAAAAGGGACTTGCCTCGCCCACTCGTGCTCAGTATCGCATCTTCGACCTGCGAATCCTGGTTGAGGGCCTGGTAGGTAAATATGGTCACGGGAATATTCTGGTTCTGCAGGAGCTGGATGATTGTATCTTTGAGAAGATCAACCTTGGCTTCGTAAAGACGTCCATCTCGATATTTAGTGAGCCCGGGGTCAGGATTGCGCCCATTGGTGCTCATGTCCTTAGGGGAATCGGCTTCATTCTGAGGGGTGATAATGAACACTGCAGGGGAGTCGTCGGTTCCAAAGAATCTGCTCACGCTCTCCAGGCCAACGTATCTCTGTCCTCGGTAGCTATCTATTCCTGTTCCTGCAAATTCCAGCGCTGACTCAAAAAAGATCTGCCATTCGTCTTTTCCTGCTGCATTCGTTCCGCGCTTGTTCAATTTCGGGCTGAAAGAGATACTCTCACTAATGAATTTATGAGCTTCCAATCAAGCATTTTAGCCAAAGGTCGAGATAACTGACAAGAAGTGGGCGAACCAAACTGCCCTTCTCGATACAACCACCACAGCAGTACAGCCGCAGAGGTCTTCAAGTCCAATCGAGAGCGGTAGATCGCCAAGTTCAGCGAAAGTGGCCGAGTTTCCTTTAGTTCCGCGGTTATAAACGAGTGAGACTTCTCCTCTCCTAAATTTACCGAGCAAGTAACTACTTCCATCTTCGAAATTTTCCCATACCCGTTTCTTAAGGGTACTCCGAACCCGAGACCATATGCGGGGCATCAAGTCTCGACCCCATCGCCGGCGAGAAGTTGCGGCATCACTTGAGCCGCATTTCGGACGACATGAATTCCAGTCATCATCCTCCTCTCGACGGATTAAATCACGGGCCAAATAGCTGCAAGGTGTAAGCTTTTTCAATTGATAGGCCTGGGATATCAACAAACTTCTCAATTGAGCCGTTTACATTGATCGTATGGATATTATCAACAAAGCCGAATCTAATATCAAAATATTAATACACGTCTTGAGAAGTCCAATAATGTAAACATTGCCAACATGCCTTCCATTCGCATTGATCAAGGGCTGTCGACCGGAGACAATTTGCAGTAAGAGTCCCGCAAAGATGAAAACGTGAGGAAATTTTAGAAGGACCATTTTATGAAGAAAAAAGATATTAACTGAGTCCAAAGCGCTCTAGAATTTAGACACTAATGACATGCCCTACAAGACCCCGATGAAGCGTAGATATCTTATATATCTTGCTTCATTTGGGATCCTAATGTCAATCCACCCTGTACTTAGCATGAGCTGGTCAATGAGGCCCTACGTAAATTAAAGCTGATCTCTCTTGTCATTAAGGTTGCATTGAAACTCAGCCATCTCCAAATCAACCATTCAACCCGACTGAGGCGCCCAATACATACATATACGAGATGTGCCACCAACATTTCAGCTTAAAGCAAAAGAGCAAAAGCGATGTCAAAATTGTGTGATATCCCGTTAGTGCCCGGAGAATTTATTGGCAGCTTATTTGCCAGTCATCATTTGATGCAGGCCAAGAGGAATATAGTAGCTTGGCTTTCCAGCTCCAGATTACGGCTCGGATACTCTGCCTTTTTGGTGCCCGTAAGCATGGATGGAGCACGCCACAAAGTGCCTGATGAAGTTTCCATGTGGTCCAGAACATTTCCCAAAAGGTGACAGGGTCCAGTGAGTTTCAGCTTGGCGTCCTAGCTTGGCGGCTGCGCCCCGCTTTTGTAGTATTCTATAGCCAAAAAATGGCTTTCATTCGCCTCTGCCAAGGGTATGTTTTCTGCAGTCATACGAACTTGCACCATCTTGGAAGGTTGATCCTCTGGCCTTAACAGACCTGATATTGTGCAGCGGCACTCTTTGTCGACCTAGCAAGGCTGTACAATAAAAACTGACGTATTTTAGACTTGGGCAAGAAGCAGACGACAGACAGGCGGAAAATTCGCTCTTTGTTCACATGCCAGGTACTTTTTGGCTTCAAGATGGGGCAAATGTGCTTCTCTTTTTTATTAATCCTCATAACTCGATTTGGGGAGCTCGTGGTCGGCTTGATTGCTCTCCATTAGTCAGTGGGGCATGCCTCATGGAGGCTTCGCTATCATTGCCTCGAATAAAAAGTACAGGGGTCTGTGAACCACAATTGCGACTGCGACAGAACATTTTCTCAGGGCTCTGATGTAATTGAATTGAGTGAAAAGGTCTTTTAGGAAACATAGCGAGATTTTGAGTCCAACACCTGCCACAGAGTAGATCAGAACCCAATCATACCCATTCGCTGTCAACTCTAGTGCAGGCAAGGGCACACCCATTTAAGAAGGCTGCTGGTCCATGTTCTCCTCCATTACATCTAATATATGATCAGTTTTCTCTATTTTGGCTTTTAGCAAACCTTCACCATGTCGGACCCTGTCTCTACCTCTGACACCTCCATCCCCATCCGGTCGGAACCCGGGAAGAGCGGCAACCAAGAGTCAAAACTGACACCCCTCGAAAAGTCAGAACTGGCTCTCGCCGACAAATACAGCTCACCTGATGTTTACATTAGCGGTGAAAGGGACACCTGCTGGCATCCCTGGCACGAAAACCTTGAGCTGAAGCCGCTGCGATTTGAGACTCGGACAGGCACGTTTGTGGTCGTCCTGCGCAGCTCCGAAGACACCTGGCTGGGCAAGCATAGACATCGCGGCACTGTGACTGCCGTCACGCTCAATGGAGAATGGAACTATAAGGAGTATGTCTTTTAGGCTAGGGAGAAAAGAAGGGAAGTCCGCTAACTCCGAGGATCAGATATGGCTGGGTCGCCAGACCTGGTGACTATGTGGTCGAGAATCCCGGAACTATTCACACTCTACACATGAGCAAGGGAGCAGAGGTTGTTTTTACTGTGTCGGGCAGTCTTGAATTTTTCAACGATGATGACAGCTTGAAAAACACCATGGATGTCTTTAGTTATGCTCATCTATACTACGAGCATTGCAAGAAGCAAGGGATCAAGCCAAATGACGGGTTATGGTACTAGAGTACTAAAAATGCAGCCTCATGATTTTCCATAATGGCAATTATCTGGATTTTCTGGACCTTCGTATTTTGCTTTAAATTATCTATTTGGATTACGTTTATCTCTCGTAGGCGACGTTTGACTTGATATTCTAGGTAGGAGGATACCGACACAAGAACTCTCTCCATGAACGAGGAAAGTGTACTACCTCAAAAGCTATCCACATTATCCCCCACTTTGTGTATCTCTTTCACCCCGCAGATAGCGCATTAGACTTGAATATGGAAGTGTTCGGTTGGATCACCTCGCCTCGCTTCGGAAACCAAAAGCCGTTGGGTGGGACCGTAGAGGTGCGTTTTCCCCGCACGAGATAGCCACTCAGCGACCCCTGAAATAATCATCTACCGAAGCCCAGTCGGCATATTTGCCCTACGACCTCAATCAATCCCCTGCCATCCTCCTGCAACGTGCAAGTCATACATTTTATCTCCATCCCTTGCTTCGAACTGGTTACTACAGCGATAATGCGGACATGGACCGGTAAGTACACCCGATAAAACACCGGATCCATGATGTTTAACTGTTTTCAGGATGGTAGGTAGCTGTGAATAAGTAATCCACGCAGAGTTGAATAATTGATAAGTCTTTAAGCTTGACATGTCGGTCCCGAAAGATCAAGTGCGATGAGAGACGGCCTACGTGCAGAAATTGCGAAAAGAACCGCGTTGAGTGTATATCCTCCGACCTCTTGTCTTTCAAGCATTGGCACAATCCGTCACTTAGCAAGAGCGCGAAAAGCGCCTTTGAGTTGGATCATATCTGGGTGGACATAGATCCGTCATGTATGAGACCGTAATTAGCCTTGCGAGCAAATCCAAATTGTAGACTAATGACTAACCGTTAGACAGATAGATTTATTGACGAGACCAGCACCATCGCCACAGAGTACGAGAATGTCGTTGACGGAACCGGTGCAGTCACTGGCGAAGACCAGTATGCCTTCGAAGGAATCGGGAAATGGAGTCTGGGAGAATGTCATGACGCTCAGGCGCAACATCGAATACATTATGATCCTGTGCACAGCGCTGAGAGCGAGAAATTTGCTGCGACGCCAATTCAAAGCATGTCGAAACCACAAGCGTCAGCACCGTCAGTGACTGATTGGGACTTCAGTGGCTTGGAAACACGAGATATATCGTCTTCACGAAGCGATGGAATAACTTCTTCAACGGAAGCCTATCCAGCCTCATTTGAACCTGAAAATGGCGTTGATAGTCAGGTGGATTTTTCTGAGAGTTCTCCGGCCTTTGGGGGCACATTGAGCCACCTGCCCGTAAATACCCCTGGTTCATGGGGAGCGATCAGCCAAAGAACAAATGCAGCCGGTCAAGCTCTGCTTTTAATGAAAAATGATGATATGAACATTCGCATAGCCGAGTCCCTGACTGCTGATTCGTATTCGTCAGTGGGGCGCTCACCAAGCGAAAGGTCTCCCAATAACGTGATTTCACCAGGGAGAGTGCTTTCAGCACCAAGGATTCAGACTCCTCCGATGCTACTTACTTCGAAAGAGGAAGCAGATTTGCTTCGTCAGTTCAGCGCTGAAGTAGGAACCTGGATGGACCTCTCCGACTTGTCTGAAACATTCTCCAAGAAAGTATGCCGGCTAGCCATACATGACCCCTTACTCAAAGCAGCAAGCATTGCGTGCGCTGCTAAACAACAGTACCTGGTGGGAAAGCTGGAAGACGGTATGCATATTGCACAAAAGAATTACGACACTGCCATATCGCTTCTGATCAACCAGCTCTCTGACTTGGACGAGCAATTTGTCGGGTATGGCTTTGCAGCCATTGTCATCTGCTCATGCTATGAAATGCTAGATGCTCCGACCGCGAACTGGCAGAGACATCTGGACGGCGTTTTCTCCTTTGGCAGGGTACAAAGAGTAAATGGATCGTCTGGGGGCATCCCACAGGCCGCTTTCTGGTCCATCGCGCGACAAGAAGTGGTGTGTGCTATTATAAACAGGTCGAAGTTGAGACTGGATCCAGATTTTTGGGTCATTGACCTTGAAAATATTGGACAGGAAGGTAGTGAAGACTTGGTAAATAACCAGTATGTGGCCTCTCCATCTGATGATACGTTGACAAGGCATATTCTGATGAGTAAAGAATTCTCACCATCCTCGCCAAGACGGTGAATTTTATGGCTTGCGCAGATGAATATACTCTCACTAAAAGGATTAGTGAATGGCATAAACTTCACAAACTGCTTGAACACTGGAGTGGTTGTGTGAAGAATAAGGACTTCATGGACCCGGTCTCAGTCTTTGATGAGGGTAAAGTGTTTCAAACAATTTGGTTTGTGAGGAGTGTTTGTGGTCAAGATCCCTGGATTTTATAACTGATGAAATTATTACTGACGATGTACAGCCTCCTCATGGCAAATGTTTCATCTTGCTCAAATATTCCTCTTGACCACCAGCCCTATACAAGACTCCAATTGCCTCCGTGCTTTCCGCAAAGTACAAGTCAGTGAAATGTTGTGGAATCCTCCCTCAGCTTATTCTAATCGGTCCTCAGGTAAAACTACTGTACCACGCACGACAAATATGCGGCATTGCCCAAAGCAAGCCGGACGGAAGCTGCCGTGTTAATTCTGTTCAGCCGATCTATTATGGTACACTATACAGAAACTCAGGGTTTACTATTTTACTAATTTCCATTTCTTTGGCAATAGCGGGGTGCTGTTTCGACAAGGAAGATGAGCGAAAAGCCGCGGTTACACTATTAGAAGACATTGAAAATGACCTTGGCTGGGCGGCAATATATCGAGCTCGACATTTATATGCAACATGGGGCTGGCACCAATAATCGTAGTTCTAGAATATCAGACTTTATTACAAGGAATTTCACTCACAATAATTGAGAGCTTGGCCTTATAAAACTCACATCTGACAAATTTTCAGATAGTCATGTTCGATTATGATATTGGAATCCGTCATTGAACAAAGTTACAACTAAAGGTTGACTTTGATAGCCTCTACTTGAATGCCATCTCATCGCTGGTTGGTGACCAGCGTCATCTTTAAGTCAGGGTATAACCACCGTCAACGCGTAAATCAGCACCAGTAATATATCCCGCAGAGTCACTGAGCAAGAAAATTACCGCCCCCATCAAGTCCTCTGGCGTTCCCACTTTACCGGCAGGGATAAGCGAGATCCATTTGTCTCGAAACTCAACATTTTCCTCCAGGATTTTGCGGGTACTTGAATATTGGAACAAAAACTGTTAGTGGTTGGATAACAGAACAAGGAAAGGCCACGAAGGCCTGTTTTTGTGTCACTTACAGGGCAGTCAGAATATATCCAGGACTGATGCAGTTCACACGGATATTATAAGGGGCCCACTCCACGGCGAGAGATGCAGCAAGATGACGAACGGCTGCCTTCGCTGCATTGTAGGGTGCCTGGGGCTGAGGAACGTTGACGATAGCTCCAGACATGCTTCCAATGACGACTATGCTTCCCGATGCTTGGCGATCGATTAAATGCTTCGCAACGCCCGTGGAAAAAAGATATGTCCCATCTACGACGACGCCCCACAGCTTCTGCATGCGATCATGGGGATAAGTGACGGCGCTGAAATTTTCTGTGAACCCGGCTGACGTGACCAAATTGTCAATCCTGCCATGTTTGGTGATAATGTTGGTGATGGCATCGTTAACAGAGATTGGGTCGGACACGTCGGCATAATGGGCGGTCACTCTGGGCACTCTTGAAGAGCTCATTAGCAATTATATTCAAGATTATTGCAGAGTTTCGAAGCTAGAGGGAGGGGACACACTCTCCAGTTCCGGGGTTCTCGGCTTTAAATTGCTTCAGTAGCGTTTCGGCTTGTCTGTGAGCTTCATCTCCTGTATTTCGGTCATTAATATTCAATGACCCGTATAATACGTACGGCCTTATGGCTTACCATTCATATCAACAATGGCAAGGTGTGAGCCTGATGCTATAATAGCCTCGGATATGGCAAGACCTATTCCACTCGCGCCTCCGGTTACCACCGAAACTGTGTCCTCAAGGGAAAAGCTGGCGAGTGTTCGTTTGAAATGCTTGCCTCTTCGGCCCTGAGTAAGAGGACTTCGAGGCATTTTGTCTTCTTCAGGACGTTCTATGCTGATGCTTTCGTCTATTCGTGTAATTCCTCCATCTGTTCTTTTGAATAAATTCCGATGAGATTTGGTACAATTGAATTGTGGTGTTGGTCGAGAGTTCTGGTAGCTTTTGGAAGCCCGTGTGGTAGATGAAAACCTTTGATTAAATGAATTGGCCACAGCCCCAAATTCAATGTGGAAATTATTCAACCTGGGCAAGCGAGGAGTAAATCTCAGGACCTGCATAGCTGAATAAGCAGATTTTGTTCTAACGATCCTTTTTAAACAGGTGGAAATATGTGAAATGGGGAAGAATAGGCAGATAGAGGAGACTTTCAGCCGAATTTATGGAAAGATTGAGAACATGGGGACGGCATTTTTACCTTGGTATTTGTAGTATAAAAATCGGGTCAGCAAGCGAGTGCTTTGCTCGAGGTGGATATCAGATGACATGCTCAATTTTACAGGGGATCCGCTGGTTATTAGCTCATTACCTTGAAGCTCTATCTTAGGACGCCCAAGTCCTCGGCGAATCGTGTCTTGTTTGACAATAGGAAATAATACCAGGTGAAAAAAAATGATAGGTGCATAATGAAGCAATTATGGAATCATTCAAAAAATGTTACACATAAATCCCAAAATCTCAGAGAAATTTGTCAACTGCATTATTTTGATGTACGGTGTCATTTTGCATTGGTGATTGACTACTGAGATCCGTTTCCTATAGGCTCGCTGTAATTGCCGTTTGCACTGAAGTCGGCTCAATTGCCGTAGCTCAGGCAAATCAGCCGAAGCCAAGAATTTTCCACTATCTCAGCCAATGCGCCCAAAAGGTGCTGCCAAGCGACCGCTTCCACCTCGCGTTACCAAATGTCTTTCTCAGTTCGAGAGGCGATTAATCTCGCGATGGTTCGATATTAATAAACTGGTGCGTGCGACCTTCAAAATCTGAGGGATATAGAAACACGTGAACATATCCCTGAAGGTGTAGCTTACCCTTCTACATCATGAACCAGGGCGCTCAGCGGCAAGCCTGAGAATGCAGGCAGGATGATATAGCCTCAACAAACCAGCATACAAACCACCACACACCACAGTGGAGGAAGCCTCCACTATAGGAAGCAGAAGCAGATAGAGCAAAGAGAGTGTAAGAGTTGATATATCTCCCTATTGGAGAACTGAGGCTATATCCTGTAAGGACTGTGTACCGGAAAGATATCCTCCAATTAGAGATCCCCCTTTGTAGGCCATTTCCCCACTACAATCACTAGCCGCGAGTATTATTCTGTATAAAATTACCGAAGTTATGGCGATGACTCTTACTACTTCTTGAATAAAAATGAGATTTCTGAACACAGAAGCAGAATTACATCAAACCTCCAGCCACAAGAGCGCTGGAAAAAGGCCTTTTCTCTTTCAAATGGAAGAAATTTATTGACTCTCTAGTCATAAATTAATGATCTCCAGCATGAATAATTGCACCTTTATAGACGGCTCCCGCTTCCCGCTTGTGACTTTCCGATCCACTCAAACCCATCTTTTTTGTACTTGTAGGCACGAAGATCACCAGAGCGTGCATGTCCTTCGAAGTTTTCTGCTCGGGCAGCCCTTCCACAGAGTCGGCCAAGACCTCCACTGGCTTCGTCAGAAGTGACCTCTTGGTAGGTACAGGTTTTCAGGTACTTGCCAACCCACAGACCACCTGTGTAACGGGAGGCGGTGCGTGTAGGCAGGACGTGATTAGTACCGATAACCTATGTTGAAAGTCGTTAATCAGCTTTCAAATTTTCAAGTTGATTGCATTGGCCGTACCTTATCTCCAAAAGAAACACATGTTTTTTCACCAAGAAACAAGGCACCATAGTTGGTCATCCGCTCCAATGCATCACGCGGATTCCGGGTGAAGACCTGGACGTGCTCGCTCGCATACCGGTTGCCAAGCTCCCACAATTCGTCCATGGTGTCAACTACTATAACTTCTCCAAAGGCCTCCCATGATGTCTTGGCGACCGCCGCAGTCGACAAATCGGAAGAGTTAAGGAGATTGTCCACAATATCTATGGTGTTGCGCCCAAGCTCTAAGCTGGTTGTGATTAGCACAGCAGGGGTATCGGGGCCATGCTCCGCCTGAGAGATCAAATCCGTTGCCACAGTGAAGGCAGAGGCAGTATCGTCGGCCAAGATCAAAATCTCGGTGGGACCAGCGAAGAGGTCGATGCCCACTTCTCCAAAGAGCTGTCTCTTGCCCTCGGCCACAAAAGCATTGCCTGGTCCCGCAAGGAAATCCACCTTCTGAATGGTCTCCGTACCCACTGCCATAGCAGCCACTGCCTGAACACCTCCTAGGAGGAATATTTCGTCGGCACCTGCCAAGTGCATAGCGGCGACAGTGCTATACGGAATTTTACCATTGATTGGCGGCGTACAGGCGATGACATTCTTGACACCAGCAACCTTGGCAGTCAAAATGGTCATATGTGCCGATGCAAGGAGGGGATATCGTCCGCCGGGGATATATCTGCAATGGAAGGGATTATTATTTAGACCATTATGCGAAGATATAAAGGACCTGATATAAAGAAGATATGTTGCCAACTTACGCCCCGACATTATCAATTGGAACATTCTTTTGTCCTAGATGCACTCCAGGTCGGATTTCGATCTCAAAGTCCTTGAGGGAAGCTTTCTGCGCTTCAGCAAAGGCCCTCACATTCAATTGGACTTCCTTAATATCGTCAATGGTTTGCTTGGGACAACTGGCAATCGCAGCCTCAATATCAGTCTGAGACAGTTTGAAGCTCTGTGGTGACCACTTGTCAAACTTTTCGGAATATCTCCTCACAGCGACATCGCCCTCCTGGCGAATGGACCTAATCACTTCTTCAACGATGAGAGGCACGTCGGCTCTAGGAGATGGCTCAACTCCAGGCAAACCAGTAACTTCCTTGAGGTATTGTCGACCCATGATTTTGTTGATATTCCAGTAGCGTTCTTCTATCAATTTCTCAAACTGTATCTGGTCTGAAAGGGTGGAAAAGAATTTGAATCTCTACAATTATGGTGTTTATATAGGCGAACCAGGGCGAGACCGTTATAGTTGGTCCTCATAGTTTGTATCATCTATAGTCCGAATCATCCTCGGACTTCATTCCGAGGCCCAATTCTCGCCCCGGATTTGTAGTTTCACCCCGGGATCGCTACAGAGGGAGAAGATCGGAGGATCACTGAATTTTGTGTTGCTTCGGCGAGAGACCCACATTCGGCTCGATGACTCTGGGGATGTTGACAAGACTAATTTCCAATATTATTGCAGAACCAATGACAACGCAAAACTTGCAAATTCCATGGTCAGTGAAAGGGAAACTTCCCCGAGATTTCTTCAAGTTCCGCCTCGGCAGCCATTTAACGTCCCAGTGGGGTCAATTATCCCCCCCCGACCCACAAGTTTCAAAGGTCAGGCATAGATGTACTCGGACTCAGTAAGCTACATGAAAATGGCAAAAGTAACGAATACATCAAATATATCCATTCTTATTGGCACTTCCTCGCCTTGATGCCCACGACTTTTCCTAGACCGACACGTCATATAACTTGCACCTATCCAAAACAAAGTGCTTCCTAGGCTTGTTCAATAATTATCTGTCATAAGTTGTCGTGAGAAAGGGATTTAGAAATTTGTATATTTGGTATTTCTGTTATTTTGCGATCCAATTGTAGGGCGATCGAAATACGTGGGTCGTAAAACTCCTTAATTGTGTCTCACATCCCTTATTATTGCAAAAATTCGAGCAAATGAGGATCAAGTTTCATGAATTCAATATCATTTAACTCGAGAATTCAAATAGTATATAATTCTAGGACAGTGAGATCGTCAAATAATTCAGTTCTTGCCTGCCTCTTCATCAACTCGCTCAACATGATTATGATTCTCTTTAACGCCTGACGTGCAATCCAAGCCTGCAGCTGTCTTCTCAATTACGAGAGTTTCATGCTCAATGTATCTGCGGGGGCGCTTTCTGGAAACAGCGTCCGGATCCGTGGTGACGATTAAAGGAGGATTGGATCTATAGTATGCGTCCATATCTTCCAGACTCCGATTGGCTTCACCTGGAGATTAGTTTCAGAAGCCCTTGAGGTTCATCAATTACAACTTACCTGTCTCAGGATAGAAGAAGTATAGAATTGGCAAGAAGGCAGCATTGGTTGCAGTCCAAACAAGCCAAAATTTCCAACCAAGATTCTGGATCCCAATGGGGGTAATCTCGACGACGACAAAATTCGTGATCCTGTAAATCCATTGTCAGACACTATTGCAGCTGTCATGATGTGAATTACTGAACAAACCAGTCCATAGCTGTTGCAACAGCTGCTCCCTTCGTTCTCATTGGCAAAGAATTGATCTCAGTTGGATACAACCATGGGATACCAAGCATTCCAATACCAAATGCACCATAATAGAGGAAGAAAAATGCGACCGATGCCGATGCATAATTATTCCCTTGGCCACTCGCGTCCGAGTAGCGGAGCAAAACGCTGATCACTAGGAAGCAAATGAATTGGCCGAATGTTGAAATCATCATCAAGCCACGACGGCCTACTCTCTCGATTAGCAACACTGCAATACCAGAGAATACTAAATATGACACGGCGTTGCACGCTGAGAGCAGACGAGAGAGCTCATCAGAAAGACCGACAGACTAAAGTGAGAGCTTCCTTAGCACATTCCATCCATGGTCATGCTTCGACAAAGCAACTGATAGACGCTTCATCGACCAGCTTAACTCACATTGATAAGCACTGTAGGCAGATAATAGGACATAATATTAATTCCCCCAAATTGTTGCATGAACTGACTGCCAGCACCAAGAACAAGTCTTCGCAAAGTTTTTGTGTCGTTCGCTTTCTTTCGCAGGATATCCCCCCATCGTACGCCATTTTCACGCTCGTAGCGGACGCTGAAGTTGATCTCATTGCACTGCGTAATGATAAAGGGGTCATCAACCGGCTTCGCTTCCAGGCAACTGAGAACCTTTATAGCTTCTTCTTCTCTACCATGAGCAAGAAGCCACCTATTATCTTCAGACTTGAATTCTAAGAGTTATAAAATGTCACATTACCTTGGGGACTCTGGAAGCCAAGGAGTGGTGAACCAGAGGACGAATAGAAACATGAATTGGAAGGCGAGCGGAAAGCGCCAGGCAATGGGGCCACCGACAAAGGAGAAACCATAGTTGATCCAGTTAACTAGGCAGAAGCCCGCGATATTCATCATCATCTCAAAGACAACAAGTTTGCCACGCCATTTCAACTGTGATGTCTCTGTCTGCCATATAGGCGCGGTGGCTGTGTTGATACCATTACCGACTCTGCGAGGGCATTTTGAAGTCAGAACAGAGTGCCTCTGGTTTCCTTTGCAGGTCTGCTACTTACCCCAGCACGATTCGTCCAACAAACATCTGTGCCAAGCTGAACGAGCTTGCCTGGAGGATAGTGCCCACAGCCATGATGGTTGTTCCAACCATAATGGAGGCTTTCCGCCCCAATGATTCTCCAACTGTAAAAGCAACGATGGCACCGATGAAGCAGCCGATATCGTAAATAGCCGTCACGGTGGAAAGGGTTTTGGTTTTTGTAGGCCCAACCAGATCATGAACCTCGAGAAAGTCCTTGGTGATCACCACGCCGCCTGTGTTGAATCCATGAGTCAAATTGAATCTAGACATGATATTTAGACTCACTGAAAACTCCCTGGTCGTAGCCAAATAAGGACATGTCTGTCGCGCAAGCAACCTGCGTGGTTGTTAATTCAGCCTCCGTATAAGGCAAGGACTAACCATCATACTGTAACCCAGAACGTGAGCCATCCTCCTGTTAAGCCAAAATAAGGCTCTTTCTTTTGGTTGATTACAGTCATATCGAAAGAAAATATGCAGTCGAATACGCAATGATCAAACTAGAGACAGCAAAGTATACGTGCTAGAGAATCCTAGCCACATGGGAAAAGACAAATTATTGCGATTTCGGCGCCATATAAATAGAATCGAGTTATTTCGTAATAGGACTAACTATTTCAGGGGGTCGAGGAGGAATGATCCTGGTCAACCCCGGAATGTACACTTCGCAGGTGGGTGCTGTGGGCTGTGGGGTGAATGCGGGGGAAAACGTGGGGAGGTAATTGAGGCGAGCCAATTTCGGTCCAAATCACAATGATGTGGAAGGTGTGGATTTTTGTAATAAAAATGGGCATTGAATGGTCGGGCTCAAAGTTTGGGGCGATCAAATTCGGAGGATCGGAGGAGGATGTACGGGTCCCTGGATACCAGTCCATCTTGGGCAACGGAGCCGAGGGGCCCGTGCTGGCTGCACGTATGGGCATCATGCCGACGATGGGCTACGCACACAATTTGGGTTAAACACTAAGTCCTCAATGCCCACAAGCGGTACTGAACAACAAGCTACGTCAATGTACAGATTCGGGGTCCGGAATCCAAGTTCCTTACTGGAGTGGTTCTAGGAACTCCAGGGCGATGATAACACCTGTTAATTGGTAGTAGCTCTAGTCCCACATAGTACGATTTTCTGGCTCTACATACTCGAATTCTTGAGCTCTTTGAAGATTGGGGGCGATGGGAGCTTAGAGGGAAACGATCGGACTGAGAATATCGCCCGTAGAGATGTCCCGGAAACTTTATTTTGATTTGTTCAAAATTTGGGGAATGGGAGAGTACCATGAACTTGCGTGAAGTGACGAATGTTCGGATTCAATGAAGATTCATATGCTCTTTCTGGTGGTCTTCATTAGGAACCACATAAAGATTCGAGCCCGCAAAAATTTTCATCTTCGACGGAGCACGTGTTTGCCTAAGGACCACATGGTTTGAAAAGCAGCTCTGGCCTGGCAGATATTCTAAAAGCTGAGATTGAAGAGCAAATGCAGGGGGCGAACTGCGGGGAGTGTCTTTTGATCAATATATTATATAATCCTTAATACAGGTTGGCGAAAAGCATGATAAGATACAAAAGTTTCAAGATTCTACAGATAAAATATTCATTGACCAGCTTCGTTCAAGCTGAAGTTTCGAACTTGGAGAGGGGACTTCAGGATTCAGGATTCTATCAAGCAGATACAGGCAACAACCTGGCAGATATCAATACTCAAACTGGCACCTGGCTTTGCACACTATAATTGAAGATGTCGTGGATCATCGCAGAGAATTATCAGCAGGTGACTGGGGCTCTTCTTTCTCAATCTTGAGTAATTGAACTGAAATATCACGACTTGAATGTAATAGATCATCTCTTGTGGCAATGGTGAATTTGAGAATACTGTCAAACGACTTGGTACAAGATATATCTCGTGGGGTTTGGGAGGAGAGCAAACAATGGAAGATGAATATTTAGTTATCGAATTCCCCATATTATATGTTGTTCCTCCCGATCATACGATTATGTTCGATTTTCGTCTTTTTCCTGGCCTGGTCAAGACCCTGGCCTAATCAACAGGCCACTACCTTGCAATTACAGCGTTTGGAGATATTGTATATAGTAAATTTTCTATAAGTAGGTTATATATTACGGACTATTCAGCAGACGATGGTTCGAGTTAGTTTTCTTCAAGAAGTTCTCTTTTGGGATGTCCTGGAAAGATCCTTGGTATAACTAGTACGATATACACCAATTCTACTGAGCAGTTACCACTATATAATGTATAAACCTATCTTCGTAGGTTTGTCATGATAAAGTCTGTTATGACAAATGAATATTGAGTTCACAACTCATCTATCTATAATCTATATAGACCATTCTGGAGGCCCTTTAGTACCATTAGGTTAATCAATAAGCTGAATCTAGATGGGCTTGAACCGAATTCAAACGGAGATCTCCGGGTCTCATGGGCTGAGATTGCTGACGACGCGGTCAGTATCATCATCTCTTCTAAGTTGGCCCCTTTTGAGCAAGATAGGATGATTCTCTGAGTCATCATAGACTCTAAGAAACACTCAAATAGACATATCTGAGTATTCTATAGAGAAGGGTGATAATTGTCCGGTATGAAATGCCCTCCTTGAGCCTATGGTCTTTCCCTATAGTAGTGATTTCGATGAATGTGTCTCCATGTCATATTGCATACAGTCTCTTCCTGCATTTGTTCTTTCTGAGCCCTTTCTACGACATGTTCGCGCATGTGGTGGCTTGGTGATTTGCTTTGTTGACTCCGACCGACCGCCAGAGGATTCTGGACGGTTCGGATGTTCCCTTATTTCCATGAACGAAAATTGTTTGTGTTGTACCATCACCAGTAAGCCGCGCTCCTTGCCTAAAGGGTATTGGTGATTTGGCCCCAATCACTGGGTACGATGACAGGCTGTGTGCTATTACGGGCGTAAGGAGTCCTTCCTTGGGGGCTAGCTGAATAGTAAGGGGCTGATTGAGAGATTCAGGAAATGAGTATCCATCCTTTTTCGAAGTCTCTCATTTCGGCGATTCAAGAATACCGGGGTCTGGTCTTTTGCTTGTATTCAGTGTTTGGATTTACTTTTTCGCAGTGTCAAGCGTATGTTGTAAGCTGGGATAATCAGCCTAGTTGTACCGCCTGCGAGACAATCAATTACTCATTTATCTTTAATCTCCTTTTGATCATGAGTCTGAACGTTGGATCAGATCTCACTGGATTTCTGTTGGCTGTTTGCCGAATGAGGGACCATTCAGCGCATCGTGTCAATCCAACAAATCAAGCCTTACAATATCCCTCAACCAAGTCACAGCAGGCCAGACCGCCAATCTAGACTCGTGATCTACGAATCACTGTCTCCGCTCCTGGTCAGCCAAATGCATCTGTCAGCCGCCTCCTGCAAAGCATCGCGCTCTGGCACCAGCGAGCAGAGGAGGAAGAGAATCAGTTGCGCGCGACCGCACGCAAGCTGACGATTATGAGGTCAGCATGCGCCCCCCGATCTCCACCAGGGCTCTGTGGCGCAGCGACTGGCTCGTGCAGGCAAGTCGTTCTCTAAGTCACCTAAAGGGGGAATCAGAACGTGCGCTTCATACCAGCACTAACGCTCTCCATACCCCATCCAGGAAACAAGAAAAGCATCGGGGCAAAATTTAGAACTATCCCGTCCTCCAACCTTTGCGCTCCGCCATGATGATGAATGAAGTCGCCCAAGCCTTGCATCTTGGCAACCTTGCATCACCCATCATCCAATCCCCAACGGCTCCACAGCAACAGGCAACCATTGCATCTGCCGAACCCGAAATGTCCTCGCTGGACACGAATACGACCCGGCGCGCGCAACGTGGTGGTTGCGCGCTGGGACTCCCATAGCCCCCCCCCCCTTTTGCTAATTTAATCTCGATCTTCTTTTAATACCGTACGGCGTACCTCGTCACAGCCATAGAGTGTCCTGTTACATGGTCCTTTCACAGGATACACAATACTGGAGAATACCGGGGCTCTCTTTTTCCAACTGTGACGGGTAAGCGCTGGCATGTTTGCGCGGTAGGGCGGGCTGGCCTTCTGATTGGGGCTTGGGCGCGTGTCAGTTGAGACTTGAAACAAGTTTGGCTGGAGAGTCTCTTCCTGATGTCTTTTGTGAAAGATCCCATTGGGATCCTGTTGGGAGGCATATGTGTCATACGTGTCGCCTCGTGCAGGCAGTTTCAGGCTCCCTATGGAGGATGATAGCACCTTTCGTATCTATAGTACGCCTGTCTATGCTCTCTATTTCGGCCCTCAACTCTTGTTTCAGAGGTGGTCGGTATTCAAGAGGGTTGAGTGTTGGTTTGGTTATGGAAGAGGATTCTCAATTTGGGGGAAGTCCTTTTGGTTTGGATCCGTCCATCTGCTGCCATCCGAGAGCTCCTTTGGTATACTTGGGAGCTATGGAAGACCCAAAATGATTCCATAATTCCTCATCTAGATATACCTGGCGACCGCTAGATCTATAGACTCTAAGTACTTTTCCTATTACAGGGCTCTCGAATCCCGAACTCTAAAGGATGTCCGCTCTTGAAAAGGCAGCGGCGACGGGGAACCACCACCGAGGCAGGCTCGAGCTCCCCCAAGTTCCAGTATCCCGGCGACTGATATATCGTGAGGAAAGTACTCGACCTCAGATCACATCTCAATCACTTCACCGAGCAACGCGACCATGGCGCCTATCCCAGAAACGCTCTATACGCTCCTCTGGACCCGGAAGGCGACGACCTTGGATGCCACTCTCACCGAGAAGATGGCCGTCCTGGTGGTGTTTTCCCATGTGCTGGCCTTGTACACGCTGGTCTGTTGGCTGGGTGCCCGAAAGACGATAGGTGAGGCCCACCCCGGATGGAGGCGTTGGCGCCAACTGCTTTTCTTATGCAGTGCGTTCATTTTGGCTTACGGTCTCCTTCATACAAGCAGATGGCATCGATCCCCGGAAGCCCCGACACGTCCTCGAGAGGCAGTTTGCCAAACTCCCGCAACTTGAAGAAGCAGCCTCGGCTCGCAGACCTGATGTGGTATCGTCTCCTGACCTGCAGGTCTGATCGAAGTGAGGATAGGGGAAATGCAAACAACGGTCGCATTTGATAGCACCGGCAAGAACGGTGTGGATGTAAACGACTCTCTGAACAAGGACGTTGTGCTAACCTAGGCCATGTCTGATAGGTCGCATGCGAGAACCAGCCCAGCACGCCCGAGATCCCCCTTGTAAATATCAGACTATGTATGTATGTATTTACTAGTTACCCTGTCCGCCATCTTATTGGCATCCAGGTACCGAGGAGCTTTGACCCTCGGTGATTGGCGGCCCGCGCGACACGGCGATTCTGAAACTGGGGGGGCGGCAACCTAAACCATGATAGTCCTACGGCGAACACAGCCCATGCCCCTTCATTGCCGGCTCGGAAGGCCTGTGAGCTTTTTGATGGGAATTTTGGATGGGAATGATGGTCCACCAAGGGGAGTGGAAACCTGCGCTAAGCCCAGCGATGAGCTATAGGAATTATTCCGACTCTAGTCAGGGGGGAGGGGCCGAAGAAAAGTCGAGGGGGCTGGGATCCCCTACTGAGACGCTAAGCGCCGGACCTGCACATCCTCATTTCGCAGTATAGTTCTGTATGACAGGGTGTGTGGATAGACTGTGTATGGAGATGGATATCTATAGATAGTTTGAGGGTCTGTGCCGCAATCCCCGCCCAAACGCTCAGAACGAGAATACAGTCATCGTTGGAGAACGCATCCTGTGCAGTAACAATAGAGCTGGTCTCCTGAGCAGTTGCTCTCTATTGATTTTACCTTTGGTCCGCCCGCAGCTGCTAGTTGGTTGAGGACATGCAGTAGTTCGATGGGAGCTATGCTCACCTGGGTTTAGGCGCTGTCAATCTCCCTCGGAAAAAGGCAAACAGAGCGCTATACATCCCCGTTCTGCAGTGGCTGGGGAGATCATCTTTCCGGATGATACACGACTGGCTCAACCATTTTTTTAACAGTTCTCGAGACCAGTATCTTCCCACGCGAGCAGGGTCGTGATCGTCCAGTGTCAAAAAGACATAAAAAAATAAAAATAAAAGCGGTCTTCCCCCGCGATCACCAGAACCAGGTACCCGCGTATTCGTTTTGCGGCATTTCGGGGGGGCCGCCCTTGGTTCAGCCACGCAACTTGTGAGGAAGTTTTCCCCTGGGTCCAGTCAGCCTTGTTACTAACGGGCCTTTTCTCAGCCTGTCCTTTGCGGACTCTCCCGTTGGTGGATTAAGCGAAATTGGGCCTGACAGGAGCGCAGCGCTCGTTGGCCGCAAATTGAACGATGGGGCGGGAAGGGGAGAAGTGGGCCAATCGGTCGCGGATATGGGATTCCTGCGATTGATTGGATGCTGCGATTCTGATATTGAAAATTTGCGTTCCCAACCCGTACGGCGTACGGTCACATACGGGCTGGATGGGCCGGTATTATTCACTTAGCAGCTTTTTTTTTTTTTTTTTTCTTCCCTTACGGCGCTTTTTATGCCTGTGGCGCAGATCATTTTTATGCTCGTATAGTTTGCTGATTATTTTTTTTTACCCTTTGGTCTTCTGATATGCATTAGTTTGGATATTGGGTCTTCAAGGTCGGGACTTAACCGGTGCCGAGGACTTCTCGTTATTATAGGGGAGTGCCATTCTGGTATACTCCCACATCATCCCTAACAGTCCAGAAACAAACGTGATAACTATAGAAACAGTGACATCGAGTCGTATCAGCTCGGGGGACCGAGGAAGACCCCGACCTCGACCTCGTTATCGTGGTGCCCTGTAGTCCTGAGAGGGTGCAGTATACAGAATACAGACCCTGCTGCACAACGAGCCCATTCGGATCTTGAAGGCCTGTAATCTCCGACCAGTATTGTGATCTCTCATGCATCAGCCCGATCGGCCTCCGTGACCTCCGTTCCGCCGCATCCGCCCGGCACAGTCGGACCCCGTATTGAATACTGCCTGTCTGCTATAGATCAAGCAACACGAAAGACTCTCGACGTGAACTCCCGGACAGGTGCGTTGGCTCACTAGAGCCATTCTTCTTGGGCCTTGCGAATCCTCGCTCCAGACCCTGAGGGTCGTAAATCGGATCGGACGGTGAATCCATAGTCCAGGCTTGGCCCCCGAGACAGAAACGGACTAGTGACGCCATGGACTTTCCGCCCAAAAAAAAGCCCCAAAAGGGCCCCGAAACTTGAAACCCAAACCCCAGCCGTAATACCAATACCGCCCAGGCCATTCCATACCCGTACCTCCTGCCCTTCATAATCCTTACTCCCCCCTCTCACCAAACCTTGGATCATCGCTCCAACTTCTCTTCCTCCTCCCCCTCCCCCCTAACGGCCCTGTGCCTTGCATCCAGACCGGTCTCCTCGTCTCCTTCTCGACCCTAATACTCTCTCATGCCGGTCTGCCCACCTTGAGCTTTTGTCATCGCCCTTCCTGCGCCTTCCGCCTCATCCCGCGGTATCCCTCGACGCCTCCCGCTTCTCCTCTCCTCCCCAACAATCCCCCCTCGACTCGAGTGATCGGGAGTCTCCCTCCTGTCAAAGGAGACTCGCGCCGCGAAGATGACTACCTTTCCGTCATGGAAAGATCGGACGCAGAACCAGTTCGGCAAGCTCCAGATCCAAATGCCATGGCGCTCCTTTCAGATGCTCGTCCCTCATCGGATGCGTCGCAAGATCCGTTCCAAGCTTCGGAGTCGCCTGTCACCGACCTCCTCTATCTCAACGCTCCAGACCTCCTTCTCGCCCGTCGACACTCTCCGGTCGCTCCAGTCTCATCGGTGGACGCTGTATGACTTCCAGTATCTGCTCCTCGTGATCCTCGGCATCTTCTCTTTAACGGTCATTCAATCTCCGGGCCCGTTGGCGAAGACCAGCATCGCCACCTTGCTCCTGTTCTCGCTGCTTCTGCCGATCACGCGTCAATTCTTCCTCCCTTTCTTGCCTATTGCCGGGTGGCTCATCTTCTTCTATGCCTGCCAGTAAGTGTTCCCTTACCCTTGTTCGTTCTCTGGGTCTGTCGCCTCCCGCGCGGGAACGGCGAACGGAATGCGCTTCCGGTGGCTCTAGCAGACCACCGTGATTGCTTTTCGCCGCATTTCGCAAGATTGAATCATGCTCTGACGCACATTTTCCCATAGGTTCGTCCCGAGCGACTGGCGGCCGGCCATTTGGGTGCGGGTGTTGCCCGCCATGGAGAACATTCTCTACGGTGCCAACATCAGCAACATCCTTTCCGCCCATCAGAATGTGGTGCTTGATGTTTTGGCGTGGATCCCCTATGGTCTTTGCCACTATGGTGCTCCCTTCGTCGTCTCCCTAATCCTCTTCATTTTCGGTCCCCCGGGCACCACCCCCCTATTCGCCCGAACTCTCGGATATATCAGCATGTTGGCGGTCACCGTGCAATTGGTCTTCCCCTGCTCCCCTCCGTGGTACGAGAACCTGTACGGGCTTGCTCCGGCGGATTACTCGATGCAGGGTAACCCGGCCGGTCTGGCTCGCATTGACAAATTGCTCGGAATCGACCTCTACACCTCCGGCTTCAAGCAGTCGCCCGTAGTCTTTGGCGCGTTCCCTTCGCTCCATGCCGCCGATTCAACCCTCGCTGCTCTGTTCATGAGCCATGTCTTCCCACGGCTGAAGTTTCTCTGGGTTACCTACACTCTCTGGATGTGGTGGGCTACCATGTATCTGTCTCACCATTACGCTGTGGATCTGGTCTGCGGTGGTCTGCTCGCCACCGTGGCATTCTACTTTGCGAAGACTCGGTTCCTGCCGCGCATTCAGGCCGACAAGATGTTTCGCTGGGACTACGATTACGTTGAGATCGGTGACGCCTCTCGTGAATTCGGTTACGACCTCGCCAGCCTGGAAGGCGACTTCAACCTCGACAGTGATGAGTGGACTGTGGGCTCTTCGTCTTCCGTCTCCTCTGGTTCGCTGAGCCCCGTCGATGACCACTACACCTGGGAGAGCGAGACTCTGACCTCGAATCACGACCTCGAGGCGGGCCGTTGAACACAGCCTGCTCGATATGCATATACCGTTTTCGACTCTGTTCATTATTATTTGCATCTACTTTTTTCACTTTCGGGACGGCGTTTTTAACAACTTTGACGACCAATGTTGGGACCATCGATTATTTGCATCAAGCCATTTTCGACACCTACGGCTTTTAATTCCCTGTATTGAAACCCCCGGTGTGTGCAGCTCCTGATCCGCCTCATGCCGAAGGTCATGCAATCACTTTCTGGCTGTACATGCCTTGCCTAATTCTCCGCTTTGGAGAAACGGCTTCTTCCGTCTATAATATTAATTCCGGTGGTGGGCCCTGTCTTACCTGCTTGGGCTTTTGCGATTGCAAATCTGCTCGCATCACTACTGTTGGGAAACATTCGCTTGTACAGATTCGGATCTGTCTCTCTACCCTTTTTTTGCCCTTGGAGACAGTCCGCCCTTTTTATTCTTCCATTCTCACCCATGTCTTTCGCTATGACCATTCTTCCCTGGACGAGCCACATTTCTTCATCTTTCGCTTCGGGCTCGTTCAGCTGCATAAACTTTTATCATTCGTGTCGATCGCTTACGAACTGGCGCCTGGGACTTTTGGGAAACGGTTATGGGGACTCAAAAAAAATACGGCGCCTCTTGCTTTGCACTATCACTCGCTGTGCATTAGAATCTTTTTGTTGAATATTGGCTGCTTCGAGCACATTTTTGCATCGGCACATAGAGAAGGGACAGACCAACCCTCGTTTTGGTGCCTTCGCCGCTGGGAGGTGATATACCGGCGTTGGCAATTGGCGACCATCGCTTCTACGGAAGACGACTCGCCCTGGCAGGTGGGAGGTAACAGGACATGCCTGGACCCCCCTGGGCAATGATCAATACGTATCGAGCCTAGGGGACTCTCTCTGGCGTGAGGCTCCTGAAGTAACTGGGAGGAAAAGCAGTGTGGGATTTTCGACGGAGCCCGTCTACTTTTCCGGCCTTGATTCTTGACGGCTATAATCTTCGCTTCTGGCTATATCGGGAATGAAGCACGATTTCCATCAATTGGGAACATGCCCTGACACCGATACACCACAATCTCCAACCCCGCGACCTAATGTGTGACTCTTAATGTCTAATTGTCTCGTTATTTGTCGTCTCGTCCTAGAGAATAGGGTGGCATGAGGAGTGGTGTTGTGGTGGTAGTCGCGGGTGCTTGTGGACTCCTAGTCGGGTCATCCAGGGATGCAAGACCCGTGGCTTTGGGGCTATCGTTAGCATTATTCTTAATCCCTAGATGAAGTTATGAAGAATTGTACATTACTATCACTGTCCTGCTTTCCCTTTTCTTCGTTTTTCTCGTAGTATTCTTGATTCTCGGTACGATCGTCAACATCCCAAAGGCAAAATCAACCCTGTATTTCTCTTACGGCACACATTTCCCTCTCCTTACCACACCGACAAAACCCCGTTAATCCCTTCCCTAATTCTAACCCCCGCCCGTCCCTAGCGCAGATCGCTCATGAACGCAAATCCTCACCCACCCCACCCCCGCCTCGAGTAGATCCCCCCTCCCCATCCTCGTCTCTCACTGGCCCGGCCTCGTGCGGGTCGATTCCACGGACCTTTACAGCGCATGTGCCTCCCCGAGCTTCACAGCTATCACGCTCGTGTTTGTGCACATTTTTGTGCTGCATTAGTGAAACTGTATTCCAGCCTATAACTTCGTCTTAGTGTATTCGGTATTGTTACTAGCAGACATAAGCATCATTGTTGGGTTTGCAATATGATAGGGGCAGGGGCGTAGAATAGACTTCTTTCTGTGAGGATGGAGCTGGAGGTATTCATTTCATACATATGTTTTGTGCAGGGTTTGATTCACTTTAGTTTGATATATTTGTATCTGATTTCCTTATGTTGACATGCGTAGGGAATTGTATATGGTCATACGTATATATATTTCTCCGGACTCTCGTTTAAACAAATAATGCTTTAATCGCTCTGTTTGATAGCTTCGTGTATGGAATATTATCAACATGCCTGGTAATCAGAATCTATTCAGATCCATATCGCGGGATCTCTGATAGCATTTCAAGATCTAAGTGTGTCTGCAACGCGGAAGTTCTGAACAGACCCCCTTGATCTGTAGGTAGCTGTGTTATGGGAAACAGGTAATAGTGAAAGTAGCATGGCCCTTTTCAAGAGGAAGTTCTAGAAGCATCCACGCGCCATGCGTTCACCATGTCCCTATGATCGGTGATATTCATCAAATCGCCGACGAGACGCAGCTGAGGAGTTCTGATCATGGTTCAGTATGTTGAGCATTTTCTTTCTTACATCGGATAGTGCATGCCATTTTCCGCCTTGTTCATCAACTTGTTCTGTGATGGCCTCTCCCAGCGAAAATAGCCCTTCTAAATCGCTATGCGTCTAGTCATCCCAGGAAGGACCGCTCTAGAAACTAGACTCTCTCCAGGTGCACGAGTATCTTTCTAGAAACGCAGTGAGATTCATTGAATAAAGATGCTTGCCCCTGCGCTGGACTTTGATCTAGAATCTGGTGATCTCTGTAGACTGGCTTCAACTCACTCGTGGCAGGAGTAGCGGCTTATCGAAGGCTCAGTGAGCGACGATGTTCGCTGAATAATCCTGTCCTGAGATTTCCCGCCAAGGATGGCGGTGAAGTTACTGGCTAACCACGTTCATTCTCAACCTTGGCAACCAAACTATTGAAATGGGGAGATCAACAGTGACACACCTTACCGAGCTCCCGAATGAAATCTTATGCGAAATAATTAAACATCTTAGTCACAGCATTGACCTCTGTGCACTTTCACAAACTAACCATTGTCTATATGAGCTTGCTACTAAGCAACTCAACTCAAATCTCCGCCACATTTTCCGGTCAAAATCAGTGCACCCAGAACACAAAGCGCTTCGCTGGGCTGCTGTAAATGGGAAGGAGTTGAGTGTTCGCAAGCTACTTCAAGCCGGAATTGACATTCCAGTTCCTCGTAATTTTGAATGGCATCCGATTATCCTTGCAGCAGAGAAGGGGCACCCCAAAGCTGTGCAAGCCTTTCTTGAGCATGGCGTCGACCCAAATCCTCCCATAGGGTTCGCTTCGTCTTTACGGGGAAATAGATTTGGCAACCCTTTAACGAAAGCAATTGAACGTGGTCACGAATCAGTTGTAAGAATCTTGATTGATCATGGAGTTGAGCTAGAGTTTAGCAGGCAAGAAGAAGTCAATATCCAGCAGCCTTTGTCTATGGCGACAGAAAGACACCAGGTAGGACTGGTCAAAATTCTCCTTGATCGTGGATGCAATCCTCATACTCCTGACTTTCGAACATCCCACCTTTACGAAAAATCCGCGTGGAGGATTGCTGCGGGCCGTGATTTCAATATCCTTCAAATGTTCATTGACAAGGGGGCGGAGCCAATCTTTTTCGCTCCCTGCAACCCAATTTCTGGTGCCAAAAACATATATCACTGGGCGCTGTTGGATGCTCTTCGTTTAAACAATATGCCGCTTGTTAAATTCCTTTTTGAGCAAGGTGTTGAGCTCGAAAGTCCTGCTGATAGATGGTGGCACGTTCTTGAGCATATTCACGACGAGGACCCTTTGCATGCAATTAGCCGAGCAATAGGCCTAAATCCTCAGGATGCTGAGTTCTTGATGGGAAAATTCGATTTGAATGGTATTTTGAATGGTCACAATTTGCGCCCTCTTGTGTCTCTCATGGTTGGTGCCATCCGCGGTGGTGCGTATTCATTGACGAAGCTTCTGTTGGATGCGGACCCAGTCTCAAAACGTCCAAAAGTCGATTGTGTCGAGTGGAAAGACCATCTCAGCTCTTGCATGTGCATTGCCATACGACTTGGTAATATCAAGCTAGTAAATTTGCTGCTTGATTACGGAGCAGATCCAAAGGGGGTTGTTCGAGACAAACAGACTCAAGACGGCTATTGGCCACCAATATTTGCAGCAGCTGAGGGCGGCCATACCGAGATTATCGAATTGCTACTCGATCGAGGCGCAAATCCATTCCCTCGCCAGCCTCGCACTCTCTTTGAGATAGCGATTGATTCATCGACATCCAAATCACCCACAGATATCGTTCGCCTTTTGATCAAAAGGGATATTCTTACTCCTCAAACAGGAAATGATCGCAATATTCTGGAATGTGCTGTCCTCGGGGGAGCAGAGATTTTCCAGCTTGTGGTACAACATATGGGTATCAAGCTTCAAAAAGGCAAATCCTGCCATGAAGCAGCCCTACGCAAAGCGTTTGAGAAGCGCAACACCGCTATTATTGAATCTTTCATCAGAGCCGGGTTTGACCCTATTCTGTGAACAGTTCGGATCAGGCTTAAATCAACAAGCTTCTGCTAATTCTTGCGATAGCACAACCCAACCCCTTTTGTATTGAGAATAATTGACAGATCATCAACGAGTATAGTATATAGTTCTAGTGCCCTTTTAACCAAGTATAGCCTTGATCTTCTCCTCCAACTTCTCCTGCGTATAGGCCCTTAAGCCAACGATATCATTATCGATTGTTGGCGCGCTCTCACGCAGATTTGGACCATAAGCTGGCCCGCCATAGATATAAACCTTCAAAAATCCCGGAATGAAGACAGCTGGGTTTGGCTCTTCCCGCGCAAGCTCGGCTTGCATGGCCTTCTCCAGGTCGATAATTTTCGCATCTTCCGTCGTCCATTTAGTCCCCGTAACCTTTTCAATAATAGCCAGGAGCTCCCTTTGAGTCAGATTGGCACCTTCCACGCAAATGACCCGATTCTTCGTCTCTTCCGGGTGTGTGAGTACGCCGACGACCACCGTTCCGAGGTCAGATAAACAGGTCGTCGAGAACCGGTTGTTTCCACCGTCATAGAGGACCATATGCTTATTTTGATTATCGCAAAACAAGCCTCCAGCCAGGCAGAAGTCAAAAAGTGGACCGTGAAAAATTAACGAATACGATAGCCCTGGGTGCTGGGCCACCTTTTCCTTCAACGACTCTTGAAATGCCACTTTACCCTGGAAAATTGGGATCCCGGCTGTGCGCGGGACATCCGTGTTGGCGCCAAACTCGCTAGGCAGGAAGCGGGATACGCCAGCCTCGATACATGCATCCAAAATGGCAGGCTGGAAGTCGAGTCCACGCCCATTGAGAAGTGAAACCACGGCGTCAATGCCTTGCAGAGCGGAAACTAAGCTGTCATGGGATTCATAGTCCACGGTCACTTGCTTGACGGCGGAAGGGAAAGATGTGGGTTTGCTTGCGGATTCAAGCCGGATCAGCGCTGTAACTTCGAATCCAGATGAGACGAGATCTTTGATGATAGGGCCTCCCAGTGAGCCTGAGCCTCCTGCGATGGCAACGGTTTTAATAGACATGTTCAGACGCAATGAGAGAGGTTGAGAGTCTAGCGGGACATCAAGAAAAGGGAAAAATATGTCAATGCCGATATACAGGGCCAATCATGCTTCGTCAAATTGCTGTAGATCTCCGCTACTGCAAGGGCGCACAGGGTCCAACCACAGGCAGTTTGGTAAAATCACGTGACCGTGTGGTATAAGGAGTGGTACTCTGTCAATTGTGGTCATTGTTTGCATATACTAAGCTTAAAGTCTAGTCGATGTTGAGCCAGAGCTTATACATGAGTTTCCTATGCCCCGTGTTAACTTTCCATGAGTTACCATTAAATCTTTAGCTGCCAGGTCCCATGTCTCACATTAATTGTTTGTCCAAGTCTCCATCCCATTCTTTCATTTTCAGCCATCAATTGAAGCCACTATTCCGATTCTTATTCCGAGTCTGTCATTCTGAATTCTTTGCTCAAATATTCAATTAATGGTGCGATTATTGTAGCTCTCGCATATGGGGTAATTGGAATGAAGCATGCTTGACTATGAAACTTCGAGCACAAATTTCTTCCCTCTGGTCTAGAGACTGCATACATGAAGTCTATACTCACCCAGGCAATGCTGCCTTCTATCTATCGAAAGACAAGAATTAATTGACACATTCTTCAGAAGGTCATCAAATTACCTCTCGTCTCTACTTCAGTGTGCGATTGCCGACTTTCTTAATCTCCACCCTGGCTCCGCCAGCCATGGCCCTTACCCTCGGTTTAAACTTTCAAGCAAGTTCCCGATGCGGCTTCGGGAATGAGGCGATGCGCCTAATGGGAATTGATTTGCAAGAAGTGAGCAAGGGTGCGGAGGCACTGTTTACAAAATGTGGTATATAATAACGAAATCATATGTCCCAGGTTGATTAATTTGTGCCCTTGGAAATGAAGGCTTGAGCAACCGAAAATAAGTCTCCTACATTGACCACTAATCTTCGTTCGTACAAGCGCCCGCCGGAAAAGGAAAAAGGAAAAAAAGCACCCAAATACAGGAGAGAACACCGCATGCCGCCCAAATATAGCTATACCGCAATCCAGCCACAAAGGATCCGTCCATCTAGAAGTTTTTTCCATAAGCAGAACTGCGGACATGATCCAAGGATTGATGAGAATTGTGTGCATGTGTGTACATTGGAGAGGGAAACAGACAAAATGGGAAACAAGCAGAACACACAAAAATCAGCCAGGGCGCCTGTCTCTTCTCATATCCAGAAATTTCGTTAAAAGTCTATTCGTCGTCAAAGATCTGTACACGCTCCGCATACTCGCGGATATTTGAGACGAAGGTATCTTCAATATCGTCACCTTTTCCGCCGGCCACTCGGAGGATGAGGTCGTTCAAGGAGGCGCGCCCGAGAATATCGACATGGTCCCCTGGTTTAATGTTAGATTAAAAAATTGAAAAGAATGGAACCTCAATTGATCAGAGTTGATGGGCGTTATAGGGCGTAGTGAAGAAAGGAAAACTAGATATAAACATACCAGTGTTGGGACCGCCTCGAGGTGAAAATCGATCAGGCTCATGAGGCATCTCGAATACCTTAATCTTCGAGCCAGCAGGGTTATACCGCTTAATATGCCACCCCTTGGCGCACATGTAACCCGTACTAAGCAGATTGACGGTGCCATCACCTTCTCCCATCACGACACCATGGTCGATGTTCTCATTAATAGTGACGGTAGTATCAATGCTGACATTCAGATTGACAAGCGGATCAAGCTCCTCTTGGTAGAAGTAGCTACGCTCAGTGGGTTTTCCGACACCATAGAAGCAATAGATCTTCATGTCAGGGGCATGCGGTAGTCTTGCCTCCAGCGGGTTGAGCCACTTGCGTGGATCCTTCTCATTTGCCTCAACCTCGGCCTTGGTATGCGCGACACCATGGGAGTAGCTGCCTAACACCTGGTTGCTGTACCAATCCTCGCTCTGGTTCAGCAGGTATTGCAGACTCTCGGAGGTGGTGAGATTGCGCTGTGTCCATGACGAGTTCGTCTCACGGAAGTTGAGCAAGTTGCCGAAACTCACCACCTGCCCAGGTTGGTCATCGGGTGCCCATGTGGAATTGCCCCAGACGGCTTCGCCACCTTTGGGAAGCATGCTGGAGATGCCTGGCATGGCACGGAAGATCTCTGCGCGCTCTTCCTTCGATAAGAATTTCTCCAGGCCATAGACGGCAAATGCATTCAGCTGTGCAGTATCACGCATTTCGCCGGACAGCACGGCCGTCAATCCCTTGACAGCACCGAGCATGCATCCACTGATGTTTACCCATGAGTCAACGTGCTTGTTGACCCAGTCCTTTCCGCCCTTGCCATGTTCATCACTTTCCACCCACTTGAAGAAGTACAAGACTACCTGCGAGCCCATGCTATGCGATGCCAGCGTGATCTTCTCGCCTTGTACCTCCACCGCCGTCTCGATATATGACTTGAGTCGGCTGAAGTATTTATCGCGGGTCTCGAGATTCAGGTAGGACAATCGCCAGTCATAAGCTGCTGTGAACGCATTGGTCGGATCATAGCCAATCGTGGCCAAGTTCTCCAGAATCTTGTTCCAAATCCAATAACCGGTGATGAAAAAGTCCGTTGCATCGAATCCCTGGGCTGCGCGTAGCTTAATACCGGGCGGGTCCAGACCAGTCTCACGGTCGAGCATAATATGATTCTTCCACTCGGCCTTGTCCATAACCAGTGCTCGCATCATGGTCCAGCTGCCCCATAGTCGTCGGCGGAAGTATTGTCGCGAATTGGCCCCGGTTCCCCAGCTCTCAAGGCCTGTTGAGATGACGCCTGGGATCATCACCACGGGATGTTTTGCCTCAACGCCCTGCGATTGAAGGTGAAGCCCCACAGAGAAGGAGTCGTAACTGACGGCATCGCGTTCGTGTTGCTAGAATAATCCCGAGACAAGTCAGTAGACTGGACCAGTTCAATAGACGGGGATTTGGAAGCAATGAGATCCAGATAAAGAATAAAGAAAACCCATACCGAGAATTCTTTGGCATCTCGTACAATTCCTTGGGGTATGGCATCAATCAGCGAGTCGAGGTTCAGATCCAGCAAAGACTCCAAGGAGATAACCTCCTGCTGGTTCGCGAAGAACAGGGCAACAAAAACACCGAAAAGCCCACCCAGCACGAAGATCAATCCATTGCGGCGTTTGCTCCGTGGGCGGATGACCAGCTGTTTGACCTTGGCGCCATCGAACTCAGCACGGAGTCGGTCCTCTTCTTTTGGAGACGGGGATAGTCGGGTGTTGTTGTCGTCGCGGGACGAGGGGGTGTCGTCCTTGGCCGTGCGGCGGCGCAACATCGCGACCGCTCAGGTAGGGGGCAGAGGGCAGATATTTCTAGACCAACCTGAGATGTATGTCTAAGGGGGTGTCCGTCATGGATTGGAAAAAGGAAAGAAAAAAGGAGCACGAACACCAGGCAAGCAACAAAAGGAATGTGTACCTGCGCAAACGTTACGGGCGGATCGGCGTCACATGGCAATCGGAGTCAAGTTAACTTCCTGGTGTTCCGCCCGCCGACTTGAACCTTGTCTTACCTTCTGTTCTCCAATCCACACCACCACTTCAACAACTCCTCCCTCCCGTATTATCCTTTGTCAATGACGCCGCAGCAATGAGCCAAGATGCCCCCTCTGATCTGCATTACGTGCGCTACGATAGCTCCCGCGAAAATGAGTACGTCGCGGCCATGCGCCAGCTGATCGCCAAGGACCTCTCCGAGCCTTACAGCATCTACGTCTACCGATACTTCTTATACCAATGGGGTGACCTCTGCTTTCTTGCGATGGACGAGAAGGACGAGATGGTCGGAGTCGTGGTCTCGAAGCTGGAGCTCCATCGCGGCGGCCCTCTACGAGGGTATATCGCCATGCTGGCCGTGCGCGAAGAATACCGGGGTCGTGGCATCGCAACCAGGCTGGTGCGCATGGCGATTGATGCAATGATTGAGCGAGAGGCCGATGAGGTATGTTCAGCTTGCATGGTAGCAATTGTGTCTTTGGAAGTATTGTTTTTTTAGCTGATTGTGTCGTGTTGCCTACCAGATCGTTCTCGAAACCGAAATGACCAACACGGCTGCTATGAAGCTATACGAGCGGTTAGGCTTCCTCCGCAGCAAGCGTCTACACCGCTACTACCTCAATGGCAACTCGGCCTATCGGCTTGTGCTCTATCTCAAGGACGGCGTGGGCTCGATTCGAACGGGGTTTGATTCCTACGGTCCGCCTCAGCCAGGACCCGCGGAACTACAGAACCCTCCTCCTATTCCCACTACGCAAGGAAATGGTCAATAAGGAATACTTGCGGATTTGTGGCACTACATGTCCCTATATGAGGATGTGAAAGCATGATAATGACTTGTTTATGGGAAACGACTGGAATAGATAGATTTGCACTTGCACCTGGAATTGGCGTCTGGGTCTGACAGTGGAATCCAACATAAATGCTTCGACTTTTTATTCTGTTTCTGAGAAAATAAGGATGATGTTTAGGCAGAGAGTCTGCTCTGGGAAATAGATCGGTAGGATCCGTATTTGAGATCGACCGGTATTCGTGAAGGGTAACTTGAGACTACGGGCAGTTCACTGATCGCAACTCTATGTTTAATCAGACTAATGCTAATAAATCAGCTACTCGAAGTGCATCTTAGTGCGCAGTACCATGTTCGGTGTAACCAATTAGTCAGAGTTCACGAGCTTTCACAAAACCGGCTATTCCCACCCTCCTGATGTACGGTTACCACCAAACATCGAATATCAATATTCTCAGCTTCGACGCAATCCCATTCACAAAAGAAGCCAAGCGTCACACGTTAAATTCATCCTGGGAAGAGTTGACTCGATCTAGGTAAACGAGAAATAGGTCCAATAACCGCTCGAAGCTCCTAAATGCAGCTACCCGCTCTATGCATCATTATCATCACCATCACCATCATCATCATCACCGCGCATACGTTTACCCCCTTCAAAATGTGGCTTTGCCCTCAAATCCGGCTTGCAAAAACCCTATTGCATCAGCCACATCGGCCACCGTGATCCTGTTTCGCTGTTGCACCGACTCGTTCCCACCCCGATTTAATATATTACAACCAGTTTGCGCGGCCGCCCCCTACGTCATCGGCCCTCTGGCTCACGGATTGATATAGATCTATATCGCTTCGCACTGATTTCATCGCACCCGCGACAAATCAAACAACCAAAATAAGAAAGCACCCAGGCAAAGAATCCTCATACTTTTTGCAATCAGACCACGACCCTTGCCTCACATCACCTATCAACTTTCCTCCCGCCGTTCCCCCTTCGACATGTCTCTCGACCCCGTCGGCGGCCTTGGCCGCGGCCTCCCCGCCAAAAAAAAAAGTGAACAAATTGGCCTCCACCACAACACAGCACGCTCGCACCGCCGCGCAAGATCCCGTCGCGCAAGTCCACCAAACGACCAAGTCGGTCACCGACCCGGCCATGCCGGGCGAATTCCCCCTCCGACGACGCGCCCCGCAAGGACGACGACGGCCCGCCGCCGGAGATCTCGTTCAACGCGCTCTGGACCGGCATCCGCCAGTGGTTCGGCGGGCTGGTCCCCACGGCGTTTGATCGGTTCGAGGCGTTGGTGCAGTGGCTGGTGGAGCGGTACCTGCCGCCGGCGCGGCAGGGCGCGCTGTTCCAGGCGGCGGCAGACCGGCCGATCTCAGCCACGTTTGTGGTTTGCCAGGCGATATGCTGCGGGGTGCCGCTGCTGGTGTTCCTGGCGGGGGTGTTTGTGTTTGCCGCGGTGTCGCTGCTGCTGTGGGCTGTGCTGTCGCTGCTGGTGCTGGGACCGGTGTTGTTGGTGTCGAGTATGATGGGAGTGTCGCTGTGGGGATGGGGGTGGATTGCGTTTGCCTTGGTAAAATGGGTGGACCAGACGTTTTTGGGAGGATTGCTTTCGAGGTTCTGGTTGCCGGCGGTGCAGGAAGAAGGTAGTGGCGAGGGTGCAAGCGAGGGAGGAACTGGAAAGGAGAAAGAGGAAAAGGCGGAAGAGGAAAAGAAGGACAGTTGATATTGAGGGTGGATGAGAATTGAGTCTGTCTATGGAAGAGGGTTATACTGCATTAAAGCAGTCATATCATGAGGCGTTTCTTTCTATTTAATTCCCTTTTCTGGTTTACTGTATACGTGGATGGATGGAATTGCTGTATTTCTCCCTATAGATTGTTGGGATTTTCTTTTCTCTCTCTCTCTCTCTTTTCTTGTTTTAAGACGGAACACCCGTACTTCACTGAGATAGAACCTGTAAGCTGACCGGATTTGCCATCCTTGGCCAGTCCGAGTCAAAACCATGCATGCTCATCTCAGCCTCTTCTTGCAGATGTCAGATGCAGCCGGGTCTGGAATGCATGCGAGAACGGGGACGTGTTCTAAACTGCATACTGATACTCAACATCGCCAACCACCTAGCAAACATTCCTCATATGCATATGTACGTATATATATTTACGTCTCTACACGGGGTTTGTAATGCAAGCTTCTCTGCAGCTCCCATGCCTCAATGGGCCCGCACAGGCCAAGCACACGGTCGGCCGATAGTCGACAGACAGACAGTATGCCGCATGGACCCGTTCCCCGCCAAAAAAAAAAAGAATAAAATAAAAGATGGAGAGTAAGGTTCGATGGGGGCAAATATACTTCTCTGGCGATCTTCTTCACTTCCCGCCCCAACTCGGTAGATAGCACGGCCGATCACGGGATTCCCGCCAGGAGAAAGTGGGGACGGGAGGGTAGGATGAAGTCTCCATGTTGGAAGGTTCGGAAATTTGGAAAATTGGATGGTGAGATTGGGATTTGAGGATGATTTGAATTACTCCGTTGTCGGGAGAGGGGGTGGAGGGAGGGAGAGAGGGAGGGAGGGAGAGAGGGAGGGAGGGATTAGGGCGCCGGTTTTACTTTGTCTTGCGCTGATGGTCTCAACGGAGATATAGACTGTGGGCCGCAGTCAACACACACAGAGACGAGATAAGAAGTCGATGCAGACGGCTATTCTGGTTTATTCCTGGAGGATCCGGGGCTAATGCATGCATATTGTGGACCCATCACTCTTTTAGCACTGGCGTTACAGATGATTTGGAACGAGGGCGTCCCTTCCCTTCCTTCCTTTCCCCCCACCCCTCTCCCATCCATGGCCAGGAAAAGAAGGGAGAGGGGAGGGGAGAGGAGAGGATATCGAATATAGCTGCTGCAACGGATCTGCGACGGCTCTTGGCGCGTTTCATGACGGACGGGATGGGATGCGGGATGCAGGATGGCCCGTGTGGGTGATCGGCCAGGGTATAGCGTTAAATTCCTTCAGATTAATGCAAATCATGCGGATTAATGCAACATCAACGCCCCGTTGCCTGATTCGAGCACCTCTAATTCCCTCATCGGGTCGGACTGGGAAGCAAACGGTCATGATCACTCATCACAGAAAGTCCGGAGTACAGAGGCAAGTGGACGGCCCGTCTCTCATTTCCCTAAGCGAGAGACGTCTATGCTCCGCAATAGACTCATAGACACCCAGACACTAAAATATTAGACTCTAGACACGCGCTGTTGACGTACTCCGGACTCGGGAAATCACTCTCCACCCTCCACAAAATTAGGCCCAGCCGAACGCTCACTGCGCTGATTGACAGAGGGATTACAGTACCGTTGCATTCCCTGACCCTCGCCCCTTCCATTCCTGAAGTAGGTACCTCCGTACATATGTCTGCGCATGTCTCAGAGCATGGCACAAAGGTACGCGCGAATAGACTAAGTCATCGGGAGGGGGCCAGAAGGCGGGTAGGACAAAAGGACACAGAGAGGCGTGCGACGCTCCGGAGCCGTAAGTACGAGAGGTAGGTCCTGCAAGACAAGAGCATCGCCAGAGTTTATGGTGTGAAGAGGGAACGAGTCTCCATCCCGGGTCCCACTGGGCTCCACTCTCGTGCGCATTTACCCCTGAGCAAGTCCAGCACTGACCAGGACCGATGCAGGTTAGCTCGGTTGGGGTGGGACCAAAAGAGGCAAAGAGGAGGGGGAGGATCAAAGCAGAAAAAAAAAAAGAAAAGAGAGAAAAGAGAGAGAAAGAGAGAGAGAGAGAGAGAGAGAGAGAGAGAGAGAGAGAGAGAGAAAAAGCAACGAGAGGCAAGGCGTGTTCAGTGCCCGCCGATCCTCAATTTGGGGGAGACCAGAGAGAGAATGAGGGTGGTATAGTCTACAAGGTTGGTCAAGGTGGATCAACGGGGGCGAGCTATGGACACCCAGAGATCCCGGTGATTTGAGATTTTGGGGCATGACAAGGCCCTGGTGCAAAGCCGGACGACTGGCTCACAAACCGACCAAATCCTGCGCTTTGCCTGTTGGGGAGGGAGAGATGGCAGGGATGGTGTCATGAACAATAGTACGGAGTGCTCAGTATCCGGCCTCCGACAGTTGAGGGGCTGCGGATTCTAGACGATCCGACGAGAGTCGACGACTTGATGCTTGACGACATGACAACTATATGGCGCACATAGCAAGTTGCCTGCTTTTGGGTGGCATGGAAATGTTTGGCAACGTCGGACGGGGTCCGCCCGAGATTTGTGAAAGAGAGAGAGCCGTCTGAGACATCCCGTTGATAGCGTCGAACGATTGCAGCACCTGCAGGCAGCCAAGTCCCGTGGATGGGCGAGGAGAAGTGGAGCTGTTCGATTATTTTTGATATTTAATATTTTTATTTATTTTTGACTTGAATCAAGAGGACTAGTCCTGGACGATGGAGTCGAGTGGGTGGGGGGAGGGGGGGAGTGTAGAGCATGGAGATACTTTGTACGTGCTCCGTATTTCGCGTAGAGTCCGGACGGGACTCAATTGATGAGGCCAGAAGAAGGGCATGCATGGATCTCACTGCACTTTGTGGGACATCATTGAACTCTGTGCCAGCCGCGCGATAAGAAAACCAACGAGCGAGCTTTCTACCACCGATTTGGGCAGGAGGGTTGGCCCATTGCCTCTGATTCGTGCTTTCATGCTTTCATCCGGAGTCTACCCTCAGCCGGGTTGATAGTTCCATCGGCACGACGATGTGATGGGGCGGGACGGGCTTCATCTATGACGAGCATCAATCTGAAACTCCCGCATCGAATGGAGCACAGCTCTGTGCCGATTATCCTCCTCCTCAGGGACGACGGGCTGAGTACACAGGAGTCCAGAGACGGCCAGAGGGGGTCCAGGTGGTGCTCCATCCTTTCCCAGCCTCGCCAACCGCCGTGAGGAATGTCCACATGGAGGTCTCGTGGACTGAGTCGGAAGCTAACTTTACCCAAACTTGGCCCCCGTGGTCTCCACCCGGTCAGTGCGGCCCCCTTCGGATGCAGGTACCGCGTCGAGTCACGAACGAGGTGTCACTCTCCTGCGGACGCAGGTCGTACGAAGTCGCCGCTGTTCGCGTCGTGGCCCGGTGGGTTGGCCCGGTTGGTCTTGACGTCAACGAGGTTGGTCTCTTTCCCTCCCCCTCTTCTGATGGCCTCGGTCGCGATTCCGGTTTTTCCAGTTCTTGGGGCCGTCGTGGCCTGACTGGAATAGGGAAGAGCTGAGGGATTGGCGATTGGATGGGCGGCGGATGATTGGCCGCGCCAGGGATTTTTCCCGAGAATTTGGTCGTCAGATTGATGGCTCGTTCCTCGTTTCTCTTGTGTCATGACGAGAGTCAGGATGATGCGGGGAGAGTCGGAGCTATTCCTGGTATGTGGCTCTCTTGGAAGAGGAATCGCCATCAGCATATAGATATCCATGTACAGGTAAATATAGAATAATCAATATGCAGATCAATAAAAATAAAAATAAAAATAAAAATGGTAAAACATATACAGGAAAATCTAAATAGGAATATAAATATAAATAACTCAAAGAAGAAAAAAAGGCAGAAAAAAGCAACGACAACAACAGACAATGCTGTCCAGAGTTCAGCCCCAGTGGTTGCATCCCCAGGATTTGCGATAGATCAGAGTCGCCGGACCACGCCAGCTGCCGGGCTGCTTTGGACCGGGACTCTAGGTAAAAACATGCAATCTTCATGCTCGGGATATCAACGATCCCCCCCCCCCTCCGAAGTATCGCCACAAGTCTCCATTCGACGGGCATCGTGGGTCCCTTCCCCCCCCCCCCCCCCAAGTTCTCAGGGGATCCGCGAGGGTGGAGGCGGATCGTTCGCAGGGTGGCAAAAACGCCGTGCATTGGGCCAGGGGTAAAGGACGTCAACCGCCCCCCCTCTCCAACTCTGCATTTTCCGCATTTTCGGTCCCCTTAGATAGTTCATATCCCGTTTGTAACTGTCCCCTTGCATGATCCCCATTCACCGTCCCTTCTGGATCGCCTATCGGGTGTCCTCCAGCACATGTGGCTCACTGACTCAGTCGTCCACTGGCCCCGTCGCTCACCCCCGAATATACTTTGCCACATCCGAATGGGATTAGGGTTCTCTCGAGAGACTACGGAACTATGGGACTATGGAACTTTGGGACTTCGGACGCCTCTCCCTCCCCAATGAACGACGAACGGACGAGTAGAATGCGTCGGCACGCAGAGATCTCACCTGATCTATAATTATTCGGGTTCTTCCAGGATGCGCCGAGTCGTCCTATCTATAGCCGTAGCCATCGCCATACGCCATAGCCACAAGCCACAGCCAGAGCCAGGAGAAGAAGAAAGAAAGAAAAGTAGAGGGAGAAGCACATAAGATTTCTTGCAGACCCCTCGACTGTCCCGAGAGTCGCAGTCCTGCTCCACACACCGCAGAACCCACTGCGCTCTTGAATTTTCCCTTTTTCCCCAGGCCCCGAAAAGCGTACCTGGCGAACCGATTTTATCTCCTGCGCTCCCCCTCCCCAAACCAACTGGCCCCCCCCACTCTGTACTTTACTCCTAACTCCTCCTAATCTCTCCTCTTCTTCTTCTACTCCTCTCCTCGTCTTCTTCTTCTCTTCTTCTTCCTCTTCCTCTTCCTCTTCCTCTTCCTCTTCCTCACGCTCTTCTGTGCCCGCCTCATGTTGGGCATCTGGTCGCCTAATCCTGCCCTCGCATCATCCCGCGTCAATTGATTCGTCGACTCGTTCCCGTTCCCGTGTCCGTGGTCTTGACGAAAACCTTCTTGGCCGACCCTCCCCTCCTAAACCCAATCCCAATCCACTACACCCCCCTGGGTTTGTGTTCGAGAAAACACTCGGCATTGGGGACGACAATCGACCGACTCGCGTGAATTCTCCGCTCTCGACTCTCGACTCGCCAACAATCGAGGTCGCCCTGCACTCGCTCTCCGGTCCACCACCGTTCCCACGCAATCGGGTCCCTCCCCTATCTTTTCGAAGACGCGCGACCTGGCGTTCTCGCCAACTCCGTCGTCGCCAGCGCTGTCGACCCTTCGCGGGACCTCGCATCGGTCATCCTCCAATCCCACCATGTCCGTTGCGACCATGTTACAACCTGCCTCGCGAGTCTCGCGAGCCTCGTCCTCCTCATCTTCCTCGTTTCAGCCCGTGGCACGACAGAACACAATGTCGTCGCACGATACTCGGTCGCTCCGCCAATCTAAGCGGATGTCGGTCACCGCGTTATACTTATCCATGTCCGCTAAGGACAGGGATTTGGAGATCTCGGATGACCTGGCGCGAGGTAGGCGCTTCCTCTCCTCTCCCCCCCCGGCCCCTGTCGTGATTCTACAGGGAAGATCAGGGAAGATCGGGGAAGATCGTGGACGGGTGGTATTGACTTTGAAAATAGCACAGAAACATCTGCGAGAACTCAAATCGAAGATCTCATCGCAATCCAAGAAGAACTTCGTCTTGGAAAAAGACGTTCGATATCTAGACTCGCGAATTGCCCTGCTGATCCAGAATCGAATGGCTCTGGAGGAGGTAAGCCAGCGATCCCCTCTTTATCTGTTTCTATGGTCGGCACACCGTGCGAGACAGGCTCACTCACAATTCCTTTTTTGCTCCCCCTTTTTAGCAAAACGAAGTCGCCAGCCACCTCGACGACACGGCCGACCCTCAAGAAGGATTCTTTCCGAATGATGAACGAACCCAGAAATATGGCAATCTGCTATTCCTGCTCCAGTCGGAGCCCCGCCATATCGCCCACCTGTGTCGTTTGGTTTCCATGGCCGAGATCGATTCCCTCTTGCAGACGGTCATGTTTACTATCTACGGAAACCAGTACGAGAGCCGTGAGGAGCATCTCTTGCTCACGATGTTCCAGTCCGTTCTCACCTACCAGTTCGATAATACCCCTGAATACTCCTCCCTCCTACGCCAGAATACTCCTGTGTCGCGCATGATGACCACATACACTCGCCGTGGCCCCGGCCAGAGCTATTTGAAACAGGTTCTCGCAGACCGCATCAATTCGTTGATCGAATTGCGTGATGTGGATCTGGAGATCAACCCTCTGAAGGTGTACGAGAGCATGGTCAAGCAGATTGAAGAGGAGACAGGCTCCCTGCCTGAGTACCTCGCTCGGTCGGTCACGGCCGAGGATGCCGCCGAAAACAAGCAGGTGCAAGCCATCATTACCCCCCGCCTGAAGATGTTGACGGATATCGCGAACGGATTCCTGACCACCATCATTGAATCGGTGAACGAGGGCCCCTTACGGAATTCGCTGGATCTGCAAGCAGATTCGCAGCTTGTCTCGTCGCAAGTACCCCGATGCTCAGGACCAGACGATTTGCACTCTCATCGGTGGTTTCTTCTTCCTCCGCTTCATTAACCCGGCCATCGTCACTCCGCGCTCGTACATGCTGATCGATGCCACCCCGACCGACAAGCCCCGCCGGACCCTCACCCTGATCGCCAAGATGCTACAGAACCTGGCCAACAAGCCCTCGTACGCCAAGGAGCCCTACATGGCCAGTTTGCAGCCGTTCATCGAACAGAACAAGGAACGCGTGAACAAGTTCTTGCTCGACCTGTGCGAGGTGCAGGATTTCTATGAGAGCTTGGAAATGGACAACTACGTGGCGCTTTCCAAGCGCGACCTTGAACTGCAAATCACTCTGAACGAAATGTACGCTACCCACGCTCTTCTCGAAAAGCACAGCCTGGCACTTGCCCAAGACCAACACTCCCACCTCTCCCTGCTTCTGCAAGAACTGGGCGCGGCCCCGCCGCAGGTGCCCCGCAAAGAGAACCGGACCATCACTGTGCCGCTCTTTAGCCGCTGGGAGACTGCATTGGACGACTTGACGGCCGCCCTGGACATCACCCAAGAAGAGGTGTTTTTCATGGAGGCCAAGTCGACGTTCGTGCAGATCCTTCGTTCTTTGCCCCCGAACTCCTCGGTTGCCCGTCGCCCCTTGCGTCTGGACCGCATTGCCGAAGCCGCTGCCACTCTCAAGAACGATGCTGTGATGGTCCGCAAGGGCATCCGGACCATGGAGTTGCTGAGTCAGCTGCAGGATATGGGCGTGCTCGACCGTTCCGATGAGTTCAGTCTCCTCCGTGACGAGGTCGAGCAGGAGTTAGTCCACCTCGGTTCGCTGAAGGAAAAGGTGCTGGAGGAGACCCGGCAGCTGGAGGAAGTGTTTGCCACCATCCGCGACCACAATGCGTACCTGGTGGGCCAGTTGGAAACCTACAAGTCCTATCTCCACAACGTGCGCAGCCAATCCGAGGGCAAGCAGCGGAAACAGCAGAAGCATCAGGAACTGGGACCGTACAAGTTCACTCACCAGCAGTTGGAGAAGGAGGGCGTGATTCGGCGTAGCAATGTGCCAGAAAATCGCCGGGCGAATATTTACTTTATGTTCAAGAGCCCGCTCCCCGGCACTTTTGTTATCAGTCTGCATTACAAGGGTGAGTTGCTCACAACCGAGCTAATTCGATAATATCATCCAGAGACTAATTTCTTTTTGTTTAGGGCGTGCCCGTGGATTGTTGGAGCTTGATCTCAAGCTGGATGATCTGTTGGAGATGCAGAAGGATAATCTGGAGGATCTGGACCTGGAATACGTGCAGTTCAACGTCTCCAAGGTGCTAACCCTCCTGAACAAACGATTTGCACGCAAGAAGGGGTGGTAAACACTAGGCTGTGCGGCCCCAGCGCCCTCGATACCTTCCCCACCTAATGATTGATATGAGACCGAGGACTCTGGAGACGAAGGGCATCTTGTCTCTGACCCATTCGTCTCGGGCGGCGAGTCCATCCGCAGATTCGTCGCCGCCTCTGTTTGATGATCTTGATGGACACGGATATATACTTCCGTTCTCTTTTTCTATACATATACCCCCTTTCCATCCTCGACGTCCCCCGATCGATGGACTGGATACATGCTCTCTTGCTATGACTCTGACCTGACCTCCCGGAACATTGTGAAATTGGGAATGAGTGGCCCTCACGTCTCCTATGCATGGTGGTGATACACGAACATAGCTGCTGGTGGTGGTGGTGGACTGATTGTGGTGGTTTCCTGCAGGCTCGGGGAATTGGCTCACGATCAATGTGAAATTTTTATCTGATCGCTGTTTCTTTTGTTACGTTGACTCTTCCCTCCTCCCCTGCCCACCATGTTTGTGAAATTTTTTTGCAATTTATACCCAGCGCATAGTTGTTGTTCTCGTTTCTTTTTTTTGGTTCGCTGTGTTCTTCGTTGGATTCTGATCTCCCGGGTTCGGGCTTCTCCCCCTATCTTGTAATCTTACCTGTTATCATTTGGATCTTGCTGTATTCGCCTGTTTGGACGCCATCTTGGATTGTTGTCTCCCACCACCGCTCGGGGCTCTTTTGTATTGGCCCCCCAGCGCTGTGTATAATGAAATACCCGTGTTTTCTTGTTGTCGATGATCCCCTCAGTCTGTACAGAGGCTTGTCGTAGCGGGACGTTCACCCGGCCTGTTTATATATCCATCTTATCAAACATATTTACTTCGGGATTTGAGGACGTTTTTTGGGGTAGCGGACGCGTATGTGCCTCCATCAGCCTGACGTCGGTTTTGCCGGCTTACTCTAACTGTTAAAGTGCCGATGATCCTTTTGGCGCGGCTTTCTGTTGGATCTTTGTCCTGCAGGTGGATTCGTCCGAACACCGCCTCGTGCCCCTCTGCCTCCACTGGCGCTGCATGTATGGTGGATTTCAAGATTTCAAGAAGATTGGCTCTCGACTCTTACAATGCCCTCGGGAACATGCCCTGGAGATGTAACGTGGTGGAAGGAGGGCTACCTGCATAACAAGGCGATTCAGAGGATGTTTGCGGACAGGTCATCATTTCACCATTATACCAATGATGTGCCATTATTAGAGGACACGACAGGATAACAGGCCAGAATGACAGAGAGGCGCCATCATCGTGCATCCCCGGCCAATTACGGAGGCCTCGAATGCCAGTACTTGACTTCTCCACGCCCCGATAGTCACGGTGGTTATAGGGGGGAGGATTGGGGGGCCCTGTTTCTCTAGATGACGGCGACTCTTCGCCCTGATCCATAATTAATTGATTAATTCCATCCAAGTCCCATACTGACTTCTCTGCTACCCGATCCATCGTGCTATCAGGCACTAGCGACTGTTTGCACCGAAACCTTAGCGTGCGTGTTTGGCCACCTCGAAAAGTGGCCACGCCCAAACTCCGCCTTCCGTGCCAACCTTCTTCTCTCCTCCGCCTTCGCCCCTCTCTTTCCTTTATTCTCTCTCTCTCTCCCCCCTACCCTCAACTCCTCTTCTCCCCCTCTGTGAATTTACCTCTCAATCACAATGGCGGCCGCTACCGAGTCCAAGCTGCCTACCGACCCCAAGTACGACCAGTACGAGTTCCCGACCACTGCCCCGGAGGCCCAGGATGGCCACCCCGGCCACACCACCCCGGAACAGGATGCGAAGGTGCACCAGCTGCGCACAATGCTCGAGCAGATGGGCTACACAGAGCGATTGGATACTCTGACCTTGCTGCGATTCCTTCGTGCTCGCAAGTTCGATGTTGAGGCGTCCAAGGCTATGTACGTTTTTTTTTTCTTTCTTTCTTGGAGACACTCCGTTTTCTGAGTTGTGTTGCGGGCGATGTGTTTCCTCGCCCGCAACACAGCTCCAGGGGGGATTTGCATGCTTCGCCTCGCCTTTTCATTTTGAATTCCCCCCACCCCTCCCCCTTGGAAGATTTCTTTTGATTGTCTTTTCCGAAGATGAGATGAGTCTAATGCGCTTTGTTTTCTGCTACAGGTTCGTGAACTGTGAGAAGTGGCGCAAGGAGTTTGGCACCGATGACCTGCCTCGCACCTTTGAATACCCCGAGAAGCCCGAGGTGTTCAAGTACTATCCTCAATACTACCACAAGACCGACAAGGTGAGTTCGGAGCGAAAGCGTGAGATTCGCGGGACATCACTAATCTGCGTGTTTCTTCTCTTGTCAATAGGATGGCCGTCCCGTCTATATCGAGAAGCTGGGCAAGATTGACCTCACTGCCATGTACAAGATCACCACCGGCGATCGCATGCTTCAGAACCTGGTCACGGAATATGAGAAGCTGGCTGATCCCCGTCTCCCTGCCTGTTCGCGCAAGGCAGGCAAGCTCCTCGAGACTTGCTGCACCATCATGGACCTGAAGGGCGTCGGCGTTACCAGCATTCCCTCCGTCTACAGCTACGTGCGCCAAGCCTCCGAGATCTCCCAGAACTACTACCCCGAGCGTTTGGGCAAGCTCTACCTCATCAACGCCCCCTGGGGCTTCAGCAGTGTCTTCAGCGTTGTCAAGGGCTTCCTTGACCCGGTGACCGTCAACAAGATCCACGTGCTCGGTAGCGGATATCAGAAGGAGCTCCTTTCCCAGGTGCCCGCGGAGAACCTGCCCGTCGAGTTTGGCGGCAAATGCAGTTGCGAGGGTGGCTGCGAGCTGTCCGACATGGGCCCCTGGCAAGAGTCCGAGTGGGCTCGCCCGCCGGCCTGGGCGACCGCCAAGGAGACCAAGGAGACCAAGGAGACCGAGGAGGCTGTTGTCCAGAACGAGGACCCCGGTTATGAGAAGAAGGATGCCGAGGGCCAGGAGGGAGCCCAGACCAGCGCATAGAGGACGGGAAGGGGGCGCTTATAGAAACGTTTTGTTCTTTTCCATTCGCTTTGATTTTCTGATCGCCATTTTCGCATCCGCTCGGGGGGCCGGCTCTGCTCCATTACCAACTATGTCCCCCCTCCTCTATCAGACTCAATCCTAAGAAGAGAGCAAAAACCAAATGATCCAAACAAAAATTCAAACCAGACGAAGGGAGTTCCGTGAGAGAAAAACATTCCTGTTTTTACCTTTTCGTCTCCTTTATTGAGAGATTTATTTCTGTGTGTCTAAATTGATCGCATCACTGCGAACGGGGCGTACACGTCAAGATGCCCCATCGCCCTCTCGTCAGGTCGCCCGTTTTATACTTTGGCAGTTCCTCCTTTCTCTCCTTTCGACCTCTCTCTAAGCCTCGATCTCTCAGGCTCTGCCTCCTTTCTCTTCAGGCTCTCTAGCAGATACGCTTCCTGGTACCTTGCACGCTATCCGATCTAGATCTCATGATCTTACGGCGCACATCGACCCCCCCCTCCCTCAGAGTATATGTTTATGTACTGTTCGTCGGTCTACGGTTTAAAATATGCGGCTGGTACGCTTCCGCCCCCTCTCTATAGAACGGAATTGAACCTATCGATAAGCGGGGTTTCCAATGAGTTTTGCTCTTTTCTTTTCCGAAAGGCCAAAAGGCGAGATGGGAGTGATTTTGAAGACACGGTTCTTTGTATGTTTTTTTTTTTTTTTTTTTTTTTTGCCAATCGGCCAATCTTCTTTACATGTATAACGCCCTGTATCAGGCTATCGATGGTGTAATAGATTGAATTGCTCCTCTTGAGGCTTTGCCAAATCTTCCAAACACGCCCCCGTTTTCACTGAAGACGATCCTACTTGCGTTATCACGGATGACATTCAATGCAGTCAGTACCCGTATACTTCGGGAACCCAGAACAAATAGAAATAAGACGATGGTATCATGATTCCCCCTCCCGAGTCAGTCCTGAGCTCCGAAAAAAGAAACGCCTGCCATATAGAATCAACAAACAAAAAGTAAACAATAACCCCTCCCAAGAGACTCCAACTGTTCAAAGAGAAACTCCCAATGCACATATTCACATGTTTTCTACTACTTCCGCAGCACGCCCAGCCCGCTCGGCCTTGCCCATCGTCGTAGCCAGTGCGTTGCCCTCCGCTCCAGCCTCGGTGTCCACATCTCCTTCGCCCTGCAGCCGCTGAAGCGCGCGCAGGGTATTTTCGTATACTTCGGCTATATCGCCACTCCGCCAGCGCTCCGTTTCTTCGTTCGTGCCAAGCGGGACCTGCAATGTCCACGCCGGATCGAGACGATTGCGACGGCGTTGAGTCCGCCCCGGTCGTTGTTTGGTCGTCGCCTGGGGTTCTGTGTCAACCTCCATGCTCTCAACGTCTTTCGCACCCTGCTCGCTGCTTGAGCCTACATGGCTCTCGTCTTTGGTTTCGTCCATGCCCTCCCGGTCGTCATGTCCATTCACACTTTCCCCTTCTTCCTCATCGTCGTCATCGACCTCATCCTTGATAACCTGTTCCAGCCGAGCCGCATACTCCTGCGCAGCGCGCTGCGGTGTCTCCCGGCGTAACTGGGCCACGCTTGTGGTGAGCGATTCGAGCTGTGCGTACAGCGTGGACACGCGCGATGCGAGCTCGGAGTCGAACGGCTCGTACTCGACAGTTTCGGGCGCAGTGAACGAGGCCGGGAAGGGGAACTGCGGCGACGTCGAGTCGATCCCGTTGATGCTGATCGACGAGGACGCGCTCGTGAAGGTCCGCGTTATGTACTGTTCGTTTCGACGTGGGCCTTGTGTTAGCCTTGTTGTATGTAGGTAACTCTGCCACTCCTGCCCCTCCTTTCTCCCTTCCCCCCCCGGAGGTCCCCTCATTGCTCTCTGTTATTGTTGCCACGGCTTGACGCCCTGCAACGAAGATCGCAATTCGGTTTCTCTCCCCTGCTGTGTTGTGGGCATGGGCACGGAGTCGGGCATGCTTACCTCGTCCACCAGTTCCCGTACGCGCTCGCGCATTGGATCGGGGGCGTCATTGTTTGTTGCTGAAGGGGGCAGATGCAGGTCTAGTTTTTGGCGCGAGAGCGCGATCGTGTTGGCGTAGAGATAGGTGAAATCAGTGGGCGACTGCAGTTCGATCTTGCGGTAGTGTGGCTCGGCCATGGCGTCGAGGAGGAGGAGCGTCGTGGTGGTTCTCTGGGAGAGACGGACTTTGTTGATGGGGTTTTCTGCACGCGTTGGAGAGCGGATGCGGGCTTGGCGCTGCGGCCTCCCCCCCGCAAACGATGTCATCGACGGGGGGAACCTTGCTCTCCTCTTCACTTTCCCCTCGACTTGTGCCTGTGATTTTTCTTGCTCTGATAATACCCAGTCTAGACTTCTCCCTTTTTTCCCCTTCCTTTTATTATTACTCCTGCTCTTCCTCGTCTTCTAAATAAGAGCACTGTCAGTACTTTGATCCCCCTTTCCCTATACTGGCCTATATCTGGGCCTGAGCACAGGCTACCTTGGTGTGATGCAAAGTCCCGCTGGGTGATGTATGCGACAATTGTACATCGACTAGGGCTTTCGATATAGTATTACGACCACAATCATCCCACACGTTCCGTGGTCGTCCACCAGTCTAGCGACCATGGAGCGCCCTCCAAGCATTTCCCTCGTGGATAATACCCTCCCCTCAGCGCAGCAGCCCACGAGTAGCAGCTCCTCGCGACAAGCCTCCACTGTCGGCCGTCAAAGCAGTTTGACGAAACATCTTAGCCACGCATCGGTCTCCGGGAAGCGGGCTCAAAGAAAATACGCAAAATGGCAACCAGATAAACTCGGCATCCCGACCGACACCGATGCCGAACGCTCCTTGAGCCGGGAGTCGTCACGCGTGCGCGGGTCCATATCGGCAGCAAGCTCGGGGGGAGAGGCTAGCAGGCAGTCATCGCACCAAGGAACGGCGGGCGAGAACCCGGCAAGCGCAGAGATAGATATAGATGTGGCCGATTTCGCACCGAGCACCACAAACGAGACGTCGCAATCCGCCAGCGCGGGCCAGAACCCAGTTCTCACCGGAGACTCGAAGGCCATCTCAGAACTAGACATTCTCTACGAGAACCAGCGTGGGTGGTTTTTTTTCGGCGTCCCGCTCTACTCTCACAGCTCCCTCCTTAATTTCGACCCCAGCGCTTGGATGACCCAAGACCGCCGCGACAGCCCCGTCAACATCACCAATGCCCAGGTCCCCGACCCAAGCTGGGAATGGGCCTGGCGGACATGGTACGTGGATATGTCGGGCGATGTCGACGAGCAGGGCTGGCAGTATTCATTCTCGTTCAAGTCGTCCCAGTGGCACGGGACGCACCCCTGGTTTCACTCCTTCGTCCGGCGGCGGCGCTGGGTTCGATTGCGATCAAAGGTCCAAGACAAGCGACACCGGGGACGATCCGATTTCGAAAGGGCCCACATGTTGACTGAGGACTATTTCACTATCCACTCGCGGGCTCGCAGCCGTGACCAGAGCGCTACGGGCTTGTCGCGCGTGGAGTCCGGGTTTTTGAGTCGTGTGAGCACGAAGGTGGATGAGCAGGTCCATCTCGAGGAGATTGGCGACATACCAGCCCTGATGCGCGAACTGAGGCTGGCCTCTATTGACCGAGAGAGAATTGATGCGCTGAAGAGGTTTGTTCAGGATGGAGGCGAGGAGCTGTATTACCTGAACGCCAAGGTGAGTTCTGCGAATGCGCCGTGATTACAAAATCATAATATCTCTTTGGATCTTTTTTCTTACTTCTCGTGCTCTCTCTCAGATCCCAGAGATCATGTCCATGTTCCTGTTCCAAGCGTCTCGCTGGCAATTCGTCTCCCACCTCGTCAACATCATTCACCAACTTTCCCAGCAACCAGCGGACCTTGACGCGAAAGACTCAGAGCGCATAGAGCGCAAGAAAGACAACCTGACTCGCGCTGTTGAGACTGCTAGACGCCATATTACGGGGCCGAATGTCTTCACGGATACCCACGGCGACTCGGGCTTGGGAATGCTCGACTTGACTCCAGTATCGAGACATGATACATTGTTATCGAAGCGGGCTCAGGCAACCGATGAGCCGCTACATGTATTGAAAGACGCGAAGATCAAGGGCATTCCAAAGGCTGCGGAGGTTGGGAGAGATTGGCATATTCATCGATAGCTGTGTGGCTATCTGGTTTCTCTCCACCATAATACCGTCAAAGAGCCCTGTAAATATTATTAGTTCGGGCTATCTTTTGATTTCTGATTTCTGATTCCTGAGTCTAATGTTAAATCAATTCTAGATTTATCCGTAGCCGATATCCCAGCACTCTATTTTGATTGGATGTCTCACAATTTTATGCCTTCTATTGGTTCAATTCCAGCGGTTCGCCTGCTTTTTTGTGTTCGCCCTATGTATTTTGTGGCTGGATGATTGCCTCTACCTATAGTCGCTATTATAATTTGGCCTGGGGTGATATTCAACTGACTCTGACGGACCAGATCAATGCAGGCGATGCTAAAGATCCGAATGGCGACTGGAATGAAGATTACCTGAAGGTTAAGATCGCTTGATCGAAGCACTCCAATTTCGACACGCGCAATACAGGACTCAATGATCCTCTAGGCCAGTCGCTCAGTGATGCTTTCCGTAGCGATGACTAGTGGTATCATGCTGATCCTCAATACTATGTACGCCCCATATTTTACTTTCAACTCGCGAGCCATCCACTGACGAGTGATAGATTCGTTTCAATAATAGTACTGCAGCTGGCCAAGCCCTTGGGTCAACTTGACTTTGATCAACTGACTGGGGAAGTGTCACCAGTAGTCCATCATTGGTACAGGCTAACGTTTGCAAAGCTTCACGATATAATACCTAGTGATTTGCAATTCACAAAATGTAGAGATCTACTTTGGCAAACAAAGACACACCCACTTCCCGACATATGAACCAGGTGAAATTCTGTGATCTTCTCTTAGTGAATTCAGACTGCCATAACAAGAGGCTATGAAGAGAACGTCTATTCAAATATGAGCTGTGATTCATGATTCGGACCCCACAATACCAACATCGCTATCGGCCCAACTTGCCTCCATTCCATCCGGTCTATCCCCGCCCTACACCCACACAGTCATGTGTTCTACAGGACCTCATAGACATCAATTTCCACATATACCGGGCGCTGAGGAGGCTTCAGATTGCCAAGGAACACAGAACGGCCTAGCCAGCCGTACTTTTCATTGTTGACGTCCACCTCGAATCTTGGGTTTGTGCGCGTGTACCAATCGGCCCCGTTGTTGGCCATAGATGCCTTAGACGGGTCCGCATCTTCAAAAACCACCTTCATAGTTTCTTGACTAGCTCTTCCGTACCCTTCATTGCAGATTCCGATAACGGTGCCATCGTTTGCTTGGATGGAGTAACGCGCGTAGAGATGCACTACCCCATCTGCGCGAACGGCGTTCCAATCTCCACCTGTGTTGGCGAGGATTTTTCCTTCGAACCTGGGCCCGGAGACGGTTCCGCCCGTGATTGGGATGAAGCGTTTATCGCCGGTTGAGGTGGAGCCGTAGTCAAGTGGCGGGCCTAAGTCGACATGGAGGGTGAAGGCGTATTCTATCTGGGGAGCGGGGGGAGACATGGCGGTGTGGATTGGCTAGTTCATCAACATGAAAGTTAGAGACGACCCAAATCAATTGTGGTATTAGGGAATTTGGTAGTATATTGAAAGAGATAGGGGTAAAAGCGAGGTGGGTGCCGCAGGATGAGTGACGAGTGCTTGGAGGGATACGAACAGCCAAAGTTACGCACTTTTGTGGCGATTATTGGTAGATCGATAAATTTACTGTTTTTTTAGATATAGTATAAAGCGTGGCTCTGTTGGAAACTTTAAAAGAACTCATGGTGCTGCTTACTTCTACTCTCCTCCGATTGTTCCCCTATATTTCTGCCCCGGATTATGCCCCGGACTGATATTCCGGCTGTTCCCCGGTGCCACTCTTTAGTCTTCGTCATCAGGGAGAGCTGCAAAGCCATTCACAAATACAGTCCTCTTCGGCCTAGATATCACTTACAGAATTCTATTCCAAAATTCTATATTCACTTTCACACGTGCCACCATAGACATGGGGCGCCATAATTTTCCCTCTTCTCCCCTTTCCAACTAATGATCCAAAGGACCCGTTACGATGGCCGTCTGCTCTCAAACTTGCGGCTGTTGTGTCCACCTCCTTTGCAAATTTCGTTTCCAACATGGGAGGAGCAGGAATTTCCGTTGCAGTTCCCTTGTTGATGGCTGAATATCACAAATCTCAATCGGGTGCAACCCAAGTTTTGACGGTGTGTTCCGGCCATTTGTTTCCCAGAAAGGGGCGGGAATAGGAGCTGGATTTTCTGATGAAATATAGTACAATTTTCTATTTCTCAGTATTGGAAATATTTTCTGGGTGCCATTGGCTATGAAGTTTGGCAAGCGCTTTTCTCTCCTTGTATCCATGATATTGCAAGCAGGCATGTTGGCCTGGGTTGCTGCAGCAGGCTCTTTTAATAGCTTGATCGCCGCTAGATGCTTGCAGGGGTTTGCAGCTGCAGCTGGTGAGGTAATTTGAACTCTTTCAGCTTATGATTTTGCACCTAGCTCACTTTTCACACGGCAGAGTATCGTTCCCGAAATTGTGTCAGATACCACTTTTGTCCATCGCCGAGGAGCTATGATGTCCATGTAAGTGCAGACAGGCGCTAATGATCAACTTATGTCAAGCTAAATGTCGCTATTTATTGGCCTTCAGCTACATCGTTCTTATCTCAGGTGGAAGTGCCGTGGGTCCGCTCATTGCTGGCTTTATGACCTCAGCACTCTCCGACACATGGCACTCTTTCATGTGGCTATGTTGTGGTGTTGCAGTATTCAGTTTTCTCTTGATGTTTTCCCTCTTCCCCGAGTCCAACTTTACTCGCCCGGAGCTCGACTTGACTATCGACCAGCTCGAAACATTGCACAATCGTGAAGCATACAAGGAAGACGAAGCGCAGATGCCCAAGGAGGAGCTCTGTGAGGAGGTGAATCAAGTTTCATCCACTCCAGATGGCTACAATATTTACACACCTCCTCTTCGTGAGATCCTGTCACCTATCGCATACAATGCTGAAGTAAATTTCTTGAACGCTATGATCGATCCTCTCAGGCTCCTGGCTCACCCCTCTGTCTGCTGGGGTATTTTCACTTACGCCATTACTCTGAGCCCTCAGTTGATTCTGATGTGAGTGCTCTCCTACTTATTCCATTCATTGCCATTCTCTTGCTCACCATTATTGTTCACAGTTTCACAATGTCCTCCCTTCTTCAGGCTCCTCCCTACCTATTCTCAACACAAGACGTTGGCTTGATGCAGATTGCAGCAATCATCGGTTTCTTGATTGCTTGCTTTGGTGGCGGCAAGCTTTCTGATATTATAAATAACTTTATCATCCGTCGCACCGCAGGTCAAAACATTTGGCCTGAGAAACGGTTGATTTCCCTCATTCCTGGAATGCTCTTCGGCCCAGCAGGTTGCATTCTGCTAGCCTTTGCTTGTGGCAATCAACTCTCTTGGCCTGCGATTGCTGTTGGCTTTGGACTTGTTTCATTTGGATCCGTCTATACGCCTAACATTGCTATCACCTATATCGTCCACCGCCATCAGAGGGAGGCCGCTGAGTGTTTGGTCTTAATAAACATCTTTAAGAATTTGGTCGCTTTCATTTTCTTATACGTGGCTGTTGAATGGGTCAACAAGAATGGTTACATTCAGGTCTACATGATCATGTTCATGCTGAATATGTTGATTCTTGTTTGTGCTGTGCCGTTATATTTGTACGATTCCAGGAGACACCGCAACATGGATGTATTTTAAATCGATTCGAATCCACTGCTCCAATGAACATCGCATATATTTTGTGTATGGATTGTGATCATTTCATAAGCATTGCAAGGGAGCTGAAAGATGATCTAACATAATAAGCAAATAAGAGCACCTTTGACTATCAACCCCTATGCGTTCAATCTTTTCAGTCTGATATCTTTAGGCACAATGTATTCTGAAGCATTAACCAAAAGCAAATCTATCCCATTCTGATCTTCAATCTCAAAGGAAGCAGTCGACTAGAATTCCCAGAGCCCAACTTTCTCTTCTCTCCCGTATTCTCCACTGACGACATTTGATCAGGTCAATACAAATAATGCGTCAGGCGGGAGCCCGGCCCATGAAGAAACTCAAGTGGCTCATTCAGAAAATCCTCAAGGAGAGCTTTAAACGCTGGATCTCGATCCTTGATCAGCTCCTTTGCGGCATTGATCTCGCCCAAGAAGCTATGGAATTGTGACTGAGTGTTCATTTGCCACGCCTCAGGATCCCAGCCCCACAGGTCTGGTCCCCAATTATCATAGACCGAGTATTCCCAAATGCGATATTCTAGATCGACTGCCAAGGCCTTGGCTCGGTCAATATGTTCCAGGGCATTTCCGATGGCAGGGTCATGAGCGCGAACAGCTTGCTCCCACTTATTGCCCGATACGGGTGTGGTGATCGGCTCCAATCCAGGTGTCGGCGCAGACCCAAGTGTGAGTGGAAGCTCGGGAAGTTCGATATACTGCTCGGACTGTGCTGGACTTTCGAGCGCCTCCTCCTTGGCTGTCCTGGCTCTTTTCAGAACGGGAGCTGACATAGCCTCCGGATCGGTTTCCGAGGATGCCCGTCTCTTCCAGGCCATTTTGTGTGACTTGAGTTGGGAATTAGAGATCGCTGAGGTCAGAATGGCTTGATATGAAATTTCTCGCGATTTGAGCTTGCCTGATGCGGTTGATTTGGGTTTACGTTGGCGATGAGGAGAGGAAGGAGTTGTGGTCGATCAAAAAGCAGGAAAGTGGGAGGTGATTTATGGCATAAAAGAGGAACACAGCTCAAAATAGAAGGTTCAGTGGCACAAATGACAAAAAATGTACACAATGACAAAGCTCTTCTTAGTGCAACTTTGCAACGTTGATTTTAGATCTCCGGGAAACGTCTCTGCAAACTAGACGGTCCCATGAAGCAACAGAGAACAAAGAAGTTGGCTATAGTATAATATTCTGTTTGATTAAACGACAGGTAACCTATACCTAGATATTATCCTTTGTTAATTCCATGAATACCAAATATTTGGGGGTGGGTTATTAGTGAAGTTACGATAATGGTTTTGGGAATACTCGACATGACGCGACTTCTTTTATCGAATATCTCGAGTGCAGGAAGTTATATGATCTCTCGTACCAAAGGCCTCTTGTATTTGAAACGAGGACAGGTACGTATGTTGGGTAGTCGAGATTGAGTCGATGGCACCAAAATTCAACAGAAGAAAGCAATGCCTGAAATATATCACCTATCCTTAGAGAAACGAGGCCCCGTTGGCATAATTCTTACATTATGATTCTGATGATTCTAGATAAGTGAATATGAACAGTGTTTTCTGAAGTGATTTTTTGAGTATAAGCAAATCAGAGGCAACTTCAGAATGAAGAAAGAGTTCTTTGCCCCACTCAGCTGCATAAGAAAAAATGTCCGGTTGCTTTCTCGCGTCTCATTTACTAAGAACTTTCACTGCGCAATGATATTTATGCACTAGGAGCATATTGATGTATGAAAAGCATTATATATTACAAATCAATCCTAGAAGCAACAGAAAGATTCATTTCGTATGAGACATCCATCAATGGTGCAATGGGGTGGTATACAATATCCCGTTTGCCAACGAACCACTTGGTTCACAGACCCAATGCCCATCAGTCCGAGATCCCTATCAACGATTGAAATCGATCTCCATGAATCTCATCCCACCAGATGCATCTCCGAGCGCAAATGTGTTATTTTGGAAATCCACACATACCGGCCTATAATCCAAGGGAACCCAGAGCATGCTGTCTGATCCTTGAATAACCCAATCCTTGCAAAGAAGTATGGATGGTCCAGTTAGTTTCCCAATAGAAGGCTCATCATCAATGTCAATAGAAAGAATAATTTGCCCACGGTCCGTATTCAAATAGAGATTATCAACCGAGAATGACAATCTAGTGAGAGTGACTGCAGTGTATAAAGAATATACCTGAGAGCCTGCCACCGTATCCCATAGCCTAATAATCATATCGGCCGAAGTCGACGCCACAATTCTGGCGTCTGTGGAGGCGGCAACTGCGAGTATTGGTGTATCATAGCATGGTGTCACCTGTATTCCTCTGCCTGGAATGGTTCTCGAAAGCCATACTGTATCATTTGCAGAAGCCGCCACGATGGAGCCGCCATCCGAAGAAAAAGCTATCGCCTTGTACGGATGACCGTAGGTATATGCAATCGCTTTAGAACGATGACCGAGGTCATTGTAGAGAAGGTCCCTTTCTCCTTCCAAAACGCTCCACAGCCGAACTGTGCTGTCATTGCTGGTACTGACAAGTGCCATGTTAATCGGCGAAAAAGCAAGAGAATTGACAGAATTGAGATGCCCGTAAAACTTTTGTCTTTCTTTGCCTGTCTTTGGGTTCCAAATTCGAATCAAGCCATTCATCGAACCGGAGGCCAGGACTTGGCTATTCCATGAAAAAGCGATAGCTGTGGTAAAGCTACCGTGAGCCTCAATCGTATGCATCTCTTCATTTGACTGTGCATCCCACAGTCGAATCATCCCATTACTGTAAGAAGCTGCCACTATCGTAGCATCAGGAGAAAATATGACAGAATTGACTGTGCAAGTTCGTTGCTTCGAGCGTCCTTCAATAATTGGAGCTGAGTTCAAGGGCCGATCTGTTTGGTTGGGGTGATCGAGTTGATCATTTGCATTCGGAGGATCATGGGGTAGTCTGTCCGTCATAACATCCCAAATTCTAACAGTTTCATCGGATGAAGCTGATGCAACTATATTCCCATCTGGAGAGAAGGATATGGCTGTGATCAAGCCGCTGTGCCCATTCAACATGCGGACTACTGTACCTGTAGCGGCATCCCAGAGTCGAATAGTGGAATCGAATGAAGCAGATGCGATTGTTTTCCCATTTGGTGAGAAGGCCACACCATGAACCCGACTTTCATGGCCAAGTTGTTGTATCTGGTCACCCGTTTCCGTATCCCAGATTCTAATCGTTCTGTCACTAGAAGCCGAGGCAATAGTCCGACCATCGTTCCTGAATGTGACTGCATTTATGGAATCGGAATGTCCCTCGAGGCGGTATTCTTCTTCACCAGTTGCAAGGTTCCAAACATATAAGATCGCTTGACTAGCCGATATGATCCTCTCTCCATCAGTGGAGAAAGCAACGGAGGTTACCAAGTCGCCGTGTTGGAGAACCAGACTGGTCTCACCTTGTTCCCCATCCCACAGCCGAACTGTATGGTCATGCGAGGAAGATGCAATGCTCTTCCCATCTGGTGAGAAAGAGATTGCTGCAATGATATCTGTGTGACCTTCAAGAACCTGCTGTTCGTCGCCTGTGTTTATGTCCCAGAAACGGATAACCGACTCGGACGAAATGGTTGCAATTGTTTTACCGGCTGGCGAAAACGCCACCCCATGGATTCTGCCAAAATGGCCGAGCTTCTGAATTTCTTCGCCGGTAGTAGAGTCCCAGATTCTAACCGTCCTGTCGCTAGAGGCTGACGCGACAGCTTTACCGTCTCGGGAGAATGCCACAGACATGACTGGAGCAGTATGCCCCTGTAGTATTTGTAAGCAATCATTCCACATGAAGTCTACTTTCGGCAAGCGTGGTATCCAGCTTGGCATCGAATTCTCAAATGTCCTCCTAATAAGACTGTTCTTTGGAGCAAATGGAAGTGCAGAAGCATAGATCTGAAGGGGTGCTGTTGAAATGATCGAGCGACAATTTAGAATGAATAGGACCGCATCATGCAAGAATGCAAAGAGGGGTGAATCTTGAGTAAGCTAAATTTTAAATGTCGGTCACTGCCTCATTTCATATCTCTAGGAGATCTATACTTACGAGATCTTGTAAGTTTCTCATCATGGCGATGCTATCGGAAGCCTTCCTCAAAAGGCTCAAAACCTCAAGCCAATGAAGAAAGTGCTTCTTGAGAAACGCATAGACTGGGTGGGTATCTGTCAGGTGCATTTTGCCTTCTACAATATGGTAGACCCAGTGAAGACATGCATAGCGAATATCTGCAGATATGCACGAGTTGATTAGTGGGATTGGTATGTTCACAATCTGCGTTCCTGGCATTTTCAAGTCACATATATCCTCCTGCAAATGACTAGAGAGCAGATTTAAACATTTCATGGCAATTTTGCCATGCGTTTCTTCCTCACTTATCGAGAATCGACTGCCATGGAGCTTGTCTGAATCAAGAAGGAAATCACGAAAGGATAGGTGGAACAACCTGACAGGGTGATCTGTGGATTCTGGGATATCAAGGACGGAATGTAGAGATAAAAGTCGGCGATCTATGTCAGATCTTGGAACATTGAGAAGACGGGCCAATGAAGTCGCTGAGAGAGGCTCAGCCAAAAGCACTATAGTACCCACGATTTCTTGGAACTCCCTCACAAGTGACCTTTTGGCCATTTCAGATTGACCAAGCAAGAGGCGATCAAGGATTGGACCATAAGTAGCATCGAGCGTATTAAGCTCGGATGGTTGGGATTTTGTATGTTCAATAACCTTTTTGAGTTGCCCGGCAGGATCAGACCAGGCTGGATCTCTGATAAAACGAACAATAGTTGCGGCAATGATAAACAGTGGCACAGACATATGGACTAAGGTCTGAGTAATTTCCGGGCCTGGCCAGTCAAATGGAAGATAGAGATTGGAAGACTGGCTATTATAGTCAGACTTGATCTTGGCCAGCTCATAGTTCAGATATGTAGCGATATCACCCTGGACAATTGGCTTCGGAATATCATGCAAGATTATATTTTGATAACTACCTTTGATGTCATTGAAGCCAAGTCGGACCGGCAGCTCAGGTCTACTTGTCACAAAGGCTTTGAGAGGTATGTAGGGTGATTGACCCCCTCGTGACAGTGAACCGAGAATGGCTCGAATATTATGATCCCCTTCGCATTCATCAAGTGCATCGATCACAAGAACGATACTTCTTCCATGATATGCTGCCGGATTCAATTTCCTGAGAGGCTCCAATATGAGCTCCTCAAACTGTAGTCTCAGAGCCTTACAGACGATAGCAGGATCTGCTTCCATAGAAGCCCCGACATCGGCTGCTAGTAATGGCACTCTTGAAATTAGCTGGGAAGCTATCGATGTGAATAATTGTGCCGGGTTATCGCGATCTCGCTCGCCTCTTTTGAAGAAGAAGCTTCCACCAAGAGAACCTTTTGATGAGAAAGATTGCGCAACAGTACGGGATATGGTAGATTTCCCTGTTCCTGCTCGCCCATTCAGCCAAAAGACACATTCTGCTTCTGGATCATCTGCCCATTGCTCTATCTTCTGGAGAAGAGATACCCTGGTTTCGGGATGACATTGCGCATGTTGCTCGTCCGCATGAGAATCAAAAACAGCTTCTTTCACGAAGGGCAGTTTTGAAAGAATTGTATGCTGGCTGATACTGAGCACGTATCCACTAGAGAAATTTTCAGTCTTTGTTTCATGCTCTGGTCAATATAAAAGGGAAGAGATAGACAAACAAGGAAAGAGAAAAACAGACGTTTGATCAATTGTTAGCGCTGTAGTCAGTGTATCTCGATAGTGCTCAAGGGCTTTGACTGCTTTATTGACGTCCTTGCTTTCCAGTGGCCACTTCAAAGAGCGAAGTCCAAATCGACTCATGGAACGCTTTAGAGGCCCAACACCAAGTTTCGTTTCCAATCTGTATTGAAGATCTAAAAGTTGCGAAGAACAATCATTGAGCGCCGGGTATAATGCTTGCGAATTCCGGAGCCATGCGCCTTTTGGGCTGTCGAGAATCGCCTGCGCTCCGTGAAGAGTATTCTTCAGCCTATCCAGCTCTTGCATCAGTCTGCTCACATCGGATCTTGCATTTTTGACCGCTTTTGTGAATTGGAAAAGGAGTGATCCAACCTTTGCAGATAGATCAATCACTGCAGCGATACTCGATGCCGTTCCTACCCCATCCATCATCTTAGCGGGAATAATGATCCAGGCACAAATGCTGAACCCAAATCCCCGAAGAACATAGATTCAACGAAAAATAACGTTACACCTCTAAATTTCAAATGAGAAAGAAGCCGAATTGGACATCTGTTGGGTATAGATAAGTTGATCATAAGTGTGTAGCGAGGTTGCCCAACAAGAATGAGGGGGATTCATGGGTGGGGGGACACTAGGAATGGGGCGGCAGCAAAACTGGGCGATTCCGGAGGTCCATGATGCGATGCTAAGATTAGGACATGAAACTTGTTTGCAAAAGGACCGAAACCATACCCAAATCAGATACATTGAGCTAGCGGTTCTGCATGACCACGTTGACGAATAATATCTGGTTATTTAATTAAGAGTGTATGTTGGTGTGAATGTGATTTCAGCCCAATAATCCAACTTTTGATGGAAATTGATATCATCTTGAGAGCTATGATTCATATCATGCAATGGAGATCGTCCGATTTTCTATAAACTACAATCTAATCTGCTCTACCATACGTCAATTGTAGCTTGGAGTTGTTCTTTTATCAGATCGACGTGGGACACGGGAGCCTGTCACCGCCTTCCCGAATTGCTTCCGCGACAGACAAATTTCGGAGCAATGCGATCTTTCCAAACAGCCTCTCAATCCTCTCTCAAATCCCTTCTCCTTTTCATGCATTTAATGGTACAAGGGGAACATCTTTCCATATGTTATCGCATGGCCGCCCATGTCTGCGAAGGCATTTATGTGCCTCCTTGGACTCTTTCGTGGCTGGCCCCGATGAACCATTGCTGTTTCTCTACCCCCGATGGGCCGCGTCTGCGCTGCAACGCCGGCGACCCATGTCATCCTTGAAATATTCTAGCGCCTCAAGGAGATGCTGCAGCTTCTTAGCTTCTCCTTGTCGCTCTGTTGTCCCGCAATCCGCCTTGCCTCTATCTCCGTTCCGTCGACAAACGTGCCGATGGATTGCCTCGAACGCTACAACAACCACAGAAGCTGACAATGACTCAACATCGGAGTTGCCTTGCTTTGACGGAGAAAGGGGACAAACACATGAAGAAGAGAATAAAAAAGATGAATCCGCTGAAGCAATTTTGGAAAACCAGCCTGCTTGGAAGCGCAGAGAGTCCAAGCCCGCCACCGCCAAACCTACCCGAATTAATGGAATAGCTACGAAGAACGCGAGAGAAGGATCTGCGCAGCCATCAGCATTGCGATCTTTGACACCAGGGTCCCGTATTCGAGTTCCCAAGCCTTTTTTGCAGAGAACCTTATCGCCACGGAATCGGAGGCAACTACGATATGGCGAATTTCTTCTTGCAAAAGAAAAACAGGAGACATCGACCCACAAGCATCCTGGAAATTGGTTTGAAGTGAGGGATCTACTGTTGTACGTACAACGGCGAACTCGGGCGGTAAATAAAAGGGGACCTCGGTACAAAGAGCTGTACGTTCCGGAGGAGACAATTGCCCTGATGTCTGGAATTACCAGTACATCAATGAAAGAGAACATTTGGCATATTCATGTTCGCCACGGATGCCGTGTCCACGTTCTTGCACCAAAGGATGGCGACGGTCTTAACCGTAAGGTTCTCCTGTCGGGCTCAGAGCGTGCAGTTGAGGTCGCCGAGGACAACATCAAACAATCGCAAAGTCTGCAAACAAACGGAGATCCCCTCATCGAAATTCAGAGGCCTACAGTTTCTGTTCTGAGCTCTAGGGATGCCTTGAATCGCAAAAAACTCCCGATCCCGGTGATCCGTGGGGTCTGGACTTTCCCTAAGCCCAAGAAAGAGCACTTAACTTTGGATGAAGTCATCAAAGCTGGCCCGTCTTTTGGTACTGTCAAAGAGTTTGCTGAGCATATTGAAGACTTGGTCAATACCCACAGACTGAAATCGATTGAGAGAGCTCAGGATAAAGTTGACGTGGCTCCGGAGGAGCAGATCGCGAAACGCATTGTACAGCTATTTGGCGGAGATACAAACCAAAAGGTCATCTCGACTGCGGCATTGAACAGCGCTCTGGAGTTCCTATTCAAGCATGAATTCCTCAAACCTGCTCGAGATATCTTTAATCGAGGCGTGCAATTTGCAACAGCGGACACATACAATATCTTGCTGCGGTCGGCGGCGCGGCGTCAGGATAAACGAATGTTCCAACTTTTCCTGCAAAACATGTCTCAACAGCAAATTCAACCCAATGCCGACACATGGCTGGCGTTGCTGGAAGCCATGCTTACTTCCAAGACCAAGTCTTATATCATTAAGGATATGGCGAAGAAAGGCTATATGAAAGACATTAACACTGTTCGCGGAGCTCTTCAGCTCACAATCTCGGATTCATTCCTCGTACATTTGGATGGTGGCCGAAATGTGCATAGCTTTTTTGATTTAATGATGAAGACTAATGGTGCAGACTGGTTTAGTCCGTCGTTACTTGGCCAGCTGTTCAATGTGGTTTCTCGAACCAAAAACTTTAATGCCATGGACGAGCTTCTGGACATTTGCATTCAGAATCAGCTTGAGCTAAACGGATCTTGTCTTACGCAAGTATTGCACATGGTTGAAGATGATATTCACTCCGCCCTTGAATATACGCACAAGTTTCTCGAAAGCCGTCAATTCAAAATGGATAGCCGAGCGTTCGAAAAATTGTTTTTGATTGCATTCCAAGGCCACAACTACAATATTTGCCGGGTGCTGTGGCACTATGCCTGTATGGAACAAGCTGTGACTTTCAGGATGCGTTCGACAGTCTTAAACTCTTTCGTTCGCAATACGTCTGTCAAGAATGGCTCTGAGGATATCAGCAACATATGGCAACTCTCTGCTGGCAAGGTGATTGTCCGAAACAACTTGCGCAACGCCTGTCAGCCCAAAGACTTTCCCATTAATGAACTTTCTTCTGAATTCTGGGAGCATCCCTTCCTCTATCTGCTCTCTGGATTTAAACCGAAAGGGCCAGAACGAGCCCTTCAACTCCGTCTGGCGAAAGCGTTCGTCGATCATGATATCCAACTTGGGTCCAACGACTATCAGCCTAAGTATTCTCTGGCTATCATGTTGGAGGCAGCGGTTATCATGGATCGGGAATGGGAAAATAAACCAAGGCCCTTGACATGGATGCTGCAAAATGCCATTGAAATCCCAATTAGGACGCGTGACTGAGGTTGGTGCAGAAGCCACCTTTCTCCTATTCTCCCTTTGCTTTGGCTCGTGCTCCCTATTTCTTCTATCTCACATTCTGATGCTAGCGTGTTGCATGAAATATCCCACCCAATGGCGTTGTTTAGACCGTTTTGTCTCTGTCTATTACCATCTCCCTCTTGTATAATGCTTTGTATATGAAGACTTTTGTACAATATTATTCCAATATAGAACTTTTAGATATGAATATACCATGGACGATAGCTCTCAGCTAATCTTCATCTCTGAAACAAGACTTGTCTTCAAAGTATCGTCAGGCAACGTGGATTTATTTGACACAGGAAACGCACACACTTCGGTCCGCAATGTAGAATACCAAAGAGAGTTCCCAATTCGAAATAACGAGGCCGGTGGAAAGATCGGCCCTTTTACATCATAGAAATTTCAAAATTTTAGGACGACGAATATACTATTAGCATCCTAATTATATCGAACTTTTACCGAGGATGTACGGGCTCATCACCAATTTCCTCCATTTTATCTTCCAACAATTTCGTCATATGCCTGACTACGTCAGCATACTTAGCCTCGTGATAGCAATTAAATAGCTCCAAGGGATCATCCTGCAGATCGAACAACTCCCATTCTTTCTCCTCGCCACCAGGCCTTGTCCCCTCAATGCCGAAGTCTTCATTGTACCAGTAAATCAGCTTATATCGTTGGTCTCGCACCGCGTAGTGTGCATAAGCCTCATGGATTACGTCCCGATGCATCCAGTACCGGTGATACGCGACCTGCTGCCAGTCTGCTGGCGTCTTTTGCTGCAAGAGCTGCCGAAAACTCACACCCTGCATATAAGTAGGTTTGCGGAGAGCAGCAAAATCAAGCCACGTAGCGGCAAAGTCAACATTGCAAATAATATCGTTGCAAATGCTGCCGGGGGCAATCTCGCGTGGGTACCTGATCAGGAATGGCATGTTAAAGCTATTCTCGTAGACGAGACGCTTATCGAACCAGCCGTGTTCGCCGAGGAAGAAGCCCTGGTCAGAGGTATATATCACTATCGTGTTCTCGGCGAGTCCTTCGTCTTCGAGGAAGTCCAGCATCCGACCCACGTTGTCGTCGATACTTTGGATGGTGCGCAAATATCGTTGCATATAGCGCTGGAACTTGAACTCGGCGAGCTCCTTTCGTGTTTTGAACGTGAACACCGTCCCATCGTCTTTATCAATCAACTTCATCTGGGTCACATCCTCTGGATCCGGAATTTTGCGGTCGTGCCACCACCACGTATCCATCATCTTGCTTCCGACAACAGAGCGACCGCCATCAGGCTGGGCGAGTCCGAGGTCCATGTAAGTGAGATCTTCAGCTACGCGCATCTTGGCAACGGCAGCAGCCCTAGCGCGATTCTTGTAGTCGTCTGTAAATGTATCTGGTAGACGGACAGGGTCCTTGTAAAGATGCTTGTGTTTCGGATCGCATTCCCAGCTGCGATGCGGCGCCTTGTGATGGCACATGAGAAAGAATGGCTTCTTGGGATCCCGGGATTTGATCCAGCTCAGGCTTTTGTCTGTGATAATATCCGTGGCATATCCCTGTTCTCTGTGGATTCCACCAGGCCCGATGAATTGCGGATCGTGATATTCGCCCTGTCCTGGGACGACCTCCCAGGAGTCAAATCCCGTTGGTTCATGGTCTTTACCTTCGCCCAAATGCCATTTGCCCACCATTGCCGTTTGGTATCCACCAACGCGCAGGTGTTTTGCCACATTCGGGATGTGTTTGTTGATCTTCGAGTCCAGTGTCATGACTCCGTTTACATGGTTATGCGTGCCGGTCAGGATGGCGGCGCGGGATGGCGTACAAATGCTGTTTGTGACATAGCAGTGATTAAATTTCATTCCCTCTGTAGCCAGCCGATCCAAATTGGGCGTATGATTGATTCCGGCGCCATAACAGGAAATTGACTTGGAGGCATGGTCGTCAGCCATGATGAAGAGGATATTAGGGCGAGTATCAGACGCCATATTGCCTTGAGGGCGTATCTATCTCAAAACCTGATTTGTTTTAAGAATAGAGAGGTAGAACGAATTATTTCAGTGTGTCACAGAAGGAATCTGCCAGCGGAAGCTAGGCGATAAAGTATTCTTTAAATACTGCGTGGAGAGGCGTTTTCATTGCTCGGATCATACTCATTCGAGCAAGTAGGCTTTCATGGTAGCCCCCTGCCCCTCATCGAGGGGTATTCTGTGGAGCCCAAGAGCATATTTACATGATTCTACCCAATAATTGAGCGGGCAAAGCGCTTGAGAGTCATGCGTATACTGGGGAAGATGAGCATTACGGGTCCACAGTAACGGCAATCGGCGGCTGTCGGTCTGTAGCAGTTCCCATTGGCCTTGGAACCCCACGTCTCCACCATGAGGGACTGGCTCGGGATTGGGGTGAATTCTGATGCGTCGGCTATTTTTGTTCACTATATATTCTGTGAAAGAGGATCATCCGAGTCTTGGTCTAGGTATCGATTGACTATTGGTGCTATCTGGGGTAGGAAATGGCGTTCGGCGGCCCGCTGCTGTCCAGATATCCCGGTCGCTCTTTCCATCAAACGGTATATAATCAATGACCTTGACTATAAAATATATTGATGACCTGTACAAGAGTCATGAAAGGCAATGAAGATTTTGTCGTCTTATCTAGCGTAATCAATGCACAATTTATGTGATTAGAACATCATGCCTACCATACCCGACAGCACTGCAATAACTGAGAATGAATAAGGGATGATTTGAGCACCGACACCGTTAGTTGAGGAGCTCGTCGCCGCACTTGAAGTATTGCTCGAGCTCGAGCCGCTGGCGGATGTGGCATTTTTCCCGGACACGTAAGTAGTTCCCTTGCGGGAGTAGGACACACCAACACCGAGACCGACCTCTTCGTCGTAGGGGAATGGTGCAGTATAATTATAGGTTGGTGTCAGACCTCCGTAAGTATTCAAGACAGCAGGTAGAATACCGTGGCCGGCAGAGCATGAATTGTTGGTGCTCAGCGGCACAGGCCAGCGTGATTTGTAAATGGAATATTCACCAAGCGACAACGGTCCCGGCATGGATTCATTGAGCCATAGATTCGTCGTGTCGATATCCCAGTTCGTATATCCCGTCTTGTTGGCAACAATCTCGAACAGGTTAGCACCGCAATCCCAGCGACCTAGTGCTGGTAGCCCCCAGTTCGCCGAGACGGACGAGATTGTAGAGTAGTGGGTATAGACGGTGTCATCTGTGGTGCCGACAAGGTCATCTGGGATAGCACCTCCAAGAAGAATGCTGAATACGCGGTTCTTGATGGGGTAATGCTCGCTCTCGTCCCAAGTTAGGAGGAGCAGAGTATTGTTCCAGAAATAAGTATCCTCCATCAATCCAGACACGAATCCTCGCAGCCACTTTGACCCGAAAGTGACATTGGTATCATGGGCATCGTTTGTCATGTTGGGTGTGATAAATGCCCACTGCGGGAGCTGTTTGCTTTTCAGGTCGGCCTCAAAATCTGTAAAATTCTTGATCTGACGCAGCTTGGTGTCATTGTTCGTGATGCTATCATACAGAATTAAAGGGTTGTGCTTGCGAACGTAGTCGTTGGCGTAGGTTTTCTGGTTCGAGTAGTTATATCCCTGGAAACCTGGGAATGGCAAGGCCTGCTGATATTCCGACCAAGAGATCCCCTTCGTGTCAAGGAGATCTACCACTGTTGATATGTTGCTAGGGATCTGATGAAAATCGTCATTGTCCATTCCGTAGTTGTCACCACCACCAGCAGCGCAGTAGTTTGGTTCGGAAGTGTGACCGATGCCGAAGTAGTTGGTCAGCTTGATGCCTTTGCTGGCCAGCCATTCCTGGTTCGGATCGGCTGCTCCGTCAACAAAGTCCTATTTCAGTTGTCAGGATTTCCGGAAGTATCTTGATTAAGTGTCATAGAAGCAATAATGATATAAACATACCACATTTTCGAGCCATATTTGATAAAATCGATCAAATGCAAGACCTTTCACGTTCGAGGTAGGTGAATAAGGCAGTGTGGTTGCGGCAGCTGCATTGATGTCTTGAAGCGATGGCTCGGAAGTAGTAATAGTTCCAGCTGCAGCCAACGTGAGCAAAGCCAAAAATGCTGTCAGAGAAGACATCTCGATTGACGCTCTGAGTTTTCTTAGTTCTTAAGTTAAAGGATCGCAAAGGGAATAGAGCTCTCCTCTTTATAATAAATTTTTCCAGAGATCCTCGGGATTTGGTATCTTGTATATTACCGTAGCATGCGAAAGGCCATCGGAATAAGAATAGACCCCGAGCCTATAATCAGCCAGTCTGTGGGCTAATCTGATAGCACGTTCCTCGTGGCATTTAGCGCTATTCCAACCGCAATGACCGAACCCTGGGATTTCCGTCGATCAAGTGCCATTTACAGCATTTACATACACTCTCCATTCAAATTCCATTGAAATCCTTCCTTGTCAGTAATGGTATGTCTCACTAAATTTCTTACTATTACGGATAAAACGGCAATTGTCCGGTCACTGACCGAGCAAATGCTAACCAAAATCCAGGGTCGTTACTTGACCCCACCGTGGCTCAGAACCAAGCTTTCCCAAGCTTTCTCTAATGCCAATTACGGCATGGGCAGTGAGATCCGCTTTATCCTGCTGACCTCCAGCCAATGGTGTCGTATAGATTGATCATCGTGCGTCCGTGCCTGACTGCCCGGATGGATGAGGCCCCCATAAAGGATGGAAGAATGGGGCCGAATACGCAAGGACGTCCAAGATCACGGTATTAACATATCAGATAATTCTTGTATGTATTATGTAGCCTTTAATCAGTCAAATATTCCTTGCGAATTCTCTCAAATTTGTTCTCTGCTTTTCATGGCTGTCTAACAATAGACAGATGGCGATGAATTATAACTAGGAGACCAGGATGCTCTAGCTGTCAATATCTCTTCGCCGTGCTCTCCCGTATATGAATGTTGACAAACTTATCTATACTTATTTTCTCCTATACAAAAACGACAACGATCCGTTCTGCACAGCCATTTAGCCTTTTACCGGACTAGGGTGATAGAGGGTATAGGGTAATAGTACGAGAGATGTCACTTAGACACCAATTAAAAAAGTATTCTATAGATGTCTCGGTGAAAATGTAATCGGAGCCGAAGTGCATCCATAATTGGAGTTCGCATGGCTAGCACAATCCCACGAATCCACTAGTCTCTGGACCAGGCAGGGACATGGTGTTCGCGTCCGGAGTACGCCGTCCAGCATCCACCACAAACGTACCCCAGTGGTTAATCTATTAGCAGGGTTCACTCCGACGGTGGTAGCGAGATGGTAAAACGCCCTTCACCATGAGATTGGCTGAGGCAGGTTTAGTCCGAATAAGCAGCGATTCAGTCAGAACACCAGATGGGCCGCGTGGGGAATTTGGGCCTGCTCATTGGCTGTAAAGCAAGACCGACGGGCGGGAAGCCCCGCCCGGGGCAGCGAGCACGGGGTGGAACGCGCGACGGTGATTGGATCTCCGAAATGCTATAAGACTTGCCGCGTGCGTTTTTCCAGAAAACCACGCCAACTCAAATTAACCACAAACTTTGAAGCAGAACAAATCACGGGGCTTTTCGACGATGAAGTTGAAGGTCAGCGTTGCAGGGCTGCTTGGCAGGGACTGACAAGCCTCGCCCAGCCATGCCCAGAAACGCACCCGCAGTCTCGGCGTTGCTTGTTGTCGCCATGTCGCCATCGTGGAGATCACAAAAAGGGAACAGCGTGAAGACAATCGCTGATGACGTAGAAAAGTCGAATAATCACTCTGAGAACTGATGCGAGATCATGACGCGCCGGCAGCATATCCCAGCAGGCGAGTCTACCGAAGCTGAATCCCTTTCCAACGGAGTTCACGGGCTCGCGGTCTACGCCCAATGAGGTTGCCCCAGTGCCATATCTGACGGTGCATTGGCCTAGTTTGTACAGTTCTAGAAAGTCCGCTGGCTCCACTCACACGGACTCAGATTCACTTGCTAATGGCCATTTTTCGCCTGCGTCCGCCCCGTTACACCTCGTGCGTCCAGGCACAGGTGGGCCTAGTATGTTCTCTCGGACTGTTAGCAGGATAAACCATGGGCCTGGATCTTATTGGCCGAGCGCTGGTGCCGATTGCCCGATATTGGCTTCCATTGGCTGTAAGGAGTGACTCGATGCCATTGGAATCAGACTAGTCCACCTCGCGTGCCATTTCTGTCTTGCTCGGTCAGTGCACCCGAGATGCACTTCGCGGTCTAGTGCTAGAAAGTAATTTGCAAGGCTCCACTGCAATCGTGAATCGTGCGTACATCGCTGCATGCGATAGGGTGGGTGCCCAGTGACATGCTCCTGATGTCTGGTTTCCGGTGTGCATAGACTTGGTTCGACCATCGAATGTGGCTTTCTACGCCTAGGGTGTATAGGAGGAAGGACGGCGTGTCGTTTGAGATAAATATTGATCGCCCGCGCCCAGTCTTCATGAGCCTTGTCTTCTTTTCTTTCCGTCGAAGTCAAGAGCCAGCCTCCCCTTCCCCGTTCTGACTGTCTTGAACCAGTCTCGGGTATACTTCACGTAGCGCGATTGTGGAACAGGCTTTTCACTTGCCACTGTGACAATGGACGCTTCCAAAGAGGTCATCACCTCCTACGAGGAGATGGATGTGCACGAGAAGGCCGCCTTCGACGAGGTCATTCGTCCCGCCGATAGCTATACCGCCGATGGTACTTACTGGGCGGATCTTCCGATCAGCCAGCGAGTCAGCTTCTGTCTGGAGCAGGACCGAACTGAGGCACGCAAGGAGATGTCTTGGCTCTGGGAGATGTTCAAGAACGACCCGCTTTCTCCGATTAGCTACTACTTCAAGAACTGTGTTCTTCCAGGTGCTGGTCTGGGTCTTGAGGGGTATGTGATTTGCTTGGGTATCATCATTCCATGGGACTTCGACTGACTGGTCACTCTAGTTACGTGCTGTTTTCCATCTCAAACAACACCTCTCTCTTCGATGTTTCCTTCAAAGATTGCTGGAAGGGTGAAACTTGCGACAAGAACTGGATTGCTGCGGTCAACTACATGGAGGTCGCTGGTATCATGGTCGGTCAGATTCTTGTTGGTTTCTTGGGTGACTGGTAGGTTTTATGCATCCTGTTCTTTGCTTTTCGAGCTTATCCGATGTTGATTACCAACTTATCTAGGATTGGTCGTCGCTGGGGTTTGATCCAGGATGCCGGTATCATGTTCGTCGGTCTTCTTATGCTCACCTCCGCCTGGGGTCTCACCGAGAACGGCTGGGTGATCTGCTACGCTTGGTCTTTGTTCTTCTATTCCATTGGTGTCGGTGGTGAATACCCCATGACAGCGACCATTGGTATGGAGAACGGTGTTGGTTCGGGCAAGGTGACCACCTCTCAGGATCGTCTGCACCGTGGTCGCTCCGTTGTCAGCGCCTTCCTTATGCAGGGTTGGGGCCAGTTCGCCAACCAGGCCATCCTGATTCTCTTGTTGCTGATCTTCCATTCTGGTTCCGGCGAGCCTCCAATCTCCGCGACCACCACTCAGTGGACGTACCGCGTTTCGTTCGCTATTCCCGCAGTTGGCACTGCCTGGCTTATTTACTACCGTGCCTATCACATGAAGGCTGCTAGCAAGCAGCTTATCGCTCAAAAGAAGAAGGCCTCTGTTACTGGTTATGATATGCAGTCATTGCGTCTGACCTTCAAGCACTTTACCCCTCGTCTCATTGCCACTGCTGGTGGCTGGTTTGCCAACGACGTTTTCTTCTATGGCAACAAGCTATTCCAGAGCAAGTTCATCAAGGTTATCAGCCCTAACTCCACCTCCGTCACCACTAACTGGCTCTGGAACTTGGCCAACATCGGCGTCGAGCTTGCTGGATACTACTGTGCTGCCTGGTTTGTCGATACGAAGCTTTACGGCCGCAAGTGGATGCAGATCGTCGGTTTCATGATGTGCTTCATCCTCTTCGTGGTCCCTGCCTTCAAGTTCGATTACTACCAGGAGCCTGCCCATATCCACTCTTTCCAGGCGATGTACTATCTGAGCTCGTTCTTCAACCAGTTCGGCCCCAACTGTATCACTTTCCTCGTTGCCGCTGAGGTCTTCCCGACCCCGATCCGTGGCACTGCTCATGGTATCTCCGCTGCCGCCGGCAAGCTGGGTGCCTTGATCATTGCTATCGTTGGTTCATACACCGACACCCAGCAGCAGTTCTACATTGTTCCTTGGTTCGGTCTGGCCGGTACTCTTCTCACTTGGCTCTTCCTTCCCGATACCACCGGTCTTGATCTCCGCGAGCAGGAGCGCCGTTGGAGGTTCATTCGCGAGGGCCGCGAGCAAGACTACCACGGCCCTGCCGTTCACCAGAAGCATCTCTCTGTCTGGGAGCGTTGGACTGGAAAGGGCAAATACTACGATGCCAAGCTTGACTACCAGATGAAGGTCGAGGAGTTCCGCGCTGAGTGGGAGTCTGCTGTTGCCACTCGTGGCGAGGAGAAGGATGCTATGTTCGATGCTGACGATATTGATGAGAACATCCTCCACGGGTCCATGCACAACTACTTCGAGCGGACCAGCCCTGAGATCCGTGGCATGAAGAAGGATATCCAGGAGCCTGTTGCCCTGCCTTCTGCCGCTGGTATGGACCAGCAGGTTTTGGACCAGGAAAAGTAATCTGTGTCTAATTTGACATTTGATGCTCGAGTCCGATAAGCTGCAGAGGAGTATGTGCGCGAATGATTGTATGGTTGAGGTATCTTGTTTCATTGTGAAAGTACTATCTTAGACTGCCTTTTGTATGATAATATCCAGACTAGATCGTGCTGGAAATGGAGGGCCTCGGGATTACCGCTAGCCGACCCTCCAAATACTACAATAATTTTCTTGTGTCTATTCTCTGTCCAACACCATCTGCCTTTCTCTATAGACTCATATATCGATAGATCGTCATCAGCCTCGAGCTCAATTCTTCAAGTCTCGAGTTTTGTATTTAGTATTTTAATTGCAAGCCCTACTTGACATCTATGTCCAATGCTCTTGCAGCCCATCGTACCCCTCGTCCACAAAGTTAGCCTGCCTCACCAAACTATGAATCGCTAGGTGACTATGCCGATCCCGTCCATGGCCGAATGCTGGCGCTGCAGAGCATAGCTCTCTATACACACTATGTGGCTCCTCCTGCGCCAGTCGCACCAATCTACGCATGTCCAACACAATGCTCCGGGCAGCCGGAACTCTCGAAAAGAAACGCTCAAGCACCTCCAGCGCAACACCGGCACCTTCCACGGCATCAGCCGCCTTCAACCCCAACTGCAACCCTAGCTCCAGCGCCGAGGGCAAGAACAATGTCAGCCGCGTGGCATGATAAGCACACACCGCTATGTACGATGGCAACACCGGTGTAACATCGAGGTCTCGCAGGCCGCGCAGGATCTGGTTAATGTGTGTCACATGTTTGGCGCACGCGTCGAGCGCGTGGGCGCGAAGACTCGGCTCCACTGTCTCCATGATCACTTGCGGCGCGGCCTCTGGGTACCGCGGCACAAAGAGCCGGTATAGGTCGCAGTGTGCCTGGTGCCAGGTGACCGAGACCTGCAGGAAGCGCGCAAACCAACGCGAGCCGACTTTTTCGGAGACCATGCGGGAGCAGTCCACGTCGTAGGCGAAGGTGTGCTCTACGTCGCTGTGGAGGCGCCAGAGGTCATTCTGGATTTCCTGGACGAGTCCGCTGAGCTGGGAGAGGGGCTGCTCGGCAAGGGCGAGTTGGCGGGTCAATCGCATAATGTCTTTGGAAATCTTCGATAGCCGTATACAGGCACCCAGGAGGCTGCATCTCTGTGGGGAGTCGGGGTCCAGGTCAGAGGTGAGAGTGGGCTGATAGGTAGTAAGGCGGTTCTCCGGGGCTCCGTTCCAGAACGCGTCCTCGGAGATAGGTAGACGCTGGTAGATGATTGTATGCGGGATAGTCTCGTATTCTGGAAGACCGACGGAAAATGAGCCGTCGATGAAGGTCAGGGCCCAGAGCACCCGCCGGCGAGTTTCCTGGGCGATCAAGCTCAGCTCAGGGCGTTCGTAGTTTAATCGGAGTGCTGTCACCGCGCGTGCAGCGAGCCCAGCTAGCATGTAGGCGCGCGAAAATTGGCCAATCTGAATGTGGCAATGGACCACGAGCAAAAGAGACTGCAGTTGGGTGATGCTAGGTTTCTCTAAATGGTTCCAGATGTCTGTTTCGACTTTCGCGATCCAAGGGACAGTCTCATCTAAGTGGCGTTGGTTATTTGATAAGTACAGTGTTGTTATTGCTGCAATAGACAGTCGGAGATTTTGGTCAAGGGCGTTGTTCATGCATTGATGGCGGATAGAAGGCTCGTGATGGAAGGCGTAAGCTGGAATGGGATACAGGTTGGTGAAAAAGTCGTTAATTATTCGTAAAATATCATCTTCCATGAGAGTGAGGCCCGATCTGTCCGAGTCAGGAGTTGATTTCACAAAGGGGAAGCAACTAAGAGGCCACTTACAGCTGCATTTCATCTTGTCCATTCTGGTTCACTATCTCACCTTCTGGTTGTCTGTCATCTCGGGGTCGTTTCGGGGCTGAGTATTGGCATGGTAGCCCTCGTCGGTGACATTTTTGACATTCCGGGAACTCCCCCGAGCAGCGTGCCTTCTGTCGACGGCATGCTATACATGCTAAAATACCTCTTCGGCGTTCCGGGCGATCTGTGCCCGCCTCATCGGGGTGGGTTGCCGATGTCGAGCGACCGGCGTTGTTTTGCTGGAAGGAGCAAAGAAAACCCAGACGCTCACAGTTCACGCATCCAGTCGGCCGGCGATCACAGCGCACCTGATTTTCGGGAGTTAACACAACTTCGATATCGGTCGCAGTCCCTAAGGGGTACATTACCTTGCGACATCGGCATTGAAAGCATGGCGCACGCTGGACACGACCCATGGAGTTCTTGCGTCGGTGATATCTTACAACTTTGATAAATTGAGTCCTCCAGGGCAAATTGGTGCTAGGCCTTGAAAGTCACGTCATAATAGTCAATGCAAAGCAACGGGGCTCATCGGCGCAACTTCCGCATTCCTATTTTTGCGGGGTCTCGGACGCGAGCTTTGATATACCATAATCGGAACGTGTACCGCTTCGGGTTTAGATTGATCTACCGTGGTTTAGCGTCACCGGTCTGTGTCCGTCATGGACTTGTACTTTCTGCCAGAGTCATCAATGTAACTCATGATTGAGATGGTCGAGTAAGCGGCTGCACATTACCACAATGTAGAGCAATGTTGTCTTGGATGACAGGGTCTCCCATTTTTCGATTGCGTGTCTCTCGTACATCCAAAAGACACAGAAGCAGCTATCTGGCTATGAGCTGAGTCCACCGGGCTCCACGATCTGGTATTTGCACGTCACCTTGTCCCAATTGGTACCCTGTCAGGCGGTTTCTAAAATGAAATGGAACAGGAAGCTGGCGATCCTATACGTTTCCAAGACGGTCTTGAATTGGGGCGTGCATTTAGTACCCCCATACTTTCATGAAGTATACCGAATCGGATGAATCCCGCTTCTTTTTCTGATCTACCCTCCGGATAAAAACTGAGACAGGCTAGTCTCTTTCCAACCCTTCTGCACTGAAGAACACGCAGGCATTGAATGCCATGATTCTCCAAGACGCGCTTTCTACACCGCCCTATGCAGGAAAATCTTTTTCATCAAGAGTCAACTTCGGGGTAGATCATCCACGTCCAACAAATTTGGCTCCATTATTGAACTAGAGTGAAAGGGACAAGATTTATGGTAAAGAATCGGCTCGTGACTGTGCCTTCCAGATTTATGAAGATTTATGATATAGATCCCAAGTACTCGGTGAAAACTGTGCCGAACCCTTCTAAAGCACTTCGGAGCCCAAATCAAGGTGCTTGTCAAGAAGGGCATTTATCCAGTGCATGCTAATAGCCAGTTGAAAGTGTGCGACGAAGTTGCTTACCCGCCATGAACGGTCATTATGGGTCGTAGAATAGATGCACTCAACTTTCTAGACCCTAAAATACCCATTATCTGGAAATTCAGGAACGGAATCGTGAGCAAGAAGAAGCTGAATCACAGCCTTATGCCCAAATTCTGCTGCGCAGGATAATGGCGTCTGACCATCCGAGTTTTGAGAATCTGGACGGGCGCCATGGTCAAGCAGTAGTCGAACGACTTCGTCATGTCCATTACGCGCTTCCCACCAGATCGGTGTCTCTCCCATCGAGTCTTGAAAGTCAAGATTCACTTTCTCTGTAGCAATCAATAATTTAGCAGCTTTTTCGTGCCCATTTCTCGCTGCCCACCATAAAGGCGTTTCCCCATTCGATGGGAAAGAATCTGGATCATCCCCTTTCTCAAGCAGAAGCTCAACTATGGCATCATGACCATTTCGTGCTGCCCAATACAATGCTGTCTCTCCACTCAGGGCCCGGGATTCAAGCTCAGTACTCTGGGTCATTAGGAGTTGGACGATTGTAACATGTCCATTCCGCGCTGCCCACCACAACGGAGTTTCTCCATTTGAATTTTGAGCATTGGGGTTGACTTTTTTCGTAGCAAGCAGGAGTCTGACTATACTTTCCAGGCCATTTTCTGCGGCATAGAGCAGGGGTGTCTGTTTATCCAAACCGGAGGCATCAGGATTAACGTTCTCCATAACGAGCAGCTGTTTGACCACATCTTCATGTCCATGGAACGTCTCCCACCAGAGTGCTGTTCTCCCTAGAGCATCCTGGGAATCAGGATCAACGTTGTTTGTCGCAATTAATAGCCGCACTGCCTCTCTGTGACCATTTCTTGCTGCACAAATCAGTGGTGTCTCCCCATTAGAGTCTTGAGTATCTGCGCATGAACGCCCTTTCAAGAGTAACGCTTGAATCACGGCTTCATTTCCGCTTTTCGCGGCCCACCATACAGTCGTTCGGCCATCAGAATCTGAGGACATCGGATCCACCCCTTTGGTAGCGAGCAGCGCCTTGACCACTGTCTCCTCTCCAGCTTCGGCTGCAAGAGAGAGAGGCGTCCGTCCATCCGAGTTCCTGTGATCACTGTTGACACCATCGATTGAAAGCAGGAAATCGACTATTCCTTGGTGCCCATTGCGCGCTGCCCATGATAAAGGCGTCTGTTCAAAAGCTCCTGCACAATCTGGATCGACGTCTTTTACAGCGCATAGTAGCTTGACAACGGCACCATGGCCATTCCGTGCTGCCCAAAACATCGGCGTATTTCCATTAATATCCTTCCAATTGGCGTCAGCTCCTTGCTTCGCAAGAAGAATCTCTACAATCTTCGTATGCCCTAACTCTGCAGCAACTAGCAGAGGTGTTTCTCCACGAGTATTTGGGATGTTGACACTGACATTTGCCGAAGTTAGCAGCAGCTTGACAACTGCCTCATGCCCGAACTCCGTTGCAGCTATTAGGGGCGTCTCTCCCCAATAATTTTTAAAGTTCGGATCGAGGCCTTGCGCGAGGAGCAGTTTCACCACCGCAGCATGGCCATTGCGCGACGCCAATAACAATGGTGTCTGATAGTCCCAGTCTTGAATGTTTGGGTCCACACCCGGCGTGGCCAGCAGTACCCTCACAACGGCTTCGCGTCCGTGTTCTGCCGCTGATAAAAGCGCTGTCTTGCCTTCGCAGCATTCATCTCGGCGATCAGGGTCAATGCCACTTGCGGCTAGTAACAAGCAAAGAACTGCCTCATGTCCATTTTGTGCTGCTAACGTGAGTGGCTGTAGATCATCCGAGTCATCTGTATCGGTCTTTATCGTCCCTATTCCTGTTGCGAGGATAAGTTCGACTACTGCCTTCAAGCCGTGCTCCGACGCATAAATCAAAGGATCGGTTCCGCTGGTGATGATTTGGATATAACTTTGCAAAATTTCATTGAGCTTGTTGATCTTTGATTGACTCCTGAATATAGAAGTTTCAAGGTCCGATAAAACAAGATCAACTTCGGCATCATCTTTGGGCGGCTTGTAAAGGCTATCGCATAGATGATACAGGAAAGATGTCAGGAACGTTTCTGGAGACGATGAGTCATAAAGAAAAGCATTTAGAAGTCTCGCGGATTTGAGGCTTTCGGCATTGCATTGCTGGGTATCGTCTTGAGCAAGTTTCAGCAAGATGTTTCTTGTTATTTTCATTTGTTCTTGATTAAGTAACCTTCGATCATCTTGTGAAGGCATCTTGGACAATGTCCTATAGCTTCCGAGAGATTGAGGTAGTTCACCTCCCAGTCTGAGGTTGATAAAGAGGGCCATTCTGCATACGCAAACCTGGATGACTCATTCGGTGTATCTTTGCCTATGGGGGCCATTCAGCAGCGGCTCAATGATTTCCCTGGTTTCCTAGTATCGTCAACTGGCGTGACACCAGCAATGGAGGGAGCAGGAAGAGAGTTTTGATTTAAGAATTATTCACATGACATTTTCAAGTTCTCCTTTCACGCCTATTGGCTTTTTACTTCCTCAAGCTAGATCTAGGGGGGAAAGGGGACAGCTGGCACTGGAGGGTAGCCGCCGGTTCTTGTCGAGAGGAAGGATGCCGCCAATACGTGCCATTACAGAAATACCTGATCCTCTGCCTGTTTCTGTATGGTATTTCCGGTAAACTCAGAGCAGAGCATCGTAACATACCAGTCAATGTGGTAGGGAATATTCAACACTCCTTACCAGCAATCTTAGTTAAACATCATGTTTGAGCATCGCATTCTATTGGATCCCACCTTTATGAGCCTATCCATACAGTATTCCGCTATATTGACAGTTCTCCTCGTTTGTATGAGGCCGTCATTACGGTACCAGTTGGCTGGCTGTCTGTTCTTCATTTACACTGGCTTACTTGTGTTCATCGAGTTCTCCTTGAGAACTATCTCCATTCACCATCTCTCAAATAAAGGGTTTCAGGGAAGGGATAAAATTATTAGAATGAGATTTACCATCGAAGAGCATTTAGAAATTGCTTTGAAGAGTCAACAAGAAAATAAGGCCTCTCAGTTTGTGTCAAGCCAAATCATGGCTCCCATGTGCTTATATATCTTGCCAGGTCTTGCTATACTTCTAGGGCGGTGGTCGCTCGGCATCTATTGATTATCAATTCGCCGGTGACTCTACCTAATCCGGATCGTGTGATCTATTCCGCACCTTCAATCAGGCCATCCGTGCAGAGTTTCTGTTTTGGTCATGATGACCACATGATCGCGAAAGCCTGTACGGAAACCCAATGGCGCCCGTCACCATTAATAATCGTTTCAGCAGGAGGGCATGCGACTTTCCCGGAACAACTGATATTCCGCGCCCCACCCGGGGAGCTTTCGGTCGCCTTCGAAAGCAAAAAGTCCCCAGTCCCCCGGCATCAGACGACATCCTTCCCCTGATGAATTGTTAATGTCTTCATGACCCCGCCACAATGAAGTTCTTCGAGAATGTGTTTACCTACGATTACTCCTTTCCTGCTGTCTCCCTTGCCTACTTTCTCCGCTACCCGAACCCCTACTCTCGCCATGTCCTGACCACCGACGTGATCGATCGCTACGTCGATCCGACCACCCAACGCCTCCACACCATCCGGCTGCATCTCAAGAAATCCAAAGTCCCATCCGGTATACTTAAACTGCTTCCTAAAGGAATGGGTGGTTCCGATAGCTCCGGGCAGAGCTACATCCTTGAAACCACAGTTGTCGACCCGAATGAGGGCTGGATGGAGACCGAGTCACGCAACATGGAATGGACCGGAATCCTCAGCGTGGTGGAGAAGCAGCGATACCAGCGTCACGCTGTCGAGGAAAATCGCGATTCTTTTGATGGGCTGTCAATTGATAAGAGAAGCGAACAAACCACCGTTCGGACCACCGTCACGTTCCGATCTCGCCTGGGTCAAGGCAAGCTGCTCGGTCGAAAGAAGGTTGAATCAGCTGGTGACCACACGGACGGCGAAGAGGACGCCCCCAAAAGGGATTCTTCTCCTCGTTATCGACTGCCGGCATTCAGCGGACGATCGAATTGATCGGCGTTAGCCGGACCCGTGATGCGGTAATGAAGAGCAAGCAAGGCATGAATGTCGTTTTGGAACGTCTCCGCAGTGGTGGAATTGTTGCTGTCCTGGAAGGCATGCGTCAAGACCGTGAAGCAGCCTTTGGGCCCGATGGTCCATTTAAGCGCGTCTGGTTGCAGGGTAATGCTCTCAAGGAACGTGTTTACATCGAAGATGATGAAAACTGACAGTCCTTGATTGCGATCACTTCCTTCAACCCAGACGTTGGTTTTTAATTTTTGCATATTGACACAGCACCGCCGCCTACCTTTTTTGTGAATTTCAAGCGTGGAGTTACTGGCGTTTTGGGCACATTTTCGACTGACACTCTCCCATGCCACTCTGGTTTTTCTTTTTATTTCTCTCTTCGGTTTCTGTTATCAAGTCAGGAACCAGTTGTATATTGTTCATCGGCTTGCATTTGGAAAATTTGTCTGGCGAAATGTATATTAGGGATCTGACTGGAGGTCAGATAGGTGTGGTGAGGACGAAGCATCATGGCCTATGTGGGGCATACTTTTTTGTCTATTTGTACAATACAATAACTTTCAATTCAACAGTTGCTATCTATGTTCAATGACTTCTCTGCTCTTTGACTCTATACTCGTGATCCCTTGTGGGACAAAGTCACCTGATGATGTGGCATGTCGGCATCCTCACTTGTCAGAACAAACAATGCCAATCTGGGAAGACGTCAACACTCAGAGCGAGGCTCATTTATCATCTTCATATTACGAACCTCTAATTAATTGATCATCCCTCGCATCGTGTTTATCTCGGACTAGCTCAGAAGATCCCAGAGGACAGTAATCGCCTTTCCCAAGCCAACATATCCCTGTCTTGCTGCCGACAGACAGACTATTGTCAAGCTAGCCTACTTTACACATCTTGCGCTACAGACATATTCTCACGCTTCATCTACAAGTCGCAGGACTCCAGTTCAATGGAGCCTAGGATAGCACCTGCAGCAGAAGCTGGCCAAGTGATGCCAGAGCACCAAGCGCAAAATTACCAGAACAGTCAAGATCGAGTAGCAATGGTAAAATGCGGCGATCTCCCATTGTTTCTCCCCATTCCCACTGATGAGGATGACCTTGAAACCACAGCCAGCAAGCTTCATGATCTTGCCGATGTAGTCAGCGGTGGGAACAGCTTGGCGCTGACTTCTGGCCAGACAGCCACTCACCAAAACAATGCAGAAGACTTTGCCAAGGAGCGAATGCGGCCCTCAGAACTGATGCAGTACGAGGCGTGGAAGGAGCAGTCGGTGTCGCTGCCTGCGTTCAACTGGGTCGCGCACGTCAAGCCAGTCCCCCCAGGTGCCCTTAAAACCTTCTCTCAGCGTGCTGTGGCCATGACTACTATCTGGAAAGGATACACTGCGACACCAGAGAATGCGGTATGGCTCACTGATAACTATCCCTACTTGCTACCACTGGTCAAGGCAGTGACCAAAGTCGTGAATGCGCAGTCACACCTTGAAAAACACAACCCTTTCGCTGGGCTGAACGCGCGAGAGGTTATCGAGATCCAAGCCCTGCACTTAATCAATTTGACTGCCGAGAAAAACCTGGCACGCGAACGAGCGCGAGTACGAGATCTGATGGAATCCGTTCACCAGTCACTAGCCGTGATTAGAGATCGCTTGGAGATACTTGGAAAGTAGATTGATTGCCTTTTTTTTGCTTTTTGCTATCTCCGTCGATAAAAGACAGGATAGATATGATTGAAGGAGGTTGCCTCAATTGAAGTGGGTGTTTTTCGGCTATTTTTCCTGATAACGAAGTGAGTGCTGTATGTAGTTTTGTCTCCGATCAGCCCAGCCGCAGAGTCTGAGCCCATGGACGTTTGATTGGCTTGAACCAGCCACTCAGCCCGGCATCTCGGGATGCAAGACAATTCACCATGATTCTGGTTATCTCCGATGACCGCCGGATCACCTTAGCATGTCTGGCGTGAGAAATCCTTCAATTCGCAAAACCACAGGGGTCCCAACTACCAGATTTCACTGGTTTCTCTCAGTGGTCATACAAGGCACTGAAATGCCTTCTCGATGGGTCTCCATCAGCCGCCCCGTAGTTTGCGACAGGGGTAAAAGAAAAAGGACGACTCAAAACAATAATACAAAGTGAAGATAGAATCCATCTTTGGACAGCCAATGAGAATTCCTGGTCTGACCCTCCATCTCAAGCTATGACGCATGTCAACATTCACGATGCTCCTGTCGGAATGCACCGAGGCCACTCGGCCTACTCTTACGTCAGAGCGAATGATGTGGATCTAGGGGAGCCCATTCAAGCGGATCGGCTGTGGGTGATTGACAGGAGTCTGACCGATCGACCAGGATTTACGATCTCGTACCGTTTTGATCGTGCTGCTGTGTAATAGGTCAGGGACTGATTGGGGGATGCTGCCGGATCTGTCGGGCACCCTCTTGCAGGGCAGACTGCTCCAGTCGCGAACGGGATATGCACGTTCGATGCACAGCCACCAAAATGTGTACGAGGAGGTTCTCGGAGGATACAATCTCAAGCATGGGACGATGTACATCCGTTGCTCGGTATCACCCGTACTACACCCAATGTATGGACTACCACTGCATATAACTCTGTTCTTGAAGGATGGGCTCCCAACAAAAATTGCCAGTTTCAGTATTCATTGAAGAACCAAATGCCAGTAATTTTGAGAGCCAGAAAAGATCTTCCGCAGCGGCTTCATATTAAAGACTCATCGACTGGCACCGGCTCACGCAACATGAGAGTGAAAACCTCCATTCCACATTCCCCATATGGCTCCAAATTCAATACAACCTCTTCTTCTATCTTCCATCCATACTTCCGATATAAGGGTACGCCAGCGCATGTTGCCTCAAGATATATTCGCGCATGCAGTGTGTCCGCCATTTTGACGCCCCATTCCAACAGTGCGGAGCCTATTCCGCGACCACGATATGTAGGTAGAGTAGCTAGAAAATCTAGAACTGCAAGAGGGGATACAGTAAGTTCAGGCTTGAATAATGCACTAATTTTACGGCTACCTACCCATGTCTCGAGATGTAGTGTGTCTCTTCCGTGCACCCCCTAGGAGCTTTCTAGGTGCGAAAAAAAGCCCTTCGTTCATAGGTCGAGGGGCATGTATCAGTGGACTTTCAGCGGCAGCTGCCTGCGCGGCCCCTCTTTCACTAAGGCTACATGTATGAGGAGGTACTCCGAGAATTTCCGGAATAAGCCACCGGGCATACCCAACAACACGACCAGTTGTCGAATCGTTCACCGTAACAATATGCATCTCAGGGTTTGCCATCTGCTTCATCCCATTAAGTGCCTTGAAACTTTTCAGAGTCGCAGGATCAGATTCAGGGAACACGGCAGAGCGGAAGCGATATTTCTTGAAGCTGACATAATTGATTTCGCATAAATCTGGCATGTCGGCCTCAGTGGCGTAGCGGACTTGGTACATATTGGTGAGACATTCGGCTATATTTGGTTGCAAGAGAGAATAGAAAGAAGAAGAGACAGAGTTTCTTCATGATATTTTTAGGCAGAAGCATTAATCCGTCCCTAGCGCCCGGATACTATAGGACATTAGATGCCGAGGTCATGTAAGAGCACCGGAGCGGATTATGAGTAGGGAGACATGTCGAATGATGCATTACGATCATTTAGAACTTATTGTCGCTCACACAAAAAACATATTCAGACCAATGGCCTCAGCCCTGCATCGGCCGTTTTCCGATTACTCTGTTCTGCTTGGAACGATGGAAGTCTGCAGGATACCTCAACACTCTTAGAATTTGACCTAACGACTCTGTGGAGCTTTTAATACTCATAACCACAGTTGTCAAAGTCTACTAATCAACATGTAAGAATTTTGCGAAGCAGATTCTCGAATGTGAATGGATGGTCAAATACGCTTTGCCTGAGTACAAGAAGATTCGAAAGATATGATCGCACATCAAAGCACTTCCATTGCATGAATTGTCAGGATACTGGTTGTATGAAAAGCCGGTGCTGGTGCTGCCTTGGAGTTTGTGTATCTAATTCTCTGAGAGGATCTTGAGCTGTTTACTGCTAGATAGTAATTTTTATTTGCTAGCCACTTCGTCTTCTTTTCTTTGCTACCATTATCATCTTTGGCTATCAATAATTTCTTTTCTATAGTCAGATATATAGCTTCAATCAGTATTAGTGAGACTTAAATGATACTGTTTCAGCTATGACTATGGCTGAAGGGGAAGAGAGGTTGAAGAAAGGAAACTGCAATGAGAATAAAGAGAATAGAGGTATAACAAGAGATCGACCTTTTAGTTACATTTCAGTGGCGGAGACGATTTGACTAAGTACGAAGAATATAGATCATGATCCGGATCACTGAGTGCTCATTGATCAATCACGTGATTTAAGACCTGCTCCGTGAACCTGAGCCTGAGCGGGTCATACTAATTGTGTAAGCACCACTTGTCAGGAAAAATAGGTTCTCTACATGTTACATGTGCATACATACTACAGTATCATACTATCGGCAATTAAGCGATGTCTGACTCTCCTGTCGCGCGGGCTCTCCCGCTGCCTTTCGGGGCTCATCTGTGATTGAATACAACTACGTCAGGGTCTTTATGGGGCATGATCATTGTGGGCGCCACTTAAAAGCGAACCAGAACAAGGGGTCCTGGGATGCGATGATCGAATTGGTCCAAATCATCAGAAATTATGGGGGTCCTTCTTGGCCCTCTTGGCCTTTTTTTGGTTTTTTTTTCTTGACTTTCTTTCCTTCTAACTAGGGGGCGAGCATTTCTAGGACCCACGAGAGTCCTTTTTCTGGGACCCTTTCCAGGCCCCTAGAGGCCCCTCTTCAGCGGGGAGGCATGCGATAGTGGCTTCTGAGTGGCTGGGACCTCCTCAGCTCTGCAACCCTTACCGTGATCGCCGGCTCGATTTACCTGATTGAGATGTGGTAATACGGAGACTTGGCTGCTAGTGTGTTCGCCCGCCAAGCAGGGAAGGGAGAAGAGGAGAAGGATTCCAGCATGAACAATGTGCTGCAACCTGCAGGGAACCTGCTGAACCGCTGTACCTGCTATAGGTGGTGCAGGTACCCCCGAAGTCACTGTGCCATGGGTTCACTGGCCCCATATCTGGTCTCTCCTGTTTCACCGGCATCTCACAGTCAATTGAGGGAATTGCATGGGAATGCACCGGAGAAAGCAAAAGAAAAGAAAAAAAAAAAATTAATCCTCATAACCGATTGGGGTGCTGCAGGCGACCTGCTGAGCACTTCTCGCTCCTTTCTATTTGTGTTGCTGGTCCGATCCCGAAGGGTCCTTCGCCTGGTACTGCGATCCATGAACTGAACTGTGAACCCCCTTGGCAAACGCAGCCAAGCGAAAAGCCGGCCTTTCCCTGGTTCCGAGAAGGTTTTGCTGCTCTCCCCAAGCTCGTTCGATCGTGAGGACTGGATCGCTCTTCGTCTTGGGATCCCTTGGACATCCACTTCCCTCCACTCCGCCAGGACCCTTTTTCTCCGCTCTGGGATTTTGGGCGTAACTAGTCCGAGAATTGGGTGTTGGACGCTGCTTCTCCGGGCACAGACTCCGCCAACCGCCGCTTTCCATTGGGTCGACCCTGCAAAAAGGCCCGCCGGAGATAGCCACAGGGCCCTAAACCACCGTTTTCCTCCTAGTGCGGTCTCTGCGGGGACCTTTTCCCAGGCATCCGCTGTTCAAAAGACGCAGGGTCCTTGGTCTTGCAACCAGGTGAGTTTCGATATTATTGTTCCCGCCTCCGCCCATCTCTGACTCCCCCGGTCGCTCTAACTTTCTTGACACCCTCTCCAGCTTCGAGGCCTCTTCGATCACCCCTTGCACGATTTGATCCGAGTATGAAAACACTGTCCTGACCGGTCGTCCTCGATTCGCCCGGTACCTGTGAGGGCCCTTCGCGGTCGCTCTTTTGGACCTTCAATTCCAATCTCTACTCGCCTCGCCAACCATCGATTTCTTATCCAATGGCCCCCTTTCAAGGACTGGCCCGCGCCGCTCGGCCTGGCGTGCTTTTCGTGGTGCTTGCATTGCTGCAATGCAGCTTTGCCCAGGTCTGCACCTTCTGGGATAGCGGATGTATCGACCCTCTTGCTCAAACAGCCGTTCCGATAGATTTCTCTCCGCTGTTCATAGATCCTGTGACCTTCTACTACGGGTTCGACTCAACCGCCTCAGGCAAAGGTGGAGGGCCAAGTACCAAAACAGGATTTTGGCTTCGATATCAAGATGGACGAGTAAATCCGGACGCGATCACATCAAATCGCACATCGGAAATTTCCCTCCATCTCGGCAACTTCACTGGAACGCCGTCTGGGACCAATAATGGTTGCGATGGAATCTGGGGCACCCTTTGTTCTCTCGACATCAAGAACGCCCTCAAGGGTTCTATCTTTCACCTGTCTGCATCAGGAATCTATTACTCGAAACCTCTCAAGGCAGCACTGACAAATTTGATGCTCAATCCATCTCGTCTGCCGAATTGTGGTGCTCCGGTTTTTGATGTTCCTTCCATCCCCGTCCAAGGTATGATTTCTCTGTCTTTTCTTCATGCAATGCTCCACCCTCCGTTGTCTCGAAACTGACACTATGTCCAGAGTTTGCCGAGGAAGTATTTCCCCAGCAAAATGCGACCATTATCCCTTCAGGCTCTGGTAATCGACCATGGCAGGTGTGGTATATAGACAACATGACTTCGCACAAGCAAGCCTCCCAAGTTGCTGTCGGTATTCTTGCTCGTAGCCCAGTATGGGGCAGCCCCCCACCACACACCCCAGATGAAGTTCAAATCGAACTTGTTTGTCTGCAAGCTCCCTCAGGACCACCGACTGGACCGTCTAAAGACCATGATTAAAGGGTCGATTCGCGGGGAAATGCTTTGCCAGATCCCCTACGGCATCTTTAATCTTCGCAACACCTGGATCCGACAGTCTTAACGTCCATCCATGTCTGTCGTCGCCTATCGTCATTCTTCGATAATGGGTGACTAACTACGGTCATCGTTGGTGCCCGGCGCAATCCTTCTCATCCTTGATATGAGCCAGGCATATCAAATGCCTTGGAGCTGGGTCTTCGATCGGCTAAAGCTTACACCGTGACATTCAAAAGTTTCTATCAAAGCTCATGCAGGGATACTTCGCATTGCCAATTTCACCGTCTAAGCTGCAACATGAAAGGTCTTTGAATGTGGATAAAACGATCCAGTCCTGCAAAGGCTAGATTCCTTCTTGGACAACATACAGGACTGAAAAAAGAAAAACAGAAACCTGATCATCTCACCCAGCCGGAACGGTTGGCCTTGGTCGATTAATGTTTTCCAAAATCCAACATACCGTCTTCGAATGGAAATGGCCACCAATTCTTTGGGACCTCTTATAGCGTCGGCCAGCTATTGTCAACAGGCTTGAGATCCCCCGGTCCCCGGAAATCTTCCAATATATCTGCCTGCTCACTCAACAAGACTCGATCTGTTTGGATCCCCAATTTCGCCAGCCCTCGCCATCTCGCCAGATCTTCTGGGTTCCGCTTATCGCCATGCGCATCTTCTGCCCTCTCCCAGTGGCCCTTTGAAAATCCCAACATGGTCGTGATCTTTTGTTGTGGAATATCGAACACCAGCGAGCACATTGTCCCGGTCTCCTCGAGCCAGTTGCACTGCCATAGCTCCCCCGGTCGGATACACTGGTACTCCGCAGTCTGGAAGTTGATCCGGCCGGCCATCGGCCCGCCATGAATGGCGTAGTTGATCCGATCCTCATTTTGGAACCACATCTCATACCGCCATTTTTCTGGGTTACCAGCTGCATCCTGTGCAGCATAGTCGTATATCAGGTGTCGGTCGCGCAGGTCAGCATCGAAGGTTGACCCTTCGAGCGAGGGATGAACGGGCATTTTGACTTTTGGTTGTTTCCAAAGAGTCTTTTGACGTTTGATTGAGCAGTTTCAGCGATGTGGATGAAATAAATCAGCATAGAAGCTTGATCTGGATTGCAGCCATCTCTAGTGGAAAAAAGTGTGCTGCTTCTGTGCAGCTTTTTATATGCCTTCTCATCCGTACTCCCCGAGCAGTTTCTGCACACTAACCCCACATCTTACCTCGAATCAAGGTTTGTGGATCATTCATCGATCATAGCGTTGGAGGTTCTCATTCCCGAATCAAAGGACAAGTGCCGGCGAAATATATATGACATCATGACTTCTTGGGCGGGCCAAATGAAACCAGGAACACTTATGTTATCGTCCCAACTTCAAATCTCGTAATATCTATCGTTTACGCGTAGAAGTGTAGCTCCTTACATTCACCTCATCTAATATCTGGCTCGGAGATCTGGCTCGGAAAAATACTCCTGCTTTAGTTCTACTGCGCACTTCGTTTTGTTAAACGGCATCATATCATCTCGAGTGGCCCAATTAGCCATCTTCGGAGTCTTTTCGAGGTGTAAATTTATTGGTGATTTTGCACTGGCGGAACATGCCAAGGTTTGGTTTGGCATGGTCATACAAAGTTTAGATATAGTTCATACGATGTTTAAATGTCTGACCTGGGCGATCTTTGCTCGATTCGATAGGGGTGCCAGATCATCCTAACCTGCAACACGCTGGGTTGGATGAGAAGGGGTATTTGTTACTCGCATACTCATCTACAGTCGCTAAACCTTTGGACAAGATGAAGTCGCAGGGGCGAAGCAAGCATGTGGAAATCCGGGAGATAACACTATCGTCCTGATGAACGCACTGAGAGCCCTGCCGGTAGTTCCCTGAACAAATTATGTTATTGATAATCCTTCGAGATCTTCTCCGGTCATTAGCTCGATCTGGTAGATCAAATGTATGTCATTTATGATCAGATGCGGAAAAGTTAGTCATCTCCACGATCAAGTCAATCAATATCAAAAGATCAATCAAATACTTATCATCTACGGGACATGAAAGGCTACGTCAATCTAGTGGAGACAGAGACTGACTCACCATCTCGGCACAGGTCTATTACTGAAATAACTCTCTCGTTAGTATAGCTGAGCAAGGAGAATGTGCGCATAAAGAAACCCTGGGTCAATTACAAAGATGCAAGCAACAAAAGAGATTTATAACTCCAGGTATTCAGCTAAAGGCAATAGAATTCTGATTTCGATTGTTATCTTTCACGATTTTTCTGTCTGCAAAAATGTATATATGAAGCAGGTCCACGAATCTCGGTACCCAGCAAGAATTTTAGAAACGAGGACTGCGCAATATGACCTAGACTCAACGATTTATATTATGGCATTTGTGGGGATAGGCATATCTTTGATAGAATCCCGGCACAGCTTCCCCAAGTCTGACCTTGCAGATAGGTAAAACGGTCTTCAATTTCTCTGTAATTCTCAGCTGATGGTAACCTAAGCCCTCACCTCCAGCCTTAGGCTGTCGTTCCCAGTAACACGTGCTGCTGCACGTTCCGATTCGGGAACGATCAACGCCTACTATTGAAAGTGACGGTGTAACTCAAATCATATCATCTAAACAATCGTTTCAACAATGACACTCGCTGCTCATCTTCAACTATCCAGGTCCAGGTTTCTGGTGTCGTTGCTCATGATGGAGTTGGTGCTTGGCTCAAGCTTTATTGCAAACTCGACTTTGCCGTTGCCAGGAGCGCAACGGTTCATCGCAGCTCCTGGGTTTCCGACCTCAGCCTTTGCGTAAGATCTTCTCCTACGAATCCCTGAATGGATCAATATATCATGATGGCCTGCCAGGTGACTTACATGATCTGTAGGTCTTACTATGAGTCGCCTGCCCTGCCAACTAGGGAACCTCAGCCCATCATCTACGATCCTGTGCTGAATTTCACGTTCCCATACGAGTTGACTAACCCTGATCTTATTCCTGAAAGCCCGGATGAACCTGTTTACCCACAACCACCAGTCAATATCCCAAAGAAAGAGAAACATGCTCTGGTTGAGGCTGTCAAGGCCAACGTGATGACAATCCTGAAATCCAATGACCCAGAGAATCGATGCTCCAAGTGCAAACGAGTCTTGGCTGCGGCCAAACCTGCTGCTGTTTTTGCTCCAAAATTGGTGCCAGATGCTCTCATTAGCATATGCAAGAACTCTAACTTCAAATCTGGTGAGGCATGCGAAGAGCAGTTCAAGCCACAAACATTCGGTGCCATCTGGACCCAAGTCCTTGCATTGGCTGATGTCAATGCTCTTGACGGGCAATACATATGCCATTACCTAAAATCTGACTTTTGCGAGCAACCAAAAACCGCGCCGTTGGATATATCGGGACTTTTTCCGAAGCCCAAGCCCGCACAAGCACAGGCTCCAAAGGCTAGTGGAGAGCGTGTCAAGGTGCTTCACATGTCAGATTTTCACCTCGATGCCCGATATGGAGTCAATACGGAAGCCAATTGCTCCTCGGGCCTATGCTGCCGCAGCGACAATCATAATGATCATTCAGAGGACCATGTTCTCCTGCCGGCCTCCCCGTATGGAGCCTTCAAATGCGACACACCATATGATCTGGGTCTAGCCGCTTTGCAGGCAGTGGGCGCTTTGACTGGCACTGGAAAGGGCTGTGAACAGGAGCCTCTGGCGTGGACTTTGTATACTGGGGATTTAGCCTCGCATGACCCACAATCTCAGATGTCCCGGGAATATCTTGAGTATGTTGAGACAAGCACTTTCGATATGTTCAAAACATACCTATCAGGTCCAGTATTTTGTGCCCTTGGGAACCATGACGCAAGCCCAGAAAACATTGACTCTCCCCATATTCTTCCTGGACGCCTGGGTGAGCAGTCATCTTGGAACTATCAGCATTTAGCTGGCCTATGGCAACACGAAGGCTGGATCAGTCCCGAGGCTGCAGAGGAGGCTCGCACACATTATGCTGGCTACTCAATCAAGACTCACTATGGATTGCGTATTATCTCATTTAATACCGGTGTGTATAGGTTCCTTTTTATTTTTTCTAGAAATATCGCGAGATTGACAAATTCTTAAGATTTCTGGTACAAATCCAACATTCTCAATATGATCAATACCACCAACCCCGATAACTCAGGTGTTTTCTCTTGGATGATCAATGAGCTACAAACCGCAGAAGATGAAAAGGAACGAGTCTGGATCATGGGACATGTTCCCAGTGGTTGGGACGGTGTTAACCCAATTCCGGACCCGACCAACCTCTTCTACCAGATCATGGACCGATATTCACCACATGTTATTGCTAATATATTTTTCGGTCATAACCATGAAGACCAATTCATGATTTTTTACGCCAATAACGGCACTGTACAAAACGCAGAGAACGCCCTTGTAACGGGCTGGCTCGGTCCCAGCGTTACGCCGTTGACCAATATGAACAGTGGATTCCGGCTTTATGAGATCGATACCGGGGATTTCAATATCTACGAGGCCTACACTTTCTTCAGTAATGTGTCCGACTACGCTAGTCTTCGCGAAACCGGCCCGATCTTCCAGTTGGAATACTCCACTCGTGAGACATATGGCGCAGCCGCTGACTGGGATGAAAATGCGCCGCTAAACGCTACTTTCTGGCACCGTGTCACGGAAGCGATGGAGAATGATCTCGATTTGGTCACTCTACACAACTTTCTACAGGGCAAAATGAGCGTGAAAAGCCCCGAGTGCATTACGGCGGCTTGTCAGAAAGCCAAGATCTGCTATATGCGTAGTGGCAGTGTCGCGTTGGGCGCTCAATGTCCACAAGGGCAAGTACCCAAACATGAAATTATTTCATCCCTTCTCTGCTCCACCTCACTGACTCAGTAATTTTAGTTATGGCTCTGTGCAAAGCCCCTTTACTGCGAAGTAGCTGTGCAATTTTTTGTGGGAGACTCAAAGGATTCTTCTAGCTAATTTCGAGGGGCTGTCCCTCCCTATTGATTTACTAGCGGGCTTAGTATGAGATACGAAAAAATTATCGCAGACGTGATTTGCTCATCATCATAATGGACTTCAAACTACTATTCTATTTGACCTCGAGCATAAAATTTGTTAGCACGACTTTTCTGTACATTTAATCTAATGGGCCAGCCGCTGAAAGCAGCTCGTCCTATCCGCTTGTTCCCCGACAGCCGCCGACAGCCGGGTCTCCACTAGATATGTTTATTTGGGGCTAGAGCAGCCGGGCTCTGCTTCGCGGTATACGCATGAACTCCACTTTCTACCCCAGATCAACTCGACTATGCGGGGTCACGACATTTCCATTGCCATGTGCGTGCTCGCTATAGTCTCCATGGAGTATAAAATAGGCCAGGCCATAACGAGTTCAATTTGTCTTCAGGGGAGTCGTTGTTTGTCAGTAAAGACACAATCACAAGCAGCTGGTCAAGAAATTCACAGCTAGGTTGCTATCTCTCCAAAGGCACTTTTCATTGGCAAAATTGGCAATGATCGAGTCAACAGAAAAGAGGGATTTCTCTGCCGGATTCTCTGACGAGAAAGAACAATCCGCCGCCCTGGGTAGTAGGACTGAAACGCAACTTACAGTCTCCCAGGCCCTCCGCTACTATCGGCCCGCTGTCATATGGTCCGTCCTCATCTCTTTGACTACGGTCATGGAGTCCTACGATATCCAGATCATCAGCTCTTTCTACGCATACCCACAGTTTCAAGAGAAATACGGCGTTCAACTTGCAGACGGAAGTTATTCAGTCCCCGCGAAGTGGCAGCTTGCCCTGAGTCTGATCTCCCTGCTTGGCCTGGTGACTGGGACACTTGCGAATGGATACATGTGCGAGAGATTTGGACCGAGGAAAGTGATCATGGTTGCGCTTGTCTTTTTGACAGGCTTTATTGCTATCACTTTCTTGGCGCCCACGATCGAAGTCCTACTGGTTGGGGAATTACTCTGGTATGTATTTGATAATCATGAGAACTTTCTTTCTACCGTTTTGGCCGCTCATACATCCATTTCGATATACATGTAGTTCAATTCCGTGGGGTTTCTTCGCGGCAGCAGTTCCCACCTATGCTGCAGAAATCTGTCCAATGGCATTGCGAGGCTATCTGACCACTTTCGTGAACTTGTGCTGGGTAGCAGGTCACTTGATAGCGACCGGTGTCTTGACGGGGTTGGTCGATCTTCCCAGCGAATGGTCCTACCGGATCCCGTTTGCACTCCAGTGGATGTGGCCTGTGCCGCTTTTTATTGTGGTCTGGTTCGCGCCCGAATCGCCATGGTGGTTGGTGCGCAAAGAGCGTCTAGAAGATGCCGATGCTTCACTCAAGCGGACATTGTCTGCACCCGAGGGCGTGGTCAATCGCCAGTCTATCATTGCTATGATGCAACACACCACGCAAGTCGAACGGGAGATGCAGATCAATGGATCCTACCGGGAGTGCTTCCAGGGGACAAACTCGCGACGAACGGAAATCTCCATGGTTAGCTGGGGATGTCAGATCTTGCCTGGGTGGGCCATTCAGAACTATATCACGTATTTTTTTACATTGGCCGGGTTGTCGTCTGGGAGTTCGTTCAAGATGTCACTTGGTGAGTTCCTATGGTTTTTTCATTTCCCTTTGCCTGGCTAGGGAAAGATGGGATATATCATTGAATGGGCTTCGCTGTATAGACACGTTGATCTTTGACTTGAAGCTGATCAGTATCTTACGTCGCTCGATAGGCATGTTCAGCCTTTCATTTATCGGCACCTGCCTGTCCTGGGTCTTCCAAGCCCGATTGGGTCGTCGGACTATTTATCTCATGGGTCTCGTCGCCATGCTTCCTTTCATGTTGCTCGTGGGGTTTCTCGCGCTGGCCCCGGCGTCATCAGCGATCCAATGGGCGCAAGCTGCCCTGCTTCTCGTTTGGTTTTTCTGTTATGGTGAGCATCGTCTCTAGTATCCAAAAATATATATAGAATACCCCCGACTGGAATTTACCCTAATATATTGCAGGAAGCACTATTGGACCTATTCCGTATGCCATCGCGGCTGAGATTGGCGCCAGCAATCTGCGAACGAAGACTATTGCTCTGGGCCGGGGAACCTACTATCTTCTCTCCATGGTCAACGCCGTGGTGGCGCCGTACATGCTGAATGCCTCAGAGGGAAATCTTAAGGGCAAGGCTGCCTTTCCTGCCGCGGGCTTTACCATCTTTCTACTGATTTGGGCCTTCTATCGGTTGCCGGAGACGAAGGGGTTATCGACAGAGACCCTGGATCATCTCTTCCACGAGGGGATAACCGCGAGGCGATTTCGGGAAGAGGGCAAGCGATTTCAATAGGAGACGATCATCTGGAAACGTTAAAAAAGAATTGCGCAGACAGTCTCTAAATTTTGATCCAATGGATCCCAATAGGATTTCAAAAATTTGGATGCCTCTTCTTCCCCCAAATCCCAAAGCTACTACCCAAACTTGGTCCGGTTGATTTCCACGGCGGGGTGGGATTCGGACTCGAGGAAACCCCACACTGCACAGAGTAGATTTGGCTGTCTGCTTGGTATAGATTTTTTCAGTTTTAGTTATAAACTCAAAAATGTCGCCGAGATTCAACTTGGTTCCATAACTCAGTTGGTTAGAGTGTGGTGCTAATAACGCCAAAGTCGAGGGTTCGACCCCCTCTGGAACCACATTTCTTTTTTTTTGTTCTTTTATTTGTTCTTTTTTTTTTTTTTGTCTTGCCTTATTATCTCTTTGGCCAATATTCCTCCATTGGAAAATACTTCAATTCGTCCATTCCGATTTGGTCGGTCTCTATATTCTTTTCCTTTTAGAACATGTTATGTTCCAATTCTTCTCTTGGACTGGCTACCTGGTGCCCCCTGTAGGCGGGCCGGTCCCAATCATCGCGGGGAAGAACCGCCCAGTTTAGCTCCAGCTCTCTCCACGGTTCCACGCGGGTAAGCTGCCTCGAGCTCTCGGGGTTGCCTCGGACGTCCGTCAACACTCGTTTGATCATTGACCAGACAGATGGTCGCAACGCCCGTCGCAAACCTGATCATCCGCCGGGCCCTCGATTGGGTCTGGTGCCGCGAGCTCCCGGGCGCGTCGATGCATGACGTAGCGAGGGTCTCCGTTAGCCTTTCTATATCGTCATCACCACTCTCCGGGCGATCCGCGACTTTTATAACCGCTTCTTCTAAAGACCGCTGCTACAACCCGGTTGCAATCTTCTCCTCTGTCAAACCGCTATTCGATCGCCTCCCCCTCGCCCTGTACCTCACAAGCCGCTTTTTTGTCCGCCACGACCCCCGATCTCCGCGATCCAAGATACTTCGATCTATCTCGAAGCTTACCAGTCCACTGGATTTTTCATCGAGCTAGCTTCACCACTCGAACACCAAAATGAGTTTGCGAGGTGTACAGCTTGGCCTCCGCGCCTGGGAGGTTAGTGACTCTGGGGCCCCGAAACCCACCCCCCAAAAAAACCCAAAAGACCATCCCTGGCATCCCTGCAGACACTGACTGACCATGCCCCGCACACACAGTTCCTCTGGACGCTTTTGGTCATGGCCCTTGTCGGCAACATGATCGCTGAGGCTTTCGCCGGCAACCCCGGCACGGTGAATTACGCCATGTATACGTCCGCCTTCTCGATGGTCACACTGTTCTACCTGGTCCCCGCTTCTTGGAATTCGGACTGGGCGTTCCACCCGATCATCATGATCGTTGTTGACGCGCTGAACTGCATCTTCTTTTTCTGTGCGGGAATTGCGCTCGCTGCAAAGCTGAGATGCCACTCCTGCAGCAACGAGGTACGTGTATCATATCGGGTTCAACCTACTGGTTTACTCTGTATATCTCCGATCGCATTAAATGCTCATGAACTCTCTAGGCCTACACATCCACCAACTCGATCACCAACGGCTCTAACAACCCGGCGAAGCGCTGTCGGGAGGCCCAGGCCGTCGTCGCATTCTTGTGGTTCGCCTGGGCGGGCTACATGGCCTCGGTCGTGCTCTCGATCTTCATGTCCCGGACCTCGACCAACATGCGCGGCCGCAGTGGTAGCCGCCGCCGCCCCAACATGGCCCAGGTCTAAACGATACAGTCGCATATCAGCTCAGCAAACATGGCCTCGGGAGGCTTTGCCTAACGGGCTTTGCAGGTTCCTCGCACTTATGGAACTGGGTTTGTAAGGGGTGCACAGGGAAATGAATCCTTACCCTCTTTGCTGCGCCGACGACCACACAAGCTCAAGTGATGTTGCAGTTCTTGTGTCTCTGTTTGAGCTGGCGTCGGCGGCATTGGCTTGTTGAATGACTGTATGATTTGACGATCCGGTTGGATGAGGACAGGAATTCTCTCACACGGTCTGGGTGACTTGAAATGGAAAAAACGGAACATGGATACTTGTATTTCTTTTCTAATTTGCGACCAGGCGCATTGGTACTGGATAATCCTTTCTGGTCCGATATTACGGATTTTATTAATAACTCTTAGTGGTTTGATACCGAATTGTACGAGCATTCTCACATTTGTGGTTACTATGTATCGTTACTCTATCTACTTTTTTGTCAGCAGTACAAAACAAAAAATAGAAATTTCTTTCCTTTTTCTCGTTTTGCCAATTGGAAGCGAAGAGAGGATTTGCACCAATCCAGTAATGGTGGATCTTTCGATATTATAAAGCGCCTGTACCTTGGACATATTCACAATAAGTTCCGGATCAAAATATGTGACCTCAAGTGAAAGTTCCTAATTAATTGCATGAAAAGATATCTGACCTTGCTGGAAGAGGTATATTCAAGATAACAGTTTTTACTAGCGTTATTTTCAAAGAGTCGACCGATTTTTAATATTCTCAGACTTCTTTGAACAGCTTTTTTAACACTACTCTATATGAAATGGCCCGCAGAAGGTCCGTCACAGACTCGTCATAGATTTCGCTTTTCTTAATTATACGTAGTCTATAAGATAAGAGATATTTAGCTAGGGCTAGTCAATCTTCATCGATCTAGCAGAAGCTGTAGTATAACGACTCTATTAGTGATATGGATCTCCCCTCCACGTCGGGTTAGAAGCAGCTCTGGCACCTCACTTATGAAGGTTTAACATACCTATTTCTACGAACTCGGTGATTTAGATATCCTCGTAGGTCTAGGAGAAGCTGTAGCGCGTCTTTTGAAAGATCAAACATAGTTGCCTTACAGACCTCATTGGTGATTTGGATATCCTCTCCTCGTCGATCTAGGAGAAGCTGTAGCGTGTCCGTCTTAAAATTCCTAATAGCACTGATAAGAACCGTCTCGGTAATTTGGATATCCTCTCCTCGTTGATCTAGGAGAAGCTCTAGCACCTTATTTGAAAATGGATTTGACGCAGCTATATTAACGACCTCCTCGGTGATTTGGATATCCTCTCCTTGTCGGTCTAGGAGAAGCTGTAGTACCGCACTTGATGGATTCGACGTAGCTATATTAACGATATCCTCGGTGATTTGGATATCCTCTCCTCGTCGGTCTAGGAGAAGCTGTAGTACTGCACTTGATGGATTCGACGTAGCTATATTAACGATATCCTCGGTGATTTGGATATCCTCTCCTCGTCGGTCTAGGAGAAGCTGTAGTACTGCACTTGATGGATTCGACGTAGCTATATTAACGATATCCTCGGTGATTTGGATATCCTCTCCTCGTCGGTCTAGGAGAAGCTGTAGTACTGCACTTGATGGATTCGACGTAGCTGTATTAACGATCTCCTCGGTGATTTGGATATCCTCTCCTCGTCGGTCTAGGAGAAGCTGTAGTGCGTCTTTTGAACGATTAAACGCAGCTGTATTAACGATCTCCTCGGTGATTTGGATATCCTCTCCTCGTCGGTCTAGGAGAAGCTGTAGCATAGGCGTCCTAAAATTCCTAATAGCACTGATAATAACCGTCTCGGTAATTTGGATATCCTCTCCTCGACGGTCTAGGAGAAGCTCTAGCACCTTATTTGAAAATGGATTCGACGCAGCTGCCTTAACGACCTCCTCGGTGATTTGGATATCCTCTCCTCGACGGTCTAGTAGAAGCTGTAGTACGTCCTTTGAAGGATTTAGCGCAACTTCGATGACTAATTTCTTTGGGATCACCACGAGAAAATCCCTTGATCGGTCAAGCAAAAAGGTTGCGACCGGTACTAGGCCCAATATACAAGCACAATAGAACGCTGATTGATTTTCCAACAGATGATGACTTCGGTTTGTGATATTTATATGATAACGGAGCCAAAACAGCCTATTTTGTGTATCACAAAGTTGAGCCATTTTGCTTATCCAATCTTCGCGCATGTTCATAGTTTGTAAAGTCTGTTCTGTATGATCTATCCAATGAGTTGCAGAATAGTGCAGAAAGGCCTCGTTGGGTAAGCAAGCTTGGAGAGCAGGAGAAGATCGGTGATCCACATTTTGAAAATCTTTAAAAAGCAGATATGTAATACATATCTTTGAGAGGGCCAGATGGGCTTCCTCCAGGCGGATTGAATGTCTCCATATGCTTAGATTCTCACTTTCTCCTGCTTGGCGGAGTAAAAAGTCTCGCGCTGTTTGGTGGATCAGATAGACACGCGAGTCGATTACGCTGACAAACAACCCGCATGCGTGGCGTATCCACTCTCTCCTCTTGTCAAGGCCTTCAAGGTCTAACTCATCAAATGAGGTATGATTGGGTTGAATTTCCAGAGCAATGTCGATTTCGGACAACTTCAGAGGACGGCGTGCTGCAACGATGATTTCCAACAGCCTTCTTCCATCTGCCTCATTCTCCTCGTCACAGCGTCGTAATATGTCTTCGTAAGCCTGCTCAACACTTCGAGGCAATTCATTGATTTGTTGTAATAATTTCCTTTTCGTAGAGCCAAGCCTGCTCTTCAAAGAATCTAGTGTGATGTGGAGCCAAAGATAAGTTGAATTCGGAATTTCAGAAAATCGGTCCTTCAACGCTGTCCGAATCTCATCGTCAAGATGTCTTTTATCCACAATCTCGTCCACCTTGGCCTCCATGACAACATTGATCTCCTGGCTGATTATATGCACTTTACTCTCTGCAGCCAATTGAATTTTTGGATCGCGATTGATTATCTTCGCAAAACCCCACTCGATATCCCCGTACGGACGGCTAGTGACGATGAATTTCAATTTGGAATTCTTTGCTCCGACCCGTTTTCCTTCTGAAGAAGTCAGATAGAATCGCTCCAGCTTCTCTAGTAGTTGATTGCGATCTGGTTGTCGACATTCGTCCAGAGCATCAATGATGCAGATTACATCCTTGGTAGAATCGGATGCAGCAGATATCCACAAATCCCATAGGGCGCTGGAATCCAACTTTAGTTTGTCCTTATGCTGACGTACTTGGAGCTCAGCGTGCTTTTGGAAAAGACTATTCTGATCGTAAAACAGCTGGTGTAAAAGTGCACAAATCGCTGTGGCAAGATTGTCTTGCTCTTCATTTTCTTTGAAAAAGAAGTAGCAAATTGTGGCTGACCCATCTTCAACCAGTCGATCGTCAATTAAGGCCCTCGAAAGAACAGATTTGCCTTGCCCAGGACCTGCCGATAGCCATAAAAGATCATCATGGCTGCTATTCTTCCATTTTGGAAAGATTGGATCATCCAGAAACCATTTACATGTGTTCTCGACCCGTGGAGGATTGATATCTTTGTGCACTCGATAAGGGGATGTATAAAAAAAGTCAAAACTTATGTTTGCGGCTCACATCAGTTAGGGTGGTAACACAGATCATGCGACTGAGGTAGTTGGATTAGAAATGACCTGCCTGAACCGGAGAAGGAGATATTTGAGATTGTCCCAGAATTTGAGTTCGCCAGAAACCCCGAGTTTGTGCCGCTGTATGTCGTTTCTTCCATCTCTCAAGTGTTAGACAATGTTGCTTACTTGTCAATGTCTCAGTGACGGTCCATGCCGCAGAAGGAGGGGCAATCACATTACCCCTTGTCAGGTGACTTTCCTGTATGGCACAGCATGCACGTTGGTTCATTTCAAAAGCCAAGGGGAGAAAATATCAATAGAGAGAATATTGTGGTATCAGACATCCACATTATTGTTGAGGGAATGGGGGCATGGGGAGTCAAATTTGAAGAATAATCCATTTGGTATGGACATATGGGCTGGTAAACAGCTTGGAAGTACGAAGCCTCTTCGATCCACTGTGCAATAGGTAATAGTAGACGGGATACGTGAACTTCTGTATAGGGGCGGAATTGCCACCTGTGGAGTCTAGCCTTTTAATCCCAAGTAGAAAATTTACTAGGAGATAATGGATTTCACTTCAGCGGGGGTTAATTGCCACGAGTGAAGCCTGATCACGGAGGAAATTCGGTAAAACCCACTGAAGCTCTTGATTTCTGATCGGCCAGAGACGTACATTAGGTAGCATTCTAGCATAAATAGAGCCCTGTGAAACCTCTTCCTCCTTTCGTTCGATTACCCCCCACACACTCAGCAAGATGCATTTCAAGATAAGACTATTATTGATCGCCTGTGCAATTGCTGCAGTGGCTTCAGGCTGGGACAACGAGGTGCCAGCGCAACGATCGTACATGTATGTTGGAGGACGGTATATTCCGAATGGCGCCGGCGAACATGTCTTCACAGATCAGATGTACGTGGAAAAATTGACCCCAGCCACCGGGGTCACCAAGCCGTATCCGATTATCTTCATCCATGGACAAGCTCAGACAGGCACAGTACGTATCAAACGAACCCCCCTTGGCTCCTTTCCTGGAGGCTAAACGTGAGACTGGCAGAACTGGCTCAACAAGCCTGATGGAGGAGAGGGCTGGGCCTCCTATTACCTCTCTCAAGGATATGCATGCTATATTATCGACCAAAAATTTCGCGGTCGCAGTGCCTGGTTCCCTGGCAATGGGACGCTGAGCACCTATAGCGCTGAGTTATTGCAGCAGCGCTTCACGGCCACTGGATTGTATAACCTCTGGCCACAGGCGTCCCTGCACACCCAATGGAATGGGACAGGAGTTATAGGCGATGCAATTTTTGACAGGTATTACTTCTCAACGGTTGAATTCTTCAATTCTGCTACGTACCAGCAGTCGACCGTCCAAGCTGCGGGTGCCGCCCTGCTTGACATCATCGGATCCCCAGTCATCCTCCTCTCACACTCCCAGGGTGGAATAATGCCTTGGCTTATTGCTGATATGCGCCCTAAACTCGTCCACTCCATTGTCTCGCTTGAACCAACTGGTCCTCCCTTTCAAGAAGCCATTTTTAGCAACACTCCCACGCGCGTCTATGGGCTTGCTGACATCCCCCTTACATACTTTCCTGCCGTGACTGACCCCGCCGTGGACCTCGTGAAACAAGTCATCCCGTCCAACACGTCGCTATACTCCGACTGCGTTATTCAGGCTGATTTGCCTCTACCCAGGAAGCTCATCAATCTTGCTCAAGTTCCTGTCTTGGTCCTGACGACTGAATCGTCTTATCACGCGCAGTATGACTGGTGCACCGTCCGGTTTCTGCAGCAAGCCGGCGTCTCAGTACACCATCTCCTGTTGGCAAATATCGGCATTCATGGAAATGGACATATGGTGTTCATGGAGAAGAATAGTTTGGAGGTTGCTGCTGTTCTTCAGAAGTGGATGGAGCGGATGTAATTTTGTGAGATGCGAAATTTTGTTAGGTAAAGCTGAATCGTAGGCAGCAAAGGGAAGAAGGGGTCTGGTCTTGAATACCGGCAAAATTGAATAGCGAAACATTAAGAATACAATATATAAATTAACACAGAGAGTAAATGGACAGGTCCTCTACTTGCTCTTTAGATAAAGGTCTTTATGGATCTCATGGTGTCACTGAATGCCAACTATATTGAGCCCTATATTACCCTGCAATATCGACAACTTGAAATCGTTCACTCTCTTTTGCCATGGTGATACGCCTGTGAGGGCTCGTTTCTCTTCATAATTGAGCTCTCTTTGCAAATATTCAACAACACTTTTCTTTCTCGGCCCATCAATCGCGAGAGATGAAGAATCTTTTCAATCTGAATGAATTGTGACTATCAAAGCTCAGACAAGATGTTTCCTAATTTACTACTTTTTCGAGAATTTGAGGTAAATTTAATTAGGGTATTTCGAAACTTTCTTTCTATTAACTGGCAATTGGCTTCGTTAACATCCAAATAAAGGATTTATCGCTCTTTTGAGAGCCTCCGATGCGTCGAAATCAGCGGGAACATTGATATGATCGTAATCTGTCGAGTGAAGAGTAGGATTAAATGCATGACCCATGGTCACTAAGTGAAGTTGATTTATGGTAAAAATAAGGTTTGATTCATTGGAAAGAGCTCATAACGTATTTCACTATCTTTCCGCCCACACCAACATTCCGCCCACCCTACCAACCACTACTTTTTGAAAACAATATTTTTCCACCATAACGCCATATATTTAATTCAACTATTTGCTAGGGCACTGGGTAATCTTATGCCCTATATTCCCACATCCAGAACACCGAAACACACGCTTGGTAGTAGGCTCAGCGCCTATAGTAGGCTGCTGAGCAAGCTCTGTATCATCGTTTTGAATAGCTTCAACGCTTGCTGGCAACGTTGAATCAAGAGATATAGATTCGCCGACCGTAGGATCTTGCTGCCTAGATATCTGGCGATTAGACCGTGTGCGTTTTTGACGCTTCTTCTCGTTGAATTAGCGTAAATCTTTAACTTCCTGTGCTAGAAGCGCTCCGCTATGCATCGCTAATTGGCACCCTTTTATCAATTGATCTAGCGCTCTCTCTGTAGGGCTTCCTGGCGACCGCGAGCGCTTGCCTAGTAGAGCTTTGATAGATAAAGCTTGCTTGCTAAGCTGCTTAATCGTATATAGCGTAGTAGGCACGAAAGCGCTACTCCTACTACTAGGCCTGCTTGCTGGTAGTGTAGGTGTTCGAAGCGATATATTAAGCTTCGATAGGACTCGGTCGGCATCTAGCGGAACTAGGCCGGCGCTGGCGAAGCTTGATTGTATAGTGCTAGGTAGGAAGGTTTCCTGGCGTGCTAGGGCGTAGGCTTCTAGGAAGTCGAGCTTGTCGATATGGTTATATCCTAGGCGAGTTTGAGCCTCAATTAAGCGACCGTATGAGCGTTTTAGGATAGCAAAACATCCTATATCTAGCGGCTGCAGAAGATGTGACGAATGCGGTGGCATACAAAGTGGTATAACGTTATTTTGCTGGCAGATTAGGTCGAATTGTGGTGTTAGATAGCTTCCATGACTATCTAGTATCAACAAGCGATATTTGCCTTGCGTACGACTAGTAGTTGCTGGTATAAATAGCTTCTCTAGCCAACGTAGGCCTATATCATCGGTAGTCCAACCGTTCGGTGATACTTCGATTCGCCAGTCTTTCGGTAGGTTATCAAACCAGCTAGCAATCCAAACCTTCCCTTTGAATACTATACACGGCGGAAGCGAGTAGCCGGTTGCCGATATAGATTCAATTGTTGATACCCACTCCCGATTTCCAGGTTGTAGTAGAGGCTTCCGACCGTAGAATTCCTTTCGTGTAACAATTTTAGCTGTAGATATAAGGCCTATTGCAAAGCTAGTTTCATCAAAGTTATAGATATCGTTTGATTGGATCCCGTTTTCATTAATCGTACGCTCTACTAGTCTAAACCACGCGCGTAGACTAGTAGGATCTTCGTTTTGTGCACGTTGATAGTCGTAGCGTTTAGAGAATCGTGTACGAAGCTCTGATCGTCGTTGAATATAGCGTGTTACCCAATTAATACCGATCGAAGAAGACTGGTTATCACCACGCGTTGCTAGTAGAAGATTTGCTATATCTTTAATATGCGAAGGCCTAGGGGAAGCACCACGCGTATCAAGCGATAGTATCCACTGGCAAAGCGAATCCTCTTCTTCTTGTGTCAATTTATAGCTATTTGCGCGTGTCTCCTGGCGATTTGACACGCCTAATATACGCGTCTGTAAGGTAGAACGGGGCACATTGTAAACTGTTGCTGCTTTGCGTATAGATAGGGTTGCATCATTTTGAATAGCTTTGATAGCGAGTAGTATCCTACCCTCCCTATCTGGCGATTTTGAGCGTTTTTCAGAACGTTTTGGTGGCATAGTGCATAGTGGAAGATAGTAGGTGGAAGATAGAAGACGCGTTTTGGATGGGGTGGCCAGCTCGCTAGTGTGGCCAGCTCGCTATTAGTGCCTTACACCGCCCCCCAACCCTTCCGGGTTGTGGGTGCGCCACACAGTAACCCAACTTCACACAGTAACCCAACATTTTTCCTATTTCCCCTATCTACTACTGCATCCCACTAGTATCTAGAAAGAAACCCTGCCTGTTCTGACGTGCTTCCTCTGCTCTATCTAACGATGCCTGGGATTCCTGTGTAGGTTCTAGTGGTGGTGATGTTCCATACGCTTTCTTCCACTGCTTCCTTACCCGCTTCCGCTCTGCCTCTGTTTCCTTCTCATTTCTTTTAGCAATAGAACGATTTGCATCTCTAATAGAGAGTACCCCTGTTTTGCTAAGCGGTGTTTTAACCTGGCGCTTGGTGATTGGGCGCTGTAGTGGTTGTTGAGCTTCCCTAATCTTGCGAATAGTATCGTTCGCTAGATTTAGGTTCTCTATAGCAATCTTGTTATGATGAAATAACCGGTCAAGATTGCGTTGCTGCCTAGGTGTAAGATCTTCTTGTTGATATCTAGCAATCTTCTTTTGATTCTTCTCTAGATCCTGTATAGATCTAGGCGGCGATTGGTCGATACTAGAAGAAGATATAGGTGGTGGTGAAGGTGTTGTATAAAGCGGTTGTAGATCTGGCGCTGTAAGATCTAGGTAATCTTGGATAGGAAGGCTATTAATAACCTTTCTACTATCGACTGGATAGATCCCTCGATCTTTAAACGATTCACGAATGATTCGCTGGCTAAACGCTCTATTCCGAATATCACCGATTATTCGAAGAAAATCTGATCTTCCGATAGGGCTTCCACCCCAAAACGCGTAGTCGTTATTCGCTAAGCGGAAGTGTTGCTTATAGCTTAGAAACGGTTTACCGTCTAGCGGCTGGCAAAGATGTGTAGTATGTGGTAGGAATCCTATAGGTAGGATATTATTCTCTTCGCAAAGGTGTAGGAATTCGAATGTAAGATGCGAACCGTGACCGTCGAATATTAGGATACGTTTTTCACCTGATTTCGTACGGTCGCATGTTGATTCTATAAAGAATCGAAGCTATTGAACTGCTATACTATCGGTTATCCAACCGTTTGGCGATGTAGTAATAGTAGTTCTTGGTGGTAGGTCGTCTGTTTGATTAAACCAAGATTCTATAAAGATACCGTTGCCTTTAAAGATAAACCAGGGTTCCATCTGCCACCCGTCGGCAGCTATACACTCGATAGACGTAATATTTTCGCCTTGGTCTGGCTGAGGAAGGTCTACTACCTTCCTACTACTACTAGTAGTAGTAGTAGATATAACGTTTCTAGACCTTCCTTCGCCTGGTTGAAAGCCGCATTCATCAAAGTTATAGACTAGACGTGCAGGCGTTGTCTTCTTGATCGTTTGGGCTAGTAGATCGTACCAGTGCTGTAATGCTGCTGGATCTTCTGCTAGTATTCGCTTTGATTCCTTCGTATACTGCTTAGTAGGCCCTAATTGAAGATGTTTAGGAAGCCTATTAATAAAGCGATACGCCCACATCTTGCTAACCGACGGCTTCCCGACGCGTTGGCATGCACGATTCGCCCACGCTTCTAGTATCCTAGGAGTGATAGGCATATAGCAATCGTTCATATGTTGAATCCAGCGAATCAAGGCTTCTTCTTGATAGGGTTCTAGGGCATAGCCAACCCCCTTTTTAGCATTCCTAGGCCCTGTTCCACGTTTAATGCGATCGTATAACGTATGTTTATTAACGCCATATTCGCGTGCTAAACGGGCGATATTTGGCTTCGCAACGCGTGATGCTGCTAGGCAGGCCTCAGCCATACGGGCTTCATCGAATTTAGGCATATTTTGATGGTGGTGTTGGATAGAGAAGTAAAAAATAGGGTGTTTAGGAAAATGTTGGGTTACTGTGTGAAGTTGGGTTACTGTGTGGCGCACCCACAACCCGGAAGGGTTGGGGGGCGGTGTAAGGCACTAATAGTGAATTACGTTAGTGATCACGCGATAATAGTAGTAATATATACCTCCTTAGGAATTGGTGAGTGTCATGCTAGGAAGATTAGAATATACAAACGATAAGCTAGAATAGAGTAAAAGAAATACATAGGAATTACGAACAGTAAATTATGATTAGTTAATCGAGGATGGAAAATTTTTTGAAGAAGACACAGATGAGCTACAGCCACCTGATGTGAAAATATAATTTAATTTTTCAATGCAAAAGGTACCGCTTCATCACCATTGACATCAACGATTATTTAAGATCATACAGGGTTATCATAGCGGCAGCTAATTTGATTTGGTCCAACGTTCTCGCAATACACGAGCAGCAGCTTTTGGACGTCGATCTCTGGTAAAAATACCTTTCTTATTCCCATCCACACGGAAGATCTGAGAAGTTGTCTGAAAATCGGCAAAGTTCCAGACGTGTTCTCCAACAACAGCGTCGATACGGTCATGAACGCGATGATACATCTCCAATAAGCGAGCTTGATACTCTTCGCTCCACGGAACCTCATTGACAGCATGGAGGCCTGATAAGCTGTCGGCGCCATATTCCGTGATGATTGTGGGTTTGCCAAATTTATGCTGCCAGCTGGACAACTCCTCATATAATGCTTCTTCTGCCAAGTCCAAATCACCAGTGTGTTTATACCAACCAAAGTAACGATTGAGACAGATCACATCGAACATATTGGTAATCAAATCTCGGTCCACTGGGTTGAATGCCATATTAGCGAAACATATCGGACGGCTTGGATCGAGTTTCCGCGTAAGTTTGACCAAAGGATCGAAGTACTCTACCGCCCCAATTTCACCAGATGCTGGTTCATTCGCGATCATCCAGAGTACCACACATGGATGATTCTTATCGCGAGAGATTAGTTCACGTAGCGCCTGTTTATGGGCATTCTGAGTGTGCTCATTGATAGTGTCCGGTGAAAATGTAGGCGGTGCTTTGTTTCCGAGAATACCCGCGACAATAGCCAGGTTCAGTCCCACCGCAGCTGTTTCGTCGATCACCACGATTCCATGTCTGTCGGCATAATCCAATACTTCTTCCGCATAGGGATAATGTGACGTCCGGAAGGAGTTGGCTCCGAGCCATTTCATAAGTTGGAAATCGTGGACCATATAGGCGGGATCGTGCCCCTTTCCACGGATAGCCAGGTCTTCATGTTTTCCAAAGCCGGTGAAATAGAATGGCTTGTCGTTGATCAAAAATTGCATACCAGAGACCCTCACGGAACGTATCCCAGTTGCCACTCTGTAGACGTCAAGCACTTCGTTGTCACCGCTGTTCAGGAGCTCAACCTGGAGTTGATAGAGGTACGCTGCACCGGGCTGCCACAGGTGAGCAGAATCAACATCAAGGCGGTTTTGTCGCCCACTGCTCTGAGCTACAACTTGTCCCTCCTCATCAATCAAGGAGATGCGGAACTGCTCTGTGGATAGAGTTTCACTGGCAATGATTTGATAATTGACGATACCCTTTGTTTGGGAGACATCGGTGGTGACCGTGACATCTTCAATGTGCAACATCGGGACTGAATAAAGCCATACCGATCGCGCCAGACCAGCATAATTGTAGAAGTCATGTTGATAATGCTGCTTTTGCTTTCCGTTGGCTAGTGTCTCGACTTTGCCTGGCGGAATAGTTTGGTTGGTAAGGACATTGCTGACAGCAATAGTCAGGCGAAACTCCTCCCCTGCAGCAACAAGATGGCTTATGTCCACCTCAAATGGGGTGTAGCCACCACTATGCTCAGTCACAAACTGGGAATTTACAAAGACACGGCCATGATGAGTGGCTGAGTCCACGCGAATAAAGTATTTCCCGCCCGTCCAGCCTCGCGGCACCCTCACGAGACGCTGGTAGTACACCCAGCCCACATGGTCACGAATCTTCGTATCGACGAAGATATCATTGTAACTGGCTGGCACGGGTACCTGCAGCTCAGGGCGAATAATCCGGGTGCAGATGTCATCTGAATCGGTATCCAGAGACCCAAGAGCAAAGTTCCAGATGCCATCCAACGAGATGAGCTCTCGGGAAGCAGTTGCCTGTGGTTTGAGCATCCTAGAATTCAACGAAATGGCAATAGCTGTTCAAATGCTTTATAATTAGGACTATCTGCATCGGAGAAAAAGGCTTTAAGTAATTGTGAGACCGGCAATTCATAGTTGTCGACTTTGTCGGCTTTTGAATCCTGGGGATAAAAGTATGTGGCGTCGACATTTACGACGCCAGCTCGGATATTCCGAGCATCCGAGTCGGGATCCCCAGGTACCCCGACTTTCACAACAGATTGTCGCAACAGATAGTCCCTTTCATCACTATGGGCTTTTTGCATGGTAGAAAACATTTGCGCCTAGTACAGAATCGCAATCCACTACTTGTACGCTCACATCATTTACTATATCTTGCAAACACCCACAGCCCAGAATAACGACAGAAGCCTCTTTCTCGGGAATTGAGTGTTGCTCGGAGAAACGTTGTGTCCAGTGTCCTCTTCCCAGCACGGAAATGCCGAACTAAAATCCGCTTTCTATTGGTTAGATTCATACATAGATCTGGTGGAACGGCCATCGGCTATTGAGCAAGAAGTGAGGTAGGGTAGGTTATGCCACAAGGATTTCCCCATGGGGTCGGGTTTTGGATAATTACTCCTGGGTCTCCCGAAATTGTATAAATCCAGCCCTTGGAAGCAGCAAGAGTTTGATGTGTCTCAACCCGCTGTTCACTTTCCCCTACTACACTTTTTCTAAGCTGTTGTCCCAAATTAACTTACGCGCCATATCATTTATGACAGGATGTCCGAAACGAAAGACTCCGAACACAATGCAACAACTCATATAGAAGATGGGAGTACTCTTCCTGTAACCAAAGAGGAATTTCAAGATGCGTTACAGGAACTCAGTGATAGCGAGATGGCTATGAGCACTTGGCAGGCAGCCAAGGCCCACAAACGCATTCTTATGTATTGTAAGCTTCCAAAATCTGAAATTCTGGCATATTATGGAGCGTCGTGCATTTTAAACCCCCCAGAGTAGACAACTAATCTCTCATGTATTAAGCTATGGTCCCATTTCTTTGCGGAATGGCATATGGGTATGATACTGTTGCGAGCAGTTCAACTATTGCGATGCCCTCCTTTTTACTTTCCTTCGGAGCAGTGAACCCGGAGACTCACTCGCTTTATGCCCCCTCAATTTGGAGTGCTTTGTGGACTGCAATGGCCAATCTTGGACAAGCGATTGGATCATTTGCTATCGGACCCTTGGCTGAGTGGATCGGGCGTCGGTATGCAATCGTGTTATTCGCTGTGCTCTCGTGTGCTGGCGTCGCTGTTCAGTTCACAGCAACCACCCGGTGGGCTCTTTTAATTGGAAAGATGCTCAATGGAGTTTGCAGTGGTGGTATCATGGCTTGTGGAACAACCTATGCAGCCGATGTTAGTAACCTTGCTCTTTTGCTCCCGTATCTGCTTTACGCATCCCCCTTTGATCGCCTGGCTCGGCTATCATGTCAAGACGAAGCTAAGATTCTTTTCTCAGATTGCTCCTGTCAAGTTGCGAGGGCCAATATTGCAGGGTATTGTTTTATTTACTGTCGCCATGCAGGGCACTGCTCTTGGGATTGTGCGATCAATGGTCACCAATACAGCGCCGATCGCTTGGAAGGTCGTGTTTGCCATCCAATGGCCTGTAGCTGTCTTGCTGTTTTCTGCCCTGTGGATTCCTGAGTATGTCAAGACTCTCATCGCTAACCTCCATTGGCTGTCAACTCTAAATCTCTAAATCAAATATTAATTCAATTCTGACAATTCATCAGGTCTCCGGGGTGGCTCATCTCCCAAGGAAAACCTGAAGCGGCACGCCGCTCACTTATCCGACTATATGGCCAGAATGACACTATCGATCTTCGACTTCAATCTCTCCAGAATGTCCTCGCTGCAGAAAGAGCACTTCAGACCCACGATAAGCCATCCTTCGTCGAATGCTTCAGGCCCGCCAATCTCAAGCGCACGCTCACAGTCTGCCTGGTCATGTTCGGCACGGGCCTTCTGGGCGTCTCATTTTTGAATCAGAATACTTATGTCCTTCTTACACTTGGTCTTCCTGCCGTACATGCTTTTGATATCGGGGTCGGCGGCTTCTTCCTTGCCTGTGTAGTGATTGTGATCTCCTGGCTTTTCACCGACGCCATTGGCCGCCGCCGGCTATGGCTGATTGGTGTCACCGGTACGATCCTGGGAATGGCCACGATCGGAGGTCTGGCATATGTCAAAAATACAGCTAGCCTGTGGGCCATCGCTGTGGTCATGTAAGACATTCATCTTTCTTTGCCTTGCGATTGAATACCTCTGTTCTGGTTGTGCCTGCCAAACTTAGAACAACTTGTTAATCTCATCCCCTCACAGGAATCTTCTCATCCCATGGCAGGTCTACACTTGCACCGGTATGGCTTGGACAATGACCCCGGAAATCTCGTCGTCTCGCCTTCGACAGCATACCCAATCCATAGGGTTCCTAGTCCAGGCGGTATCAAGCTGGGTTTTCCATATGATCGTGCCATATATGTATAACACCGATGCTGGGAATCTTGGTGCCAAAACGGGGTTTGTTTTCGCTGGTCTCAGTGCCGTTTTGCTTGTTGCGTCGTGGTTTATGATCCCCGAAACGGCTGGTAAATCTGTAGAGGAGATCAATATGGCCTATCAAGAGGGTGTTACTCCACGGAAGTTTGCCAGCTTCCAACTGAGCCCTGAGTCATGAGTGGTGTTCACGATGTTGACAGATGGTTTTCAAAGAACGAGAAGATTCAATTCAGACGTAGGCGGGAGGTGATAAAGAGCAGTGGGAAGACCGAATAGGGGTTCAATCTCGGCACGCCTTTTTTTGACGGGGCTCCAGTCACTTGCTTTTACAACCTTTACAACTAAGAACCCGTTATGAAGCGACTCAGACCTAACTCCCGCAACGTAAGCTTTGATACGTAATAATCTGCATGCTTTTTTGAATTTAGTTGTAAATCTAAAGATGTATACCCGCGTTACAGGTATACTGAAGGGCAGAAAAAGAATGAGAAGCCCGCAATCCTAACGAATAGCCATAAGGCAGGTTTTAGAAGGGATAATAATGCAGCTAGGTCAGGCAAGGTCGAAAGTCCAATCATAATCATAGCATGCGCAGTCCCCAGATGTCTTCTTTTCAGTCCCCGGAGCCCCCGGCTACAATCCCTCAGAAAAGAGGCATCTTCGGGGAGTGCTAAACCAACTTGATCTAGTGGATATTGGTACGCGACGTGAACTTCAAGATAGGCGCTTATGGAACCAACGCTCAAAGCATAAGCTCCACAATTGTGGCTGGGAGAGCCGCCATTTGCTTGAACGCGATATGCGGGATGGCCCGGATAGATATGCAAGATAAGATAAGAACGCCTGGTGTTGTTTGTGTTCGGCAGGGGCTAGTGCCTACAATTTATCCCCAATGCAGACATGCTAATTAAACATTTCATCCGCTTTAGTCTTGGCTCATCTGGAGTCCCCGCAGATATCTCGCTTCGCTGGAACCTAATGAAGGTGATATTTCTTATCTCTCTACTATGATAACGACAGATATGAATTTGATGGCACTAATTGTATTAATAACATCGTGGTATTACACCCTAGTATAAATATATAGTGAGATGAGAATCGCATCCGAATCACAAGGAGCACAGAATGAGAACCGCCGCTCGCTTTAGCCCGGCAGCTCTGCTGTCTCTGCTGTCCACAATCGTTGCTGCTTCTAGTACCCTCAAGGGCCAAACCATTGAGGTCAACGGCAATTCTTACTATGTGTCGACGACTGCGGTGACAACTCTCGAGATTCCTAGTGGCCAAGTGCATCAGGACAATGGCCTCCTCCCACTCACTGTTATTCGAAGTGATGTTTCAAAATTAACGACCGCGGTTATCAAGGACATTGTCAATGCCTACCAGACGAACGACGATGTTTTCAACACTGGCTTCCTTGAAAGTAGGCAATCTCTTCACCTAGTTACCAGTCGAGCAAACACATAGCTAATTGAATTAGACATCTTTGTCACATATAATGGCACTGGTAAGAAGCCAACCGAGAGTGTCGCTCTGCCTTCCGGTTGGGGGAACAAATTTCTTGGCTTCTCTGCCGCATATAGCACAAAGAAGGCAACCACCTCCTCGAAAAATATCCCCCCCGGGCCGTACTTCTTGGACGCGGCTACTGGGGAAGTGTTTGAGGCCTATTTACTGTACTCTGATGTGATGGGATCCTTCACTCAAGGTTTATATGCGGTGGGGGATGGCTCCTATGACGTACTCCCAGCGAGTCTCCAAGGATACGCGTCCCTAACGATCGGCGTTCCATCTCGCCTATATTTCACCAAGACCAAAAAGCAGCCTCTGGCAGGAGTACGTCTTGGTGTGAAGGACCTGTATGACATCAAGGGTGTCAAGACTGGCTGCGGAAACCGCGCCTATTACGAGACATATGCCGCTGCCAATACCACTGGCCCGGCTATTCAGTCCTTGATCGACGCTGGCGCAGTCATTGTAGGGAAGATGAAGACAAGCCAGTTCGCCAATGGCGAGACTGCCACCGATGACTGGGTTGATTACCACTCCCCGTTTAATGCGCGAGGAGATGGATACCAGGATCCTAGCTCATCCTCTTCCGGCCCTGGATCTGGCATTGGGGCGTATCCGTGGCTGGATATTGCTATTGGCAGCGACACCGGTGGCTCCATTCGTAACCCGTCTCAAGTGAACGGCTGTTTTGGAAATCGCCCATCTTGGAACCTCGTGTCGCTAGACAATGTTATGCCCATGTCTCCTCTCCTCGACACTGCTGGATTCCTCACTCGTGACGCAAAATTGTGGCAAACTGCGTCCGAGGTGCTCTATGCAAGTGCTAACTTGAAGTCCTACACCAAGTACCCTCAAACCATTAAAACGATCGGCTTTCCTACCAGCTCTTCTACAGAGGCTTATGGTATTCTTCTTGACTTTGTTTCCAGCCTCTCCTCCTTTCTAGACGACGCCACTGTGTCTACTCTGGACTATGATACCCTCTGGGAATCCACCAAACCTTCAAGCGTGTCCGCTGATACGACGCTGGAAACCATGTTAAACATCACTTATCCCATTCTCATCTCGAAGCAGCAGTACCCTCGCGTCGCCGAACCACTCTATACCGACTATGCTGCCGCAAATGGTGGTCGCAAACCTTTTATTGACCCTGTTCCTCTATCTCGCTGGAACTGGGGCTTGGAATACCCCGAGTCCCAGCTGCAGACCGAGATCCAGAACAAAGATACCTTTACGGCCTGGTGGAACAGTACAGTCCAAGTCTTCGACTCAGAAACATGCTCAGACAGTATAATTTTATATGTGGGTACGGCTGCGACGCCAACATATCGGAATGTGTATCGCAGCATGCCCGGCATCCCAAGCGGATTCTCGACCTCTCGTATTGCGAACTTTGCAGGTGTTCCTGACATGGTCGTGCCCAGTAAGTTTGCCCAAGCCTGGACACTACTAGATTAAAGCCTCTTACAACGTACTGACTATGGTTGAATTAAAGTTGGCCAGGCGAAGTACAATTCGAGCATTACGGGGCAGGAGGAGTATCTGCCTGTGGCTGTGGACTTTATCGCGCCCCATGGCTGTGATCTGATGATCTTCAACCTTGTGAACGAATTGGTGGCGGCGGGCATTGTTCAAGAGCCCGTTACTGGCTCGACCCTCTATGGCGATGGGACAATTTATTATCACTAGATTCAAAACCTGTCTACATATAGAATTTACTACTTATTTTATTTACATGATGCGATGTTAAGTAGTGTACGTAGAATGTCTTGCGATTGCTTAGTCTGAAATATATGAATGCTTGCTAGGTAGTACATACCCCAGTCTTCCACGTCTATCGGGCCGGTACAAAACCAGCTCTTTTTCAAAAGGTACACAAAAGTCATAAAAATTTTTGTGTCACTGTGCAAACGCGTTGTTCGTCGTTACTAAAAGTATTAGCGCTTGCAGAGCTTTTTTGTTGCGAGATCTATAGTTTCTATCTGGTCGTTATGCTTTAAGTACGAAGAGCACACCCCCGAAAATGTTATCTCAACATGATATTCGAGATTTCCTAGGACTGGCTGACTCATTTATTTGACACCTGTTTAAACGGCCGGGTTTCTTGTTTCAACTATTGACATAAACAGGGTTGAGAAGATCGATGTGCTAATGACGCGCATGGGTAGCCTCGGCGGTAGCGCCTGTTGACTCACCTCGACCCGTGCGCAGAGGACATGTCTTTCTCACCACGGAGGGAGACACTCTATTTTTTTCAATATCCCCAAATTTATCGCGATAATCAACCATATATGACTGATTCACCAGTTGATTTGGCGTTTCCAAGCTAGGGCTCTACAGCGGGGCATCTCCCCCTCGCTGCTCCACCCGAAGAATTTCTCCAGAGCTCCCGTCCGCCACAGCGAAACAAACTCCCCGTCTCCAACCTCCACCCCTATCATCTACCTTCAACGTTTCTTCATCCACAAAATGCCTATCAGGTGAGACACATTGGATCCATGAAGAATGCTTCGGGCAGAGAATTGACCTCTTCAGCTATCTGATTCTGCTGTCCCGTCAGGGCAAAGTGGTATGCGCTCGTCACCCACCCCGTTTCGCCGCGACTGCAAGTTTCCCCCGACGCTGACACAAATTTCTCTCCTGCGCAGCGACTGGCCAAGTGGTTCACTACCCTCTCCCCCAAAGAGAAGGCCAAGATTATCAAAGATGTGACCCAACTGGTGCTGTCCCGCCGCACGCGAATGTGCAATTTCCTCGAATACAAAGGTGGCTTCTTCTTCCGTCCTCCGGGCTGCCCATAACATCACAACCAACCCCCTCAAGACTCCCTACTTCGGCTGGTTCCTTCATCAAAAACAAACCCCGTTGCTGACCCTTTTCACTTGTCTGTTATTAGACTCGAAAGTTGTCTATCGTCGCTACGCCTCCCTTTTCTTCATCGCGGGCTGTTCCTCCACCGACAATGAGTTGATCACCCTCGAGATCGTCCACCGCTACGTTGAGCAAATGGATAAATATTACGGGAACGTGTGTGAGCTGGATATCATCTTCAATTTCCAAAAGGCATATTTCATCCTCGATGAGCTATTACTCGCGGGCGAGATGCAGGAGAGCAGCAAGAAGAATGTCCTTCGATGCATCAGTCAACAGGACAGCCTGGAAGATATGGAGGTGAGTCCGACCTTTGATTCTCCCCGCGTGCCTCTCCCCTTTGTGTTTTCTGGAATCTTCGCGGAAGACACTTGTCTCTCCGATCGATGGGGTCCTGCCTCTCGGCGCAAAGTGGCCCGAAGCAGGGCTCATGGGACTCTTTCTTCCGGTTTCCCGCCTAGTTTTTTACCTACGATTACCCTGCTCCCTGTCCCTCTCTCTTTCCAGGTGCAATCGGGCTAATGCTCTCTGCCCCCTCCCAGGTTGAGGAAGATGTGGTCACCAAGATCATGTAGCGATCAAGGACTGGGGATATTATTTCGTTGTTTTCTTGTTCTTTTCTTCTTGGCTTCGCGATCTTTCTTTTTGATTTTCTGTGATGGTTTCTTTGGCGTAGCGTGTTTTCATACTAATCAATACCAACTTCCGCTTTCAGGACTCAGAAGACCTTGCGCGCAACTTGAGCCGAGCCGGGCTATAAGGAGGTGAAGAATGAGGGTCTGAGAGGGGGAAGTGGGAAGACAGCAAATGGACCACTGCTGTCTCCGATGAGCCCACGAGGCCTGCGAGAGGGTCTATGATCGAGTCCTTCCTGAAATGCAGCGAGCCAAACCCATGGAACCGCTCACTGCCCAACCCGTGAAGTCACTGCGGACTCTCACTGGCTCCGGTCTGCCACGTGACCACCCCGGTCGCAACGCATCACTTCCCCTCTTCTTGCGATGCGCTGCGCTCTCTGCCTCCGACCTCGTTATATCTTCTTTTCTCCATCTCTCGACTCCTTTAATTCCTCGTCCCCTCGGGTTCTGCTTTGGCTCTGCTGTAGCCGGGTTGTCTCCTTCCCTTATCTGTGCCTGCCTGCGGCTATCGCCGATCGGCGACATCATCTCCGTCTCCGGCGCGACCACCTCGCGTCATCATCCATCACTTCACCTCCGGCGAAGAAACGGTCGTCTTATCTGAGGACGCCAAAGCGCTTCGATTCCTCTGGGCCCGCTGATTCAACCATTGACAACAATTCATAACCTTCTCAGGATGAAGGTTAGTTGACAGCCACCTGTGTCATACCCACCCCCCTGGTCTCCATGGCGATCAGCGCACCCTGTCCATATGTGTCTCTACAATCGCATTTACTCACAATTTGCCCTCTTTGGTTTAGTTTCTTCCTCTACCCGAGTTCGAGGATGTCACAAGTTCTTTGAACTTCGACACGGCGGATTGTCATATCGTGGGGGGTGCGATTTGTACACAACGAAAGCCGCCCGGTCGGATCGGAAACTCTACAATCATATCGAGCAATCACTGGAAGCCCAATATGAATCGATTCTCCGACTCTCTGCATCCTTGTCTCCACCAAATGCCCATGATGCAGCTGAGACCCTGAACCTCTCCCGATCGAGTCCTTTTGGCCCCCTGAGCGAGCATTCCAGTCGACGGACCTTTGCTTATTTGATCGCCACACTCAACGCCAGTCACCCGGACTACGATTTCTCCCACGTCTTGCGGCCCACGGATTTCCGTCGTGAACGACACCTCAAGCGGGTCATGAACACGGTCAACTCCACTCTCTTCAACCTTCGCCCCCGCGAGTCGATCGATCTTTCCCCATCATCGCCCGCAACCCTGTCCGGATCATACAATGGCGGTGCCCCAACCTGGGGCCCCCGGATGTGGAGAATTATGGATGAACACATGTCCCTCAAGGAGTGTTCCGTCTACTCTTACTCCCCGGAGGAGGACCCATCCGATGCCGATGACGGAGCAATCTGGAGTCTCCACTATTTCTTCTTTAACCCACTCCGCAAGCGTGTCTGCTATATTTACCTCCGCGCGATCCCCATCCTCAGCCACACCCCGCCCGACGAGACCGATATGGCCTCCACTCCTACCGGCAAGCGCACCTTCGACGACGGCTATCTCACACCTGACCTCAGTTCAAGTAAGCGAGCCCGGTATTGGCTCGGAAGCCGCGCGGAATCTTCGCTCCATCACAGCGATAGTGCGGAAGACGACGACCATTACATGTTCAGTGACGAGGAATTACGCTCTCGCTCCGGTAGCAAGGGCATGGTGCGGGCGATGAGCGAGGAAATTGCAGACTCCATGGAAGTTTAAACAGAGGGTTTATTTGAGAATACGTCTACGCTTTGCTTTCTTGATCTGTTTTCTATTATTAATCTTATTCACCCGTTGATCGGTGATTTTGTCGTTTGTTTCCAGCTCGGGGCGTTTGGGTCAGGGATTCGGTGATGGGCTTGTGGCACAATTCAACCTGCATTATTTCTTTTTCAGCCACAAGGGGCGTTGACGACAAAGACTGACATGACCTATTTACCCCCATGGTTTCCCTCTATCTCTTTGTTTTCGTTCTCCTTCTGTCCATACTTGTTTAATGACATATTTTCTTCAATATGGACCTGCTGGCATGCTTTTTGCCTTTTGATCTGCCTTTTGGAACTGTAATTGAAACCGTAACAGCTGTATTTAGTAGACGGAAGATATCAACGAAGACGAAATGTCAATGAGGCTCTGGAAGAGTGAATATCATGGCGGGGACTGGCTTCAATGCGGTGTGGACTGCATTACTGCGGCGTGCTGAACTCCCGTCTATGTAGACATAAATCTCGGTTCAGACTGATGCAAGGATGTTTCCTTCTTAGCTCGTCTCCAGGCCTCTTAATCTGGCGTGTCTGTAACCCCGTACTCGCTTCTCCATCAATGTACTCCGGGCAAAATACGGAGAACAGTGACTTGCGGTACTTACATCGGATGTGGTCCGTGCGCGCAATGGGGAAAGCTGTCCATTCTCCGTCGCCTTCCACTTCGTTCACCACTCCACGCCCATTGATACTCTCTCGAACTATTCATAATGGCTGACGAGGAGGAGCGCGTCAAGGCTGAGAAGCTGGCTGCCGCCAGGAAAAGGGTATGACCGTCCAAGATATGATGGACGATCCTGGCATTCTCTAACATAATCATTGTTTTGCAGGTAGCCCAGCTCCAGAAGCAAAAGAAGAAAGCGAACAAGAAGGCCGCTTCCACAACAGACGCAACCAAAGATGCCGAGGAATCGAAGGAGTCTGAACCTACGGAAGACCCTACCGCTGCCGTCGAGACTGCCCCTCCAGCTGACGGCCCCGCCGAAGAGAAGCTGCAAGACGAGACGTCCGCAGAGACGACGAGTCTAGAGCAACCGGCCGAGCAAGAATCACAAGAACAGCCTGCTGAGCCTGCCGAACCTATTGAGTCTCCTGTCGAGCCTATGCCCCCTGCCCCGACCTCGCCTGATCCAGAGGCGGATCCGCAACCCGCGCGTCTGGATACCCCTCGAGCCAGCCATGGCCGCCAGCCCTCCTTATCGATCCAATCGAAGATGCGCTCATCATCATTCCGCAAAACTTCCGTCTCGCAGGGTAGTGCTCCTCCGTCTGCGTCGTCCCTTAAATCCCCGCCGCAGTCACTACCGCCCCTAACAGGGGACGGAGAGTCCGTCCATGAGGTGTTCCGGAAGCAATCAACCAAGATCGAGGAGCTAGAGAAGGATAACAAGCGCCTGGAAAAAGAGCTTTCCGAGGCGACGACCCGGTGGCGCAAGACCGAAGACCAATTAGAGGATCTGCGCGAGGCGAGTGTAGATGGCGCGGAATTAAGGGAACAGTTGAAGAAGGCTGAGGAGAAGGCAGCAAGCCTTGAGTCATTGGTACGATTATAATTCACTGGGTCTCTGGGGATGAATTCTGGCTAACTTGCATACAGAAAGAGGAGGTTGCCTCACTGCAACGCCAAAACTCTCAGCTGAAGTCTCACTCTCACCGCAATAATGCTAACGCTTCTACACCGGGGATGTCGGAATCACCGCCTGCGGATTTGGTACGTCAATTAGAATCCAAATCAGCTACTATTGAAGCTATGGAATTGGAGATCTCCAATTTGCGCGCCCAGGTCACGTCGCAAACTTCCTCGAGCAGCGCGCACGAGACCCAAGTCGCCGCATTGGAGGAAAAGGTCTCACAGAGCCAGTCCGCTCTCGAGCGATCCCAGCGTGAACTGAGCGACGCTAAACAAGCACTTACCCGAGCATCGGAGAAGGCCGTCAAAGAAGGCGTGGACAAGACCTCCACCGACTCTCTGATCAAGTCACTGCGGCGCGAGGTCGAGGAGGCCAAGAATGAAAAGGGTGAGGCAGAAAAGAAGATTGAGACTTTGGACAAGAAACTCCAGGCTCTGGGTAATCTCCACAAAGAATCCGAGACTCGGCACAACGTCCGGCTCCGCGAGAGCGAGAAGTCAGAGAAGGAGACAGCCATACTTCGGAAAAAGATAGCCAGCATAGAGACCGAGAACCTCCGCCTGCGCGAGGAATGCGATCGCATTCGCAAGCGTGATGCTGGCGGCGTGGATGATGACGCCCTCGACGAGCTCGAAGACGAGGAGCGACAGCGCCTCGAGCGCCGCATCCGCGATCTTGAAGGTGAGGTGTTTGATCTGCGCCGCGGCGTCTGGCAAGAAAAGCGCCATGAACTGGCTGGCCAGGACTTCGCGGACGATGGTGCCGATGCCGCGGGCGACGCCGCGGCTAATGCTTTCGACGACGTCGACCTAGTTGGCGGCCGCCCGGATCACTCTCGCCGCCGAAGTATGGCACAGCAGCAACACTCGTCCTTCTCGACAGTGTTGTCAAGCGGCTTCGCGGCGTTCACAGGGACCGGAAACCGCTCGCGCGCTGGCTCGTCGAACCCACCACACCCCCATGCCCCTGCGGCCCGGGGCAGCCTCGAACTCTTGTCCGAGGAGAACTTGGAGGACGAATTTGACGAGGCGGAATTTGCGCGTGCCCAAGCGGAAGAAGAAGCTCGGAAGCGGGTCGAGTGGATGCGTGATATCAAGCGAAAACTGCGGGACTGGAACGGCTGGCGCTTGGATCTGGTTGACAGTCGGGCTGGAGCGGAGGGGCCTGGATTGGCTCTGGGTCAAATCTTTGAGGTTTGAAGAAGGGACGGCACATTAGCCTGTTTGTTTATTGCACGCAGCTGAGCTCCTGGGGAGCCTGGGGGTGGGGGAAGGAGGCTTGAATTAGGGCTGGAGATGGCGTACTCCTTGTTATATATACCACGATCTTGTTATCAATCCAATATTTCTATCAAATCATGTATGAAGCACCGACTTCATAATATATTTCATTTCAATCCAAGGCTGAAGCAGCATATGGATATAATCCAATGGCTTGCCTGGCGACGTCATTTGCATTCAACATTGGCTACCAAATATACGGTATATATTGAACTACGATGCCAAGCTAAAGATCTTATGGAAAAAGTAGATGCTAGTTATATTCCTAAACGCATGAAATGCAAACTTAAAAACGTAAAAAACCAAGAAATGTTTCAAAAACTCCAATTAATCCGAATAATGCTTCCCCGTCAAGACGCCCTCCGACTGCCTTCTTCTCTTGCCCACGAACTCCCCAGCCCACCCCGACATCTGATACAGCCAGCCGCCAGTCACCAACACGCCGGACACAACGTTGATCAGCCGGAGCATCAGTGCCAGGAATCCTGTTCGCTCTTCGCTGACCAGCAACAGAATCGGCTCGATGTTGTACTTGAAGAAAATGCCCGGGACCAGGTACGGTACCTCCGGGATTGGACCCGACTGGCTGGTCGCTGCATACTGGTTCGTGAAAATCGTGTTGCGGCCGTACCGGGCGGCGTGGCTAGTAGGATCAACGGTGTAGGCGTCGAGGGCGCTGCGTCCCTTGGTATATAGAGTTGGCACGACGGAGAGGAAGTATTGGAATTTGTGGTAGTGAGCTTCAGTCTCGGCAATGGTTTTATCCAGCGGATTGAGTAGACTGGGATAGTGGGGACCGAAGGAGAGTTCGGTGATCATGTGGGAGAAGTTGAATGCTGTGTTTGAATTCTTGTTAGCACACCATTTTCTCTCTTGCTATGCCGAAACGTGGATAGATCGTGTTGGATGGAAGGGCGTTATGTATAGATCAAGGGACTAGGCAAAAAGTCCCATTGAGCCGAACGATGACCACCTAGCCGAGCTTGGACGAAAGGCGAGGCCATAGAATAAAAACAAGGGTAGGTAGGAAAGGGAAATGCCATACTAGAGTGATCCAAATGCTCCCCAAGCTCGCGATACCCGTGCCCGCGTGCGGTAAGCTGGAATTCGCCCTGCACCTTATTCCCCTCCAGGCTTCCATAGATCCGACAAGCATCCGACTTCTCGCCCCAGCGCATGCGGGGACCCTTCGCAAACTTCCGCCGTGGGTTGTGTCGCACTTCTCCCAGCACGTGGTGCACATGGGCGTCGGCTTCGCGCTCGCTGACCCGATCGTCCGCCTCATGGTTCAGCGTTTGATACTCGTGCGCGCCGTCGTGTGTTTCGTAGTTGCGTTTCTGCATCCACAGCTGCCACGATGTTTCTTCACGCTTCAGCAGTTCGCCGGCGAGGATGCGATCACCGGCGCCGTCTTGGATGTTGACGCGCAGCGTATCGCAGGGCATGTGCACTACCATGTCGAGATTCAGTTGCAGCTCGTGCGAGACGCCCTTTTCGACACTAAAGTGATGTTGTTCGGTTCCGCGCCACCATGTTTTCAGCTCGGACAGGCTGAACAGCGTGCAGATGGCGAGGATCAGGACGGTCCACTGGCCGCCACGGTGGCTTGGTGTGGTGTATGAGGCTTTGGTTTTAGCTATGAGGAAGACGAGACTAATTAGTTTAAGGTAAAATCTTGAGCTGAAAGGGATAGGCAGCATAGAATGTGTCTAGAGGGTATGCGAGGGTCCATTGGTGCAGTTTGGTTCCTGTTCCTGACTCGGCGCGTAGGCATATATACTCACGGAAAGCATCAAAGGTCTTCAGTCCTGACAGGGTGCTCTTCTCTCCGAAGGCATCCTCGTCGAGACCCTTAGCTTCAAAGCCATTCATTGCGAATCAGCGGGGCCCACGGCGACATGAATGGAGCGCAGAAATGTCGCCAATGGCAGAAGGATGGAAGAGGAGCTCGGGAGTGGAGTAAAGTTAGATAAGGCGGATGAGGCCAAGTAGACCGATTGCCCGCCATTTGCCAGTTGACCCCACTCGTGCCCGGCGGCGGATCAACAACAGCGTCTACTACTCGGTATTGACAGGTTTCACTCGCTGTCTTGGCTACAAGTAATGCTCAATTTTGAATTTGAATGTCTTGATATTCGATATAATGGTAAAAAGTGTATTTGATTGCCAGGCGAAATGCTCTACAGGAGCGCCCACCGGGTCGTGAAGCCCTCTAGAAGAGATGCAAGGAAATAAAAGAAAAAAAAAATGTACAAATGGCAGGACCGAAAGCGGCCCTGATGGGGAGTCATCATATAGCGAAACGAGCGTGAAAAAAAAGAGGGACATGTACGCAATAACCCTTTACAAATAATCATATCAGGGCCCAGATGCAAATGCTGTCAACGAACATAACGGGTATAGGATGGATGCCGTCCATTTTTCATCTCCGTGGGTTCACCGAACCAGATCAACATATGCTGACATGAAAAACCACCTGATGCATGGGAATCAAAACCAAAAGAAAACACAAAATAAGCAATTATGATTACAGGGCATGGGGGGATGAGAAATAAAGGTAGCAAGGTATTTGAGGGAGGGGGTGAGGCAAAGATGGATGCATTATTTGCTCCTCTGTTGTTGGTCAGCGTGATTGATTCCGGTCTGGTTTCAAGTGGCTCCATCGCAACTCACTAGGCTGGTCGCAGCCGCCGCGGTGGCGAGGTCTGGCTTTCCACTAATACTTCGCGCAGAGGCACGAGGCAGACCAGTTCCGGACGTGGTAGAAGTGTTAGACGCTCGCTTAGCGGGGCTGGACGGCGGCAGACCGGTGATAGTCGAGTGACGTTTCCCTACTCCCTTGATGGGGGAAGTGCCAGAGGCATCACGAGTGCGAGTGCTCTTCAGACTGGCACTTGGAGGTTCGGGAAGTGGGCGGGCATTCGACGTTGTGGTGGTTCCTCGCTTAGATGGAGAATTGAGCGCAGCATACATGCGCGGCCGGGTGATGGGCTTGATTCCGGTGATGAACTCGTGCTTCAGCGCCTCGTGGGGTGATATTCGGCGAGTGGGGTCCCAGCGGAGGCAACGAGTGATGAAGTCCAAGAATGCCTCATCGTCGCACTTCAAAGCTTGACGGAGTTCTTTGGAGCTTGGGCGACGGCGACGACCTTTGGATGAAACAGTCAATCGGGGCTTGCCCAGCGAATCAAAGAACAGCTTCTTGCGTGTGCTCTTCTCAATCAGGTGCTTCTCGGGCGGACCGAAAACTTCCATGATGCATGCCAGCTGCTCCTGCTCATTCTCGCCCGGGAAGATCGGATAGCCTGTGAAAAGCTCTGCCAAGATACATCCCAAACTCCACATGTCGATGGGCATGCCGTAAGACATTCCAAGGATGACTTCCGGGGAACGGTAGAAACGACTCTGAATATAGGTGTAGACCTTCTCGTTCTCAAAGCAACTCGATCCAAAATCAATCACTCGAATCTCCGAATTCAGCGGATGAACAAGTAGAATATTTTCGGGTTTCAAGTCACAGTGGATCACTTTCTTAGCGTGCAGGAGAACAAGACTGCCAAGCATTTGTTTCGTAAATCTGCGAATGAGCTTGAGGGAGAAGCCTCGGAAGTCGTGCGCTTTGATGAACTCGTATAGGTTCATGCCCAGCAGCTCGGTCGAAATGCAAAGGTGACCACGGAAGTAGAAGCTTTGATCAAACTCGACCACACTGTGACGACGCTCAGAGTCCCAATCTTTCAGCTTCTTCAGCAGGTTGACTTCGATTAGGGCTTGCTGGTGGAACCGCTTCTTGTTGCGGATGATCTTGATAGCGACCAATGAACCGCGCTTGTGATCAACACACCGTACAACCTGTCCAAAGCTGCCCTTGCCCAAGACATCCACTACCTCGTAGCGATATGCGAGGTGATCACCAATGACAATATTATAATCGCCACGGTCATCATCGTAGCCGAAGTTCGCGGCACCAGAATGGAGATCTCCAACATGTTTCTTCGCGTTCTGCGTTCCACAAAAGTAGATGTCACGATAGTCGATGATCTCCCCACGCTCGAAGATGTTCAAGTTTGCCATTTTCAGAGCTTGAGCTGGGCTGACACGATCTTTTTGGCAAGCTTTGCGACGCAGCTCTTCCAAAGACTTTGCTGCTTTCTCGAAATCTTTCCGCTTGGCTCCTAGTCTCCTCATTTCCTCATCGGCAATGATCACATCGGCATCGATATTGGCATCAGGCGAGCGAGAGGAAGCCGCAGCACTGCTTCGAGCATTGCTGATAATCTTATGAATAGGTGACACGTAGTTCGCGGGAACACGCCTGTGGGAGTTTTCACTTTCAACAGAATCATTGGTAAGAGTGCGTTCCAAAGTGTGTTCACTGCTGACGCTGGGTTTTCGAGAAGTGGAGTCTTTCGCGATGCTCGAGACAGAAGACTGCCGCCGGGGTTTGAGGTACGAAGTCTTCGAGATGGGGCTTGTCGAGGGCACAGACGATAGGGCGTTCCAGGTTGCAGAAGCCGGTAACTTGGGCGGTGGCATATGATCGTACTTAGCCGGGTCGGTATCCGCTTCATAAGGAGGCTTCGCTTTCGAATTGCTCCGAATCCGGGCCACATTCAACTTATCACGAAGGTTAGAAGGAGGCACAGTAGCAGTGCTCTCGGGCTCAGATGGTGTCGATGCCTGACTGAGTCTCGCTGCCACGGGAGGCGCGAAAATAGCGCTCTGAGTCTGAGGTCGGGGCCCAGTAAGTTTGCTGTATGATTGAGATATCCGATTGGAATAATCAGCACTAGCTTGGTGCCGCAGAGAATTCAGTTCAGTAGCAGTGCTCTTTGGTAACGTGTACGACGCATAGGGCGAGATGTTGCGAGTTCCGTTCGGGGTATCAAATGATCCGAATGCGCTGGTGCTGCTGGAAGTTCGCAATGCAGCCGTCGAAGTCGAACTAAGCGCGAAATGTGACGTGCTACTCCGCGCCTGTGTAGCAGGTACCCGGTCATCCTCGTCTCGGTACCAAAAATTCGCTTTGGAAGCGGTCATTGGTGTACTGGGAGTCTTTGACATGACTTGAGTCGATGGTGTAAATGCCTTACGTTCCTCGTTTTCTCTTTCCTTCAATGCTTCGATCTTAGTAGTCATTGGGGTATCCAGAGGAAGCAAATTCAAGGGCGGTAGCTTCAAGGGTTGGAGGCCCTTGCGACCAAGGACGGTTGAAGTTCGTGTGCGCGACTCTGGTGTTTTCATGGTCCGCTCCGGGTCCTCAGCTGTGCTTCCAATGCCACCATGAACATCAGAGTCAGAGTCGCGTGCGATATTGAGAAGACTCATATCCGCCGGCAAGCTGGACTTTCTTGGGGCGGGGAATACCGGAGTTTCCAGTTCGCCTTTAGGGGATTCGTAGGCTTTAGGTATAGCTGGAACAGGTGGCACTTCCTCCTCATTGTTGGAAGACGCCTGCTCTGTCCGTGGCTTCGGCGTAGGTAGCCGAGACGAGGAAAAGTTCTGAGACAGACGAGGTTGAAGAGAGCTCCCTGAGTTCCGAATTGAGTTATAACTGGTGGTCGATGACAAAGACAACCCAGAGCTGTATGATTTGCGATTCGGATCTGGGGTTGTTCGGTTAGAGGAAGGGGTGACGCTTTTCCTCGGAAGAAAGGACGGGGATTGATTTGTCGACAAGGGTCGCGCAGGAAGAGGTTCTGTCTGCGTGGGGGGAGTTTGCGGCATAGGAGGCGCGGGAGGTGCCATAGACATGCGCTTCGCTCGTCTAGCATCCGTAGGACTGATCGTACGAGCCCCTAAACCGGTTGCATGGGGCGGAAGCACCGACGTACGTTTGGAGGATGACGAAGGGGTATTAGGCGTGCCAGAATTATTTTTGACTGGAGTACGGACTGCGTTGGTTGACGAGGAGCGGTTATGGTCGGGCAGCCCAGAGGCCGTCAAAAAGTTTCCGCGAGGTTCGCGTGGTACGGGCTGGAACGACTTTGCCTTCAAGCTTCGGACGGAAGATGGTACTTTGCTTTCAGTTGGTCGTAAAAAGCTATTGGGATCTGTTCGCGAAGCTTGGTCGGTGCTTGTTGAAGTTGGGTCGGTGCTGACTTTTCGAGCGCTTAAGCTGGCCCGCCTGGCGGAGGCACTTGTTGGAGCGAATGCCCCAGAGCTGATAGACTTGCGTGAAGTTCGCGCATTAGGTGGTGCGAAACTTTGACGACGACTTCGAGACTGAGATAGCCCCGAATCTAGAGGAGCCTGGTTATTGAAGCGGGAAACCTCGCTCTTGCGGCGAGCCGAACCGCCTCGTGCCCGCTCCGAGAGATTGCTATCGTAGCTTTGGTTTGTCCAGGTACTATTTGTTGACAAGCCGGAATCCCGACTTTCAGATTCCGCACCGCCATTCCCCGGCATCGGGAAATGGTTTAAGCTAGGTTCTGCCATTATGCTGTTGTGAAAATCGTCGAAGTTGATCGGCGCCAGGAATTCCATGTCTACCGAGGGCGCCGGGTCAGCGCCCTCGGTTTCAGCAAGGTTGCCCACGCTCGTAGATCGAAGATTGTAAGTTTTAATCGGGTCATTTGTTGAGTCGATTGAAGAGTTTTCGGAATGAAAATAGGGACCAGAAGGTTTACTAAAGGAAGACAAAGGGTGGTTAGACCCTTGATGAATTACATGTCCTGTCGGCGGGAAGGAGAGACACGAGATAGGGGGGTCAGGGAAGTTGTGAACGAGGCTTACCTCCAGTGTGAAGCTTCTTGTGGTCGTGGCCCCTGAGGAGGCCGTGGATCTCTGATTGACAACCTTCTTCGGGCCATTCCTCCTACACGTGGGGATTCTGCAGTCCCGGGGGACCGAGTATCCAAATTCAGATTGGTCGAAGTTGATGTATTCAGATGAATGGTTGAGGCTGCTTTCTGTAGTCGCCTGCGAGCCGGTGTGTCTGCTAATGGGGCTGGGTTAGCCCCTCGGCACTTAATGCCTGGTTCAGTATGGGAATCCTTACCTCCAGAGCCCGAGTCATCGTTTCTCGACAGATTGGAGGCCCGTGACTGAGCTGTCCCCGATTGACCCTTCCCGGGAACTTGCGACCTGGCTGGCATTGTTCCGAATCTCAGTCAGCCTTCCGCAGGGCCGGACGATTGCCAAATCCTCAAGCCGCTTGACGCACGGAACCCGGACGTGTTAGAGTCCGTTTGCAATGGCATTCAGGAGAAAGCGGGCCCTTCTTCGACAATTAAAAAAGGACGAGCCTTGAGCACAGTCGCGCGACCCGTGGAAAGGCGGTTACCGGTCCATTTCGGGAGTGAATCGAGAAATGGCAGTGTTGTCGTGCCAGAGCGATGTAGGTGGGGGGAGGTTTGCTTAGGGGGGTTCAGGGAATTAATTTTGGCGTAGCTTTTCCAAGTCGTGTTGCTGGGGCAAGAGCAAGGCGGTCGCAATGGGATATAAGGGTCCACCGAGACAACAAAGCACCAACCAAAGAAGACAAGCAAGACTCAACACATACAGACCACAACTTGGAGAGTAGTAGAGGAGGGGGGGAAATGACAAGGATGAAGGTTGAAAGAGGAGGAGATTCAGTAAACAACTGCAGCACCTCAAACTTCCCCTGATTGCAAATTGTAGTCCTGTACCGTACCGTACCATTGCTATTACCCGCTTTCGTCTACGGGGACAGCACCACTGCCGCCGATCTGACCATACGCGGTACCGCTCGTACCACAACCCCAGAAAAGCGCTCTTTGCCCAATTCAGCAGGCATCGACAGAAGCATGTGCTCGACGTAACTTTGCGACTTCGCCGACGCCCCCCATCTGTCTTCTTTCTTTTTCCACTTCTCAGCCTGTGGTTTACAGAACATGTTATCATCTCCAACATCATGGATGGATACACCCCAGAAGCGCTGGTGAACCGTGAGGACCTCGCGCCGCTCCTCTCGATCTCGAAGCCGAGGCGTCAGAGAAACGGCTCCCCAGATAGTGCACACTCACGCTCATCGTCGCAATCTAAGAACTCCATCCAGGATAGACTATTTGCCAAGTATGATCTTCGGGCCATATGCAGTGTCTCTGACCGTAGTTGATTAAGTGGCTGACGGGAACCCAATATCATCAGGCTGCTTCAACAAGTCATCCCCACCGACGATGACAACCCGAATGATTCCCCCTCGGGAGACAAGACCGCGATGGCCTCCCCGAAGAAACCGGCTTTCAGTCTTCCCTTGATGACAAACAACTTTCGCCGGTTCAATGCAAGGTAAGAAAGACCCACCGCAGAATCTTAGGAGTTTGAATATCTAGCTTTGGAACTAATCAAAAGGAATATAGAATTGGTGTGGTATTTCTGTTTCAGACTCGTGTCGAGCGCTTGCTAAGCTGGAAAACACCAACCCACACTCTGTCGTTCCTTTTTGTCTACTCCTTCATCTGCCTGGATCCCCATCTGATCTTGGTGTTGCCGCTGGTTGTCCTTTTACTCTTCATTATGGTCCCGGCTTTCATCACTCGCCACCCTCCACCACCTTCCACCTCTACATCAAGTATCACCCCTTATTACTCCTATGAGGGCCCAGCACTGGCACCTGCACGCACGATCAAGCCAGCTTCGGAAACCTCCAAGGATTTCTTCCGCAACATGCGAGACCTCCAAAATTGCATGGCAGACTTCTCTGATGTCCACGATGCGACCATTTCTGTGTTCGCCCCATTAACAAACTTCTCCAACGAGAAGCTCTCTTCCACTATATTCCTGGGCTGTACGGTAGCTACTGCAGCACTGTTCCTGATGGCACACCTTCTACCGCTGCGGCTGATCATGCTTGCTGGTGGCAATGCAGCCATTTTGTCAAGCAACCCCAAAGTTCAGCTATTTTGCAAAGGTCTCATGCAGGACGTTGGTGGCTTGTCAGACCTGGAGTCTTCAGATATCCAAGATGATGAAAATAAGGAGCTGTTTGGTGCCTCGGTTCCCAAGGATCCGTCGGCGGCGATGTCTGCAATGGAACAGCTCGCAGATATTTCCCTGGACACTGATCCAGAGGAACGCGAAGTTGAGATATTTGAACTCCAGCATCGTGCGTCAGGGACATCTGAGTCCGGATGGGAGAATTTCCTCTTCAGCCCTCAACCCTACGATCCCTTATCACCGGCTCGGATTGCCGGGGACCGTCCTAGGGGCTGCCGCTTCTTCGACGACGTCCGAGCCCCGTCTGGGTGGAAATGGAAGAGCAAGAAATGGGAGCTTGATTTGGACTGCCGCGAATGGGTGGTTGAACGAATGATTACTGGGGTTGGCTTTGAAGTTCCAGGCGTGACTCCCGAGGGGAGTGCTATCATTGATGAAGTGGGCGGCTGGGTTTGGGACCTTCCAAATGAGACCTCCACCTCTCGAGAGGAAGACGATGAGATGACTACTATGGCATATGGTGACTTGCCGCTCGACTCGCCATCTAAGCATAAGAGCAAGACAAAGTCTGCTGGTGATTGGGAAGAGGCCTCTTCGACACCTTATGGGGTGGGTGAATGGCGACGGCGTCGGTGGGTGCGGATCGTGCAGCGCATGAACCTGCCCCCAGCGAGCATTGTCACATACTCGACTCTGGGACAAAATTAAGTGACACGATCATGATACCAGACAACAATATTTAAATATATATATCTAGCGCACAAGAGCCCTTCGCATTGATTCAAAAGGTTCCAACAAGCCACTATACACGGCTCAAATCTATTATTCAGGTATATGCATATAGAAGAGGCACTTTTCGAGACCACCAGGAACTGGAAAACGATAATAGTAAATCAAACGCCAGACTCGCCCTAACCGAATGCTCGAGAGAAACACAAGTTACATTGGCATTACGCCTGGCTCTTCTGCCACTTCTTGAGTCTCCTCCGGATATCACCCTCGGTCTGCTGCATGGGGTTCAGCTTACGGTCCCGAACCATAGCTGAGACGTTGTCGCCATGCTTTTCGATCAGCCGCGCGATCCACTCGCCTTCCCGGGAGCTCTGGTGGCGGGGCTTCTTCGCCTTGGCACCCTGTCCCTCCGTATCTGCCTGGCGCTCGAGCTGCTGGACTATTTTTGAGCTGGGAAGAGTCTGAATCTCAACCTCATTGTCAGACAGGTCATTCAGAGGGTCATTGAGCGGGTTCGCGCGGCGGCGCTTGCGGCCTGCAACCTCGATCTCCTCGTCGTCGGCGCGGATAACACGCAAAATTTTGCCTGTCTCGGGGTCACGCTCAACCTTGGTTTCGGTCACGTCGATCTGATCAACGGCTTGGCCGGTGCCAGTAATGTGGAGCGAGTTCGAGGTCTTGGGGAGGGCTTCTTGGCCGGGCAGGCGCTCCTTACCACCGGTAGGGGCGTTAAGCTTGTGCAGCAGACCGAGATTCTTGTAATTTTGAGTGAGAGTCAACTTGGAGTCCCTGTGGTCGGAATTGTGTCAGCACATCGGAAAAGGTGGATTCTTTGAGGCAGAGTTGCGGCGGCTCGCATACCAGTTGTCGGCGATGATGGCGTTGCCGAGCACATTGATCTTCTTGTGGCCGTTTTTACGGCGGTTGTTCTTGGCCTTAGCCTTGGAGAGACCGGACCGGTTCTTCTTCTTCTGCAAAATCTTGCCCATTGTAGTGGTGGTGGTTGTTGTCGTCGGAGGGGGTAGGTTTGGGTGTCGATGGAAATATCAGTTATTATCGGCGTTATCATCTGGAAACTTTTTTGAATGTTTGCACCATTAATGCTTGGCGTGTTTGTCCTAGGGTCCGCCGATAAACTGGAGTGGTCCGACCACGGCGATAAGCGGCTCACGGTCCACCTGTGCGGGCTATTTCGTTCCTTGTTGTCCCTTCTTCTCCGGTTCATTTCCTTCGCAATGGCTTCGCGATTTATACCCTCACGCCGCACGGGCATTGCGCTCGCTGTGGGCTGTCTTTTGTTCTCGGCACTTGCTGCCGCGAATGCCCACCCTGGCGATCTATCCGTTGGTGAGATCGAGGAGCAATTGCAGGTAAACACGTCGAGATCCGGGGTCATTCATTAGACCCATTGACGTCTTGCAGATGCTGACACGGTCATCTAGAATTGCCCACTTGTAGAAGCCCTCAATGAGCATAAACGAGCTACAGCTCCGCAAACTACAAGCCTTACTGCCCAGATCTTCTCGGTTCTCTTCCCAGGGAGCCCCGCTGTGAATTCTCTCCTGGCTACCCTCTATATCTCTGGTCCCCCCAGTATGTCCATGTGTCTCCATCGGCTCATTATAAAGAACACCTTTCATTGACTTATCAGACTTCCTTCTGGCACTATGCCCCCCCAACATTGATCCTTCTTCCCTGTCAATCATGGTCGCCTTCGCGGTGGGAGGTCTCCTCGGCGACACCCTCTTCCACCTGCTCCCAGAAATCTTTCTCGGCGAAGACTCCCCCGATCACGTTAGCTTCGTCATGGTCGAACCGAACAAGAACCTCCTTCTCGGCCTCGGTATCATGGTTGGCTTCTTCACCTTCGTTGCCATGGATAAAGCCTTGCGCATCGCAACCGGCGGCGAAGGCGGCCATGATCATTCTCACGCCCACACTCACACCGACTCACCCACTGCATCCACCACTAGCTCCGCTACCAACGGTGACCACAGCGCCCTCAAGCAGCGTAAATCGAGCAAGCCGGCCGCCGATGCCCCCACTGTCGATGCCACCCCGGAGAAGGAAATCAATCCAAGCGTTAAGCTGGGCGGTTACCTGAACCTGATCGCCGACTTCACGCACAACATCACCGACGGGCTCGCTCTGTCCTCGTCCTTCTACGCCTCACCCACCATCGGTGCCACTACCACGGTGGCGGTCTTCTTCCACGAGATCCCGCACGAGGTCGGCGACTTCGCGCTGCTGGTGCAGTCCGGCTTCTCCAAGCGCAAGGCCATGGGAGCGCAGTTCGTCACCGCCGTCGGCGCCTTTCTCGGCACGCTGATTGGAATTGCGGTCCAAGAGTTCGGCGGTAACACGGTGGCCGACGACGGGGCTGTGGCCGGGCTGTGGGGCACTAGCTTGTCGTGGGGTGATATGCTGCTCCCGTTCACGGCGGGCACGTTCCTATATGTTGGTACTGTGGCGGTCATTCCGGAGCTGCTGGAGACGGGGAAGAACAAGGGTGCGGAGGTGCGGAAGACGATTGCGCAGTTCTTGGCTGTGGCAGTTGGAGCGGGAATCATGCTTGCGTGAGTAACTCTCTTTTACGTCTTGTGCTTATTTGGTTGCGTGGCGACGCGGTTGGACTAACTTCTGATAGGATTTCTTGGGACTAAATGCGCGATCTGCACTGTATTGGATTGGAACGGTTGTATCTGCATTCAGCTTTGACGGCGCCTTCGTTTATCAGTAGTATTCCTCTCAAGGCCACTATGTAGCTGCATCGTTGTTCGGGTATAGCATCATTGGTTTGAGTTCTTTTTTCCATCATGTTCCTACAGATATCTCGAAGCCTTAAGCTTCGCTTAATTCAGAGAGAAAAATTTACATCGATACGGATTGATCTCTGAAGAAGTCGCCACAGTGCATTCGTATATCTAGTATTCCAAAAAGGGCCCTATTGTAGTAGGGCTCTCCCCATAAATATCAGTCGAGACGGATTCTTTCCAGGAATAGGCGACATTTCCCTCCTCCGTCCCACCTTGAGATGCTAACGCCACACCAAAACAACGAACTCCTGCTTGGAAATCCCGACAAAATTCAATCAAAGGAACCCTGATTCTGAGCCACGCAAAATTGGAGTTCAAATTTAATTGTCCAGAATAAAAGCAATTCTGAACGATGACGCGCAAAAAGAGAGAGAGAGAGATAAGGAGGATGACAGAATGGAAGAAACGACCTGCAAGAAAGAAAAAGAGTAAAAAAGAAAAAAACAGGGACGCCGAAGGATGTCTATCTTGTGAGAAAAAAAAAAGGCATCTTGCCTCTTTGCTAGCAAAGACAGCGAGGGGAACGATGCCGGAGCGCACGCACAGCGCACGGTACATGTTTGGGTTGAATTGGCGTATGCAGGACATGACATGAAGATGGAGAGCGAGCCCTTTACTCGTTATAATGGTAAACCTATTATAAGTTCGGTGTTAGCATGGGGATGCAACAAGTCATCTATGGCGGACAGCAAGGAAAGGGGAGGAAAGGCGACACGCACAAAATAATCCGGTAATCCGAACACCGCGTAGCCTAATCGTTTGGCCATTTTGGCGAAGCCTTCCGTCTCCACAAGGTGAAAGAATGGGAAGGCTGGGAACATGGCGCCGTCGCGGTGCACGTCGGCTTTGACCATGAGCGCAGTGCCGCCGACGCCGTCCAGGGATACCCTGCGCCCGGGATCTAGCGCTTTGAAGTCGGGCAAGTAAGCCATCAGGGTACGGTATGTCGGGATCTCAGCATATCCTTCTAGAAGGATCTCGTCAGGGCCCATACTTGCGGCCAAGTCCTGGGCCGTCTGGCTGTCGATCCAGGAGTTGAAATCGTAGGGTCGGATGTCCATTCTCCCGAGTTCGGAGTTATAGTACCGCTGGTAGCAGTTGGGGACGATTATAGGCTGGTTATGACTGGTCAGGTCTTGGATGAGCGATGCCGGCGTTTCCACGATATCCCCGTCTAGCCAAAGTACCCACGATGTACTAGGGCCAAGGGTGGTGAACACCAAGCTATTGCGAGCACGGCTCATGGACTCGCGGCGCTCTTTCTGCGCTTCCATCTTGTGCCGGACTTTTTCATTTTGCGAGCTCAGTGGGGGATCGAAATCCTGCCGGAGAATGGAAATGCTGGCGAAGCGAGTATCAATCGGGCCCGATTGCGTACGAGAGATGGCTTTCTCTAGTGCTGCGACAGCGCTATTCCCTTCCTTGGTCTTGGGAGCGATGAACCCCAGCGAAATCAATTCGTGCGGGTAGCTCAGTTTGACCAAATTGTCCCAGTATTGCTGGTAGAACCGTGCCAGCGGCGTGAGAATGAGGATTCGCTCGCGGTTGGCGATGGCGCTGGCCGAGCTGGTCAAGTTGTTGAGGTTATAGTGTACCACGGGAGGAGCTGCTTGGAGGCCATCGCTGCGGAGAACTTGTGACTTGTGAAAAGGTTGGGTTGGTGGAGAGAGAGGGTGCTCTGCGGCGTCTTTCTGGCGCTGCTCAGAGGACACGGCAGATGCGGCGGCGGAGGGGGGGCGTTGGTGATAGCAAGAAACAGAGGAAGCCGAATGCCAGCAGAGCAGCCAGAATGAGGCTGAGAGGACTCGCACGGCGCATGGAGCGTGCAACGGCCATGGCCGTTTCCCTCCCAATTGCAAGATATGTCGAAGTTGTAAAGGTGTAGAAAGATGACTGGGTCCAGATCTGAAACGGCGATCGGCGAGCGTGGCCTGCCTCAGGCAACGTCGAATCTAGCCCCTTCGTTGATGATCCGCTCACTGCGTGTAATCCTTCGGGCTCCAGGGACGAGACGAGACACTTCCCAACTTCAACAATTGCTGTCGGGACTGAAGATTCTGTGAAGTCTGAGTTGGAAATAAGCTGATTGTCTATTACTCTGTTCACTCCTACTCTCGCCTACTGTCCCTGGCCGGAAAGAGCTATGCCCAGTCCACATCCATGGCACTCGACAATCTCTTTCATCGAATGGCCTAACCGCGAATGGTCTGCAGCACAATGGGTCCTGCCCAAAGACCGAATCGCATTGGTTTATCCCGGACGTCAATTGGCAAAATTTACGGGATACCCGAAGCAGCGGGCCCGTCGGAGACCGACGCCTGCCGAATGCAGCCTGTCAATATCTCACATTCCTGAGCTCGGCCAACCTCGGCGCGATACTGAGCATACCTCCTTGCTCAGCTCGCGTGCACAACAGTAGGGGAAATTGAAAGCCTTGAAAGGGTAGGCATTGGTTCTATGTTCTAGCCGTAGCTACACTGAGCTATTTTTGTTGTGCTATATGTACAAGTCTTGTTATTGTCTGGGTAATCCCAGACGGGGGATCGTCACGCATGTTTCATGGCAGGGTCCGCATCACTCCTTCGAATGCAACCAGGGCCATTGCGTTCGCCGGGAACGCCCGAAGGAAGCATGGTACGAATCCCCGCCAGTAGCCTCTCCACCCACGTTCGCGCCAGACAGCCCGCGCAGCATCCTTCCAGCTGTGGAACTGTCTTTGGCCGTCATTGAGGGCGCCGCCCATAGGGTCGGTCATGAGGCGCTGCTTCACGACATCGGATGGGTATGACGTGAGCCAGAAGATCTGGGCGGAAATGCCGCCGGCCCAGAAGTTGATAACAGGGGCCGACATTTTGGTATTGTCTTTCAGATAGCGAGTGAGGATGTCGTAGGAGCCCCACCAGAAGAAGAAAAAGGAGCGGAACAAGATGGTTGCGAACAGTCCACGGTATACTCCGCGAATGCCATGTGTACGGAGCTGGTTTGACCGCCATTTGTTAACTAATGCGTCGACAAGGACGTGCGACACGACTGGAGGAGACTCACCATCTTGCGGAGACAGTCAATTGGCCCACTGTACATGCGCTTGGTTTTGTCTGCAGCATATTGGACTTGGAGACGGGCCTTGATATGCTCGACGGGCGCAGCAATAAAACTGACCGTCGTGCCGGCCATGATGCCTGCAATTCCATGACCAAATGACGGCAGGGTGTTGGGATCAGGCTGGCTGCGAGAGAAGGGGATCCACGGGCGAATGTGCGGTTTAGAGAAGACGTTTTCGAGAAGTAACCGTCGGTAGAGGGTCAAAGACCCCAACATGCTATCCACCAGAAAGTCAAGTCAGTGCCTGTTTCCATTGATGTACGGTCCATGTTGGCCCCTTGAGGAGAAGCGAGTTGATCTGCGATCACAGGACAACTTACACCGAGTCCATCACCATCCATCCGACCAGCGGTGGTGTAGCTCCCTTGTACAATCCCCGCACGCCCTCTTTGCGTACGGTCTGCAACGTGCAGTCCAACGGGCCGCGGAATTGTGCATCTTTGCTGGTTTGGAGGCGAACCTTGACCGTATCAAATCTATTCACAGAATCCTTGTTATTCCCACTATTTTGAATGGCCGCACGGAGTTTGAGGAAACGGGGATGACGTACGGATGGCCAACTAAAAAGCGCAGAATTAGCATTGACATCCTTCCATAACCCCTCTCTGTGGGGTTGAACCGCTTCGCAACCCCTCAATTTGGGGATCGACTTACCACTTAGCTTCGCGATACCCGAAAACACCCCCGCAACAAACCCCTTATAGTCTTTCTTGCCTGCCGCGGCTGGCGCAGCCGCAGGTGCCTTGCTCCCACTCCCTGGCTGCTGTTTTTGTGAGAGTTGCTCCGTCATTGCGGTTGTCGAGGGCACTTGCATAGGCGCCTGCGCCGATGACATCGTTGTTCACAGCTAGAAATTGCAGACCCGTGCGTCAGCGGCGCCCTCGATCGTCGGGAGATTCTCGCGGTGCAGACGCCGTTCGGAGAAGAGACGAATCCGGGGTTATCGAGGAGGTTGGACGGGTTGGGCAGCTTGGGGGGAGGGTGGAGGTGTGTCGCTTGGTACCTGAGAGTCGGAATATGGGAGTGGAAATGAAGCAAATCGAGAAGTTCGAGGAGCGAAATCGGAAAGTCTTCAATGATTTGCCTTGAAAGGGCCCCGCAGTTGGCTCCTTCGGGGAGCAACAGACCAGCTCCGGTACTCCGCTCGGGGATTTCTTTTTGGGATTGTGGCCTCAGGCCAAAACACGGGGCGGTCAACAGGTGCATCCCACCCTCGTGAGAGAAGGGGGCATGTGGCTCATTGTTCATTTTGATACTGCCTTGCCATGGGAAAGAAAGAGAAAAATGACATGATGCTGACTTACTGGGATTCGGAATCGATCGGCGGACAGGGTTGTGTGAGGAGGGCGTCGGAGATCGCTTGGACAAAACCTTAGACTCGTTGGAATGCATTGGCCAATCGGACGAAGAAGATCTGTCAGATTCAAGTCAAGTATTCGAACAAAACGGTCAGCAGAAAGAGGGCCACAAGTGCAAAAAAAAAAAAACAAAAAAAAAACAGAGATATTGTAATGATCCACAATTCATACTCCAAAGCCGTGTAGATATTAGAAGCCAAGAACATAATCAAAACAAGCAACAGCACCAGACCTAGGACTCAAGCAACAGCGTTTCAAGGGATGGAAGGAAGAGGCCAAACCTTGTCAGTAAACCAACAGGAAAGGAGAAGGGGCTGTAGCGTCAAAAGACGAATAAGAGAACGAGACTCCGGCTAGCTGAAGGCGACAGCGTCATCAAAACCGGACATTCGGTATCGAAAGCCGAATAGGAACCCAACTTGGAGATATTAGTATGTCAAAATCTGTATCCACTTCAACAGGATGCTCTTAGCGTTGGCTAAGGCCAGTCAGATCTAGTGAACAATAAGTGCGAGAGAACATTGCGCCGAGTTCCGGAGAGGCTGAAAGAGAGTCTGGTGAGATGATGTGGAAGTTATGACTCTCCAGAAGTGAGAAGTAAGAAGAGATGAAGGAAAGAGATCCAGAAAGAAATTGGTGCGCTTTAGGAAAGATGTGGTGTCAAAACATGATATTGATGTGACACAAAAAAAGAGGGCGAAAGAAGGGAGGCGCTATGAAAAGAGCCATCTGGATTCCAGTATGTCGAGAGGTAAGATTATCGAGTCGCAGGGCATTACGTACGAGGACAAGGACTGGAATTCGGGACCAAGGTATGTGAGAAAAAGAAAGTTAAAGGTTGCAGAAGCCTCCAACAGTGAAATTCAATAACAGTTCAACGGTCTGACTACTCTTCAAACAGGAATGCTGGATCGACACAGCGGGGTATAGATAGATACATGCGGTCGTAATGCAAAACAGGAAGGAAACAATGGAACGTCAGTCTGGGTACAACAAGGCAATTCTAGCGCGCCCTCCCAAGACATTCCCATGCTCCAGAGGCAAGGAACCTTGAAGCGCCCTTGAAATCTTTCTTTTCATGCCCAGGACACCGAGTCACCAGAAAAAAAAACAACAAAAACTAAAGGAAACAGTAAGGAACATGCAGTGCAGGAGTGATTGGCAAAGCCAACGCCCAGTCTGTGGAATGGAATAGAGATGATAGTAATCCAGGAAAAGGGAAAACTAAGCAGGTCAAGGACAAGCAAAAGCAAAGAAAAAAAGACATCAACTTTCATGCAGGAGTGTCGCTGTAGAAGGTCTGTCGTATAGAGAGGAAGATAAGAGAAGACGGCAGGATGGTCACCGACCCTTGGTGGATTTGCGGTTCTTCTGACGAGCCTTCTCGTTCTCCCGCGCAATGAGTTGTTCTATCAAGTCGGCTGGCGGCCCGGTGGAGTATCCGGTGGAGTACCCGGTGCCGTCTTGTGAGAAGCGGTTGGGTTTGCTGCTCGACTTTGAGCCTGAGTTGGCGGACAAGTAGTCATTAGCTTCGAGCGCGAGCGGCGTGACAGGGCCAGGACTCAGGAGTGGGTCGAGACGCGGGGCGGATGGGCTTTGCGTGGCACCACCGAAGAGTTCCCATTTCGAGTCGCGTGACCCCGCCGAGAGATAACTGGTTTGCCGGAACTGACGCGGTGACGGAGGCTGCCAAACGGCATCTCGGTCGTCGGTGGAAGGGGGCTGGTAGACGGCGGGGTGAAAGCGCGGCAGGCTGCCCAGATTGAAGCCGGGCATGGGCTTGGTTGGGGCGGGTTGGGATTTGCGCGCGGGCTGCGGCGAGCTTGGGCGGCGGGGAGACATGGTAGGAGATGCCACAGGCGAATAGAAGGGCGAACGATCGGAGCGCATTCTGACTTCCCGGCCTCTATAGGAGGACCGTGGGGAGCGGAGGTGTCGAGACTTGGCTGAGAGTGAGGCGCGCTCCCAATCTTCAATATAGTCGTCGTGATCGAATCGGCCGGTGAGCGGAGTCACTGGGAGATCCTCGATGTCGACGTATTGGGAGGCCCGGCGAGGAATCGGGATTGGCCGGGTAGAGGAGGCAGAGAGGGAGAGAGACTCGAAAGCGTCTAAGGGGAGATCCGCGGTATGCCGAAGATGAGGACGAGAAGAGCGAAAGGAGCGAGAGGGCGGCGATGGGGGATGATATGCGGAGGAGGTTGCCGTGAGATCCCGCAGGGAGGACAGGGACACCGGAGTGGGGTAACCGTGCTTGAGGATCAGACTCTCGAGATGATCCCGCGGACGGAATGGAGACGAACGAGAGGCCGAGGAGAAGCCTAAACGAGATGCAGGCGATCAGAACGGGAAAAGGGAACCTGGAATGCCGGAATGTGGTGCAAATGGGGGGTTGTTGCGTGTTCTCGGCTCCACGGGCCGAGGGCGTGTAATATCCCAGCGAGACAGAGACAGAGACAGAGAGACAGAAAGGCAGAGTGGAGAAGCCCGAATGGGAGAGAGGGAGAGGGGAGAGAGGGGGGTTTGATCACACTTACTGCCTGACGAAGATCCACTGAGCGACGATGGATAGAAAGAGGAGGACGAGGAGGAAGAGTAAGAGAGCGGGACAGTCGAATGGTCGGACTTGAAGGGTTTGGACGAGCGCGAGTACTTCCGGCGCATCGTGTCTCTATTTAAGGATGATCTGTTAGCCGTTGCCCGTTAGTCCGTCAATGCATTCCCTGAATTCCCCTGGCTAATTTCTTTTTTGTTTTTGTTTTTCTTTTTTTTTTTTGTTTCCGCTTGTATTTCTTGCATTTCTTGCATTTTTGCGCAACCTTGCGGGGGGGAATATCCACATGTCGTCATTCGGGGCCGCCAACATCGATGTCGCTTTGCTTTTCTGCGTCGGCGGCTCCACTGGGCGCTCCAACGCCCATGGATCTCCCCAAGGCTCGTCCCGTGTGGAAATTCGGAAATTACACCAGACGCCCCTAACAGCACAGTCTAGAACATCGTCACTTACCAGGGCCTGCGTCCTCGCTGGACACCCACTGCACCACAATCAACAACACCCTTCACGGGTTCTCGGTTCCAATACCCAGAGACTCCCGAACCCTCCGCGGATTCGCAATGACCCGCATACAGGAGCAACGGCGTCTCGTTCGCGCATCCGAGGGCAAATCGGGAATGCGGGAGAGGCCAGAGACCCTTTGCAGCGACAACCTGCTGCACTCTCCCGACTGTACCGAGTTTCACCGGTGGAGCAGGTTCTGAGAAACCCCGCTAGGAAAATGGCCTAGGCTGCTCAGGTCTAACAGATGGTCGGCATTCGAATCAGACGTGTGCTGCAGCCAACAAGCTGAGAGAATCCCTTCAAAAAACTCAGCAGTCGCGCAACCCAAGGATTCAGGGGGTCAAAGGGTTCCAAATATAGCTTTCGTCGAGAGCAATCAGAGGCAGCCAAAAATAAAGGAAACAACCAACACAGGAGCCGTGGGCTTTTTAAAGAAGCCTCCCAGGCACCGCTGAAACATGGCCTGACCTCGTCGTTTAGTGGCGGCCGTGACGGTACACAGGATCAAGACATCTATACCCCAGACCTCCACCGGTTCCAGGGCATACCGAATGTATACCGGGTGTATACCAAGTATAGCCTCAAGGGTTTACAGACGCTTTTCCCACGCGGGGCTGCCTGGTGACCCCCGCGGACTTTCGTTTCCAAGGCACAGGCACACCCTTTCTCTGCTTCCCCACCACCTTTGCGATTTTGACTCCATCCATAAATACAAAAAAGGAAAAAAGAAAAAGAGAAAAGGAATTTAACAGACGAAAAATGTACACACACACACAGAGAGAGAGAGAGAGCATCTGGACAGGGATGGGAACTTTCCATCACACTGGTTCCCAGCCGCTGTCATCCGCGATGCTAGCGAGTGGCTTTCGGCAACGGAGCAGGTGGATCTCCGATCAGCGCGCGGTTGATCATGCGTCGGCACGGGTCATGCCTTTGATTTGTACCGACGGGCTGACCCTGACTGGCGATCCCCCTCTCTCAGCGGGAACATGAGAGGCTTGGGGGAATGGGGTTGGACAGAAAACCACTGGGAATTTCTGCAGCCTCTCATCCTTCCCTTCGGAGTCCCTGGACCCAACCAACCAGCGTCCTGGATGCCGGAGCCCCTCCTTCGATCAGCCGACTCCGATCAAACGCCCCCGGGACGAGCGACCGCATCGTCTGCGTGGCTGAGAAAATGCTGACGAATGCGATTCAGCTAGTCTCGTAGGCTTTGCGCGTCGATTTTTTCCCCCCATTCTGCCTTTGACCTTTTGCTGAGAAAATCTACGCGTAGGATGTCTCGGATGACTGACGAGAAGGAGGGTACTATTTCCCGGATAGATCTTATGAAGGCTCATAATGACTAGGATAGAACCGCTGGATGCCTCCACTCACGCCTTAGCTCGACCAAGTCAGGAGATTATCTTTCCGCATGAGTCTTCAGGATGCAGCTCGGATCGTCGACGTTACAGGAGCTTGATCCTGCCGATATAGATCGGGATGCGGACCTGCCCCTCTCCCCACCCCCTTCCTTCTTGCAGCGGGTACTTGCGGTTGGTTGCACAGGGACTGCTGCAGCTTATTCCCGGCGGACGTCATCTTTGTTCCTATCGGCGAGTTGGGTTCTCCGGCCCGGGGTCGAGCGTAGAGCGCCGAGACCGAGCTCTCTCCGGAGTATAGAATGACCCACTGCGACAATAATCTTAAATGCAACCACACGAGGATGAGTGTGTGTGCGCGTTGTGTAATGGTGTCGCCCGGGAATATACCAACTGCCGACCAGAACCGACTTCAACCCAGAAACTTGGCCAGCTCCATGTTCCAGCTACACAACTCGATCGAGATCGGTGCAGCCGGATGCCCCTGCATGCGAATCCCCGGGCCCTAATGCAGCAGCTAATGCAAGTCAACCCCTCCTCATTGCATCCAACCACGACCATCCTCCCGCTCAGTCCCTCCCATCTAGCGACTGTCTCTCTCTCTCGCTCCCTGACAGACTAAGTCCAGTCCATCAAGCACATCCTACATTCATCAAATAGGATGGGCTCACTTGCGCTGACGAACTGGGATGACCTCCTGCCAAAGTACCTTCTGCTTCCCACAAAATCTGTCCGATGACGCCGTCAAACTAACGCCCTTCGACGTGAGTCTGCAACTGGCAAGCGTCCCCCCCAGATGAATAATCGGGAAACCCAAAAAAAGAAGTCCACCCTACTGTCCCATGACAGGATCAACCCTGAATCTAAGACGATGAATAATTCTCCCAGCCAGCCAAGAACGCCGGTCCTTACTTTCAGGGCTCGCTCCACCACCCCAAGCGGTATCGAGACATGTTCATCGGTCTCTTTGCCACATAGCAAGCCTTCGTCGCTCAGTTACTCCACAGCTTGACCGTCATTGACAAGAAACAGGCACTTTCCCTTCCCCCCCCCCCACCCTTGCTGACTTCGATAGCGCCCTCCGCCCGCATGGTCTCGTACATGAACGCGTCCGCGCACCACCAGTCTGCAGAGGTAGGGTATATCATTATTCCTTCGCCCTACAGCGCACCCATGTCACGAACCATGCTGTTGGCCTGCTGGGGCCTTATGCCCTCGACAGCCCGCCCAGAGAGGCTTGGGACTGCGGCGCATGCGGTGGCTGGCGGGCTCACCGAACACGCCGTCTCTTGCGGCGGTGCAGCGGATGGGCTCTCAGCTGGAAGGGGTTCTGCGATGGATTCGCGTCACGCCGGATGTAGAGGCCTGGATAGATTTGTAATGAGAGGGATAAGCTACCGTATGGGTAGCAGGCAGATCGGGGGCAGGATACGGCGCACCTCTCGCTGTGCTAGAATGACTGGCTTGATGGGAAGCGCGAGCTTTAGTCGATGCTCTTCTGGTGAGATAGGTCTTCGAAGGAAGAAGGACTCATTGAGACTGCTGGAACGTACGCCGTCTCGCCTGTTCTCAAGGGAAGTCTTACGATAAGATATCAAGTAGAAGTCCAAAGTAAAAGGAAGAGAGCGATTTCGCCTAGGCGTATAGAACACAGTTTCAACGGTTTTCTCATACTCCAATAGTTCCTGACATTTATAACCCCCAACACTCTTCTATACGTTCTCCCCCATTTACTTAATGGCCGATCACGGCTCGGGGTTGATACAACTCCTCGATAGCCTGGATCTCTGCCTCACTGAGCTCAAAATCAATCGCCTGGATAGCCTCATCAACGCGCTCTTTCGTGCTGAGCCCTAGAATCGGCGCCACCACAAACGGCTTGGACAAGCACCACGCAATGGCAACCACAGCCATGCTAACCCCGCGCCTCGTTGCAATCGCCTCGATCTGCTCGTTGATCGCCCGGTCTGCGTCGGTAAACGCATGCCCTAGAAACCCAGTCTCTTGCGTTCCACCCCGCGTCGTCGCGCCATACGCTCGCCACGGCCGCGCCAGAAACCCCGCCATCAACGAACTCCACGGAAGCCCACCCATGCCCAGCTTCACACACGCCGGGATCATCTCTCGCTCTTCCTCCCGGTACGTTGCCGCGTACAGGTTCTGCATACTGATGAACTCCGTCCACCCGGCCGCCCGCGCCGTGTACTGCATCTCAAGGAGCTGGTGCGCCCACATCGACGACGCCCCGATATACCGCACCCAGCCGGCCTTGACCACGTCGTGCAGCGCCTCCATGGTCTCCCGCACCGGGGTCGTCCGGTCAAATCGATGAATCTGGAGCACGTCCACATACTCCAGCCCCAGCCGCCGCAGACTCGCCGCCACGCTGTCAAAGATGTGCTTCCGGCTCAGCCCATACTGGTTCACATACCCACCGTTGTCTCGCGCCTCCGTGCTCCACCGCACCGGCTTGTCCCCGTCCCGCCCGACCGGCAGGCATACCTTCGTCGCGACGACGATCCGCTCACGCTGCCACCCGTACTCCCGGATCGCCTTGCCTAGGATCTGTTCCGATCCGCCGTACGAGTAGGCGTTCGCCGTGTCGAAGAAGTTCAATCCGGCTTCGTAGCAGTGATTCAAGATCGGGAGGGCTTCTTCTTCAGGGAGAGACCAGTCGATTTGCGAGCCTGGCGGACCATAGGTCATGCAACCGACACCGATAGGTGCGATCCGAAGACCGCTGGAGCCGAGCTGGACGTATTTCATTCTGAGGCGGGCGGGGGAGGGGACTGATTGGCGGTTTTCTTTCTTTCTTTTTCTTGCTTCAAGGGAGAGGAGGGGAGGGGAGGACAGAGTGAGGTTTGTGATACGGAGAGACAATGGTTGAGTGGGACATTCGAATTAATGGAGGAAGGAAACTGCTCATGTCATTCGGCGAGAAGAGAGAGTCCGCCGTATTCGCTCATCGATGTAGTGGGGTTGTTGAACTAGTGTTTAAGCTAGATGAAATTTGGGGCCAACGATGGACGAGAGTATCTGCATGGCCGGCGGCCGTAGTATTGATGCGTACGAGAGGCATTATACGAATGACATGAAAGTCATGATCTGTAAGAACGTAAATCGACTGGAAAGAGAGATGATCACGCGCAAGCTATCGTCTTCTATACCTCCGGCCAGCCATTTCTTCGTTTGGGGCCGTGGTCGGTCCCATTGTGAGATTGGAGAGTGTGTATCTATCTTTGCGCCGTCAAGGAGCGATGGAAGTCCCCAGATTGGTCTGTCTTGAGCCCGAAGACAAGTACTGCCTAGAATTCAAGCCATCAGTATGGACTATATTCAGTTTTAACGCTTTCACAGACGAACGGTCCAGGTGTCATGCCTGTATAGCAGACTCGAGATGGCTCACATTTCAATCCCCAAATTTTGCGCAGTGCATGGTAGGAAGTAGAAAGTCAGGACGATGTATGTGCGTATCGCGCGAAGTAAATAAGCACGAGGGGACTTGAAGCATGCCAGAAGGAGTGATAGTGTATGAAGAGCAGATGGGAAGAGGGATGATTGGCAGGAGAGTTGAGAATTACGTCATCCATTCTGAGGGGGAACGAGGGTAGGAGCCTGAATCTCGACGATGATAGTTTATGAGCATGACAAGTTGATATAGGGCATTCAAAAGGAAAATGATATGTAAAGCAAACAGTCCCTGGCCATTTTATCGAGCCCTCGACGAAATAAACGGAGGGATGGAGCTCCAGGTCGTATAAAATCGTAGTAAATTCAACGAACTTGCATGTATCATTGGAATCACTCTAATTTTTGAACCTGATAGTTACCAAGTCAACTAGTATGCCTCCCCGTATTTGGTCCAGGAACTGGCGGCCGCGTACCGTGGGCTGATGGCCTTGGGCCCATGGGAATACAACAAGGCGATGTAGGTGTTGTCTCGTGACGTCCTTTCGCCGTCATGAAAGAGCTCGTCATCATGTGAACCTCAAAAATATATCTTCATTTGTGACACCATCGTTTCCAGAGTCACCAGTATTCGAAAATCTTCGGTCGGGCTATATCTTCCTCTATTCTTCACTTCGAAATTTCACCGTAGTCAAAGTCTGCACAATCAAGAACATCTCCAGCCTGACTGTCAGCCGCACTCATGGGGTTCCACACCAATTCAATCAACATAGTCTTGAGGAACCGTCACACTCTCAGCTGTCGCTGCGAGCGGCCTAATGGCTCCTGGTCCTATTCTCAATTGGACCTGAACAACTGTCTCGGAAACAACAACGGTACGTGAAAGATGCTTGGAATAGGGCTTGCAGAACTGACTTGCCCAGGGAAATTTATCTGGGGAGGGGATAGCTTCGCACATAGCGCGTCGCAGATCCATCTATCTCTTGAAGGGAATGAGGGGACACCATGGCTGCACGCTCAGTTGAACGATAGGCATGGAAGTGTCCAATCTGCTTCAGTAAGTTCAAGAAGGATTCTGTCACAGATCAGAGCTTATGTGATGGTAGATTAATCTGTCCGAGTGCATTCACAACGACGTTGGGTCTCTGTCATTTAAGGAGAATGAATAGGATTGACAAATTCAAGTGCATCCTAGCCTGGAACAATGTACTTGTCGTACTTTTTGATTTGGATATTATTCAGCCTGGCAATAGCTGTGATCTAGAGTAGTAGCAAACAGTAATGACAGACGGGATTTCATATAAGTTCGAGGAAATTTTGAAGTTTTCGTCTGGGAACCAGGAAAAGAATGTGTTTCTAGACTTTGTACGCCGGATGTGAACCGTTGGTGGGGAAATCTCGTATTCGCCCGTGCTTATATACGTCTACCCCTCACCGACGTCAGCAACTTCCCCAGCAATTGCATAAAGAATATCCTTCAACATTAAGCCGCTGTACCTCACCGACATCAATAACCCTTTCAAATAAATGCATAAAAAATATATTATACCAAAATGGGAATGAACGCACGCTGCCAATGCTCCAAGGTTCGATTTACTACATCTACAGACAAACCTCTGGCAATCTACGCCTGCCACTGCACCGAATGTCAACACCAAAGCTCCTCCGCATTCGGCATCACGGCAATCTTTCCTTTTTTCAAGCTTCCTGAATCTCTGAATGAGCATGTCGGCATATATACCCGTTTGACGCTCAAAGGGCGACATATGGAATGCCTCTTTTGCAAAAACTGTGGCTCCCGTCTGCTGCACCGATTCCGCGATGCTGTGCCTGGACCGGGTGAGAAGCCTGGCCCGACGGCGACATCAAATGTGAAGGGAGCCTGTCTGGAAGGGTTGAATAAGGAGATGATGAAAAGCGCCGTTCATATTTGGACTCAGCATGCTATTGTTGAGATTCCCGAGGGGGCTGAGCAGTGGGATAAGGAACCGCCAAAAGCGAATCCTCTGGAGCCTTGAGACCTAAGCCCTGGGGCCTTTTTTTTCTCTTGTTTCCTTTTCTATTCTTTTTTTTTTTCTTTTTATCCGTGATATTCACTTCATGTAACCTCGGGCTAATTGGAATTCTGAAAAAAAAAAAATGAAAGTGATATTACACTGTTGTGGCTTAGTACGTGAGAAAATTTCTTTACATGGAAGAATGCCGAGCTCGAATCTTGGAAGATAGAAGGAAAAAAAGACCCAGCTATGTACATACTATTTCGAACAGAGGTATCGACAGGTAGCAGCTCTGTCAAAAGACTAGCAGCAAATTAGACATTTATTAATCATCACACCATAGTTTTACCCGACGACACAGGTCCAGCCGTTGTCGACAGCGATGCAAGCCCCGTTGATGATGCTGGCTCCCTTGCCGTAGGTCAAATTCAGACAGAATCCAGCTGCCTCATCGAGATCACAGAATGGGGCGTTGACAGCTTCATAAATCGAGTTCATCTTCTGGTAGCCCTCCATATGAAGGCCGGACTTGAACACGTCTGCAATGTTGGTCTGCATACCACCCATCATCATCGCATTGCAGCGAATACCCTTGCTTCCATAGAAAGCGGCGGTGTTCTTGGTCAAGCCCACCAGGCCATGCTTACTGGCAGTGTACGCGGCACCTAGCGCAGAATACTTAGAAAATCTGTCATGTGTTAAGTATAAGGAATGCATTTCACATACCACTAGCCCACCCAGCCTTTCCAGCAACGGAGACGATGTTGATGATGCGACCATCGGGCTTGGGTTGCTCCAGCATGTTACGAACAGCCAGCTTGCTTAGGATCATAGGTGCGGTGAGGTTCAGGCTCATCACCCGCTCCCACTGTTCAATCTCCAGATCGCCCACCGGGTCGAAACGATCCATGATTCCGGCGTTGTTAACCAGGACATCGATCTTTCCGAACTCTTGAATCATTTGATCGAAGAGACTCTGAATCTCGCTGACGATGGTGATGTCGGCTTTGATGGCTCTGAGAGATCCCTTCGATGATAATTCGTCCGAGGTCTGCTTCAGGCGCTCCTCGTTGATATCGCAGATGACCACATTGGCACCGGCATCGAGGAATTGAGTCGCAATAGCCTTGCCCAAGCCGCCGCCTCCGCCGGTAACAAGGCAGGTCTTGCCAGCGAGAATCTGCTCGGACATTTTGAAAAATTGAGAGTTGCTTTTTAAAAAGGCCGAAATGAAGCTCCGGAGAATATTTCAAATGAGTAGAGATTTGCTTTTGTGGCTTTAAATAACAAAATTTCTGTTTGTGGCGGCGGATGGTGTTCTATCCGCTTTCCGTTGAGACCTGGGGACATCATGCTTCGCCCAGAGCGGCTCGGACGCCGGATTTCCTGGGGAACAGGCTATGGATCTATGTCGAAACCACGCCTGAAGAATGCCAATGCCGAGGCGTATTGACAATACACTGGGCGTGCAGTGAGTTATGTTGCGAAAAAGAAGCCTAAGACAGGCAAATAATGAAAATTTATCGAGCTATAACATATTCTCAGGTACATAAATGGTGATTTGAAGATTTTAAGCTTAAAATCCACGTGGTAAAGGGCTTTTTTCCGTGGAGATGCAACAGCAGGCTGCGTAAAGATGCCGCCGAAATTACGAGATTCGGTCACAGGCAAAGTTACACTAAGTTGCTTGTCGGGAGGACGAGCTTCCGGAGCCCTAAGCCCTACTGCCTAATTCGAGTAGGCAGCTTGCGGCGCGTCGGAGCAACGCCGCCAACTCATCCGATGGGTAGCGCATGCTATAACATAAATCTGTATTTGTAGATTTACCCACTCGGAGCTCTTGGAGGACTTGCAAGACTTCAATGGCGGCCTTCCAAGTTGACCTTCTAAGGCGTTCTGGGTACTGTCTACCCAAGAGTGCGGTGGCGCCCTATACATGTTGGCGGCGTTCTTTACAGCAACAGAAATGTCCCGAAGGACCCGAGGGCTAAACCAACAAAGACAACATCAAGAGATAGCCAAGTCTCTTGGGTTCCCAATTACCCAATTCGTTTGACAGAATCCCCACCAACATGATATCGAACTCTGGATCTGTTTATGGCTGGGCAAATGGCAACCCCTGCATGGGCGGCTCTCCTTATCTCGGTCGAAAGCCGATTCTGAGGCGTTGCCTGTACCCCCGCAAAAATCCCGAGTCCGTTCGGGACTGGCAGACGGGATCCACCGGCATCGCGGAGACCTTCTCGATCAGGAAACCAGAGGAGTCTATCAGTCCATCTATCTTATCACCCCAACCGCCTTGATGTTGGTCATTCGGTCACTCCATGGGGTCGCTCAGATAACATGGGGAAGTAGGTAGAGGTTCGGATTCCCCCGACTCTTTTAAAATATCGCTCCCCATCCACTTGCGGCGGCGAAAATTTTCCTCCTAATATAGACCAGACTATATTGTAAGCATGTCAAAAGAGGATGAAAACCAGGTGTTTAAAGGCACCACCAGTGAAGATGTGCGTCTTGAAAATCTGGGCTACGAGCAAGGTAAGAAGAATCATCGTCAAAGACCTATTCGGCAGTTTGACACTTGCTAATATTCGGACTTGCCCCCAGAGCTCAAACGTTCCTTCGGATTGCTGTCCATGATTGGCTTCAGTTTCAGTGTCGTCACTTCGTAAGGAGTTCTACGCCAATCTAATGAAATATTACTTAACCATTTGCTTGACTAGGTGGACTGCTCTAAGTGGTGTTTTTATCGTCGGAGTGACCTCGGGTGGTCCTCCCGTGATGGTATTCAGTTTCATCGGTGTTAGCATCCTCACTTTAGCGGTGGCAATTCCAATGGCAGAAATGTGCTCAATGTACCCAGTGGCCGGAGGGCAGTATTCTTGGGTTGCTGCGCTTGCACCTCCAAAATTTGCTCGGGGATTATCTTATGTGACGGGTTGGTTCATGCTCATAGGTACGATTCGAATTTTACTTCTCTCACAAAAGCGCAAAATATGCTAACAAAGGGAAAGGTCTTCTCGCTATGGGCGCCACAAACAACTCAATCGCATCCAACTTTGTTCTCGGAATGGCGAACTTGATTTTCCCAGAATATGAGATTCAACGATGGCAGACGGTCTTGGTAGCTTACCTGGTCGCCATTTTATCGGCTGCCGTAAACCTCTGGGGATCTCATCTTCTTCACAAAATTTCAAAGTTCATATTGATTTGGAATGTCGGATCTTTCGTTATTGTCACAATTACTCTTCTCGCGACAAATGACCACAAACAGCCAGCCTCTTTCGTTTTCTCAGAGTTCCAAAATACCACAGGCTGGGGCACCGGAATGGCCGCTATTGTTGGCATTCTCCAAGCCTGCTTTGGCATGTGCTGCTATGATGCTCCTTCACATATGACTGAAGAGATGAAGTCAGCTTCCAAGGAAGCGCCCAAAGCCATTGTACTCGCCGTCATTCTCGGTGCCGTGACCGGATTTATTTTCCTACTCACACTATGCTTCTGCATTGGAGACATTGCTGCCACAGCTGAAAGTACTACCGGAGTTCCCGTCATCCAGATCATTTACGACTCCACAGGCAACAAAGCAGCTACTTGTATTTTGTCGAGCATGATTGCAGTCATTGTCATTGTTGCCGGAAACAACATTCTGGCAGAAGGGTCTCGTTCCGTCTATGCATTTGCTCGCGACAACGGATTGCCGTTTTCCAAGGTTTTCAGCAAAGTCGACGCCAAGAGCCAAGTTCCCGTCAACGCTGTTCTCCTCACTCTTGTTGTACAACTGGCACTTGATGCCATCGAGTTTGGCACAACCACTGGTTTTGAAACGGTCATCTCAATTTCAACCGAGGGCTTCTGTAAGTACCATTCAAATCGAGCTGTGCATCTGTTGCTGACATGTTCAATTCAGATCTTTCCTATGCGATGGCTCTTTTGAGCCGAGTGATGGGGTATTTTACCGGTCATGTCGTCAAGCTTGATGGCCCATACTCATTTTCGCCCCTGGTGTCGATATCTCTTAATATTGTCGGACTCTTCTTCCTACTTTTCGCTTCGATCACCTTTAACTTCCCGAGCACCTACCCTATTGGAAAAGACTCTATGAATTACACGAGTGCTGCGATTGGGGTTATTGGTCTGATCAGCATCGTGACCTGGTTCACCTCTGGGCGGAAGAATTTCACAGGACCGGGAGCTGTGAGCTTCTTGAGCGGAGAAAACTCGACACAAAATGCCTCGCACACGGCTACCGCACAAGGGGAGAAAAAGTGTTGAATTGGCTGGGGATCCATTACCTGAGAATATATTAAATTGGAACCTATAGTGAACTGTGGTCACATAAAACAAATGAGATTTCCCATTCTGTTTAGAAAGTTCGTGTTTCAATTCTATATGTTGGTGGCGAGATATATGCACGTATATGCTATGCAGTCACCACTCAGTTATACGGCACAAGGAACAACATGAGACTCGGTAAAATTCAAATGGGAACGATCCGGTTAGTTCATCTGTCCAGTGTTGATGACCAGCTGTTGTTTTGAAATCAATGTATATATACACCTCGCCCCCATTTCGATGATAAAAGTTCAAGGATCCCGCTCTGATGGAAAGCTGAAATTGGACCCGAACTACGTCTGTCAGCATTCCCACGGATACCGTTGATAGCGATACCAGAGATAACGATATCGAAATTGCTGAAATTTTTATCCCGGAAATTGAAGGGGTTGACGTATCCTTTGATCTATACATTCGTGTTAAACAGAGGATATGATAGCCTTAGTAAAGTTTTTCATACCTGAAGTAAATCATTGAACCAGTCAATCTCTGTACTATCGGCCGGTGGAGAGGAATGAAGAAGAATCTTCGATAAGACAGCATCCTGAACAACTGTTCAAATGGCCTACTTCATCCCTGCCTTGGGATTAAAATTGACCATAGCATCAAAGAAACTGACATTAGCAATGGCGATCGGAAAACTAATTTCCAGTGATTTACTATTTGCAGTTTCAGTTGCTTTCATATTGACTAATGCTTTGTACTGTAGGTAGCTTTATGTGAATATACATATTAAGTGATGTGCGACCGGGCAAAACTGACATTGCGAGAGAATTCGCTATTTATAATGCTTTGAGCTTGTAGCAGTGTAAATACCCAACCTGCAAAATGATGTTCAATGATTCTTAAATTGTTCGTTTGACGGACAGAATCAACAGCAGTAGCAGACAATGACGACAATCACCCACGATTGTTGCAGACAGAAGCTTGGAATTATCAATAATGAATACATTCCCGTCATCGTATCTCCCCACCCCTTTGCACAGTAGAATGGTGTGGTTGCCCTTGTGGCATACAGACGTAAATCTTTTGTCGTTGTGTGTGCAATCTGTGCTAACTCTACCGCCTATCTGGCCGCGATGGGGGGGGGGGGCGTATGTAACGGCTAGTATGTTTGGATTCATGACTCGCCGTGACTCATGATGACTGAGGGATATGGGTACTGTGGAGCACTTTCAAAATTTGGCTTTGAAACTACCGAATCACATGATCTACTTTGCGCATACTCGGGTCGAGTATCGTATAATAACCACGACACTTTGAACATCTGAACTTCATTTTTTTATCTGACTGATATTGAAAATGAGTGACTCCAAACATGCAATCGTCTTCGGTGCATCCGGCCTGATTGGCTGGGCTCTGGTAAACCAACTCCTGGGTCCTTACCCTGATGTTGGTAGTTTTTCCAAGGTCACTGCTGTTACGAATCGTTCCCTCGCCCTCTCCGAGTCTCATTGGCCTATGCCCGTATCGCACCGGCCAGACCTCCAGCTCGTATCAGGCATTGATCTTCGTAAAGGTGATGGAGCCGCATTGGCAGATGTTTTGAAACATGAAGTAGAGGACGTGGAAAGTGTTACCCATATCTATTATTTGGGTACGTCACAATTGCAATATCTTATGATGCCCAATTTGATTATCAACAGTTTTCACTGCCGTCAAGAACGATATTGAAGAAGTCGCGACCAACCTGCAAATGTTCAAAAATGTCATCGACGCCCACAACTTGATCAGCCCGAATTTGCAATTTGTGACATTCCCTGGTGGGACTCGGGTGAGCACAACTACTTGTTATGTAATAAGCCGCATGCTGAATTGAAAAGGGGTATGGTATATACAGTCCCGGTGGCACATTCACTCCTCCTTTGAAAGAGGACATGGTGAGCAGCCTTCCAGTCGACTACGCCAAAACTGTCGTATATCCAGCGTACCGCAAGCTTCTTGGTGCAGCGAGCGAAGGAAAAAAGTGGACATGGTGCGAAGTCTGTCCAGACGCAATTGTAGGTTTTCTATAAAAGCCCCGAGGGTAACTACTGACATCAATCAAGATTGGGTTCACTCCCAACGGTTCTCAGTTTAGCTTGGCTCTACACTGGGCCCAGTATCTGTCCCTGTTGGCCTATAATCATGGAATTGGGCCAAACACGCGAGAAACCAATATGGCCGATGTCGAAGTTCCATTCCCCGGCAACGCAGCTAGTGCCAACTCTCTTTTTTCTCCAGTGTCTAGCAATACAATCGCACGATTTATGATCTATGCTTCGCTGCACCCCGAAGTATGTGGCGGCGGCCAGCTGTTCAATATTGCCGATAACCAGAAGCCATGTAAATATGGTGAGATCTGGCCTCATCTAGCAAAATGGTTCGGCCTGATAGGTGTGGGACCCGCTGAGAATTCGCATGGCCTGGAAAATACTTTAAAGGCTGGCGAGCTCCCGCAAGCCACTCAATTCCTGACACCTGGGGAGTATGTCGCCGAGCACAGGGGCAAATTCGCTGATTTGGGGCGTTTGAACGCCGTCACTGGGGGTGTTGGTGCTGGCCATCAGCAGCTTGACAGTGTCGGTTACTGGTTGACTTTCGATCGCCAACTGAACTTAGAGAAGTTGAGGGCGACAGGGTTTGAGGGTGACAAAGAGCCAATTGATGGCTGGTTAGAAAGCTTTGAGATGTTTAGAAAAGCTGGCTTGGTACTCTAATTTTGATCACCACCATCGATACTCCGCATTCTAAGTCTTGGGCGAATAAGATTTCGTCACGTCCTATCGCTCTATGCATATATAACCATCCTCCTCGCTATATGTCCTTTACCAATGCAGTACAATTGAAATCTTGTTTCTTGTCGTTCTTGCACAGTAAAAATACTACGATTCTCTATTCTATGCAGCTAAACACTCTATTCCTGTGTTTCTCTATCTATAATTCGTAGTTGGCACTGAATGTATTCAGGTACATTAATAAATCGCTATGAATTATAATAGTGTTCAAAAGTATTTACCGGTCCCTGCTTTGATCACTACACTAATCACCTACACTTAAATTTTCTTTCCTCCTACAACTACTAGTATGCTAGATAACCTAGCAGAATTTACTAGAAAAGGAAGAAAAAAGGTAAGCTAACCCCTTAGCAGCATCTAGCAATAGTATATGCTGCTAATAACGGTGTATCTAGGATCTAGCTAGCACGTGATTTTGCATATAGTCTAGAAACGATATATAACACTATTCAACGTTAAATAGAAAGCTATATTGTTAAATTAGCGCCTCGCCTAGAAAGGCCTAGGAAGCTTAATAGTCGTGATTACACCTTCCTATATTTAGAAGCACGCTAGTATCCTTTTTAGATATATAAATAGCTATTGTGATAGTGTCAGGAGATGTAAAGGTGATCTTATTGGTTATGCTCTTGCTAGGATATAACTACTTGTACAGGGTAGAAAGCCTGTCGACTAGGTAGAAAGATAGACGTCAAATAAGGAAGGCAAAACACTGTTTCTTGCTATCTTGGATCTCTCCATGATTCTCAATTTATGTACAGGCTTCGACCCCTTTCCACATGACCAAAGCAGAGAGGATGGATCACATTATAATATGCGGTCTGACGTGGCCTCATGGGGTAGGATTAAGGGAAGGCTGCAAGATAGAGGGGTTCACGAATCCCTGGTGGAAGGGCACCGAACCTCTAGGGCCTTGTAGACCATGCACCCATGTTGGGGAGAAGTGGATGAAGCCTGACCGATAAGGTGTCTAATAGACACCTAAGGCATAGAGTTGGGAATAACCTCGTTTTGCAATATCATATGACATATATATTTGGAAAGATAGTGGTGTGGTGTGCAGTGTAACTGATAAATATATATTTGATGTTGGGGTGGTGAAAGTGGGGATCGGGAAATACTTTTGAACACCATTGTAGATACATATGTTGAGCGGATATAGGCGATCGGTTAGAGACTTTATTGAGCAAGGTATTCAAGTAGCGCCTGTTAAGCTTCTAAGGTTCACCGTTAATACCTATAGATATAGGGCCTATCACTAGGGAATCACTATTGCCTAAAGAAAGACTACTAGGTTCCTACACCGCCTGGAAGTTATTCTTATAGTTGCCAATATCAATCAATCAATAATCTTATTCCTGATGGAGCTTGCTCTATATACAAGGTGCTATGCAGGGATTTGCGCCTTCTAGTGTCCAGCCAAGTGCCCATGAGAAGTTGCCAGCAACAGCTGAGCAGTAGCTGCACTGCCTAGAACGAACAGAATGAAATCGAATACAGAAAGGAAAGAATCAAAACAAGAGAAGGGATTACCGCCCCCGCGGCCTAGTCCCGCGACAGTCCCGGCGGTTGCCGAGTAATAAACTAGATAAACTGCCAATATGTGATGAACTATTCTGGCTTACCATTATGAAATACGCGAGTGTGGTGATTCCCAACTCACTAATACTCTGTGAATTCCATCGACCACAACACTGGATCTTCGCCTTGGTCCGAGTTGGCAATGTTCTGTCAAGAAAATAAACAGATTGCCCATATTCACATTAAAGTCAGAAGAAAGAGGCACAATTTAACTCCTAGAGTACGCCGATCTAGAACCTGGGAAACCCTTCCACTTTTGCACATGTCTAGTTGGCTCCAATTCAGGTCGAGATGGATGGTCGTGTGCAACTAGAGACCTGCACATGTGTGGACAGCGAAATAAGGAATAGAAAGAAAGATCAAAACAAAAGAGGCTGAAAAGAAAAGCCGTCGGAATATTTGAAGCTATTCAAATCAGTCAATATCAGATGATGGAATTTTCACATCAATTGCTTCCCAAGACCTCGCTATCTAAAAAGACTTGGGTGAGAAATTTCCAACATTTGAAGATTGCTGTATCGGGATTTGCTGCAGACCTGGGATTGAATGACTCGAAATCGTTAAGTGCTGAAAGATGAGCCTCATAGTGCACATGTGGGCAGTCTGCGTTCAACCCTTGCTCGGTAAGAAGATACACCAGTTGACCTGGATATCGCAAGTGCTGGCGACTACCTTCATAGTGCTAGGGGTGAGAACGCGAAAATTTTATGATCCTTATGACCAGACAATCAATATATTTATTCAAACTTTGAACACTATGATTTGAAAGTTGCTCATAGAGAATATCGCAAAGGTGCAGGTTTAAACCTCGATGCGCCCATTGTGAAGCCCTCCGGTTACTGGAATATCCGCCCCAGTTGTATAAGAAGATCCATCACCAAGTAAATATGCCACTGCAAGGGCCAAATCATCAGGATGGCCCATCCGTTTCAAGGGGGGAACTGTTCTGAAAACTTGCTGAATGTCAACAAACTGCGCTGACATCTTGGTAGCAATGAACCCGGGAGAGATCGTATTGACCCGCACATTGTGCGGTGCTAGCTCAACAGCCAAAGTTTTCCCCAACAATTTAATAGCCCCCTTCGAAGCTCCATAGATCGACACACATTGAGAAGGAATAGCGCAGTGAGCGGCAATTGAGGCGATCATCACCACGGAGCCCCCACTCTTCTGCTCAATCATTTGTTTCGATGCCAGCTGAGCAGCAAAGAAAGAGCCGAGGACCTAAGGTAATTACCAGTGTTAATGGATTTGAAAGAGCTATATCTCACAGGGCATAATATCATACGTTGATTTCGAGAATTTGACGAGACTCATCCCATTCGTGGTCTAAAAACGGCTTGTCAAGAGCCACCCCGGCACAAGTAATGCTTGGGAATTGTTAGATGGGCCTGAGAACTGCCAGTACAGACACGCAAATTTTGCATACCAATTGTCAATGTGATTGAAGCTGCTCTTCACGGAACGAAAAGCATCTTCCAGGCTCTGCTTGGAAGTAACATCCGTACTTTTCTCATGTGCACAGTTAGTTTGGAAAATTGAGGAGGTTGGAAGGCTAGACTAGACTCGAATGTCTGGGTTTTGCTTACATACCGCTGAAAGAAGAACCGAGAGCCATATTCATTTTCCAATTGTTGAAGTGTTGTTTCTGGCTCCTCGACGTCTAAAATTGCAACATCGCTGCCCAGAGAAGCGGCTGTCTTTGCTAGTGTTAGACCAATCCCCCTTGATCCACCTGCATAGCAATAATCTTGAATTAGCAGGTGGAAATGTGAAGTTGCTGACAGGGGGCATACCAGTGATGACAGTGACCTTGCCATCCAGAGTAAGCTTAGATAGAACCATTTGTCGATTGGCGCTTTGAACCTCGCTGGAATATCTTTTGAAGGCGGAGGATATCTCATTGAAAACGTTTAGTTTTCGGACAGAAGGCCGGGCAATGTTGAAATTCAAAGCTACGGGCATGGCGCCACGCCCAAGGCTCGTTCGAACGGTCTTAGAAAGAAATGTCGCCATATTCTTCTCACTTTGCTATTTGTCTCCAGCCTTCAAATAGGGTATTGATCTGCTGGGATGTGTGTCTGGACGGTAAGAATAGGGTACTTAAATGTTTAAAATGAGGAAAGGGTGAGTGAAACCAGGATCTCTCCAAGTCATAAATCGGCTCCAGATACCCCTTGAGCGTCTCCACTATTGCAATCTTGATTCGAAATTTGAGTTTTACCCCCGCAAACGCGAAAGACATGATTTGGAAATACGAGGCCCGTTGAAATTCCGAGAATGTGGCCTGCTGATCAGGATTTTCAATTCCGGGGATTCAAGCAAAGCCGTGAAATGCCAAGAGTCTGTAATAACGCACGGAGAGCGCAATCCTTACAGATTTACATTGTCCCCTCAAACGTGTTCCATGCCAAGCATAATCAATCGATGCTGAACTTTGGCTATTGGGATGGCGAAGGCCGCAATATAACCCAGATGCACATTCGGCCTAGCACCTGGTTGCACACACAGTTCGCAGTGCTAAAGCAATCATCGATCAAATTGGGACATGCAATTTGGGAGCTGCCCAGCATTTGAAGTCTCTTTTTCTGAAAGCGTTCCAAAGCTGGAATTGATGTTGGTAAAAACCCATCCGGATATCATAGGTAACTATGATTGTAGGGAAAGAACGTTCAAGTTTGATAGTCTAATTCAATATCTAGGCTACTAGCTAAGGCTGCAAATTTCAATGTACACACATCTTTGAGGATCAAAAAAGAATGCTCCATCCTTGTTGCAAGTTGACTTTAAGCACGGCCATAGGAAATGGCATTGCGCGCCATCTGGATCAACTTTTGCTGAGCAGCACCATCTTTAAACCATAAAAGGGTGACCAAGGAAATCAACGCCGCCCCATATACATAAATGCTGGTAGTTCTGATCCAGCGCCGCAGGGTGTTCAAATACCAAAGGCTTGAGCCTGGTGTCTTCTTGAAGACCCCAAGCTGGGATTTAAGTGTCTCTCTCCAATAGCTAGAAGCATATCCTGGCCACGAGGCCGAGTTCCGCCCATGCTGGTTGATATACCAGTTGGAACAACCGGCCTCGAAGACAGTCCCCTTGAGCTTCACTTGGAGAGAATTCACCCATTGGTTCTCAACTGTGGATTTGACTTCCAGGGTTGAAATACGGCCATCGATAATGGGGGCGATTAGAGTGCGAGCCAGGTAGTCGACCTCAACTTCCGAGGCGAAAAGAACCGAGTTGTGCGCAGGGAAGGTGTTGGGTCCAAACCTATGTAGTTCGGTGAGTTAGTTACTGCTTCCGCACCCCCGCGTGGGTGATGAGTATAGTGTGATGGGCATGAAACGTACAATATGCCCATATTTGGGAAGTTATGGACGTAAACACCCATATAGGCCTGTGCTCCTCTGGATTCCTTCCACTGCTGAGACAGGCTTCTGCCGCCCGTACCGTACAGCTCCATGGGAACGATGAATTGCTGCACGTCGAAACCTGTGGCCAGGACGATTGCATCGAACTCGGTTCGTACGCCATCGGTACTGACAATGCCAGTCTCATCGATATGATCAATCCCAACACCGGCCAGCTCAACGTTTTCACGGTGGAGACTCTCGAGGTAGTTCGGGTCGAAAATTCTTCTTTTGCAGCCTGTTGTAATGAGTTAAAACCCCATCTGTAGTCCTATAGACAGGGCAAGAGACAGGGGCATACCTAGTGGGAAGTCTGGAACAAGAGTCTTGTGATATTTCTTGGGGGCAGTATCATGTATGTACTGACGGGCGCCCTTTTCCGTTTTGGCGCGGATTCTTTCTGCCGCGATGCCAGGCAGGTAGGTTGTAACTAGAGCATCGCAGGAGAGAAACAGACGAAAACGAAGATATCTTTCCCATAGTGGAATATTCCTCAAGCACCATCTCTCAGCGGCAGTGAAGTTGCGATTAGGCCGCTCGTGGTACCATTGTGCGCTTCGAGCGTACTGCTTTACCAATCCAGCGCTTTTCGCAATGGCAGGGACCACCTGGGCGGCACTGCACCCATTACCGATCACTGCAAGACGTTTGCCCCGGTAATCATACTGAGAATTCCATTGGGCTGTATGGAAAATCTCTCCGGTAAACTTCTCCATTCCCGGGAATTTAGTGTCTCGTGGCTTGGAGATTCCACCCACAGCAGAGATGAAGATGGTAGCTGTGCGAGTGTATTCGATCTTGGTTTTGGTATCGCGAAGTCGAACTTCCCAGAACCCCTTTTCGTTCCAGGATGCAGAGACACACTCGACTCCAAAATGCATGTGTTTTCGCAAGTCGAATTTATCCACTGTATCATCCATATCTGTCCCCACCATCTCTTGTTAGTCTGTGTTCTGTGAAGTCGAAGACAATATTAACTTAAACGACCCACATTCCAAAATCTCTGGGCCCTCACAGAGCTCTTTGGACCAGTTTGGGTTCTGGTTGAAAGAAAATGAATACAATATGGTGGGCACATCACATCCTCTGTAGATAGAACCCTGTTAGCGCGATGCCAATTGCCAATGCTCCAGTACATCTCAGTCACCTACACCCCTGGGTATTTGTTCATGCGCCATGTTCCACCAGGACCGTCAAGCTTTTCGTAGATCTAAGATGAATTTGACATTAGCATTGAGTGTTGATAATGCAAGGATCAATTGACGACTTACTGTGAAATCGTGGAAACCCAATTTATGCTTGATCGTGTGGGCGAGAGCAATTCCCGACGGACCAGCACCAATCACTATGATCTCCGCGTCCTCCATAGTGAATGGAATGGAATGAGGGACAAATAGTACCGGCAAGGTTCACGACTGTCACCTAATAGAAGTCGAGCTGGGTACGCAAAGACGACAAATTTGAGACGTTATATTTCAATTTTGAGTACCAACCCTTTTAAGTGTAGGATGTTCCGCCGAGGCTGTCAAGAGCCGGAAGTTTGTTGTAATGCTGAATGCATTTTGTCTCAGCTGTGGTAATACAAGGAAACGTCATAGTTCACCTGCACCTGCAACGAAAACGAGTATGGAGGAGGACCTGGGCAGCCGCAGTTCAACTCGATGTTCCGTGGAATTGCATATCCCGGAAGGCCTCAGGCACCAATTGCGCCTAGGTACCGATTCCAACCGACCGCATTGCCGCTTGAAACACTTCCGAGGTCTTAACTATCGAGATACACGTTTCACCAAACCTACTGAGCGAGTTGAATGCCAGGATTGACGTTTCATGGTGATCTTGGAATAAGTTGTCTTTGCCTAGATGATAGGCTTCCTGAACCCACTCGTTTCCCAATGGGACAGAATGATGTAAACATCGGAAGCACCGACAGGTCACGCGGGGTCTTTCTTATGTTTTTTTTTTCTTACGCCCTTTCAACTTGGGAATACCAGGGTCAGAATGGAGAGGAGGGGAGACCAGGAGAGGCTTCCACACATTTGCAGCCCATCGCGGAAAAAATGCAATTGCGCGCAGGGTGTTATTCAGATTTTGGAGCCAGTAGGCTATCCCGTTAAACCCCATTCGGCTAATTTCCCCCGCCTTGGGGTGTTGTCCATGGCCTTGGGGCCCCATGGGGTGCGCTTAGCGTCCCACTTAGTACTAGAATTGGAAAGCGGGAGTGATATTTTGATTACAAGGTCTTGATATAAATCTCGTGGATAGTCACTGGTACCGGAGGAGAGCCCCACAGGATTATTTTCACTCCCACACATCAATATGCTCAATCTGGAGGGCCGTTCTCTCCGCTTGGCCATCACAGTCACCGCTGGCAGTGCTTACCTCCTCTTCGGCTATGATCAGGGTGTTTTGGGAGGCCTTGTATCAAATGCCAGCTTTCTGAGTGCCATAGGAAATCCTAGCTCTGGATATCTAGGGACTATTGTCGCACTTTTCAACATTGGCTGCCTGATTGGCTGCGTTATCTCGGCGGTATTTGGAAATAAACTGGGCCGCAAATCAGTCATCACTCTAGGATGTGTGATAATGATTATCGGTGGATCAATCCAAGCCAGTGCGTATGGAGCAGGCCAGCTTATTGCTGGGCGGATTATCTCTGGCATTGGGAATGGTGAGCCTCGAACATGGATTGATCGACGATCGAAATTTCAAGTGAGCTGGAAGGCTAATTCTTACGTTCAATAATTCAGGAATGAACACCTCTACAGTGCCGGTTTACGTATCTGAAGCATCTCGCAATTCAGTACGCGGACGTTCACTGGCCATCCAGATGTCAATCGTCATTGTGCGTATACCAGCATTCTTCAAAATACTCAAGTACCAGCATGGCTAATTTCAGCAAGTTTGGTACGGTTATTGCTTACTGGCTGGACTATGGCATTATAAGAGGACAGACAGGCGAAGTACGTTATTCACCCCATGTCGGGAATTCACCATTGACGTCGCCTTCCAGCTTGTTTGGCGTTTTCCCATTGCGTTCCAGAACTTTTTCGCCTTGGTCACGATTATATTCATGCCACTCATTCCAGAATCGCCAAGGTAAAGTCTCCGGTTTTACGAATACCCCTTGGCTATACATATATTAATTAGAGATTAGATGGCTCTATGCAAAAGGCGACCAGGCGGGCTCGATCAAGGCCCTTTCCCGTCTCCTTGGTCTACCAGAAACCCATCCAGAAATCCAAAATGTCGTTGCTGAGATGAATGAAGCGGTAGCATTGGAGCGGGACACGAACTCCAGGTTGAATATTTGGAACATAATGAGAGAAAAAACAGAATTAAAAAATCCTCGCCGCCTCTTTCTTTGTTTCACCCTTCAGTTCTTTCAGCAATTTACGGGCATCAATTTGATCGCATTTTACGGTAGGATTGGAACCACACCCCTCACTCAGATGAAACTCAATTCTGACGAAACAGTCACCATCGTGCTTGAAACAAACGTCGGCTTGTCAACGGAACTCAGTAGCCTGGTAGCAGGACTTATCCAAATTGCCTTCTGGGTTGGGACATTCCCACCGATCTTTTTAATTGACCGACTCGGTCGTCGAAAGGTCCTGATGTTAGGATCCACGATGCTCTGTCTTTCCATGACGCTTTTCACAGTCGGAGTTGCAATGGGGACACCATCATCGTCTAAGCTAGCCCTTGGCATGTTGATAATCTTCGAGATCTCGTTCGGTATGAGCTGGAACTCGGTACCCTGGCTCTATGCCCCGGAGATCACACCTCTGAATCTCCGCCATGTTGGAGCTGCAGTCGGATGTTTTTCAGAATGGCTATTCACATTTGTAAGTTAACTGATTGCTTTCTTGTCATTTTCTAACATGCTTTCCAGGTAATCGCACAAATGAGCCCACCCGCTATTGCTAATACTGGGTGGAGGATTTACATTCTTTTCTGCATCATGAATGCATTAAGCATTCCATTTGTGTATTTTGTTTTACCAGAGGTTCGTCCCCTCCATGTCAGTGGCACTACATATCAACTCACTGGATTGTGCCACCTCCGCATAACATCTATGCTAACGGCTGTTTCCCACTAGACCAGTGGAAAATCATTGGAAGAAATCGATTATATCTTTGTCAAGCACCGAGGACATATCAACGAGCTATCTGATATCTCCGAATCAACTTCAGGGGACATCCGGCAGAAAGGCGAAGGTCAAGCGACACAGGTGGAGAGAGCCTAGGGTGGCAACATTCTTTTAGAGCAATGGAGGATACCTACCGCATACATAGTTCAAATTGGGAATTCATAAATACACATGGAACAGGAAGGACATGATTGACGTACAAAGCCTACTTGTGAATTTGTATTATTCGGGTCGGACTTTAATTCAACGTATCTGAGGCTCCAGTAGTATTGATTGATTCAAGCTCTCGACAATACACATCCACGCAGTGGCTACATAATACTAAATGCCGTTTGGAGCCCGCCATTACGACCCAAGGCCTGATATTTGAAACCTTACATAGCTTAGAAATCGAATACATGGTTCTTATACATTCATTATGTGATTGCTTCAAATGTTGAATGCTCAGATTTCCTTTCAGACATCGCAACCTATTCAACATGGGCAACAATGAACTTAAACATCCAAACGTTTATCAATAGTGATATTTACATAATTCTCATGTCTTGGTGAGGCTCTTATGAGGCCCTCAAGTCCTCCATCGGTCCTTACATGTAGTATCAATACATGTGGATATCAATTGATTGGTTTTTCAAGGTACACCCACAATTGTTCCAAGGTTTTATCACCAAATTACGTCAATTAACGCTTATTCAAATGTTCCAGTGCAAGTTTAAGCTAATACAAATCATTGGTAGGTTCATCATTCGATATATAAATACCACTGCAAACATATTGACATGCAAACACAACTTGAACATTCAAATGTTTCTCAATCTTAACTGAGCCCCACTGTCATCAATGTATTCACGCAAAAAGGTCATTTCGGGGCGGTGAGCTTTTATCAATTGCAAAGCCAACACCCGACAACATACAATGCCTTTTTTTACGAGAATCGCCATCATGGGTTGGCGGAAATATTCAAATTCTTCCACGGGCCAGGAACTTGTCTGGTATGTCGACGTGTCTGCATCGGAGGAATTCGGCAACATTCTTGCCAAGGACGTCATATGTTGAGCTAGATGCCACACCCCGATCAAGATGATCTTTCAAGAGGAAATGAACGGCTATGTAGACAGAATAGATTAGTTCGTGTTGAGTCGATGTAATCAAAGGGCGGATACAAAGCTTACCGCAGATATTGGGCAATTCAAAGCGAAAGATCTGATTCCCGCTGTCGTCTTTTCCCAGAAGCTCTCTGACTTTGTCGGTGCTGAGCACAGTTCGAAGCCAGTCCCATTCGTCGGCGTGACGAACAAAGAATCCCACGTTGGCGTCCGATCCTTTGTCACCAGATCGAGCATGCACAACGTAGCCCAGGGGGCAGCGCGTCGTCGGACCAAAGACGCTCAGATCAGACGGCGCTGCAGTTTCATAGGACGGCTGCTCAAGGATAAATGGAGTGGTGTCAACCGGTGCAGAAATTTCTAAGCTACCTCCATTAAAAGGGGTATGGCTAACATGACGCATGCGATCTTGAGGGAAAATGGAGACGAAATACTCGTAATAAGGCTTCGCAACTGATTGGCGAGTGTCAACCCCAAAAGTCGCGCCGGGGTAACTTTGCATGATTGTGTCCGTACAGGGCCGGAGAAAGTTGGAAGCACTCAAAGCCTCTTCAGAGCGCGACTGAGCAAATATCCGAACTTCCACGGTTGCTGCATCTTGACTAGAGGGGTCAGAAGCACACGATCCTGTTGTACGAAATACCAGTGTGTGGTAAATGGATTCATCAAGCAGATGCCGGATTTGTTTCTCGAGCAGTTCGGCTTTTTCTGCAATATCTAGACCACAGAGGAAGTAATGAACTTCTGCTTGGTAGCCGCCCAATGCAGTAATGCCAATCTTTGTTGTTGGAGGCGGCTTGGCATATTTCACATTTGAAACTTGTCTAAAACGAAGATAATGATAAGCGATCAAAGTGGATGATTTTTCCAGGTGATGGATGGCAACTTACACTCGGTTCCTGCCAATGCCACGAATCTTAATCTCATCAAGAATTGCAACGACATCAGGATTATAGTAGAGAGGGCCCTGAATCTCGTATAGTAACTGAGCCTTGCATGTCTCTTCCGTTACCATGCCGTCCTTACCAACTTGAAGAGTGACAACAAACTCCCCACTTGGGGCTATCTCGACGACAGGGAATCCAATATCCACACTGGGGCCAGGAAGAGATTTGAAACCGGAGAAATTTCCGCCCGTTACATAGGTGGAACATTCAATGAAATGACCAGCAACAAATGAGTGTGCGAGCTGAAAGTAGTCCTCCCGACTCCATTTGTAATGAAAAGCTGCACAAGCGATTGTCGGGGAGGCATCAGTCACTCTTCCGCAAAGAACAATATCGGCTCCTTGGTTAAAGGCCTCGACAATACCCCATGCCCCTAGGTAGCATTGCGCATAAACCGGGTCGAACTCCCAATCAGAGAGCCTTTTCCCTGTAGTAGGTCAGCGTTTATTGCAAGAATCGGAATGTACTAGACGCATCTGCTCGGGCAGAGGCTTTCCTACCCGTTGTAATATTGACAAATTCCTCTCCAGACTGAATAGCCTCGGTGAGCAAGTCTTTGACTTCATCACCTTCTACCCAGGCTACCTTAAGGTCAAGGTTTCGTGCACGAATCGCATCAACGAGAACATCGTGAAGCTTCTTGGTGTCACTGGCACCTGCATTCACGGCTGTCTTGATCCCACGTAAAGCTAAATCTTCTAGTGCAGGCTCAATGGACTCCACGAATGTCTGCTCAAATTCCGGACCTTGATCGATGGACTTCATCTTACCACCACCTCGGGTTGTCATGTTGTATTCAGACATCCAATCTCCGACGATAAATTGGACATCTTCAGTCTTTGCGAGTTCCGCAAATCCATGCCGGCGATCTGTCACAGACCCGGAGGCGGACGCGATGCGTAGATTATCGGCTTTGATAGCAACCATGATTGAAGAAAAAACTTGAAATAGTAAAATCAATACAGGATCAAGTTCATTACTTGACTTCAAGTGATCGAAGCTGGCTGCTGAGATCTTCTCAGGGACTTAAATACATATCTCAGTGGTACCGATCTTTGGCCTGTTCCAAACCCATTCCAGAGACCTAGCCATCACAGCGGCCTGACATAGCCAGTTGTCCCACTCGAGAGAAGGACCGTGGTGGCGCTGTAGGCCATCATTGAAGTCACCCGAGGCAACACAATGGTAAACAGGAGTACTGGAGTTGACTGAGGTGATGATACTGACTCACGCCACTGACTCATGACACTCACGTGACTTCCAGGCCCCTCCGAGGCCTCCATTCGATTCTTTGATGGTGGATCTTTTACGAGTCTAAAAAAATTTACCTAGGACTTTACGAAGTTTCTCCCGCTCCGTCATTATTACCCTGGCCGATAATTCCGTTGGGCCCCATCTCTCAAGTGCCTTTCGGCAAATCCGCCACTCAATGGAATATAGTAGATTTGGGTGAAACCCGTCTCCACTTCAGCTAATATGCGTGGCATACACCGACTACTTCTTTGCACTTGTGGATGGAGGTTTATCATTCACCCTGGGCTACGGTACTCCCCCTGGAGGGCTGACGTAGAGATCTTCATTTGTCCCAGGCTTCGGCTTAGAAGGCTTTGAGTTTGTAAATCGTTCCAAGATTCTATTGTAACATTCAAATGTTGATAACGCGAACAGTACTTGAGTACATAGTGTATAGTGTAAATCGCATAGAGAAATATCAATTATAGGGCAAGGACGGCTTTGCGTCGTCGAAATCTGTACTTCTTCCCACCTTTTCTTGTCGAATAATATCGTCCAGTATACTTTGGCACTCGCCGCGAACGATGTTCATCGCGTCAGACCCCAGGAAAATGCGTAGTGGTATTCTCTGGAGCTCAGCAAAGTAACCTGTATGGTAAACGAGATCCACGATTCGCTCTACAGCTTTCAGCGGATCGCCAACTTGCTTTCCGTCGGTCTTTTCCAGCCTTGACAAGCAAGCTTGGATGGCGCTGTCATATTCACCCAGAGGCCGTGTGCTGCGGCTCACCAGTCGCCTGTTTGAATTGAGGATGCTCGTGCGAAATTGACCTAAAACAGCAACATGAACCTGGAGGCCGAATGGCTCGACTTCCTTTTGGAGACTTTCGGCTGCCCCTGTCAAAAGTTCAGTTTTATGGAACCAGAGATAAAACAGTGGCAAGGTTCAAGGATGCGATGAGCGTCCAGTCCCGTTGAGAAGTGATTTCTTACCCTCTAGAGCGAATTTGGAAGCGCTGTATGCTCCTCCAACTGCAACTCCTCTCCATGCAGCGATACTGCTCATAAAGATAATTGTCCCCGTTCCACGGGAACGCATATGTGGCAACAGCGCCGTCGTGAGGTCCAGAGGCCCAAGAACGTTGGTATGAAATTGTCTCGTTATCTCAATTTCGCTGCACCCTCGGTAAGCATGCATTTCCCCATGAGAATAACGTTGAACATTATTACAGGACCGGGTATTTGATAGAACCGACCTTAATTCTTCCCACACGCCCGACAACACATATCCAGCATTGTTGACCAGGACGTCTATATGTCCAAAGAAAGAAATTGCTTGTTTGACCGCTTCTTTGAGAGCCTTCCTTGGCTGGGTTACATCCAGCTCGAGGAGTCGAATATTTTCATGGGATGCAAATTCATCTAGCGACCTAATATCTCGAGCCGTGGCGACCACTCTGTCCCCACGCGCCGTGATTGAAGGTATGAATACCTTACCAAAGCCTGAACTACACCCAGTGATCAGCCAGACCTTGGGAGAGCCGCCTGATTTCTTGTAGCTCATGTTGGATATTTGAAGATGGATTTGAGTAGACAAGTCGACGGCTGGAATGGGAAGTCATTCCAGAACATTCGCAGTCAAGTAAGTTCAAGGCTCACATGAAATAAGGGGGATGTGAGCCTTATCGGAACAGCTGGAACTTGGACTACAGCACACGACACTGCTGGGAGGACCCCATTTAGTCCTATATCCATGTATTGGCGCCAAGTGACGGATTCAAATTGAGTTCGACGAATCAAAGTAAAGGCTTCCTCAAATTTTTGTCATGAGCAGGCATGAGCCACCCCGCATTCGCAGAAGTCAGATCTGTGCTTGACAACCCCGGACATATGTCCCTGTTTCCCCACAATTAAGATTGCACGAGCGGGGAGCCACCACGTCTAGAGTGCAAAGGCAAGGAAAAGCTGAGATTTGCGCGATTATAGGAAGGTACATAGATGAGCATAATGGAGACGGAATTGTGATTCCTTTAAGCGCGATTCATTATCCTGCCAGCCGATTGGTCGGAAATATGAGCCCCATTTGACGGGATGCATTGAGTCAGTACACTGAGGTCATGCACTATTAGCAACAAGCCACCTCGCACTAGTGACAATATTAAATTTTACGGGAAATGATGTTTCAAAAATTAAAGATTTGATTGTTCGGTTTTATATTTCCGTTGACTTCATAATGCCAAGACTGAGCCCTCGCCAGTCGGGACTTCCATCATTACTTTTCACGAATTGAAGTTTTTGTTTTAGTAATTCAACCTTGGAAATTTATTTAAGAGACCAGCAAAGCCTACAAAGTATAATGTGACGACATATTACCACTAGTATTGCACACGATGGCAGCCCCAATGCATCAGCTGGTGAACAGTATAATACCTGCCTATGCATGCCCGGCGGGCACTAAGATGCACATCCTGAACCTTGGTACACTGACAGTCGATGAGGGTTGGTACGTTTTCAGATGCCCACAAGCCCTCGAGCGAAAAGGCCTGACGATTCGGTTGGGAACGTTACTGATCAATGTACATGCGCCTCTTAGGTTACTTATGGGTGTTAATGGCGGATCAGCCAGCAACCCTAACCCCACAAATAAGCGAAGAGACTTGATGTTGATTGCCGGGTTAATCGAGCACCCCGAAATGGGTCTGATTCTTTTCGAATGCGGCAGTAGCGAGGATGCACATACAGTAAGTTCACGTCAATTCCAACTCTTGAGGCGAAAGTAACAGTCGCAATGATAGCAATGGGGTGCAGAAGCAGTTGATCTCTTTCCCCGAACGACCTATGATGAGAGTCACCATCTTCCTAAGGCAATAGAAAGTGCGGGATACAGTATAAAAGATGTCAAAGCAGTGATAATGGGTCACTTGCATCTAGACCATGCTGGTGGACTAGAGCACTTCAAAAACACGCAAATCCCCATTTATGTGCACGAAGAAGAATTCAAGAACGCTTGCTGGGCAGCTGGCACAAAATCCGACGCGGGACTCTACCTGTACGTGCCAAACGAGTGTCCATCTCACTACGATTTCCATCTGACTTGTTGATCTGTTTTTGTTTCCAGTGCGGACTATCTCCATCTAGACGGTGGGATTAACTGGCAGACATTCAATGACTCCCATCTCGACCTTTGCACCGGAATAACCCTCTATCATTGTCCCGGGCACACTCCGGGCCTTTGCATTATGCAAGTCAACCTACTACGCGATGGTACTTTTATCTGGACAACGGACCAGTACCATGTGCGAGAGAACTTCGATTCTAATTGGGCTCATGGGTGGCTTCTTCGAGATTATCGGAGCTGGATTGACAGCGGAAAGCTCATTCGAAGGTTACAGAAAGCTTTCTCAGCTACCTTGATATTTGGACATGACTATGCCACTGCGGACGCGCTCATTAAGTCCGGACCTTATTTAGAATAGGAGGCATTTTGAATGTACCAAGTCAATAGTCTAGCACTGAGGGTTTTGGCATACTTGCCAAAAATCCACATGTTCATACATGTGAAAGATTTGAATGAACTCTCCAGGGCTCCTCTAGAAACACGCCATGGCAATACTGCACGGACTTTGTGCCATGAAACCTTCAGATTTATCATTTGCCACCACTCAAAATTGATACCTCCCTAACATTTGAAAACCTTAATAAATCTATATTTCCAAGGTTGTATATGTACCTAAGTGGGTACTTGCATGGGAAACTGGCTTGGGTAACACTGACTATTGGTGTTATGCAGTGGCCTAATCAAGCGGTTTTCAATGTTGAACTTGTTCCTTGGAAATATATACATATCAATGTATGTATACTTTTATCAAAATTTGAATCATCCAAACACACATGTGAATTCTATAGTCTATGTATATCGTGGGTATTATCGCTCACATCAACTTCAAAGATAACCTTCTGCGTGCGCATCGCATTAAAATCCGCATATCTGTACCGTTTAGTGGAATTTTTAATGGGTAAATAGGCAGGTATTGGGTATCACTTACGCCTTAGTAGCTTGAGAGAGCGGGCGAATATCCTCAGTCATAAAACTGCGCCGGGGGTTAGCGATGCCGAGTAAGGAATGACTGGTTTGATGAACTATAGTTGATATCGTACCTCAGAGAGTCTTGCTTCTTGTTGAAAAGCGCCATAGCTTCACCAAAAATACCTGATTTGCATGGATGTGTTGGTTAATTTGTCAATGGAGGGCTTTCCAAACCCAATAAGAAAGGCGCAGTCTTACTTCGAACAGGGCAGCGTCCCATCTGCAACCGCAGATTCTTCCCGTATGCTTCATTCCCAGTCCAAGGAATTTCCCCATTATGCACACCAACACTGGAGATATTCCCCCATGGTCTCAGTAGCTCGAATCCCATTCTCAAAGCACTACTGTGTCCAACAATTTCAATCACCACGTCAGCTCCACGGTTGTCCGTCAGAGATTTCACCCTTTCCTTCAGCTTGTCCAGACCTTCTTCATAATTCCAAGCTTCTGCACCTAGAGACCGTGCAGTCTCTAGTCTTGAAGGTACTTTATCGATCGCTATCAGATTTTTGGGCTTATATTCCAAGGCGCTTACCAACGCACAGAGGCCGACGGGGCCGCAGCCAAAAAGGAGCACTGTGCTCTCCGCAATTTCACTAGGGGTGAGCTTTGAAAATGCATTTGATGCAGCAAAGTAACCCGTAGGAAAGATATCCGCCATCAAAACAAGTTTCTTCTCGTCGATCGTGGCAGGTATGGGGAACAGAGTGGAATCTGCCAGCGGGATGCGAACATATTCGGCCTGTCCGCCATCCAGTGCTGTTGTCCCGAATAGCGCACCCTGAGCACACCTGGAAGACGATCCATGCTCACAAAAGAAGCATGCGCCACAGCTCGCAGTAAAAGGTGATACCACGTGATCTCCGCTTTTGAATTGTGTCACACTGGAGCCGGTCTCTACGACCTTTCCAGTGAACTCATGGCCCATGACGAATTCCGTGCGAGAAGCCTGGTGACCCCGGAAGACATGAAGCTCACTGTGTCATGTTAGCAATCGAGGGTTGGAAGGAGATTGAGATTATCTAGAATCATAAGCTCGCCTTCCACATAGCGCTGTGTATCTGACTTTGAGGACAACGTCCGTTGGGTCCTGGATTTTTGGTACTGGCCGGTTTTCCAGAGCAACCTCCAACGGACCCTTGAATACTATCGCCTGCATCGTGTCGATAATTTTCTAGAACTCAGCGAATAATAAATCCGGCTTGCAGTGATTACCCGCGGGGAAGATTGTGATATTTAGACTATTTAGACCTGAGAGGCTAGAACTCGCACTGGGACCCAACGGAGAAGCGAAACTTGAGGTACCCAGGGTCAATTGCAAGTTGCTGACATAAATGCGGAGTCTATAATATTTGAACAGTGAAAAAGTGTGAAAAGTTCCACCACTTTGGATGCTTCTGCTCAATTTTGACCCGTCTAATGCTATCATCGATTCGCACGCACGCGTGTTGGCTCCATCGAATCCCCCGGAAATACCAAACCCGACCCATGCCCGCTTGGCACCCGCCAACCCTAGTTCCAATCAATTCAGATGACTTTAATTCCATGGCTAATCCATTTGGAACTAAAGACGGCAAAGAATGTAGACATGCGAGAATATACCTTCTGAGTGAGGTTTTAGATGCCGGAACCTCGGTCCACTGATTTGCCGAAATCAATGTCAGCTTGCCTAGTCAGGCAGCAAAACATGACCACCTGGGCGTAATAAACACCTGCATTCAATCAACAATCATTTCAAGGTTTATCCATAGAGGTATTACGGTCAAGCTCTTCTGACAACCTCGCAAAGATAAATATCTAAGCGTCTCATATATCACTTGAGCGCTTAGTGCGCGTACATGTTGGATTTGAAGTCAGCTATCTGAAGTTTGTTTTAGTTCCACACAAACTACTCCCAGCTTGTTCCAAGATCCGTCCACTGCCCGTGATGGCTTCCCTCTCGCCTCAACTGCCCGTTCCACTCGAAGACCTAAGCCTGTTTGATGGGCGGGGTTTTATCGCCGGGGAATGGAAATTCGCTGAGTCTACGAAGGCATTTCCGGTTTTTGAGCCGTCATCTGGAAACGTCCTATCGCAATGCGCCGATTTCTCTCGGCGGGACTTTACGGAAGCTATTGAACACGCGAACGGTGCCTATCGGGAATACTCCTTGAACACTACGGCCAAGCAAAAGGCTGCATATCTCCGACGCTGGAACGACCTGATTTTAGAGAACGCTACAGACCGTAAGTGAGCATTCCTGTCCATAGTCTGCCTTTCTATAAAGACTAATTCAGCGCAGTTGCTACGATCGTATCACTTGAAAATGGAAAAACATTCGCAGAAGCAAGGGGTGAAGTGCTCTACGCGGCCTCTTTCGTCTCTTGGTTTGCCGAGGAAGCTGTTCGTGCCTATGGAGATGTCATTCCCTCTTCATATCCAAAAACGGCAGTCTTAACCATGAAAGAGCCTGTCGGTGTGTGCAGTATCATAACACCCTGGAACTTTCCAGCTGCGATGATAACTCGCAAAGTCGCCCCAGCATTTGCCGCAGGGTGTTCAGTGGTCATCAAGCCACCTAGTGAAACCCCATTTACCGCTATTGCATTGGTAAAGCTCGCGCTCAAAGCCGGGTTCCCACCTGGTATCATCAATGTCATCCCTACGAAAGATCGAGATGCGTCCTTGGAGCTAGCTACGCACCCCAAAGTCAGCAAGATAAGCTTCACCGGCTCGACCAAGGTTGGAAAGATGCTATCTCAGCTGGCTGTTGGCACAATGAAACGAATGAGTATGGAGCTTGGGGGAAATGCGCCCTTTATCGTTTTCGACGACGCAGATCTCGACCAAGCTGTTGCAGCGGCTTTGATTTGCAAATTCCGCTCATCTGGTCAGACTTGCGTTTGTGCCAATCGACTCCTAGTGCACCAGGATGTACTACAGGTCTTTACAGGCAAGCTGGTGCGCGCCCTGGAATCTTTCAAACTCGGTCGTGGAATTGATGAAGGGGTGACCCACGGCCCACTGGTGAATGCAGCTGCTGTTGAAAAGGTCAAGAGCCACGTAGCAGATGCCCTTGAGAAGGGTGGTCGATTGAGATGCGGAGGGGAAGTGCCAACCCACTTATCATCTGGATACTTTTATTCGCCCACAGTCATCACCAACGTAAACGACAGCATGCTAGTTGCCCACGACGAGACTTTTGGACCCCTGGCCGCTATATTCTCCTTCGCATCCGAGGAACAGGCGATTGAATTGGCAAATGCCACAGAACTCGGACTGGCAGGATATTTCTTCAGCAATGACGTGAATCGCATCCACCGTGTTGCACGTCGGTTGGAATGCGGCATGCTTGGAGTTAACACGGGACTGATTAGCGCGGCGGAAACGCCTTTTGGAGGAATCAAAGAAAGCGGCGTTGGGCGAGAGGGCAGCAAGTACGGAATAGCCGAGTACCAGAACATCAAGTCGGTCACTATTGCGATTTCAGACGCCTAGGAGAACTTCGAGGGCAAGGGGGAGCACGTGAGTGTTGCTTCCCACCTGGGCAGTGAGAGAGAAAGTAGAATATTAAATATTTGACCTTGCGTAGAAAATCATAAATCGTTTCAATTTATAGGCCGAACCTCATTCATTCTTTCTTTCTTTTCTTCTTTTTCTATTTGCTTTTTCTCTTTCTCCCAGTAAGTCCATTTACGCCTGGGCGATTTGCGGAGTTGATTCGTCGCCCATTACGAGGGTCAATGGAGCCGACCCCGCTTCCCCCGGACCATCAAACCAGGGCCTTAAGACTCTCTTAGCGTAAGATACTCCCGAGGTCACTACCCCGGGCCTCCGAGCCTGAATTTCGTTACAACATTCTCCGCAGCCCATCCCACTTCGCTCCACCCCATCTCCACCCCATCTCCATCCCCCCAGCTCCACCACCACCCACAACCCATATTGACATTGCTGACCACACCTTTTCCCTATTTGCTGGCCTTGAGCATTAATTTGTGATCGTAATCTGTCGCGAATGTTTTCACACATCTGTTAAGATCACCACACCCAGTCGCCATACGAAATGGTAGTCAAGGCAGTCTCGCGCAGCGAAAATCCTTCGGAAACGAGAACTAGGCCACTCAAGCATGTCACTCGGGCTTGTACCAGCTGTCGCAAACGCAAAATCAAATGCGATGGGGCTAAGCCGCAATGTGCCAATTGTGCGCTGTATAAGCAAGAATGTGCCTTCTCGGGAGAGATCGACAAGCGCAGCATTGCTTCGAGGAGTAAAATCTCCTCCCTGGTGTCTTATATTCAATCTTTAGAATCCATCCTCAAATTGCACGATATCGAACTTCCAGCTACCCGACCGGATCAAATATTACCTTCAGTATCGACGTCATGCTCGCCGGCGAGGGATGTCCAGTCGATGGAAGCTGGCCTGCAGAAGGTACAAAGCAACAGTGATCAGACATACTTCTCAATCCCCTCAAATGATGCCTCACAAGACACCCAAGACCAGGCATCCGTGTCCGCTGACTCACACGACATTAGCTCTCTGCCAGACAGAATGGGTTCTTTGCAGATTGCGGAAGATGGCCAATTGCGGTTCTTTGGCCCTACTTCTAATCTCCACATATCCCACGTTGGGCCTTTTCCCCTCTTTAATTCAAACATTCGCTCCGTCTATTGGAATGAAGATGTCATTCTCAAAGCAGCGGGAGTCAACCTGCAAGTAGACGAAGAGCTTGAGGAGCATCTCACCAAACTGTATTTCACCTGGGAAAACCCCAATATTCCTCTTGTCGACGAGGCCGCCTATCGCCACGGCAAATATCGCTACCGAAAACTCATGGAGACAACACATCATTACTCGGAGGTTTTAAACAACGCGATGTGAGTATGGGACTGAATGTACAGACACAGCGCCCTTTCCTCCATGTTCTGACTTATTCTAGCTGTGCTGTCGGGGCGGCACTTACTCCACGCTACTGCCCCAATCTTCCCGAATCACTCATTGACTTCTTTGCCACGAGATCGAAGGCATTGCTGGAAGTTGAAATGGATTCTCCAACTCTAAGTACCGTTCAATCATTGGGAATACTGAGCGGCGTCGAGGCTCTTCTCACAAGGGACGCCCGTGGCTGGCTGTATAGTGGTAGGTCAGTCCAGTATAGGAGGGAATCCAATTATGCTAATAATTCAAATTTTCGTATCGATAGGAATGGCAATGCGACTTGCAACTGATCTTGGCCTTCATATTGATGCTACACCTTTTACAGAGACAGGGCTCATGGACACTGGCGAGGCAAGGTTAAGAAGTCAGACTTTCTGGGGCACGTATATCCACGAAAGGTAACACTTCCCTTTTCTTCTGGATAGGTATTGACTACAGTGTGATTAACGATGGGCAGAATGTGGAGTCTCTATCTAGGACGACCTGAGTCCATTGATCAAATAGATATCTCGGTCCAACAACCCTCTTCGCACATTGTACAACCTACCGACCCGAAATGGACACCCTATGTAGATGAAGACCAAAACGGCACGATATGGGCGTCTCCCGCTCTTCTCGAAGAAGTCGCCAAGGGAACTGTCACTCTATGTACCAAAATGGCGTCTATTCGGAAGATTCTGTACGGCCGCGCATATCCGAATGCATATTTGCTAGCTGACTAACTTTAATTAAGATATAACACCCCGCGAGGGGACCCGCAGGATGTCAAAAAACTTTACATCTTCGCCTCCAAAGCCAGGAAAGAGCTTTCTCAATGGCTTGAGGAGCTTCCTCCCGCTCTAGTCATTGATTCGGTTAATATGGACTGCAAAGCCACGCCTCATGTCATTCAACTACAGTATGTATGATGATCTCCGATACATTACTCAGTTTTGTTAATAAAATCAAGTATGCAATTTCACGTGGTTCAAATCATGATTCATCAGCCATTTGCATATCTGTCCAGCACAACTGATGGATTATCGTCCGAGAAGATAGAGCAATGTCATGCAAACTGCCACAACGCAGCGTGGACAATCACCAGACTCTTCCAAGCTACACGAAGGAATTTCACTCTCCGGCGGGTTAATATTCATTGTGTTCACCTAATATTCACAGCCATGCTGGTCCATGTACACAGTGCATTTCTGTCATTAGACCATCAAATTCGTGATACAGCACGCAGGCAGCTTGAGATATGCTCTCAGGCCTTGGGAGAAATTGGCCAAGCTTATAAAAATGCGCTTCGGGCACTTGAGGTTATTATGTCTATCAAAGCCGATTTGACTCGGCAGGAAAGGAGCACCATGCTTGGTGAGTTCAGAATGCCGGGACAGGCTGCATCCTTCAACCCTATGGCTTCATTAGGCAGAATCACATCCGCGTCAATGATGGGGGATCTAGCGTCTTACGACGTCTGGCCAGGATCCTTCCCCAGTGACAACATATGGAGTTCATTCGATGCCATGGCGGACATTGAAGCTACACAAACACACCATCCATCAACGGGAGAAATGAGCCTCACACTATAGTTCTTGATACACTTTGTCATTGCACTTGAAGCATTCTCATTCAGATCTACTTTATCTCAGGGACAGCTGCACTGTATCACGCCGATACCTACAAGTTCCCTTACTACTTAGATTTTATGGTTGGCACTATGAAAGGGGCCTGTTACATCTACTTCTAGGAAATCCCCTCCAACCACTCCTGAATAGACCAGTTGACCAGCCATGTACTTCGTTCATTGGATATCTTAGGTGTTTATCTCCGTTGGAAATTTATGCACAAGCTATGAAAAGCCGTTTTGTTTTTACTATTTCTCCAATGCCCTCTCAAGTATTGTCTGTAAGTAGCGAAGTCTCCGTTTCAAATTGATCTGTATCATGAATCTAGTCTATGAGCCCACCCAAGCCATAGGCCGGATACAAAGACCACAACACCGAGTCTTTCCAATCTGGTGAGGTGCTTTTCGACGTCCAAACCCCATCTTTAGGTTCTTGTGAGTTAACGAATACCTCTGCAGCGGAATCTGGACTAGCTGTTTCTGGGGAAGAAAGGTCCTGGAGAAAGTTTCTCTCAGATGAAGTCATCATAAAGTGAGATGTCAAAAGGGCACTTGTCTCGGTGATATCAAACCGGTCGATTTGCTGCGACGTGGTCATTCCAGTTTTATCCAGCCAGTCGGTGACTGGAGAATGATGGCCTCGGTATTTTCCAATGTGTGGACCCTGCCACTCGATCTGGGGATCCTCCAACTCCTTGTTTTTATTCTTATCGGCTCGCGCAATGATTCTTGCGTTTACTGTTGCAAGTGCCTTGCTGGCCGATGGATATGTATCGCTCATCTGTTGGAGGCCTTGTGCACATAGCTGAAAGGCTTCAATGGCAGACTGGCGAATGAAGGGAATCGGCGATGAGAAGTCGCTTAGATTCGACGCGATGCATGTCTCAAGCATTGCTACCTGCACATCAGGAAGCTCATAGACAAAACTTTTTGATCTGAAGAATCGGTATATCTCTGTCATTTCGGATATGGAAGACCGCATTTGCTGCTTGGACAGATCTGCCAGCTCGGGAAGACCCGGGTCGACCATGTCGACTCGAGATTTATGTAGTCCATGACATGCCAAATGGTAAAGTCCGTTGAGCATAGCTCGGAAGAAGAGTACAACGTCTCCGTGCTTGTTAATTCCAGTCAGCGGTGACGAGTGAATCCATTTCAAAGCTTTTGGCAGGGTATTTTGCCACTCCTTCAGCTCACTATCACGCAGCAAAACCTCTAGGCCTGTCCTCAAATACATCCAATGCTGTATCGACTGAGCTCCAATACTTTGCGATGAGAGAATTGGTGTGGCCCATTTGCAAAATAAAGCAAGGTGGATGGGAATCTGAGATAGCAGTGCCCGCATGGATGGGTCCCTAATTGCTGGGTGGCTTCCATTGGTTCCCAGACAGGACTTCGTTGACAGAGGACCTATTTGAAGGTCTGCTGCCTTCAACATAGGAACATTGAACTTTGATTCGTCGATCTGGTATGGGCACTGCAGCGTAAGCGCAGTAAGGCGATCGCGTATATAAACGCACCATTGCAGTCGCTTCCAAAATGCCGGGTTCTCCTTCATCATCCGTGTTTCCGATTCCGTGGGAGCCATTTCAATGGACTCCAATATTGCCTTGGCAATGCTGATATACTTCGATGCAGATGGTCCATCATCTGAACTGCAGTCCCACAAGGTCATGAGAAGGACTGTTTGGAGATTGGAAATGCGGTCATCTTCACAGCCAGAAACGTAAAGTGTTCGAACCGTTTCAAAACGCGTCATTCGTATTTCTTGTCGATTTTGAAAAGCTTCAAATTCAACACTTTCTGGACTCTCAAATGCGCTAGCGGCGAACATGACGGCTTGAAATAACAAAAAGCTTACGCCTTCCGTTCCCTCATAACTCCTATCGATAACCATGAGAAACCTCTCAAGATCCAACACCGGGAGAGCAGGATGCACGAATTGGCAATAGTTTCGTAGAAGCCCATCACGAACACGTGTGTCGGGTACGTCGAAGGCGCCTGCGAGTTGTAGCGCTTTGCAATCCTGACGGTTGATGGATGGGGACAGTGGACCAGAATAACATGGTAGAAAATTAATCCAGGTTACTGGCCGAGTCCTTGTGTAAACTGACTTCTCATTGGCTTCTTGTGATCTTCCGTTGATATCTACCCAAAATTGGGGGTCGTGATCATTTCTGGCAGTTGTCTGTATCCTTTTAGCTTCCACGTGGTGTTTAATTGATGGTCAGGATAAGGACATACGGCTTCGGTCTCAACAGGCACAGCGCTATCATTTGTATCGGTCTTTGAGCGCGCCATCGATTGATCCGTCTCGCGTGCTGGCTGACTCTCTCTTGCAAGTTTGCCTCGCCTGTTCACGGGAATGGTGCATTGAACATTGTAAAAGTGACATGTAGTGCAAGGGGCACCTCTAGCAGATACGTCGCATCGTACTTTTCGGCATCGACAGGCTGCACATGCCGCAGAGGATCGCTTTCGTTCTCCCTTGCTGCTGTGTGGCTTCACCCTCAGTTTTATCATCCCGACTCGATACCACAACTAAGAATATTCTCTTTGGATGAAGTCATCAATTAGTCGAGCATAAAAATGAGAATGAAGGTGAAATTCAAATTTACTTAGGGCGGCGTGTTCTGATGCCGAAGTGAGTTGCAGTGCGCTCCGGGCCGATGGCCAAGTGTCCGAGCCGGGATTGTAAATCCACGGAATAAGCACTTGAGTACCGAAAACATTTGAAGGGCTGCGCAAACATTTGCCTGAATTCTGAACCTCTGATGCCTCTATGCACTCGAATGAGTAGCGTTTCTTTGAAAGTCAGGTGATTTTATTAGATTCATGTACAAGGCTTTTAACGTAGGTAGAGATTCGAGGATAGATACCCTTTTAAGGGTGAAGTTTAACGGATCTTTCGGATAGGCCCTGTCCTGAGTGTTCAACCTCGGAACAGTTTCTATGGCTACATATGCTTGGATCAAAATTATTAGCCCCAGCCTGGAGGTCTTCATTGTAATTGCAATGCCAATCCACATGCATATTCACAATCCACCCCAGGCTCGCAGGTTTGAGGGTGTATACGTACGCCCAAATTTCAAAGCTCCATACTTCCGAGTCCGTTTCAAATGCGCAAAGTTTACAAACTTAAATGTGTATGTACTTCATCTCAATAGACTATGGCTATCTAGTTACATGCCAAGTATTCAGAGCTGAATGGATAGTCTGTAAATCCCACTGGGGACTTTGGTGTATAAAAGGACCCACGGTCGTATGCGTTGAAATTGAGGCCCTTTGCGATGCGGAATGGCAAATCTGGGTTGGCTAGGAATTGCCTGCCAAACCCAATGGCAACATTGGCATCGGGGTGCTTAAGGAGAACCGTTTCGGCAGACTTGGCGGTGAACCCGCCGGCAAGGATAATCGCACCGTTCTTGAATGCCTCAAACAAGAACGTACTATCCTCGTCGGCGGCCACTACTGTCCTTCCTCCTGAGATCCTAGGCTCAACAACATGCAAATAGGCAAGGCCTAGTTGGTTTAGTTGATGTGCCAGATGCTCGAATTGGGGCTCAAGGTCATCCATGCGCATATCTTGGAAGTGGCTCCATGGGCTGATGCGATAACCTGTGCGTTCGGGCCCAACAGCTGCGGCAACAGCCTTTGCAACCTCGAAGCCGAATCGAGAGCGGTTCTCGATGCTTCCGCCCCATCTATCGGTCCGTTTGTTGCAGGTATCCTGCAGAAATTGGTCGCAGAGATATCCATTTGCCCCATGAATCTCGACTCCATCAAATCCGGCCGCGATGGCATTCTGAGCAGCACGAGCGTAATCCTCGATCCATCCCAAGATCTCCTCTTCGGTCAATGGCCGAGGGATAGCAATCGAATCGCTCATGGGGACATCCGAGCTTGAAATCACCTCATGACCCTCCTGAGTTATAACTGGGATGCGTGCGGCTCTGCCCAGTGCCCAGAGCTGACAATATATGTAGCTGCCTTTCGCGTGAACGGCATCGGTGACGGTCTTCCATTGGGTGATCTGATCATTGTTCCAAATGCCAGGAACGTTCTCCATCCCACCGGCTCGTTCAGATATGAATGTGCCTTCGCTGATCAAAAGGGTGCCAGGTGTGGAGGCGCGCTGTGCATAGTATTCGCGAACCATATCGAGTGGGACATGATGGTCATCGGCGCGGTTGCGAGTCATCGGGGCCATGACAACTCTGTGCTTTAGGTCAAGAAGACCAATTCGCAAGGGGGAATTGAGTGTGACCATAGCGTTGTTCGTTTCCTTGCGGGAGATAAGAGTATAGTAATATCAGGAAGCTCGTCACGGCATGCATTCGAGAGGAGGGAAATAAGTCTCGTTGGGTTTTATATCGCTCCTCCGACGACAGCCTCAATGCCGCGTAAAGGTTCATCATTGTGGAGGGGCAAATAAGAAAAATTGGGTTGATAATCAAATGCAAGAGTCGAGTGGATCTGTTGCGTGAACAGTTACCGAAGCCAGTTGTCGTGCCCAGGTGGATGTTCGCAAAATCGACATGAGTCATGTACCATGAGTCATGACAAAATATCATGATTATGTAATTAAACTATCTGCCCCCCACTTCTCAGCCAAGGAACGTGTCTGAAACGCTTGACCGGTTAATCAATTCGAGTTGCTCCAAGCTTTCTGGATGACCATCGGTGTCTAGTCGTGGAGAAGATCTCAGCCAATCAGTGTGATGGCGGATCTTCCACCTGAGAATCCCATCCAAGCAGAAGATGGTTCAGCGGGAAGAAGAACATCCAGGAGAGTAGCGCGCCTAAGTTCCCAACAGGTTCAACACAAACGAAATCTTGATCGCACATCTCAACAGGCATATCGTCAGCGCATCAAATCAAGGGTCAAAGATCTAGAAGATGAGCTATCACGCCTTAAAGCTGACCGTGGCAGCAGCCAGGAGACGCTGCTCCGCAAAATCCAGACCCTTCATACCGAGAACCGAGAATTAAAAGGACGATTGAAGAAGATACAACAGCTGGCGGCCGCCGAGGAATCTCATTCCAGTGATAGCCTCCAACATGACGACTTGCATTCCTCCGCGCTGACGGATAATGGGGACGGTGACGCTGCACCTGTCCAACTTGAAATCCAAACCAGGCCCCCAGATGACCAGGAGATGGCTACCAATGCGCAAAATTACAAGCCCAGTATTCAGATGGACCTATCACAGCAAGGTCAGCCACACTCTAGCGTTTTTTCAAATGGCAGCGATCGTAGTGATGTGTACATGCATAATGATGACACAAATGTACATGACGAGCCTCGCACCTCTCAACCTAAAGTCATACCAAATGCACACGTGCAGTCTTCGCCGCATAGTAACATCAACGCCCTTCAGGAGGGTATGGCGAACCGGCTGGTTACTTGAATTCTAATGCACATCCGCTAACAGCGTACTTCAAAAATTAGACTATGTAGATCATGTCTCCCCCCACGAACTCCTTGAGAAAATCAACTCGTCGCAGTCACCAGCGGATGGATTATTATATTCTCCATCGAACGTTCCGATTCTACCCACCAGCATTGAACAGGTGATGCCTAAGCACGTCCCGGGCATCTATCCTATCGAAAGAATTTTCCTGGATTTCATAAGCTCTCGGCGGGCATTAGCAGCCAGAGGTTTACCAATGAGTTCTGTTCTGGGGCCTGATCGACCTCTGGTTCAAGGCTTTGTAAACTCAGAAAAAATCCATGGAGTTCATCCTATCTGCCAGACATTAACAGAAATTCTCTTGACATTTGGCGACGTTGCCTTGCCCGAAAAGCTCGCCTTCATGTTTGTTATGTTCCGCAATATGAGGGTATGTAACCATACGCTGCTCCTGATTAACATTAGTTAATTTGGCATAGTGGCAACTTTCCTCCTCAAAACACGACTACGAGGCAATGCCGCGGTGGCTTCGACCAACGGCACTTCAGATCACTGCCCCTCATTCTGCATGGATAGACAATCTGCCCTGGTAAGAATAGTCCCTTTGAAAATCGTTACGATTCCTAGGATAAGAGGACAACAGCGGAAGCTTCTTCCTTCTCTTCTTTTGGACCAACACCCTGATAACAGCCCCCAGGCCTCATATGCGCGATTTATTGATCGAAGATCCTCAAAAATACCCCTATTCAACTTTCTCTGAGCTTTACTCACCGCACGTATCCGTGAATTGGCCCTATGATCCAATGGATACTGTCTTGATGGTCGGGAACGATATGGTCCTAAATCCTATCTTTGAGAAACACATCCAGCGGTTGGAGAATTGGAAGGTTTCGGGTCCTTTCTGCGAAACTCTACCTGAGCTAGCAGCTGTCACATATCGGTGATTCGATATCCTCCCTCCCTCCCTATATCCTGGAACTTATTCAAGGCTCTGCGCGGCCGACAAATCTCGTCATCTAGAATTTATCCAGCAATCGAAACCCTCAGGTGTAGTGTATTGACTCTGGATATTCGACTGGATGAGCATATATATTGAACAATCAAAGAATTCAAATATGCATATGTTAAGTCACGTGAGGAGCGGTGCTCATGTGGCGAGATTCTTGAGACACTTAAGTGGCGAGGAGCGGTGAAGCGTGATTGGTACGTAAAGTCTTGGATTCTTTATAAGTCTTGGGGGTTAGGCCCCGAAGACATCGAGGTGCGAATCACGTGGTGATTCGCACTTATGTAATGGACTACATAACAATGCCCGCAGCAAAAAAGGACAGCGTCCTCGCTGCCGGAAGAATCTAAGTGCGCACTAAGGAAACGTGGGAACATGAGTTGCGTGGGAAACATGAATTGGTAAAACATGAATTGCGTAGGAAATATAAATTACGTAGGAAACATAAATTGCGTAGGAAATATGAATTATACGAGAGGTATAAAGATAGCCTAACGAAACTCCGGCCCCGATTCGCTGTCCTCTTCCCCTTCTATAGTATCGACTTCCTTATCTACGGATAAGGTACAGAATTGTGTGACTGAGACCTCGTGAGGTTTACAAGTGGACTAGGAGTGGCTGAATTTGAGATTATTCCTCAAGTCAGCGTCATGCAGATCGGAACAATGCATTGGCTTTTGAGCCTAACATTGCTTTTTTAACCTTCGCCAACAGTGACAAAACTCACTCATACCAACGGCGACACTGCAAACTCGGTCGTCAATCTCGGCGCAGCGGGCAGTTACAGAGGGACCCTTCAAACAATGGGACGTCAGTAGGACCAGTGGCATGGCGTTTGTTCAACATTGGTGTACATGCAAAATAGGTTGAGAGCTATGTATGACATATGCAGGACATTATTCACCAGTGTGTGATTCTGCATATGAGAACCGAAATTCACCTGCCATCCGAGTATTCACGGGTAGGCATTCTCCTGGTGAACAAAGTCGATGTCTCTTTCCTTTGAGTCATCACCAGAAGAAGCTGCACCGCCTTCACTGGTTTTCTCAAAAAGAAAATTAATCTCTTCCAGTGTCTTGCCGGTCGTTTCAGGGCACATGAACCATATAAGGGGTATCGCGACAACACAAGAGATCAGGCACCATATCCACAATTTCCATCCGACATTATTGAGCCCAATTCCACCAGCAAATACAGTTATGAAACAAAACAGCCATTCGCCGAACGATCCGGCTGCAGCACCAACGTGACGATACTGCAATGGAGCGATCTTCCGGGCATATGGTTAGCATCCATGTAATAGACTGACAAGGGCTAGGTAATGAACTCACCTCAGCGCCGTAAAGCCAACAAACTCCGATCCAACCGTATCCAAATATGAAGTTATAAACAATGATGGATGCCACGGCAGTCCACTGTGTTGCCAAGGTGGGATGGGGGGACCCAATCATGCCGACAAAAACAGCCAGGCAGATGGTGAGACCACTAGCCGAATATATTAGAATATTTCGCCTGCCAAATCTCTCAATTGTGGCCGGAAGAAGGGTGGACCCCAACGCAAAGCATGTGTTAATTACTGCCGCCAGAAGTTGAGACATTGTGGAAGAAAGGTCAATTTGTGAGAAAATAGTGACACTGTAATAAACGGCAATGTTGATCCCTAACATTGGTGAGCTGAAGATGTTGCAAGTACAAAGTTGGCAATCAAGATGGAGCAAATTGGAACCTACCCATCATTTGCTGAATCGAGAGAATAAGAAATGAAATACGAATTCGTCGTCCGACCCTTAGATTCGTTCGGTCCCAAACAAGATCCAACAGACTTATTCGCTTGGTCACTTCAGCTTCATGTTGAATTGACAGAATAATGGACTGTCGCATCTCCTGCACTGCTAGGTCTGATATGGGTCGGTCGTGAAGACGAGCGAGGATTTCGTCGCCTTCGTCAAGGCGGTTGCGAGCATAATACCACCGGGGGGTATCTGGAAGTAAAAACATAGTCACGCCGGAGACTGCTGCAAAGAGAGCTTGAAGAGCCAATGGAAACCGCTGATTACTGTCAGCTCCATATCACCAAGCCTAAAGAGCATACCTACCCATGACAGTTGATTGTCAAGACGAGTGAAGCCGAAATCAACCCAGTAGGCAAACGCGCATCCAGCAACGAGGAATACGCATTGAAACGCCACTTCTGGGCCGCGTTTGTTCTCGGTGAGACTCATCTCAGCCTTTAATATAGTGTCAATACTTTTGGAATCACGAAAAGAAAAGAATTTCATAATCGTACCATGTACGTTGGAACTCCACAGGATATAAACTAGAATGCCTCCTCTGTTAGCCCAGACTTCCAAAAATTGTCCGAGACATACCCCAATTCCGAATCCCTGTAAGATGTGTTAGTTGTAAGAGTTCATACGGAACAGCTTGATCCCCGTTATTCTTACGCAAAGAACCCTGCCCACAATGATCTGCGCGACAGACCATGAAGATGCCTGAATGCTCCCTCCAACCACCACGAAAATGTCCCCTAGAACAATACATCCTCTTCGACCTAATGGCATCCCGAGCCAAGGAACAATGAGCGCGCACACGGTAGCCGCTAGAGTATAACTTGATGCCACCATAGGAATAATATAGGATCCCGTTGGGTTCTGTCACAGTGAGTATTTCTATACATGCCCAGCTGTGAGAGAGGTGAGGGCATACCCCTAAAGCTTCACGAAACGGACGAGTGTCTTGGACACCTCCTAGGACACCAGCATCGTATCTGGTTTTGTTTCAGATTTCATCGAAGGCAATTGAGAAACGACGTCGACTACTTACCCATACAATCCGAATGCCTGGAAAGATCCAATCTTTTAGTTGAAGTTCTTAAGGGTCTGGGAACAGAACGAAATCACTCACCAGACAGCAGCAAAAGCGCATGGCCTGATATAGCGCTTTGCCTTTCAAGTGATTCATCATTAACCCAGTCATGGTGCAGATCTTTGGAAGAAATATGTATCCTATGGGCACGAAGACTGGTGAGAGAATAATCTTCAATGCATCAGGATATTTATATTCATTTGGATGGATTTGACAGACACGAGTGTCCAGGCGGGTTACCTAGTCGAATGCGTGTGCGGCGCACATTCCAATGTTGAATCCTCACGTCCACGGGTCCGGGGAAACGTGGGGTAAACATGATAAGGATCAAGGCCTATTTCTTTCTGGGGTACGGTCTATGAAATTCAATTGGATGTCAGATATGCAAAGTTTCAAAAAGCAAACCACGATGTTGGTCGCTGATAGCAATGGAATTATGGCATTGGCTGTACAGGCCAGAGCGGGACTAGGGGCCTAGGGGAACGATCGATATGCGCATTTCGCCTGTCGGAATTAAAGTCCCGTGGAATTTGAATGTTCGCTGGTGGTTGAGCTTTTACCAAGACAAGTGTCTAGATGTTGCAAGAACATTTGGATATTTGCCCCGTAGCTCTCATAGATTCCCATCTGAATGGCATCATAAGATCTTGATGACCTTGGACCTCAAATTAATTTATTGCCATAGTTATACATGGTATGCAGCCCGGTCTTACTTTACGTTCTGAGGTTTATGTGAGCTGAAGACTTAGTCCTTCAAGTCCAATTGATGGCTACTTCGGGGTTTCATTTGTGAACTCAGAGTTTAAGGGAATACTGGATCCAACTTATTAGGCTCCTGCGTATGATAACATTGGAAACAACGTTTGTTCAATGTTTCGTGTGGGCTGGCAGAAGTCAACTGGTGCGTCCGGTGACCACCGCTAGTCAACCGAAAGATTCGGTCACTATCTATTGCAGTTGCTAATGCACATTTCATGTTTCACATTTCGCGGTGTGAAGTTTATTTCCGAGAAACACAGGAAATGTCCGCAGCCTTGGTTGATACACCATCCTTCCCACCCAATACAGTAGAGGTGTCGCCGACGACAAGATTTTCGTAGCCAACCATATATGTCATCGGCAACTCCATAAAGCGCTTACAATCATCACCTAGAGCAGCTGCGTATTCCTCACTATTACAAAACGCCAACCAGTCATCCCATGTGCGTACCCACAGCTGCGCGCATGCATCAAAATCAAGGACCTTTTCACCCAGGCTGGCAGCGTATCCCCTCATTTCTGGTGTTTGATGATGCTGATGGGGTTGTCAGTTAATATTTCCTAGGTGTGAAAGATGAAAGTCGATTTTCTGACATACTTGCGCATATCGTAGAATGTGGCTTTGGAATGCTTGACTCGCGACAGCCAGATCGGCATGGACAGTCGCCCAATGCTTGAAGAACGCCTCGTCCGTAATACCTTCACGCTTACGAAAGAAGACGGAAACCTTGATTGCAGGCTGGAAGTTTGGTGTGGCCTCGTAGGCGAACTCTGGATGAGTAAATTGGAATTCTTGGGGGAGGGGATCCATGATATGAAGGTGAATTAATACAAGCTGAAACTTGCAAGATTTGTGCCATTTCTGCTTCAATAAAATGCTTTATATTTATACCGTTGTCTGGATCAATAGAGCCAGGTAGCATGTTCCGTAGAAAGCCGACTAAGGGTCCATTGTATCATCTATGGGCGATAGAGCTTGACCAATGGCCCAATTGTGTCGGGTCTGTCGGAAGTGGATACTTTCACGTGACACAATGACGCACTAATATCACCAAAGATTGGGATTGCCATGACTCAGGGGTCATGACTCAGGCCAAGCATCCACTCGTCTTAGGGCAGCCTTGTCGGGGAATTTGCAAAGTTTGCTTCATTTGGTCTGAATAGTCATTTTTACGGGACGGGTCCGGAATGCGGAATCTTGTGGCAGAACGACCTAAAGATAGTTTTTCTTTTCTGTCAATATAGTAGGATACGGTATCGGCTAGGAAAGCTAGGATCTAATGGAACGAGATGCTCAATATAGTGATGTATTGGGTGACTGAACTATCTAAGTGTATAGGCGGGGGAATGTTGAATATCCCCTACCTTGCTGTCTAGCGTGTTACGGCGCTGGGTTCCGAGTATACCCGGGATACTATACAAAACACGTAGCAAATCGAGTATCCCTGTAATATCCTAACGCGTATAGAGATATATAGGTCTCGCCCGTATTATGCAGTCTTCCTTCTCGACATACCCCCCTAGGGATAGGCGATTTTATAATCTTCTAAATCTTCGATTTCCGGCGTCTCTACGAATCAACCTCTATTTCCTATTTAGGAAATCTTCAACAGCGTTTTAATGTCTTCTATCCTAAGCTAGTTGACGAATGCTTTATATCGCTGCCGGGGAAGGCTCTTAGTAAGGCTATTAGCAATTATATCCTTCGACTCGACCTATCTAACGGTAATACGTTGTGCCTGAACCTCCTGCCTTAACTAGTGCTAATAAATATTAATATATCGGAGCTTAGTCTTTAGGAGAGGCGTCTCCTTCGTTAATAGTCCGAGCGTCTACTAGTTATTATAAGTGATAGTAAGTGGATATTAAGGATCGAATCTAATTGCTTTATATAGGCGCTTCTATATCGCAATTAAACGAGCGGCTTCCGATATAGCAAGTAGTTCTGCTTCGGTAGTACTAGTTGTTACCGTCTTTTACTTACTAGCCTTCTAGTTAACCGGTCCTCTAAATATTATCCCGATATACCCCTATAAGCTCTTACGATCCTATATATCGGCAAATAATGTATTACTAGCGAAGCGTATAGCTTCCGAGTTAGCGTCGTTGCGTAGCCGGTATACGATAGCGAGAGAGCGAGTGTGATAGAGGTATATAATAACTTAGTTTATAGCGGTAAGGTGTTCTAGTCCGGGGTTCTTAAGGAATTAAGCGAGTATAGCCGTCGCTTTAGCGGTATCTAGTCTAGATATTATTATCGCGTATTAGGCGCTTCCTACCTTCTCTTAGTATTCTTTAACTCTATAATAATTAGCTATTCCTATATATTTAGTAAGTATTTACGTAGGTAGTAGTATAGTAGGCTTCCTACTATCGGTAAGATAATATCGGGTAGCTATAGCGGAGATATAGGAATCTTGATAGAGCTAGAGTATCTTCTATAATCTATCTCGAATAATCCTAATCCTAAGAAACTATAAAGCTTCTCCTATATTACGGAGCTCCTATTAACGGTAGAGTACCTAGTATACTCTCTTTACCTATTCTCGCTATAAAGGGTAGTTCACGATAATTATATCGTTAATATAGAAGATAATAATAATACTATCGTCGACGAGTATACAAAGATTATCCTATATAACTTTAAATCTATATTATTTTATTCTACGACTTGCTTCCTTCTACTATAGTCGAGGAGATTTACGTAGCCCGTAGAGTGCTTTCTTAAGCTTCTAACTAAGCTCTACGCGGCCGAAGCCTTCCGGTAACTTAGTATAGACTTCCTTATCGAGTAGACTATTTAAGAATATATTAATAGCGTTAAATTGCCGAGTATTAAGGTTAAATACTATAATAAGAGAGAGTACTACCCTAGCGGTTCGAATAGCTAGTATAGCTAAGTACTTCTTCTTAGTAGTTATAGTTTAAAGGTCTCTACGGATATAGATCCGAGCCTTTAGCTTCTTAAGATATCTATCGCTATTATATTTATATATAAATACCTATTTTAATAGAAGAATCTACTTCCTAGTATTACTCGGACGTTATACGATCTCGTATATTCCTTTATCTTCTAGTATCTTAATTTTATTATTTGTAGCTTACAAGAAGCCGTCTCTAAATAGATAGTTTATTATCTCTTTCTATCCTCGAGGCTCTAGTAATAGCTTATCTCGGTAGTATCTTAGTTAGTCGATCTAGCTTTAATAAAGAGCTACAGCGAATATAGCTAGTATCTAAGGTATATCTCTATCGTTACTATTATCGTTAACAGCTAGATAAGTAATAAAGTTATCCTCGAAGCGTGCTCTTCGCTTCCTGCTTCCTTACACGACGTTTTCTAAGATTATATCTCCTATAATATCTCTTAGAGCTCGCTCGGTATCGTTCTTAGTCGATTCTAGCTCGTTTTCGATCGGGGAAAATACTCCTAGTATTATTTACGGTAGTTCTAGTAATACTAATAATATTTCTATAGCTTACTATAATAGATTTAAAGGATTTAGAGATAGAGAAGAATAGTAGATAATAGATTAAGGTGTTAGGAGTAAGGCCGTAAGGTCGTATATAAGCTGCTCTTCTAGCGTACGCTCTCGGCCTATTTGCTACGAGCGTTTACTATAACTAAATCCTGCCTCCTAATTAGTTGAACTAGAATTAGTTTGCTTAGTTTATATCTCCTAGATATTAGATATCTCTATTAGCTTTAATACTTTATCCTTATCCTCTTTAGCTTTATTAATTTCTAAAATAGGAAGTTATTCTAATATATCTATAGGCTTAACGGTATCCTACTTCTTGTTATAGAAGACCTTCTTATTAAATACAATATCTCTCGCGTCCTATACGAGTCCTCTTTACGGTATCTAAATACGCTAGATATTCGATATAGTATAGCTAACTATATAACTAGTCTCTATTCTCGATACTATCTTATCACTATATAGTATACTCTGTCTCTTGATATACGCACGGTATCCGTATAGCCTTAAATTCGCAAGGTTTAGGCGTATCTTCGATAATTCGGAGTTAATCTAGGTATAGGCCTCTTGCTACGGTATAATCTACTTCCTGTCTAGTATTTTAGTAGGCGATCTATTTAATATATAAGCTATATAACGAGCTGTTTCTAGCTATAGATCCTTCGGTAGCTTAGTATTAAGCAAGAGTGCTCTTATACCGGTTATTATTACCCCCCTAGAGCGTTTACTAAAAGAGTTCTATTCTAGTATACCTATAATACTCTATTTAATAACGAATCCTATATTCTCGAGGTGTTCCTTAACTACTCTTCCTACGGAGCGTTTATAATTATATCGAAAGGCCTTTATCGGAAGGTTCTATTATATCTTCGCGAGTATATAGAACTTCCTAATAGCTTCCTAGTATTTATTCTTCTTCTAATACGTATATATAACGTGTAATCGAATACTATCAAGATAGAAGTATATAATCTAGCGATCCCTATTATAACTAGGTGTGATTTAGATAAGGTTAAAGTATACTCGGCCGAATCTGCTATACACTTTTCTATTTAGTCGTCTAGATATTTAACGCTTTGCCTTTGCTTGCTAATAGACCTCGTATTATTTAGGATTATCTTCAGATTTCGAGTCCGGTATTATCTTGACACTCTCGATAAGCTCCGGTAGCTTCTCGACTTTTCCTTAGTAAGTATACCCTAAACGTCGATACTAAATATCAGCTTTCGCTTCTAATACTAATAGCTTCTCGCTATAGCGCGTTACTATCGTAAGATCCTATTATAATAGCTTCGTAAGAGCGAATAGCCTACTATAATCTTCGAGTATTACCCTTATCGGAATAGATCCCTTATAATATATTACTCCCTTACTATTATCCTATCGGAATCTAAGCTTCCTAATCTTCGAATAAGATATTAGATTCGTATAGAATTTAGGCGAGTATTAGATATCTCTTAGACGTAGTTTAAGCTAATTCCCTTATCTATTCTATATTATAATAATAACGTTACCTCTTCTAAGTAGGTCTATATAACTATTACTAGTTTTAACGGATTTATTCGTCGCCTTAAATATTATAAACGCTTCACGATTATTATATATATAATACGTGCTTCCTAAGTCTAGTATCTAACGGTTTAATAAAGGATAATCGGCTTGCGGTATATCGGAGAAGAAGGATATAGCTAGTATAGATAGCTAAGGAGTCTCTTATACCTCCGACCTTAGCTATTCTATCCTTACTCGCTTATAGTTATTAAGCTTTAGTATCTCCGCTTCGACCTTATTAACTTCCTCTTTTTTCGGCCGAAAAGCTATAGTTCTTATAGTAGGGTTAATAAAGAGGTATTTACTATACTAGTGAACCTTCCCGTATACGTATTTAGCCGGTCCCTTCTTATTCCGATTCTATATAGACGTTATCGTCGTCGGTAAGGCTTCTTCCTAATTATTTAATATTATAAATAATACCTTTAAACCTCCCTTTCTAGTGCTTACTTATACGATCGTACGTTGTCGAGTACGATATATAGCTATAACCGTATAGAACGTAAGTAATTCTTTATTCTCTTTAAGGTCCCTTAAGTACTATATAATAAACGTATCGTCCGATAATAGTAGCGTATCTAAGAAATCTCGAATAGTATCTTGATTATCGATATAGTCCGGTACTTTAGCGGCTTTATACTCTCTAAATAGCGCTTCCTACTTACTAAGGATATAATCCTATACTATATCTTTTAGTGATTAGTAGAGTATTAATCTCTATACCTATCGGAGCTCCTAGCGTCTATTAGACGTGTCCGGATAGAAGATAGCGGCGAGCTTCTAGAGCCTAAGTCTAGGTCTATCTATTCCTACTACTAAGTAGCGTGCTTCTATTACTATTAACTTCTAGATTAGAGTATCTACTCTAGCTAATACCTTCTTTAAGCGTTGTCTTCGCGTCTCTTGTCGCTCTATATACGAGATCTCTATATTCTATTTACGGATCTATACGTCGGATAGCGACGAGAATTCTCCTAGAGGATTAGGTTCCTCTAACGCCGGCGGTAAGGTCTTAATATCCTTATCTAATATATCCGGATTCAGGTAATCCTAGATATCTTCGGCAATAGCTGCTAACTAAATATAGTCTATCTAGACCCTCTACTACGTTTCCGACCGAAGCTTCTCTTCAAGCGGTAAGACCGAGTCTATTACCTTCAAATCTTCTATATCCGAAGCCTTTCTAAATAGCCTCTGTTTCCTAATCGGGAATATATAGTCTCTCTGTCGAGATTCGAACTATAATACTAGGCGTGGCTAGAAGGTGTACAACATCGCTAGCGATACTCGGATGCTAACGATTCAGGGGTTCCAACCACTCTGCCGTGTTGATAAGCGCTATACAGGTGCGTAGGGATTATCTCTATTCAATCCTAGCGCGTGCGGATCGGGCTTATAACTATCAATATAGTAGGATACGGTATCGGCTAGGAAAGCTAGGATCTAATGGAACGAGATGCTTAATATAGTGATGTATTAGGTGACTGAACTATCTAAGTGTATAGGCGGGGGAATGTTGAATATCCCCTACCTTGCTGTCTAGCGTGTTACGGCGCTAGGTTCCGAGTATACCCGGGATACCATACAAAACACGTAGCAAATCGAGTATCCCTGTAATATCCTGACGCGCATGGAGATATGTGGGTCTCGCCCGTATTATGCAGTCTTCCTTCTCGACATTTTCCCTCAAGACCTACTTAAGACATCTTGAGGGGCCCGACTAGGCTATAGGCCTGACCCGGCCTGACTATGCTGTCGGGCTAGGTTTCGGGCCTAATCCCTAGGCCTAATATTAGGCCCTGAAGATGTCTAGTTGTAGGAGGAAAGAAAATTTCAGTGCAGGTGGTTAGTGTGGTGATCAACGTAGGGACCGGTAAATACTTTTGAACGCCAATGTATTATGGATGCCGATGCGCTGATCATCGCCTGTCCAGTTTACGGTCACCAACCCCAGGGGGGTCTGAAAGCACTGGCAGATGCCAGTCTTAGCCCTTATGCGGACGTTCCCGATGCGCACCGCATCAAAGCGCGACGAGAAGCCGGGGGTCAAGAGGCCCAGAATGCTCATATTGACCTACCAGAACTCAAATCTCGCGTCGCTGGCTTTATCGCGGTCGCTGGATCCGGGCCTCCATTCCCAGAACAATGGACCATGATTTTACCAACCATGCAGACCATCGTTTATCCACTACCTGCAAAGGTCATCGATCAGGTTATTCTCCCAGGCTTCGCAAATGCAGGTTCGGATTTGCTTGACCCTGCAAACGCCCTTGTTCGTGCGGAAATACTTGGGCGGCGGGTGGCGAGCCAAATGGGCCTGCCCACCGACGCAGCCCAGTACCTAGGGCCCGAGGTGCCTGGGAGCTGCCCGTACTGCCATCAGCTCAAGATTGAATTTCGACGAGGAAATAATGTTGTGTGCGTTGTATGTGGCGCAAATAGGGTTCTAACTATGTGCCCAAACAATGACATACACCCGATATAGGAGGAGGGTTCAGAAGTTAGCTGTATAACCCTCAAGGGCAAGTGAAAACATTCAGATGATATTTGAGGTATGTTGGATACAGAACGAGCAAGACTTCCTCTCATCGCCGCAGATATGGACCAATGGAACAATCTTGAGTTTCCACTTGTGGACTTGCCTAGCCTTCATGAGAAGTTTTGAGAGGCCCACAGTCTTTTACAACCCAATGATAGATTTTTTGAAGATGAATCAGTACTATAATAGCTTGGTTTCATTACCTTGATCTTTATATGAAAATATTGTGTCAGGAGCCTTTGGTAAGGTTCTCTTTGGGTAAAGCAATACGAATGTGCATGGCATAATTCTGCACTCCGAGGATTCAAATTACAGTTAAAGGTGAACTTTAGACATACCTAACATGAGTACATTTTTAATGTCATTGTTTCGCCTTCCTTTTAATGAGTTGTCGCCTCAGGAACCCATTCAGCAAAGCGTCAATGTTGAGAGACGGAGCGTGCCAGCTATTCCTATTTTGAGCCGGCGGGATGAGCTCCGAGTATACCAGGCAGGGAATTGTCAAAAAATACTCAGGTTCTCTGAAGTCATCTATTCCCACAGGGTTCCTGTCTGTTTTAGGCTGTGCGGCACAGGAGGCGAGGGTTCGGGATTGAATTGATCGGAGTATCGGCATTGCCGTGAGCTAGTTCCTCTCCAAGCGAACGAGATGGTAGGTTGGCCCAAAGTGACCCAACTATTAACAAATTATACAGGCTACGCATCGGCCTTTCCAAGACTAAAGCAATCGTTCCGAGCGGAACATATCAGAACGGTAAATAATATAATGTCGAAGTAGTAGAATACTGTACGGTGCCGTATGCGGATAATCCAAAGAAATTCGGGTTGTTTTAAGGAAAGTCTATCTGGATGGCAGTTGAATAGCTCCTCCACGGCCGATAATACGACACCGCGTTTCAAAACACTAAAGGATTCGGGCATCCCTGTAAGACCCGGACTCGCACAAATATTAGAGTGCCTGCCGTATTGGCAACACATTCCATTTGACATACGGATCGAACATCGTAGAATCGGCTTGACGGTATTCTTCGTCTTGTCCACCACCATCTTTCCGAATCTTTTCCAGTAGTAGACTCGGGGTCGCTCTTTCACCGGTCTGTATGAGATGACTCGGCTCCCCGTGGTGTTGATAGTCCATATTCACAGCCCTCACGCACTTCACTTCCCTTTTTTGGACAGCGCATACACCGTTCAAAGTCATCACACCTAGCTTTGAATGCAGCGCACGCGCGGCAGGCTCCCATGGTCCGACGAGGAGTGCGACGGCGAACCGGCTGTCGCTTGGGCCCACGGGCGCTCGCACAGCTGGTCCGCATATGTCTCTCCAGCTCCCGTCTGTCGATGCGATGAGTCATGTTATATCAGATAAGATGTGCCATTTCAAGTGATCTTGAGAGCGATGGAGAATGAGGATTCATTGCGGGTGAGGATGCGCTCTCTCAACGTACATTCTCTCGGATTTAGTCGCACACAGTGCGCATTGAAACGGCCGCTATCTCGAATCCATCATGGAGGTAGGTAGTAGCAATTCGGATCCACTTGGTCAAGATCACTTCCGGTTGTGTCCCAAAATGATACACCGGGTTTCCGCGATCGTTCAACCTCGAGCCACAGGCTCATCTGAGCCGAGCTTTTTCCTTGCCTTTAGACTCTCCCCGCTCCCTTCACCCCAGACTCTCGCCGATTGTGTGGTCGGTCCCCTCCACCTACGACCTACGGCTTGCCGCTATTTCAAACCTTCCCCACATTCCTCACATTGCGTACCACCACTAACGACTAGAGCCTGCGCTAACCAGGAATCCCTAGTCGGATGGCCCACCTTTCATCATTCTGGCACTACGTACAAGGCTGCATCACACTATATGCATAGAGTTATATCATTTGGGTTGGCTCCCAAGTCCCGGCCACTTATTATGCAATATTAAATACATATATGATAGTCAGAGGGACTCTGGAAGAAGCTGAAGTCGAGTTAGACCGAGAATCGCAATTATAGTAGACATAAAAATGGGGACGACATGATCGTGGGGTGGGGGAGAGCGAGGCCCAGTGCATCTAAGGCGCCTACGGGATGTCCACATCCCTGTGAGGATAGTAGCCCGTCAGTACACCTTCGCTGAAGCAGATCAATCCAGTGCTACCCAAAACTCCCACCCCCAATTCAACATCCATCTCCTACACCCAGGATGATGTCATATTAGGTCCAGTCAGGAAGACATGGAACTGAAGGGCCTGAAGCTCGTCGTCGTAGAACTGGAGCACTTCGAGATTTTCCCCGGTGGCTTCGGTGGGCACAACCAGAGTTACATTTCCTTGTTTTTTCACTTCTTCGTACCAGACTTCTTGCAATTTTTGATTCGAAGACATGGAATCCGGGATAAAGGTAGAAATGTCGCCGTAATAAGGATAGACCTTGCCTTGAGTCAGACCATTGGTCACGATTAAGCCCAACTCTTCATCGATGACCAGGCTGGTTCGTGCCTTAGGGTCCGTAGGTCTAATAGAGCCCCAACTGCAGGTGAGTGGAGACGAGGAATCGTTTCCTTATGTCCCAGTGTCGATGATTGTCGCGCCCACTTCGGTGAATGGCAGGTGTCACTGTGACCGAGAGGTTGTTAGACGAATCCCAAGCAGCCGCACCTACAGCTTCCAGCGTTGCCCGGCTTGCCTTCTTCCGATTCTTCGGCGGCGACATCAACACTTTATAATTATCTGCCAGTTCCGCAGCCGAAAACGCATAGCCGTCATCACCGCGAGAGCGGTTGATAAACAACTCTAACTCGGTGATATTTTCATCAACCACTTTGACTCGACCCCGAAGGATTCCTTCCATTTCGCTGTTTCCTTCGCTGATATCGGTGATTAAGTACGCCGAGCCTTGCTTGGTATCGATTGCGAGCATGCTAGGCCGTTCAGCTTTGACGATGGTGTGCCATGATGTCATCATGGCAAGCGATGCGGCATGTCCATTTTCGGTCGCCTTGTAAATAGTAGCCAGTGGAAGGGAGCCAGAGTTGTGCGCTTCCGTAGACTTCAAAATTTGAGTCACAATGTCGGCCAGATGATCCCGCGAGGTGGCATGCTTCGAGCGTTCGCCGACCACCGCGGCGGCAGAGGGCACCGCGACCGCGAGGTAAAGTGAGAAACGAAGCAGACTGAATGGACTTAGGATGCGCATCGTGAAATATTAATGGAAGTATAATGATAAACTAGACTCCTAAAAGAAACTTAACGGAAAATGTCAAAGCTAAATATCGTTAAAAGATCTGAATCATATACTCAGACTGTTCCCTCGGCTCCACCTCCTGGTTGAGTGGATTTTGAGGCTTGATCTGGGTAATACGTGCGCTAGTTGTGGCTTTCCCTGAGGTTTAGAAAGAAATGGAGGGAAAACCGCTGTATAGAATACCGGGACCATTCTGCAGACCTTGGCTCAGGACGGAAGTTAAGTTATGGCTTAAGCGGCACGTCGGCAAGCCGTAAGGTAAGGGCGGCTGTTAGTGCCTTCCAGCGCCCCCCCCCCAACCCTGCGGATTGGGGGTGGGCCACGCATTTTTTGTCGCCCACACATATTGTTATGGAATAACCACATTTGATGTTATCCCGGCTAACCGACTTGTTTCGGGTATGAATCGTACACATAACGATATTTGTTCATAAAGAAGAACAAGTTGGAATCGGACTCCTTTACCGTAATTGATCCGGCAAGCAGCGGGATAACGACATGTAGGTTATAGAAAGAGAATCCCCCCTTCCTTTCGAACTGAATCTCTTCAAGATTTAGTTAATAGTATAATACACCCTTATTATCTTTTTTATTCTATCACGGTTCTATATTGTATTCATTTTTCCTTACTTGACTAACAGGCCGCTACCCTGCAAGTAGTACTCTAACACCACATTAGCCCGATAATTATTGGTTTTTCCCTTATATTAGTGATCTAATAACATATCTAATAGAAAGAAAAATAGGCGTAGAGAAGTACGTAGTAGCGGATGCGCGTATTAGAAGAGTGTGTAGGTATATAGGTATAGAAGAGGCAAGGAGAAGTGAGATATAGTATTCCGGATCTGCTAATCAATACAGTAATATAATAAAATAGTTGACCAGTGACTTAGAGCTCGGTGATAGAAGCCTACCATAGAGGTGGTGCGTAGGAGATGCGAAGTAGGCAAGTGGGATACTGCATTAGATAGAGATAGGTATTTAGATGCGGGAGGGGGCGGGGAGATTCTATCGCCATATAGCTTCGATCGTCTCCAGCGATAAGGCAGGCAGCATTATCTATCTATCAGTCTAACCGCATATTAGAAGCTGTTCTGTTAAAGCTACAAATGGTACATATTGTGATATGACGCCCTTGGCAAGGCTCCGAGGACTGTTGCGGGATTCAGCACCGCCGGGTTGGTGTTTCCCCTTCTTTCGTTTCAATCATTTCTTTTGTCTGTATTTATTTCAATATTTTCATTCCAATCGCTGTCGATTGGCTTCATGTTGCAAGCAATACTTCTTATGCGCACTGGCGAAAACCAGAAGGCGCAAATTCCTGCATACCGCCCTCTAAATTCAGGAAGCTGAAACAGAAATAAGAATATTGATTAATTGATTGATGGCAATCAGTGTGAAAAAAAGAATCAAGGGACAACAGTATCGAACCTTCCAAACAAGAATCAGGAAAACCGAATGAAACCAAGAATGGCAGGGCATCGTCTTTCACGTCAAATTCTACCATCTGGTCTATTCTGAAATATTGATGTTGAGTGTCTGTGTATGTCACGTATTTGAATGATTTCGAACAGCAGAATAAATCTGTGAGACAGGCTAGGATCTCCTACAGCAACAAAGCAAGATCATCAGGTTGACGAATCAAAACTCTCCAGGAATGTCACCTTCCCCATCCAGCTATTGGTTTCTTAGAGTATAGGAGGACATCGCCCGAATTCTTAAACGCCCTGGCAATGACAGCAGTGCGTACAATATTGGAGGGAAAGGCAAGTCGGAAAAGGTGTTCCTGTATCTACCTACTGTGAGACGTCCACAGGCCTACGCGTCCCAGGATCAGAATTTTGTGGTCCAATAATTACTAATGGATATCTTTTGAGCGTTATGATTACCTATCCAAATGACTTATTGGAAGCCAGTAATAAGGAAATCGCAATTGGGAATGGATGGAATGGATGCGTAGAGGGGCACTAAAGATTATTTTATGTTGGTTATAATTTCGAAACTAAAATATGAATGGGACTCCTAATACTGTAATAGACGTCTTAGTAAGCCCCCTTGACAGTGAAGAGGAGCCATATCGGGGATTTATATTCTAGTCGGAGCTCGGGTTTTGAATACCAAGTGTTGAGAACTCTGACGTTACAATGAAATAAGACTTTGAGGCCGAGAAGCATATAGTTAGGAAACAGACGGGCTCTCACGCTCGTTTAGTCTCGAATTCAAATGTCTTTGACAATAATATCATCTGAAGTGCCAAATGGAACCCCTTTTTGCAAGATAGGTATTTTCAAACTAAAGTTGCTTCTTTGAGTACGTATGGTGGTGATGACGAAGCTTACTACGTGTAATTGGACGATATGCATATTGACCGAATACCGCTGGATATAAAATAATAGGATATATGAATGGAAAAAATCGCAGTTTTTCAACCAAGAAAAGCGTTTGAGCGGCCATGCTGTTTCTATATTTATCCATGTCTCAATTCTCGAAGGCAAACACTGCACGCGTAAGCCCTTTTACTCAAGTAATCATCACGCATGCTGGAGACATGGATAGCCCACACAGTCACCCATTATGCTGGGAGCACGGAAAGCCACAATGGAGCCTTTCCAGATCTCCGATTCGGCCCCCACAGACTATCTCAAAGCGTAAGTAGAAGCGAGATCTGCAGGGATATTCGATCACAGGCTGCGTGACCACGCGGGATTCATACCCGACCCGGGCTCCAGTGGGGGCTTATGACCTAGCGAACGCCCGAGATATGTGCGGGGTCAAACTGGACTGTATGTCGTACATGCAGCCTCTGGATGGGTCTTTATAACCGTAATCAAAAAAAAAGAAAGAAAGAAAAATTATAAATTTGGAAAATGAAGTCACATCCACGTCAGTGTTTGAATTTCTATCGGCATTTCCGAGGTGATTAGGTCGCATAAAATTCTCCTTAGTGACTTACTTACCTGTGGATATCATGTAGCTAGCACAGCCCGTGCAGTTCACTGCCGTTCGGGAAATTAGAAGATCCGGATACTAGACATCGTAGCTATCTAGATCTGACCAGGCGTCCCAGCTGAATGCTGGTTGAAATGGATATCATAGTCAAAGAATGTATATTAACCTTGGCTGTTGGGCGGCTTCTTGCTGCGTTGGAGAGTGCATTGGCCAATAGATTTGACCCGAAAGGTTCCCTATCCCGTCCTTGGCACATCCCGTAAAATTAATATCGAGTGCCATTCGCTCGGGAAACATGTCTCACCCCGACACAGATCACCCTAAACTTGGGCGTAATTGCATCCCGGTAAATCTCCTAAGCCCGGAGGCCAACAGTGGAGGCTTTAGGAAGAGAGCCGCACGGATGTTCTGATTGAAACGATTTCCACAAAACAAACCTTGATCTAGGGGAAACACGCTAGGTTATTTCTATTCCCCGGTAATAATAACCGAGATAGCTTAGGTTAGATATGTGATATGATGACATAGAGCGGCACCATGGAAGGTCTCGGCACATATGGAAGTAAGGCCAGGAGGCTGACAAGGAGGGCTGAGGGTCATTGATAGCCATACGAGGACAATGGATGCCGAGTTGCCCTTGGCATCCACACCCTGCTTCGGTTCAATTCAAAAATGGGCTAGCGATTTGACGTGGCTAACCGCCGATGGTGTACGATCTGACCGATCGGCTAGTATCCACCCCCACGCATCGTTCGACCGGGGTCTAGACAGGTTTGTTGCACAAGCCACATGTCCGCCGGACCCACCAAAGCCCTACCCACATCCAAATGCACTGATGAGGATATTCTGGAGATAAAGCCTTTGAATTATTCGTTTGCATTACTCTTGGCCCCGAAAGGACTATCTTGGTTTTCGCCTTGGCAAACTGCTAAAGAATCTTCCACGAGGTCCTCCCAGCCAATCCCTGACTCCCCAAATCACCAAATCCCGCCATCCCACCCATCTTACTCGGAAAGCTCATACCACTCCCCGCATTGCTTTAATTCAGTACAGACTCAGTCGAAGCCTCAATCGTTCTCAACGTTACAAGGATCTTATCAGTACTTGACTCGTCCGAATCACTCCATGAGAGCAAGTAATCCCCAGAGACGCCCTGGACTGGCTCAGCATAGAAACTTGCCCCATCCACTTTCACTAAGACATAGCGACCATAGGTCCACCAGACGTTGGTGAGCTTTCCGGTGGTGCTTGATGCGGTGAAGCCAACCTCGCTCGAGCCGCCATCGGCCATGTATAGTATTTTCGTCGACCAGCTGGCGTTCTTCGAGTCGGCATGCGCAAGCCACGTGTACTCCGCTGAACTGGAGACCGTGACTATGAGCACGGGATACTCAGTTAGCAACTCGGTAAAATAAACCGTTGAATCGTTTGATTTAGCGATGGGAGGTCATACAGTAGACTGGAGCCACATCAGTTGCATTAGACTGCATAGGATCGCCGATCTTGGCTATGCCTGTGATCAAAAGGAATGACAGTCAGACTTTGAGAGAGAAATTTGGACGAGCTCGCAGGGCATTCTGTACCGTCAGCATAGTAGACCTGCAGTCCGCTGATATTGTCCCCGAAGGCGTAGATGCTGAACTTGCTATCAACTCCCCGTGCATTCAATGGCTGAGACGAGCAAAGAAGCCCGAAAGCGGTGGAAAGAAGGCAAAGAGAATAGATAAGCAACATTTCGAATGCCTCAGCATGTAATCGCCAGACTTAAATCTGTGTAGTCGGCAACAATGATAAAAGCAGAATAACAAAACAACGTATCAAGGATTGATGGTAGGAGAGATAGAAAAGGACGTGGGAGATGGACTTGGTGGTCCGTACTTCGAGTTATAAGCATCGTATCCTCTTCCGGCTTCACAGCCGTGATAGCCCCTGCGTCGTACGTATTCCTCTCCAACCCGGAAGCAATTGAATATGGATGACGAAAATTTGAAATTGCTTCATGAGCCACCTACTAAGCCATTACGGGTCGACCTCGTATACGGTCGCCTAGAATGGTTGCCCAGGAATTACTTCGTTAGCTACATCACGAGGATATTTGCTTTTTATTGCTAGATACAGAACCTGGAGCGCCGAAGAAGGAACGACGCATGCAATGCAGGGCGCCACGCGGGATACTGTGAGAGTGGAAGAAATAGAGCTAGCACTAATCTACCAATTATCCTACTCAATTCATACAGAAATCCCGCCTGATGAGGCGTTATTCCAATGTAAGCTCCCATGATATCGGATCCAGATGTGACTGGAATCTCACCGTTTTGGGCATAGAGAAACCAGTCTCCACGTGAAGAAACTGAGACATACAGATGAAGCCTTGTGGTCGATACGAAGTTCCCGGGTATTTCTTCTTCTGAACAGGGGCATTTGAAGCCATAGAACCTTTTGTGACCAATAGCATCCTGGCTATATACGCCCTGAAGCGAAGCGAGATCAGGAAAATTCGGTAGAATTGCCAGCTCTTTGATATCGGGCCATTAGATGAAAAGAATTTCTCGCTTCCTTTTACGGACGTTACAAGAATTGTTCCTCGGTGGCACCTGCGTCTTCATTTGGTTAATTCGATTAGTGGAGTAATGGTGGGTCGCCGCAGGTGGCCTCGTGGATGTCCTGGCTTTCCGAATCGCAGACATGTCCTTTTCAGCCTTGGTAGCCAAATGAACCAGATGCATTTATATAGCCCTTGGAAAGCCAGATTACTGGCCATGTGGAAATCATCAAAGTCTAAGCAGTCAGTCCTTGGTCAATGCACTGATTTGAAGTCAATCGTTCATTTTTTTTGTCCTTTAAAGTTGATGACTTACATCGGGACTTGGTTCTGATCGAGTCTCATCATGTTTGTCTCTTTTTTTATTATTTTCACCTATACATTGGCCACTGCTGCCTTTTCAATTCCGGGCCTGGAGGCACGGAAGTCGTCCAAAGCATGCAAGGGCAATTCAGCCCACAAAAGGACTAAATGGTGTGACTACACCATAAATACCGACTACACTGAAATTGTCCCCAATACTGGTGTCACTCGTGAATATTGGTTTTCGATTGATGAAGTGACTGTCGCTCCAGATGGAGTCTTCCGCTCAGCAATGGCAGTCAACGGCACTATTCCAGGTCCCACAATCTACGCAGACTGGGGCGACAATGTCGTTATACATGTCACGAATCATCTTGACGCTGTTAAGAATGGAACCAGTATTCACTGGCATGGCATACGGCAAAATTACACAAATCAAAATGATGGTGTTGTTTCTATCACACAGTGCCCAACTGCCCCTGGATCTTCGATAACCTATAAATGGCGTGCAGTTCAATACGGTACATCATGGTGGCACTCTCACATTGGTCTTCAAGCCTGGGAAGGGGTTTTTGGCGGTATAATCATCAACGGGCCTGCAAGCTCGAATTATGATGTTGATCAGGGCGTTATGTTTTTGAATGATTGGTCCCATGCGACGGCCGACCAATTATTCATCCAGGCGCAAACAAGGGGCCCACCAACTCTAGATAATGGTCTTATAAATGGAACGAATGTGTTCAATGACACAAGTGGAAGCCGTTTCACTATGAGGGCTAATAAAGGGGCAAAGTACAGAATCAGGCTTATCAATGCTGCTATTGATACTCACTGGAAGTTCATGATTGACAATCACACTTTGACGGTCATTGCTATGGACCTTGTGCCTATAAAGCCGTACACTACACAATGGATTAATATTGGCATGGGTAAGATGTTCATCCATTCTTCTTAGTACAATTGGTTCTGACGAGTTCTTTCCAGGTCAAAGATATGATATAATTGTAGAAATGAACCAGGCGGATGTTGCAAGAAATTTCTGGATCCGAGCCATTCCACAGACTGAATGTTCTGAGAACGAAAGTGTCGACAATATCAAGGGAATTCTTCACTACCATACCAAAGTTGGTACGCCCACAACCAGTCCATATGACTATGGTGTCGATGCATGCATCGATGAGGACCTAAGTAACTTAGTACCTGTGGTATCAAAGTCTGTCTCCAATCCTGACTGGGATTCAATGGAAGATGTGACGGTCGCGAGAAACTCAAACAATCTTTTCCGCTGGTATCTCAATAGTACTACCATGCAGGTTGACTGGCAAGACCCTACTCTGCTTCAAATATACAACGACGTTACAGAATTTTCCGATTCGAGTGGAGTGATCGAGCTTCCAAACGCCAATGAATGGGTGTATCTACTGATCAATACTTCCTTGCCCATTTCTCATCCGATTCATTTGCATGGTCACGATTTTTTCATTCTCGCTCAAGGAACAAATCCCTGGGATGGAACCACTATATCCCACACGAACCCTCCACGAAGAGATACCGCAATGCTGGAAAGCACTGGATATCTGCTTATTGCTTTCGAGACAGACAACCCAGGTGCATGGCTAATGCATTGTCATATTGGATGGCATACTTCAGAGGGGTTTGCCTTACAGTTCGTGGAGCGCTATGACGAGATCAAAAAATTGATTGATCATAAGTCTCTTGAGAAAAACTGCAAGTCTTGGATATCATACGACACCTCATACAACATTGAGCAGGATGATTCGGGTGTCTGATGGACTTGAGAAGTTGGCTTCCAGCGTAGAGAAGCATGATATATGGGAATATGTTAGTTGGCGTTGAATCTTGGGAGTGTTTGGAAAATCTTGTCCTAATACCATTCTTCTGTTTGACTGTTCAGCTACCTACAACTATTATTTTACTTAGTACTAATTTTCACTATCTTTGCATAGCCCATTGAGTTGTCGGAGCATCTTCATAGTCCTAGGATAGAATTAATTATGGCGGAAGAGAAGTCTTAAACTTTGGTGGTTGTTCCATACTCAGCCCAGCCATTAATAAAATTTGGCTTTTATATAGTATATCAGCCCTCTATTAAGAATCTTTCAGGAGTTGGCTACTTCTCATTTCGTCTTCAGTTTTATCCACATTGGATTGCATAGGCAACGGGAATTTTGAATTACATGTACTAAAAAACCTAAATATATTCTAGCAATCTCATTCCTAATACTAGTATAAACAGGAAGAATGAAAAGTTGAGCCCTTACGACACTGCATGCGGAGCAGAAGATGCGCACCATTTGCTCTATATATCTCCTGGTCCTACAAATGGATTTTCTGTAAGCATGGCATGAAAACTATTGTGATTAAATTGAACAGATAGACTTCTGACAATTTTACTTCGTCAGGGATGAGAATGAGGTAGTGTAATGACGTGTGGGTTCCAAGAGTGATCAGCAGAAAACGTCCCCCTTGGAGACCATCAACACCAACATAGCGATTCAAAGGCCCCATTGATGATTGCATATAATTAAATTAAATAGAGTGCGGGGCACTGCATTCATGATAATTAATATAAGTATAAAATATCTGTCAAGTGTCCGTACAAATTATGACGGTAGAGAGTAATCACGGCACCGATCAGCGGTCCCCAGGTCATTTTTCTTAGCTTACCTCTCACGCTCCATGAGTTGCTTTTTGAAGTGAAGTCTGTACTGATTTTCGGGCCATTTTCCTTACTCGTATTGTTGATTAATGCGTAGATGCATCATGCGAAGTTTGTATTTTCTCTCCTTTATGAACCAGGTATGCATCACCCAACTCTATGCGCCCGCTATCTTGTCAACCCCCCCCCCCCGGTATTCTCAATCTCATGTCATCTTTGACAACAAACGTGCTGTTTGTATCACTACCGGTGCGGTTTCTCATATGACATGTCCACCTGTCCTTGTGCTCCCCTCCTGTTCACACTTGGATCTGGCATGTTATGCTCAAGATGTCCTTGGAATTGTAGATATGGTTTGTTGGACCTTTGTTTGACCAATCAACAGTGCCACCCAATACAAGGAGCCCCGGCCATGCAAATGAATCTCAAAATGCAAGTCGATCGATTCGATTAGTTGGTGGTTCACACTTAAATGAGGAGGTAGTTGTCAGATAACAACCCCACAGAATGGTCAATGACTCCACATAGCACATTGTGTAACGTCATAGTGTTTATTGTGCAGTTGGGGTGGTGGGGGAGCGGGGGCAGCGGGGGTGATCGCGTAATATCTTATGCGACGATTTTTTAGTCCTCCTATTATTGTGCATTGCTTGTAATCGAAGCCCACTGAAAATGATATATTCTAGGTCATGGACCATCGAGTTTACTGCCATACAAAGTGGGTGGAAAGGAGCTCGTGTTCTTTGGCCTTGAAAGGATCGGCCCGGTTCGAAGCTAGCTCTATAAGGAATGATGCCCAGTAGCCTTTCGACAATGCATAAGCGTCCCGAAAGGATTGACTGATCACACCACACTTTGCTCGGCAAAGATGGACGAACCAAATAGCGGTCTACAAATGTGATCTCGATTCCAATCGGGGCCCCCACAAAGATCCAGAGAGATGTTCTTGACTGCATCCTGCGGACACTTTGCCCCGGTATGGCCTTATCCACATGTCGTATTTTGCCCAATAGCTGATTTGGAAGCAGGACGAGAATCTTTGCTCCCTGTGCACTGGGGTCGGCAAAGATGCGGTATGGCAAGCCAGTTGGCCAATGAAAAGCATCCTACACCGTTGATCAGTATCATGTGCTTGTGGACTCCTGCACGATGAGGGCAAGTGTCAGAGCAGTTGACATGGGTGTGAGGGAAGAATAAGTTGCTTTGTGTAGCGAATGCAGAGGTTCTCATTCTCCAAACTGCTTCGCGGCTTGGTCTTCTTGCAGCGTTGAGCGAGCATCCGGTCCTTAGCGCTTCGAATGCCGTATTACCCCATTTCATATCCGGATTGGACTTCTTGCGCAGGGTTGATGTGTAAGAGGATTGACTGCAGAATCTATTGGCAAGAGTACTGAGAAGAGCGATCATCGTCGAATCTACTTATCGGGCAGTCTGGTATCTATTGGCCTCGATATCCCGACTTGGGCCTTCACATACTTCCAGGGTCCTTCTCAAGAAGCCAAACATTATCTCAACCCTTTTTTTGAGAAGATTCAAATACCATGCTTTCCTGTTTCCTCCTAGGCAGTGTCATAGCTTACGGCTTCGTTGTGGGGATTTACCGTCTCCATGTCCATCCTCTCAGCAAGTTCCCCGGGCCACGACTGGCCGGTTTGACAGGCCTCTATGAGCTTTACTTTGCTGCGTGGGGGGCGGATTCTTTCAGTACCGAAATCGAGAGAATGCATCAAAAATATGGTAGTTATTCGTTATCTGGGATGAGATTAGAAGATTTTTCTCAACTGACCCAAGTCTGACAGGCCCCGTTGTACGCATCACTCCGGACGAAGTACACGTTCAGGAGCAGCTTTTCAACCCAGACTCTGCGGACGACTGGATTAAAGGCACCAAGGCCCTGGATGCCCGGCGTCATCAATCCGGGTACCCCAGCCAGGGATTCCAAATTAGGAAGCGATCGATCTTGCGAGTGGGCTTGATTCTCCAGGTCGAGGTCCATCAAATTATCCGCGGCCTGGTGCAAAAACATCAGATTGACCGGGTATTCAGCTCGCAGGCTCGGTCATTGGTCTCAATCCCCGAGATCCGCCCCCTTGGCGAGGATGCTGCGGAAGGCAGCGATCTAGAAGATGGGCCTTCCGAGGACTGGCGGTCGCCTCGACCATATCCACAGCGATCTATGTCCGAGTCCAGCAAGGACTATCTCCCTCCATGCCCAACCACAGCGGTACCCAAAGGTTCTGGGGTCCGGTTGCCAATAGGCAATCCCTACTTGACGGTCCAAAGAATGAGTCGTTGAAGTCTCCCGTTATGAACGCAGTCCCCCCTCCCCTTGAGTTTCGGGACGATAAAGACTCGGGGAATGCGAACGAGGGAGGGGTGAAGAAGGTTTAAGCTGGCACATGGATCCACGCGGGGTGTAACTGGCCATTTGCTCAGGCGTTTGAAATGCGATCCGATTTGGTCGCGACACGCTGTGCCGACGGAGCTGCTTTAAAGTTACCGAGCGGGGGTCCTGTTGCGTGGTGGCGATAACATTCTCCGTGGTCACGGCTCGGAGCTAGCAGCTCGGGGGCTCGCCATGGAAGTCGCTACATCGGGCGCTTCGGTTGAGCTGAATGAGTTGGATCCACGAGAAACCCAAGAAGCGTGAGACCAATTACTGTGGAAGAAGGCAAACGAGGGGGTGAGGGGAGACGTGGAGCCGAAGGTTGTCGTCGGGCAGAGTCGAAGGGTCGAAAGTCTCTCAGGGAAGGAGATAACCCGAACGCCAGCGTCTGTTGCGCTTCCCCACCAACTCGTAACTCTTAATCTGCACCTCCATCGCGACGCCGCAATTGCGCCATTGACCCCCTTTTCTCCCCCCGATTTCACCCTCCTGCTCTTCGTTTCCACTGATTCTCATTGATATCCCCAACATTGCCCTCGCAAAATGGTACGACTTCGACCCTTTTGTGCTTTTCGCGAGCGGTTGGCCCCTGCAGACCTTGCAGATCCGGCCCCAAGACCGAGGATCGCAGCGATCTCAGACATGACTGACTCGATCGCATCTATTAGCCGCACGCGGATTCGTCGTATTTTTTTGGTACAACCAAGGAGGAGGTGTACACGCAGCTGCTGCAGCAAGCCAGCGGTCTTTTGGACGGCCAGCGGAACTGGGTATGTACCATCCAAAGATTTCGATCCCAGTGGCCCATGCCCTCCTCAATTGGGATCGATGACCCAGCTTTTGGACAGTGAACTGACTTGCTGCTGCCACAAATAGGTCAGGTCAGTCATCATGCCTTCTGTGCTTCCACCAATGGCGCATCCCCAATGCACCTACGCGACTCCCCTGGTCCAGACAGCAACACGCAGCTAACAGCCTCTTAGCAACCTGTCGAACATCTCCTCCCTTCTCTGGCACGCCTATGCAGCGCTCCCTTCTCCTTCCTCCGCTGTAAACTGGGCCGGCTTCTACATTCGTGATGACAAATTTCCCGCCCTCGCCTCGCCCGTTTCTTCCCCTCCTCTCCCCGGTGCGCCAGCTATGACCGGCGTGACTATCTCCACTACATACGCCTCTCCCGAAGATCAAGTCTTGCTCCTGGGTCCCTTCCACGGCAAGCCCGCATGCCAACAAATTCGCTTTGGAAAGGGTGTCTGCGGGACTGCTGCGGCCAGTCAGAAGACCGTGGTCGTGCCTGATGTACTAGAATTCCCCGGTCACATTGCATGCGATGCGGACAGTCGAAGTGAGATTGTTGTTCCGATTCTTGTCCATGGAGAGGTAAGTTCGAGTTGTCGGCCCCGAACTAGGCAAATATGTGTCTGACTTGTATACCCTATATAGACTGTGGCCATCATTGACATCGACTGCACCCTGCCTTCCGGCTTCGACGATGAGGACAAAAAGTACCTCGAACAGCTGGCCGAACTTCTGGCAGTCAGCTGCGATTGGTGAAACAGGACAAGAATTACTTGTATGAAAAAATGTCATATATCAAGGGTCGTGTTACGTGATATGAATAAGGGCTGAAATGGGTGACGGTTTGGGACGATGATAAAAGTTCGGTTTATATATGGATTTCGATGTACCTACAATTTTTCCTGTCTCAAACAATTTGGCGCTATGTCTTACATGCTCGACCCTTGGCTTGGTTTGATCATTGAGTTCTGTACGCACCTTGCTCCAATGGAGGTCTTTGTGTCGTGAGGCTAAGAGCTACCCCGGCGTGCCTAGCTCGTTCGCCAAGCGATCTATATTGCTATCACGCCTCCTACTGGGGTCGAGCTTTAATTTAGATGCTACCTAGTTCGGCCACAGCTCCTGGTGAAACACAGGATCGGCAGTGTGGGGTAGCAACGCAGGGTCCCTGTACCCCTGCCAAGTGACATCGCGCGTGTTAGCATGGTCCAACGTGTCAGGTTTAGGGGAGACATGCACCCTGGATTATCTAACAATGTTTATTCAAATACATAATCGCTCACCCTGCTAGGACGTATGACGGTAACCGGGGTGATTTGAGAATCAGGTTGTATTTCAGCAACTATACTCTGCTGATCGAAGTCGGTAGAGCGCCATAGATCATTGTCTCTTGTCTCATATTCCTGCCTGTAACTTCCTAGAATCCAACGCTGATCTCGTAACCACTACCGCTCTCCTTGGTCGAGAAGTCGACCTTTCCGACACAATCACCGTACTCATACGGTTTGCCCAGGCTCCCACTGTTTCCACTCGATGTGGTCGGTGCCCCAAAAGTTACCGATGTTTTAGGTAGCTGGTCACACGTATGTGTGCCAGAGTTCCACGGGTAGTACTCGACGAATCCGACCTGGGAGCCTTTGATGCCTCCGCTGCCCGACGGCAGAGTATAAGAGCCGATATGGGTCTCGGTGCCAGTCACGGCATCGACCAATGTCCCCGTCCAGGTCGTCCCCGACGTATTTTGGATCTTCAGTAGGTATCCATGCGCATAGCTGGCCGTGACGTCCACCGAGCAGCTTACACCGGCGCCGCCGTCTGCGCCGTCGCTGCAGTTGCTGTCGTCGGTCGTTGTCCCGCTAATGAAGCTAGAGAAAACACCGTGAATCACGGGCTGAGAGCCATTATCCTCGCGCGGTTGTAGACCTGTGTACCCCACGTCTGACTGGCCCTCGAAGTTGAATTGCTGCGCGAAATAGTATCCGGATTTGTGCGCTGCGTCAGGCATGGAAATGGGAAAGGTAATGTCCGTCATCCCGGAGCTGGATACGTCGGAAACACTCCATGAGAGGCCGACGAGAGCTTCAGAGGCCTGGAAGATAGAAGAAAGAACCGCCGCGCGGAGAATGGTGGATGAATATTTCATGTTGACCAAGTTTATGTTCGGAGCTCATTGATTTTCTCTCTTCAGTTTACAGGGGACCCCTGTATGGTAACGCTTGCATTAAATAGTTCCAATAGTTCTGCGGCTACGGTTGAGCCCGGGGTCCTTGGTTCGCAATCAAGACGAAACGCCACTGCGTTTCACTGCATGGGGCGATCTGCAAAGCTAGTCGATATAGCGACCAGGTTACATGAGGAATGCTTTGTTGATGGAACAGTCACTGCTCGAACCAATAACGCAGACACTATTCATGTTCCGGCCATTGGCAAAGCGTCGTCTTTTCAGACAGCTTCGAAGACAGAATAGATCAATGACGTCTCAAAGAGTCAAATTATATTATGCATTGTTCAAGCGCATCAGGGTTCCCTGGTATCGATATACTTACTGGGGATTGAATCAGCTCCCATTCTTGGTTGCTGACATTATTCCACCAGTAGTCTCCTGTCCATCCCAACAGGGAACATGATTTCACGCTTTTGGAACGGATCTACAACTAGTACGAAATAGCAACTCACTAGTTAGTAGTAGACCAGCTGGAGTAAACCATGTCTCTAGTCTTGAGGTGTTCTGACACCTCAAATTCACCATTCAATCTGGCGTCCCTTCCATTATCTCTATCCCAGAGATGTCCACCTGGGATCCGATTTTCCAATTTCGCAAAGCTTTGGGGCGCTAATTTGTCTTGCCAAAGGGAAATGGATCCCTAGACTGAAGTAAATTAGCCGATATCTATACGATCTACTTCTTAGAGAAAATGGCACCAGGGACAAAAGTGGCCCTGTTGAAGTTCACCATCCGTTCCTGAGAGCCCCAGAAGAAGACACACGAGGTTTAGTAGAGCGAGTATCCCGCAAATTCAAGATTTATCGGCTGCCTATGGCCTTGCACGGGAGAAGTTCGAAATCCTCTAGTTCGAGTTATTAAGACATTCATTGTATCCCGGGATTCTGTACCCTAAACAAGATTCTGGCATCCAAGGTAGCGACAGTTTAATCTACAAACCAACGAAAATGCGCTCAACTGCCACTCGAAATCGCGAAAATCCTGACCCCAGAGCAAAAGCCATATATAATGTAGTGACAGGTGACGTCTCTCTAAACATGTAAAGTTGCGTCCCAAATAAAAGATGAAGAAAGAAAAAAAGAAATACATGACTCTATGCGTGAAACGTCCATCCCAGAATGCAGACCGAAAATTGGCATGTCGTAGGTCGCCTGGAAATCCAAGCGAAGGTTGTATGAAGGTATCTAAGATCGTAAAAAGAAAGTTGGCGTGGAGCGAGTAATTACATGTTCAGCAGACTCATTTGTCGTCGCATCGGGTTCGGCGATAGAGCGTCGCCGTCCTCACTTTGGCCGAGTCCGCTATCGGTGCCGGTGAGGCCAGCGTCCGTGTCGATATCCCATTGCTCATCTTCACCACCGTCGTTGAGATCGGCGTCTCCGGGCCCGCCATCCCAACTCTTCTGGATGGCACCGCGGGTGTTCCATCGCAGTGCGCGCTGGACGCTGGTGAACCACTCGCCACTGTCGGAGACAACAGTGGGGAAAGGATACTGGCTGGCTTCGACAGTGACATAGTCGCCTTGCCGGAGTTCGACGCGTCCTTTGCCGTCGAAGGAGCAGTAAGCAGTCGACCGTGAGGTGTTTGGGACGGCGATGCGCAGGAGGTGGGAGTCTGACAGAACCATCGGGCGGAAGGAGAGGGTATGAGGACAGATAGGAGTTAGGAGAATACCGGGGATCGAGGGGTGCATGAGGGAGCCACCAGCAGACAGGGAGTAGGCGGTCGAGCCAGTTGGAGTAGAAAATATGCATCCATCTGCTTGGACGACAGTCAAAAGTTCGTCATCAGCGTAGAGTTCCAGGTTGGAAACATAGGGAGAGGGCCCTCGGTCAATAACGACCTCATTCAACACTTCAAACTGCTCGCCTTCTTCGACTGCACCTGCCTCGGCTCCTTTGCTTCTGTCTTTCCGGAACACTGTACATGTAAACCGCATGCGCAGATTAACCCGCATGCCAACATCTCCCATGACGCCGTTCAAAATCGACTGGTAATTTGAGAATTCAAAGTTCGTGAGGAACCCCAGACTGCCCAGGGAGAAGCACAGCACCGGCGGTACCACGCGCTGGAAGAGCCAAGAGGTGAACAACACAGTTCCATCACCACCGAGGGTCAAGACAAGATCAAATCTCTCGGGTGAACTCCAGCAGAGATCAGGGGTCCAAAATTGCAACATCTGGGCAAACCGCGGTTCTTTTTCGAGAAGACCGGCGGCATCGAACCGCTTTGAGTTCCGTAACTTCGCATCAACATACACGTTGACGCCAAGGTCATTTCCATAGCGCGGTGTTGAAAGCAGCCATTCGGTTAGTTCTCGGGTCAGATGTACCAGGCTGTTATCCCGTGCCTTGGTGACGATCATGATATTGCGCACAGCCCGTTTGATCGGTCGCCTTTGCAGCTGTTTCGAGACCTCGCGGACCCCGGTTGCAGTCTGAACTAGTCGTGAATGCGAGAGCCATTCGTCATCTGCGATCTCTTCGAGTACCTTCTTGATATTCACAGCATCGTCAAATCGCTGGTGGAAGTAACAAGGAGACTGGAGCATCAATCGGGCCGTTGACGGAGAACGCTCCAGGTAGCTGCTGAGTTGTAGGCTTGAAAGGGCACTGGATAATTTTTGAGAGGAGGCATTGCTACACCGACGCTCCTTGTCTTCTGGTGAGGACGGCGACGCTTCGTTCGAGTTGTTGTTTGCGATCAGGCCTGACCAAGGGTTGGTAAACGTTGGGGTTTGATTACTGTTGATCAAGGTTGGTCGCGACGCAAGAGCCTTCATGATAGTTTGTCGAGGAATGCAGTCGGTGGACAATGCTTTTTGGGAACGAGATCCCGACATGGATTTGTGACGAAATCGGCGAAAGGCCGTGGAAGGCAGGGACCAGCCAGGAGTCTCCTCGGAAGGGTCGGTCTTCTGGGAGGATGATACACTGCTATCTGGTGCCCGTGGCGCGGTGTCCTGGGGGTGGATCTCCTCGTGTGTCTGTGAGGGTTCTATATGAAGGGCATAATCGCGCAAAAGGGCCGCGCCGACGGACGAGGAGGATGGAGGAGGTGGGGCAGCGGTCACCGTTGGCGTTTTCGATGGGTGAGACGGAGAGTGCACCGACACGGAAGGCAGCGTCGAGGGTATGTCAGATCGGAGTGAATCACTGCCGGGCGACGCCATGGGCAGCAGCCTGGATTGGCTTCTTGGTGGGATTTCTGGGCGAGGAGGACGGAGAAGACAAGTCGAAACCCGGGGTCCGGATGTAACGGGGTTTACGGGCCAACACTTCCTTCAAGCATGTGTGCACAGTCCAACGAGACCGTTCGACCGTTGCCCTGGGCCCAGTTTGGCGGGGATAGAGCTTCCACCGTCTTCCACCGCTGTTCTTCGTCTTGGATGTGCCGACAGGGATATTGCGCCGGATAAATAGGGAGGAGAGTGTTCCGATCGGCGAGTGGGGGCTTTGGAAGGGAATGGAGTCCGGGGTTGCTGGCTGGTGGCTTGTCACAGGTACGATGCGCCTCGAGCAGATGTAAAAACCCTGTTTAAAAGAAAGTGAAAGCACATGGACAGAGAAGTCCAAGAGCGCTCCAACTCCCAGAGTCACGGAGAAGGTGGTCGAGTCGCCGACAACGGAAGCGAGACCGCGGAAGATCGCGCTCCACACAAAAACTCCTCCAGGCGGTCGGGGAAGATGGTGTTATCGCCGACCGCTTTCGATATGACGTTTACACTGGGGACAGCAGGACCGTCAGCATGACAATAAACTCGGCTCTACGAAAAGCCTATGTAGATTTCTAAGCGTCTAGTTGGTTGACAGAATTATACTGGGAAACTTGTACGCGAATGACTTCAGAGAGGCCTCGAAACACGGCCAGATCATCCTTGGAATTTGTTGCTCCACTCAAAGTACATCGTTCAATAGCAACCCCATGAATGGCTCTGATCGCACCGCATAGAAATAGTGTTTCATGCTATATCGAGAGAGACCGGTCCCATTAATCCATCAAGGCAAAGATGAAACACGGTCGGCCTCGGTAGGGGTCTGGTGGCAGAGCTTCAGGAGCTGTTCCTTCCGGGCAATTCGGGTGTCTTCCAATATTCGAGAAATTTGCTTCGTTCGACGAAACGGAACTCTTTCTCATTTGGTGTCCAGTCGGTACGTCGGAGTGACAAAGGGGGGCTCAGACTAGCGTCTCAGCCGCACAGGGTCGCTAGGGTTCTCAAGCATTGTAGGGCAGGCAGAGCCCCAATATGTGCTAGAGGCTCAAAATGCCGTTCAAGGTTCAACAAAACCTATCCCATAAATACAACAACGGTCGGCTGATTGCGTGGAGGCCAAGAGCTGCGACAAGGCCACCATGCTAACCAAGCTCGTAATCCTCGTATAGAATTCAATGGCTGATGCAGATGAATCAAATAGCGGCAATGCGATCAAGATTCGAAAGTAATCACAGTGGCTGCTCGCGTGCTCCGAGCATGTGGTTCGCTGCTGTTAGGTCATATGTTGTCCCATGTTTCTCAGATCGAATCGATCTTCCACGAGTAATCGCGGTGAATACGATCCTCCACGGTCTCGCGGACAAACCCATCCAAGCGAATACTGTCAGGCTCGTCGCTCATGGCGACATCGCCATCAGGCCGGGTTCTTCCCGAATCTTGGCAGATTGAGAGTGCGCGCTCACGTACGCTTTCCCAGATGTCAAAGTCAAAATAACCTTGGCTTTCGTTGAGAAGTAGATGGCCCTTGGAGGAGAAGGTAAGGGTATGGAGGGAAGCGGCGATCTTCACATCATCCGCAGAGGGGTTGGTGATGATCTCACCCGACTTTGTCACGCCAACCAGTGCAGTAGAGAAGGTCATGGACAGGGGAACGGCGGCCGAAAGAAGGGCGAGCAAGGATGCTTGGAGGAGGGCTGGGAGGAGAGAAATGTACTGCGATCAATATTAGCATCATAGTTGTGTGAGTTCACCGGGATGTCGAAGCGAATTGCTGATCAATCTTACCGAATCACCTCGTTGGACAGCCTCGCCTGCCATTATCGCGAGGGTGATTACCACCCCGCGACGAGGAAATCCTCTTTCGCGTCCCAGGATCACTTTCTGAAGCACGCTGCGCAATATTCCCTCGACATAGCGTTCACCAATGCCAGCCGTGGTATTTCCCGGTTTGACGAAGACTTCCACGGTGGCTTCTTCGGGTTTCAGGGCATCTTTGCGGGCGGGAAGCTCAACAGGAGCATTGACCGAACCGAGCACGCTATAGCCGGTGGTTGGGCACTTATAAGACGCAGAACCGTCGCTACGGTTCAAATTGGAGAGTGATGCCGTAGGGCCAACCATGATGTCGCACGAGGTGTCACGGGGGAAAAGAGAGTAAGAGCCAGGGTGGTAATTAATGTTTGGAGTTGGAGAATCGATGTTGGAGCTCCCGCGATTTTTTCTTATCGGATTTTCGGGCCGATGATTGGCCGGGTGTCTGTGTTGACAGGGCTTCGTTGACTGCTCGATTGCATTATTGCTGGGCATCGGCTTGCGAAAAACTGGGGGCAAGAATGAATAATTCTATGCAGATTTACAAAAGCCCTTGTCCATTTTTGAGGATTATCAATGACCTTTTCTCCGGTTCTCCAGTTAGGAAGGTGTTTGGAATCGGTGCTTATACGAGCCGACATAACTGACAAAATATATATGCAACTTGACCACTTAAAGCAACTTGACTTCTACATAAGTAATTCATTAGCCTTCAATCGATCGATGGAGTGTACGGCGTGCTTGGCGATTATAGTTCTATAATAAGCCATGACATGACACTATTAAAAATATTAAAAATCCAACGATGTGAAGAGATCAACCAGATCTATTTTTAAGGATTCGGGTTGCTTGATCGCATCGACTCAGATTGCTGGTTTTCTTTCTCATAACATTACTGGCCGGGGAACTGGTCTCTCTAAATCATATGCCAGAATTTCTGACACGCCTAGACCTTGGAACGTGGCACTGCAAAGGGTTGGTAAAATATCCGGCGCGATGCAGTCATGGACTTGCCGGAACCATGGAATTCCACCAAAACACAGACTACTCTAGATAAACTGGTTATGATCTCCTCGCTTTGCCTGTGCTTGTTGGCCCACAAGGCCCCGTGCTCTGTGGAAAAAACTACAGGGAACAAGTATATGGATTACTCGATAAGTTCCTACTTCAACGCAGCCAGGAATGCGCATGGATGCACGCCGTGAGGACGCCGGTGGCTCGCCCCCGGCCATCTGCACCCAATCATGCGCTCGCCTGGCTGTGCTCCAAGACACTTGGTGCGTAGCCAACCAACATGGTCGCAAGCTATCGGTCGGAATAGAACAGCCAAGCATCGGCCAGAGCATGCCCCAATGACATCGTGGCCCCAAGAATGGGACAAGAAATCCCCCGCCTTGCGGATGTTCCCCCCCTCTTTTGTGTGGAACCGAGAATAGCCTTGAATCTCTCATACAAATATCTCAAGTGGCAACGCCTTTTATTCTCCGCTACAATTTATTTCCAACGGGGATCACTCCTTGTCGACGAAGGGAATCTAGCTTGTTTATAAGTTGACTCGCAAGAAAGAAAAGAGCATCCTGTTCCTGCTTTTTCACTCTTCTTCATTCCCTTCCACCTACTTGAATGGGCATAGAGACGCCTCCCGATGTCGAGGAATCGACGGAGCCTCCTATATGTGCCTTTAAGGAGCCCAAGTTTAACCCCCATGCAACTGCAGCCATAAGCTTTGAGCCGTGCAACACTAATGAAAAGCCCACGTCCAGACCGGCCAGTAATAGCCTGTCTGCCCGTGTCGAGCCACATACACCACGCGAGCCCCTGCGAAGCCAAGAAGACCAAAGCAAAAATGCCCATCTTCTCGAGCCATCCGATATTGCTACACTCCTGCGAACGGACCTACAGTATGTAGATTCAAATAGCTTCTTCACTTGGCCCTATCTCACCAGAAATCTTCTCTCTTAGCCATGGACTTTCTAGTGATGAGGCGGGCGAGCGTCTCAGAACACAAGGTCCGAATACGGTCCGCGAAATCAAGGGCGTCTCCATCTGGGGGATACTGCTAAGGCAGGTGTCCAACAGTCTAACCATAGTAAGGTTACAGCCTTCTAAGACCGAATTTGAGGAACAGGGAGCTGCCATAGAATGCTAACAACTGGAATAAGGTCCTAGTAATTACCATGGCGTTGTCCTTTGGAATTGACGACTATATTGAAGGAGGAGTCATAACAGCGGTCATTGTACTGAATATCGTTGTCGGGTATGCTGTTCCCCAATGTACTAATCTTCCCTGGCTGCCACTGATATTGTCATCATACAGATTCTTCCAAGATTACCGAGCAGAGAAAACGATCCTTTCCCTCCACCGCTTATCTGCTCCAGTATGCAAGGCCATCCGGGATGGTCGGGTGAACTCCGTCAAGGCTGAGTCCCTGGTCGTTGGAGATATTGTGCGGTTGTCGGTAGGAGACATTGTGCCTGCAGATTTACGTTTATTTGACGGCATGAACGTGTCCATGGATGAAGCCCTGTTGACAGGAGAGTCCCTGCCAGTTCTCAAGACGCCCCAAGAGACATTGAAGCAGTCAAACATCCCCATCGGCGATCGCACGAATATGGCATATTCTGCTTGCAGTACTACCCAAGGCCGAGCTATAGGAATAGTCGTTGCGACAGGCATGGAGACGGAGGTGGGTAAAATTGCGCAGTTGCTACAAGATCATCCAACGAAAGATCATCAAAGTTATCTTGCTCGGGCATACCTTCGTGTTAAAACTTCAACCGCGAAGATCTTGGGGCTTGTTGGTACCCCGTTGCAAGTCAAATTGAGCAAGTTTGCCCTTTTGCTCTTCGCCCTAGCAATACTGCTGGCCATCATCGTCTTTTCAGTCAATCTATGGGATGTTCAAGGCGAGGTTTTGATCTACGGGATATGTGTTGCTGTGGCTGTAATTCCAGAGTCTCTTATTGCTGTCTTGACTATCACCATTGCCGTCGGCACAAAGGCTATGGCCAAGGGAAATGTGATTGTCCGAAAGCTGCAGTGTCTGGAGGCCGTTGGCGGGGTCACTAATATATGCTCTGACAAAACTGGGACATTGACCCAAGGAAAGATGATTGCACGATCTGCATGGATCCCGAATGCGGGGACCCTTAATGTCCGACAGACAACAGATCCATATGATCCCACGAGTGGAGTTGTGCAGCTCGACGAGATCGACTGGAGCTCTACTCGTCCAATTGAGGAGCACCCTGCTTTGCATACTTTTCTCTCTGCGCTTGCACTTTGCAATCTTTCAGTCATTCGTCATGAGAACCAAATTTGGACTGCTGTTGGTGAACCTACAGAAATTGCTCTGCATGTTTTGGCCATGCGATTCGACTTTGGAAAGAGCGCAGTTATCGAAAGACGGGGGATCAGGCTTCACACCGAATTTTCATTTGACTCAGCCATCAAGAAGATGACTGTTGTGTATGAGAACGCGAAAGAAGGCATGAATGAAGTGTATACCAAGGGTGCTCCTGAAGTGATTATTCCGTCAATGGCAATCAGCGAGGACAAAAGAAAGGTCATTCACGACACTGCGGACAGAATGGCCGGTGAAGGTCTGCGGGTGCTTTGCATTGCATATAAAAAGACGCCGATCAATCGACCGGACGATGTCTTCCCACGAAATGCCGCGGAATCAGACCTACAATTTGGTGGTCTTATTGGACTTTACGATCCTCCCCGCGTTGAGACCGCCGCTGCAGTGCGCAAATGCCAGATGGCGGGCATTACGGTGCATATGCTAACTGGGGATCATATCAAGACAGCTACCGCGATTGCATCGGAAGTTGGTATTCTCGATCGCGTCATGGCCGTGGCCAAGCCACAGCGCTTGGTGATGACAGCAGATGAGTTCGATAAATTAACGGATGATGAAGTAGACGCTATTGAAGAGCTACCTCTCGTGATTGCGCGCTGTAGTCCAACAACGAAGGTTCGGATGGTTGATGCAATGCATCGCCGTCAGGCCTTCTGTGTAATGACTGGCGACGGTGTGAATGATTCTCCCGCGCTTAAAAGAGCAGATGTCGGTATTGCTATGGGCAAGAATGGAAGCGACGTGGCCAAAGAAGCCGCTGACATGGTTTTGACGGATGATAACTTCTCATCCATTGTTAAAGCAGTCGAAGAGGGGAGAAGGCTATTTGACAATATTCAGAAGGTATTTGATATTTTATCTTCCCGATGGGCCTATCTAACACACAACACAGTTCCTCATGCATTTGCTCATCTCGAATATTGCTCAAGTCATTCTTCTTCTGATAGCACTTGCATTTAAAGATACTGGAGGGGACTCGGTGTTCCCGTTGTCTCCACTTGAAATATTATGGGCAAACCTTGTCACGTCTTCCTTTTTGGCAGTCGGGCTGGGACTTGAAGAATCACAACCCGATATCATGTACCGTCCTCCACATGATCTGCGTGTTGGGGTATTCACCTGGGAACTCATAATGGATAAAATGATATATGGTACTTTCATGGGCACGTTATGCCTGGTCGCATTCGTATGTGTTGTCTATGCCGCGGGGACTGGGGCATCTGACCTCGGAGATGGGTGCAACCAAGGATATAATTCGACTTGCGATGCTGTTTTCCGAGCCAGAGCTACAACTTATGCAACTCTAACCTTTCTTCTGCTGGTTACGGCCTGGGAAGTCAAGCACTTCTCCCGTTCTCTATTCAATATGGATCCTGTCCGATTCCCACAGCGGTGGTCGATCTTATCCACACTCTGGAGTAACCGCTTCCTTTTTTGGGCTGTAATGGCGGGATTTGTGGTCGCATTTCCTGTGATATACTTACCGGTGATTAACCAGATGGTTTTTAAGCACCATGCTATCACTTGGGAATGGGGTATCGTCTTCGGCTGTACTGCTACCTATCTGGCCTGTGTTGAAAGTTGGAAAGCAGTCAAGAGAGCATTCGGCATTGGAAGTGGTAAGAATGCTATTCTAACCTTAGAAGATGCAGAGACAAGAGCAGGTCTTGATACACCCACACCACTCTCTTCGAGTGGAAACACGAGCGTTGAAATGAAATGATAGTCTGAAAGGGTTGATTCAACATACAACCAATTAGGTGGATTGGAAACGGTCGTGCCAATACTTCATTGTGTGCAGATTGGTAATCTCCTTTTTTTGCGCTGCTATATCTCAATTGCCTCAAGATTGTATAGAGGCTTATTTCCTCAACAAAGGCCATATTTTCGCTCCTTGAAATCGGAAACTATATTGATATTTCGTCTACTGGTGACGGACCAACTTCATACATCACGATAAAGTCAAAACTGATGTAAAGAAAGTCCTGACCAGAATGTATGAAAGTGACAACACTTACAACATTGTATTCCTATATGGAACTATACCGATCAATATCAAACATAAACCGGATGAATTAACTTTTGTATTGTGTAGCGACACATCAATCTAACGATTGAACTAACATAACATCATAATGCCATGATACGAGATAGAAGGAAGACAGTCAGGGTCGATGGTAGCTATAAATTGATTCATTCTCGGATTTATCTTTGAATGACGCCCCTTTAGACACAAGTCTTCATTCTATCTATGCAAAATGCCTCGGTATTCTGCCTGTGACCTCCTCTTTCGTCTAGTTTATCTGATTTGATATTTCTCATTATTGCTATTCTCTCTATTGATATAGGCTTCGCGGCCTCACTTTGCCATATGATGCTAGATATAAACGTCTCGGATATTTACTCTTAGCTTAACTCTGCTCACTTTCAGTAGAAAATTAAACAGTACCATGAAGCAAAAAAGGACAGCTCATTAACTCCGCGCAAGATCTACATATCCTCCGTAATCACTGACTCAGTCCAAGGACAAACGGCACATGCATGATAGGATATTGATTCATTTACTTTTCATTGAAGTACGAGTCTGTCCGATAAAATTTGAAGAGGATCTTGTGCGTGCGGACTCGAGGCATGGTTATGGTGCATCGATATATTGCTACCAGGCTGATACACCTATTCCAGATGTAAGACCTGTATTTTGACTCACTTTCGTTCCAATTTCCATGCCCGGGTCCTACTTGTTTTTCATGGCCTGAAAGAAACAGGCCTTATACACAATAGGTGGCTTGTAGGTGAATTAATAGTGCTTCACTAGGAAGCTGTAAAAAGAGAAAAGAGTTCTCACTCTGATGAGCCCATTAGGTCTCAAAATCACCAAAACCAGGTAAACGAACAATTTATGATAAATAAGTATCAAAAAGCATATTATTCACTAAGATTGGCAACATCAAATGGCGGATTCGCTGGGTAACCGTCAGATTTCTCCTTCATAGAGGTAAGCATCGAGCAAATTCTCTACACCAGATCTTGCTAACAAAGACCGGCAAATCGATTTGGAGGAGCAGCATAATGTGGCCTTATTGTGGTGATACATCTTCGAGTTTGCCTGAGTTTTGAATATTAAATTCACCATTCATGCATAGGCCATCATCATTCAAGGGAGCCAGTGGCCAGAGCTGAAAATTCCATAGATTGTACTGATCGCTGAAAAGGTCACCAAATTGGAATTCTTCATCTCGAGGAGTCACCCGGTTTTGGCCATCTGTCTCCATGCGCTGAGCAAGATCGTCGGCTGTGTGGCTCAGCAAATTGTGAGTCCAAGCACCTGTGCGGCTGTCAGATGGAGAGTTCATCTGTGTTCTGTACATTTCGTTCCGTGCTGGTCCTGGATCGTGGCCATGGAGGACTTGGGTCTCGGTGGCCTGAATGAGTGTTTCTAAGAATGTTTGAAATCGGCTGAGCAAAGCAGTGTCTTCGCGGTTCCGAAAGCAATGATGCATGCTACGGAGTAAGGCAAGATAAATATCCCGAGACCACTTCCGGGGAGACTTCATAAGAGAAAGGAAAATGGCCATTACAGAGTTGATTGCATAGGGATGAATCCACCTGAATCAAAGATCGTATAAGAATACAGCAAGTTTGAATCATTGAATGTCTAAGGATGCATACCTTGGGATAGGGTTCAATCGCCTTTCAGCAATGAGATTATTAATTGCATGGGCCAGGTCATGCGCAGCATCCAGGCAGACCTTTTCAGATCCTACAATGCGACGATTCGGGTGACTGAGCATATAATTCAAGCGGCTCCGACAGAGTAAAGAGAAGCGATGAACCATAATCACAGCATTCAAATAGGTACAGTTCAATAAGCTGGTTGCTATTGAGGATATTTGATCTTCGGAGTCAGCCGAGTCCTGATTTGGAACTAGATTACCAGGAAGCGAGGCCCGCCAGTCCTGAAGGAGCATATCGGCGTTTCCCATTAGGGTGATAATCGTCTTTTCGTCAAGCATAGGAGCACTGATACTAAAAATATCGGAGGATATTCTGGAGAGGTGTTTACAAATATCGATAAAGGAGGAGAAAAAGTCAGGAAAATAACTTCCAGCAATGGCCTGTGAAGATGGTGTGAATGCCTGAGAGATATCTGGTAGATCGGCGTCACAATCGTCATCACGAATAGCCGAAGGGCGGCCAAGCTCAAATGACAGCTTTCTGAAGAAGTATGATCATTAGAAAAGAGCTGTCACAAAAGAAGAAATGGCGGCGATACTTGTCGAGACAATAACACACCCACCAGATACAGCTGCGTAAACTGTGTTCTTTCAAGACAAATTGAAACTCATGAGGATGATTATGTGTAGAGAGGCTGCGGTGAAGTCCAATGGACTGCGCGATTCTAGCGGCGATTCCAATATTGAGATGGGCTTGGCTTTCGCGTCCGCTGTTCATAAGATAGAGAGACTAAAATTCGATGTGAGTGTGATTTGCTAACTAGCTGAGAGGTACTATACATACTAATAATATAAATGCCTGAACGCTTGACAGATATGGGTGGGCGACCAAGTCGCCGTGAAGACCCCAGGCTGTGCGAAAATGTAAATCGGCTATCTCCGTATTTTCACAGCCAAGCGCAATAGCGAGGAGAATGCATGAAGTGACGGCGGGCTCTGAGCTCCTTCCTGTCTGATAAAACCTTTCATAATCGTCATAGAAAAGCTTTGGATCCAGAATTGTTAGAAGGGCGTGATACGTATTGAAGAAGTCTGAGATATATGAAAAAATGAGGTCAGGTTAGTTCGTGGTCAGGTTCCGATTTCGCTGGGTACTTACGACACAGACATAAATCAGCCACGGCTTTATCAACTAAGGGATGTTGGACAGGAGATTGAAATGCTAATTCCTCTGAGAATGTCATTGTTGGACAAAAAAAGGCCATGACATCAAGATGAGGAGCGATAGGCTTGAACAGCTCTTCAACCGATTTGGCAAATACTTGGGGAGAAGTGATGCCAGCAAATTTGCTATTTTTGGGAGACTGGCCGACTTCCGTGGTAACAACACATGGACACTATCTATCGAGCGTGATACTGGCCCCAGAAGGGGGAATTTTGATGCCTGGCTTGGTGAGGATGTAGGCATGTCGCCGTGTCGTGCGTCCGAAACAAGGTCCTGCCTGTTGGGACTCATCTGAGCTATGCTCTGTTGATTACCATCCGTGTACACGTCTGATTTCCTATTGGTTGTGACCGAGAGTGATGAGCTGGATGGTGATAGATGAGTCCGCAAGCTATGGTGACGGCCTTGATGACTTGGTCGCCGGGAGTTCTTCGAGAGGCTGGAGCGGTTGATGCACACCCGGGATGTAGGCGTGTTAGATCTCGGCATAGAGTGGCCATCCCGTGTAATTACACAATCCCCCCGTAGGTTTGACAGTTACGACAAGATCCAGGTAGATTGTCACATCGAATCTAGCATCGGGTGAGTTTGGGACATGGGATACATGAGCATTCAATTACTCATTTTGCGTTGTCGACAAGAATCACACTATTGATTTTCCATTTAGCACCAGGTCTATCAGAAAGACTGGAATTGGCTATCAAAGGCAGCTTATTCCACGTACAGCTCGAAGGCGGCGTCGTTTCGGGGCAGGAGCGGCCTGCGTCTCCGAATTTCCTGAGAAATCCCGATCACTAGCATCACCACTCATATTGACATATCAACAAAGGACACAAACACAGCAGCGATTAATAGGCAGCCGAAATTCAGTGACGATTCATGTCCAACTGGTATAAGCTTGAGTCTCAAAGGAGGGAGGGGGAGGTTCGCGAGCCGAGCCACGTGAACGTCGGGGGCGGATGGATTGTGGGGTTTGCTCTCTCCGCAAAAACAATATGGGCGCCGGAGGGTAGAACGGGCCCTTCAAGAGCACCTATCGAATCGAGAAGATTTGTAAATTGGAAAGGTGGGGTGTCGTGGGGAGCTGGGGTTCCTCTTGAGATTCCCTATCCTAGGACAGATTTCTACTTGCAGCCAGGGAGATCGATCGGCTTAGGGGAACAAGATATAGGGGGAAGGATATGCTGGACGCTTAAATCTACGTATTCTTACTATAAAATGCCAGCTATTTGTAGAGCTAGAAATGTAAAACGATGGAAGGCGAGGAATAGTCGCTTCGGCTATTGACATGGAAGACCGCTGCTCTGGTTATGAACTGAAGGCAGTTACGGGCGCAATTGCGGGGATGGGATGTGCCGCGTGATACGATAGACTTGCTACGAGCATGAATATGATTCCAATTGAGCTGAGAGTCTTCATTGGACACTGGAAGTGCTGAAGTCCTCAAATGATTTTTTAACCTCCCGTTGAAAATGTAGGAATTTGACTTTGATGACCCCGCAGGTCCGTGGAGAAGCAGCCGCGGGATATCGGGATATCGGGAAAGACAGCAAAGAAGTAAGGAAGCCAATTTTGCTCCTCCATACACTCACAACCCTTGTTTTCCGTGGGAACTGTCATCACTCGAATTCAGCAAAGGCAGCACAGCATGGAACCCCCGAACAATGACTACTTCCTATTTAAGCGAAGAATACGCTCCCTTCTCCCGTTCGACTTCACGAAACGCAGTATTCGTCCGACGGATATACATCAATCGCACATATTCAAATACTCAAGTAGACAAGTATCTTGATCAACTGTATCCAGTGACAAGTATTATTTGACATTCAATACACTTTCGAAATGGCGTCCGCACTTGTTGAGACTCCGCCTGTTGAGCCATCCCTCGCCCGGACCTACAACGGCGGTTATCTCAAGACCAGCCACGGCATCAACCATGACTATGAGAACACCCAGGTTGGGGGTGCGACCGATATTCTCGCAAAGCAGGCCAGCAGTAAGGAGAAGTTCGGCGATTGGAGGGATGACTTTTTCTCCGAGGGCTTCACCGTGGTAAAGGGTGCTATCTCCCGCGAGAAGGCCATTCAGTATCGTGAACGGGCCATGGAGTGGTTCCAAAAGTTCCCCTTCGGCTTCGATATCCATGACAAGCGCACTTGGACCGAGGATCATCTACCCATCATGATGAACGGCGGGATGGTTATGGGTTACTGTGCCACGCATGAGAAATGGGTGTGGGAGGCTCGGACGTAAGTTAGAGTTTGCTTTCTTAGCTGGATTGGAAATGAAATTAACTGCTTTATCATTGATAGCGAGCCAGGCGTTATTGAACCTTTTGCCAAGCTTTGGGGCACCGATGAGCTCTTAGTGTCTTTTGACGCCGTGAACATTACTCTCCCTGGTCGCACAGATGTGAAATGGACGCCCTGGCCTCATATTGACCAGTCCCCCACCCGTAAGGGGCCTCGCTTGCGCACAGGGTATCATCAACCTATCTGAGGCCGGCCCTCTGGATGGTGGTCTTCAGCTGCTCCAGGGCTCCTCGGAGCTATTCGAACTTTTCTTCAAGGAGAACCCCCCCAAGCCCAAAGCAAAGGATGCCCCCGGCCAGCTCGATTGGTACGGGTTTACCTTGGAGGATGTGGAGTGGTTCAAAGACCACGGCTGCAAGCTGATCAAAATTAACGCCGAACCTGGTGATGTTATTATCTGGGATTCTCGAACAGTCCACTACGCCTCATTGCCACAAAGTGAGACCATACGAACAATTATATACGCGACCTATACACCGGCCAGCCTGGCTACGCCTGAGGATGTGGCTTTAAAAGCCGACATTTTCCATCGCTTTGAAGGCACCACCCACTGGCCTCACTGCAACATTTTCGCCCAGGGCAAGGCCATGCGAGGAGATAAGATTTGCCCCGGGGAGCGGAATGAGCCGTTGGAGAAGCCCGAGATGACCGACCAGGTTCTCAAATTGGCTGGTGTCAAGCCCTACTAAGTATAAAAAAGGTCAGGGGGCCGGAGGTTTCTGAAACACTGTCCGTCCTTTCATTACCTTTTCCATAGCTTTTGGTAGTAGGCATGTTAAGTATTACGGCTCACTACTCGGCCCATTGAGCTTCTTTTTGCAGTAGATAGATTCCTCAACCTTACAAAAATGAAAACTGGAAACAAATTTACAAAGACATTGTCGAGTATAGGTTTCAACACGAGCCAAAGTGAAATGTGTATTTTATCAAATTTATTATGTAGCGTCATACTAGGGGAAGCCTATCTCATCCTATACTTTTGCTATACCGCGATCTACATGCGTATTCTGATTGGATCTGATGAAAAGTCTGCAGAGCATAATAATCTACAAGCTCCAGTCGAGCAGAGATCAAAGGGACATATAAATTCAATTTGCTTTCGCGAACCCATGGCGTGGGAGGAAAGAGAAATTAAAGCAAGAGACAGCTTGTCAGACTTGATTTATGGAGTAAGTCAGGAGAAGAGCGATGGAAAAAGTGGAATACATCTAAAATGTATCATAAATCTGTCTATATTTGCTATTTAGGCTGAATACTTGCCTTTATGCGAAGGGCAAAACTACATAACTGGAGCGCTCCCCACCGAAGTGGATTTTGTGCTCGCCCTTGTTGTCGTGATTGCCCAATTTGTCCGCCAACTCCTTGAAGGAGTGGATTTGTGGGGTCTGGCCAGAAATCTGGATCTGCACCGACTCGCCCGCCTCGAACTCTATGCTCAGAGCGAATATACCAATCTCAAGCTTCACAACCTCTCCTGGTGGCACAGGCTGGGTTTGAGTATGGGGATGGAAAGGATAATTAGGGTGCATAGAGCGGGATGGGTCAATCTCACGGTGAGAAGCACGTAGCATCCCGATCGGCCCCATGTAGAGAAGGAGATCCGTGGCCTTGTCTTCAGGGATCTCTTCAATGGAGTGCGGGGGAATGGAATCCCAAGGAACATTCAACGCGAGCATCGGATTTCCGTCCTTTCCAACCTTACGGATGACACAATAGACATCCAAATCATCGCGAGCATCGCACGACATGTGAAGCACAGCCTTGGGGATTCCGCAAAGTCTTGTCTTTTTATCGAAGACATATTGAAAGGATGCAATTGAGGTGCCAATCTCAGAATTGTAGCAGGCCGTACCAGGTGTGGAGAGCTTATCTGGGCTCAGGAGGCCGTTCTTGGAGAGGTATAGTTGACGATCTTGGACCTGTGGAGGGGGAAATGATATAAGTGGCTCGTCAACAATCGCATCTTGGCTCCCGAAGCGAAGAGTGGTCATCCTGATAGAGGGTGTCATCTCCCAATCATTGTCGATGCCTTTGAGGTATCGGTCAAAGAAACTAAGTAGCTCCTTGGTATACTTAGGGACCGCCCAAATGTCGTGCCATTCCTGATAGGGGCTGAAGCGAATCCACTTTTGGGAGGTGTTGACATCCATGAAGCCGCGAATGGACCCCATTGTGTGCAGAGCGCTAGAAAAGGAGGCTGTGATGTATGCCGGAATGTTAATCTTGGTCATATCAGGGCGCTTATCCTCCCAATAGGGATTGGTGACACCACCGCTCAGACGGTACATTTCCTTGAAGCTTTCCATGCCGTTCTTTCCCTGAATCATGACCTTAGAGATATGATCGAAGAAGTTACCAGCATAGATACCGCCACGAACAAACTGCTCCCTAAAGAGATCGCCGCATCCCTCCCAAGGCGCAATAGCCTTTAGGGAGGGGGGGCGAAGCTGAGCAATAAACCACTGAGCAATAGCGAGATGGGAGTTTCCAGCCATTCCCACGTTTCCATTGCACCACTCCATGGCTGCAACCCTCTCAATGCAATCATAACCGTCCTCCCCCTCCTGAGTCCCCATAATGACACACATGCCATCAGAATCACCAACTCCACGAGTATCAGCGTTGATCACAGCATACCCGCGCTCAACAAAGTCGGCCGGGTCGATGGCCTCAAACTTCTCCAGTCCACTCAGGGTGTTAGGCTTCAGGCCCATATCGTATGGAGTCATCATTTCCAAGAACTTGAGGCCGTTCAGTTCTTTACCGAACGGACTCCAGGAGAAAATCGCGGGCACTTTCTCTTCATTTTTGGGAGGTCTGTAGATGTCGACATAGATGACAGCGCCGTCACGGACCTTCAGACCAACGTCGTGCTCCACAAGAATGTCGCAGGGTAATTTTCGGGCGTTGAAAGGAGCAGAGCCAGCTCTTAAAACCTCAGACTTGTTCAAGAAGCCTTGGTAGCCATTGCGGCCGATCGAGGGCGGGTCGATGTCCTTCCGGGCAATTTGGCAAGGGGCAGGCATTGTGGTGAAGCAATACGAAATGGTCAAGTAAATCGTTTGAGAATTAAATGAAATTCAAGAGATCCATATTCACTTAATAGGTTTTGTCTCGCCTCTAAGATTTTGTTGGTGTGATGCTGGTGCGGAGAAATTTGGCGGGAGTTGGAGTCAGTTGGCGCTTATCCCGGGGTTTAATATCCGGATTAACCAGCCGCGATGAAGTATCCCACGGCTTTGACGAAGTGGTACTCCCTTCAGCCGATCCGGATTTTCCCAATTTTCGGGATTGCCGATATAGGTCTCCAGGTTTCCCCGCTTTTTGGAATACAAGGCGGAGCCAATCCGAGAACGGGCAATATACAGATCCAGGAATAGCTACTGGATCGAGCTTAGGGCAAGACAATTTGGCGCTGTGAGTTTTTGTAGAGTCATAACCCACGGTGAGCGTTGTTAGTCCGCGTAAAGTCTGAGTTTCAGTTAGCAAAGCCCCGGGCTCAGAACTGAGTGGATTGATATATGTGTTTACTTAGCCTCGCGCTTTTCCTCCTGGTTGGGCTATAAGAATCCCCCAAGGGCCCCTGTAGGTGAGACGCGCCAATTCTTGAGCAGTTCATCATCTCTGCTAAAGAAGAGCGTTATATTAGCCTTCTTTTGAATGCGCTTGTTGTTTCATGATGTCCAGCGGAAACAAGCGTGCCGTTGGCGAGCTGGCTACGGTCCTTCCCCGTCGGGACAAGCCCTGGTACCGTACACCAAGCTTGCTCCAGCTCAATTTCTATATTTTTATTGTTTGCTTTTCTGCGTCGGGAATGGGCTTTGATGGATCGATGATGAACGGATTGCAAAGTCTGTCAACCTGGACAAGTTACTTTAATAACCCGAATTCCGCTCTTCTTGGTGTCACCAATGCCGTCTTGAATCTCGGACCGGTTTGCCTTTTGTCTCTCCCTGGTGCAAGATATTGATTTTGACGATCTCCTCTACTCAGATCCTTTTTGGAGGTATAGTTGCATGGTTTGCCGATCGCTTCGGACGTCGTCTTACCCTTCAAGTCGGGTGTGGATTGATTGTCATCTCCGCCGCAATCCAGGCAGCTTCCCAGAATCTTGCCATGTTCATCATCGCCAGATTTCTCATCGGAGTGGGCATTGAATTCACCATGGTTCCTTCACCAGTTTTGACGAACGAACTTGCGTATCCAACGCATCGTGGTAAATTTACCAGTCTATGTTATAGCTTTTACTTAGTTGGGTCCATTCTCTCTAGTTGGACCACCTATGGGACCTTTCGGATGAATAACTCTAGTTGGACCTGGCGAATTCCCTCTCTGCTTCAGGGTGCCATTCCTTGTATCCAATTTTTTGTGCTTTTCTGGGTTCCAGAATCCCCCCGTTGGCTTATGAGCAAGGGCCGTCTTGATGAAGCAAGGGCATTCTTTGTCAAGTATCACGGCGATGGAGACGAACATTCCCCCCTCGTTGAGCAAGAAATCCAAGATATCCAAGACTACATACGCATCCAGCAAGGACTGGGCTCTCTCAGTTGGAAACAGGTAATTCCCCCCGCTACGACAGATACTTTAGTAAAATGCGACGACTAACATGATCATAGCTTTGGGAAACCCCCGCCAACGGGAAACGGCTGACCATAGTACTCTATCTATCCTTTATGACCCAGTAGTGTGGCAATGGAGTGGTCAGCTATTATCTCTCCTTGATCCTCAATTCGGTTGGCATCACTGGTTCCCGCGATAAAACTCTCATCAATGGTATTTTGCAAATTGTTAGCTGGGTGGCAGCTATCATTGGCAGTCTACTCGTTGACCGAGTTGGCCGTCGTCTACTTTGGATTTTATCAATCACTGGCATGCTGGCATCTTACACCACGTGGACAGTATGCTCGGCACCATACGCGGAGCATGACTCTGCTAGGCTGGCAAAAGCTGTATTGGTCCTTATCTTCTTCTTTCAGGTTTTCTACTCCGTGGGAATCACCCCTCTTGGCCCTTGTAAGCTCAAGCGAACATTTGAGGATGTTCAGAGATCTTTTTTTAACCATGATATGTAGGTTACTCCGTGGAGATTCTTCCTTTCCACAGCCGCCAAAAGGTCATGGTGGTGTCTTATGTTGGCAACAGCTGTGCCGGCCTTTTCAACTCCTTCGTGTCACCTATTGCACTTGATGGCATTGGTTGGAAGTACTATCTAGTCTATATCGTGATGCTTCTTCAATTTTTGATCATTGTTTATCTGTTCTTCCCTGAGACTCGTGGATACGCTTTGGAGAGCATTTCCGGATTATTCGAAGACAGTCGCCTGTTTCTTGGTCGGATCAAAATCCGACCCGATCATGACATGATTAAACAAGCGGCAGAGAAGAGCCAGATCGACAAATCTGAAGTAGAGTTTGTTGAGAATGTCGCCACTAAGACCCGGTGCGTTGCTGAAGAACTGTGACATATTATTTAGGACTATGTATGTATTTAGCCACCATCAATTTTCGAACGAAACACTTTTTTCATTTTGCAAAGTTATAAGTCACCCTATTTTAAATGTGTATTGCTGTCTACTATTCAATGTTTCCCTGTCTTTCAGAGTTTTAACTCGAGAACGAGTAGAATAGAAAGGTCAAATACCGAGGCTTGCTTACTTATCGAACTATACTAACTATTAAACGTCGGAAGGTCCCTGATAATATGAAAATTCTAAGTGCACCAGAACACTCAAAAGATAGTTTAGCGACAGTGAACAAATAGGAGACCTGTACTCATAATTTTGACCATAGCCTCGTATTGATGTGGCATGTAATGGATCGAGGCCCTTCGTGAGAGGTGCTTGTGTGACAAAGTTGCCTGTGTTGACCAGCCAATTTCAATTCCTGCTTATGACAGGTGGTGAACCTACTCTCTGCTGAGATATTAGACATGTCGGGTTTCGCTAGTTTTAGCGTTAATCCGATCGATCGGAAAATTGGTCCCCTTAGCTTGGCCCAGTTCCTCGTTTCTGTCCTATCCCGTAGCGATGCTCTTTGATAAGCCGGTCCTTATCCCGCGGAGCGTCACCTCGGTTACCGCAGGTGCACATACGAGGAATAAGACAAAATTTCAACCGGAGCCAGTTAGCCTTTGCGCATGGGAAGGATTATATATTGTGTGTAGGTGATCAAACTGTAGGCCGCATCAACGTCTTGGACCTGAAATATCTTTGCGAAAGCGCGTCTGCCACCATGGCCAATGACCTCCGATGGATTCCGGCAAGCCCGCTGGCATCCAGTGGTTTCTATCCTGGCTTCAACCCGACTTCCAAGCTCCTTCCTAAGGGATTAATACACAAGGAAGGCCATCTGGCCCTTCCATGCGATATTCTATTGGAGCAAGATCTGGAAGTCACTATGCGCGATGGTGCACGATTACACGCTGATGTTTATCGTCCGCCAAACGCGAGGCTTGGCACCGTGCCCGCAATTCTCGCCTTTTCGCCTTTTGGAAAGCAAGGTGGTCCCAATCGTTTTCACTTTGATCGCAGAGAATGGCGCTGTGGTGTGCCGAGGAAGGTGGTTTCGGGGCTGGAGGTGTTCGAGGGCCCAGACCCTGCATATTGGTGTTTTCATGGCTACGCCGTTGTCTGTGTCGGTAAGAACTACATAGTGCCTTATTTTTCTTTCATTGAGTGGGATCGATATCCTGATTGAGACAGACATGAGAGGAACTTGGAATTCCGATGGCAATGCTACTTTTCCCTGTGCGGACCAAGGAAAAGATGGCTACGACGTCGTTGAGTGGATCTCCTCGCAAACATGGTCAAATGAGCGGGTTTCCATGTCTGGAAATAGCTTTCTGGCTGCTACCCAATGGTTCGTGGGAGCGGAGCAGCCGCCTCATCTGACTTGTCTTGCCCCGTGGGAAGGATTTAGTGACATGTACAATGATCAAGTACGACGTGGAGGTAACTATGTCTTTTCCCAAAAAGTTCACTCCACCTGGCCAACAAGACATCTACCTGTGCACAAGAATGAGCTTATATAAATTAGCTGGTTCTAATCATCTAATCATATATTCTACTGATAGGAATTTCTGACGCCGGCTTCGCCAGTGGCTTGATTCTTGGAGATTTGAGCGGAAAAAGCTCCGTTGAAGATATTGCCAGGATAACTGAAGAGAACCCGCTATGGAACTCGTATTGGGAGACTCGTCAAGCCAATCTAAAGAACATCCAAGTCCCCCTTTATGTTGTGGCAAGTTGGACAAATCCTCTGCATACTCGAGGGACTTTGAATGGATTTCTTGGGAGCAGTAGCAAAGAAAAATGGCTGCGGATACACGACTCTCATGAATGGCCTGGTATGTTGTTGTTTTTCTCCCTTATTATTCGAATTGCGGAGCTCCTTCAATTGTCTGACAAGCAGCAAATTTAGACCTTTATGAGCATAAAAATGTGGAATCATTGCGATCTTTTTTCGACTATTACATGAAAGACTCCAACAACGACTGGATCTTTAACCCCCCTGTACGACTCAGTGTGCTTAACTCGAATGGGCAAAATGTCGTTAATCGCCCGGAACCCAGCTATCCATTGGATCGACAGAAGCTTTTCCCGTTGTTTCTTGACTGCGGCACAGGATCACTCCAAACGAGCGCACCCCAGAAGTCAGCCATGCACCCATATGCAGCACAAAATGGTTCCGTGACTTTTAACTACCGATTCCCATCTCGAATGGAGTTCGTTGGTCCATCAAAACTTCGTCTTTTCGTCGAAGCAGAGGGATCCCATGATATGGATATTTTCGCTACTCTAGAGAAGTACAGCTCCGAAGGGCAATTACAGAAGTCTGTAGTTATAGACGTCGGCTGGCTGGCTGATGATGGTGAAAAGGAGCGTCGAGATTTGATTGAATGGAACAAGCGCGATCCAAAGTTTTGCTCGAGCTTTTTCAGTTCTGGCCCGGTTGGCCAGCTTCGCATATCTCACCGCCAATTGGACGAAGAACTTAGTACTGATTTCCAGCCAGTCTACACTCATGCACGAGAGGATTTGCTGCAAGTTGGTGAGGTGGTCTCCGCTGATCTCGAAATTTGGCCATATGGATGGATCTTTGATGAAAGTGATATCTTGCGCCTGACAGTGTCTGGATTCAATCCTCATCCGCACCTTCGTCCGACTGATCCTCGACCCATTTATCGCAACAAGGGAAAGCATATCATCCACACCGGGGGAAATACAGCCTCTTATCTCTTGTTACCATTGACATCTTGATAATCCGAGTTTTCTCATGTATACATGCATATGCCGAGCTTCTTGCATGAAGTTTGTCTGCGTATTGGAGATGATTTGCTCGTGATGATGCATTAGCCTATTAAATAGCCCACATATTAGCCAGTTACGGTTCATAAATTTTGAAAACTTTGCACTCAATCAAAATTTTATACAAAAATGGATTCTTATCTGATGGGATTGGCCATGCGTGGGCATTCTTGTAAGGGTCCACCAGGAGCCTAAGGGGAACCAATCGTCAGGAACCGCAGCGAGGCTGAGTTGGCCATGACCTGTCTACCAGAGTATCACTAATAGTAAAAAAAGGTAGATTATTCGCTTAGCGTGCAACTTCAATGTGCGATCGTTGCTTGACAGCTCGACAGCTCTGCCTTTCTGGGCTGTCACCACTTCAAAGGTCCTGGACGAGCACGTGACCGTGCTCGACGTGGCGACCTGGTTCATCGCGGCACCGACACCTTTTTCTCTTTCAACGACTACTATCATAAAGTCCGATCACAAAATTGAGATCAATTATGCCAGACTATAGCAAAAAGAGAGTGACCCTGCGACGATCGTGTACAGCCTGCATCAGGGGCAAACGCCGGTGTGACCAGCAGTGGCCGAAATGCGGCAGATGTCGCACTAAGGCCATCGACTGCGAATACACCAATAAACCTCTCACAGTTTCACGCCATTCACAATTGCCTATGAGAAAAAGAGATTCTCAGCAGCAGCCAGGGGAAGGCAAGGTCGTTTCCCAGATCTATCCAACTCTGCGCCTAGAGATTGCGAAGGAGTATGACCAAACAGCGATCAAATTCCTTGTGAATGGAATGCGCTTATATCCATCTACCTTTGCCGAGAAACAGAAGACACATTTTCTACACCCTGAAATCTACACCTCAGGGCTTCCCACGCCTATCCAAGATGTCTACACGCTCTGCAGGCTCCAATCGCAGACCCAAATGGACAAAAGTAACAGAGATGTCCGACTAATGTTTCAACATAAGTTTCTTGAATTCAAACGGCTTTTTGTCAAGTCACCGACATTTGAAGAGTTACTTGGTTGCTCGCAAGCGTTGATACTTCTTCAATGTTTCCTCTCTTTGGATGAGGACAGTCACATTGAATATTCTGACAGTCTTGGAACGATATTGGAGCAGATTGCCGAGAGACTGTGGGAGCAGGCGCCTATACAACTTTCTTCAACACTCAGTCCCCGACATGCGTGGCTTCTAGCCGAAAGTGTTCGGCGCACTATCATCGTAAGCTTGATGCTACGTAGTGCCTATTCTTTGAAGACCAGGAACTACTCGGTTCGCACGCCTTTCATTGATGCCCTTCCATTTGATATTCGAATGCATCTTTGGGATGATGATTATGGGTCTACATGGCCAGATCAAGAATCTGACTCTTCTGGGTCAATGATTTCTCTACATGGATATTCTGATGCCATGGAAAATGGCCATGTACATGATATCACACCATTTGGTGCGTTGATATTGGCAGCTTGCAAAGGGAAAAGAGTGTCTGCCGTGCCATTCCCACCGACGCAATCCTATATTACCCACTAAATAACCCGAAATATGGCTTACGCAAATAGCCGTTCAGGCATCTTATCTGAGACCGGTCGGATCCGTGAATATGAATTTTTGATTTCTATTAATCACACTTTGTCCATTTTCAAGGAGATACGTTTCTATAATTGGCTGCATCCTCTATGAGAGAAAAGGTCAGCTTGTGGGATGCTCACCGCAGAAATTGCTTCAATAGACCTGAAAGCATTTCTGTCATCTGCTGATAAAGTTCTTGTCTCTTAACTTCAAATGAATCAAAAACATCTTTCGCTGATCCCACTGCGATCTGGTCCTTTCCTTGGACAAGTTGATTCCACACCTCGCTGACAAATTCCTGAAGTGGCATGCCGATAAGGTGACCATCTTTCAGATCAGGCTGGTGTTTGGCATCGTGTAACTCGGTCTGGACAGCCGGTGGATAGATCTCAAGAACATCTACATTGCCTGGTCCGTCGTGAAGCTGGGTGCGAAGTGCAAGAATGAAATGGTGCAAAGCAGCTTTTGACGCACCATAATTGGGGCAACGCATCATTGGAACCAGAGCCATCTGAGAAGTCGTGAAAACAAGTGCCGTTTGACCAGGTTGCTTTTGAAGGTGAGGAATGAATGCCTTGGATATACGGACGGCCGAGGTGTAATTTGTGATCAATTCCTGGTCGAAAATATCTAGGTCGACAGTTTCGGGCTTGGAAAAGTCGAAAGGTCGCTGGATACCAGAGTTGACAAAAATACAGTCGAGATCCGGATCCTCTGCGATGACTTCCGATGCGAAGTGAGAGATCTACATAACAGTGTGAGGATTGATCGTGCACTTGATTACGGGAAGTGTGGAAGCAAACCTTGTCTAATTGCATGACATCAAAAACCTTAGACTTGACCTTGTCTGACCCATGCTCTTGAACAAATGAATTGAGATTTTCTTCTCTTCGTCCAGCAATGATCAATGGAGTTCCATTCTCGATAAGTTTGATGGCCAAAGCCTTTCCAATGCCGGAGGTTGCTCCGATGATCAGAGTCTTCTTGTATGCGAAAGGCATGTTAGGAGTTTGACAGGCAAAGGTATCGCGGGAAAAGATAATTTTGAGAGAATTGAATGTACTATAGATTTGCGATGTAAAGTAGATTATATACGTTTTCCTCGTGGCGATGATTATGAATAATTGACTACTAGACAGGCTCATCATTGTACGCTGAAGGACGAAGGACCTATAAATATTCAACAATTTTTTGTCTGCGGAGACTAAACCATTTCGAGTAATGTGTGGAGACAAAGAATCTGTCGCTGGTTGGATCATGCAGAAAGCTACCCTATGCCGAGGCTTCCACGCCACTGGTGGAGGTTAAATCCGATGCGGTTGGCGTCGCGCGATCCAGTGCAAACTCTGATGGTTCGAAACGGGTTTTCTGATGCCCTAGGAATGTGTCAATATAGTAGGATACGGTATCGGCTAGGAAGACTAGGATCCAATGGAACGAGATGCTCAATATAGTGACGTATTGGGTGACTGAACTATCTAATTGTGTGGCCGGGGGAATGTTGAATATCCCCTACCTCGCTGTCTAGCGTGTTACGGCGCTGGGTTCCGAGTATACCCGGGATACCATACAAAACACGTAGCAAATCGAGTATCCCTGTAATATCCTGACGCACATGGAGATATGTGGGTCTCGCCCGTATTATGCAGTCTTCCTTCTTGACAGAATGGATTATGAATCAAACAAAAATCAAGCCCCTTCGAGAAATTTCCAAAACAAATCCTTAGGTCTCTCATTGCCAAACCGGGCCAGCAATGAGAAACAGATATGAGGGGTTTGAGAGTTTGAGAGAAAAACCTGCACGATGACATTGATTTATGCACATCCTGCCCCCGAAACATTATTTTATGTAGAGTCAAAATGTGGATAGGACCTCAGAATAAAGAAAGGATGTTTTATTTCAATCGTTGGATGTTATTAGGAACTGGCACGCATCTAGGAGCTCGGGTCTAGGAAGTCTCCTCGACGTTGTAAACCAGCTTCTCGCCGCTAACCTTGTCCTCCTTAAGGAGCTGAAGTCCTTCCAGAACACCCTTCAAACCATGTTTGCCGACCTTAGGGGGGTGCACCTTAATCTTTCTCTCCGCCAATAGTGATTCCGCAATGGCGATGAACTTCTCAGCATGCGCCTTGTCTTCAGGTTTAGCCGGGAACGGGATATCACCGAAGTTGAATGCTTCTCCAATGGTCGTATAGGCCAACGTGAAGCCATCGTCGACGTTAGCACGCCCAATTTTCACATTGAGGAGAGCGCTGTATTTGCCCCCTTCGGTGGATATAGCGTTGTCGCAGAACTGAGCACTTGACTCGAGCGAAATACAGTCAAATACAAGCTTCAAGCTGTTGTTGGTATCCTTGCGGATTTCAGCGGCGGCATTGGTATCCTTGTAGCTGTAAATAGCATCCGCACCTAGGCTCCGAACAAAATCAAAATTGTGAGGTGAGCATGTCGTCAGCACCTTATAGCCAGACAGCTTGGCAAACTGGATGGCCAGAGTGCCGGTGGCGGTAGAGCCACCATAGATCAGAATGGGAGTAGCGTCCTTGATGGGACTGATGGGGAGGGCAAGCTTCAGACTCTGATAAAGACCCTGGCCAACAGTGTTAATGCCGACACCCAGAGTAGCGGCCTCTTGGAAGGTCATGTTGTCGGAAATTTTCATCTGCAGGTCGCCCTTTGCGACAATGTACTCGGCAAAGGAACCGTCCTCGGGCTGGACAGCATTCGCGCCATGAGTGAAACCGCAGATGCGATCGCCCTTCTTGAAAGGCTTCTTAACATCCTTGCCTACGGCTTCCACCACGCCGGCATAGTCGCATCCCACGAGGACGCCGGGGGGAGAGAGATAGGCGATGTGTTTCCAGTCAGTAGGGTTCAACCCCACGCTCACGGTCTTAACGAGAATGTAGTCGTCTCTCAGTCTTGGAATAGGCTGGCTCGTGACCAGGCCGCCCTTCTTGGGTTCTGTTACGATGATGGCTTTCTGGGTTGACATGATTTTGAGAAATTCTGGTGAGAAGATTGATATAGGGCACAGATGTATGAGGGGAATTATAAGAAGCCAGGAGGCCGTTTTTATGAACTATACAAGGAATGGATTACAAATCCATCGTGTCCTGTTTACAAATAGGGTTTACAGGCGAAGAGGGTAATGACGAAGTTTCTGTTCAACCGAGAAACATAGATCCATGGTTCATGCCCCACATCCACAGCCCACAAAGATGGAGATCTACTGAGATCCAAGGATCAAAACAAGGAGATTGCGGCAATATTCAGCAAATTAATAAGCCAAAGTCATCGGAATTGAATTCACAGAATGGAAATTATGTCAAAAGGTTGTTTTATTCTATTGTCTACTTTATAATGTCAAGAAGGAGAAGCGATTGAATACGGCGGGAACGCACACATTCATTCCTCTGCGTGTCTTGACATACAGGAAAACTAGATTTCTCACTACTTCTTGTATGGTATCCCAGGTATCTGGAACCTCGCGCCCTAACATTCTATGTACTGTATTAGTGCTTTACACCGCCCCGCCCACAGCCCGGAAGCACGTTGCTACGCGCTACGAACTGATTGACGTCGTATGTGCGTTATCGCCACGTACCTTTCTCGATAGCTCCGACAATCTACTGTATTGTTACGGAACTGTACCTCGAGATACCAATTATGGACACGCCTGAACTAATCAGTTCCGCAATAAGGCAGTCAAGAGGCCCTATGCACTAAGCACAGCAGAATCAGCAATACCTGAGGACACGTGATGGATATCCGTTCCGTTGAACGGAACGGACCTAAACGGTAATAGGAAAGGATCTGTCGAATAAACGGAAGGATTGGATAAACAAGGACGATTATTCTTGTGTATATATTTACTTCTTCGTGTTAGTTTCTATATTGTTACTAAAGACTAAAGACCTACTAATCAACAATCTTAGTTACTTGATTCTATCTGTTGAACCAGGGGCGCTCTAAGGCAAATCTGCGAACACAGGCAGAATGAGATGGATCAACGAACAAGCTAACAATCCACACCACACCACGATGGAAGGAGACCTCTCAGAGAGGAAGCAGGTGCTGCTGCAGCGAAAGATGTTTAAGATTTTAATATCTCTCTATCGGAGATGCGAAGCTACGTATATCCTGTAAAGATTGTGTATTAGGAAAGACCTCCCAATCAGAGATCTTCCTCCGTTGGCCATTTCCCACTACATTATAGAGTAATATAAGGATATATCTATAATTAAGAGGAATACTTAGTAGCTAACTCTAAATACTTTATCGACTAACGAGGCGCTCTACTACTAACGACCTCCTTGGTCTACTCTAAACACCCGAACCTATATGAGGCCTCAGAGATTCGGCAATGGTAAGATTACAAGCTATAGATCGTCGGAGCTATTGAGAGAGGTACGTTAAGGCAACGCATATATTGCCTTAACCAGTTACCAGCGCGTAACAGTAGGATATATCCTGTCGATAGGAGTAAGGTATTAAAACCTGTCTATCTAAGATTATTAAAATCTTATAGCACTAAATCTAGTATGTCCGCTTTATTTAACACCTTCGCTACTACTATAAGCTACTATGTCTTTATCTAGTATCGATCAATCGCCGCCTAGAGCGCAGCTAGCCCGGGATTTTGCGTGCGATCCGAAGACGATATATAATGCAATCAAACTGTTAAGGAATCACCATGTAATGACTATCCTAATCGATCGGCTTGTTTCGGATACGGATCGCACATATGACGATATCTGTTCATGGAGAAAAGCACGGCAAAATGGAACCCGAAATCGAACTCCTTTATCGATATTCTTTCGGCAAGCAGCGGATAGGTTATAGAAAGAAGATCCCCCTTTCTTGAAACTGAATCTTGAAGAGATTCAGTTATTGGAATACTAAATTCTTGTTAGCCTTTCGATTCAATCACGATTCTATATTGTATTCATTTTTCCTTACCTGACCAACAGGCCGCTACCCTGCAAGTAGCACCCTAACAAAAACGCGATACAGAACACTATACTATTGATTCTATGCCTCGCCTGGTAGACCTAGCAAGCTTAGTGATAGAGATAGTCGTTATCTTTATTTACAAGCTCGCCGGGATCCTTTTTCCACCTATCAACGCCTATCTTCGTGTGCCTAATAATCCTTCTAGGTCAAAGATTCAGCGTGTTCTTCGACGATTCAACCTATGTAAACGTTTATCAAAGAATAAGATTCCTTTAGGTTATTAGACTGTTTAGAAAAGACAACATTTTATATCGAAATAGAAAAGGGTATTTGATTCACGAAGGATTTAAAAGTAGATATTTTCCGAGTATTCTATTCAACGAATGTCGAATACTAGCCCTATATATTATCAGACATTTACTTGTAAGGCCTATAGGCGTGATGTTATTAAGACATAGATTTATATTCAGGATATTTCGTAGATAATTTAGGGTGTTATCTAGCTTAGTAGTCGATCGAAGCTTGTTATAATAGAACGGGAGGAAACTAATAGTCGGAAGTGAGATTATACTGTAAAATCCTATACAAACGCTTTAGAAGACGGTCTGTTGCCTATCTTCCTCAATCCGCTGGTCAAAAGAAGTATAGCGCAATATCTATTGAAGTATTGTTTCAGATAAGTCTACACATGCCAAGCCGGGGTCCCATTTAGTGGTTGAATGTTTCGAGCACATTGCTTGGGAAGGAGCGATAGAATTATGACTTCAAGTTCAGATGAAGGGTCATTGGCCACAGACTTGCCGCCTGGTGGATCACAAATTCTGCATTATCCCTGTACGCACTCCGACCTGAACTTTCCGCCCCCGAGAGTCGCTTAGAGGAGTCCACTGGTTCGATGCGGGCGCTTTTCACAGTGCGGGTACCAACAGAGACACAGTGAGGGAAGGAAACGGGATTTAGAAACATTGCCACGCTAGTAATGGACCTAGCAGCTGCAGCGCTAAGAACAGTCTCAAGAATGCGCAATCTGGACAGGGATCTTGCATCTATATCCACCAAGCGCATCCTGCCGCGCCAACTGACCCCCAACTGGCCCTGAAATCGTGCCGTGTCACATGACCTGTTTTTGGCACTTCCTGGAATCCTCCCAGTTCTTCGCTCTTTATTACGCCTATTCCCTGTGCCCACAGCAATTTCGTTCTAGATTTTTGACATTTTAAGCGCCAGCCAACAGCAATGGGCACTGAATTTAATGACATCAGTTTGACAGAAATCGAATTCCTAGAGCATATCTTCTCGTCAGACTTCGGAGTAACCTTTCTCGTCCGACTTCGCAATCAGCAATGTGTGATGAAAGTGGTAAGTTCATAGCTAGAGAAGATATTTCAACTCCCGTCATTTTTGACTTTCAAAGCATCGTGGAGTGGGACCCCGGCAGTATTACGACCATCCGACTCGTGAACTAGATATCCATGTTCTTGAAGCAAACGCCTATGCTCGACTTAAAGATCGGGGTCTATGCGATCGTGGAATTGTACCTCAATATCTCGGTTCTATCAGAAAATTTGACCCGTCGACATGCCAGCCACACTTGCATGAGTTCCTGAAAGACGAATACCCACCAAGCGCGATATTTTTAGAGTATATCCCCGGCATAGAGAGAATCAGCCTGGAAACCTATAACCCGCAACGGGTTGATAATCTCGTATTCGGGCTCAGAGAAATACACAAGGCACACGTGATCCACTGTGATATTTACGTACGGAACATGATGGTTGTGAAGGATTCTCCAGACCGAGTAATTTGGCTCGACTTCGATCGGGCGGAAACTTTTGATGAAGATAAACTTACTGAAGAAGAAGCGGAACGGCTCAGAGTGGAAGAGCAGATTATGGAGGAGTTCCGGGACACCATGGTATGTGATAAAGACATTGTTGCTTCCCATACTATGAACATTAACCCATGTAATAGGCAATCGATTTTCAGAATGGGAAAATTCAGGAGTCTTCCTGCTTCTTTTGAACCTAGTCGCGCTTTGCACACCAACATCTGAGCCAGTCTTCAAATCATTCCTTTCCATATTCATATGCGAGACTGCTATCATGGCAGAAGCTCCTTTGGACAGCGATGCATGATTATAAAATTGCTTCGGACCAAGGGGCGAATTCCCTTGTCCCAGTGCTTCGCGTTTATGCAAATAAATCCAGCTGCAACCAATGCATTAATTCTTGGCAATTCTGGACCTGGGAAAATAATACTGGCCGACATTAAAAGCTTCGGGCATGCTCGGCTTCAAAATTCTACCCATTTATCAAACCACCGCAAAGAAAGAACATACCGCTGTAAGGCCATATCTCATATCTACCCATCTATTATGCCACCTTTTCAAGCAGTAAGAAAGGCACATTCTCGAGTTACTCCGCTCCCTTGTAGGGGTATCGCTTCTCGCCGCATTCTGGTTGATGATCCTTGGTCTCTTCATTTATTTCGCAATCTGAAATATGAGCGGCGGCATTTGCATATGTGACGATCTGTCATTTGTTCGTGCCCTCTTAGCTATTCACAAATTCAGTGTCAGGTAACAGAAAACATAATTATTCTATTGAACTCCAAGGGCATACTGGTTCTTTTTGAAGTGTTTTCTATCAAGATCGAACGAACCTCAAGGTTAGAGGCCCAAATAAAGGCTAGCGATATGTTGTAAGGACATATTCTCTGGGGCAAGTGGCAAATGAATACGCGAGAAAGCAAGCATGAAACGATAGGTGTGACACTGATGGACTGTGCAACGTCGACCACCTGCCCAGGCGGAAGCAGCGCGTCCGGACCCAATTGCTGGGACAGGGAACTCGCTGTGCGGTAACATCGAGCAGAGCTGAGGTGAGTTATCCAGGACTTGAGCCTGATGGGGTCGTTGATTGTTGTACTCTCTTTCTGGGGGGAGTGGATTGAACCAGACAAGGTCTTTATTCATTGTCTGAAAGCCACAGCCGGACGAGGACCGAGGTCTGAGAACTAAGATTTTACGGGACTAGAACGGCTTGGTGAATTGTGAGCTAATTATATTCTTTTCGTTAACAAATTAGATAACATACGCGATATCGCCCGTCAAAGCCGAGGACGTGGGTTTGTTATTCCGAAACCTAGAGCAGCGAAAGTAGAAGTAGAGAGAAGACGAAATTAGGTAGACAATAAGTAGGTTTCTTAAGTTAGGTTAATGAGGAGACGAATCACTTTATTAGATGTATGGGATACAATGTAGATTACCTATCGGGCAAAGAGGTTAAGCTACTGGTCTAGGAGTATCTTTGATGGGAGGGAAAGGGGAGCATTATACGTACAATAATCTGGGAGCTAAGTCTAGAGGAAGGCAAGAAGAACAGTTGAAAAACTAAAATAGGTACGGAGTTTTAGCCTTACTGTGCCGCAAGTGGTTAAGGCCTGGACTTGTAAGGTCAGTCTCCCTCGACTTGCTTGGGGAGATTGACAGTTCATAAAGGGCACTCCGCTGGTATCCTGCGGACAGTTTATCCTTGCATCAATCAGGCTTGACATCAATGAGCTCGACTATTCTAATAGTCGAGTGCTGCAGCCAAACTCCACCCTCTGCCTCGACGGCCCAACGTTCTTGCTGTTGCGACTCCCTTGAATTGCGTGTATCGTTCCTCCTGCCTAGCGGACTCAACAGGATGGATGATATGATGACCTCAGGCTGCAGGTAATAAGCAACTAGAAGCACCTTGCACCATTGGTGAGGTTCGAAGTCAGCACCCAGCCCGCTCATGTCAGCTCGTAAGCCGCGCGCGCTTATCCCGACACATCCCTTGTGTCCCCAAACAAACAAGCCACATTGCGGATTGATCACCGCAATCTCTTCTTCGCCGACTCTCCAATCTCTGACGACCGATCATCCCGATCCGCCATGAAAGTCCTCTGTCTCCACGGCAAGGGCACTAGTGCTGCCATCTTCCGATCCCAGACTTGTATGGCTTCCGCCCCCGCCCCTTCCCCCGCACTTGACTCCGTTGACTGAACTCGAGGACCCCGCAGCCTCCTTTCGCGCGAAGCTGCCCGATCAACACATCGAGTTTGACTTTATTGATGCCCCATACACAAGTGAGCCCGCCGCTGGCGTTGACCTATTCTATGCTCCGCCGTACTTCCAATGGTGGGATTCGGACTCAATGAACGCGGTCCGCGACGCCGTAGCCTGGTTGAACGACTACATCGCCCAGAATGGCCCGTACGATGCGGCCATGATGTTTTCCCAGGGCTGCGTCCTGGGTTCTAGCGCCCTGCTATTGCACCAAGAGGAAACACCGCACCTGCCACCCCCGTTTAAGACGGCCGTCTTCATCTGCGGCGGCCCGTCGCTGACCGTCCTCGAAGAAACCGGCTTCTATGTGTCTCCCGAAGCGCGAGCCCGCGATCTCGCCTCCAAGGCTGCTCTAGCCCAGCAAGCGGGCAACGCCGCAATCCTGACCAATGGCTCCAGCCGCTGGCAGGGTCTGGACTCGATCGACGGTGGGCTGTCGGAAGACGAGCTGCGACGGGAACTCAAATGTCCATTCCAAATCGACATCCCGACCGTGCATATCTATGGTTCGAAGGACCCGCGGTACGCGGCGGGCGTGCACCTATCGGCCATCTGTAGCCCGCATAATCGACGGACGTTCAACCATGAAGGCGGGCATGAGATCCCGCGCACGACGGCTGTCAATGATACACTTGCAGAGCTTGTACAGTGGGCATTAGAAACGAGCAGATGGACATAGAGGTGTTGATTGCGCGATTTTTGGATTGGTTTTTTCCTGGACACTTAAATTGTGGACAAGCCCATCGAAGGATAACTAGGGGCAGGCCGGGCATAGGCGGAAATCTTTCTTCCGAGGTTTTCCTTTTACTTTCAAGACTAGAAGGGCTGGAGGATGGTCAATTGGGCAATATAGACGTGATGTATCGTTGGAATGGAAAGTAATTTCTAAATGAGGGGGCGCTAGCCTAAGGCTTGAGGGTGTCAAGTATATTGCACCTCAGATACGTCGGCCAAACTTCCGCTCAAAAAAAAAATAAATAACAAAGCTATCTAGTACAGGGTCCAATCACAATTGGGAAGGAATCCGGATGTTCTGGTCGCTCTGGAAATACCCGTTCGCTGTACGATCTTGTCGCAGGAGAATGATGGCATGTCGCAATGGAAGTATGGGCTTGTCGCGGTGGGAAAGAGCCCGGGATTCTCAAGTATGGTCGCTTGCGGACAAGGTTCCTGTTCTGTTGCAGTCATATCAAAACGGCCCAGATCTCCAATTTCACCACTGGCCCGGGCTAAATGACCTCTCGACCAGGGTCCAGCTACACCTCTGTTTGAGATGGAGAGTCGATGCAGAATATTTAGTTGTCTTCATCATCCTGGAACTCGACCCAAGTCTTCATCTTGGCCCGGACGTGCTCACCGTATCGAACAAATCCCTCATCACCATCAACCGATCGAACCAGGCAATTTTCACCGGGCTCGAAGAAAAAGGGCACACTCATGCGACCCGAGGCCTGGATCTGCCAATCTGCGTGCCCAGTAATTGTAGATGCCGACGAGCTGAGGCCTGGCGCTCGAACGCGGTGCATGGTTGCAACAAACCGGCCACCCGATACTTTGGCCATCAAATCCCCAATGTTGACGACTAGCGACCCGGGGACATACGGCGCAGCAACCCACTCTCCGGACGAATTCCTCACCTCAAGTCCACCGGTGGAATCTTGGTGCAGCAGAGTGAGAATACCGCTGTCCGTGTGGGGAGTACAGCTGAGATTGACCTCACCCGGCTTCGTGGAGCCAGATCCTGAGGCAGTGGACGCTACTGGCGGATAGTGCAGTAGTCGCAAAGTACTCAGTGAGTCTTCCAGGTAGGGTGCGAAATAGTTGGCAGGTTTGCCCAGGGACATTGCAAGAAGGGAGAGCAGCTTTGATGCAAGTATTTGCAGCTCAATATAGAGAGTCTCGAGCTTTGAACGGGATCGGAATTGGTTCTTGTCAGGCCAAACATTGGGCTCTGCCAAATTGAACTTGGTCGAGGGCGACATCCCTGACTGCGTCGAAATCGGCGTGGCAGGTCCCATTTCGAATCCCTCTTTCAGATTATCGGAAGCTAATTTGGGCTGCGTGGGAAAGTACCTTTCAAATCATCCTCGTCAGTCCAAAGACAGGGTACCAAGAGATGCAAGGGGATTGACCCGCGATAAGTGTTTTTATGCTCGCGGCGGAATGACTTTTTAGCCAGCTTCATCTTCTCTTCCTGAGGCAATGCGAAAAACTCCCGGGACATGTTGAAGACCTCGGCGTGATCATAACTTAATGGTACATTGGTGAGATAGGCGAATCCGGTGGTCGCAAAAACTTCGTATAGTCGCTTGCTTAATCCCACCAGCTCCTCTGGAGTGGCCCCAGAGACCGCTCCGAGCGGCCCAACGTCGACGACGGGGAGAGAAGAGAATGTGGTGGTCATGATGCTGGCTAGGTAGGTGTGAAATTTTGCGGCCAAGAAAACTAAAACCATAATTCCAGCCAAATAGACCCAATAACTCCCTTTTTATGCCGCAAAATATCTGTGGCATTGATAATTCCCCAGGCTCATCAATGAGATCCACTAGGGTCCACTCGACTTGGGGTAAGTGGTCGCGTGTCGGAGTGTTTTCATGGTCACGTAATAACCAGTGACGATATTGGCTCTGGATCAGCATGCTGTTCTGTTTCTTGACAGAAGTGAGAGCCCTGTTTGCATCCATCTTTCGGTTCTGTTCCTGGAAACGCCCAGGAGCGTGTTCTGTATTAATCATCTCCCTGAACAGCGGAGGTGGCGGAGGTTGTGGCGTCCGTTCATAATAAGCAACTGGAGACTGGCTCTAAGCGTCACTAAGTTTCGAATTAGCCGAGAAAAACAAAGGGTGCATTGCAAAGGCTCAGCTTACCCCAAGGCAGACGAGCTTCTCCCGCGGGGCCATTGACGCAACGTCTGCGCCGAATCCCGATGACGATTGGTGCCATTCGGCGGGCCCAAAATGCCCTTTATGGGTGCCGCAGCGGAGAGGGCCGATGGTGATCCACCGCCTGCCGTGTGCCAGGCGTTGTCGACCCAGCGGTTCGGCCAGTGGGAGGTCGCTTTGAATTTCATCATCCAGATCTCCATAATGCGGCGTGACTGGTTCGCTGAAATTGATCGGATGGTGGAGTGGTTACGTGGGGAGGGCATGCCCAAGCCAGTGTAACCATGCTAACGCGAGGGGCAAAATCATAAAGGCGAACACCTGGAAAAGACGAGGGGGAGAGCGACTGAAAAGGAAGAAATGAATTGCACCAAATAATCGCTCTTGATGGCAGTCGGTGGTTAGTTTTCTCAGACTGAATCACTCTTAAGCCCTCGGATTGCTGTCCTCTTGGAGCACCGTTAATATACGTAGCTGGGTTCGATGGTACTTGGATGTTGGGTTCCCCTTGCACCACATCCGCTATGATGATTCTAACATATCTGAGTCGATTTCAGCGTGATTCCCATCTTCAAACTTTTGAGAGAATATTTTATTTCTGGTTCTCATAAGTGATTAAGGAAGAAAATATGTTCATGTGAGGACCGATCAGGATTTAATACCGGTTTTCTTTCTAGAGAAGTCTCATTTATTGCGCATCTACCAAGCTTACATCAGGGTAGCAATATACATAGAAACACCACAAAAGCTTGGCACATTGCAAAGAATAAATCAATTACCAAGAGAACGTTTCTTCGAATAGATCGACGGTCTTCTCTCCCTGCACATGACGCACAGCATCGCGGACGCTGTCACCTAAGCCGCCAGGGCCACAGACACTAACAGCAAGCGCCCCGACTTGCTCAGACTTCTCAGTCTCTAAAAGACTGCGGAAACAGGGCTTCTCATGATGGATGCTGACTGGGACATTTGACGGTGCGTAATCAGTCCATGGTGTTTCTGGTGTAGGGAGGTATTCTTCGACATCATCTTTGAGGCCAGTGACATGGATGCTGATTGAAAGGCTCAAGTTTAGACATTGGGAGAACGTTTCCCCTTTCTCATTGATGGAATGATTCAACGAACTGTGACCGAAAATTTCAGTCATCCAGTTATGAATCCATGCGAGATGATCTGTGGCGAGAGTTAGTTCACTGGCGTAAGTGCTGAAAAAAAAATGAATGATGACATACCTAAATTCCGAATCATCCACACAAGATGCACTTTGCGGGTGGCAGATTTGCGAGAAGCAAAATTGGTGACAACCTCGTGGAGATATGACATTGGGTGAGTAATCCCAATCCCGCCTGCAACCAGAAGCAGAGTTCCATACGAAGCAAGAGTGTGAATGCCTCCTGTGGAGAAATATTGTCAGGAACCATCGTCCAGGTAAGTCTTTGATTGAATATATCATACCGAATGGCCCCTCCGCTAACGCCGTGGCTTTGATTGTTCCCTCGGGAGAATCCTCCACTTTTTTGAGAAGTTTTTTCGTGAAACCGTCCTGGCCCTTAATAAGGACAGACATAGTTGTCGTTTCAGAGCCCCCGATCAGAGAAGCAAATGAATCACTTGAGCTGTTCTTCTCCGTTAGGTTCAATGATTCAGTTCCACTAGATGTCCATGCGACCGTAAAAGGGTGGGAAGTCCAAAGGCCCAGGCAAGGCATGTATAGGTACATGTACTGGCCAGGCTTGAATTTCCAGGCTCGAGATACTTCAATGTCGACGCGTGCCACGGAGCCTGGAAGCGCTTCCACTGTGGCCATAGTGCGTCTTTTGCCACAATTTCGCCAGATTAGGATTGCAAGTCGCCCCGCTCGCTATAAGAATTGGATCGGTAAGCATCGCAATAATCGGAGGGTATCTACAAGAAAAGGGCCTGCATACATCTAAGCCCCATAGAATCAATGTGCCAAGCAGAACCCGTTGTTGCAGTAGGTTCTTGAGATGGTACCACAAAGCGACGAAAGACATCACGGCCAAGGCGATATGCAAGTGAAGGAACAGCTCGTATAATGAATGTCGGACCGGCGACAAGGATTGAATAACGATGAAGATAAAGCCCAGTATAGCCTGTATCGTATGCTGCGTCAGAGTCTAGAACATAAAAAAATAATTGGCCGAGACTTGACTTACCACAAGCCCATAAATATAGAAAGGCATTTGCCAGATCCTGTACATTATATATTCCGACCCGTCTGCAAAAATGTTAAAAGCAATTCCAGTCGGTCATTTGTGATGGAAAACGCACTAAGATAGGCCTGATTTGCCAGCACACTACTCATGTGAATCACAGCATTGGCTGCGATGACACGCCCGACCCAACGATGCATGAAGTTGAAAGTGTCGAAGGAAAGCCCTAATAGGGGAACCAAGGGGTTATTCCGTCCAGCACTCAAGACCAACCCAGGAGTGTTCATGACAGCCAGGTGTCCAGCAGCGTACTTGAGCTGAAACAGCTTTTTGGAGTAGTCTTCCCACCAGTCGACGGTGACCACGACGAATATGAAATTCATCAGGAGATAGATCACGAGGAAAATCACCTCCAGTCGTAATGGAATAGAGCCCATGTGTAGTCTAAGTAGTCGAAACTCCCGGCTATGACGGGTCCCCCATAGTGGTGCATATAGCAAATGCCTTTTTAACTTTGCAGAGGTAGAGTTCGCCTGAGATAGTTGTGTCTGGTCGTCCACCTGCTGGGCCAGCTTGAACCGACGACTATGTTGAATTCGGATGGTGGTTCGCCAGAGAAACAGAATGGCCACAAAGCCTCCGACAGCGAACAGCGGAACCGCCACGAAGGGGTTCATAGGTGGCTCACCAGGGCCATTTCCTGCGAGTTGGACACCCATGTTGCCATCCGTGAAAAAGCGTCGGAAGTATAGAATGACCGGAGAAAAGGCCAACAGATGCCGTCGTCAGCCGCCCAACAGCGTGGTTGTCCAGCGACGGAGGCGTCCAGACTGGAGAGAAGGGTTTAGAGGAAACACGGGGTTCTTGAAGGTGGCGAAGATAGCTATCACCAGCACCGCGTGGAAAAGAACAATCCACGACATCATGGGGTTGTATTAGGTTCCAAGACCCCGTTCACTCATGGATGCCGTCATCGACCCCTGGCCCTGGACAGGGCCCTCTCTAGTTGAGAGGTCGAATGAAAACATCGTCATTCTTTGGAGGGTGGGGAAGGAGATCTCCACGCAACCGTTCGTTGGATTTGCAAGTGTAACCAGCCGAATCGAGCGAAGGCCGGGAGATCGCAGACGCCTCAACCTTAAGTTTATTCCTCAAGTAAGCGCGCTAAGTGGCCCGGGGCCAAGGAATCTAGATCCTGGCGCCGGACCTGCCCAGGGCGAACACTGGGCAACTCAGGTGTTGCGTAACCCGACATTTGCGGGATCTTGGGAGGGGCACAAGATACTGGTCTAGATGCAGATCGACAGCAAGACGAAGGCACGGAGCGATCAGCCGTTGTTGTCGGTAACCCGAAAGCGGAATTCTATTGAGGCTTCCGCAACCCCGTCTCCGGAAGGAATGCAAGGGATAGAACATCGGACGGACTTTTTTGCCTTACCCGGGTCAATTGTTGGAAAAAGGTTCCGCTGTTCACCAATTGGCTATGAACTGAGGGGAAATGATCCGACTCCTATCATCGATGTCTGATTCAACTCATTCTAGCATGTTGGCTACAGAAGAACGGTCTACAATTCCATGTAGAACTAACAACCTAGGCGTCGAAGCCACCCGACGTCATAATTCAGCACGATGCGCCCGTGGGTTCCGAGGCTTTAAGAGCATGGGCAAAACCCAATCGGGCGGGACGCAACTGCAACGCTGTAGACAATGGTCAAGTTCGAAGTTGTGGAGACAGGGTAGTAATGCATGACGCCATAGCTCTTTTCGCACTCTGATCATCTCAAAATGTAAGGTGCGCCGAAGTCAACCTTGGAGTATCCTTTGCGACATCGGGATCCATTGATCAGCCAGAGTAGGCGAGGGGAGGGAGGAGGAAATAAATTCTTCCAAACGAAGGAAATAAGAAGCCTAATGCCCGAGAGGAGCTGATCCGAGAGGAACTGAGGTACACTGCTTCCTCTATTGAAATGATGTCTGTGGGTCCTCTCCGCTTTCTGAATGGTCTCTGAGTGATCGAATAGGGCAGACCCCATTGGCACTATCTACAACGTTCTCTTTTCCATCTCGATTGGTCTATTATCCGAAATGGCGCTCAATCCATCTTTGCATACAAAAAGGACAATGACGTTCCCGGTCTAGATGGCGATCTAGACTCTTTGTTCAATTAAGTCAGGTCTAGGCTCATTACCCCGTAGGAATCATACTATACAAAAGCACCTTCTAATTCCGAGCAACATGGTGCGGGTCTAGGCCCGAAGGCTTAGACAATCACAAGTACTCATAGGTCCAAGGCCTAGACCTCATCTACATTCACCCAGCTTCTGTGACATATTTGCTTTCCAAGAGCAAAATGTGGCTTCCCAGGTACACCAGCTATGTAGAAATGTATACTTGATCTTGTCCACCGGCTGTTAAATGTGAATTTGAATCAGACTATGTTTCAAGTATTCAGCCTTGTAACACTAAAATAACATAAGCCTCAATTAATTCAAATTTAACTCAATAAAACACTTATTTGGCCTAAAGAGCAACATCTACTCGCAGTAGAACACGCTAGGAGGGCAGGCAAGCAAGCACGTGCAAATCAAGATCTTGGGGCGATGTGCCACTCCACCCAATGAATGGCTTTGGTCATCCAAGATCGATGGTACGGGTACCAGATTAGTCAAAGACTATTCTGCATCGAGGGCATTGTAACCTTGCGTCTGACTAGAAAGAGAAGACTGGGTTTGTGCGGGGGCCCTCACATTATGCCATTGGTGAGATAGAAGCCCGTACTGTATGACTCACACCAACGCCCAAGTTGACTTCAATAACACTGGAGGAATGGTGGCTATCATATCTGTGAGCAATAAATGTACATATCTCAATGTGGAACAGGGTGGCCGTGGTCCAAGCGTTAAGATGCGGTATCCTTCATGACTGGGACGATGTCTTCTAGGCAAGTTCATTAAATCCCTCCTCCTGAGGTAAGCGATTATCTAATGGTACGACTGGTGAATGATAGATGCCCAATGGCTAGACATGTGTAGTAGTAGTAGTAGTAGTAGTAGTAGTAGTAGTAGTAGTGATGAGACATATTTCTACATGACACAAAGACACAGAAAGAGAGAAACGCCGGCCCTCGCCTGGACCATGATCCGATTTACCCTATTTTTCCTCCGATGAAACGCGGCCACATATTCCGAAAACCAATCACACTCATAATAGAAGCCGAAAACGCCTGGTTCGTAAAATCACAGTCCTCTTGCGAAATCTAGGTTCATGTGAAAAATCAGGTTGACATCTGCCGGACTTTCTCCGGTACATTTGGTGCGGTCTGAACGTCCTCATCGAGGCTCAAGCTGCCGTATCCCGTGTCGTTGCTTGCTGATCGTTCTCGACGAAGAGGGTTCTTATATCCCGTGTCCATGATGTCATGGTCAGCATCACTTTGGACAGACTGGTCGAAGGCTCCACGCCGCCGTCGCGTCCGGCGCTTCCTAGATGGTAGGGGCTCGGGAATCGCAAGCAAGTATTCGACAAGATTGATACCGGCATTTGTACATGAATCGGTGCAAGACTTCACAATTATTTCGACGAGATTGGAAGAAAAACCGTAAAAGGCAGGATTATAGGCATTTTTGGCCCAGTAAATCAACTCGGCTGCGACTCGCCCAATATTTGGGATATCCCTCGGCAAAACAGCCAGCGTTCGTCGAGGCCGAGGCTTTTCATCTGTCTCGTCATCGGCGGAAGAGGCGGCGTCTGAAGCGGCCGTGGATGGAGCGGACGATTCAGACGACGCAATGTAATCAACATCCGCGGCGAGAAGGTGCAACAGGTGGTAAACTGCAGAAAATCCAAGCAAGCTCAGCTCAACTGGATCAATAGGCAACTGGTTGAACCAGTTGATAGCCCTGTGAATAGTAAAAGACGCAGGGAGATCGGTTTCTCCTGTAGATCTAGTGGTGACAATGGCGGCAATCATAGCGCAGCGAACGGCAATTGATATTTCATCCCGAACGGACACAGGGAGTGATGAATCGAGGAAGTTAGCAGCATGATCTTGTTCACCCTTTCTCTTGTCTTTCGGCAGTGCCGCCAGCACCGCACCAACATTCTGAATACGGCCCTGCTCGAAGAATACAGCCTTCATCACTAGAGCACGGGTGTATGCAGCCGAAAGGCGGGGGGCAACATCAAGTGCCATGCGGATTTTCTCCTTGAAAGTATCACGGCTACCCTTCGACACAGGACCTCCTTCACTGGCTTCTAGATACCTGAGCAGTGCAGTTTGGAGAAGGTGACTGGACCACCAAGCAGCCAGGGCATCAACGGAGCATTGAATAGCAGGATCTTCTTCCACAACATCAAGAAGCACCTCATCATCACTAGTGCCCTCCTGTGTAGGACGATTCCAAGTGAGGTTAACGGCTCGTTGGATGATAGAGTCGATCATGACATCTTCACAATCAAGCTTTATAAGCGCAGCTAGGTGACTCGGAAGCTGATCAGGGTGACCTTCGGGGAGTGCATCATTGATATCCCTCGCAACCGCCCACTGGTACTTAGCGAGTGCGCGGGCAATATCATTGGAAACGTGGAAAGTCCACGAACCAGGCTCACCCACACGCCACAGGAGAATGCGAACATGAAGGGCTTTCAAGATCATTCGCATTGGGCTGCCGGGAAGAGTACCAGCGGCAAATATGGTGAGGACAAGGCGACTCTTGCTGATTTCCGCATCACCACCAGTGAGCTGAGCATCAATGGCAATATCCCAGGTCTTGACACGACCCTTTTCGTCCTCTTCAGTGATTCCGGTTGCCCAGGAGTAAAGTTTCCATCCCATAAGGCACCGCAAGACGTATTCGAAACATCTCGACGTTACCACGTACCATTCGCGGAAGAACCTGTGGCGTGGAACACCGACTCGTTGCATGCTCGTTAGCCATGCTTGTCTTCGGAAGTCAGTCGCCATTGGAGCCGCTGTTTTTCCCTCAAGAACTGCTTTGGAGGGAGTTCTTTGTGTCACTGGCTGGGCATTGAAAAGGTAGACGAAAACTATAAAAGCACTGCCAACAACGAGAGTGGCAAGGAGGAGGAAATGCGAAATCGCCCTTGCATGCCAAGAGTACCAGAAGCCCTTGGTGTAGTACTGCAGGTGTGCCAGATTTGGCGATAGAAGTCTGTTGAACAAGTTCAGTGGGACAGCTAGCAGGCCCTTTGACTCAGTTTCCGACTTGTCTGATCCCAGGCCCTCGAGAACCATCAAGCCAGCCAAGGCTCCAAGCATGTACTTGTTGGGCATCTTCGACCGTCGGCGAGAGCCTTCCTCTCGGCTTAAATCATTAGTCCTGGGCGTCGACTTGATATAGGACTGTGCGTAAATGCCACCACTCTGCGCAGCCTCTGCTCGCATCCGCTTGAAAGCATCTGGAACCTTGATCATGCCCTCTGGTGGGTTGTTGGAAGTGGGCGAACTGGTCTCCACGATCTCTTCGGGATTGGAGAACACGCTTGGGGATGTACCGGAGTTGGAATCACTAGAAACAGTGTAGTTGCTGGGCGAGGAAACAGACGCACTCGACGTAACAGCTTGGTCGGCCGCTTTGTCGACTTGACGGAGCCGGTTCTTCAAAGCAGTATTTTCATCTTCTAGCCGCTTATTGCGGATCTCCAGATGCTTGATATACTCGGTCGCCTTGGATAAAATAGATGCTTTGTTCAATTTGCTGGTAGGGTGAGTCGCTTCGGCATCATCTTCCTCCTCATTGGAATCGCCGTTGGCATTCTTCGCCGATCGAAGACTCGGCACACTGTCTCGGAGCTCGGCAATCTTCTCATTCAAGTTGGCTCGATAGCGCTTCTCGATGACGTTGTGGGCTCGCTTCTTCGCCGGCATTTTCTTGCCGTTCTGAAGAGGACCGGTGATCGTTGTGGCGGCATCGTCATCGCTTCCAGTCTTGCGTTTCCGGCTGGTACCGATACTCGAAATGGGTGAGACCAGCCCCGATTGTTGCTGGTGCCCTTGAAAATTTGACATATGAGCTCCATGGACGCTATTGTTACGGCTCATTCCGTCGATGCTGTCGGACGGAATCTCCATCAGGCCGAGCGGAAGGTGCGGAGAGAAATCCTTTTGATGGATTTGACTGGGGGTGCTCATGCTCGTATTTGGAGAGACAAACGGGAGGTCCATTGAAGTGCCGATCTGCTTTTCTTCGCCTTCGGCAAACATAGGCTCATCCCATCGCATCCATTGAGTCCAATCTTGGTTGGTGCTGTCAGAAGTTGGCTGGGAGTACATTCCATGAGATTCGTTCCCTCCCGAATGTCGCCGCGGAGAGAAGAGCTGAAAATCATTGTCCATGCCAGAGGCAGCCATGGCGGCCAGACATTCACGATGTCGTTTTAAACCAGATATAAATCTCCAACAGCCGGTAGATTGAGCACTGAACCCAGTGTTAGCATTCGGCTATGAACATGGACATAAGTAAAGACAGCGACATTGAGCTATTCTAGCTCACCATAGCATAGGGGTACCATAGCCACCAAGGCATAGACGGTGGTGAATGGAACAGACACGAGGCAGACTTACTGAGGCCTGGTGGCCGATAAACAGTAGTAGATAAGGACGTTCAGATCAACAGACGAGGCTGAGGGGTGAGCAGAGTTGAAGATGCAAGAAACTGAAGAGGGGAAGATGGCAGAGTCAAAGTCCCAGGCGGTACAGGAGGCTTGGAACAGCAAGCTAGGCAGTCCACGATACCCACTCAAATCCGTCGTAGCGCCGGCGGGCCTTCGGGATGGAGAGTGGATTCTCAAATCAATTGGCCTTCCCCTGCAAAGGCGATCATCTCCAGTTGGTCAAGACGGTGGATCACGAAGTCGCGCTGTGTGAAAACAGAGATGAGATATGCACTGTGGAGGTCCCAGCTTAGCTTCAGGATAAACGTGTTGAAGAGGAGCGCGAAATGATGCTGGCTCCAACGAGGCAACAGCGAGCCGGGGCAGTTTTTAATCGTCGTATGATCGCGGCTCACGGGTGTTCCGGCCGACCGGCACACCGGATCGGCGTTAATTACTCGTAAGAGATGCTGAGTCACTCAAAAGACCGCATTCACGCGTGTTTGGATCCGTAAGATACCGGTAACTTTTATGCGTCTATGATTGGCTTCCTAACTCCCCCACCATCCCCTGATGACTCATCCATTTTCCATGTGATTGTCACTGCCTGAGGCTCGCATCTCCTGAAATCGGGTCTTCCTCGACGCCATTTATTGCGTTCAACGACATCGATTCTCATCCCACAACTACCATCATGGATTCTCCAGCAGAATTTTCATTTCGCATATGACTGCCGATCTGTTTGGAAGCGTCCTTGGCCCCCCACTACGGTGGCACGGTTGAAAGTGAAAAATTCAGAAGATGGCGCGTTTTGATCTTATCAGATCGTGTCATGGTGGACTCCGTCTCCACTCGCCCTGCGCCGGTAGGCCCGGAACTGGACCACACGGCGCGACTCACGAATGAGAATGTGCCACTAGTCACTCGAGAATCCTCGTGGGTCAATGATCCGGTGTCGGTGAGCTACAGCACCCGCGATAAACCCCCTCACTTGCAAGCCGGCTACCCTCAAAAACGTTCGCCCACTACATGGGACCCCTGCGTCATTGAGCTAGCGGGGTACAACCGGCTCCAATCGGGCTACATTCGGCAGCTAGAGGAGTTCGACGCGACATGTACCCAGATGGTCTCGACTTGGACCCACGGATCCTGTCCTTTTGGCTGGATCGTAGAAACCACTCATACGTCTATAGGTGAAACTGCAAATCGCACTCCCTATCCCCGACCGCCGCCCCCATTAGTTGTTTGGTCATATCGCCAAATTCCCCGTATGATATACATGACTTCAGTCTCTTCTACGCTGTCCATCTCTTGCCTCCAACACGGAGTAGATATCCATCGCGTATTTGGCCACGCCAGCTACATTCATATGAGGCATCCCGAGCACGTAGCTCACCGCACTGCCATTTTGACGGTTTTCCCAGTCCCAAGAAACCTGTGCTTCTTGGTCAATGTTCTCGGTCGGTCTAGGTCTAGCCTTCGACGCTGCAATCTTGGTCGGCCGAAATGTCGTGGTGAGGCAGCTAAATTGTCCTCCATGGTGATAGCAGGGGTACTTTGGGGTGATGATGAATTGAGGTTTCATTCTGTAGCGGGAAGGCTTGTTAAGCTGGGGGGTGGCTCTGACGTAATCGCATAGTGACACATGCCATCGATTGCCCTGGGACAAATGTGGATCAATTCGGCAGAGGGACTGTGGAAGCAGGTCAACACTGGCAAAGGTGGGCTTCATAATATGCATATTCGTACTCTCTTTGAAGTAACCTGGTTGGCAGCCGACGCCAAGCTCTCTACAGCTGTTTACAACGCCTGTTGGCAGGAAGACCATGGATCTGGGCTCAGCCACGGCTTTGAAGGCCGCACATTCCGTCTAAAATGGACCGATGCAGCTGTCAGACTCTCCAGGACCTTACTTGATCGATATTAAATGCCTACTAGTACCTTGTTGGTATTCCATTCTTGAAAAATTATAATGAATTATCAGTATCTCGAAATATGAAAATAAATTTGATCAGACCGACGCTTCACTGTAACCAAACCGTGATAAACGACATCGTGAGGTGACCCAAGAAGCGAATTTGCGGGTGCCAAAAGAGAAGCTCAGAGCTCAGATGGTGACCGACGAAAGATTGACCGAAAGTGTATGGTTCACTGTTTTGCCCTGCGTGGTTTTATCTCTTTCCTAATGCTATATGTAGGGATGACTTGTCAGTCATTGTTTCGATCGCAAAAGGTTCTATAGAATGGGGCCACGTACCGCGATATCTTCCCATTTCTCCCAGCCACGCCCACGAACCTGCGATAGTTCCTCCATTGTGAATTGCTTACCAGTGGTGAAATACCCTGCGTTGATCTTGGCATCAATTTCAACTCGCGAGTCGCTAGGAATCATATCCTCGGGAATGGGAATACGTTCTAAGATCTTGATTCCAGACTCAACGATAGCGTCATGTTTCATATTTGACATCGATAACATCCGATCAATTTTCTTTATACCAAGCCAGTGTAGAATATCGGGCATGAGAGCTTGAAATCGCATCTATGGGCCAAATATGTAAGCAAGATTGAATTAGACCAGGATGAGGGACAGAATACACATACATCTCGTACCCCTGCAATATTTTCGGTGCGCGTGAAGTACTTATCGGCGGTATCTCCACCACGCTTGCGGGCATTGTATACCAGGTATTTGATCACTTCACCCAAGGCCCGCCCTTCTTTGCGAAAGTAGATGACGACGCCGCTTCCACCATTCTGGGCCTCGCGGATCGCCTCTCGAATACCGAACGCCAGATAAGGCCGGCATGTACAAATATCAGATTGGAAAACGTCGCTGCCATTGCATTCATCATGGATGCGAAGAGCTAACTTCACGTTCTCGTCCGATACGCGCTCTGGAGGGCCGAAAATATAGACCGTGAGTCCACCAATTGGAGGGAGAAAGATCTTGAGATCGGGGCGGGTGATCAATTCGGGATAGCTGCCGCCAGTATGCTCAAACAGAGTTCGGCGAAGGGTTCCCTCATCAACACCAAATCGATCAGCCACTCCCGGGAGATACCAGACGGGCTCCACAGCAACCTTGGTCACACGTACTTCGCCTGAGGAGTCTACCACAATGGATCCATCCACCTCAAGCTGACCCTCTCTTACCGACTCTGCAATCTCAGCTAACTTCATATTAGCACGGGTAATGGCCATAGTGGGTCGGATATCCCAGCCCGCTTCCAACTCTTCTTTGTATTTGTTGACGATATCGTGCCCATATGGGTCCATCGACACAATCTTGGTCTTATCGGCCCACGATGGCTGGGAGGGAAGTCGAAAGTTGGCTGGCTGTTGCGCAGATCGGGGCGAAAATCCGCTGCCAGATCACCGGCGGCGATGGCAAGCGCATTGTATATACTGTAACTGCCGCCATGCGCACCGATTGCGTTGCGACGCTTCACCAGATTACCACTGCGAGACACCACGATTGGGCCTCTGGATTTGGCATCTGACGCACCCCATTCGAGTGGAACAGGGTCAATACCACTTTGGCCAGGGTAAGTTGTCAACTAAAAAGCTGTTAGTAACTCTTCATCCGCTCAAGGGTGGTGTCCCTCAAGTGGTCCTACGATAATATGTTTGCTGTAAAGCGATCTGGGAGATGTCGGGGACTGCGGTGTTAGCTCCGGCGCCTTCTCAAAAGATTCTGTATTTAGCATCATGAAACTGATGGATTCAATCTCAAACAAACTGATGGGGAGTTATGAAAAGAAGAAGTTGAAGGACGGAGGGGAAGTCCCATGTGACCTCCCCCGCACGTTATCAGCTTATCTGCCCAACACAAAGCAGCGGTGACGCTTTTCTGGAATCCATGCAGACTTGATGCAGTGACAGAGGCCTGCCGGGATATCACCAATACGACCTCGCATTTACCTGTGGTTTCTGATTGCCTCTACCGCTTCTTCCCCATAAGTTTACGTATGGGGCGCTCGAGGCAACGATCGACCCACTCGGTTCTCGGCATTCGGCCTAACTGGCGGAGTTGCGAACGCCGATCACCAATCATACTACTATGTAAATAAGAGGCGTTGAATTGAAGATAATTGCCTATTACACAGTATACAAACTAATAAAAATTTACTGATATGCAGTCTTCTCTAGCATAGCTCTACTAGTCCCTTCTGTCTCTATTTAGGTTGGTTAAATCACTAATAACCTATACATCTGCCATGTGGCTATTTGAGCTCATGACTTCGCCCACCAGTCTCTGCTTTATCCTGAGAATGTCCAGCGTGTGCCCATGAAGCTCACAAACAAAGTTTCGAGCTAACCAGCGATAAATACCACCCACGTAGACGGTCAAATCATTTGGAAAAGTTTTCTGCCTTCCGGAATTCCAATCAAAGCCCTGGGGAAACACAATTAGCTAGGTCTGTACGCCAATGAGCGCAGAATCAAAACTCACCCAAAGCTGTACACAAAGCGACAAGCTCCAGGCCACTGTCTCGAACTCTAATGTTTTTTAAAGTTGATCCAATCATGCGGGTACAAGACTCAAAATACTGCCTGTGCCCAACCGAAGAAGACTCACAAAGTCATGAGTAACATCCAGGAAATGACCTGAACATTGACAAACGACAAAAATGAACATGATGGTTCATTGCCCTCATAGATGTCATGGTGTTGAAGCCGCAGGAATGGTCAGAGGCCAATCTCGAAAGCTATCCTCACATTCTGGAGATCACTGACGCTAACTCCAATCCCTCTGGCTATATATATTTGAATACTAAGGATAGATTCGAATTTTAGTCAAACAGGTAAAAGTAGGGACATGCGAGTCTAGCTGATGGAGTCAAACAGTTCTATCAAATGTGGCCATAAGCCTCACTGTATCCCAATTGGCGATTATAATTGCAAGATAATGCACGTTACGATCTTTCCAAGGGTCAGCCAACCATTCTCCAAAATCGTCAATGAGATTTCCAACGTACAGAATATTTGACAACAGCGGTGTTCTCTAATATAACATAATTGAACTTTGATCAGATGACTGCGGAAGATGGCCTGGACCTTTTCAATGCTACGAGTCTTAGATATTAAGCGTGGCTGCTGTGAATGGCGGAAGCAGGGCAAGCCACCACTCGCTCTACATTGTAACCGAATTCCAATAATTCAATATATATTATCTAAGATTAGAGCATATACACTATAGTCCAGCACTCGAGGGAAATAACTAGTAATAACCTAGCTAGAAAAATACATACATAACATAGACTTAGGATTAAATGACGTGTATATGCGGCAGGATCAACTACCTAAGGACCTGGGAACTCTGATAGATGACGGCATCGAATCACATCGCGTCAATGGAGTATCGAATGAAATACCAATTTCTGAGCCTCAGACTTATTGGGTTCTCTCATGCTCATTCACAGTAACTGTTTTCGGCTCCCCCGCCAGCTCCTCGCCCCTCGGAGCAGACATGGGCATCGGGTATCCTTGCTGTGTTGGAGTGTGATAAGCACCCATTGGCGGCATACCAGGCGCTCCAGGTGTGCCGACCGGTGGGTATATAGGACTCTGGGGAGCAAATGCTGCTTGTGGTGGAGGTGCCGGCCCACTAAAACCGAGTGCCTGCGCGGCGGGATCTCGACGGCTAAAGAAATTCTTCAGCCATAACCCAAGCTTAGTTCCAACAGATATCTCATTCCATCTTGCAGCAAGCCATGCCTGTTGGTCAGGTGTCTTCGCGGGGTGTTTCTTGACCGAAAGCAGGAAGAGGCACGAAAGCACCGGACACAAACATGCGAATCCATATGGTAAACCGCGGCGCGCTTTATGTCCCAACATTGCCCGACGGAATATATACCAGCTCTCAACTAGACCAATGATCAGGAAAAGGCCGAACCATCCGAAAAAGATCGCGAGTGCGAGACCCCATGGTGTGATGCCCCAGGTATAGTGGCACCCATCATCACAGCAGTATCCACCCGAAAAGGGTGAGTTGCCAATATACCAGGTGAATTCGTCACAATCCGAGTAGCTGCTGCTACCTTCAGTTCCAAGACCGCTGTTATAGTAGCTATTACTGCACGCAGTATATCTTGCTGGTGCATAATAGGAGCTCGCAGAGGCCAAGACACTTGGAGGAATGTCACTCGGGGCTAACATAGCCATGGTATTAGTGTCACGATATGTGAGATATACGTATGTTTCGATGCTCGTCACGACTGCAGTAGGATGGACAAGAGCCTTTGCTTCATATGGCATGTAGATTGGAATTGCAGTTGTGAGCGTCTGACTGGTCGTATAAGAGCATGATGAAGGTGCTGTATAGACAACGTTGACATAATAGTTGTAGTATGTATCACTCGTTATCGCAGCTCCAGCAGTTGGTGCGACAACAAGATTTACCGCAGTGACATCGGAACTAAATGTGTCGACGGAAGTGAATGTACTGATGACAGAAGGGTTGGTTCCAGTTGGCGATATCCGGATTGTTTCAGTTTCCACCCAGGGTGTCTCCGTTAGATAACTATTTGTGAAGCCATCAACCACAGTGGTCTCGACTATAGCGATGTACTCTGTTCCGATCCATGGTGAAGCGTTGACCGGGACAAGGAATGATTGAGTCAGGGCAAGAAAGGCTGCCAAAAGCTTCATTGTGTCCATGAGGAGCCGCCAACGGCCACATCCCACGATATATGACAAAAGGAGAAGTAGAGTAAAGGGGAAAGTATTCCCTTTGGGGACCCCTTTCCTTCAAATATTCCTCATGACCATTTGTCCTAAGGAATTCTTTATTTAAACCCACAGAGAATCTGTGAATGGGGGCTTATGTTGCGAAACATGGTAAGTAAACGAAGTTTAAAGTTGTGGCCCAATTCTCTAAATAGATCACTAATGATAACAAGGAACGCCATTGGTGTTGGTGTTTTTAGCGTACTCGTTTATAGTCAAGGGTCTCGTATTTGGGAAATTTTGTGTGCAAATCCTGGCCCGAGCGCGGGTGAATACGAACTGGGCAATATCGTTTAGAGCCCCTAGCTTGATAAAGCCAGACTGAGTGGTCTTGGCTGCACATCGAAAAGGGTCATCAATTTTCTTTCCCCTCGGGTGCACACCTGTAGGTGCCCTGCCTCGATCTCACTCTGCATTTTGGTATTCTCACTCCTGCATGATTTGACGGGGGAATTTCGTAGAATATAGTATATTCCCCTGCGTTCGTCACATTGTGAACTATGCGTAGTGCATGTGATGACGGTCAACTTCTCGTCTACACAGGAAAATATAAGGTTCTCGTGGGGCCTGGTTTTGGAATCTCAAAAGATTATCCAATACCTGTCTAAGGTTCGAAAGTCCCGAGAGAGAATTAAGTTTTTGCGAGCGAACGAAGCTAGGAACCAATGATATCCCAATAAGTTTTGGTAGGAACCTGGTTTTCCAGAGTCTGAAAAATAAACTACATATAGACACGTGCGGAAGTGTACGCCCCTGGGGGAGTGGAATCTATAGAATCAAACATAACCTCTGGACTTGATCCAAAGAAAATCGTAAGTAACGTGGCGCTATATATTAGCGACCGACACGTAAAACAAATAATTGAAATTCATGATTTGGTATCTATTATCCTCGCCCTAGCAAATTCCTAGATTATAAGAATAGACAAAAAGGGCAGGCACTTTGACAGGTCATAACTCTTCATACATGATCATAAGCCGCAGAGGTTGCTGGAAGGCACTATTATCATAATAGTTAGCCAGAAAGGACCCAGGCGCGGCATATTTTACCCCAGTTTCTTCTCACATCACTGGTTAAAGCCTGCCTGCGCACGGGTGTTCTTGATGGTCTTTTTGATGATCCGCTCAACTTCGTCCCAATCACTGGTATCGATACGGTCGATGTGGCAAGCGAAGTGTTGTTGGATTTTGCTCAGCATATCCCACTCCTCGCGGTTGGCCACAAAGGAAATGGCAACACCGATACGCCCGAACCGACCAGTGCGGCCGATACGGTGCAGGTAGGTTTGGAAATCGGGCTCACGGGGACGGTTGGGGGTGTAGATTTCGGGAATATCCTGAGAGAATGGTATCAAATTAGTGAAAAGAGTAACAAATCGGATATGTGAAGTGAATATTGAGGATTCATGTGAAGATCCTTGTAAAAACGTACATAGTTGATGACAAGAGAAACGGTGGAAACGTCGATTCCACGGGCGAGAACGTTGGTAGTGATAAGAACCTTGGCTGTACCACTACGGAAGGCATCGATGACGCTGTCACGCTGGGAACCTTCAATAGCACCGGTTAGAGATGCGATGGTATGGCCTTCAGCAGTCATCCGCTTTTCAATCTCGACAGCCGAAGCACGGGTCTAGAAGTGAGTGTCAGCCTTGGTCACGACGTCGAGAGCGCGGAATTGCAGGAAATTTGGTAGCATATTACTAACCTTGACGAAAATAATAGATGAGCCAACAGTAAGCAGACCGTAGAGTTGGACAAGATTGGCATATTTCTCTTCCTCATCATTGCAGTCCATGTAGAGCTGCTTGATCCCATCAACGGTCAACTCTTCGTGCTTGAGCGCAATCTCATTCGCGTCGGGAGCAAACTTGTCTGCATATCGGCGGACGTGTGTAGGGAATGTGGCAGAAAAGAGGACAACTTGGATGGTGCGTGGAAGCATGGCCTTCACGCGGATGCACTGATCACCCATACCCTGCTGGTCAAGCATGTTGTCCGCCTCATCCAAAACTAGGACTTTAAGACCAGTCGGGTTAAAGATGCGTCGTTTGATCATGTCCTGTACTGTACCCGGGGTGCCGACCACCACCGAGGCATTCATTCTCGCCGGGCGAGCATTAGAATCAGCGGGAACGGCGGTACCGATGGCAAGACCGTCGAGGAATTGACCCATAACCTGGATAACACCAACGATCTGACGTGCAAGTTCACGAGTAGGAGCCAGGATCAGTGCCTGGGGGGTGTTCTGTAGCTCGGGGGTCGAAGTGTCGATGCGGCTGAGGACATTCAGGACGAAGGCCGCAGTTTTACCAGTGCCGGACTGGGACTGGCCGACAAGATTCTTTGGGGGGTTGCTCATCAACAGAGGGAGGGCGCGCTCCTGAACCTTGGACGGCTGGCGGAAGTTCATGGTCGAAAGACCTTTGAGAATGCGCTCATCTCTGTAGTAGTCGCAAAGATTGTCAGCTTCATTGCGCAGGTGCAGCGAGTGGAGGGGGTATTCTGTACTCACAGTCCAAGCTGCTCGAAGCTCTTGACCGAGAACAGAGGGTTGTTGGGGTCGGCCTGGAGATCACTCAGCTTAACCTCGACTGTGTAGTCAGGTTCTTGAAGCTCCGAGCCATAGAGCTCAGTTCCAGCGCCATCTTTGGGAGTCTCGGTAGAAGTGTCTGTTCATAAGAAGAAACGAAGATCAGTAGATTGTCAAATCGAAGCTTGATTATTCCTCTTTATCTATTCTCCTCAATCCTGCATGAAGCCCAAGGGTGTGGGCAACCGAGTCCCGGAGCGAGAGGGGAGAGGATTGGGGTCTCGTACCTGTGGGCTTGGATTCCTCAGGCTTGGTAATGCGGTCGGCCAAAGAGCCGGCAGTTTCGGTATTTTCAGATGCCATCATGCAATTGGGACAAAATGTATCGATACAACAGAAGAATAGTCAAGTTTGAGGTGGACGTGCGGAGAGAAGCAAACACAGGAGCTGGAGGGGGTTTGCGGCGGGGTACAAGACTCGAGTACGATTGGTACTCGAGTACGATTTATTGTTGGTCGCGTGACGGTAGCGCTTCTGAGACGATAGAAGACAGAGGGAAATAGTGCGACCTGGAGGAAGGAAGACGAGTCGAGTTCACGTCGCCAGAGGAAGTGCTGAAAGGAGGAATGGAACTGGCGTTCAAAGTTGCGGCCGCAAAAACAGAATGACGCTACAGCCATCAATACCCCCTAGTCCTGGATAGGCAATGTTGAAACGGTACTGTACCACATCCGCTGCCCGCCAAGCCCGACTGGGCAACGTGGCGTATTGTATTGTTCCAGATTACAGGCACCGGGGATGCTCCCCGCCTCCCATTCGGGCGTCGCGATCGTCCTTCTGTCCGAATTGACTTCACAAGCTGCGCGCGCTGCCTTCAGTTCAAGAATACTGTCTACCATTTGCCTGGTGATAGTAATCACGGACTGAGAGTTCTTCACTGCCATTTGGCCCTTTCTGCCTAGCCCATGCGTGATCGGACTTGGACCTCACCACGGCCATGGCGGCAGCTGACGTTGCTCCCCAGTTTGGAGCGGAGCTAAAGGTAGGCTGGTATTCAAGACAGTTGAGACAAGCACCGACCAGCTGATACAATCTCTTCCTCTAGGATAACTTCAAACCGGTCAATACCTGGGTATGTTGCCTGCACCAACTCCCCCGCAAGGGGAGCGCCATTCCACCTCGTGCGGAGAGGCGGAGCTAATGCATCCGCGTTGCACAGGTCTCGAACGGCATCGTGTGGCTGGATGAGATCCAGCAGTTTTACCGCGAACGTAGCGTCATCGAAAAAGAGTATGCATCAAAACTTAGCGCTCTCTGCAAGAAATACTACGACCGCAAGTCCAAGAAGATTAGCCCGTTGAGTGTTGGCGATACCCCCACGTTGACGCCCGGATCTCTCGAGAGCGCCTCCCTTACAACATGGACCACACAATTGAATGCCGTCGAGGCGCATGCCGCGGAACGAGACAGGTTCGCCACGGATTTGGTCGCCCAGGTAGCAGAACCGCTCAAGCATGCTGCTGTACAGTACGAAGAAATTCGCAAGTGCCATGTCGACTACCATACCAAGTTGGAAAAGGAGCGGGATGCATCCTACGGAGAGTTGAAGAAAGCGAAAGGCAAATATGACGGTGCATGTCAAGAGGTTGAGTCACGGCGCAAGAAAGTGGAATCGTCATTCGATCACGGCAAAGCGAAAGCCCAGTCGGCGTATCAACAACAGATCCTCGAGATGAATAACTACAAGGCATGAGCGGCAAAACTGAAAGCGCGTGATGGATGCTAACACACGGGCAGAATTTATATTTGATTGGTATCAACGTTACCAACAAGCTGAAAGAGAAGTTCTTCCACGAATATGTCCCTGGAGTTTTAGATGTAAGTTGCGCCCCCAAGCGAAGTCTAGACGATGTCATGATTTCACAACATTTGTGATTTGAGCACAAAATTCCTAACATGTATTGTAGGGCTTGCAAGATCTCAACGAGACCCGAGTCACAAGGCTGAATGCTCTCTGGTCGCTAGCCGCACAACTAGAAAAGTCGTCACTCATGAACAGCATAAATCTTACCACAAACTTGCTGACGGAGATCCCACGCAACAATCCACGGCTCGACTCGATGATGTTTCTACAGCATAATGTGACACAGTTGCAAGAGCCGGCGAGTCTCGGTTTTGAGCCGAGTCCCGTATGGCATGATGATGCATCTATTATCACCGATGAGGCTGCCAAGGTGTTTCTTCGAAATGTGCTTGGAAAGAGCAAGACTCAAGTGCGCGAATTGCGTGTGGAGGCAGACAAGAAGACACGAGAAGTTGAAAGTGGAAGGAAAGTGCGAGAGAATGTTCGGCAAGGCAAAGATAACCGAAATGAGGTCGATATTGTGCGATCTATCTTCTACCTACAAGAGTCCTTACATGAAGTGGAGCGCAAATGGCTTACCGCGGAGGTGGAAACATCCACGATCATCTCCGTGGCTGGGGATTTGTCGCTTGGCGCTAAGAACCATAACTTCCGATCGCAAACTTTTAAGATTCCCACGAACTGTGATCTTTGTGGGGAGCGCATCTGGGGCCTGTCAGCCAAGGGCTTTGATTGTCGGGATTGCGGCTATACCTGCCACAGCAAGTGCCAAATGAAGGTACCGGCAGAGTGCCCAGGAGAGCAAACCAAAGAGGACAAGAAGAAACTCAAGTCAGAGCGTCAGGAGCAGGCGGGCGCCATACCTAGCGTTGATATTGATAGTTCGGCGGCCTCGACAGCAGCGCCGTCCTTGACTCGCCAGAACACCATGAATTCATTGAGTTCCGGATATGCCGCGAGCACGGCACGGTCCGCGTCAGTATCCAATGTTGCAATTCAACCCACGCCAGAGAACCCAGCAGATGCAGCCCCGGCGCCCGTGGAAGAGACCAAGCCGACTGCAGGGAAACGAAACCGAGTATTGGCGCCCCCTCCAACCGCGTACGTTAGTGCGCCGCCTGGCAGCGAATTATCTTTTGCCTCCAAGTCCAGAGAACCGAAGGGCAAGATGCTTTATCCTTATCAGGCCACTGGGGCCGATGAGGTCACTGTGCAGGATGGGGATGAAATAGCAATCCTCGAGCCAGATGGTAAGTTACATGAACCCTCCTCTCTTACAATGACCAGCATCTGATTGGGTGGCAGATGGATCGGGCTGGCTGCGTGTACGTGCCGGCTCCCAAGAGGGCCTTGTTCCAGCTACGTATGTCGAGGCAGCTCCAACCCCATCCCCGGTGCCCTCCGCCAGTCCCGGCGCACCGGATCGTCCTGGCTCAACCTACTCCAACTCCTCGGCCTCACTGGCGGGGAGCGCGGCAGCCAAACGTGTCGGGCCCGCCGTGGCGCCGCGCCGAGGCGCCAAGAAGCTGCAGTATGTGGAAGCCTTGTACGACTATGAGGCTCGCAGCGACATGGAATGGACCATGGCGGAGGGAGATCGGTTTGTCCTAGTCACCCGCGATGGTGGCGACGGGTGGGCTGATGTTGAGCGTGGTGGAGTCACTAAAAGCGTTCCCGCCAACTACATCCAGGAGGTGTAGAGCACGGACAGGTTGGCAAAGTATATATAGTGTCGCATTGGTATGAGGTATGAGGTGTGATGTACAGGCTGGAAGGAGGTGATATGATTCATGCTGGTCTTCTCTACTTGCTTTCTTGTGCTATTTCGATTGTTCCAGGGCGTATTTTTTTTGTAGCCCTGCCAGCATGTTTGCATCAGCGCGGAGCGGATCGGGGAGAGGAGGAGCTGTCATGCTTTGCAATTGCATATGTGGGCATTCGCATGTAACTTCATGAGCAATTTACGCGACAGCTGACTTCGCATATCTCATTTTTGTGTCTTGTTCTTATTCACTAACTTCCAATCTCGTGGAGCGAGTTCACTTATGGCTCAGGATCGTGCTAACAATCTAGGCTTTGAGGGACTTCCTCTTCCCCCATTCTTCACAGATCACCATACGTCCGCGTCGGTTCTCATATCACAGACTAGGCGTCCCATTCATACTCAATCATAATCATCACTCGTTACATTTTCCTGCCACGTCGGCAGTCCAGCCAATGTTATTGAGAGACAGGTGGGTATCCTGTGTCTAAATGTTCAAAGCCGGTCTCCGGCGACCACATATACCTGGACCAATCCTCCACATGAAACAGATCCTCTGTCAAACCCTCCGTGATATCCACCTCCATATCCTCTAAATACCCCAACGTCGTGTCATCCAGGGTCAGCGCAGGATCCAGCGGGAAATCAAACGGGTTGGCATCCTCGAGCGGGCCGATCATCGGCACCATCTGTGCCCCCGACACCGAGGCCGACGACGACGGCAGAAGGGAATACATCGGGTCAAATGTGACGCCGCAGCCCACCGGCTCCTGCGCCAGCGAATCTGGCGCCGACCGGGAGAGCGTCTGCGTCGCCTGGCTCGATACATTCGCCCCGCCTGACGCAGAGCCCGTGGGATTCACACCCCCAGACTCATTGCCCGAGGCCTCCGAGCCCGACCACTCGCCGACGCTGCCGCGGACCGGATTACGCCGTGAGCCGCGAGACCCGCGGACAGGCGTATGCGACGAGGACACTGAAGCGGCAGACGTCGAGCCGGAGCGTGAGGCGCGCGTCGAGGACGAGCCGCGCACGTCTTTGCCGCTGCCCGTCGGGCGCGGTGCGATAGGGAGGAAACCGTTAGGATTCGAATGGCGCGGGTAGAGTCTGCCGTGCGTTGCTTTCTAAGAACCAAGAACCATCAGCACCATACCGTCTGCATCTCTTCTTCGCTTTGTCGAAGATCTGCCTTCCGGTGGTGGGAACGGCGGCTGTTGGTGTATTTGCGTTACTTTTGAAGATGGAGATTTGAGCTCCGCCTCGCGCTTCAGGCGTGCGTGTTCGGACGGTGCCTCGCACGGGGTTGCCTGGCAGATGGAGCAGGTCGCGAACGGGCGCCCTTTGCGCTTGATGCGAATCAACGGTCGATCTGGAGTGTGGGGAGGAGTTAGCCGTGGTCGACTACAATGTCCATGAAGTAGAAAAAGAATTCTTGATTTGCGTTGGTTGACGTCTAGATAATGGTGGATGGACCTGCACGGGAAGAGAGGAATCTCTTGGGGAGAGTATGGAGAGGAGAAGTATACACAACCACCGAACATGAGACAGACCTCCACGATCGCCTCAACCGCACACTTACCATGATGTTTGCAGCTGGTGACCCGGTGGCCCCGTATGCAAGCTTCACACGCCCACTTTTGACCGTCGATAAGCATCCCTCGATGACAATGAACTCAGAAAACTGGGAGGTAGGGCTCCTGGCCCTTTATACCTCGCGCCGTCATGGATCAACCAGGCCCGGCTGATGGTGGTTTTTCCCCCTTTCAAATTTACCTAGCAAAATTTGGGTACTTCCTGCTTGGGATTTTTGATTTTTGATTTTTTTTGTTTTTCCATTTTCGATTTCTCTCTTTTGGTTTCGTAAAATCTTTTACCCATTGCATTATTATTATTATTATTATTATTATTATTATTTTTTTACCGCAGTAAAAGAGGGGCTGTTGGGTTCTGTGCTTCGGCGGGAGCTATGACATACGATGACACCGGGGCTCGGTCCATTCCTCTAATGTGAACTGACGGCATGGGACTAGTTTCTGTGTGTCGAGGGAACTCACCCATTCTGACGGGGCCTGGGAACCTGATTCGACTCCACAGCCACAGGATCGACTGCAGGTGGGACTGGCGCGTGCATTTGGGGTGCGCCGTACAGGCCACGAGCTGTTTGGGTGGGCGGTTACCATGGGAGCTTGGGCCAGATGCAAAATTGTGGTGGCTGACCATGCGGAGCTTTGCGGTTTTTTTTGCATTTGCTTTTAGTGGGAGGGTTGTTTTTTTTTCTTCTTTCTTTTTTTTTTATCCTGTGGATGTTTGGCTGTGCCGTGCAGAGCGTGGGTCGAGGGCACGGAGCAGCTTCGTCCCCAAGTGGCTATCCGATATATTGTTTGGAGGGGGGAGGTTGCGCTTGTCTATCCGGAATATGCATGTCGAGTATCTGTCGAGTATCTGTCGAGTATCTGTCGAGTATGTAGTTGTCTAGTATGGTTTCGCCCGGTCGAAGCAGAGGGATCACGCGCGCTTTCCTCCTATACATGAGCGACGTTCTGTGAAAGAATGCAGGTGCACCAATATAATATCATCCAATTCATACCAATACTACCATATATGAAAATTGTCCTATGATGACCCATTATATGAGATGATTCTATTATGCGCTCTCATGCACTGTTTGTCCCTCTGCTCATCTCGATCTCTTTATCCCTTTAACCCTTTAACCCTCTATCGGTCTATCGCTCTATCTCGCGGTTCCCAGGCCCCCCAAAGTGTGCGGGATTTTTCCCTCTTCAGTTGCCTAGGGATTTGCAGGTTCTGATGTGCCCGCACCACGAGAGCGGAAACCGACACGATCGGAAAATCCCCTAGTCGAGAGGGCTAGAGGGCTATTGGGAAATGAAATCCCAGGCACAAGTGGGCTGCTCCCGGGCTGCCAGATCGGTGCTAGATCTCCCCTACAAATGCCTCATACATCCGTTGCAGCGGTTCGGGATTGCAGGCGGTACCGAGGCGAATGGAGTCGCAGCAAGGCAGGCTTCCGTGTAGTCTGTAGTCGCTTTGGCAAGGTCAGTTGGTCTTGGCGACTCGACCGGCTTGACCGACGGCCTGCGCTCTCGGTCACGTCCAGTCGCGGAGGTCCCTTGGTTTATTGTCCCACTTCTCACCTTTCAACGGTTGGAAATGTGGTACCCGCCATTCGGCCACGTCGGCAGATGAAACATTCCGGGTTGCGATCAAAATGGGCATCCTGGCCTCGACGGGCATCCGGGCATCCTGGGTTGGAGGGTGATGTACAACCGTACAACCTCCGCACATGGCCCGTCCACGATGAGCTATACTAGTCCACCCATCTCCCCCATCTTTGCCCCATTTCCCTCCGCGACCGGCCTATCGCGTCTGCGAGCAACGAGAACCTGGTCCTGGGATAGAGCAGAGGGGGTCGACGTAACGCTCGGCACATCGCCCATCAGATCACCTCCAGCTCCGAGCTGCTGTTCTCGGCTAGGGCGGTGCCAACACAGTGATCCTGGGGCATGGGCCCTGGTCAACAAGATCGGGTTATCTGCACCTGGAGGTGGCTGTGCCGCAGCATTCGCTTAAGTGGCGTCGCAACAACCCGCCCAAGGGGATTTTTCACCCCAGGCGCAGTAGCCTGGCGATTTTCGTTTTGAGTTCTCGTGTTTCACGGGTCCTTTTTTTTGCGTCTGACCTTGTCATGGATCCAGCTATCCCTCCCCTGGTGTGCGGCCTCTAGCTCTGGCGCACAAGAGTGCAGAAGGTGAACTTTCCGCATTGGATACTTCAGTCTACGCGTTACGGAGCCGCTCTCTGGAGGAGTTTTCCCAGCAATAGCCCCCCTTATTGTAGAGCGCTCTCGTTTGGGGAGGAGGGTTGATCAGCTGTTTCGCAAGTACAAAAACCACCCCCAACGGCCCCTCCAAATCTGTCGCGGCAGAATTAAGGAAAATTAAGCTCCAACCTGCTCCAATCATGGGTTGCTTCGCCGTCCCCCAAACTCCTCTGTTCGACCCCGTCAGCGTCTCTGTAACTTGGGTTCCCCACACGGCTCCAGTATGCGCCATTTTGTATACCTGAGGCATTTTTCGTTTCCAATTGTTTGTGCTCACCGTCTCTGGTGCCGAAGGATGCTGCCGCTCCCTCTTTTTTTCGTCTCCCACCGCGATTCCCACGTAATCGCAATGACCTGGCTCTCGCTAGGCCGAGCTGTACGAGGAAGAGGGGCTGGAAAGGGTGTCAGCCGCGCCGGAATGGGGTCGATCGGCCCCGATGATTCTTGCGTTCTTGCTGGATCAAAAAAACCTCGCGCACATTTGGTGGCATAAGCTGGCAGATGGGTAGGGTATCTTCACCCACCCCCCTCCAAGAGCACTATAATGCTTTTTCTTTCTCCTCCCTCTGGTCTGTCGGTTGGTACTTCTATGGGAGTAACCGATCTGCTGTAGAGCACGCCCATGCGGGTAGCCCTGAGAAATGAGACGGCCATAAATGCCTGCTCCATACACAGGAGCAATGCTATTTTTTTTCTTATCTTTTTTTTTTTTGCCCCCCCCCCCCCCCCCGATCCTTGCCCGATTGTAGCCATGGTCTAATCTCGTTATCTCACCCAAGCTGCACCGACGGTCCCTCAGACAGACGAGATGAGTCCTTTCACAAAACATTGATCCTCGGCGCGATGCCGGACGGGCTGTTATTAGCACTTCCAACCCTGAATCAGAATATCAAATGAACGGGGCCCATGGACTTGAATCGTGGGATCAAATAAAATTCGACATATTTCGATTTTGAAACAGAAACCCAAATGAGAGGTGATGACAGACTGCGCCGATGTACCATTTGCAAGACGCAGTCTATCCGCAGCGATGCTCCAAGAGATCTCGACAGTAGCGGACTGAGCTGAATTTATGCTCTTTGGCTCGTTGATCTAGCCCGTCGACCACATCACCATCGATGGGATCCTGTCGGGATAGCAAGTGATTCTTGTTCGCCCAGATTTATTGCGCATCATCCCAGCACCAATTCGATCTGCCGGCTTGCGACGTTGTATGGCTACCAATATTCCCGCTTGGCCCGTGGCTGCAGTTCGTGGGCGGATAGCGGCATGCTTGGGCTCGATCTCCCACCGCTATTGCCCATTCTGTTACCATCGCAGCTCGAATTCTTGCATCTCTCGCGGTGTCGCAATCGACAACATGGCTTTCCAATGTTAATTGGTCTTCAATTCCCCTACGCTACCAGCCCTGCGAAAGATCCTGATTATGTAGATATCTTCCTCCTTTTTTTGCAAATTGGCATAAGAGCGCTCGGACCACCATGCGTTCCGTCCTGGTACGAATCCACAGCTTATACTCCGTACACTTCGTCGGATGATTTGTACCTTTGCCAAGCTCTTTGAAATTGTCAATGGTGGATGCGACCATTCGACAAGGAATTGCTTTTTAAAGACGAGTTCGATATCATTCTGAGGTTCCACTTTTCCCCAGACTTACGACGTTATAGATGTTCTTCATCTGCATCGCCTCTGATGACTGGCCCCCACCTTCCGCCGTTCAGTCTAGTCTCCAAGAAGAGCTCTTCATTGGACTATCGCCGGTCATCACTTCAGGCTGTTGCACGCCTGAAGATCGATCTCTGCCAATCGTATCTGGGCAGCACGAACTGCCCCAATGGACCCGGACCTCTTGGCAGGATCCCTGACTATTTTCTGCAATACCAGGGGTCAAATGGTCTGCCAAGCCACGCGCCAGACCCAAAGCCAAGGCGCCAGAATGGCTTTTCAGGGTCTTTCCTCGAATCACCGACCCGCATGTGAGATTGATGTCCCATATCCTGGGATGTACAATGGGGGAAAAGGGTGCGGTTGACGCCAGGAACGCCCTGTTTCCCCACACGGTCGTTCATTACTGTTCCCTTCTGCCCTTCTCCTCAGTCGCAATTGCTTCCGTGGTGACAGTTGGGTTAGCAGTCGACACGAGCAGAGCACCGATGATTGACGATACCGAGAAATTCCAAAGGACGAAGGACCAGGCCACACCGCGCGATCTGAGATAATGGCCCCTTTCGCGCTGATCACGCTCTCTACAATCATCGCGTCGACCCTGGCTGGGCTCATCAATGCAGCCAGTGACAACCGCACCTGTTACCACCTAGATGGCAGCGAAGCCTCCGGCCATGTTCCCTGTACGACCAACGACGTGACCAATTGCTGCGATTCTAGTGCAGTGTGCTTGAGCAATGGACTGTGTCTGCTGCAGGGAAATACAGGCCTTTCTTTCGGTCGTGCGACGTGTTCTTCCAAAGACTGGGAAACCCCATCATGCTTCGCACCATGTAGTAAGTACTGGAAATCCGGGGCAAAACCTGTTCGTGATCGTCCTTTCTAATCCCGCTCTTGCCTAGACCAAGAGTTCCGGAACGGCGGCTTGCCTATTTCGTTGGCCTTGTGGAATTCGTCAGATTCTTTGTATTGCTGTGGCCGTGTTATGAACTCCCAGAATGGAGACCTGACCTGCCACTATGGCAGCCCGTTCACTCTATCGCAGACCAATGTTCTTGACGGGGTCGCTTATCTCGCCAATAATACCTCGAACAGTACCTCCAACGGAAACTCCAGCACCACGCCAACTGACATATCAAGCGGCACGGAAAGTGATACCCCAAATAGTGAGTCCACTACGGCCTCGGGGGGATCTTCCTCGTCCCAACGTGATATCGCTATTGGTGTGGGCGTTGGTGTCCCTCTCGGTATCCTTGCCCTGGCATCTGTCGCCTGGGCGTTGTGGGAACGGCGCAGATTCTCACAGCTGAAGAGTTCCTCGCCTCGCTTGCAGGAACTTGGACTTTTGGAACTCAGTCACCGCTCAGCCCAGCCGGTAGAGTTGAGCGCCGCAAGCAACCCGTCAGAATTAATGGGGTCGATAAAGGACATCAAAGAGCATGAACCTCCGGTACCTTTGGATAGACGGGAACAATGAGCGTGTTCGAGCGGAGCGGGTGTGGGGAGACGTGTGCATCGTTAATCATCTATCGACTGTGACCTGGGGGTAAAAAGCCAGACAAAGCTCAGGCATTTACGGATGCAGGCCTCCTCAACAGAACTCTTCTTTGTCACATTGGTTATCAGACTCGTCATGTTGGTTACCCCTGAGTCACTACTGCCGACACGTTGCCCCCATTGTGACTCGCCGTGTTTTATGCCTTCTAAAACCCGGCATTTGCATATATTATTTAGTTCTGCATTAATCATAATTTGCGCACCAATCATGCGCGCCTTTGTCAGATTTATTCATTAATAATAGCATTGACTCGGAATTTCCCAATGAATTGTCAATACATTCTTTACTTCGCCAAGAATTAACACCCGGGTGATGCAAAGACCAAGGGGCGCACAGCCACAGCCCGGGTGCGCAGGATGTCAGGCAGAAGTCGACCGGCACTTCATTTCATAATCACAATTTAGATTCCTCAAGCACGTTTTAGACTCAAGATTCATTCCCAGCAATGTAGTAAACCCCTCTCCACAGCCCGATAGCCAGAGCAGCGGGATTTTGTTTGGATGAGACGATGAGGCTCTTATTTAAGGACACTCTCAGACCACATTCTCAGAGGCTGAGCGCCGAAAGTGGGGACCATATCCCTTCGGCATTATCCATAGCCTTGTGAGTCGGCTGTCGTCTGAATAGAACTCTGAAAGAGTATTATATTAGCGGCCGATGGCCAATCTTAATTCTGGTATCTTCGCTACTATCGACCTTGCATTCTTTTTTCTTCCTAGTTAATCAACATATCCCTGCGAATTCACTTCGCATATTATCTTTTATACTCTTCTACCTTTTGCGATGGCTACAGGCAATGGAGTCTCTTCGAGGCACATTCTTTTACTCTCAGTATATCTCAGTTCTGTTCTTGCGGGATTGTTCGGCCTATTTGAATTTGGTATCGAGGCTGGCTTGAAGGTTACGGGCACCGCTGTGGAGAAACTTCCCAAAAAGCCGCTCGCTAAGGAAGAAAGCTCTGGTATTGAAGGTGAACGCGCTTCAAGTGGTCTGTCCCGCGATTCTAGTCTTTCTAGTCTTGAAAAGGAAGGTTCTTGGAGCGGCGTTCCCGACAAAGCCGAAAAGGAATCAATACACTCCATACTTTCGGATATCGGTATGTCTGGCCGATCCCTATCTCGTGCTTGATGGATTCTAAAATATAAATGATAATTTTGCAGACCTGGCAAATAATTACTACAATCTTATCGATGGGCTTTCTTCCGCTATGTCAACATCCGACCTGACATCGGTCACAACATCAACATCGGACTCTCCTATGTCTACCTCAGCTTCCCTGATTACCCAAGTTGCTGTACCGACATCAGAAGCAGTTCTCAGATGCAATCTTTACTCGAACTTTACCTCCCTTTGCGGACCGCCAACTGTTTCTTTGGGGTCTCTAAAGCCAACTCCCACATATGCAGCTCTTTCGTCTTGTGCATGCTATTCAGCTACGCACTACTACGCCCATGTATTCGCCAGTGCTGCGACCGCATGCGGCGCAAATACCACCGCATACATCTCCCAAAGACCTAGCTCAGCCTGGTCCATCATCGCAACGTCTGCAAGGCCTAGCTTGGGCCTGTCTGGCGTGGCAATGCCTGTAAATCAAATGGAAAGATTTTGTGCGCCAATGGAAGATGCGAGGAAAGTACTTTCCTCCATCTTTGACCAGCTCACAGCATTGACGACCACAGCATCGGAGACCACAGCATCGGAGACCACAGCATCGGAGACCACAGCATCGGAGACCACAGCATCGGAGACCACAGCATCGAGGACAAGTTCTAGTCCTACAACTTTGACTGAGCCTAGTGGCGGCGCGGTGGCACTTGAAATATCTAGAGCAGGACTCAGTTTAGGCATTTTCGTCGGTATGATCTTTGTGTAGGATATATAGTGGAAACAACAGATTCAAGATATCTCAAAAATAACCGACATTTGATTTGGAATTCACGACGATAGTACACAACTTTGGGGTATACAAAAATCCACGGTCCGGAAGAAACAATGTCCCTCATGCTTGCTAACCAGCCTGATCGACAATAAAAAAGCAGAAAATCCTCGAGAGGCAACTGTGGTTCGCAATATTTCAAATTCGTTCCACTCGTACCTCGTCCCGAACACGAATGCCATTGTTGTTTTTATTTCCGTGCTGGCCCACAAGCACTTCCTCGTCGCTCCGGTTATCGCGCGTGACATGTGATTCGGTATTACCTTCGTTCACGCTGAACAAAGTCGCGTCTTTTGCGATATTTCGCATGCGAAAGCGATAGGAGTGGTTGGAGTCCGATTGTTTGACATATCCGTTTTCCGAGCTCTCCAAATTGGACCCGTGCACGATCACACGATAAAGAGGGCGGACGGTGGGAATTCCAACGCAAATGAGGGTGACTGCGAGTTCGACAGCCGACCAGATTATAAGGCTCACGGTATCCTCTTCAAAGTGGACAAAATGTATTAGTTTAAGTTCACAACAGTTTTTATCTGTTCGTTCGGAGTTCCATACCTGTATAGTTTGTGCTAGCCAGTCCCCCCAGCTCGATTGTCCGGATGATACCGCACACACAAGCCCTAACAGTGACGGTTAGTCGACAGTCTTGAATACTCCACCAGTGCATTGCGAACTTACACAAAGCCCAGGCTCAAGCTGATTGCGATGGACATCTTTTCCTTAAATTTCATGTTCAACTTCCAGATGAAAATCCATGGAAGCAGAGCGAAATAGAAATCCACAGCAGCGCACCATGCTAGACACGGCTGTAATAAGTATCATACTGTATAAGATGAATATTTCATCGTGGGGAGCAACCTACATCCAAGCAAAATGGAGAACGGCGTGATACCGACAACAGTACGACCGGGAACGCGTGGGTCATAAATTGATTCTGAGGGCAGACGCTGTACCCAGAAAAGAATGGCTGTCATCACGGACACGACGGACAGGCTGACCATGGATATCCAGATGGAGATACGATGCCATTGCTTGACAACGATACGGAGTAGAAAGATACCAAGGGACAGTTTTGCAATGGCCATTCCCAGAACAGCAAATGTCTGCCCGATCATCTCGTAATAAACAGCATTGACAGCGGAATCCATCTCAAGGGACGTTATCGATTGTCCAAAGCCATAGACGCCAGCGACTGTGACAAAAACGGTATATAGAAGAAGAAAGACCTGGCATATGATAAGATCTTCCATAACTCCATCGAATATTTGATTTTGGAGAGTGTCACTTACCCATGCCAGGTTGAACACATGGTCGTCAAGTCCCAGGGCCTTGATAATGTAGATACGAGTATAAAGTCGAAGCGGAACCAAAATGAAAGATATAAACGTCATCGCCCACATTACTGCGACGGCACGAAGGCCTTTTCCAGTCAGCATTTTGAATGGATCTGTATGAAGTTGTCAGTATAAGTCCGGGAGGAAAAGTTGGTGGACCGTGGAACTTGGCAAGGAGAACGAAGCTCAGGAATCAGATGGCATCCCCAGGATACAAATACATCGTCTTATATCCCAACCAACTCTTCATCATATAGCAACCGAGCAAAAGAACAATTGACAGAACGGTTGTGAGGTGTCGACAATCGTATAGGAATGCTTCTTGTTAAGTCCAAGCGAAGTTTATGACTGCGAAAAGGGGACATGGGTCCCATCTAGACCCATTGTCGCTCCTTTCCCATTATAGCGTGTTTTAATGGGAGCGTTATCAATTAACATCGCCGATCAAAAAAGCTGCTTCCAGATCCGGACACTGGCATTTCTACAGCTCCAAAATGGCTCGTGGTGGCACTCGCACGGGGTCCCAGAAACCTAGCGACCCGCGTTGTTGGGACTTTTGACAGGTGGGTCTTTCAACGGCATGCCGGCCGTGCACTCGACAGGTCAACTGTCAACAAGGAAGTACCCGCGGGGAAGTTTCAGAACAATGCCGGCACCGTTGCCTTCTCACTTAGCTTCGAATTCTCCTTACTCCCATAGGTCCGGCCAACCCAGTTCTGGACATTACCTTCATTGGAAGGTGTTTAGTGTCGTGGATGTGCATACGGCAGGCGAGTCGAGACAGAACAAGATGGAGGTCCGAAAGTTTATGCCGCATTAAGTTCCACCGTGACACAGGCTCTTTTTTCAAGGGGAGATGATCGACGACACGACAGTGTGTGCTTGCTCCACGTTCTAGCCATTCTTATATTGGGAAGTTCGAGACCGTTTCAGGGGGCTGTTTCAACTCGCAAAAGTTCCTGTGAGCCATCATATCTACTTGCACTTCCATACCACGAAAATATGGACTCCTTTTCTATGGCAGTTCCAAGCTTGACTACCAAGGACAGTGTAGTCCTACTTTTATATGCATTTTTGGCGGCTTTACCGGCTTGGTATTTGACGGCATATCTTATTTCCCCCCTTCGCCGAGTTCCCGGTCCTTTCCTGGCGGGTAAGTTCTCAGCTATTGTCTTCTCTCCGTGTCATTTACTGGCCCCGTTTGATTTATCCACATGGACTAACTCCTATTTTGATTCTAGGATGGACCAATTTGTGGCGAATGTTTCATGTCCGGCAGGGCAAATACCACGTCGTCATCGCAGACCTTCACAAAAAATACGGACCAGTCGTTCGCATCGCTCCTAACGTTCTGGACCTAGATTTCCCACAGTTGATCAAGACTCTTTACAACACGAAAGCAAATTATCTTAAGGTCTATGTCACATGCTGAGCATGGTTATCATTACTTACTGACTCTAATAGACTGAATTCTATCATGGAAGCAGTGCCAAAAATAATGGAAAAATTATTTATAATCTCTTCAGTGAATGTAATCCAGAGGTTCACGCTCGTCAGAAGCGACCTATCGCGCAGCACTATTCGATGACCGGTGTTCTTCCGCTAGAGCCGCATATCGACCAAATGATTGGCTATCTATGTGAGCGCCTAGAAGAGAAGTTCATCAATGATTCTAGTTCCAATAAAACCTGTGACCTCGGTGAATGGATTGCGTTTTGTAGGTCAAATATCTCACCACCCCTTCTTCGTTCTTGCACTGACATTAAAAGATACCTGGGACGTTGTTGGGAAGGCTACATTTAGCCAGCCCATTGGTTACCTAGAGAAAGGCCATGACTTTGATGGCACACTTGCTACAGCCGATATTGCGATGGACTACTTTACTATGGTGGGACAGATGCCCATCCTGGATCACCTCCTGGATAAGAACCCCGTATACCGAATCGGTCCACCGTCATTTGGCAACATTACGAACATATCTATTCAGCATCTTATGGATCGACTTCAGGGGAAGGACGGTGATTATCATGACCCACAGAAACCCGACTTCCTCGATAAGTTCATTGAGGCGAAGGAAAAGTTCCCGGATGTTGTGAATGATATGCAAATCATTTCATATTTGATGATCAACATGATCGCCGGGGCTGATACAACAGGCATCACTCTCAATGCAGCTCTGTATTTCTCGTTGAAGAATCCCCGTGTGTGGAGTCGCCTGAGAAGTGAAATCCCAGCGTACGATCCCACTTCCACAAACTCCGTTGTGTCTTTCAAACACGCCAGGGAATGTCAATATCTTGAAGCAGTGGTACGTGAAGCGATGAGATGCCATCCTGCTGTCGCGATGCTTTTGGAGCGGTATGTACCGGAAGGTGGTCTCACTCTTCCGACTGGACAGTGCATTCCTGCGGGCTGTGTTGTTGGCATGAACCCCTACATCTTGGGGCGAAATAAGTCTGTTTGGGGTGAAGATGCCGAGGAGTTCCGACCGGAACGATGGCTTTGGGACGACTCCCAGGAGAGCCAAGAGGAGTTCCAGGAACGTCTGCGGGTGATGAACAATGCGGATCTGGCGTTCGGTGGTGGAAGTCGCGTCTGTATCGGCAAGAACTTGGCTCTCTTGGAGGTTTATAAAGTTTTGGCCACACTAGTCTCCCGTTACGACATGAAGTTAGCTCAACCTGATAAAAATTGGGCCACACATAATAGCTTCTTTGTTCGACAAGAAGATATTAAAGTCAAAATCTCCCGGCGGTACTGAGAATATATATAACTTGTTGAACGGAATGCCTCAGAAAGATAAACCTGAATAACAATATGACTGATCCTATTTCCATGCACAAATACTGAAACCTGTAAATTATACAAAATGGAATAGCGACGCCGAGAAGATACTGCTTTCAAGTAATGCCTTCCTTATTCAAGAACCCATGGATTCTCCGTAGCAACATACTCGTAAAACTCTTCAGAGCATTGTTCTTATGCTTAGAAAAATGCTGGAAGCCTCCTTAACATTCTGATTCAACCAGCATTTGGGGATTAGCCAAACAAGGGAGTCAATAACTATCAATAGGAATACCATTCAAACTACCTTCTAGATATCCACGTCTAGATATACACGAGACTGAAAACAGAGTATTAAATCGATATTTACTTATAATCTAGGGGCCGTTTTCTATTTTCTGATTATATAACTCTCAATTATACATTAAGATCTAGATTTAATTGATGAAAACTAAAAATCAAACAATAGTCTTCATCTCGAATTCCGGTAAAGAAGCGGTCTGAGTGATGAAATCATTCGGTCTTCATGCATCAATGGGTGTTTGGAATGGGAATCATTACCTATTCAAGGGTTGCGACTGTGGCTTCAAACCTGCTGTGGTGTCTATGTGACACCATCACTTGTGTGTGTGAATTCTTGCGGATGCGGAGGTGGGGAAGGTGGGCTTGTGGGGTTTCCGGTCTAATGCATTTCAATGGTAGCATCTAAAGACGGAAGTCGCCGGACGGTTGTTCTTCCATTTAGATACATAAACACCATGACTGTACATTAATACGTCAAGTACTAGGAATAGCTGATAAAGCTAGGGCTTTTGCAATTTTAGATACGCTTCTTGAGACGTTGGGTTCACTCATTTCGGTATGCGGGGTACATAAAACAGAGCCAAAGATTTGGCTAAAGACTGGGAGTGGCCATGTATCCATAATGTGACTAAGTATGGTTCGTCCAAAAATAGATTCCTTCTGTTTGGCTGAACTGGTGACCGTTCTCCGCCCAACCACATGAAACGATCATTGATCATAAGTCCTACTCTGTCTTCTTCGTCCAATTCTGGTTTCTTACATCCTTATTGGAGAGCAAGTCCAATAATTTCTCCATCGCGAGCCGTCTGTCCGGATACGGAAAATCCCGGTCGCCTGTTTCAGAAAGCAATCCAGCTCTCGGCACTACCAGTCTCAAGTGCACTAAGGCTTAAATGCATCAGGGGACATGAAGTTCTCTCAAACTCCCCTGCGACTCCAGCCACTGAATCATTGATCTGGGTCTTCTAACTCACCAAAAGTGCTGACAAGTTTAACCTTCTTCCGGCTACTTTACCGAACGAACTTCCTTGTTTGTCATTAGACTTCCTTGATGTCTCAGTGTTTCTTTACTCTCTTTCCAGATGAACGAAAGGCTTGAGGCTTATCGAGCTTAAACCGTGGTTATTGGGAGGTCTGTACTGTCATTACTTGATAAATCTACCCGAATGATTGTTGATACCAGGATGTTTGTACTGGATCCATGGTTACTTACGTTGCCACTCAGACTAGGCCCAATAATGGCATCGACAATCGTTCCCAATGAATTATGCTGCAATTTGTGAAGCTTAAGAACGAATCGGATTTTTCTGTAAACGAAGATCCTCAAGTAAGATGCGCCAGTATGACGTCTAAAATATCTTGAAATAACCGCTCAGATGATTCCACCTCAGATGTTATCCTGTTCCTACATAGAGTTAGCTGCGAAAAATTATAAATTTGAGGTCACTTCTCCACTTCAAGTAGTGTCTTACTTTCTCCCAAGACTTAATTTACTCAATATCTTTGTCTCCGTCTATTCAGCATCTGATTAATCCTTCTCCATCTTTATTCGTGATAAGCTTTCACAATGAAGCATCTTCTCATCGTTGTTACATTTACCGCAAGCGCCATAGCCCTTACTGCTCGAGATGGAAATTGCTGTTTCCATCTCACGGCCTCCGGTAGTGTTTCTGGTTCTGTAGGCCAATTAAGCGACGGACAAAACCGTATCGGAGACAACAGTCTGTCGCCTGCGGAATTTTGCATTAGCTCAAGTGGCTCTATTACCGATGGAAGTGGTAGGGGATGTATCTTAACTCGTGAGTACGGTATTATCCTGATTAAAGCAAAGGAAATAAATTAATGGATAATTTAGCACCAACTACTCAATTTCAGTGTGACGTCGGAGCGACTCCGACTTCTGGATTCTCTATCGACTCTTCTGGCATGCTGGAATTTGACGGAAGTGACACATTTATTGCTTGCGAAACTGGTCAAAATGGAGGATTGAATATCTATACCACCGAAAGCAGTGCACTCAGTCAATGCAGGAAAATCCGCCTTTCTGCAGACTCTTGTTCTGCATCTTCCACCTCGCCAAGCACATCGCCTTCTTCCAACAATTGTGGGACTACTTTATCGACTGGAAGCTTTGAGTTTCCTCATTTGATTGTCCCTGTGAATTCACAGTCACCAGATACTGCATTTGGGACTCAGTTTAATGGCACAGTGACCTCCGACATTTCAAGCATATTCAATTTCGACATTCCTCAATCTGATTCTGAGAAAACATGCAGCCTGGTTTTCCTTTTCCCTCACAAAGCGGACCTTGAGACGTCATCCTTTACCTTTACGGGTGATGGAAAAATTGATTTTGCTGAACTATCTGCGCCTGCATCCAGCACCACTACCTTCAAAAATGCCCCTGATATTTCTAATGACCTGGGAGAAATTCAAATTTCCCCAGGAAACTCTTTCGTCGTTTCAACCTTCACATGCCCTGCTGGAAAGACAGTTGCCTTCGAAATGAGTACCAGTGGTGACACTGATCTTGATTTCTTCCAAGATTTCAACCCCGCTCCGTAAGTCGTGCTAAACTAATCTCTATTTCTATCAACGGACTAATTTTTTTTGGTAGGCTGGGTCTCTTCATCACTGTCTGCTAAAGGTCTTGACTTGTGCGACAAAATTGACCTCGATCAGTCACTGGCTAATCATTATCCCAGAGAATGTATTTGTTACAGTATATTAGTTGAGTGATGTATGGCTTGGACATTATTCAGTGGGTTATTTTGTCTTCTTCTACTAAAGAATAATGGGGTTTACTTAAAAAAATATATGGCTTTTCACGGTTCTTATCCCACATGTACTTTCAAGATGTTAGAGCAGATGAAATGCGGACTATATCCCATTGTATGTCTGTAGGTATTATACAATGGATCGCCCAATATTTTAAGAAAACCTTCCTCGCCGTATTGATTCCCACCAGGTCCCACCGCTGTGGCGCCGTCTTCTCCATCCACCTCGACCAGTCGCCCGCGAATGCCGGTCGCATTATCTGCGCATACTCCCAGTAATCCGAGTACCACCCGGCATACTCCCAATCCAAAAGACCAGTGATCCGGCTCTGCTCATCGATTATGATATTGCGCGGCGCGATGTCCGTATGCGTGAAGACAGACTGCTCCGAGCGGGGTAGCATGTCCGGTAGTCGGTTCTCATAGCGTCCGCCTCCGTAGTGGAGATACCGGTCATAAATCCTTACTCGTAGCTCGGCATCACTACACAACGGCGGCGCTGGGGACTGGAGATCTTCGAGCAGCGCGTCTTGGGAGAGAGAGCCGTCCACATTGAGATCACTCGAAGGGGAACTTAGTCTGAAGACTGACTATTGCCGAGTCTCTAACTCTGTGGGATGACCTCGGTGCAGGAGGAATGAGAAATGCAGGTTTCCAGACAACATGTATTCGTCCTAAAATTCGATATTCTCAATATCACTATCGCTCCATCGACTGAGACCGGGCCTGAGAAAAGCACGACTAATACCTTGATATTTTGTCCATGATCTTGAATGTCCCGAATCTCCAATTCCTCTAGAGCTTCATGACTTCGATCCCTCACATAATAAGAGATGGAGCAAGTTCGTTCAAATGATTCGTCCATCGCCCCGGTCCCTTATACGACCAGATTGCAGGGAGAGCTTGCATTCCCGAAAAGACATTTTGGAATTTCGTTTTGATGAAAATTCGGCTCATCCAATCGAAGAAAAATTTTCGATGGTAGGGATCGGTACTGTCTGCTGCTGCAATAAAACAAACCCATACGAGGGAATGCGATCCCACTTGGTCGGGGCTGATTCGAGAAATAAGAGATTTGAGGTCTTCCAGTGACTTCCATTGATCTTGATCAGAGGCTACCCGTCCTAAATAAATGTGAGATGCTTTGATAAATGCCGTTCGGTATAGATATAGGAGCTCGGTGTGCTCGGAGTCGACAGGTAGTTCGCAGTAAGTCCAATCGAGAAATTGCTCAAGAGGCAAGCACAAGGCATTTACCCCTTGGCGTTCACCCAGCAGTGGCTGCCCAAGAAACTTAAACCTAGAAAGAAGATATTAGAGAATATTTTGAGGTAGTATCCATCCGGATAGCAAATACATTTGTGTTTGTTTGGTGAGAAAAAGTCTTTCTGCAGAAGGTGTCATTCCATCGATGTTTTGGGAAAGGCAGATCATGGTCTGGAGAAGATGACTATACTCAGCGCTTCCAGTGATTGTTTCCCCGACTAAGAGAACGATCAAGGTAGCCCAATTCGACAGGGTGAATACCCGATCCGTAGACATCTGTAAAGATTCCTGACAGAGGTGACTGATTATGGCAGCTCGGCTTTCTTCAGCAAAGCGTTGATGGCTTGGATCAGAGAGAGCTATATGCTGAGTTGCCACCACTACTATCGCTTCTCGTAGCAACTTGTCTTCACAAGCCAGAGGAAGTAGGATATTTCGATAGCCATTTGACATATTATCAAACACCACCATCACAGGAGCGACATGATTTGAAACTAAAACAAGATTAGTAGACGAAAAGAGCAGTTCTGCTGGCTCCAACGAGAAGGTTCTCACAGTGTGACATGAACATTCGCGCTCGAGGGCTCAAAGGGGCAACCCAGGGGTCGATCCGTATGCACCATTGTGGCTCCAGATCCCGGTCGCAAACATCTTCGCGCGAATTTTGGGCATAACCGAAGTCGCCGGCTATGTTGCTGCATGCTATGATCCGCGGTGGAGACGGCTGTCCTGGTTCGGCTGCCCCCGCTCCAGACGTTCGGTCAGCTAAAGCCAATGCGCCCCTCACTTGATCAGGCGTGATACTGTCCGACAACCCCAGTTGCCCCTGGGAGTTTTCCGCGTCTCGCTTCGGGGTGCGTGTCGCATTTTTCCGACTCCGACGCACAGGGGCATCGTTTTTCCATCGAATTTGGCGCGGAGAGCAATTCGCAACCCATACTTGTCTCTCAAGGGCTGCCTCTGGCGACACGCTGGCAACTGGAATGGTGCATCCTTTCAGCTTTCCACGCCGAGCCACTCCGGTGGAGAATCGAATCCGACCGGATCCTGAACATTCTAAGCCCTTTTTTTGGCACTTTAGGCAGACTGGCTCCCGACCATCACAGACTATCCGCCTTTTGGAGCATTGAAAACAGCCTGCATAAGGTTGCCGAGAAGGATTAACGTTACTGTTACACAGCAGGAGGTCCACCAAATCGCGGGACCACGTGGCTCACCTTTACTTTCTTTACTTTTATCATCCTGGGTGGACATTGGCGAGGCTAAATAGTCGCATACGCTTTTCCGGCTGTTCTCGAGATCTGGTAATATGAATGGCAATGGGTGCAATGGACTGGTTGTCGGGGAAAGCTGTAGGTGCGGGGGGCGGACCAGATAAAAGCGGATCCCGCGGTCCGAAGCGAACGAGTAGGCCAAGCGGAACCGGCCTTCCTGCGTCCAGACGAATTTCAGATACAACATCACTTACCCTAACAAATTATGGACACCATATTCCAGAGACTACTTTGTGGTGCCGATTGCAGAAAATTAACCTTTCACTTCTAATAATGGGTGCATGCTGCGGAGGTTTGGGAACTCCAGTCTAATGGCCAAGTATTTTTCCCGCAGGAGAGAAAAAAAGAGAGATCCATTTCTATTTCCATTGCGATTGGGTCACAAGCAGCCTCTTGCCGTTCGAGCTTCAGTTTAAGAATGGCTTTTGGGCAACAACTCTCATCAACTTCAGCGGGTGGGATTTTCCCTCGTCGCAAAGACGCTGATGCTTCACAAGCAGCTCCCCAGCCTGCTTTGTCGCTTCCTCGTCAGTTGCAACCTGTCCAGATCTCACCAGAAGACTTGCATATAGAGTTTCGATAATCGCACCGAATCTTTGATCTGTGTCAAGACGGATATTGCTGTCCCAATCGGAACTATAGGCCAGGCGCGTAACATCTAAGAAGCCGGCTGCTGTGCACTCGTCGTAGACCTTCGCTGATGCCTGAAAACACTTGCCTTCGGCTTTGAGAGACAGCTCGAAACATCTTCTGATCTCCATGATGGCAGGGTTTGTGTCAGATATATAGGTTTCTTCATCTATCTCCTCCCACTGAAGGAAACCACCAGGTTCTAAAAATGAATAAGCGCTTGCGTTGAGACGGGGATCAAAATATTGGCACAGAGAAACATACTCAGGATTGCATGAAGATTGCAAATGGCTGTTGACTATCCTTATCACTAAGCATGCTAGGCCTACCTAGGCGAGGTATAGAATTAATAGTGTAGTGTTCTGTATAGCGTTTTAATATATTATATATCGTCTTCGGATCACACGCAAAATCCCGTGCTAGCTACGCCCTAGATACACTATTATCGGTAGTATATACTATTGCTAAACGCTGTTCAGGGGTAAGCTTACCTTTTTTTCTTCGTTTTCTAGCAGATTCTGCTAGATTATCTGTCATATCAGTGTTGTAGAAGGAAGAAGAAAATTTAGAATAGATAGTTGTTATAGCAATTAAAAGTAGGGTCGTGAAAAACTTTGAGCCCCTATGTATTACCTGGTCAAGGCATGGCCTGATTGCTATTCTCATTATCAGGCCGCCCTCATGGCGTGCGACTTAATACAGTTCTGACACCCCAGGCATTAGGCAGCTCTTGTATAAATACCCTTGTATGAGAGACTGAATCTGGTTTATCCTTTCTACCTGTTTTTGAGCCGCCTCAGCAAACTCGACATGCTATTTATCCCGTCCTCAACCAGTTGTGGCCTGTATGTGGCTGCATCAAGAGGTGTGGCTGGCCTTTTGGCAGATTCTCCCGCAGCCGCCTAGTATAGCTGGCTGACAAGATATTGGAATTTTTCCATCCGGATGCAGCAACGGCCAAATCCCATGGCCAGAAAGAAATGATTACTAGATATATAGTCTATCATCAACCGGAATGGTCGCTATTTTAGGGGATACTATATAAGAGTTATGGGATAATATCACATTTTTAGATCCAGCGGTTACCAAAGCTTCGCCAAAATACCGTAATAACAGTGCATCTGTAGAAGGTCTAGTTATTTCATCGCTCATAAGGGTCGCACCTTTCTTCCGATCTTGAATCAATTAGTAAAAATATCTTATGTCTTACAATAAGGAATGAAAGGAAGAAAGTCAGACAAGATGGTGGTCAGACAAAAGAAATTCAATTACGGGGACGGGATGAAGGAAAAAATGCGAAAGAGCGAGAGATAATTCAAATAGATAAGAGATTTCTGCAACGGCACGCAACAGACCAGACATCAAGCATCCACAGATGTGAATCGCAACGATAACTAGATTCTTATTAGTTATTGATCCAAAATCGGGTCGCATTCATATCAGCGTGTTTCTAGCTACGCGATTATTACCAAGTCCTTACGTGTTATATCATAAATATAAGCGTTTGAAAAGGTCGATCAAAAAGAAAATTCAAAATCTTTGCCTTATGACTGAATTATGCCGAAAATCCCTGAATTCTAACTGCTCTCTCTGTTTCGGAACATTAGGGGAATTCCCATTCATTGAATAGTATTCACCTACGAATCAATACCTCCTTCGAGTCATAAACTAGGGCCAGTCAACTAGCCGCAGCAAACAGTGGCCTCGTTAGCGACGCTTGTTTGCTTGTTGACCCTATTTATAGTATCATGCAATGTAAGAAGATTTTTCAAACGAAACGTACTGGGTAGAGAAAGCTTACTCCAAATTGACAGGTTCCCAGGAGAAAATAAATGAACCGATGTAGGCACCAATGAAGATACAAATAATAATGTAGCCGTTGTAGTACATGGCGAGGCTAAATGGCATAAGTACCTGATGATTTAGGAGATCGGGAAGTGATGGGTGCTCACAGCATGACAAAGTAAGCAACCGCAAATTGAACCATATGCAAAAAAGCGCGAATAGACTGTTGCAGTATCGTAGGAGTGAATTTTTGAGACACAAAATTTGAACTCAAAGCCTCAACCGACGTCGACACCTCTGACCTTGACTGTCGAAGACGTAATGTATGAGTCCTAAGCAGAGAACGGTCATACTCCTTTCCAAGGCGACGAAGGAATTCAAGAGATATGACTAGGCAAATAACTCCAATACAGGAACCGGCAAACATTCCATTGGAAGTGATCTGCCATGATTCTGCAATAAAGCATGAGTCGACCGTGTTCCAGTTCCATAGCATCTAATAACACCATTAGAAAAGCTTCAAGGAGCCTTCAATCTAAAAGCAAATACCGAAATTTTGCAGGAATTACCCATGCTCATTTCCATGCTCAGAGTAGAGGTAGATGAAGCCGAAGTGGCTGTCGCAGTCGTGCTTGACATAGCGTTGTTTGCCGTCGTCGTGGTCGCCATCGACATGTCCATGATGGCAGTTCAAGATAATTCGGTGAACTTAGGACTACAGCTGAAGCTAGTCGCCGAGAAAACAATTAATATAGCCAAATGCTTTTCGTCGGCAATATAGTCATAAAAGCAAAGAATTTATCTGATTCCAGAAAAGGATTAGGAGTTTGAGCGGAATTGAGCATATTCTTGTAGCTGAAAGCCAATCATATTCTACCGCTACGGCTCCGCACAAGTTGCATATTGTGGCAGGTACAAACCCATACATAGTTCCTTCGACCTCCTCTTGTCTTTTCAAAGTTGAGAAAATTTGACTGTTTACATCTTGCCATTACTTATTGATTAAAGGGTATGCTAGATCGCAAATCTTTCCAGCAAGCTTGAGTTCTCAAGTTGAAACTCTTGGGAGCACCCGACAAAAGTCTTTTTGGCTGAAAGTTGTAAAGAGATAGAATTCCAATGAATAAGCATGGTTGAGTGAAATTGAGGCAAACTTCAAGAGTGGGATACGAGTTGTGTATCTCAGCTAAAAATCACATGAAAAATAGGTGGACAAAGTGAAGTTAGCGATAATTATAACACGGACGGCAGAATTGCCGACCAATCTTTGTAGCAGCGGCAGCCATGCGATAGCCAGGTGTTTTGGGGGAATGGTGAATATTCTACCCAAGGCTGCTTCATAATAGAGTTCTCTTAATAAATCGCTCAATTTGATTGACTTACGATGACCTGAGGTTATCCCATGACGGTTAAGTCTGGGCATAGAACTTCCTAGAACGTCTGCCTAAGCCAGATTAGGTCCTGTGGAAGTGTGATATTTTCAATATATAGGTAAGTATTGTTAAAACCTGGACCCTTATACTGGAGCTCAATACTATTACTCGGAAGTCCTGGTTCTAGATCCTTATATATTGGGCAAAAAGGGACCCTTTGCCTACTACCTATCCAATAGACACCTTTACATAATCTGCCTTAAATTCCGTAACTTGGCATTAGATGTCACGCTTTTTACTCTTTTTCTTGAGCTTTCTTCTACCTTGACCCAATCATTGCAGTTAAAAACTATAGAGATCCTTTCCTGGGCCTTCCCCACTGCATCTTCAATCTTCCCTTTACGAAGAATATGATCCACGAGTGGAAATCGCGATTTGGGTTAAATATACCGTATTGGGTAAGTGGCGGTCTGCAGAATGGCTCAGGATTGATGGACATAATACTTTCGGCTCGCTGAGAGCAGACACTCAGGCAACTTCTCCATGTATTCCTGGGTCTCCTTCCTAGCACTCACACTATCCCCAGAGGCTGGGCCTAGGTTTCAGGCAGGTGTAGCTTTATCTAAGTTCAATACGTGGATACATGATAGGAAATAATCTAGCCTCAATGAAGAGTATCGGGATTTACAAACTTCATTTTATCGATTAGATTTGGAAAAGCACTCCCTGGGAATATTTTTAAACTGCTTTCTGTTTATAGACGGGGTCGAGCAGTAGATTTGACAAGTTGAAGCTCTTCTTTTATCGCCATCGCAGCACGTGTTCCTTCTTCAATAGCTCCATCAATAAAGCTCCGCCATCCAACAGCCCAATCAGAATTAGCAAAAAGAATATTGCCATGTCGCTCTCGCATGGCGTCCAGCGAAGTTGACAAGAGACCTGGGGGAGGGGAAAACCACGCCCCTTTTGCAAACTCATCCTTACTCCAATTATGAAAAACCTAAAGTTCAATAAGTAAAACGTTCAATATTTGAAGAACAATTGGTTGCTTACCAGTCTCTTTATATCCATATTCCCCGGTGCCATGCTCTCGACCGCCTTTTTGGTCTCATTCACATTATCTTCTGGGTGAATATGGTTATGAAATCCACCAAAGCATACAATGTGAGTGTTTCCGGCTGGCGTTGTCCCATCACCTATCGCATAGGCAAGCTTATTGAAGGGATAGGAAATTCCTGTCCAGGACCGCATCTCTTTGCTTGCTATTTCAGCATGGACCTTGACACATTGATTGACATGGCCAATTCTTGATGCAGCTTGACGCTGCACACTCAGGGGTGGGTCGAATGCAATGGTATTGAGAACGTTGAGTGGAATTGTGGAGACCAGCCGAGCCGCTGTATACTGACGGCCATCTCGAGCGGTTATCTTGACCTTGTCTCCCTGGTCAGTTATTGCGTTGACTGGGCTATTGAAGGCGTAACATAGGTTTTTCGTTGCAAGAGACTCTCTAAAGAACCTTATGGCAAAGCTAGACTGCCCTTCCTTGAACTTGTAGGATATTAAATGGTCCATGCAGCCTTGATAAGTGTAACCGGACAGAGCCCACCAATGAAGCATCTCAAAGAAACTCGTTGTTTCTAACGTGCCGCAGCTACACAGAAGAATAAAGCTCTCCAGAGCCATGCGTTCATTGGGTGTTAGCGACAAGGCGATGGCATCCAAGCGGTCCTTTGCAGACATATTGTCGTATTGGCGCGCCTCGGGCACATGGAACGCATTGTGCGGGAATGGGATAATCCTCCTTCCCTTTTCACCATCAACATCCACGAACTTCTCTATGGCCGTGGAAAGAAGTGCATCCTGAAAAATCAACTGTCAATTTACATCGCTAGGAAAAAGAACCAAGATGCATCGAACTAGGGAGCTTTCAACAAACCTCATCTGTGTGACTCATTATTGTCTGTCCTTGATTTGTCCGCAACTGGAAATGATTCACTCCACGGGAGAAATCGAACGAAGGCTCCATCTCTTGTCGCATCTGATACCTAGATATTTCACGCCAGACATGCGATTGTCCCCAATGTACCCATGTTCCCCCCATTTCAAACGGATAGCCTCCGATATTTGAAGACCATGAGCGCCCACCAATCCGATCCCGTGCTTCCACTAGAAGCACTTTGTGTCCTATCTTCACTGTGAGTGTTGCGCTCTGAAGCCTGTGCCTTTTCGCGTTAGCCTACCTGAAATACACAAGTCGCGAGCAGTAGTCAGCCCGGAATATCCAGCTCCGATCACAATAACATCCCAGGGCCCCGCGGACGAATCGATATTTGTGGCAGGTGAGATAACCCCAATGGAGGGCACTCCTTGGGAAAGACCAGTCTCTGCCGTCCACTGGTAGCCATCACGAGAGGTCATCTTGTTTGCTGGATCTTTTAGTTCGAGTGCGACTGGAAGCTGTCAGCAGGGGCAATAGATGAGAAAACAATCCACATCGAGGGTGAAAGAATGTTCAATTTATGCCAAATGACTTTCCGATATCGGATTCTATATCTCTGATACAACATCCAATACTATCACGCCGGCATTCTAGGCTGTGCAAAGTCAGGCACGAGATATCGAGAAATCAAAGATATCCAAAAAAAATTACCCGAAATGGTTAAATATAGGAGAATTCATCGTCACTCTCATGCTATCTCGCTCAGGGCATATTAGATGACGAGTTAACGTCGATAAAATAATCAGGCGAATTCAATCTCAAAGCTTGAACAACTCACGTGGATCTCCGTACTCAAATTACCCGATTGGGGCAGTAATGCGAGAAACCCGCCCATCGCTGTCGATCCAATCATCGTGGCCACGATTGTTGCTGAGAATGCTGGAATCTCTCAATTACTGCCATTGGCTCATTGGTTGTCTCGAACGAGCTGAAACCAGCTGTAGCTTATGCCCGCCAATAGGGCCTTTTATGGTCAAGGGATATTCGCATAGATTCCATAATTCCATGGCACGGAGATCCAGGGAAGTGCGGTGCCGGGCAAACTTCCGCGGGCCGCCCTTCTTTCCCCGCACTTCCAGCTCGCAGCTTCGCGTTATCGTCTTTGCAAGTCTTCTCGGTCGGTTTAGGCCAATTGGAAAATTCGCAGTATCTACGTCCGTAGTTGTGCTCATAGGACTGCATTTGTCATGGATATGAGTATCGATACCCTACACGCAGCAAGTATCAGGCGCATCCGCCAGGCGTGCGCAAACTGTCGGTACGAATTCTCAAAGTGCGACTGGCCGACAGCCGCCGAGCGATATGACTGTCACTGACCACCAACCATCTTTTATCATGATAGGAGGAAAAAGACCAAATGCTCCGGCGAGCGTCCGATATGTTTCCACTGTCGTCGCAACCGCCTTGTATGCGTCTACGAGCCCTACTCAGCGACCGTATGCGGCGTGAACCCTACAGCCCCGATGTTGACGACGACCATATCGAACAATCCGAACAATCTGACCAATCCAAATAATCTCAATAATCTCAATAACGTCTGTTTTAAGCCAAAAGCAAATAGATTATATGCCAATACTCATTCGATATCAGACAGAGCTTCTAAACCGTATTGCGACGATCGAGTCGCGCCTCGCGGAACTTAGTGAACAGAGTGCAAGTTTTAGGGGGTTGGTACTCATCCAGATTTCAGGCCAAAATATCCTGGCTGACATCCATCTTGCAATGTTCTGTTCAGAAATCTGATCGCCAATCCAGACTTGAATGGTGCTCAAAAAGTCCTACAAACTGGCCATACCCCAGATGCTCTCAGGTTCACACCACTGGCAAGCTCCCCTATAGATCATTCGTAAGTCGAGTGTTGGAAGATAATTACATAGCTCCTGGATAAAGTCTGACTATTCCTTCTACGCGAATGATGCAGAACATTTCCTCCACCTCCTGTCCTCAACTCCCTGATTGATACTTATTTCGAGCATGTTCACAATCAGCCATATTCATACTTTCAGGAAGCCTCATTCCGCCAAAAGCTGGAAGCTCATTCTCTCCCACGATGTCTGGTTCTAGCTGTTCTTTCATTTGCTGTCCGATTCTCCACGCATCCTTACTATAACGGAAGGACACACGATGCCTCGAACAACTATTCCCGAGAGTCATGGCTCTCAGTTCTGACTGAGCATTTGTCGGTGGAGGTTAGCTTAAATGTTCATGTAGTCCAAACAGTTAATCTATTAGCTGTGGTGGACTATACGGGTATGAGCAAACTCCTTTTTTTCTTGAAAATCAAAACTTGCTGATTTTGATTGCCTTGCATAGCTGGTCGCGTGAGCTCAGGTTGGCTGAAAGTCGGACTGGCTGCTCGGATTTCTCAAGATCTTCATCTGATGACAGAACCCCATACGTGGCTACCCTATACGGAACAGGAAGAACATCGAAGAGCCTTCTGGTCTGCCTATCTCATCGATAAACTTATCTCCTGTGGTAGATCCCGACCTCTGGTTATTCTTGATGCCGACTGTACTGTCCAGCTACCTTGCGACGAGCAGACATTCAATAAAGGCGAGTGGAAGCAGACAAACACCCTTGATGAGCTACTCAACTGGAAGTCAGAGCTCGTTGAAAGCCCGAGTGGATTCGCTCTGGTCCTGCTGATGGCTTCCATACTCGGGCGTTGTACAAGGTATGTCTATCACAATATAAAGACAAATGACATCCCGCCCTGGGACACCAAATCAGAGTTTGCCGCCATCAATTCATCCTTACTCCTGTTGGAGTCATATTCCAAAATTGGCACATGGGGAGTTGCAAAAATTATCCGACAGGAGGGACAAGACCAGCGGCAAATTGGACATCTGATCTTTGCCCATGCTCTATTCCATCTTTGTCACTGCCTCTTGAATCATCCTTTCCTCGTTCGCTTGCGCCTCAGCCCGTTCGGCTCCAAGGCACCAGCTAGCTTTTCCATTCGAGCGCTTGAAACCGGATGTGACCATGCGAAAGGGCTGATGGATTTGCTGCTAGAGGCGACAGAAAGTGGGTGCCGTATCGAGTCTTCATTTTATGCCTACTGCATTGCTGTTGCTGGGGGCATTCATTCACTTGCCTCACATTTTGAGCATCAAAGCGAAACACGTCGCCAGTCCGATAGTCTGCACTACTACAATCAGTGCCTAGAAGCACTGGAAAGCTTAGCCAAGCTCTGGGTTCATGCTTCAAACATGGCAAGGAATTCCCAGTCTACCAATAACTGACATCAACTAATAATCTTTTTTAATCCAGGTTGTTCGACTTCGAGAGTTTCACAGCATCTCCCATCGCTTTTCTAGCTTGCTGGATCCTATGTGCTTAGGTCAAGATCTGAATACTTCCTCTGAGGAATTTTGCTGGTCAATGATAGATTACGCTATATTGGGGGCAGAACCGCACAAAGAGCCGCTCACCTCTAATTCCGCCACCTCAAACCTGCCGTCTCCCAACTCTTTGAGTCTTGGACCTCACGTTCTTAGTACACCACCCTCAAGGTTTGATGCTCAAAATTCCAATATTTCCGACGGCCTTTCTCCAACAATGCGACTTAATGAAGTAGATTATTTTTTGAATTATAGCCCTGGGACCAATGAATTGGCTTGAACTATATATATCCGATCCGCCAAATTCTTCTGATCGGCCCGGCCTGTGTTCGGTCCGAACGGACCGTTCACCTTAGTCTACTCATTTTTGAGAAGAGAAAACATAGGTAAGCAGAAATCACAAAAATAAAAAAATCCTTCGACATCCCATGCCAACATCACTTGCGCAAGATTTTCTTCGTCATGTGCAAAAAGGATCAAATATCGCCTTGAAATGCCGTAATTTCGGGAACAGCCGCAGCTGTCTTGGCGAATGTCCTTGTCTACCCTCTTGATATGTATGGTTGGCAGTTTCCCTCAGTGATATTACAACTGATAATCATACAGTGCCAAGACTCGACTACAAGTTCAGGTTCAACCACAAGAACAACTTCATAACCATGGTAACGATGGTAACAATGATACCGTGCATGATGACAGCGAGTATAACAATGCGCTCGATCTCTTGTCCCAAACGATTACCGAGGGTGGAGTGATTAGTCTATACAGTGGCCTTGAAAGCTCGATTTTGGGAACAGCGTCCATGAATTTTGGATACTTCTATTGGTCTGCAGCTATACGAAGCGTGCATCAAGTGTTGGTCAGGGCCTAAGGCATATCTGATTCAAATAACATCATAAAGGAACTTGGCCTCGGTGCTATTTCTGGCACTCTGGCGCAACTTTGTACTAATCCAATTTCTGTGGTTTCAACGCGACAACAGACTCACAAGTATAAAGAGGCTAGCATGAGCATGTGGGAGACCATAACAGACATTCTCGCGAGCAAGGACGGATGGACTAGGCTCTGGAGAGGCTTCAAGGTCAATTTGATTCTTGTCGTCAATCCAATGATCACATATGGGGGCTATGGATGGTTGCGAGGAACTTTGGTCCCTCTCAGGAAAGAAATCAGTTCTTTCGAGGCCTTCGGTGCGTACAATATCTGTGAACTCCTGCATGCGAGAAATTTGACTCATCTGTATATTTTGGCTAGCTCTCGGCGTCTCTTCCAAAGTTCTCGCGACCATCATAACACATCCTCTTATTGTGGCCAAGACAATGCTACAATCGAAGCCGCCGCAGGCTCGCAAGGGTATCCCTTTTCGAGGATTCATAGAAGTTCTCGCTTATATCATCAAGAATGAAGGAATTTTGAGACTGTACAAAGGACTGAGCCCCCAGATAATAAAAGGCTTCCTTGTCCAAGGCCTAATGATGATGTTGAAAGAAAGGTAAGTAGATACGTATTAATTCCTTTTATTTGCATTTGATAGATTAACTCATTTCCAAGGATGGAGATATTGCTGATGGCTATCATCTCGCTTTACAGGCAACTTCTTTTAAAGAAATCGCTTTCACGTGGATGATGAAGCCAATAGCTAAATTATGACCTTAAAACAAGTCGAGGCTTTTGCAGTCTTCCATTGCTATTCACTCGTAAATCACTGAGATATATTTGAAGATACTTTGCCTAAAACAATTGCGTAAGTTCTATATGACACCAGACCATCCCCTCAAATTAGAGCAAACATCGGTATAAATATGGGTCTTGGATTTTAAATTCAATATGTCGAAGAAACTGCCTGTAGCCAGTCAATTTTCACCACTCCATTTGTTAAGTACCCATATGCCTGGGAGAATCACGAGACCGAAACGGGTAGGTAAACTCGAAAGCGGATCTCAACTACAATATAGTCCAATCGGAAGCATTATTACTTCGGTCCGACATACGCTAACCTTTTATGACTTCAGCCCGGTCCGGTCGGTCCAGTCATATGGAGTCAAATTGTACGGGAGGAATGGGGTTCAAAACTAGAGATCATATTTACATTCGCTTTATCTCACAACGATTGTCACCAAGGAGAGGCTGAACCGGATCACTTCATCTGATCTTATAACTTGTCTGTTCAAAATCATGCCTTCTTTCTCTAGTACTCCATTCGCCGACCCCTTATGGCTCAGTCGTGAACATAGTCCTTACTACACCGATTCCCATCGACGGCTACAGAAGGAAGTTCGAGAATATGTTGATGCTCATATCACTCCATTTTGTGAGGAATGGGAAAAGCAAGGCTTTATTCCATCCGATGTTCGCTTTACACGAGTTGTGACATGTTGCCAGTTAATAACTTTAAAATAGGTTCAACAGCGCCATGCAGAACAGGGATATACAGCAGTCAGCGCCTTCCCTCTTGCAGTGGACTACCTCGATGGTCAGCGACTTCCTGGCGATATCAAGCCGCACGAATGGGACGGATTTCACGATCTAATTGTCATCGACGAGCTGGCACGCTGTGGGTACCTCGGAATTGTATGGGCGCTTGGCTGCGGAAATTCGATCGGGGCACCGCCAGTGATCAATTTTGGAAATGCTGAGCAGAAGCAGCGATTTCTTCCTGATATGGTTAAAGGAAAAGTCAGGTTCTGCCTAGGTGTTACGGAACCGGATGGTGAGGCCTCCTCATCCTCATTTAACCAGGTACCCAAAGGCTGATTTGAAAATATTTGGAAAGCTGGATCTGACGTCGCCGGTATAACAACTACGGCTGAAAGAAAAGGTGATTTCTATATTGTGAATGGAGCCAAAAAATGGATCACCAATGGCATATTCGCCGACTATTGCACTGCGGCTGTTCGTACCGGCGGCAAGGGAACCCAGGGAATATCAGCGTTGATAATTCCGTTGAAAGTTCCAGGTGTCAATTGCAAAAAGATTGAGAATTCTGGCGTGCATGCGAGCGGCAAGTACTCCATCGGCTTAATCTTGGACCTCATGATCACTAATAAGCAGCACCATATTCAGGCTCTACTTATATCGAGTTCGATGATGTGAAGGTACCTATCAACAACTTACTTGGGATGGAGAACCATGGATTCCCTGTTATCATGAACAGTCAGTATCATAGTGACATTTACAAAATTGCAAACGTGTATGGATTTGAGCTGATGTTGATCCTAGACTTCAACCATGAACGTCTTTGGCTGGCCTGTACATCCCTTCGTATGGCTCGTGTATGCGCGGAGGACGCGTATCGGCATGCAATCACTCGGGAAACCTTTGGCAAGAAGCTAATTGAGAATCAAGTAATAAGGTCAAAGTTTAGTGAAATGGCCCGAAGCCTCGATTCAAGCTATGCCTGGATGGAACAGCTGGTGTACATATCGGAGATGGCCAAAAAGGATGGTAATGACGCCGGGATGGGTGGTTTGTTCGCAAACCTCAAGGTTCTTGCAGGACGGACTCTTGAAAAGGCCAACCGTGAGTCTCAACAGGTTATGGGAGGCCTAGGATACTCGAAGAACGGGCGTGGTTCGAGAATTGAGCAAATCAGCCGTGATGTGCGTGTAATGGTTGTGGGTGGAGGCAGTGAAGAGATTTTATCAGAACTTGCCGTCAACCAAGAGATCAAGAGGATGAAAATGATCCAAAGCAGATTGTGAGTACATATGTTACAATACCCGTGTGCCATAAATTTGGAAGAGCAATCAACGTTTCTTTAATGTGTATTTGGACTTGAAAGAAGGAAATTTAAATTTGCCAATCAGATTATGAGGGAAAAACGTTACTATGACCGTTTATATACTACGCATTTGAACTTGTCGAGAGGCGACGCAATGCTTTTAGCAAAATGGTGTTTTGAAGAATAATTGGTATTGAAAAATTTCCATTGCAGAGCATGTATAATAATTTGAGACTAGAATCAAAGAAGAATAAGAATGCCCTGGGTTTAGTTTTCTATATAACCGAGCACAAAACTTTTCCTTCTTCAACTGCATCTCCTTGCTTCCAATTTGTTTCAAACTTTCCGCAAGCGGCCACAGCTATGCTAACCTCCATTTTCATGCTTTCAATTACCATGACCGTCTCTCCTGATTTCACCTGATCACCGTTGACCTTGAGAATGGACAAAACTTTGCAGGGCATTGGTGCAGTCACGGTCTTTTGCTCAGTGGACTCATTGGCCCTTGCTACTAAACGTGTACTTTCCGCGAAGGACAGCAGCGTATCACGTTTGAATTCAATATATGTCCCAATTGAAGGAAAATGACAGAGAACTTGTTGGCTGATATCGATTTGGCCAGCCATAGAATACGGATGGGTTGACGGCAGAGTGACATGAGCAAGCAATTTGATCCCGTTGATTGTCACCACCATCGTTGATGCCTTCCATGACTCCAATCGTCCTGGATTTCCATCTGTAGGGCACCATGACTCGATACTCACTTTGTTTGGTTGCACAAAGAGTCCATAGCCCTCTCGTAACATTTTACTGATAGCATTATATTGAGCGGAGATCTGTTTGGCCGCCGAGACTGATTCTTTCTTGTTCTTGCCGTCTCTCAGAATTGGGACAATGCATACTTCTTTGCTTCCAAGACCACAATTAGTCTGCTGAGGCTTCCAAATGCACATCATAGTGGGCTTGATCTTGTCTTGGTCTCTTTGGTAGGGCGAATCAACGGTGGTTATAATATCGCAATGAATGTTGACCGAGTCAAAATGCTGGTTTCGGAATTGGGAACGCACTGTGCCGAAAGGTTTGCGCTTTGCGGATGCAGTTGGTAGATAATAAGACAAATTTCTGGCAACCAGGGCTGGAATCAAAGAGACCGCGCTCTCTATATCCAGATTCTTTGGTGTAAACGGAGGCCGGAGTAGTTCGTCCATGTTTGATGGTATGAAAGAAGTTGTATAAGCAGGATCATGGAATGCCTGACTCAACAAGCACGACTGCATAAAAAGCTGGTTTGTCTTGACACCCATGCAGACAGTCTCCGCGAGCACTTTGACCATTTTTTCGATAGCTAGGGATCTTGTAGGCGCCCAAACTACAATCTTGGCGATCATGGAATCGAAATAGATTGATACCGAAGATCCCGTTGAAATGGCCGTTTCATAGCGAATGTCACGCCCTGGAGTCAATGCACCGGTTGCTGGAAGCCATAGATGAACCTTTCCATGCTCAGGAAAAAACACTTTTCGAGGGTCCTCAGCACACAAGCGACACTCAATCGCGTGGCCGTGCTGAGAAATGCCTTGCATGGCCGGCAGGGTCTCCAGGCTTCCACCCGCTGCCGTGAATAGCTGCAGGGCGACAAGATCAACGCCGGTGACCTCCTCTGTAATAGGATGCTCAACTTGTAGGCGCGCATTCACCTCAAGGAAATAAAACTTCCCAGTCTTGACATCCACAACAAATTCAACCGTTCCGGCATTTTCGTAGTTTATCAGATCCGCGATCCTTATCGCAGTTGCACTCATCATTTGGCGCGTCTCATCGTTTAAGAATGGACAAGGTGTTTCTTCTATCACTTTCTGGTGTCGCCTCTGCACGGAGCAGTCGCGGTCAAAAAAGGATACCACCTTTCCAAGAGAATCTCCAAGAATTTGAATCTCCACATGCTTACTGCTTTCAATGTATTTCTCTAAAATGCAGTCACTTGAGCCAAAGGAGCGTTGTGCCTCAGATTGGGCTCTCTCCAACTCATCTTTGAGTTGGCTAACTTCTCTCACAATTCGCATACCCTTTCCTCCTCCACCTGCCGACGCTTTCAGCATCACCGGAAATCCGATTTCTTCCGCGGCACTTCTCAGAGCTTCGGCATCTTGGCTGGAGCCCGAAAAGCCGGGGATGAGAGGTACATCAGGTGCATGTTTCTGCAGATATGCCTTTGAAGATCGCTTGTCTCCTAATGTAGACATCGCACTTGCACTAGGTCCAATGAAAATTAACCCAGCCTCACGCACGGCTTGGGCAAAGTTCGCATTCTCGCTCAGATAGCCATATCCTGGGTGAATGGCCTGTGCACCTGCAGACACGGCGGTACGAACGAGCAACTCGATATCGAGAAACGGATTGACGGGACTTTGATCAACGCTTCCGATATTAATAGCTTCGTCGGCATCGCGCACGTGGAGAGAAGAAGAGTCCCTAACTAGTCAATATGTTTTCCATACCTGGAAGCATCCGACACATACTCTTGCACATATACAGCCACGGAAGTTATATTCAGATTCCGGCAGGTCCGGATAATGCGACACGCAATTTCACCACGGTTGGCAATTAGGACCTTCTGGATGATAGGTCGGCCATCTGGTCCTAGTGGTTGTTCTGCAACAAAAAGTGGCTCGCGGAAAGGCGAACTATTCTTGCTGTTCTCCCCGTTTCCTGGAAGAGCCTTGGCTCCAAGCATTGTGATATGTAAGAGTTTTCCAAATATTGCGAATTGACCGGTCTGAATGTGGGAGTATTTGCTTGACAGCCATTAAATGAAGATTTTTCTAAGGCCCATGGTCATTCGATCTTTGGCCACCCCCATATGGTTCTCGTTCCGGGGATCTTTTAATCGGTCCGAACCCACGGACGGCAGTGGTGTGGGTCAGGCCGGACCGAAAGTAATCGAAGGTGTTTGGAGCAAATTCGAGCATGGTCACTTCAGCCAGCAGTTGATGAATAGGCCCCTCGGAATATCAGTTATTTTTTTCTGCAGGTATTATTTGTTTTCCATAAGCTTGAGAAGAGAATAGTTCCTACCTTCTGTAATAATGTATTTATTGAAACAACCCGATAGTGTATGTCTGAAATGCGAAGCCAATTCTCCTTCATTCGATTTATTGCTATATATTGATAATTTACTCTTCAAATTCTATCTAATATGCATGAGGTTGTTTAGACTCTTGCAAGCAAGTGGTGCGATTCCGTTCCCTTGACCTCTTGGAGGGTTACCACCTCCAAACACATCCCCAGTACATCACGGGTGTCCCTAGGATCAATAATGCCATCATCAATCAGCATCGAACTAGTCGCGTAACATTCCGCGTCTCTTTGGACCCGGTCACGGAACTCTTTCACTTGCTTTTGAAGTTTCTCCGCTGACAGAGTCTGGCCCTTGGACTTCGCGCTTGCGATTTGCACACTTTCCATCACGCCGGAGAGTTGGTCAGGACCCATCACGCTGCACCGACCAGTCGGCCAGGTAAATAGAAAACGGGGTTTGTAGGACCGACCACACATTGCGTAATTGCCGGCTCCGTATGAGGCGCCAAGTATGATAGAAATGTGGGGGACTGTTGAGCAACTGACTGCGGATACAAGCTGAGCGCCCATCTTGATGATGCCTGCATGCTCCGCCTTAGCGCCAACCATAAACCCTGTAACATTGTGCAGGAATATAATGGCAGTATTTCTAGCTAAATTAGTACACCATATTAGGCAGTTCTAGGGGTAGTGACTCACTGCTGGTTACACATCCGAATAAACTGGGCTGCTTTTGCTGCTTCATTAGGGTTGATGACAGAAATCTGATTGGCAACAATTCCGACAGGAAATCCTAAGGATTTTATTGTGAAGGTTAACTCTTCAGATCTTGGTCATTTCAGTTTCAAGTCAAGTCATACCCATGATATGTGCCCAGGCCGTTATCATATTTGGCCCGTATTTCGGTTTGAATACGGAGAGGCGGGAGTCATCGACAAGACGCAGCATGACTTCGCACATATCAAATGGCTTGCGAATATCTGGATTCACAAGAGAGAGTATGTCTTCAATGGGATAGCGTGGAGCAAGCGGTTCAATCAGTTTGAGTCCTCGTGGAGTTCTCATCTGTAGTGAAGCAACCCATTGTCGAGCTTTTTGAATAGCGTCGAATCTAGACATCTTGGGATTAGCGAGGACATTAGGTATTATCACGTTTTACAAATAAAAGACCTTGTGTACTTACTCGTCGGTCGCGATTTGATCTGCGAGTCCCGTCGTAATCGCATGGACTTTGGCACCGCCTAATTCCTCCGCTTCAATTTCCTCACCAATAGCCATCTTTACAAGAGGCGGTCCACCCAGAAATGCCTGGGCCTGATTTTCAACGAAAATTGTATAATCCGATAAGGCGGGATGATATGCGCCACCTGCAGTTGATGATCCGAAGACAATTGCACAGGACGGTTTACCGTGTTGGGTACGAACCGCGAGATCATGAAATAGCTGCCCTCCTTTGTGGAAGACTCGAAATTGTTGTGGTAGGAAGACGCCGGCCTGGAAGTGTTAGATTCTGTATCATCACAAATGTAAGCTTCGAAGTCCCATTCTTACTGATTGGACCAGGGAGATGAGTGGTAGGTCGTTCTCAAAGGCGATCTCCATCATTCGATTTACTTTTAGCACTGAGAGCTCATCAGACATGGTCGTGGTTCCAAAGTTTCAAGGCCATTTTACCAGTCATTTCATTCCATGCCCCGCCACTTTGTGTTGGTATATGCGACATGAGAAAACACGGACGGCCACTGAGTGTTTCATCAGACCATTTGGACATAATCATTTCAAACTCCAACCGATCTTACCAAACATTTCCAATGCCGGCAATGAGATTCGCACAAGGCGTCGAATCTGGATTCTCAAATCCTGCAAAAGCACCAAGCTCTAAGAAGGGCGAATCTTGGTCCAGTGAAAGCGCAACTCTGTCTCTTGCTGCTCTAGAAATATTAGCGACCTTTTCCCAAGCTCAGCAACACTTTTGGCACTCACGCAGTAGCTGGCCTCGGTTTTGGTGGCGTTTTAAAGAGATATCATTGCCTTCAGCCGAGACTTGTTTCAATGCTTTTTCAAACCTTTCCAACACAGGTGCCCAGCTATTTTTGTTTGCCTGGAACAGTTCGCCCCGCAGATCCAGGTTCACGCTTAGTGCAGGATAGGAAGATTGGGTAGCCATCGTCAAGATATGTAACCTAGAGCCAGCAAATAATTCGCAAGCAGCGGATGTTTTGGATCCGTTGAACTATCCTTCCCAACGCAAATGACCAACATAAGAAGTTTAAGTTGGAGAGTGGATAAATCATGATCGGTCCGAAGCCCGGGGACCATCCCGTGCGTGCGGGTCAGCCCCAAACAGGTCCGAAGTAGAAATGGGTCCGAACTATGCAGAAGGAACATTGAAAAACTAGTCCGGCGTAATAATTATTATTCTTCTTTGTGAGACATTTTTCAATAATTTTCGGATTTCCAGATTATAGTCTTGAGAATCTTTTCTTTTGGTATTCATCATGGGATCAGTGGACGCCAACCTCGCCCTTGTGCATGGTCCGACAGAGCCCGCTCTATGGTCTACAACTCTGGGTAAATTTATGAACGAACAGGCCAATCGCTTTAATGATAGACCTGCAATTATTTTTCCATGGCAGTCGGTGCGGCTGTCTTATGGCCAAATGATGGATCGGAGCAAACTCCTCGCCAAAGCTATGCTCGAAATGGGCCTGCGCCATGGTGACTGTGTCGGCATAATGGCAGGTAATTGCTACCAATATATCGAGGTCTTTCTTGGTGGCGCGAGAATTGGGTGTCCTGTGGTCGTATTGAATAACACGTATACTCCCCCCGAGCTACTTAATGCCGTGCATAGAAGCTGTAAGTGGAGAGGTAATGTTCCGTGGTGGGATTCTATAACTGATTTGGTTATAGCTTGCAGATTAGTCTTCGTCGCTTGTAACATCGGCATGCGAGATCTCTCGACTCATATACAAGTCCTTCGCGGTACTTCATCCTCGAACCCAGAGTTGCCGGAGTTGAAACGAGTTGTGTGTCTTGGAAACTGTGCAGCAGACACTCCTGGTGTCGAAATACAGTCTTACAGTACTTTCAGCTCGAATGGGCATTCTGTGTTCATAACCGACTGCGTTCTTCAACATGCAGAAGACGCTGTGAGACCCGAGGATATTTTGAATCTCCAATTCACTTCCGGTATGGCCACGATAAGTTTGAAAACATTAGGGACGAGGGGCTCATCAAGGATATAGGTACCACTGGATCTCCCAAAGCTGCGATGCTCAGTCATGTGTGAGTTCTAACAAACCAGAGCAAATCACATCAAAGATAACTAGAGCCAAACTAACATCTCATAGCAACCTCTTAAACGATGCGCGGTTCGTTGGCGATGCCATGCAACTTACCCCAGAGGATGTGATCTGTTGCCCTCCACCTCTATTCCACTGCTTCGGCCTAGTTCTCGGTTTTCTTGCCGCTTTCACGCATGGCAGTTCGATTGTGTTCCCGTCGGACTTTTTTGACGTGAGAAAAGTGGTCGACGCAATTGTGGCGGAGGACGCAACTGTGCTCCTTGGTGTGCCGACCATGTTCGTAGCCGAGCTCGAAGTGATAAATAAAACAGGTCAGCGACCGCGACGTCTACGCACAGGATTAGCCTCCGGCTCTGCCGTTTCGGAGGGTCTGATGAGTGAGCTACGGACGAAGATGGGGGTGGAGAAGATGTTGATTGCGTATGGCATGACCGAGACGAGTCCGGTTACATTTATCACTGCGCTTAGTGACTCCGATGAAAAAGGCTTTACTACTGTTGGTAGACTTATTCCGCATAGCAGTGCTAAAGTTGTTGATAAAAACGGCAACATTCTATCCCTCGGCCAGCGGGGGGAACTCTGTACAAGTGGATTCGCCTTACAGAAGGGATATTGGAAGAATGAAGAGAAGACAAGAGAGGTAATGCGGAAAGATGGGAATGGGGTTTTGTGGATCCACACGGGGGATGAAGCCCTCCTAGATCACGACGGGTATGCCCAAATAACTGGTCGGATCAAGGATATGATTATTCGCGGTAAGTCGACATCCTCTTCATAGATAAACCACTCCATACTGAGGCTGGCTCTTAGGCGGCGAGAATATTTTCCCTCGAGAGATCGAAGAGCGATTGGTGCTTCATCCAGCGATTAGCGAAGCTAGCGTGGTTGGGATCAGGCATTACAAGTACGGGGAGGTCGTGGGTTGCTTCCTTAAAGCAGTGGAGGGTGCTCCGAGGATTCCGAAGACTGAAATTCAACAATGGGTTGGAGAAACGCTCGGACGACACAAGACTCCAAAGCATATCTTCTGGATTGGTGATGCCCATGTTGGCGATGACTTCCCGAAGACAGGGAGTGGAAAGCATCAGAAGCACATCATGCGGGACATAGGAAATCAGCTGGTTGGTCAGAGCAGTCGTAAAGCGAAGCTATAGAGGAACGCATATAATGCAAGGACGATTCGCATTCCCGTTTTGGCAGGTTGGGCCGATCATTTCCAACATGTGAATAGTATAGAGTGAACGATGTAATTATAGATGGTGAGGCTTCCAAGCGAAACGACACCCATGTTGTGTCCGGGATACACGAATATACTGTAATTTCGTGCCCTCAGTTCGGTGATTGGAACGCACTCGAACACCGATACCTAAGATTCCCATGGCCCACCTGGCCAATGAGCTTGATCATCCTTCGTTCCCCGCCAAAGTCTCTCGGTCCGGGGGTCCGGAAACCCACCCCAGCTTCAATTATAGACCGGGCGGAGCGGCTGAGGGTACGAGGCCAACACGAAGAGACCGTCGCGGTCCGACAGCCGTCGGAGCCCGGCGATCACTTCGCCTTAGCCGCGGCTCGGGAGGCAGTGATGCTCACGAAATAGAAATCGAGGACGCTCAAAGACCCCGTGTTTCCTAGAGCAACAGTATCCATACCGACCATCATGATTGCACCAACGACGCCTCGCGAAGTGCGCATCGTGGAAGTTGGGCCCCGCGACGGACTCCAAAACATCGCCGAGCAGATCCCCACCGCGACAAAGCTGGACTTGATCCGTCGGCTGGAAGGATCCGGTCTGCGGACGATCGAGTTGACCTCTGTAGTGTCTCCCCGTGCGATCCCCCAGTTGGCCGATTGTCGTGAAGTCCTCGGTAGTGCTGAGGTCAAGGCGTTGTTACAGAATCCCGTGTTGCGCCTGCCGGTTCTAGTCCCGAATGTGAAGGGCCTAGAGATTGCGATTCAACACGGTGTGAGGGAGATTGCGGTTTTTATTAGCGCTACGGAGGGCTTCAGTCGTGCAAATATCAATTGCTCGGTCGAACAAGGGATGGAAAGGGCCCGGGAAGTCGCCGCATTGGCATTGAAGTCGAACGTTGCAGTACGAGGGTGAGTCTTATTCGGATCTAAATTTGTTACACTGAACAGGTATATATTGATATCCTGTTTCTTATTGTTTTGAAACGATTCATTTGGACTGACATACCGACATCGCCATCCCAGGTACGTCTCCTGCATTTTCGCAGATCCATACGACGGCACAACCCCAGAGCAAGCCGTCCTGAGCTGCATCAAGGCTCTTCTTCATGCCGGATGCTATGAGGTCAGCCTCGGCGACACACTCGGCATTGGCTCGCCTGCCAGCGTGCGCCGTCTAATAACCTACTTGACCAAACACGGGGTGCCCCTAGCCAAACTAGCCGGCCATTTCCACGACACATACGGCCAAGCCGTCGCCAATGTCTGGGAAGCATATAACTGCGGAATGCGCGTGTTCGACAGCAGCGTCGGCGGCCTCGGCGGGTGCCCTTTTGCTCCCGGCGCGAAAGGCAACGTCGCCTCAGAGGATCTGGTGTACATGTTTCACAACGCTGGAGTCAGCACGGGCATTGACCTGACCCGGCTCGTGGATACGGGTGTGTGGATCTCAAAGCAGCTGAAGAAGCCTAACTCCAGTCGTGCCGGCAATGCATTCGCGATTAAGGCCCAGCCAGCACCATCACTTCCCCCCAGATCAAAGCCACAACATATGCCCCTGCAGTGGACTCTCCTCTCAGAACCAGACGGCCTAGAACTCTACCGCTCCGGCGTGAACCTGAAAATCGTGCTGAGCCGCCCGAAAAACGGCAACGCCCTAACTTTATCCATGATCGAGGCTCTCACGACGGTCATCAACGATGCAAGTAGAGACCCACAGACCGCGCGCATCGTCATCACGGGCGTCGGCCGATTCTTTTGTACAGGCATGGATTTGGGGCAAGGGAGTACGCCCGTGGCGCAGGGCAGTTCGACGAGTGACGCGCAGTTTATGCGGTTGACCGCGTTGTTCGAGGCCATTGACCGCTCGCCAAAGGTGACTATTGCATGTATTAATGGACCGGCGTTCGGGGGTGGGGTTGGACTCGCGTTCTCGTGCGATATCCGGCTTTGTGCACGGAACGCGATCATGACACTGAGCGAAGTGAAGCTGGGACTGTGCGCGGCCACGATCTCGAAATATGTGATTCGGGAATGGGGCGTAGCGTTTGCGCGCGAGGCGATGCTCTCTGCGAGGCCGGTCGCACCCGCGGAATTGAAGGCCCGCGGTCTAATTTCTGATGTCTTGCAGAGTTTGGAACAGTTAGATGAGCGACTGGATAGTCTGTTGGGAGAGTTGCGAGTGGCGTCGCCAGACGCTTCGCGAATGTCGAAAGATCTGGTCAAACTCGCGTGGGCTCACGCAGGCGGAGCAGCACAGGCTGAAGGGATCCAAGCACTGTTCAATGAGATGATGCGCCCTGGGGCAGATGGAGGACATGGGGTCGAAGAGTTTCAAGCGGGCAGGAAGGTGGATTGGGATGCATACATGCAACGACACTCGAAGTCCAAATTGTGATTCTGGAAGTCGTGCAATTAAATGGAGAATATGGGATGCCTTCTAAACTAAGAGCGCTTTTTGGGCTGACCAAAGCGGAATATCTATACACTGCCAGTCTGGATCTAAATCAATGCAGCTTTAAAGAACACATAATTGAAGCTATTCAACGCATCGTTTTTCATGAGACGGAAATAAAGAAAGAGCACAAGTAGTCGTAGTGCGAGAATTATGGCCTACTGTACAATCGAAAGCCAAGCCCAAAGAAATAACATCGTACCTGCACCGTTGGATCAAAAGCAATCAGTCGAGTGAAGCCATTGAAGAGGCAAAAAAAAAAAAAAAGAAGTGCAAAATCGCCAAGAACCGAGAGGGGGATCTCGGATGCAAACACCAAACAGGCCATCAAACAAATTACAGAAGGATGACGGTGGCACCGAACAGCGAAGACACCAAGGTCGCCAAGCCGACAGCGACGGGGGCCATGCTGAAGCTGAAGGGCTTCAAGCTGGCAGCGGCACCCGAAGAGGTGGTACCGGCGCTGCTGCCGCTGGTGCTGCCAGGGCTGCCAGCACTGCCGGAACCAGAAGTGGCAGTCGCAGTGGACTGGGTACCGGCGTTCTGGCTACCCTTGCCGCTGAAGCCAGGGAAGGTGCTGACAGTCTCCTTCAGGTACTTCTGGGCGGGGGTGGGCATCTCGGGGAGGGCATCGCCATCAACATCCCAGTTGGGAGCGGCCTTCTTGGGGCAGCCGTTGGCACCACCGGTGCTGTTGTAGTTGCCATCGCCGCTGGGGTTGGCGGTCTCGTCGTAGGCGGACTTGAGGGCATCATAGTCATCCAGGGTAGTGACAGAGTCGCCGCTAATCTTGACGAGGCCGTAGTTGCTGCTCTCCTGAGAGTACTCGTACACGAGACCACCGGAGTAGACACCGGTCATCTTGGTGGAATACAGGGCGCTGACCTCCTCGAACTTGCGGGTGTTGGTGTTACAACCATACTCAGAAAGGAACAGGGGAAGACCGTAGCCGGTGAAGTTCTTGACCTTCTGGTCCCAGCCGGAGATGGTAAAGGATGAGGGGTCACACCACGAGTAATCGTTGAAGGCGAAGAAGTCCGAACGCTCGTCATCCGTACCGCAGTTCATGTACTCGGCCATCTCAAGACGGTTGGTGTCGATATCGGCAGCGGAATAGCCAACTGGGATCTGACGGTGACCGTTGGACTTCAGGTAAGAGCGCAGATCACGAGTGACAGCCTTGACGTAGGGGGCGGCCTTGGAGGAGGGACCATCGTTGATGACCTCGTTGCCGGAGAAGAAGGCCAGGGTGTTGCTGTACTTGGCAAACTTTTCAACGGTACCGAAGATGTACTCCAGGTAGACGTCGTTGTATGAGATTTCGGGATCCGCACGGTTGATCGAGTACTTGGGAGTGTTGACATCGAGGACGAGGTAGATGCCGGCCTCGGCCAGGGCGTTCATGCAGTCATCGTGGTCCTGGGAGTTATCGACAGAGTACACACGGATTGTGTTGAGGCCCAGGTCCTTGAATTTCTTGATATCACGCATGCAGCCTTCCTTGTCGGCGATGGGGTCGGCGAGCTTGGAGGAACCACCGGGCTGGTAGTCGACACCGCGAATGTAGAAGCGGTCATCGCCCTTGAAGAAGGCATTGCCCTTGACGGTGATGGGGGTGACACTGGTGGCACGCTTCTCCGCAGTAAGCGTGCTGGAGGGAGCACCCAGAACAGCCTGGGCACCCAGGGTGATGGCAGTTGCCAGGGAGGCGACGGCCTTCATGGTGGAAATAAAGGGTTGGCGGTTAGGAGGAACGAAATGAGGTGGAATGGAGAGTTGGGTATGAAGAGAGGTCGTGGGTTCGCAAGAAAGAGCTGGATTAACGAGTGTCTAAATGAGGGACGGGAAAGAAACGAGTGTGGGAGGAAAGAAGAATGGGCGGAGGAGAGGAAGAACGTAGGGATGAGGAAGAAGGGGAAGGGGGGGGGGAGGTGGTTATACTTCCTTGTGTTTCCCCATACAATCATGACCAGCACACACAGCACACAGCACAGGTACTATTAATGGGGACCCTCATCCCTGGTCCCTGATCGGCCGTGGCGTCTCTGGGTCTCCAGTCGCCAGTAGCAGACGGGATAGTGCCGCCCAGTCAGCATGAGCACAGCCAAGAAGGGACCAAGACCCTGGCTGTGATTCGGCCGTGGCCAGAGTGTGATTGGCAGGGGGCCTGCTTCAATGGGCCCGTCTCGTCCAGTTTTGTCCGTGAGCTGTTGTACTTACACAACGATTCGTCGATTGCACTGGGTCTCCTGGGTAAGGGGCGCCCCGCCAGGGACCCCCCCGGAGCCAGTGGGAGCCCCCGATGGCCGTTATGCAATGGTCCCAAGTGGAAACTTCGGGCCCTGAACCTTCGGAGCCCGGGAAACAAAAGTATGAAACAAACGCCTCAGGGTGGCCTAGCCTCTTCACCTATGAAAGGTCAAGGAGTCTAACTGAGATGATTAGAAGAACTAATTCAGGCCTATTCAATGCCCTGTTGCGGTAGGTTATTTATTGAGTTATTTAGTTATCTAGTTAGATCAGACCGGTCAAGAACTATCGCTCACACGGTTGGCCTGTTGGGCTTGGACTGGTATTTTCCGCCGGTCACTAGGTCTCTCAAACTATGCTAATCAGCCAAGATGACGCCATTTTTTCTCAAGCTCTGGGCATTTCATGTAGTTTCTGGATTGAGTCAGTGTGCTTTTCCTGTTCGTATGTATAATCAGGCAAGTCACTGCGCCACTGCTGGATGTCTGCGCCCACGAAACATCCCTTGAATCCGCATGACAAGCGGGTAGCCATCTGCAACAAGACATACTAATCAGGTACTACAGAGAACCGATGGCAATGCGTGTCTATACTCCCTACTCCAGATCAAATCATATTTCACTAGGACCGCACGGAGCAAATTGCATTAGTCTACTGTAGGGTTGAGATCAGAGGCCAAACCAACAATAGCTATAATTATCCTGGGGCTCATTCGATGTAACAGTCTCACCAGGGTCAACGGTATTCTGAAACAGGTCATCCTCCTATCAGCTTAGACAAACAACACACAATGCACAACAACTCCCCAACTAACCGCAGTAATGATAATAATCAGAATTGCTCGCGCCTATCAAACTATACTACAGTACAGCCTCGAAGCCTGATAATTCTCCTCCTTTCCTCATAGTCTTTATCTTTAGGCTCTTTCTCCACCGACAGGCCACACTAATTACTGCAATAATCACCAGATGAATATTGGCTTGGCAGAAGACGCGTATGCCTTTCACTCGGCGGTGGAGCTGGTCTCGCCGATCGGCTCGCAACAGCAGGTACATCCATTCACATACTAGAATCAGCACAACATGAAGTACTCGCGTTTTTTCTTCCTTTTTGCGACCGTAGTCCAGCTGATTCTGTCTTGGGGAAAGAGTCGCTCTATCTTTATAAAAACAAAGCCATTTCCTGGAAGGTGCATGGACCGACTCAGATCGTACCACGGAATCCAGAGCAAAATTATTTATCTACATCTACATATCGATAATTAATTTCATGGATTTCTCATGAAACAATCAGACCTTTCATAACGAGGTCGCCCACACCCGTCCAATCCCATGCGCGGGCCCCTCGCTTCATTTGGGTGGATCCATGGTCGCGACTCATGACATGGCCCATTCTCGATGCATTGGTGGCTTCTCAATGCTCCACTCTGTACAACCGCCCCAGCGGGTGCGGGCGCTGTCTCACCTCACACCAGACCTGGGGTGTCTTGGAGTCTCTTGGAAGCTCTTGGTGTCTTGAGCCCAGAGGCCTCGGCTTCGTTTGGTCGGGAATGTAGCGAAAGGAGAAAAAAACCACTTTGGAAGCAAGTGGGACTTTTAGCCGAAGACTCACTGGTTCCAAAGGCTAATCATATGCCCATCGCACCCGGCATTATTGACCACGGCTGGGGAAGGGTTTTCAGGGTTTTCAGGGTTTGCAGGCAGCACAGTAATCGGAAACACCTGAGAGCCCCACTATTAGTATGAATCATGACGGTGTTTAATATTGATCCCAGTCGTCCAGGATCTATCTGTTGTCCTCTCATTGTACAATGGTCTTTCCAAAGAAATGAAAAGCAAACAAAAACAAAAAACATTAAAATCTTTCCTTCACGCTCAGGCTAGCACACGATGATCGCCCGCCGCTTTCTGCTTTCGATGCCCCAGCACAGCCTTCAAATCGACCCACAGGCCGCCCCAAAGGCTCCGCAAGGCCCCCGTACTCTCCACCTGGAATGCAGAAATGACGATGGTCAGTCCCACTCCTCATTTTAACCCAGGGTCTCGAATCATGATGCTCGACAGCACTTACCACGGGGTATACAACACAAATTACCACGCTCATCCAGATCCAAATCATTGACACCACCACCCACCCGGTGAAAAAGGCCTGGTTGAAGATATAGCCCGTACCAAATAGGGTGAACGGGACCAAAATAATGGCCCCAAGGAAGAAGATCGCGTTTGCGATCCAGGCAATGCGGGTACCTTTCTGGGCGAGAACAGGATCTACGGGCTCAATGTTGTTGGCTTCAACATAGCCGATCGGCTCATTTGGGGCCAGCGAGTTTGCTATCCCTGCATCAGATGTCGACTCTGTAGTGCGCCCGTCCTGTCCATCCTTTTCTGTATCTGTTGGAGATTTAGACTCGTCTGCGGCTGATGCTTGGGCCACTCCGGGGTTCACACCCATAAGAGCGGGTGCCTGCCGCGATCTATACTTCGCTGGAAACAAAAGCGTCAACACCACCGCCATGATCAGGCCCGTTCCAAAGGATGCGAGATTTCCCGCCAAGGCATTGGTCGTGTCCCCCGTAGACACAACACTTATCGTTCCATTGCGCTTCCAGGCCGTCACCAACCAAACCACCATTCCACAAAGGAATCCAATCCAGGGAGCTCCGATGGCAGCCACCGTCGACATGGGCTCCCACAGCAGAATCAGGCCGACAGGGAGAGCAGCGCCGCCCACAATTACTCCCAAGACTGTTAGAACCCAAGTCAGGCTGATACCAACAGCGTTGAGGATACAGCAGAACGCTGCTAAGACGATGGCATACACCGTGATTGCCCAGTGGCTGAGCCGTACCAAGGCCGTCGAGTCTGTCTGGGGTCGGTAGTATGTTTTGTACGCGTCAAATGTCAATAGAGAAGACACGGCAATCAACTCCGCAGACGTTGAGCTGGTCACGGCCATGAAGAGCAATATCAACATCAGCACCGCGCCTCCTTTCCCCAGCAATGCAATTGCTGTCGCTGGGGCGGACAGGCCTGCCTCGACCTGCGCATCGGACAGAGGGCTAGGATAGGTCGGAAACCGTGGATCGCTTGCCAGTGCAGCGCATCCAAGGCCCATGGCCGTGGCAAAGCCAAACGGGATTCCTAATTTATTGTCAGGGAAGCAACCCAAAATGGACGAAATTGGCATCGACTCATCGTGCGAGTTCCCTCTGGGAAAAGCCTCTTCTCACGTACCATACCACGCAATGCCTCCCAAGATGTACGCCTTCACTGACGTCTCCGGCTTCGACGCAATTGCACGCTGCCAATAGGCCTGATCCAACCAAACAGTCGTGAACCCAGCTACAAACAAATCACAAGCGAAGATCAATCCTCCAACAGACCGAAACGCCAAGTACGACCCGTCCGTGTTGCGTTCAATTGGCATCGTTCTCGACGCCTCCAGCAACAGCTCGTACAACTTCCCGGGGCTGCCCACAGCGTCGCTCGTCGCCATAATCAAGAACCCGAACACGAGAATTGCCACGAACAGAATCACTGTGTGTGTGTAGTCCGCGATGAACGTCGCCCGCAGCCCACCCGCAATCACGTACACCGACACGACTGCCGGGATCAAAAACGTTGCTGCGTACACGTTCATCCCCGTGAGCGCGCCGAAAACCTGCGCTCCGCCCAGTACGAGGCACGCACCGACGAGTAGATTTGTCGCCAACCCATAGTACAGGTACGTCAGGTGGGCGGCGCGGCCGTGGCGCTGGAGCACGATCTCCGGCATGGTGTGCGCGCCAGGCGCGTGAGTCTTGATCTTGATAGCAATCAGGCCGAAGAGCAGGATCTGGAGGGTGCCCATCGCCGCATACCACATCGGCCCGCAGACACCGTAGCGGTACGCGAATGTGGAGCTGGTCAACAGCGTCGCGGACCAGGTCCAGGACGAGACGATGCCGGCGCTAATGAGTCCCGGCTTGACCGAGCGAGAGGCTGTGTTGAATTCCTCGGCTTGGTGGGTTGAGAACCGGGTGTATCGATTCTGTAGCCAGGTTAAGCTGAGCATGAATAGGGCGAAGAGGCCCCCGATGCCGATGACAATGCCGTAGCCGGCGCCAGCGGGGAGCACTTGGAGCTCGCCCATAGCTGGATGAGTTCGGCAGATAATGGAGAGATTGAAGTGAGGTTCGATAGATCTCCGGCAATTTAGTCGTTACAGGGAAACCCTTCTTATACCGGACTGATTCTTGTCCAATCATTGCGTTATCATAATCACCTCTATTCATGTATGCCTCGTAGATAAGAAATAGTCAAACTGGGGTACGATTGTCGCTGTGAGGCCCCAACTACCCCAACGGGGATGTTGGGGTAGACTGATAAGCACCGGGACTTTCCTGAACAATATTCAAGCTAATAACATCGAGTGTGTAACCCGCATTGATAAGGGAATGTGCAATCTGATTCTATCGGAGACATTGCGGTCACTTAGATGTCGGAGTAGATGAAGAACGATATGGCATTCGCTTGATGGATTGAACAGACGTAGCTTGTGTGACCAGCATCATATCCATGACCTGCGCCATGTGTTATATTTGGACCCTTGAAAGGGAACATTTGAAAGACCAATGAATTGCTCCTAATGCCGAAGCTAATGGATGACGAAGATGAGAGGTTGAAGAAGTTAAGGGTAAAGGGGTGATTGAGGGAGAAAACCACTTCCTGGTTGGGCTGGCTATCAGGAATTAACCAATGAATTACTAGAAAGACTATGAATGCCATGCGATTAGCGGCCTATTACCGAAAAGGAAAAAAAAAGAGGAGATAAGATATTGCAAGCTCTCGAACCCCATTCAAATTTTCGCCATGCATGAGCATACTGAGATCTATCCTTAAAAGTTCAAATTCATTCAGGCAACAGAGCGAGCAATGAGGAAAGGGCTTCTAAACCAAGATCTCGCAGTGAATTCGAGGCCCATAAGTTACATTTACTATATCAAATAGGCAGAGAGAATAGACTCGGACGCACTGTGAGTTCGCAGAAAGAAACAGGAGATGTCTTCGTTCCATATGTTTCCAGTAACCCAATGAAGAATAAATATCATTACATTTAACAGAACTATGAGCGGTACACGAGTATATTCTTTCAATTGTTTTCTAGAACTGAATGGTTAGACAGGGGATAGCGTAGAATCCAAGGCAGAATGTTCAGTGCGGTAGCTGAATGAGGATGTACTATATACAGTGAAAAGTGGGGGTGTCCTATTATAAATATTCGCCAAATCCGTCTGAACATACGCTCAAGGGAGATAATAGAGCTATTGACTTCATTCCGAGTGACGTTTGCCCAGCTTGTCGGTCCCATGCACCCAGTCCAACAACCCAATAGAGCCGTAATTCAGATTGAACTTTTCGTGGTGCAAGTCATGCATCTTAGCCTTGTTATGGAAAAAGTCATATCCACTATGCACGGTAGCCGTGTTGAAGAGCTCCCAGGAGAGAAAGATCCAAAAAGTCAACACATGACTCCGAAGCAGCTGTGGTGGAAGCGAAATAGGCAGCGCGTTCGCGAAGATCTGCTCAATAGGGTGAGCAAACTGAGCGGCAAGGGCGATCGGAGCTGTGAACTTGTGGTGCTTCTTGTGGATGCGTCGATAGAAGTACGGAAGATGGAGCAGTCGGTGGCTATAATAGAACATGGCCTCACGCAAGAGCAGGCTGATGAGAAAGTCGCGAGCGAGTTCTGCTGCTGCAGGTAGGCTTGCCTCCACGCGGTACGAGGATTTGGAACCTGCTTTCTCGGTGATGTAAATCAGCCCCAGGTGCAATACCGATGATAGTATTTGGTTTTGGGTGACCACGAGAAAGCAGCGCGCGATATCAGTACTTGTCGGCTGTTTCGGTGCGGGTTGGATCTTGTGCCGTTGCGAGAAGGCAGGCGCGAGGGTATCGAGAAGAAGATAGCCAATAGATGGGATCCAGAAAGACAAAATCTGGACCAGCAGCGTCCCCACGAACTCGATCCGTTGCGCAGAGTACGTGGTGACGAGGTTCGACCACAAAGCTGTCGTGGTGGAGAGCAACGGGGAGAAGCCCTGAAGAAACTCCATAGTGTTGGCTGAAGGTTCTTGTTACGATTCTTCTATTGATTGCAGTGATCTCAGTCGCATTGAACGGGTGTTGAGGGGAAATGAAGAGAGTCTCTACCAGTGAACTCTCGGCCCCTGGAAGCTTTTCCCCCGCAATCGATCGGCAAAAGTTTGTAGCATCGGGATCGGTGGAGTTCGGCTAGACGATGCCATGTGATGGGGAATTTGAAGGGATTCGGTTGGGGCTGATCAACATTTCAACCTTCACAACAATCCTGCTCATAATAATACTATAAAAAAAACACACTAATTTCCTTGGACCTCGTAAAGACAAGGTTTCAAGGTGAGTTCGTGATGCAACATAGAAGGATAATTTATACGCCAAGGCTACTTTTCACACGGTGCCTTTTAGAGGTCTATCGAGTTTGCAATGCACTAGAGATATCGTAGTTTGAGATGACAAGCTGGCATTGATTAATGATAATTCGAGAATCTAGAATCAGCACTTCCTCGGGGCTGTCATCGGAAAAGGTATGGAAAGGATTCGAAACAACGCATTTTACGATCGATGCAAAAGGATTGCCAAACAGGACACTGCAGAATGAAACAGTTAAATTTCACGAATAACAGCACAAGATGGTGGGCTAGGGGGAGGAAGCTTGCTAGCCATGGCAAATTCTCATGCCTTCCTACTCTTCTTCTCGTCATCCCTCCCCCCCCTCCTCCACTCCTCGTCGGTTTTCCGGCGTTCTTGTGACATAGTCACATGCTCGTATTGGGGCTCCTTCGGCCCCTTGAGGAGCAAAAGTCCGCTTTGCAGGCCCCTCGTCGCGTACGACTGGGGGAGGCAAGTGTTCTAACTCTGGTTGGGGCTGGAGAGTTGAGGGGAATGAGGCAAGCACGACCTTAGCGTACATCTGCTGCCGCCCGAATGATGTTGCAATGGATTATCATGATGGATCATAGTAGGTGGGCAGCTTACTGAATTAACAGGGTACGGGTCGAGAGAGTCAGGCTAAATGAGCTATGGAATCCAGACTGTCGGTCAACTGCATATGCTTATATTCAAAGAGAGGGCCTGCAGTTCAAATACTGGGTCAGAATAGTGCAATACTTCCTAATATGCAAAAATAAGCAGCGATAGGTGTGGTTGGAAGTAGAAAACAAGCATGTTTGTTGCAGTTCTCAAGTCTGTTATTGCCATCTTCCTCGGACGTTCGACAATGCCGTAAACGGCCCGAAAACGGGCCGGAGGAGGAAGGCCAGCAATAAATCACCGGGCGACCAACCTGTCGGATTGTTGATGGTCAAATTCTCCTTGGCTGTGTCAAAACTGTTTTCATATTCTTTTCTCGGAGCTTGACGCTCAAATTCAAAGTAGTAGGTTCCCGTTGTGCAACACAAACCCCGGTCATGCTCCGAGTCTCCGTCCTAACATTCCCCAGATGAACTACGTCGAATACGGTGTAAGCCGCCTCTTTGCGAACGCCAGAGGGCGTGATGCAAAGCTATTCACCAAGACTGCAGCCTTCTCAGCACTTCCAGAGCCCACCATCGCCCTCGAGAGTCCTGAGGCTGGTCCGTCCGGATCGCGATTGCACTCGGACCTGTCGGCTGAAGGCGCCGGGCGTTTCCCGACCCTCACATGGTCTGCTGCATCGCCTGAAATCAAGCAGTGGCTTCTTGTCAGTGAAGATCCAGACGCCCCGTTGCCCAGCCCGATCATTCATGGCATTTATTATGGTATTCCTGCAACTGCAACGGGCGTGGCTGCTGCGGACTTCGAGGCCGCCGAGGGACAGAACGTGCTTAAGGGCGGGTTTCAGTACGGCAAGAATCGCAGGGGGAATATTTATATCCCACCCCGACCGCTACTGGGCCATGGTCCCCATCGGTACTTCTTTACCATCATCGGACTGAATCAGCCCATCGATACGGCCCATTTGAGTCCATTGCCGACGGCGCAGGAGATGGCAACCGAGATCGAGGGCAAAGTTGTCGGGTGGGGTCAATGGGTGGGAGAGTACGAGCGCAAGTGGGTGTAATTTCCGGCGATTCGCGAATTACTGGTTTGCCGCATCTATTTTGGGGATTTGACTGTGATTCAGCTTAATGTTACTATTATACCCAGCGGATTATTTCACTAGAATGCAATTCATTATCACCCTAGATTCGTCATTGTGCAGCAAAAGCTCTGGGTTATGATAGTTGCATGTGGTTCAATTCCGATATCGAATTATCGGCCTGAATTCTGATCTTACTTTCATGCTAGATGCAGTTGTTTTCGGAACCCTGGCATATTCCTGACACTTTATACTGGTTGACAAACTCCTCTCTGATCGCTGCTTGTTTTCTCTTTCGCATCAGGTGGCTCAGACATCTGCAAGTGGACGATCCATCAGCCCGCCCATCGTGTCGTAAACGATCGAATAAGAGTTTTGGCGAAAATATCGTTTTTTTTCCTGGGGATATATCGGTGATATTGTCCCCCTGGCAGAGTATTGTAATATATTATCCACGGGAGAAGAATCTAGGCAAGTACAAATAGTATGACGAGGTTAGCTCCGAAGTGTCACCAAGCGATTTTGGTTTTACTGATACTCTGGTGCTTGGATGCTTGTAGTGCGATGCTAATACATAATTTTATTCGCTCACTCTTTGTACATCTACAGACAGCTGTGGCGCAAGACGGGTTGAGAATCCGTCTAGAGCATCCAGAGTAAGCAAATATGATATTTGACTGCTTAACTTTTGTCGCAATACCTTTGGGCGCCTCAGAGTCTTCCAATCCAGAGGTTTTCAAGCCTTTTCATACGCGATGAGCATCATGAATTCCAAGAGACTTGTCGCGACCGCGAGCTCCATGCAATCATTCGGGGATCTAATCGGTCATGGTCAATTTGAAGCTGCACGATTTCATAAATACTATCGAATTGAAGAAAGTTGCCTCCGATTACTGAATAGAAGAAAAATCCTGCCATTGCATATTTTAATCAATCAAACTTGTCCAATAAAGCTCCCCCGTCGACCCCTGAGGTGTAGGAAACTGTAAGGGGACCTTGAAGAATAAATGAATCCCATTGTCTGGAGGCACGGGAACATAGTGATTGAGAGGCATTGTGAGTTGTTCAAAAACAAATAAAAACTTTGGGGATATTCAGAAACCAAAAGAATAAGTAAAAATATATCTCCTGACATCACCTTTCTTTTTCCTATTGTTTTCTTCTATTTCCTTTTTTTTTGCACTGCCACTCATTGTCTATGTAGCAGAGTGTCAAAATGGCCGTTAGCAAGGGCCATTAGCAAAAATTGCGCCTAGTGACCACCGTAAATAGCAGACCCTTGATCTCATAATTGAATGTATAACGCCTATACCAGGACCACAAGCCTGCCATGTGCATGCATGCTGGTGGCGTACTATCCACGATCTCGTGAGACGATTCGTCCAATGCAGAATTTCCGGGAGATACCGAGGGATCAAACCGCCCTTTTAGATAAAAAATATTTGCAGGGTCCATTGATTCCATGGACGTTATGACCTCTCTGATGCCTGATAAAGCATGGTTGTAATCAAACTCTCTGAGCCACCCCCTGCAAACCCCTTGCGCGGACGGCTTGGTATACTGGCCCCACTACGGTACATGTCACAGAGTCGGATTTGTTGCACCCAGTAAAAACAGCAATTGAACAATTTCCAGAGGTCCGAACACGAATTACCAGATTAGATGCTCAAGGCTTTGAATTTACCAAGAGATCATCGCAAGAATTTATAGTATCCCAGCGACGGTCTCTTTTAATTTTCTCTTCTCCCTTCGATGCTCGCGTTTCTAGAACTCTATTTTACGTCGCACATTGCCCTCCCGACATCCAGGGCCATTGTGTGGCAAGATCGCTACAATGACCTTCTTGAGAGGCCTTCTATGGATCCTGGCTCTGGGGCACGTCGTACTTGCAGTTCCATCAGTTCCGAGGAAACACTGCCCATCCAGAGAGATCACCATTCGAAGAGAATGGTAAGGTCACACCCTCCCTGACATACACTGCCTTGTGTCATGTTGCTAATCCATGGCATTGGTTTCTCCAGGGGTGAGATGCTCCCGGCCGAGCGGAAGAGCTACATCAATGCTGTTCTCTGTTTGGCGCAAAAACCACCGCAGTTGCCTACGGCCGAATATCCAGGCGTCCGGAGCCGGTTCGATGACTTTGTCGCGTATGTCTTGATTTAGAGTGGTGTACCGGCCAATTCAGCAGCGAAAGACTCGCCTCCGCTGACGAGGATATAATATATCGCAGGACGCATATCAATTACACTCTCCACGCACACCTTACTGGGTTGTTTTTGCCGTGGCACCGGCGGTTCACCTGGCTTTTTGAAAGGGCGCTCCGGGATGAGTGCGGATATACTGATTATCTCCCGTGAGGCATCTCCTTCTACCTTCTCTTTCCTTTCCGGAATCTTGCCAAGTGGAAACCCCAGCCCATTTGCTTCGATTGATATCACACGCTCAAGTCACTGACGATACATCCTCGCGTGCCCTAGGTACTGGAACTGGCCACTGTGGGCTGATAACCTCTCCGCCAGCCCGCTCTTCGACTGCAGCGAGACCTCGCTCTCCGGCGATGGCGCGTACAATCCCGACGAGCAACCTCTCTCCGGCGGCAACACTACCATCCCGCGCGGCACTGGTGGCGACTGCACGCCATGCGGGCCCTTCAAGGACTTCCAGGTCCACATGGGCCCCTTCTCGCGCGAACTCACCTCGCTCACGGAGATCCCCGCTCCTGGCTTCGACTATAACCCGCGCTGTCTAAACCGCAGCCTCAATAATTTCGTTTCCAGTCACTACAACAACGCGAGCCAGGTAACCCGCCTGCTTGATGCCACCGACATTGTCGACTTCCAAACCGTCATGGACCACTGGCCGCCCCGGCCGGACGGCGTCCTGGGCCTCCACGGCGGCGGCCATTACAGTCTCGGCGCGACCCTTCAAGATCTGTTCTCCTCGCCGCAGGACCCGGCCTTTATGCTGCATCATGCTATGATCGACCGGCTCTGGGCAATGTGGCAGAACGGCGGCGAGGGCCGCCGCGATGCGCTCAATGGCACGAATGTCATCCTGAATCCGCCGTGGGCAGAGCGGGTCACGCTTGACATGGTAATGGAGTTTGGGATCTTGGATGAGCCGCGACGGGTTCGTGAGGTCATGGATCCCTTGGCGGATGGGTTCTGTTATGCCTATTCTTGAATTTGGAGCTAGAAGAGGTAGGTAGGAAGTGGAGTGGAGCATCTGGTTTTGTATTTGGCTATTCCTCGAAGACAATCTTTGGTAGAATATGAATCTACAACACGAGAGTTTCCGAGCATGACCTACAGAACAGGTGTCCACATTAAATGACTACCCAGCGATCTGGCTGTTTAGCAGATATTGCACTCTATAACACGCTTTTCTCTTTGCTGCGAAAATTCCTCTTGCGGCTCTTGGTGCTTCTCCCTCTCCTGTGAAGGTTTATTCCAAAGTATTTAATTTTTCTCTCGTGCAAGCTGTATTACACGAGTAGATGTCATGCCGTGATAGTGATGAAACTAGGCTATAGCGTTGCATGCGCTGCTCCGACAAGCCGACAGTGTATATCTATAGCTTGACTGCCGCTCATAAGATTATAGCCTGCATATTCCTGACTTTAAAGTTTCTGCACCGGATTCGGGCAACGCCAGCGACTGCGCACATAATGCACATCAATAGCATGGCACTGGAACGCCATCCGATATACGAATGATACTTCACACTAATTGCGCTTGAGAAGCTGTTCTTTTACGTGAATAGCGTTAACGTGGCGCGTAAAATATCCGGCTTTATAAAATATCTGAAAGTGAATATCATCTGGAAAGCTCTTCATTCGCAAAGCATTAAAAACATGCTTCTAATTATCAGACTTCTCGATATATTCCTTGGTAGCATGTAACGGCCTATCAGGTATAGAAATAGGTAGCTGGTATGAGTCGCCATCATTTAACGCTTAGACTAGCACCTCCGCTATAGGACAAGCCGACGCAGCCAGTTTAGAAGCCTTTTTCTTAGGCCGGCCCTTTGACGGACCTCCTTCAAGGGCGTCACAATACTGCACGACGGCACCGTTGCTCGATCTGAAGGAGCAGGAAATTGGCTTGATAACCTTCCAGGACACTACTGAATCGACGTATCGCAAAATGAATGCACAACCGATAAGATCGGTCTTCGCTGGCTCCAGAAGCTAAAACGAATTTCCGTGTACAAGAGAAACATATTTGCTATTAAGTCTTGCTGGGCACAGTAGTAATCTTAGGCCTCACTTCGATCGACCAACTCAAAAAAAAAAAAAAAAAACGGGGGTCTGTCCACTTCGAATTCTAAGTTTGCGATGTATGTGACCATCCCCGCCTTTCTACTACCTCACGCCCAGATGCGGTCCTGAAAACTGACGTTGATGATGGCATCGGATGCAGCGATACCGGATCCTGCAGTGTCTCAACTGGTCTCTTTGTTCGCTTTCCAAGCCAAGGCAAAAGATTAAAAACACCACCGCATGCGAATATGCCCAACCAAAGTGCCAACTCAGTTCCATAGATAATCATGCCGAGTATGTCAATAGCTGGCCCGAATACTTTGTTATGTTAGCAACGACTTTCATCAATACATCGCACCCTACTCACAAATAGATATGAGTGAAAAAAGATCACCAGCTGCGTCAATGCCCACAAAGAAAAAACTAATTCCTCGTACAGTCCGGTGTACATAAATATCCCAGTAATGCCTCAGTACGCCTGCTGCGAGCAAACATGCGCTTAAAATAGCCATCAAAATAAGAGGCCATCTGATACCATGAGAATGAGCTTCTTTTAAAGCAAAGATTAACCCTGCCTCGGTGGCACCGAGGATCAGAAGAAGAGAAGCGACCGCGGCAATACATTTCGTAACAGAGTACCTCTATTCCACAGTCAACATTACGCACACAAACATAAGCCGCAGAACTTACCTTCCCATAATATAGGCACTGGGCCCAAGTAATAAGGCTGAGAGTTGTAAGTATCTGAGGCTGGACTCTTAGAGCCACATTGAACTCTTCCACAATATTGTACACCCCAAGAGGGACCCCCGCCGTTGCCCATAATAGCATCATTGAACCCTGTAAGCCCTCAGTATCATGTCTCCTGTAGTTTATGATAATCTGGGGCAGAAGCTAGAAAATGAATTAGTAGCAGGTAAGGTCGCAGGATATCCACGTCCTACCTGGATAGACCAGCACACCTGTGTACGAGCTTCATTAGTCATATCCAATAAATCATGCAGACTGATAAACGGACCGCGCCGAGAGTTCCCAAGACATTTTCTACTATGGGTATGTCCATGCTGGAAAGGTAGGAGAGTATTAGCGGGCGGAGTCCAGGAGATTGAGAAGTTTGGGTAAATTAGTTAACTATGAGAATGATTAATCATTTACCTCGTGGAAGTGGGCCGATTTCCTTGAATTCTAATTGGACCCTGCCGTGGACGCCCGCTGACTCATTGCATGACTGGGCGGTCGGAGTTCAAGACCTATTTTGGACCAAGCCTGTAACAGAGTCAGGAGATGTAAAGTTGATCATATTGACTATCCTGCAAACTAGCTAAGAAGATGCCATAGGGTCAGGTGACCTGGCTTGGAGGGCAGCAAAGCCCTTTCTATTTTTTCATTGCCCCCAACATCCATGAAAGGCTCAGAGACGACAATAGATCGGGATGCCTTGTGTTTCAATGTTGTCGCTTTGGTTGCAGGTGTGTTTGTCCTTGAATATGGCGCAGACAAGTTCACATCGACCACACCGTCATTGTCGGGTGGCGCCTGGACATCCTTCAAACTGTCATTGCTCTCTTGACAGCTGGCGCTGAATGAGAAGAGGTCTGCGATTCAGTGCAATCCGATCCATTGTCTAACCTGGCTACTACCCTCATTAGCTCGCTGTAGTGGTTGCCGCCATCCTGCAGCATCGCAGCCCCCTGGGCCTTGGAAACGTCATGGGCTCGACTATTTCCAACGTTCTCGGCGCCTTTTCTTTAGGGCTACGTTTTTACCCCCAGGAACTGGAGTTTGACCGCAGCGCAAAGATATACTCGGCCCTGCTGTTCGTAGTCACGACGCACTTCGTGGTACTGCATTCTTCAATCAATTGAACCAGATCATCGGCTGGGTCTTGATTGCCATATTCACTCTCTACATCGTCTCTATAATATACGCTATTTACAAGGGTATAGCATCGCCTCCAGAGCTATCGGACTGTGGTAGCGACAAGGAACCCAGTGATGACGATGACGGCGAATTCGTCAATCGTACTCCTGTCTCGGAGACCTCTCCTCTCATCGAGAATGTCCATGCGCCGTTCGCCAACGGACAAAGGGAGCAGACAAAGTAGAAGCCTTCCTTACCACATATTCCAACTTATTCTCGGATTCATCTCGCTTTCTCTGTCAGGATACATCCTATCCCACAGCGCCGTCACTAGTGCCGACTCCCTGCATCTCTCGGGGCCGTCTTCGGTCTGACCTCTGACCGTTGTCTCCTTTGCCACTACTCCAACCTTCTTCTAATAAGAGGGTTCTTCAAACCTCCTGCAATGGTATGAACCCCCATGGTGTGTCCATAGTACTTCGACCCCATTTTGCATAATTTCGACGCTCCACTTTGCAGGATGTTGTGTCTTCCCCAGTCTTTTCTAGGTCTCGGCCTGTGAGACTAGGCTATAACGTTGCATACGCTGCCCGACGAGGCAGACAGTGCATACCTATATTTATCTGGATCCCCCCGCTTTACTCCCGTTCAGGGGATCATGGCCTGCTCATTCTTATCTCTAAAGTTCCTTCACCGGAGTCGAGCAACGCTTAAGAAAGACTATGTCTATTATGCATATTAAAAATATTGCGTTGGAATTCTATTTAGTGTAGCAAGGCTACTTTACGCTAATTGCACTCAAGTAGCTTTTCTTTAAGATAAATAGCGTTAAAATAGCGCGTAATACACCTAGTGTTATAATATATCTAGAAGCGAATATAGTTAGGGAGTTCCTTATTTATAAAGCATTAAAAGTAAGCCTCTAGCTCCTAAGAAGTCTCGAGGTATTTGTTAAAGAACAACTAAATGTATAATTCTTGATATTATTCCGGCCGACTTCGGATACAGTACGTTGCGAAATCGTTGCAACCGCCTCCACTCTTCGAGTGTTTCTCTACGCCTACCGCTCAGATTCCCTAGAGTACATTAGGAATAGCCCGGAATATCAGTATCCTCTAGCAGTCTCGATACTATCATTTACTTTCATTAAATACGGTGCCATGTCTCGTAACTGTATTGGCAATTCCAGAGCAGATGCAAACAGGTCAAACAAAAGAGCGGGGATTTGTCTCGTGAATCTGGTGATTCTCCAATACCGTTTGTCGAGTTGCGAATGTCCCTCGCTAAACAGAAGATCAGCCATAAGCGATACAATGGTTAATCATTGGCTGGAAATGTAATGATGCACTATATCTGCTTATATATTTTTTTTTACATCTTTGATAGTCTGGAGTTTTCTGATGGCTAGATTTATCAAGCGAGTCAGACAAAGTTACGATGTATCATGAAGTCACCCCACTCGAACATGCTCCACTGGAATGTAGGAGGTAGTCGAGGTGACGTCACAACGCTACATACGGCCTTAGAAAGGCAGAAAAGAATTTAACAGTCAATCGGCTGGCAATGTAAGCCCTTCTGAACCAAAAAGTGCGATCGACCCGATTTTTACGGTGTGCAATCTCGAGATCTGCACGCAAAACATGCTCGAGCTGGAGTTCATTAGGGCCCGTCACAGTGCAGTTTCCTTGCCTCGATAGATTAACATGATGAAGAGCGAACTTCGCGGCAACATCTGCGCACAGCAGTTAGCAGACGTGCTCCCCGTCGGCGTGGTGATCGTCAACCCGCACGACCAGATTATCTTTTCCAACCGACGCTTCCATGAGCTTACAACGAGCCACCAACCAATAGGACTGGACTGCCTCTCGCAGTCGGTCCACGTAGACGATTACGAGCATATAGCCCAGGCATATGTTGCCGCGGTACAAACGAAGAAGGCGACCCGGAAAGAATACCGGGCAATGGGGGAAGCGGAGGAATGGCGAGGGCTGTCGCTGACACCACTGAACGACGATGATTTGCAGCAGTTTGGGCTAAACGGTGACGGCGGTCTTATTTGTGTGATTAGCGATATCACACCGGAGAAGACAGCAGAGCTGTTGCAGCGGAAGATTGCGAATGATGCGAAAGAGCGGAAGCAGCAACAGGAACGCTTTATAGATATGATCAGCCATGAAGTGCGCAATCCGCTCTCTGCCATCCTGCATTGTGCGGAGGATATTATGGATATTGTGCAGGATGGAGCGCAGGATGACGAGAAGGAGAAGATGGCAAAGATTGCCGAAGCCGCGGAGACGATAAATCTCTGCGTTGCACACCAAAAAAAAATCATCGACGATGTGTTGGTCTACTCCAAGCTGGATGCGTCGATGCTGATGCTAGCCCCACAAGAAGTCCAGCCAAAGTCGCATTTAGCAACGCTGCTAAGCATATTTCGCCCTGAGCTGCGCAAGCAGCAGATCGAATTTGAGTACCTTCTTGACACGTCTTACGCAGATTGTGACCTCGACTGGGTCATCGCCGATCTCAACAAGATGGGCCAGGTATTGGTCAATCTTGTCTCTAACGCTATAAAATTCACTGCCGAATCCCAAAGTAAGAGGAATATTCGGGTCTCCATGGGGGCTGCGAAAGTCCGACCGCCGTCATACCCACCAAACGTCGTCTTTTTCGAGCCGAACGAAGCTGCGTTGAAGCTTGATTCCACCGGAGGTCCTGAATGGGGCCATGGCCAGACTGTGTATATTATGGTCGCTGTGAAGGACAACGGGATCGGAATAAGTGATGACCATCAGAAGCTGCTATTTGAGCGCTTCAAGCAAGCTACCCCACGCACAGACAGGGTGTATGGGGGCTACGGCCTGGGCCTTAATATCAGCCGCAGACTATGCCACATGCATGGAGGAGAGATTGGCGTCAGCTCCAAGGAAGGCGAAGGAAGCACATTTGGATTTTTCTTCACTGTTCGACGGTGTCCCGATACAGCTAAAACCAAGGAGGACAGAGAGTCTCCTATTGACAAACTGTGCCATCAGGTTCGGGAGCTCGACAGTAAAATTCCGGACATCAAAAGAGACACCTCCATGGCAAATTTTTCTGAAGAACCGCCGATAAAGCACGTCGATGAGGTCGCAGTCAACACTGAGAGTGACGACCGAAGAGAGCACTCAGCAAAGCTGTCAGAAGCCGCTATACGAGATGACAGCCAGCCAATATATCGGTGTAGGTCGAACATCGACGAATTTACGCCCAAACAAGAGCCCAAGGCCATAACAGACATGTCTAAATTGGAGGAGCCACACCGCATCCTATTTGTCGAGGACAACATCATCAACCAGCGGGTTCTTGCGCGCAAGCTTCAGATAGCGGGATTTGAGGTCACCACGGCCAACAATGGGCAGGAAGCCCTTGACAGGTGGAAGCACGACTCATTTGACTGCATTCTCATGGACCAGGAAATGCCTGTTATGGACGGAAGTTCAGCGGTGCGAGAGATTCGGGCACTGGAAAAGGACAAGGGAACGCATACCCCCATATTAGGGGTGACTGCCAATGTGCGACAGAACCAGCAGGCAGACATGCTGAATGCGGGCATGGATGGGGTTGTACAGAAGCCGTACAAGATGCAGGATTTATGTGACAAGATCCGTCATTCGATTGCCGCAAGAGTAGGTGAAGGACACTAGCAGAGTCGCCACACATCATAGTCGAGACTATCATCTAGTCACAGTACCGGGGAAATGCATCACACCAATAAAGGAATAAATAACATCAGATGTCCCTTTATGTGTTAATATCCACAATTAAGCCTATATATAAAAATCCGTCCGAAAATGCCAACTAATCATGAATATATAGTCGCTTACGGATATGCCTTGTTGAGAATTTCGAGGTGTGAGTTCTGATTACCTAGATACGTAATATCGCATTGACGGCACCGTTGATACGAGGGACGCTAGCCAGTACATTTTGTCTTCTATTCACGGCAAAGGTCATATGTATGCCTGACTGACTCTCCTAGAAGTCAAATAGTCGAAATTTGGCCCCCATAGAATAGCAATTTTATCCAATTTCAAAAGGTGTGCAGCATAGATACCCATGATTGGGAGGGTCGGGTCTCTAAATAGCACTGTGTCCTCATTTGACCCGAAGGTTTACGGATCCCTGTTAAGCTCTAGGTATGCTATAGAAACGAGTGATTTGCCTATTAGTTTGAGCTCCCTACTTAAGGAGTTAGAAGCGGAGCTCTCATTATAGTCTATTAGCTGTCTCTCGAGATATCCGAGCTGCTTTGTTATGTGGCTACTCTGAGACGCTGTCTAGATATTAACCGGGCTAACTGATTATTATGCCGGTAAAAGACGGGAAGCTACAACGGAAGAGAGCTAACGAGGCGTTAGATATATTGAATTTAAAAGTGAATTCATTCCTGAAATTACTATTTACAGAACGTACATATGATTAAATACGCAGCTCCCGGAATAACTCTAAATATGGACTAGTATATCTTGGCGTAAGGGGCAGGAAAGTCATTGAGAGAGTAGAGTTGCTGCACCGGTTTCGCAACGTACTGTACGAATCGTAATGCATGACGATATATATTTATAGGGAACAACAAGTTAAAATCGGACTTCTTTATCATTATACCCTTCAGCAAACAGCGGAACAACGATATTAAGGTTATAGAAGGAGAATTCCCCTTTCTTTCGAACTGAATTTCTAGAGATTAGAATAATACACTTTTACTATTCTTCTTTGATTCCATAACGATTCAATATTATATGCATTTTCCTTGCCTGATCAACAGGCCGCTACCCTGCAAGAGGCACCCTAACGTAATCTATCCCTAGCACTACTATCCGTCTACCGGATTTCTACCGGTCGGTGGTCATGGAACATCGAATCTAACTATCCCTTATTATTTAGCAACCTCTGGTGTCTCTATTGCCTAACCCACGTGACCTGTGGCCGATTAGTTATCGATATCCTTCAGCCTTAGTTAGCACTACTATATTTCTAGCTATCAGCTACTTAAATTAATTTCTACTTGATCATTTATCAGACTAGAATAGTTTCATCTGATTCGTTCCCATATTATCCCTGAATCCCTTAACAGAACCTGTATACTGCTTCTAGTATTATTGAGTTACAGGACCTCTTGACCTACAGACCGGTCTGTAGGTCACATCGGCCGCATCCGCTTCCACTGGTACGCGTGGACTGGTTCGAGGGTACGTGGGGCCGGTAGGAGCTGGGGGCCTTGGGGTCGGCTCTTTGAACTCTCTGGATTTTCTGGACTCTCCAGGCTCTGCTCTTTGGGAGTGGTCGGTCTTGCCGATGTAGCCATGTACGAACAGGCTGCATGACACGATGCTGCAAGGCCCAATTATCCCCCGCCCTTCCCGAGCGTCGTGGTCATCATGTCCTTGCTAAGCCCCGCGATACCGGCCTGTTCGCCAATGCGAGGGTGGTTCGACCTGAGATCGATCGCGATCTGCTTTCCAAATCACCATGACATATCAACGACTCTTGTTAGGGAAGGAGTGGCGTGTTAGTACGGATGCATCCATGGCTCGCGCGCCTAGGAACCCGTTCGGCCTTGTTTTCTGCTCCCTCTTAACGGAGGGTAATTGCGCTCCGAGCGTCCCACTCGAGACCCCCGATCGGGACCAGTATGACAGCATGACTTTTTGTTTCGCGAACCCGAAAGGGGATGCACGCACCCAAACTGCCGATTCGGGGCTATTTTCAGCCCTGAGACCGAACCAATCAGGGAGGTGGAGTCGCGGGCGCCCGCACAGCCTGGAAGTTTAGTGGGCGAGTTGACGTGGACGAGCCTCGTGCTGGGCCTAAAATCCATGCAATCCATGAACTCCGTGAAACATGTTGAACGGCTGGAGAGAAAGATGGAAAGGGAGGACAGCGCACGAAGCAAAGCTAGAAGAGCCTAGACTCGCCCACGATCGGAGTCAGAACAACCATGTTGTAAACAGGGGAAGAGGGGTGGGGAAGGCTTACATGGATCGCATCATGATACTAAGTACGGCACACAGGCCGATGGACAGAGAGGTATGCCTGCCCCATCATGGCACTGAACTCGCTCGGAGATCGACGTCCGGCGGAGTTTAGTCGTCAGTAGCGAGTGAATAGCACTCAAGTCCCTTCATAGAATCCACGGACTACTCGACATCCACTTCACCGTCTCTAGCCCATGGTTAATAATAGTTCACGACTAGGACTATGAAGTCTGGAGTACTCCGTTCTAGGTCTAGAGGTACGGAGTACGGGATACTCATTGGTTTAGTCTGGGAGCGAGTCCACTCGCAATAGGGGGGATGGAAATCATGAATCGACGCCAATGCCGACATGCCGATGGGCCGCGATGCCGAGACTGCGACACATTCCCAGTCGAAAACCTTGATGATCCCGGTCTCCCGGAATGTGTCAAAAAAGAGGAGAGAGAGAGATGTCAGAGGACGAGTACTGCGGGCTAGCAGGGACAAGCAGGGACAATTGGAGATAGTTGATAAGTACACAAGTAGACACTACACAAGTATACACGACAAGCAGCCCAGGATTTCCGGCTGCGCCTGAATCTTTCCCCTTTTTATTTTCCCGGGTTCTCGGTTCTTGCGCGCTGGTCGCGGCTCCCGACCTGTTCGTGCCCGCGTCCCCGACTGAAACCGGTCGGGAGATCATCGCGCGCCACGGAAATCCGATGTGAATCAGTGCAGGCTCCAGCCACGCCAGAGCCCACGCTGTCTGTCCAGGAGGGACCGACCCTTTTAGTCCTCAAAGGGAAACACTAGTGACCCCAATTTGTCTCTCAGGAGACTCGACCCTAAATATAACCCATGGATGCTCGTGTTGACCCAAGCTCCTAAGACTATGACTTGTTTTTAGGATCGCGCCCACTAGCGTCCCCATGAGATCCATCGGAGCAAGCATCATCGGCCCAGTTAATAGGGCGACGGACAGGCCTCTCAATCTGATTCTGCGACTCCGATTGGCGGGCGCCTTGCTCAATTGGCCTGGTCTGAATTGCCAAAACCGGGAAGTAGAAAGCGTAGAAAAAAGTAGAGAAAAAAAAAAATAAAGTCCATTTGAACGTTGTCTTATCGCCCGTAGGTTCCCGGCTGTCTCTTTTCTCACGGCTCAACTGCTTTTCTACTTCTATTCTCTTATTCTCTCTTCATCCAGTCGTGCATCGATCTCAACCTCCCTTACTCGACCTTCCCCAACCGTTCACAACTCACAACCTCCCCCGTCTCCTCGCCCGCTGTGCACTTCTCCGCATCAACCCCTCACCACCTGCTCTCCCAAGCACCACTTGCTTGACCCGCCTTCTCGCCAGGATGTTGCGAAACACCTCTCTCCAGCTCGTCTTCGTGCTGCTTATGTGTCTGTCTGCAGTCTTCGCAACAGATCGTCCGGCAATTGAGGCGGGCTCCGTAGTCCCCCGTGAGTCCCAGTCTCTCCACGACTTTCTAGCGGGTATCAACGTGGATTCCATTCACGAGGCCCTGCACACCCTCTCTCGCCGATTCCGAGACGGTATTTTCGAGACTGACATCAGTGCCGCCGAGGCCCTGCAAGACGAGGATCAGACCATTGCAAGTCTCGTCCAACTCTTTAAGCGGCAGAGCAATGCCACTTCTTCAGAGCCCGCCACCACGGCGCCCACGACCTCCAGTGAGCCCAGCTCGACCTCAGCTACCACCACCGAGGAGACGACCTCAGCCACCAACCCCACGACCTCGAGCTCTAGCTCTACTTCTAGCTCTACTTCAAGCTCCAGCTCCAGCTCCAGCTCCAGCTCCAGCTCGGTTCCATCCACCACAGCATCTTCTACCACCTCGACTACCTCCAGCCAAAGCTCCTCGAGCACCTCCGCCCCCTCTACGATGATGACCACCACCTCTTCCTCTTCGTCGTCTACTTCCTCCATCACCAGCACTACCGATCAGCTGAGCACCTCCACCTTCAAGAGTACCACCACTCTCCCCGACGGCAGCGTGAGCACCATCACTTCCACGACCATCGTCCACGTCCATGCAACAGGCTCATCCGGGTCCTCGACCACCACCGCCGCCGCCCCCGGTCTCCAGACTGGTGCGGCCGCGCTCACCACCGCCGGCCTGACCCGCGAAGTGGCCGCAATCGTCGGCGGGGCTGTTCTTGTCGCCATGGCCCTGTAAAACCCAGGAGACCGTTCCGTTTCGGCGACTACTCATCTCGCCTGCTCTCTCCTCCTGTTCCTTTAATACTCTCGTCCTCGTATGATTCGTTTCAAGTGTTCCTATTTCCTTCCTCATCGACAACCATTGCATTACCCCGGTCCTTTCGCATTTAGCAAACCACGGCATTTTTCTTGTCCATCACGATCCTTACGAACCTCCGACTCATGCCTCTCCTTTCTCTCTACCATCGGCTAGGCGTTTTGTTTTCTCTCCCTCTCTGTCTCTTCCTTCCGCCATTCCTCCTGCATCAGTATCATCGTTTGGGAGGGGGGGGGGGTGGCAGGGACGGTTTAATTTTTTGTTTCCGTTCTCCTGTCTGTTGCGCGTTCTGGGGGCGCGGTTTCTACGCGGCCACATCATCTTTTTGAAGCGTGCACCTGATCAATTGTATCTAGAGGGTTTCATCATCGCTTCCTGCAGAAGACAAAATGGGAGTATTCTGCTTCTTCTCCTTGCCTTCCCCCTCCTCTCTCTCTCAATTAAAGTCCCAGTTACTTCAAGTTCCGGGACTCATCATAGGGGGCTTAAAATATTGAAAAGTATTAAAATATTATAAAAAAACGTATATATTTCCAAATATTGCGTAACGTAACTGTCGTGTCTAGACCGTCCGGCGGTAACGGCGGGTACATCGTCAAGTATATAGCTTCAAGAGAGCCGGCGACTCGGCCCAAGTAATCATATGTCTCCGGCAAATGAGAATGTACAGCGCGGGGGGGGGGGGGTATGCAATGCGGTATGGGACGGGTGCAGCCGAGAATGCGCCCGTGCTCGACAGATGCCAATCGCTTCGTATATATTATGTTCTTCCCTGAGCATTTCTCAACTGCTTTTTCGCTCTCCACCTCCTAGTCCCCCTTCTCTATCCAGCTGCATGGCTTGTGCTGTGTGTCCTCCCCTTTGGAGTCTTGGGTGGGATCACCGTGCCATCGCAGATGACCCCTGCCACCGCTCCTCGCCCGTCCAATATCGCACCACGCTCTCCCACGCGGGCAGATCGCCGTCACGCAACAGCGCCGCGACGTCGACGTTCAGCGGTGAGTCGGGCTGCGGATCCGTGAGGAGCTGATGGATGGCGGTGAGCGTGGAAGACAGGGTGTAGACGGGGCTCCAGTGCTCGGTCGTCAAGAGGGTCAGACAGATCTCGCCGGTAGTGAAGGAGATGTTGGGGTGGGAGATGCGCGTTGTGAAGTGGATGGTCGGCGGGGCGAGGGGGTAGTTGGGCGGGATCGCGATCCGGAGGTGCCAGAGGCCGCCTGGGTAGAGATTGGGAGTGTTAGTTTTCTATAGATGGAAGGGAGAAGATTGGATGGTTGCGGGCGTTACGGTCATACCCTCGTATGGCGACCCAGGGACACCCTTCAGGACGGCTTCCCAGCGGAGGAGGTCGTCGTCGTCCACGGGGCGGAGGTGCAGAAGGGCCTCGTTGGGGGATTTGGCGTAGTCTTTCAGCTCGCGCAGTAGCCGCTGGGAAGTGTTGGATGACGCCATGAGGAATGTTGAGGGGGGAAGATCCTCGTTGGCAGGGAGGAAAGGGGGAGGGTTGAGAAGTCGAAGGGTGTTTGAATGTGTTGTCGCAAGGTCGCGAAAGCTGGTTCCCGCTTCCCGAGGCTGGGGAAACCCCCGGCCACTGATCGGCCGTTCGCGCCATGTGAAATGAAATACACACCGCCTCCATTTTGGTCGACCGCGCTGTTTACTCCATACTCCGATGCTGCTCGGGGCTCACACCTCCTAACATAGCATAGAGCTTTTATAGGGTTGAGCTGTGACAGCATCATTCAATAAGCATGGGAGATATGGAGATTCCAGCTGTATAGGGATTTATATATCTATATCTTTTATGATCCTTTGGCCCTCCAACGAGGCCGTAGAGTGTGACTCCTCCAACACTTCTATATACGAATTACCCGAAAATCACATTCAAGCTACCTCTCGGTTTAGGGTTTAGTGGGCCCTTCCAAGGTCTGTTTTAACCACTCCATAAATTATCTTCAAGTCCGAATCAGGGAGGTTAACAGAACCCAGCATTCGAATATCATTTTCTTAGCCGCCAGGGCATATGTTTATTTCGCATAACCCTCACAGGGAAAAGGAAATATGCAGACAATTTCGACTCCTGGAATCAACCTTACTTGAATGAACATGTTTAACATTAACATATAGTAGCTACTATCCTTTTTTTGTGTTATTCTTAGGCCGAATGTCCGACCGGGATATAAAATAAGATGTTAAAAAGTGAGATGATAATATCAGAAAGGGGGATATCAAGCAGACATGGTAATAATGAAAATTCTCCTATTAAAAATCCGTGTTGCGGTAGTGTGTAATATGGTCGTCGTTTCCGTGAACTCATAAGTCATCAAATAAGCAGAGCTAAATCGTCTTAGATATTTATTCTTCAAACCGCGATCGATTATATATCTCGGCATGCTGATTGGACTCGGCCCGTCCTCAGCGTGCAAAAAGCGGCGAGCGAAAGGGACAAAAATAGTAAGGCCAGATCCACTCGCGGTACAAGATCCCCCGACTTTCGTGTCGACGATCCATTATCATTCCTCCGTCCTTGAAGAATTGCCACAATGCGAACATCGCGAGCCTCAAAGGAGACATCCAAGGTCCTTCAGGCCTTGTCGCCCCCAGCGCGCCGCCAAACACGTAGTGCGGCGCTCACGACCAGCGCCCTGAAGAGTTTCGCCTACAATGGCGATTCAACCCTGACCCCCGAGTCGATCCCGACCATTGCGCGCATCCCCACCCTTAAAAGCGACGATGAATCCTCCCTATCCTCTGCGAATACCGCTGACATCGAAGATCTGGTGGATGACTTGGAACCGTCCGCGAAACGCCGAAAACGCAACGCCAGCTCGAAGGTCTTGTCTGTCTCCAATCGCTCGTCGCGCAAGCCCCTCGTGAAGGAAGACCCAGATACCAAATCGGCACCGCCAGCAAAGGCGCGACGAATGCCCGCTCGAAAGACCCGTGATGCAGATGGCGCCGTGGTGGTTGAGCCGCCTTCGAACTGGGAGACCATGTACAATATTGTGAAGAAGATGCGCGAGGACAATCCCACGGCACCCGTAGATACCATGGGCTGCGCGGAACTATACTGGCGAGCGTCATCGCCGCGCGACCGTCGTTTTCAGACCCTCGTTGCATTGATGCTCTCGTCCCAAACGAAGGATACAGTGACCGCGGTTGCGATGCAACGCCTACATACCGAGCTTGGAGACGATCAACTGCAATCAGATTGTGCAAGCGACATCAAGCCGGAGCATGAACAGCCGGAATGCATCAGTGATATCAGAATTAAAGCCGAAGAAGACGACTCCAAGGCGCTCCAGGACAAGGACAGCACTCTGAACCTGGAAAATATTCTTGCCGTGTCCCCGACCCGCCTCAACTCTCTCATCGAGAAAGTAGGCTTCCATAACAACAAAACCAAATACATCAAGGCAGCCGCGCTTATTCTGCGTGACCAGTATAATGGTGACATCCCTGCGACCCCCGAAGGACTTATGAAACTTCCGGGTGTTGGCCCCAAAATGGCTTATCTCTGCATGAGTGCTGCCTGGGGCAAGCACGAGGGGATCGGCGTCGATGTCCATGTCCATCGTATCACCAACCTGTGGGGGTGGCACAAAACCAAGACGCCAGAGGAAACACGGATGGCGTTACAATCCTGGTTACCTCGGGACAAGTGGCACGAGATTAATAAGTTGCTAGTTGGCTTAGGGCAGACGGCCTGTCAACCAGTCAAGCGAAGGTGTGGGGAGTGCTATCTGGCGGGCACGAAGCTCTGCAAGAGCGAAGTCAAAGGCCTGACTCCCGTTAAACGTGAAATCGGCGTCAAGACGAGCCCTGAACTCGATGAGCCGAAGATTAAAATCGAGACGTCCTGATGAAAGGGCTGGATTTGGAATTAATACGAATTGCTAAAGTAATGTCTGTTCTTCATTTGATTCCGTTGGACTGGATATAGAGTATTAAGTAATTCAATTGTGAGCTGTGGCAATCGGCTTTCAAATGCGATCCTCAAGCTATGCATCATGCCCTGTGGTTCACTGAGCAAGATATACGTATGTATATAGTATCTGGCTTAGCTGGAGGTCACTATATCTCACCGTTAGCGTCATCCACCAGTCAAGGTTCCTTTTTTCGGGATAAAACCAAGCACTCACAGTTGATCATCTCCTGCCAGATCTCATCCATGTAGAATAGCGACGAAATATGCCCTCCCGGGATGACCTTCAAGCTGGCCGACTTATAGTTCTCTACAATCCAGTCATTTGTTGCTCCACCGATTCGATCCGCGCTTGATCCCACAACCAGCACTGGCTTCGATGCATGTGTCTCGTCCAGCGCCTTCGGCTCAAACCCCCAGTCGGAATGGATGACATCCGACACCTCCATCGTCCCATCCCAGTTCTGGCAACTCCGGGTCATGCCTTGAGCCATACTCTCTACAAACGCATCCTCCGTCAGACCGTTCTCCTTGAGCCAGGACTGGAAAGTAGCATGCTCCTCGTCATCCATGATGTCGATCAGCGTCTGCCGCAGAAACGCCTTCGCACCTGCCGCCGTCTTCAGTTTGAATCCGACCGCCGCGCGAAAGAGCCACTGAATAAGATGAAATGGGAGGAACTGCGTCGGCGGGCCGATCGAGAACCATCCCTGCCAACTCAGTGACTTTGCATAGCCAGCGTAGTATTTTAGGGGCGCGAACCCGCCCATCAAGAGGCAGCCGGCAATCTTCCGTCCTGGCGGAAACAGCTCGTATGGTGCGCCATAGATCATCTGCGCAGCCACGGTGCCGTAGGATCCGCCAGAGACGTATAAGATATCGAAGTCGTCTGTCGGGTACAGATGCGAGAGTAGGGCGGATATGTCTCTCGCGAGGGAAGTGCTGTACGGCACTGAAGTATCTCGTGTGCTGGAGTTGCCCATCCCCGGCGGAGTTGGGGAAATCCAGTGCGCTCCGATCTCGCGACAGGGTTTGGGGACTCGTGGTGCGATGCCTACGCTCATGATCCCGGTGAAGAATATGACGACCGTTCTCGAGGTCTTCGGCCCATTATGGGCGTAGGCTATTTGCCTATTGTTGGGGAGCTTGAGTATGTGCTCCTCCTCTCCCGATGCATGATCATAACCTGAGTCCGTTTCTGTCATATTGACTGTTTGAGGCACTGTAACTGCAGACCATGAAGAAATTAGACCTGTCGGCTGGATTAGGAAAAGGAAAATGTTGGTGTTTTTGAAGTTGTTATTTACTGGCCGTGGACGGTCTTTGTACTTGGTTCATTTCCAGGTTGCCTGGCCTTGGCGGCACTCGTATTCGTTTCTGCCAATTCACCCATTTGGGTTCAGCAAGACCTAGATCTATATCCGTTTTGACAAATACAAGCTACGGCTCGAAGATGCAAGTTAAGATTGCCCGTTCTCCTCACTTGGCCGTCAACTCGGACCCCCAGCTTCATGAGCAGCAGTAATCTCATGTCTCGTTGACCTGCCCAGGGTGTTCAGCTCTCTGTCTTGAGATAACAAGAATTTCTGCCTATTGGGAGTATTGCAATTTAACCTCAATTAATGTGATTCGGCTCTATAAATTGAACGATGAGAAGGTATGTGCCACTCTTGGTCGATCGGGTGGACGATGAGACGGTTCATCATTCGTGGATTTGGTTCGTGCCATAACGATCACCATTGTACACACATAGGCACTCGAAATAAGAGGTAGTTCAATTTCTGGGCGATCCAGGAGGCCACCTCGTATATGATATATTGTCCAGTTAACCTTGTCTAGTTAACCCTGTATGACATTACCTTGTATGACGAGAATTAGATTGCGTCTACCGCCGGACAAGATATTTTTGCTTCCGCGCAATGAACGAACCGATCTATGAGAAAGGGATCCGCACGGCCTGCGGGAAGCGGTCAAGTCTCCCCGCGCGCGGGGCAGGCACAGAGCTTCAACTTCTTTCGATCCCCACTTCATGACAGCATTGTCCTGAGCGCTACACATGAGCTCGATCGACCATTGCAACAGCGACTCATTGACGCCCCAGTGAGGCCGAGACGTCTTGAGCCCGATCTTCACGCGCACAGCTCCCTCGTCGGGCCAATATGGGCCCGCCCACGCCCATCTCCATCCCAGTCTTTGCCGAAACCCAGCTCCAACTTCTCCTGCTCGAACACGCCGCCGAGGTTTCTTCCTCTTCGCTTGCCTCGACCGCCGCATCAGTATCCCCAGCTACACGGCGCACCCTCCAGGCGACAGGTTATGCCTTGACGGGTCTGGTTCTATCGCAATGTCGGACCGGTCTTGGCGGTCGTGTGGTGGGCGAGTTTGCGCCGGATCCCGCGATCACTTCAGGCGGAGGCAAATCGTCAGATGCAGGCAATTCCAGATCCACAGATGGGCAGCCTCGACTTGGGTCACATGGGATTCGGGTCGGCGACGTCGTACGCGTGAATGATGTCTCGGCGGGATCGGCAAAGAAAATGGGCAAGGATAAAGAGAAAGGGAAAGATGGCGGGAAGGACGGCGCGAAGGGAGGCCCGGAAGGGGTCGTGACGCGTGTAAGCGACAAGGCGATCTGGATTGCCTTTGGCCAGACTGGCGGCGGAGGCCGTTCGAAGGAGGACGATGAGGCTGTCGAGGAATTATGGGGAAAGAAGCTTTGGGCGTATGTTTTCTTGACTTGGCGATTCCTCTTGCTCGATTTGGAAGACTGGGCGTGCTGACTTGTGTATAGAATCAAACTTGCCAATGATGTTACATATCGACGGTTAGGGCGATCTGGATCCCATTTGAAGAATATCCGAGCTGATCTTTTCTAGCATGAGGCAAACTATGGAGAAAATGGCCAAAATGACTGAGTCGGACCATTCTCATTTCATGCGTGTGGCTTTTGGCCACACAACCCCATTACAACCTGACTATGATGTCTCGGGGCCGGTTGAATTCATTGATCCTACCTTGAATGATTCGCAGAAGGATGCTATCCGGTTTGCATTGGCTTCCCAGGATATCGCATTGATACATGGGCCACCGGGGACCGGTAAAACACATACGCTAATCGAATTGATCATGCAGATGGTTCAGAGAAAGAAACGTATTCTCGTTTGCGGACCATCGAATGTCTCCGTCGACAATATTGTGGAGCGACTTGCTCCAAACAAGGTCCCCGTGGTACGGGTCGGACATCCAGCACGACTCTTGCCGTCTGTTCTCGAGCATTCTCTCGAGGTGCTCACGCAGACCTCTGATGCCGCAAGTATCGTCAAAGATGTTCGCAAGGAGATGGATGAGAAGCAGGCTAGCATTCGGAAGACCCGCACTGGCCGTGAACGACGGGCTATCTATGATGACCTTAAGCACCTGCGCAAAGAATTCCGAGAGCGCGAATCCAAGTGTGTCGATAACTTGGTGCGCGAGAGTAGTGTTGTCCTGGCCACCCTCCACGGAGCCGGAGGCTACCAGCTCAAGAACCAGAAGTTCGACGTTGTTATTATAGATGAAGCGAGCCAAGCACTAGAGGCACAATGCTGGATCTCCCTCCTCTCTGCGGAAAAGGTCGTTTTGGCTGGCGATCATTTGCAATTACCCCCGACCGTCAAATCAGCCGATTTGAAATCTAGGGACAAGAAGAATCTCCAGGAGATCGCGGGTACGAAGGACGCCCCCACGAAGGACATTTTAAAAGGCGTTTCACTGGAAAGAACACTCTTCGACCGCCTGTTGGCATTACATGGTCCAGGGATCAAAAGGATGCTGACTACGCAATATCGCATGCACGACAAGATCATGCGATTTCCTTCGGACGAGCTCTACGAGGCTAAGTTGATAGCTGCAGACTCAGTCAAGGACCGGTTACTGGCCGACCTTCCCTACGAAGTCTCCGGCACAGATGATACCCAAGAGCCTCTTGTGTTCTGGGATACTCAAGGTGGCGACTTTCCCGAAAAGGCTGAAGGCGATGAAATCGGGCAAAAAGAGGCTCTCCTGGGTGAAAGCAAAAGCAATGAAATGGAGGCGTTGGTCGTGGCCCGGCATGTGGACAATCTCGTCAATGCCGGCGTGCGCCCCGAAAGCATTGCCGTCATCACTCCTTACAACGGCCAACTCGCCCTGCTGTCACAGATGCTCCGCGAGAGGTACCCTGGGCTAGAGCTGGGTAGTGTGGATGGATTCCAGGGCCGGGAGAAAGAAGCGGTGGTTGTAAGTCTGGTCCGTAGTAATGAGGAGCATGAAGTGGGCTTTCTGGGAGAGAAGCGCCGGCTCAATGGTAATGATACTTCCCATCCCCACTCATGACTCCCGACTTCATCAGTCTTTGTCGAACAAGGCCGTTTCGATGCACCGTTTGATGCACTTTTCTCCGCATAAAGACAAGTGCATACGCTAACAGACATTTCTCGATTTCAGTAGCCATGACCCGCCCCAAGCGGCATCTATGCATCTGTGGAGACTCAGAAACCATCAGTGGGTAAGTTTTGTCTGTGTGCCGCTTGCATCCCATACTTGAGGCTAATTGAGGTTGTCTGCGACAGGGGTAGTAGCTTCTTGAAACACTGGATGGAGTACTTGGAGGAGCATGCCGATCTACGATACCCCGATGCCGGCGACTTGCTTTGATCTGATCTTCGGCAGTTATTGCATATTGTGTGTCATACATAGAATAGATAATGTATGCAGGTCCTTATCTAGATGCATCCCTGCATGGATGGCGACGTTGAGGGTTTTGCCTGCAGGGGCCACGCCGCTGAGATCTCCACAGCAAGAACCCCGGTCGCTCTGTGTGATATCTGTTCCCCGCAGAATATCCCAAGAAGCCTCTACAAAATTTGATCTTCCTTGACTTTTCACACGGTCAAGGCCTGTTCTGGGAACCAAAACTTACCGGCAAAGTTTTGCCCATTTTAGCCTGCCACTCTTCGTCTTTGATATAACCGGTACAATCTCAGGACAGATGTACCTGGGATCTGTCGAAACAGCATTCCCCCCGCCTCCTTCTTACGGTCGTACCAAGCTCTTTCTGGAGTCTGGCCCGAGGCTCTCCCGTCCTCTAGGTTCTCGAATCCCGCGGGCGTATCCAGCTCTGACCAAGCCGACGTTTCAAAATACACAGCGGTTCCCGGGCGGGCAAGATCTTTCCACGATCAGCCGGGGGCGTCGGAGATTACTCAAAATCGCGATAGTGAAAGGGCCGGGGGTCTCGCGGGTTTCGATCGACCTGGGCCAGTATTTACTTAAACTGGGCCCATTGTGCAGTATTGAGATAACTATCAAAATGAGGGGAATTAGGGGGTATGGATCTAGCTAGAAATAGAAACCGTATCACGATCAGAGAATTTACTGGTGTCTATTATATCTTTCGCTCTGAATCTTCCTTGTGACGATCAAGAAAGAATCCACTCGTAGTATAGGTGAAGATCTCTAATTTGCCTAAAGAGCTAGCGTTTCCTTTACTATGCAGACAACCATTGAGATCCTCGATCCATATAATAGGGATGTGCCAGTTTCGATGAGGGTGTAGCTTCAGCCGTACCAGCTCAACAAAATGTTTTATTTTCCACCTCCTCAATTGAGATCTGAGTGCATACGGATATTAGTTTTAGTGAACCTGACCGTTCGGTTCTTCCAAAAATATTTCCATACAATGCGGGATATCTTCCCGCGGTTGGCCACAAGACGGCCAATGGCAGGCTCTAAGGGCCAAGCTGAAAACTGCTGAATGATGAGGATGATGCTTAGTGCAGATTGAAGTCAGACTTCGCCTCGGCGTCGCAGCCTGACTGCGAAACACTGCTCCGGGACAGTGCTTGATTTGCGAATTTGAACGAGACCGTGCCACTCCGCAGTCTCAGCTCTCAGCGGGTTGGGCTCCTGGTGGTGTACGACAAGCCCATCAAATCTAGCCCCAAAACGAGGCCAGCACACAAGCGACAGGCAATGATCGATGGGCAACCCTCGAACGGCCTGTGCGGTGCGTTGGAAAAGTTTCGGCGATCGACAGCGTGCCATGTGGTGTTTCAGACCAGGGGGGTAAGGTTGTGTGCATTGGGCATTCCAGTATCACCGCCGCTTTGCCCCCTCTTCTACCCCTCCCAGAATTCCCGGACCAGGACGGGAAGCCAGGATGTACAATGACGCCGGGTGCTGCAAAAGGTGTACAATCATAGCGACCCTGGAAGCTTGTCCTTAGGGTGACCAACGACCAGACAGGGGGAGGGGAAGGGGGCCATTCTGGATGCAGCTGGAAGCAGTTCAAAACGGCCGTTCATCTGCGAGCTCCACTTGGTCTCGGCTGGTGGATCCAGCGCGGCATTCGTTTGAAATGAAAGCCAGCGCTCGGTCGCCATCTGATTCGGCCCCCGGGCTCTTTTGGGTTTTTTTTAATGGGGTTTAGTGGTTCGGGTGGTTCTTTTTCAATCGCTTCAGGCCCTATTTTTTCTTCGTCCTGTCTTGTTGACTGCTGTTTATGGCTGGGCAGTCGTGCAGAAACGGTTAGAGGACCCATTTACTAACCGGCTCGGGTGGTGTTTGTTGTTCTTTGGTTCTTTTGCCCGTGGCCCCGTAGCCACTGACGCGCTGCGCTGTTGAATCCCTTCGAGGGATCCTGAACAGTGGTGGCACCTCCACCCCTGTGCCTTGGCCCAAACCTTGCGCTCGGGGATACCTCCAGAAGGAGCATCGGGTCGAATCGGTGGCCCGAGTGCATGTTCAACAGGAGGCGGCAGTTCTGGACTCTGAGAACCTGGAGCCTAGACGAACAGGATTCTTATCCAGACCAGCCATCTTCGGTTGTGGCGCGCAGAATCTCCCGGAAAAAAAAAGTCGCGGTGTGGAGTAGGACAGGGAGAATGTAGTTTAGAAACTAGACTGTTTGAAAGAGACGAAACAGGCGACAAGTAAGCAAGGTCAGCCGTTGAAAGGTGCGAGGTCGTGAAGCAGCGGTTCGTGGTGGACTCCCGATTGTTCGTGGTCGCGGTCACTGGATCGCGGGATCACTGGGTCTCGAAGCTCAACAAGCTTCCCCCTCCCTTTTCTTTCAATCTCCTCATCCTCGACGCTCCGCTTCTTTTGCCTCTTTGTTGATTCCCGACACTCGTTATCTGTCTCATTTAGCTTCCTTTCTTATTCTCTACTTCTTTCATCTCGTACCTATTCCCCCCCCCCCCCCTCCCCTTTTTTTGTTTCTTTCTTTTTATGATTCAGCTGAAAGCTCCCGTACAAGCTTACTCCGTGATTATCATTTCAATCTCCTACTGGATATAGTCGAGATCAATTTACTGGCAAACGCGCCCAAACGCGCCTCATATTGGTTTATCATGCTGCAATTATGATCCTGCTTATAGGTGACTGGGTAGGTTTGATCGTGTCTGTCGTGAACCGACCTTCGCCCGCAAGCTAATTGGCGTTTGGCAGTCTACTTCATTCGTTCCACAACTCGATTGAACCGCCCCGGCGCTTTCGATTGTCCTGGCTGAGATTCGAATCAATATTCCAAGTTTTCGCCGCGCGAGCACAGTCCTTTCTCTTTGTGAGCCTGAATTCTTCAGGACTCTGATATCCGACCACTTTTTTGATACCGTTGCCCCTATTCTATTCTCTTTCTCGACGCTCGCTCTCCACTATCAATTTTGTCTTCGAAATTCTGCTTTTTTTATGCGACGATATATACCCCGTATACGTGCTGCGACGAAATATTGCTTGTAATGATCATCGAGCTGCGATCTTCGAAGAATCAGTCTCAGCTTTCATTATAATCCTCCGACCTTGATTTTATTTCCCATCGCAATATGACAACAATGTCACGGAATACCTCTCGGTCAATTGCCAGTGCAGGTAGCGAATCGGTTGGCAGCAGTCGACAGCGGTCAACCTCAGCTCGTGGGGAGCGATCTGCTTCCAATCCCGCTTCATTTTCGCTAGATACGAGCTATGATACAGCCCTGCCGCCTATCAACTTCAACCATACAACAATAGCCCATCGCCGTACAGGAAGCACATTGAAGACAGTCATGCGAAAAATCTTCAACCGAAAAAGACAGAGTCAGGCAGATGGAGTGGAAGAAAGTCCGAACGAGGCATATTATAGCTCGTCGCCAGCGAGGTCGCCAGGCCCCGACATGCCGGGCAAGTCATTCTTAGCTATCCCAACCCCGTCGGAATCAAAGCGGAGCAGCCCTTTATCGGAACAAAATCTGCAGCTGCAGCTTGCTGAGACGCATCTTTCTCCAACTTCAGCAGCCGGTGGCTCACTGCCTTCACCAGGGTTGCGACAGCCTAGACGGCGGGCCACCCTCCCGAGTGTGATTTTCTCCGATGATGAATCCAGATATGCGGTGGCCAGTGCTCTCTCTGATCCTCAGGAGGACCGAGGATATGTCTCCGATCAAGAAAAAGAGCGAAGCATCATCCAGTCACGAAGACGGTCCAGAAGCATTGGTGCCTTACAGGATCTGGTAAGCGAACACCAAATATCTCCGTCCCAGACACCTTGGCCGCCACGCACAGCTTCCATCCCGACCTCTGCCCCCGATTCCAAATCTCCTCCTCTTGAAGGAAGCTCGGCCAGTGGCCACTCCGCGAGGCCCTCCACTGGAACCACTGTCACCAGCGTGACTCGAGCTTCTGCCGCTCCGTCCCTTCTCGACTCCGATCCTCACGCAGACCAAGTCAGCCTTCCTCCTAATGTTGGGAATCTGGTGCACACAATGCAACAAGACGACGGTCTTACCTTGGAACAGCGACTGAACACTCTTGAAGTCAAGATGATCGATTTAGAATTCGCGATTGCGCGAATGCAGTCAAATTCAGTGAATGAAAATCCTATCAATGACCGCTCTCGTCGAAAAGAGGACTCATCCCCCTATGTACGCAATAAGCCGTCATTCCTGGGAGGATCTATCGACCGTGATGAATCTCCCAGTCCCTTTCCTAATCTCCCGGCGGGACGGCCTACCAGCACGAGTACTATCCGTGCAGACACCATGAACTCACGAACCATTCGACCAGCCCCGTCTGCCAGTTCTCTATCAGACTTCAACGGCATCTCCATCGAGCAATACAGTGCTCTGGTTACCCTCCTTCGCCGCGAACAGACTGCGCGCAGGACCCTCGAGAGCCAAGTATCTAGTCTCCAGGATGATATCCGTCATATTCAACGCGCGGCATTGCATTCCATGGAGATGGGGACGATGTATCCCATCCATACTGTCGATTCTCAGGAGTTTCTTCGTTTCAGGCGCGCCTTGGATGGATCGGACTCGTCTCCCCCAATTCGAGGAGGCGATGAAAAGCCTATTGGCGGTAGTGACTCGGACTGGGATCGGCCCGACTATCATGGTCGAGATGACCCATTTGGGCCATCTAGATGGGACAGCGAACATGGTCGACGAGTTGTTACTGTTCCAATGATATGACGTATATCCGATCGAATGCGTGTTCTCTATATTCCATTTCGGCTTCAATTTGTGGTTTCAATTCCAGGAAAGCACAGGAAAGTCATCAATGTTGTCATGCCCCGTCAAGCTTCAATGTCTTGCGGGCCAAATGGCTAAGCCTTTAATTAATAAGACTCTGAATCTGGATCTTCTTGAGGGCATTCAAGATGATTCCTTGGCTGTCTCGATCCGATTTTTCATCGCGCTTCTTCACTCCCACCCACCACCAACTTTGGCAGCCTGCAATTAGGCAATTGTGTTTCGATATCCCCATGATCGGTTTTGAACATAGCGACAGTATTCTGAGCCTCTCTTGAGCCAGATTGCTACCATCCATATGCGACAGGCTCGCGTTCCTATACTCTCCCAGCAACAGTTTTCGAGAGATTAGTATATCTTTTTTTATATAAAATTTTTACACCCCGAAAATGTTCATTGTCTAAAAGATAGTACTATGATTTCACCTTGACCTGATGTGTCTCAACCAACACATATCTAACCTCACGGTAATTGATTTGATAGCCAATATTTAGAGTATTATATGGAAACATTTTTTTGATGAGCCTTGAACGAATCTAAGCAGTGGATTAAGATCTCTCTCTCTTCCACTTTCCTCATTCTATACAACAGATGCGCGACCACTTGTATGACAGCTAACGGCTATTGCCGATCAAGCTTTCGGTTTTCTCGTCTCCACGCGCTGGGTGCCTTGATAACGGGCAACCCCGCAATTCATTAGGGTCCCTTCTTCCAGGGGCCCTGAGCATCCGTGCGTCTCACGGCTTTCCCCTCCCTGTTTTCTCTGACTCAATTAAAATGGGGAGCTCAAGTCCCGTCAAGGATTTCACGGTCACCATCGTTGGCGGCGGCATTGGCGGCCTCACCCTGGCAGCTGGTCTTCTGCGCCGCAATGTTCCTGTGCAGATCTATGAAGCGGCCGCGGCGTTCGCAGAGATTGGCCTTGGTTTATCCATTGGGCCTGCGGCGCATCGCGCAATGCCTCTAATTGATCCCCAGATTCGTGAGATCTACGACTCACTGGTGACGACGCATGCCGATAGCCCCGGGTTCGAACAATACCGTCAGACCTGGTTCGAGATTGTCTGGGCGAGCGGCGAGAAAGAAGGGGACCTATTGATGGACTTGAAAGCGCTCCCATCTGGCCAGACTACGCTGCGTCGGGCAAATTTTCTCGATGCCCTCGTCAATCTGATTCCCCCTGACATTGTACATTTTGGCAAGCGTCTCGATAGCCTGGCGGAAACAGCCGATGGTGTGCAGTTGCATTTCGACGATGGGACCTCGGTTCGGGCGGATGTGGTTATTGGTTGCGACGGGATCAAGTCAAAGGTCAAGGAGTCGATGCTTCCAGAGGAATCAAAGTATACTCAGCCTCAGTATAGTGGCATGTATGGCTACCGCGCAGTGCTGGACATGGATGACATGGTTAAAGCCGTTGGGGATCAGCGCGCGAAGGTGTCGACTCTTTATATTGGAGATGGAGCATATGGAATTTCGTATCCGATTATGCGGGCACAAAAGGTAAATGTTGGGCTCTATATATTGAACGACAAGTGGGACAGTGATACGTGGGTTCGGCCGGCAAAGAGGGAAGACATGCTTCGCGATGCGCGCAATATGGGACGATACGTAAATTCTCTTGTTGAGGTATGGAAATCCTCGTCCGTGGGCTTCAATAGACCTGATTGCTAATTGGCATCTGCGATCTGTTTTAGCATATGCCGGATCCATCTCAGTGGGCTATTTTTGAACATCCTCACATCTCCACCTTCTGCCAGTCTCGGGTAGCCATTCTCGGAGATGCAGCACATGCCTCTACGCCCCACCAGGGAGCCGGTGCTGGACAAGCAATTGAAGATGCTCATGTCTTAGCTGAACTTTTGGGTGACCCGCGAGTTCAAACACCACAGCAAGCGATTGCAGCGTTCAAGGCATATGATGATGTTCGCCGCCCGCGCAGCCAGAGAGTGGTTACAAGTAGCAAGGAAAATGCATATATTCTGTGTTTGTGCTTTGAGGGCGTTAAAGACGACGACCATAAGCTCAAAGAGGCATTCGAGTCGCGTCTACACTGGTTGTGGGATTTAGATATTCAAGGTCAGGCGGAAGATGCAAGGCACAAGATGTTTGAATATCTGGATGCTTAAAGTAGTATATTTGTTATACAATATAGATTTTGCATGAAAATGATAAGGAGTCAAAGTGTCGCCCGTGATTCTTCTCTTATTATCTCGATTAATTCAGCATGCTCAGTCAAAGGATCCTCTTCTTGAAGCTCGGTGCAAGCATCCCAAGGCTTAGAGAGGGAGAATCACAGTGACTAGTAACATGAAAGGCCACAAGAAGGATTCAAAACATCCCTCCGTGTCTCATGTATGTCGAGCCCCACTAAAGCGAAGGTGCGGAGCTGCTTCCTTTCCCCAGGTTTCATCCGGCTGATCGGCAACACAAAATGGGGGGTCACAACGCCCCTCTGGCACATACCTCGGCTTCAAACATCCAAGTTCAAGCCGCTTCCGGTGAAGAATCAATCGTAGAACACTGTCTATTGAATAGTGATCCCTGGTCTATTCGTCCTACCTTGATCATCTTGACACTATGGGGACCATTAACATTACTGACGACGTCCTGTCTACTATCAAGGATCAAGTGGTCCTCATAACCGGTACGCATCGCAGCAACTCCCTTCAGTGCCTACCTTGTGCTTGTGCTTGTGCTTGTGCTTGTGCTTGTGCTTATGGTAAAAGGTGGCTCGTCTGGAATCGGCAGGGCTACGACGCAGCTATGCCTCGACTTGGGTGCAAAGGTTGTTGTAGGAGATCTAAATCCTCCGCAGCCCGCCTTCGAGGAGAATGACAGGCTGAAATTTTTGGAAGTCAACGTGACAGAGTGGGAAAGCCTTCGTAACATGTTTATCCAAGCTAACAACTGGTTTGGTCGCATCGACCACGTCTTTGCCAATGCCGGCGTTAGCCCAACTACTGACTTCCTTGGTGTCACACTCGATGAGAACAACCAGTTAAAAGCACCGAATCTTAGAACAATCAATGTCAATCTGCTGGGCCCGCTTTACACTGTTAATCTCGCAGCTGCCTACATGACCAAGCTCGCCAGCAAGCGCCCGATCCAGGGAATGGGAAGTATTGTGCTCTCAGCCTCCGCTTCATCATTCCAGGATTTCAGCGCCGGAGACTATACAGTTGCGAAGCATGCCGTATTGGGAATCATACGTGGTCTCGGTATTCAAATGGAAGGCAATATTCGACTTAATGCAGTTGCACCATCGTGGACGGCAACTGCCATTGTTCCCTTTGACTTTATCGAGTCCATCGGTGTCAAGGTGCAGTCCGCTGAGGCTGTCGCTCGAAGCGTGGTGCTGCTGTTTGCTGACAAGCAACGACATGGAGAGGTTATCTATAGCTGGGACGGTCTATACCGAGAGGTGAATAAGGCTGATGGCGGGCTTCTCTCAATGGCAGAGAAACTTCTTGATAATTCCCATAACGAAGAAAGTGTGATGAGGAAGCTGAGAGAGCAAGCAATATTACTTGAGACGGGCAAGACTTGATCTAGCTTCACTGGATATAAGATGACTTTATGGAAGTCAAGAAAGACCCCAGATCTTGAGATCTGCTATCTGTCTTTTTTTCTCTCATTACTCATAGCGATCTGAGTATACAATTACTTGTTACACAGCAGTTTGTATGAATTCCGGAGTTTCGAGTTGGCTGGATAATGTAGTCATCTTGCATGAGACAACTCAGCTTCCCCTCCTTCTCCACATTTCGGAAAGAAAATGCATGACTCGCTTTAACCGATGTCAGTTTAAATAGCCTTCGGTCTCCTCGGTTATGCTGACATTCCGTATTCCCTAGATACATTCTGATATGACCAAGTCTATAGTGTAAACTGAAAAAATTACTATGGCTGGATTTGCCCTTCAATTTCCCACCGGTCGTGAATTGACTGGGGGTGATCTTCTAGCCCAGTCGCTGAAACAGCTTGGAGTTGAAGTTGCCTTTGGACTTCATGGTGGCCATTTAGATGCATTTTTGATGGGCTGCGAGGCTATTGGAATTCGCCTAGTTGATACAAGACATGAAACCGTCGCTGTCCAGGCCGCTGAAGGATACTGTCGAGTTAGTTCGAAGCCTGGGGTTTGCTTCGTTACGGCTAATAGCGGGTATTTGCTCCTTGATAATTGTTTCACCTTTGAAATTTGTTTTATCTAACTCCTCTTCAGCTTCTCTAATGGACTACCTGGTCTAGCCACAGCATACGCAGACCGAAGCCCAATACTTTGCATTACCTCCTCACCACCACTTCGCGATACAGAGAACAACTCGCTCCAGGGCTCAATTGATCAAATTGTAGCAGCACGCCCTGTTACAAAATTCGCACATCGAGTTGTGGTCCCCGAAGAATGTCCAAGGCTCATATCTCATGCACTTCGCATCGCCCAGGCCGGGGCCCCAGGTCAGTCTGGCTACAAATATTTGTCATCCCTTTTCTAAAAAACTAGCCAAACAGGACCCGTTCTTCTGGACTTCCCTATTGATGTACTATTCTCCCCAATTCACCCGAAGCTTATATCTTGGGGGTCTATTTCCTCTCCTCCATCATACCAGCCTGGTCCACACGCCGCTGCAATTGAAGATGCCGCCCGACTCTTCGCTAGCTCGAAGAGACCAGTCATTATTACGGGAACAGGAGCAAGATATCCTCAGGTATTATTGCATGGCACTGTTAGTGTGTTGTAGCTAAGTTGTATTTAGGCACGGCAAGAAATCTTCAGTCTAGCAGAGACTCATAATATCCCAGTTTTCAACGGCGACAAATACGCAGTATACAGCCCCAAATCTCCCATGTTAGCGGCCTATACTGCAGGCAGCTTGGCTAAACTGCCTCTGGCACAATTACCACGTCCTGATCTGATTTTACTGCTGGGTGCCCGAACAGGAATGTTCCTTGGTGGTCGAGGTGGCCTCATCATTCCGGAGAAAGACTGCAAACTCGTCCAAGTTGATTGTGACGGCGGTGAAATCGGACGATCCCTTTCAGTTGATCTTGGAATCGTCTCCGATATTAAGGCTTTCGTGTCAGCACTCAAAGAAAAGTTAAGGGCCACGGACACAGCCAATATCGACAAATCTTGGGTCCGAGCTGCGCTTTCTCTTGCCTCGATGGAAGTACCATTCGAGAAGGAGCCGGAGATGACCGATTCTGGTCTTCTGCATCCATATCACGCCATCAAAAGTCTGATGACTGCCCTTGATCCGGGAAGTATCATCGTTTTGGACGGCGGTGAAGCAGGAGTCTGGGCTGCAGATCTTGCATCTCTTTCACAACCTCACACTGTAATGAAAGCCACAGGCTACCTTGGATTTCTTGGAAATGGATTCGGATATTCCTTAGGTTGCGCTATTGCTGCTCCTGATCGCAAGGTGATCAATATGCAGGGAGACGGGTCTGCTGGCTTTCATTTGCTGGAACTTGACACATTTAAGCGATTCAACTTGGACATCATGACTATCGTGGTTAATAACTCCAACTGGGGCATGAGCATCAACGGACAAGACCTCATTTATGGAAGCAAGCATCAAGCACGACCTGTGAGTCAATTGAGCTCAGCAACAGAATACGATATTGTAGCAAAGGGCCTTCAGAATGGTGCTGCAAAAATTTCGGTGATGGCCGATATTCACAGCACTGTCTCCAAACTTAAAGCACAGTCGGGGCCTACTTGTCTCAATTTGATTGTTGATCGCAAGCCAACTCATCCTGTAACAACCATGATGGTCGGACTCACCGATAATCCTGATTCTGTGGTGGTACCATACTACGACAATATTCCAAGGGCTTACTACAAGCTATGAAACATTTCTGGTGGGATATTGACACGGGGTGCTCGGTCCCCAACGAACGTTCGCTTGAGCTAACAGGGAAGCTCCGGGTAGTATTGTATCTATGGGAAGGTGGCCAAGGAATGTATTGTACTTCTGAGTAGAACAATGTGTTTCTCTCGAAGATCGTTTTCCTTTCGCTTTTCCAGGCCCTTTGTAACTACTATTTCCCAAGATTGACTAGATCATTTTTCGGAATAAGTCTCCGTTGCAAGTGTGAACATTACAATGAACTATATCTAGTTAAATATAAGTATTTATACTTAATTAACAAGCCAAACCATGCTCACCCAATCTCAACCCACCAACATACAAAGGAATAGGCAAAAGCCACGGATCAATGAGGAGAATTCTTTCAGAATGAAGATCCACAGCCTCCATCACAAGTATGCCAATATCAAGTGCTGACACCACCCTTCGAGGTCAGGTAAGCGGCATAAGAAGCATCCGAATCATGGCTTGCGGACACGTTCACACCAAGAGTGATCCAGCCGAAGATACCATCTTCAATAGAGTCTCCAAGGTAGGCGTATTCAAAGAAGGGATCAGAAGTCGAGTCGGCAGTCTCAACCTTGACAACGTGATCATTAATATTCTTGGTGATTGCAACGTCGTTAGTGTTATAAGGATAGGTAGCCTCGACAACACTAATGAGGTCCTGATCGAAAAAGAGCTGGCCAACGTGAGAGATATGGCCGCCAGTGATAGTATTGTTCGGAAGGACATGAGCATTCACGTGGGCAATGACATGAACATGGGTTGCACGACCGGAGTAATGACCAGGGAAAAGGGTCTTGAACTGTGCAACGCCGTCTGAATCGGTCTTCTGAATTCCACGCAAGAAGGTCTTGTCGAGGTTGGACGCGTCGTTGCCGTTGCCGTTCATGCTGCTCTGGACGCCCGAGTAGACACCAGTAGAGTTGCAGTTCCAAACATCCCAATACAGGTCCTGGATAGGCTCACAGGTGTTGATATCGATGAATTGCCCATCCAGGATGAGAGGGATACCGGGCTCGCCGTCACGCACATCACTGCGAAGAAGCTCGCCTTTGACCCAGAAGGGCCCAACTTCTCCCTCGGGAGCCAGAATGCAGACCGGGTTGTTGGAGAAGAGCTCAGATTCGGCAGTATTGGGGGTCACATCAAGCGAAGAATGGTGCGAAGTGTTAACGGTCTTCTCGGTATCACGGGAGATAATTCCACGCTTTTGGTTCGACTGCATAATCGCGGCACGCCGAGCTCGAGCTCGCTCGTTAATACCACGTTTCTCAAGGTGGTCCGCACAGCTATCTAAGCTTCGGCGGGCATTCTGTAAATAATGTCGCTTCGACATGGCCGAGTATGAGTTCGGCTCGTGGACGCCAGGGTGAGCGAGGGACAGACCACCCAGGGCAATCAAGGCAAGCTTGGTAAAATGCATAATGTAGAAGGATATTTATGAGAATTGAAGCCTGGAGTGTTTGGAAAAGAGCATGAACAAATAGCTTTGTCGTGGAGGAACACACCTCCAGCTTTATAGACTTCTTCATTCTATGGATATTGACCCCAGCTTCACCGCGCACACTAGTTTACTGAGAAATGAAGGGCCGATCGTCATTGTTGTCGTAAGCTGAAGTGATGTTATTGTGGCTCTTGAGGTCTATTATGCAAACCAGACAGTTGCTTTACTCGAAACAGGAGCATCTATCAAGTGTCCATGACGACGCTTCACTCTAACATTCTATGGGGCTGACGAATTGGGCGTCCGTGACTGGATACCGGATCATAGGGGACCCAGGAGAAAAGTACCTTGCTCATAATGTATACGTCCCTAGCCCTCAATACGTAGTGATCTACAGCCAAGACTTTCCGAGCAGGGTGAAATGATTTAGTTCCCAGAGTAAAATATGTGCCTGGAAGCTTTGGAAGCTTGGCAGCCAAGGCCCGAACATGGCTCGAGGTGGAAACAACAACTCTGCTAAGAACCTTTGAAGCGAGACATTTTTTCACTTATGACACGGGTACGCTGCAGGTATACTAAATACCTACTCTTGTGTTGATAGCCATCACAGGTTGGTTGCGACCCATATACCTCATTTTATACTTGATATCTCGATGCGTTTGAGGCCTATCTCTCCCCGGGTGGACTACGCTGATGGGATTACGCGGGACTCAAGGCTTCAAGCTCATCGAACTAGGCAGAGGCCAAAATTTGGCGTAACTGTGGGCCCCGAGTGAGACGTCTCGACTCACATTCATCAAGAACCGTTTGATAAAATCGTTGGAAGCTGCCGATCGTGTCCAAATCTCGGAGCAGAATACCTCCGATGACTCAGCCGGTTTCCCTGGCGGAGAGTCTTGGCATCGATCTACAGTATAACTCTCGCCGGAAGTTTCGACCTTACGCGGCCCGCAGGGGCGTGGGGAAACGTTGCCCCAATAGGCCAGGGCGAATTTGGCACTGCACCGCAACCCTCCGGCGCTCCAGTCAAAGCCCACCACGGTTCTCGTCCGACCTGATCAGAGCAAGTGAGTCCTCCTCCACTGCATATTCCACGATGGATCCCGCATCCAATGCCCCACGTGGTGCAAACGTGAGGAGTGCGTGCGATTTGTGTCGGTCTCGAAAGGTAATGCCATTGAGCACGCAAATTTCAGTAATTGGCCCTGGTGGCTGCTAATTACGGCTTAATGCTGTATTTCGTATACAGATCCGATGTGATAAAGCCCAGCCTGCTTGCGAGAATTGTCAAGTCGCCGGACTACCTTGTACATTCACTGCGCAACCAACTGCCCAGCGGAAAAGCCTGCGACAGTAAGATGAGATGACATACCCAATTGGGCCACGCTAATTGACCAATAGAGAGCTCACTGATTCCCGAGCGCGGGTGCAAGAGTTAGAAGATGCTCTAGCTGCCGTGCAAAATAACAGCGATGCACCTAATTACAGTGCAAGAAGAGTCGCACCAGCAAGTTCAACTGCAACTACTTCACCTGGGTCCGAAGCCCACTTCCAGTCATCTCAATCAAGTCAACCGTGTAAAAACTATATCCCAGACACCCGCTCTCTAGAAGCTGCAGTGGCAGCTTTTCAATGGCATATTGCATTTTGTGGGCTCGGAAATCCCCTGTCGACCACAAGAGCGGCCTTCTACTCACAGATTCACCGGCAAACAGGTTGTACTTTTGATTTGGACAACTTTCTTCAGGGAGTGGCGAGCTCATTTAAGGCAAACGGTCTGAGATCCGAAAAGAAATCCACCACTTCCAAATGGCCGTCAACGCCCTTGGTTCAACGTTGCGTGGAGCATTATGCATCAAACGGCCTGTATTCAATGTTCCCCTTCGCAGATGCTGAGGCCCTGCGGGTATTGATTCAAGCCGATGTCCTAAATCATCCTCATACAACTCGTGCTGCGAATCGAGCATGTCTAGCGGCATTCACGGCAAATATCACAGTAATGCATCGCCATGATCCTGCCTTTTCGGACTCGGATCCTGATGCCTATGCACAGGCAGCACTTTCACTCATTCCTGATATTTTAATGGAGGCTTCAGACTTGAGGACTTTGGAGGCGGTCATGATGCTAGTAAGGCCACCTCTGCCCGCTTGGTGGGAAGCGGTACTCTAAATTTGACCACAGGTTATATATCTCGCACCTCTCGGCCAACCTCAGTCGTCAGAATTATTGCTCGGAATCGCCGTTCAAGCACTTTATACTCTCGGTGGACATAAATTCCAATCTTCTCCAGAAACTCCGAGTCGGTCCCAACAGAGCCGACACCTGCGTGCACTCTTTTGGCTTTGTTACGGCACTGACAGCGAATTTTCCATTCGGAAAGGTCAACCGCCCTTATTAAATGAAACACACTGTGATCTAGATTTGCCTGTTAACTATGCGCAAAAGTCTTCTGAGCATCACTTTTACTGGAAACCTTTGTCCTCCAAAGAGCTCCTCTACCCGTCAGATATTCGCTTGAACCTGATCAAATCCAAGATCTACCGTCTTCTTTACTCTGAGAAGAACTCGTCCCGGTCAGAAGCTCGACGCATTCAACTCATCCGCGAGCTCGATCTTGAGTTGAGTGATCTCAGGGCCGAATACCCGGTTGAATGTCGGCCGGATGCCTTTGCCACAGAAAAGGCGCCGGACTATCTGTTCCACGATCTCAGTATCCGGGGTATCAGCATCCACCTCGAATACTACTATTGCCTGGGTAAAATCCATGGCGCAAACACCTCTTTTAATATTCCGACCTCCAAGACGTGGTCTCCCCTGCCGTCCAGTGACGAGATTTGCTACGAGGCAGCACGCTCAACTCTCATCTACATAGGCCGAGTCCGCCATTACATTAACTACCACACATTCTGGTAAGCTTCTGTGAAAGTGAAACACTGACCCGTCGCTGACTCTGTGTGCTCCATTGCCTAGGCTCCATGCGCAATTCGTGCTGACGGCTGTCATCACGCTCTTCCGCTTCCTACTCATGATCCCCTCCGCTCCGAATTTCGCTCGAGACCTTCAGGTCCTCGATGGCACAGCAGATCTTTTTGCGGGTTTTACCATGTCGGAGGACCCGGAGCGGAATTGTTTCCCGCCTTTTTATATAACTCACGCATTCATCAAGGAACTTGTGTTCTTGGCTCGGCGGGCGTATGATAGATCTAGAAAAAACTGAAAGATGAAATTCCCCAAGAGAGGAATGAATCTAATTATGTCCATTGCAATATATATGTATAATCTGGACTGGACCGGTAGGCTCTCTGCAAGGAGGATATGACATGACTTTCTCTATGTGATGTGCCATCGCTTGTGTGTTGTTTCTTTCATTCAAGAAGCTTCATTCCCGTTCAAACCTAGAAATACGTCAAGTATTTACGAGGTTGCGGGTGAATTGCGACACATCACGAGTATGGAGAGCAATCGATCACGGTTGTACCGGGACGGTTCGGATTTGCAGAAATAAGATAAAGATAAAGTATTAAAAACGACCCCCGCTCCTCTCCTTAGGATAGATATTACATGGTGCACGTACGCACGCCTCGCCCCGAAATGAAAACGCAATGGGTATCGACTCCTTCCAAGTCATACAATTCAAATCCATCGTCACACCTGGTTTCACGTCTCGTCTTGCCTTGCATTCTACATCGGCGACAATCTCTCAGAGACTAATGTTGATCTCTGCTAGGGCCTTGGTGACGTTAAGGTTGACGGTGAGGTTGTTCGAGCTCAGGGCCTCGGTGAAATACGGCAGCTCCTGGCCGTTGTAGACGCTCGAGTTGCCGGTGATCTGGAAGGGCACAACGCCATCTGTGTAGGGATTGCTATCGGAGAGCATGAAGCTGATGATGGCGCTCTCGTTGACATTCGCAGTCATGGGGACGGTATTGTTTCCAGGTTTGAGAATCAGGTCGTCAAGATAGGAATATCCCAGGGTTTGGCCGGCGACAGAGAGGCCGAGGGTGAGGTTACCCTGTTATTGGGGGTGTGAGTGATATCCGGCTGAAGAGGGTCGGTGGGGTTGGGTGCTTACCATCTCGAGGGTCATGACAGAGGGATTGGGGATGAACACGGTGCCGTTCATGTTACGGCCGTTCTTGGTTGAGAGCATGATGTGGAACTCGGTTACGTCGAAGCCCTTCAGCTTGTTCAGGCCTAGGATTTAGATATCATCAGTTAGGCACATGTGACGATGGCATCGGAGGAGGCTCGTGAAGAAGAGATGAAAGAACCAATGTCATACCCTTCATCGTCACGGTCTTGTTATAAGTCACCGTGGTCTTTGGTAGCCCGCCCTCCTTCAGCTCGGGCTTGCCGTAGATATTCAGCGAGACTTCCTCGTTCAGCATCACTGCGGTAGCAAAGTCGCCAAAGGCCGTTGCATTGGACAGGTCCACCGTCTGCGAGACATCGACCTGCGCACCATCTTTGGACTTCACTGCGGGGACTTTAACAGTGGTAAACGCACTCGCAGCCCCAGCCAGGGAGACGGCAGCCTCGAAGGCGTAGATTTGGGGATGGTAAGAGCTGTGTGACCCAATGACCTGGGTCTGGTTGAGAACAAAGGATTCTGGCTTGGGATCTGTGATGCTCATGCTCGTAATGTTCAAAGTGGAGTCATTGACATCGCGCTGGGCGATCTTGGGGTATGCAACATAGATGCTAGATCCAAGGTGAGCTCGAGGGCACGGGGATAGCGGAGAATTTGAGCTCAAGAGGACCACTTACACTGGCAAGACCACGACCAGAATGATGATCACCAGCACGATGAGATGCAGCCACCACCACTTTTTGAAGTGAGCGCCGATGCGCGCGCCGAAGCTACGCTTGGCCGGCGTGGTCGTAGTGGTTTCCATGACACCAGCTTTGGTCGACATGTTGGATTCCGAACCTGGTGCGCGGTAGATTTCTTGTTAGACCACTGACTGTGTAACCGAGTCCTTCAGGCCAGAGGCTTGCTTGTCGCAAAACCCCGATGTGAAAATCGTGAGAGACGAAGAACAAGGGAAAAAGCAAAGATCTGCGACGCTGCGAGTACCACTTACCTGGTCGTCCGTCCTAGTTGAGATCAACAGAACAAGGAAGCCTTATGAACCAACGAGGTGCAGAAAATCTTCAAGCAAACGAGCGACAAGAAAGGAAGAAAAAAAGAGAAAAAAAATAGGGGAAAAAAAGACTAGAAACGAGAGTGGATCTCCAGTTGAGCCAAAGAACCCGACGCTTTCGCTGCTCAGCTGGCGCCAACCAACGTGGGTCGCATTGCTTTATACGTCTAGGTTAATGCCGGAATATTACGATCAGTGGATATAGGGATATTTCGTCGCCGCTTAGCGTGGCTGTTCACTAGGACTGAATGCGCCCAGCGAGGCAATCGGGACCTCGAAATTATCAGGGTGTAGTCGATTGGACAGGGTCTAAGATCGAATGGGGGTTAGCATGGGTGGGGATCCGAGGGGAAGACCCTCTTAGAGCCCATGCAGAGGAGAGCTATCCAATCAACCATGGCAGTCGGCAGAGCCCGAGAGAAGCAAGAAAAACACTCCAGGCGAGCATCACATGTCATGCAACAAGAAGAGAACCCCCCAAGTGCATCACCGCAACGCCGGAGGCGCGCCCCAGCACGCACGACGGACCAAGCAGATTCACGATCCGGCGGCGCAAGTGGGCCCAGGGACAGTGCAGCAGCCGGACCCAGGGTTTCTTCTCTTGGGGTTTCTTGGGGTTGATTGGGGAGCCGTGCTATTTCCTGGAGAAAGTCCGGAGCCCCGAGGCCGACTTGCGGGGAGGCGTTCCTGGATGGACTTGGCGGGGCCGTGGGGAAAGGTCTCTGGCCTCGAGGGCGTTGGCATGTTTGGACCTTTGAGTTTGGGCTTTGGCTTTGGCTTCAGGTTTAGCTTTAGCATCAGACTGGAGACTCAGGATCATCCCTTGCGCACTGGGGTCAACGACGATTCGCGATTCACGCATGGTCGATCAAGAGGATCTTCAACGCGGGCCTGGTCGGACTCGCGCGTTTCAGATTGAGTCTCTCGTGCCGCGATCTGGGGGATGAACGCGGAGAGGGACCCTCCTCCCCCTCTTCCCCCAGAGGCAAGAGTCGGGAACCGAAAGGAAGCTCCGCCTCCGCTATCGCATTGCCCTCATGGTCTTTTTCGCTGCAATTGTGCCTCGGGAACCGTGGCTGAGAATCATCGGAATCCTGGCATCCCGCTGCAAGGAGCATGTGCAAGAGAACTATCGCACACCATGAGCCATGGGACCCGTCATCCTGAATCCAGCCACGGCGTTGTACAACGCTAGCCCGGTCGACGGAGCGTCTGGCGGCGTCTACCGTTGCACCGACTCTGCATCGACTATCTGGGGGACGGAGCGGTCTGATTGGCCACCAGTGAAACTAGCTGCAGCGCGGGGCGCTCGCCAAGGCGTCGCGACATAGTAGCAAGTTGGGGGACTTTGAGAAGAGTCATAAAGAGATGCAGAGAATAATTGCCAATTCATTGCCGATCAAAGGGGGCAAAGAAAGAGCGGAGACAGTCCCGGGGTTCCCCGTGGGAAAGATATCGGAGCCGCAGTCCCCAATTGGCGGGGTGTGGGGGAGGTGAAAAAGGGAAGATGAGACAATGGCGAAGGCAAAGGAGGGAACGGCCCTTCGAGCCTGTTCAGGCCAAACGTCCGGCTTGGAAATCACGGCAGGCGATGCCTCGTGATAACGCACCAGCATAGGTAATCCGAGGTAACTAGCACTTGTCGGGAGCTTATGATTGCTACGACGATTGCGCGCAATCTCACCAGTACTATTCTTATGGTTACTAGAACGATTCGGGAATTGCCATAAGCAGTAAGATCAAAGTCCCAGAATCCGTCTCTCATGCAGGAACAGAATACGATCCGATCATGGGCCGATCCAACGCAAAAGACGAGCTGTCTATCACCAGACCTCAAATACGAGGTCGCACAAATTACGGAGAGCAAAAAATACGACGGGAGGGGAAGAGCAGAATGACGCAAAGCTACACCAATCTACGCCAGTAGGCAGGGGGCACCAGACTTCACCAGACTTCGAGGTTGAAACCAGCCGATAACGGTCAATTGGTTAATTAAATAGATCATCGCTCCTGTCGGAGTCGATGGCAGATGCTTCAGATAGCGATACACGGGGGGGGTTTCAGTCGATTGCCCCGGTATCCCACTTGTTGAGGGACTCCCAAGATTACACGGCCTCGGCCAGGGGCATTGAAGTTGATGGCAAATCGAGCGTCGGTCGAAAAGAAGCGAACAGAGAAAGAAGAAGGGGGGAGGAGGGATGCGAACTGTGGGGGAAAGAGAAAGGAAAGAGATATCCAGAGAAAAGAACAATGGGAGCATCAGACCCAAAAGGATTATGGCCCAGAGAAAATAGAAAGAAAAAAAATTGAGCCAAAATCAGAAGAGAAAAAGATGCAAATAGTAGACACACGCGAAGAGCGAGAATAATAAGAAAAAGGAAATGAAAAGAAAAAACAAAGGGTATCCACAACGAATTGAAGTATTATGCCCTGCGAGGCAGTGGGCCGACAGTGGTACCTGGTACCCCGGCCCAGCACGCTCGAAAAGAAGCTGCCCAGGCGGCTCATGCAAAGAAGCTTGGGATGAAATGAATGCCAAAAGGAACAATATGGAGGGTGAAAAGTGATGATGCACAGGTTATAGGAGAATAGAGAGAGCAAAAAGAAATATGAGAGAGGGACAGAAAGTAGGTCGACGGCTCGATAGAAGGAGTCAAAAGGCCAGGCGAGGCAAACCAGGAAGAAAGATGTTCTTGTGTTCGGCGGAGAACGCTTGAGAATAATATGTCGATAGGAATGCAAATGCATAGTTGACAAAATCAATGCTTCGTGTGTCGAAAAAGGCGCCCAATGAAACGAGAGCTTTATGAATGAGAGGCAGTCTATGCCTCCGGAACAGATTTCTTCCTTTGGAAGATACTGCGGGTGCGCGATTTACTGCGCGGTTTCTTATCACTGCTGACCGTACGCCCACGAGCGCGTCCACTGCTGCGGTCGTCATCGGCCATGTACTTGTCCTTGTAAATCCTGCATGGCGCATTTGTTAGTCACCATTCAAAAAAGCGATACAACTGACTGAAGTTTCAAAGGGGCGTCACGTACCAGCTGTTTCCAACCATGCTCATACCATTGGACTCGGCTTGGCGGTAAAACCGTGCAGCTTTCTTCATGTCTTTCTTGCAACCCACACCTTCTGCATAGCAGAATCCCGCCTCGGCCATGGCGTCAACATCTCCCCATTGGCCAGCAATCTCAAAGCAACGTAAAGCTAGAGCCTTATCCTGGTCCGTACCCCAGCCATTTAGATGACTGACGCCCAGTTCGTAGATGCTTAAAGCAAACTGGGCCCGATACGTCTTCTGCAGCTCTTTGGCTTTGGATGCGCCGGGGGCGTCCGGGTTCTCTAGCATTTCCAACCCAACCGAATCCACGGCCTTGCGCAACCATCGCACGCCTTCTTGCTGGTTGGGCCGCATACCCCAGCCATGGCGACAGGCAAGTGCATAAAGAAGCATTCCAGTAGGGTTATTCTGCTTCGCCGCGATACGGAGATGATAGGTTGACTCATTCACAGAACCCTTCTCGTGCAGCTCAATACCTTTGCTGACATGATCTTCGGCCGTTAGCTGGGTCGATGATGCCTGGGTGGTCGCGGTCTGGGGGCGAAGCGTGCTAGCTGAGTCCGCTAGCGAGACCGTCTCGTCTTTGTCGCTGATCTTCGGCTGAGGAGATGGCGCATCGATCTTGGGTTGAGGAGACGGGGCTGACTCGACTGAGGGCCTCGGTGGCGTTACCACAACTGGAGCTGGAGGCGGGTTGGGTGGTGAAACAGGGGTAGCAGGTGCGTGCTCGGATTGAGGAGTCGGGACCTCATACATAGAATGCGGTTTGGGGGACTGGTCAACAGGTATAGAGTGGGAAGGTGGCGGTGTTCGTGCTGACCGCGGTGGCTGATCGGCATTTCGTGGAGGCGAATTTTCGAACAGTGGCTCCTGCCACTCGAAGTGGGGTGTTTGCAGACCTGCGAAGACCACGGAGTCTCGCGGGAGCACACGGCCCCGTGGAAGCGCATACTTGGCGTACACATATGATGACACTGCCGACGATGGTTCACCCTCGACTGGATCCGTATTCGCTGCCTCGTCTGTGAACAGGGGAACCAAGATGGGAGTGGGTTTGCTCGGCCGATTCATATGAGTGGGCTGCCAAGGGGTAGGCTGGGACGGTCCCGCGGCCGGCTCTGATGTTGGCAACGGCCCGGGCGCAGAAAGACTGGTACTGGATCGGCTCAGAGGCCGGGAAAAATTGAAAGAGGGCCGAGGAAGATGGCTCCCGCTGAAAGATGTTTCCGAGCTCATTGAGGGGGAGCGCGGATGTGGTCGGGTCGGGTACGTCGACATGGGCGAGTATGGCAGGGACACCGCACTACTCGAGGACAGCTTGCGCGGTTTCGAAAACGTCGACCCCCCATTTGAGCTGCTATAATCATCGTCGGAGCTCTCGGCGTGCATGACTCGCGCGCTACTTGACGGCCGCGAGTGCGGGGAGGCAGGTGGCGCCAAGGTCCGTGGAATATGCAGACGCGACCCCGAGTCGGTGGACGACTGGCGTGATGGATCCGAGACGGCCATGCCCACGGAGGCATCGCCTGCCATCGAGGGATCCTCTTCGGGGGATTCGGCGCGGGGTATCTCGTAACAGGAGCTTGACCGCACCATGGTGGTTCGCGGAGTAGAATCGTCGTCTTCATAGTCGCTTTGGGTGGTACTCGCATGCGAAACGGAGCTGAACCGCGGGTGCTCCGACACCGGTCGATATTTGGGCTCTTCGACTTCCGGTAGGCCTTTTTGTGTCGGTCTCCGCGTGAGCTTATCGGTCTGGGACTCGCTTGACGGCGCACGGAAGTATCCTGGACGAGGTTGCGACAGCGACCGGGCGACGCTGGAAGGGGGCAGCCGGCTCATACGTCGGTCTCCGTAGCGAGACTCGTCCAGCTGTCGGGCCAGAAACCGGCCTTGCGCCGCAAAGGCATCCAGTGGAGATAGCGCCGGGGGGATTTCTCCGTCATAATGTTCGATGCGCGGCGAGGGTAAGCCGCTGCGCAGGGTGTCGTGGGAGATGGAGCGGAAATCGCCCAGATTCCCGCGCGACCCCATGATGACGAGATTGTTGGGGAGGGTTGGGGGAGTGGCTTATGTAGTCGTAGTTGTTATTCCAATCCCGATCCGATGGACTGATTATCCTCAAATGCTCCAGTGACCCCGGGATCCAGCTCTCAATGGTTGACCAGGGGGTTAAAGGAGTACAGAGAAGGAAGAATCAGTCTCAAGCTTGATCACGAATGCTAGTGATCGAGGTGTTGAATCATCCAGAGTCGCTTAGGTCTTCCACAAGGCGGACTGGACGCATCGGACACGGCCTAGCCGGTGGGGATGGGGATGGGGAGGGGGGGGAGGACACAGCCTGAGTCAAGTCAAATGGCGAAGGCTCCGATTGACGGGACGAGGAGAGGGGTATAGCCCAATCGGGGGAGGGCAAGATCGTTCTTTGAGGTGCGGCGGGGGAGGCGATGAGGCCAAAGGAATGACAGCCCGACAAGAGGAGGAGACCAGGATTCAAGACATCAATGGAGAGGGTTGTGAAGAGTTGGTGAGACGTCACAGGAGAAAGGGCGAAAGAAAAACGGGCGAGGCCCTGACGATCCCAATGCAACAAAGGCCAACACGCCGACTCCGACGTACAGGTCCCAGAAGGGGCGCCCCGTGCACTAAATTGGGTCGATTCGGCTGGGCTCCACCAAGTGTTTTTTTAGGTGGTCGCTGAGAGGGGGGGGGGGGGTTCCAAACACCCAGTCTCCGGGGATTTGCGCGAGGAGCTGAGGACCCGACAACCCACGAAGTCCGCGACGCCCAAGAGTCTGAAGATCGGCCTCCGTACGTCGAACTGGCGGAGAGTTGAGGAGAATGCAAGGTGGTCGGGGGTCAGAGGTGGGAAACGGAACGGCGAGAAGATGTGGAGGAGGGGGGAACCGTCGGGCTCGCATTTTCAGGGGTCGCCAAGAATAACATCAGCAGCCCCATCGCTTGACGCCATGGATGTGATGGGTGATGACGGGCTTGGCCCCTCGTCTCTCCACGAATCTGATATATTGGGTGCTCAGAATGGAGATAGGGGAGATGGATAGTCGCGAGGATCCCCCGGTCGAGGGGTCGATGGGGATACTCCCTCTCTGCTGGGGTGGAGGATCGAGGATTCCCCCGTGCGGCCTATCGATAAATAGGATGGCGATAGTGCGGCGTCGCGTCGCTGGGAATAGAACGGGGGCGAGACGAGCAGAAGAGAAGGACTCCCGAGCTCCAGGGCACTCGACGAAGGAACTAGCCGGATGGATACGCCATGGAAGACTCGACGCTGCTCTCATGGACCGGTGCCGGAGTCTTCGAGTCGCTCTCCTCTCCCGACGGGGTCTCCTCGAACGCAACCACGGAAGTATACCAGCCATGATCGCGATACGGCATCGGCTCCATGCTTCCTTCTGCTTAACCGCGACGGGAATCCGCCCCGGCATTCTAGAACCAGCCTCGGCGGAAACGGGCCCTTTGCGTAGACCGGGACGAGAGTTCCCCCACGTTTGAGCCTGCTGAATGGTTTGTTTCATCCGCGTCGCGCCCAAGAGGCCCTCCCGGTCTCCATTCTCGCCCGCTTCCACGCGCGGCGTCATCGTGGTTCGCCCAATCGTGCTGGGCCCGGTGGGTTCCTCGTTTCTTAAATTATTCCCGGTTCTGCAGAAGTGGAGGATGATCTGTTGTTGTTTGGGATTGACTTTTGCTCTCCTTGTTGCTCTCTGCTCTTGGCATCTTGCTCCTGGTCTTTTCTTTGGTTTTGGTTTCCCTTCCTTTTCTTCGTCCTCTTGAATGACGGGCGACGGTGCGAGAGGGTAAAGATGGATATGTGGATATGTATCATACTCACATCCACACATACACACATCCAACCTTTTCTAGATCCAGGAACGGGACAACGCTCACGTTCACCATACTCCTAACGCTTGGCCACGAGGACATCTCCCAGGCTGCTCGTCGATTTTCTAGGGATCTGAGCACACCGGCATCGATTCACGTTCTTCCATCTTTACCTCGCCATCGATACGCCGTGCTCGACGGCTCATACTGTAGACGGAGCTTGGGAAACAGCAAACCATCGATCGACCGATTATCTTCAGATCGGAGGCGTGTCGCCAAGATTTTCCAATCGTCCTGTCCCGCGATACTCGAGCTGGTGAGAGCCCGGAGCTGAGACCAATCCGCAACCAGGAAACCAGGAGATCGACGAGAACCCCGGGACCTGGGGCCAGGGAACCAACTACAGGACGGAGCACCGCACTCTCTAGTTCTAGGACTCCAGTCCTCGAGGACTCGAGGACGGCTAGTCTGGAAGTCATGCATCGCGGAAATTGTCTGTGATCCGAGTGGGGTGGACTAGTTTCTCCGTCAATGGGACCCGAGGCTAAAAACTGCTAAAAGCTGCTTAGTTCGCCGCGACGTAAGCCCCTAACGAGACCGACCAGAATAGGGCTAAGCTCCGTCGGACAGAGGCTCGGTTCGATTGGCAGACTTTGCAGTCGTGTGAGGGAAAGAATCCAGAGAAGAAAATAAAAGAGAGAAAAAAAAAAAAAAAAAAAAAAAAAGCATGTACATGTAGACTGGCTCTGCAGATGATCGAGAAGACGGTGAACTCGGAGCTACTTACTTGTTACTTGATTCCCCCTCCGTCTCGCTTCATCTCTTGTATACTTCTGATTCGGCTTCGATTGCCTGCTTTCCTCCAGTCCCATCGAGGTCGAGGTCTTTGGAGGTGTCTCGTGTGATCCCCCAAAAAAAGGAAACCCCGAAGACGCCACCCCCAGGTGGTTAGCCTCCGAAACACGACCTATACAACGCTTGAAAAAGATATCCGCATCCGGAAACCCACCACCTCGTCGTCTTTTTTTGTCTTCCGTTTTGTCTTCCGTTCTCAACAACCTCAATAATGCGTCGCATCCCTTGCGCCACGCTGTTCGGCGCGGATCCCCGGGATGATGCCCTGCACCGGTTCGAAACGTCCTGGCTACTGCCCCCCGCCGTGCTGGCTGGCTTGCGCGGCCTCATCGCGCTCTATATCTTCACCACGATCATCGTCATCTGGGCGTGGTATGGCACCCACGACGATCGCATCGCCATCGGCCAGTCCTTCAGCTACTTTACCTGGCTGACCTACTGGGGCCTGGGCTTCTACCACCTTGTCGCCGCCATCCACACGGCCTACTATGCGCGGACGGGCCGCTCGCTGCTCGACCGTTGGCCACGCGCCTTTCGCGTGCTCCATGGCCTACTCTATGCCTCCATCACCACTTTCCCGTTCCTCGTCACTATCGTCTTTTGGGCGATTCTGTTCAAGCCGCCCTTCTATAAGGAGACCTTCCCCGGCTGGTCCAATGTACGTGAGCAAATGACGCCTGCAGGGGAGGAGAGTGCGGACAAAATAATGGCGCCGCGCAGCAGATGTCGCTTTGCGCCTCCCCGCCCCCGCAAGCCCCTACATTCCTCGGGATAATGCGAACATCCCAAAGAAGAACCTTGGTCGCTGACTGACAATCACAATAAACACAGATCTCCCAGCATGGCCTCAACTCGCTCTACGCCCTGCTCGAAATCATCCTGCCGGCCACCGCGCCCCACCCCTGGCTCGCCATCCCCGTCCTGATCCTCATCCTGCTGTTATACCTGTGCGTCGCGTACATCACCTTCCACACCGAGCACTTTTACACTTACTCGTTCCTGAACCCGGGCGATCATGGCCAGAAGAGCGGCCTCGTCGCCGGCTACTGTTTCGGTATCCTCGCCGCCATCTTGGTCATCTTCATCATCTCGTGGGCCCTGATCCGTCTGCGGGTGTTCTTGACTCATGATAAGATCAAGCGCAGGGCAAGGGATCAGTCATATGGACCGCCCGCCGCCCACCAGAGAGCTGAGTTTCAGGATTCAGTGCGGGAGACGAAAGAGATACCTGTCTAAGACGGGACGGTGTGACGGGGATGAAGATGAGGACAACGACGCACGACGCACGACTCCCGGGGCAAACATAATTTTAAGAATATCTCTCTGTTACGGAAGATAGTTCTCGATGCCATAATGTGTATATGGAATAATATGTAATTGAATTAAAAAAAACCCCTATCATTGTTTGGCGCCATTATAAGAGCGAGGAGTATTCGTCAAATATGTACAAGATATCAAAAAATCCTTGAATGTATGTTCAGGTTTCCAAGAACCTGCAGAGTAGAGAAGAGAACCAGTTTCGTTCTTGCTTTTTGTCTCCCTCGTTCTCTCTGTCTATTCTTGGATAAAAGACAGAGAGAATTGGAGCTATGGCAGAAGAACAGAATGAGAGATTTTATCCCAAGAGCCCTAGACACGTTCCCAATTGCCACTTTCGCTCCCGCTGCTGGGACTGCCCGTTCCGGACGACTGGCCACCGCGGTACCCCATCATCAGGCCAACCAGCCCGCTGGGTACCCAGTCCCCAATCACACGGTACGACCGAGCGCCCCGGCCGACATACAGGACCGGTTTCTTGTGTACCCGACGTCCGAATATGTCTCGGGAGGGAGGCTCCAAGGCGTCCAGGATGGCGTGGTGAAAGGCGCGTGCAGGAGATCCTCGCACCGCGGCGGGGCCTGCCGACGCAACGGGCCGCTGATCGACGCTGTGAAGATATTGCTGACCATAAAGGGCCCGTTGCTGAGCACTCCACGCCAGGACCTCGGTGCCAGCGATTTGGCTCTGGGCGTTGCGGTACGACGGGCCGAGGTCGATGTTACCAAGTCGCAGTTCTACAACGTCGACATTGCCCTGATCGAGTAGCCGTAGCTCTTGGCGCAGAGAAGCCGCAAAGCCGGCAATGGCTCGGCTGGTGGTTACTTCTGGCCCGGCAAAGGGGGCAGACAGGGACGAGGAGATTGACGGGTAGGCGAAGATGAGGGAGCTGCTGTTGCTGCGCAGGGTCAGCAGAGGTAAGAAGACTTGTGCTGTGAGAATAGGCGACAGGAGACGGGTGTTGATGGTGTCAGCCCAGGAGGAAGGTGAGATAGTGGCAACAGGTCCGGCTGCATATTTCGGCGACGGTACAATCACGACACCGCTGAGCTGGCAAGTATGAGGTGGCATCCCTGGAAGGGGCTGTTGGGGCTGGGTGATCAGGGTACGGATTTCATGCAATGATGGGTGAATCTCCGAGGGGTTTGATGAGGTCTGATCGAAATGTTGTTAGCCTTCGCATGTTCCAACAAGCAGCAGTTGTCATGAAACGAACCGTGGTCAAATCCAGCCACAGGGCTTTGATATCAGCCCGGCGCTCCGATTGAATAATATGTTCCTCGTCCGCAGATGAAACAGTCACGTAGACAATGTATCCTCGGCGCTCCAGGTCAGTTGCAATAGCCCGTGTCATCGGTTCATGCGGAGATCCGGCAACAACTAAATAAGCAGTGTCAGCATGTCCAGTTACCAACTTCACATCAGGTCCCTCGTTGCTACCTACCAACGATTTCTTTCCGTGCTCCGTTGCCGGCCTTCCGAGCCTTCCGTCTCTTGCTATTGAGTTTCTTATTTCCGTAAAGCAGGGCACATCCAGTCCCAACAAAAGCGAGGATGGCTGCGGTGAGGGCTCGGTTCCGAGCAACCCAGTCTTGGACCTGGTCGGTCAGTCCACGGGGCGAAGAGGGCACATTCCGAACACGCGGGCGAACAGATGACGGGAGCCATGACTGTTGTGCAAGTGTGTCTCGCAGCGTCGCTGCTGCATAGTCAAACTGGCGATCGATTGAGTCGGCGACCTGCGACGAGTATCGCCTTACGTCATGAGGGATGGACGCAAGCTAAAAGAAACCAACCGGTCAGCGCTGAGGAACTTCTGAAAATAATACAGCATATGTGTTGCTCACATAATCAAAAAAGAACTGGTCGTCGCTTGTCATCGTGGCGATATGTAAATGCTTGAGGGAGAAAAACGAAGACGATAAGCTCAAGATGGACGATAAGTCAAATTGCTCCACTTTCACTTGAGTCACGTGCTGCTGTGATATACACTTCGAAGTGCAATGCTGGGGGAACCTTAACTTGTTTGTAATAATTTTAGAAAGTAAATTTAAGAAAAATTTACTCATACTTGATTTCTGCATAGTGTATGTCTACAGCCATGCCTTAAAGGGAGTAGTTGCTCTCCGTGGTTTGACCTTGTGAAGTCTTAATATATATAAACAAATCAGCGATTCACATGGCGCCAACCTCTACGGACACAGTGCAAGATGATAATATAGGGGAGTAAATCTCCGCTAACTCAACCTGTAGTCCAATTAGTCCACAGCATATCCAGGGCTAACTAGGTATTTCAGCGCATTATAACTGCGTAAACCTGATTGACGACTGCAGCAAATCACGTGACTTCAAACCTTATTTTCCAGGCTTCAACACAGCCAGCTTGATAATCAATTGCAACTGCCACTGCCCGATCCCATTAACAATCCTCTTTGTCGGTCGATTCCTTTTTTTTTTCTGCTATTTCTTTTCATGTTCTCGATGTGAATATTTTGGATTCATAGGCTGGCCCCCGAAGGATGCTTCTTAACGGGAGTCTTTGGTCTATGTCTTCAGTCTAACACCAAGTCTTTCATCTGATAATTTAACCTGATATTCTTTCTTGTCAAAATGCGAGAACTAGACGCTTTAATCTCAGAGTACCGACATGAGAAGCAGCGTCCCCGAGAATCGGAGGCACTGTTCACCTTGCGCAAGGTTGCTTCGATCGTCAAGCCGATTATGCGCCAACGTGCTTGGAGAGTTGGCGTTCTCTGTGAATTTTACCCACGAGAAAGTAATCTGCTAGGGCTGAACTATAATTCTGGACAAAAGATATGTCTGAGGTTACGGTACGCCTCGGATTCGACCCAGTTTCTTCCCATCGAGCAGGTTGTGGACACGATGCTGCATGAGTAAGTCACCCACCAGCGGGCTCTTTCTCCAAGAAATATAGCTGAAAAGACCAGACTCTGCCATATTGTTCATGGTCCTCACAACCGGCAATTTCATGCGCTGTGGAACCAATTGCGCGATGAACACGAGGAACTGGTCATCAAAGGATATACAGGCGAAGGCTTCCTTTCCCAAGGTAAACGTCTCGGCGGTAGCAGAATTCCACTTGATGAGGCTCGCCGACAGGCCCGCGCAGCGGCTGAGCAGCGTCAACTTTTAACCAAGAACTCTGGCCAGAAGTTGGGAGGCGCACCTAGACCTCGGGGAATAGCTGCGCGCAAACTTCGCGCAGATGCTGCCCAGCGCCGTATCGAGGTGACTGCGGGTTGCGCTTCAGGAACCAACAATACCGCCCAGCTTGCGGAAGAAGCGACTCGGAATGGATTCAGAACCCAAGCAGAAGAGGATGATGCAAATGATCAGGCAATTCTGCAGGCCTTCATTGAGCTGATTCAAGAAGAGGAGCGTGAAAAGTACGGAGATTCATATATCCCTCCGAGCCAAGAAAATCCCGCTGGGCCTCGAACCGGTGAGTCGCCGGGTCTGTCAAATTCTGGCGAATCTATAGAGCCATCGCCACTAGACGAACTGCCGGAAGAGGTGGAAAACAAACCGGAAATATTCGATCTTACTGCCGATAATGGCTCCTACGAGTCCTCATGGACATGTACAACCTGCACCCTCGAAAACCCACCCAACTTTTTGTGCTGTGATGCCTGTGCGGCGGAGCGACCAACTCCTAAGACCGTATCTACTACCACCACGCAGCAAGGAGAATCAGATAGAGGAACACCCACACAACCACCGAAGAAGCGAGTCTTTCAAGAAGATGAAATGCAAGCTCGAGATAAACGTAATCCACGAGATACGTTTGCATTCAGAAACCGTACCCGCGCTCTTGACACACTGACATCTTTGGATCGTGACATCAGTAAGAGGCCACTGGGTTGGCTTTGTGATCAATGCGGTAGTTTTATGGAGGCCCAGTGGTGGACATGTTCTTGTTGCGGGAAGTTGAAAGTTTCATCTTGACCTGGCTGTCAGAGAAACCGTTGGCAGTTGAATTTGAAACACTTTTAGATCAAAAATTTTATACAATCATATTCTTCAAATCAGTACTCTCAATGCAAAGTCGTTACTCTCTAAGTTTTAGTAGCTCCGCTTCTGTATATACCAGAACTGAGACTATCCCGGATTGTAGCGATCCGCACGTGATTTCATGACTAATACAAAGCTCCACCCGATTTATTTTTGCGAGCTTTCGCTTTCCCCCCAATCTCTTTCTTTCGCACTCATGCACCATGCAACCGTTCAATCAATATGCTCTGCCAGCATAGATCAAATCTCAGAATGTATTGAGATATCTTGGTCTATAGCTGGCTCCTAGACTGCAATTGGTACGTCGCCTTTGCCTTCGCTCCGGACGACAGGATGAACAGGAACACAATGCCCGAATGAGCTTCAATGATGAGACATTGCACAAGAACCGAATTTTTTTAGGAAGAGCCGGAAGAGGTATGGCAAATCGGGCCCAAAAGTGGTTACCGTTTGTCGTCGATGCTTATAATGGTTCTACTGAAGAAGTTCTTTGGATGCACTTGTGTTTCCTTTATCCTCGTCACTGGGATACGAGCATCATGACTGGTGGGACGCATTGCTAATGTGACCCTCTCTAGGCAAATTATTATCTATTTACGACCATATTTTGCGCCACGAATGGAGGGAACGCTGGGAGTGACGATTGGCAAGGCATTTTACTTGATTTATTATTAACATGGACGACTTCATAATAGAAGAGGAAAAATGAAATTTCCTTCTGGAACGAGTGTATTATTGAAACTGATCTAGTATAATACATCCCTTGATCTTTCTCTAAACTCCCAAGGATATAAAACTTTTTGTAGAAGAGACATCCAAACACATGAGAACTTCCACTAAGGAAAACAAAACAGGATGAGATAAAAGATAAACGCCCACTGATATGCTCGTGCTGGATACCCTTAAGCAATGCTCACAAATTGCCTCTTCTTACCAGAGCCCTTCTGTGCCTGTGAATCCTCCCAGGTTGCCTCATCAACATAGTCCTTGGTGTTGTGCTCGCGGACCTGGTTGCCAATAAATTGGAGAGCAGACATGTTAAAGCCCATCTCATCCTTTTGGCGAGTGAGGACTCGGCGCAGCGAGACACGGATGGTGTCGAGCATCGGGCGCATCATCTTGCTGGCGACGATCTGTCGGTGGTGTGTCTTTAGCATAAAGAATAAGACACGGCAAGTGAGAGGCACGTTCCACTCGCGCTCGGCCCAGATGTTGAGAAATGTGAAAAGGGACGTGAGTTTGGAAAAAGGGAGGACAAGAAGGGCATCTTGCAGTGCAGCAGCGGGAATCTTTTGCACGGTGTTCAAAACATGTTGCTCGGCCGAGACATTGCCCAGAGCAAGGTATACAGGGTTGCGATCGGGGGCAGCAGCATTCGGGTTGGCGGCCTTGAGCTTGCGCCATTCACGCACGACCTCGAGGTCCTCGATACCCAAATCGAGTGCCTCCATGATCTTTTCACCGGCCATGAGAGTGCCCGTTGTCTGCTTCCCAGCATCAACCGCCTCGGGCTTCTCTCCATCCTCGCCGTCCTCGTCCTGCTCCAAAGATGCAGTCAAAGTGTTGTCATAGTCTTCTTCCATCTCCTTCTCACGTTCTTCCTCAAGGAATAGGGGCTCATCGGTCTGGTTCCAGATACGGATGCTCTTGTCGTGGCTAGCACTGACGATGAACTCGCCATTGTGACTGATTGCCAAAGCCCAGATCTCACCATGATGGCCAGTGAGTCTCTGAATTTGCTCAAACTTGTCGCCATCCCAGTACTTGATCACACGATCCTTACTGGCACTGAAGAAGTTGTGACCGTTTCCTTCCTTGTTAGTCGGGACAAAGGCCACAGCCATGACGCTGTCTTCGTGAGCGAAGAAGGATTTATGGCAATCACCAAAGTCCAATCCCCACAGACGAGCGGTCTTATCGGCCGAGCAAGTGACAATCATTTTGCTATCGTAGGAGATATCCATGCTCAGAACTGGAAGCTTGTGACCATAAAGATTCAAGAAGAGCTTCAGTGAATCAACGAAGAAGACCTTGACGGTGTTGTCAAGCAAAGAAACGGCGAGCAGTCGGGCATCTGGAGAGAAGCGAAGGCTGAGAATGTCATCATTGACCTTCAATGTTCTTGTGTGTTGTAGCTTGAGGCGGGCTGTGGTACGCTTCGTGCCAGGGATGTCCTCTTGGACTACTTTGAACTCCCAGAATTTGGCTGTCTTGTCGGCGCTTCCGCTGACCATAGATCTGCCGTCTGGATGCACATGGAGCGACCAGACAGGGCCATCATGGGCCTTGATAGTATCCAGCAAGGTCGAAGATGCGATGTCAAAGACTTCTAACTCGCCATTCTTATTTCCAACCACCACAATTTTGTCACCCGGAAGAAATGCAGAGCACAGCGCATAACCGCACTCAAGAGTACGAAGACATGTTCCTGTGCGCACATTCCAGATCTTAAGACTTCCGTTTGATGCCGAGGCAAGCATTCGATCTTCGGAGCTTAGTGCAATCGATCGGATATCTGCGCGATGGCCGGGAATGTCCACTGCCAGGTTTCGAGTATAGTCGGATTCTTCGTCATCCTTGTTCTTCTTGTTTGCTGTGACAACGCTGTAGGCTTCAAGCTGATTATTTGTGGTTGCAGCGAGCATGCTGAGACCACCGCTTGACTTGGTAGTCATCCAATCGAAAGAGCGAATTTTCCCTCCAGTTCGCACAATGACATGGGGCACGAAGACCTCTGTAATGGGTGCCGATGCGGGATCGTCGGGCTTTTCCTTCTCAGCTTCCGTGCCGTCTTCTTTACCTTCGCGCTGTGTCTCCTTCTCCTTCCTCCTCTTTCGCTTCCGAGCCATGGCTTTTTGTACCTCTACCTGTGAACGAATGCGCCAAATCTCAACCGATCTCTCTGAGCCATGGAAACCAACGTAATCCGCGCGAGGATGGAAGCGAATGCCAATTGTGCGATCTTTGCCGTTGCGGTAGAAGGTGCCTCGGTCTGTGAGAATTTTCTGCCCTTCTGCCCCAACCTTTTCCCTCGAGATATGAAGCATAGCACTCTCATCAATGGACCAGACCTTCAGTTCGCCATCATTACCGGCGGTGATGCAGCCACCCTGGTCGGGAGAAAGGCCCAGGCTCCAGCACTCACCATTTGTTTGCGCCACGTGCGTCTCGATGCAGTGCTGTGATGCCAGATCCCACACCTTAATCAGGGAGTCCTTGCCAGTGGTCAACAGGAAGCCTGCATGTTCGCTCAGTCCGGAAGCATTAAGCAATTCCGCAGAAGGGAAAAGGAAGTTGAGAGAGGTAATCTGGTCGGTATGACCGCGTAGTCTGAAGAGACCAACCTCGGCGATCAGGTCCCAGAGAATGATATCAGTGTCCTTGGAGCCACTGGCAAGGCGCACACCGGCATTGTCGAAGGCCAGTTGAGTGACAGCGGATTTATGGCCATTGAAGGAAATGATGATTGTGCGGGTTCGCGAATCCCAAATTCGAATGCTTCCGTCCTCGTAACTATGAAGAAAAAAAAGACAATTGTAAGTAAAAGCGTTTATTTGAGACTTGCGCGGAGAGAGATTTACCCAACGGCGAAGATGTCCTCGTCCGTCTGGCTTTGCGAGACGACTGTCACCTGGGCCTTGCAGGCCGAGTCGCGCCATCGGCCTAGTAATTCACCCTTCTTGACATCCCAGCACAATACTTCTTCACTTGCGCCAACGATTGCCCGTCCAGCGCCTGTTGAACGAGCAGCGGTTCCGATCTGCTCTTCCCTGGCCCAAATCGCATTCGAGGTCGCCGAGGCAACGAGCCCGAACGTATTCGAGTGCTCGAATTTACTAGACAGGAGATGTTAGCTCGACCATGTATCTCCATCGAAGTGGAATGGTACGTACAAGTAAGACTTCACCATCGTTGGAGGGTTGATGGGAAAATTTTTGGCATCTCCGACTTGCTATCGATAGGACAAAATTATTACGGGCGGCGAGAGCGACCGCTCGGGTTCCCCCCACCGCCCATGACGATCGCGCTGTCGGGCTTCCCCAACTACCATCCTCGTCTCTTTCCAACTCTGTCTTGCTCGCCATGCTGCTTTTGGACTATCAGAACGCATTGATCCAATCGCTCCTCACGGAGCGGTTTTCTAGGTACGATTCTTTTCTCTGGACCTCCCCAGTTTTCCGCCTCCATCCCCCTCATGTATATGCATCATAACCCCCCCCAGGCCCCCAAGCTAATCGATGCTCACAGCGCTACTCCGGCCTCAATTGACCAAGTGGTTTCCGACTTTGATGGCGTGACTTTCCACCTCTCGACCCCCGAATCCAAAACCAAGATCCTCATCTCGATCAATGTGAAGTGTTTCAAAGAGCTCGTCCAGTACGGCGCCCAGGAGGTCCTGGAGCGGGAATATGGCCCCTACATCGTTTCGCCCGAGCCCGGCTATGATTTCTCCGTACAAGTCGACCTCGAGAACTTGCCTGCGGACCAAGAGGCTCGGGATGAGCTGATCATGAAGCTGGCATTGCTGAAGCGGAATGCCATGGCAGCTCCCTTTGAGCGGGCCTTTGACGAGTTCGCGAAGCTGGCGGAAGAGGCCTCGAGGTACACGTCGGAGTCGGCGCCGCAGGGTGTGAAGGAGGGTGGCGAGGTGATGGCAATTCATTATCGTGAGGAGGAAGCCATCTATATTAAGGCTAGCTACGACCGGGTTACTGTGATCTTCAGCACCGTATTCCGCGAGGAGACAGATCGGATCTTCGGCAAAGTATTCTTGCAGGTTCGCTTGGCCATGAGAAGCGTATTTACCGTGTCTGGCTTGAGATACTGATTGAGATGATAGGAATTCGTCGATGCTCGACGCCGGGTTGTGACTCTCCAGAATGCGCCCCAAGTCCTCTTCCGCAACGACCCCCCACTTGAGCTTGAGGGCGTCCCCGGTCTCAAGAATACCGGCGAGGGTGAAATCAGTTATATTACTTTCGGTAAATATGGCCCTATGCTTCGCGTTGCATCCGGCTTTTTCTTGTTCGATGTTCCTGACAAAGAATCTACAGTGCTATTCCCGCGACACTTGACACCCCAGCGCCGCTACGAAAACATTTCCCACATTCAAACTTTCCGTGATTACTTCCATTACCATATTAAAGCCTCGAAGGTACTTGATTGATCAGAACTGGAGCTGTTAGGTGGGGATTGGATGACTGACTCGCTACGACAGGCATACATTCACACTCGAATGAGGAAGCGCACGGCGGACTTCCTGCAAGGTTTGTGTTCCATAGTCCTTCTTTATACCCGAATCTGCTACTAAACTCTATTAGTCCTCAACCGTGCACGGCCGGAGAACGAAGAGCGCGAGCGCAAGACGGCGAGTGGTCGGACATTCCGCGTGCAGAGCTAGATAGGTCATTGCTTTATGTTGATATCACCTGGAGGCGAGCGTTTACGAACCAGCAAAGCTTGTTTTTCATCCACTCTTCTATTTTCCCTTTGCACAGTAGCTCTAAACGGAGTTGTAGGGGTGACCGATTCCCTGAGGTCTACGTGTTTCATTGACCTTCATTCTAAGACTTCTAGTTTCCGAGTCAGTGTCGACTTCACTTGCCACGGCCTTGACCTCACTGACCTCGACCCGCCGTGGAAGGCCGTGACTGCCTGCGTGGGGTGGTTGCCTCATCGCGACGACGTCGTTGGTCCAAAGAATTTCCCCGTTTCTGGTTTCTGCCTCACATGGACCCGTTTCGTCCATGCCCTCACCTCACTTTGGTTCTTTTGTCGGGACTGCGATCCCACATCGCAAATGAACCTCACAACCTTCGCCGTTGCGACTGAACACCGACTTTGGAGACAACGTATAGGCAGGCATCACCGCCACCATGGACCAGCCACGCAAAAGTCGGCTCTGGGACCCTTCGACGTGGAAACTTCGCCTTAAACATCGAAGTCAGCGTTCGAAGAAGAGCAACAGCAGCACAACAGATGAATTCTATTCCATCAACTCTTCTAGTCCTCCTCGCTGCTCTGACGTGGTGGAGATCCAAGACCAAAAAGACACCTTCTATCGATATTCCTCGTCCGTCTACTCAGACCACGACGAGGTTCGCTCTCTGCTCCTCCGACCAAAGGACGACCATACAGAGGACTTCAACGAGTACTTCATGGTCAGCTCACAGTCTTCACTTTCAACCTTGCTCTCACAGACCTCTCCCTGCTCGAACCCTCCATCCCAACAGACTGACGCTTCACAGATGGCGCCTAACCGTCGACACTCTCGTCCGTACACAGTCAGCAGCGGGGAATGGGTTCTGGTCCCGTCTTCCGAAACCCCCTCTTTGTCCTCTGCCTCCCGAGTGCTGTCGTTGGATGACTTAACCGATGTACAGCGTGCCTACCACTTCAGCGCCGTCCTGAAGATCTTCGCCAAAGTCTATGCGGTGGCCAAGATTCTTCATGTAGCCTTTCTGGCCTATGGCGTCGAGGTTTGTCCCTTCTGGAAACTGGTCTCCAGTTGTACCTGTTTGGAAGTCTCGCGTACTAACCTCGTGCCAACCAGCTGGACACTGCTGAGACCGGACTGATGTACTGGATCGAGCGCTCTGAGATGGAGATCAGGACCGACTCACTCGCCGTTTTGATTGAAAATGTGGAGAATCTTTACTACGCTCTCTATTCCCGTGTGATTATTGAAATGGCCGGGATCGAACTGTGTGCTCTGTTCAAAATCGACAGCCGGCCGGTGACGACTCGCAAGCAGTTTTACCTCCCCGATCCGAATCATTTGTATCGAATCTTCCTTGCTTGCAAAGATCTTCTCGATGCCCCCTCCGTTTGCGAGTGCCTGCAGGAGACTGTGGTCAGCCAATGGGAAGAAGGTTACCTGCGCCGCCTCGCCATAAAGCAGGCTGAGAGTGGATTCAATCCGGATGACCTTTTGGGCTATCGGCGCTATGCGTTGAGTATAATTTCCGATCGCACCTGTGCCTACGTCAAGAAATGGAACAACCTCATTCCATTTTTCGACACCATCCCGGCCGAGGTCCTGACCGTGCTCTCGGAGAAGTACTTCACCATCATGCCTCGGGTGGTAATGGAGGACGATGTGCCCGCCGCCGAACTGCCTTTCATTGATCTCAAAGCGACGAACTTCGCTCAGTGGGAGAAGGATCTGATTCAGGACCACCGCATCGCGACCCTGGCCAAGCTTAATGGCACCAAGGTCGGCGAGGAACGCCGGGACGAGCCCAAGATCCAACTGCTGACCATGGTCAAGTATCACAAGTGCATCTGCATCGCGTCCTGTTTCTGTGCTCTAGCATGCACCTACGATGTGGAGCGGCCATGTCCCTGCTCGGAACGGCATCTGCGCCTCATGCTGGCCCGACGCTCCAGAGGCCCGGGTCGTTTCGACTTCACGACTCGTGCGAATACCGTCGCCCGCGCATGCTGGCAGGGTCTCGCGAGCCTGAAACGTAGCCTGCCTGACGAGGTCGTGCTGGTGGAGCTCAACGAGACCTTCGATATCTTTGAGTTGGAGATCCAAAAGGAGCGATGGGGGTGAGAGGTGTACTATGATGGAGCTGCTGCGTAGGAAACTGTCATGTCTTTTTTTATTCGTTCGAACAACCCAGTGCATGGACTGGAGTCAATAGGGGCGTTTTGAGCCTGGGATTACCGGGAGATGGAGGAATCATCGATTGCGCTATCGAGCGAAGCATCCACTAATTTTAATTTCACTTCTCTATTTCATCTTTATCTATGGTGGCCGATTGTCGGTCATCATCTGTGGCCATTCTCCTGGCAACAGACATAAGCTGTTACTTTTTTGTTTTCCATTTTTTCTTTTTTTAGAAATGGAGACGTGTCGCGAGGATGATCTACTGGATGATCTACGGCCGAGCTGGTCCCCCAGTTCTTGCTCTGCCAATGCCCATACACCCGGTGAGTGGGACTAGGCGGTTTTAGTTCATCCTCGTCTGTTTCTAGTGTTGTTCTAGATCGACCTGGCACTCCGATCTATTGAATAGGTCGACCTGTTTGGTGGGCGAATGGGGCTGAATGGTATATCGAATCGACCGTACCAGACCATTCCTGGCATTCCTGGGCGGTCCCATCGTGCATAGTCCACATGCTAGTATGAATGGGTATCTTGACTATTCCTGCTATTGTTTCGATGCACAGGAACGTCTCCTGGGCGGATGCGCGTCGAGCATGGAATGTTTGGTGGAGAGCCCGTGACTCCGCTCAACCTCGGCGCAGTTGACGGTTCCCGCCGTCGACAAACTTGTCTGGACCTTTGCTGGCCTCGTCGATCTGAAGGCCAAAAGCACAGTACGAGCCAGATCGATCGTCTTCCAATACTCCTCTCCGCGATTCCGCATCTGCAATCGCCGGGTGCTGAGAAGTGCGGTGTACAGCTGGGTCGAACGGAGACGGCCGTCTTCATATGACACGCCGTACTCCGTACAGCAGAGCACAGCGCACAGCCGTCGGCGCTGCAGGCCAGTGAAACTTCGCGATGCCTCGCGCGGCCCCGGTGAGCGACCCTGTACTTTTTTAATCTCGTTCTTTTCCCCTTGACTCATTTCTCTCCTCTCTCGAAGGCCATGACGGCATAACAACCTCTTGCCCTCAGAGACAAGCATCATCGACCTGGTCCTGGATGCCCGGAGAGGCGCCCAGTCAGGGATGATAACCACGATAGGGGTTCCACTCTCGCTCGCTTCATCATTATCGTCACGACGGATCGCAGGAGCCGTAGCGGCAGCGGCAGCTTTAAGAAGCATCGCTACGACCACCCAGGCCCAGGGTCGGCCCCGACTGGCCCGACTGGCCCGCTGGCGACCGACCAGCTCGGCTGAACGGCGATTCCACTCGGCAGTGTGGCCCTCGTATGGGATCACCACGCCCGTTCCCGATCGCCAGCTGCTCGGCCTCACGCGATCGCCTTTTCGATTTGAGACCGGCTACGCTTTATGTGCCAAACGACCTCCACGCCCGTTCCCTCCTCCCTTTCTCTCCCCACCCTCCTCGTCCTTTTCCGATCCATTGACTACCCATTCATCGAGTCAGGATAAGAGATTATCCGTCCAGGGCGAACTGGTTCGTGGCTTGAATAACGGCGACGACGCCATCATCGCCGCAGAGAACTTTATCGGCGTCGACGATGGGGTCGGCGCCTGGGCGACCCGGCCTCATGGCCATGCCGCGTAAGTGGATCCCACATCGTCTCTCTGAGTCTTTCTCTGGGTGACGCTGCCTCCTGGTGGAACCCAAGCTGACGTTTTCGTTCAATCACGATGCAGGCTGTGGTCCCGGCTCCTGCTACACTTCTGGGCCCTCGAGATCGAGCGCCGAGTCACCGTGAACGCGACCTGCCTCGACCCGGTCGAATATCTCCAGTCCGCATACGAAGAAACCATTCGCGCCACCACCTCCCCGACTCAGTGGCTCGGTACGACGACGTCAGCCACCGCCTTGCTACACTGGACACGCGAGCCGGATGGCTCCCAGAAGCCCCTGCTATATGTCACCAACCTAGGGGACTGCAAGATCCTAGTCATTCGCCCCAAGGAAGGCAAGGTTCTCTTCCGCACAGCAGAACAATGGCACTGGTTTGACTGCCCCATGCAACTGGGCACCAACAGCGTCGACACCCCCCGCAAGAATGCGGTGCTCTCCAAGATCGCCCTGGAGGAAGATGACATCGTGCTAGCGGTGTCGGACGGCGTCATGGATAATCTGTGGGAACACGAAGTATTGAAAGTCATCCTGGACAGCCTGCAGAAATGGGACCAGGGGCAAGCGGAAGGCGTGTCCCCGCCGCCAGATCTCTCCAATGAGCGGATGGTCTATGCGGCTAGAGAGCTCCTCAACGCCGCTCTCAACATTGCGCAGGATCCATTTGCAGAGAGCCCCTACATGGAGAAAGCAGTTGATGAAGGCCTTGCCATTGAAGGAGGTAAGTCGGCCATCTCGAAAATGATCGTCTGTCGAACTAAGTTTTCTAATTCGCGAATAGGCAAAATGGACGATATATCCGTTGTGGTTGCATCATGCAAGAAACGTGTTGGGTGACTCGCGCCAGCTGCATGATCGTGCGATTATCACTCAGAACGGGGCTTGATGGATTACGAGCAAGATATTATCATCAAATGGTCCACAGTCATTCCCATTTCGGAGTATATCGCTTCAGATACATTCCTCAAAAGACTCACATGCATGCTCTGGGGATGTCCAATGCCAATGCAAAAAGCAAGGTCCGGAAAACAGCAAGCATGATAAATACCAAGGACGTGCAAGAACGGCAAACTTGCTTTGCCACCTCCGCCAAGAACAGTAATTGTTCATCTTGCCTGCAACATGGACAACCGCCGTGCCACGTCCTGGATTTCATTTCATGAAATTTACACTCAACCATTAGACTGGTTCGGGGCATTGCGACATCGATTGCGGACATTGTACTTCTTGCCGTCGAGGTCAATGAACATGCCTCGGTCTTGTTCATGATCTTCTTGAATGCAGTATTCGGTTTTCTCTAGACAGCACACACAGAGTCGGGCCTTTTCACAGTGGGAACATCGTGGGTGTCGCGAATGAAACGCGGGAGTTTCATTACCACTTTCCATGACCTTGTCTCGCCCATCTGTTCATCCGTCTTAGGATGTTTATGCCTGACATGACAATCATCCGCTACTTTCGTGTCGGCCACTGTGACTGGGGGTTGAAGCTGAAACTGGGGCAAACTGCCGCTGGGAGAGCTGCTGCTTCCGTCTTTCTTTGGATTTTCTATGGCTCTGAGCGCCAAGTGTGAGCTCTATGCTGCATTCACTCGCTATTATTGCGCAACTCACTTCGTTTCCATCTTGGCGACAGCGGATACACCACATACAGGTCCGGTTTGGGTTGCCCTGATAGACCAAGTCATCAACCGGGTACTGCTTGGAACATCGAACGCATATCTGGACCTGCTCGCTTGGGCGGAGGATTGCGATAAAGACGAGGTTGCGGGAAACATTGTTGATAGATACCCTTTTGTATTCCTTTTGTTAGGTAGATTTACTTTATTCAATGATATGCTGGTACACTCAGCTGCTATGGATATTTGTTCTGGTGTGTGACTTGGTTGTTAGGGAAGCAGAGTAAGGTCATAGATTTATCCATGCAAGACTTGCAATCTCTGCAAGACGGGAATTATATGTTCTTGGAGAGTTTTATCATACGATGTTCAAACTGACATGACACAGAATAAAGAAAGAGGTCGGTTTTGGATTCTAGATTTCAATTTGTTCTATCAAACTGGTAGTATCACGTTCATACTTCAGCATTAACCCCTGGGAGCTGATCAAGGCCAATTTCTGATTGGTCGTGGAGGGGTTTCAGTTGGATCTATACCGAATGAGAGGCCACATCTGGCCCTATAGCCCCACATCAGCTTTTGATAGCCTTGAAGGGACTTTTCCGTGGTCTTGTTTCCCAACCGTCATTTTGAATCTAAAGCGTCGGGTACAAGTGTCGAAGCGGCATCTATCGCAGAACTGTCTATTCCATGCATCTTAGTGCAGAATCTACAACGTCTCAAGAGACACTTTGTAAATTTTCATGGTAGTTTCAGTGTTAGGCCGAACAGGTACCGCTATTGCCTCCAAGGCCGTTCCTTGGATCCACGTACGCACAAATAAAATTTCTGCACGACGCGGCAACGGACTGCAGCCGATTGGCGCGCCACACCCGAGCAGAAAAAAATGAAGCTTCTGGAGCCGCACTAGAAAAAAAAGAAGTGGCCAGCGATGGCGCTAATTTGTCACAAGATCTCTTGACCGATGCTAGCCGAGTGGAGGACCTGAGAAGCAGCTAGCTTGAGCAGCTTCCTTCTAAGCAATACATGGGTTAAACACTCCGTACCGAGTATAAGCTCAACAACTAGAGCACTAGAGAAGATACAAGGACATTCGGGATGCCGAGAGTTAGATCCCGAGAATATTCGCTAAGCATTTTCTTGGTCAAACGGATTCGGGGAAAAAGTTAAAAAAAAATATTGGTTCTGTTCACCGAGACGGCAAGTGGAACCCGGAACTCGGCCTGCTTTTGGAAGGCGAAAGGCTCGAAAATCCTTCTTTCTGGCGTCGCGTAGCCCATCTTCTCCATCGTCCTCTGGTTATTTGTTTCACTTGGATCTTTGACACTTGTACTCTCCGTGTCCCCGCCAGCTTCTTTCCCGCCAGCCTTTTCTTGCGCAAGAAGCCGTCGACGACCCGATTGATCCTTCGATATATCGAAATCACATACTTGACGAGATCCAATGTTGTCGGGCAAGAAGGATGCCGATCAGATCTTCCCACAGTCGGGGGAAGATGGCATGGCCGTTGAAATGAACGATCGGGAGAAGCAGATCTATGAAGGTGGCATTGAGAAGTTCAATCGGCTGGGATGGAAGCGCCTGACTGTCGTTCTCATTGTTGAGGCTGTCGCTCTGGGAAGTCTCTCAATCCCGCAGACCTTCGCGAAGCTGGGTATGGTCGCTGGTGTCATTTGCTCTGTCGGTATCGGCCTGATTGCGGTCTATACCAGCTATATCATCGGTCAGGTCAAGGTGAAGTTCCCGCATATCTCCAACTATCCGGAGGCGGGCAGACTGATGTTCGGCCGTTGGGGTTATGAGCTGATTTTTATGATGTTGTGCTTGGAACTGCTCCTCTCTGCTGGATCCCACTGCCTGACGGGAACGATTGCTTTCGCCAACATCACTGGTAGCTCGATTTGTACCCTGGTCTTTGGCGTCGTCTCGGCTATTATCCTTTTCTTCTTTGCGGTCCCGCCCAGCTTCTCTGAGATGGCAATTCTCGGGTATATCGATTTTGCATCTATTATTATCGCTATCGGCATCACGATCATCGGAACTGGTGTGGAGGCCACGAACAGCACTGGACTTGCAGCAGTGAACTGGTCCGCCTGGCCGAAGGACGGACTTACTTTTTCGGAAGCCTTCATTGCGCTCTCCAACATCATCTTTGCCTACAGCTTTGCGCTCTGCCAGTTCTCATTCATGGATGAGATGCATACCCCTACTGACTTCCCCAAGTCAATCTGGGCCCTCGGCTTGACCGAGATTTTCATCTATACTTTGACCGGTGCGTTGGTCTATGCCTTCGTTGGCCAGGATGTGCAGAGCCCTGCTTTGCTCTCTGCCGGTAGCTTGCTTAGCCGGGTTGCATTTGGAATCGCCCTACCTGTGATCTTCATCAGTGGTTCTATCAACACAGTGGTGTTGGGACGATTGATCCACGGCCGAATCTTTAAGAACTCGACCATCCGTTTCGTGAACACCAAGATGGGATGGGTCACTTGGCTTGCCTTGATTGCCGCTCTTACCATCTTGGAGTTTGTTGTTGCGGAGGTCATTCCTTTCTTCGATGACCTGTTGTCGGTCATCTCTTCTCTTTTCGTCTCCGGCTTCACCTTCTATTTTCCGGCCATCATGTGGTTCATGTGGATTCGCAAGGGCAGTTGGTTCACGGCTAAGAACATTTGCATGAGCGTCATTAACGGCATAATTTTGGCAATTGGGTTGGTTGTGTTGGTCGCCGGAACATACTCGAGTATTGTTGATATCGTAAGTGCAAACAGTGACCCCGATTCCAATTTTCAACCCTTTATAATTATGCAAATACTTACTTTTGAACAGATTAACTCGTATGCTGATGGCACGGTCGGAGGCGTATTTTCATGCTCGTCTACCTAAGGCGATCCCACGCAGGCCATGGCTCCTGGATAAATACAATAGACATCTTGTTATATATAGAAGCATATAGATTTAATGTTCATTTTTACGACTATCGCATACATCGTTCTTTGTACTGATGAAAAGGGGTGCTACAGCATTCCTCATAATTCACTTGAGTCTTGTCTTCATATACATGATCAGTCTCATGAGACGGACATGGCCGCTCAAGATCAAGTATACCCAAGGTATCACAAAACCTCACAGAAACTTTCAATCAATCTCTTGTGTCGGTAAATGAGTTGAGTTGCACGATTTCATTTTTTAGCTGCAACGATTTTCTCCATGGGAGGTGGGTGGCAATATTGCCGGACATTTCAACCTCCGGAGGATTGACACAAACACTTTATGGCAACCTCGCTTAGCACCATCGAACCAGTCATATCGAAGATGACTGGAAAGCGGAGCCTGCTAAGTCTTGAATTGCCTCACTTCCCATAATGTAGCGGGGATGCATTCGTCCGTTACCCCAGTTTTATGGGGTCCCCAGGCCAAGCTTAAGTGGTGGCAGGAGAAGCAAAACTACGGGGAAGTCATGAAACAAACTCACTTCTCCCCTATATAAATCGCGTGGAATCACTCCTCCAGATGTCCAAGTCCCTCTGCATCCGGAGTCGAAAGCAATTCCTGAGCTCGACTCCAATTCCAATATCATGTCTTCACTCTTAAGCTTAACTGGGAGGGCGCTACGGATGGCGCAGGTCATTCTTGTTGTTGCCCCGGCCTTTATTATTTTCGGATACAACCAAGCTGGCGCTGGCCCTCTTGCAACTCTTCAGAGCTGGGTAAAGGTCTTTCCCCAGATCGATACTATCAATACCACGGGTACCGAGGAGGCTACGAACTCTACTCGTAAAGGTGCCGTTATCGCCTCCTTTCAAATCGGAGCTCTCATAGGAGCGCTATCTTGTACTTTTATATCCGAACACCTAGGCCGCCGCAAAACGATATTTATTGGTTCTATCCTTACTATCGCCGGTGAAGTCTTGCAAGTGTCAGCGTTCTCGATAATCCATTTCACTGTGGGTCGAATCATCTTGGGCATGGGTGTGGGCCAATTCAGTGTTGCGGTACCGGTTTGGCAATCGGAATGCTCGTCAGCCAAGAATCGTGGCCAACATGTCATTCTTGCTGGCATATTCATGTGCCTGGGATACGCATTGTGCAACTGGATTGACTTTGGATTCAGCAATCTCCCGAACAGCAATACAGGCCAGTGGCGGGGTCCGTTTGCCCTTTCACTATTTCCATCCTTGATTATTGCTTCTTCAGTCTTCTTTCTTCCAGAATCACCTCGATGGCTCGTGCGTGTTAATCGGGTCGATGAAGCGACCACCAGCTTGGCAGCATATAAGGGAAAAATCCCGGATGACGATGCAATTAGATCGGAGATTGCTGGTATTGAGTTGTCACTCGAAGTCACCGCTCAATCAAAAGGTGCACTTCGACAGATGTTCTCTAAGCATGATGAGGAGCGCTCACTATATCGCTTTTGTCTTTGCCTCGTTTTGCAATTTTTCCAACAGATGTGTGGAGGAAATCTCATATCTGTATACGCATCAACGATTTTTGAACAAAATTTGAACATGAGTGCCAGCCTTTCCAAAATTCTAGCCTCTTGTGCCCTGACCTGGAAGTTTCTGTGTTGTTTCATCGCCTTTTTCGCGATTGATCGTCTGGGCCGACGTGCGGTTTTCATGGTCAGTGGGACTGGCATGGCGATTTGCATGGCAGCAATGGCCGTGACAACCAGCTTTGGCTCGGATAACAAAAGCGCTTCCGTTGCCTCAGCGGTCTTCATCTTTCTTTTCAACCTGTTCTACCCAATTGGTTTCCTGGGTGGCAATTTTCTCTACTGTACAGAGGTGGCACCCGTCCGTCTGCGTATCGCTATGTCTTCAATTTCTACCGCCAACCACTGGCTGTGGAACTTCGTTGTCGTCATGGTAACCCCCGTGGCTTTGGACACCATCGGATACCGATATTATATCATGTACGCGATCCTATCAGCCTGTATTCCTGTTCTTGTTTACTTCTTTTACCCGGAAACAATGAACCGGAACCTGGAGCTGCTCAACCATGTCTTTCGTGATGCATCCTCGCCGTGGGAGATTGTCTCTATGGCGCGGTCTTTGCCTCAGGGTGAGATAGCCAAGATCGATTTGATGGCCCACGACAAGGAAAAGGCAGATGTATGTTCGGTTGAAATGAAAGAGAATGTATAATACGTATAGCTGCTGTTCAACGAGCTAGGTGGTAAATCAAATCGAACCTGAATTGAATACAATTTACAGAGTACTCAGCTTTTTTCTACGTGTTGGGGTTTTTAATATATATAATACGACAAAAAGTCTTTAAAGAAAGAAAGTTGGGCAGGAAAAGTGTGGTGTCGGGTTGATGTTGGTTCAATTATCGTCCAACCGAAAACAGGATTAATGTACCCGAACAGGGACAATTGCAAAACAACAAATTAGGTGGGTCCTTCGACTTGGTCCTATCTATTTTCGGAGATGAGATTTCAAGGCATACTTCTTCGCGGTGTTGGTATGCTTCCAACAGTGAGTTTTGGACCCATAAAGCGCGCTGTTGGCGTTACAATAATCAACACAGCCTACACTCATGTTATTATCGAAACACTGCCTCACTATCTGTATATTATCTACGAAACACTCAACTAGCCCGGCCCACTCGCGAAAATAGTAGGATCATGGGGTTTCCACGATCTTATATTTTTCTTTTGCTTCTTACTGTTCGGAACTAGGAAGTGATCAAAACTATGTGATTGAACCATCGACATTTGCTGTTGAACAATAATTATCGTCAAATGCAGTCTTCTGTGCCTGCCATAGATTGCGACCTGAACTCCGTAGTTTTTTTTTATACAAATGCCGAGTCCTGCATAGTTTCTCGTTACACGGTCGGCGAGATCGGATACTTGGTAGGGCTCGGGCGACACGCCAGCCACCTCGGAATGCCGATACGGAGGAAGAGAGGGCCGGGAGTAGATTTCTTCCGCAAATCACAGCCCAGGCATAGGTCAACAGCGCCGCGACATGTTTCCTCCCGTTATTCGACCCGTGGGGCTTGTATCAATTAAGTAACACTTATCAAACGCCGGAGACCTGGGCCAATGGCATGACGTTGCCCGTGGTGCTTCGTTTCCTCCGTTTATCGGTACTTTTACCCCGGAGTTGAACGAGCCCCAGCTAAGGAGGGACTGTAGCCGCCTAGGGGGGCCTAGGCGTGACGCCCATAGGCCGGACGTGTCCATCTCCGCTTCGGTCGGGACATGAGGGCGGGAATTTCGGCGGGAAGGGATACGCTCATTGGCTCCAGCGGACCCAGAGTCGCCGGATATCCGATGGCAGTACCGCCGAGGGTACGTCGGTTGATGGTGGTGGTGTTGGCATAGTTCTACATCTCATGGCGTTTGCGTCGAATAGAATCGCCGGACATGTTGGAAGCCGATATCACATCCGTGTTGCCGCGGGAGATTCCGGGTTATTTGAGACCTATATCGAAACACGGCAGTGCTGTTGGATGGATTGAATTATACTTATAGATCTTGCCTCCTATGGTTTTCCGAGGAAACCTTAGTTAGAATTAATTTGCAATAAAACGTCCTTGAAGCATACTTTGAACTGTCAAATTCCTAGACCATTACCCCCCCACGTATACTATGGCTCCCTCCATCAACGACGTCCCTGTTGGCCCGACTATCTCGACTTCGGCACCCAAAGTCGGCATCAACGGCTTCGGCCGTATCGGTAAGTGAATATCTTGACGCGCCGAAGGGTATTGTCTAAAGCAGATGTCCATCAGGTCGCAATGTTCTTCGCGCAGCCCTAGTTCGTTCTGATCTCGAAATCGTCGCCATCAACCACACCTGTGTCACCGTCGAGGATCTCGTTTACCTGATTCGATATGATTCTTCCATGGGAGATCTGGACGAGCGAACCGATATCCAAATTATTTCTGACAACCTGATCACCGTCGATGGCAGACGCATTGCACTCACCTCTGAACGTGATCTGAAGAAGCTCAGCTGGGCTACTCTTGGTGTGGATTATGTCCTCGAATGTACCGGCAAATTCACCAAGCGGGATCTTGCAATGGATCATATCACATATGGCCAGGCGAAGCGAGTACTTATTTCTGCTCCTAGCTCAGACTCGCCGACTTTCGTGTACGGCGTGAACTCGGACTCCTATACACCTAGTGAAGATTGCCGTGTTGTATCCAACGCTAGCTGCACCACAAATTGCGTCACTCCTGTCTTGAAGGTTCTCCATGAGACCTTCGGTATCACACAGGGCTTCCTGACTACGATCCATGCTGCTACTCGCTCTCAACAAGTATTGGATGGGTACAGCAAGAAGAACCGTCGACTTGGTAAGAAAGAAAAAGCGCCGAGTGACCAAACGTCTTCGTATCTAACAACACGCTATTGCAAATAGGACGTGGTGTTTTCAATAACATCATCCCCACCACCACCGGAGCAGCTAAAGCTGTTGCTGCTGTTCTACCTGAGCTGAAAGGAAAGGTTACCGGAGTCTCTATTCGTGTGCCAACGTAAGACTTACAAACAATAACATATTCGAAATATATGTTAACTCAGTACAGGCCAAACGTTTCGATGATCGATCTGACCATCAGCACTGAAAAGCCTACCTCTCTTGCAGAGATCCTGTCTGCATTCAGAGTGGCTGCCAAATCCAGCATGGCGGGCGTCCTTAAAGTGACTGACGAGGAGCTCGTCAGCCAGGATTACAACGGAAGCCCATACAGCGCCATCATTGATGCCCCTGCCTGCTCGGAGCTCAACCCTCAGGTACTTGCACTCCTCACGTATCATATCAAACTGTTCGATATTAACTTAGACAATAGTTCTTCAAAATCATGGCCTGGTATGATAATGAATGGGGATACTCCAACCGACTTCTGGATTTGACGACTTTGGTGCACACCCAGGAGGCTGTCTAATAATTCTTTTGCATGGGATTGGAGTTCATGGGGTTTGAAGCATATTTATGACCTTAGACATATATACAATAAAATTTAAATTTTTACCTTACACCGGCATCCGGTTCTAGAACTATACTTGCACATTAGTGCAACCTACATTGACCATTGAACAAAAATGGAATGGATAACAAGTAATCTATTTTTTTCGTACATCAGGGCATGAATCCACGGGTATCTGTATTTTCGGAGGCTCTAATCCTCATCCATCGACTCCCATCCATCAGGGCCATCGGCCGGAGCACCCTCTCCACCCTCTTCAGCACCATCATCATCCGATTCGTCGTGGTCGGCATGCACGCCAACAGTCCGCTCGGGGACATCACCAGCCAAATCAGGCATGCGGGAGACGAAAGCACGACGAACGGCACCGTTAGTCGAAGCATCCCAGATCTGAACAACACCCTTGCTGCCAGCCACGGCCAGACGGAAGCTGACCTCAGCATCTGGAGCAAAGCTGGTCGAAAAGACCTTTCCAACGTCCAACTTCCTTGAGACGACCATGCTAGGCTTGTCATTCTCGACATTCCAGAGCTTAACCTCCTTGTCCGTTGAGCCGGTGACCAAGAACCCAGGAATAAGAGGGTTAATATCGAAAGACGAGACGGAAGAGTCGTGTGCCTGGAGCGACCAGACGGGCTTGGATTGCGCCGGGGTAGCGGGGGCATTACGGACGTCGTAGCGGTAAACCATACCGCCGTCAGTGGTGACGTAGAAGTAGTTGGGGTCATGCGGGTCCCAGCGGACGTTCTCAACATCGGTGTCGACGCCCCAACGGGCAGTAGAGTCGGGTGCACGCATGTCTGCGGCCACTATAGTACGGTCGTAACTGCCACTCAGAAGAATAGTCGACTCCTTCGGGTGCCAGTCAAGCGAGCAGACCTTGTCGGTGTGGTGAGAGTAGGACTTGGCGCAGCTTGTCGTGTTGAGGTCCCAGAGCTTCACGGTGCGATCAGCGGAGGCGGAGGCCAGCAGATTCCGGTGCTGGCGGTTGGCTGCCAGCGCCAAAATAGAGTCAATGTGATATTCATCATTCGCCTTGGCCTTCTTCTTCTTGGACTTTTTCTTGGCCTGCGCCGCATCGCCAGCTTCGTGACCACCCTGTCCGAGGATAGCGTTGGGGTACATAGAATCCACAACATCCAGATCCCAGATCTCGATGTCAGGCTCCATGGTTCCAATAGCCACGAAGTTTCCTTGAGTGCGACCTTCGGTGTTCTTGCCAACTGGAATATCGAGCCATTCCAGGCAGAGAGGGATGCCGGGCAGCATAATGTCGTGATGAACATAGAGGTTGTCGGCTTGATCCTCGTAGACGTAGACCTCCAGGTGGGCGACCTCATCTTCGACTTTTCCGGCTAAGAGAAGGTTATCGGTGGGCATGATCTGCAGCTCCTCACGTTCCTCGTCCTCTTGGTCCTCGGGGATCACGAGATATGGATCCTCCTCGTTGGGCTGGTGGTAGGCCAAGGACTGCACATTGCCAAACATGGTGACTTTCTCACCGTCTTCATCAACCTCGTCACTATCATAGTGGTCCATGTCAAGCTCCTTTAGGATATCATCATCACTAGAGAAATGATTGTTTAGCAGGTGTTGCAGTCTAGGCGCCATCTTCACCTTGCGAAATACACTTACCCAGCAGACTTCGACTCCGTACCCTCTTTGGATGTAGTCTTTTCGACCTTCTCCTCTTTATGATCCTCATCCATGGCAGTGTCATCCTCATCCTCGTCCATCTTGCCTTCCTTGGCAGCATTCAGATCTTCCTGGGCCTCCTCAAGCTGCATGCGGGCCATCTTGGATATCCGATCCATTTCTTTTTCGTCGATCTCATATTTGATAGGGAACTGGGCAGCGACACCGCGCCGCACCCAGGCCGTGGTCGTGATCATCGAAGACATCGTGAATGACAATCAATGTCACTTTTTTTTATCGGTGATATTTTTTTTATCGGTGTGCTAAGAGGGGCGTTCCGCCCGGCAGAATGAGGAGTAATCGGCTCACCGCCCGGGGATTGCGGCGCGGCATTTGCAACTGCGGGCTTTGGTCAATTGATCCGACTACTCTCAAGGCATTGAACTCTCTGTTGACATCCATAAATCCTCGCTACCGTCAAAGATGCATTCTCACCTACATACTCCCTATAACATCAGTATGTACAGCCTTTTGAGCTTCAATCCAGTCTCCTATATAGAGGGTGCCTTTAATGTGACCACTGCTAATCAAAGTCCTGCAGACTGCGAGGAGGTTATGACTGCCCTCGACGAATGCCATGCCCGTGGATTTATCTACAAAGCTCTTGGAAACTGCAACGATATCAAGCGTGATGTGAACAAATGTCTTTCCGCTGAACGATTCGACCGGGCGAAACGGAACCGAGACGAGGCTCGCAGCAATCGACGTCGCATTGAAGAGATCTGGGCGAAAGAAAGAGGGGCTGATCAGGTGCCCTCCAATACCAGTGCTGAGAACTCCAATTCTTCAAAGCAGTGATTTTGTGTTGCGCTACATAATGTCGTTTTTACACTTGGGCACCGGAGCTGGCGTATCACAATTTGATGGATTATGGGATTTTTTTTCAATTTGCATCAGAGACCTTGTCTCGTCCTCTCTTCTCATCATCTGTATATTATTGTTTTTGTACAATATTTGAAGCATTTGAAATGCATGTATCACGGGCGCGATGAAATTCTTACTTTCAACATTCAAGTCCTTGAAGAGTTCCAAATTATATACATAAAGAGGTTTCTGGAAATTCGACACAATAAAAGTCATATTGCAGATATATTGATTGTACTTTTAATAAAAATAGCCAGCCTGAACGCCATACCATGGATAGAGGAAATAAAACATAAATGCGACAGCTGATTCCGGGCTTCAACAAGCTTCTTTAAGCATCTACTTCCATTGCCTGTCCAGCCTCAGTTGCGAGCCCGGTATCCTCATTCCCCTCCCGAGGGCCACCCTTATGGTGACGGCGTCTTCGTTTGGGTTTGCTAGAACTGTCATTTCCATCAGGCGTTTCGGAAACATCGGCTGTAGCACTGTCGGCCGCGATCGCCTGAGGCTTCTTCTCTTTCCTGGGAGCGGCAGCAGTGCCATCTGTCCGTTTCTTAGTCTTCTTCACACTGAGCGGGTTTGGACCCTTCGCCTTCTTCAAGCCACGGATCTTCTTCAGCTCTCCCTCTGGCTTTGCATCCGTCTGCCGCTCCTCTGGTAAGCCGACACGGAACTTGTCTCTCTCGACACCGTCACGAACTGTCTCCGACGGGTTGCTCATAGGTTCCAGAACCATGACCGATCGCTTTACATAGATAATTGGCACACCGGGGATAGAGCGAGCACGAACGCGGAGTTGACGGGCGCGGCGGAGAGCTTGCTCTTCTTCGCGGTCCTCGTCACGCTTGCGCTTGCGTTGCTGTGAATCGGTATTGTCGTCTTTCTTCTTGACGATCGGGTCTGCTGTCGCAAGAATGTAATGCTCCTTATTCTTCTTCACTTCTGTGCTGGGTGAAAGCAAAGACAGGAGACATTCCACCTCGTCGATGGGTGTAGATTCCTTGTTGTGTGAACAGTGACGGAGAGGAAGTATAGTTGGCGGGGGAAGACAGTAGGGACGATAAGGCTGGTTGGTCCTGGGGTTGATTGGCTGGTTTGCCATGAGAGCAGCGAGTGAGCATTTGGTCAGCACTAAAGGAATTTGGTCAGTTCAAGGCCTTTACAAGCAGCTGCTACAGCTGCGACGGCATATCCATGCATCGACAAAGACTGCGCTTACATGGCTTGGTTTTGCCTTGAACAGTCCGCTCAAGGGCGGGAATCAAGTCCATCTTGAAAGAGTCGACAGCACGAAGGAAATTGGAGTCAACTGTTCAAGCAATTAGTATACGGGTCCGAATGTCACGTTATAGCCTCAGCAATCATACCCAATACTTGGTACGCTTCACGGAAACCGAAAGCAAGCTCATATTGATGCATGAGCTTGCGATACTTCTTGGAACGTTTGGCCCTCATTGTGGGAAGTCGGGGCTAATGATTGGGGTATTGAAGTTGTTGGATCGTAGAGGTTGCGGCGATGCCATCGACAACGAAACTTTTTTTCATTTTGCCGGGCGGATGAAGAGGCGGTGAACACCGACGAGAGTCGGGAGGAGGCGGTGGGTCAAGTAAAACATCCATAACATCTACCGAACAGCTACCACCATTAACGGCCAAGACAAGAGATAGAGAAAATCAAAATTTTGTTAGAAATGTTTTACAGTAAAATGCCATGTTTAGAAGTTTCAGACTGCCGCTGGGCCATGATATGGTCCTTTACATGCTGATCTGATAAGTACCAAGACCACCTTACATGTGTGGGGCAGTGGTTAAAGCATTGTCACAACAGAGCTAATTACTATACTATAAAATGCCGATCAACTTGAGAAAAAAGGAAAAGGAAAAGAAAAATAAAAAAAAAATCAATGGTTTCTTCAGACAATTTGTGATATTCTACATCAGTTTCCAATTGTCAACGGTCTGGTAAGTGGTCTAAGAAGGGGGTTGGAAAGGGTTTTTCTGTGTCAAACATGATCTCGTCATTAACGTGAGATCAAATATATAGGTTCGCGAGGTCCAACGACTATTTCATGGACCTTGATTCGACTTTTTTGTCCAATAAATTAGATCTAATAAATATTTAGGCAAAGTCTATATTGATCGATTTGCCAACGCTCTCTTAAACAAGAAATAGAAAATCAAATAGAAGACTTTCGTCAAAATCGTAAGGAATGATCAAAGCTGATGAAAGAGGTCAGATTCGATGGGTTTCATATAATATTATAGCTCCTGCTAAGAACTTGAAGCTGCCTATGTCTGCCTTGACTACTACGGAAATGTAGATCTTTAAGGGATTCCCGCTCCAACGTTAATATTTGCACCATACACTGGCCGCGAATCTTCACTCAGTAACCACACAATTGTACGTGCAACATCCTCGGCTTCAATCACCTGTAATCCGTGATTTTTCCAAGCCTGTTGGAATTCTTCATCGGTTCTTGCATTGGGCACAAACTTCGCCAACATAGGAGTCATTGTTGCTCCTAGCATATATTAGAATAGGTCTGAACACGACAAGGGCGGTTCTGCCGCGTACCTGGAGAAACCGTGTTGATTCTAATTCCCATCGGGAACGTATCCTTAGCAACACTTGTTGTAAAGAAAGCGCAGGCTCCCTTGGATGTGCCATAGGCAAATACATCTGGAGTATGGCTCATGCTTGCTACACTCGCCACATTGACAATGCTTCGATCCTGCCTCGGCGTGAGGTTTTGCATTGCGCGCACTTCTGACTTCGTGGAGTAGAATACACCATCAAGGTTCACGCGCATGATTTGACTCCAAGCTTCTTCTGCCTCTCCCAAGATATTTGGCGCTTCTCTCACACCCGAAGCCTGCGGAATCCCCGCAATATTGGCAGCGCCATGAAGGTCTCCGAATGTGGAAACCACACCTTGAATCCATTTATCAACAGCGGAGTGGGACGTAACATCCAGTGAAGTACAGTGTACTTCAGTTGATGGATTGATCTTCTTGATAGTGTCTTTTAAATCGTTAAATCGATGAGTGGAGAGGTCCCCAATGCAAACAGCGCCGGCACCGCGATGCGCCAGGAGCCTCGCAGTGGCGGCGCCCATACCAGATGCGCCACCGGTGATGGCAAAAACTTTGGATGCAACCGATGCCATATTTTGAGAAACGTCTATATAGAAGTTTTTAATCGGTTTTGTTACAAAAAAAGAGTTGGACAAAGAAGCTAGGCCTTAAATAGAGTCGCTCCAAACCTGCAAGGTGGGTTTTCCCGGGCCTCCGTGATTCCAGAGAATTAGGCCTAGATTTCGGCCTAATCCAGTTTGGAAGATTTGCATATGAATGGAATATACTGATTACACTTGTATAAGTCTGTTCCACTCACTTATGCACAGCTGCGAGTCATGGCGATGCTGGAGAATCTGGATACATCATGCGGGGAAGAGAGCCGAACCAGGCCCCACACGGCCTGGGCGCCTTCGCTAAGACGACTTTGAGAAGCTCATAATTCAATGCTTTGACTATGGTCCTTGGTGGCATCAAAGATCAGTTTCTTAGACAGCTACTCGCAAATAAGATATATTACAGAAGGACAATCGCAAAATCGTCTCAAGATATACGTTATCCACCCCGTCCTGTCTCCTTAAATCCAACGAGGTCCAAGCATTGCATGAATTGAAGGTGAGGGGGTTTACCAGGATGAATGCAAATTGAGATAAGCCAAGTCTCCTTCCGACATGAACCCCTCTTTTACTAGTCTCGATCGAGTTTTTGCCATGGGGCAAACAGGAGAAGAAAAAGAACCCCCGGCTTCCGCTCCGATGGAAGATGCAGAAAGCAGACCATTTTATGTATTATCACATGATTAATACTTTGATTAGTGCATACCATTCAGTCTCTGGCTGATGTTGAAGACGAGATGTAGGGAGAATCATAAATACCCCGCGTTGTAAACGAGGCATTGATGAAGTTGTACGTTTTTGACAGTAGCAATAGCCCTGGACTGGTCTCCAAGATGACGGTCTTTCCAATCCCCACCCAGCTTTTTATCAACGGAGAGGTTGGTCCTGATCCGCTTTTTCTGTAAGACTTAACCTGATACTTGCAAAACATACAGTATACCGACTCGGCCTCGCCAGAGCGGTTTCCGATCTATAACCCGACGAATGATTCCTTGATTACCGACAAGCTCCAGTTCGCAGTAGAAGAGGACGTGAACAAGGCAGTGAAGAGTGCCCAAATTGCCTTCCGAAGTGCGGCATGGACCATCACAGCCAAAGAGCGCGGGCGTCTTCTTCATCAGATTGCGCAAGTGCTTCGCGAAAATAAGGATGAGCTCGCTTGGCTGGACCGCATCGCTATGGGGAAACCGGTGAAGGCGGGTCTTGGAGAAATCCAAATGGCGGCCGACTTGTTCGAGTGTACTGTTCACCACGATCTTTTACAGAGCTGAGAAATGAACTAAAACATGAACGCAGACTATGCCGGCTGGGCTGACAAGCATGCCGGAGAAAGCTTCCCCGCGGATGACGGGTTTCTCAAAATTGTGCAGCATGAGCCGCTGGGTGTTTGTGCAGGTATTCTTCCATGGAATGGGCCTATCGGCCTCATTGCGTTTAAGTGCGGCCCGGCACTCGCAACTGGTAACGTTATGATCCTGAAACCTAGCGAGAAGACTCCATTCTCCGCACTGCGTTTTGCATCACTTGTCTCCAGCATTCTTCCACCCGGAGTCCTTCAAGTTCTTACCGGTGCCGGGGCCACGGGTGACCTCCTAGCACGACATCCCCACATTCGAAAGATTAGTTTTACTGGCTCCGGTCCCACGGGGAAGAAGATCCAGCGCGCTGCGGCGGAAACCAATCTCAAGCGTGTTACTCTTGAGTTGGGTGGCAAGTCCCCAGCGGGGATTTTTGAGGACTGCAATCTCGAGAATGCCGTTCAGTGGGCCACGACTGCTATCACCCAGAACAGTGGGCAGGTTTGCATTGCTGCAAGCCGGCTATATGTCCAGGAGAGCATAGCAGAGAAATTCACGGAGGCTTTTGTGAAAAGCATGAAAGCCGCTGCCGAGCGTGTTGGCGACCCTGACAATGAGGAGACTGGACTCGGTCCATTGGCAGACAAGGCCCAGCTGGCCCGAGTGGAGTCATTCTTCGCTGACGGTGAGACTCAGATTCTTGTGGGTGGGAAACGACGTGGGGATACGGGATGTTTCTTTGAGCCGACGGTGCTCTATAACCCTGACTCCCAGGCCAATGTGTATAAGAATGAGATCTTCGGCCCCGTGACATGCCTGCGCACCTTCAAAACTGAGGAAGAGTTCTTGGAGATGGCCAATGATACTGAGTATGGGTTGATGGCCGCGGTCTTTACGAAGGACGTGTCGAGGGCGATGCGGATCAGTGCTTTGCTGGAGAGTGGCTCGGTGGGAATCAATTGTGTGTCAATGATCAATCAACAGGTACCGTTTGGGGGATATAAGCAATCGGGTATTGGGCGTGAGCTGGGAATTCATGGATTGGAATCGTATACCGAGACCAAGACGATTTATTTGAAGTATGGTGCATTGCTGCCCTTGTTGATGAATTCAGCTGACGTCGATCCAGTCTCAACTGTTAGATCTCGATGATTACTGATGGTATAGTCAATGTTGGGTTCTTGATGACCCATTTTTGTGCAGATCATTCCTCAGTCTCAAGGCTGAAGAAGGTTGAAGATTGAACAAGCGAATCGAGACGAGTGGTGATAGTTACAGATAGTTACAGGTAGCTCGAGTAATGGACTTATTCTCGCCTATAGTATACATGTCACATGGCGCTGATCGTGCCACCTTGGGCACGGATATAATTAATCTCAGGGGCTGATCGCTTCTCAAGCCTGCCGAGCGCCACAGAGGGGGGCCAGGGGGAAATGACCTAGAGGGTTGTGAGAACGAGCCGTATCGGGGAGTTGGAACTCTCCGAGCCGTGTGGATTCCCGGTACCCAGCCCGCCCTCTCTAGCTACGTAGTTGACTTATCATTGATAGCAGAGAAAGAGAACTAAAGTGAATTAACCAGCTGGACATTGCGCTCGGATCGCAGGTGTAACAACGACCAGCAGCCACATCACAGAGTGCCATCGGGAAGGTTATACAAAGTCCTTCTATATACAGTAATATACATTAACTCCGTAATCATCTCCGTTAACCCCCGAAGATGTCACATCGACAGCAACAAACGAAATCCCAAACACGAGAAAAAAAAAAGGAAAAAAAAACAACCTCCGAAGCCCCGTGCCGCTGACTCAGCGGAAACGGGCTAATCCCGATCGGCCCGATCGTCGGGCCAAAAGCCTCGTCGACCAGTCAACATCGTCAGCGTTGCGCCTCGGCCTCTTGGCAATGCGAGCGCCGAAGGAGCAGATGCATTTTTTTTTATCAATCATCTGGCGGTGGACAGGCTGCCGGACTCGTACGCCTGGACAGCGTCTCGGAAAACAAATTATCATTTTTTTTCCATTGCGTATGCGGCTCAGGCACCCTGGAATTACTGGGATCCACCACGTCCGATGAGAGCAATCGAGGGCAAATCGGGCCACGGGCAGGTTTGCTGCGGATGAGCCGATGTGTCAGCGGAAGTTGGACCAACGGCGCTGGTTGACGGGGCTTCCTTGGTTCGTGGGTTCGTTTGGAGGCTCCACCACGCCTTCAGTTTTTGAGTCCAGAACGATGATTAGGGGCCACGATGCTTGTCATGTCAGAGGAGAGGATAAGAGGATCCTTCATTGGTGCCGGAGTCTCGGACGGACACTGTGTCCGTCAAGTTCATATTTGATCCATTTATCTTGCGGACCCACTGCGAGCATTGGCGATTGTATGCGAATATAAGGATTCAGTCTCGCCGCGGGTCACCCTCCCACTCTCTCCTTCCCTCTCCCCATCTTTCTATAATTTATGTCATCATGGAGGGCACCACCCAGCCCTCGTCCCTGAATGGGTCGATTGACATCAAGGATGGAACGGAGAGTGCTGCCACCGTCCTTGGAGAAGAGACCCCAAGGAAGAGCAGCCCTGTCCCCGGCCAGATCAATGACTGGAGTCTGCTTGCACAGGTTCAACAACAACATGAACGTGACCTGGCGTCCGGATTCAAGCGCCAGGAGCTCGGGGTTACCTGGCAGAATCTGAATGTCGATGTCATCAGCTCCGAGGCCGCCGTGAACGAGAATGTGCTTTCGCAGTTCAATATCCCCCAGCACATCAAGGAATCCCGAAACAAACCACCGCTCCGCACCATTTTGAAGAATAGCCACGGCTGTGTCAAGCCTGGTGAGATGCTCCTCGTTTTGGGCCGCCCCGGTTCCGGCTGTACCACTTTGCTCAAACTGCTCGCCAATCGTCGTGGAGGATTCAAGGCAATCGAAGGCGACGTCCGGTTCGGTTCGTTGACCGCGGCGGAGGCTAGTAAGTATCGCGGACAGATTGTCATGAACACTGAGGAAGAATTGTTCTTCCCAACCTTGACTGTCGGACAAACCATGGATTTTGCAACCCGTCTCAAGGTCCCCTTCAAGCTCCCGGGTGGTATCGATTCCCCCGAGGCCTACCGCGAAGAAGCGAAGAAATTCCTGCTCGAATCGATGGGCATCGCCCATACCGAAGATACCAAGGTCGGCAATGAGTACGTTCGGGGTGTTTCAGGTGGAGAGCGGAAACGTGTCTCGATCATCGAATGTCTCGCAACTCGGGGATCGGTCTTCTGCTGGGACAACAGTACTCGTGGGTTGGATGCCAGCACTGCTCTGGAGTGGACTAAGGCTATTCGTGCAATGACCGACACTTTGGGTCTCTCAACCATCGTTACTCTCTATCAAGCTGGAAACGGAATTTACGAACTTTTTGACAAGGTTCTGGTTCTGGATGAGGGTGAACAGGTTTACTACGGACCCCGAAATCAAGCCCGACCTTTTATGGAAGAAGCCGGCTTCGTGTGCCGTGAAGGTTCAAACGTCGCCGACTTCCTGACCGGTGTTACTGTACCAACTGAGCGCCGGATTCGCGACGGCTACGAAAACCGCTTTCCACGATCCAAGGAAACCCTTCGGCAGGAATATGAGAAGTCACCGATCTATTCCACAATGGTCAACGAGTATAGCTATCCAGATTCCGAAGCTGCGCGTCAACGAACCGAAGATTTCAAGGAAGGGGTGGCCTTCGAGACCTCTAAGCAACTCCCCAAAGGAAGCCCCCTCACTGTTAGCTTCACTGAGCAAGTCAAAGCTTGTGTTTCTCGACAGTACCAGATCCTTTGGGGTGATAAGGCAACTTTTATCATCAAGCAGGTCGCAACTTTGATGCAGGCATTGATTGCAGGATCTCTGTTCTACAGCGCACCTGATAACTCAGGAGGACTCTTCGTGAAGTCTGGTGCTCTTTTCTTCTCATTGCTGTATAATAGTTTATTGGCCATGTCAGAAGTCACAGACTCGTTCAGCGGTCGCCCGGTATTGGTGAAGCACAAGGGGTTCGCTATGTTTCACCCTGCCGCGTTTTGCATTGCTCAAATTGCTGCCGATATCCCGGTTCTCTTGTTCCAGATCAGCATGTTCTCGCTGGTCGTGTACTTTATGGTCGGGTTGACGATGAACGCCGGTGTTTTCTTTACTTACTGGGTTACAGTTTTTGTCACAACCATGGTATGTCTAACCTTCCCCTTGTTGTCGAGGAGATATACTAATAATTTCACAGTGCATGACAGCCCTCTTCCGTGCGGTTGGTGCCTTGTTTACTACCTTCGACGGTGCATCAAAGGTTTCCGGATTCCTCATCGCCGCTCTCATCATGTATACTGGTTACATGATCCAGAAACCAGAAATGCACCCCTGGCTAGGCTGGATTTTCTGGATTGACCCGCTAGCATATGGTTTCGAGGCCCTGCTATCGAACGAATTCCACGGAAAGGTTATTCCCTGCGTTGCCAACAACCTGATTCCTTCAGGTAGCGGCTATGAGGATTCTGCCTATCAATCCTGTGCTGGTGTTGGTGGCGCAATTCAAGGAAACACATATGTTACCGGTGATCAGTATCTCAGTTCGCTTTCTTATAGCCATTCTCATGTCTGGCGCAACTTCGGAATTAATTGGGCTTGGTGGGTTCTATTCGTTGTTGTTACCATCATTGCCACCTCTAGATGGCAATCACCCTCAGAGAGCGGAAGCTGTCTTGTGATTCCCCGCGAACGTCTCGATCAGCACTATCAAAATGCTCCCGTTGATGAAGAATCCCAGGTGCAGGAGAAATCCAAGAAGCCCTCCGATGGTGATGCCCGCGACGAGAGCGATATCGACAACCAGTTGGTTCGCAATACCTCTGTTTTCACTTGGAAGAACCTGAGCTATACCGTGAAAACTCCCTCTGGAGATCGCCTTCTTCTTGACAATGTCTTTGGATGGGTTAAGCCTGGTATGCTAGGCGCACTTATGGGATCCTCTGGCGCTGGTAAAACTACTCTGCTTGACGTTTTGGCCCAACGCAAGACCGATGGAACCATTAAAGGATCTATCATGGTCGATGGTCGACCCCTGCCTGTGTCATTCCAACGTTCCGCTGGATACTGTGAGCAACTTGATGTATTGGAGCCCTTTGCTACTGTGCGTGAGTCGCTTGAATTCTCCGCTCTGCTCCGCCAGAACCGTGATGTCTCGCGCGAGGAAAAGTTGAAGTACGTGGATACTATTATCGATCTCCTGGAGCTCCACGATCTGGCAGATACGCTTGTTGGTCGCGTCGGTGCTGGTCTCAGTGTGGAACAGCGTAAGCGTGTGACTATTGGTGTCGAGTTGGTGTCGAAGCCGAGCATTCTTATTTTCTTGGATGAGCCTACTTCTGGCCTCGATGGCCAGTCTGCTTATAACACGGTTCGATTCTTACGAAAGCTGGCCGATGTTGGGCAGGCCGTTCTGGTTACTATCCACCAGCCTTCTGCCCAGCTCTTCGCCGAATTCGACACATTACTTTTGCTTGCTAAGGGCGGCAAGACGGTGTATTTTGGAGAAATCGGTGATAACGGTCAAACTGTTAAGAATTACTTCAGTCGATATGGTGCCCCGTGTCCTCCTAACACGAACCCGGCTGAGCATATGATTGATGTTGTCTCCGGAAATCTGAGCCAGGGTCGTGACTGGAATCAAGTTTGGCTCGAGTCGCCCGAGCATGGATCAGCGGTGAAAGAACTTGAAGAAATCGTTAATACTGCTGCAAGCATGCCTCCTGGTACCCAGGATGATGGTCAAGAATTTGCTACCAGTATCTGGGAGCAGACGAAGCTCGTTACTGCTCGTATGAGCACCGCCCTTTTCCGCAACACTGACTACGTCAACAATAAGATGGCTCTACATATTGGCTCCGCTCTCTTTAACGGTTTCTCCTTTTGGATGATCGGTGATAGCGTGGGCAGTATGCAGCTCCGACTTTTCACTATTTTCAACTTCATTTTCGTCGCTCCCGGTGTTATCAACCAGTTGCAGCCCCTCTTCCTTGAGCGACGTGCAATCTATGAACAACGCGAAAAGAAATCCAAGATGTACTCCTGGTGGGCTTTTGTCACCGCACTGGTGGTATCTGAATTCCCTTACCTCTGTATCTGTGCTGTGCTGTATTTCGTGTGCTGGTACTGGACGATCGGTGGCGAAACTGCTTCAGACAAGTCTGGCCCAACCTTTTTCATGATGCTGCTTTATGAGTTTGTGTACACTGGTATTGGTCAATTCGTCGCTGCGTATGCCCCCAACGCCACATTTGCAGCTCTGGTTAATCCCCTGATCATCGGAACCTTGGTTTCCTTCTGTGGTGTTCTCGTCCCGTATGGACAGATCCAAGAATTCTGGCGTTACTGGATCTACTGGATGAACCCATTCAATTACCTTATGGGTGGGCTGCTGGTATTCAACGTGTGGGATACGGAAGTGAACTGCAAGGAGAGCGAATTTGCCATCTTCAATCCGCCTAACGGCTCAACCTGCATCCAATACCTGGAAACCTACATGCAGACTACCGGTTCTAGTATGAATTTGGTGAATCCGGATGCGACCGAGTCCTGCCGGGTGTGCGAGTACCGCAAGGGCAGCGACTATTTACACTCACTCAACCTGAAGGAATACTACTATGGATGGCGGGATATCGGCATCGTGGCCCTTTTCGCGATCAGCTCGTACTCCCTGGTGTACCTTCTAATGAAGTTGCGCACAAAGGCCTCGAAAAAGGCCGAATGAGCCACAACTGGGCAAAGGGCGTGATTTAGAAACCATAGATTTTAGACTGGGGGTGGCTGTTATCTTCGATTATTCTACAATTGCTTTTTAGTACTAAATGGGGGTGTTTTCGGGAGAAAAATAATATGTAATCTTCATTTCAATACACATCTTTACTCCGTGCAATTGCTTCCCCGAATTTCTAGTTCTCTTCCTATACCTCCTCGATAGCTCCGCTTAATTTCGAGCGAGCTGCAATTTGTTGCGCCAAATGAAATATTGAATCACTTGCCAGAATCTCAAGGATAGGTATCGTACTTTCTAGAGTTTTAACTATCCAATTTCGCAATTCAACTGCGACGTTCGAATCAATTCCAAACTCTGAAATCGGGCTCCCTGGATTGACTTTCTCGACTGGGATATTGAGTTGTATAGCGATTCTCTCGCTGAGAGCCTCCAAGATAATACCGATGGCTTCGTCTTTCGTATTCGAGGCTTTCAAACCATCATGCAAGACTTTCGTATTGTCATGGGCCTGGGAAAGCTGTGCATAATTTTGGAACTTGCGTCTGAAATGGGCGAATAATGGTGCCTCAAAGTTTCCTATCGATTTGCCGGCCTTCCATTCTCCGAGGCCAGTGACAATTTGGCACTTACCATCTGTCGATGATTGAGAGATGGCAAGTTCAACGAGTAATAGAAGAGTCTCCGCATTGGTGCTTTGAAATCCCCGTTGACCCATTTTGGCTGCAAGGTCTTTATTTTCGGCAAGATAGCCAATACCGGTTATTACTCCAAGATCCAACGAAACGCCCGGCAGACCAAGTGAGTTCCGGTATGCTGCAAATGAGTCCATGAATGCAGAACCTGCTGCATAGGCTGATTGGGTAGCGTTGCCAATAATGCCACTGATAGATGAAAGCATCACGAAGAAATCAAGGCTCTCAGGAAGATGCTTGTGCAAGTTTAAAGTTCCGGTATACCTAGGATTCAAAACCATATAGTAATCATCCAATGTCATCAATTCGATATGCACGTCCTAATTCCACGGTTATAAATTCAGTTATTGATGAAAAAATGATTGTCCATTAGGTATTATCTACCTTCAAGGCCATCGCGCCGTGAATAACGCCCCGAATTGGTGGAGCAACCATGGACAATTCGTCACACATTTCCCGAACTTTTGCCTCGATCGTTATGTCGCAGACATAGATAATTACCTGAATGCCTCGAGAAGAGAGCTCACGTACTGCTAACTGGCCTGCCTGGCTCGACAACCCCCTTCGGCTTACCAAGACCAAAGAAGTCGCACCATGATCGGCCATCCATGACGCTATCGAACGTCCAATGCCCCCGAGCCCGCCGACTAGGAGATAGGATGAATTATGTTTGAAAATCATTTTGGGTGCATTTGGAAATTTTGTCTGGGAAATGTGAGCTGGGATTCAAAAAGGTCAGCACCCAAGAATAAGATGAGCTACCGGAACTGCGGGATTTGTTCTCGCACTAAGCACGACATGTTGCTCTGCATGAACAGCCTGAATTGCTTCCTGGATCTCTGAAACTTTGAAAATGGAGAAGGATGACGGGCCACGTAATTTTCCTTCATGAAAACATTGCATCACTCTTGCCCAGGTTAATGACGCATATTCTGCCCTCCCATTTTGAAACCGAAATACGTCAAATGTCGAAAATGAAAAGTCTTGCGGGTGATATGATGAGAGACTCAAAGGGAAGGTTCTGGCTTTGAGACCCCGGAGGTAAACCAAGTGCCCAGAGCACCCAACACATTGCCATAAAATGTGAAGAATCTTGTCGCTAACATCTATAGAGGTTATGACCACATCGGCCATTGTACCTCTGGTGGATTCCAAAAGATATTTCACAACATCATCACTTCCATCAACCAAGATCTGCTGGGAGTCAATCGAAAATTTGCTATTTAAAAGGCTTTTCTGGTCCTCTGATGCTACCATCGGGATGATTCGAGCATTAGTCAAGCAACAAACCTCCAGAATTGCTAGTCCATGCCAACTGGCTGCATTGTGTATCAGAATCGTTTTGTCAGTCTGAACCTGCGCCAAGCTATGCACAATAAAATGTGCAGTCGAAAATACCACTGGAATTGCTGCCGCCAGTTCGTACGACATATTATCTGGAATCTTCTGAAAGGCCGAAGCTTGATCATGATAGTAACTCCGGGATGTTCCTGCTCCAAGGCAAGCAACACGGTCTCCCACGCAGAACTCCTCGACTCCGGCACCAACAGCGTAGACCTTTCCACTGCATTCTTGCCCGGATGTCACTTCGTAGTCATCAACTTGTATATCTTCTAGGTCACATTCATTTAGACCAAATGCGATCACTTCGATACCGATATATCCTTCTGGTAGTGGACGCACTTGAAGGTCGGTTGTAAAATATGCATTATTATGTTTTGTATGTCTCTTTGACAAGCGTAAGGGCTGTTCTGGCTGCTGAAATACCTCCTGGGATCGTGTCTCGTGCTGGTTTAGATACGCAAATTCCTGGTCCATATCCTCCATTTCAAGGATGCGAGGAATTGAAACCACTCCATCCTTCAATGCAAACTCGGTATCCAGATGTTCGCAGCTCAAGTTTTCGTGGAAAAACCGAGACTTCAACATCCTGACAATAATCTCAATTGTTGGATATTTCAAGGGAAACTCCTTCGCAGAGATGTCGAGTGATATGATTGGCCTGACTCCCGACTCAGTACGAGCTGTTCTTGCGAATCCGAACGCAAGGGCAGCTTCTGGGCACGTAGGTTCAATGATTCCGCCTCTGGTCACCCATAATACCCCTGCACTCTTTAGAAATACTTGTTTGATCTTTTCTAGAGTTGTAAAGTCGAGATTGGAGAACGCCGATTGATCCATATTGTCAAAAAATACACAAATTTGATCCTTTGGCAACGCGTTATGGACATCTGTGAGACTCACTCTGAAGGAAAGTCGTTCTAGACTGAATTTCAAGCATTGAGCTCCAGACTTGTCATTTTCGGTCTGACATATGATCAAAATCTTCCTTTCACTAGGTATTCCTTGCCACTGATGATTGCATATAACCAAGCTGTGTTTCTGGCTCCCCGTTTCACTCCCCTCAGTGATGATTCTGGTCCGGAGTCCAACTTCACGAATCAACCTTTCCCACGTTACCCCCGGCTGATGATTCATATCAAATGTACCTGTTGGCCATAGGTATAGAACATTGCACAGGAGGGAATCCAATATACTTCTCATTGGATGCAAAGTGTCAAGTATCATTAATTCTCCAGAAGGCTTAAGAAGATCTTTGATGGCAGAGAGAATTTTAGCTGCGGGGTACATGTACTGGAGGCCACTGTGGATGATTATCACGTCGAACATGATGCTCTTTGTGCTCCCATGCTCAACATCAACTTCAGAGAGTTCAACCCATTCTGGAAACTGTGGCAATATCTCTGGTGCATCTGTTATCAATTTTTTATTTTTCCAAAAATTATATTTACCACAAATAGGTGTCGTTCGCAAGCCATTAGCACCATCTCTTGACAGCTGCTCTAGGAACAGCTTGCATGGGTAACCCCTTCCATCATCGATCTCGAGAACCGACATGTCAGGCTTTTTATGACCAATCAGGCTCAAATATTTCTTTGCGGCATGATAAACTGGTAAGCTGTGAATTGCCTCACAGTAGTCATTCCATAGTCGACGCCAAGATTGAAAAAATGTTTCCTCCGACAAAATAAAGGACGAGATACAATCAGCCACGCTAGACAGCAGCCTATCGAAAGCTTCAGGAGCTTGATCAGAATCAGACCAACTATTCGATTGTCTATCGGCAGCCATAGAACCATTATCGTCTTTGTGTAGATGAAGTATGTGTGAAAGACTTGATTTGTATTTATAGCTCAGGGAATTGAGCTTCTCAGGGCCCTCTTCATTTATTTTCAAGATTGCATCCTTGATAAGGCATTTTGTAAAATATTCGTAGTTGCCCTGAGAGAGAGCGGTGTTGCGTTTGATATGCCGTGAGCGGAACAGAAGTGAGCTTGTGCTTTCTGAAATGAAACTTGGGTCCGGTTGCCACTTAATTCCATAGCAAATGGGGACATCTCTTGGTATCACCGAAATATCCAGTTCAGCTGGAAGGCGAGTACATTGCAGTCCATTTATTGATATTTTTGGACCTAGGTTAGGGTCTCCACTGACATCGCCCGTCGCAACTATTGATGCCGATATATCATCCCCAGGGCCAAGTTGAATATTGGTACATGTAGTCAAAATCTCGCCAGGGGGGCGGAGTCGATTTCTGAAGAAATGTATAGTTGGTGGAGAAATACTGGAATAAATGCATTCTTCCCGGCCCAAATGCTTTCAGGGAGTGCGGCGAAAATAGTGTGAAAAATACTGTCCAACGTGCAAGGATGTACTAACAGAGGATGCTGGAACTTCATTGGCATGTTGAAACCGGTGTCTGGAATGGTGATTTCTCCAAAGCAGGTGCCATTCTGAATTCTGCGAGCACTAGTGAGATTGGAAAAGTGCGGACCATACTCTAGGCCAACATTTTGTAATAATTCGTAGAGCTGATGAACGTTAATTACGGAAATGCTGTTGGTTTGCTCCCCCAGGAGTGTAATATCATTCCCATTCATCTCTTTAACAGCCAATCGATCACTTGAGTCTGATTCGGTTTTCACACCAATAAGTCCAGAACAATGCTCAGTCCACCTGTTGGTACTAGTGACGGAGTAAATATGGAACTCATAGCGAATACTTCCTTCATTTGTTCGATTCCGATCAAATCGACGAAATGAAGTCATTACTTCAACCCCTCTATCTTCCGGAATGATCAAGGCTGAGCGAATTGAGACCTCTTGCATAGTAATGCCCGAAACCTTATCGGTGCTTTTAATCAATTGCGTAATGGCCTCAATCGCCATACTTATATACCCCGCAGCGGGGTAAACAATGTTTGACTGAATCTTATGGTCTATCAGCCATGGAATCTCTAACAACCGCAGATGATTTCGCCATCGAGGCTCAAATGAACAGGCCATATTGTCAGGTGAACCAAGCAAATCTGTTCGAGGATATCTTCGCTGCCGATAGGTTATACTCAAGCGAGGCTCTGCCCAGTATGATCTTGTATGATTCCAACAATATGGTGGCATATCCATGAGAAGTCTCGCAGCGAACCGGTTTTCCATGCCCGCAGGAAAATTTATCGCAGAGAGGTCTACTGGGTAGTTAAGTGTTGCCAATGTGGATGCTGCTTGAAGTACAGTTGAGACTGCATCGATATTTCTCGAAAGAATGCTTAAGTATGAAATCTTTGCAGCCTTAAGTTTCAAATCCGACTGTAGGATTTGATTGATGGGCCCGGAAAGAGCTGAGTGGGGGCCTATCTCCAAGATACAATCAATGCTGGGCTTTTTAGCCGCCCCGGCCCTTTTTCTAACCATTGCCCCAGCTGCCCCATGCTTTCTCTTCGTCTCAAAACAGAGATTTGTCAACGAGTGGGAGAACTGCACCTGCCCAAGTAAGTTGGAAACCCAATACCGAGATGCCAGTTCATCAGGCTGAATCTCGGCCCCAGTAACCGAGCTGAAGAATGCAACAGCTTCTTCATTTGATGATATATCTGTATAGGGTCTTGGGGAAATTGGGTCAATGGAACTTAGATATTCATTGGCAATCAATTCCATGTGATGCGAGTGATACGCAACGTCCACATTGAGAGGCCGCATAAACACAGATTGATCTCTTAGCACGTCCAACAGTTCGTCAATTGCACAGGCATCACCGGATACTGTTACGTTGGAAGGGCTGTTGATGCATGCCACAACAGCCTTGCCGGTTGTCAACTGTGTTAAATAGGGCATCACCGCGTCCACAGACATTCCAATAGCTGCCATGGACCCTTTCATCGGATTTGATAAAAGAAGTTGGCTAGCGGCAACTCCACGGAAATATGCCACAGCCATGGCGTCTTCCATAGTCAATGAATGACTCGCATACGCTGCAGCAATTTCTCCACTAGAGTGGCCAGTAACTGAGCTGGGATATATGTCCCATGACGCAAGGAGATCAACAAGGGCAATTTGCAAGGCTGAACATACTGGCTGGCTGAGGAGGGGGTGGCTGAGCTGACTGTCTTCCGGACTTCGAAATATTTCCTCTTTATAAGGGATTAGGTAAATTTTCTAGCTACATAATTTCAAACTCATAATCAGAGGTTACATACCGGATATAATGAATGGTGCCCCTAGCTCCGAGAGATATCTGTCCATTCTTGAGATTGAGTCACTGAAAACGGGATAAGAGTGGAAGAGCTCTTTTCCCATGCCAGCCCATTGAGCGCCCTGTCCAGTAAATACAAATGCTAAGGTTGGTGGTCGTATGGAGTTTCGAATAGTTGGGCGATTTGAAGTCGAAGAGATAAGGTCCTGTATTGAGCCACCTATAACGGCAGCTTTCCATGTAAATGTCGATCGATTTTCATTAACTGTCACAGCTAAACTGTCTAGAAAATCATTTTCGATAACATCGGACTTGGATTTCAAATAATCACATAAGGAATTGACCTGTGCTGCACAGGATCCTTCATCGAAGCCTGAAACCATGAATATTCTATGACACCCTGTCCCCTGTGAGGTTGAATTTTCAGTTTCATTACTGTCTTCTCGGTTCTCTACACATTGAAATGAGTTGAAAATCCATTTTCGTAACTTCCGAATATTCAGATAGCCGTCGATATCTTCTATAATCGCATGGGCATTGCTGCCGCCATATCCAAAACTGTTTACAGATACCCGACGTGGTCCATCGGTCACCCACGGCTCAGGTAGTAACGGAACCTAGTCCTGTGCGTAAGTAATAAAAATACTGAAGGAGGCCGTTCAAGGAAAATAATACTTTCAAATTCCATTCTTCCATGGGAATGTGCGGATTTGGGTTCTCGAAGTTTCGACTAGGTAAAATCACACGATTCTCCAACATCATAACGGCTTTAATTACCCCTGCCACTCCACTTGCACCTTCGAGGTGCCCAACATTTGTTTTGATCGAACCTATTCGCAATGGCTTGTCAACAGAGCGACCGGGTCCAAAGACTCTAGCAATGGCACCAATCTCTACCGGATCTCCAGCTTGTGTCCCTGTGCCGTGTGCTTCAACAACGTCTGTCTCACTAGGACACAGACCAGCTCGATTGTACACATCTCGGATCAGTGCTTCTTGGGAACTTCCACTAGGAAGAGTGATTCCTGGAGTGCGTCCATCCTGATTTGAACCTGTTCCTCTGATGACCGCTCGTATCGTATCGCCGTTTTGTAATGCGTCGGCTAGTGGTTTGAGAATGAGACAATCTATGGCTTCCCCTCGAGCATATCCATTGGCCGCCTCGTCAAATGTATGACAGCGTCCATCTGGGGAGAGAAACCTGGATAGATAAGATACTTGTTTTCATTTCAATAGATCCTTTCTTACCTCATCATACTCATTGTGGACATGAATTCATGACTGAGAATCAAATTGACACCAGCAGCAATTGCCATTGTTGCATTTCTTGTTTGGAGACTTTGGCAGGCCAGATGCAATGCCACCAAGCTACCAGAACAAGCGGTATCTACTGTGACGCTAGAACCCTTCAGGTCAAAGAAATATGAAACCCGGTTGGCCATCATGGCACGCGACTGACCAGCATTTGTGCACTGGTACATCGGTACGCATTCCGGATCGCGAAGGAGGAGGTCAGTATAATCGGCAGAAAACGACCCGACGAAACACGCGGTTTGCGTGCCCGCGACCCGAGTAAGAGGAATACCAGCTTCAGCAACAGTTATTATCTATATTCATATTCCGCATTGCAATTCTTAAACCTCACCATTTTCTAATCCTTCGTAGGTGACTTCCAACAATAATCGCTGCTGTGGATCCATAGCCTATATCTTTACCATCGGTGAACTGATCCTTAAAAACCTGAATAAACACATACCGCGGCTTCGTCGCTTGTCATATTAAAGAATGGAGCGTCAAACAGAGAGATATCCTCTTCTATGAAGTGGCCTCCCTCAACATTGATCTGAAAGCATGTTATTCTCAAATACAACGGAAGTCAGATGAGATGACATCTTCTCACTGTTCCATGCCGTGCATGATCAGGATGATAGAATGCGTTGTTGCTCCACCGTTGCTCCGGAATCTGTGACCATGCTTCTCGCTGTTCAAATATCATTTGCCATAACCTATTGCAGTTAGTCGCATCTCCAGGCCCACGGAATCCCATGCCAATGATCGCGATGGGCATTGAAGCATCTTCCATGAGAATTGACAACTCGTCCTCCGGGTCATTAGAGAGACCTGCGCCCATGCTCCCTTCCCTATGGATGCATTCTTCCAACAGCTCGGAACATGCTGCTTCCAGGAGAATTGGAATTTTCTTCATAACTTCAACGTTCAATAATCAAAAACTGGTGATATGACGGGTCTGTCTGAATAAGCTTCGCGGTATATAAATCCAGTGATAGTAAAAAAAGAAAACAACAGTCGGTTTCGAGACAATCCGCTAGCAAGATGAAATGAGTAATTCCAGAGCATGACTTTGTCAGCCTTCCCATTTGCTTTCGGCTTATTTGAAAAAAAAGAAAAATAGAAAAACTAAATCTTCCCCTACTCTGAATAGTGGTGGCGAATGTAAGCAAGGATGAAGATGAATGAATTGAAAAAAAAAAAAATTGCCGATTGTAGCCTAAAGTAGCGTGATACAATATGAGAAGATTTGATCTCTAGTTCATTTTGGACTATCGTGGAAATGAGAAAAAAAAAGAACAATTGGCATGCCCTAGTGTTAATAGATGAGATAAGTTGCGCTGTCTTTGTTCTCGTTAACCTCCACTACATGTCTCACTAAGCTCCCGTCAGTTTGATAGCCAATTTCCGGATCGCCGTCGCCATGATCGCCACATTCTTCTTGTCTGTTGGGATATCATGTCCTTTGCCATGGACGACAAACGTCGACTCTTTCGGGTCACATTTCTGATGTAGAGCCAGTGAAAAATCAAACAACGGGTCCTTTTCCCCTGCTATATGAACACAGGGAATGTGGATATAGCCATCCAGCCCATCCTCGATGACCGGATGCTCACCCGGGCGCATATGGAAGGGGGGCAAGGAATTCACAAAGATCGCACACCGGAACCTGGGCGCCTCTGCCGGCGATATTTTGGCCTGGTGGATGAGATAACCGGCTGCCAACGTCCCGCCATGTGAAAAGCCTAGTACGCCGTCAAAAGGGCCGTACAACGTGATCGTTTCGGCCAGTTGCTCGTACGCATCTAGGATGTCGGACTCGTCACGGTCGGCGGTCGAAAACGTCCGGGGAAAGCGGTAGTAGCTATAATACGGTCCGTCATAGAAACCTGAAATGCCCGGCCCAGGCTCAGAGTCTATTTCTCCTTCGAGGAAATGAAACGTGGCCGTATTGTCCCGTTGGAGATCTGCAATAAGTCCGCCTACAAGAATTCAAGAATGAGATATAGTTCGACTGCAGTTGGCCCTGATGAATGAATGGATATGGAGATCACTCATACTGAGTTGTGATTGTAGAATCTAAGCCAATCTTTGAGTTAGATTAAATAGAGAAACAAGAAATACGAAAAATATCCCTAGAGAGCCAGGGGCGCAAGAGTAAGAGAGAAGATGAACTAGATAGACCTTTTCGCTTGTGCCCCAGCCATGTAGACAAAGAAGCCGTAGCGGCATTTGGTGTTAATTGCAGCCCTTTTTGAGCTAGAAACGACAAGGATAAATTTCAAAAAAAAGATAAAATATAATAAAATAACCGATGCTGCTGCATATGCTGATGAGCTTGTTTGCCTTGAATAATGGCTCCATTTATACCAATCTGCGCAACAAAAGGCGAAGAGGATCACTGGATGTATCCTGTCTTCTTTGCCACTCATGGACGTCTTGATCGGCTATTTATTGTTTTATAAGTTGCGTTATTCATTCAGAGAAAAGTCCCCGTGAAGAAGAATGGGAGGTCAGCGCGAGCTGTGTTGAAAGTTGTACAAGACCATGCCGCGCCTTGGCATTTTCCTCGCCATAGCAATTGCAACTAGCGGGGGATCTCTACTTCTAACTATTTTTGAAATGGTAGTCCACAATGACAAGCTGTGATCTGGAATATGATTGAACCCAATAGACTGGATAGGCTGGATCTAAGCGAAGGGGGTTTCATACGGCGCCAAGGGGGTATGACGTAGGTGAAGATCGCATTTGCCAGATCGCGATCGCTGACTGCTCCCTACCTTGTTTTTAAGGGCGCCAAGTGACTACCATATTCTCCATTATCTTCTACAGTTTCAAAGCTAGGGAAAAAGTGTCTGGAAAAATAGAGCATCTCAATCGTGATGCCGTGGTCTTTCGCCCTGCCTCAGGCGATCTTTGACTCGCCACTGTTGGCGATTGCGACGCCCATCGCTGGCGGCTCGCTCGTCGCGCTGCTCACCAATCGTAAGTGCAGCCAAACCAAATCACTGCACATCGAGACAAGCTCCGGTGGCCGATCTACTATTGTCTAGACCGGTATTATCCCGGAAATCGGGATGTGAGATGGTATGAGATACTGACCGGCCGCGCCATAGGCAAGCAAAACCCAAGAAACCTACCGGCAACTGCGTCAGCCGCCCTTCAACCCCCCGGGCTGGCTTTTCGGACCGGCCTGGACCCTGCTGTACGGCCTGATGGGCTATGCCTCGCATCATGCTGCCGTGACGGCGGCGGCGTCGCTGTCCCTGGCTGTGCGCGATGCCAACGCCTCGGCCCAGACCTTATACACGACTCAACTCGTGCTCAATTTCCTGTGGATGCCGCTCTTCTTCCGGCTAGAGCGGCCGGCAGCTGCCCTCGGGGATATGGCCCTGTTGGCGGGAAATGTAACTCTGCTGTTGGCTAAGTGGTGGACGGTAGACCGCACGGCGTTCTGGCTCATCACACCCTACTATGCGTGGCTAGGGTACGCGGCGTACCTGAATGCGGGCGTCGGCATTCTGAACGGCTGGAAATTACCTGCGAGAGACAGGAAGGGGCCAGACCGAGGGGAGTAGAGGGTATGGGTAATCGATAGGATGGGATTGAAAGGGTATTGTGCACTGTGATAGCAAACCATTGTGATGTTGGGTTTCCTCGAAGAAGTGGAGATAGGAGATGGAGGGGCCGAGACCAGGGCCAACATTGGGGGCATAACATTGGGCGAATAAGGCGTTGAGCAAATAATCGTGATACTCCGGTCTGGAATTTTCCGTACGAGACTAATCGTCCATTATCCATGACTGATTCAATTGCCAGAGTCTAGTTGATCGAGCCCAACGTAGATCCACTGTGATATGCGTGAAAATCCCCTCGCATCAGCAGGTGCGTTCGCAGGCCCACTTGGATCCTTTGGTGGCGGCAATCGTTCGCTTGTCAGCTTCTGCTTCAAAGCTCCGAGCTTGCATGGCCCCACTCGCACTGGCCCTTGTTTTCCTGATTTTTGTGCTTCCCCCCCTATCTTGCAGCCCTGTACTGTGTGTGTGCATGTGAGATGCAGGTGAGAGATGTGAGAAATATCTGAAACAATATATTGTCCGTCAAGGCTGTAACTCGTCCCCCCCCTCCCCACTGTGACTGGAGTCATGTTGCTGCCATGGTGATATTGTGCATTCTGTGTTGCCTGTATCTGCAGAGTGGGGCGACAGGGTGGGCTCTGCTTTGCTTCTTGTCGCACTTATTTCGACTATTTTTATGTTTAAAAACTCGAAGTTGATATTGTCGTCTTGGTTCTCCACTGAGCCTTGGAGGGCTTCTCCATGGCTTACTTTCTGTTTCTGATGGGCCTGGGGGTTGCCATTTGGGGTCTGGATCTGGACCGGATTCGGGGCAGGTCTGGATCTCGTTGATTTCCTCGTTGGGACTATGATCTATTCACCCACGGACGTCAAGACTGTATGATGATTTCATCTCGGTGGACCATTGCGCTGTCACTTCTCCTTTCCCCATTTTTTTCGGCTGTGATCTTCCTAATGTTGATTGACGCAATTGCTGATGCATATCCTCCCCTGTCCTCGCTCAGGCTAATTCTGCTCAGGAGGTGGCTATAAGGCCCAATCACTTTTTTATAGCGGGGACCCAGGATCGGCACCCCTCGGGATCCCCGAATTGGCATGTTTTCTGTCCATGTAGGCCTAACAATGGATCCCAGGTGAGCGATAAGGGCCGCAAGCTTTTTATTTTTTCTGCTGTACGGTCCAGGGTCCTCGTGCATTTAGCCGGAGGGGGCGGTGGCTGAATGGCTAGATTCTTTTTAGGCTTCGTCGGAACCACTTGGAGGGTCAAAAAAGGATTCGGTGATTCCACACTAGAAAGATCGGAACAAGTAGAACGGGACGAACGGGACACCAGCAAAAGAGGGAAAGATTGGTACAAACCACACCGATGGCGAGCGTGCCACTCCCAGCAGAGCCTTTCGGGATCGCCACCGACCCACCGGGCCTCGGCGATGATGAATAGCGTGGTACGTGTTCTTGTCTAGAACTTCACGGTGGGTAGCCGTGGTGACACAATGCACATCCAATGGCGATCCATGATCCACGAGTGCTGTTTCCATTGTCTGGATTGTCTGGATTGTCCCTGCGCATGGATGGCGGCGGTGGTGGTGGTGGTGGTAAGTGGTAAAAGAGGGAAGAAATCAGTGTTAGTTCGGGGGGGGGGGGGACTGCGCTCACCGGGCATCCCCCGTGAGCATGAAGTCTTCGACTTGGAACAGATAAAAAGTCAATCTAGTCCCGATTCATCCTTCGGCAGTCCAAGCAGGGCCAACCAGGCATGACGATGGTGACATGCAGAGGAAGAAACAAGAGCGAAACGGCCAACGTTGGTCCGGGCGCCTATCGTCGTTATCACGGGCTCTGGTCTAGGTCGGGTACCAGGTGAGTACCTGTCATCTCGCAGCTAACGTGAGCGATGCGCCGGTACCTGGCAAGTAGGATCCGCCCAGCTGCTCCGATCGTCGTTCAGACCCAGCAAACTCGGCAAATCACAAAGAGAAAGCGAATGATGCCAAACCCTCCCCCAAAAAATAAATAGAAATATAGAAATATGAAAAAATAGAAAATACAAATCAGACCAGCTCGGAGAGATAAAAGACTCGGTGCACTTACACCTGGAGGGGTCTTGACTTGCCATCGAGACTTGAATTACCCTCGGTTTCCTACTTATCAATTGAGGACTGTACACCCACTCGCCCACAACCACCCCCCCAAAATAAAGAATAAAATAAAATAAAACCCGCGAGCCGTGGTCCACTTGGATTTAGCTTTGATCGGTAGCTCCCAAGAAGGGCTGGAACCCGGAGTGTGGAATCGCGGAATGTGTCACGGTTGATCCAGACTCTCCTCCTCCGCAGGCGGGTATACTTCTCGACAGTCGCCCACTTCCCTCCTCCAACACTTCCTCTTCTCTCGTTTGGTCTACCTTCTCTTCAATCATTCACTCCTCGCCGTCGACACTCGTTTTGTCTTCGTTCTTCACTGATCCTCGCCATTCTCCCCTTTCTCGTGTGGACCGCAACCTTGCCCGCGCCCGGTCTCTCCGGGCGCTTTTCACTCGCTCTCCCGATTTGGTTCAACTCGTGGGAATAGATCACCTAGATCACCATGTCCAACCCGTTCCTGCACAATCCGCACCCCAGTCCTAGCGAAGAATATGATGAGCTCCCTCTCCCGACCATTCCCGTCTCTCTTACTCCCGACATTTCCAATCGTCACAGTCTCGAACGTGAACCCACGGCCGATGTCATCCAGTATGAAACCGGGCTGGAGGCGCCCGGCCTGCACACGCCCCTGCAGACGCCCGCCGAGGAACTGCCCGAGTCTGCGTTCTTCAGCCCTGCGCCGCCACCCGAATCGGAGCCACAGCCGAATCCAATCCGCTCACCGCGCGTGCGCTTTCGTTCCATCAGCCGTTCCATTAGCCAGCGATACCATGGCATCCCTACCGACTCCCATCGAATCTTCTCCGATCAGTCTGACGCCTCCCGGCATCCATTGTTGCCGCCCGTAGACCTGAACGATGTCCCGCTTTCCGGAAGCGTCACCCCACCGGCCCCCACGCATTCCCGCCACGCGGGCCTCGCGGGCGGTCGCACTCCCGAGGGCCCTGGGGAACCTCACGATGGAGTCGATCCAGAGAAGCAGCATTGGCGAGCTCCCGAGGTCGAGCGCACCGGCTCAACCATCGACCGCTTTCGAGCTGCCGGCCAGCTCCTGCGCCAGAAGACTGTGCGGCTCACAGAGCGCCTCGGTCGCCCCGTGGACGAGGGCGAGGCCCTGAACGCATCCATGTTACCCGATGATCTCGAGACTGGCATCTCCGCTGAGGAGTTGCAAGCTCGCCGTGCGCGCCGTGATGCGGATCGCCTGCGTGCCTTGGAGGCAGGCGAGGAGCCCATCGAACCCCCTCCCAGCGCCGAGGCTCATCGTCTCGTCCGCAGCATGACCCAGGCCCAGGGTCATCTGCGCAGTCGTCGTCCGCGGGGTGCCTACCAGCGCTCTGGCCAGACAACTCCCGAGGGCATGCTGAGAGAATTTGCTGCCCGTCGCCGGTCCAGCGGATTCGGCGGAGCCGGCAGCGGCATTTTGTCCCAACTGCTGAAACTTCATGCCAGCCAGACGAACAGCTCGTCGCGCGCCGGGAGTGTCATCACTGATGACTCGGACAGTGAGACGCAGGTCTCGTCTGGTGCCACGACCCCAAAGAAAGGCATGCTGACTCCTCCCATGCCTGTATCCATGCCTCCCTCGGGTTCAGCCACCCCTCGCAAGGAGAAGCTGAAATGGTATAAGAAATCGGCTCATCGGTCAACCTCATCGCTGGTCGATGCATCGATGAACCTGAGTCGTGCCAGCCTGCCTGCGGGCGCTGCGGAAGCCCTCCAGCCTCCAGGCAAGAAGCATAAGAGAAATAAACGCAGGACTCGTCTGGAAGACGAGATCCGGGTCACTGTCCACATTGCCGAGATCCTGGCTCGTCAACGATACATTATGCAGTTGTGTCGCGCCCTGATGCGGTATGGTGCTCCCACGCACCGCTTGGAGGAATATATGCAGATGACGGCCCGAGTCCTAGAGGTTTCGGGTCAGTTCCTATATCTTCCTGGCTGCATGATTATGTCTTTCGACGACCCGACAACCCGCACCGCCGAGGTCAAGCTGGTCCGTATGGTCCAGGGTGTCGACTTGGGACGTCTTGCCGACACCCACAACGTTTATAAGAACGTGGTGCACGATCTGATCGGCGTCGAGGAGGCGACCCAAGAATTGGACGAAATCATGCAACGGAAGCCACGCTTCAACAAATGGATCCTGGTACTTATGTATGGCTTTGCTAGTGCTGCAGTCGGTCCTTTTGCCTTTGAAGCGCGGCCTATTGACATGCCTATCATCTTCTTTCTTGGGTGCCTGGTCGGCTTTATGCAGCACGTTCTTGCCCCCCGCTCTATTCTCTACTCCAACGTGTTTGAAGTCACTGCGGCTGTGCTGATATCCTTCCTCGCCCGTGCATTCGGCAGCATCAGGGTCACACGGAATGGAGCCAGTGAGGAGCTCTTCTGCTTCTCGGCGATGGCTCAATCTTCCATCGCTCTTATCCTCCCCGGTTTTATGGTTCTCTGTTCCAGTTTGGAGCTGCAGTCTCACCAGATGATCGCTGGTTCGATCCGTATGGTATATGCTATTATCTACTCGCTCTTTCTCGGCTACGGCATTACGGTTGGAACGACTATCTATGGCCTTATGGACACGAATGCCACTTCGTCCACAACTTGCTCTAGTTTAAACATCTATGGCTCGGAGTACGCTCGCAAGTTCCCATTTGTGGCTATCTATGCTGTCTTCTTGGCTATCGTCAACCACGGCAAGTGGAAGCAAATGCCTGTTATGGTCTTCATTGCGGTTTCGGGCTACGTTACCAATTACTTCAGCACTACCAAGCTCGGCTCTAACTCTGAAGTTGCCAACACCGTTGGTGCCTTCACGATTGGTGTCCTCGGCAACCTTTACAGCCGTCTCTGGCACGGCCATGCTGCCACCGCTATCTTACCTGGCATCTTCGTGCTCGTTCCCTCCGGTCTTGCCTCCAGTGGAGCCCTCATCTCCGGTATCAAATATGCAGATGAAGTGCGTCAGAATATCCAGAATGGCAACAGCTCAGCTACCAGCAGTTCCTCAGATACTTCCGTGGCTAGTCTTGGCTTCGGCATGATCCAAGTTGCTATCGGTATTACTGTTGGCCTGTTCATCGCTGCTCTTGTCGTTTATCCCTACGGTAAAAGGCGCACTGGTCTGTTCAGTTTCTAAGATGGCAGCGCATCCATATTTCTCATTTATCCTTGATATTTCTTCTGCTGTCTAATATTTCGGCATATTTATATTGTACATGGGGGCTCCTGTTTTCGTTTTGAGGAGTTTTTGCTATTTCACTAGTATCTTCGTTCATTTAGCGTGCGTTCTTTGTCTACACTTTTCGAGGCCGGGCGCATGGCGCAGTATTTCCTGTTGAGCGTTATTTTTCACATTTGCATATGACATACATAGATTTAGAAGCGGCTTGCTTTGAGATTTGATAAGACATCGTGTTTCACATTTCACACCACATACAACTCACTCGACATTTTTCAATCTTTCATCCATTTCTCCCTCAAGAATTAGTCAACATCTCACACGAGTACTTCCAATAGAATGGTTTGAGTCAAGAAAAGTCATCTCTAGACAATTCAGGACTAGAACGAGCAGTTGATTCGTCAAACAATGTCCTCTTTGCTATTACAATGCCGCTGTCAAGCGGTCTATATCTACTCGCGCAGCGATAAAGACCTAAAGATCTGGAGAGTCTCAGAGACATCAGTCAAAGAATTCAAGCTCCTTGGAGAAATGCCTTCATTCGTTGTCAATTGATCGCGCTATATATCGCCGCAGCCCCGATACGAGACAGGGACTCAATCCAAAAGTCTCTGGGAGTGGCAAGCAATGCTCTAGCTTTTGTTAGTACTCTCAGTCTGCGCAATCTGTTTCTTCCTTCCTTCATCAGACTAAATTTAGAGTTCATTACAATCATTGACCTTTGTTAGCAATCATAGTCAGCTCGAATGGGTGGAAATCAGGATAGGATTGGTCGGAAATTATCAATCAATCAATCACTCTATTAACCTAATGCAGCCTAACTTGTGGCGTAATGGCTATGTAAGCGTTTCCTCCGGCGGAAACAAGAGCTAAACCAACGCCGGCTGTGCAAGATAAATGACAAATACAAAGGAAAACGGCGCTATGCCATAGAAAATGCCCGAAAATAGTCCAAAAATCAGTCCAAAATTGTCACAACCCCGTAAGTAACGCCTGCATGTAGAAGTCCTCATTCGACCAGCTCCGTATGCTGCCATATTATGTATAAGTCTTATGGTATAACCTCGGGTCAGCGGAAATCTTTTGAAATAACTGTAAGTGTGTCCAAATGGCGTCATAACCTATGCGCTCATGGGAAGACCGATTGGAGAATATGTTTCAATACGTAGAGTCCATTCTAATCCTTATGGTAGAAGAAAAGCTGTGCAAAATGAAATTAGGCTCAATGTGGATTTTCCAAACGTACTCTACATAATTCAGTACCAAATTACTGCTGGAAATCCTGTCCTCGCTGGAACAAACCGATTCAAACAATAGTATAGCAGTGCGTGTTTCACATGGCGATAGTCTCCACCAAGAGCTAGTACTACTGATTGAGGCTAAATTATAATTAACCTCCTCTCCGCTGCTGCATTGCGGACGGTTGCGATTGAGCTGGCACGATACTTTAATTTGGGGAACCTGACGACCGAGCCGGGTAGGTTGGCCGATGGTATTCTACTGGTCTTGAATTCTTTAATTCCTTCGAATTCAACGAACGATATCCGAATGGTTTCGTGTCGTGATAACCGAGTCATCATAAAATAAAGTTATTCCTATAGATTGCAAGCGGTCTATTTGGCCATCTGAATTTCATATTATAGAGTATTTTATAATCATCTAAGTGGCATGTTCTTAATATAACGGACGTGCGTTTGAAAATTGATCTTGTTCATTCAAATATCGCTGAGGAATGCTCGGCTTTTACAAGAAAAAATCATGTTGTCATGTTGAAAATACAATGCATTGAACAAAAGTCTATCTAGGTGATATCTATTTAATGTTTGAAATTCTCAGCAAACACAAACCTCACTTAAGGTTCCACTCGAGAAATACAGAAGATTAACGCCCCTGTACGCCTTATATGCTGGGATGTCTATTTCTTGAATGTTGCTGATGCCAATGCCTACTGGCGCACCAGAACGCCGCGGTACCTCATTTTTCCATTGCGAAGAGTCTGCATCGCACTCTCAATTCCTTCTTTGCTTAAAGGAAAGGTCATTGAGGTCGGGACAATGTTCTTTTCAGCGGCGAATTGCATCAACGAACGGAGGCTGCGACGCGAGGCAACGAGGGAGCCCTGGATACGGATACCCTTCAAATTCATCATGAGAAGCGGAACCGGTGATGGCGCGAAGTCGACAGTCAACGGGTAGATAGAACCATGGATGTCCATCAAGGGGAGCAAACTAGTTTCTTTGTCAATCATTGCAGTCCAAAGTGGCGCGGAATCAAAACTTACGAGGGATAATCCACATTGGCACTTCCACAAAGTAGAAGATGGTTCACCGGCTTGAAATCTGAAATTGGCTGGCCAGAACGGAACACATGATATTCAGAGGCACCGAAGTCAAATGCCTCTTGCCGCTTGGCCTCCGAGCTGGATAGAACAACGACATGGCATCCCATGGCAGCGGCTATCTTAATCGCCAAGTGACCCAGACCACCGATGCCCATTACGGCAACGCGGTCGGTAGAGCGGACACCATATTCAGACAAAATAGTCCAGACGGTTGCGCCGGCACACATCAAGGGCGCCGCATCAGCCGATTCGTATCCATCAGGAATAGGGACTACGCAGCCAGCATCCCAAACTGCACCCTCGCCGAAGGACCCCAGGTCATGGTCATGAGAACCATACTCCTTCTTTTTCTCGCAGTACTGATCCCATCCTAAGCAGAAAGTAAGAGTTAGTTTTGCCTTGCTCGGAGCAGTAGATATGCGGATTCACAGAATTACTTACCGCTCAAGCACTTGTCACAAGTTCCACACACAAAGTGAGTGTATCCGAATCCAACACGATCACCAACCTTGACATTTGTGACATCGCGTCCAATTTGACGAATGATGCCAACGCCTTCGTGGCCCAGGACCTGTCCAGAGTGTAGAAAGTGCTCGTCGGTTCCACACAGACCGGAATGCGTAGTCTCGATAAAGACTTCATTAGGTTGCAAGGTACGAGTGGTCTTATCTGGGACAATCTTTCCCTCCTCCGAGCCCCGGAAAACTTCGAATGTGACACTCATAGCTCAAAATATGGAAGGTTCGGAACGGTAATGCTTGGGAAAATTCTCAGGATCCGAGTATACTCGTTGTTTGTAGACAGTGGAGGATGGACAGAGGATCCCCTTTTAAATCCCCGCCGAGCTTTCGCGCTCTACCAGGAGATTTCTCAGCATTTTGGAACCTTGGCGTGCCGTGATCCCGAAGCTTGGTTGAAGTGGATGCCACAATCGCTGGAGACGGGGCAGATTCCCTTTTCGACATCAACGTCATTAAAGTTATTCCAGAGAATTCCATGCAATGTATATCCAATTCTAGTGCTGTCGATCATTTTGACATGGTACACAAATCAAGCCTAAGAAAATCTCCGGTTGTTCCACAGGCCGAGGCTCTCGGGTCAGATATTTCATCAACCCACCATGCCCAGTGCGCGGGAAGCCGAGAGAGCCAGTGTCGGCTGGAATTTGACAGTAAAGGCACAAGCATGTTCATTATGCTTGGTGGTTACTTTTTCTAGAGTCAATTACACATATGTATACTGCTCAGTTCGGCAAAATTGACAATGGAATGTAGCATAGATCACGATTCTACTCGAGAGGTACGACAGTTAATATTAGAGAATTCGATCGGAATATTAGCCTTGTGGATCTGGGGCGCTTGGTCAATTATACTATATTCTTTCGAACTAGTACATTCTTGACCTGTTTATCTGTAAGTGAGATGTGTACCTACGCTTGATAAAAATCCTCATTGATAAAAATCCTCAACTCGAGTATTCTATCTGTTAGTTCATTTTTTTTTTTTTTTGAAACTGGGAAACCGATGATACCAGACAGCTCCACCGACCCAGCGATTCGGCAGGCGGCAGGCAAAGATCACGGCACAATCATTGCTCCGAAACAAGGGCCTTCGGCGACTTATGAAGGAGTATAATGGTGAGTCCTCGGTGTAATGTCGGATACAGAGTTTTGAGCGAGAAAATGTCATAATTATTCGAATCCGATTTTCATTTGACCAGGATAAATAACTTTCCTGCGGTTTCTCCTTTTCATTTCAAATTCTGCGTCGGTGGCAAAAGTGGTAGCTTCTGGCCTGAGGTGTCGATGTTATTGCTTCAGGATTCTGAACTGGTTTTACTTCTGGCCTGTCTATCTTTCAGACAACTCAAAAAAATTTATGGGTAAGATCGCTATCAAAATATGCTTCTTGAACGAAATCACTGCATCCGGGGAGGTGTCGGCTTGGATGCGAAATAGATATGATTTCCTGATGCGAGGTGGTGGGACGATCGTTGCGGACCGGACCCTGAGCTGGAATACGCGGCAGCACCGGATGGGCCTATTACTGCTGCTCGGAAGTGTATTGGGTTCACGATGGTGGAGAATTAGGGACAGTGGGTCTTTAAGGGTAGTGGAGGTACTGAATCAAGAATGAGTTTGAATGGTGAGGAAGAAGACTGCTATCCAGGTGGTGAATGTAAGTAGGCCGCTGCTCAGATGAGATGACTGGCGAACTATCTAGACAATAAATACGCGGCGATGATGGTGGCATGCACCTACGTATTTTCAGTACGAAGGTTTTATTCTGCCGTTGAAATGCCCTGTTTGCGGGGATCCTAATATCTTCCTCTCTGGCATTCAACATGTAGCGAGATTAGAAAATGTACCCAAGGTCGTTTGCGCCTATATTTTCTCTACGTTGAGAAACTTGGTTAGATGGAGCTGAAGATATGCCCATATAAAATATATGCGACATGAGACATCCTTCTTTTTAATCTTTATCCGACATAACTTTTGTGTGATGGGCTATTCCAAAGCTCTTTTCATGCATGACAGGAGTGCTTGGGGATTAAAATTTGTTAATCCTCAGATGGTTTAACATCATACTCTACGTCGGTTCTGATAATATATTTTGCACCTTTCCTAACTCCGGTCCCTTCATGCAGTAGGGCTCCATTCGACTCACCATGCGGGAATATTGCGACGGCTCCCATCACAGGTCGTACCGGGTATGCATTGAGAGTGCCCTCTCGCGCGGCCGGCATGAAGAAAGTGGTCTCTCCGCCCTCAAATTCATCGTTGAGATATAATAAGAAGGTGTACATAGAACTCTGCTTTTGCCCTTCCGGAGAGGAGTCATAAACATAAGTGTCATCAGGCAGGATACCGGATGGAGGCCAGGCTCCATCAATATGACACCGGTATTCGGCACCGGGAACGTATCTGTACACTCGGAAGCGCCGATTGATGCCTCGCACAAGACGACCATTGATTGAAGGTGGTACATATGGCGAAATTCGCGCCCAAAGAATGTCGTGAAAAGTGGTATCGACAATCCAGTAAAAGTTGTGGGCTAGGATACTCATGTCGCCGTCTTCGCGTAAAGGTGCGTCGGGGAGAAAGTTGACTGATTCACCGGCTGCAATGATTGCTTTGCACTCCGCTTCAGACAGGACATTCAAGGCAAGTCCAAGGCCTGGGACAGCGGGGTGTGGATGATATTTAATAGACGGGCCCACCGGGGCTAATGGGACGGCATTTGGAGACGTTGTGTATAGAATGGCAGGATGATGATTCGGAGGTTTACGGAGAGGGCCGGGAGTTGTTTCAATGACACGGATCGCGGAGGGAGATGTAGGCGCATCGGACAATATTGATTTATCGAGGACAGAGGCATAAACCGGTAGCGGTGCCGTCGAGGGACGAAGGTCCCAGATGGATTGAAAAGCGATAGGGGAGGTGGAGTCGACGGCATTCGGACTGGTATCGATTGGTGTACTGACGCGCAAGATGGCATCAAGAACACCAAGGAGTTCTAAATCCTTAGTGCTCCGCTTGAGAGACACATGGTCAAGTCCAGGCTGTGTCGAAAGGCCGCTGACGACATCTAAATCTCGCACCCAGCGACACAAAGCTCCGATCTTGGGTTGTTCCCGTCTAATTCTCATCTCAGCCAGCAGAATCCTGGCTTCAAGATACTTTTCGTCGGCTAGAGCGCCCGTTATGCGCGCTGTCAGGTTGGCGCCATCTAGCAAAATATTAGTTAGACCCTTTCGGTTTCGGTTGGAATCATCATCGGCGTACCTGAGGAATTGACGCCAGTGGTGCAGGCCTGACGAAAGTCATAAACTGCGATACGAAGGTCCTTGCAGGCTTTCGACTTGGTGAGATTGGGATACTGAGCGAGGGTCTGCAGGGTATCGACGGTAATGTCAAGTTCCTCATCCGAAATGACTGTCTGGAGTTGCTTGGGCTCCAGAGTTGTACCGTCAGGAGGCGGCGTTAGTGTAGACTCGGCTTTTGGAGCCTTTTGTGGGAGGTCAACCTGCGCATTGCGCTTACGCTTGGCGGATTTAGACTTGGCCATCGTAACTTGAGATCCTATGATAATGGATTGCCTCAATAAGAATTTACAAGCGGGGACTCTGGGATTTTGGCCTTCGCACTAGATTGGTCGGCAAATTGATCTTCCGAGACGGCAGAACAACACCGCTCGATTACACCGCCTGCCTGTATTAAAGCTATTAGTATGTAAGTTTTTGATTTTTCTCTGATGATATTAGAATACGCTGAAGGGGTCCGGGAACTAGGACTATTTGCTATTGGATAGATATGTATATTTATGAAAAACTGAATCTATATCAAAAAATTTGAGACTTGCTCTTGTCATGGTGAGGATCAAAATGGAGTAACAATGCATATATTGCTCTTTGATTTTTTATTAGGCAGGATGGAAAGAAAGACAGAGCAGGTGTAAACTATTCCATGTTAAATGACACAAGGGCTGACAGCATCAATATATCTATCTCAAAATGTGACATGCTTCAATTTTTCTGCATCGCTGGGTTCCCAAGGATTTTCTTTCTCCACAGACAAGATCAATGCCTCCTGAATGGGACCTCGGACCTCTATGTCGCATGTGAAAGGGGCAGGGTGGCTGATAACACCAGGCTCGAATATGGGAGAGTCCATGATCTTGATTCCTTTCTGAGTAGCGTTACTAATATTGAAAACCGCGAGTGATTGCGCTACGCTGAGGTATACGGTGTTGTCAGCCAGAAACCGACCAGGACACACACGACGTCCAAAGCCGAAGGCAATCGAATGCGGGTCCATTTCAGGATCTCGTCCGTCAATGTTCAGGAAGCGTTCGGGTTTAAAAGTCATGGGGTCATGATAAATTTCTGGATCATGCGTCATGGCCCTGGACTCAAGTTAGTTGCCAAGTGCAAGAACTAGTCGACATTCCTCACTTACCAAACATTTGCTAAGATCAAAGACCCCTTGGGAATGAAATATTTGCCATATGTATCATCCTCAGTTGACAAGTGCGGAATTGCCATTGGCGCTACCGGATGCCAACGGAGTACCTCTTTTACTACGGCATCAATATAGGGCAATTTGGCACGATCAGCCATTTTTGGAAGCCGCCCAGGCCCCAAAACGTCATCGATTTCTTTCTGGGCCTTGCGCTGAATATCTGGGAACAAGGCCATTGCGAGGAAAAAGCACTCCATTGAGGAAACAGTCTAGAAGTTCATGATTAATTTGCAAGGCAAATATGTAGATGGATGGATGGATGGATCTCACTGTATCTGCACCGCCGGTATATAAGGATGCGGCGGTCCATTTTGCAATTGTCTCTTTCTCTGACCCTGCTTGAGGATACCCACTAGTATCGAATATTTTGGAAAGATACGATGGTTTATGAGTGCCGTTTTTCATCTGCTCTTTGACAAACGCATACGGCCTATCCGCAATTCCTTTCAGTTGTTCTCGCCACTCTTTTGCAGTCTGCTTGAAGCCAGCACCTGGAAACCACGAAGGCAAATATTTCACTGTATTCATTAGACACAACAGTGGATGTTTCGGAATGATTGCTCAGAGCTTACGTGCTGGTATGATGTCCACCATCCAAGCACCTGGGGTTGCTGCTTTGGCGAATTGGTCCAGTACGACATTTGTTATGTGGACCAGGTGATCTCTTTCGAATGGTTCAATCGTATAACCATATGCAATGTTGAGGATAACTGCACCCGCTTCACTGTTTTCATTTCATTATATCAGTAAAGTTCGCATGGCCCTATGATTCGAATGTCCCGGGCGCTTACGTTTGGATGTGCTGCGCAAGATTCGTTGGGTCTCGAAGCACTCTTAATAAGAAGCGATGTACTTCTACCTCTTGTAAAGTGTTGAATTGCGATACTGCAGCCTCTGATCCAAAGGAAGGCTGCACTGCTTTACGATAGGCACGGAACTTTTCAGTGTAGCCTTGAAAAGCCAAACCGTTCTCCCATCCTACCCTAATTTGGCATTCAGATAAATTTCCATTTTCATCGATGGGACGGAGGAGGAACTAACATTTCTGATGCAAATACCATGTGTGGGCGTGAAGAGTAAATTGCAGAGCGCTTATTCAACAAATCCTTTGCTATATCTGTATCATTTATAATGATAATAGTCTGGCCCATGACATTGACAGAGCTAATTGGTCCTGATTTTCTTCAAAGTCATTGACTGCAAAGTATCATATACTCTTCCACTATGAATGGAATTGACAGCTGCCTATGACTGAACTTACCATATAGATTTTTATATTTCATCCAATGGACCCAGTCTTGGGTTCCCTTTGGAGGAAGATCTGTTATATTACCAAGTATTGGTTTGGGTGACGGCCCAGGTGGCAGTGAGCCGGAACCCTTTTTGCGCAAGAATTTATTGTTGACGACATAAAGGGCAAAAATGGTCAGACTCAGTCCTATTATCCAGGTGAAAGACATGACGATATTATAAAAAAGAAAAGTCGTGAAAAATCCTGATGGAATTTTCCCTAGGGAAATTTCTTGACCGGCGGGACTACGAAGTTTTATCTCCAAAATGGTTCGCAATGGTATTAGCTAAGATGCAATTGATATATCCTGAGCCCCCTTTGGCTAACACGATATTTCTCCGCTGTGATACAGGAGCCCCGCTCGTGATTCACCCAATCCCGAGACTCACGGTGAGGCTGACATGTTCAGCTTTATCCTATTCTGTCACGTTCACTCGGGTGTAAAATTGAAAAAGGCTAGTATTTATCACTAGCTCAATACTGGCCCGTCTCTGCTAAGGCTGTGCAGACTCCCTGCATATTTAGCTTCGGTCCTCTTCTCAGCAACAGTATATTTGGAAGTTCCAGCATGTCTTGAGAAAGCAGGGTTCCAAACTTAAAATCAATTGGAAACACAAGGTTCCGTCCGCTTGGTAGGATGAAAATACCAGACTGGCAATAAAATCCGTTAAATATCTGCACTGAAACTGGGCGCAGGACGGAATCACAGACCGCTCTGAGTTTGCTTACGGTAGTTTTTTTTAGGTGCAGGTGTCTCCCCACAAAAAGGTTGTTGGAGGTGGTTTTGGCGCTAAATTTAGGCGAGTTTCGAGACTCCGGCGCAAGTTTATCGACTGAGAACAGCGCACACAGGTCATTGGTCTTAACTCAGAATAAGCAGAACCAAACATCAATTATCGAGCAAATCACATGCTTTCCATTCGTGAGCTGAATTCCTTCCCAGCCTTTTTACGCATTTTCGTGCGCTTGAGACTTTTCTCTTCATTCTCAACCACGATAGTGGCCGTCTCCACTTCTCACCCATTCCTCGTCAGTGGAAAGGGAAGACTAGCCGCATCCATAGATAACTCACGCAGTAACGATATTTACAGCAGAGAATCGAGCTTTCTTGTAATGAATGCCTGTCAGCACGGAGTTGAATTTTCTCTGCCTTCAACTAACTCTAGTCTACTTGGCTTCAGTAGAATGATGCGTACGAATTTGCTTAAAAGGCAAAATGGCTTCAATGATCTTGAACCTTATTCGGAATGTATTTTATCAAAGTCTAGGCCGTATTTGAACCTTCAAATTCCAATCGACCTGTATCAAGATCCGCCTCAAGTGAATTCACAAATGATGGTCTGAATGCAATCTTATGCCCAACGTAGAGTGCAACAAACAGAATGAGGCTAAGATAATTAATGAAGAAATTTGTTACACTAAAGTGTGGCACAAAGGCAGTAAACCCTTGAGTAATAATTATCAAGACGTTGAAAAACAAGCCATACCATGAAAAATAAGGTTGCCACGTGGCTTTATAAAGCAAGGTGTCACGAGAAATGCAACGGGCCTTCAGAGCCTTCATGAAGGCCAGATGAATAATATTAAGAGATGTCCAGGTAATAAAGCCTGCAAGGCCGGCGATTTGAAGGAGCCAGTTGAAAACAGTGCTCCCAGCATTTGACACATTCAGGAATCCCAGAAGGCCGAAAAGTGCTGTAAATAGGACACTCCAATGAGGGACACCATATTTGGATGTCCTCACAAAGAGCTTAGGGGCAAATCCTTCATAGGCAAGGCCTGTCAGAATACGGCTGCCACTATACACATTCGAGTTTGCTGCAGAAAGCACAACCGTCAATAGTACAGCATTAATGATGCTAGGTAGCACATTAACTCCGGCGCGCTTGGCAGCAATCACAAAAGGCGATGCATTTGCGTTGTTAGCACTTGCACCACTACCTTCGCTAGCAGTAAGGCGCGTGTCGTTAGACGGAATAACAATTCCAATGAAGAAGATCGTCAAAATGAAGAAGAAAACAATTCGAAAAAAAGACTTTCGAATTGCAGAGGGGATGTTCTTCCCTGGGTTTTCTGTTTCGCCAGCAGCGATGCCAACAAGTTCAGTTCCCTGATATGAAAATCCTGCTTTAATAAGAACCGCCCAGAACCCCAGAAACTTGGCTAAGGAATCGTCGTTCTTAATCAGATAAATATTGAATGGACCAGGATCCACCCAGTATCTAAATCCAATATAGCCTTCTTTGCCAACTCCTGCGTTCATGCAAATAGCAAAGATCATAAATCCAATCACAGTAAGCACCTTGATGCTTGACAGCCAAAATTCTGCTTCTCCGTAAAAGCTTACGGGCAGCATATTCAGGGCAATAATTACTACCCAGAAAATAGCAATAAATATAGCGATTGGGATGGTGTCATTCCAGAATTGAATAATCAGGCCGGTAGCTGTTAATTCAAGTGCAAATGTCGACGCCCAGGAAAACCAGTATATCCAGCCCATTGCGAAACCGAGACTGGGATCTACCAATCGTGTGGCATATGATGCAAATGCTCCAGAGATTGGAAGGTATGTTGCGACCTCCCCTAAGGCTGTCATGACTGAATATACAATCGAACCGACAAAGATATAGGCAATGAGAGCACCAACAGGCCCGGCGTAGGCAATCGCACTGCCGCTACCAATAAAAAGACCAGTTCCTATTGTGCCACCTTTTGAGAGATAATGATAATAAGTTAGTGATTTCTCAACTTTTATACTGTCGATTGAATCCCCTACCGATAGCGATCATCTGCAGGTGACGACTTTTTAGCCTGCGCTGCAAGACTGGCAATTGATTGAGTTCTCCATTGGAATGCTTTTCTTCACCCTCGATACCGTGCCCATGGCCATGAAAGTCTCTATTGTCTTGCACTATGCAGTCTTTCATATGATTTTTCTTCTCATCCGTATGATTTTGCGTGCTGATGACTTCGTTGTTAGTCATCATATTCACAGAACAAGATAGCCTAGAAACGAAACAAAGAAGGGCAGAGTAGGAAAAAATATCGCCGTTTTAAGGATTTTATGCATTCCAAAACCATGGTCATTTCCCCAGGGTAATCACTCTTTCGTGGGGGTTGATGGTCTCCGCAATCGCCGGCCCGGTACTGCCCCGCGTTACGGCCCCCGGATCCACACAAAGCCCGAGAAGAGCAAATCTACGCGATGGTTTTTGTGGACCTTTTTGTGGCCAGTCCTAAAACAAGGTTGAGAACCTCCCCCCTTTTGTTGTTGAGCGGAGAATACTGAAGACAAAATCGAACCTTGATAAGTGCTCTGATGACGAAGCAGGCATATACCCGGGCCGGTATCAGCATCCCGCACATCACAAGTGGATCCCATTATACAACAGAAACTTATTTGATTGCGGGGTAATGGGGGACCATAGAGGTCAGTTGAGAGGTCTGGTGGACAATTAGCTCTATTATTCACAGTGTTGTAAATATCTGGACTTTGGGACTTTGGGTGGACATGAGCAGTGGACAGCTCGTCAGGGGCGTTTCCAGTCTTCCCCTGGAGCGTCCGTAATTGATTATCAAAGAACCAGTAAAGCAATAAAAATTGGTTATTTGTTCATCTGTTTCGAAAGAAGACTGAGAATTCTTGTCTGTGGTGCCGATAAGACGCAGTTGAGTATCGAAATCTTTCGTCGAACCATTGAGTGAACTTTATTGTTCACTCTGAATAACATAACTGGTTTCGAGCATATCATGGAGTTATCCGGTATTGATCTTGAGTGACACAGCATGAGTTTTTAAACCTCTAGAATCTAGTAGCATTATGGAGAATAAGATCGGAGATGTAAAAGGTCTTCTACGAGCGCATACAGATCCTCTATCTTCCGTATCTTCTCTTACCTCACCACCGCCGCCACCGCTATGTATTGCTACTCGTATTATTCTTATTATGCCATCTCATATTAATGGTCGGTGAATTGAACGCTCTTGGATGACAGAATATTACAGAATATTACAGAATATCGGGGTGATTCTATGAGTTGAAAACTTTTGCTGTGTCACTGTAACTGCCGGTTGACGTAGAGGCGAAAAATCAGTAAAGAGAAGGAAGGTACCGATATACATGTGATTTGGAAGATTCTTCTGTTATCCAGAGACGCTATTTAGTTGGGTAGGTCACCGCTTATAGTCATATCTGATATTATCCCCAAGTATCGCTGTCAACATGGTTCGGCTCTTGGCTCTCGCCGCATTCGCGTTCCCTAGAGAGTTAGAAATTTTTACAGCTCAGCAATACTCTGAGATGCTAATCTTACACGTGAGTTTCAAAAGGTCGATTTAGTTCCATGGTAGGTGAAAGTGTACTGATGCCGAGATGAGGATGGTTCGAGAGCAAATGGGAAAGGTTTAAGTTAACCACCCAAAGTTTCCCTGCCGTCCCGCGACCCGATTTGACCGAGGCAGAAAGTGGAAACCACCATGATGACGAGAAATTACAATTTCATTGTGAATTACATGTCGCTCTAATTATTCTTTAATTTCAATGGTCCACTAGAGATATCCACAACTTTTCTAAGCCTCAAAGGGCAAATTCGAGTTCGAATTTCAATAGAATGGTTCCCGGACTGCGGTTTTCCTTGTTCAGCCTTTTTATCCATCCATCATATACGCAGTAAAATTGGAAAGGTCTAACCTGTGTTTGTGAAATTATTTAATTTTCGACTTCAAATGAAATGAGAAACCATCTCCAAAGGAGAATATCAAACAGACGAGGTTAGTGATTCTTCTATGATCTTTGAAAAACCATTAATTTCTTTAACACAGTGTTGCACTCTTCTTTCTGGTTGTTTATGATGTGCTTGGTAGGATTAGGAGCCTACCCTGTACATGCGCACCCCACAACTACCTCTAAAAAACTTGCTGTCAACATGACTACGGGCCCTGAGAGTAACGAGAATAGTATATCCTTGCCGAACCAGATAAAGTCTACAGATGATGATTCTTGTGATACGAAAGTCGATTGCGACTTTGGTCATGTTTGCATAGATGGTCTATGTCAAAGAGGATGCGATCACCACAAAGATTGCAATTATTCCCAGTATTGCGGATCAACCGGACGATGTTTTTTCAAGTCTCCTTTCTTTGGCCGCGATAAGGAGTGCTACGGGAATCTTGAAAACTGTTTATTTCATCTGCAATGCTGTTCAGGTATTTGCGAGGCTGCTCACGGCCGTAGAGGGTGGCCTACTTGCCGTAAGCGAAATTTTGACAAGAGTGAAGAGGCAAATGTCAAAACATAGCTTTACATGGGCAACCAGATTAACCTCTTATCATTGCGCGATCCGCTACCAGTCAAAAAAGGGCAAAATAGCAGCAAGGACTTCATATCGCTATATCGAGATGGCAGTGAGATTTGATAGCTCGAATATTTCCTTTATGCTTAAATTAATACAAGAGTCACAACTTCTATCTAGATGCGAGATCCAAGAGTTAGGTTGATGTCCAGCCCCATCTCTCGAAACGAAATACAGGAGTCTCTCAAGCTTCTTCTTTTTCTGTTTTCGAAGAGTGCCATCAATGCTGCATAGCGGCAGCAAACCTTTCCCACATTAAACAGCGGTCTAGCTGTACTTGTGGAACAACCTCCATGGCCGATGAATTGGTCTGTAGCTTCAGCCGTTGACCTGTCCCTATCCCCCAAGATTCCCAAAAGGGGGCTCTTGGCAAGCGGAGAGTATTTGGGTTGAGTTCTTTAACAAAACTCAAGTAATAATTCATCGTAACCGGAACAATATTTGCATTGGTGGTCGCGAATGAATAATCAGGCAGGTTAGTCTCGCCTAGTCCAAAAATTGAGGGTAACTCGAAGACGTGGGGTACGCCCATGCCACTTGAGGCTTCGGTTGGATCAAGAACATTGAATCGGTAATTCCAAACATTGTCGGGGGAGTAATACTTCGACATACTTGCTGCCATCATATTCCCGGGGCAGGTGAACGTTGCTTCGCCGTAGGCTTTGGATGCGGAGGGGAAGTAAGCTTCGTGCTTAGGGAGGGAAATCTCCTTCGGGTATGCCTCTTGAATGGCACTAAGCTGCTCATCGCTTAACCTCGGATAATTATTCTTAATGAACTGAGCCATTTCTGCGGGATTGATGGCGTTGTAGCCAAATGGCGTTCCTTCGTTTGTGTCGTCTGTAACCATGAGAGGAACATGGATAAATTTACCTTGCTGGAAGAGACTATATAGACGGTCTGGGACAAGATCTCCATCCACCACGGGAAGAAAGTACCATAGCGGAACAGGAGAGTCGCTTCCACCAGGGAAAGGTTTTTTAACGTTATGTTTCTGGATCATCGTAATATCGAGAGATCTGAGGCATGACAATGGATCAGCAGAAACATCACAGCCAGTAACTTCAAGGAAATTCTGGTACTGGAATGCCATTTCTGCCACGCTTCGCTGTGTTGGCCAGAAAACAGACTCGGCCACTGCTCCGACAAACAGATTTAGATCTCGACCGCCATACGCGGTGAGGTGGTGGGCAACGGACCCGGCGCCTGCTGAATCTCCGTGCAAGACGACGTGGTCAGGATTCCCGCCAAAGTCCCGAATATGCGTCTGAATCCAGCTGAGGACTTTGCGCTGGTCCAGCAGGCCAGCATTGAGGTCGCCGTTTTCCTGCATCTCCTTGCTAGCCAGAAATCCCAATACACCGACTCGGTAGTTGAAGTTAACGAACACAATATCGTGTCCAGATTCCTCTACAACTGTACTGCCGTTATAGTTCGCATTTGAGTTGCGGGAATACCCACCCCCTTGAATGAACAGCCACACGGGAAGATTGGAGTTGATTGATGCATTCGCGGGTTTCCAGACATTGACGAAAAGACAGTCCTCAGCACGAGTGGCACTAACAGATTGTCCTACGCCGACACAGATAGGTCCGAACTATACATTGCGAAGATTGTTAGCATTATGATCTTGAAGCTGCTCATTTTGGGCACAATTGAAGGTTTTATCTTGACCAGAATTTCGTTGCAATTGCTCGTCTTACCTCTGTCGCATGCTGTAGCTCATTGAAAACGTCTGGATCTTGTGGTGCACGAAATCGCAAGTTCCCCGTTGGTGCCTTCGCAAATCGCATCCCTAGATACTGGTCTACTCCATTAGTCAATGAGACTCCTTGATATGTGGCATAGTCCAAGCTGATCGTTGGTGATTCTTGTGATGCGGTGACGGAAGAAACGGTCGGCATTCCCGAAGACAGGTTAATGAACAAGGCGACCATGAGTCCCAAGGAGAGAATTATGGAGATGATGTAACTGAGGACGTTAGCATAACCTGTTATTACACTCTCGGGAAGGAAAGATCCAGATAAGCGGCATCTCTGATCTGGCTTTCCTAGTTAAAATGCGCGAATCCCCGGGAAACAACATCGCGTCCGCCACAGACAATTGTTTAATGACAGGGAAGAGTCATGTCAAAGACGACGCCTCAAGCATCCTACTCACATCATCGTCGACCGCGTGTCCCCATATTTGACCTTCTTGCCCGTGAATTCCCTCCACTCCCAGGTATCCTCGCCAAACCCAGCTTGTCCGAATCTCGTCTCCTTCCAATCCTCTGCGGAGGGATATAGCGAGGTATCGAAGAGAAGTCGCAAAGCGTACTTAGTCTTGTTTGGGTCTTGTTCGGGATTGTTGCGGTAAAACGGTGCTGGAAAGATGCCCTTTTCGAGACGGATCGTAAAAGTCTTGGGGCAAAACGCGGTATCCCGCAGGCGATGCTCGTTGAGCGGACCAGGGCGCTTAGTGAGGGTTATTTCGAGCTTCAAATGTGCTAGGTCTTGGGTCCCTCCAAGCCAACGTTCTGATTTATCCACTTCTACATGAAGATCGGTTGGGTCCAGGGGTTTCCAGTCAAATTCGAAGGCAATAAACACTGGCTGGTCCCGTCGCAGACATATCTGCAAACTATTTAGAATTTCGCGCAATATCCCAACGCCCTGAGTCTCTTCGAAACATACGTTACCCGTGCCATCTTCCCGAAACTCAAGGATGTTGTTGTCACAATCGGGAGTCCAACAACACGAGGTGAGAATTTCCAAGATTGTTCTGCCTGCACTATCTCCAGCCATGTTTCGGCGCGGATTGGCTCACATAATAATATAATGCCATGAAGCAATCTTGTGCTCGATCGGAGGAGGGCGAACCGAGCTCAGAAGGTAGGATGAAGGTAGGATACGTTGGCGATCGGCTGCCAGGGAGGTGAAGGCGGCAGTGCCTAAGTGGAGCCAATTGGTATGTTGGCAAAAACATCGCATTTGTTTGGCCCGTTTAGGCCCCCAATGGAAATCATCCCTTCGAAGCTGACTTGTAAATCAAATAAAACCTCGGTACCTTCACCACCAAGGAGAAAATACATCCCTTCAACACTATCCCCTGCGTACTTACGGGCAGTGACTGAAGACGACGGTCTGATGACAAAAGGGTTCACGATGCGCATGATAGCAGAGTTCCGATCATGTTTCCGACCCAATCTGACCTGTTTGATAAGTCTTGATATGTTGGAGTTGCAAGATCTAGCGGTGGTTGTACATTTCGGAGTATCATGACCCAGGCGTGTTCATTGACTGATGAACCCGAGCTAAAGGCTCGCTCGCGGCCATGAAAGCAAGTAAAGCTCGGTTTCAAATTCCAGACACGACAAGATGACCGATACAGGTTACATTTCATTCACTATATTTTTTCAACTACTAATTCTGGGATGCTTTGGAAGGTGAGTCGAGAGATTACTAGTAAAGGTTGAAATGCAGAGAGCACCCGGCCAAATCCTAGTATCTAAAACTTCAGGTGATATACACAGGACATTCTCTGATTTGATTACAAAAATCAAACAGGGTATCGAAAGCCCTGTGCCATACATGTATAGAGACCTAATACAAAAGGCTTGTATTTTCAAAGACCCTCGAGGATCTTAGGGATCAGACCCTCATCGAATTTCCACAGCTGAGTTTGGAAATTTGCGGAAAAGGCACCACCCGTAAACCATGTGGAACGTGCACCTTGCAGCTTGTACAAGTCCTGGAAAAATCCACTCTTAATATCTTCGACAGAGACGCGAGCATGCATGGGACCATGAGTGGAAAAGGCGGCCCAACTGAGCTTCTGATCTTGAGTGGATCCGGACAAAAGACCGGCTTCTAGCAACTTACTGAAGCTTTCCTGTGCCAGAACCTTGGATTCCACAGCATTCGTAGTCTTATTACCAATGATCATCACGCGGAAAAGGTGATCAAGACCGGTGTATTGAAAGCTTGCTACCATTGGCTCATCTTGGAATACAAGAAGATTATCGGGAGCGGCAGCAGATGGTAGATTATAGTAATAATAACTCGTGTTGAAGACGGCGTTATTAACCAGACCAGTAAATTCATTTGAGTAGGTGAACTTGGACAGAGTGTCCCATTCAGAACTGCTGAGATCCAAAGGCTTCATGTTCGCCTGAGTTGGCTCAATGGCAACTAGGAGCCGGCGAGCGACAATTAGTGTGACTTTCTGGGTCTTGTGATTGCGCACAGTGAGAAAAACACCGAATTCGGTGCGGCGGCTGTCAATCACAGTGCTCGAGTACAGCACATCATCACCCAGGTCATTAGCAATGGCGTCATAGAGGACTTGGTTGCCCCCAGATGCAGGGGTAAAAAGACCCATTTCACCGAGCATTGCGCGCGACATGTCCCAGCCGAACGACTGCAAGACAAACATCGTGGTGACTTCGCTTATGTTTCCTACTCCAAGACCGGTAGATGCATAGATCAGAGGCGTGCTATCCTCAAGACCATGCTTGGTCAAAAATTGGCCAAAGGGAATAAGAAGATCTTCAGGAATATCTTTTGGTTCGGGAAAATTCCAATATCCAGGGCTTAACATTGATTCCCATGGCTTGATAACCTCGAAAAACTTGGCGATTGCAGCAAATTGCTTCGTGAACGCCGGGGCTGTAAAGTCAACCGCCTCACCGGTGTTGAAATCAATGTACTTCGTAGTCGAAGAAACGCTACTGGAATTGGTGCTAATTGGGATATTGAACCGAGCGAAAAATTCTGTAGATCCGCTCACGTTGAGGAAGCTCTGGACACCATAGTCAAAAGTGGCGCCAGTGTTCTCATCGACATAGGTATCGACCATACCACCCTACACATGGAAATTCAATTAGTCCCTGCTCTAACCACAGCTCGGGTCGGAAGTTGGAAGTTCAACTACAGGCTTCCGAAACAAGCTTTTTGGACCTACCAGAATACTCTGCTTTTCAATTAAGGCGATGCTCTTGTCAAAGTCATCACGTAGGCGGACGGCTGCATAAGCACCTGAGGCACCCCCGCCGATGATCGCGACATCTCGATAAATGATATTTGGTAGACTATTTGCAGACGCCAGCAACAACGTAGCCCCCAGAGTGAGAAAAGTAGGCAATATTGAAAGCATTATTGGTGGAGAAAATGCAGAAAAGATAAAGAAAACGGATGAGTGATTGGGAGTGAACGGGCTTCTGCTTCGACCTGCCGAGAAACGAGAGAAAAAAAATCCCCACCTCATACAGTGCTTAAAGTAATCCGATATCACCCCTATTCATTGCATGGCATCGGCAGATTCTCCATAAAGGAACCCGATGGCAGTGGTGCATTCTTGGCTTTGAGCGATTCTAGTTGCATGAAGAGCTCGGCAGGGTCCGAATTCGCACGCGAAGTACTATTATCCGGTGGGGAAAGGGGACGGAAACGATCCTCCAGTTGTACTGAGAAGGGTTTCTGACGACAGGGATTCGGAATACAGACTCAGCCGAAATGAGAATAAGACGCCGGTTCGGTCAGATTGGTGGACTTAAGAGAATCTTGTGAAGCGCTATTCAGTCTAAAGTGGCGCACGGCTGTCTTCCTAATTCTAGACCCCCATCTCGTTGACACAAATACAGAAGATATTTAAGATCTTTTCAAATTTACCCAAATAAATATAAAAAAATTTTCTTTCATTTTGGTTATTACGACTACTTTGGTGCGGACCTTCAGCTAATCGTGAACATAATATTACAATCCTAACACCACCCAAGTAATTAATATAACACTGAGACATGCGCTAATACCCTTTAATTAGCCTCGTTTGATGTGAAAATGCAATAGAAGGAAGGGACCAATATGCTTGTCTGTAAGACCATCTCCTGGCAGCGAACTAGCGAGTCGGCCGTTGACACAAGACGGGATGTGGTTGTCCAATGAGACCATAGTTTCCAGCCTGTAAGGAGCGTCGCGCGTCTTTATAGTTTTCCATGCGGGGTACTTCATACTCCGACTATGATCTAGTAAAATATCCCTGGGCCCCCCAGCCCCGTGGCGACGTTGTGTTCACAGTGCTACGCAATACAAAGCTTGAGAATTTTCCAGTTGCATGAGACTCAATCCACTGAATCAGAGACCACTCCATCTATGCGGGTCTCATTTTGAGCTAATGTTCGTACTTCACGCCTTCCGAAATATCTAGGTTTGGCTAATATTATTCGGCAATTTCTAGGGGAAGGAGGCGGCGGCAGATTAGAATGACTAAGCCTATCATTTAGCCCCAAATGAAGGCCTCGCACGGTTCTAGACGGCATTTAGTCCGTACATAGCACCAAGTCATCTTAGCTAAGGAGCAGGTAACTGACGGCTTGGGGTAAAAAAATTCAAAAAAATCTCAACCCGTGCCAAGCAAAACGCAGCTAATACTGCAGGGGCATGTGCATCCACGGGGCTTCATGGCTTGTGAAAATTTTTGTAGTCAATCCTTCTCATTCTGCCCCCCTAGTGTGGTCTTTCGATGCGAACACATCAATTACCCAAGACTCGATACTTTCTTCCAGTTTAGACAAAAAGGGTTTTCCCCACGATCACGCTTATCGAATCCTTCCTCTGATCATGACGATCTTTCCGGTCATTAGTTGATCTATATGCACTCAAAATCTTGGGATCATCTGGTTTCTGGCAATTTTCTGGCAGGCACTCTTTTTCGACGAATCTATAGCCTTGTCCGTCTCATTAGGCAACAATGGCTTTGAATGTTGAGTCAACGAGGAATACAGGCTCGAAATCTGTATCAGAAAATCACCTTCCACAAATTCTAGCAGTGCAGAGTATTTTGACTTTCCTGGCAATTATGGCCATGAGCCTGCGCCTCTACGTCCGAATTAAGCTGATCAAGAGCACTGGTGCTGATGACTGGGCCATGCTGGTTGCAGCGGTATGTCTCTTTTTTCATCTGATTGGGCTCATCCAGTTTGCAGGAGGTGTATATTCCGAACAAGGATAGCTCGAAAAATCATGTTTGAATGACTGATTTGGATCATGAAACTAATGCCAAAAATTACAGTTGTGCGCTTTGGCTGGATGGATTCTTTGGGTCTTTGAAGGTGTTTACGGACTAGGCCATCGTGATGCATGGTTTAGTGAAGGGAACGGCAATGAAATTAAAATCTCACAGGGTTCTTTCTGGCAGATCATTATTGACTCGGCTTTGGGAATAGCCATGCTTAAGTTTTCAATTGCCCTAAATCTCTTGAGATTGAGTCCTGCTCGATGGTATATCTATTGCCTCTGGATTAGCATGGGTAAGTTGGAGTTAAACGAATGAAGAACATGTGTCGATTGAAGTTTACTGACAAACATGTTTTTCTGTAGGGATTGTGGCTGCTTATTGCTTTATGGGTGCTATGGTGGTTTTCCTCTATTGCAAGCCAATGTCGGCATATTAGACTCATGCCGAGGGTTCTCACTGCTACTCAATAGGTCTTTTCGTTATCTTTGGACTCGTCAATACTTGTAAGGTCCTCTAGTGTGTTTGCAACTACCGATTTATGGAACTAACAGTGGCTAATGTTCTCTTTAAAGCATTCAACATTTTCACTGATGTTCTGTTCGCAACCATCCCCATTCCAATTATCTGGACTCTCAAGATGCAACGCAGAGTGCGCCTTTACCTGATTGGTATACTAAGTCTGGGCTATGTGTCTGTATTTCCTGCCTCAGATGATACTGCAAGACTTCTCAATAGAAAGATCTGATTTCTAACCTTTAATTGGTGATAGTGCTGTCATTTTTGGGATCATCAAAGCCATATATCAGATCGCATTTCCTTCGACTAAAGATGGGTACCTGTATGTTCAATTTCCAAAACTGAGATCCATTCTCGCAGTCTAACATGACCTCTGCAATTAGGGATGACTCGATTCTATTTTAGGCAACGTAAGACTTTTCCTATCATTCCTTCTCGTTGCAGTACGGATTAGTCTATGAATCTAATCAATTCTTAAATCCAGTACCCAATTTAATACTGGAATCATAGCTGCTTGCATTCCCTCCCTCAAGCCCCTGGTGAGCAGGGCACTTAAACTTTCCGAGCATTCGAATTCCCACTCCCGGAGTCGCAGTGTCTACGGCAGTCGCTCACGATCTCGCCACGCTACAACGGGCACTAGAGGGAGTATACGCACAATGGGAGGCGGTGGAAACAACCACATGTGGGCCATCCACCGGGGGGATCAGTATGCGCTCCAAGAACTAGGAAGTCGAGATTCTGGTGATCGGTCGGATGAGATTCATTTGAATACAGATTACCGCGCGACAGCAGCATATACCAATGAATGGTCTAGCACGGGTGGCACGAGGACGGCAGGAATAGAGTCCCATTCAAAGCATGGGATCATCAAAACAACAGAGGTTATTATAGAATAATAAATGGCTGCTACACTACTTCAATGCCTTGAATGACTTTTGCTCACTGCTTTTCTCTGTCCAGCTGCTCATGATCATGTCGAGTAGTGACGTATCTCAATAGCGAGCCGGACCCTGTCCGACCTTCCTTTTATTCAAAAACGCGGTTTATATTCAAAAGCTTTAGTTGTACCAAGACATTGAATAATGCTATTGCCTATTTTCTACTTTAAAAGATCAGAAACCGCCTAAAAAAACGCTTTGTTGTAGGCTCAGCGTGCTCAGTAAGCTACTGAGTTTGTTCGCAGCATCGATTTAAATCACTTCAACGAGAGCTATTGGAGAGCTACTGACGATATCTCAGGCTGTAATCACCTATGACTTGTACGACATTTCTGGTGTTCAATATGGCGATTTGATTGAGTGCCTTTTGTCCTTTTTCTTTTCATTGAAATTGCGTACTTCACGATTCTCTTGCGCTAGCAGCACACTACTATGCATAGCTATTTGGCAATCTCTGATCAGTTGATCTAGTGCTCACATTTTCATACATACAGCATTACATACAGCGAAGCAGCTTGCAAAGCAAGCTTCATCAATCAAAGATGTGTTACGCAAGCGCTCACGACTGCCCGGAAGCCCTTCTAAGCGACCTGCTGCTTGGCCTACGCTGACCAAGCTTGATTGAACAATATAAAGTTTGCATGCTTCCTAATGTGCTAGTATACAGGATTCTAAAAATCAAGCTTATCACTATCTAATATTAAAGACCAACATTTACCTTGCGGACGCGAAGTAATTATCGGATTGAAGTTTTTCCTTTCTTTTCTTCCCTCTAGCTATCATAGGCCTCTAATATCTTTTATCTAACCGTTTGATGATATTTCAATTTGCCATTTTTTAAAAAGATTATCAAAAACACAGCTTTTGATGTATATGGTTTTTTCTAAGAGATATATGTATCGGAAACACGAAGCCTCTCGTAGATATCGTCACGATCACTTTTACCCACCCCCTCTTGGTTTTATAAGGAGGTCTGTGATTGTAAAGATCTCTATATAATAATCCTTATCGTACGTCTCAATTTCATCACAAATCCGATTTCGTCAAATTTATAGATATCACCGCCTAGGATCCCTTTTTCTTCAGAAACGCGTTGAACTAATCTAAATTGATCATCTAGGCTTACTAGTTCATCGTTTTAGGTACATTGGTAGTTGGATCTTTTAAGGATTTTGTGCTAAATTCTGATCGACGCTAAATTTAAGTTGTAACCTAGTTGACACCAACGGTTGGCAGTAATGAAAAGAGAAGTTATCACCACGCACTGCAAGGGAAGATTGGCGATATTAGCAATAACTGTAGGCCTAGGAGAGTCATTATGGGAATTTGATGATTGAAACCTCTTGTAGAGTCAATGTTCCTTTTGTAGTGCTATTTACATTTTGACAATCCTGTCTCCCGGAAATTAGGTTCGACTTTGATTCGATCATACCCTATAGTAAATTATCAGTATTTGCTTAGGAATACTATCTAGCATATGGATCTTGCATATTGGCCCTTAGCCTTCTCTGTCCCTATGTTGTGAGTGTTTTGCTGGTCGGTTTAGTGACAGAGTATGTAGTGGAATATAGGTGACGTGACGAAACGCTTTATTGGTTGACATTTTGTTTCACTACTGAGCTATGCTAGCATCAAATTGTAACCAATAGATCCAGTTCTATCAGACTCATCAACCTCAGTATATATTCACTAACAGGTATTGATTCGGTCAATATGATCGTGGTTAGACAAGTAATTCTGTTTTTCAATTATTGATAATCAGGCGGTGATTTGCATCGCAGGGAAGATCACGCCTTCCAAGGACTATTATTTATGGGTAATAAAAAGTGACTAAAACAAAAGGTAAATTGAGAGAGGAATTATACATTCAAAGACCGGGTCCTCCTTCATCAAAGACAATTTGATTGGCCTTTTCCAGGCGGCTTGGTCTTTATCTAGAAGACCATACCGCTGACCTGTGGAACCTTCTTCAGGTCGATGTTCCGGATCATAATGAGCCAGATGAAAGCAAGACCCATGATACCGGTTCCGACAGCCAGCATTCTAGTCTGGGCGTAGGCATATGCCTTTTGAATCGCAATTCGGGTAGGGGTTCCCACTGCATAACTCAGTTGGGTGTCGAGATCTTCGTAGATGGCTTCAAAGTTCGACATAGCGGACTCTGGCAGATACTTGCGCAGGGCATTGGGGTAGGTGTTCTGCCAAATAGCACTCGAGATAGTGGCACCCATCGCATCACCAACAGTACCGACAACGTTGAGAAGAGCCAGCACGGAAGCAACATGCTGATGGTCAACAGCAGCCAGGATAGCAAGTTGCTCACAGATAATGAACACACTTCCACCGATAGAGATGAAGACCTGGCACATGATGAGGTAGCCGACAGACTGGTTAGGGCGACGGAAGTAGATCATCAAACCCTGGGCAAAGATATAGAGGGGAACAGCAATCCACAGGAGCCACTTGAAGCGGCCAGTGCGTCGGATAAGCACACCCACAATCAGCAGCAACACGCCGGAAACAACGTCAAAGGTATTTCCGACATATCCAGCATTCGCCACGGACAAGTCATTCACAACCTGCAGGAAGGAAGAGAAGTAGTTATCCCAGCAGTAGTAGCAGAGCTGGTAAGTCGCATCCAACAGGCAGGCACCAAGTACAGTTCGGTTGTACAAGAATCCAAGCTGCAGCAAAGGCTTAGGGGCCACCCAGGTCTCATAGACGATAAACACAAAGAGAAGGCAGAAGCCAACCACAAGCATGGCGATGATATATGGTGTGTCCCAGGTACTCGGGGCAGCTCCGGCGATATCAAATGACAGGAAGAACAGAACCAGGCCAGCGGAGAAGAGGAAGACGCCCATGGCTGTCCCAATATTAGTATTATTTCGTGCCAATGAGGAAACATAAATAGGTCACTTACCATCAAACTCGACGAGGTAATACCAAACACTCTGCAGGAAAGTCCGGTTGGTCTTTTCCTTGACAACGTGGCCGGCCTTGACAGCTTGGTGGATGTTGTACTTCAGAACACCGTAGAGCGGCGCGGCGACAATGGGCAGAATAATAGCGAAAATTCCGAAGGGCCATCGCATGCCAATGCCGTGGGAACCCAGAGCATCATCGGCAGCGGTGGGGCCGGCGAATGCGGTAATAATATAGGGCGAAGAGGTAAAAGCGTAAGCTAAGCCTCGACTCTTGAGCATGGACGCATCGGCAGTGATGACATCCACACAATAGATAATGCCTCCAAAGCCGAGACTGTAGAACACCTATTTTCATCACGTGTCAGTAAGAGTATTCTACTAGGAATGTGCGATGGGGCCTGAGTTGGTCGGCTTACATAGGCGGCACAGAAGGTGGCGAGGTTGTTGCACGCAGCCATCATGATCAAACCAATAGTGGCGCAGAAAACCATAAAGAGGAAGCCTTCGGCACGGCCCCAGACATCCATGATTCTTCCAAGAGGAATATAGCAAGCAGCGGTCACGGCGTCGGCAACGATGTAAATAGTGTTCAACAGCGAGTGGGTATCCCATTGACTGGTGATATAGGGAGTCAAACTCAACAGGATCGAGCTCTGGAAGGCGTAGGTGAAGTAAAGGAACCAAATGCTGCGTGAGAACGGTATTAGAGATATTATCTTGCGGTGCAGCGGGCTTTTCCTGCAACGAAGAAAACGTACTTGATGAAAACACCAGCCAGTGCCAATTTAGACCAATTCTTGGTCATAGCTTCCATGTCATGAACACCGCGATGGAGCTCCTCTGGGGGAGTTTGCGCCGGGGCTTCATCTGTAGCGGCGCCATTACTCTCAACGGCGGCACCGTTAGAGGGGGTCACCTGTTTGCTGTCCTCGGTGGTATTCACATCAATCTGAGTGACGGACTCCTCCGTCGTCTGACGACGAAAGACGCTGCGGAAACCCATTTTCTGATTTCGAACCAGGGCAAACACGGATGAACAGAGAAAGAAAAAAGTCAAAGCACACGAGGGAAATCTCTGCCTTATAGATCCCACTAGCTCTGCTAGTTTCCGCTGATGTACTGATTGATAAATCGGAGGACTTAGCTAGCGGGGGAAGCTAAGAGTGCCACGCAAGCCGAGAACCGGAGAGCACACCGACGCATGGGGTTTGATTTGTCGGGAATTGGAACAAAACAGGAAAGGCGAATCGACTGCGGTGGTTTCTGGTGGCGTGGGTGGAGAAATTGTGTCGAGATAAATGAACAGAACCTGAACCGGGGGGTCATGCTGGTGCTGAACACCGCGGCGTTGACCGGGAGTGGATTGGACAGGTGGATTCTTAGACTGTTAAGCAACGAATAGCCATCTTGGCAGCAGGCTTTCTGCGGCTAACCCGGGCTATTTTGCTTGTATGGGGACCATGGATGCTTAGTTGGGGGGAATACCGGTAGATTACTATGCTGTATGCATAACAAACAGCAGTGTCACATTGGGAACTTTGTGGCCGAGGAATTTCATACGGAGCACTCATTATCACGGAATGCTTTCACACCCACACCCACACATGCTCCCTCTCTGTCTGTCTTTGAATCATCTAGAGCTGATAATGCACCTACTGTACGGCGCGGTGGAAGACGCACAAACGGTCTGAACAGCCCATAGGCGTTCTCAGTGGGGCAGTTGAAGCTTCGGTTACGCTGGGAAACAGGTAGCGAGCGTGACCCGGCCACTGATCGATAAAAACCATCCCCACTTATCTGATCGGAAGCCGTCATCACCCGAACATGAATGGAGCAAGACTCACCCTGCTTTCACTTGGTGGGCTATTTCTTTTTTTACGAGGGTGTTCTAAGCACGGACAGAAACTATATTGGTATTGGAACGCGAAAAAAAAAAAATTTCAACATCTCAATGCAAAGAGATGATAGCAACACGGTCGCCCTATCTGATTTGAAGGAGCGATAAGGTCAGGTCCCTTGGCAAAACTTGGCGTGTAATGGCCTAGTAACGGAAGGGGGATGATCGATACAAGAGCTGAATCAACTGATGACAGAATTGTCTCTCGGCTGCCCTAAATCCATCCCGACACTTTGATTGTGGATCAAGGATGGCGTACTCTATGCGTCTGGGCATCTGAACAACAGTCTTCTTGTTCCCAATGGGACCACTGCTTGACTCTCGGGTCCGTCCTCGGGCGACCCAGGGTATGAAAAGATCTGATAACTTTCTTTTTGCCATTCGCTACGTTCTGTTCGGGGGTGGGGGGAAGGGGCCCGAGAATGAGCGAGCGAGAAAATTGAGAAAATTTTTCACGCAAGCGATCTAGGCACACGTGGCGCATACGCACGAGCATCTCTCGGGGCTTGTTTCAGTAAAGTCGCGGTCAGACCAACCTTTTCAGAGACGCTAACAATGCTCGAGACAAGCTCGTTTGGAGTCAAATAGCCGTTGATTGGCCCCCTTCGACCCTCCCCGACTGATTTCCGACAACGACCGAAATGGTCTCCAGGGAAGAAATTTCCAGCGATGGGGATCCAGGATCTGATTAGATTAGTTGTTGTCCTGGTTTCCCTTTTGGCTCCCGGTGGCGCTCGGTGGCGTCCGTGTCCCAAGCCAAAAAGAGCTCAGAGAAGGGCAAGGGGGGAATTCTTTCTCCCGCCATACCCGGATTCCCTCCGTGGAAGGATTGAATGGGAAATTAAATGCCAAGAGAAACGGTGGGGGTGGGCTGTCGGCATTCTAGCGCGACAGCGCGACGTTTTCACGCCCTCGTATAGATACCTAGATCAGCTCTATTTCCTCCGAATGGGTGGACAGCAAGCTTGTTGCTCTTTGGGGGCCGATATTCTTGTTAGTGCTTGCTAAATCTAACGACGTTTCGGCCGATAATGCTCGGTATTCGTGAATTTCAAATCTGGACAAGAAACCTGGCGGGACATGTCTTGACGGCGAATGGACATTTATATACTGTCATGATTGTGCCCCCCTCTCCGCCCAGTCAGCGACTAATGAAAAGTAATATTCATTGTCAGCTCAAGGTTCCCGCCGGTAATCAATTAGAGGTGGAGTTCGGGATCAGCAAGAGCAACCGGAAAAAAAGTGGCTGTGGGATCTGCGTTGACCTTGGCGATTTTGATTGCCAAGGGATGAAATATAAAACGTGCTGGACGACCGAAGATTTCCAATGCAATATTTGAATTCTATCTATAAACCATACAAGACCGTGCATTTCTGTTAAAAAAAATAACAAAAGCAACAATGATTCTATAACAAAAAAAAACCAAATGGGTATCAAGTATCAGGAACGCCGGCATCCTTAGCTAAACTTGCAAACGACTGGTTTCGCTTTCGCTTTCATCATCATCGTTATGCACCACTAGCTGGTAGCTTCCAGAGGGCGCAGATCTATGGCGCCGCAAATACCGACTGACGGCGCAATAAAACCCGCAAACGAGACAGGCGGAGGCGAAAACTGCAATAATCAAAACGCCCCATTGCACGGTGAGCAAGGTTGCTCGGAATGATCCAGAGCCCCGTTGCAAAATTTGCGTTGTGCCTATAATATCTCCATTGGCATTTTTAGCGCTGACTTGGAAATAAGAGGTCACTTGGGGCGGAAGCCGGATTTCGGTCTCAAATCCGGTGCGATCCACTTGATCAGTCGCCGTGAAGGTCATGTTGTCCAACCCGGCGCCATCCCAGATCTCCAGCTGCCATGAGGCCACTTCTGTGGCACCATTCCAACTCACGAACACGCTGTCGTCTGCTATCGCTGCATCAGGAGTGGTGTTCGGAGTGCCAATCCAGCTCCCCTTATATACGCGGTAGGAGACTATCCGACCAAAGGAGAAATATGCCGACGCGCCAAAATGGACATCGCACAACACATCTCCTTCTTTGGTAAACTCCGTGTAGGCAGCACTATGACCCCAGCCAACAAGGACGTTTCCTGTGTCCAGAACTTGCACATTGCCTTGGGAGACGGCAAGCATGTCCTGGGGATGGTCGTAGCTGGTCACGAGCGCCGCTCGCCGCGCTGGAATATCGAGCTCGAGCAAGGCACCGTGAGTGACTATAGAAGGGTCGTGGTCGTTGCTTGCCCCATTATTGAATAAGGTGATACGGTTGCCGTCACGCCAGCGGGCATCATGTTGCCACGCGAAGTTAGTAGCAGCGCCGCCTGAGTCGTCCGTAAACTCGTTGTGCTTTCCACCCAAAGTCCAAAGGACCTCGCCAGTCGTTCCGTCAACACAGGTCACGGTGTGGGTGTGCCGGCCGGATACCAAATATTGGCCCTGGTCGTTCTTGTCCACGCTATTGATGTGAAAGTAGTCGTACCCTAGTGTCCGTTCGTGACCCCTTTCATGGAGAGACTCGTAGCTGCTACTTGGTGGGTAGAAGTTGGAGGAGCGCCACTCGAAGAGAAGTTCACCGGATGCAATATCGATTTCCTGAAAAACGCCATCGTAGAGCCAGCCCAACTCAGGGCCGCCCACAGATGTCAAATCGGCGGGAATGGGATCGTAGATAGTGATAAGCGCGGTGCCGTTGGGAGTGATATGAAATTCATGGAGGTCGCCAGGCATATCTCCTACCGGGGAGACAACAAACCTCGTTGTATAGGTTGAATCCAACTATCAAGAGACATATGCGATTAGCTTGACTGCACACTTCACTCGGGATAGGAGACACGACCTCCTGTCAGGCTACTTACCATGTACCAGGATCCCCGTCCATGCCCATCTTCCTCGTCACCTTGCCAGAACGTCAAGTAGTCTTGGTCACGATACCGTTGAACTCCAAAATCCTGTGTTGTTCCCCAATTGTATTTCATCCACACCAGTTCTCCATGAGCATCCAGGATCATTGGCCCAGCATGGGCGACTGAATCGCCCCGGGGCGCCAAGAACGTATATCGAGAGTCGCATTGAGCATCGTTCGGGGAGAATTCGACAATCGGAGATTCTTCTTCGAAGGAAACATAGGTTGTCGAGGGGCCGAATCCATATAGTCCCAGGTCATACCAGCCGAGGCCGGCGCGGAATCGAAATCGGAGAAGTTGAGGCACCACAAAGAGGTAAAACAGCACCAGGCCCCCGAGCGCGGCAATCGTGGCGGGGATTACACGGCGAGGGGCAAATTTGTTCGGTCTATCATTCTGGCCAAACCAAGAGCTTAGACGCAGGGAGGCAGGGTTCTGCAAAAACATTGGCGCATAGTGGACCGGGCAAGAAGAATGGAAGGGGATTGCGAAGGGGGACGGCCTCCTCAGGGAATGCTTGGGTCAACGTAATTGCATCAGGAAGGAGGAGACCAGGACGAGAAGATCGACACGGAGACGGTTATGAAGAAGAGGAGAAGCGGGAGAAATGATGTCCTAGCGTCGACACCATATATGAAGTTCAACCGGCCCACTAAGTATCAACCACGCGGCTCCTTACTGGTCTCCCCGCAAGGGTGTATACTGTAGTATGTACTGTAGTTGGAGGCAATGTGGGATCTCGAAACCGCGTTGCACTGGGTTTGGTCCTCCAACGACAGTGTCTAGTTTTATCTGCCAAGGTCGGGGTGGATCGGATATGCTCCAGCATTGCGTAGTGAACCGGCGTGGCGCGTTGGCCTCCCCACGAACGCTTCTTGGCCGAGTGAACGCCCATTGAATGCCCACATGGCTCGGCCAGTAGCAGCGATCAGCAGAGCGACAGAGGCAGTTTCTGGAGTACCGTACTTTGCATCCGACTGGATCTCCACGAAACGCCAGGGACTGTAGCGCCACCAGCCCACGCGTCCTCTGGCGCAGTTGGTCGAAGTGGCGCCCCAAGCAACGGAAGCGGGGATCGTTCGGCTTCCTCGGGCCCAATCATGTTGGGGTCACGTCAATGGGCTCCTTTAACGGCTCACCACGACTCCTTAAATCATCGAAGTCGGATGGTTGTGCTTTCTGGAACACCCGTCCGAAACCAAGGCCGAGTGGCGGTCAGTGGCTGACGTGGTGGCTTGATTTCTTCGTCTTTCTCTTGACGATTCATGTCTTCTTCCTGTCGTTTCATGTCCATGCCCGGGTTTCCGTGGAAGCACATCAGGCGGACAATAATGGAGTCTGTACGTTGTGAAGAGGAGCGGAGCCTGGTCCTCCGTCCCTCCACTTTTTTGACCCTGAGTGTCTTCCAAACCCCACCCGCACTTTCAGCAACTCCTAGTTTGCTTACGCAATCCGCCCGGGAGCAATACGAGTGGAGCGAGAACGAACCGATAGGAAGCATGAAACACTTGCCCGTTGAGGAAATCAGGAAACCAGGAAAATGAGTGGGGTTCACGTCGATAGTGCGCCCTCATCAGGCTATCCTAATCATTACTAATAAGAGTAGTACGCATTGGACTATGCTCGTGCTCGCAGTAACGATAGGGTGGTGCTGGTACCGTGAACCTCCCCCACGAGCCGACGAGTCCGTTGATGAAAAAGAACGCCGTATATGGACATTGATCATGTACATACCTATAGTTCGTAGATTGGCACAGAAGCGTACATCTTGCGCCACCGGACTCCGAGCCAATAATCAGGAGGAGACACCATCGCCAACTATTTGATTGGCAACTCGTTTACTCGTATCTCCGAGCCTGCAGTATACTGCTTAGACTCCCGACAAACATCGGATGAGAAGCCCTTATTCGGTTAGCTCCGAACCTGTCGGTCGGCCTCAATCAAGCTTGAGTGGGCGGGATGGAGCTTTCTACATAAAATAGATAGCAGGTCTCACAATGAAAATACATTGTGCTAATTAAGAGCACCTCCTTCGCCATATAGGCGACATTGTTATGTTCGGACAGATTTGAGCACGCCAATGACACGAACGGAAGAGATCAGTCGAAGAGCGGAGCTGTTCCGGAACATAGAGTGTGATCATTACATACGTCAAGGAAACGCATAAGCAGTCCGCAGAAGGGATTTCGGATGACAAAATAGTAGTTGACAACATGCGTAGTGTGGGCGATGTGCTTTATTGCCTCTCTATTTCTTGCTTCATTATATTGTACCCTGAATCTGTGGGTAAACCCTTTCGCGTCTGGCCGTGCAGTCATGGATTTCCTTTTCCAGCGGGCAGTGGGTCGACTAATCAGAACCGCAGAACCGGACCCGCCCAAAAGGGAAAAAAGATACGTTCGAGTCTCAAAGTTGCCATAAACAGTAAATGATTTCGTATTGCTAGGGGAGAAAAGTCTCGTAAATATTCGAAGAGACCTCGATGAGACTACTTACCTTCCGCTATCTTCCTTCTGCACTTTATCATCTTCCTCGATTTATTATGTTCTCGCTCCTCTCTGAAGGTATCTGGTGAAGATATATATATTCAACCAATACTTAATCTCCTGGTTTGAATCCAAGCGTAAACCACCCCGATATCTATGACCTCATTTGAGATTATACGTAGCAACAGATCCTTCTTCCAAAATCAGATACTGTTCATACGAACATTTTCAGTTTATGATCTACTTTTCAATATTAGAATGACGCGATACTTATATCTCTGCGGGTTAACTTTGGCGATTAACTTTGGCGATGAGTAGCCGAGATCCCAGATCGTGGCGAGCCATTTCGCAAGCCGAACTAGAATTGAGGAATGCGTAGCAGGTGCGAATGATGTTCCTTTTTCTTTATAGAGCAACGTAATGCAAGACGCAAGATGGTTGATGTTTTCGTATGGTATCGTATGTGAGTCGGAATTTGACGAGAACATAAATCATGAGCAGGCGACGTACGTCACATCCAGATAGAGCAGCTTGCACTGAGAGATGGACCGATTTCATATAAAGCAATACCAAATCACCTGACCCTGTAAAATTCAGTATATGGGAATGACCGTGAGGATTTACGCATCTATATTGTCCCAGATTCTACCTCGGATGAGAAATGGAAAGAAGGCCACCTTGATCATGTTTCTTTCTTGTTCTTCTTTTGGCACGGTCACTAGTGGCTACAATGGTGAGCAATCGATCTCTCACTTGCTTTACTGGAAACCATTAACATTATTACATATAATAGAACCATCAAGACTTTGTTCAAGTTTTCCTAATTAGCGACCGGGGCTGACATAGTATCATAGATCCAGCTCATCTCATATTTGGGGACAATGATATCCTCTTGATCCGGAGCAACCCCAGACTGATGCATTGATTTACATCCGCCTTGAGGTATAGCATGCTCTTCAATCGGTCTAGAATACTGCATAGTGTATTTAAGTACGAAAGATCGAGTGATTTCTCAATGATTGTAGACAGCGTCAGATTCATACCCCTCTCACTGTGGACAGGTATTTAACTTTTGTTTCCAATGGTCTGAGGCATGAGACAATTTGATAGGAGGCCCCGCTGTCGCTGAGCCAATAATTTGTCCACGGGTGCAACAGATCGCCCATTAGTATTTGACTTCCGCACGATCGGATCAGAGGAAATCATGCTAGTCAAAGGCACGCCTTATGGCAACGCGCCTTTCCCTCTGTACTCCGTACTTCTGCCGCTCATGTTTGTTTTGAATATTCTGCCCACCAGGCAGACCCTGCAGAGACCCTGCAGAGCGGTGGAGCGAAGACACGGAAGTATGGAAGTATAGTAAGCTCTACACTGGAACCAGCCTACTTCCAGAAGTCAGCATGAGGCCTCAATCGCGGATTGGCGGTGTTCGTATTAGCGCAAAGCACTTTTTCTCAAGTGTTGCATGGGGCTCTAGTGATCAACGCCACGTTCTCCACCCGGACAAAGCTGCCCCCTATGATTATCCGTGTGTGATTGGTGTTCCGGCCGGAGCGCGCAGCCCCCCCTGACCCTCTCTCCATTTCTCCCGCCATCTCCAATTTTCTCTTTCCCTCAGTGGAACTAATCGGCTTACAAGGGGGTACTACTGTCATCTGCGACTAAGACTGCCGAAACGACCGCCGCAGAGCAATGTCTGACAAAGACATCGTGGCCCATGAAGATGACGTGATGGACGCGAAAGCCCAGGATGATCGGGACATGGAACGCCTGGGCAAGGCCCAGCAGCTAAAGGTCGGTCGCGTCGAAGCGGGAATTGGCGATCTGAAATGTATGAGGGGCGTTAGACTGATCAGCAGTAGCGAAATTTCCGCTTCTATTCTATTCTTGGGTTCACCACGACCCTCATGGCCACATGGGAATCTATTCTCCTGTAAGAATTCTCGGACCGACTGGTCGCAACTCTTCTATTAACACGACTCCCTACAGCACAAGTACATATGGCCTGGTGGACGGGGGGCGAGCTGGCATGGTTTATGTCTATATCGGATCTTACGTTGGATTTTTTGCATCAGTCATCTCCATGGCCGAGATTTCTTCAATGTAAGTTCTGGTTGAGACCTGATTTTGACACGACAAGCGGCGCGCGTTGGTGAATCTGCCCTAATGGACTTTGAAGTGCCCCAACCTCCGCCGGACAGTATCACTGGGTGAGCGAATTCGCAGCTCCACGCTGGCAGCGCTTCTTAAGTTACCTTACTGGTCAGTCGAATCCAGCCGACGAAACTCGTTGTCGGATGATCATTTCTGATGGACTATCTAGGCCTGTTGTCTGTTCTGGGATGGCAGGCGGCTTTCGCTAGTATTTGCTTTCTTTGCGGTACTCTGATCCAGGGTCTTCTTGTCTTCAATTATTCGCGAGATACCGGGTATATCTATGTTGATGAGCGCTGGCATGGAACTCTCTTGACGATTGCGATCGCTGCCATTGGCACATTGGTCAACACCTATGGTGCCGCGTTTCTAGCTCCGTTGGAGGGCATTATTTTATGCTTGCATCTTTTAGGATTTCTTGCTGTGCTGGTTTTGTTTTGGGTGATGAATCCAGGTCAAGCGCCATCGACAGAAGTTTGGACGGAGTTCACAAATTCAGGAGGGTGGTCGAGTATGGGCCTAGCTTGCCTGGTGGGCCAATTGACCCCGGTTTTCTCCTGGACAGGTCCTGATGCTGCTACTCACATGGGTAAGATGCCAACATCTCATGTTTACTTTACAAAGTGCCCCGTTTGCTGACTCTTATCAGCCGAGGAAGTGAGAAATGCTGCCGTCGTGGTTCCCTGGTGTATGGTCTCCACTGCGCTGATCAATGGTGGCCTGGGCTTTATCATGCTCACTACTTTCTTATACAAGATGGGTGATATCGCTGATGTCGTGCACCCTGCTAGTGGATTTTCCTTTCTCCCGGCCACGCATCATGCGACTGGCTCTGTGGCCGCAACCAACGGTGTCGCCTCTATCGTTCTTGTTATGGAAATCTTTAGTGCCATTGGTATCCTTACTACAGCCTCTCGACAAACATTTGCCTTTGCACGCGACCGCGGCCTTCCGTTCTCACGTTCTTTGGCTCATGTCGATACTCGGAGCCAGATTCCAGTCATTTCAGTACTCGTTTCCACCATCATTACTGTTTTGCTTAGCTTAATCAACATTGGTTCTACAGCGGCTTTCAATGCTATCGCCTCTGTGATGGTTGCCGCTCTATTCACGACCTACATTCTGTCTATCGCCGCCTTCGTTCGAGCCCGATTACAACCAACTGGGATCCCACCATCTCAGTTCTCCTTGGGCCGATTGGGCCTTCCTATTAACCTCTTCTCTTTGGCATGGATGTGCTTTTCCGTCATTTTCACCTTTTTCCCCACCACGAACAATCCGACCCTGGCTGATATGAACTGGTCGATCCTTGTGTTCGGTGTGGTGTTCATCTTTGCTATACTCCAATATCTGTTTCATGGCCGCAGAATCTATCAAGCGCCCGTAATACAAGTCCGCAAGATGGAGTAACGGAGTTTTGACTTTGATTTTGATGTTTTTGCTTCTTTGGATGTTAATGTGCGAATACCCTACCTGTTGTCTGGTTGTATAGAACAACCTTTTGTTTTACACCTATGTGCATATTTTACTCGATCAGCTTTTAACATATTCCCGATGGTGTCCCAGAGATTCAATGGATTATGCATTTATTTACTATATTTATTAGAATTGGTGCAAATAGTAAGATCCAGGACAATTTGTCAACATGATAAGAACTGCACGCTTGCTATGTCGGCCATGCTAAGCGGAAAGCCGTTCAACTGAGATAATTTGTCGCAAGACTCAATATGTCGTCGAGCCCTTCAGCGTAATCCACCCCCAAAGGTGTGATAAAGTCAACACTGGAAGCTAGACTCGGCAAATCAGTTGTCATCTCAGTCCAGTTTCCATTCTCCGCGGCTCTTATGGTGGATGGAACTTGGAGAGCCAATCGAGATGACCTAGTGACATTTGCACGATCATGCCGATAAAATGTCTGGATGATAGTTGCAATATCTATACCATTTCCCCGTGGCATATTTTCTTGAATACGCTGCGGCGGCTTCAATTCCGACGGGCATTGCTTGTCTCGGGATACTTTCTGCTCAGCATCCAACATTGCACGCAGAAGAGCTACGCCGCGCTGGGCAATCATATCTGTTTGACAACGTGACAGGATATCGATACCATCTTGAATCAACTGCCTGTGCTCAGATGATTGACGATCGGACACCGACTGATGGAACATATCTAGACACAAAATAATCTTTTCATCTTTAGAACCTATCATCTCATAATGGAAGAGCAAAGATCCATTACTCACACTGGCAGTGACACTGAATGCTTGATGAATCCAGAGAATTGGACCTCCATCGCGCGTCGCTTCCTTTTGCTCCTTGATTATAGTCCTCGAGGCTGCAACACACGTCTTTCGGGTAAATTCAAACATCGGATTGACAAAACTTAGGCTCAGGAATTTCCTGTGTATCATGATCACTTTATGTGCAGAACTTATAGCCAAACTTCGCCGTGCCCAGGGCACATAGCATGGCCATGTTACTTCAATAGGAACATTTTGCAAATAGTAAGGAAGATGCTTGGTTGCCAAAGTACGTAGCTGACGGTCGTACTTGAGCACTTCTTCATAACGGGTATATAAAGTGTTGCATGATGCCACATCATTTTGTAGCTCTGGCATTAATGCTGCAATGTCATAGAAAAGACGTGAGTAGCTTGTCACAGTTGGAAAATCTTCAGAAACAGGGTTCATATCATCGTCGTAATTATGAGGCTTTGCTGCCGTAAAGCATGGCCGATGGATGAGATAGCTCTCGGTAAATGGAATCGAGAACCAGTCTTGAATGCAAAGCTGACACCACACGCGACGACCAATCTCCACTTTCACTAGATTATCTTTGCTGATATCATCACTATCATTGTCATCATCATCATAATCATCATCATCATCATCATCATCATCGAGTTGATGAAGCCCTAGTCCTTGGGCTATACGGACAGCCGATGCGAGAAGCACTGAAAATCCATTAGAATGGCCAAGCATATGAGCCGACATTGTGAGGGTCGCGATCGCTTCAACGGAATATATGGAATGGTCTGCCATATAGTCCCCGTGATGCAAACATGAAATTGCAGCCTTGAGCCATCGTTTGGATAGACATTCTTGTTCTCTGGCCTGGAAGCCGAAAGACTGAGCAATCCCTCCTGGCATGCAGGCCATTGATCCCGTAAGGACGGAAAAAAGAAGCGATAGCCATTGTAAATTGACCCCATTGACACCAAGCTGACTGTTATTTCTGTCGTAAAAATGATCCAACTCCTGTAAAAAATTGACTGCATGGAAAGCACCGTGATACCAGAGTAGGCACTCGCAGTGATACTTGGCCAGTGCATAGACCTTTGTTTTTGAAGGAAGAAGCGCTTGACAAAGAGCACCTGCCGAGGGTCTCGGTACGTTCATGTCTTCCCATTCACTTTCCGTGTGAACATCCCCGGGGGAATGATCGAGATTCCCTCGCCTTGCAATTTTGTCTTGGTACGAGGGTTCTTTGCGACGTCCCCAAGCTAGAAATTCAAGTATTGTTGCAGCATCTTCCATTTCCCTTGGTGTATCTCCTAGATCGACCCTTGTCGAGTTTTGAACTGTAATCGGTGATCGATCACCAGCGATTGATTCGGCCGAGCATAACGTGGCACTGTCTTTCTGGATGTCCGTCCTTGGAATGTGCGCTCGAGTGGTCTTCTCGGTGGCATCTCTGAGAGCGGATTCTAACTGGTTCACTCTCGACTGCAGACTCTCTATAATATGTGATGTATCTGCGCCTGGTCCTACCGGATTATGCCGCTCGCGTTGATCATCAGACTGATTTAGAGCACTTGGGTTCGGAGAGTCCCTCTCTCGCGGCCGAGTGCACCGGGTTCCTTTCCGAGTGCAATTACGACAGGGCAGGATCTTGTCGCATTTTACCTTTCTGCGAGTACACTCAACGCATGCCAGGCGTTTTCGGTGAATTCCGCTGCTCATGTTGCCTTGAGATTAATGTGAGAGGAAGTCGAAGAGTGGAGGCCTCGTCTTATCTGCGGCGGAGATGCGCGACCAGACGAATGGCCGGGATTACGCAGCAATTTCCTTATCGCTTTCTCCCAAGGTTTAAACATGCTCGTTCAATTACAACTATTCGGCATCGAGACGACCCAAGAACCAACTAATGGGCTCATGCTGGATCAAAGAATACTTACTTCAACGTAGTAGAGTTACCGAATCCCTTCGGTCGCCTACGGTTAAATCTGTATTCTCATTCAATATAGGCCCTGGATGGTCGCATTCGTTCTCTTAACATGAAAGCAGTCGATGACTATATAGACCTTCAGGAAGACAACTGAATTGACAAGAATCTTAAAAAGATCGAAGTAATTTCTTCAACCGGGATTAATATTTCAATTATCATCAGGATTTTTGAAAAGCACTCTCAAGTTCTTGTATTGTCTCTTGCTATTTGATACAACTGGAATTTTTGAACATCTTGATTGTGACGCTATTTAAGAAAGCACCTCGTAATACCAGAAAAGGACCGTGACATAACAAAACAAGTCAACTTCGATTTAGATTGATTCATACACAAGTTCTGACAAAATGCGAACATCGATTGCGATTTCGTAATGGTGTTAATCCTACAATTAGTTTGCTCTTGGAAATAGGTCGATAACAGCATGCTGACATTGGGAACCCAAGTTCTAGACCAGTAAGCGCGTAACAATTAAATTTGCGTAACAGTGACAATGCGTGGCACCAAAGGCTATCACAGTTGATAGCTCATTACTCGTTTATGTTTCGTGTTGGGTTCCGGAGAGTCTCGGACTTGGTGCATCAACGAGCTACCTAATTGGGGTCCTGCTCGGCCGAGGTGGTCGGCCGAGCCACGAGATAAGTAACCGGGGAAAGCTGGCTATTGGTGTAAAGTGAAGGGAAGCAAGCAGCGCATAATACTTTATTAACGGTCTCCTTCACCTTAGAATTTGCTACGAAATCAACAAAACAAATCACCTGTGTGCGGTCAATATGGCTCAAACTCGATACGTGGAACGTCCTATTCCTCAAATTTCTTTGGCCGACTTCGAGACTCGTATCGAGGCAATCACGGCAGAGTTGATAGATGCAGCCGAAAACGTTGGGTTTTTCACGATTGTTGACCATGGGATCTCTAAAGAAGATATCGAAGCTATGTTCATGACATCAAAAAGCTTCTTCGACCTGCCCGACAACAGCAAAGCGACAGTACCATGGAATGCTAATAACGTTGGCTGGGAGAAAAACTCACAAATTCGCCCGTCGACGGGAAAACCAGACAGCAAAGAGTCCTACCAGCTTCAATTCGGTGACAATATGAAGGGGCTTTGGGTCACAGACAATCGATTGCCAGGGTTCCAAGCTATTTCTCTGGACTTCATGCACGGTGTGCAAAAAGTATCTGAAGACTTGATGAGATGCTTCGCTCGGGGGTTAGGCTTTGCTGAAGATTTCTTCATCAAATGTCACGATGTTTCACGACCCGACTCCCAAACCACCATGCGATTACTTCATTACTTCGCACTACCAGAGGAAGCCGATGGCCAGGTGTATCATCGCGCAGGGGCACATGCGGATTGGGACTTTTTGACTCTACTTTTCCAGAAAGAAGGGCAAAGCGGGCTCGAGATCTGCCCCGGTCGCGAATCGGTCACTGAATTTGGCATTGGGGATGATTGGACCAAGCTGGAGGCAAAAACGGGAGAAATTGTTTGCAACATCGGAGACTTACTCATGTCATGGTCGGATGATCGGTTTAAGTCGACATTTCACCGTGTCAAGGCGCCGTGTGAGTCAGGGGATTATTTTGGGGACCGGTATAGCATTGCATATTTCAACCAGCCCTGCAAGGATGCATTGATCCAAGGACCACTGAAGAAGTATCCAATGGTGACCGGTGCCCAGTTTACCGAGAATGCGATGAAAAGGAATTTTGCCGCATTGCAGGAGAAGTTAAAGACGGTCGCGGCGGGATAATTTGGAAGGATTTTGATTCGCATAAGGGCCATCTGGGCACTATTCGGTTGGGCTTGCTTCATTAGGAAGCGGTTTGTTGAGTCGAGGATGTGAAGACTCCAGACGCAGAGAGACGAAGCGAAATGTTTCTTTGTGGACCTGAAACCCTTGTCAAGTGGGATATAGTGATGAAATGAATATGATACTCTTATAAGTTTCCAAAATCCCACCAGGTGGAAAACCCTTCAATATTACCCAAAGTTGATTCCGACTCGGGATAGCCAAGATTATCCATATCAACAAATTGAGACGGGTCGGTCCATAGCCAGGGGGTATTGGCCATGAGACTGTCGGCGGGTGCCACGAGTTTGTCTCCCATTGTAGTGCTTGTTGGTGATGGGGGCGCGGAGTTCATACGGGGTAGATTCGGTGGCATATGAGCAGCCGATCCTCCGTCAGCGGTGTTGACAGTGATCTCTGGAGACATTGCAACAATAATCTCCAGAGTAGATGTTGGATTTTCCACGTCATCTGGGAATACCGCGGGGGTAAGTGAAGAGTGTAGTAGGCCAGCACTCGGTGTTTCATGAATGGCTGGTGTACAGTTGACCTGTAAAATATCCCACATTAGAGGAATGCTGAGATGAATCTTAGACGGCTCCCAGTCAAAATCCACTTTCTCGGAGCCGGACGCAATTCGTGTCATCTTATCAAGCGTTTGGTCCTAGTTCCATCAGCCCTAGAACCTATTTTCTGTCAGTGAGACAACTTACCAGAGCTTCACAAGCTGGAGAAAATGGCACGAAGCTTTTCAGGAACCGTCTGCATTTTGCGAAGTCCGTTTTTGATTTGAACTTTAACCGTGGGTCGGTAGCACAGCAATAATAGAGGTGTACGGTCGCAGCAATGGCAGCGGCGTGCCCAAAGAAAGGGTCAATCAATCTTAACTTTTTGTCCGTTACCATGTCAATCATTCGAACAATCCAAGTCGCATGCAAAAGAACCAATTCAGATGACCTTCTCCAGAACGTGTTGGGAATCGTCAAGTTATGGTTATACTGAGAGGCCAAGATGTAGAGAAAGGGGTGGTTAAGAACAGTCAGAATTGAATGATAGGTAAACTGTAACTTGAGCCAAGGAGCCCAGTAATCACGGTTGACTCTTAGCTCATCACCTCTGCGCTCATAAAATTTGACAGAGTCATATCGATGACAGAGGGAAAGTTTATTTTCAAGTTCTGTGAGGTCAGAGAGCACCATCGCATACATCGAGTCGTGCCTCCAGGGCTCCTTCAATCGGCTCTGAGCGCAGTCAAAAACGTACGTTCTTACTTTACTCCACACCCATCCAAAATGAAGTGCCAAATTCCAGATTCCAAGATCTTCTGAATTGGAACACCCTATCTCATCACTGGGTAGGGGTGGGGGCCTTGGTTCAAGTCTTTGATCGTCGCCTGTTGAAATATAGAAAGACCGCAAAACTTCAGCAGGAACACTTAGAATGCCATTAATTTGACCATATGATTGTTCAAGTGACTGCAAACTCCAGAAAAGCCTCTTTTTTCGCTCAGCAGAAGGGCATTCGATGCCGTACGTGGAATCGAGGTCAAGCATTGCGGAACGACAAAGTTGAAGGGCGAGCCCCAGGTGAAATCGCCCTAGGTGCCCGTTTCCATCTGGATGTTTCAGTTTCCGTCGTCATTAAGATGATAATAAGGAATGGTTACCTAGAAAAGAGGAGAAAGAAAGCAAGCAAAGACTTTCGATAGTTTCAAGTTCCACGGTGCCATTTGCAATGCGAAGCATAACCAAGGTTCGAGCGCTGTCGCCATAATGTTGCAACTCATCTCGTTCTTGCGAGAAGCGCGATGTCAGGGTCAGAATGCTGCAAACAAGTTCTTCTGAAATGTAGCTTGTCTCCTTGACTTCTTCGCGATCAAAACACCAGATTGGCTGACGGTGGCAGTATTGAAAATAAAGATCAATTGCCTGAGAAATTCTGGACGATGGGCTGATTTTTGAGTCTTCAAAGCCCATGCCCAGAAGAAAGGGATCATTTAGAGCGGAACCAAGATCTCCAGATGAGGGACATGAGGGTGCCGAGTATGTTGTATCTGGGAGGTCATTATTCAAACCATGATGTTGCTCCTGTGGCACAGATCTGCAGACTGAGTTAGTTGAGCCGAGGAGGTCCAATGTCGGAAACTGTTTCTTCCTTACCTGCTACCATTTAGAATAAGATTTACTTTCTCCTCAAGGTATGCAAGACGATCAGCCTGTTTAATAAGTGAGTACTAAATTACTGCATTATTGGACAATTTTGAGTAAATTTTCCATACCGACGGGCCACCTCGAGAGCCTCTTGGCACCGTTGTGTACAGACATGGCTGGCCTAGACGAACACAGCTCGAGCACGAGGGCTTCTCCGCAGGGCACCGGGTTTTCTTTCTCCTGTGAAGCGTTAGAATAATGGAAGAGAATAAAAGCGAAATAGAGTGCGAAGAAAACACTTGCCGACAGTTGAGACAAGCTTCGTGAGAACGCAATCGTCCACGATTGCTTTCTCGTGGCATTATATGGCAACCAATGATAAAGGTAGGACACTAGTATGGTAAAAATCAAGGTGCTTATTTTCTTATATGGATCGGAAACGGTAGACTGAAAATATGGTTGACGCAATGAATAGTGATATCAAGTCCATAACCAGCAAGAGCAAAAGAGATGATAGGTGACGAGGAGGGGGGGGGGCCTGGAGGCAAGAGGGGTTCGGGGGATGACGATGATAAGAGCGGGGAAGCAGGGCCTGTTAGCGACCGGCAAACAAGTAGCAACGATAAATGGCAGGTGGCTGGGGACGAACCGCCCATTCTAGTCTGTGCAAGGGCCCTGTTTTATCTTCCAAATCCGCTTCGACCATGTGTCCTCCAGCAGAAACAGGCCCAGAGCGTCCAACAGTCGGGGTTGTTCCGTGGGTCAGCGCTAGGTTTGCAATGTAACTCAAATTTTGCTGAAAAAGGTAAAAGTATCCTGCGACCAACACCAAAAATCTCCACGGAGTGATCCTGGCTGTCGATCTATACAAGAGGTCCTTTTATCGCCCAATAAGTGACCGACAATTCGAGCCTTCAAAAAGAAAACCCTGGCCGCGAATTGGCTGAGGTTATTGATAAGAATAAGGTTGTTACTAGAAGTCTGGCAGATCGCCCGCCAGATTGGGATGGGATTATCTCGGGCAGAAAGTTTTATCTGAAATAAAAAGCAAGCCCAATGGGAGTAGAGGGCCTTTTTATCAAGTGGGCAAACTAAACTCCGCTGGACAAATAGTCAGCCAGATACTCGCTCCATTGGACAAGGTTCACTCTGCTATCGATAGAGGAACAAGCGTGATTCCGAGGGAACAGAAACACGGGTTCCGTATAACTCGATCCAAGCTCAAGAACTTTCTAGATCTATGGGAATACATGAAATTCGTGGCTAGCAGAGCCGGACTAATTTATTTATTCCAAGTGAAATAAATGATTCTAGCGTCAATTTGTCATGGTCTCATTGAGGTAAAATTAAATAGAATGGGATCGATAGGCTAAGATGCAGGCAGGAGAACGTGGAAGTCGTTAATATGCGAGAGCCTGATTTCCGCTTTGGCAAGCCATTCCACCACAGCAGCCGCCAGACTGGGTCGAACAGTCGGTAGTTGTCTGATTCTGGGCTGATAACTTGGCACAGAAATCAACATCCTCCTTGCTGGTTTGAGCTTCGGTCGGCAGAGTCTGGCGTGAAGGCCAGATCTCGTGCCCCACTTCCGCTTCCCGCTTGTAGTGATCCAGGACGAGATCTCTCACTGCATTCTGAACTTGTATAGTCCCTTTGTCCATGTGAGAGCCTGACTCACCATCAGCAAAAGCCCCGGAGCTGAGGCTTCTCTGAGTATTGGCGCAGAGGTCTTTGTCCTCCGACATGATGCGTTTCAACTCTTGATGGGTCATCTCAAAATCCTCATCGCTAGAATTGATGTTTCGATAAATTTCGTACCGCATCTCGCAGTTGGTGGATGAGGTCGGCATGAACCGTTTAATACAAAATAAGTTTGGAGAGATGACCATGGAAGCATTAGGAAAGTAATAGGTGCTTGCGATCTGCAGGCCTCGAGCAACCTGGTCCGATGTGGTGTGGGAGTTGTTAATGAATCCGTCATCATTCATATCGCCCGTATGGCTGCAAGCCAATATCTTCCAGTTGTACGCGATATTCACATCCAATGTATGATCAAAACTAAAATTTTCAATGTTGAATTCTTTGAACGACGACTGCAGGTCAACCCCCCTCAAGTCATTTTCCCAGGAAATTTCCGGACTTTCACCGCCGTCTAAGTTTACCCAGATGAAGCCGTTGTTGTCGATGTGAACATGAATGGGGAAAAGACCGTTCTTGCTCTTGTCAAATCCTTCCAGGTCTTGATATCCTGGTGCCTTGGCGAGTTTGCCAGTCAAACCGTAGGACCAGCCGTGATATTTGCAGGAGAAGATCCTGGAGGTACCGCCTTCATCGGTGACGACAGGAAAGGCGCGGTGTCGACAAACATTGTGAAAAGCATTGATACCGCCCTCCTTATCGCGAACTAGGATGAAACTAAATCCAGCAGAGTTGTATCGCAGCCAGTCGCCCGTTTTGGCGAATCTTAGCTTGTGTGTGGTTAGAAGCCATTTTCGAGAGAAAATAGCTCGTCGCTCAAGCTCGAAAATCTCAGGTGATGAGTACCATGAATCCGGGAGAGCTCCCAGTGGAGCACTTCCATTCATGGAGAGGTCGTGTTTCAAGGTTACCGACATGTCAAGATGTGTGAGGATGGGCAGTTTTGTGCTGTTCTTATCGAGATGGCGAACTCAGGTTTCGAGGTTTCGAGGTTTCGAAGATTGATCGCTGACTCGAACTTGAGAGACCGACTGATATATATTGACTGTTCGCCATGGTTGTCTCCCACAATTGCTATCATGACGATGTAACGAATGGTCAAGGTCGATCCGAGGCAGTTGAGTTGCCGACCGATCACTGGATCGGGACCGAGTCTTAGTTAGGTAAGCGCTAGCGGCTTAGGATTCAATTCCAGCGCTGCTGCGGCCGCGAAACGAGGGCTCCGCGGGCCCAGCACACACGGCGCACGGTTTTGACGCCCGGCCTCCCTCCACGCCACATCGGTTTGGTCGGCTCACTGGACCGTTCATACCTGGACCTTGAAGACCGTGCACGATAAGCGACCCAGTCAAACAAACACAGGTGGCCAACGATCCCTTGTCTCGATATTGAGGAATTGTTTCGTTCTATAGTTATTCCTTGTCAGATAAGACAATGTAGATCAAAAGTTAACCAAGGTTCGATCGTGATGGCTAGTATGATGACTCTAAATAGATCACCTACCCTTCTTTTTGTTCATATTTTGAGTTCAGCTGTTGCTATAGGTTGAATATTTTAAAAAAGAACGGAATTCTCATAAAATCCAGAATAACGATGTGCTACTGATTGCGTGAACTACACCTCTTGGGACAATAATATTTCTAAGAGGGTGGGAAATTCCGAGGGTGATGTCGGGTACTCATTTTCCTGGGCCATGATACATAGTGTAGCTTGTAAATCAGATTCATAAAGCGCTAAAGTTGTGGGAGCTTAAAATTCATCTAAGGTTCGAAGGCCTTTTAGAACCTTTATTTTGGACACCTATCTCTCTCCTGGCGTTCGGTCGCGAACTTTGAGGGTAGTACCGAGGAACAGATTTGCCTTCATGCTGCGGCATATCCGCAAGAATTTACCCTCCGGAGGATACTAGTACTTTGAAGATAATCCAACAAAGATGAACAGGTAATTTGCATCATCATGCTGGTTGAATACTAAGTAAGTCGGCATATAAAGGCTTTCTTGAGTTACAATATAAAGATCTAAAATTTCCCGTTAGGTTCGTGCGAAAGACTGCCACCTACACGTAGAGAATATAAAAAAAAATCAAATGATACTTTTTTCTAAATGAACAAAATTAATTCAATAAATGGTCAATTTATAGCCTATTTTTTGGAATAATTAACAAGAAGCGGATATTGTATACTGCCAATATCGTCATTCTGTTAGTCTACCGGTGTCTGCCATCGAGATGGGCGCCCGCGTCTGTTTTATTCTATTTCAATTTGAAAGTATATCGGAATAGGGCAGAGCATCCGTAGATAGACAACTCCACCAACAGGAAAAGACCAACCTACAAGAAACCTATTTTGGAGTGGCTGGTCCTCGTGACTTTCAAATGCAGGGCACTGGGTCACGCGTCCCCGCCCCTCCCCAGGATCCCGATCACATGAGCAGCCCCTTGCCCCTTGTTTGCTTCGCAGACGTTATTTCTATAATTCGGTACCATATTTTTCTGTCAATTTATTTAATGAATTAATGCCTACCCAATCGTAGCACCGGCTCTTGTATTAGTATCCGAATCTGATTTCGGAGCCCAACAGGAAGCCGGTATCAACTTGACATGATATAAACAAGGTACATAAATATGAAGAAAGAAGTGGTTAGGGAAGAGGGTGGGACAGAAAGCAAAGCAAAACGGAGAGGTCTCTTCATTTTTCGAATGAAAATCACCTATGGGCTCCTCCTATATAGAGCACGGGCGAGGAGAACCGATTACCGGAGATGACGCGTGGCTGCCGATGCAGCGACGCGAGGTATAAGAGAAGGTATAGTTCAAGGAGGATCGTATGACCGGATGGGGAACCCCGTTTCATTTTGCATGCACAAGGGTGGGACATCCTTAATTGATGATATTCTTATCCACAAATTATTGTCTGGGAGCTTATCTGGCTTGTGAACGATGCCTGCTCAATTAGACATCGCCAAAGCCCACGGTTGGGCCCAGGGACCGGGCCCACGGCCCAACCCGCATGGGCTTTGGGCCCGACCCCCGGGCCCGAGCCCAACCCAAAGCCCACTATGGGCCCGGGCTCCGGGCCCACGAAAGCCCACAAAAGCCCATTTTTGCATAAAATCAAGGTCTTGGCGTTCATAAAATAGCTTATTCATCAGAATTAAATACTGTTTTTTACATCTGTTCTAGTTATACCTTCACGAATACTATTAGAACCTGCTAGGGCCTAGGTAAATTTAGGAAATTGTTTTGAAATCTGATTTAGAATCGCTCCTTCTCTATTAATTACCAAGATGGAGATCTATATTCTATAATTTTGAGTGTTACTTGTTAGTAAGTAGGTAAGTTGAATCGAATGTAGTAGAGATATATATAATATATATCTCTACATTACCCTATAATCCTTAGTAGTACTTGGTATCTAAGCTCTCTTTCTAATATAACTTGATGATTATATTGATCTTTAGCCTAGTTTTCTGACCGCGGTCAGAATTCAAGGGTTAATGATAGAGATAAACATATAAGTGATTTATAATTACTAATATTTTGACCGTGGTCAGAAAGTTAGTGTACTACGACTATAGGGGTAGGGATAGACCCTAGTATAAACATCTAATCTACACCTCCTTTTTGACCATGGTCAGAAAAGTGCGCTGCTACGAGTAGGGATAGGAATAGAAAGTGTTATCTACGTAGTTAAGGCCTTAGACTAAGACTATAAGCTCGTAGTCGAAGCTTTTTCAAGGCTACTCTAGCTGAATAGGCCGGGAATGGGCTAGGAATGGGCTGGGAATAGGCTTTTGTGGGCTTTCGTGGGCTTTATGCGGGCTTTCGTGGGCTTTATGCGGGCTTTCGTAGGCTTTCTGCGGGTTTTCGTAGGCTTTCGTGGGCTTTATGCGGGCTTTCGTGGGCTTTCTGCGGGTTTTCGTAGGCTTTCGTAGGCTTTATGCGGGCTTTCGTAGGCTTTCTGCGGGTTTTCGTGGGCTTTCGTGGGCTTTCTGCGGGTTTTCGTGGGCTTTCTACGGGTTTTCGTGGGCTTTCGTAGGCTACCCCTCCTAGTTACCTAAGTATTAACTAATTACATAGTATTAATCAAGCTGAGTAAGTCTTATCTTATGATCTATCAATTTTCAAATAGTTATTCTCTTATATGTCTATAGACAACTAGTATGCTAATAGTACTAGGTATCCACTACTTCCTTATTCCTTATTTCCCCTTACCTTCTCTCTACCCTTGAGTTATGTCTTAGAGCTAGAACTCTGAGGCTTTCTCCTCTGTCTATAAGAGTGATATTGATAATATTGCTTACTTACCTCCTGATCATCCATAGTTATTTATCCCTGATTCCTCTGATTCGCAGCAACTACTCGATTCTTTTGATACCGACTTTCTTCGACCTACTCCTCCTCCTACAATACCTTCGTCTATTACCCTTGTTAGTCCTGGTCGCAAGAAACTATTTGCTCTTTATAATATTAAGATGCATACTAAGTGGGTAAATTGGTAGCTCGAGACTGGCTATAGGAAGTCAAGTAAGATACGATAGGACTTAGTGCACCTGTTAGATACCTGGAATCAATTTTATCAGGTAGCTTCTACCTCTGATGGTACGCTAAAGGTTATATATAAACGGTATGGCTAGATTCTTGAGCATCCCTATTCTCTAAAGGCAGGGGGAATATCTCGGTATAGAACCTCTATAATGCTTCGGCATATCAAAAGTGTTAGCTGTTTAAAGTCGTCAAGGAATAGTATACAGAAGGCTAGCCTAACAAAGTTTCTATATTCTAAAGTACGTGATTCTTTCCTAGTCTTAACTATATCTAACTCTTTCCTAGGGGCCAATAATAGCGAACAAGAAGACCTTTACCTAAGAGGGTTAGGAACAACAGCTTCTTACCTTTCTTACTTTAGGCCACCTTCCCTTTCGGCTTATTGAATATCTAGAGTTCTATAGCCTAATTCAGCTAGCCCAGTCTGCCCTAGCAATACCAGATATTCCTTCCGCGAAGACTATACGCCGTCGGCTACAAAGCTCTGTCTAGCAGCGACAGCAAGATATCCTCCGACAGCTTCCTAATAATACAAAGCTTTCAATTGCACTTGACTGCTAGACCTCCCTATTTTCTCAGGCATTTATAGCTATAACCGGTTACTTTATTACCGAGGATTGGTAGTATTGTGAGGTCCTCCTTGGATTCGAACTACTTTATAGAAAGCACTCTGGTGTTAACCTAAGCACGGTTCTCTTAGATATCCTATGCAAGTATCAAATCCAGAACCGAGTACTTGCAATTACGACTGATAATGCATCAAATAACGAGACTATGATCGCTGAACTCTAAAAGTCTCTCCTAGAGGATACGACAGTTATTAGAGCGCTATGTCTTGCTTATATTATCCAACTAAGTTTGAATGATCTACTTGGCTATATAAAAGCGATCCTAACTAATGATATAACCGATAGTGAGTGGACAGAGCAGAGATCTTAGTCTGCCCGGGCAAATATAAAGAAGAGAGATATTAGGACTACTCTAGATAAGGTAAGATATCTTTATCCTATATATACTTAGTATCTTCCTAATACCTAATCTAGGTTCGTAACCTTGCTATCTTTATTAACGCAAGCCCTTAGCGTCGTGAGGCCTTCTTCAACCTCTAGCTAGATACTTCAAAACTTGTCCCTATCCAGGATGTTAGAACTCGTTGGAACTCTACATACCTAATACTTCGACGCGCAAGAAGACTTTAGTTAATCTTTATACCCTTCTGCACTGAATAGGATCGGAGTGATCTTCAACTAGATAATGAAGAGTAGCGCTAGATTGACTATCTTCTTTGGATTACCTAACCTTTCTATGAGTTTACTACTAAGCTTTCAAAGACTAAGGATATAACTTCGCACTATATCTTTAGGATCTATAATCTTCTCTTTGAGCATCTTGAGCAGTCGATCTCTTAGTTAGTAAGGAAGAAGGTAATATAGAAGAAAACTATGCTTGAAGCACTATATGCTAGTAGGGAAAAGCTAGACTTATACTACTCTATAACAGATAATATTCGTAGCGATCTCTATGTAGTATATACTATGCTAGCGCTAGGAAATAAGTTCAAGTTCTTCTAAACGAAGGATTAGGATAATAAGTAGCGTACACGATACCGACAAAGCTTCAAGAGCTTCCTAAGACTATATCAAGACTATCTAATAGCTCAACAATATTCCTTGCCTACCTCTTAGGGATCTCTTAGAACAAGCTTACGTCTTGATCTCTTACTTAATAAGCGAAAGCCTTAGTCAACTGAACTAAAGGATGAAGTTATAGAATATCTTGACTCTGGTATATTATGAATCCTCCGCTATAGATAGAGTACTAACAGCTTTTATAGACCTTCTAGACTCCTTACTACTTGACTTCTAGAAAGCTCACTAGCAAAAATACCTAGCGATTGCTGCTCTTGCAAGAGATATACTTTTAGTCCCTGCAATAGGTGCTAGTGTTAAACGACTATTTAATACCGCCCGAGATATCTGCTATTATCGTCGAGGAAGATTAAGTACAGCAACAATCTAAGAGCTTATAATGTTCCTCTATATATCGAAATTCGATATAGATACAGAACAGGGATCGCTTCTATCCGATTTATTCTCTTAGGATAAAATCGAAGCAATAAAAGAGGAAAGGGAAGAGATAATAGACTAGATTGAACCTAATCCGATTAGTGATAAGGAGGGTAGTATAGAAGAAGAAGAGAGAGAGAGAGAGACGAGTGATCTTACTAAAGAACATGAGGATAAAGTTCTTCCTCTGCCAGTCTCTACAGAAGGAAGCACTCAAATACGTCAGTCCGTTCGATCACGAAAGCGCGCTCGACAGGAGGATGATTAATGGGCATATTATTAGTGCTTTCTATAACTAATACACCTCTTTTCTGACCGTGGTCAGAAAAATCTCCTAGTGTACAAGGGCTCTTTCTATAACTAAATACACCTCTTTTCTGACCGTGGTCAGAATTTAGTTATCTTATATCCTTCTAGTGTATAAGGGCCCTTCATATAACTAAATACGCCCGTTTTCTGACCGCTGTCAGAATTTAGCTATATTATATCTCCTAATCCCTAAGGGCTTTCCTTTCCTATCACTAAATACACCTTTTAGTAAGCCTACTATATAGACACCTTTAAATTCAGGCCTTTTTTAGAGAGTAAAGTAACGGAAATACGTAAAAATACAAGCGAAATCTGCATATTTTATGCAGTCACGAGACACTACTATATTTGCTTTTTCTAGAGCCCACAGAAAGCCCACAGGCCCACTATAGGCCTAAAGGCTGAGCCCACAGCCCACCGTGGGCCCAAGGACCGGGCCCAAAGCCCAACCCATTCGTGGGTTGGGTTGGGTTGGGCTCGGGCCCGTGTGGGCTTTGGCGATGTCTATGCTCAATAAGATTGTAACTTGATAGCTTACCCTGTTGGGGGGGGGAGGCCCTGGAATTTGTTTGCCATGCCATTTTACGCTATGTGTACTCCAAACATAGTAATTGTCTTTGTGAAGTGGGATCTTTCACTACCATGCTCTGTCCTTCTTGTGTGATTTGGAGATTCTTTGATCTCGACCTATTCCAGGACGGCAGATCATGAGCAACCCCGCACACCCTAATCTCGGGTTTTCTCCGGTAGGCGGAGTCTTCCCCATCACTCGATCTGGTTCGCCGGCTTGTTCTTTTCTGCCGAACTTTCCCGTCTTCTCTGGTCTGCGTCATTTCCGTGCATTGACATTACCGCTTCAGCCTAGCATCACTCCAGTGAGTTCTGGTGGAAGTATAATGAGTACTTCTCATGATAATTACACAATTCACAAGGTTTCTCTAAAACGTACTCGTCAAGCATGCGGGCCTTGCCGGTGAGTAGCGGATTTAAGTTAGAGCAAGCATATACGAGAAAGTCCTCGGATGCTAAGGAAATGATAACTTCATAGGCGCAAGAAGGCCCGTTGTCCCGGAGAGAAGCCAATATGCTCGCTCTGCCAAAGGCTCGGGCAGCATTGTACATACGGGCACCAGGCGACCGCCAACCGGGCCCCAAACTCGCGGCCATCTGCCAATGACGAGGACCACTACAATGGTGGAGAAGTATGCTTGCTGGCACTGAAACTTCCTTTCCCACCCCTATTGCAAGATTGAACCTGACAATTGTTGTGTAGCCCACCCTCCCTAATGAATATTCTTTGCGACGTGTTGGAAATATTGAACAGAAACTCGACGAAATTTCGAATCTGCTGCGGTACGTTTTCAAACAATGGGCAGAATAGGAATATGAGTGATTAACCGGGCAGATATTTTCCAATATAGCGAGCGCTTACCTCCAGCCGATGTCGTTTCTGCGCCTTTAAGATCCCGCAATGGTCAGACCCAGGATATACCTGATGTCTCGACTTCACTCGGCGAAGTTCAGTCGGAGAACTCAGATATTTTTTCATGGTATGTCCACCAATGGATCACCCCATAACATATATGGAACTAAGACACCACATGGCATCATTTAGCGATGAATTACCGCCTCATTTCATCAAATCCGAAGTCGACGTTTACTTAACTAAATTTCATGACCAACCGTATTGCGTGTTTGTGGAGGAATGGCTTCGGGAAAACGCCGAGTTCCTTCCTTCAGAGATTGCTTTTCCACTGGTCGGACTTACACGCCGTCTCACAGTGAATTCTCCCGGAATTGCTGGCCGCGATATACCTACTGGCAAGTATTGCACTGAAAGAGCACGAGGCATATTATCTTCGCAATACCAAGATGGAAAGACTGGTTTATCCTTTCTTCAAGGTACCTTTCTTGTGGCTCATTTGGACTTTGCTGATGGCAATGCACACCGGGCGTGTGCATCTGTTGCACTTGGTCTCCGAGTTATCCAATCATTTGGAATGAACCAGGGCAAGAATCTTTCGGCCCTAAATCAAACGGACGCAGAGGCGAGAAGGCGAATCACTTGGGCCTTTTTCATGCTTGACCGTACATACAACGCAGCAAGAAACTATTCCCTATGTCTATCCGACAAACATTTCACCCTCCTTTTCCCTTCTCCTGCTGATGCGCTATTGACACCGGGCTCCTTACACGAAAAGTCGACGAAAATAGGCTTCAAGGTTGACCAAGGAATCATGGCCTGTCTGCTACGGTTGTATTCTTTATGGGGGAAAGCAACAGAGTGGGTATTTGAACCATCAATCACATGCTCTCTTCCTCCCTGGCAAAGTGGATCGGCCCTTTCCATCCTCGAGTCGGAGTGGATGCAATTTGAAACTCAGTTTGCAGACACTCACCGCTACATGAATGTTGACTTCAAAAGGCGTGCTCGAGAAGAGCCCTGTTCTCGACCATACTTGTCAACCTGGATGTGTGTGCAGTTCCTCTTCCACTCAGTCCAATGTTTGCTTCATCACCCATTTGTCACTATGATTAAGCTTCGACACATGAAAGGAAACCTCTCTGCTACATTTTTGCAGAAATCCTTCGAAACCTCCTTGCTACACTCGCGATGGATTGCAAGATTTATCAAAGAAATGGCCGAAGTGGACTTGCAACTCTGCGACCCGTTTCTAGGATACCTTGCTGCAATTGCTGCCACCATTCAACTTGAGCACACTGGAAATAAAAATCCGCAAATAGCGTTACTGGTCAACAACGAATATCGAGTTCTTGTAGACTTTATAACCGGCCTGTCTTCTCATTGGAATAACATGGGCGTATTGGTAAGTCTCCATCAAAAAGCAATGGCGATGCATACTCTAATAATTACCAGGTCCATCGAGTTAATGAGTTGGCTTCTCGACATCAAAATTATGGATCACTATTCTACAATCAAGATGGATTTTCGGGGGCTCTATCTAAGATGCCAACTCCGTCAAATATGCCAAGGATGTCAACGCAAGACGAGGCCCTCATGTGGGATATACTAGATTTCGCCTCGTCGTCTAGTCCACTTGAGGCGAGCGAGGTACCAGATGCAGTGCCAACCAGGAAGAAAAGAAGGGTATCCGAAAGGACTGCCTCGAAAGACAGTACCCCGCCAAACAACGAAGGCCACACTTTCAAACACCATGAAGTCCTGATAGAATCAAGAAAGGCGAACGGCCCTCCATCTCCACACGCAAATATTGGCCAAAGGGAGACGCCTTTATTAAACGATGAATCAATTACTGAGTGGGATTTTTCAGGGAGAGATGTTAATAACGTTCCGGGATCAGTAGTGCCTGATATTCCTGATTGGATGATTTTTGGAGATTTCATGTCAGAGCATCTCTGAGGAGCTGGAAACGAAAAGCGACAGGGTATTAAATGCCGACTTTGCATTGTTGGAATTTATAAATATTTGATGGACTATTGGGGCATCACTTTGGTTCTCATAAAAGGGACTCTCTGCCCCCCATTTCATAACAAGTGTCATGCTAATATGCGCGACTCCTCGTGAGCTTGATCTACTCAAATGAATGCACAGAGAAATGCATTTTTCAGCATTTCATCAAATTTTACTTTGTCTCGCTGAGAGTACCAAAGAGGAATCGAAGGCACTGCGTTCATGAGCCGAGAGCTCTCGCCTGTCTGGCCCCCCACGGCTGCCGTCACCACCGAAAACCTCCCTTGGAAGCGTTCACGGAACTGAACGGGGAATTTCCACTTGTTGAGCAAGTTCTGTGGGAGTGTGCGTTCGAAGCTTCCAACAATATATTTGCCAATGACAGGCAAGAACTTAAATGCACTATTCAATAATGTGAGTTCGGATGCCTTCATGCAAAAGGAAATTCTAGGAGACTTACTGTCCACTGCCTCCTGTGGCAATGAAAAGGTTCCTGTGTTCCGGATGATAGTCCAGAATAAAGTCACCAGTAGGAGTATCATTATACCAGCAGATTCCAGTTCGGTCGAAACCCCGGGAGGAAAGCTCTGGAAACAGGTCTTCAAGGCCGGATTGCATTCGCTCCAGTCCTTCCAATGGGACAAAATTGGCACGTGCAGAAACCGCGTCAATGGGAGGCGAGGAGACATTGTTCGCGTTTCCATCCTGTCTTGTATAGCCAAAACCATGGACTGCAACCTTCAAATATCCCGTGCCATCATGAGGCGGAAAGCAAAAGAAGCCGGTAGAAAAGTTGAAGTAAATTGGCATGTTCTTCAGCCGAAGGGCTTCCTCTGGGGTGAGACGCAAGTAGCCAACAAGCTGACCAGCTGCGAGCATTGAGTTCCATGTCGGAATTAGACCAGCAGTCCAAGCACCAGTAGCTACTATGAACTGGTCGCCCTCGACCTTGTCCCCATTACTTGTACAGACTCGTCTGATAGAACCGTCGGGATTTGATTCAAACTTGGTTACCTGGCCGTTGGGCCCAGTAAGAAAAGATACTCCGGCGTGAATACAGCGAGACGCAAGGCGACTAATGGCTTTTCCTGCGTCGGCCCAACCAGCGGATGTGTTGTAGAACCCGTCAAAACCGGTAGCTGCAAGCTGCCCAGTCAGTTCTGGGAACCGTTGCTTTGCCTCCTGGACGCTCTTTACGGCATGCCAAGGTTGTCCCATCTTGGTCAAAACATGTTTAGTCTTTTCACTATATTCCTGAGCTCTGGGTTGCACAAGTTGTGTGGAGGTGCCATCCTGGCAAACCCATAGGCATGGAGTCGGGTAGAATGCGTCGTTGTAATCGGTAGTTTTCCATAAATCATATGCCTCTTTTGCAATATCAGCGTAGAGAGGATCGCCGTAGTCAAATCTGATAATGCGTGAAATATCGTTGCTGGAACCATCCGGAACGGGTGGCATAGAACGGTCGAGCACTGTGACTGAGCTATAGCCTTCTTCTTTCAATCGCAAGGCCGTGCTAAGTCCGAAGACTCCAGCTCCGATAATAATAATTCGTTGACTTTTTTCCATTGAGAAAATATGGGTCGACTGAAAAACCAGAATTCTTAAAGGAAATGGGAAGTTGCTCAAGTCAAAAAGAGGCAGTCAGCTTTCAGTATTTGAGCTACGGATGACCCTCTCCAACGGTCCGTCTTCCGGCTTGAGATGGAGGACCAAGTGGGTCAGGCTGCGCAGGTCGCCACGCACGGTCCGTACACGGCCCATCTTGGACTTCTTTGTAGTCATTTTCGAGAAGTTAAACTGAATCATAAAATTGATGATAGCGATTACGGTATTAAAGTAGAGAGACCATAATGTACTAACTAGGCAATACGGGTCGGCTTTCATGTCCATGAACAAGGTCGCCTTTCGTCTTGCCATCGTATGGAAGAACCGAGTTCAACACAACACCGACCACAGCAGCAATTATGAAAGGAGTCTCGACCATCAGATTGATCCCCTGTTCAAAACCCTGGAGCCGAACATTTGACCCACTGTAGGCCAATATCTGGCTGAACCAGTTCGGAGAAACAATATCCATGAAGCCAATTCCCAGTGCCGCGGTGAGAATGAATCTATTTCGCCTGGTAAATTCCACCATGCTGAGAACCTTGACACCTGCTACTACGATCGTGCTATACAAGAACACCTGCATTCCTCCCAATACTGAAGGAGGCATTGAGCCAAATACCGCTCCGAACTTTCCAAAGATTCCCATGAGAATTAAGAAGGCGGCTGCACACCAACCTGCTCTTCGGCTCTACATCATTCACCAATTAGCAAGGAAGAAAGCTCCAAGTAGTTATAAAAATGACATACCGCACATCCTGTCAAGGAAATGACTCCATTGTTGCCAGCCTGGCTGACCATGGGCAATGCTGTTCCCAGGGCGCTGACCAAGCTACCAATTCCATCGCAAAGAATACCACCTTGTACCCGACTGTTGAATTCTATACCATCGATATCGACCCCCGAAATTTCAGCAGTCGCCAAAATGTCAGGCATGCAACTGACAGCCTCGCATATGAACAGGATCAGAAGCGGAAGAGCTAGTGCGCCGTCAACCGAGAGCTTGAAGGTCTCGACCCAGAGGAAGGTTGCGACAGGAGCCGCATCGATATTCTCGCGAGACCAATACCCTGCTGCGCCCGAAATTGTACACCCCACTGCCAATCCGAACACGACGGATGCTGATCGCATAAGTGGCGAGCCAAATAGTTCCACACAGACAATTGTCACAAAGACGCTGAACCCAAGACCAATGAGCTTGGGATCTCCCCTAGAGATAACAAATTAGTACATCAGTCGATGTATAATCATGTCGATGTTTAAAAGCCTCACCAAGGCAACGGTTTAGGGGCAGCAGTATTGGGGCACAGCGCATAATACCCAGAGCCGCCATCGCAATTTGAGCTACCACCCCAATTTTCCATGCCGCTAGAGATCAGATACACCCCCACAAGCAGAAGAAGAGTGCCAGTGACCACCTTCGGGAAAATTCGGTTAAGAATTTTGGGTGGGACAAAGGAAAGCAATATCTGAATCCAAACAGTACAAAGAATGGTGCCAAGCATGGCGCCCCATGCATCAGGGCATGGTAATTTGGAACCATCAGATGCGATCGGACAAGTGCCATTTGCATAGCGCATATCGGCATAGCTGAAGGCAATCGCCAGGATATCAAAAGTTGGTGCTACGACTGACAAGAGGCCTGTGCCGATATAGAAAGGAGTCTTCGCCAAATGAACCCGTGTAACTTGAAGGGCCGTGGCGATCCCCGTGGTAATGAACGCCGCGGACACGAGATATTGGCTTTGGTCTGAGTTCAGATAAAATGCACCACTTGCAATTGCCAAGGGAGGTGAGACAACAGATCCAATCATTGTTAAGGCATGCTGCAATCCCAGGATAATCGTCAACAAGATCGGGACCTCATCGTTCAGGCCATAGAACGGAGCTTCATAATCTTTGTAGCGCAGGTTCATGGGCCATATATTCGGGGTTACCAGATAGAGATAGTCCTGGTATCAAAACAGGTCAGACTACCACCGATCTACATCGGATGTCTCACTTGACGTACATAATTGCCAACCCATCCATCTCGAGTAGTGAAGTAACGGCGAAGGTATTGCCATCGGGTTTCGGCGACAGGCGCGACTTGCATTACCTGTGAAGCCTCGTCGTCAGAATCAAAAGAAGAGCAAACCGGACGATCGGACGGTTCTTTCTCCCGTGATCCCCGCGTTATGCCCATGATTGTCAGCGGCGATCAGCAAAACTTGGAATTGCGTGGCTGTTGTCTTTTCTGTCTTGCAGGCATCTCCAGTGGAAATCCCCCTTCAACGGGGCGAGGATCATGTCCGATATATAACATTGTCCTCGGAATTGACAAGACTAGCGAGACACGATAGCCATATCTCCTGCGTCATAGTTATCTTGCCCCTGATTGTATCGTACCGGCACGTTATCGGGCTTTGTGGGGAATGATAAGCATCCCCGATGTACCCCGAATTGCTTGGCGTCGGCCGAGATTCTGGGGATCCTCAGGGAGCCCTTGACACTTGGTAGCTACTAGAGCTGCTAAAGACTCTCGAGTTTAAAGAGAGACAGCATTTCCTGGCTCCTCGGCTTCATATTTCATCTCCTGCATCGCTATGTCTAATTCTTCTGTTGCTTCAAGCGCTCCGGCTTGCAAACTGTTCGATGGGGCTACGATAATTACGGTCAACGCAAGACGCGAAGTTATTCGGAATGGTTACGTTCGGGTCGACGGAGACAAGATTACGGCGGTTGGATCGGGCTCATATACAGGGGATTTGCCGATCGGAACATCTGTAATTGACTGCAGAGACAAAATTATCATCCCGGGACTCATCAATACGCACGCTCACGTGGTTCAATCCCTGCTCCGAGGACTGGCAGAGAATCTCCCGCTACATAATTGGTTGTGTGATGCAATTTGGCCATTGGAGGCATCCTTTGAGGGTGGTGATGGGGTTTGTGCAGCACGTCTGACGATGGCCGAAATGCTAAAGACAGGGACAACATGCTTCCTGGACCCAATGCTGACCTACCGTGCTGGATTTGATGGAATTTGTGAGGTGGTTGGTGAAATGGGCATTCGGAGCTGTCTTGTGTGTATTCAAACTCGTCCGCTTCTCCGCACGCAATAGCTAACAGTCCGTTTGACATGATCTAGGGAAAACTAGTCAAGTTCACCGAAACGAATCGGCAATTGTCGATCACGGATCCTCGAGATCAAGATCTATTGGCAATGTCAATTCCAGAGCTGATTATTGCGCATCAAAAACATCATACGAGCTACGAGGGCAGACTGCACGTCTGGGCAGCAGCGGGAACTCCTCGAGGAACGTCGATCTCGCACTATGTCGAGCTGGGCGAGACATGCGCCCAGAATGGTATCTCCATTACGATGCACTGTGCGGAGGCGCCAAGGGATCGGGAGATATATCACGACCACTATCACTGCAGCTCTATGGAGTTTATCCGAAATGCCAAACTCTGTCCACAGTCACGAATTTCCGAGGCCCAACAGGGCAAATTGTCGCATCGTCTTGTACTGGCGCACATGGTGAATCTCGACGAGGAGATTGACATCCCGCTCCTTGCATCCACGCAAACGACGGTGGCCCATAACCCATCTTCAAATCTCAAGTTGGCCTCCGGAGTAGCCCCGGTTCCACGCATGCTGTCTGCACCGTCGCCAGTAAATGTCTCTCTTGGAACCGACGGAGCGCCATGTTCCAATCACTATGATATGTTCCAAGAAATGCATTTAGCGGCGATTCTTCACAAAGGAGTCAACCATGATGCTAGCCTCATCCCTGCCGAGGTCGCGCTGGAGATGGCAACCATCAACGGTGCCAAGGCCCTGGGGATGGAGGATAATATTGGAAGTCTCGAGCCTGGCAAGAAGGCCGATTTTGTTGTCGTCAGCCCGTACGGGTATGGGGGACTAGGAGCAGTGCCCTGGGATCAACGATTGAGGACAGGTTGTGTGAGTCCGGTCACGACTGTGGTTCACGGCTGCACCGGACGAGACGTGGATATGACGGTGGTGAATGGTGAAATTCTGGTCCAAAATGGCAGACTGGCCAAAGGAGGAAGAGACAAAGAGACGGAAATTATCCGGATGGCCCAAGATGCAGTCGCAAATTTGCTTCTTCGCTGCAACCGTGATCGCCAACCAGGACAAGAGATTGGAGACAAACTAATGAAGCCCTGGTCGTATGTTTGAGTATTGGAGTCCACCCTACTGAGAGCAGCCCCACCATAGGTAGTTTTTCAGAAAGCAGATTGACCAAAAACACTGTCTACAACATCATTTTCATTTCCAGATCATTAGTAATAGCCTTCACCTGTCGGGAGACTTTGTTGGTGACAAAGAGACGACATTGTTGTGAATCGCCACCCCCACAGGAACAATATCAAGCCATCCATTGCGTGTTTTCAGGCCACTTCATTGACCACCAACCAGCCCCTCAACTTTCAAAAACGTTGATGAGAGCATGGTGGGTGCCTTCCTAGGAAAGCATTCCTCGGTATCAAATTTTCAGATTTTTGCTTGACCCTCGGTTGAGCCCAAATGGGACGAGTTGTAATCGTTGGAGCAGGTTGATAATGACCTCGGATTCGATTGAGATAATTGTGTACTAATAAATCATGGATGTCATAGGCCTCTATGGGCTCATTGCAGCCAAAACCTACTTGCAAGTCACCGGCGCCTACGATAAACCATGCAACGATGATGATTCGAAAGTGGTCATAGATGAGATGACCGAAGTCCCCGAGTGTTACACCCAAACCAAACAGACCTCGGTGGAATCACAAAACACCGTTCTTGTCATTGATGCTGCATCAGATATTGGGGGCACCTGGGCAGCAGAGAGGCTGTACCCCAACCTGCTCAGTCAGAACTCATATGGATTGTATGAGTTCAGTGATCTGCCACTGTTAGATGTGGTGCCAGAAGACAAAGAGGGTGCAGGAAAACGGTTTATTGCTGGATGGAAGATAAATCACTATTTACAGGCCTGGGTCGCTAAATGGAATCTGAAAAAGCATATCAGATTGAAGTGGAAGGTGATTATGGCTCCTTTCATTGCGACCATCTCTCTCACGTTGACTAGGTCAATCGTATTCGCCGTCTTCAGAGTAAAGAATGGGAGCTCAATGTCAGCATCGGAACAGGCTCACCTCATGAGACACAACTTATCTGCGATAAACTCATCCTCGCGACGGGTCTGACATCGGTTCCAAGCATTCCAAGTCCGGGGATTCCAGAGGCAACAAGAAAGAGCCCTCGTCGTGTTATTCATGCCAAAGATATCGGTCACTGGGCTCGGGAGATTCTGGGATATGAACCGATACCTCTCATCGGAGATTCTCAAGCTCAAGAAACAGTATCTCAAATTTCTAGGTCAGATTTAAAAATGCGCTCCGTTGTTATCTACGGCGGAGCCAAATCATCTTTTGACCTAGTGCATTTCTTCGCCAAGCTTCATCAGGTTGATCCTGCATTGCACCTAAAGACTGTCTCGAAGGACCCGGTCCAAGTCCATTGGATTATACGAGATAACGGCAATGGTCCAGCGTGGATGGCATCTCCAACTTCGAAACTCCCAAACGGGAAGGAGGTGGCCAGTGACAAGGCTGCAAGCACTAGATTTCTTCACTATCTGGACCCCGCTTGCTACGAGATCCCTAAAAAACTCTCCTTTAGTCGCATCCAACCATTTCCAGGTTGGAAGTGTCATATGGAGGGCTCATGGCTGGCTCGGCTACTACATGGAAATCCTCTCGGTCGATGGTGGATTCGATCCTTCTGGAGCTCGGTCGATATCAATCTAGAGGAGTTTGCGCAGTATAAATCGGAGCCGAAGATGCAATTACTTCGACCAAAAAACAGGCGAGTGGATGGATTGACAAGATTCAAAACATGACGCATTACTGACATTGCAAAGCGTCGTTTCTTGTGCCTCTGGGATCGGGATCGCCAACCAGCCTGATCTATGGGAGACCGTCAAATCCCCACACGTGAACATTTACCGGTCGGTCATCACCAGTATTTCCGAACACAGCGTGGAAGATGGTGCTGAGCTTGGAGATGGCGTCATGATACATCTTGAGGATGGTGTTTGCATTCCCAATGTGGATTTAGTGGTACATGCCACTGGCTACAAGCCGGTAATCCCCATCACGTTTTGCCCTCCGAAACTTCGTCTTGAATTGGGCCTATCCGGTCTGGTAAGACCGCAAAAAAAAATAGAGACAGCTGAATTAACAGAGATGTACGATCCAGTTGAGCTTCCCCTTGATCTCGCGACCAAGGAATACCTTCAGGCTTGGAAGCCTTCAGACCAGGAGGCGGAGCTTGTGGCAAGAAAGACCTTGGCTGCGGCAGGGTGCATTCCACTTGATAGAAAGACACCATCATGGGCCGGTGAGAAGCAAATACTCCCGTACCGTCTCTTCCGTCGTATGGTTGCCCCAAAGCTGGTGGCAGAGGGCGATCGCTCATTTGCAACCATCGGGGTTATTATGACATCCACAATTGCTGTGGTCGCTGAGGTCCAGGCCCTCTGGATCACAGCATTTTTAACAGGTGGATTCGACCAACCCTTCACCGAAACTAGACCGGAGTATCCTCCAGCACTTTCTCTGGGAGGATTATCTGAAATGATGATGAACAAAATCATTTCAGAGGAGGTTGCGCTTGGTTCGCTCACAGGTCCAACAGGTCTGGAGGTCGACGCGATACATGTATGTTGTCTGGGATCCCGTTCGAAGGTAACATTGGCTGTATCTAACCTAACATAGTATAATGATATGATTATGCGCGACTTGGGGTTAAATCCATACCGCTTGGGAGGAAGGTTGGTGAAGGAACTTATGGGGGTGTACGAGCCATGCGCTTATGCTGGGATAGTCGAGGAATGGAGGAACAACCGGAGATCCACAACGTCGCCAGCATAGGAGTAAATACAGCGCCAATCAAGTACCAAAATACCTTTTCCAGAGAGTACCGCGTAGTGAGGAGCAAGAAGCGAGCACTCCATAGCACCCAATGGTCTGTTTCGCCAGAACCACGTATGTTCCGGAGGCCATGTGATTATCCACGTGACCGGTGCGTAGGCCTTCCTCTTTCGTGGCACCCGCAATTGCCCCGATTTTCCTTCTCCGCACACGACGGCCATGGCCGACGCTTCCAAACAGAGCGCCCGAAGGCTCACCAGATGCCGAACGGGATGTATGCGATGTCGTATACGAAGACGGAAGTGTATGTGGACGAAGGGACTGAGACGCTTGACCCTGTCAGAGTTGAGTGCTAACTGATTCGATCTATAGGCGACGAAGGCAAACCACGTTGCCGCAATTGCGTCGACCGCAATTTTCAGTGCCAATATGGCCCTCAATTGAGCTTTCTGACTAAGAATGCGCAAACTGTACAGGCATCGGAGGTTGGGGGTGTATCTGCAGCCTACGGGGCCATTCGTGTATGCACTTAAGAAAACACCACGTAAGCAGCCATACTAATAAAGCCTTAGTTTGTCAACGAAGAGCCTGAGAAGGAGAAGGCCGATGAACTGGAGAAGGCAAGAGAAGAATCTCTTGCCCCAGAAAATGAGCTACAAGAATCCTATAAAAATACAGAGCCAGGTAAAGAGAATCGCGTGCAAGAGTCGAGTACTCAGTTGCCACTGTGGCCAACCGATGCCATATCCTCCGCTCATGCGATTTTAAACCCCACAACGACGACATTTAGTCACAATGATGAATCGGCGGTTGCTGGACTACTGGCATTGGGAACAAGTGCCACTGAAATGATAGGACCCGAGCTGAGCGTGTCAGACTTTACGTTTTCATCTCCAGCGAAAGAGCTCGCAAATCAAGACACGTCACCTGCACAGGGACCTGGACCTTCAATGGCATTTTCTCCAATTCAACTTCCTCAGCATGCACCAATAAGCCCCGAAGCTCCGTTAACCGAACCACTCGAGCTGTTGCGCCACTATCGCTATCATGTAGCTCCTTGGGTAAGTGCAACCAAGGTCAACTAGAATCTTCTAAACTTAACTCATCTTTCAGTTGGATATTTGTGATTTAGGACAAATTTTTGGAATCCAAGGCCTACAACTTGCAATGGTATCCCAACCTGTTTGGGGTTCCTTACTGGCTCTCTCGGAAGCGTCGATGAACCTATTATGGCCATCTGTGTCCCATGATGGAACCGAGAAGATGACCGAGGTACATCGAAGCTCAGATATTGATATGGATATAACTACAAGGTCATTTTTACGCGTTTTAGATGACACGAAAAGCCTCATTACGAATATTCCAAGAGCTTGGGCCTCGCAAAGGGGAAATAACAAAGATATTTTGGAAGCACTTATTCCACATACGGCTGATAGAAATTTCTGCTCCGCAATGTACTGGTTATTTGCCAGAATCGGCACGTCTTCCAAGTATTCTACAACTGAGATTGGACATCGCTAACAGTTCACTCCAGATCTTGGTGCAGCGCTGGCGACTGATACTCGTGTCCAAATACCACTACCCCTGTCCGCGCCATACTATCCAGGCGGTGATTATGGCGGTGATCCGTTTGGTCTAGTCTTTTCATATGCCAATCGCCCACTCTGGCTTTGTGGGCAATCAATAAACTTTATCCACAGTGAGAAACCATCACCGCAAATTCCCCCACTTCATGTCTGGATGCAGCTTGTCGAGGAGCTTGAGCAATGGTACCAAGACCGCCCGCAAGGGTTTCAGCCCATGCTGGAACTTGAAGTTGATGATCAGGCCGTCGACCAGCGGCAAAGCTTTCCCATTGTACTTTTCGCCAATGGGGCCGGGGTTTTCGCCAACCAGCTATATCATACTGCCATGTTGCTCCTATTACATAGCCGGCCACGAACGGCGTGTATTGCCGAGTTCCCTTCCGCGACAATGTCCTCCCTTTGGCATGCGCAACGGATCTGCAGCATCGCCATTAATAATGAAAGACGGGAATGCTGGGACCCCTGCCTTCTAGCATCTTTTCTTGTGGCGGCTCGTCGCATGACCCACGAATCACAGCAGCAGGAAATTTTGCGAGGGATTGAGCGTATCCGCAGAGTGACTGGATGGGATGCTAGCGACCTAGTTTGTGATCTTCAAGCGGAGTGGGGCTTGCTTGAGACGTAGACCATTCGGTCACCGTCGAGACCGGGTGATTAATATCAAATATAACGGTGCCTTCACCCAGCCGCTGGTAACTGACATTGGCCTGATTTTCGGCCCCGTCGTGGTACTTGGTAACCCCAAGCGAGCTCGAGATCCCGGATACGCCAGCAAGCACCCCATCCTGTCTCCGCTTCTATCTTCCTGATAAGTTCCACGATGATAGCATGCTCGGAGACGTGACTAAAGAGACGACCAGCAATCCAAAGCGGCTGGATGGCATTGTTGAGGCAGCCTTGATGGGGGTTTGCCAGGGAGATGCCACAGACTCGTCGAGCATGCCATAGAGCCGAGACGATCTGTGCGGATTGCAGTTTGATGTTTTTGGGCTGTATATTCAGGAGAAGAATGCAGGCGGTATGGTACAGTTGGTTTGAAGAGATGGCCGCCCAATGCAAAAAGAGCATATGTGGGAATGGTTTAGTCTGAGTGGTATGGACGGGCAGCAATTCCGATGGTCGACTCTCGCACCATTGTTGCAGGTCTTCCCAGAGGTGCAGCCAGCGTCGATTGAATGTTTCGCCTGTGCATTCATTCTGTACAGCTAATTCCACAAATTGAGTGCGATCCGAAACCAATTCACAGGTTTTTGCACACAAATAGACCGCATAGTTGGCATGCATATCTGGAGAACGGGCCGCCTGGAATAACTGAGCAGCGTCGTCTTCATGGCAATTCGGGGCCAGCCATTTGCGAGGACGAAGAAGGGTACTTTGAGTTCCATCTGATATCAAAGCACCGCATAAATCTAATTGAATATGTCAGTCAGTAATCCAGATAGAGATCCCGAGATATTGATTCATACCCATTCGCACATAGCACCAAAATACAGCTTGCAGCAGGCCACTACTAAACCCGTGAATTCCAAAGGCATCAAAAAGGGCCGTGCATCCTTCCAGGTGACGCCGCCAGTCCTGTGCTCTTGCAGACATCATCTCCAGACAGCAGAGCAGCACACAGGCAGCGATGACTTTGGGGTCGCGCATCTGCAACAAAGGACTAAGTAGCCGAATGGCCTCTTGATATAGCTCGATACTATCAAAAGAGTTCTGAATGCCCTCTTTTCGTTCCATCTGTCGGGCAGAGATCGCAAGGATTGCATTGAGAAGGGCGGGGAACGTGCGAGCGAGGGCCGGGATTTGGACGCGAAAGGTGCATTGCGAGTCAAACATGTCCAGCTATCGGAGTTATCAGCTAGCTTCAATTATCTCAACAGAGTTGGAATTTTGTGCCGTTGGGCATTTGCCCTTCCCTATTAGACGGCACCAATCCTGCTCTGCTAGACGGAGTCACATACCCATGGTGCCACTTGTCCCACATAATTTTTCAAGTATTCAACTCGCCGAGCGCTCGAGAGAGCCGGTCGACCTGGAAGCCGCTCCTTGATCCGCTGAGCATACGTTTCCTCATTTTCCACGATATCCTGCGCATTCGTATCCGGAGTTGCCGCCCGCGTCGGGGCTGCAGACTGGGCAATCGTGAATAGCATGCAGCGCAGTTCCTCCTGGGATGCCAGGAAGCCTGGATCATGCGCGAACCCATCATGGCCCCAGCTTGCCGTGCCCAGTGGAGACGGAAATGCAGGCCCATCCGTCGAGTCAGACGGAGTATATGCAGGGGCGTGTTGCGGTTGGACCCAGTCATGGTTCACGTTCATGGCGGGCGCATATGCGGGTGGTGACGAGAGACCCGGTGCGCCCTCAAGTTCGGTTTGGAATGGCACCTCCCCAGTCAGTCGCCGGCGTTTGGGGTGGGGATACATGGTGGGTGTGGCATGATCTTGGGGTTGATGTTGGATGTGAGGTCGGAAATTGGAGGAGATCGCGGGTTTTGTGGGGAAATCGAAGTCGAGTCCAATCTCGGGCAAACCTCCGCAGCCGCAGTTGGACTCCGACAATTATATATTTCCGTGAAACTCGATATATCGTCGATTCTTCTGACAAACAGACAGTAAACAACTCAATACCCCGGTATAATTACCCACACTATCTTACTAAATACATTATACGACCAGCTAAACTACAGTTACTATGTATTAGGTATCTTCGGTTGTACGAGCGGCATCTATACACCTCGATCGTCCACGATTCACGTCCCAATCGAAGTGACATGCAGGGTCATGCTCAGTCCAGTCCGTGTGTTTATTGTGTCCAGTTCCACGCCGATCATTCCGATCTCCAACAGGAACCAATCGCCCTTCTGAAAAGAAGGAGGCCCTGGCCCCTGCAATGTAGTTGACCTGGCCCTGCGAGCATGCAAGGGATAACCCTTCTGACCAGGCTGGCTGCAGCCAATAAACAAATACATATTCCCCAGACGCCCCCCCCGAGGTAAATAGTCACGAACAGCTCTAGTTCGAGTCGCTCGCTGGAATTAGAACTTCAAATTGCACATCATGTACGGCGCCAAACAGCTCCTGCTGAGCTTGCTGGTGATGTCGGTCTCAGCAACGGAGACTGCCAAGAAGACTATGGTAAGCGCAATCTTTCTGGTCATCAATCCTTGGCCTGTGATCCTAGATGGACGGTTCTGAGAGCAATTTTATCTAACTCCGCGGCTGGAAGGTTGGTCTGGAGACCGAAAAATCTAGTTACGGCAAGGATGTGGAGCTAGATGATTGTGTTGAACTGGACGAGGAGTAAGTCGTTTTAGTCCCATCCGGAGCTCAGGGCTTCCATCTGAAGGTTTTACACAGTGAGGTGTTTACAATCTCGATCCGCAAACACTGTCGCGTTTTCACGTAAGTTGGACTAGCACCAGGCAGGACACTTGCTTGGTTCCGTTGACCCTTGACACCGGATTCTTACGATATGCTAGGGGACCATTGTGCACCGGTCGGAACACTCTTCTCAGCCCTGGAGACCATTCGAATGACGATCCCGTGCCGATTACTTCGATCTACTGCCATGCGAAGACACCCTTTTGAAAATATATCTCCATCGATTTCCTTGTCAGCGATAGCACAATGGGATCTCGTTCCATCAAAGGAACATTTCATTGGCTCTCTCATAGACACCAAGATACCAGCAATAGACATAGCAATATTACAATGGGCCGAATACCAACGATGTGCGATTCCCAACTAATATGCAGATTCAATTGGGCACTTAAGAGGTATCTATATGGCGTTGCAGATTAGAGCGTTCTAGTGTTCATTTCCAGGTCCATGGAGCTATATGATGTATAGATGGGCATTGTGTAGAGTTTATAACGAGGCGTTCTCTTCGTCCACCACCAACACCTTGATGCTCCCATTCCGCGTATCAGCACACAAATGCAGCGCATCCTCAGCCTTTTCTAGAGGAAACACGTGTGAGACAAGCTTCTTCAAATCTAGGATTCCACCACTTAAACATTGGATAGCGGGGGGCCAAGTGTCGCGATAGCGATTGATGAAGCGAAGATCAATCTGGAAGAGACTCGTTGGTTAGATGAGTACTCCAATGACAATGTATATAGTTCATACCTCGGCCAATGAAATATGCATGAAAGGCAGGTTGTTCATGATTGCCTTTCCCACCCCAATGACCATAACGGTACCGCCTCGCCTCGCGGTGTATGCTGCAGTGCACACACTGCTTTCAACACCTGTACACTCAAGCACAGTCTCTGGCGCAGTATATTCGGTTGGTCCAAAGAGAGCCCGAATAGCCTCCGCATTACCCTGGGCGTCCTTTGACCGGTCTACCTGATAGGTGATGCAAGAGGGAACAAGGTCCTTGGCAAACGCCAGCCGAGATGGCTCTAAGTCGGTAATCACAATAGGATGGGCACCCGAGGCGCGGGCCGCGGCCAGTGCAATCAATCCAATAGGCCCAGCACCACAGACCACAACGCCGCGACCCAGACTGAGTCCTGCTGTCTTAATACCATGCATTACCACCGACAGTGGTTCGAGAAGCGCTCCTTCGGCAAAGCTGACATTGTCCGGAAGTTTATGTAGCCATTTAGCGGGATGAACTTTGTAGCGTTGGATTGTACCATGATAAGGGTAAACGCCTGCAAATTGAACATCTTCGCACAAATTATATCGTCCTTCGTCGCACAGGAAGCAGTGCTCACATGGAACACCCGGTTCAACGGCGACGCGATCACCTAGGATTCAAATACACATTAGTGACATGGGATTCACATGGACATTCGTTCCAAATAGGCCAAGATTGTATTATTACCAGGCTTGAGATGGCTCACACCCTCACCACACTGCAATACAATCCCAGAAGCCTCATGGCCGATGATACAATCTCCCTCAAACACCAATGATCCAATTCGGCCAGTCTTCCAGAAATGAATGTCGGACCCGCAAATACCAGTCGCTTTGATATGCACAAGCACCTCTCCTTGGCCTGGCGCATAGATTGGTGCCTCTACAGCCTTCAGCTGATGGTCAGCCGTCACTTGTAAGGACGGGTTGGGGTGCGAGGCTGTGATGACGCGCTTCTGGAGCGACTTGGTCACGACAGCAGCGGGATGGTCCAGCTGATCCACAAGTACTGACGGGGCCATTTTCTCTCTGTCAAAGAGGGTGTAGTAGTATGTGGGGGAAGGTGGAAATTTTCACCGGACAAGGCATTTCTTAAGTACCCCCGTCGTCTGCAAAGCATGCTCTTTCGATCGCATGGCGCGCTGGCGGAGGGTTGCAACTACTGAATTCGTCGGCGGCGGTTCACATTACCTCATTCGTCACTTGCCCGAACGGGTTGTGTTTGTCGACTTCGCCGCGTCGTCTATTTGAAGGCCGCTGACCCAGCCAGAACTTTTAGTTCAAAAGACTTCTGGAAGAGGCAAATACGCCAAATTTTGTCGAAATCCAGCGCCATCATGACTGTCACTCCCAATGGCGTCCAAAAGGCAGTGCCTTCCGCACTCCCATTGGTCCAACAACTATCCAAGGATCATGACCTCGTCCTCAAGACTTTCCGTCTTCTGATTGCAGATCTCTGCCAGCAATTCGGCGGTGGCCATCCGGGGTATGTTTATCATCTGTTTCCAATGAGTGTGCTCATCTTGTGGCCCTAATCTGTTTACTGACCTGAAAATAGAGGTGCTATTGGCATGGCCGCGATTGGAGTCTCGCTCTGGAAGTATGTGATGCACTATGCCCCGCATACCCCGAACTTCTTCAACCGAGATCGCTTTGTTCTCTCAAACGGTATGTCTGAATATTGTCGGAGCAGGAAAACCCACAGATAGATCTGACAATGCGTGATAATGCCAGGACATACCTGTCTCTTCCAATACAGCTTCCTTCACCTGACCGGATACAAGGCCATGACATTTGACCAGCTCAAGTCCTACCACTCAGACCGGGTGGATGCGCTTTGCCCCGGGCATCCCGAGATTGAACATGAGGGAATTGAAGTCACCACGGGTCCTCTAGGCCAAGGCATTGCCAATGCGGTTGGCCTTGCCATGGCGACGAAGAACCTCGCCGCAACCTACAACCGCCCAGGATACGACGTGGTCAATAACCACACCTGGTGCATGATTGGTGATGCCTGTCTGCAAGAAGGTGTGGGACTTGAGGCAATATCATTCGCGGGTCACTTGCGCTTAAATAATCTCACCGTCATATATGATAACAATCAGATCACTTGTGACGGATCGGTCGACCTGACCAACACTGAGGATGTAAACGGAAAGATGCGTGCTTGTGGCTGGGATGTGATCGACGTTCAGGATGGTTGCTTCGATATTGAAGGAATTGTCCGTGCCTTGGAGCAGGCTCGTGCGTCCAAGGACAAGCCGACTTTCATCAATGTTCGAACTGTCATTGGTCTGGATAGTCATGTTGCTGGTACTGCCGTGGCACACGGTGCTGCATTTGGTGTCAACAGTGTGGCAGACATGAAGACACTATATGGTTTCAAACCAGAGGAACACTTCGTTATTGGAGAGACTGTCCGCCAGTTTTTCCAGGATCTCCCGGCTCGTGGTGAAAAATGGGTATCAGAATGGAACCAACTCGTTGCTTCATATAAGTCTGAATTCCCGGAGCTGGGTGCCGAGTTTCAGGCCCGTATCAAAGGCGAACTGCCCGTGAACTGGCAGCAGAATATTCCGACTAGCTTTCCGGAGAAGCCAACGGCTTCTCGCGCCTCCTCTGGTCTGGTGTTTAACCCGATCGCTAAGGAGGTAAAGAACTTCATGGTAGGAACGGCTGATCTATCTCCATCTGTTAACATGATCTGGCCTGGAAAGGTCGACTTCCAAAATGTGAGTGTCGCCTACCTCCTGGAACATATCTGCTTCAATGATTTTAACTCGATCAAACAGCCTGACCTGAAGACCAACTGTGGCATCAATGGCAATTACTCCGGCCGTTATATCCACTACGGTGTTCGTGAGCATGCGATGTGTGCCATCTCTAATGGCCTAGCTGCCTATTCTCCCAACACCTTTATCCCTGTCACCTCCTCCTTTTTCATGTTTTACCTCTATGCAGCTCCGGCCGTTCGAATGGGTGCCCTGCAGCATCTACAAGTTATCCATGCCGCTACCCACGATTCTATTGGCATGGGTGAGGATGGTCCGACCCATCAGCCCATTGAGCTAGCTGCCCTCTATCGCGCTATGCCAAATATACTCTATATTCGTCCTGGTGATAGTGAGGAGACAGCCGGGGCCTGGATAGCTGCTATCGGAGCCAAAAAGACTTCGACCATCATTTCCACTTCGCGTCATGCCCTGCCACAACTTCCACAGACTCGCCGCGATGGCGTCGCGCATGGCGCCTATGTTCTCTTAGAAGATGAATCCGCCGCTGTAACACTGGTTGGCGTTGGTGCCGAGCTGTCCTTTGCTTTAGAAGTCGCCCAGAAACTGAAGGCAGAGAGGGGCGTTAGCGCTCGGGTGATCAGCTTTCCTTGCCAACGTCTGTTTGAGCAACAATCTTTGGAGTATAAGCGAGATGTTCTTCGTCGTCACCGCGGGATCCCTGCAGTCGTCATTGAGCCTTATGCTCCGAACGGCTGGGAGCGCTACGCCGATGCCGGCATTTGTGTCAAGCGCTTTGGCCACAGCCTGCCTGGAAAGGCTGCTTACAAGTTCTTCGGTTATGAAATCGACACTCTAACGGCCAAGGTGGCGGGCTACCTTGATCAGTTGAAGAGTGACGATCTTCTTCGCAATGAATTCACCGAGCTATAATGTTCAGGATGTTCTTTAGAGGTAGATAGCATATATAGACTGGAAAGGGAAATTTACGATTATTTTTTGAGTTAAATTCATGTAATATGGTGACTAGCAATTTTATTCAGAATAATTTGTCGGCTCTTTATTGAAATGACCAATATTCGTGTGTCGAATAATTGGCGAACCACCATGTGACGCAAGAAGTAGCCACAGATCATCATGTAGGCAACCACTTTGTACAGAGCCTAAAGGGGACTTAAATGAAAACTTTTGGTGTGGCACTAAGTTGCTACGGATTCGGTTCGATTGGATTGAGAATTATTCTGTTCAGCCATATCCGGAGCTATCTAACGGACAAATTGGAGAATTGTGGAGAAAAGTACAGTACTGTATTGACCCGATTGTGGAGAAGCTTTTGCTCCACCTGGGTTGGCTGGACCGAATTCGGTAGTTGGAAGCGCCTACACATCGGCTAGTCCCCGAAAATTTAGCGGGGATTGGACAAATGTGGCGTCCTCGGGATGTCTACCCCACGTTGAAATGAAGGCCGGGTCAATACATAATGTAGCATTAAGGATGTTTGAACGGCTCGAACCAAGTGCTGATAAGCTGGTTGAAAAGAGAAAAAAAGAAGATATTCTGATTTTTAAACACGGGCCTGGGAGCACGGTCCCCTGCTTTGAGAAAGGATTTTTGGATTTTGTTGGATAAGTCTGTTGACTGTCCTTTAATCCACATCTTAAAGACTAACTACGTGTTCTCATTATCCAATGAGAATAGTTGTGCATTCTCATATATCGAACTCTTCATTCCAATCTATCAATGATCTACTAATGGCGAGACTTTAAATATTGGGCAAAATTTGTGTTTTATTTGAACAATTATGGTCCTCAGACTTTGTAGTTTCGCGAGGAATTTCGAAATGCTATTCAAGATGCTGTTCACGAAGGTTCTCTTCATATGGCTTTATAAAATGCTTCTTGAGATTCGCCACCACTTCAGTCTTCTCGCTGCTGTAGCCCCTTTACTCTCTTACAACTTGTACTCAGGTACATCTAATGGTAAGCCATGAGCAAGTGTGCGAAATGGCATTTGCAAAACATGAACGTCCGGGTTTTGGCCCATATTGGTGTTAGGTACTGTATATCGTGATACCACAGGGCACGGGTGATGTGCTGCCTAGCTCACTAGGGTAAGCACAGCGACCACAGACCATGATCAAACTGCTCATTGAGCAAGGTACAATGATCAATGAGCGGAAGCACAACCAAAGCATTCAGAATTAAAAAAATAGGGATTATGGCATCTAGCGGGTTATGTAGCCCACAAGTTTCTATGCCAGCCTCGGATTGAGAAATCTTCTACCCATAAGTGCCGAAGTTTTTGGGAAAATTCACCACTTCGGAATGGTTAATAAAACAACAGCCTCAGTCACCTGTTCGTGGATTGTTATTAAATACAGAGCATAATGAAGTACTGGGTAGAGAAGAACTAATATAGTGGTTGGCTCCAAGACTCACTGTGTTGCATATGAAATGTTATCGAAACAACCTGAGTAATCGCTGAGCTCCATTCCATACAACAAGAAAGTAAGTGAGCATGACATCAAGGAATCCCTTCAAAGTGACGGCATTCCGATTGGGGGAAAATATGGCTAAAACATAAACTCTGGTACAAACAGGGTATATAGGGTGCTGGATGAAACAGATTTTGATGGCACACATCATATTGTTTCAAATTCTTCCCTGGCCGAAGCGAAAAATATTCCAGCGGCGACCTCGGAGAGATCTCGATCGTTGCGTAATCTCTGAATTTCGCGTATTGACATGATCAATATCGTAGGGATTGGCCTCGTAAACCGTGTCAATTCTCTCGAGTGTTGATTGAGAGGAGATTGACTCGCAAGTCATGGATCTTTCAGCAGGTTCGACAATGGGTTCATTATCGGCAGTTGGCTGAACTTCAGTTTCAATTTTCTTCAAAGTGTTTGGATTGTCGTCTTGACGTGCCTTTTGAGCCAAGGAACGCATAAAGTCATCCGCTTCTGCAGCATACTTGCATTTGCGGCGAATTGCAGGTCCGAAGTGGTAGAAGATGAATGGAAATGGAACGCATGCAAGTGCCAAAAATGCCGGAATGCAGGAAGCCCAATGGATTCCAAGATTCTGATACATGTAAGTTGTAAAAAGTGGGAAGCCGGCTCCAAAACACGAACGGATGATAGAGTTGGCAGCAAGAACTGAAGCTGCGTAAATGGTGTAGGCGTCGATAAGATAATTCATGATTCCCAAGAAAACCAAAACCATGCCGAATCCGAAGGGCGCCGTTGCGAGAACGCACACAATCCAAGGAATTGACGCATAATTGGTCCAAGCGAACCAGAATAGGCCGATCGGAATAGCCAATCCACCAAGGATGGATGGTGGGAGTCGTGCTTCAGGTGGTGCAAATCCATTATGTTTCTCATGAATTCGAATATAGCGTTTATTGTCGTACATATTAAGACCAACTGCTATCATCATCCCTATCATGACGGCGAGGAAAGGTAGGCTGCCCACACCCTCACTCCATCCCCGAATTTCTTGAAAAATGATGGGGAAGGCGTCAAAAAGCATGTAGAGGGTTCCGTAAACAATTGCCATGTATAATGAAAGCAGGAAAACAATAGGCTCGGAGAACAAGAGAATCCAGGGTCGACTTAATGCGGCACTGAAAGCATCTCGAGCGGAAACTTTACCGCGATGAATATCCACTTTGCTGCGATATACACGGCCTGTGATAGAACATAAGCGATCAGCTCTTTTCCGAAGTAAAACAGGGGTGTAGGTCTCAGGGATACACAGTCCTTCGATCATCCAGATCAGACCTGTAAAGACCGCTAAGAATCCTTGAACCCAACGCCACCCAGCATTTTCTCCTAGAAATCCACCAATTACTGGACCTAGCGTAGGGCCAAGGAAGGGTGCGCCGGCGAAGAGACTGGTTGCCAGTCCGCGTTGATCTGCGGAGAAGATGTCCGCAATAACCCCCCAGCATTGGTAAATGGAGAGGAGCCAAAGGAGCCGGCCAAGAATCGGAGAATGATCAAGGTCCAAATGTTTTTAGAGCCGGCGGCACCGGCACAGAACACCGACAACGCAAGAAATGTAACTAGAAAGACAATTTGACGTCCGAAGATTTCACTCAAGGGTGCCCAGAGCAGCGGACCGACAGCGAACCCAAGTACAAACAGAGAGACACCCAAAGTCGCCACTTCTTGACTGACTTCGAGGTCATTAAGTACCTCTGATATGCCACCTGCATAAGCAGAAGAAGCCAATGACACTGCCAATGTAGCGAATGCAACAAGAATGGTATAAAGCCATTTCAGACGAATGTCGAATTCCATTGGGTTCCGAGGATCGTTCGGAATCCATTCGACGACGTAGGGGTCTTCTTCGGATCCAGACCCGGCATAGTCAAAGTCGATGATCTCTTGGGTGACCACACCTTGGTCAGTCAAAATTCGCCAATACGGTATCCGTGTTGGATGGTGCATTTCGGCCCGATCGGCTGCCGTCCGGGGCATCGTGAAATGCAAGTTTGGAGGAGGTTGCAATTGCCAGGTAAAACCAACCAAAGCGAGAGACCCAGGCTTAAAGGAGGAGCTATCTTCTATTAAGTGGTTGATCTAACAGCTAAGACATCTATGCTTATCATGAACTGCATGGCCCCTAATCAGAAAAAACAGGATCGAAAATGCTGATTGCTCAAGAAAGCAGCCTTGATCCACTTGTGGAGTAGCACTTGTCGCCTTTCCGAATCCACCGTAAGAACTCGGCTACGAGGTCGGCAAGCCGATCGATCGGAAATAACGGAGGACACGGATGAGCCGCGGCACGTCGAGACCTTGTATCGTGTAAGCTCATGACGGTTTGAAACGATAACTCTGAGAGCTCATGTCATTTGTCAAAACCATAAACATGACAGAGAGCCCACCTCCCTTCTGCATGTTGATATTTTCCGCTCTGCAAACCTCCCTTGAAAAGTTTGCGCAAATCCGAAAGACCCCCGAAAAAATGCTGAGCTGAAGATTCAACTCGCGCGAAGATAAGTTGAATGATTATAACCAAGGTGGAAGAGAGGCTTTGCTGCTCAAGTAGACTGTGAATATGGATCTTGCCTCATTGATCGGAAGCAAGCCTCCCTGCTGGTTACCTGTAGAAATGCGGGGTCCTAGAAGTGAAGATGATATGGCATGGTAGCATAGTGGATAGTATATGATATACATAATATGAAATATTCAAACAATGGAACATAGATTTGTTGGTGGGATTCGGTGAGAGCAGTGGGAACTAGACCTCCGAGAGAGGGGGTCGCATCGAGCACCTTCGTGTACATCCACAATATTGATGAAGAGAAACGAAACTTTCTAGACGCTCATAACATAGATGACTCCGCAATTTGGAATATTATTTTGACACCCACCCCCATACTTTCCAATACCAAGCCTTTGGTGATTCGATTTCCTTTTCAAATTGAATTCGGCCGGTGTCTAGATCAGCTTCGGCAGCGCGAACGAAGGACGATCGTGTGATAATCTTATGCCCCAAATACAGCACAGCAAACACAATTGGACAGATATAAGCAACAAAGAAATCCGACACATTGAAGGTAGGAATGAAAGATGTGAATCCCTGAGTCAAAGCAATGAGGATGTTGAAGAAAAGGCCATACCATGCCAGATAGGGCTGCAAAACGGCTTTATAAGGAAGCGTGTCTCGAGAGATATTACGAGCTGCAAGTGCTCGCATGAAAGCAATGTGGCATGCGTTGATCGAGGACCAGGTTACAAAACCGGCCACACTAGACAGGTTTACTAACCAGTTGAACACTTGTCCTGCATCATTTGACACATTCATGAAGCCCAGTAGACCGAAAAGGGCAGTAAAAGTGACGCTGACATATGGAACGCCGCCTTTAGTAGTACGGGCAAAGAACTTGGGGGCAAATCCTTCGTGTGCCAGCCCGGTCAAAATACGGCTACCACTGTACACATTTGAATTGGCAGCAGACAAAACCACGGTCAAAAGCACAGCATTGATCAAGCTAGGAAGTACTTTGACACCAGCCAGATCAGCGGCAATAACCATAGGCGAAGATGAGGCGTTGGTAGTGTCCGTTGTAAGTCGACCATTGGTGTAAGGGACAACAAGTCCGATAAAAAAGATAGTTAGCACAAAAAAGAAGAGGATTCGGAAAAAGGTTTTGCGAATAGCAGATGGTACTGTCTTCTGCGGATTCTCTGTTTCTCCAGCAGCTACACCCACTAGCTCTGTTCCCTGATACGAGAAACCAGCCTGGATGAGAACAGCCCAAAATCCAACGAACTTGCCAACCGACTCGGGCTGATCGATAAGATGTGTTGCAAACGCGCCGGGGTTATCCCAATAGCGAAACCCAAGATACCCTTGCTGACCAACACCGCAATCGACAGCAATGGCGAAGATCATAAAGCCGATGACTGTAGCCACCTTGATAGTCGAAAACCAAAACTCCAACTCGCCGTAGAAGTTGACAGGCAGGAAATTCAGGGCACTTATGAGGACCCAAAAGACACCGATGAATATAGCAATGTTCAGACTCGGATCCCAGTATTGGATGATCGTTCCAGTAGCGGTCAATTCGACGGCGAAAGTAGATGCCCAGTTGAACCAGTAAATCCAACCCATGGAAAATCCGAGACTAGGGTCGATCAAACGAGCGGCATAGGAGGTGAAGGCACCAGGAATAGGGATATACGTCGCGACTTCGCCAAGTGAAGACATAACTGAATACACAATTGAACCAACGAAGATATATGCGATCAGTGCACCTGCGGGGCCGGAATATGCGATCGCCGTTCCGCTCGAAATGAAGAGTCCTACGGGCAATTAGCGGTCGACGGTCAAGATGCGGGGCTTTTTTTCGGCGTCCTAACCAGTTCCAATGGTTCCGCCTGCAAGATAAATCTCATTGTTAGCAGAAGCTTGACACTTGGGATTACGGGTAGACAGGAGATAGAAAGGAAAGACCAACCAATCGCGATCATTTGCAGATGCCGGCTTTTGAGCTTGCGCTTTAGCTCGCCAGGAGCAGAATGGGAATTGTTATTTTCCTCTGCATCTAAGGGTTTGATATCCTGTGCGATATGTTTGGATTGTGTGTCCATGGGGTTCAAGCAACGGCCAGTGACTTGTGGCTCCGAGGCCATTTCGTCAGGCATTTCAGAACGGCGGCGCAGCGTCATCTTGAATCCAGCACCAGGAGCGACGGTCACGCTTCGGTTGACACCCCGGACGACTGACAGGTATTGTAGATTGGATTGGAAAAAGCTAGCAAGAATTTTCCAGGTCTGCAGAGTACATCTTGCAAATTTCCGTTTTCGCTTGCAGGTCTGGGTGGGGTTCCAACAAGGCGAACAAGACCCACTCGGCCACCGCGCGGAGAAGAATTTTCTTAGGTAAAACGGATGCCGAAAAGGAAAGATGCGACCACTTGGTGGCGCCAGTCGGTAACCCGATTTATGACTGGGCCAGGCATTTGTTTCCGATTCATGGCCAGGCAATCGAATTACTTATGGAGGCGAAGCAAGTTCAAGACGTATACAGGCCACCAAAAAGACTTAGCGGAAAAACGAAGAGGAACCTAAGATCGACACCAAAACAGGTCCAACACTATAAACTCGTGGATCCCGTAGTGATGTACATCGTGCCAGTTGGTTGGTTCAAGAGATTCAAGCTTGAAAATAGAGCCAAGCCTAGTTTTCGGTTGGGTTGGGAAGCGGGTCACGTGTACTATTGCGATCTCACGGTTTGCATTTCACATGGTATTCAGAAAGAGAAGGTCTGGACGAGGCAAAAATACTCCGGATAAATATATGCACAAACTGCACTAGATTCTCAGAATGTAAGCGAGGCATATGCTCCAGATACCCCGTGATGGCGATTCCCATTCAGGCGAGCTCTTGGGCGGATTCACTCGAAGCCCCTTCTCCTAGGAGAAGCTTAAATCTTTGCCTTCGCTCTTTCTCGTGCCTTGAATTCACCTTTCATGGGTCCTGCAAAGCCAAATAAATACGCTGCAATCTTGCGCATCTGGATCTCCTCCGCACCCTCTGTAATACGATAACGCCTAAAATGGCGATAGATGTGTTCGAAGGGGTAGTGGCGGGAGTATCCATCGCCTCCGTGAATCTAATCCGCTTCATGTCAGTTCGACATCTCTGTTTCTAAGGGAAGGTACCATGCGGAAATCGAGACGCACCTGAATTGCCCGGTCGGCCGCCTGGCAACATAGTCGGTTTGCCCAGAAATTACACATGGCGACTTTATCACTCAGCTGGCGCTCAATTGCCACCCATGGAGGCTGTTGGGCCGTGCCTGATCGACTTGAAGCCACCAGGAGATCCATATCCCAGCTAGTTTTCAAGATAAGGAGCCGTAACATCTCCACTTGTGTCATGAGCTCTACCACTGGGAACTGGATGGCCTGGTTGTCGGCTAGTATCTTCTCGTCGCCCCAGATCTTCCGCGTACGCGCACGCTCGATGCTGCGGTCGAGACAGAAGCGTGCAGCACCACAAGAGCTAGCAGCCTGGCGTATACGGTTCTCATGCACAAAGGTCTGTGCGATGGCCAGTCCTTGATCGATCGACCCCAATACTGCTGATTCGGGAACCCAGACACGTGTGAGCTCGATCGTTGCATGGTCAGTGGGCATGTTCAAGGTCCACTCATAACTAGCAATTCGCACTCCAGGCGTCTCACGGGGAATTAGGAATGCAGTTATTCCATTAGCCGACCCAGCAGTGCCTGATGTTCTGGCAAAAATGAGGAAATGCGTACAGTGGTGAGCACCTGTTTGCCATTTCTTCGCTCCGGTGATTGCAAACCCATTTCCTTTTCGGCATGCTATCGTTGACATGAATGTAGCGTCGCTGCCATGGTCAGGCTCGGTCAACCCAAATGTTGTCCGGAAATCGCCGCGAAGACGAGCTGGAATCAGCGTTCGGCGCTGTTCTTCGTTACCAAAATGATGAATCATCAGGATGTCCGGGAAATTCCCGACAATGCTATGCTCATTCTGCAAATCATTGGCTAGACCAAGGCCGCCTCCATAGACGGGGTGGGACGATAGATGGAAGCGGATGGCGGACATCCACAGATTAGTATTGGGGTGCTCTTCGCCTCCATATTCTTTAGGTAGAGCGAATCGATAGAAGCCCGCCCTGTCAGCGAGAATACGCGCTTGTGCTAATACCAAGTCAGATATTACCACATTAATCAGGGATAAGAACAAGTTCAATGAACCTACTCAGTAAATCTTCCCATTCACGCCGTGGATTGCCATTATTGTCCCAATCCGTCCGTGAATTTTCGCGACGGTGGTCGAAGAAACGATTATTGTCGTCCTGATGTTGCAATGGAAGGATCGAAGATTGAATGAATGAATCTATGGATTGAAGATAAGACTTGAGCTCTTCGGGTAAATTGAAATTCATATTGGATGTAATGAAACCTACTTTCAAATTTAGGCTCCAGGCACATCCTTTGCACCCTTTATGCAACACACAGATCGCCTTCCCCGCATTCGGACCTCGGCTGCCGCTTCGGGTGAGTCTTCCCTTTCTATTGTAGGCAACCGGTTGGAACATATTTCAATCAACTGTGCAAAACCATGGCCTACAGCACACACATGCGACCAATGGGAAAACTGATATATTATGATGAGTACCTCGAGGCAGCTTTGGGTGAGGCGTGACGATCTTCCTTTTCATCATTGTCAGATAAGAATTACGAATTACGGCCAAACACTACAACGGCTATGCCAGTTTCCAGTATGGTTGCGCATTGATCTTTACCAATTCCACAAAGCCATGAGATTTGTATATTTTAAGTCAATTACGTCTGCATAATACCGAAATTGATTGTGTCAGGCAGATCGCCTAGAAAAGATTTCCCTTGTGATAGATATAGAAACAGGGAAGCAGGCCTTGAAACGATGAGCATCTGAGTCAAAGTGTTCTCGGAGTCATATGATCATGGCTGGTGGCAAGATAACAGCGTAGAATCTATCAGCCTTTATTTTCCATCTCTTTGACAGTCTAGATAGACTTCAGCTGGGATAAGGTATATCTCAATGTGCATTCTAGAAAGGGCACTGAAACGTGAGGTACTCCGTCCCCTCACGTATTCCTTAAGACTGGCCTCATGTCTTGGAGTTTATCTCTGCGACTGCGATCATCAACTTTCCCCCCGCGATGTCTATACAGTTACTTCCCTTTTTAGACTTGTGAATCAAACTAGGAATATAATTATATCAATACATCTTTTGATGGAGTGTCTGATTTCATCCACTTTGGCAGTATTATATTGTATTCATGAGCGGTATTCTAGGTATGCCCTGAAGCTTTCTTCAGTGGTTTTTCATCGGGCGTTAAAAGCACCTTTTGAACATGAGGGATGCGTACCATCATTTGTGCTGGAATAAATAGCGTCTTTAAATTTCCAATTTCCAACTTAACATCTTTTTGGATCTGGTGAAAATATGAGAAATGATAGCAAAACAGACCAAATTTTCTGACAGGGCCTTTTATGAGGAGCTGAGAGGTTGAGTAACAAAGATGATCCTGACCAGGATAATTGTAAAGATCTAGTAGAGATAAAGGGACCAGGTGGCCAACAGATCTGGGCTCGCTATACTTATCGGGATTTTGAGCTTCTTGGGCCCAATATGAATCCTTCGATGCTAGGCGACGGAGAGTCATCGTTTCAATGGATTATTCTGTCTCGCTAAAAATTTTCAGTTGTTTTCGGATCCACATGAAATTTTGGAAGCCTCTCATTCAGTAAAAGAATTGACGTTTAAAGGGAAATAAATCATGGCCAGAAACGTGGCTTATTCCCGATATGCGGAAATTCTTGACATCCCTGTTCAGGCCAGCAGAAATGTTTCATTTATGCGCCATGAAGTTTGGGTGTCTGGCGTTCTTGTATTCAAAATTTCACAACTAGGGCTTCAATATATTTTTCAAATGATGCGGCAGCGACATGGCTATTCAATGAAATGTGTTAGTATTATCTCGCATGTAAAGATTTATTCTGAGATAGATGGATCAAGCTAGTGGAGCTCTAAAGTTATGAATGGATTGAAATAGAAGTGGCGGTGTAAGATCGATCAGTCAGGGAAGGTTCGTCACCACGCCATGACAGACCCCTACCAGCTGTATCCCTGTCCAGCTGTATCCCTGTCCAGCTGTGATTATAATTTCCAGTATTGGGTATTGAAAGTGATACCTATGTTTTCTCCCAGCCCAGACTATCGGGTTCTCTGTACTGCAGACAAAGTATGCTGTGTAATACTATGTTTTAATCGCATGAAACCTTTGACAGATAAGTTTACGGAGGCTTCTTACACTGATCATTATTAGAGCGCAATTATCAATAATTGGATGCCCAACAAGAAAAAAAAAAAAAAGAAGGAATTGAAGGATCGTCAATCTCCTTGTGGTGTTTCATGGCTACGGGATGGATTATATCGCCAAAGACCATTTCAATAAGAAAGGATGATGGCACTATCATGGACTGCATGAGAGTCTCAGTAAAGCAAATAGTTGAATCTAAAAAAGGTTTTTGATCAATCTTATTGGCTACAAAGCAACCCAGCAGCGATTAATGCGAAGAAAACGTGGTAATTGAGAAAATCACTCAACTAAGATCGAGAGAGAGTGTGTGGAGGATGTCTCTTGATAATCCATCCATATTTCATCATTTTGTAGTCCATTTACCACTTTCAAATAGAACCATCACTTTAGATGAGTGCTGGTTTTAGCTACAAGTAGGTCGCATTGTAATAACCAATATTCGATAGAGCACTCTTGAGGCGCGAGCTCTAAAAACATACAGAATCCAGACGTGCTTGATTTTCGAAGAAAGCTGTCAATATTCCCATCCTGATAGCTCAAGTATTCTTTAGAGCTTCTGAAGAATGCATCCATCTCTAAGCTACCGACAGTCACGAAGGTCTGCCTGCGACCGTTGTCGAGGGTTTAAATTACGATGCGAACGCGATCAAGTGAGCGGCAGATCCTGTGAGAGATGCCTCAAAGCCCAGGTAGTCTGCACGACGAGCGTGGGTCATCCAACTCCAAACTATCTTCCATCAAAGCCGGGTCAAGGTCATATAGCAACCGATTGCAATAGAGCACTACTCACCGGCGATAGATTAAGTATCTCCATGCCACACAGAATAAGTCCATCTAAAGTGAGGAAATCAGTTAGCTCTGCTCGGTCTTCTGGGCTACATGAACATACTCTAAATTACTGGAGAGATCAGGAAATGATTTCATGTCTTGCTGATAGGGAAGTGATTCCTTCTGAGGCTGGGCTCGTGATATCTACATCCTCTTGTTCTCCCCAGCCAACACCAGCCGAGCAATGGAAAGACCCAGCCTTTTCGTGCGGTCTCAGCTCATATCCACTAGTAAGTTATCTAATGGGTTCAATATATCATAGCCCAAGAGCTTTACGAAGAATTGTGTTAATGAAAGCAGTCTAATGATATAAGTGTCCTTGGGACAGGAAATCTCCCTCTTGACTGCCTTCAGCGCTCTGATCTATTGTCCTCTGACCTTGCTCAGAGAATCCCAGTCAGTACAACAGCGGATGATTTATTAAGTCATCTACCAGATTCCATGATATTCCCAGATCCAGAAAATCTGCCTGTCTCTGCCGAAGACTGGAGTCCTTCGTGGCAAAGTCACTCGGAATCGCAGACAAGGGAAGACCGACAAATATTTTCCACAACTGGACGGGGCTTCATTGATCAATATGATTTAAGGAAGAAGCTCTTGAGACTTCATCTCGACATCGTTGAAGATCTAGAGCTTTTGAACATGAGTGTGTGTACTGGAACATCGTCGTCTGTTCGTGGGGAAGCGACTACATCAACGGTCGGGAAGCTAGATCTACCGATTTTCCGCATGCTTGGACACTCGTCCAATTTTCTAGAGATCTTGGAATGTTCGGTTGACCTTATCGAAGGAAATCGCGGTGTTTCATTTGACGTTAACCATCTCGAAACAAGCGCGCATGGTGGTGATGGTACGAGTGGTTCTCCAAGGGCTGTAGGCTGTGACAAGGCGGAGAACAAGGCGGGTACAGCGCAGTCGCAAGAGTCATGTTTCTTTACACTCATGACGCCTCCTCGACATAATATCAATGTTACCAACCTTCCATGGGACATATCAACATCTTTAAGCATGCTATCAACTTATTGCGATTTGATCCGTGTGCATCGCACTATTTTCAACGAACTCTATCAAATACTTCTCACTATTCCGCCTGTTGATGCAACCCCTTTTTTGTTGTTGTCAAACTTGCCATTGGGACAGTTTCAAACGGACGGAAGTTTGACTGTTCAAGTTCAAGTTCTCATTCAACTCAGCAGTACTTTGTTTTCCAAAATTGATCATATTCTTGGGATACCCCTTGACCAAGCGCAGGATTTCGTTGCCTACTCGCATCCGACTACAGCAATTTCTCAGAATAGTGAGCTAGCATCTATCCGAGATCACGTGATAACAAATGAAGATAGTCTAGGGAGATCTGCTTTGAAGGAGTCAATCAGTTACTTGCGCCAAATCGTGGAAGACTTTGTTACCGTGTGATCTTTAATATGCTCGAATCTGTCTCCAACATATGTTTACTGCTTTATAGAGAGATTTATGGTATCTCATTGCAATTTCTTTCGAGATCTGTAGCCAGGTCTCCTGTGTAGGAAATGGCAAATTACCCGACTCTCCTCAATCGTGGTAAATCTATTATAAAAAACAGACAGCTCTTTTTTTTCCTTTTTCTTCTAATTTCCAAGAAGCGCCATGGAAATTCGCCGATACCGGCGAATCGTCTACAAATATCAAATACCACATCTTCCGACCCCGATACCGACTCCGAAGCTGTACGAGGTCCCGGGTATCACTTAATTACGCAATTCTAGTTCTCCGAAAAGAAAAGCAGCTATTTAAATATTCATTCGATGCACATAGCAGTAAATCTACTGGAATATCAAAACCCTAAAATCATAATAAAGATGGCTGCTCCCAACTCAAAGGATTCTATGAATTTGGTCGGAACCTGGCATCTGGTTTGTTTTCCTGGCGACTTGAAAAGGGACTCGAATTAATCGAAAACATAGAATAGAACATTATCTGATGACCCCGACAAGATTTTTGCTCTGGTATAATCACTAAAGTATTTACTTCGTCATTTGATTCACATTTCTGATCAGTTACAGCAAGGAGTTCCTTGGGTCGTTCGGCAAATATTACGATATGCGAGCCTCTCATTGCACATTTCACAAGCTGTTCGTTTTCCTGACGGCACTACCACGGTGATAAACGAAAACAACTCAGATATTGAATATCCCATCGATTCTATCATGACGCTTCATATCAAACAGACCGTGTATCCCGGAGGTTTTAATAGCGAAGGGAGCTACCCTGTTAACGGTACATCCCAAGACCTGTCGCTTCCAATTTTCGGAGAAGTTATGATGAAGTTACGATATGTAAACACATCTAGTGTTCCCGACGAGAAGCTCCGAAGCCTTCTCAGCCAAGGAAGCCCATCAAAAATGGCTATCGACGAGCTGGCCCATAATTCATCCAAAGGATGGCAGGCACAGGTCTGGTGGGGCTTTGAGTGGGTTGGAGATACCAGGTACTTTACTCGTAACGCCACCGTGACTAGAAACAAAGACGGACAGACTGTGACGTCTCGAATGGTCTATGACTTCCTTAAATGACCAGAATCCTGCTGCTTTCTGATTAATCAATATATTCGGGCCTTTTATATCATTCTTCCATGCTTTTGTTCAATACATACTGTAGTGGAGAAACAGCCAACGATAGGCTGGACCTTGTTGGATGATATTTTCCTGGCGGACTGTTTTTCTCAATATAGCTTCACATCTCAGATAGAGAGAAATACTAACTCTACACACTGTTCTACCGAGACAGCATCTGTTTCCTCTCTGGGAGATCGACCACCAGCGAGGTGTGTGGTGATTTGGCTTTTGAGTCGTTGATCTCTATCATCCAGTCTGCCTGCCAGACATACCTCCGAACGCTCTGGTTCAACACGTATACCGTAGAATCGATAAAATAATACCGGAACTTGGCGATGAGCATGAATTATGTTTATCTCATTTTTTGGTCCTCCAATGAAAGTCTCGATAGAGCTCAATTTGCTCCTTGGGGAAGGAATAGATTCCGTGCAAATATTGCATAATAAGAGAAACCAGACTTGCCATTCATTTTATGTAAGCATAATTTAATCCCGAAAGGTGGCCTATGAATGGAAACAACATTTCTTTCACCATGTTGTGTCAATTATCCCTGATGAGCTATGTATCACTTCGCAATGAGACGATAAGTTTCTTTCCCGACACACTACCTTCCCTCAGCATATCCAACCCTTTCATAATCCCATCAAACTTCCCCGGTAGAAGATCCACAGGGCATGGCCTCAATTGGCCTGTACTGACCAACTTCTCGACAGTTCGATACCATGAGCGTGCCCACACGCCAATCTCAGGCTTTGGTGGAATTCCGTATGGCTCTGGCAGCTCTACGCCCTTGCCAGATATGGCTCCACCCATTACAAGCTCGTGTTTCACCGTTTTCCGGGAGCACAAATGCTCTTGATATTGTTCCAAAGCACAATATCGTCCCCCAGTGCGGCCAATCACCTCTTGGCATAGACGGACTGTCTTTGCTTCTGCAAAGGGGTCCAGAACAAAGCTCAGGGTATTTTTTGTCACGGCTCGAATATCCTGGGCGCAAGTTGGAGATTGATAATCAAAGACATAGTCCGCACCATATGATCGAACGAGCTCAAAATTATGAGGAGAGCATGTTGTGATGACACAATGGCCGCAACTATTAAGTTTAGCTATCTCCCATGTGATTCAAACGCCAAGAAGTTGGGTAACTAACAGTTTTACCAATTGAATAGCAAGTAGCCCGATAGCACTACTACCTCCATATACCAGCACGTCCATTGGCTTTTTAGACGGCTCATCCAGGCTGCCAGGTAGTTTCAATGACCAAAATAAAGCCACTCCAAGGGTTGCAATACCGGTTCCTGATATTGCTGGCGCAATATGAGATGGTATTTTCTCAGGAATGTGAAAGGTGAAGTCTGGGTCAGTCCTCAGATACTCGCAATAAGCCCCAGATAAAGGATCAGATTGATTTGAACCCTGTACTGCACCAAATACTCGATCTCCGAGATGAAATCGTCCTTGCGCAACCACATCAGTGCCGAGTGCGACCACAGTACCAGCAAAGTCACATCCATCCCAGAGACCTGGTGTAGGGAATCGAAGCGGCATTTTAAAATCACAGGGATTAAGAGCCACAGCAGAAGTTCGAACAAGTATGTTATGAGGTTTCAGCTCTGGAACGGGCAATCCTGGTGTGATTTGCAGATTTCCTCCTTCATGCTGGATGATGGCTGTTTGTGTGTGAGGAATATCGAAAACAGGTTCCATCTTCAGAAAGAAAAAAAGGTCTTTTTTGACTTGTAAAAATTAAATCTTGTGATAGTATTAAAGGACAAGCTAATAGAGCACAGAAATCTATAATCAAACAGGTTACGCTTTTGAATCTACTAGCGCTTCTATGTTGACTCACTAACCTCGGCATTCAAGGAAATATAATACCCATGCTTAGTATTTGTCATACACGGACGAATCCAAATCAAGTTCAATTTTGAATATTTAACTATGGACATGTTACACAGTTCTTTTGACCGAAGTCTAGGAGCTTTCTGTCTACATTGCAAATTGAACTAGCCTAGAATTAAACTATGAAGAATGGGTGAGTCGTCGCAAATCGAGACTGGGCAGGGTGGTGTTTGATCAAAAGTTAGAATCAAAGGATCTCCAACTTGAGAAAAAAGGATTCGTGAGCGCATTGTCCGTTTATCTTACGGTAACCCATAAAGCACGCCGACTTGCCCATCGAATTGTCAAAAACCTCGTCTGTTGAATGATTTGAAAACCCCATCACTTCTTATCAACTTAGAGCACACAAGGATCTAACAAGAATTTAGCTGCATTTATTTTGAAGTGTGCCATGCTTGATACGTCTTTGTCCCGCCGCAAAAAGAACATTTAGCTTTACTCAGTTAAGAACTGTTCATACCCAGTTAACAACTATTCACCAGAAGTCAATTTCTGGCTTTTCAATATTTGCTGTGGAGTTTTTCTTTGGAGCTACAGATCGACTGATAAAAGATCCATTTATCAAAACGAGCCTTTGACACAGTTGTTTGTGCAGTCCTTTGAACTTAGATATAATTATGACAACAACATATCAATATTATTGTTTCAATTTCATATAATAGGAAGGTGAAGTGCTTGCTAAGCACTACTCCCCACTTGGCTCACTGTAGGCATGAGTCCAGGCCACTGGGCTTCCGAAATTTGGACTACCATCGCTGTGCTCCCCCAATAATTGGACCATTGTATACCTACTGTCATTGCACGCCCCAGAGCTATATTCCGTGGCATGGTAAACCATCCAAGTCTGTGACGCGTCAGGACTTTGGAAGAAACCGTTACTCCCAGGGCCGTAATTTCCATTCGCGGTGGCAAACACACACCCATCATGTTTGGACCAAGCGCTTGACTCGGTTGGTTCGGTTAAGCCATCCCATGTCAATAGTCCTAGGCAATAATTGGCAGTCCAACAGTACGAGGCTGAGTAAGATATATAGGTAGTCCCTCCAAAATACAAGGCAGCAGGTGCCTCATTGACAGGAGTTCCATTTTCTTCCCATAACTCAGTTGGCTGTGAGATTACATATATATCCCCTGTCAATGAAACATAATCGGATGAAAGTTGTTGAATACAGATCGATTGATATGTCACTCCATGAAAGCAAGAGAACATCAAGAAATTTCCGTAATCAGTGAACCGCAGCACTGACGCATCGATTGACCATTCTGTGGTCAATTGACCACTGTAGGAGAAGTCATCCCACGGCGTAGATCCACCTGCCAGTAGTCAGTGAGCTGCCACTTGACATCTCAATTCATAGTTACCTGTGAGCACATGGATGCGTTGTCCATCTAAGTCCGTTGTTTCTCCCGCAGTGTAATATATGTACCACGTATCGTCGAAATAATGGACTTCGGGAGACCACACATTGCAGCAGCGCGAGGCGGTTGAAGTGGAATAAACAACCTTTTTAGTTGCAGTTTCCAGTCCAGCTATGGTTGTCGCCCTTGCAATCTCAACATCTGTCCATGTCGTGCTCAGGAGGTAGTAGTAGCCACCCGTATACACCAGAAATGGATCACTCCCTCCAGGATTTCGGATGGGGTTGTACCATGCCGAAGAGTACCTGAGTAAGACGATGATACCAAACACTAGAGATAGTTTGAAAAGCTGCATGTCAAGTGAAAATTCTAGGCTCACTGTATTCTAGCAATAAAAGATGCAGGATATTAGTCAAGTCACGGAATGGCTATTTATATTAAAACTCCGAGGTAGAGAGTCAGATAGACACTGATATTAGTGGAATGCATTCCCGGTTTTTCATTTGGGATCGCTCTCAATGATATCAAATTTAATGCATCAGTCAGATGGCTTGTACAAGCGCGGAATAGATAACATATGGCATGTCTCTTGAAATTGCTGAAGTCCACCGGGATCTTACGATTTTGAGAATACCAAAATTCTCCTATTGGTGCAACTCAAGACCTGGTTGCATACTGATCCCTACATTTCAAATCATTGGCTGAAAATTATAATTGAATGACTCAGGTCCCTTTTAGCTAACTGACGAAGATTTTACAAATTCACGGAAGAGCTTGCCTTTCAATCGGTGATTTGGAAAAGAAATAGCCATACTGAGGGGTGGTTCTCATTTTCATCAATGGTAGTGGCGGTGGATTTGAGAAGAACTAGTGAGCTCGGTCGCAAAAATCGATTTGAGTAAATCCCAAAGTTCTGCCCATGACTGATTGACATGTAACCGGTACCAAAAAACGAGCCCACATTCGTATATACGTATATTCTGTCGTCTATTAGACTTAGTGCTGTTCCAGCACCACCACCCCAAGCTCTTTTCCTGCGAATGAGGTCTGAGCTGATTAGCTCGTGATCAATGCAGTGCCAAACTAAACTCGAGAAAGCAATCAATAACGAAAGAGATTGCCAAGCACTATGAGCCCCGCATTCTCCGCTTTTTCCTGATTCCGTCATTCAGCACGCGAATCTCATCATGAGAGTCGCTAGCCGACCGCCCGGTTGCCGACGACCCGGCCTTCTCCCATACCATACTGCACAGTGACTATCTCAGACCTTGATAGCACCAACATCAGGAAGACCAGTGGCCCGCGATCAGGATGGGATCAAATACCCCTAAAGGCTCAAGATCAAGGTTTGGTGAGCTTTCACCGAGAAGATAGATAGGTCGGTCAACTTTCAACTGCTGACAGCATCCACAGGTTGTCGCACATGTCGTGCTCGTAAAGTGGGAGTCCAAACAGCCACGATAAGCTATCTATGAGCTACCGCTTACATCCCATCTTCTCATTGTAGGTCAAGTGCGATGAGCGCCCCGGTGAATGCGGAAACTGTTCTCGATTGCGCCTAGTCTGCTCAGGGTATGCAACCTCTCCGAAATCGGAATTAAAGGATACCGCGAAATCGAAAGATAGCAATGAGAAGTCGGGAAAAAAGAGAACATATAGGTCTTGCAGTGGCTGTCGAGCCTCTAAAACGAAATGCTCAGGAGACCGACCGGTATGCAAGAGGTGTCATAGCAAAGGGCTTGCTTGTGTCTATTCCGAGTCATCACAGCCCAACTGGATCCATCGAATTGAAATCATCTCCAAGACCAGCCGTGATACTATTCCTACAGCATTGACTGTTCCTGATATACCGACAGCCAATCTTGCAGAATCTACTCCAATACAATTGTGTGACCAATCAGCTTCGCCTCATTCTTCAAATCCATCATATCGGCAGTCCCTTGCCCCAGATATAGGAACCGAACCACAAACATTGTCATTGAGCTGGTTGGTCATCAAGAAAATCACAGTTTCCTCAAAATCATGACTGATATGCCCTTATATCTAGGTTGACAACTGGCCATCTGCCTAGCCCATGGAAGGTTAGATTATTGGTCGAGGAGTACTTCAAAAATATACACCCTCTCCGCTGCTTTGCTTTCATTCACCGGCCTTCATTTCTGCAGAAGTTGGAGAGGCAAAGCACGAAATCATATCAAAAACATGCATTACTTCACATTATTTGCGCCCTGGGTGCCCAGTAAGCCTCGTCTTCATTGATTACTGGACGTTGCAAGAAGCTGAAATGAAACACGGCAAGGTTCTATTCACTTAACTGTAGTGAAACTGTTAACTCTCTCTCATCGGAATTTATACTGATGGCTGGAAACGAGTGGGCGAAGGAGGCCCAACGTCTTATCCTGGAGACACTTGACGCGGTCAAAGTCGAGAATTTGATGGTCAGCCAAACCTTAAGCCGTTTCGACCAAACTCTAGTATCTGAATTAAATAGGCAGCCGTCTTGCTACACGATTACGCAGTTCGCATGGGAAACTTTTCCAACGCATTCATGCTCAGTGGACTCATTGCCCGCATGACACAGGCATTACAAATCAATTTGGAGTATAACACCGATCTTCTTTGTCAAAATGGGGATTCCTCTCCCTCAGTGACTGAGAGAGAATCGCGTCGGCGTCTCATGTGGAGTTGTTATGTGATGGATGCGCTAGTAGGCAGTGGTGTGGATCAGCTGACACTAGTACATGAGAGCGACTTGAAGATTCAACTCCCCTGCAATGAGCGAAACTTTACCCAGCAGATCCCATGTTTTACTGAAACCCTGAGTCCTGGAAATTGGCTGAAGTTTCTTTCTGTAAATTTGGACGCTGATGCTCTCCTACCCAATATGGGAATTATGGCATACTTTATACGGCATATCTCAATTCGTAAAAGAGTTCTCCGGTATGTCGCATATTTCTGTCATTTCAAACTCATTAGAAAAACGCAATGCTTAAATCTCTGGCAGGTACATAAAGCATCTTAACGATGCTATAGTTCCGTGGGATCCCAGTTCAGAATTCGCAGCTCTGGATGCAGACTGTCGTGGGTGGTATGAATCCTTACCTCAGAGCCTCCAGTTTACTCCCGATGCAACATACATCAGAAAGGACTCCTCGCAGCTAGGAGCCCTTTGTGTACTTCATTGTGCTCATTTTCAAACTATTTGTGATTTGTACAGGCTGGGGGCACCTGCACTTTATAAGTTACGCGCGGCGTTCGACTTTCCTCCAGAACAACGGGGCTTTCTTCGCCATTTACAACAAGTATTATTTGATGCTGCAAGAACATTGGCGACAATAGTTGGAGAAACAGCAAATCATGGATCACGAATGCTAGCCGATTCGTGGCTTCCAACAATTACCTATGACAGCTGCCGGATCATGGTCTATCATCTAACACAGATCCTCGATCCACGCACCGAGGATACAAAAAGACTCACAGTTGAGACACTTCCTCTTTTGCACCGCAATATCAATTGTCTACGGTTGATGGGTTCCCTCAGTGTAATTTCCAACTCACTGGTATGAACGCTCTCGATTATTCATTATCTCCCATAATGTAATTTGAAACTGATCTTATATCCCCTGTATCTAGTGCTCCGCTGCAGAAACCATGCTTGAACGATCTGGTATTGAATCAGAAGTCGTCGCCGATAGCAGCATTCCAGATGATCCCTACCAGTCCATTGGCGAGGAGGACTGCAGGTGAGAAATCCTTCTTCCCAAAGCAAATACAGAGACTAAAAATCTCTTGTACTAGTGAGAGTGTTCCAGGAACACCAGTTCAAAGTGCGCCGGACTACGTTCTCAATCCGTTATCCATTTTCAGAATGGCTCGGAAGTCTATACCGGAGAGACATGCTCCAGAAAAGGGGGGAACATCGTCAGCGGCAAATAGCGCCAGACCAGACTCTAATTCTGATGTGGATCCAAATCTAAATGAAATGTTTGACAGAAATACGGATTCCGGTTTTTCAAATGAGCCGGAGCCAGCATTAGATCAGTCCAGCCTTGAAGAAATCCAAACGCTTTTCATGTCTGATCTGGGTTGGGCATGGCAGCCTGCAGACACGGCTGTAGGATCAGGTATCGAGGCAGCTGGGCTATTACCATGGGCCGGAGGATATCCTACAACGCAAACAGAACCATGGGTTCCTGCTTTTCCATTTCCACGGCAGGGCTAGTCGACTAAATGAAGAAGAGCCAGAAATAAGACCAAGTCAGTGAGACTGCTGTGTATTGCGCCGCTTCGAAATTTAAATATCTGACATCAATTGTTTCACCCTGTGCAGCCTCAGATGAGAATATGAGAGCTACAAAGGACTACTATTATAGTTTTCGGATTGGTTCAAAGTGTTATATATTTTTGCTGGGTAGTCGGGTTGCATTCTTTGATATTACCTTCAAAGATGATGCTCAAATTATATTTCCTAACCTATTTCCTAACAACAGCCTTATTATATACCAGTAAGTTCGAATCTCAAACGCTAGTGTAGATATATCATGAAGTTGTAGAGATGAGCAGATTGAGAGTTTGATCTCGACATGCTCACTCTGCATCCAGTGGACAGATGGGAGGCTGGTCGTTAACTTGAATACCACCCCGCTTCTTCTCAAGAGTATCATGGTACGGAAGTTTCCATCCACCTTCGGATTCAGGGGCTGCAAGCCAAAGCCGCATTAGGTGCCGTCGCCGGGCTGGCAGGCCGTCCTCATCGACAGCACCCGGAGGGTGATCAGTGTAAGCAGTTCGGGCATGAAAAACATGAGAGTTGCTCACGAATTGGATATCTCCTGGGGCGAGGATCATATGAAGAGAAAGCTCCGCACATGTTTTCTCAAAAACTTCCATGGCGTACTTTTGTTTTTCAGACAATGGGGGAATCCTAGCGTTTGGACCAGAATTGAATCGGGACAAAGATGTGACGTTCATAGGATCGAATTTCGCATATACGCGAGGGTTCTCGCCGCTGCGTTCATTCTCCAAATAAAGAATGCTCCCACGGATCCATGGTTCTTCACCTTCAGACACCTCACCCTTGCGATCAAAGTACCATTCCGGTTCAGCCAGGGTCTGAACAACGTCAGGGTGTCTTTCCTGGAGAACATTGAATACATGATGTGTTGAAGCAATATCCGACTCTCCGCCTGAAAGAGATTTGGCGATGCACAAGAGACCGACTATATCCGCCCCATCAGTATGAAAGTACTGGCTGTTTTTCTTGTCAGGTCCACTCTTCCAATTGTCTATTCTACGGAGTCGACTTACCGTGCGTTTGTGCGGTAGATCCGGACCCGGTCAGTTTTCGTCGGATCTTCTCCAAGATCCTTGACATGACCCAGAACATGGCCACGACCATTCTGGCTCACAAAATAGCCGAGGTAAGTTCCAAGTCCCATATAAGCTGTGGCACACTTTCGAAGATCCCACTCCCGGACAGGAATTCCTTTGAACAAGAAAAATCCTTTACCATCGATTAATTCTTTCCGCAGTGCTTCAAGTCTGGTGGAAAGCTTTGGGAGAGAGAAGTTCGTCTGACCCATCTTTAGTGAGTTATAAGGGCAACATGGTCTGATCAGATAACTCACCTTCGAAATGCCGGTAAGGGGTATATCCTTTTGGATGAAACCATCGGCAGCGGCACTAATCTCTTCGATCTCCTCATTGTTAAACCGGTGTGTCCAGAGCTCAGCGTTGTCGCGATACTCCTCAGCCTTCCATACTGTTGGCCCACCATGGACTTTGGGAAAATCACTATATGGGCGGACTTTTGAGTATAACGGCGGGTGCTGTCCAGATGTCTTCAGGCCATCGGGGAAAAGAGAAAGGTTCATTTCTTGTGAGAGTGTTGCGTGGGCGCTGACAGTTTGCACAACAGTAGACGCCATGATGAATGATGCTTTGATTGAGGGTCAGTCGAGAGGGTCTCAACTCAGCTGGCATTCGAAGTCGAAGCTGAAACTAAAAATACAAGGCTGTCGACCTGGAGGATGAGTCGCATTATATGCCTCGACGTGAATAATATCGAGTCCATAGTTGTTTGCTCCCCGCATCGGCCAGTCGGATCGATCGGCTACGGCTTATCGGCACTTCTCCTGGCGTGAAACCGTCCCTGTTTGCAGCGGAGCAATAGTCTGGTGCGGCATGGCAGAGCGGACAGAACAAAACTTCGGGTTGTCGGCTCACCGGAGAGATCTCCGACCCACAATCACGCAAGATGATGCCATCGCAACAGTGAGGTCGTATTGAATAATTTACAGGATAAGAAGTATGAGTGACAGAAGCTTTGAATCCTATGCTGCGTTTACGGAATTGTTGTATACCGGGTGGAGTTTCGCAATATTAGAAAAAGGGAAGACGTGTAAACAATAATAGAACTACAGAGAGCCCAGGATCACAAAAACGCCGGATGAATGATTTCATCGCCGTCACAGGATACTCTAGAAACGCCGTTTGAGTCAATCAAGGCCCATTAATATTCTTGCGTATGGCATACTACTATTCGCCATCCCCGATGCAAAGGCGACAAAGTCAACCACTCAAGCGCGCGGTAGGCGCGCGACTCGAGTCTGCCAAAGCTGCCTCAATGTCACCCTCTTTTGCCGATACTGTCGTGGATGATCCCGCATTGCGCTTCAGACCTCCGATGGAGCTGATAGGGAGAGAGTTGAGATCAAGCAGATACATATACCAATAGTAGGTTCCTGACTTAATATTAGCCTCTTCCAATTCCGGACTTCTCTCATTTCCACGCGCACTTACCACAAAACAGGGCGCCCCCTAGAATGTTCCCGATCAAGGTGGGAATGATTCCCTTCCATACATATAGGCCCACTGTAATGTCAGGCGTCCCCACCCATATACCCAGGGGGATGAATGTCATGTTGGCGACGACGTGATCGAACCCAAGAGAGACGAAGGCAAAGATAGGCAACCAGATTCCAATGATCTTGGATGCGAGATCTCGTCCCTGGAGACCGAAGAAGCAAGCCAGGCAAACGAGCCAGTTGCATCCAATTCCACGCAAGAATATCATGCGAAAATCAGGGGTCAATTGTTTCTTGGTAGCAAATGTGATTACTGCAGACTTGAATGGATCAGCCGCAAAAACATCACCATCTACGTGGTTCTTATTAGCCCCGCTATGTGAAGATCATTTAGATGAAACAACGAACAGCCAAAGATGATCGTAACCAGAAACAAAGACCCAGTCAAGTTTCCTAAAAAGGTGATAACCCAATGGATTAACATCTTCGACCAGGACAGTCGGCGTTGCAGAACTGCAACAGTTGTAAACTAGAAAGGCATTGGTCAGAAGAGAAGAAAAGACAAGAGCACCAAAATTAAAGATTCGGCCTTACCATAAAGGAGCCGGTACAGAGATCGGCGCCCGTTAAGATAATCATGCACAGTCCATACGGGAATACCAACGCGCTAATTGTGCGAATCAGTCCAGCGGCATTTTCCTGGAACCAAGGGGATGCATTGGTGCTCAGAACAGTCCCGCATGCAAAGGCAAGCAGACAGCCAGCGGAGACTGAGCTGAAAAAGACTTTATCTAAACGCATATTTCCCTTTTGAACTCCAGCTGCCGCCACCGCTTCTATTACCTCTTGGGCAGAGAACGCATCGAAAGTCATGGTGCAAACCGATGCTGCTCTGTTATCACTGTAAGCAAGGCAACGGGTATAGGGGATTTTATACAGATTGATAGACAAATTAACAGGTGCCACAATTTCCAAGATCAAATTTTGAGAAGGTAGGGGTTCTTGAAAGTTGGATGGCTTGGAATATTTAAATACAACCCTGGGCCATTATCAGAAAATTGGTTGCTGAGAAATCCCGTATGCTCTAAGGACGAGAAGCCTTGACGGGTGATGTTTATTGGATTCAGCTGAAGGAAAGTTTACAGCTCTTGACATCTTATTCGCTCTTGATTGAGCAATGATAGTGCATCAAGCTCATCTTCATTAGGAGAATGCCGAATTGACGATCTGCGCCATACCTAGTTTTCTAGAACCAATAGAGGCGACCCGGCTTATCGGTCTTGGCAAAGTTCGGGGGCCAACGGGATATGCATCTCCGCGGATCGGCATAATTGAGCCACAATTGGGGAGTAAATCAGTTCCTTTCTGCTGGAATGCCTGCTACTGTTGAGTGTGGTGTTCTGACCACGTCGATACGTGTTCTTGTCTGATCATTTTTTCATACATGTTACTTTAGAAATATATGATGTGCATACTTTAGGATAAGTCTGTGGAGGAAAAAGAAATTCGCCTTCTAATCATCATTGTCACTCGGCGCGGAGGGAGGTTAGATGGTACAATACGTTCAGCTACCGAAGGGGTCGAGTAGATGTGTGCTCACAATCCATTCCACACGGAGTTTTATCAGAGATCGACAACACTACCTGTAGGAAGCCCTATCTAGCTAGCTTGGATGCTATCTATTGAGTTCATTCAAATAGCTCGCGGGCCCTGCATATAGTAAGCTGATCCTGACTTAGGTCTCGTGGGCTGCACAATAATACACTGGAATTTTTGATTTTCCATTGATTTCATACCTGTTACAGTTTTCACGGAGTAAAATGAAGGATACAAATAAGCCCTTCTATTCAATCAAATATATCAAGAAAATAACAGTATCAGTCTAACTTCGAATATATCTTGCATGGGAAATGCAAAGCCCTGGTCCTCTACGCATCTCCGATTTTACCAGCGGAAAGTGATACTACTAGTATGTGGCACTTTGCAGGGGCAATAATTGAGGTGACCATGAAGATATATTTCACTCTCACATTCGCTCGTACCGACGCTTAACCAATACAGTACTTTTGAGGTTTGTCTTGACTTAGATCTTCGACCTTGAGAGGAAAAAGAGGTCGAAAATAAGAGAAAGGAAAAAAGAAGTAACTGACAAACCTCGTTAGTCTTCAGAAAGATTAACCATGGGTTAGCTGGGTCATACCTAGGAATGGTCACTACTGGTGACGTCAAAGCTACGACAGCTCGCCATCGCCCATTCAATATATGAGCAATAAAATGCCACCAGCGTTCTGCTCTTAAGGTTAATCGAATTTTATACTCCAAAATAAAGAGAGAACTACCAGACGGCGACAATGGTCAAGGACAAAGACACTGTGATCAGGTTCACCCCTCCCCCACGCTCCCCCGTCTTAACTCTCGGTATTGAATTTAACGATGGCATAGCGAGTTTAATGAGCTCGTTAATATGACACCCAATGAGCTGCGTGGGTGGCTTAGAGAAGAGAAATCCCAGTCGTCGGGATGGGCGGGTGAATCTGGCGAGACCATTGGCCATGAGAGGTAAGTGAGGATGAAAGTTCGTTCGCGCCCGCCTCTGGCGATGAGAGAGCCCCCCGAAATTTCGAGTTCTGAGAGGCTAATCAAAATTAAAACCCAAAATACAGTGGCAGGAAGATAGTTCAGATCTTGGAGCATAATCCATCGCGAAGCCCATCAGATTATGCGGATTCTGAGATCGACCACATGCGCAAGGTGGTTTCCTACTGTAAACGCCATCTTGCCCAAGAAGAAGCCGTCAAGCGCAACCCGAACAGCAAAAGCTACCGCTCACTCAAGAACTGGGGACATGATGCACTCAAAGAATGACCATGGACGAGTTCGGCTCGAAGCTTGTGTTGATCGGTCGGTATCGGTAAGGAAGAGGAGAGATTTCAGAAATCCGTTGTCTCAATTGTTAGTGTTTCCCAGCCAGCCGAGAGGGAAGCGAAGTATAGAAATAGGCCCTGAAAAATATACACGCAGGTGACAGGAAATAAGAACTACAGGATATTTTTAGGCCTCTTCGAGTGTGGTTTTTGATTTGAAGCTATTTTTCTGGATTGTGAGGAGTTTCTCACAACGTAGACACCGTGCGTTTGTAATGCGGGCGGCCAGGCAGCGTCTTATCAAAAGTTCTTGCAACACCTGCTGCCCTTCTGCAATCCGTTACCTATTGGGTTTATTGTATGGGGATCTGTAATCCACGGAATGTGGGGGTGAGAGAAGGCCTCGTTGGACTTGCCAAGATGCTGTGGCATGTTGCGTGGCGCGAGGCAAGACAATCGCCGCAGCCTGCAGATGATCGATCATCTCTAGCGATAACTTGATTTACTAAGACGCCATGGCAGAGCGCTTAGCCTCACGGCAGACCAGGATAGCTCAAGTCTACAGTTGAAAGGGAAGGAAGGCTCACTGGCTTTTAACCACAGGCTCTGGACTAATGACGGGTCTCGGCTATCCCCGGGGGATTTCGATGCCTCCAGGCGGTGACGCGGTGGCTGGACACCCCCGAAACCCCGAAGATCCCGACCGTCTTTGCCTGCCTCCGTGACCCCGAAACCCTTCCCATCCCGCGTCCCCCACACCCCGTGTAGTTGAACAAGGTCGGTTCGTACACGGTTCTCGAACCTCCCAGGTCCGCCAGTCTCTCGGATCCATATCGGTACTCCTGACCTCTTTCAGGTCATGATTACCAAAGAGTAGCTCGGGGCGCAACCTCACGAGAAGATGGCCGGCGATGATTCCTTGATTGAAAAGCGGAGACGTGGGGGAACGCGGGGAAAGCCCCCATGGCCACGAGAAAGCGTGGGGGTGACCAAAGATAAATTCTCCCTTTAAATCACGAAGTCCTTCACGTTCTCGTTCCGCAGATCATCATCTAGCGATGTCCAAGCCCAATACCTTTCACGATGAGAGCCCGGAAGTGGCGAAGAGTGCGTCGGGACTGGAGACCGACATACCTCATGTGCCGTTGACCGAGGAGGATAGCAAGCGCATCTGCCGCAAGACCGACCAGACCATTCTTCTGGTGCTGGTGTGGGTTTATTTCCTTCAGATTCTAGATAAGTCGGTGCTCGGGTACGGCGCAACTTTCGGCCTAGAGACTGACACGGGGTTAACGGGGAACGAGTACTCACTGATCGGATCCATTGGTCCGATCGCCCAGCTGGCCTGGCAACCGTTCTCGTCATACTTAATCGTCAAAGTGCCCCATCGGATTCTGATGCCAACTCTCTGCCTGGGATGGGGAATTGCCCAGGCGTGTATGGCTGCGTGCCACAACTTCCGAGAGTTGATGGCCGCTCGATTCTTCCTCGGTTTATTCGAGGCGGGATGTTTACCTCTCTTTGGCGTCATAACTAGTCAATGGTATCGTCGAGCGGAGCAACCCCTCCGCATCGCTGCATGGTATAGTACCAATGGATTGGCGACTATTGTAGCAGCTGCCCTGTCATATGGACTGGCACACATCAATTCGGAGGTGTTGCGATCATGGCAGATGTGAGGCCCCTGGCCTATAAACCCGATAGTTTAGTAATTTCTGGATGCTAACGAATCTCACTCCTAGTATCTTTCTATTTGTGGGACTCGTCACAATAGTCTCCGCCCCAATCGTTTATTGGCGTCTAGACAACGACGTGTTGACTGCTAGGTTCTTGAACGAGGAGGAGAAATTACAGGCCATCGAACGCCTCCGAGCCAACCAAACGGGAACAGGAAATACCGACTTCAAGTTTAGCCATGTGCTTGAAGCGGCTCTGGAGCCAAAGACCTATCTCTGGATCGGAATGGCCATGCTCCTGAACATTGGAGCCAGCGTGACCAACATTTTTGGGCCCCTCATCCTCGACGGCTTAGGCTATGACAAATACAAGACAAGCCTTCTGACCATGCCTTTCGGAGCTATGCAGTTTGTTGTGATTCTGCTCGCGAGCTATCTAGCTCAGACCGCCCGGCTCAAGGGTGCGATACTAGCAATTTTCATGCTACCGGTTGTCGCTGGCTTGGCTATTCTGTACGCCGTTCCGCGAACTGACTCGAAGCAGAGTGCATTGCTTGCAGGGTACTACTTGCTCGCTTTTCTGTTTGGTGGGAACCCCCTAGTGGTGACATGGATTGTTGGTAACACGGCGGGAAGCACCAAGAAGTCGGTCGCGATGAGTCTCTACAATGCCGCTTCCTCGGCAGGTAATATCGTGGGTCCTCTGCTGTTCAACTCAAAGGATGCACCTACCTATCATCCTGGTCTCCGTGCATGCCTGGGTATTTTCATTGCTATGGCTGCAGTTGTGCTGATCCAGTGGGCTAATCTCTGGTTTCTCAACAAACAACAAGCGCATCGCCGTGTTCAGAATGGAAAGAGTGCTCAAATCATCGATTACTCGATGCAGAGTAACTTCCATGGTCTCCATGGCACGAATGAGGAAGATGCCATGGGCCAGCAAGTTGCTCACGCAGGCGCACATGTGACAGAAGATCTGACCGACCGGCAGAATGACGAATTTGTTTATATTTATTAATATTTGAATGCCAACGAGTGGGTTCTGGCAGTTCTTTCTGTATCCAGATACAATGAAGTCAATTCCATGTACTATTTCAAGATTTATAGTAGTGAAAACAAGTAGCTTCCGATAGGCTGCTTTAATCATCCATCCTGAGTAATCACACCTCATGAACATTGGGATTATTCGTGATTTCTTAGATCAGTCGATTTTGAGCAGATTGTTACATCAGGCATCTTCAGCGGACAGGAAAGGGTTTGAGGGCAGCCACTTATTGTAAACACAGTTGCTGGAGATGAAAATACTAAACACAGCTAGTGAACAGGATAGGATAATGGAATTCATATATTCATTTTTACACTATTCCTTTGCATTGACCTTTTCCCAGGAGGCATCTGGATCTAGGATCTGGTTGCAGATCCTAATTGCCATGGAAGCAGTGGTGCTATTTCTCTTATCTTCTAACTGAAGTTGCCTTCAAATACAACGTTTTCTACTAGTAAAAGCCGCCCCATTGGGTACAATGTAACTTCTTGCTTGTTTCTCATTGATGTGGAAATCAGCCCGCAATGAGTATAGCATGCCTAAACCCGAAGGCCCATGATACAGTAATGTGACTGTCAGCTATCAAAATTTCAAACACATATGTAGCATGAGATCCACAATCTGACTTCTGGAATCCCAGAAGATCGGTTTATCAGAAGATTTCCCGAAGAGCCCAGGGGGGCGGAGATTTATTTCGATGCAGCTGCTCAACGCAATAAGCCACGTTTGGTGTGGCGCGTTATGCAGTTCAGTTGGCCACCTCACGAGAGTCACCCTTGTCTTAAATGCGGCTTCCCGCTTGGTATTGATATGCTATGGCCTTCATCAGGCTTCAATCTGGACCTGATGTTCATAACATCTTCACTCAGACTAGATCTCAAACACATGGGCTTTGCATGACCACCCTGCTAGACGTCAGATTTGATACATGGCATCTAGCCACAAGTCAAATCCTTCTGTATCACATCCAGTCTCTGAAGGTATAATTGCGTGATGATTCGTCAGGTTATGGAAGCTCGGACTCGGACTCGGACTCGGACTCGGGAGTTCTTTAAATACAGGCTGGCTTTGAACATGACAGGCCGTAAGATCGCCTGTTTCGCCTCATGGCCTTGACCATGAGCCTTGACTAAGAAAGGTGGCACAGGTACACTCGTGGACTATGCAGGGGCGGGCCAAAACTGATATTGTAGATTTGACCGCACGTTGTGATTTTCTTGGATACTGCACCTTTAAGCGAGGAGTCGGAGTCGGATCGAGCTGAAAAGACTGGCTTGTTGTTTCTACACTAAATATCGACCCCAGTGTCCGATCTGCCTGGCCGTCATCGTGAACCTCGGTATATTGATACGTACCGCTCATCGCAGAATCTTCCAGGACGAAAGCCACGCGAACTTCCTCTTCGGTATCCCTCAACAAAATTCTTGCAGCATCTTAATTGTGAATTTCGGTCACACATTGGTTGCACTAGACCGTTGTGGGTTGGTGAAACTCAGAAGAAACGATGGCTAGTGATATCAAAGCTTGTTCCGAGCCAATTGCCATCATAGGAAGCGCTTGTCGATTCCCTGGCGATGCTATTTCGCCCTCTAAGCTTTGGGAACTACTGAAAGAACCTCGGGATGTATTGCAAGAGATACCGGACAGCCGATTCAATCCTCATGCTTTTTACCACCCAGATGGCAGCCATCATGGTACAACAAATGTTCGCCATTCCTATCTTTTGTCAGACGACCATCGGCTATTTGATGCCCAGTTCTTTGGGACCAAGCCGGTTGAAGCGAACTCCATCGACCCCCAGCAGCGATTGCTGTTAGAAATCGTCTACGAGAGCCTGGAATCTGCTGGCATTCCGATGGAGCATCTGCAAGGTTCCAATACTGGTATCTTCGTTGGCTTAATGACCAACGACTATGCGGATCTTCTGGGTAGAGACATTCAAAACTTTCCTACATACTTCGCATCAGGAACGGCACGAAGTATTCTATCCAATCGCGTGTCATATTTCTTTGATTGGCACGGACCATCTATGACAATTGATACGGCTTGCTCTTCCAGCCTTGTCGCTCTCCACCAAGCGGTTCAGAGCTTGCGCAATGGTGAATCACTTGTGGCAATTGCAGCAGGAACAAATCTTTTGCTGGGTCCTGAACAATATATTGCCGAGAGCAAGTTGAAAATGCTGTCTCCTTCTGGTCGTTCGCGGATGTGGGATAAGGATGCGGATGGATACGCCCGCGGTGACGGGATAGCTGCTGCAATTCTGAAACCCCTTAGTGCCGCGCTGGCTGATGGCGATCACATTGAGTGCATAGTGCGAGAGACTGGCATAAATCAAGATGGACGCACTAAAGGGATTACAATGCCCAATCCGGCAGCTCAGGTTGATCTCATTAGAGCAACCTACACTAGAGCAGGACTTGACCTATCCAAATCCCGCGACCGGCCGCAATATTTTGAAGCCCATGGAACTGGTATGCAAAATAATTGAAAATTGCCAAATCTTGCATTTGACTCTCTTTCTAACGTAACGCAGGAACACCCGCCGGTGACCCAGTTGAGGCGGAAGCTATAAGTAGAGCCTTCTTTGGATCGAGCGTTGGCTACTCTAGGGACACGGCAGAAGAGTCACCGCTATTTGTTGGGTCAATAAAGACAATAATTGGGCATACTGAAGGCACAGCTGGCCTTGCAGCTGTCTTGAAAGTCTCTCTTTCACTGCAGCATGCAGTCATACCACCGAATCTCCTTCTCAATGAGCTCAATCCCGACATAAAACCATTCTATGACAACCTTCAGATTGCAAGCACGGCGAAAGATTGGCCAGAGCTTTCATCTGGCACGCCTCGGCGAGCAAGTGTGAATAGCTTTGGATTCGGTGGCGCTAATGCCCACGCAATCCTTGAGAGTTTCGATCAGGATTCCAATAAGTCTCGCGGTTTTTCGCCGTTACTTACGCCGTTCAATTTCTCTGCGAACTCAGAAACTTCTCTTCTGGCGTCTCTCCAAGCTTATTCGGCATATCTGAAAGAGCAAAGTGACCTCAATCTGCTTGATCTATCATGGACTTTGAACTGCCGCCGGTCTACTTTGCCAGTGAGATATTCAGTATCTGCATCGACCTCGGAAGACCTGATAACAAAGTTGGTCGAGGCCGTTCAAACGCCATCGGATATTCTTCAATCCAGTAAAACATCCAATATAAAACATCCAAAGCTTCTTGGAATATTCACTGGACAGGGCGCTCAATGGGCCCGAATGGGGGCGGAGTTGGTGACTAGCTCATCCTTGGCTGTTGATTGCATTGATAGCTTGGATTTAGCACTACAATCACTTCCTAGAGAGGATCGTCCTTCCTGGTCACTGAAGAATGAAATTCTGAAGGATGGATCATCCTCCCGTATTGGAGAGGCTTTATTCTCACAATCACTCAGCACTGCTGTACAGATTATGCTGGTGACTTTACTCAATGCAGCTGGCGTTTATTTCGTCGCTGTCGTTGGCCATTCATCCGGTGAAATCGCCGCGGCATTCGCTGCAGGTTATCTTTCGGCTGCTGATGCTATGAAAATTGCGTATTATCGGGGGTTGTCTCTGCAATATTCTCGTACCAATGTTGGTACCCGAGGAGCGATGATGGCTGTTGGTACATCTTTGGAGGATGCTCAAGAATTGTGTGATATGCCGTCTCTCAAAGGAAGGATATGCGTTGCCGCTTGCAATTCTTCTACCAGTGTTACACTGTCTGGTGATGCCGATGCAATTGACGAGGCTAAATTGATATTTGAAGACGAGAAAAAGTTTTGTCGATTACTGAAAGTCGACAAAGCATACCATTCGCACCACATGATATCCTGTGCAGCTCCATACATCGCAGCTATGCAGAAGTGTTGTATCACCATACAAAAAAGACAAAACTCACGGACTGCGTGGATTTCCTCCGTCTACAGCAAAAATATCGATGATATCAATGATAGCCTGACCGATACTTACTGGAGTAACAATATGGTCAACCCCGTTCTGTTTTCTCAAGCCGTCAGCTTTGCCCTTGGTGCAGCAGGCCCATTTCACATGGCCCTTGAAGTCGGGCCGCATCCAGCTCTCAAAGGCCCTGCATTGCAAATCATCCAAGACGTCTCTGGCGATATCTTGCCATATTCTGGAACGTTAGCCCGTGGTAAAAATGATAGAGAGGCATTTGCGTCGTCTCTTGGCGCCTTATGGGCTTCATTGGGCGATCATTTAGTCGACTTTTCGAAGTTTACAACCAGAGTGACAAATGACGAACAACATCCAAGGCTTCTGAAGGGGATTCCATCTTACTCCTGGGATCATGATCGCGTATATTGGCACGAGTCTCGCATGTCGACCGTTTTGCGCAGTGGGCGGGATAAATTTCATCATCTTCTTGGCACAAAATGTCCCGACAGTTCTCAAAATGAGCTGCGTTGGCGTAATTATCTTCACTCGCGTGAAATTCCATGGCTCAGACATCATCAAGTCCAGGGCCAGATAGTCTTTCCTGCGGCAGCCTATATTTCAAGTGCAACTCAGCTGCTTATTGAGCAGTATGGATTGAGTTCTATCCAGTTGATTGATTTCCAAGACCTCGTCATTGGACAAGCATTGGTCCTTGAAGAGAATTTCGGAGTAGAGGTTATATTTAGCCTCACAATTACGGAAACTCAGAGTAATCTTGTAAGGGCAACTTTTAACTGTCATTCTAATGCTAACAAGGGAACAACATCGATGTCTCTCCATGCATCTGCGCAAGTTTCGATTATTTTTGGGAACTGCAACCATGACTCACTCCCGCCACGAATTGGCAGTCAAGATCCATTTCTGCAACTCGATGAGGAGCGCTTCTATAGCTCCGTATCAGAGCTTGGCTTTGGCTACTCGGGTCCATTTAGAGCGCTTTCTGGTCTCAGCAGAAAGATGGACGAGGCTACCGGAATGATTGCTGTGCCTACTGAACAGGACACCGCTACCGACCCATTGATAATTCATCCTGCCACTTTAGATGGCGCCATCCAGTCCATTATGCTAGCCTATTGTTTTCCACAGGATGGTCGCCTACGAAGTCTCTATCTACCAACAAAGATTGACCGAATTCGTATCAATCCTTCGAGCTGTAAATCGTTAGCAGGACCGGGAACATTCTTGCCCTTCTATTCCTCTGTGGCAGATGTTAAATTTGCAGAACTTTCTGGTGATGTTGACATTTATTCTTCAGATGGTCGTTTTACTGTAGTTCAGTTACAGGGACTACATACTACACCTCTGGTACCGCTCACCTCTGCCACAGACATTCCGTTGTTTACCGAAATGACTTGGGGCCCGGGAGAGCCCACTGGTCGTGATGCAGATAGTTCAGACCTTTCTTGGCTTACAGAGAAATGTGAAGCTTCAATTGACCTTGAACGCATAGCATATTTCTATCTGAAGAGCTTGCACTCTTCGATCCCCTTTGCTGACCGAGAAAGGCTTAATTGGCATCATCGTCACTTACTGTCCTACGCCCTTCACTGTGTCTCTCTTGTTGAATCAGGAACCCATCAATTTGCACTAACCCAGTGGCAAAGCGACACAAAGTCTGAAATACTGCGGATCTTCGACAGGTGGGTCACTCATAAACTTGTATTGAGATTTCAATCCTGAATATCGCTGACTTACTAAGGAACTCTGGAGATGTTGACTTCCAAGCTCTGCGTCTAGTGGGCGAGAGTCTCCCGGATATCGTCCGCGGGGAGGTTAATATTCTGGATATCTTGATGAAGAATGATATGTTGAGTCAATTCTATTCAGAGACAATCGGGATGCAGTCCTATCTACATGAGATGGCCCGAATGGCTGGTCAAATCAGCAATCGTTATCCGCATATCAATGTGCTCGAGATAGGTGAGATCATTCATAACCACAGACGCTCTTTTCTAGTTCTTATATTTTACACAGGGGCTGGTGCTGGTGAGGCGACAGAATTTCTCATTCGGGAGATGGATACTGCCTTTGCCTCGTATACATATACGGATTTTGTCGAGAATTGGTTTGACTCTGCTCGGGATAAGTTTAACAAATATGAATCACGAATGGCTTTCAGACAATTGGATATCGAAAACGATATTCGTGAGCAAGGGTACGGAGAGGAGTCTTATGACTTGGTCATTGCCTCCCTTGCCCTCTATGCAACAAAGAATTTGGAGGCTACCTTGAGCAATGTTCGTCGACTTGTTAAGCCTGGAGGCTATTTACTCGTTCTGGAGTTGACAAATCCCAATGTGATGCGGTTTGGAGTAATTCTCGGAGGTCTCCCGGCTTGGTGGTTAGGCCATCGAGAAGGTCGAATGTTGTCACCGTGTGTCTCGGTTGACCGATGGGAACAATTGATGGAAACATCGGGATTTTCGGGCGTCGATGCACTAATACCCCACCATCCAGGGTTACCCATTCCTTTCTCGGTTATGTTGACCCAGGCAGTCGACCATCGGATCAGCTTCCTGCGAAATCCCTTCGGTATGGACCAGAAAGAACTAGATGTTGAATCACTGACCATCCTTGGCGGCAAGACAGCCCTGACTTCAACATTGGTTGCACAGATTAAAGAGATGGTTGGTCGTAATTATAAAACTATCAAATCTTATAAGTGTCTTGCCGATGTTGTCGTTGAAGAACTCCCTGTAATGGGGACAGTTCTGAGCCTGGCTGAACTTGATGAGCCGACCCTAATGACGATGACTTCTAAGACACTCAGAGCATTTCAAGAATTGTTCAAAAAGAGCAAGAACATTCTATGGGTGGGATATGGTGCCCAAGGAGATAATCCATCTGGCAATATGTTCATAGGTGTCCAACGTACCATCGTCACTGAAATGCGACATCTCCGGGTTCAATTCCTCGACTTTGATTCACTAATGGAGACCAATTGCGAGACAATCTCCAGAAGGCTGCTACACCTTGATGTTACCGATAAATGGGAACAAAGTGGTCAGCTGGCTGAAATTTTGTGGTACACCGAGCCCGAAATCTCGATGAAAAACGGACAGTCCTTCATTCCTAGGCTCCGGCTCAGTTCCCAGCGAAACACTAGGTACAATTCCTCAAAACGATTAATTGTCAAAAGGATAAATCGCAGTCGGAGCACGGCATCTATCTCCCGATCAGATAGTTACCAAGTTCTAGAGGTCGAAAATCCAAAATCGCTACTTTTATCTGGTAGAACTGAGATTCAGGTCGCCCACTCCCTTCTGCGGTCCATCATGGTCACTGAAACGGATCATTTGTTTCTCATCGCCGGAAAGAAACCCTGCAGTAAATCCTACGTGGTTGGTTTTGCGGAATCTCTGGACTCGCGGCAACATGTTCCGCCCTCATGGGTGGTAGATGTTGGAACTTCAGAAGCTGAGGCTATCCGATCGATGATCAGTATTTACACCCACTTCTTGGCCGAATCACTTGTGAAAAATGTGCTCCCTGGAAAAATTTTAGCAATCTTAGATCCTGAGTTCTCACTTTCCGCAGTTTTGACACAGTACGCGAATCAAAGAGGGGTACAATTGGTATTTTTCACGACAAAGGACAGCTCTTGTTCATCACCGTGGATTCATGTTCACCGTCATTCAACACGCCGTGAATTGTTAAATAAGATTCCTCCCAATATTGCTCGGCTGTTCAATGTCGGCGGAGATGATGAAATTTTGGCTCTACTCACTGAGCTGCTACCAGCTGACTGCCAAGTGGATAATGAGCAATATTTAACGAGAGAAGCCTCCCAATTGTCCTCTCGGACTGATATTGGCCAAGTAGAGTCTCGATTACAGGCTGCTTGGACAGCTGCGCATAGCAATCACTCACCAATTAATGTCCGACGACTCCCTACGTTAGGTTTGCAAGACTTGATAGAAAGTCACCAAAAGCTCGTTCCACAGTCAGTCATCTCGTGGGGCCAGTCGACTCTACCGGTTCAAGTCACTCCAGCCAGCAGACTCGTGAAGTTCGCAAAAAATAAAACCTATTGGCTTGTCGGTCTTACCGGAGGACTTGGTCTTTCCCTCTGTCAATGGATGGCACGCCAAGGTGCAAGGTATATTGCTCTCTCAAGTCGAAATCCCAAGGTTGATGAGAGCTGGATACGACAAATGGCTTGTGTTGGATGCACCATACGGATCTTCGCAAAGTAAGTTTTGATTCTACAACCCTTCAATCTTTTGTTTAGCGTGCTCACCAAGATAAGCGACATCGCTGATCGTGGCTCTGTTCACGCCACTCACCGTCAAATTGTTGAGGAAATGCCGCCAATAGGAGGTGTTGCACAAGGAGCTATGGTGTTGCAAGATACCATGTTTCTTGATCTGGATCTTCCAAGACTGAAAAACGTACTACAGCCCAAAGTTCAAGGTAGCATTTTGCTAGATGAAATTTTTTCAGATAACTCATTGGACTTTATGATATTCTTCTCGTCAATGGCGGCTTTGACAGGTAATCCAGGGCAAGCTGCTTACAATGCTGCAAATATGTTCATGACCAGTCTAGCAGCACGCCGGCGAAGTCGCGGCCTTCCTGGGTATGCTATCAATATTGGCGCTATCGTGGGTAATGGTTACGTGACACGTGAATTGAACATGGGTCAGCAGTCATATTTGTACAAGGTTGGCCATTCTTGGATGTCTGAACAGGATTTCCACGAGGTCTTTGCGGAAGGAGTCCTTTCATGTTTGGAACTGTCAAGTGGTGCGGATCTCTGCAGTGGCCTCCGAATTGATGATGATGATTCGAAGGATTGGATATCCAATCCGATATTTCAACATTTGGTTTTCAAATCTGCCACATTGATTGGAACTGAGAAAAAGAGCAAAGCAGGCGTCGCGATCAAGTCCCAGCTGTTAGATGCTACGTCTCAGGGTCAGGTGATGACTATCTTGCAAGGTACGGTTCCATTCTACTTCAATTCTACTTCCAATTGCGGGTTATAGTTAACATATGCAGATTGCTTCACGGTCAAACTTCGTTCGGCATTACAATCAGACCCAAATAAGGATGTTCTCGAAATGAGCCCGGATGAGCTCGGTGTTGACTCCTTAGTAGCTGTCGACCTTCGTTCATGGTTTTTAAAGGAGCTCGGCGTGGACATTCCGGTGCTTAAAATCTTCAATGCAACATCAGTACGCGATCTTCTAGAGTTTGTTGCCAGTTCTCTCCCGGCATCACTAGTTCCAAACTATAAGGATTGTGTGAAGGCGGAGCCTGAGGTTACTGACATCCAGTCAGCCATTCAATCAGCATTTGCCAGCCCACTAACATCCACTCTCGAGACTTTACCACCTGTTGTGGCTGTAGAAGAGAAAGGAACTCTTAAAACGTTCCATCTTGATTACCTTCCGTCATCCATTGAGAATGGAAGCGGCAGCTCATCGACTTCGGTCAAAGCGGGAGACTCTAGCTCAGACCAAAACGAAGAGAGCTCCTCGCTCACCTCCCTTGAAGATGACCTTGATGTCATTGAAAAGCGTGCGATACAAAGAACTGCACCTATGTCATTTGGACAGTCTCGCTTTTGGGTCCTGAAGCTTTTTGTCCAAGATCAAACTGCCTTCAATGTTACTCCCACTTTTGAACTGAAAGGAAAACTGCGTGTCGGGGACTTTGCGCGAGCCGTCCAGGTTGTCGGTGAGCGTCATGAAGCCTTAAGGACTTTCTTTTTTATCGATGACGACAATCGGCCAAAGCAAGGTGTATGGAAATCATCCTCATTGCACCTCGAGCATACCAAGGTGACCCACAAAAATCAAGTTGATATTGCATTCCAACAGATGAGATCACATGTTTTTAATATCTCTGATGGTGAGATAATGCGTGTTCATCTTCTGTCAATGACACCAGACCAGCACTGGATAATATTTGGCTTTCATCATATCAATATGGACGGTGTTAGCTTTGAGATATTTTGGTCAGAGCTCGAAGTTGCATATCAAGGGCACGCCTTCTTGCCCGATACATTACAATATCCTGACTTCACAATCAGACAACTACAAGATTATGAGCAGGGCACATGGGCAGCGGATGTCACATATTGGCAAAATCAGTTTCCGATCCTTCCTTCTCCGCTTCCACTCTGCTCATTTTCTTTGCAAAAGGCACGCCCTAGTGTTCCTAGTTACTCCTCCCACCGTGCCCAACTAAGACTTGAGCCTGGATTTTCGAGCGATATCGAGAAATGTTGTCGCATGTTCAAAGTGACCCCATTTCATTTCCACCTAGCAGTGTGGCAAATTTTCCTCCAGCGGCAGCTGGCTTTAAGTAACATCTGCATCGGCGTTGCAGACAGCAATCGGACAGACGCAGACATCCTCCACAGTCTTGGCATGTTTTTGAATCTTCTTCCTATTCAATTCTCAATGAATGATTCACATACGTTTGGGGAAGCTCTTAAGGACACACGAACCACTTCCCAACAGGCCTTCGTACACTCGAGGGTTCCATTCGACGTGATGCTGTCCAAACTGAATGTCCCGCGTTCTGCCTCATATAACCCTATATTCCAGGCCTTCTATAATTATCGCTCAAGGGTTGAGGAGTCACGAGAATTTTGCGGATGCGAAGCAAAGGGATCGCTCTTAACTACTGGCGAAACGTCTTATGACTTCCACCTGGATGTTGTGAATTTCAGCAGTGGAGAATCCCTAATCCACCTCCTTGTCCAAAAGAATCTCTATACATTGGATCATGCGGAGATTCTTCTTCAAAGTTACTATAATCTTCTTCGAGAATTCACACGGAATCCTGCTACCAAAATTTCTTGGCCTCCGTTGTTCTCAGAAAACGATATTGAGCGAGGATTGAGTCTTGGAAGAGGTAACTACTTTCCCGCTAACGTTCAAATGCCGTTCCCCACTAATTTCCTTCAGGGCCAGAATTGAAAAATCCCTGGCCGCCGACTTTGGTACACCGCGTGGATGATATTGTGCAAGCATACCCTGACCGGATAGCCCTCAAAGAGGCATGTGGTGCTAAGCTCACTTATTCAGAGTTCCAGCACCGAACTTCTGTGATTGCAAATGCACTCCAGGCTCATGGTGTAGATCTAAGAGCTCCCATCGGAGTATTTCAGTCTCCAAGCACAGATTGGATATGTTCATTAATGGCTATTTGGCGCCTGGGAGGAGTTTATTTACCTTTAGACAGAAAAGTCGGACTGGGTCGGCTAGCGGCCATTACTTCAGAATCACAACCCGTCGTGATTTTAGCTGATCATACAACACTATCCGATTTTCCACATCTCAAAACACCCGCAACCCCGATCAATGTGAATGACCTTGGCATCATGGCTGGACATCCTGTCCCTCCCATTCGAGCATCAGGCGCTCAGACAGCGGTTTTTATCTATACTAGTGGCTCCACTGGGACTCCGAAGGGAATTTCAATTTCTCATTCGTCCTATCTTCAACAAATACACTCGTCCAGTCATGCCTGGAGCTTCCAAGTGGGAAAGGAAACGGTGCTCCATCAATCTTCCTATGCCTGGGACATGTCAATGTATCAGATTTTGATGTCCCTCTGTAATGGCGGGACTTTAGTGATTGCCACGCAGAATGTTAGAGGAGATTCTCTTGCCTTGACAGACCTCATCGTGCAAGAAAAGGTGACAACATTATTCGCCACTCCATCCGAATATCTCGCATGGTTTCGACACGGTCGCCATTCTTTACAACACTGTTACGTGACCACGGCAGTTTCAGGTGGAGAAAGATTCCCGAATGCCCTCATCAGAGACTTTCAATCTCTTGCGAAATCCGATCTGAGATTGTTTAATGCTTATGGTCCCGCAGAAGTGACAATTGCTTCCAGTTCGGCCCAGATTCCATACATGCAAATTGATTTGAACTCAGATTGTACGCCTCTCCGACTCTATACTCTTCCCAATTACTCCGTTTACATTGTTGATGAGAAAATGAGCCCTGTCGCCCTTGGTGTGCCCGGTGAGGTAGTTATTGGGGGAGCCGGTGTTGCGCAAGGCTATCTCATTGATGATAAAGGGAAAGAACGGTTCCTCCTTGATCAACATGCCAGCTCATTCTTCAGGGCTCAAGGATGGACTACTATTCATCCCACGGGTGACAAAGGATACCTAGGACAAGACGGTGGTTTGGTTCTCTTGGGCCGCATTGAGGGCGATAATCAGATCAAAGTGGGAGGGATTCGTATCAACTTAGAAGAGATTGAGTCGGTAATCGTTGATTATTCGGGAGGTGCTATCTCTCAGACTATTGTCTCTGCTCGATTTACCTCTGAAGAGCAAGAAACTGAGCCATTCCTCGTGGCATTCGCTGTCATAGCCGATACGCACATTCACGAGAACGTGACCCAATATCTTCAAGGCCTTGCACGAAATCTCCCAGTGCCCCAATATATGCGCCCGTCAGTTATCATAGCAGTGGACTCAATTCCTCAGAACGTCTCAGGAAAGGCTGACCGTCGGGCTATCAATAACATCCCCATCTCACCTATCACGATCGAGATGACGGATGATCAGAGCCTGGCTCCTCTTGAAGAAACCCTGCTTCGACTTTGGAGAGAGGCCATTCCAAAAGAACTTGTTTTGCTCCACTCAATTTATTTTGATTCGGACTTTTTCCACGTCGGCGGAAGCTCAATCTCCTTGGCTAATTTGCAATCATTGATCAATAGTCGACTGGGCATATCTATTCCCCTGTACGAACTGTTTGAAGCAAGTACCTTGCGAGAAATGGCCCACCGTATCCAGAATCTGTCTTCCACGCACTCTGCAGTCTCAGTTGACTGGGGCCAAGAGCTTGAGTCCATGCTTGCACGGCTTCCAGTGACGTCAAGAATTGAAGGGTATATTGCATCTTCCAAACCAAGGGTGGTAGTGCTTACGGGTGCAACTGGCTTCATTGGAAAGGAAATATTGCAACAGCTGGTAGAGGATGACAGGATCAATATTGTGTATTGCATTGCGGTCAGGAAGCCTCTCGCTCAACTGCCCACCATTTTCGCCAATTCAAAGGTGCACGTATTTCACGGAAATTTGGGGTCTCCTCAATTAGGACTATCAGAGGCCGATGTCGCTTCGATCTTTTCCCACGTTGACTGCATCATCCATAATGGGGCTGATGTTTCTTTCATGAAAAGCTACCAGTCTCTCAAGTTGATCAATGTTGCTTCTACTGAGGAGCTTGTGAGGCTCGCCTTGCCGCGGAATATTCCGTTTCACTTCATCTCATCTGCCAGCGTTACCCGCTTGGCGGCCCAGACCAGCTTTGGAGAAAAGTCTCTGGCCTCCTATGAACCACCCGCTGTCCCTAAAGATGGCTATACTACGGCAAAGTGGGTCTGCGAGGTTTACCTGGAGCGCACCAGCCAGCTATTCGGGCTCCCAGTATGCCTTCACCGACCATCTAGTGTGACAGGAATCGATGCCCCTGAGCTTGACCTGATGAGTAATGTTGTCAAGTATTGTCAAAAGATTAAGAAAGTTCCAGACTCGGCATCATGGTCCGGTGTACTTGATTTTATTTCCGTGAAATCTGCTGCCGCGCAGATTATCGAATCATTGTATTGGCAAGACAGTGCCCTGTCGGCTCCACAGCTTATTCGATACCAATATGAATCTGGAGAAATACAGGTGGGGCAAAAGGAAGTCCGATCGGTGATGGAATCCGGCACAGGGGAACTGTTTGAAACAGTTCCGGTGAACAGCTGGATTGAGGATGCTGAAGCCGCAGGCATGAATAGTCTGCTCGTGGTGTATTTGCGCCAAGTATCGGACGGGGAAATCCTGTTGCCACGATTGATAAAGGACAAGAGGTCAAACAAGACCATGGGCTGATGTGAAGTAGTTGAGAGAGAGGACGAATAAATCCTAGGAATGCAGTGCCCTTTAACAGACGCAAACCCTACTTGTAGGTCATCTTTTATTGATACCATGTCAATTTGTAGCTTCAAGTTCATGCGACTTCATCATTAAGTTACAGTATCTCTATAAAATGTTGTCGTATATTCTCAAAAGAAAGTGCAAATTCATTCTATTGCGACAGGCCATCTTCGAACCTTATCTTAACAAAATTAGCGGCAGGAGCATCAGCATCAGCATCATAATCATGATATTCAAAGACCAAGCCAGAATCTCGTCTTATCAACATCAAATTCACCACGGAGCTCCTCGGGACCAGTTCCAGTCACCAAGACAGTATAACGGCCCTTCTCAGAAATCCACTTCTCACGCTGTTCATCCCACCAGCTGGTCGCTAGTTTCTTCTCCACGTTAAGATCGACTGTCTTGGTCTCCCCAGGCTGTAGGAAAACCTTCTGGAAGGCCTTGAGCTCCCGCGGTGGTCGGCTGACATTAGTCGATGGTGGGATCACCCAGAGCTGCACGATCTCTGCACCCGGAATGGAGCCCGTGTTGGTGACAGTGACAGATGCTGTGATGGGCTCGCCGTATTCAGAGAATGCAGCCTGCTCTGGAACGGTGCGGATACTGAGGGCGGTGCGAGTGAAGGTGGTATAGGACAAGCCGTAGCCGAAAGGGAAGGCAGGGGCGAGGTCACTCCTCTCAAAATAGCGGTAGCCAACGTAGATGTCCTCACCGTAGAGGACACGGCCCCGCTCGGAACGGAAGTTGATATACGAAGGGTTATCTTGTAGACGGCGTGGGAATGTGACAGGCAATTTTGCCGATGGGTTGACATCTCCGTAAAGTACGTCAGCAATACCGTTGCCACATTCATTACCACCGAACCAGGCTTGCAGAAGGGCGCGTGCATCCTTGGCCCATGGCATTGTCACAGGAGTTCCGGATTGAATAACGACAATCGTGTTGGGGTTCACTTCTAGGACGCGACTGATCAGATCGTCGCTGCCAGGGGGCAAGTCCATATGATCACGGTCATAGCCCTCAGTCTCCCACTCGCTCGTGAGACCCGCAAATATCACAACCTGTTCAGCCTCTTTGGCTTGCTCCACGGCCTTAGAAATCAATTCGTTCTGGCCGACCTGGCGAGTGGCACCAAAGCGGAATCCACCCGGTCCAAAGGCAACAATGCCACGGGTGTCGAGATCGGAGGTGGGAGCGCTCCCGAACTCAAATAGGATCTTGTAAGTTTGTCCAGCCTTTAGCTCCTTGACACCACGCTCCTCGATGGTAGCTGTGCCGAAGAAAGCCGAGCCTTGCTTTTGGTTTTTGGTGTTGTCAACGACCACCTCTCCGTCAACAAGCAACCTACCAGTACCAACGACGGTAACGCCAAAGTCATACAGTCCATCCTCCTCGGGGGTGAATAGGCCTTCCATGTCAACATAGAAAGTCATAGATTTAATCTTGGGATTGATGTAGTCCATCAAAAAGCCAGTAGATGCAACAAGATGAAGCTCATCAACAACAGTACGGTCTTGTCCAGCACTTGGCGGTTCGTTGTATACCTTAAATGTGAATCCGGTTTTGCCATCTGTAGTCTTCAGGAGAGGACCAAGAAGCGGTAGCTCCTTATGTGAGTAAACACCCTGGACATATTTGACTTCTCCGTTGCTCTTTGCCGACACCCCGTCGAATGGAGATATAGTATAGTAAGGCGCAAGCGATGCGGAGCCGCCGCCGCAGTATGAGGCGATTTTGGAATTTGGGCCAATGACGAGGACCGATTTATCCTTCTTTAAGGGAAGAGCACCACCTTCATTCTTCAGGAGAACCACAGACTCCGCGGCTGCACGTCGCATGAGAGCTTGGTCTTCAGGGCGATTGAGAGCTTTCTCGGAGGCACCTTCGGGGATGCCCAGGGGATCGACCCAGTTCACCAAATTCAGCACGTTACGCACACGCTCATCGAGCTTGAACGGGGCGATTTTGTTCGAAGATACGGCATGGGCCAAGGCCTCTCCACGCCAGCGTGTCTTACCAGGCATTTCGATATCTAGGCCGGCATTGATTGCATCTGATGTGCTGTAGGTCCCAAACCTGCAAAAAGGATAAGGCATTAAAGTCATTGTTCACCCGGTCCGTCTACCTATTCAATATCCAGGAAAAGACAGACTTACCAGTCACTCATGACTAGACCATCCCATCCCCACTCTTTGCGCAGGATATCATCAATAATTACCTTATTCTCGCTAACGTGAGTGCCATTGACCTTGTTATAAGCTGTCATGATACATGCTGAGCGGCAGATCCGCATGGCTAGCTGGAAGGGAAGCAGATAAATCTCACGAAGAGCACGCTCAGTCAGAATGCTGTTCACGGCCATCCGCTCGTGCTCCTGGTCATTGCAGACGAAGTGCTTCAGCGTCGCGGCGACGCCCTTGTCCTGCATACCCTTGCAGAAGTGACCGGCGAGGGTGCCAGACAGGACACCGTCCTCGGAAAATGACTCGAAGCCACGGCCACCTAGTGGGGATCTTTGGATGTTGATCGTTGGGCCTAATACAATATGTGTACCCTTTGCAATTGCTTCCTCGCCCATCAATGAGCCAATTTCGGTCAGGAGCTCAGTGTCCCAAGTTGCCCCGAGGGCAGTGGCACAGGGGAAACATGCAGCAGGGATTCCATTAAAGAATCGAGTTCCGCGAACGCCGTTTGGGCCGTCTGACATGCGAAGGGAGGGAATATTGAGACGCGGAACTGACGCAGTGTGCCAGAAGTCGCGGCCTGTCACGGAGTGTCAGTATGAGCCCGCATCTCCGCATGGCGACGCAAAATGAACGATGCGGCGGAGGAACAACACAGCCAACAGTCCACGATCCGCATTATGAATGGGTATGTGGTCAGATTTCGAACTGACCTGCGGTAAGAGCCACCTTCTCGCCCAGCGTCAGTTCTTCGAGCGCCTTCTCAACATCGATTGGAGCCATTGTGTTTGTTTAGGACTGAGTCCGTTGTTCGAGATCAGAGAATTAAGCTATCTCCCCAGCGCAAAAGCCGTCTTCGCTGTTGTTTCCGGCGTGTTCAAGGGCTTGTTCGTAGTGGCCCACCGAGTAGCTGGATAATTAATAAGCACTTCGTTTCGATAACTGAAGTGGGGGACACAGCTCAGCAATGCGTCTCCGGGGTTCGATCGCAGTACTTATATAATCTCCTCGCAACACTGTGAGACCGCCACCTCCGCTTGAACTGCTGGAGACGATGCAAGCGATGGGAATCATGGTCAGATGCATCTGCAATTCCTGGAGCTCCGGGGGCCCCGCGGCATGTGAGTGGGCTGTTTGGGAGATCAAGCCCACCCTTGGCCTCCCAAACAGGAACGGAGAACCGCCCGAAGTTTACCCGACGCGACGTGCGGGCGGCGGATAAGCGGGCAGTCGGTTGCGCGGCCCGGCTGGCCGTCTTGAGGCTGGCCATCTACAACGCTTGGAACTGCCGAGGATGGTTTCTTTGTCGGTTTAGGGATCTCTGAGCGCATGAAAGCATGAAAGCGCCGGAGCGCCATATTTGATCGATAAGGAATAAAGGGCGAAGGAGGGGCAACGAAGAATCCCCGAGTGGTCTCCGATATATAGATGCAACACACTTGTATCGTGCCGATACACCAGTTCCCCTCAATGATATCCGGCAATCAATAATCTATGACTTGTGTTTTGTGTATATGTATGATGGATTCTTCAGTTAGAAACAAGATCCCCACGCGCCATGCATAGACATGTGCCTACTTCACCCTGTCAAATGTGTTTAACTGCAGCGATTTCCGAGCTCGGCATGGCCAAAGCTGCACACAGAATGGCTCAGTCGGCAGCAGCACAACGCTAGTAGATCTTGAGAAACAGCCGAAAGGAGAAGAGATTCGCAGTGATAATAGCCGGGATCCGGGACTCAGGTTAAAGCAGGGACCGACGCCACCAGATCTTCGGCAATTTAGAATCCTAGCGCATCCACCACTCCGGGCCTCTGCAGAGGACACGATGTCCAAGCCGGGCATTCAATGCCAATCTGAAGTATGCTGATAATGGCGATCCTATCTCCTGAGCATCTATATGCCTGGAACTGTACTCCATTCTCGGTGCAGGCTCTATACATGTCCCTGGGGCAGTACTTCGGGGTGTCTTGCAATGGACGGAGCATCGCCGAAAGCACCGCCGGGGCTTCTTTAATCCGCATCACGTGCCCCTTATCGCGAGATCGAAGGGGACCGTCAAATAATCTGTAATGCTCGACAAGACTCGCTATCCTCGCTCCTTCACTCCCCCATGGCTACTCTCCGCCTCCAGGGATTCCAGTCCGTCCTCCGCGGAAGGTCCCACATCCTACGCAACCAGCAGCGTCGCTGGGCACAGGTGCATGATGTTCGGTTCCTAGCCTCTCACCATGACCCGAAGCATGTGCTGGACAAGTATCGTGCCAAGCTGGACCAGAAGGCCAAGCAGTGAGTTTTTCCGCATCTGTACACGCCTCAAGCTGCTATGGTATCAAAAAGCTCCAAGGTACTGACTGAAATATATCCTAGAGAGGGCCATGACTCCATTGATTCCCTGAAGGAGGCTTATGGCGAGAAGATCCAAGACCTTCGTCGCCAAGCATCCACCGCCGCGACTCCAGAGCCAGACGCCCCTACCTCCATACCCAAGTCGACTGTTTCAGGCACCGCGCCTGCTTTTGATCCTCGGAAGAATCCCTCGTCACCCGAAAAGGCCGCCCGTGAGGCGTCCGACAAGCACCCCATCAAACCCCTCAGCACCTGGCTGGACGTCGATAAGATTCGCTCCCTTCCTGCGAAGGAAGTTGAGGCGCTCTGGCGCCTCCGACACGCCAACAACCCGACTGCCATCTCTGCCGTGATCCCGGTCGAAACCTACAAGCGCATTGCCGAAGCCGCGCGCCACAACCCCCAATTCATTCTCCCGCTCCCTCGGCAATCCGCCGAGGCTGACATGCAAACACCTGAGGGCGAGCAGGCTCAGACCACCGCCGATATTCATTTCTTGCAGTGGGCCTTTCACCCCCCGGCAAACGATTTCGTCCCAACCTCGAAGGACACCATGAACACTCATACTTCTACCGTCATCTTCACCCATCTTGGCGCTTTCAAGATGCATGGTTCCTTCGCCCAGCCCCATACGACGGTCACCCATTACTTGGACCTGGCAGATGATAAGGGCCTGGTGCTGATGCATGGCCAGGTCGTGCCAGACCGAGGAGTGTCAACCACCGAGGCGACGTGGTTAGTGAGTGGCGTGCAGCGATTCTACGACTTTGGAGGGCAGGCCAGTGGTCGGAAAGGCGAACTGGTGCGCATGTTCACCCGGGGAGATGTGGAGAATTTCAAGGTTGAAGAGTTGATGGAGGAGACGGAGAAAATCCACTAACGGACTTCACATTGTAAATTTGGGATATCACATCTGCCCTCCAATCCCCAATTGATGACCTGTACTATATATCTGAATATAACATATTTTATTGCATTTCTGTGTTCGCATTTCTGGTCAATTGTCGTATGGCTTCAAGTTCCTCCACTCGCCGAGTTGGACTGGATTTGGAAGGGGGGAGGGGAATCACAACACACTGATGGGTGATCGGGAGCCATTACGGTTCAGCAATTATGTCGATGGGATACCAGAGGATGCATTTAAAAACGAGAATGTTGCATTTTCCTTCAGAGACTTGGCACCAAAGGCACACCGGTCGTTTTGTCCTCCTGCTAACTTGGCTTGATCACAGGTGACTGATGTGTGGAGATCAAACGCTGTGATGTTATCGTATGCGCGACCAAGACATTCGCCAATGGTGGAAGTTGAAAGTGAATACCAGCGCCGTACCGCGCATGTGCTCTGCATTGGCCAGCGGGTGGTTGGGTTACAGTTGGCGAAGAAGCTGGCGGCGGACTGGCTCAATTACTGTTTCGATCGTAAGAGTGCCTCAATGGTCAAGGCCCAGGCCATCACAGACTACGAGCCCCAGTTCTGTCCGGCCGCCTAAATGCCGTGAGCTCCCAGCCCTTGCAGTCAATGGAAAGGCCTCGACCGAGGCCATAGACTGTTGAATCGGTAGCAACTATCTTCAGGTCATGATTGCCGACAATCCCTGTCATCCATTACCTTTCAGTTTCAGAGAGGATCCAAAATATGAACTGAAAACCGCCTCCCAGATCAAGATCTCGCCTCCGCGCACCACAAATCTCAGTATATTCCTGCCTTTGCCGAGTTCCCGAAAACCTCCTCATGATACCACTCTAAGGAATGCCGATTTTCATGTTCGCATTCAAACTGCGGACGAGAGGATCATGAAGACAATCACCTTTATATAAATTTTGGGACACTGTCCATACATATCTAGTGAAAAAATATCAAACCTCCAGTTCCTATCTTAGCCTGATTTTGCTTCGGCGTTGAGTCATGGTGGAGAGTGGCGTGTCGTTTTAAGGGGATGAAGACGCCCCTTGCGCCGGGGCCAGTTGATTTGAAAGATAACCATAGTGGAGCAGTACTCCGTAATCCATTCCCTAATCCAGGCAAGAGGTTGCTAGTGCCTCAAATTGATTCGCTTTCTCCTCATTAGCTCGGGCTCTCCCGCCGCTAACGCAAAACCGACTGAAGGGAATGTTGGGATCAGGAAGTGGCCTGCTAGGACCGGTGTAGCCCAAATGACGTACTGCGCCATGATATTCTCGCCCGAATAGTATGGGACAGACTCGCAGAGATCGCCCGGTGTTGAGGGCAGAGTCGGACGGATTACCCGATGTTGAGCTGATCGCAGAATGTCATTCATGGATAGTCCCGGGTGCCGATGGATAGTATATTTGCGACCAAGTGCGGCCAAGGTACAAAGCAGGCACGACTCAATTGCACTGAGAGAGTGCCAAGAAAAGAACAGAAGGACCAACCCCTTGATGCAGACTCGGTCAACATCCGCGTCGATTCGCGGGATGCACCCTGCCAAGCACGTTCAGACTCAAGCCACTAGGCATTAATCCATGGTCGGTACCAATGTCTTCCTGGTCGATTTTGCAAGACATGGTTTCGAGTCACTTAAGGGGTGGAACGGTGCGGAAAGGCTTGCCTGCTGGTATCGCGGTATCGTGTTATCAGGCTATCAATGTGATGGTGATAATAAAATAGGCCCTGAATCGATTACGCAACTCTCTCAATGCAGCAAGTTTTTCCCGATTCTGAGACCAGTCGCTCGGCCTTCCGATGGGATCTGACGATAATACGTGGCCACATGGGGCGTAACAGGCAGGCTTCTGCGACCCGCCCCGGGAAGCGTCCCGATAAGATGATGTAGTTGGCACAGAGTCGCCTGAGAGGTGAGAAGTGGATATAGGATATTACTTTCCCAAAAGGCATAGGAAGGCTCAACAATGTCGTATGTGGGTGGAACCTTGCCCCGTTTGCTGTGAGGCATTTAGGGAGGCGTTCGGGAGGCAAGTCTCGTCATTGGCCTTCCCCGCACTCAAAAAAGTGGAGTTGGTAGCACTGGGGACTGGGAAGGGTCGTTCAATTGCGGGGAAAACCGCGATCTATTCTGTCATGAAATCCGGGGGCCAGTGACCCACGTAGAGAACGGCTTCATGTTGCAGCAATGTCGAGAGAAGAGAAAGAAACGAAGGATGAGGTGGAATTAGAGGCCAAGTTAAAGCGATCGTGGCTGTTGATAAGGGAAGGTTAATCTCCTTATCTCTCTATCGCGGGCCAGTGGGGGCTCGTTTCACCGCAGGGATTAGGAGAGGTTTCTCCCCCTCGAAGGGCTTGGCCCATCATTGGCCAGCAGTGGCCACTGGCAAAAATGAGAAGAAAAAAGAGCAAGAGTCTGATAGGAGCGCGCACGTACGTTTTTACGCCCACATTACTTGGCTCTGGCCGGCCAGGGAAGGTTTAAATGTTTCCCCATGGACCGCGCATTCCATATGCTTTTGCTTTTGCTTTTGCTTTTGCTTTCAACTTGACCTTTACCTTTGCACATATGTCTCAATCATGATGTCGGAGAAAAAACAAGATGATTCCCTCAACCAAGTGCCTTCGCAGATCGGGGAGGTCACCGAGGGGGAACATGATGCCGTCTTCGGTGAAATTACTGGTGATGGCCCTAACTATCGAAATGTACGTACCATCATTCGCCTCCCCATATGTGACCACTGGCGAGGGAAGGAAAATGGGAGGGAAAGGACTCATCATGTTTTCTTACTCTACTTTGCTCGAGTCTTTCGGTCGACCATGTCTGGACTAGCTAACATTTGCCATTGACATAGGTTGGATGGCTCGGCACGGCTGTCCTGATGATGAAAACCCAAATTGGACTTGGAGTCCTTTCCATTCCTGTCGCATTTGATTCCCTCGGGGTTGTGCCGGGAGTGATCTGTCTGTGTGCTATTGCGGCCATCACCACCTGGTCGGATTATATCATCGGAGTCTTCAAGCTTCGCCATCGCGAGGTCTATGGCATCGACGACGTGGGCGAGCTGCTCTGTGGTCGCCTGGGAAGAGTCGTCCTGGGGACTGCCTTTGTGCTCTGTCAGTATCGACCCATATCATTACTTGATACGAATGTGTCCTAACCACAACAAGTATAGGGTGGATTTTTGTGGCGGGCTCTGGAATGCTGAGCATTTCAATTGCACTCAACGCCGTTTCGGACCATGCCATATGTACCGCCGTCTATGTGGCGGTCGCTGCCATTGTCGCATTCCTATTTGGAAGTATCCGAACTCTCGGCCGTATCTCCTGGATTGCATGGCTGGGCTTGTTTTGCATCTTGACTTCAAGTGAGGATGGTCCACGCACCAAATTTGGATTCTCGGTATGCTAATTCGCTCTTTTGTCTAGTCTTGATTGTCACAATCGCCGTGGGTATTCAAGAGCGCCCGTCTGCGGCTCCCCAAGAGGGTGTTTGGGTTCCCGATTACAAAATTGTCAATAGCGATGTGTCCTTTACCGATGCCATCTCTGCCATTTCGACCATCGTGTTCGCTTATGCCGGCACCCCAGCATTCTTCTCCATTGCCTCAGAGATGCGAGATCCCGGTCATTACAACCGAGCGCTGATGATATGCCAGAGCGTTGTGACATGCTTTTATCTAGCCATCGGCATTGTAATCTACTACTACTGCGGGTCTTACGTGTCTTCGCCCGCGCTTGGCTCGGCTGGTCCGGTCGTTAAGAAAGTCAGTTATGGGTTTGCTCTCCCAGGGCTGCTGGCCAGTACCCTGCTCTTCGTCCATGTAAGTTCAGGATCACTCTAACCTCGGTTATCCCACCGTATTGGAGGCACTTTGACGGAGAGCCAAGCGTGAATACTCGAAACACTTTTCGCTAACGGTTTCTTCAGATTACAGGGAAATATATCTTTATTCGCATCCTTCACGGATCCCGGCACTTAGTGGCCAACACCATGGTGCACTGGTTGGTTTGGCTTGGCTGTACAGTGGGTGTCTCTTTAATTGCATACATCATTGCGAGTGCCATTCCCGTGTTCAGCGACCTGGTGTCTCTGGTCGGGGCCCTCCTCGGGACCCCCATGTGCTTCCAGCCCATGGCCGGCATGTGGCTTTACGATAATTGGAATAAGGGTAGGGTCCATCGAACCACCAAATGGACCTTGATGGTCTGCTGGTGTGCCTTCATCATTGTGGCTGGTACATTCCTCATGGTTGGCGGTACCTATGGATCTATCGTGAGCATCATCGACAACTATAAAGCGGAAGGAGGATCGGCTGCCTGGTCGTGCGCCGATAATTCTACATAGAGTAGATTTTCTGACATGATAGAACTTCAATATTACGATTTCACTCTCAATGGCATCCACCACGCAACATCACCTTAAGAATATCCGGTTGGCTAAGATCAGGATGAAATTCAGATGCTGGGTTGTAGACGCTCGATCCTTGTGATGTTCTTAGAGGTAGACGGGTCTGCATGACTTGGCCTTTTGAGAAAGTTAGAAAATCCTTCTGAAATCCCAGTTCATGTTCTATGGCGAGGGTGTCTGGATTGGCGAAGCCGTAGATTCCGAACCGAACAAAAGCTTTTTTTTGCCTTGGGCTTCGGAAGCGGTTCTTGTTCCGTTCCCCACGCCCTTCACTGACATCTTTGCGGCGTCGCTATGTCGCTTTATCCTCTTCATTTATCATCGAGGGCCTCCTAGTTTTCTTCCATTAAGACATAGATCTGACCTCCAAATTCCTCCATCGCCAATTGATTGATAGTGCGCCTTGTTCGCCCGCGCTGGCCTCTACCTGCCCCGCACAACCTCGGCGCATTGCATTGAACTCCGCATCGTACATTCTTTTCGCCAGCACCCCAGGATGGATCGTGAACAGTTTCGCACAGCAGCCCATTCGGCAATTGATGACAGTATGTGGCACCTCCAAGGTCGTTTCAAGATTTGCTCTTAGCTCTGATCCGATCTTTCTTCCAGTTGTCAATTACTTCGATTCTGTCCCCGACCGAAGAGTCCTTCCCGCCGTCGACCCCGGTTACCTGCGCCCGCTGATCCCCGAGAATCCGCCTGTCGAGCCGGAAGAATGGTCGCAGATCCAGAAGGATATCGATACCAAGATCAAGCCCGGTCTGACCCATTGGCAATCGCCCAACTTCATGGCGTACTATCCGGCTAGTGTGACGTATCCGAGTATCCTGGGCGAGATGTATTCGGCGACCTTCACAGCCCCCGCGTTCAACTGGCTTTGCTCGCCCGCCTGCACGGAAATGGAGACAATCGTGATGGATTGGGTGGCTAAGGCACTGGGCTTACCGGAATGCTTCCTGAGCACATCGGAGAATCTGGGAGGCGGCGTAATTCAGAACAGTGCCAGTGATGCGATCGCTACGATGATGGTTGCCGCGCGTGAGCGACGGGTCCGAGAGATGGTGCTTGCTGAGGGTCTCAAAGAGGGGACTCTCGAGTACGACGAGCGCAAGATGGACTTGCAGCCTCGCCTGGTTGCCATTGCCAGTGACCAAACCCACAGTAGTGCGGCCAAGGGTGCTCTGATTGCGGGCACCCGTTTTCGAAGCGTGGGCACTCAGCTGGCTGAGAATATGGAGATGACGGCAGCGCGGCTCCGAGAGGTCCTGGAGCAGTGCGACAAGGATGGGCTCACTCCGTACCATCTCACCATGACCTTCGGCACCACTAATACATGTAGTGTGGATCGCTTCGCAGAGATCAAGGCAGTTCTACAGGAAAAGCCGGCGTGGCAGCGTATCTGGGTACATGTGGACGCCGCATATGCCGGCGCTTCTTTGGTGGCCGATGAGTGGCAATACATAGCCAAAGATTTTGCCGAGGGAGTGGACAGTTTCAACACGAACATGCATAAATGGTTGCTGGTTAATTTTGATGCTAGGTGAGCTTCATCCGATTCTTTTCACCGTGTCGTTTTCAACAGACTGACCTTTGACGCAGCGTCCTTTTCGTGCGCAACCGCCTCGACCTGACCAATGCTCTTGATATCACCCCGGCCTACCTTCGTAACCCATATTCTGATATGGGGACTGTAATTGACTATCGGAACTGGTCGATCTCGCTGGGCCGTCGGTTCCGGGCCCTGAAGATCTGGTTTGTAATGCGCAGTTATGGGCTGAACGGCATGAAAGTGCACATCCGTAAGACCATAGAGCTTGGTAATATCTTTGCGGATCTTGTCCGCGGGCGTTCTGATTTATTTGAGATTGTCACCAAGCCGGCGTTCTGTTTGACAGTGTTCCGCGTTAAAGCCTCGGCGCCAGTAGGCACCGCGACCAATGGAGCCAACGGCGCCAATGGCATTTCAGTCTGCCAAAAGGACGAGGCCGCAGATGGGATCACGAAAACGGTATATGAATTGATCAATTCGAGGGGTGAGATTTTTATCACCTCGACTGTGATTGATGGCATCTATGTGATACGGGTGGTAAGCGCGAACCCCATGGCCGAGGAGAAATATGTGCGCAATGCCTTCAACATTCTGGTGCGAACCACCGAAGAAGTGCTTCAGCAAGCATGAAGCACCCGAGTGCTGATTGAAGTTGATGTCTTGTCAAAATATACTATGTATCGCACGACTACTGTATACCATCTACGCAACCGATTTTGACCGAAGACGAAGCAATCATTATTGGCGTTTCCAACTACTTCACCCTGTTTAATTCCGTGCCCTAAAACTCGAGGGGAACACAGAGCATGAGAAGAGAGAACCATGAAATAATTGGAGTGAGCTTGTAGAGTAAATGCCCGGGAGCAGCCTCAAACGCGAAAAGAAACAGCGGCCATCGTTGCTCGGCGTTGATGGCTCAGCGCCCGAAGCCCGACACTTGTGGGTCCGACAGGCATAAAGCCGACTCGGCGCGGGGACTTGATGCTTCCCCGCGCCTTAAAAGTTGGAGATGCCCGTCCTCGGGGGCGGTTCTCTCGATGGCGCCAGTCCAGTGCGCCCACGATATTCACGACAATGCAGGCTCCATTACGATCATCTCTTCGGTTACGCCGGAATTTGTCGCGTCCTTTCGCCGTCTCTGCTCGGTTGCTCTCCGACTCGCCCGCGTCTTCCGTCGCGGCCTCCTTCCTGTCCCGATTCCAGTCTCTTGGTCCACAGACGCGGACACAGACACTGGATGCCAATCAACTGCAGCTGCTGACGTTGACACTAAACCGGCCGTCTCTTTTCCCTGATTCGCCCTCATTGTCCAATACCCCGGGCTCCCTGCCGCGACAAACCCCCGTCCCACCAGGATACCACTTGGTCTACTTCACCCCCGCCTTCCTTGAATCCGAGCTGGGACCAGATGGCACCGATACCTCCTATAATCCCGAGACCCCTTTCACGCGCCGCATGTGGGCAGGTGGTGAGGTGCTCTGGCCGCGCGACGCCAAAGGGCAACCCAATCCCTTGCGCGTAGGCCAGCAAGTGAGCGAGACCACTCGCGTGCTCAGTGCCGAGCCGAAAGTGGTGAAAAAGACTGGCGAGGAAATGATTGTCGTTGGCGTGGAGAAACAGTTCTCGAATGAGCATGGACTTTCCATCGTGGATCGACGGTAAGTGTCTCGTCCCTTGGTGATGGAGGCACCAAGTGGCTGACTGACCTGCGCAACAGGAACTGGGTGTTCCGGAAAGCCCTGCCAACTCTTCCTGCATCATCAACTTCAAAAGCGTCCTCTTCTGATTCCTCTTCGACGTCCCATATGACGACGCATTCGTCTTCCGCCATCTCCTCTGCGGGCAACACGCATACCCGGGCCTATGTGCAATCACCTGTCACGCTCTTCCGCTTCTCAGCCCTTACCTTCAATCCGCATAAAATCCACTATTCACTCCCGTGGGCCCGCGATGTCGAGGGACATCGAGATCTCGTAGTCCATGGCCCGTTGAATCTAATCTCCATCCTAGACTTGTGGAGAGACACCCGAGGTACGACTGAGTCCGAGCCCGCCTCAATTGTCCCTCAACAGATCTCATACCGTGCCACGAGCCCGTTATACGCGGGAGAAAAGTACACGATCGAGATTCAGGCGGAAGCAGAGCTCGCGATGGTGCAGATTCGCGGACCTGGAGGAGCGGTTGCTATGAAGGCTGAGATCAAAGGTTGAGGCAGCTGAAACAAGATTCTCACCATATACTCGTCTTCATCATAGTGTAGAATGGAAATACTTTGAATATAAACCCAGAGCTCTATTCAAGATTCAGTCTCTCTACATACGCCATATCAAGTCATCATGGACACCACGAAATTGAGAAACCATCCAGTGAGCCAATCCTCCTGGGGAGCATCGGTCAAAGACGCCACCCTCACAGGCGAGCAGCTTTGGCCTCGTCAACTCGCTTCTGAGCCACCTGTTCAGCGGCGGCGCGTCCTGCACGCCGGCCAAATACCGCGCCCGAGGTCAAGCCACTGCCTCCGGGATAGTTGTCGTAGAAGAGGCCGCCAACCATCTCGCCCACCGCATATAACCCAGCAACCTCCGTGCCCGTGGCCTCGGATATCACTGCGGCTGTCTCCGGATTCACTGCCAGTCCACCAAAGGTAAATGTGATCCCCGATGTCACTCGGACAGCAAGAAACGGCCCTTGATCGAGCGGCAACGCCCAGTTGGACTTGGGGATCGCCAGTCCCTCGGTCGAGAGCCCGTCTTTCACTGCAGGATCCCACCGGTGCTGCGCATCGACAGGAAAGGGCACCGACCGATTATACTCCGCGCAGGTCGTCAAAAACCGCTGCTTATCGGTCAAGCCGGCTTCCACGCATCGGTCGGCCAGTTCGTCCAGTGTCTGGCCCGTCAGATGGCGCGTCACTTCCGGGCGATACTCTTCTGTACGCAGCCAGGGCGTCGTTCTCGCATCCCAGACTTGGAAGGCCAGCTGCCCTGGCTGCTGCAGGATGCGTCGCCCGATCATGGCGTACGTAAAGTTGCGTAGGTCCGAGCCCTCGTCAACGAACCGTACGCCGTCTCGGTTCACCATGATTCCCAGTGGGTACCCAGACTTGGTGAACTCGTTCGAGATATTGCGGTCGCCGGCGTGCGCGGGCGCATCGGCATCCCAAGCCACACAGTGACAGCCCGACCAGTTGCCCACGCCCTTCGCCGCGACGTCCCGCTGAGCCATCTTGAGGGCGTCACCGGTGTTGTATGGCGTACCACGCACACGAGCCGCATCCCACCCGGGGCCGAGATACTGGGCACGGAGCTGCGCGTTGGCTTCGAATCCTCCAGCCGCCAGAATCACCGCCGCGGCGTGAATTGTCATCGTGCGATGCTTAGATGAGGCCCGGGAATTTGTCGCTGTGACCACTTCTAATCCAACTACTGCCCGGGTCCGACGATCTATCACCAGTCGGGTGGCCGTGGTTTCAAAATAGACTTGAACGCCGAGTTTCTGGGCGGCACGGAGATGATCCTCAATCAGACCTTTCCCTCCATCCTGCGTTTTAAGCGCCATGCCGCCCCAGAACTTGAACCGGCCGTCGACTTCATACGCCTGTCGGTTAAACGACAACTGGAAGCGGATGCCATTCTGCGCGAGCCAGCCAATTGTACTCCGCGAGTCCTGGACGAGGATCTTCGACAGCGCGGGATCTGTGCGGCCGCCAGTCATGCGATAGAGGTCGTGCGTGAAATCTGCGTCGGAGTATACGGCTATGTCGATGCGTGCAGCCTGCTCGGCTGTAGTATTATTCACTAGCGGGAGGAGGTCGTCCAGGCCTTGATGCACCGTGCGGAAGGCGCCCGCAGTGAAATAACTGTTACCGCCGGCCCAGGCCTCGGAGCATTTATCGATGACCACGACATGCGCGTCAGGATTCTGCTGAATGGCTGAGATGGCTGCGCAGAAGCCGGCGTTGCCACTGCCGACGACGAGGATGTCGCAGGCGGCGGGCGGAAACGAAGACATGGCGGAACTGACAATCGTCAAAGCAGGATTGATTTCGATAAGGATGAATAGGAGGGTCAGAATCTCTCTCTCTCTCTTTGCGGGGTTGACAATCAATTTATTAATCCCGATCTTCTGCCTCTGCAGGTGTCTCGTGGATTCGTCCTTCCAGCAGACGGAGACTCACTGTCCGTCGCAGTCGGCCACGGAGCATCAGTGTCCGTCGGCACAATTTTTCTTTCTCCGGTGCCGAGTTATCGAACGGCCAAAAAAATGGAGAGATGTAAAAAGAGACCTGCAAGATCATTTTCTATTGCCGTGGTCTCGAATCTAATCCTCAAGCCGAACCAAGGACCACTTAACAAGATGGGATCGAGCTGGTCCAGAGTCGTCTATAGTTCGGGACGGAACAGCCCCGGTTCCGAGGGCATTCGTTATGAAGAGCTGCGCTCAAGATGATTATGATTGCATCGTACGGATTCGATAGGGATGATTAGCTACTCCCAAAGATGGTCATCATCATTATTGTGATTATCATGCGAGGAGATTCGGGGAGAAGGGGTAAACAGAAGGAAGAATTGATACTTTTCTTCCCTTCCACTACTTGAACAGTACTCAGTTCTTCTCCAGATGGACCTTATCGTCGAATGGAAGAGTCGCGGTCGCAGTCCATGGAATTTCTTTCCCATGGAGCTATCCAGTACTACCACTATGGCCCTTACCAGGTCCTAATGCCGGTAATAGTCGTGGTGGGGAGGGGGGGGGGGGAGGAATCGTCCTGTGCCGGAATCCCGTTGCCAATAAGGTAATTCCAACCAATGCATCGTGAAGCGTCAGACTCAATTCCGATTCTCCCCTGGCCCACAAGCGGCTAAGACCTCATCCCACCGTCTCCCACTGCCTCTCAAATTCCCCCGCAGAATACCCATATACTTGAGATAGCACAAAATGGAGAGTCTTGGCCCCGCTCGGGATGTGGACCGCACACAGCGATTACCCCACGGGGCATGGAACTCCCTCCACATCCTGCCTCAGGCTTTCTTTCCGATCGGACCGGCGTCGATTTACCGGGATAGGAGATCACGAGGGGCAAGCGAGCCAAGTATACAAATACGCTGGCCCCCGGTCAGAATATTCCTAGAAACCCCATTCATTCTACGGAGCAATTGTCTATCCATCATCCCAATTCACCATGCACATCATCTGGCGAGAGTCCGCCGACAAAGCCACCTATGAGGACGCACGTGTTGGCCGGGTATTCAATCACCGCCGTCCTCAGCGCTTTCCATTGGCAGTCGTGAAAGCCACCTGTCCGGAAGACATTGTAGCAGCCGTTAAACTAGCCGCGGAGCGCAATTGCCGCGTCGCAGTCCGATCGGGAGGCCATTCGTGGGCGGCGTGGAGTGTACGTGATGATTCGATCCTCATCGACCTGGGCAATTACAAAACTGTAGAGGTCGATGCAGTCAACAAGATTGCTCGGGTATCCCCCAGCATGACCGGCAGAGAGCTCAATTCGGTTCTGGTCAAGGATTATCAGCTCATGTTTCCTGGAGGACACTGCCCCGATGTTGGCCTTGGAGGATTCTTGCTACAAGGAGGAATGGGGTGGAATTGCCGCGTAAGCCTTCCTTCAGGGAGATATCGACTTTTTTGAGATTCGCAGTCCAGAGTTACTGATAAGGTTGGTAGAACTGGGGCTGGGCTTGCGAGAGAGTGCAGGCCGTCGACGTCGTGACTGCCCAGGGTGAACTGCTCCACTGCAACGAGCAGCAGAACCAAGAGCTATACTGGGCTGCCAGAGGCGCCGGTCCCGGTATGGTAGACACCGAACCCGCCTCGATGAATTCAATGAAAATGGGCTAACATATTCCTTTGATTAGGCTTTCCCGGCGTGGTCACCAAATTTCATCTTCGCTTGAATCCCTATCCCAAGCGGGGGTTCCGTTCATCTGGTTATATGTATCCAATCGGCATGTACCGGGAGGCCCTGAGCTGGGTCATTAACATTACGCCCACCTTTGACAACGACACCGAGATTGCCGCTGTCTCACTATACCCCGATGGTGAGGAAGAAATGCAGCTGTTCATTCTCTTCGTGACCATGAAAGACGACGCATCCGAGGCAGAGAAAGCTCTCAGGGTCGCCCAAGAATCTCGTCCCGCCGGGACTGTGAGTGAATGGTTCTGCAAGGAGGATAGCCTGGACAGCCAATATGATAATCAGGCAAAGGCCAACCCAGAGAGGCATCGATACTGCACGGACAATGCATACATCAAAAATGATGCTGATGTTCCTGCCGTCTTGGAGGAGGCATTCACTACACTCCCGGACCGGAAGGCCTTCGCGCTGTGGTATGGGATGAACCCTTGCAGCCGCAGAAAGCTCCCGGATATGGCTCTCAGTATGCAGTCTGATCATTATTTCGCCTTGTATACCGTGTGGGAGCACGAAAATGATGACCTGAGATGCCAAGGATGGGTGCGGAATGTGATGCAGAAAGTGGAGCGTCATTCAGTCGGCGCCTACCTAGGGGACTCGGACTTTCAAGTCCGGAAAACAAAGTTTTGGGCCGATGACAATGCCAGGCGTCTGATGGATATTCGCCGTAAATGGGACCCCCAGGGCAGGGTTTGCGGATACCTGGACCAAGGTGATCTGTCTGGAACACGAGGCCTCGACAACGCACATCAGTGGAAGATGTGAGACATCGATGAGACTTGAAATGGTATTACTAGCGGGGGAATGCATGTAATCCTGTATAGACATGATGATTTACGATTTAATGGGCCTATGACATAGATACACATTGATAATCTAGTTAGAACGCAAATATTTCGACTTAACAAACAGGGGAAAGACCCCCTTTCCCCTCGGGCAGCAAACAAGTACTGGTCGCTGTTTCTTATTAAGAGTAGCAAAGGTTTGGTGTTTGATCTCGGTTGAGCTTTTCTTGACACAAAGATAAATCTGTACATTTCATGATTTTGCTAGTGTAGTTGGGCTCGCTAGACATTTACCCATTGGAAACATTTATAGGCACACTGCCATACCCCTGGCTTTTTCTTCTCATCCCGACTAGGAGAAATACCAACCACTTCACCGGGCATGGATTCACGGGGTTTGTCTCTTGTTGTACACTCCGGGTTGTTGGCGATTTTCCAACCTCTTAGGACCAGCATGCATACTGCTGCGGCGATATACATGCAACCAGTGAACAACTCTGTGCCTAGATATTTACCTGTTCCGGACACAATCTCCAATGCGATTGGCTCGCTAAAAGTGCATGGCACGGCAATGGAAACCCATAGTAGACTGAGTCCTGATGACACATTGCTCAGCCCAACTATTTCTGCAACAAGTGGTGCAATCGTTGCCCAAAAGTTTCCCGCCACAAGACCTTCAAGCAAGGCAAAAGAAATCAGCACCCCGTAGCTTTTGGTACTGGTCCACATAGCCAAGGGTAGCAGCCCAGCAATAAAGGTCATGGCCCCAGCCATATTGATGCGCCCGGTTTTATCGCTGAAATATCCAATCAGGGGCCGTCCTACTGCTTGGGCAAGATTGAACAATGCACTTGCAAGGGAGGCCTGTGAGGAACTCAATCCAATAGAGTTTGCGAAATTGGCGAGGGTAAATATGAGGATGAAATAGCCTAGCATGCTGAATGCACTGAATCCAAGAAGGAGGATATACTCCCCTCTTTTCAAGAGTGTCATATCAAATGCTTTCTGGTTCAATGCTCTATGGCCCTTCTGCTCCTTGATAAGGAGAATGCAGCTTGTGTTCACAACGAATGCAATTACACCCAGGATTCGAAATGTCAATGCAAGGCCAAGGTCCCTGATCATGGCTGAAGCAGAAAGTGAATAGGTCAGACCACCAAGACCTGCCCCAGCGAGCGAAATACCGCTAGCAAGAGACCTTCTTTTGGTAAACCACTGCGGAACAACCGCTGCCAGGGGGATAAAGATAAGTCCCAGGCCCAGGCCAAAAACCATCCCTTGCGTTAGGAATAGATGCCATATTTTGGTCGCTGCGCTTGCACATAGAAGGCTAGTAGTTTCCAGAACCACTCCACAAAACATTGTTGGTCTGATTCCTATTTTTCTGACAAGGATTGTCGCGACAGGAGATATAAGCATGAGAAATGTCAGACTCAACGATCCGACGAATGCATACTCAAGTCGAGTGGCACCGAAAAATAAATTATTGTCAAGGTAATGCGCGAGGAAAACAGCATAAGCCGAGTTAAACCCCCATGAATGAGCATTTATTGTGGCTGCTGCCACGGTGCATATCCACCCATACCCACCATCAGGCGGCGTAGAGTCGGCTCGTGGAATTATGACTGAATGATTTCTTTCGAGGTCATTTTTCTCCTTCTGAGTTTGCTGGTCTAACTTTGCAGTTGTGCATTCCTTCATCATGTTTGGGGTATAATAGAAATGTTTTCAAAAGAGCTCTAAGGCAAGAGCTCTAGGGCGTGAGTAGCCCAGATGAATGGCGGTAGAGCCCAGGTTCATAGACCTCGCACAAATGTTTGATGACAATGAGAATCTCTCAGACTGTGATATACATTCCTAGCCATGACATGAACGTTTGAATCCAAGAAAATTTGCAGGGTGAGTTTCGGTCCTCGGCCTTTGTTTCTAGGAAATAATTGCGCTCGAATTTTTGGAATCTCTCCCCAGGGGTGGGTCTCGGCATTAGATACGGAAAGCAAGTATGAAGCCGCCAATGGGAAACCATCTTGGGCACGCCAAGCCCTTGTTAACGGTTTCGGCTTTTGGTCGTAGCTCCACTCGGTTTCCGAAAGTACTGTATAGATTGACAGCTAGACAATCGAGTTGAGGTACGGTGGAGTACAGGAAAAGAAAACTGAATGACTGTCAAAAATGACGGTTATTCAAATTACAAGTCTATAGGTTGAGTTCAAATCAACGACATATAGAGCTGCGTAAGGGTATCTTAGAAATACATAGGCAATTATCACCGGGCTCATTCGCCAAAAGGATGGTTAAACTTCAGCAGCCCGTTCAAGCCACCAACCCATCCTTCATGCGCCTCGCCGCCCATACTTCGTCGCATCACACTAGGCACGCCACCTTGCCATTCGTTTTTACCATGCCGCATCTCTTCATTCCAGACTCGCGCCTCCATGCCAACGGCCATGCCCTGGCCCAAGTTGACACCATCCAGACTGACTTCGAGTTCGCGGCCGCGGTTCTTCTCACTCAAACGAAGTGTTATAGGCGTGCTCAAGGGTAGGACTAGAGGCCTGAAACTGAGACTTCGGGCACAGATAGGAGTGAGGAGGATGGATGGGACGAGGGGGTGCACGATACTGCCCCCACTGCTCAGGCTGTAAGCGGTACTCCCCGTCGGCGTCGAGATGATGATGCCATCTACCACAGCCTCGGTCAGGAATCGACCACCCACAAATATTTCTACTACGGCCAGATGAGACTCCTTGCCGCGGTGAATCAGCAGCTCGTTCATGACATAGACGCCTTGGCCGTGGTCGGATTTGCCTCTGACGGCGGTGGTTTCCTGGCCATCAGCGGTAAATAGCCCCACCTTAAGTCGATTGCGCATTAAGATAGGGGCACCACGGGTACAGCCCATGGACTTTCCTCTGACGGATGACCATCCAGTCGGACCCAGAGGAGACTCCGGCTTCTCCTTTTCAGTCGGCGGAGCTTCGAGAACGGGAGTGCGATCTCCGGCTCCAGCTCCTGACATGTACACTTCACGGAATGCGCGTTTGAATTCGGAGAACTTCCATTCGCTCAAGAAACCCAGAGTGCCCATGCTAAATGACAGGACTGGCGGGACATTTGAGCATGTTGCGAAAAGAGATGAGGCGTGTAGGATAGTGCCATCGCCTCCTAGTGTGACCGTCAGGTCTACCTTATCATGAAAGGCAGTTGGGTTTTCTTCCAAGGATGTCGAATAAACCGGAAATGAGAGCGAAGAGTGAACTTCAGCCGCAGTTTTAGACTCAAGAATAATTCCGATGGACGGGTAGGTAGAGGAGATATGACTGAAACGAGAGAATTCATCAGAATTATGATCGGAATAATTCAGGGCAGGGGGATTTGAAGTACTTTGCAAACTCAAGCAGAGACTCGGTAACAGCTGGAGCGCAATTCTTCCGGACTAAAAGAATGTTCCGCGGAGGTGCCGGCCACAGGAGAGAAAGCAGTTCGCCTTGTGATTCTAGGGTTCAATAGCTGATCAGCTTTGCACTGGTTATCGGTTCAGAGAGAGTGAGAAACGAGAAGTACCTTGGTACTTTGGAAGTAGGCGTCTTGGTAAGGCGCTGACATCACGAATCTCACGACGCGGACAGGATGAGGAGAAGCAGCGGCGCAGGAATGAGCTCGAGACCCGGAGAGGGATGGCGCGCTGCATGGTTGAGGGGTCCCGATAACCACATATGCCAATATTAAAGGAGTTCCTAATCACAGTCACATATCCAGCCGGAAAAAAAACCAGCGTATCACCACAGTGGCTTGTCCGCTCTCGATCGCGCAAAAGAGACAGCAAGTGATCGACATGGAAGTCAAACGGCCAAACAATGACGCTCCGTCCCCTACACCGCCCGCCTGGCCGAATAAGGCAGAATGCCTGCCGCCTTAGGCTCTTCACTCGTTGTTTCTCGCAGTCTCACAAAGTTAGGGATAACATCGGCTGCTTTCCTTTTCTGAGGATGCCTAGAGAACTCAGTAGTATATAAAGACCGTAGCCCAGAATCACACATCAAGTCTTCATCCATAATATTAACATCAGGAATTCTATGTGATATATAATTGTTGGTGGGCAGGACCAAAACTCACGTTGATGGTCTATGATTCCATGTCTGTCCCTACCCAAGCCTAACTGAGTGGCGCTACATGACTTTTATCCTATTTGCTTGCCGGTGAAGTTTTAGACACCTTGATTTAAAATACTTTCCTTCTTATCAAGATTGATTTTCCAATATCCCCCGCCCTCACTTCAGATGGGAATATGTCTTGTATCTTCTCAGTCTCACCTCCGGCACAGTGTTCGATTTCCCTTAATCATGTACTCACACGCGAACATATCAACCGGAAACGCTGCCTGACTTGACTTTTAGATTAGTTGGCTTTACTAGTTGTCTTCCCTTCTCATATCCCCTTTCCCTTGGCTGCCAACGCTGTTGACTCTCACCCAATCTTTATCTTTTATTTCTGTCTAGGCCTTGTCAAAGACATTCTCTTATTCTGCGGGAAGCATATTTCAAACTTGATCTCATACTCTAACTGGACGTGATGGGTCAGGGGAACCTCAAGTTTTCCTGGACTTCTTATGAACGTGAGATCCTGTGTTGCCTGTACCGCTTCTACTCACTCAACCAAGACACGCTTGAAACGCTTTTTTCGACCATCTTTCGGCCGAAACTCCAGAAGCTTGACTTTAAAAATCACAAACTCCCAGCACGCACTTTACATGCACAGTGGTGCTGGATGAAACGTGTTGGCCATTCAGTCTGGCTTCGTGTTCATCGAGAGACGGAATTTCGACTTGACGATGAGTGGAAACACATCATTGCTCATATTGAGAGCACAGCACAATCAATGAAAATTGTACTCCATCGGAAACAAGTTGACATAATTGACATGTCTGAAAATACCCCAACTGACGCCTCGGGTCGACGTTGGGAATTTCTGGATTCTGTTCTCGTTTCCAGTCAGAGTAACTCTGTTGAGAATAGCCCTGGGAGTACCGATCATATATCTCCTCAGACAGAATCGCAATCGCTCGTCACGGCTCACGGCAAGGTCTGCTTTTGGTGTGAAAGAGAAGGACGACTCCCAGCGAGAAATGATCTCACCGATAAACCCACAGGAGAAGAAGATGAAGAACACACGGGGACTCTACCGAAGATGCATGATGGTTCACGCCCACCTGAAACCCCGTTGGATTCCACTGCTGAGGTAGCTGGCGTGCATTCGCCACTGATCACAAACTTATCAAGCCCTTCTCCTATGCTTGACCTCAGTGGAACCCCAAATCTTCCATCTATTCTTTATCGGTGGTCAAATGACGACTCCCAAGGCGTCAACACTGAGACGCTTCTACTAGGTGAATGTTTTGCAGGGGAAAATGCGGGATTTTACATGCCAGAGAACGTATCCCAGGAAGAATTCTTAGAGTCATTTAGACTCCATGTCACGAACGAGAAAGTGAAAACCCCCTTCATCTCTACCTTTGTTGGTCCCCTAGCTCCAGTTCACAGAGCTCTACACCATCAAAAGAATGCGAAGGTCACAATTATTGATCCCTTCAAAGTCGAGACCCCCATCTACTATGCGTTTCCTCTTGCCTGCCTCACTTCAACTCTGAAGAAAGGAAGATGGATGGGATATGGGGAATATGAAATCTGGGGCCGAGTCCCCGCCCCAGCAATCATTCGCTGCTTCCAAATCTCGGATCTGGAGGCAATTGCAGATGGCGATTCTGAAATCGGGAAGTTCTTGCAACTTTCCGTGATGAGGAGTCACGAGCGGTGCAGCGCCAAGCTCCGCAAGTCGCTTATGAAGAATACAGACAGTACGGCTGATCCTACCGGTGTAGTCGACCGACTTGTAAAGTCCCTTGGTGTGCCAGAGAAGTACAGGAAGGATGTGGCATCTGGATTTCAGAGATCGTGGACAACTCTGGTGGAGGAGATCCCTAGAAATGGTAGAGAATCCTGTACATCTGGCCTAAATTGGGTTGACTCATCACCCAGAGCTCGACGGAATAGTGCTGATTCGTCCTCCACCTACAAACCGTCAGAAAGTGATGACGGTTCATGCTCCAGTACGAGTGAGGAAACCCGGAGCCGTTCTAAGTCGGGATCATCAGACGCAGAGCTCCAAGCACACGATACACCGAGCCCTTCCTGCCCATCCTTTAGTACTTGCGACAGCTCACATGTGTTGCATGATCATGGCATATTGGATGATGAAGATCTTGATGGGAATCCATCGCCGTCTGAATGGCCACCAATCGATGAGAACGAAGCGTTGGATGCTATGCCAACGCCCCGATTTTCTTGGTCTTGATAGATGGCTAATTCTAAGGAGAGGAAGCAGCCTCGAGCACAGCGATTCAAAGAATATCATCAGATACGGAAGGGCTGTGGTATGGATCACTGTTTCACATTTCATGGATTGCATACTTACCCTTTTATGGGCATCATGGGCATCGACAGGAAGCTTGAAGAAAAGCCTAGGTGATTCCACACCATGTTTTTCATGCCCGTGAAGAACTGCCCCTGGAAATGTGAGTCTCGCTGTCAAATACTTGTATCTTAATTTCCTCAATCTCAAGTTCTCAGTAACTCAGTCTTCCCCCCATTTATTCAACCCTTTCGAACCTATTCGAGTGATTAATCCTTGGAGTGGCTACAAAAGAGTACGCCATTGACGCTGTATAAATATTATCCAAATTGCTATTTGAACTATCAATTTTGTCTCAGTAGATGCGAACCATTATTTCCTGCTCCAACTACGCCTAGAATCTTGGGAGCCAAGTGTCGTCCAATTAGAGCAGTTGAGAAAAGATTTCCAGTTGGGATTGCAAAGGCTACCGATCGCCCACCAAGCTGAGTACTCTTGGTGACTACGATCATTAGCCAGCTGTGATGGAGCGCAGATGTGACGGGCGAGACGAGGTCCAAAGCCAATGCACTTTTGATAAGAGACAAAAGCCCGGAATGGTCGACTTCACGCCGTGCCCGTTTTATGTTTGTTTCGTTTGCATCATTGCGCGGGCGCTCGCCGCGGGATTTCGACCCTGTGGATAGCTTCAACCTTCCTGACGTCTCCCGCAAAATTCCGTCTTCTTTAGAGCTCCGCCCTTTTGGTCAATCCATATTCATCCCGCATTTAACTATTGTCTCTACACAGTTTAAATTTCCCTCCAATTTCCAGCATGTCTCGCGCTGGCTTATGGGCAAAGGTCATTGTCGGGTAAGTGAAACCACCACACTCATCCTAGATCTCATCTGACCTCGCTTTTTACCTAATAGTGGCATCATCATCTCAGCCGGTGGCCCGGCATTGGTTCAATACATGCGACCGACCGATGAGGAACTCGTGAAGCGATACAACCCGGATCTTCAGAAGCGCAGCGCGGAGCAAGGCGACCGGAAGGCGCAGGAATTCGACGACTATGTTCAAAAGCTGAAGGAGTGGTCCAAGTCAGACAAGTCCAGTATGTAAACTTGTTAATTCCCTTTGTGTATCCAGACTAATCTGTCTTGTTCACAGTCTGGTTTGCCGCGCAGGAAGAGCAGGATAAGAAGCGGGCACAGATGGAGGCTCAGCGTGCCCAGGCCAAGGAGGAGTCCCGGATACAACGAGAGGAGATGCGCAAGGAGATTTTAGGTGATAAATGATCCAGACAAAGACTTGACTCTGTCATTCCACCAAATCCTCCGCGGCTATTTTGTGAACCTGGTCTGAATGGCCTCGAATACTATCGGCCCTCTCGCGATGTCGATTCTATGACGTTATTTTATACGCGACTCTTTGCAGATGAGTGCGATTGATTCTCCCCAAAACAGGCGAACTGGGTCTATCTTGTACGGAAATGAAGCGTTCAATGGTGTGTACGATATTTGTGTTGGTTTGTGTCATTGATGGATCTCCTATTGCCTTGAGAACATCTGTATATTTATATTTATCTCTTTTCTTTGGGGTTGGGGGTTTCTCATTCTCCGTGTCATCTGTCATCTCCATTCCAAAGTGTTAATTTTCTCGTGCCTACGCTATGATACATGATGGATCGATGCCTGTCCAATACCTTCTAAATAGTAAGATGCACATTATATTCCAAATCTGTACAGCATGTATGGGTTTACTCGGGCTCCTGGTGCTGCCATTGTTCCCGTAGAGAATTGATATCAATCCCACAAGCCTCGGCCTTTTTCACAATAGCCCTTGCCTTGTGGGCCACTGGCACATCAATCATCTTACCATCCAGCGTCCACGCACCTCGTCCAGCAGCCGCCGCTTTCTCATCCGCGATGACCACGCGCATTGCCCATTGGGTCTCTTCAGGGTCGGGACCAAAGATTTCATTCGCGACCTTGACCTGCGAGGGGTGAATGCATTGTTTCCCGTTGAATCCGAGTCGTCGGCCGCCCCAGCATTCCTCTTCCAGAACTGCTGGTGGCGAACCATCTGCTTTTTCAGACTTATAGGCGGTGCAGACCAAATCAATGGTGGACGGTAAGTTGGCTGCACGGGCTGCAGTCGCAATGGCCGACCGTGCAAACAGAAACTCCGTCAACGAAGGAGTGCGGGTAATGCTTAAGTCTAATGCAAAGTCCTCGGCCGCGAAGATCAAGCCCTGGAGCAAGGGAGAGGCAGCACAGATTTGGGAAAGGTTGGTAAGCGATTTGGCAGACTCAACGAGTGCCAGGAGCGAGATTGGCGGGCGGTTTTCAGGTGATTGCTGCTGAGCCAAAGTATGATTGACGACATCGGTGACGAAGGTCAGATCGGACGCCGAATTGACCTTAGGAATAACGACGGTTGTCAGGTTGGGCGATTGAAGCTATGGGACATTAGCATCCCACTCTCGTCTTGCATGCCAGATTATTGCTCTCCTGAGCCATCACTTACGACTTCGGTGAGATCACCCAATGCCAATCCACTGTCAACCGAGTTGATTCGCACCGCACGCTCCCGGATTCCCGCTGGTGTGGGATGATCCAAAGCTCGGCGCACCAGGGAGCGAGCCTCCGCCTTCATGTGCGGAGTGACACTGTCTTCGAGGTCATAGGCGACGCAATCGGCGGTCAGAGACCGAGATTTATCGAGAAAACGTTGCGAGGAGCCCGGGACTGTTCTCGTGGCGAGTCTGTTAGCTGCTGTTCCGAGGGAAACGAGTTGCTCCGCATGCGAAATGCGGGGAAGACGCGGCGCGCAAGAACCGGTAGGCACTGACCGTAAAGCAGCGACCGCCGCAGAGTATTTCGAGCAGCCATGGCAATAGTAGGAGTCTGCAGATTTGCGAGTACGATGCAGGGGTTTCTGGTCTCTGTTGCTTGTGTTCTCGCTGGGAGGCGCCCTGAAGAAGATCGAGCAGGCGTGAGGAGAAAACAGTCGGCAGTCGAGCAAGTGCGGGAAGAAGCAGGTCGCCGCGTAAATGCTTTCGCGAGGGCCGTCGACGTAAGATCAGCACAAACGTCGAGGTTGCTTATTTTATTCCCCTTTTTGAAGAGAATAAATCATACGCATCACGATCTAGAGACGGCACTCGAGCTCCGTCTTATCTTATTAACTTATTTTGTCCGTCGAGAATGACTCCGGTCGGGAGTTGCACCAAGTCGCCTATATGCCGGCGTACTGCCTGCTCGGCATGGAACCTTTTAGACGCCTATATACATAGAAATGCCCAGGTCCATTCTTGGCTATTTTCATTTTACATTTTCCGCAAGCCCTTTTCCTTACTGACCTGGCAGGACTCCAAGAAGAAATTATGGGATCGTTCTGATATGCCAGCGGATATGCCATGCCCATCGTGGGAACCAAGTAAGATGTACAAAAAGTACCTGAACACAACCAGAATCTCAAATACAAATCAACCGTAGCTTCAATTTAATATCACAGTCTACCCACATCAAATGACTCAACCCCATCGCAATTATTCAATGCGCATAGCACTCGAAACATCAGGAACGCCGCGCCCTTCTGTGATCTTTGCATCGATGATCTCATCAATGGGGATCTCGGCCAGGCGAGACACCACATGGTGCAGGGTGGGCAACGCGTCCCATCCAAGCCCATCAATATTAACCTTTGCATGTTTCGTCCGGCGCAATCTCGTTACCTTGGACGGCACCACCTTGGACTCGGAGGCGTGAGGGACAAACACAGGATACTCGGCCTCGGGCTCGCCCTTGGTGGACCTTCCAACCTTTGGGATGTAACGATACACCAGGATGCCATCGTCATCCTCGCCGCCGATAGTACCTTTGTCGGCTGCCGGGTCCTGATCCTCGAGATCCTCGAACTCGAAGTGCCCCCAAACCGCGCCCTGCCAGCTAGTCTGGAGGCGGTACGAGCTGTTCCGCTCATGAATATCAATGGCAGTGTAGAGCTTGGGCATGCCGAGCTCCTCGCGGCCAGATACGATGGGGTCGGCAAGACTCTCAAACAAGATCGGCATGTAGGTTCCTTTCAGAACTTCGCCGTTCTCCTTCTTGTATTGCACTCCGTGAATATACAGGCCGATGTGTCGGTAACCGCCGCCCCCAAGCCAGTCCATGCCATTCAGGGTGGTCTGAGAGAAGCTAGCCCGAGCCACGGTGCTCGGAGAAATGAAACTGAATCGGTCGGATGGGAATAAGTTCTGTAATAGGGTTCGGCTGGTCTTGAATTTAATGGACGCAGTCATGAATGTAGACTCCAGCGATTTCAAAGCCCGATCATTGCCCATGTGGTCCTGTCGAGGGCCAGGCATAGGTCCGAAAACGATGGGCTGACGCCAGTACATATGCGGATTCTTGGACCAGAGGTGCTTGCGCAGTACCTGAGCGGAGTGGTCAAACTCATCATGGCCGTAGATATAGCCGACCATGCTCATGGCTATTCGTTTGTTAGTTTTGCGGTCAACGCATCAAGACTCCAACGATTTAAAACTCAGAGGCTGGGGGACGGGGCTTTCTTACCTTTTTCTGGAGAGAGCAATTGAGATGACTCGCGAGTCATCTCTTGAATGAGAGTTGCGCGCCCATGGCGAGCCTTCTGGTACAATGTGAGTCTTTCAGGAATATCTTGACGAGCAACACCACGTCCCAACATCACAGCCAGAGAGACTGCGTCTTCAATTGCCATGGCACCGCCAGAAGCACGATACGGCAGGAAGGGATGAACAGCATCGCCCAGGACAGCCAGTCGATCCTCTACCCATGTCGGCATCGTGTTCATATCCAGCAGCGGCCATAGCTTCAGGGTCTGGGGGTCTGCCTTCTCTAGCAGCTTGCGGACTTGAGGGTTGAAGTCCTTGAAGACTTCCAGCAAGGTGTCTTTACCAATCTGCTGATTATAAGAGTCACCGCTTGCATCAATTGTTGTCATCGAGTCCGGATGAATGCAAACGAAGTTGAGCAGTTCGTTGTTGGAGCAAGGGTAGATAACCACTCGGCGATCTGAAGAATCCCACATATCGACAGCTCCAAAGTCCCGCGCAATGCTGTTCGTCTCCGGATCGTCAAGAGCCTGCTTCCGGGTGATAAGGAAACGGAACGCATTCTTGCCCGAACTAAACGGCTGAATGTCTTGGCTGAGCTTGGTTCGCGTCAACGAGTGAACGCCATCCGCTCCAATAACAACATCGCCCTCGATCACCTCGCCATTTTCCAGGCTCACTGTCGCATTGTGGGGATCAACATCAACAACCTTGCTCGCGGTGTGCAGAGAAGCAGGATGACCACGGCCGGGGGCTTGGGCGGCTGCCTTGAGTCCTTCATGGAAGTGAGCTCGATGGACTAGTAGCCAACGCTATCGCCATAATTGTCAGTAACACTTCGTAGTGTTGAAACCCCGAGAAAAGTCGATTCAGCAAGACTTACGTGTCTCCACATGTCCGCATGCTCTTTGACTTGGGTGCTATGCACAGGCTCTCCCGTAGGTGTGTATTCGCGCAACTATACTTCTGTTAGATCCCTAAGCCATCCTCACAATATATGAAAACATTGCCCACGGACCCATTCAGCCTCAACGGCTCCAAACTTGGTCACATCAATTCCAAGTCGTTTCAGGACGCCGTTAGCGTTCGGCGACAAGTGAATGGCAGCGCCGATTTCGTTGGCGAACCGTGATCGCTCGAATAGCTTGGATGACGTTAGTTCACCGGGCTCTATATAGTTCTGCTTTCGACATGTCCCAGCGGCAGTAGTTGGATCGGTCGATACTGCTCACCTGTACATAGTGTCCTTGCTGACGTAGAGCAATTGCTGCGGTCAACCCACCAATACCAGCTCCGACAATTAAGATGCGAAGGCCTGGCGCGCTTTCTCCGTTGATTTCTTTAAGCGTCATCGTGCATGTGCGACTTTAGGGTTTCACCGTAGAAATTATTGCAATAAACCAGACACTCAATGTCTCCGGTCGGTCAAGGTAAATATTTATGGCTTGGCCTATTCCCATCTGCCCATGTCTTCGCCCCTCCATACGGTCCTCCTCGGGTTGCTTAGTCCGTGCCGGTCGAGGTGTTGGTGACGCCTCGGAAGGCCATTTCGGCTCCACCTCTGCGGAGAAGCGCCGTGTCGGCCACGAGCGGGGGACTCAATGTATATGAATTCTGGCCGCTGCTATGATGGCTTGGCTCGGCCAGTCCTCAAAGTAGCTTTGATTTTTTTTTCCTTTCCCTCTCTATCTACGCGATTGTTGCTCGCTAGCTGGTCAATATGCCGAATCCAGTCAAAGACATCGCGACTCGCGACGAAACCTCGTTCCCTTACGTCTTCGAGCAGAACGTCTCGATTTCACTCAAGGATGAATCAGGTGTCGTTCGATGCAACATCTATCGCCCCAAGACTTCGGACAAGGTCCCAGTCTTGGTGACATATGGCCCTTATGGAAAGGATATTCCGTATGAGGATTTCCACCCTCAGAGCTTCAGCGAGGTCAATCCAGAGCAACGATCTCAACATTCCTCGTGGGAGACTCCTGACCCTAAGTACTGGACCAGCCAGGGATATGCAGTTGTGCGGGCAGATGAGCGTGGTACTGGGCAGTCAATTGGCAAGCTTGACACCATGTCTCGGGGCACCAGCGAGGCCTTCTTTGATGTTGTCGAGTGGGCAGCCGAACAACCCTGGTCCTCGGGCAAAGTTGGTCTCCTCGGAATCAGTTATTATGCTGGGAGTCAATGGCGCGTCGCAGCTCGGCAACCGAAAGGCCTCGCTTGCATGATTCCCTGGGAAGGCATGTCAGACTACTACCGGGATCGTTGCCGTCACGGCGGTATTCTGTCGAATGCATTCATCAAGTTCTGGTGGGATCGCCAAGTCTTAAGCAACCAGTATGGTCTACCTGGCCGTGCTGCTCGCAATTGGGGTCCGGATACCATTGAAGGCGATCTTTCGGAGGAGGAGCTGAAGCAGAACCGCCAGGACCAGACGGTCGATAATGTCGAGAATAAGTTCCGCGACGATCTCTACTATGCTTCCAAGGAATACAGCATGTCTGATATCCAAGTACCCTTGCTCTCTGTGGCAAACTGGGGTGGAATCCTACTGCACCTTCGGGGAAACGTCGAGGGCTATACGCAGGCCGGCTCAGAACTCAAATATCTTCGCTTTATCACCGGTCGTCACGATCTTCCTTTCTACTATCAAGAAGAGGTTGAATTACAGCGAAGCTTCCTGGACGCTTTTCTCAAGGGCGATGACCGAGCCGGTTGGTCGACTGGCAAGGCACCGAAGGTGGACGTGGTATTGCGCAAGGGCGACGTGGGCTTCAATAACGCCGTTGCCGAGAAGCAGTATGCCCGTCGCACAGAGCACGAGTGGCCGATTGCCCGCACTCAGTATACTAAGTTCTATTTGACCTCCCAGCGCGAGCTCATAACTCACTCGCCAAAGGAACGGCCCAGCAAGATCAGCTACCAGGCCCTGGGCACAATAGACAACCCTCAGCTCGTCCAGTTTTCTACTCCTGCATTTGAACAGGAGACCGAAATCACTGGGCACATCGTGGCTCATTTGAATGTATCCATGAGTGCCAATCCTGGCAGCGCTACCCCACAGGATCTGGACCTGTTCATCACTTTGCGTCACATTTCTCCTGAAGGAAAGGAAGTATCCTACACAGGAACTGCCGGTGATCCTGTCCCACTGTGCAAGGGATGGCTACGCGTCAGCATGCGGGAGGTTGACGAAAAGAACCCTCGCAACCGGTCTTGGCTGCCTCACCGTAACTACTACTCGACTGATGTGAGACCGGTGATTCCGGGTGAGGTCTATGAGGTGGATGTGGAGGTGTGGCCAACGAACGTGGTCGTAGAGAAGGGTGGAAAGATCATCTTAGAGGTGGCCAGCGGCGATACTCAGGGATGTGGAACGTTCCAGCACAACTCGCCCATTGACCGGTATGCTATTTAACCACTATAAGACAAACCACGCTTGTACCGTTGCTAACATATGATATAGATCTCCTGAACGTTTCCAGGGTCAGAACCATATTCACTTTGGTCGGGGTGATAACTATGTGACGCTGCCGATCATTCCTTGAGCATGTTTTATTATAGTGACAAATGAACTTTTCATAGACAATCATTCCAATGGCATAGATCCAGTTCGATGTAGATGATCCCAATTAGACTATTTACGTTATTTTATGTTAAGACACGTAACTAACTAGGGAATTGTGCGCATAAGTCATTAGCCCAGGATTTCAAGTCCCCTCGGATATTATTCCCACGTTCGTCTTACGGCGCAGGTGCGCATCGTGCCAGACTTAGAAATAACGATAGAATCGGAACTGAATCCATGCTAGAGACCCTGCATTTTGCTAGCTCTCAACTCACACTTGCCGAGCTCGTTTTATCTCCGAATTTCCAGGCCCCGCACTGGCCTAACGTTACCCCACAGCCGATGTGGCCGAATGTGGTCCCGAAGCGGCCTCTACACAGGAAAGATATAGATCAGGTACACGCAGTATCGGTACCTCACAACTCCAGCCCATCACCATCCTAAGAATCATACCACCATGCCTGACAAGACACCCAAGAATATCCGCCCCCTTAACCGGTTTATCACCACCCACGATGCTGCCGGTACAGCCATTTTCTCCAACACCCTCTCGGAGGACATGCCCATCCAGCGCATGGGCGATGGAGCCGACTTTAGCCTCGTCTATACCTCAGACCACTTTCCCGCGCAGTTAAATGGTGACGCGGATTTGAAGGAGTACACCAATTATCTGTCAAGCCCCCCCCGGGATCACAATTTCGACTGGAAATGTGTGTCGCATCGTGGATATGCAGCCCGGTGCCCTGAGCCCCATGCACCGGACAGTCTCTCTGGACTATGGGGTAGTCCTCGAGGGTGAGGTTGAGCTCTTGCTGGACTCAGGGGAGACTCGATTGCTTAAGCGCGGAGATGTCGCCATCCAGCGTGGAACCAACCACGCCTGGCGCAATGTGACTCCAGATGTCGTGGACCCTGTCACCAACGAAAAGACCCCGCAGTGGGCGCGCATGCTTTATGTTCTGTCGCCAGCACAGCCGATGACGATCGGCGGCACGAGTTTGGGAGAGGTTGTGGACGGTATTGGAGTACGGGCAAGCACTTAAAAAATCGAAGCAGAGCTGTCAATTTTAATATCTCCAGATTGAATGCTGTTCACGAGAAATGGAAGTACGAAGAGGCAAGGGAAGAGATTCACATGTATATTCCATAGAGCCAATTGGACCTCAAAACTTGAAGTTAGGCCTCCATTATTTCCCGCTCTCTCCTGCTAGAAAGCCCTTGGTACCTCGCAGGGTGCCCGTAACGAAACCCTGCGCAGACTCGACACCTTCTGTGGCTTTAGACCCTATACGACTCGTGCCTTGACTGCCAGCCGCAATATATTCTTCCGCTGGGCCTCCGTATGACCCTGTTTCATCTCTGCCCTTTCGTTCAGCCCTGTTGATTCCCTCCTTCGAGGCGAATTGTCCCACAGGTTTCAAAATTCCCTTATCGCTGATTTGATTTCCGGTCAGACCGTGGATATCATCTTGGATCTGGTCCACCTGGTCTATCCCGGTGATTTTCATCTTAGAGAGGGAATCTGGTTGGGATGATATATTGATTACTTTGGGGTCTCATCGGTTGACGAGGAAGATTTTTAGCTTACCTTTGGTGGCATATGAAGCCTTGTTGTCGCCTTTGCCAAACCATCTGAGGTATTGATCCTCTATCCAGGGCATCCATTTCTCATATTGATCGTTGTATGTCATTTTCGCCCACTCGGCGTAGGTCTGTTTTTTTTTTGTTTCGGGGGCTTGATTTCCCGCGACTTGCTGTTTCGCGTTCTTTGGGATATCCATCGGGTATAACGTGGGGACGTTTCACTAGGCTGTACTCCTCAAACTAAAGAAACTAAAATGGCGATCCGAAGAAGTAGGAACTAGTCTTGTTTCTTATCGTTATTGAACGTGTTTCTGTAGAGATTTTATGCTTTGTATTCTGATGACGTCACGGGCTTTCGATCAGGCGTCAAGTCGATTTAATCTATTGGAGTCCGCCATTACGTGGTCTACGGCGGCTTGAGCGACCAACAACATTTCTCTATCCAAAGGTCATTGGAGAATGGAGTGGCCCACTTTTCAGACTGCTACAGGAACATAATCTTGGATTATAGCCACGAGATACAGAGTGCGTAGCAGGAGGTGGCAATTTTGTGTATTATGAGATGCGATCAAGCTCAGAGGCTATTGGACTGTGCCTATTCTCAGGAATTACCGGTCTAAAGAATTAATGCATTCCCAAATAAACTCGTGAAATCCAAAACAGGTGAACGCCAAGTACAAGAAAAAAGCATAAGAATACATGTATGGCTATCCGCGTGTTCGCACGTAAACCCAAGTATAATATCCTAACGTAGATGCCGTTGCTATCAGTGAGACCAGGGTGAGAACTCCTCCAGTAATAATTCCTTGCTCGAAGAAACCAATCTTAAACCCTGGCCGTTGCTTCGTAGATGGCAGTGGGGCCAGAGCTTCCCGCCACAGGGAATCAGCTCTTGTTGCGTGGGCTCCATCCAGAATAGTATCTGCCGCGAACGCGCTGGCCGACGGCGTGATTAGCTGAGGACGAGGCTTCTGGAATTGCAGAGTCGCATAGCGAGTGTGTGGGTTATAAGACGTGTTTCGGGGTAGAGCCGGGCCGACTATTCCAGTTAGAATTTTCGTGTCTTGCAAGAGGCCCATGCCATTATAGGAGGATAAAAGAGAAGAGATTCTTGTGAAACTTACTTAACATGTGGCTGGGAACATGGTTCACCCAAGAGATGTCGGCGTCGATAAACTGGGTTAGGTATTTGGCCGAAGCAGGGGCCGCAAAGGCGTAGGTTGCAGCGAGTGTTTCATCCCTAATATCACGAGTCAAGACCCAAGACGAAGCAAGGTAGTAATAAGGATGAAACATACCGGTTGATATCAATGGCGTCATCCAAGCTGGTCACGGCATGTACCAGAAGTACTTTCTCATCGATTTTCTTTCGAAGAAGTGGTGATTTCCTATTCAGATCTCAACATTCCGTCCAATTTAAACGAATCCAGAAACAGAATTCCTCCGGGTACTCACCGATCTTGAATCTCTACCACAGCCCAGTTACTCCCTGAAACCAGAATTCGTGCGCTCCGGTCCTTTTGGATGGAATCGAGAATGCTCGAACGGCGGGGAACCCCCGGAAGCTGTCTGGTCTCACCGTTCTCCCCTGCCAGATACTTGGAAGCATGTTTGATAGCAGCCTCAACGAAAGGCTTCATCACAAACTCGTTCACCAAGACCAGATCGGGGGAGTATGTAGACCGTCCCCCCAGGGCGAAGCGGGCAGCCACCAGAGACTGAGCAGCTTCCGTTACCTTGGCTGTGCGATCAACGACTGCAACCGTTCTTGAGGTGGCGGGGGAAATGAGCCCATTGCTTTCTTCTGATCCTGCCTGGACTACCTGGAGAGTCTTGTTGAGAAACGATGAATCCGGGCGCTGAGCTGTCAGGGCGAAGGTGTCACGGTCCAGCGCATCCGAGAGGATCTGTCGCAGAAGCGCAGGAAGGGACATGGTTGTTTGAGGAAGCTGGAAATTTCAATTTGTTCAGTCGGACGGGAGCTCAATATGAAGCACGGGAAGATCATTTGGCGACTGCGCGAGGATTTTATACTGACCTCCAAAACAATGCAATTGCCCGCCGCCAGCGCTGCTGCCAATGCGCTGATCACCGAAAAGAACAGCGTATGGGTTGATGGGACAATATAGACAATCCCTACCCCACGTGCATTGTCCGAATTGTCTCTTCCGTTGGCGATGCGATACTCGGCGTCGAGGTCTTTGTGCAGGCTCATCGAAGTATAGTGTGTGCGCAGCTCCTGCAACGCCAGGACCACTTCTGCGCGGACTTCCAGGCGCGTGTGACCGGAATCAGTCCGAATGGCATCTTGAATATCAGCAATGCGCTCTACAAGCGCCGACTGCAAACGATGAAATTGAGACTGGCGATAGCGCGTGTTTTGCGTGCGGCCATCGAGGTTGGCGGCGCGGATGCGGGCAAGATCCATGACGGCACAAGGAGACCAGGCAAAACAAGCACAAGCACGAACAGAACAGGCCCTCAAATCGAGACACAGAACGGATTACGCGACTCTTCAAGTAGCACGCGCTCACCGAGAAGGTGTGCCGCGATTCCTTTTTGTGTCTCGGGGCTCCCCAGCATCGTCCGAGGCTCCGCATATCGGGATGTGGGGGAGAATGCGGGCGCCCGCACCTTCGCCCCCGTTGACGCCGAAGCCGCCCATCTTCCTATTGAAGTTGATCGAGACGAGTTATCTCCGAGGTGGATATGAGGATGCTGGGCACGCTCATCAGGACGCTCCGACAGTCACTGTCCCTGCTTTCCTCTTTTTCCTGTGTCTGCTCTGCCTGCTGTGTCGTCTGTGCGGCAGCCATCATGTCCGCGACAACTACTTCCACTACCACGCGCTCGCTGTCCGTTCTGGCCGACTATGAAGTCTATCACAGCGGCTCCGAAGAGAATGCCACAGCTTCTGCTCCCATAAACTCGACACAGCCAGCCGACTGGCCGGCCCATCATCGCCGCATGCCCGCCTATCGCGCTGCAAACCATCACCTCGACTTGACGGACCGGCCAGCCGGCAATGGCCACCCGGCGGAGTATGCTTTCATCCAGATCATGTTGCATGGGGTCTGGCTCAATGCGGTACGAGATTCTCTCTAATCAAGAAACTTGGACTTGAACTGTTCTATACTAATTATCATCGACAGTCTGTCGCGCGGCTGTGGCGATTTACGGGCGGGAGACTAAACGACAAGATATTCCACTATGAAGTCGGGGGAGAGTGGTAGTATGGCGCCCTTTTCTTCCATTCTTCATTTGTCAATGCCCCGGATCTTCAATTGCAAGTCCGTCATTTTTCTTTCTTTTTCCTTTTTGTCCCTCTTGATTGGTATTTTTCTCTCTGTCTTTCATTTTTATCGGTCGTGCGTGACACTGGAGTTGTCCGGGATTTACTATACTACGATGCAAACAAGGTGTGGACGGTATCTTCACAAACAGCAGAGATCATGCGGCCAACATACTTCAGTCTTAGCAGTGTGATCAATTCTTTCTCACCTTCCTTCTATCTCTTCAGGGCGCCCTTAATGGGAACAGGTAGTGTGTAGCATATCATTAAACGAGTCATAAGCCATCATCAGTACAAAGTTGGTGTCAAAGCTCAATCTTGCGGAACTTTCGAAGCCGCCGCAACCCATAGCGTGCAATGATCAACGTCCCTATCACACAGCCCGAGACAAGACCGGCGAAGGCGAACGGACTTTCTTCCAATGAATTGACGACATTCATGCCATAGAGCCCGGCCACGAATGTTGAGACTGCAAATCCCAGCATACAGATCTCCAGTTGGGCCTCGAACACCATGATCTGGTTTCGTCGCACATCCAAGACGGACTGGATTGCATCCTCGGTGCGACGGATCTCAGCAAAGAGGGCAACCGCCGATTCTTCTACGGCGTCGTTGTTCTTATAGTAGGCCTCCAGCAGATACTCGGCCTCTTGGTGATCCTCAATGGCATGGTGATTTCCAGCACGCCGATCGGTCAAATACATGGCAGCGAGATCTTCGTCCGTGTTCAGTAGCTCCTGGAGGGCGGAACGCATCTGCCGAGCGCGCTGAGCAATGTTCATTAGTTTCTTTCCACTCTCTAACAAAATCCGGGGATCCGTGGACGCGATGTCCTGGGATTGCAGCGCGTGCATGCTTCGTTCAACATTTCTGCGAACCAAGGTATGCTCTGCTTCCAGATGAGCTGTCGTCGATGCTAAGGCAGCCTCGACCACACGCAGTTCATATGGAAGAGAGATCGGAAACCCCGATTGATGGTCGCCGCGGAGCTTGCTCTGAAGATCGGCCACAAAAATATCCTGCAAATATACATGCGGGTCACCGTCTCTCGGTCTGACTCGAACAAGAAGGGCCCGATCCGACTGGATGAGGAGTCGTAAGCTAAACAGACTGATGAAGATTGTGGACGGTCGAATCACAAAATGTGGGATCCCTTCGGATACCAGATCGACGCTGCGGAGATCCCGGCCATCCACGCCGTACTGTCGAGCCACCTCCGCCTTGGTTAAGCGGATTTCCGGTCTGGTTATGGCTCCAGTGACATCGAAGAGAGTACATACTATCTCTGTAGTCCCATTCATCCGACCGTGGGATAAAGTGAGTGAAAGATCCAGGACTTCTTGTGCGAAGAGTTGAGTATGGTTTCCTCGGGCAGACGGCTGGGAGATGTGAGGCCTAGCCGCCCCAATAGGAGCTTTGTGCGAGACTAAGCTTGACGTTATCCTAGTTTGGGCTGTATGATGGTACTTCAGGCCCTGAAAGGGACTAATTGGAGACGCACAGGTCGAATAGCTCAAGGGATGGCCCAATCGGAGACAATGTGGCTGGTACCCTTTGCGTAGGCCTGCAATGGCCGCCCGGCTTAAGGGAGACTGCATGCGTAGAAAAGACGCGGATCAGACTGTTCGGAACCGATTAACTATGTGAGACCCGTTAATTGCAGGTTCGTATTTGTGACCAAGTTGCTAGGGCAGCAAAGGGCCAACCAATTGATCAAGAACGAGCTGCCCCGGCTTGTTGGCGTCGATTTGTCGGTGGGAAACCGCACGGGCCATGTCGATCCAGTCTCTCGTTGCTTGTTCTTTACTTGAGCCAATGCCTCCTGCAACCCATCTTCTTGCAAATTTAACATATGGCTCATGATAAGCTAAGTGGCAGTCGGCCACTGGAGCACCTCATCGTCGTCTGCTGTCATGCAATCTATATCGGAGGCCCCCGGAAGGGCGCCGACGAAAGTGAATGGTCAACAGCGCCTCCCACCCTTCCTAAGCTTGATCCGAGCGATTGGCCAGTTTCCTGCTTTTGAATAGAATAACTAAGCATCTCGGGTTGTATACTCACTAATTTCTGGTGGAGTACAGGTTGATTGAGCCTTTTCAGAAGGGAGAGACTCCGACCTTCATCGAACATGTCAAGGCCGGGTTGAGGATTCTCGCAAAAGATCCCTCGGCGTTGTTGATGTTTTCTGGGTGAGTAAGGGCATTTTTACCTTTTTCTCATATCTATCAATGAACAAAAAGGCCTTGACGATTCGATAATTCCAGAGGTCCGACCAAGAAATCAAGGACAGACCTGAGCGAGGGACGGTCATACCATGTAAACCCCCAAACCCCTCACCCTCCTTTCAACCTTTTACTCTTCCCATTGCCAGATTGATGATTGATCAATGCAGAATTTTGTAACAGAAAATGACTTCTTTCAAGACGCGCCGGGTATGGCCACAATTGACTCGGGGAGAATCATCGCCGAGTGTCATGCCACGGATTCGTACCAGAACGTTCTGTTCTCATTGCTACGGTTTCGATTGCACACCGGCAACTACCCACGAAATGTGACGGTGATAACACATGAATTCAAGAGAGATCGTTTCATGAAAGCCCACTTCCCTGCCATTGCATTGCTTCCTCATATCCAGAGCGGGAATCAGGGCGGCATCAGTCGCCCTGTCAAAGTGAAAATAGTTGGGATCAATCCGCCTGAAGAAATCACTCCCCTCGAATCTTTAATCCAGGGAGAAACATCGAGGGGAATTGGCCTCTGGCAAAACGATCTCTACGGAGTTGGCCATGCGCTCGCTAGCAAACGTGAGCAGCGAGGCTGGTCGGCTGGAATGGAAATTGGACTTTTTGTCAACGTTGGTCTGGAGCCCGTTGTGGAGCAATTAGTTTGCTGGCGTGGTGGAGCAGGAAACGAATGGTTTTCAGGAATAGCAGAATTACCATGGGTTTCCGACAAGCAGATAAATTGATATATCATATGATATGTTTGACCATTTTCCAGATCTCACTGGGCACTAGGTCTATTGCTTGGTCCAGTAAAATATGTAAACAAAAAAAAAACTGAAAGAAAACGCAATTAACCGACCCCAACGCCAATGCACGGTGTATTACTCGTCGCTGATCATTAGAAAACCTCGTCTTGTTAGTCAGCCAGCCGGTAGCTAACAAGAGTGCCCACGCGGTGGTTGTTGGTGCTGAAGCTTCGCAATTGGACCTTCTCTGCGTTCTTGATCTCCTTGGCATCGCTATCGCCCCATTCCACGGGTACTTCAGAGTCGGCGTCGGCGTAGACAAGAACATTGAATGTGCAATCGCCGTCTAGGACAGGAAGGAAGGTGACTGAGGCGGTGATCTGTCGGAAAATGGCTTGGATCTCCTCCTGAATCTCCTTCTCGGTCTTATCCACGGAGTCGGTGGCTTGAGCATTGTCTCTGTGCAATTGAAGAGCCTATCGTTCAGCCAAATGATACAGCGACAGCAGTCAGGTCACTTAATAGACTTACCCAGGGGCTGCATTTTCCTTGTCTCCCGACTTACGAGCACCCTGGCTTTTAGAGTGCTTGCCAAAGATCTCCACGTCGAATTGCCATCTTTCCACATGTTCCCCTGTTTCCTTGTCGGTGATGACGACCACCAACTTGGAAATTTTCCCACCCACCATCCACTTGTTCAGTTGTGACATGATCTTCTTGATATATGCCTTCACCTGGTCATCGGCCGAGACTGAAACATGTGTTAGGCGGGCACCATCCAGTCAAGAAATGAGATTTGAGATTTTAGATGGTACGGGGAAACGAACCGAGCATATTCAGGCCATATTTCTTGACGCTATTATTTGGTCCATCAGCAATATGTCATTATAGCCACAAGTGACATTGGACGACTCACGTAGTAAAATCTTCGGGTGGGTAGACCCCGCGTTGGAAGCTGGGAGGGAGAATACATGAGTTTTAGATCAGCTAGCGGAACATTTTTGACAGCTTACAGAATGGAGTTAATCGAGTATTCGAACTTTTTCGTCGTCATTATCCTGTTTAACTCAACTAGTTCAGATTGATTGTCCACTCACGAATTCCGATACCAGCTTGGCCGATCCTGCGTTGCTCAGTCAGTTTTGCCAGTCTCGCAGTCCCACAAGCAGTTTCACCGACCTTTGATGGACAGCTTGTGGACCTTCGATTTATCCTTCGTCTCTGGCATTATGAATTAAATTGCAGGTGCTGTGTTCCAGGAAAGCTCGAGGAATTGACAAATTGACGAGGGTGGTGGACGAAGTTTGTTTACGCCGGAGGGTCGCCGCGGCGATCGACTCCGCCGCTCGTCACCGCCCGCGGTTCTTTTTCTCTCCGCAAAGCATCACCTGGATGAGACGCCGCCTCGCACGCCCCTCTCATTATTCCCTCCTTGACTGCGATTGGCACAAGAAGACTGGGGATACCTTTCTTCTTCTATGCCATTTCCAGATTCCAGATGCGAGGATGCTTGCAGTTATCCCGATGGCTGAGCACAGCGCCACACCCAGCGCCGAGACGTCCGGTGACAAGCCTCAGGTTTCCTGTTTGCTTCCCATTCCGACATAACTCTCTACGCCCTTTCACAAACTCGGCTATCTGGTACTCTCGAGTGAAGACGTCCTTTGGTTCCCACGATGCAGATCTCGAAAAACGAATTGCGGCGATTCCGATCGATCGATATCGCAACTTCTGCATTGTCGCCCATGTCGATCACGGCAAAAGCACTCTCTCCGACCGTTTGCTCGAACTCACCGGAACGATCCAGCCAGGAACAAACAAGCAAGTTCTCGACAAACTCGATGTTGAGCGAGAACGAGGAATCACAGTCAAGGCCCAGACGTGCACAATGATCTACAACCACAAGGGCCAAGATTACCTGCTGCATCTGGTGGACACACCAGGCCATGTCGATTTTCGTGCGGAGGTGTCTCGTAGTTATGCGAGTTGTGGAGGAGCGTTACTTCTCGTTGATGCCAGCCAGGGTATTCAGGCACAAACTGTCGCGAACTTCTACCTGGCTTTTGCGCAGGGCCTTGAATTGATTCCGGTCATTAATAAGGTCGATTTGCCCTCAGCGGATCCAGAGCGGGCTTTGCAACAAATGAAGAGTTCGTTCGAATTGGAAACAGAGAATGCCGTCATGGTCTCGGCCAAAACCGGCCTGAATGTTGAGCAGGTGCTTCCAGTTGTTGTGGAGAAGATTCCTGCGTATGTGCACAAACTCTTTACTTACTCTGAGGCTTCACAGTCGCCTTGTTATACCTCTACTGACTGTTTGTTTCGGGATTTCTTAGGCCTGTCGGTGATACCGAGAAACCCCTTCGCATGCTCCTGGTTGACTCGTGGTACGATTCATATAAGGGCGTCATCCTCTTGGTGCGTGTCTTTGATGGCGAAGTGCGGGCCGGTCAGCAGCTAGTGTCCTTTGTCACGGGAATCAAGTACTATGTGGGTGAAGTTGGGATTATGTATCCCAGCGAGACGCCACAAGCCGTTCTACGCGCTGGTCAAGTCGGGTACATTTACTTCAACCCCGGCATGAAGCGAAGCAAGGAGGCCAAAATCGGTGATACCTTCACTCGAGTAGGATTTGAGAAGACCGTCGAGCCACTCCCTGGCTTCGAAGAGCCCAAGTCCATGGTTTTTGTGGCAGTATATCCTGTTAACGCAGACCATTTTGAGCACCTGGAGGACAGCATCAACCAGCTCATCCTAAACGATCGAAGTATTACGGTTCAGAAAGAGTCTTCAGAAGCATTGGGGGCAGGGTTCCGTATGGGTTTCCTAGGTACACTTCACTGTTCTGTGTTTGAAGACCGTCTCCGACAAGAGCATGGGGCCAGTATTATTATCACTCCGCCTTCGGTGCCTGTTAAGGTAATCTGGAGAGATGGCACAGAGGATATCATCACCAATCCAGCCCGTTTTCCCGATGAGGACAATGTGCGTCTCAAGATTGCTGAAATTCAAGAGCCGTATGTCCTGGCTACCTTGACCTTCCCGGATGAGTATCTTGGAAAGGTTATTGAGCTGTGTGAGGCCAATCGGGGTGAGCAGCAGAGCATTGAGTATTTCACCTCTAGCCAGGTCATCCTCAAATATGAGCTGCCTCTTGCTCACTTGGTCGATGATTTCTTCGGCAAGCTCAAGGGCTCCACCAAGGGCTACGCCAGTCTGGATTACGAGGAATCTGCTTGGCGAGCTGGCAATATTGCCAAGCTGCAGCTCCTGGTCAACAAAGTCCCTGTGGATGCGGTGTCCCGGATCATGCACATGAGCCAGGTCAACCGACAAGGTCGCCTGTGGGTGACCAAATTTAAGGAGCATGTTGATCGACAGCTCTTCGAAATCATCATCCAGGCTGCTGTTGGCAAAAAGATCGTTGCACGAGAAACCATTAAGCCGTATCGCAAGGACGTCCTAGCGAAGCTGCATGCCAGTGACGTCAGTCGCCGAAGGAAGCTGTTGGAGAAGCAGAAGGAGGGCCGGAAAAGACTGCGTGCTGTTGGGAATGTGGTGATTGAACATAAGGCGTTCCAGGCCTTCCTGGCGAAATAAATGTACTTTTATACAACTGTATTTTATATCAATATATACCCTTCTTCCATTCGTCCAATCTGAGGGCCTCAGTCAGATAAGCTGCGTGAATGTCACGTATAAGTTATCCTATGGTAGTACTATGCACGAGAGTAGAAACCTGTCCCGCTGTATGTGTATCAGAGTTTATGTACATGACCGAAGTTTTGATCCAAAATATGTATGCCGGTATCTATGGGTATCCGGTAGGCCGTTGGGGTGGGGGGACGTCTTGGAGAGACCTTTTGCAAGGAGGAGTGGTTCCATCCTCAAATCATGGTTGGAAATAAAATCACAGCTTTGATGCCCACAATCGCGCAGGCGTCTTCTCTGGTCGCCCATACTGACCTTTCTGACCCAAGTCGACGGTGATGCCCTCTCCGAAAGCCGCCTCTTGGCAATCTTCATCTTCCACGCCGTTTACATGCTGTACCACAACAAAGTCGACTCGTCGGCGTCCCAGAACCACCATAGGCGCATGCCATGTTCCCACGCCATAGGTCACAGCCTGGCCGCCTCGAGCGATGAAGGCCTTCACATTTCGCAGATCAGGTGGATCTCGAATGGTGATTGTCTCCCCGGTGCTGTTCCTCGCAGTAGCAGTCTCTCCTTTCAATGTTGGCGCCACTACTACCAAAAAGACCGGCTCTTCTTCTCCGTCCCCAACCTTCCCGTGGCTGGATAGATCAACCGGGATGAAGGTCTGATTCGTGAATGGATGACGCTCGAGGATGCGCACATCGAAAACTTCTTTCTCCGGCTGTTGACTGGCAGTGATCGTGCGCAATTGTCGGGGGAAGCAACAGAACATAGTCATGCGTGCGGAGGAAGGCTTCCCACTTGGAGAGCCATTGGTATAGCCGTCAATGAGAGGCGAGATAGGGCTGTACTTGAGGGCGGAATTCTGGTTGGCCAAAACAGGGGTCGGACTATATGGAGATGGAGGCAATGATGATGGCTGGGGGGCTACGCTGACTTCCCGCGGTAGTGGTGAGCAGATTGCGGTACCAAAAGGCGCAAAGCTGGCCGGCGTGAGCGGCTCGGGAACGAGCGTGATGGAGGGATTGGAGGTGAGGATGGGTGCCATGGTCACGAAGAGCCTGAGAGAGTATTTTAATCCCGGTTGAAGAGACTCTGGATCAATGGTCCTGGCTTTTGTCCGCCTCGCTAGAAAAGGGCACCGCACAGGTGGGAAAGCAGGCTATATGAATTGCGGAGCGGAGGCCTCGTCGGCGCTCGCCGGGCGGGTCGCAGCCGATTAGATACACGATAAGATAAGCGGCCGGGGCCGGGACCTGTCAGGTGACCAATCCTGGGGGAAGAGTACGAGCCTTAAGAGGCGTTTATTTACTGCTTCTACAGATGGGATGGGATTCTTTATGCACCTGGAGGCGGGTGTAGCGATCAGAGTGATGGGCATTTTCAGACTTGTGGGAAAAGACAACGATCCATTGGCGCAGGCCTGCTTGTGAACCTCTCTCTTGCAGAATGTACGTATGTTAGGATGGGCTCTCTTCTCAATCTTCCCAATCTTAGCTTGTTCGATTGCTCTCTTGGCCCTAAAAACCTTCCGCCACAACGTCATGGCATTTGAAGCTTTAACAATGGGGGTCGAAAATTTTCTCGGTCCCAGATCTCTGCAACGTACAGACTGGAGAATTTTAGGAATGTCTTCAAAACATATTTATATAACTCCAAACTAGCCCCCACATCCCCCGACCCTCTCCTTGCTCTTTCACCGGTTCTCCTCCTGAAGCAATTCACTTGATTGCAAAAGAATGAAGAGGCTTATAAGGGTTCTGAATGTGCAGTTTGATTTAACCGAATTACATAGAGATTCAACCTCGGCCAGGAATTTCTGTTTCGCAGATTGTCAAAACTTCTGCTCTGAAGGACTGTGCTGTTTTTTATGTCGGCACTTTGTGACAAAGAAATCTTCATATCTTCCAATTGTCTATCGTTTATTGCTAAATAAATAATATTGTGATCCGGAGAGGACAGGCGTCCAAGTAAATGGAGTACGGGTATGCTCGCTCGACTGACCTCGAGGCCCCGAGGACCCCGGCAAACGGTGCAAACAGGCCCCCCGCTTGAGGCCATCTGCCCGAGGCTCATTCGACCGAGGTTCCCCGGCTGCTGCAACAGCTCTAGCCCATGGTCTCAATCTCCTTCCCCCATTCTACTTTTGTTTTAATCTTGTAAATACGCTCCTTATCCCCCTCGGTCACAGATTCCTCTATCTGACAGTACCTGTTTAACAATCATGGCGGGAGAAGTGCGCCAACCAATAGACCTGCGGTCGTTGGAACAGTATGTTGTCCAGAACGTGCCTTCGCTCAAGACCCCATTAGACCTCAAGCAGGTAAGATCAGGGTCTTCTCAGCTCCGAAGTCGCGTAAGTCTCCCAGTCTAAAAAACAATTGAGTGATTTAGTTTGGCTTTGGTCAATCCAACCCTACCTACCAAATCACCACCGCCGATGGAAGGAAGTTCGTCCTGCGCAAGAAGCCCCCGGGCAAGCTGCTCTCCAAGACAGCGCACCGCGTGGAGCGAGAATACCAGATTATCCAGGCCTTAGGACAGACCGATGTGCCTGTCCCGGAGGCTCTGTGCCTCTGCGAAGATAACAGCGTTATTGGCACTCCTTTCTATATTATGGAATTTCTGGATGGTCGGCACTTCACCGACCCATCAATGCCCAATGTGAGCCCCGAGGAGCGAACAGCACTGTACGTGTCAATCTTCCAAGCCACTTTCTCAATGCACCCAATATTTAACCTGACTAATGCGCTATGTTTATAGATGGAAGTCGGCAGTGGAGACGCTTGCCAAATTCCACCGGGTCGTGCCCAAGTCCGTAGGCCTTGAAGGCTTTGGCAAGCCGACCGGGTTCTACGACCGCCAAATCGCCACCTTTACCACTGTTTCGAAAGCCCAGTCGCGGGTAGTGGACAAGAACACCAAAGAGCCTGTAGGCGAGCTCCCCTATTTTAGTGATATGGTCCAGTTCTTCTCACAAAAATCGACCCAACCGCGCGACCGTGGCACACTTGTGCACGGTGACTACAAGATTGACAATATGATCTTCCACAAGACCGAGCCCCGAGTCATTGGCATCCTTGACTGGGAGATGGCTACGGTTGGACATCCTCTCTCCGACTTTTGTAACCTGACCAGCCCATATATCATGGATGGAGCGGACCACGAGATGGACCGGTTTCAACCAGGGCGAGTTCCGGGACTGCCCTCGCGCGAAGATTGCATTTCCTGGTATAGTGCGGTATCAGGCTACAACCCAATTGATGATATTCTCTGGGGGGATGCCTTCTTCGCTTTCCGTGGTTCGGTCATTATGCAGGGTATTGCAGCACGGTTCGCTGCGGGCCAGGCCAGCAGCGCCCGCGCGGGTGATTATGCAAAGCGGGCGAAACCATTTGCTTTGGGTGCTTGGGAGCGAGTGAAAAGGGTGCAGCAGCTGGCCAAGCAAAAGGGCAAGCTCTAATAATTAAACAGAGAGAAAATCAAGATTCAAGACATACGTCAACTCTGATGACAACTTGAAGGCTTTTGGTATGATGCTAAATCTACTCTTTACACTCCTCGGTTTCCCGGACGCTACCATGCTCTTCTTAGCATCTTGTACTTGGTCGATATGCTTTTTCAATGGTTCATCAATCGATAATCGAGTCGGCTCCCTCTGCTTCATATCAATTACCCGATTCTCCCGAGATAAGTTTTTTGATATGTATCATTGATTAATGCATCTTTGAGGGCATTGACGGCACCCGAAGCGAGATCCGTGGGCAACGTAAGCGATAACCGTAGATACCTGCAGCGACATACAAAGCATCGCGGAATCCCCAGTATCTCGAAAGATGAATCATTTTCATTTTCCACTAGAATCGCCAAGCAGCCTTGTCTTTAAATCTAATCTGCCGCAAAATGGCCAAGCGAAACATTCTGTTGATGATCGCCGACGACCTTGGGAAGCAACTGGGCTGCTATGGAAACTCGAAGATTCAAACGCCTCATCTTGATCAACTGGCACGTGATGGCACCAGGTTTGATCAAGCCTTCACCAGCACGGCATCATGTAGTGCGAGTCGCTCCGTGATTTATACAGGTCTTCATACCCACCAGAATGGGCAGTATGGCCTTCATAACGGGCGCCATCATTTTACCACATTTGATCACGTCGAAACAGCCCCCGCGCTCTTTTCACAGCACGGATATTTGACCGGATTGATTGGAAAAGTTCATGTTGGGCCTTCCTCGGTGTATCCATGGGAGACGTGCGCCGAAAGTGATAGTCGCAATGTTGCCAACGTGGCAGACCAGGCCTCTGCATTCTTCAAACGCTCCGTATGCGAGGAATCTCCATTTTTCTTGACCATCGGGTTCATTGATCCGCATAGGGACCTGACTCGTTCGGGATTTGGTAATAATAGCCAGTATGATCCCCGGGTGAAGCAGATTGACTACTCTCCAGAGGGAATCGCGGTGGAGCCATTTGTGAATGATCTACCGGGCGTCCGATTTGAATTTGCTGAGTATTATCGATCCATCTCGCGCCTCGATCAGGGCGTAGGCATGGTTCTGGAGGAACTTGAGAAGAATGATCTTGCTGAGGATACCCTGGTGATCTTCATGAGTGATAATGGTCCTCCCTTTATCAACTCCAAAACAACTTTATACGATGCCGGCATCTGTCTACCCCTACTTATCAAGTGCCCTGGCTCCGAGGCCGGGATAGCGAACCCTAACATGGTATCTTATATCGACATTTTACCCACTCTGCTAGACTGGGCAAACCATCCAAGTCCGGAGCACCCGGCACGCCTGGGCCGTTCTTTACTCCCCATTCTCTCTCAATCCTCGCAGATCGACTTCTGGGATCAAGTATTTGGTTCCCATACCTTTCATGAGATCACCAACTACTGGCCAACCCGTTTCATGCGCAATCGCCGGTTCAAGTATCACCGCAACATTGCCTGGCGTTTGGACTTCCCGTTTGCTGCTGATATTTACGGCTCCCTCGCCTGGGAGGACATCCGTAACTCTGACATAAGCCCCAAGATGATTGGGAAACGCCCGCTCAAGAACTATTTTTTTCGCCCCCCAGAGGAGCTGTACGATATCCAGGCGGATCCTCACGAAGTATGCAACCTGGTCAATAATCCGGAATATGGCCCGGTTTTGGATGAGATGCGCTTGGCGGTTGAACAATGGCAGCGGCGGACTGAGGATCCCTGGCTCTTTCGTGATGGAGTTTCCATGCTCCTTGTGCGACAACATCTTGCAGCTGGATTGGAAGTTCCCGATCGTTTTGACTTTAATGAACGAGAACCCGAAAGCAAAGGCCAGGTCATCTTTGATTCGAAGCTGGCATGGGGCCCTGCTGTCGACTCTGGATTGGTGGAATGAGAAAGGTTGCATTCCTATGATAAAAATTATCTGTTGTTTTTGTTTCAGAAAAGGAACTAGTCTGGAAGGTATTTTGGTTGCGATTACCTATAAGATGCACTACAGACCCCAGGATATACATGTATTATCGTGGATACAGAATATTGTACAAGGGGTAGCTTGGAGTGTGCTTGTGAAATGTAAAAGATACAATGAAGAAGAGAGCAAAGATTGAAACTTAAGCATCCTCAAAATCCTACTATTTCATTTCAAAAATACTTAAGTTCTATCGAATCACACATATCTACGTATTTTCCGCCACCGTGAAGTACCTATGTATATATTGAGTGGTCTTCTCGAGATCAATAAATAGCCTTCGTGAGTTGAGCTGTCTATCGACCAACCCCCTATCAGCATGTATGTAGCTGAAGTTTCCATAGCAGCCTCAGAGCTCCTCAAATATCATTTACCACTCTCCGCATTATTCATTGCTCCTCACTCTTCCCTTTCCACCATCTCTGGTGCTGTACGCATTCGAAGCACGTGACATGGAAAATCGAAACCCCATGGGGCTGAGTCAGCATTGCCTGCCCGACTAACTTAGCTTACTGAACTAACTAATACCCGGCAGTTCGGTGAAACGAAGAGACCGACAGGCAGTTGTTTCCGGCCAACGCGATCACCGAAACTTGCCGACACCGGCTAAACTTCGAACTTGCAATCTCCAACTCTTCGACCTTCCTCCAATTTCCCCTCTCCACTCTCCCTCTTACACTTTCTGGATTTCGTTGTTTCTGGCTTGCTCTGTCTCTTCTGTAAGTACCTCAATCCCCCCGATATCACACGCGATCACACACCCTCGGTCAATTTACCCCGGAAACTACTGACACCCCGTTCCAGGTTCAGGTCCGCCGCCCATCATGTCTGACAAGCAACAACAACCCCTCCCCTTCATTTACCAATTTGCCGCCGGTGCGGTGGCTGGTGTGTCTGAGGTATGCGTCTTTCCTAAATTCTGGACTCTATTCTCGTCCGACTAAACTGGTCGTGGGTTTATTCGATTACTAATGCAATCCCCCGCACGAGCAGATCTTGGTGATGTAGGTTTCAATTATCTCTCTCCTTCCCGGGGTGACCACCGGGCCACTTCTCGCGAAATATGTCGAACCTGTGTAATGAGATTCTGGGACCCAATTAACAATACGCTGCGAATAGGTACCCATTGGACGTTGTCAAGACTCGAGTGTAAGCATTCAACCACCCTTATCGGGACACTCGGTCATGGCCCGATTCCGAATCCGTGCGTGCTAACACATCCCTCCACACCAAATAGGCAGCTTCAGACTGGTTCCGCCACCGCTGGTGGAGAGCACTACAATGGCATGCTTGACTGCTTCCGCAAGATCATCAAGCAAGAGGGGTATGTCTTCTCCCGACTTCCCCGTAGGACTCCGACGCGAAACTGATGCTCGATCACATCTCTGTAGCTTCTCTCGTCTCTACCGTGGTATCTCCGCTCCCATCCTGATGGAGGCTCCCAAGCGTGCAACCAAGTTTGCCGCCAATGACAGCTGGGGTACTTTCTATCGCGGCCTCTTCGGCGTCGAGAAGCAGACTCAGGGTCTGGCTACCCTGACCGGCGCGACTGCCGGTGCCACCGAGGCCTTTGTTGTGGTTCCATTCGAACTCGTCAAAATTCGCCTACAGGACAAAGCCTCCGCGGGCAAGTATAACGGCATGTTGGACGTCGTCAAGAAGATTGTCCAGCAGGAGGGCCCCCTCGCGATGTACAATGGTCTCGAGTCGACTCTTTGGCGTCACATTCTCTGGAACGCCGGTTACTTCGGCTGTATTTTCCAGGTTCGTGCCCAGCTGCCTAAGCCTGAGCCCGGCAACAAGAGCCAGCAGACCCGCAACGATTTAATCGCCGGTACCATTGGTGGTATCGCCGGTACCATTCTTAACACCCCGATGGACGTCGTCAAGTCCCGCATCCAGAACACAACCAAGGTTCCTGGCCAGACTCCCAAGTACAACTGGGCCTGGCCTGCCGTGGGTACCGTCATGAAGGAGGAGGGCTTCGGGGCCCTTTACAAGGGCTTTATCCCCAAGGTCCTGCGTCTCGGCCCTGGTGGTGGTATCTTGCTCGTCGTCTTCACTGGCGTCATGGACTTCTTCCGCAAGATGCGTGACGAGTAAATTGTGATCATGTCGACCCCCCCTTCCTCCCTTTTTTCAAAATCCATATCATGACCCGGAAGTCAGGACGACGTGCTTTGAGCGAAATCAACATATATTTTCTTTCCAAGATTTCTTCTGTCAGACCCGGAAAAACGGGATGCTTGTCCTTGTGAACTTGTATTATGGCTCTGATATACCCCTCTATTGAATCGCCGCCTTCTCGTTGGTTAAATACTGTCGCTCCGTTCTCGGCCTGTGGTGGCTCTGTTATTTCGTTTTTGCCTGTGTACTATTCGTCTCCATGGCATCTAGAAAGATAGAGAAGAATGCATCGCACTCTCAATGTTCCCATTTAGAATCACATACGGCGAAGAATCCACTCTACAAGCGCTCGACCTTGCCGTCGTCCTTAATCCATTTGCTTCAGACCTGAGGATACCACAAGCATCCAAAAGTGCAAGCAGACGATAATATTTCCTAAGGTAAGACAAATCTTTGTCTGAATCCAAGCTTCATCTCGCCTAGAAATCGAGTAGTTGTCAGACCCGACGGCATTGCCTTCGACTATAGCGATAACCATTCCAATGGAGGAATTGACCCAAAAAGCGTACCAGGCAAACATCAGCATAGTTCGACATTCAGGTCCCCGTGACCTAAGCCCCATATCCTCAACCTCATCCGAGGATATCGATAGCTGTCAAACTTGGGGGTGCAATATCCAAAGGGGGAACGCTAAATTGCTGAGAGTGGATTTGCGGTGGTGCCTTTGGGGCCTGGTGATATAAATTATTAATCTTGAGCTGTCCATTCATTAACCAATCATCGAGGTCCTCGATCGTATCAAAAAGGCCAGTTATCGGTAGATCAGAAATTCGAAGCTATCCATCCTTTATAGCGCCTGTCTCAGGACGATGGGATCGTTCGCATCATCTTCAGAATCGAAGCAACTTGAGATATAATACCCTGAACCGCAAACTGATGCATATCACACCTTTGATGAGCGCTGGAAGCATCTTGAAGAGTTTTCTTTCTTCTACATGTGTTCCAGGTCGTGGATTCTCTCGAAGCAAGAGTCACTGGCGATAATAGATGCACTCAAATGGCCGCAGCCCCGTCCCAACACGCGATAAAGAACAAAAGCAGACAGAACCGGCGCGCTATACCAAGGTGCCTCGGTCCATTATTATGGGACTTCAAAAACCAGAGCTACTTTGTAATGATTGTTGAAATAATCATGCGCTGGATTTCCGGGACGGTTCGCAGTGCGGAATTGGGCCGTGCGGAACTCGGCTGCTTCTGGGGTAAAAATGTGGGGTAGTCTGTAGACTTTTGGGCCAGTACTACCACTCCGTCACACCAGATGAGAAAGAAGGACGAGGATGGGCATAGCATGTGGTTCGATCTAGCAGGAAAAGGCTAGGCCCGAGTACGGAAATCCAGCGCTCAGGTAGTAGCCGGTACTCTCCTTATAATCATCCACTAACGTTCTGGTCGAGGTTGCTTTCATTTTGTCAAGAGTCAACAGCAGCCCTACACGCCATGGCCATCGCAACTGCGCTAAGTGCTCTGCAAGGCCGAGTTATCCAGTATCCCTGGCAGTCTCTTGGCGTTACTGCGCTGATTATCCCGTTCCTCTATGTCATTCTTAACGAATTCATCCGCTCGTCGGCCCGTGTCAAGGGCCTTTCAGGGCCGACTGGCCTTCCTCTGATCGGAAATTTGGCCCAGATCCGAGTCAACGCAGCTGAACAGTATCGGACATGGTCAAGAAAATTTGGCGCTGTGTACCAGATCCAGCTAGGCAACATTCCTGTGGTGGTGGTCAATTCAGCTGCATCGGCGAAAGTGCTTTTTGGTCAAAATGCCCAAGCCCTAAGTTCGCGACCAGAGTTTTATACATTCCATAAGGTAGATATATCACTCTAAATTTCTATATCACTATTTATGCTATAGTGAGAGACTGACGCCAAATTGCTTATAGATCGTTTCCAACACGGCTGGCACAACTATTGGAACCTCCCCCTACAGCGATTCACTCAAGCGACGCCGGAAGGGTGCTGCGTCAGCTCTGAATCGTCCATCCGTTGAAACATATGTGTCCCATCTTGATATCGAGTCGAAAGCCTTTGTTGAGGAGCTATATCGGTATGGAAATGGCGGAAAGTCTCCTGTGGACCCGATGCCAATGATCCAACGCCTGAGCTTGAGTCTGGCATTGACCTTGAACTGGGGTGTTCGTATTGCATCACAGGAAGAGGATTTATTTGACGAGATCACGCATGTCGAAGAGGAGATTAGCAAATTTCGAAGCACGACCGGCAATTTGCAGGACTATATTCCTCTCCTGCGGTTGAATCCATTCAGTACCAACTCTAAGAAAGCAGCCGAGATGCGAAAGCGCCGTGACAAGTATCTGGGTGCACTCAACAAGGATCTCGATGATCGCATGGAGAAGGGTACCCACAAGCCATGTATCCAAGCCAATGTCATTTTGGACAAAGAGGCCAAGCTCAACAACGAGGAACTTACCTCGATCAGCCTGACCATGCTTTCAGGGGGCCTTGATACAGTTACCACGTTAGTCGCGTGGAGTATTGGTCTTCTATCTCAACGTCAGGATGTGCAGGATAAAGCTGCCAAGGCTATCCAAGAGATGTACGGACAGAACGAGCCTATGTGCTCAGCCGAAGACGACCAAAAATGTGCATATGTTGTCGCCTTGGTGAAGGAGTGTCTCCGGTTTGTTCTACTTGGTCTCCCTTTAGCCTTTTTTGATTGATGATCTAACAAACTCCAGCTATTTTACTGTTCTTCGCCTGGCGCTGCCTCGCACTTCAATTAGGGACATCACTTACGAAAACAATGTGATCCCGAAAGGCACAGTATTCTTCTTAAATGCTTGGGCTTGCAACATGGGTAAGTCTTTCCATTATGCTCCTTCACCTTTCACTACTAACTGTTCTCTGGTTGATAGATCCGGATGTATGGACCGATCCAGATGTATTCCGACCGGAGCGATGGCTTGAACAACCAGATGCTCCTCTTTTCACATACGGCATGGGTTATCGGATGTGTGCGGGCTCACTGCTGGCCAATCGCGAGCTCTACCTGGTCTTCATGCGGACACTCAATAGCTTCCGCATCGAGCCTCATGACGATATCGATTGGCACCCGGTCCATGGCAATTCAGACCCTGCGAGCCTAGTTGCGATCCCACAAAAGTATAAAGTCCGCTTTATCCCCAAAAACGCAACCGCCTTAAAGAAAGTTATTGCGGAACCTTGAAAGGATAGACGGTGTAGATGCGAACGATCAATGACGACAGCTGGGGAAGAACCTCAACAAGAGTCCTGATTTAATAGACGCCAAATCAGGACCACCCTGTCAACAGGTGCTTAGCAATTCTGGATTATCAACACCAGGTTCTGAAAAGAAGAGCAGCACTCCAACAAGACCCTTAATTGCTTGAAACCAGGCAAGATCAGTTGAGGCTTGGTTGTTTGTGCTTCTTTACGAGACAGGAAGTGTATGTTAGTTATCATCTAACTTCAATTCAGATATTAGTATTAGCATGATCAATATCAGTTTCATCATTATAGCGTGATTGAAATCTCGTATACAAGCGCCCTTCCTACCTGTAGATAATCGCCATCTCGAAATTTTCCAAACTTTACACACAATCGATTCAACAGGAGAAATCAAGAGAAAACAACCAATAAAGGGATATGACTGACGAAAGTCAACTGTTCGATTGAAATCAAGTTCAGAGATACTAATTTATGTTGATCTTTATGAACCTGAACCTCGACCAGTACGTGACTGTCATCACCACCGTAGTGGAAACGATCTTAGAAAACTGTACCCTTAACCTGGGCGACCTTCTTGAGATCGATATCTCTGATCATGATTGTCCATGCCACTGCAAGAACCATCACACCACAGCCAACCGAAAGCATTCTAACCTCTGCATAACCATATGCTTTCTGAATTGCCAACCTGGTGGCAGATCCCATAGGGTAGCTCGTCTGTACTGTAAGATCTTCGTATATATTCTCCAGGTTAGACATGGCCGACTCAGGGAGGTACATCTTGAGCGCTTTTTCGTAGGTATTGGTCCAGATAGCAGTACAGATCGTCAAGCCTGCAGAGTCGCCGATGGTACCAACAACATTGAGAAGTGCCAGAGCGGCAGCGACATGCTGATGATCCACAGCAGCTAGGATTGCAAGCTGCTCCACGATGATGAAAATTGAGCCGCCGATAGAAATGAAGATTTGACACATGACTTGATAGCCGACCGTCATACCAGGCTTCCGGAAGTATATCATTAAGCCCTGTGAAAAGATATAAAGCGGCACTGAGATGTACAAGAGCCACTTGAAACGACCAGTGTGTCTGATGATAAAACCAACGCCGATCAAAAGTACACCAGAGACAACATCGAAGGTATTACCGATATAACCAGCTTCGGCAAGAGTGATTCCGTAGACCACCTGCAAGAAAGACTGGAAATAGTTATACCAACAGTAGTAAGACAGCTGATAGGTAGCATCTAAGAGGCAAGCACCGATGACAGTACGATCGGTAAGGAAGCTAAAGTTGAGGAGGGGTGAAGGTGCGACAAACTTCTCGTATAGAGCAAAGAAGAAGAGCATCGAGAAACCAACAACCAACATTGCAATGATATAGCCGGTAGCCCAGCCGTTAGGGGCTTCGCTTGCAATATCGAACGGTAGCTCGAAAAGAACCAGACCAGCAGTAAAAAGAAAGACTCCGACCACTACATCATTATCAGCGACGGTTCCATCTGAAGGCAATGCTTGCAACAAGTCATCTTACTCACCGTCGAACTCAGAAACCCAATACCAAATACTTTGAATGACTGTCCGGTTACTCTTCTCTCTAATCAGATGGCCCTCATTCTCCGCTTTGCGAAGGTTGAATTTGAGGATAAAGAACAAGGGGGCGGCAACTATTGGGAAGACGATTGCCCAACAACCAAACCCCCAGCGCCAGTTGACCTGATAATAGAACTCGTCCGCGACCTTGGGTCCCGCAAAGGCGGTAATGATATAGGGAGAAGAAGTGAAAGCGTAGGCCAAGCCTCGGTTCTTGAGCTTGGATGCGTCGGCTGTGATCACGTCCACAGCGTATTCCATGCCTCCGAATCCAATGTAGTAGAAGACCTAGCGATTTGTGTCAGAACTCATGCAGTGCTTCTAGAATTGATGCAGACTTACATATGCAGCGCAGTATATCGGGAAACTGTTACAAGCAGCCAAGAGTATCAAACCGATCGTGGCGCAGACAGTCATGAATAGGAAGCCTTCTGCACGGCCCCAAGTATCCATCAATTTGGCGACAGGGAGATAGATAGCAGCCGAGAAAGCATCCGCCAAAGCGGTGGGGACACCTGATAGAGAGTGAGATTGGAAGGAGCTTGAAACATAGGCACTCAAGCTATTGAAGACGGACGATTGGAAGGCATTGACAAAGTAAAGAAACCAGATACTATGGAAGAAAGATAACGTCAGGATCATTCAAGTCTATTATCAGCGAGAAAAACATCAGGAAGTGCATACTTCATGAATACTAGAATCAGCGTCGTCTTGGACCAAGTCAATGTCACAGCCTCGACATCTCTAACACCAGTCTGCACACCCTCGTGCGGTAGCTGTGAATCAGGGTCGATATTGCCATTGTTGGTCTCTGCACCTGCGACTGCAGGGTTCTTTTTGCTTTCGCCCGTTGATTGATCGAGCGAAACAGTTCGTACTGCCTCCGCATCGTCTGCCGACATGCGGCGAAAGACCGTTTGGGCCCTTCGAATTAAGGGACGAATGGCCATGATAGGAGAGTTGGATCCAACACTGAAACTCTCAACAGCTATGGCACCGATCAAGCATTCCACTCAATAGACGGCGGAAGGGAAGAACCCTTGCCGTTATATCACCACCGCAGCCCCGAGATCGGCAATTTTGGGACAGAACTGGACACGAAATGGGCCTCGCAACACGCGGACGGAAAATAGTCTTCGGAGATGGGCTGTCCAGGATGCTCATTCGTTCGGCCAGATGGCCGTTGCTCATCCTTTGCCCATCCTTTGCCCCCTTGGTCGTGCCCCTCCTGGACCGCATCCACCGTTCCACTCGGCCCAGGAAGAAACCGGGCCAAGCCGATGACTAAATCTAATCAGATGGCCGTGTGATCTCCGGTTTTTATGTGATCTTATCAAACGTGGACCCTTCTCGATGCAGTGTCCCCGGCGATCAGGACCCATCAAGCTTCGTCGACCAGTCAAGCTTCGCTTGGCCCCTTGGCTGGAAATGAATTGTGGGACTCGCGCTATTTGTCTCGCTTCCCGCGGCCAAGTTGTCGAGAAAAAGAGCAAAAGAGGAAATTACCGCAATTCTGGAGCTCTAAAAAGCAACACTAGTTGGAATGAAACCTCGATCTCATCCATAGCATATAGTACTTCGTCCATACCAGTCCAAGTTGGTGCTTGGGGGCCACATTCAAGGATGCAAAAGGGCCATCTCCGAGACATTCAATACAATTTTAGGGGCCGTTCGGAATCGCCGAGCTCCTAGTTCTTTGATTGTCTTTCTTTTGGCTTGTCCTAACGAAACTGTTACGTGTTACAGTCTAGGGATTCAGGTCAATGGCCCGGGAGAAAGTGTGAATGCCTTGTTAGGAAACTTGCCCCAAGAACGCCTTACGTGTGCGTCGCCAAGGCAGGATGTACATTGCTCTAGACAGTGATTGCTCAGGGCGGTTCCTGGCGCGATCATCACACTCTGAGACGCAGGGGAGCATTCTATACTTCTTCTGGAAGATTATATCGTCTAGGCACCCTAAACACCGGGCATGTTATTGCTCACAATCGATGCGTTGGGTCTTCCCCCGTTGAGCAATAGCCTACATCTAGCTTAGACCCTTTATCGCTGGTCGCTTGATGGAGTCATATTCCAGCTCCAGCAGCCAAAGCAGATTGGATGGCCCAGCGCCACCTCGCGGGTGGCGCGAGGCGGACGGTCGGAAGATGCCCCCAACAACTCCACCAGATCCACTTGGGACCGACGAGACTTGAAATATGTCGGTATCCAAAGCAGGACGCCGAGAACGGCACTCGGTTGGGTGAAGAGAAGACGTAATATTATGATAATTAAATATCAATCATAAAAACTGGGTATATGACTAAGTGCGTAGGATTATTATATACATGTAGACCCTCTATTCATATTCGTCTCATAATTGAAAATGGGAGGCATTTTAGGAAAATAGCGGGAATCATCTTCCCCATCTAGGAAGAGGTACAACATGATCGCAACACAAAGGGACAGAAGCAAAACGCACCGAAATGATCGCTAGGCGAAGAATGGGAGGCGAGAACAAACGTGAAATCCAGATGTTTAAGGTATCAAGGTCGTAAATCATTACGGATCACGAATATAGGGCATAGACGGAAGACGGACCAAAGAAACGATCAACAGTTCATGTTCAGGCCGAGGGAAGATTGAGATGCTCAGAGAGAGGCGGGATGCACGCTTTCATTATTCGCAAGCAACGAGGCACCATTGCTTGGAGCCGGACTTCGGCCCGGTAGCCAAGCATCGTACAAGGGAATGACGAGGTTGGGGTTGATATATTTCTTCAGTCGCAGCTCAAGATTTTGTCCCCCTACCCGAATGGGAAGCACGTCACGGTCTATGCCCGATGGAGGTGAAAAAGTTGAAGACGGGGAGGGGGAGATGTCGCCCGAACTCGGCGGTTCGCGGTTGATGCTTTTGAGCGCAATGAACTTCATTAGCGGTTCGTACGTTCGGGAAAACCAGTACGAAAACCACACAGTGAACCCGAGTAGAGGCACAAGCAGGAGGGAACGCGTAATGGCGCCACGCAATGCCAACACGCCGATCATGGCCAGGTGGTAAACAACGAGACCAACAAACAACCGGTTGCAGATCATCGGCCAAGCACGGCCCGTGGAGTGTTGTTGGTGATCCATGGCATACAGCAGCTGGTACTTGTAGATGAACTGGCCGATCGAAAAGTACACCAGACCGAAGAGACAGATGAGCCACGAGCTCGGGAACACACTATAGACAATGCAAATGATCAAAGCCAGGATTGTCTGAGGAATCGAGAACCCATAGCTAAACTTAGGAGGTGTCGAGAGTTCTGCGTAATCTCGCGGCGTCCGGGCCTTGAGGAAATTGAGTGGGTACAAGGCAACGCTTCCGAATTCTAATAGACGGAAGGGGAAGAGGCCCAATCCTTGAAGCACAAGAAGGTTGATATAGAACAGGGAAAAGCCTTCAAGGGATGTAGCGAGTGCAAAGGCAATGGTTGTAACATCCTTGAAAGCATCACGCAGGTTTTGCCAGAAGCCATAGAACCCGGATGCGGTACCAAAAACAGTGAAGAGGAGGAACAGGTTGAAGAAAGAGAAGAAGAAATTCTTCGAAATGACGGAAAGCTCAATCTCGCCACGCGACATCATACCTTGGTTGTGGGAGAGCCCTAGTAGTTGATTAGCACCGTAATATCCATTTCAAGATGCGGTTGATTGCCAGATCGCAGAGACTCCAAAGACCTACATTCATATAGATAAGGCACAGCCACTGTCAAAAGCGAAAATGCCAATGTGGGCAGACCCGTCTGAACCAGCGACTTCAAGATCGGATGCATGGCAAGCAGTTCGGCGAGTTGAGGAACGAATTTATGAAGTGTTTCTAGCTGCAGCAACGACGCAATTGGCAGTAGCAGAACCGACCAGAAAATGGTGAGAAACCCGATGACGACTGTAATCAGCCACGACTGCGTCATTCGGCGGGTCCGAGAGAGGTAGGTATTCCTCCAGACCACATCTGCCGGTGCAGGTGCCAGGCGAGCGAACATCTGCATGGGGTGGGGATCAAGGGTCGCTTGGACGAGCATCTGGGAGGCAGCGATAGATTCCATTGTCACAAACGCGATTTCGGTCGGCGGATATTCCTTTCCACGGGCGCTATGGATCTGGTCGTCGGTTTTGCGTAGTTTTTCTTCGTAATAGTCGATGGCATCAATCATTCGAAATCGGAGTTTCATTGGGCCATACCAGATCCGAAGCTTTGGTCGCTCTCGATGATAGCCGGCAACATGCTCCCGCTCCTCACTCGATAGCAGGTGTGCATGCTCGCTGTCCTCTTCCAGATGTAGGCGATTAGAGGTGTAGGGTGGTTGATGGGTAAGGGGCAATGTGTTTCCATCGCTTCTCGGTCGTTTATAGCCAAGGTGCGCCGTCCATGATCGCTCCAATTCCCGTAGAATTTTCATTCGCTGATCCATGAGAAGATCCAGTTCTCGCCATTTTCGGCACAAGGTGACCGATTCCACCTTACCCACTTGCAGGCCCTCCACAAAATCCTTGATCTCTTCTTCTGACGTCAAATCAGGTGGAATTCCGGACAAGCGAATAGTGCGATCGGTGGTGCTGGTTTGGTTCCCGAGATAGGTTTGTCTGGTGCGAATGATCTTGTTCGTTTCTTGGAGCAGGAGGTAGATGGCCAGGCCGCTGAAGACGTAGGGAAACAGGACGTAAATCCAGATGTATCCCGGATCAGTGACAAGCTTATCCTTGTCCTTGTTCTCGGCCAGAAAGTCGGTAGCGCTCATCGACTTGTTGCTCGGAGGGTCCCAGCCAGGAACGCCATACTTGCCGGTGTACTTGTAGTGCAGTGGGAGAATGATGGTCACCGCGAAAAAGAACACGGACAGAAGGAAGCGTATGGCAAATTTGAAGAAAGATAGGAACTAGATGGGCCGTGTCAGAGGGAGATTGTGTGGAAACACCTCGAGGTAATCCAACAGAATCCAGGGAGATGAGGAGCCACTTACGACATATGCATCGAGGCCGGCTGAGTGCAAAACTTCCTCTTCGGTGATGCGGTAGAGAACGGGAATCCATCCAAAGAAACTATCGGGCAGCTCTGGCAATTTCGAGGCGGCGCAGCGTTGTCTTCTTCGGGCGGCATACAGCTCGGTCCATTTGGGACGTAATACCTGCGAATTGTGAGATGCGATTCGTACAACGCCCAGGGCACTCAGCTCCAACTAGCCAGGCTAGCCGAGCCTTATCTGAACCTACACAGAATGACAAGAAAGCACCGAGTCCCAGAGCCACACTAACCACGAACTGGGTGTACAGATCGCGCGACTGTTTGGTTTGGTCTTCCCAGCGCCAGTCTCCGCCATCATCGGAACCGCCGGCCAGGGTGGTCCACATTGCCGCCTTAGCAGATACGGTCAAAGACATCGTCGGCGAGTCTGTTGGACGCTATGCGCCGAGGACCTGAGGCTAGAGAGGGGAGGCAGATTCGATAGTCTAGCGAGAGGCCATCAAGCTATTGATCCATGAAGAGCGTGGCACAGGTTTGGATCGCAGCAGGGTAATCGACAGCACAGTAATCGAGAATAGGGGAAGGCCCAGCGGTCCCCAAAATATCCCAGCGCAAGCAGATTGTAGAAAATGTCGGGAATGTCAGCAACAGACTAAGGAAGAGAGACAAGGTGCCTGCGTGATGCGCATTCAAAAGGGGAGCTTTCCGTCCGTTTGTTTTCGATGACGACCTAATCGATGCTGACTCACCAATGCATGATCCTCCGTGCATGAAGCTTAGTCAGTTAAATAGTGCAATATAATGCAAATTTTTACCCACGTCAAATATCCAGAACGAAGGAAGTAATTAAATGGTTCATCTCTGACAACGGTGACGTGAGATGGATTCCCCATTGCTCCAAAGTATGTACTTATAGTTACTGTTCGATGCATCTGCCGACAGTACAGTTCTAACTCTATGTGTGGCCTCGGGCGTCAAGAAGGCCGGGTAAACATTTATCTGCCGGCCCACGAAGTATACTCTTTCCATGAACTCTTGGGACTCTGCATTGATTCTATGTATAGACTGGATGGGCGATGCAAACGCTCACGAGCCCTCGTGTGCCTCGTCTCCTTTTTCTCTCAAGTCGCAAATTTCTCCAAAGGTCCTCAGCACGTGTGGGCATCATTGGCTCGTAGGGCCAATGATCCTCGGTGATCCGAGGGTATTGGATGCGCACTTAGGCACTTTGATGGGCCCTCAATACTCCGCAGTACTCCGTTAGTCGTATGTCGTTGGATGGAGCTTTTTGTAGTCGCATGTAGTTTGTAGACAAGATGATTGTGCCCAGTTCAGAGAGGAGTATATACAATCTCCCCCACCCCTTCTCCTTCTCTTCCCACATTCCTCATTTCGACAATCTCGGTGTTGGGCATTTTTACTCTGGGCTCCGTTGTCGGCCTCGAATTTCCGAAACCGAGTGACTCAGCATCATCCTCACCTCTGATTGGCTGGCGCTGCCCCGGGCCGCCCAACCAGCGCAAGTGACGTGACGCCGCCGATAAGATTGAAAGATTGATTGTAAGCCTAGGGAAAAAAAACCGCTTTCGATTGTGTTCAGCTCCACCCTTCGCAACTGAACAGGGTCTCTGAAGCTCTCGTGAAACCAGGGCATATCCAGTCGGTCGGGAGATGCAGTCCGCCGTCTTGTTGCTTGCCTGGATGGCTGGTGCCTCTGCATCGGCCATCCCTGATCTGCAGCCGCAGCAGCGGCCGTTGTGGCCTGGTCGACCCGTGAGCGCGTTGTCCATCTCTGAGCACGTACAGCAACCGTTGCAAGAGCATAAGGTACCGGCCCAAGGACCTCATGGCCGTTTTCTCCACATTACCGGTAAGCCTCTGACCATAGCATCAGCATGGATGCCTCCCCTATCCCACTCTCCCCAGGCTAACGCGTCTGTGATGAGGTAGACTTCCACCCTGACCCATACTACAAGATCGGCTCGTTGGTCGATGAAGATGAGGGGACGTGCCATCATGGCCAGGGCACCGCGGGACGCTTTGGCACGCCAGGCTCGGATTGCGACAGCCCCTTATCGTTGGTCAATGAGACATTCCGCTGGATCGAGGAGAACCTGAAGGATCAGATCGATTTTGTCATTTGGACCGGCGATTCGGTCCGCCATGACAACGACGAGCGCATTCCCCGAACGGCTGAAGAGATCGTCCAGCTCAACCAATTTATGGCCCAGAAATGGATCGATCTGTTTGGTGTGCACGACCAGTCGAACGATCCTAGTAGCGTGCCTCGATTGTCGGTCCCCATCGTTCCGACTTTTGGGAACAATGACATTCTGCCTCACAACATCTTCCGAGAAGGCCCCAATACCTGGACGAAGAAGTTTGCGGAAATATGGAGCCACTTCATCCCCGAGGACCAGCGTCATAGCTTTGTCGAGGGCGGCTGGTTCACGACTGAGGTGATTCCGGGGAAGTTGGCCGTCATTAGTTTGAATACCATGTACTTTTTTGATTCCAACAGCGCGGTGGATGGCTGTGCCGACAAGTCCGAGCCTGGCTACGAGCACATGGAGTGGCTGCGGGTCCAGCTACAACTTCTGAGGAGTCGCGGCATGAAGGCCATCTTGATGGGTCATGTGGCCCCCGCGCGCTCGAAGGAGAAGACAAACTGGGATGAAACCTGCTGGCAGAAGTATACGCTGTGGCTGGACCGCTACCGAGATGTCGTCGTCACAGGCCTCTATGGACACATGAACATCGACCATTTTATCCTGCAAGACAGCCACAAGGTCGATATTGATGCACTCTCAGACCAGTCCGCGGATGAAACCATCGGCATTGCATCGAAGGAGGACTATCTAGTCTCCCTACGGGAGCAGTGGTCTTCGCTCCCATCACCCCCATCGGGTCTGTTTGAAAAACTGAAGGCCGGGTCTGTGCTTCTCTCCGATGACGTTGAAGCGACCAAGAAGAAAAAGAGCAAGAAAGAAAAGAAGCGCGAGAAAAAAGAACGCAAGTACCTGAAGAAGATCGGCGGACCATGGGCTGAACGATACAGTCTCTCATTGGTGTCACCTAGCTTGGTGCCAAACTATTTTCCGACCCTTCGAGTGGTGGAGTACAATGTTACCGGCTTGGATAGTTTGTCTCTCGAGGATCTGGCCCTTTCGACCAAGACGAATGATTCGTCTCCTCGGGACAGTGATTCAAGGCGAGAACCGATGTCTGCCGACCCGTCTGTGCCGGAAATCCAGAAGGGTAAAAAGGAGAAGAAACCCGACTTTAAAATCCCCGATCCACCATCCTCTACGGCCCCTCCTGGCCCTGCATACTCCAATCAGCCCTTTAGCCTCCTCAGCTATACACAATACTTTGCCAACCTTACTCGGATCAACGAAGATGCTGCATCGAGTGGCGATGCGGAAACGCAGATCAACTTTGAAATCGAATACATCACAAGCGAAGATGATATCTACCAGCTGGAAGATCTCACGGTGCGCAGCTTCTTGGAGCTGGCGATCCGGATTGGCGAGGACAAGGATGAGGCCTTGGGCAAACGGTTTCCCACTTTTGACCCCTCAGTGGCCAAGAAGAAGAACAAGAAGAAAAGGAACCCAGTATGGCACACGTTTCTTTCACGGGCATTTACTGGATTTGTGGAAGATGATCTTGATGATCTCAACGCGGTTCCTATCCAGTGAATTTCTCTAGTTTCATAGAGCCAGCTTCGTGTTGTTTGTGATGGAGTTTCATGTTTCATGATTGGAATGGGTTGCATCACTATGGGCTTGAGGTCCATTTGCATTTTGCATTAACGAGGTGTTCTTTTTTTGGATAAATCCTACAATAGTATTACATCGACTTAACTTACGATCTCCTCCCTTTCCTTGCTCTCTCCCTTTCTCCTTTTTACCTTCTTGATGTTAATTCCTCCTACTGAAATGGTGTAGGTTTACGATATATGAGGGACCTCATCCGAGTCAACATAGCAAGGGGCCTCTTCAAGAGCTACTAAATCGGCCGCAAAACGGATCACCCTTGCATGGCTGCATGACGCTGCATTCAGGCCGGCGGTCTGATTCGCCTGCTGGTCAGGGGCCGATTAGAGTTGGCCTGTCTTTTGCTTTTCCCTGAATGTGAAAAGATCATGCTTGGTTCACGATGAGTATTATGTATTATGTATTCTCATTATGTGTCGGATTCGCCTCTCTTATCGGGTCTGTGTTCTGTGTTGAGCTTCGGAGTTGCCCCAGTTGACACTCCCTCGACGCTTAACCCTAACTCTACTCCGACTCCATCGACTCCATCGGCTATTGAACGCCGCCAGCATCCCGAACAACACCTCTTCCCCTTTTCTCCCTTGTCTTCCACCTTCAACTCCGACCATTTCTTGAGTAAACAAACATCTTCAGGCCTTCCCCCACAAGTGGAGCCATCTTGTTGCGTCGCGATAAGAAAAAATGTTCCAGCCTCGGCCATCTACGCCAAGCCACTCAATAATTCGTCCTCTAGTCCCCAATGACGCCCAACGATCCTCGATGATCGACGTAGATCGCCCGTCTCAGACACATTCCACATTCTGTCATCGCGCGTCGCCCGCGTTCCACTGGAACTCCGCCCCTGGGGTGAATCGACGCGGGGCTGGCGTCCTCCCTGGTGGTCCTGTTCACAATCTCCCTCATACGCCATGATGCACCTTCGATCATCCCATACCCTTGAATCATCTGGGATCGGTCGGATGTCGAATAGCCATGTCGAGCCGCATCAGATTTGCAGAGCCAATCGCGAGACAAAAGGAGAACGGACGCTCCCGCAGAGACCAGGCTGAACAGGGCGAAAAGGGGTCGGCCCAACGAACGCTGTCGCCCGGCAGTGAAATCGTGTATCCAACAGGATGGCGACTTATCCTCACTACCACAGGGTAAGTGCTCAGCTAAGTACTTTAAGGCAAATGTCTCGATCTGGGGGACGAAAGCTTACTCTGGACTTTTGCGCACAGGCTCTTGATTGGATTCTTCCTCTCCAACCTCGATGTGACGATTGTTAGCTCGTCCCTCACGAGCATCACGGATAGCCTGGCTGGATTCGAAAAGAGAAGCTGGATTATCACTGGATATTTAGCCACCTATACGGGTATGTTCCTTCCTTCATAATGAAGGCTCTGGTGATAAGCGTGAATCATGTGGGCAAGCTGCGGTCTGGTTGATTCGATGGGTCTGGAGTCCTGTTAGAACTGACGCAATCTCTTCAGGTTCCATGGCGATCTGGACCAAAGCGAGCGATATAATCGGCAGAAAGCAAACCACCATCGCGGCTCTCTTCATTCTACTCGCATTTTCTATTGGATGCGGTTGTGCTCAGACTGTCAATCAACTGTAAGCCTGACAGTAGCCCAAAGCTCTTGAAACCCGACCCGGGTGCTGATTTTGATCCCTCAAGAATAATACTTCGAGCACTTCAAGGAATCGGGGGTGCGGGTGCATACGCGTTAGCAATTCTATGCATCTATGAGATTGCCCCCAAAACGAAGCTTCCCACCTACAGCGGTCTCATGTCATTTTGCCTCGCTCTGGCGTCGTTAATTGGCCCAATCGTTGGCGGCGCTCTTGCACAGGACTCGGCCTGGAGATGGGTCTTTTTCATCAAGTGGGTGAAATCCTGCTCTTTTGGCTGCTTCGTTGATTGATTTTTTACCTTTTAGCGGCCCGCTCTGTGTGATCGCAATCCTTGTTATTATGGTTGGGATGCCCAAGAACTTTGGTCTTGATCAGCACACTCCCTCGTTTCGGACACGGGCATCTTATCGCTCATTTACCAATCTCGATCTCGTGGGATCGCTTCTCATGATCGTGGGCTCTTTTTTGATAGTTGCCGTGTTGAACGAGACAAATCTGGCATTTTCTTGGTTCTCTGGAGGCGCAATTGCTCTTCTTGTATTAACTGGTGTCTGTTGGGTCGCTTTCTTCTCTTGGGAATGGTATATCTCGGGGATCCCTGGGAAGGACCCTATTTTTCCTAAACGATGGTTTTTTGACCGTCCATGGCTGAGTATTTTAATGTAAGTACATTCGTTCTTTGCGTTCAGGAGTGGATGTTTTTTGACAAGTGAGCTATAGTTCCTCCTTTGTCACGGGTGCCCCGTTCAACGTTATCCTGGTGTATGTTCCACAGCAAGCGCAAATATTGTTGGGAAAGTCTCCTCTCGATTCGGGTATTTACTTGATCGGATATGCTGCTGTTGCTGCTGTCGCCGCCGCTATCGTGAATATGGCCAGCTCAAAAGGGCGAATACCGTTTATTTATTCTTTGCTTGTCGGTTGTGCAGTTCACACTATCGGCGTTGGTCTTCTTTCAACCATTGCGACTTCTAAAGGATTCCATGCCACTGATATTATTTACGGTGTTATCGCTGGTGCCGGTATAGGGATTATTATGGGCGTATTGGTGCTCTCGACGCCATATATCGTTGAGGATAGAGATCTTGGTATGTATCGCTATGGGAGAAAAAATCAAGGTTGAGATGAGGTTCGTGGTGCAATAGCTAATTGTGAAATCCTCTCAGCAATCGCCACCGGCACAGTTGTTCAGCTCAGGTTTCTTGGCGGTGCTATCGGTCTTGCGATCGCATCTAATATTTTGAATGGCCGTCTGTCCAACCATTTGCAAGGTGTTCTATCGCCCCACGATCTTCACCTGTTTCTTGAAAATGTTAAATGGATAGATCACCTGGCTATCTTTCTCCGGGAGGAGGTGAAGGACGTGTTCGCTCAGAGTTACACGACTCAGCTGAGGGTCATGATTGGATTTGCGGCAGTTCAACTACCTGCTATCTTACTTCTTATCAAACCAGGCCGCCAGCTTGCGGCTACTAGATTGCAGCCACCTTCTTGTGAAACTTGACATCGGAGCAATTGTTTGGGGTTAATTTGCATATCATCTTGTGAGGGTAACGCTGTGAGGATATTTGGGTTCCACAAAAGTCGCATCGACTCCTCAACTTCAATTAATTTAGCGCTTTATATCATTTTCTGTCTCCATTGTCCATTCAGCTGTCTAGTTCAATCCACATGCTTCAATATGTCTACATTTTCACCTCAAATCCACCTGCCGATACTCGACGTCTGCGTGGATTCTGGATGCTGACACAAACCTGCGTTACTTGAATGGGCAAAGTGACTATGTTAGAATACATACTGCTCAAATCTGTTATTAGAATGCATTCATATTATCTCATAGAAAAAATAATGAGAAAGCCAACAGTTTCAAGTCAATTGTTGTGATACAACCCACTCCCCCAGTAGCCCGGAATCGGAACAACTCTGGCGCCGGGCCATCGGCCGAGGCACCTCCAAAAGCTGACACACGACGCTCTCTGGTCTGCATCTTCCTGGTATTGGATTTTCTGAGGCTTCCCTCTCCAGTTTTAGGTCATGAGCAATGCGCTCTGGCTCATGGGGCGGATCCCCTGCCCGGGACTCCGAAGTGCGAGCACGTTCGCTACGGGGACCTTCCACCATACCTGCCGTGAGCTCCGCATGACGCCATGGAGTCTGTTGAACAACAATACCAGACGTCCTTTCAGTCTTCTCAAGACTGCGTTGCATCCCCACCCTCGACCTTCACCTTTTTCATTTCTTCTTCAGAATTTCAGTCCTGCTCCAGGCTTCCACAGGTATAAGAGAACGGCCGCTTCGGCACCATCCGCTCGAAAGCCCTCGGAGAATCCACTCGGCGAGAAGAGTCGTTCCGATACAGAAATCAAGAAAATTTTCGGGTCAAACAAGATCCAGGGCAGGCTAGGCAATCGCGCTCTCAAAGTATTGCAGGATCGTCGTATGGAGGGAACCCTGGATTTGGATCTACCCGCCGACATCACCCACGCTGTGCCTCAATACCAGCTCGATGCAGCCCTTCAATGGCTCCGCGCCAACTACCCAATCGACGAAGACGCTGCAATCCTCGCCCGTATCGAACGAGAGGAACACGAGGCGGAGGAGAAACTGGTTCGGCGCGCCGAGGAGCTTGGTCTATATAAGCCGCAGAGTGGTTCCTACGACGCTGAACTTGGCGAAGAGAATTCGGTCTACGGAAAGAGTGTACTCAAAGAGGCTCGCGAAAAAAATGAGAAACGATTATTGGCAGAGAAGGAACACAAGCGTCAGCAATGGCTAGAGGGTGAACACGAGGAGCGCGAACGGCTCCAGCGCCAAGTAGAGGGCAACACGGCATTGCAGCAGTATCAGGAAGCAGCCCTGACCGAGGGTATGTGTGGCATTAATGCAGCAATATGCGTATACACTGCTAATCTTCTCAGCACGACCGAGGGCGGATCCAAATGAGCGGCCATATCTTGCTTGGGTTCAGAAACACCATCTTGCAGGAACCCATAATCAGCCCGAGGCTATGGACATGACCACTGTATGAAATGCCTTTTGAGCGAGTCTTCTCGCCCTTCCCTGATGCTCTTACATTTTGCCTTCTTTCTAATACCCAGGTGCATCTACAGACTCAGCGCCTCCTGGCTCCTCTTCTTTTCACCATCGCCACCATTGGCCTCTGCTATTTCTTTGCCCAAAATTATGAAGCGCCCGCGAGAGAGGATCGCATGTGGCCTGACGTGCCTCCGGCTGCTGCGACGGTCGGCGCAATCATTGGAGCTAATCTAGCAGTTACTTTCTTATGGAAGTATATTCCACCCTCATGGAAACTTCTTAATCGCTTCTTCGTCCTTGTGCCGTTCTATCCCAACACCCTTAGTGTTCTTGGCAGCACTTTCAGTCACCAGACGTGGAGGCATCTGGCAACTAATATGATGGTCCTGGGCCTTATGGGTACACGAGGTACTTGATTCACTATCGTCTCAGCTACGTCTAGGTCGACCTAAATCTTGCTAACCCCCTTTATAGTGCACGATGAACTCGGCCGAGGAAACTTCTTAGCTATCTACTTGGCCTCTGGTGCTGTTGGCTCCATGGTCTCCTTGTCACGCAGTGTTATTCTTGGGTATCTCACTATGACTTCTCTGGGCGCAAGTGCTGCGACCAGTGGTATTGTTGCCGCGTGGTGCATGTATCATTTTGAGTGAGTTTCCTCATGCGTGTATACCAAACCCCGTATCTCCCCCCTTCAGAACTAACTCTTGCCCTTGCAGTGATAAAATCACCATGTGGATCCTACCCAAGGAGCTACGAGAGACCATCTGGACCCAAGGGTGGATTTTCCTCGCTTGCCTGATTGCCACTGAAGTTGTCAGCATGGTGACCCCGGCTCGTTTCCTGCAGGTCTTCCCTCTCTCCAGACTCACCAAGATGGACCATGCCGCCCATCTGGGTGGCTACCTCGCTGGCGCCGGATGTGGATATACCCTTGCGCAGAAAAAGAAGGCGCACGAGCGAGAGCGTAGAGCCCGTGATTTGAAGTGGCTCGGAAATGTCAATCGATAGAGGATCTGACTTACATGTCTCAGAAGGAAAGTTTACCAGAAACCCTGTGTTAGACCTTGCCGTACAGGGTCTTTCTGTTCTATGAATAATTGTACTATATCCATACCATATCTAAATACCATCTGAGGAGACTGGAATTTACCGCTGTCTCTAATTGAGTTGTAATTTCCTCTATTCCTTTCAACCTTGCATAAGCGCATAAGCGAGGTTCGATAACATTGAGGACGCAATGTTTAAAAAGCAGAAGTGAGAGAGAGAAAAAAATCATATCAATCATTATATATAAGAAAGCAACTGCCAGGTACAATCTATGTGCACTGACCGGGATGCATCTAGACACGGTCACTCCACACAGTGGAGGATCATATGAATACCACAGAGATCGGCACACAACATGATGAGTCGGCCAAGGCTTCGTACACATACAAAAACATCCTTCCTCAGCTGGCAGCGTTGGCCGCCTTCACCATCTTAGCAAAATTCGGCGTGCCCAGCCCCGACACAGGGTCCCAGCCCTGAGTAGCATTCCAACTGGCATATGGTACAACTGGGCCACCATTGGAAGGTCCGCTGAAGCGTCCGTTGCCAGTGCAGCCAGTGCTGCCACCGGTCGTGATGTCGTTCAGAGCTGATCGGCCGGCGCCATATAACCACGGGTTAAGGAACCCCATTGGTGGCTGCTGGGCTTTGATGCGAGCATCGTTTAGCAGCGCAACCACACCTGCGAAGGCCGGAGAGGAGCAGGAGGTGCCATCCACCTTCGTAATATAACCCCTCTCGTAAATTGCGTAGTTCTCACCTTGGGCGGCGACATCGGGGAATGCACGACCCTTGGGGTTGAATAAACCGGACCACCGAGGGCCCAACTTGGTAAGGTAGTCGCTTACCGCGGCATCCTGCCACTGGGGACGCTCCCATAGATCCGAGAAGCCACCAGAGGAGAAATAGACGGCGGTTTCAGGGGACGTGTGGGTGGTGGCACCCACGGAGGTCACCCACGGACAAGCAGCGGGAAACTGTGGCGGAAAATGGGTGGTATTCTTGCCATCGTTGGTCTGGCAGGCTGCACCAACGCCCGAATCTCCGGAGGAGAAGATGACGGAGACTCCACGACTACCCAGTTGCGCAAAAAGGTTACACACGCTGCGGGCATACTGCGCTGGGACACTCTGAAGAAACCGCCAAGTCAGTCTGGCGCGCAGAAATGATGGAGAGAAGGAGATCGAGAAAATCTTTGGGGGATCTGTTGGATCTTACCTGCTCATCTTCGCCATAGGAAGTGGAAATCACTTGAGGAAGGTCCTCGTCATCCATCTTCACGATATTCTGCAGGAAATCCAGATAGGGCTCGTTGTTATTGTTATTCGGGTCAGGCTGGTCCAGGTCTGGAACAAGCGGTGCGCGTCCACCGGTGCTAAACTCGGTGACCGGCACAGGCGCGCTGACACCCACGATGTACTGCAAATCCAGATTGGCCTCGCTGCTGTCTGAGGCGGAGTTCTGGTCGTTCAACCCCCCGTGATACTCGATTACTGTGAAGTTCAAGCCCTGGGCGTGGGGGGCAATGTTCTGCTCGAACAACGCGAGGTCGGAATAGCGGGCGTACTGCTCCAGGTAGCTGGCAAACGCGACCTTGTTGCCGTTGGTTGGATCCGCCTCATAGTCCCCAATCGAATAGAGGCTCTTCAGACACTGTGGCGTGATAGCGACGTTGCAGTCCGCACTGGGAGCCAACGCGGCCTGTCGGAACGCCGCATCGGCCACTTTGGCCTTGCTGTGCAGCGTGGCACGGTTGGCATGCAGCTGACCGAAGCGAGTGGTGGGCGTGACAAGATTGACATGTCCCTGGAGCGAGTCGGGGATCGAATATTCGAGCGTCCGCAGGCGTTCGACATGCTTGGCGGAGTTGATATAGTACTGGAAGTTGGCCTGGAGCAGGTGGTTTGCCGTCTCGACTGTGGTGTGGAAGGTCACCCAGTCGGCATCGCGCTGGATATCGTTGATGCCGGCTTCCGCGAGCCATTGGTAAACGGAATCGACTGAGTCTGCACGGGGTAGCAGCATTCGTTTCATCTCATCGTGAGTCTTGAAGTGCTGGCCGTAATTGGGATGCTCGGGTGTCGACATCTCCAGCACGGCCTGCTCAAAGCCGGCCACATCGCCCTGCGCGAGGGCAATCTGCAGCTTGATGGGCTGGTTGGCTCGCGGAGTGCGTGAATAATGCCATCCTAGGAACATCGGATCAACGGAGGCTCACACCAAATGTAAAAAAAGAAACGTGAAAGAGTATAGAAAGAGTATCACGACTTACCTTGCGGAACTGCCGCCAGCCTTTCAAACACTTCGGCCACCGCAGTAGAGGCAAGCAGCGACACCACCGCCAGCGACAGAGTCCCTCGACTGAAGAGCGAGCCCAGCATGATGATTCAAATTCAAAATACAGAGCCGCCGGGAAACAAAAAGCAGTGGATGGTCCTTCCCCTTAGCTAATTGCGGGCCCCAGAGTCTCCAACGTATCCCGATGTATACGAACTATACGAGGGAGATCGAAGTATAAAGAACAATCAAGATCAATTCGACCTCCCAATGATACAAAACGGGTTATCTGGTGTCTGGTCGAGGAATTGAAATCCTGTTCCGATCGAAGGGGGAATGATTGGGAATTATCTACGATCGGTTTTATTTGTTTATGGGTCTGCGGGGGGGGGGGCTGGTGGGTTTCTGTCTGAATGGTTGCATTGACGGGAATGAAGGTGGACCCGGAATGTGGTGCAATCAGCCAGTACCCAGGAGAAATCAGAATCAAGAGACGTGATTCAAGAGTTCTCAGGAACCAAGACAGTTCAGGGTCTCAGGACTCCAGGGTCTTCCAGCGGGATCCGTCGGCTCTCGATTCAGGGCCCAGCCCCTGTCCAATGGCGCTGATGATGCGCCCGGGGCTGCGGCGGGCTTCCAGCAGTTCCGCCTTTTGTGACACTCCGGATGCCAGGCCAAGGCAAGCAGATGCATGGTTTGAAGTACCATCGCCTTATATGATAGGATCAGGGTTATTTTTTGGTGGATTTTTCAATCATGCAATCATACTACATGATCCCACTGTATGATTTTCCTCGTTATATTATCATATCACTATATCATAGGCTTCGTATAGGGTTTGAATCTGAGTTACTAGTATTCAAGGCGAGTTTGAGATCATAGTACAGAGTACAGCTGATTGTTCTTTGAATCACACGGAACACATTGTCTTTGTGTCTGTGATTGTGACCCTGCAGGGGCAGCCTCCCGGGGTTTCTTCGAAGGACCAATGTTATTGACTTGACTGATCGGCAGGGGAGACATGCCCCACCCGCTTGACACAGCAACGACCAGGAGGCAAAACCTAAGGGGGAAAGGGGCGGAACAGAGAGGGGTTTATCCCTCTCCCCGAAGCATAACAGGTTGATATGGCAGATGGGCGAATACAACCGAACTAGAGTGTATTGATCTAGAGCAAAAAGGCGCTGTTCGTATACTGCCGATGTTCTTCCAGCGAAATAAGAGGCACGCGAACAATAATCAAAAATGGGCGTCATCCATAATGCTGCAATGGCGGCGGTTCCTGCCAAGATCGAACGCACTGGTGCGCGAAGATCGCCTCCGAGGGGTCCTTTCGAGAGCCCAATCAGTTGCGTCCTGCGTCACTGTGGCGGGTAGTCTAGGGGACTCGCGCTCAGCATACCGTGCATGATGCGCCAAGAAATCCTATCGTCTGCCTGGCCCCGCCGATACACATGATGAAAGTGAGGAAAGTGAGCGGAGTCCGAGAGAGGGACGGTGGTCCAGCGTCGATGAAAGTGTTCCGTACTCCATCCATCCTATGCACAACCTGAAGATCTGTGCCAATTGAGTCAACTCCCTGTTTACGATGAAATAAAAGACACAGGTCTACCTGAGATTTCTCTATGCATAATGTCCAGTTGACACCCGCAATGGAGCAATTCTGTTTCCCCCTGAAGGATATCTCTATCTCCGTACGTGTTTATACGCAGTCATTGAGTCCAGGCTTAGTTACATCAAACCCCTGCCCAACTTTATAGAGCCCTTCGCGAACTCAAACTTCGGAAAATGCCAAGATACTGTACTGTATTCACTGTCTACTTAAAGAATCGGATTAAGCAGTAATTGCGTGGTCATCATAATATTGCATTCGGGCCGATGGGAAACCATCTTACACAAAGTATCTTAATTCAAAGATGGTTAGCACATTAAATTGAAGGAAAGCACCATCATTTTCAATTCAGACTCACGACAACCATACATCCCATGTCAGGGACTGACAACAGCCCTAAAATGGGCTATTTTCTTTTTGGATAACATCTGTCTTTGTGCCCATTAGAGCACTTGCGCGTAAAAGATGAATAAAATCCCGAACCAACTATCACTATAGCCTTGCATGTCGTACCCGCAACTAGTGTATCTGTGAATTCCGATGCCAGCACATATTGGCGTGGTATTCATTTGTAGTACCGAGCTTCTGGTGGGCAATTATGACCCCTGAGGGGAATATACCTCAACAGTATCAATTGGCATATTCGTAGCAAAATGCTGTGGTAGCTTCTAGACTGTCGGATGGGTGGGATGTCATGACGGTGCTTGTTCTAACCAGACGTGCCCTGTAGTAAGAACTCATAACTCACCTACTAGACTGTACCTCAGCTTTGAGAGACTATGAGTCACGTATGAATTATTATACGTCACAACTTTTTTGTACTGTAGATAGACATCTAAGGCTCCCCTCGGACATAACCCGATGGCTGAACTATCGTTCCTTCATGGTGATGAGTGACCTCTCATTTGAAAAAGAACACGATTTATATATAATGAGAGGACCATCCACGCCTCGCAAAAGTACAGAACGATTTAGAAAGCTCTCAGCCTTTACATTCGTTTGATATAGCTATTTCTGCTATCGACTCGAACATATTAAATGGAACAGAACTGAACATTGAGAACTGAAAATCTTTAGAGTAGTTGTCTCATTATGTGAACGAATAAATCAAAATAGATTCCACCTGTTCTTCTTTCTAGCGTTCAGTTTAAGAACATATAAATATTAGCCCTTTTGGGGAATACTATCCGCCTCACCGCCCAGAAACATCTCCTTGGAATTTCAAGAAAGGTCTTCAAAGCAAGCAGTATATCGACGGCTTTCATTGTGGTACGGCTCTTGTAACATTGAGTGGGAAATGTGATGCTCTGCTTATCTGTTTATTTGCCTTGTCTCAAAGCCTGGAACTTAAAGCCTACGCCATTGAAGAAATATTGCTTCTGTTTCACTAATTTCTATTTGTACCGCCTTGAAAGAGACGATGCTCTAGAAAAGGACTTGCAAGAGAGGCTGGATAATTCAGAGCACGCGCCAGAACTTGCTAGAGCCTCGCCAGCTTTTATTTCCTTTGTGGGCGGTATACTGATTTACTCATATAGCCAATCTCATCTAGACACAGTTCCAGAATCATACTTACGCTGGAGAGCAACTTTCATTGCTGAAATTCTCATCATGAATGGCATCTCCTTTGCATCTCGCCAGACAGAGACAGTCTTCTTAGAGAGGAAGCTTCCAACTTTTATATTGGTCTTAGGACGGCTGGAGATAGTCCTCCGGAGTAGACAAGAATATCATACGTTCTGAATGATTTAAATAAAAGTCCACTTAACCTTTTTTGTATCTTTTCTCTCATCTTGAGAGTCCTAGTTCATTCTTCTTTCTCTATTAGATTTGAAGTGATCATTATTTAGAATTAGACAACAAGAATTGATAACAGCTAGTGGGCAGCACGATCAACCTCGTCATGAAGCCTTCTGAAAACATTTTCATTGATATGAGTGGATATCTCTATGACTGTTTCCTCAAAATATAGTAAAAATATCGGTCATGGGCATGGAGATTGGCATAAAGCAGCAAATTCATATCCGATATTTATCACAAAAATTAACCCAGCTATTCTCACAACTACCAAATAAAAAAAATACTCTTCCAGTCTTCTGTCAATTCAGCCGTATCATTCAAAAGAGATCTTCACCACTTTGCCCGGCTCCATGAAGGTTCCCAACACCGGAGCTACTTGGCCACCACTTGTGCCCACGTAGAGAGTTTTTCCATCTTCGGTCAATCGGCACGAAGTTGGCCCAGGCATCTGAGTTGAAAGCTGACCACCCGCAACCAAGGATATCTGGCCATATGGACTAATGCGAACAACTGAATTTTGCGGGTCAGTTGCGATGTATGCAGTGCCGTCTGAGGCGACGTCGAGGTTATCCGGAAGAAAGCCGCTAGCAATGACTTCGTAGTCACCAGCAGGTGTAGCATCTTCCCTCACTTTGACCCGACAAAATTCCATACGCGTAGTGCTTGAGTAGTAGATATAGCCATCAAGCAGCTTCAAGCCGTTGATTCCAAGAGGAAGCGCCTGTCCCTCGGCAGGCATCATGGTCGTGTCGTTCAACGCGACCGAGTAGTCGCCGGTCTCGGTGTTTACTTTCCATACAACCCCTTTGGGACTATCGGCGACCAGTACTAACCGCGATTCCTTCGTGAACGTTGTCATTCCATTAAGTGCCTGGGCATCTGGGAGCGCTGCGATATGTGATACGGTGGCATGATCCAGCATTCGGCTGCTCTCATTATCTTCGACGTCTTGAAACGACAGCTTCTGAACAGAGAATGATCCTGCCGTTGGCTGGTACGTCTCTGTCGAAAAGTTGCCTACCACGACAGCGAAGACGTCGTCATCGATCTCACTGATGCCAAAGCAGCTTGTGGCATTGGCAAACGAATGAACCAGAGTTGCATTTCCGTTGGTCGTATCCACGGACCAGACTTCTGGAACATCCAGACGGGTCAAGAGAAGGTTCCCGTTGGAGCGGAGGACGATGTTGTCCACCCAAGAGCCATTATTGGGGAATTGGAAGAGGGTTTCGACTTGTACGTTAGGCTCGTCGTTGCGATAGGGGCTCGCCGACTGAGTAAAAAACAAAGGCCATGACGCAAACACCTGTGGCAGTACTGCCAAAGTGCCAATTGAACTAGCCAAAAAACGCATGTTGCAATTGAGTGAAGGTTGGTTGTTCGAGGTACAGGTGGCCGGCAGGGATACGGGAGAATTCTCCTCGGCTATAAACTATAGGTCGGTTGCCAAGTCAAACGGCCGAGGATTTGGATTGTAAACACCCTCATTCCTGACAGCAATTTCGACGAAACAGCAGCAAGCACAACATTCTTGGGCAATGCTGTTTTTATCTTGGCTGCTGCCATCCCTACATTCCCTCAATTAGAGCACCCCCTCCCGAGGTGTATGAAGTGCGGCATAGTGTCGAGAGATCTCCATTGAATAGTGCCTCAAAAAGATCTAGACAGGAAACTTTAGGCTTCGGAGAGTACAACGTTTGTTGAAGGAAATTAGCTGGAGCATGGGGGCACTCAGACATACCCAAACGGGTGGATAGGCCGAGCAAAGGGTGACTTGGGATGCTCTGGCTTCAATTATGTCTTCTCAAATCAAAGACGCTCCTTATACTCGTCTCCGGAATTAGAAAACCGAATTCTGGTATTCTAAAAGCTAGCAAATCGGCCTATTTTGGTCTCTTGGTCTCTTCGCTGGATGGAACTACGCAAAGTGACAGATCTCGTGCATTTCCGCTCGCAATAGAACCAATACTTCCAATCTTCCACTCCCTTCTTCACCCATTGTGAACGAGACATACAGATTGAGGTGGTTTCTTTTTATTCTTCAAAAAACCGATCCATTACTCGCCACTTCCATCTAAACACACTATCACCCAATTTACCAACCAATTATCAAACCCTCTTCCATCATTAAGCTATCAACCAAGTTCAGCCTGAGTTATCAGGCAACATTATATGATCTCCCTTTCTGCACACTTGGTCTCTCTGGATAACCGTTCTGGTGTTTCTGGTGTCTTAGAAATCCCCGCATTCAGTATTTCCTGCTATTCTTATTCTGCTTATTGTTCGGCTTCTGCGACACCCCCAAGTGAATTTTACTTCCTTCGCTGGCCCGGAGATTGCTGTGATGTCTCGACCAAATAATGATGATCTAGGTATTGCCCAGGTAAGCCTCAGCCTGCGGCCAGAATGTATCATTTCCTGTCTTTGAAACCGATGGCCCACAATACCCTCCTCCCAAGCAGCTTCAAGCTAAGAAGGGCTGTATTAACAATATCCAACAGGCGTTGGCAGATCTCGCAAAGTATCTATAAATTCCATTTCTCATTCACAGCGTTCCACTATCTGACATGTACAATAGAGGCGAGCGAACGGCAACTGCCCTGGAGGACCACTTGAATGCCTTGGAGGGCAAGATGGACGAGCTTTTAGCATTCTATGAGGGACAGGCTGCCGCTCGCCAGGAGCCCGACCAGCAATCCCAGGACCCGCCTCCTGTCAAATCAACCGAAATCAAGCCCGAGGAGCAGAGTCGTTGAACACCGTCTCCATGTGGAATTGACCATCGGGGCCCTTCTCCACAACCCCCACCTCAGTGATGATACCGTCAATCAGCGCCGCCGGGGTGATATCGAATGCTGGGTTCCAGACATTAATGCCCGGGGCCGCGATGCAGACTGTCTCAAGCTCTACGCTACCAGCCGTGCCGGACGTGCCCGCGCGCGGCCCTTGATGCTGGTCATCTCCGCTGCGGGGCGCTGCTCGATGACGATGTCGCTACCGGTCTTTGTGGCGAGGTCGATGGTGGTCAGCGGTGCGGCAACCAGGAACTTGACCCCGTGGTGCTTGGCAAGGACGGCTAGACTGTATGTCCCGATCTTGTTGGCGGTGTCTCCATTGGCGGCCACCCGATCTGCGCCCACCACAATGGCGTTGACGCCCGCGCTCGTGTCGGCCAACAAGGCAGCGGCCATTGAGTCGGTGATCAAGGTAGCTGGAATTTTATCATGAACCAATTCAAAGGCCGTCAAGCGGGAGCCTTGGTTGTAGGGTCTTGTTTCTGTACAGTAGGCATGGCGTAGGATGTTCTTCGAGGCGAGCGATCGGATCACACCGAGCGCAGTACCATAACCGGACGTCGCTAAAGATCTATCTTGCGCAAGTTAGCGAGACTTGAAAGGGAAAGCACCCGGAACCCAGTATCTTCAACAATCAGGGCTGTCCTCGGTCTGTCTTACCCGGTATTGCAGTGTGTCAGGACGGCGACAGGCGCTCCAGCCTTGGTCGCATGTTCCTTAATCCACTCCGCGCCATTGTGTCCAATCCGCTGGTTGTCATCAAGATCTTTGCCCAGCATCTCCTCCGCAGCCTGAATGAAAGCCTGAATGGTACTCTGACCGGTGGCTCCCGATTGTGCGGCTTGCGACACCACCAGCTTTCCCAGCTTGCGCGCGGCATCCGCCAGGTTGACCGCAGTCGGGCGGCTGGTGACCAGATAGTCCAATTTCTGAGCAATCAACTGCTGCGCCTCCTCTGCGTCTTCGGGAATCTGACCAGCCGCATTGCGCGCATGCAACTCCGAGGCCAGGGCAAGCATGGCGACAATCGCGATGGCGGGCGCCCCCCGAACCTTCATCTCCTTGATCGCGTTCCACCCATCCTCGGCCGTCTGGATGGGGATGTATTTCTCGATAAACGGTAGCTGTAGCTGGTCCAGGATCTCCAGGTGACCCTGGCTGTATTTGATGGCCTGTAACATGGTTGCTGGTGCGCAAGACTTGTATTCTCGATCTTTTTCGAATGCCCCGCGCGGACGAAGTGGCGAATGGCGCCTTCCCCCGCGGTGGCCTCAGGTGTCGAGCATCGTTTTTGCATTTTTATCTATTTTTGTTCGAACGGGTCTCGTCGTCCATATTTTGTCTCCCTAGCTTTTCTTGCACGGCTTTGATCTCTACGAGGGAGAGACATCCGACTCGGATAGTGGAAGATCAATAGACCTGAAATGCTCGAGGCTACTCAAGAATTTGACACGAGAACACGATGAAGGGAAATTAGATGCCATCCTACATCAAAACCGAAGAACATAGTCTGCAATATTCATCCTATCCACCTGCAGTCCACCAGCATGATGATGCAGTCTAAGATCCGCGATCTCACTTTCACACTTCGTTGTCAACCAATCTCCATCACCGTCCGGGTGGGCCTCGGGTTCAGAGCCTCGGAGGGGCTTTGGTTATTCTCCGCCAGGGATAGTGCAAACCCGGGGGTATTCGACACATATTGAGGTATTGAACTGAATCTCAGGTCCGGGCATGAGGCTCTGGAGAGAGTCCATCTATGCAGAAGCATCTCTCGAAGCCGAGCCGCCGAGTCGAAGCCCAGCATAGCGATTCGCCGAAAAGCATCCTGGCACCAATAGAACTTCTCGAGACGTTGCAGGTCAGTGTACGTCTTTGTGATGTGGCTGGTGGCCCAAACCATCATTTGGGCGCCACACGATCGCATTTTCCCCTGCAGGCAATACGGCAGGGCCCGACACATCTGGTCGGCGTAGAACTCGGCGAGCCTGTAATCTTCTTCGAGGTCCACGTTGACCGGGCCGTGGCCATGATCACCAGGCCGGACAAGGGACTGCGCTTGCGAAATTAATGGGTGAAGGGTGGACAATGCCGTCCAGAAGACGATATGGAGTCTCGCATGCTCGAGGGACACGAAGCGGTACGCAGGGCCAAACAGAGCGTCAGTAGAGTGCAGAGAGGAGTGCAAGGGTTCGGCCGGACTGAATAGGAGAGGAGGTCCGCCGATGACATCCTTGCTCCGCTCATACCACTCCAGGACCCGGTCTCGGTGGGCCAAGCAGCGGTGCAGCACGGCTTGGCGCGTCTCATAATTCGAGCGGCCCGCATCCTGGAGAGCGATAAAAAGTGACGAGAAATCGGCATACAGCCGGATCAGCTCATCAAGGGGCCCATCATCCCCAGGTTGCATCACGCATTCATACTCCTCCGCGGTCATATTCATTGCGGCCATCGAAAACATCTGCATGGTAGCCATTAGCCAAGTTTACTCTCCTATAGTGATTGCCGCTGGAACATACTATCCGGAGTTTCTGGAACTTATTGTACACGATTCGCATCAGTGGATTGGTCGATGCATTGTATCGGTATTTCCGGATTAGAGCTTCGGTGCCCGCCACATGAGCGAGCCAGGCTTGCAACCCATCGGGACAGTAGTATGCCTGGAAGCCCGATTGTTAGTGGGATGAGGCTTCATCGAAAGCTTCTGGACACGTTGTCCGATGCTCTGGCGGGATGACCGTTACCTCAAGCTCTTGAAACATGATCCCGCAGTACACGATGTCATCGTGATAGATTTCTCGATGGATCATGTTTGACATGCTCCGGATGGCGCTGTTGTAGAGGTCAATTCCCTGATGAAACAGCCCATCATCTTGATTTACCTTCCCCAGATAGACGCAAGAGACGGCTGCCACGGTCTTTTCCAGCATCGGGGTTTTTGCGGCAGCTGAGCGAGGCCGGAGATGAGAAAGTGCCAGGAATCCACCACCTCCACTGGGAAGTAGGTGGTGAGGTAGGCGGCAAACAGCTGGTCGCGTTTCTCCGGGGCTGACGGCACCGTCTGGGGTAAAACCACGGGACGGGCACGGCTGAGATATTGAAGCTGCGAGGCACGGCCATGCTGGTTCTCCTGGGGTTGCTGACGTCCCTGGTTGACCTGGTTATCCAAGTTGGCCGACTTCTCTGGCTGGATCGAGGTCTGATGCAGGAAAATGCGATTGTTTTCATATCCCGGGCACGGGATCCCCCGCTTCATGCATCGTGCACACTCTGGCTCTTGCTTGTCGCACTGTTCTTCCTTAGCCTCGGGAATCTCCAAGTTCGACACTGCCGACAGAAAGGAGGGATTGGGAGGAGGAGATGCAGACCTTGACTTTGCGCTTTCGACATGACAGGCAGCCTTTGGAATGCCAAGGATTTCCACCCATTTTCACGGCGCCCAGTCCCGCCCCTTCGGCTGTCACTGCATGGCATGTGGCGTGGGAGGCCAAGAAGATGGAGATGGGGAGCGGGGACGGATCGAGCAGGGTCGGCCCCCACAAGTCCCCGAAGAGCCCAGGGCCCCCGAATGATAGTGATAGGGGGAGTTGATGACGTGGTGCCGGGTCGGACTCGGGGGATTCAGAGGCGAAGTCCTCCGTCGTCGAGGGATCAGGGGATCGGCCGCTGAAGAAGTTCTGGGTTGCCCTTTAGCCCTTGTGCCCTCCATTTCCATGTGCCACGTTCGTGGGCCGCACTCGAATTGAAGAGCCCAGTCTCGGGCGGGTCACCCTGGATCCTGGGCTCGATTCAGCTCTCCGACCCGATCATGCTTCACAGTGGATAGGAAATTTCCCGTCGGGACGAGGAGTGTCGAAGTGAGAGAACCGACGTGCATTCGGCGGAAATGGACTACCGGGGCTCTGGTTGTCTGTAGGTCGTCTATAGATAAGTCTATAGATAGTCTATAGATAGTCTATCGAGCTATCGAGCTATCGAGCTATCGAGCTATAAAGTCTTGACATTCCTCTCAGTCTTGAGAGTCTATCATAGCTTCTATGCTAGCCTTTATAGTACTTTGTATTGTAGGTTCACAACACAGTGGAATCTGGATGGACAGCTAGGCCTGCTCTCTGATCGGGAATCAACATCGAAACGTCGAAGTGCACTAGCCTTGGAGAATGGTTCTTCGGTTTGATCGTTTGGCCGTTCGATCACTTCTTTCTCGGGCCATCTTGGTAGGACAGCTCATCGGAGTCGACCAAGCAGACAATCGTTGGAAGTACAAAGGTGTCACTGTCACCTCTACCGTCCGCCTGCATCAGTATCAGGACTGGAGATCGTCCCGGTGCAGGCCGCTTTGAGGGCTTTCTCTGTGCCGTCAGCTGCCATCAAGACAATTGCGAGGAAGATGATCCAGAAAGGTCCCAGGATTGAACCTTGAGCGCAAACCCTCCGCCCAAACTTCCTCGCTCCAGTCCGTCTAGTACCCGGCGGCTTTCGTCTGCACCAACGGAGCCGACGTCATTAGGGGCGCCCGAAGGGTTGCATCATCAAGGGCGGCCATGGAGGCCGGGGAGATGGATGCTGCTGTGCCATCGCCATGTGTATCCATACAGATGTACATGCAGATGTTTCTCCTGCAGGCCTGGTCACACTTCAGTAATGTCTAGCATGCGTGCATAAAGCACTCTCATCTAAACTTTGACCCCACCGGGATTACATCAGGAATCTGCCGTCGCCGGTGCCAGGAGTACTGGAGAGTACGAGGGCTACTGGACCCATGTTGACTGCACCATTTTCGGTCAGAGCGAACCGGAGCTCTTATGAGGGACACGGCGGGACGTCGCGCCGATCATCAATCCGTTCATGCCGCAATCTATTGATCTATTGATCCATCGATCCATTGGACGGTACCATTGCGCGGACGCAGTGGTCAAGGTCAAGTACTCCAGCATCGATCGGTTTTCAGATAGATCGCCAACTCGTGACTGCTCCCCAAAGCAGTAAACTGTTCTCGAATGCCCACTGGTACTGATACTGCTTGGTGCGATGTTTCCCATGCTGCTCATGTTTCTCGGAAGGCCTGTCCACAGGAAATGGTGGCCAGGGGCCCCGCTTGCAAGGGGTTTACAGGCGTGAGGGCGTTTCGGCGCGAGAAACAGCTGCGACCCACGATATCCCTTGGTCAAGTCCATTGGTAAATTGACTGGGTCCGACCCGTGCCCAATTGCTCGTTCTCGTTCCTAGGTTTCTCCATATGCCATTCAGCACCAGACATCGTACCCGCCCAACCATGCGCGCTGAAGAATTCAGGTTTCGCGCCGAGGATGGTCGATCCTGCAGATCAGGGGCTTCGCTAAAGCACATCAGTGGACCGGCTCAATTCCGGGTGATGGGTCGGAGCCAATCAGGGGAGTTCGACAGTCGCGATGTATATTTATTGTGATCCAAAAGGTATGCATCTGAGGGTGTCTGAGATCGTAGTTGACCGACCCGATGAAGCGATCATATTTAGGAAGCCTTGTCGCGCATGTAGTTCCATCGATCGAAGTTGATATCCTCTCTCTGTCTTCCGGTGCTGGCACAGTCCTCTCAGTATGTTCTTATTCCCTCTCCGACGCTGTCTGATCCTTACACTGGTGCCAGGCCTACTGGTCGATGGAACGTTCGCAGAGGATAGCCGGTCCCGGGCCCATACGGCGCTCAATACCCTCCAGGAATGGTATAATGCCACCAGCGGGCTGTGGGATACGTGTGGCTGGTGGAACGGGGCCAACTGTATGACGGTGATTGCGGACTTCGCGGCGCTGGACTCGTCGGTGATGGAGACCGCGGAGTATGTCTTTGAGAATACATTCGTCCAGGCTCCAACATCAAACCCCAATCCAGGTCCGGAGGTGAAGACGGTGTCAAAGCGGCATGTGTTACCTCCACGAGGAAGCCAGGCCAATGTCAATGCCTCCGAATGGCTGGACTCGGCCTACGACGATGACGGGTGGTGGGCCCTTGCATGGATTGCGGCGTACGATGTCACCCAGAACAATACCTACTTGGAATTGGCAGAAGGTATTTTCTCGGCTCTGGTTTGTCTCTCTCTCAGTCTCGCTTACTTTCTCCCCTTGCTGAATGAAATACGACTCCGGAGCCAGTTGCTAACACAGTCTCCTAGACTGCTGCATGGGGCACTCAATGTGGCGGCGGAGGGGTACCATGGAGCCCCACGAGTTCCTATGTGAATGCCATCACCAATGAACTCTTTCTATCAGTTGCCGCGCATCTGGCCAACCGCGTCCCGTCCAAGCAGGACGAGTATATAGACTGGGCCCAGAGGGAATGGAATTGGTTCGCCGCGCAGGGCTTCATGGGAGAGAACCACACGATCAACGATGGTCTACTGGATGATTGTTCAAACAATGGCCAAACCGTGTATGTTGTGTCTTCAATCTGCAGGAAAACTGGAGTCCCCTTTTTTTTGGCTGACGTTGCTCCTTCTAATCTAGCTGGTCCTATAATCAAGGGGTGGTGCTCGGGGGTTTGGTGGAGCTCAACAAAGCCGCCCCGAATCGGACCTATCTCGAGTCGGCCAATACAATTGCGAAGGCCGCTATTGAAGCATTAGCTGACGCCAACATGGTCATTCACGAGTCCTGTGAACCGAATGACTGTGTACCCGACGAGACCCAATTCAAGGGCATCTTTATCCGCAATCTCCAAATACTCCACGAAGTATCACCACACGACCTGTACAAACAGGTGATCAACAACTGTGCCGACAGTCTCTGGGGAAACGACCGGAATTCCCAGAATCAACTTAGTGTAGCGTGGGCCGGCCCCTTCCATGAACCGGCCGATGCGTCAACCCATAGCTCAGCATTAGATGCACTCGTGGCGGCAATTGCTGTCTAATTGAGCAGATTTTGATTCTGCTGATTTCGTTCATGCTTCTGTTCATCAAGGCCTATATTCTTTGCATAATTTCGAGCCCTTTCAAAGAAAGGGAAATGTTAGAAGAAAAATATTCAAGAATCTTGGCTCCCCATAGTAATGGAGGAAAGAGAAGGAGTAAAAGTAAGAAAGGAGCATGAGGAGTAGTACAAGGTATGTAAACTAGAAGCAAGATCCAGGGTTTTTATCGGAGACTCCAAATCAAACCTCATTTCTAGAATCTCACTAAATGAAAGGAATACATTAGAAGAAGAATCATGTTCATGTCCCTAGGGCTCGAGCAATATCAATACGGGGATTCAATACATGTAGCCGGGAAACAGCGAACATAGTCAATGTTGAAAATAGGTGGGTATGGGGTGAACTAGGAAAATCCAATCCATTTCCCGCCCTTCTCCTAAATCTGATCGCAGAATCAAATCTGTGTCAGTGTTGGGGCTAGTCTCGCATTCCTGGCCACTTGCGCCGCGACCTTTTCCTCACGATCCATATCATTTGTCTTCTTCCGAGCGTAGTCCATTTCTGGCCAATTGTCCCAGCCGCCCCGTGTGGGCCATTTACCAAAAGCAATCTCAATTCACTCTTCAAGTGAGTGGCAAGGCGGCCACGGCTAGATCAAGCTTTTGAAGCCATTGGAGTTGCACAATTTCAAATATTGCAGGCAAAAATTGGCATAGGCCTGGTCTGCGTCCGTATTCAGCTCTTGCGCCTGATATCCGAGGATCATGAATAATCGATTTGGAGACTGCAGATATTTGTAATAAACAACATTGATCGGAGGAGATTTTGGCTCTGGGTTTAGGGCACGACGGGTTAAAAACAAACAAGTCTGAGCTTAGTTGCTGGAAGGCAAGCGAGTTCAGGGACTGTTCATCCTTTGGCCATGCTCGGCCAAATCCGGAGAATGGAGGACATTTTGCACCGCATGCCATCTAAAGCTCAATCTGCAAGCTGTTCAGACGAATAATCGTGTGAAAATCGCGAAATAAATTTCTCTATGCATCCTGGGCACATTATGAACGAACCCATTCTGCCCCCGGACCCTCCCAGGTCGGCGGTGAAACACCAAGAAAGCACGGCCACCAGCTCCATCTCCGCAAATCCTCCTCTCTGCGCAATACTTCGACTTCCTCCGGATAGAGAAGCAGAGACGCAGAGAAGAGCCAGGGCAATGGGCTGAAAGGCCGACACCCCGATCCCTGTTCATCTCACGTTTCTGCCCCAATGCGCGCGCTCCACCATGTCGGCCCGTCTCTTGCATCCCGACGAGTATGAGCTGGGCTCGCGTTCATCACTGGACTCCGAAGGCACATTCAACCTCGATGAGGCTGATTTCGAGACCCAAGAAAACATAACCGCTAGGTGGAATGCGCAGCCAATATCATGGCTACCACGCATGTTCTCGAGTATGCCTGGATACCGACGGCTGAAGACCAATACGCGACCGAACCGTGTGAAATACACGCGCCCGACATGTATCCCGCGCCCGACATGTATCCCGCGCCCTCTCTTTCGCCGACGCTGCTGGTACTTTCATTTCATTGTGACAGTCACCTTCGCGTTGATCCTCTTCACTTCGATCTTGACTCCATCCTACACCCAGCCGCCGGCCCATTACTCGACGCTACGGAAATCCGCATTGGAAAAGAGCTATCCAGGAAGAGGTAATCCACGAAATGAGAAAGTCTTCATCGCAGCCAGCTTGTATGATCGGGGTGGAAATCTCGCACGAGGCCAATGGGGTATGCAACTCCTCCGTCTGGTTGACTTCCTCGGCGATCACAATGTGTTTGTCAGCATCTACGAGAACGACAGTGGTGCGGAGGGACAGGCGGCTCTGCAGGAACTCGAGCAGCAGATATCCAGCCCAAAAAAGATTGTATTTGAGGAACATATTGATCTTGACACTATCCCGTCGGTCACCATTCCAGGAGGCGAGAGGCGGATCAAACGCATCGAGTACTTGGCCGAACTTCGCAACCGAGCGTTACAGCCCTTGAAAGATCACCCTGAAATCCGTTACGACAAGATCCTTTATCTCAATGATATTCTTTTCGATCCTCTCGATGCCCTCCATCTGCTCTTCTCGACGAATGCAAACGAGGACGGAGTGGCGCAGTACCGAGCCGCGTGCGCAGTTGACTTTGACAATCCTTTCAAATTCTACGACACGTATGCCACCCGGGACCTCCAGGGGTTCTCGATGGGACTCCCATTCTTCCCTTGGTTTACCACCGCGGGCCAGGGCGATAGTCGAAAAGATGTCCTGCAGGGCAAGGATGCCGTTCGAGTGCGAAGTTGCTGGGGCGGCATGGTGGCCTTCGATGCCCAATACTTCCAAGATCCCCTACCTGCCAGCAACGGCCCAGCACGCTTCCGCTCCGGGGCCGATCTCTTTTGGGAGGCCTCTGAGTGCTGTCTCATTCATGCCGACATTCAGGATCCCCAGACAAATGTTGATGGTTGGATCGCCGATACCGGAATCTACATGAATCCCTTTGTGCGCGTGGCGTATGATCGTCGCACGCTCTCATGGCTCGGGGTCACCCGTCGATGGGAGAAATTGTATACACTCATTCACAATTTCGGTAACCACTTGGTGGGCCTACCATGGGAGAATCCTCGTCGTACGGAGAGCCCGGGCCAAAGTGTGCAAGAGACGGTGTGGGTATCTGATGGAAACCAAGACGGCGGAGGCTCCTTTCAGGTACTCGACCGGATTGCAGGGAACGATGGTTACTGTGGCCGTCGGGGTTTGCAAGTAATTGTACCTAGCCGTAATCCGGGCCAGAAAGGCTACGAGAGCATCCCGGTGCCATCAATGTAGCCGGCTATTCGCGGTCGCCCCTGTTGCTCTATAGGGAGTAGTCTAAATGCACACCCAGATTTTTCCCCAATCTTAAATATGATGCCAGATTCCAGAAGACCCTGCGGACAGGGGCTACAGGGTGCATACCGCCATTGATTCTACCTTAGAGGACTTCCAGCTGCGGAACGGGGTTCCCCTACGGAGATGAACTGGGTTACGGAGTTGGCAGTACGGCGTGTAGAATAGTTGGTAGCGAACTAAAACTATAACTATCGATCCACTCGCCCCCTACTTTAGTTGAAAATTGTGACGGAGTAGTTCAAGTCGGTTTTGGTTTAAGCCGGTGAATAATCGGCTTCCACTTTAAAACGGGAGGCTTTTCCAAGTTCCGTTTTGGCTGTTTGCCGGCGCCGGCGTCCAAACTCGTGGCACTCGGCATCGGCAAGTGGAGTCCAGGTTTGAACTCCGAGTCTGGTTACTCCGTACTGCAGGTCGATTGGCCCCGATCCTCAGGCGGTTCGTGGGATTCTTCCAGTAAGTCGTCATTGTCGATTCTACCCAGACTTGCGGGATATCCCGATATACAAGTTATGTGAAGTCTGGCTAGATGTGACGGGATGCCCGCAGTCCATGGTCACAGTTGCACCAATCCACCACCCAAACATTTTAGGGCACCATCTTGGCCAATTTTATTTTGAAACGTAGACCAGACCTATCACCAGCTTTTCTAAATGCCCAGACCCCAGACTCAACGGTCCCCCTTCCTGATTCATCATGTGAGACTGGTGGAAGTGTCATGATCAATTGCCGCCAAGCTAGAGGGTGGCTCCTCTCGCTTCTACATGAACAAATGCAAGCAGAATATGGAGCCTCGTCAGTCTTTTATCATTTCCCCAAGTCTCCTAGTGCCGACGCCTTCTCCGTCCGCGAACTCCGTTTTGGAAATCCTAGATGATGATCATCGCCGGTGGAGTCTAGTACACGCAGTCGCTGGAGTAGTCCCGAAATCAGACTCCGTACTTGAAACCTGTGCCTGGCGATGCCGTCGATCCGGAATTGCCGAGTTTTCTTGTTCCTTGTTTCCTCCGCCGCGAGAAAGGGTTCACTTCGATTAATTCGTCTCTCGATATCGAGCCACGAATCCATTATAGTGGAGCAGCTACATAGTTTTATGAATTTCACGCGGAGTTAGGGTGGATGGGGGATTTCGTGAAGCTTTTGCTTTACAGCACTGCTGTGACGGTCCAGGATGTTTGGAAAACTAGTAGTTTTCTCACACTTGGGAAGTTCGTTCCCCCAGCATCTATCCAATCAAACTTGCGATGCTGTTACGCTGGACTCCACTCTTCGGCACGCTGAGATCCTCGTACCTAAGCATACATTCCTATACCCGACTCGACTTTGAGTGACCCTTACGAGCTCTTCATTTCACTGGTCTACAAAGGGGATCCACGCTTGACTCCTCTCTTGGATCTATGCGTAGTATTCCATGTCGTCAACGCTCGGAATTTCCGGCTGAAAGATGGATTCTTGTCCATGATATATCTTCCATTTGTGAGAATCAAATCTGATATAGATCTTTCAGCTGCCCTACCTCGTGAGGTCGCTTGCGCAAGATGTTGGCCTCATCCCTACTACTCATCGCCTCTCTCGGGGCAGGCCTAGTCCAGTCCAAGCCTACATTAGACGAGCTATATCTGGAAAATGCCCCGTCGGCGCCCCGGCCTTATGTCATCCCTCACTATGCGAACTCGCATGCAGTGACTATTGACAGCCAGCTCTATCGTTTCGCCGTCACCGGCCCCTCGTCCGGATATGCCTTCACTCTGATGAGCACAAACGCGCCCTCTAGTGGATCGCTGGGTGTGTTGCCCCATACCCATCGGACGCACTATGAGAATTTCTTCTCCTTCAAGGGCCGCTTTCAACTCTGGGCGCAGAAGGGCGATGGCGAACAGCAGGCGCGCCTCCTCACCCAGGGCGACTATGGATCGGTGACCAGAAACACGACTCACACATTCCAGATCTTGGATCCTGACACCGAGATGGTGGGAGTAATCGTTCCTGGAGGTTTCGAGTGCGTAAAGATATCAAATCCAAGGCATATCTGAGAAAATAAAAGAAAATACGGCTGATCTCATTTTTCTAGGGATCTTTTCTACGCTCTGGGCACCAATTTTACCTCGGGCACGAACACGCCCTATGTTCCTAAGGATTATAATGATTCTTCTTCGTCAGGTCCTAACTCCGCCACCATTTCCGCCTTGAAACAATACGATGTTTACGCGCAGCTAGACTTTACGCCACGTCGGGATCTCGTCAACGGTACAGCTCCTGTTGGCAACACCGAATGGCACACGGGCGACAATGCGCTGGGAACTCCTGGAAAGCCGTACTTCATTGCCAATGGCTATGGGCCGAAGTATCTGAACTCTCAGCACGGATACCAAATCGTCCAGCCATTGGTCACCCCCAAGCAGGCCCAGGATACTAACTATACCCTCTCGACCATCACTCTCAGCCGGCAGACGAAGAACAGCCCTCCTTCGTGGACCCTGGCGGGTGCGGCGGCCTTTGAGGTGGTGGAGGGATTATTATCCATCCAAATTGGCGATTACCCTGAGGCACAATTGACCACGGGTGATGTCGCTTTTATTCCAGCCGGCGTGTCCTTCACTTACTACAGCACCGTCGCATTCACCAAAGTTCTCTACGTTAGCAGCGGGAGCAACGGGGTGGATCGGCAATTGATCGAGGCAGGAAAGACCTGGGATTTTGTCACTTTCCCGACATACTAGGATTGAGGATTGCGAACTCAGATCAGTGATCTACGGGGAATAGAGAATAGCAGTATGTACATAGTCGTGATATATGGAAAAAGCCCGCCCTGCTATTAAAAGGTTTGACATGTACATAAGAAATCGACTCAGTCAATAAGCAGGAGAAGAAGAATTAAGCGTTTTTCAACCTGCAACATTCCCTCTCCAATGGCTTCGCTCTTGATGCCTCTGCGAAATTCGCCCTTGTTATTACTAGATTGCGGTCATCTTGCCGTCCTATCAGATAACCACTTATCTTATCACCGCCGAGCTCCAACCTTTTTCCACTTCCACACCTCCTCAATGGGCACCAAACGCTCCCGGGAAGGGCAGCCTCTCGGCTTCTATACCAAATCAGAATCCGCATCGAATACAATGCCATCCTCCGAGTCGGCTGGTCCGACTCTCACTATCTTTGAGGCCTTTCGCAATGAACTGGACGAGCACCATGACCGCCGCGAGCGCATCATCAAAACTAGCCGAGATATAACTGCGCTCAGCAAGAAGATGTGAGTGATATAGATCTCTCACATATGGATTGTTTTCCTGACTCTGAACTTCTTGGAAACCCCAGTATATTTGCCCTTCAACGCGTCCGAGCCATCAACCAGCCCCTACCTCCGAAAATCGCACAAGAGAATCAAGCCCGCTTAGATCAGATCCACGCTCTCTTCACCTCTATCGTTGCCGACGTCAGCGACATCAACTCCTGGCGCTACCAACGTCAGATGAGCGGTGGCATCCAAGAGTTTATTGAAGCCATTGGGTTCGACCACTACCTGCGCACCCAGACGTTGATTACACTTGCGGAGGTTGCCGCGTGGTTGCCTACTGGAATCCTAGTGACCGAGGAGGACTACTTGATGGGTCTTTTTGATCTGACAGGCGAGATGATGCGGTTCGCCGTGCTGGCTCTCAGCTCAGGCAATGCAATCCCCGCTGTGGCAACGGAGCCATGCGAAGGTGCGGCCCGACAACTTCCACATCTCTCGCCCACGCAAGCTGCTATCGTCATTGATCTCCGAGCCATGCGAGCACGATTCGAGTCACTCGGTGTTCCTCGACGGCATCAAATTTTGAAAGATCTCTGGAAGAAGATGGAAGTGATGCGGAATAGCGTCGAGAAAGTGGAGCGAGCCGCTTACGGAATCCTCGTGCGCGGGAGTGAGCGCCCGAGTGGATGGACTCCTGATCTCTCTGCGCCCATGGAAGTGGAAACCCAATGAGTCCGAGATTAAAAACTTTGAGATTATTCCAAAAAGAAAAAAGAAAAGAAAAAGAAAAACCGAAAGCCAAATTATCATTGACGTGACGCAATGCACCCGCAAGACACGATTTTCCTGGTATTCAAAACGATATTGCAATGGTACCCTTCTTCCTACTCACTTTTCCATCTTGCGCGGTTAAATTCTCGTCGCATTCATAGAACTTTTGTTTCTCAGACTCAGCTGGATTCATGATCCTAAAAGTAACTTTGAAGCGGCTTTGATAGAAAAAAATTATATTGACAAGCGTCGAAATTAAGAAAAAACCGCTTGTTAAGATTCTCATAAAGAAACAGTCTTGAAAATAACACCAGTGATGCAAAATGGTACATATTAATACCCGGCCAGTGAGGCGCGGTTCACGAATCCCGAACGTATCAATACAAAGCCGTAAAATGCGCCCGGGTATCTAATCATCAAGAGCGCCGAGCAAGTAGAAGTATAGAGGATGACTGAACAAATGACAGGATTAAAGAGGTAGGGGGGAGGAGGGGGGGTAGGTGGAAGGCAGTGCAAGTGAGTGCAAGTATAGGGGGTGGAGGATTTGGGCGAGAAAGGTCAGGCCCGGAAGTCATACATGCGGACAAGATAATCATCTCCGCCGGTGATGAAGCGGCTGTCACTGAGGCCAATGCAGTTGACTGCCGCCGAGTGCCCGTCATAAGTGTCCTGGCAAGTGGGAATACGAGGGTCCCAGATCTTGACCATGCGGTCAATGCCTCCGGAGGCGATGCGTAATGTGTCGGCCGAGAGGGCCCATATACCCTCCAGATGTCCAAAAAAGGTGCGCAGGCATCGGCCAGTGTTGGTTTCCCATAGTCGGATAGTCGCATCCACACCACTGGTGATTATGTAGCGAGGTGGCTCCAGCCGTTCTTGATCTTGGTCAAAGGAGGAGCCGAAGGAGGAAGGCTGGTGGTGTGTGGAGAGGGCTCTAGATTCTAGCACGGGCGAGAGAATATTGACGGCATCACCGTTCTGCGATGATGTGCTAACATGATCATTCTCGCATTCGGCGAAATGGGTTTCAAGTTCAATCTCACGAGGCAAGGGGATGACCTGCTGCACGCCACCGATATGGTTGTGAAAGACTCGGATACAAGTCTTCGTATCCAAATCCCAGAGACGTGCAGCACCATCTTCGCAAGCCGTCAGGACGGTGCGGGAGGCAGTGTCAATCTTGACAGCATTGACTCCTTTTGGATGAGGAAGCACAAAGGTCGACTTGTCCTTGAAATTCCAAATCTTGACTGTCCGATCCACTGAAGCAGACGCAAGCAGGGTGGCATCGAAATGGAGCGCAATGACGGCTTCAGAGTGGCCATTGTATCTCGAGATGCACTCGCCCGTCCGCCAATTCCAGACTCGGATGCTGCGATCCAAACTTCCCGTAATTAACTTGGTGTCATCAAATTGGAGGCATCGAATCCCAGCCGTGTGGCCTCGAAGTGCCCGGAGCTCCTCCCCGGTCTCCATATCCCAGATCCTGATGGTCGCATCGTAGGAGCCCGTCATCAAAATGTTGTCCTCAAATTGAAGACACATGACGCTATCGGTGTGACCACGAAAGACTTTAACCGAACAACGACGATGCTTCCAGTTCATGCCGACGACGAAACGGTCACGGTAGACATCTTTCCATGGCCTGTATCGCGTCTTGAAATAGTCATCATCCGGCTCCGGCTTGTATGCAGGGGACTTGCAGTGACGTTTGATCATGGCGCAGCTTTGTTCATCGGAATCCACCTTGCGTTTGCCGGTGGTGGGAAGCTCGACGATGGAGCAAGTGCCATTGGGAGCGCCATCCCCGGCACTGTTCGAGGACTGATTGCCCCAGTTGGTTGCACGCAGCTCAATTTCGCGCTTGGATTCGCGCAGACGTTTGCGATCAAGCAACGGCAACCCCCAACCACACTTATTACATTTGCGGCGAATGTGCTGCTCACACATCCGATGCCATACCACATCGTCATCGGCGAGAGCTCGCCAGCGGTGCGACACTTGGGCAGCGCGGCAAAGAGAGGCGGTGTCCAGATATCGGAGAATTTTGAAGGATAGCTCGGGAGGCAGGGCGGTCAAGAAATCAATACGAATCAACTCCCGCACGCTGGCCGAGATGAAAGAAAGTTGGGGGAAGCAGCATTGGGCGAGAATGCCTTGCAGCATCAGCTTTCGCTGTTTGGCTGGGGCCGCTGAGAATAGCGACCACACATGTGCGATACCTTGCTGGTCACTTTGCGGCAGTGATTCCAACTCCTGTCATTTCCAATCGGTCAGACGAAAATTCTTCTTTTTTTTTCTCCTGATTGCGAATGGGTGGGAATGAGAAACTTACCCGTTGCAGCTGATGCATAGACTGTTCGTCGGCCTGTCGCCGACATTTCGAATCTGGCTGATGACGATAACAGTAGCCAGCGTTGGCCAGGCGAGGCACGGTGGGCTCGCCGTCCTCCGATCGGAGAGGGGCATACTGCCGGGGCTGGTATTTAGCGAGGAAGGGGGCGACGTTTTGTTTCGCAAGCTCCGCAAGGCTGTCAACAGCGGCGGACTCGCTGTCCTCCTTCTGTGATGCAAGCTTCCACTGGGGTTTCTCCGTAGCTTTACTCGCGTTGCTCGGCCCCCCAGTGTTATCTTTCGAGTTTGACGAGACGGTGGGATGTTGCTCCATGCTGTGGAAGCGGATAGGTGACTTCCCAGGCTCAAGAATTACGGTCAAGATGAAGAAACAATCCCGTTTTAGAGGGTTTCGCGGCTCTTATGATTCAAAAGACCAGTTGAGAAAGGCGCTTCTGGAAGTCGACCAGCGCAAATGATGACGAAATGGGTGTTTCGTTCTCCTTTGTACTTCTCCTTTTTCGCGTTCGGCCCTGTTGGAATATCCACCAAGGTCCCTGTCTTTTGTTGATTTCTGGAGTGGCGAAGGACGGCAGACCGCTGTCGGGATGAGGGGAGGTGGCGGCGAGTACCTTGAAAGATAGAGGTGAATGTTTGATAAGAGATTGGCGGCCTGGGAGGGAGAACGCAGTGAGGAAAAATGGACGAGGGACGACGAAGAATCGGCTGAAATAAAGGATCACCGGGAGACAGGGCACTATCGCGTGCTCACAAATGATTCATTCCGATTTCCAAGTCCGAGTACCAGACGAGATCAAAGGTTGAGAGGTCAATGAGTCGAATGAGTATGTATGAGAACGAAATGTCGAGGATCACGCCACAAGGCGGTGAACGCAGGTCTCGTGATCCCTGCCGGAGTGAAGGCTCCACGTGATGGCGCCATCTCCACGGACCATCACCTCAGCGCACGCCATCGGCGGTGCCACAGTACCTGATGGGTACGTGATGAGTGTGCGGAGCGCCACATAGTGCGGGAAGTACCGATTTATGTACCCTGACACCCAAGCTGCACACCAGTTCTTCTGATGGCGCCATTGCCGATCTGCACTAGTCCCACTCTGTAGATTCGTCGCCTTTCCTCGCTCGCAAATTGATCGGATATGTCCAGCGCATTCGAAAAGAGTCCAGACCGCTTGACTTGATTTAGTGGATTATGTCACTTTCGCTATCGATTGAAATTGGTCATCCATACATTAACCACTTAATTAATTAACCTGACTAGTTAGTCAACTAAAGATAGTCTTGTTTACTTGGCTCAACACCACGTAAGGCCTCTCCCTCCAAGTCGGGAGTAGTTGATGCCACTACCGGACTAGAAAATGGTGTGAATTCGGGTTCGAAAATGTATATCGAAGGACAATAGTTGGCTGTTAAAATTCAAAATCTCACTCGTTTAATACCAGAAGAAAAGACCAGATTGAAACGCTGGTGGCGAGCATACTGGGAATAATCCGATACTCTCCACCTTGAAAGTGGGAAAATATATATGTAGGTCATGCACGTCGCGTAGCATACATACCTGGGCAAACATGTGAACGAATTACAGGGAATTTGAATGTGGGTATTTGCAATTAGATGCCACATTTTGTATTGTATTTTAGCAGTAGAAGAAATGAGGCATACACAGCGTAAAAGGACGACATGAATTTTTGTGCCCTGAGATCTAAACCGAACTTGAAAATCGAAACCACTGGGCTTACATAACCTACAGTTCGCGTTGATGGTCTTGGTCACCTGATTTTCATTTATCAAGTATTTGAGCACCCACGTGACAATATTATTCTATCCCGATAACCCGATAACCAACCTGATAAGCCCTCGGCACATCTCCGGTTGAATGCTGATGCGGCCTCGTGTCGTCGACGCCGTGCTCGACCATGGCCCCCAAAAGCGCTGGTTTGCCGTACCGTCGAGACTCGAACGATTGGGAGCGGGACTTCTTTGATATTCCGGACGAGTCCGCCCTGCTCGTGGTCAAGCGACAGTTGCGCCGCGTCCGCACCTGGCTGGTCTTGGCTGTCCTTCTTCTCTTGATCATATGGATGCGCCGCGAACGTCCGTCTACATCATCGTTGCCTCATATCAATTACAACGAGGTCGATTGGTCCCGATTTGCATTCACCCAATATGCCACCAGTGAGACCTACTTGTGCAACTGTGTCATGGTGTTTGAAGCCCTGCAACGGCTTGGGTCCCGTGCGGAGCGAGTGCTATTCTATCCCAAAGAGTGGGATCTAGTGATAGACGATGATTCAGACCGCATCAGTCAGCTGCTGGTTCTGGCTAAAACGCAGTACAATGTGCAGATGGTGCCAGTTGCCATCGAGGGTGTCAGGAAAGAGACTGGAGGGGAGGGAGGTGAGTTTATTCGCCACGCAAACACCTCCGCGGACATATATGCTGACCCATAGGAACCGCCAACAGAGTTCGCCGAGGCCTCATGGGATACGAGCACCGCGAAGCTCTATGCATTTGGGATGGTCCAGTATGATCGGGTGATCCACCTCGACTCCGACATGCTGCTCCTTCAACCCATGGACGAGCTGTTCTTCCTACCCCCGACGCCCGTCGCCATGCCTCGAGCATACTGGCTCTTACCCGAAGAGCGGAGTCTATCATCTCTTTTGGCTGTCATCGAGCCCTCATATCGCGAATTTACGACCCTGAAGGACGCGACTCAATCGGCGATCTTGGGCCAGATGGATCTGAATCTCACGAACACCCAATACGACATGGAAATTTTGAACACCTACTATGGTAATAGTGCCCTGGTGCTCCCGCATCGCCATTATGGTCTTCTCTCAGGGGAGTTCCGCACCAAGGATCACCGACGGTTCCTGGGCAATAGCCACGAGATCTGGAATCCAGACAAGATTCTGGCAGAGGCCAAGTTTGTGCATTTCTCAGACTGGCCCCTACCGAAACCCTGGATTATGTGGCCTCAACAACAGCTCGCATCGCTGCAGCCGGCTTGTGAAAACAACCCCGGCACGCCCGAGGAGAGTGGGTGCCGCGACCGCGAGATTTGGAAGCAGCTTTATGATGATTTCCGGCGAAAGCGAAAAGTACGAGAGCCCTCGAGCCAAAATTTTGGGATTTCCATTTGAAAACTGCCATTGACAACTTCTTTTTCTTAGGACATTTGCAAATTGTTGAGCTTCCCAGCTCCGCTTTGAATGTGTTGCTTTTTGGACGGTTCTTGCCCTTCCATAATCCGTTGATTCTCTAGCAATTTGTACAGTATTATTGTGGTCGGCTTGGTATAGACTTTTTCTATTTCCCTGGCGCTTTTAGCATTCAAGATGATTATGATTTGGAAATACAGACAAAAGGCAATGTACAGAGCCTTGAGACTAGTAATGGAGTAATTTCAGGGCACGCGACCCGCGCGGAGCCTGAGTGGTATCGTAAAAAGCAGAAAACGACCGAAGTAAAGATCGCCATACTCTTCCAGAGAAGTATGGGCTGGAGACCGTCTCCGTCCACAGCCCTGGGGTTTGCCATATACCCCAGACTCAGGGAATCAGTAGGCGAAGGCGGCTTACGGCCTGAGTGAGTTGCCCGACACTGGCTGAGCTGGTGTCAATTTCGACAATGATCGCAATCGACAGAATCAATGTCACCAGGACTATCTAAACTGGTCGTCAGCGATGCATATCCCAAGCCACAACGCGTCCGAGCTCCCTCTGCTCGCTCTATGCATTTATCTGTCGTGGTCTCTGGTCTCTGGTCTCTATTCTCCCACTCACCGCGAAGAGGAGGAGGCCCACTGCGTTTAGCTCCCATCCTCCGGCATGAACGTTGCCCAACACAATCGCATTTTGCTGTCGCCAGAACCGGAAGGCTCCGATCAAAGCGACCAGGATCGCCACGCAATGACAAGTCACCGACAGCGGGATGCCCGCCTCGTAGAACTTCAGCCGGTCCCCCGATTCCTGCAATCGGAATAATTGCGCGATCACGACCCCTTGCATCGCCACCACCACCGAGGTCCGGATGTAGGCGAGAAAGGTTCGTTCTAATGCTATTGGGTTGGTCGACGGTGATGGTCAGCCATCTCTCTCTCACCTCTGGGAACCTCTCTACGTTGCATTTCCCGGCAATAGGCCCTTGGGGACTTACCAAAGTGATCTCGATTCTTTTTATGCGCCACCGTTCGGGTGACATGCTGTGTCCAGAACCGAGCGACCGAGCCCCACGGTCCCTTTCGTTGGACCCCGGGTTGCCGAACCTGGGGGAGCGACGAGGTGCGTCGCCGGGTGGACACTCGTACATACTCCTCCCCTGATGAGACTGATGGAGAGGAAGAGTCCAGATGCTCCTCGTCCTCTCCGGTTGTAATGTGCTGGAGTTCGACGGCCTCCCGATATCCCCGAAGCTCGTTGATGGCCGAAACACTTGTACAGTCCCTCTGGGCTGCACCCATCGGCCGGCCAGGATCGGAAGACGGACAAGAAATGTTTGTTGCCATGGCTTTCAAAGATGACCTCAGGAGCACAATATGGAAATTCTTCCAGTGTGCACCATGATTCAAAAGAGGGGAAGCGGTGGATTTTGGTGTGTTCACGGAACGGGCGCCGATTTGTCCAGTGGGCCCCCTTTCTCCCGCATCAATCGTCGACCTGGAAACACACTGGATTCAGATCGCGGGCTGCAAGACATCGGTAATAAAGGGCTGGAGGCTGGTGGGGACTGAAGATGAAGGATCCTAGGCGACAAGTACACTTCAGAAGCGGAAGCATAGGTACCAAATAAGCTTAAATCAATGCCGCATGTACCACGGTCAACGGATCAAGTGGATTGGGGCCCCACAAGAGATCACATCAATGCTGGTCGTCATGATGCGAACCCGTGGCAGCGGAGATGCCTCGGACACAAATAACTTAGTTATATTTAACGAGAGTACAAGGATACTAGTATTATTTAGTGCTTGGGTTTATCAATAATGCAAGTTCCTTTTGCTTTGTTCATATTCATAATCCTATACGTCATGCACCGGTAGGTTGATGCATTCATAGGTGGGTAAGGTATGATTAAGGTAATATTAAACATAGCAAATTGGCCGCCGCTCCACTTGCCCATCTACTCAGCGTATAGCTCTCCGTCCCAAGGTGGAAAGAAAAGCATTGCAATTCATTGGAAAATCATCATTCACAAGCAAGAAAGTAAAGCAAAGCAAAGCAAAGCAAAGAAAACAGCAGAAAGGGTGCCAACGCGGAAGGATGTAAAACCTCCGTCAATGTGCCTGATATACCCGAAAGCCTCTGAATTCCCAATAGGCCTCTTCGAACTGGCTGGGATAGTTGGCAACCAAGTCTGGGCAGGTCGCGGGACAATTGTACATCTCCGTGTAGTACTGAGGTTGTGCAGCAAGTTGCCCACAGAGATCAATATTCGCAATGATACTCTGATTCCGGAAGTGTGAAGCAATCTCACACTCCGTACTGGGAAAATCAGCGAGCGCCGTGCCCCATGTAGAGGGGTCAGGCATGCTGTTCGCATTGGTGATGTCCAATGGGATGGCATCGCGTGGGAAGAACCATGTCCGGATGCCCGCATCCCGAAGCTCAAGGGCATAGATCTATCGAAGATTTTGTGTCAGCAGGACGGAGTTCAAGAGAAAACAAAACAATATGCCACACTTTAAATCTTTAATATGGTCCACGATTGGGGAGTGGTACTCACTCCACCACCACGGGCATTTAGGCTCGGACCATAGGTCGACGAGTCGCCCATCACTCCACAACCCGCGTTTCCGTGCGTACTATTGTCACAGGTCTTGTAGGATGCGGTACCCGTTTGCTTACGCTTGACACTCATGCTGCAGCCCTCAGTCGTGTGGAGGGTGACCTCATTCCCATGTGATGCTTCATTGGTAGATTCCAGAACGTCAATCTCGCCATTGGTGGGCCAGTTATACCCGTCGGTCAGCCAGAGTGCCGGCCAGGTTCCACAGCCATGAGGGGTATGGATGATGTCGAATATGAAGAGACCAGTGTCATACTTAGCCTTGGACTCGATCCGAACCGAGTTGCGACCCGCCAGAGCCTTGGGAGTAAAGGCATCCACTCGTAGGATGGCAGATGTGTCGGTTGCATAGGTCAGATTGAGATCCTGGGCAGCCTCCTGGTTGACGTACACCACGAAGCCATCCGTTGGGTCATCGCCCGAGAAATAATCAAACTGATCGAAGAACGAAGTTCCCTCGAAGGTGTCCACTAGCTGGTAGTTGATCGGTGAATACTCTGGATACCGATTCACTCTGATGCCCTCGACGGTGCCAACAACCACGATCACCATGACGATCACTAGGACTATCGCCGCAGAAATAATCTTCTTACGTGTCGACCAGCTGTGAGGGTCATACCATAACGGAGCCACAGGTTTTCTCTCGGGCGAAACGGCCGCGCCAGTGACTTTCGGCACGATAGGCGTCTTGGGAACATATGTAAGGCCAAGCTGGGGGACCTGAGAGGTCACCCCGCTATAACGATTGGCATACTCGGGCGGGAGTAATCTGTCATCCATGATTCAGTGCCCGAGACCTGCGTGTCTGGATGTGTATAGGTCGCGTCTGTGTGGTTCTCCCCCAGAAGGATGGTCGGCTCGATAAAGAACAGTTATGCTAGCGAGGCGAGGTTTTCTTTTTCTTTTTGCGAAAGTCCGACTACCCTTTTATTCCCTTATAATAAGCATTTTTTCAGACTAGGCACAGGGACTCATGATGTTCATATCATCAGGGAGCGCCCGGCATGCCTGGTGCCGATCATTGGAGATGGCCCGTTTGCGATGCGCCGATGCCCCAACTGTCAAACGGAGGAACGATAAACGTTGTCAGTGAACCAAGGACCGAACATGACATCATTTTTTGAAGCACACGTTTGAATGTTTCTGATTTGCCTGTCTTGTGCTATTCTAAAGTCGACTCTACATCATAACCGCTCTGGAGAGGGGACACCAACTGGAATCTTTCCGTTCTCGGATAGGAATGCGGCTTGTTGCGCGCGTGGACACCACGAAGACATGGAGAGATGGAGAGGACATCAACGTCATAACGATATCGATATTGATGAATGCAGATTAAAAAAAATAAATAAAATAAAAATAAAAATAAAAGAAAAGAAAACTAAATCGAGTGAAAAATAAGATAGAGCAAGAGGTAGAAAAACGGTACACAACAAAATGCATGGTATATATCCGCAAGATCAAATCTCAATATAAAGCCGGTATGACGCCAAATCAAACACAAGCCGACGGACAGGTATATATGTATACAAATTGAAAATAACGCTGAGAATTCTATGAGTGTATAGAGAAAGATTGCGAAGAGAAGAGGAAAGATGTTGGAGTTGCAATGGCGATCGTCAGCGATTCGAACGAACAGTGGAGGAACGATTCACAACCGCATCGCCGTTCGCATTTGACGAATGAGTTTGCCAGTCATACGACTCCATGCCGGTCGAAAGGCCAGCGTCGGCCTGAGATTGGGAAATTGAACGAGATTGTGGACGACCAAGAGATTCACCCCCACTGAGATTCGATGCCCGACGGCGCATGCGACGCTCCGACTCAGCGGCCTCACGGCGGTTGAGCGCGTCTGAAGGTAGCAGAACGGCGCGGTCTAGGGCGTAGGGCAAGCCACGATGCCGACCCCGAATCTGCATCGCAATGATCACCAGTTTGGAAACCACATTGAACTGGCCCGAGAAGGAGGTGTTGACACCAGGATATCCAAAGGACAGACCCACTGTACCGTACGCCGACACGACCTCGAACAAGACGGTGAAAATTTGGAAGCTGTAGTCACTCGCACTCTGTAGCCGGCTACCTTCGGCGATAGTGATGATAAATAGCCCCAAGAACACATACCACAGATCAAAACTCAGCTGGCGTCGCAAGTGAGTACCAATATAGCTGGGAGCGGTCTGGTTGTCTTCGTCACTCTCCTCCTCGTAACCGTAGAGGCCCAGGCTTTTCTCTTCATATACATTTGTCCGACGCATGGAAATGGCGATGGGGAAGACAGATATATACATCATGATCAGGTAGGAAACCTGTATGGCTGGATGAAGATCTGCAAGGTTGACGACTCCAAAACCAGCCGTTCGAGTAGCTGCGGCTTGGAAGAGACCATCCAGAACTCGAAGACCTGGCGGAAGCTGTGTGACTGCCGAGTCGTTCAACTGTCAAGAGGTTAGCTTCAAAATTGACATGTTGATTATAATTAATGTTCCACTTACGTCCAAAATAATGAAAAAAATGACATCAATGCCGTTCAGAGCGACCAAAATTGCGAAAAGCCACCACGTGGCATTTCGAGGGAATAGCAGAGTGAAGCAGCGGCGAGGATGATCCAAGAGAAACTTCAATTCTTCCCATAAAGCCGTTCCCTGCCGCGCGAACTTCGAGAGGATCCAGATCATCAGCCGCAACATACATGGGAACCCGGTATTACCGATGACAATCAAGAACGCCAGCATCAGAAGAGGGAAGACCGCGCGCTGGAAAGAAATCATTGAATCCGGCGTAAGCGCAAATCCCAAATCGTTGAAAGCGGATGCTGACGTGAAAATCCCCCACCAGGGTCGACCAACACCGTCGGCCTTGACAATATCACCCCAGGTGTTCGTAGTCATAATCCAGCCAACCATGCTGATCAACCCCAGAAGGTGAAATCCGAGATAGTAGGAAATGAGGACCACGGCCAGCGTCTTCAGGGCACGATACTCGATGCCTCCCAGTTCGTCACGCTGTTCCTCGGTCAGATCCACGAAGTTGGAGTTTCGCGCAACGGTCGCATTCCAGCTCAGATACGGCTGAGTCGGTCGCTCTCGCTCTTGTGTGAGAGATCGAAAGATGCCCCGGAAGGTGTGTCGGGTGGCCACTGGCCCCAGCCCGGCGGCCTCCTCTCCATCCTTGGTGACTGTTTCCCGGATTGTGGGCCGGGTGTCCAGGCGGGAGAAAGTGTTTGCCCGGGTGCGGGTGCGAGTAAAGTCAGGCTCATTGATGGTGATGTGCGGCCCTTCTAGCGGATGCACTTGATCGACTTCGTCCGAGTGTACCGGGCTGGACGGGGGTGCCTGCTCCGGCTCCTCTTCGTCCCCTTCGTCCAGTGCCTCTGGCACCCCTCCGCGGTCGTACTCACGAGGGCTGGGAATCCGAAGGGCTCCCTTGTTCTTGCGCTGATTCTCCACGAATGCAATATGATGCTCCGGGCTGAGCTGGGTGGGTACTCGGAGGCTACCTAGTCCGAATCGACTTTCCACGACAGGGTCGGTCTCGTCCGAGCTGGACCGCCCGCTGGCGCCCTTTGCCTCCCCGTCGCCTGAATCGGTCTCCGCGTGCGCGTCATTGACGGCTTTGGCTGTGGGGTCCGGCAGTCGGTCACCCCTTGCATCTCCGGCATTATTCCGCAGCACGACGATCGATCGGCCGCCGACTCCAAGCTCGGCCCGATTGAGCTCCTCGCTCTCCTTTCCCTGGGTGACGGTGTCCATGCGCGACCGGGTGGTGCGTAAGGCCCGCGCATCGCGCACGACATGTTGGAACCGCTTCTCGAACCAGTAGAGGCGGATGAACACTAGCGCACTATGGATCCAGATGGGAGTGCAAAAGAGGGTGATCAGATAGAGCACGATCTGCTGATAGAGACGAAGCTGGTTCAGGTCGACCGTGTTCAGCCCGCTCTGCGTGGCCGCGCCGACCGACAGGAACAGGGCATCGATATAGGCGATGTCACTGCCGGGATAGACAATGATCGAACCGACGATGCCCCAGGAAATGATATAGGTATAATGGAGGACAATGAAGTTCAAGTGTAACCGGTTGAGCAGAGGGACCTTCCGCCGCAGGGTATTGAGTTGGCGAATGAAGGTTGAGAACATGGTCAACGGACGCAGATGTCGGCGTCGTCGATTCCAGGCGGAGGTCACAATCCGCGCAGGTGAAGTGACCGGGACAGACTGGTCTCGCGGGGAGGGGAACTTGGCGGTCCTATAGATATGGGGAGCACCATGCTCCTGATCAGTTCAAGCCACACAGGAAGAGCAAGTAGTCGCGCATCCATCGGGATGGGGACTGGGTGAGTTGGGGACTGTTTGGGGGGTGGGGGGTTTGTCCTGGGCATACATGTGGGTGTAGCGTCGATCGGCGGAGGTTTCTTTGGTTTCTTTGGGGGGAGGTTTTTTTTTTTTTATCTTTTTTATCCTTTTTGTTTCCCTTCTGGGTGGCGGGGGAGTAGAAGGAGCACCGGGCGCGTACCGCCGGGGTTAGCCGCGTGGCATTGATGCACGCCGAAGCCAACGAGTAAAGAGCATTGTTCGGAGAGAAAGGGTTGGCGACGTTGGAGAGGAAGAAGGGTTGGGTTAGACTTTTGGGCGGAGACGAAAAGGGCAACGGGCACAGGCGAAAGAGGCGAAACGGAAACCGAAGGCGCAAACGGTCGGGAGCGGCCAAACGGTACGATTACAATGACGGGGCATGACGAGGCGGGCGACGAGGCGGGCGACGAGGCGGGCGACGAGGGCCCCGGAACCACAAGCAGGGCCGCAATGACCAACGTTACCGCACCGTACCACACCAAAATTACCAGGCTGCCGCATGCTGGCCAGAAACGCCCCAAACGCCAAAAACGTGCCACTGTCGATCTCCGGCCTGTTGCAACTTGCATCGGGCGGTGGCAGAGTTTCGGTGCCAACTCGTGGAGAATCGCACACGCATCGCTTGAAAAGACTCGAAAAGGCTCCAACGACTCGAAGGGACGCACAAGACTCGACCCGATTCGGAAGAACGTGCCCCTGCTGTTGGTGAAGCGGCTATGCAGCCGCCCACCAACCAACTCCCTCAGTCGCTTCCAGTATGGTGGACGGCATCGCCTATCATGATGCGTGAATACATCATACGGTGGAAAGCCAGAGACACGGGTTGGACCAGGCAACACCCAATAGGACTGGGAGTATCCTAAATCCCGCGAAGAATCCAACATGATCCAGAACTCCCGTGGCGGCGCCGCAGTTGGTGATCAAAAACATCCCCCTGATCACGCTGGATCACGGGTGGAGATCACTGCCAACAACTCGAATCTCCCAACACGCGAGAGGGTGATCGCGGTGCTCTATGGCTTCTCTATGGCTACAATCTCGGATCTGGTCTGTCCAGTTTCCCGGACTACGGTGACCCAAAGGGCAGACCGAATCTCCTGTAGATGAATTCCTCCCGCCCCGACCTGACCCCAAACAATGTGCTAGCGGCCGGGCTAAGCTTTTTCGCGGAGGCGGTTCGCAACCCCCGTCGCGCCGCGAAGTCGCACGCGAGGCACTGATTGGAACACAATCTTTCCTGGGCTCCATCGCTGGCCCCATGCCATTGAGATCTCGACTGCAGCCGCACGCTACTCTCGCTCATGTCCAGTGGCGGTGGAGGCTGTGGGAGTTGGATCCTGCGCGATGCCCGCCGGATCTTGCCTGCATGTACGTACCATGCACAAGCGTTATCCGCTCTAAGGGTCTATATGGTGAAGATTTCTTTCTTTCTTTCTTTCTTTCTTTTTTTTTTTTTTTTTTTTTTTTTTTGAGGCAGCTCGAGTTCGGTGGATGTTGGAATAGTTCTATGCTGAGTACATTTCCACCTATTCAGCTTCATTGAGATCGTTCGGGATCTCGCGCCCTGTTCAATTTTCCCTCTATCACTTTTCTTCCGGCGCGTAAGGATACCCCGAAATGGAGAAGGGTGCGACGTACTGAGTATACTTCGTTACTGAGGAGGCTGATCCGGTCTGCCACATCGATTTCGAGCCCTCGCCCGGTTGTGTGGGTCCACTTTTTATGCATCCTCGGTTGCTATTAATATCCTTGTACCGAGGAGGTAGTGACCCTTTAGGGGAGTCGTATGTGAACGACCGCAAGACTACATTATTTGAATTCCGATTCAATCTTGTACACAGGAAAACCAATGCACCAAGCCTAGATCGTGTCAAAACAGATTTTCAATTAGCCTTTCGAGGTATCCTTGCTCTTTCGTTGTTCGTTGCGACGCTCTATATGTCTTTATATATTTTGAGAAGAAAAATAAGGAACCCGACCGAACCCCATTTTAGTCTGTTCGTTCCCAATACATAAAATGCTGTCTTTGCCATTGGTCCACCAAAAGGGAAGCCTCCTGCCAGAGCTCCGTCATGACATGGCTCCGTTTCCTGAGTCCCTTGCATTCCGTCGATCTCGGCGTAGAGAGTCCCTTAGTAGCAAGTGTACCCACCATCAATCACGCAGTTGGCGCCCGTCATGAACTTCGACGCATCGGACGCAAGAAAGACACACAGCCCATTCAAATCATCCACGTTCCCCAGGCGATTTTGTGGCGTGAGCGACTTCCAAATCTTCTTCTGGGCCTCCAGCGCGGGCACCCGGTTGAGCGCCGTGTCCATGTACCCCGGAGAGATGCTATTGACGCGGATGTCGTTCTTGGCCCATTCGGCCGCCAACGACTTGGCAAGCTGGATGACACCGGCTTTGGAGGCATTATAGCAGCTCTGCTCTTGCGGATAGTTGACCACCAAGCCGGACATCGACGCCACCAGGATGATGCTGCCGGGCTTGCGGGCTGCGATCATGGCCCGGCCAACGGCTTGTGACATCAAAAATGACCCCGTGAGGTTGATGTCGATCAGACGCCGGAACATCGCAATATCATAGGTCTCCGCTTTGATATTCGAATCGGCAATGCCGGCCGAATTGACTAAGACATCGGGAGCACCGTATTTCTCCACACAGGCCTCGACCGCGGCGGTGATTGCGGCGGCATCGCGCACGTCGACGCGATAGAAGGAGATTGGCAAGCCGGTCTTCTCGTGCAACTCGGCTGCGGCTTCATCCCCAAGCTCCTGGTTGGCATCAAAGATGACAATGTTCTTGGCCCCGGCCTCGGCGCACGCGCGAGCCATATAGTTGCCCAGTCCGCGGGCGCCTCCCGTGATGATGACCGTTTTACCGAAAATACTCATATTTCGCATAGTGTGTGGCAGCTGCTCGTATACCTTTCTGGTCAGAGGATTGACGATTTCCTCAGTTTCGGACCCGAGGGGGGGTCTGGTATAGGATGTGGGACGGTGGTTGCGCAACATGGACGGTATGTTTATGCCCCGTCCCCTGACCCGCGTCATAGTCGGTGACAGGAATTTCTTTCTCGGGAATTCCATTCTTCTTGTCGGTCGTGTGGATGCGATTGATGCTGTTTGTTTTAAAAGGTCCGGCGAGACGTGGCAGCCTGAAGAGGCCCGCTCGAGAAGGGCGAATAAGATGGCGTGTCAGAGACATTGACAATGACATGGGATACCCCGGAGGAGACAAGTGTTCAACTGGAAGGGATCGATGGGGTTATCCGACGAAGAAATACAGTCAATTGTGAGATTTTCCCCCTTACGCGACCCGTCGGGGGAAGTCGGTGATACCGAGCATATATAGATCCAGGGCTCTATGGCTACCGGCAGGGGGGTTTGGTCACCCCTGGAACCCCAAGTGCCGCCCGATTGGATTCATGCCTTTGGCGGATGGTCAGGTGAGCATTTCGTTTGTGGCAATGAAACTGAAATTAGGGGTGGACGAGGAGTCTCTCAAAATCGGGCAATCGTTCCAATCATGAGCAAGGAATGCGGGTGCAAAGGATCCATGAGGCTTGTTAACCAGGGGGGACGCTTCGCTTCGGGCGGAAACCTCGCATTGCTGCATTCTTTTTTTTTTCTTTTCTTTTTTTGGGGAGGGGAGAATAAAAAAAAGCAGACGAGAAGAGAAATACAGAGTCCAAATAATAACCATAATAGTCGTCGTAGTCTAGTTACATGGTACGGCATATTATTCATGAGCTGCATGGGCCAGGTCGAAAGGATGTCCTTGGCAACTGATTTCCCTCAGGCCTATTCCTCCAAACCCCAGACCCCGTACAGAGCACTCCGGGGCCGAGAATCCGACTAGACAGTCTCTTCTGATCCGATGGCGCGCCCTAGCAGGAATTACATTTGATCATCATTGATTATATTTGAAGATGATTGAATCGGGCTCTATAGGCCGTACTCGATCACAAGCTTAGTGGATTGTTAGCGTCGCCACGAAAAGGATGCTGACCATGTGACCTTTCGCAAGCAAAGACTTTACAGATTGTCGGGTTGTCGGTTTGTATAATCCGTTCCCCCCCACCCCAGACGTCCCCCCTTGGACTACTCACCGCGAAACGAGACGAATGGGATATCATTGGATGGAATGGAGAGACCAGGATGCCGTGCCCCCTTGCACCACCCTAAAGGCCGAGAACCAAGAATGGCCAGGAGGGTAGACTCATGTCACGGTTTTCTACCTGGGCCTCTGGATGGACAGAGGTCAGATTGTGGCGTCCTGCATGAGCCTTGAGATACATCGCCGACCCCTGGGTGGCCTGGGAGAGAGCACATGACCTAAAATGATCTGTCGGAGGTTGCTTTTGTCAGGCCCCGAAGTGATGGCTTGTAACGAAGAATTGAGGCAATCAATATTGATGTTCGCAGTCGTTCCCCGGTGAGCAGCAAATCGGTTCTACTGGTTCCCCCTTAACAAGTACGCCGAATCCATTTCGACTGCGGAAAAGCGTACGGAGAGTATCCCATCTCCTGCGGACGCTTCTCGATCCAGGGGAAATGTGAGACCCAGGAGGTTTCTTCCACGTAGTTCGAGACGGGAAGTAGTTAACAGACCAATAGACCAATAAATGAAACCTGAAGTATAGTCAGATTCATTGTTGTAGGACGGCGGATGATCCAGAGAAGGTCACGGGATGGACAGAGCTGCCATCGTGAACTTGGACTAAGTATAGGACACATCGCGACTTCTTCCGTTCCCGGGGACGATGGATTCTACTCAACGTAGGAATTCTAATCTTCCGTTGTCTCTCTATTAGTTCCTTTCTATACAAATTCTCAGTAAGGACCCAATGCGAGTACAGCGCAACTCGATTCGGGTGGATGTACGCAATGGTTCTAATGGGAGGAGATATTAACTTCAAAGACAAACATGGGCAGTCGGATCATTGATCTCAATCGGATTCAATCATGACTGTTCCCGCGTTTGGCGACTGACATTCGCCCCTCCAAGAGCCAATTTTTCGACTTCATGGCCTTTTATACTAGTGACTACGGAGAAATCAAAGTAATGATTTTACGCCCGCTCTTCAAAGGACTGGCGGTGCAACAAAAGAATCCGGAATACCCTCAAAAACCCAATTCAAGGAATCAAAGACCTCTGAGAATCCCGCCTCGTTGAAGAATGCACCGCTCTCATCAAATTGGGTAGGCAACATCAGGGCCGAATCCTCAAGGGTACTATTATCTTGAGGTCGTGCCAATGATCCAGATGTGCTCAACAAGTCAGGGTTGGCAGCCGCAGCCGCAGCTGTGAATTCAAGTCAGCAACCTCATGAGGTGGCGAGGAGCAAGCATATCAGCTCAACGTACCTTGGATCTCTTCGATGCTCTTAACCGGTCGGAAGCGTTGCCGCCATCGCCATACGGTGTCATAGACATGGCTCATGCTCATGCGACAGCGAACTTTTAGTTGAAGCCCGTCCCCCTCGGCAGGTTCGGGACCGGTGGCATTCCACATTTGAGCAAGAATATCGGCGAGTCGGATGGGCCGGTCGTGATCCATCACGCTGATTCTACGTATTGCCGAAATAGCCCCGTTAAACAAAAGCTTGCCGTGATTGAAATCAATATGCCGACTAAAACTACTCTTCAAAAGTTTCATGAGGGCAAACGCGGCCGAGACAATCATTTGAAGAATGTAATTGGTCGAATGTCCAATTAACTCCCCTGGAGAAGTTTCGAGGTCCAGTACACGGCCTAGAAAGGAGGTCGTGGCAATAAAAAGCTTTGTGAGGTCATCGCTTCGTGCGTTGGAACTCAAAAAGACAAAATAACGGAGATGCAGTTCGGCTGCACGCAGGTGTATCATGTTGATGGCTGGACGTCCCTGTTAGTCCGAGAAAACAGGGAAGGCGCTGAGAAGCCTACCAGAAATGTCTCGCCCAAATTCCACCTCCATCTCCCTCAGTTCACTCTCCAGGATTTGGACAATGACAAGCTTTTCGACGCTGATGAACTCGTTTGGTTCAGGCTTGTTGCTGTACAGAGCCTTGGTGACTCGATCGCAGAACTTTTCGACGCGGAGTCGGATTACCAGATCGTCAGGCAGATGATAGTCGGCATCCTTGAGAGAAGCAGGTTCTAAAGCCCAGTCGTAAATAGTACTCGGCGGTTGACCGTAACCGGTTGCAACACTTTATCTTGGTTAGCGCTTGGCCGCCTGGGCCGCGGTTGAGACTGTATACTCACTTCTGTGCTACTATATTGCATATGACCCAGGTATGGAGACGATCCTTGAGAGCCTCCCCTTGTGCTTCTATTCGAAAGGTAGTGAACTCTTCCGCTTGTACCGGGCGATGTAGCCCTAATTGCATGGCGATTTGCATCATGAGCCCGCTAAGCATAAATGTGGCATCTGTTCGCTGACTAGTGGTAGGTAGAGGCCACGTGCACAGAACACATAGTGCCTTGACCACTCGATAATCCTGTGGAACACCGGTAATGGTAGACCATAACAGGCGACTGAATGGTCCTGACAGCGCAGCCAGCAAGCCCGGGTCAGACGGCGATCGACGGCTGGCCACACAGATAATGGTCCATGCTAGCAAGGGGCACCGACTCAGATAAACCTCTGGAGGTTTGGGGAGGTTCAGAAGTGGAAGGAATGGGTGATAATAGTTGAAATATCTATAGAATGCATATTAATGAGGTGGCTGCCTAAGAGCGGGATTTTGGAGACTATAATCTGCACGTACTGCTCAAAGAGCCGTGCTACCCGTGCTCGAGAAAGGGCGACATCCTCCAGTCTCCAGGGAGTATTATCTTCCTGAGACAGAATGGATCCATCCCGTTTCATGGTTAAGGGGGTAGCGATAGACGGGTGTGTTTCCGCTGGCACCGAGACTGGCCGAGATCGGTCAATGCCGGTCGAGTCGCGGCGGCCAAAGGCCTCTTCTGAACACTGAGACAAATCATCGCCAGTATGAGGCTCGGCCAGCTGGTCTGGATCCGCACTGGATGCAAGTCGGCGGCGGAGATCTGCGATCTCCTTTTCCATCTCAGCATTGCGCCTATATATCAGGTTCAGCTACCGAAACTGTTGACTCCATGAATTGGATGTCGAATGTCGATGGACAGGAGTGCGGGCGGAACCCACTTACCTTCGCTTGGAAATGCGCTTAAAAGATTGTTCCACTTTACAGTCAATACCCAGCCTTCGACAACGAGAGCATGCCGCAGCCGGGGTTTGGACAATATCACATCGTAGCTGTCATGGGGCAATGGAAGGCGCATCAGTCAGCCATTCGCCGGGCCCTGGAGGGGCATTGATGTTGATATCGTGGGGAGGATGACAAAACATTGGGGAAGGGGAGAGGGGGCAGGGCGTGTGGAATGTCGGTCAGTACAGCTTGCATGTGGCTCTTTCTCTCTCACCTTCTGTTGCTTGCACTCGTTGCAGGCCTTCCGGCTGCCGCCTCGGCGCTTGCCTGTGACCGGCGGGGTCTTCTCCATTTCGCCAGATTCCGGGCTCCTCTGCATGAACTCAAGGCCCGGGGGTGGCCGGGGCAGTCGCGGGGACCGAAAGTCGCTCGGGGGAATCAGAGGCAGCCCATTCGGTGCCACCAGGTTCCGATACTCCAAGTCCATCAAGATCGGCCTGCGCTCGCCCGGTATAAAACCCCATAGAACTGGAGCAGGTGCTCGTGGAGATGCATCTGCCGGAAATCGGAGAAATCCAGAGATTCCCCATGAGGGGAGGGCACTGGGAAAGGGGGGGGCGGTCGTCTCGGGAATGGTTCGGTGGAGTCGGGAATCGTGTTGCGGACGATGATTCGATGTCAGCTTTGCAACGAAACTCGGCAGTTTGGGTTTCTGCCGCCCAAGGTCATGTGACTATACTTCTGCCCCAGGCAACAAAACGACCTGATCACATGAACAAGCGAGAATGCCAACGGCCTCGAGACGCTTAGTCATCCCTCCAATCAGCCCTGGGCTGGACTAGTCTTGATTAAGTAAGCCCTTCAAGTAACTGATCCCCCCACACGCTCCCATGGGTCCCGCGATGGGGAGAGACTATTCAAGTGAGGTAGAACACCCAGGCTCCAACCTTCTATCCTGGACCACATCCCCCCATTGTTCCCCTCTCCCCCATCCTGGGCGACAGTGGTGGTAATGACTGGCCTTTCATTTTCATTGTCTAGTTTCTCATCGTCTCATCTCGATTCTGGGCATAGAGCACTTGGCGGGTCTGCAATAGAACACTCACACCCATCAATGGACTAACAGACAGAGCTCAGGAATGGAAGAAAAAAAAGGGAAGCTGGCACGGCTCACCTAGTGTCCTTTGGGATTGCGGTCTTGCATCATCGATGGGAGAGAGGAACGCCAGTGCACATGCCATCAATGCCCCCGATCGCCCCCATTTCTCCCGTTGGAGGCCCAGCCACCAGCCGATCGATGGCTGCACGGACAAAACGGGCCCTGCGGACTGAACCTTCCTCGGAGGTTCTCGGCCTCTAATCTATCGACTATGTGCGGGAAGTACGGAGTATCCCGTATGAGATGGCCTCTGGAGATGCGCAGGACCTTCAAGGAAGGGGGATCCTATTTAGGAGGTTGGGTAGGACAATGTGGACCTTCGCATCTTGCCATGCCAATAGAGCCGGGACCCGACGAGTTGGGACACCATAATGTGATTGATACCGGTTTCTTTCAGCAAGCGCATCTAGCGTGGGATTTACCAGGCTTTCTTTTTGAATTATTTGATTTTATTTCGAAAATGGGGATTATCCTCGACATGTCTCGCCGACAAGGCCATAATAGGCTGATGGCGGAAGATCCTCCTGGACTACGCGAACCAGGCCAAGCTCCATGCATCGTGATGGAGTACGAAGTGTTGGTTGATCGACTACTACTGCACGCCCCGGACGCATCGGACACAACCCAGCAGGTCGGAACTGGAGATGGGGTATTGTTTCGATGACCGTGCGATCAAGTTTTTTTTTTCAGGCATCTCTGTTCCCCGATGCTGTCTGTGTCCAGCTACCTTCCCGTTTCTATCCGCGATGCCGGCAGCCTAGAAGAGACTCGAAAATCGCGACCCCCTGCCTGGATGGGTTAATCCTCTTCCGAGTGGAGGAGGTCCATACCGAGGCACTTTGACCAGCTCCAATTTTGTGACCAATTTGTTGGCCCGCGGATTTTCACCGAGGACTGGGAATGGACTTGGTTCAATAGCGAAGAATTTCACCACCAAATCGGTACGGAGAGCATGCGGATCGCAGAGACGGGTCTCTCCCCTTTGGCTAACCAGCAGGCAGATGACGCAGAAAACCAAGTTGTCCAGACACGAGACCGTTCCACGACGCTACGAGGCACCAAACTTGATTCCGGGACGAGATTCTTGAGCGCCGGGCCATTTTGCCAGGGCTGCCACATGCGGAGTGATGGCGCAAGGTTTTCAAAAAAATCGATAGTTGTGCCGATCGGCTCAATGAACCTTCGGATTATTTGGCCGCCAAGAGATCTTTAATCTCACGCACGCGTCGGAACCTCCGTCGGGGCCACTCATCGCCCAATCATCGGCGTACGGTCGTGACAAATACTTGAGCGCACGAAGCTCCTCATCGAGATGGGGCCAATCCGCGTCCCGATCCCGTCCCGTTGGCTCCACTAGGTTCCTTTGTTTTGCTATCATGTCCGTGAGATCTACAGGGGAACGCCGATGGCCCCCTCCTCTCCCACCGGTCTGGATACCCAAAATCACGTTTGAGCGGCCCCAGTCATCTCGCCATGGGAGGGATCCACTTCCCGTAGCGTGTGAATGCCTGTGGATGCTGATGGATTTGGGGCGTGAATGGCAGAAGCTGACGGCCCCACGGCCGTATCGCATCCTGCATGGATACATAAAAGAAAGCGTCTGTCCCCAGACCCGACAACCTGGTGGACGGACAAGCGCTATCCAACTTCTTACTCTCCTTCAGCACTTCCAGCACGTCTGGTCCCCCAGCAGTGTCCCATTCCATCATCATGGGCTCGGAACTCGGCATTACCGCGGAGTCGAAGGCTAAGCTCGACCTCTCGCCAGTGAGCATCTGGTGGGCCGTCTGGGCTTGTGTCTGGACGACCGCAGTTGTCGCCGGTATCGTGTATCTCATTATCCATCGGAATATGCCGATCCTGCGAATCCGTGGTCTCCCTTTATCGCTCTCTGCCATCGTTTTCCTTCATCTATACTGGACCCCCGTCCAATTCGGAACCATGATAGGTAGCCTCATGCCCGGCGATACCCAGTTCTGGCTCATGGGAACCTGGTTTCCCTGCGGCATTGCCCTTTTTCACGCATCTAACTCGCGTTTCCTTCACGTTGCGAAGCTTCAGAAGCGGTATGCCCAGCACGGCTACCGTCTAATGGATTCTTCTCCCAAACTCAAACGCAAGAATGGCTTGATCAATCGCTTCCACTCTCTTAAATATACTACCAAGATTCTGATCTTGGTAAGTATCGGCATGTTCGTCCAGGTAAGGAGAGAAATCTGATTTCCCCCCTCTTCCTTACTGTTCTGCTCCAATATGAATCACCTTTCAGTCTTCTGATATTCACTGACCAATGATCATTTTGGCTCTTTCAGGTGTTTCTCAGCGTCCTGACATATCTTATTTCTCGCAAATGGCATAGCTCCTGGGGTATACCGGGCACGGAGGTCCACGGGGCTAAAATGGCACAATTGGCTGCCGAGGGTCAGGGCTGGGAATGGTATGCGTATCCCCGAAATGATTCTCACTCCAGTCGTCCTAGGCTCGTAGTTATATGAGCTTGATGGCTAACAGATGATTCAGGTGCCCCAGCGTGATTTGGCAATTCTTCTGGTCTTGGGTTGTCGCTCCCGTCGTCCTGTGGAAGTCTCGCAACATCCACGACACTCAGGGCTGGAGAACGCAGACCATTTGTTGTGCTATTTCGAAGTAAGCAAGCTTTTAGTGATTGATATGTGTCTGATATTAACGTCCTTTTCAGCCTCCATGCAACCCCGATGTGGTTGATCGCGCTCTATGTTCCAGGCATGGAGCCAGTCAACAAATACTGGATCCCTCCTCAGTGGTAGGAATTACCCATCTCAATTGGACTAAGTTTGAAAAGGGAAGATTGAAGCAAACTAACTGATCTGGGATTAGGATTTGTCTTTCCATTATTTTCCTCGAAATTTTCACCGTCTTTCTCCCTTGCTGGGAGGTGATGCGCCACCAGTCCCTGCGCCAAGAAACTCTTGATTCCATTGCACGATGGGAGTCGAAGGCGAAGGATTCAAAGTCTGAAAATAAGTCACTCAACTCGGAGTCCACAATGGTCGAATCTATGATGTCTGGCTGGAAATCTACCAACGAATCCGTTCAGACCAACGCCTCTCGGGATAGTATTCTGACCATGAGCGCTCTCGAGTACGTTCTTGAGCGCAACCCTACTCCTCTTCAGGAATTCTCTGCACTGCGCGAGTTTTCTGGTGAGAATATTGCCTTCCTAACCAGTGTTGCTGAGTGGAAGAGCTCGTTGCCCGCAGTGATGCACGACAGCACCGCTCCCCGTGATGGCAATTTGAAAGATTTAGTCCGCCGGAGTTTCAACCAGGCATTACACATCTACGCGGAATTTATCAGTGTGCGTCACGCGGAGTTTCCCGTCAACATTTCCTCACATGATCTCAAAAACCTTGAGGACATCTTTGAACGACCTGCTCGCCTCATTTATGGTGAAGAACGCGAGGCAGACCCAGTCAGTCCGTTTGACAAATTCACATTTGAACCTCCCTCACCCACGTCCTCCGAAAGCTCAGAGAAGCCAATCAAGAGCTCGATGAACGATGCCATCAAGGATCGTGTGCTATACTGGGGAGAGATTCCCGAGGAATTCAGTGCCACTGTTTTTGCCGATGCTGAGGCGAGCATCAAGTATCTTGTGCTTACAAATACATGGCCCAAGTTCATTAGAGACCGAAGGACATCGATAGACTCCTTCGAGACCCTCAAGGGTGGGATGGAGATTGTTTAGTCGAATTGGAGACGGCACGTGAAATGAATCTGGGAAGTCCCGAAATTGAAGCCACATATCTGTATAGTTTTTTTTCTCTTTCATTTGGCCTCGAGGACTCGCACATACTATCTTTAATGTCATGCGGTTGGATCTTTAACTAATATGCTGGATACCCATACAAATTTATTTTTATTTTCTGTTGCACCTGTGACCAATACCTACTCTTCATAGTGCGAATCCTTCGGGGCAACGTAGGGGTCCTTTGGATTTGGCGAAGACCTTGGATATTGAAGCCTTAGACTACAGCCTCAGATACATCACATTACCTGATTGAAGAATATCACAGCGCCTATAGAGCATCCCCCTTTCCCCCAAATCCCGCTCGGGATTTTTGCGGCCGACATCTCCACTCCGCTCACCTCCGGTGCTTGCTTTCCATTACATTTTATCGATAGGCCTGTCATGGTGTGTTTCACCACCAGAATCCAGTTTTTACTACACTAATAAGCACGCCATACATCCTTACCACTTAATAGTACTCAAGCTCGATGAAAAAGGTTGATAATGATTAGCCATGTTTATGAACGCCGATATTCATCACTTGGGCCAACGAGGGAACGCATGGAAAAGACTTTTTTCCGACCGCGAACGAAACCTAGGGTGTTAAACGGTTGGAAACAGGAATTATGGATCCATAGCAATTTCCACTAGAGCAAGAATGGTGGTCATATATGACGTCTTTAGTGAAATATCGAAACTGCAAGTAAAATAATGAAAACTTGAACTACGAAACTCCTATAAACAATTTATCATAAAAGTTGAGTCCTTTCTAGCTTCCAAATTTACTAACATCTGCTTTAGACGTTATCAAGTATGAGTCCATTTAGGAATGGAAAGGATGTTTCCATGCCCCTGCCCTTCCATGCCATGCCACAATCGTGGGTATTCTGCAAAGTATTACAGTTTGATCGAGGCATACATCGTTAAATATTACGAGACAGAAAGATCAACATACCACAATCATTGCTGCGGGCTTATGGAGTGACGCGTAGTTATTGGTCATCCAGACCTCTACGTCCTCATGCTCTTCCGCATCTCAAATAGCGAGAAGATTGGCCATGGTCCGGTAAAGCGGACACTGGCCTATCTTATTTCCGAGAAGTTGGATGAATTTAGTGACCTTGTCTGTACCAAAGATTTTGTACTAAGATGTACACCCGCTAGGTGCTGAATCGCTGGCTGCCCTAACGGGGACCAGAACGGGCATATGTCTCACAGGGCTCCAGTAACTACCTCACCTCTCACACTCTCCACCTCCAGCCAGGTTATCTGATGATGAAAACCACTATCACTAACCCATAAGTAAAAAATAGTGAGACTTGACGCAAAATCAACTCTCACAAATGTTCCTCTACATGAGGTGCATGGCGGAGGTGCACGGCTAATGACGGCAGCACAACGAGGAAAGTACCACGGTCGCACTAGATCACAAGTTTAATATATGACAGAACATCAGAAGTCTTATATTGAGTAAGGCTTAGGTGACTCGTACGAAAATGCAAATCTCCAACTTATGAAGAATTCCATAACTTTGCACGTCTCCATGCCTCACGGAAGGCCGAAGGGGTTTCCAGCTTAAGCTGAGTACCTACTGGGCGCTAGTGGTGACATTAACAGCGAAAATGACGTTCCGAGTCGCCTCTAGGTTTGCATATCAGATCCCCCAGTCCTTGAAGAATCATTGGTTCTTCTGACAGTCAGAATCACTGCGGATATCTTTCATGATTCTACCCCAGTATCGGCTTGAGAAGGAGTAAACCCTTGAGACGGAAATCAGCAGCCAATATAAAAAATGCGATAGCTTAGATACGAAATTTCGGAAAGATTGCATAAACAGGCAGGTGAGTTGTGAAAACCAGAATGATCCACCAAGGCTTTTGTAGGGCTGGAATGTGGATAATTTTCGCCTCAAGGAGCTCACTTGATTTCTACCTGAACAAAGAAGGATGGGAAAAATATTCCTGAAATTTCCTCCTGGCATTATTTATCGCCTGGATAATTGTCTGACTACTTCGAAAAAGAGGAGGCTTGGAATGAACTTTGCGCATCAAATCGAAAGCTTTTCTGCATTTCATCAGCCCTTTCATGTCGAATGTCAAATCTGCATTCGTCAATCTCTATCCATATTTTTTGAAGGGGAAACGTTACTTCAATATCCAGAAGCTTCTACACAGTGCTTTAAGTTATATAATCTTCTCTTACCGATCATTGCTGGTTCCGGAATCCTAATATCCAATATCCTCTTTGCTTGTCGATCAATTTTATTGATTTTATTTTAGTCATATTAAATCAATGATCTCAATGTAGGGCACCGTTAAAACGACGAAGGAAAAGAAAATTGGGATTCCGAGCGATCAGATGTTTTCGGGTGTTACGAGCTCCGTCGAGGAAAATATGCATGGCATCCCTTTCCCGAATGATATACCGGATATTGACTACTTAGGGAAGTCGGTCCCACCAACTTGCGCAATACCTCGTGGAAGCACGCCAACTGATTTTCATGCCGGAGGGGCAGATTGATAAGAATTCACCCATGCAGCCAAGATCTGATAAGACATGAAACGTCACAGACGAAGTGCATAACATTGTGCAGCCAAGAAAAATCCTGATGATCGATGGGGACAGGAAACTGATATTAATCGGACTCGGACGTGGGTACGCTTTTAATTGGACCGACTGGCCGCCCTGATGGCGACCCTGACTTGAAAATTTGCAGACCCAACGTTGATCGACTGGCGCACTTACCATATGTGAGCATCGTGCTGAAGAGTAGGCGTTGATCGGCAATTGTTGAATCAGTTCGACATACAACGAGCAACGATGAGAACCTTGAAAGTGCACCCCACTTTGTTTTCTAAAAGATATCTTTAGACACAATTTGTCGAGAAAATCGATTACGATGTCGGATACATTTAGGAACACGAATGTTGGCCCCGTAGAATGAGTTCTCGTGTCTATGCACGTTTAGTAATTTTGCCTATAAGATAAATTCGGCATAATACGTATAATTTCGCCCCAATTCTATGTCTCATGGCTGTCACGCAGCGCTAGGTCTATTAAACATGCAGCACATGTGCATCAAACCAATCGGACCAAGCGTCAAGAAGACCAAGGCTGCGCCAAGCATCTCCCCTGCCGCTCACCTGGATCTGCAGTGTGGATCAGGTCCTGGGTTGCTGATCAGTCACTACCTTGGGAGCAGGCATCTCTCTTCGTGCATGGAGATGTACGGTGCACAGCCGCCTTGATGTGGTTTGTAGTTCGCACCTTGTATGGCTTCGAAGGCGCAAAAGGCGTTGAATCTGCGATTGAATCTCAAAATTGGCAATGTAGGCGCCAGTGGAGGTTCCTGAAGATCTCACGAGAAAGAAGTTCTATTCACGCCCAAAAACTTAGGGTGGATGATTCCAGGTTATCAATCATTGATATCCACCTCTAAGCATATCATTGGAAGCACGACATTTGGATAAGAAAAAAAATCGCAGATATGAACAAGAGCTGTTGATCACAAACCCCTTTGGACGCAAAAAAGGCCTCAATCGGGAACCTCCGGTACCTCGTGTATCTTGTTCCGTAGATGAATATCTACCAGGGTTCTCAAGCATGAATTTCGCAAGATTTTTGGAGAACACAGACAGACAACAATTATTAGAATCCAAATTACCTGACTTGGTCTCTTTTCGTATCCGCTTACGACCGTATAAGATCAAATCCATTCTCATTCTGAGGATTCAAGGTCTGGAGCCAGGTGGCGTTTGCATGAAGGAAGCGTGATCGTCATGTAGTCGATGACGGGACTTTGCAATTTCCTTGTGGGCCCTGTGGATAATGGCAATATATTTTCGCGAGTCGATCATTCAAGGGTGTTTCTGAACTTGGTATATAGGGAAGGGTGTAGCTCGGATGAAAAGGAGGGAGTATTTTCGTGGTCACAAGATAGAACCATCCCTACAAGGGCTCATATGCCATACAATATGACGAATTTTGATATCAATCTGTATGTGCTCAATTGTTTTGCTTGCGTTATTCTGTCCTTCCCCTGGAAGCTCCTATTGAATATATGCCCAACCTGACGGTCCAACAGTACATCAGAACAGCTTCTAAAATTCCGCTGCGAGGCCTCCGATCCTGCGTCTCTACATCTCCTATCCAGCTTCCTTGCCTCGCATCCTGGTCCCTGGCCAGCTCGGGACCTGATCCTCACATTCCAGGAGATCTATAAATCTGCCCCACAATCACTAAAGACAGAGAACCACGAGTCCCTTACCCGTCTTCAGGCTCAAGTGAAAGCTGTAATTCCCAGGATTGAAGATTTAGTCGGAACAGACTCTCGAGCTGGGCTCATCGATGTCCTTACCGGACGCCATTTGACGCATTGTGCGATCCGGGAATTCGTGCAATCCTTCCATATCCCTGTCAACCTTATGTGCCATGGCCGGAAGCCTCGTATCGTTGTCATTTTACCCAATGGGCCCCTTATGGCCATCGCAGTTCTTGCCTTTGCCAATCGCTACACCATTGTACCCATGTCATCGAACACTGTCCCAGAGCAATTGCGTCTAGATATTGAGCAGGTTGAGGCGGACGCAGTGGTGGCGCTGGAAAATGATATTGAAAAGCTTCAATTAGATCCTTGTCATCGGCCAGTTCTTGGTCTCAAGTCGCTGGATGATCTCACGTTCCAATTTGTTTCTATGCCATCAAATTCTGGGGCAGACCATCCGCCCAATTCGGGTGATGATATTGCGATTATCCTGTTCACCAGCGGAACTAGTGGGAACAAGAAGCTGGTGCCCATTACGACATACAACTTGATAGCGGGGACCATGGCCACAATAGAGTCAGTGGAATTATCTGAGGCTGATACCTGCCTAAATATGATGCCTCTAAACCATGTGTATGTTCTCCATATCTTGCGATCCCTTTCTCTTCAGTCTTTTTATCCTTCTTGTCTCCATCATTTCCTTAAACACTCGATTTTGTGTCTTCAATGAATCCCGATCGACCATGCTAATTGACCTAGTGGTGGGATAATTCGCAGTATATTCTCGCCTCTGCTTGCCGGTGGCGCCACCATTTGTTGTCCGTCTTTCGACCCCAGCATGTTCTGGGACGCCGTCCAGAGTCCCACCATGACACCCACCTGGTATTATGCTACCCCAACTATGCACCAGATGATCCTAGCAGAGGCCGAACAACGACCAGATGCCGTTCGACAAAGCGCCATCCAGTTCATCTGTAATGCGGGTGCCGGTCTGCCTCCCACTCTGGCGATGCAGCTCCGGGATACGTTCCATTGTGCCATTCTCCCCAGTTACGGCATGACGGAATGCATGCCAATTGCCGCTCCACCAAAGCACTATGCCCTGGACCGACATGGCACGTCTGGCCGGATCGTGGGGCCCGAGGTTGCCATTCTGACAGATCAAGGCACGCCAGTGGCGAGATGTGAGATGCTCGGCCACATCTGCGTTCGAGGGTCGCCAGCGTTCGAGGGATACTTGACTCCCGATGGCCAACTGGACACCAGCGCTTTTGATGCAGACGGATGGTTCGATACGGGCGATTTGGGGTACCTTGATGTGGACAACTACCTGTATATCACAGGCCGCAGCAAGGAAGTTATCAACCGCGGCGGCGAAATCATCTCTCCTGTTGAAGTGGAAGATGCCGTGCTGGCATCGGCCCGGCATCCCGAGTCACCGTTGTACGGGCGTGTTATGGAGACATTGGCATTCTCCGTGCCTGATGAAATCCTCCAGGAGGTCGTTGGTGCAGTGATTGTCACTCCCCCTGGAGTCGCGCGGCCGGATTTGCGCCAGTTGCACGAAGCCCTACAGCCCCTCATCCACCAGCCCAAGTGGCCGGCATTGGTAGTGTACATGGACCGCGTTCCCAAGGCCAATAACAAGATCCAGCGTATCAAATTCGCTCAGCGTTTGGGAATTGATCCTCTCACACCGGCCACAGTGTTGGCTGAGCGACATTACGAAGCCATCTGCCCGCCTATGGGGACGGCCCTCAGTGCCTCCATCGCGCAGACGGCCTGTGTAATCGACCATCCTCGCATTCAGTCGGCTGTAGCCGATTTTGTCAATGCCAAACTGTCCTCAGTCCATGTCCAACAAAACACCCGCGATGGATTTGCGGATGTCATCTTATTCGATCAGAATGTAGCCGACGCGCAGCAACCAACCGCCGCAGTCAATCTCCAAGAGCGCCTCGATGGATATCTCATCCCAAGCAGGATAATTTCTCTGCCAGGTCCAATGCCAATGGACCTCTTTGGAAACCCTGACCAAGACGCAATTGACTCGGCAGTCCGCGCCCGCAATGCACCTGGCGACCTATCCTCCATCCAAGGCCGGGTCCGGGAAATCTTTGCGGTCGCCTTGTCTATGGCCTCGGAGGATGTCTCGGTGGACACCGACTTTTTCGTCGCCGGTGGCGATAGTCTCACAGCAGGTCGGCTGGTATCGCAGCTCCGGCGCGAATTCGGCGTCTTCCTCGCCGGCGATATTCTGTTTCACCAGAGCACCGTGGGAGAGATTGAGACTACCATCACCGAGGCGGTGGCGATCAAAGCGAGCCAGAGTGAGGATGAGGACCAGGACTTACCGGGATGCGAGCGGACATACAGCAGTACGCATCCGCTGCTCCTCGTCCTGCATCTGTTGCCCGTCACCTTTTTCTTCCCTATGAAGCGCGCTTTCCAGTGGCTTCTGTTCTCATATGTTGTGGCCGAATGCTCCACGAGGTTTCCTATCCGTGAAATTCTCATCGGCCGATTGATTCTAATCGTCCTTGCGGTACTGTCAGCGCGCGTTGGAGGTCACATCGTATTCCCCTTTTGCGGTATCGCCTTTAAGTGGCTTGTCATTGGACGCTACAAAGAGGGTCTATTCCCCATGTGGGGACCCTATCATACCCGCTGGTGGCTGACGCAGAAAGCATTGCAAGTCTGCGGCAAGGGCATGTTTAATCACTTCAACTGGTCTCGCGTGCTCTTCTACCGGCTGCTTGGCGCTCGGATCGGCGCTAATGTGACGCTGTCCCCCTCCGCCAAACTGGGCGAGTATGACCTGATCGAGATTGAGGATGATGTCGTTTTGGATATCGGCGTCCAGTGCCGCCCCTTTGGCGTAGAACGCAACACGTCTATGCTCCTGAAGCGCATTCATATTGGCCGCGGCGCATCAGTCGGTATCAAATCAATTGTTGCGCCGGGCGCCGATGTACCCGAGAAGACCTGTATCGGCCCTAATTCATCAAGCTGGGAGCTCTCGGACGCCGATTCCGCGAATCGTGATTTGCTAACATCGCGGATTCCACAGCCGCACTGGCTGTGGAGTCTATTGATTGTAGAGCCCATCCGAATTCTGGTCTGGGTGGCCGCTCGTCTCACCTGGATGGGTGGTCTGGTCCCGATGGTGCGCCAGTTTCCGGTTCCCCAACATGATATGTTCCTGGCGACCCTCGAATGGTATACCAGTGGCCGGCGGATCGGCCTGCATATCACCGCGCGTATCTGTCGGGCGATTGGAGGCCCCATTGTGCTCTTCCTTTCCATCTGGATCGCCAAATTCTTGCTGGACCTCATCTGCGGCCGGCCCCAGCCCGGTCCCGCCTCCAAGCAAAACACACGCCAGAAGGTGCGAAGTGCCGTGCTTGCCCAGATCCTCCCTGCCGGTGATCTCCATGAGCTGACTCGGCTGGTCGGCCGGCACTATGAGCTAGTCTCGATGGCTATCCGGGCACTGGGAGGCAAGGTCGGCAAGCGCGTCTACTGGCCCAGCGTGGGCCCAGCTGTGCCCGACTTTGATCTCCTCGAGGTGGGCAATGATGTGGTTTTCGGGTCCCGGTCGAGTATTGTGACTGCTGATGGCTATGGGCGTGATCGTGTTGTGATCGGAGATGGCACGATGGTCGGAGATCGAGTTGTCGCCTTGCCCGGTGTAACGATCGGTCGTGAAGCTATGATCGGTTCGGGGGCCTTGCTACGCCGGAACGGAGACTATCCAGCTCACACCGTGTGGACGGGCAGCAAACGGGGGGATGCCGTGCAGTTTCCAACTACCACCTCGGGGCCTATCTCGGCCGCTCCCACTGTCGTGGGAAGTAGCGGGAGTAGTACCAATGTCGACAGTGACGATGAGAAGCCTTCGGGCACGAGGGCCATGCACATAAAGCCTGGAGCCCTTGACCAAAAGCCCGAGGCCGTGTCTGAAACCAAGAAGGATACATGCAAGCCGTTCGGCCGGGCCTTCTACCGCCACGAAGCCAACTACTACGTCCTTCGGATCTGGCAAATTGTCATTTATTCGGTCATCTCCGTGGTTTTCACAACCGTCTATTGGCTTCTCACCGTGGTATTCGCACTCCTCGCTCTTCGGGCTGCCTTGACTAACAGCGAAGCCGCCAGCTTCCAGCCAGGCCCCTGGCGCCCATTTGTTCTGTATGGTCTTCTCGCCTCCATCCTGTCGGGCATCAGCTGCGTTCAGACATTTATTGCTCTCGGCGTCGTGATTGGCGTGAAGTGGATGGTCATGGGCCGTCGGACAGAGGGTGCATTTCACTGGGATAAGAGCAGCTACAACCAGCGATGGCAGTTCCTCCTATCTTGCGAAACGATCATCAAAGATTGTTATGGAGGTACTGGCGTATTGCCCATGATCACCGGATCCGCCTACCTTGCCTGGTATTATCGCTTCTTGGGCGCAAAAATCGGTAAAGACTGTGCAATTCATGCCAATGGAACCCCTAATATCTTTTTTACGGAGCCGGACCTCCTCAGTCTGGGAGATCGAGTGGCTGTCGACGATGCTAGTTTGGTCTGTCACCTCAATTCGCGAGGCGAATTCGAATTACATACTTTGAAGGTTGGAAACCGAAGTATCATGCGTGCGGGTTCACGCTTGATGTCGGGTGCTTCGATGGGCCAGGATGCTTGTATTTTGGAGCATACATTGGTTCTTTCGGGGGATCATGTGGAGGATGGAGTGACGCTTCAGGGATGGCCTGCGGAGGGGTTCCAAAACAGACGTGTTTAAAGATGATCACCGATAGTACTTCGGTGATCATATTGTCCACTAGAGAATGTCCTTCAAGCGTGGTATGACTTTTATACCATGTACTGGCGCTTCAATTCTGCAAATTCAGAATGGAGAGAGAAAAGATGTGCTTGGAACGTTGGCGGTGCGTAATTAATTAAGAACTTACAATAGTTCTTCACAGCTGATGTTCTCTCATTCTGTTAGAATAGCCTGACTTCTTAAGTATATTGAAATGAAATTAATATAGTTAATCTTTTGAACTTTCAAAGGAAATCCAGGCAGCCTAAGCAAGCCTTGGAAATAGAGCTTTCTGGGAGCAGATAAAGAAGATGGAATATCTATACATAGAGCTTTATCGCATGTATGTCTAGCGGAATATAAAATAGAGTCACCAGGGACATATGATGTATTGGAAAGTAACCAGGTAACATATGGATATCTAGAGAATTGATAAGAAAAAATCATGAACAGCTTTAAGATTGGGGGTGAATAACAGAATATTTCAGTTCGTAGGAGTCAGATTGGTCTAGGATATTCTCACAGATGCAATCAAACTGCATTGAATGACTGTAGTAAATAGTGAATCGAAAGAAACACTTGACCAGAGAGTTGATCGAGAATAAAGCATAGCACTTACTTCGTTCTTCTCTTCTCCCTCTCACAACTTAATCCTTGCTAATCATAAAACTAGAAGATAAAATTACGGTCAAAGGGAAGGCCAAGTTCAGGCAGATCACGTTTCCATGCAAAGAGCCTGATATACGCCGCCCAAAAAATATCACCAAGAGTTACAAAGTAGCCTCTGGCCTCAATAGACACATAGTGCCTATTTCGTTCCTGTTCTGGCGTAGACGTCACTGTAATTAATGATTTGAGGAGAGTGTCTAGGACATCCTGGATAGAATTAAGGAGCTCATGGTCATTCAGGGCGCTATGACGATGCTCCAATAGGACATTGACAAAATAGACACAATAACGAGGTACACACTCATCAGGTACCAGTGGAATATCAAATTTATAGGTATCCATGGTGATGGTCGGAAGTGATAAATAATCCGAAACTTCTAGAATTGTAGACCTTAGATATAGGGAATAAATACACAGATGCACTGGATTTACTGAGCTCTGAATACAAGATACGTAGTTATACGGCTCATTATATTTTGTAAAAGACCAGGGCTGGTCATTATATCTAGTATCGGCCAGAGATATCATGAAATTCATGCTTAGAGTATTTCTTTTGACAGTCTTTGTTTGCAAGTAGTGCGAATGAGATTGTTCCATTGACGCTTTGAAAATCAATATCAACAAAGAGACATAACGCGGTTAGATTATCGGACTTCGTTCTTGATCCTATTATTTGGATTGTCCTCTAACACGATAATTCAGGCAAAGAAGCATAAAGAAACATCCTATCTGTCAAACCTGAGTCCAATAATTCGAGTTTCCGATATAGCTGTGATGGATCGAGGTCCTTAAACCATGTGGGCAAGGTGACCCAAATGGTCTTTAGTTCTTTGCCTTTAATAAGACACTCAAAACGCTGGTGGACATGGAAGGGCCAAGGCGCCGCTCTCAGTCGTATATACGAACGATATAATGCCGTGGCTGCGGCTCGGAAGTTGGTGGAGGGGGGCGAGGGTGATGAATTGAAAGAGTTTTCAAGAAGCGAAATAATAGATAGTTACATGCAGGAGATATTTTGGAAGGGATTCTTAACTGACGGAGACGGAGAAAGATGAAGTGCAAGAACGGCTGTATAACTCAGATGAGAGCATCAGAATGAGCTTTTTAGAGATACTTCGATCATATGACATTGCCTTACTCTATATCTAATATTTGAACATCGCCTTCTCCCAATCCTTACCTATCAAAATTATTATTGATTCGTTACCTCATTCCATAAACTACTATTTCTGCCTCTTGGTCTAGATATTTATCAAATAGTAGATTGATACACTGGTTTTTGGAACATTGGGCTCCGAAACAGCTGGGTAGCTTAATTCAGATATAAGGGACTCTTCCCATTTATATTGACAAATGCAGCATCGGGAAATTTTGGAAGAAGGGTAGAGCAAAAAACGAATCAACCAAAAAAAGACAATTTTGTTGCCAGGGTTGTGCCTCCAACGACAAATCGTCCGAGGTCAAGGCTTATTTAGCTGCTCGTTTCTGAAGAATTTGAGGTAACCGATCGGAATAATCAACTGGCAAATCAATGCAATCCAAAACCAAGGCTTCTTGATTCCCAAAAGAATTCCCGCCGAGAAGTCCGGAAATACATCACCGGGTCCATCGCGATCTGGGGCCGTGGCACTAGCAATCAAAGTCGTGACCGTGCCGATCAGTTGCGCAGCGCATAGGGTCGCTGCTATATGGATGCGAGTTAGCGTTTGTAATAGCATCATGCCAAATCCTACGCCTTGGATTGAATCAAGGGTTCCCAGCCATAGCCATACAGCTCGTCCTCCCAGAGCACTGCCCTTTGCTCCCCCGATCATCCACGGTACCCACCAACCGATGCCCGATGTGCCCCAAAATATCTGCGCCCAGCGGGGAGCGCCTAGTCCAACCGCAAAAATGGGCATAATCCAAGAGTGACTCTTCGATCGCCAAGCCAAGACTGCAAGAAGTGCATACCATATCACAATGAAGAACAAGAAGGCTAACAGTAACACTGCCCAACGTGGAACATATTTGGAGCCCCACAGATAGGCCCAATTGCGACCGTAGGGAATACCGAGGAAGTAATTCTGGAGTATTACAGACACCGTAAACCAAATCACAATCTTGCGTCGGAGGATGCTTTTGTAAAAGGCCGGAATCTTGCCAGGTGTTTGACGGTAATACACGGGCAAGCCAATAAAAAGAGCCGTTGCAATGAGCCAGAGAACAATACCCGCAACCATAGCGACAGCCGCAGTCGTGGAACTCAACCCGAGTGATCCTCGCTCTCCAGAAGCTATTTCAGCTCCCCAGAAGAAAAGGCAAGTAATATAGATATTTTGAGTCCCTTGAATAATGCATGCGCGATAAACCCATGAATCAATCTTCGAGCCGCCTGAGATTGGTTTAGTGAGTGGCCGAAAGTAGAAAGATATAAGGGGACATACCATCATCTCCAAAATTGAGTGAGAAGAACAAATAACCACTGGAAGAACCAATTATGTAGAGAGACGTTGCAATATATTGAACCCAGGTCTTTCCAGTATCCTGTTGAATGAATGCTGAAATACCAAGGATAATGAACGCTAGGCCGTAGAAGACAAATGGGACCGGAAGTAGGTAGACCGAGGGAAACCGCCGAAAGGCAAGCCACCAACAGCCGCTTGTGAGGATATATATGGCACCAAGAACATAGAGCAAAATTGGATTTTGTGATGGTTCGGATGTGAGTAGAGTGATTTGGTAGGAATTTGCAGCCATGATTTGCCCAAGCCCCAGAATAATCGAGTAGACCGGCCAATCGAAAGCCCGCGCAGTCATCCACCGTTGGACAGCAGACGGCCGCTGGAAATCTTTCGGCAGCAGAAATTCTGGCAAATCTCCCTCATCGTTTAACCTCAGTATCACATCGTCGAGCTCTTCATCAGACCCTGCTCTGATAGAAGGGGATCTCGTAGGCGCCAATAACGGAGATGGGGACTGACTGGACAGGCGACCCATCTTCACGCGTCGCAAGTTATTAGTCCACTCCTTTTCGCTGTTGACAATGAAGTCTTCAATACAGAGTTCGTCTTCCGATGTTTTACCATTCAGTCGTTGCAGTATACCCTCAAAGTAGCGTGCATATTTCTTCGTCTCATCCATAAAGATTGGATCGGCATTCTCAAGGGAAAAGGATTCGCGGTTTTCCTTGACTCGATCCACACTCAAAGCCGATGATGCGCTGATAGATCTGACTCTGGTTGTTGATGAAGAGATGGCGTCAACGCCAAGTCCCAGCCCCATGAGAGGTGTGGGCTGCGATACGAATCGAGTATGCGATCGCCCTCGTGGTTGATCACTTGTTGTATCGGAGGGAGATAATTGATGGCGTTGCTCATCTTGCTGAACAAAAGTTTGAGCTTCCTGGACCGAAATGGAATAGTCATCAGATTCTGCAACTTCGTCCAACCTTGGAGTGAGTTCAGTTTCTTCGAATAGAACGGACTGTCGAGAATGATGACCCGGGCCACGCCGTGAACCCAGCGAAAAAGTCCTTTTCATGCCACTTTGCGTTGTTGGGCTTTCGTCGGAGATAACAATGGATGGTGAAATCCACCATCGACTTGCGTCGGGACTTGTCAAGTTGTGATTTTTCATCATGGCCAATGATGTCTGACTGGCAGCTCGAGTTCCCAACGCTGGGCGCTCAAGATAGAAACCAAAAGTTGGAGCTTCCTGTTTGGAAACTTGAAGACTTCCTCCTGATCCATGCATTTTGATGGACCTGGCATGCAAATGGTCGAGGTCTTCCACCCATCTAGCAACTGGAAAGCGCTGTTTGGCGGAATGGGCCCGCATAATAGCTCGTGTCTCCGGCGTTGACTTTAGTGCATTTTCGACAGCTGATTTGAATTGTTTTTGCAAATGTCTGGCGGTCATTGACTCGACTGGATACCACCAGCCAGGCATCTGGCCGAGACCGCCAACGAGGGATCCTACTCCTAGAGCACCCTTGCGGCCGAACTCGACAGCTACCAGACCGAAAGGTTCATCGCGCGATGGAATTAATGCGAATTCAGCACCCGAAAAGATAAAGGGTGGAAGCACTGTAAACTCAGGTTTTGAGAACACCTGCTTTCGGTAAATCTTCATCATCTGTTGCAATTTCAGCGCGGCGAATTTGCCGTACATGTCGATCACAGGACCAACACAAATAAGCTGAACATGGGGGTTCTTTTCGAGGATCGATGGAAATATATCAGCAATCAGATCAATACCTTTCTGGACCGACCAACGGCCGACAAAGACGAACAATTCTGCTTTCGGGTCTACATGTAATCCTGCCCATTCTTGGGCCTGGCGACGGAGATCCCCTCGAGACTGCTCATATATGTGGTCAACGACAACATCTGGAGATGAGAGGGTCAGACTTTGGTCCTCGCAAGGATCTGTATCAGATGGATCTGGATTGGGAAGCTTTCCAATCTCTTTAAGACCCCAGAATATTGGATATCTTGCGTGTGAGCGATCACCGTACTTCGCGGAAACTCCTACCGCACCGAATCCATGCTGATGTATACGGAGATAACTGGCCCCTGCATGAAGGAGATTGAAGACTTCTCCAAATTGAACATATTTTCTGATAAGAGATATATCGAGATTAAATACTTCACTAATCTCTTCGGTCTCTTTCTGACTGCGCAATGGCCACAGTCCCTGAAACTCAGCGTTATGCAATGAAAGACAGCAAGGGATAGTTTTTGGTAGTAAATGCAAAGGTGCCAGGGCTCCGTGGTAGTCGTTGACGTGGTAAATATCGATCGGAAACCTTCGAGCCGCCTCTGCAATACACGAATTCCATGCGCTATAATATATCGCGCTCTGAAGATCGTCCATGCGCGGGGGATATGGCTCTGATTTGCTCTGTTGGCGGAAGACCGGTGCATCGAGAAGGACATATGTGATGTTTCGTAGCTTATGATACTGCACTTGAATATCGTAGATGCTGTGAACCACAGTAACTGACATTGGCTCTGCTGGCGTATCGACCGGGTAATCGACACCACCGACGCAAGGGACAACCCATACAATATCATGGTGCGCTAGGTTCTTCCCCATGAGCTGTGCCATTACACCAAGCCCGCCTATCTTGATCTTGATAGCCCAATCTTCAATATCATATTCCAAAGTTGCAAGAAGAATTGTTCGTTTGGCTGTTTGCCGTTCAATTGTAATCAGGGGCATCATTCCAGAAAGTCCAGGAGTGGGAACATCCGGCACGATGTTGAATTGATGGTCTTGAATCTCAACCGAACTGACCTTCTGAAAATATTGACGGTTTCTGAAGAATAATGGCAGAAAGGACCTGGAGAAATTGAGCTTATCACCGGAAAGATTGAAGGTGATTTTGTAATTTTTCATGTAGAGCAAAACGCTGGAAACTCCGGTCAGGATCGGAACGGCCCACAGAAGAATGTATATTATCTGCTGGTGCACGCGCAACCCGGCCGGATGAAGTTGAAATTTCATTGTGCCATCGTTGAGTTCCATTCGATATGCCATATATGGAGGAGGTGGAAACTGTGAGAAATTTACGACTTTCTCTGCAAACGATAAGGAGTCGGGAGGCAGACGGTTGAGTCGGCTGCTGTTCAATGTGTCTCCCAGGATCAGAGCCTTATCCAGTTGTTTGTCAGGATTGAATCCCCAAACATTTACTTGGAAGTTGGTGGGCCATTCCGCAGTAAGATGAAGCTCCCAATTTGCCGACTTAGTGTCTTGCGTAAAGGCGTTCTTGATCCCATTGTCTGCACCGTAAGAATTGAAAGGGCCGATTGCAAAAAGGTGAGGGAACCTTCGAGGGGGTTTCTGAAATCCTTCAATGTCAACATGCTGGATATGTTGGCTGCTTCCGGCTAATTGGCTCCAATACTGCAAGATGATATGGTCTCCCTGCCATTTTTGAGCATTAGTTCCAGACCAAGGCAGGCTATTGACATGATTTGAACTGCCTTCATATGGCTTCCATTCACTCCACGTGCTGGCCCAGTTTGTAGAATACCGCCACATGTCAGCTCCCGCAGCTTTGTGATCCACAACGAAGCCTTCTCCATCAGTGCTCTGACGAAAGCCACCGTTTGTGTAATTAGCTAGTAATGGGAAAATCATCACGTTATCTTTGCGTCCAATGCGAAATACTAGCCTGTCAACAGAGTCTGTAAACCTTTCTCGATCTGAGTTGGAGGCGTTATTGATTTTCAGAGCATGTATCCCGTGTGTGACGTTATCCAAAGTGCCTTTCCACAACCAAGCGGAAGGAATTTGACCAACATAGCGCGGGGCTTTCGGAACAAGCGAGGAGCATGAAATACTGCTTTTATCGATTTGAGGAGATATTTTGCTCTCTGTTGATGATGAAATGGTGATGCTTTGTGTAATACGATCGCAATCAAGTTCAGCCGAGAATTCTAGTTGTATATCCACCTTATGGCTTTCAACGGCCGTACTATTGGAATTAATCCGGGCATCATGGCCGGGAAGGAAATTGGTCAACATGGTTGGGGGGGGGATCCATCGTGAGATTGGAACATAAAGTTTGTAGTCAAAAGCTTCAAATTTCATGTTTTCAAGACAACCCTGTAGCTCAGTGGAGTTGTTGAATTGGAAACCGCTGGGTTGTAATGAGATCTCATCGTAGGGGGCTAGTAGATTTTTCACCCGTGTGCCGGCGGGGTATGGAGCAAGAAAGCTCCCCATGGAGGACTTGCAGTCAAAGTTATACTGGACAGGTGATTCCTCATTGTGATAGACGAGCCAAATAGCGGTTTCATTGCTGGGTACAATGTAATTGACACCAGAATATTGATCTCGAAGCACACTCCATGCGCCGAGTTCTGTCACCGTGCCATTGGAACCAGGTAGAGTAATATTTCGTGTTTGTTTCGATATCTGCTCTAGATAATAGCCATCTTTGAGAGTCGGTAGTTTTTCACGAAGATGAAAGAAAGACTTCAGGATCCCACGAACGGGATGGGTCGGGTCCCGGTGATCCATGCCGACCCCTGGGTCATCACATCCTGTGGATGCAGATTCCACTGGAAAGTTGTTATACTGATTGGACCCAAGACCATAGCATCCTTGAATGCTCCAAGTCGTTGAAGAACACATCGGCTGACGTCCGAAGAGAGCAAGAGGACTTGTACTATCCAGCACATAAAGTGCCTGCTCTTCACCCCACAGAAGGACAGGGATCCCAGGGAGATGCAATGTAGTAATGAATTGGCCCAAGAGGAATTTTTCAACGCCTTGTTTAATTGCTGGCCATCGAAATGTATCTTGGTTACTGGTTCCGAACATATGTCGGGGGTCAAATTCCCCGGTATTTGCATTGATGAGATCATTCGAAATCAACATCTCGTTCCAGGCCGCTACAAAATCCGTGCTCAAATCCCACGGTGCTGTAAAATTGCCGTCCATGCCAAGGAACCTGGTCAACGCTCGGTAGATGCTGTAATGGAATGCAGCAGCATCCATGGCGTTTTTTCCATGTTCACGAATAAAATAATCCGAAGTTGAGGAATCATTTAGTTGAATTGCGGCGGCCTCATTCTGCGGCCGCATGTGGGGTTCCCGACCTCTGCCAAAATAAATCGACGCGTAATTGTTGCCTGCAGTAATTTCACCCGCAAGCAAAATGTTAGCCTTACCCAGATTAGAGGCGCATTTCCGAATAGCTTGCGATGAATCTCCGAGAGAATCCACGGTAATTTGACCCGCCTTATCGAATCGGATAGCATCAATGTCCAGTGATGCGATCATCATGCAGTAAAAGTGCTCCAATTTTTCTCGAACTGATGGGAACCATTCTCGTAGCCGATCTTGCACTAAGCCAGCCTTGGCAAGAGACCTCTGCCAGTCCGGGGCAAGACTAACAGAGTCCATGGCACCATACTAATTTTGAAATCAGAGAAAGCTTTTGAGCAATGGCAGATCATTTACCTGGTCAAATTCGCTGTCATAGCAACCCTCTAGCTGATCAAAAAAAGCATCCGAGCCTTTTGAAACAGGATACCCATCCTCCTTGTAAAATTTTGGATAGACGCATTCTTTCTTGTATTTCTCTCCCGGAACAAAATCGAAATATTTCTGTTGTCCTTTCCATACCGTTTTGTATTCCTTTGGATTCAAAGGAGCAGTACTGTTGAGGAAGTTTTCAAATCCAAGCAAATCAGCCATGCTAATAAAAGGCTTTTTAGTACAGATCAATGGTTTGACGAGCAAAACATCCCACGACTTACGTGCCAAAAGTGATATCAACCATTACGTACATGCCTCGTTGATGTATATCTTCAACCAAGGACCTCCATTGTTGGATGTTGCCGAGATGGGGATCTAGTAGGCTGAGATCCAGGGGCTAGATAAAAATAGTTAAACCTCCATAGATATATCAGATGATCTACAGGGTGATTATTTTTTGAATACAGTACATACCGAATAGCCATCTGACTTCCACGGGAAGTTAAGAAACGGAGTACCAGCGATATAGATGCCCTTGAAGCGATATTAGTCATGATATCACCCTGGCATATTGAAGACCCACCTTGATCCCCATCCCTTGAATGTAGTCCAAGGAATCTTCCAATCCTCTGACATCCCCTCCGAATCTCAACTGATTTGAGAATGTGTCGACTTCAAAGACAGTGTTGTTGATGTCATTATTCTGAGGATTTCCATCCGCAAACCTATCGAGGAAAAGGGTGTAAAAAGGAATTCGCCAGTTTATAGGCGACGGATGATAGACATGATTTGGCCAACTCCCCGAGTAATCTAGAACATTATTTGCAGTTTTATTCGTATTGAGGTTATATTGAATGAGGTTTGGATCAAACTTCAAAGCATTGGCAAAATGACTGAAAATGTAGAAAACAAAGCACAGCATCCCCATGTCGACAAAGAGGGAGGGCCTTATTCCAAAATGATTGAGGATGCCAAATCGTCACATAACAAGATGAAATCAAAGGTCCTTTTTACATCTCGTTCATGCCTCAAGTCCTTTGCTATATATGACAGCTAACAATCCCTCATCCGATTCCATACCATGACACATTACCCACCGTAACTGAAAATTTGAGGCTGAGGCGTTTCAAGGGTATTTTTCCAGAAGAGTAAATCTCTGGCTGACCAGCTGATGCCAACTGCAAGCCACTATCAGCTGTATTTCTATGGTATTGCAAGGCTGAGTGATCTAACGAGCCACGGACACTTTCCTGCCGTTAATCATTTTGATTTATTATGAAACTAAGCTCAGCGATTGGTAAAGCTTGCATCTCCGTATATGATTTACGGTTTGCGAGGAGGTCTGAATACTCGTATTCCATCTTGGGCGCCTCTACGCCACGAAAGTATGTGGTGCATTGCACTCTGGAAAAGCTAACATCCCGAAGTCGTCGTCATGTTCAGCCTTATGACAGAATTGATCGCATATTATCCTTGTCACTTCTGGCCCTTTTTCTTAATCTTCAGGCGTTTGGTCGACATTGCAATTCAATGAAAACCTCTTCACCCAGGTAATGAAACCCACAGAACTGTTCTATCTTTTATGACTAGCTGAATTACGATCGCCTCTATCACTTTATTATACCTTAGTCACCGAAGGTTTTCGACATTGAAGCTAAAGTTCTATCCATTAGAATATTTTTTCCTTAGTAAGAATGGTCTAAACTAGTTTTCCGGAGGTGAGCAGACCGTCCCAGGGCGTTACGACGAATTTGAAAGCTTGGACAGTAGATATTGTACAGAGAAATCACTTTTACCCTGGAGACTTGCCATTCTACTAGATTATCGTCAAGATGTTGCCTCAAATTTCATTTTTTTAACCCTGGGCGATAAATTTAACGATAGTCGGTCAGGCTGGTGATAGACGACGGCTGAAGATCCGGGTCTGAGCCCTGGCCTTTTCAGGGCAATACTGCAGTAAAGTGATCATCCCATCAGAGGCTAAGCCAACAGTGACATCAGTAACGGCCGTATGATAATTAGATTGGGTTACTATCACATGCGTTCCATTGTGCAGACTGTAAATACGTATCTTGTCAAAAGCTGGCACCGTTTCGCCAAGGCCAAGGAAGTGAATATTACTGGTCAGTGCTGGAGGCCTAGCTTTAAGGTCTATCGATCCTTGGCCGAGGCCCAAAGTGGCGCCTGCATGGGAAGCCCAGGCGACCGAGTATTTATTTCTGTATTGAAAAATAATTTAAGGGCCGATGATTCGTTGATTTCACTTTCCAAGATATGTTCTCTAGAGACTTGACCGTATCAGAATCTCGTCAGAATTGGTTTTAATCATAGATATCGAATCAATTAACGAGTTATATATGTATTTTACGCTCGGCTTTTGAAGAATTTGAATGAAAAGGATTTCTAGTAGGAGAATTATGTGCACCTGAAGGTTGTTTCCGCGCATCTCTGGTCCACTTTGCTTACGGTTACTCACCGCCACTTGCTTGATGCATGGTCATATCGAATTTAATGAAAGCTGAAAAACTCCTTGCCTAGCCTTCTGTCTTGAAAATTCAGATGTCGAAGAAATCATGAAAAAGCAACCTCCACCTGCTGGGCAGTTTTCAACCCGAATTTCAACTTGTCCCATTCAATTCTAACCTAAACAAATTAAGGCCATTGCAATAACCACGGCTGTCATGGAATTTAACAATATTCATAGTTTACCTGTAAGCTAGATGGAATTTCTGTACCGACAGGGCAAGATGAATGGAGAAACATCAAAAATGGATTTGAAATTTCAACTGTATCGTTTCTTCCTCTACAGGACATACGTATGCTGCCCTCGAAGACGGGCGCGAAAATGGACCCGTTTGACATATACGCGTAAGAGCTATAATACTAATAAGCCCAAGGACTTCTCTTTTGGCATGCAGTGCAAGTATCCATCCAGATTCATCTGCTGCGCCGCCAGCTGACATGACAACTTCCAGAGGTGATCCCAATCATGACGCAGGAGCCCCACTGCAGCTGTGGGCAGTACTTGGGGCATCCTGAGGAAGTATGTAAGGTGAACGTCTTTTAGATGTGCACGCAAAGTATCATGTCTCTAATCGCGTCTTTGCGGGTGCAAGCTTCGGCCAGAATGAAGCCTTCTATTACACATGCTGCTCGTACAGGGATCACCCTGTATTGACTGTGCTGGAATGGGGGAAATTCATCACATATCTGAAACGCAATCATCTCCAAATCTTCCAGCACATTATTATTTCTGTCTTTTAAAACTCTCTACGGAAAACACTGGCGCACGACTTGATATGGAGTGTTACGGAACAACCAGCATTAAAAGCATTGGTTCTGATCAAAATCGTACGCAGAACGTGCTCAATTGAAATGAAAGGTGAACTGTCAGCCTTCATCGTCCTTTTTACTCTTGCTTTTGCCAATTATTACAAGAGAGAGAAATCTTATTTTCCCAAACTTAATCTTTTCAGAGTTCAGTCATTGATATTTCATGCTATAATCGACTGTTCTCAATTTGAAAAACGAATCCGTTGGATATACATTGATTTTCTTGCCTAGCCAACTGGTCACTATGCTGGAAGTGTTATTCTTACAATCGTGATATAATAAACGATGTAAATTGAAGCAACAGGGGCACGCCACCGGTGCTAAAAAGCCCAATCACCAATCATCAAGTGACAAGGATTTCTCTCGACTAGAGATCTCAACTGATTGTTTGCAAGAAGAAATACTAAAGAGAAGAAGCGGCTTCAGAAGCAGTGGATGAAAGAACATGGAACATCCCCACCACCCGCTTCCGCGCAGCATTTGCAGGAATATTCAGAGGAAGTGCATCAGAACAGAAAATTGCCTTCATAGATATAGCAGAGATACGTTTATGCATAGGGACACGGGAAACTTCAGATGTTAGTGTGTGGCGCACCACACCGACTCGGCGTTGTGGGCGGGGTGAGTCTTAGGTCAGCAGACCCGCGAGGCAAGACCCCGATTTTTGACGACGAGGAGGGACGGTCCATGCATTGCAGAGAACATTCTTTCCTCGAAAATGGAGGTTCATTGCCGAGACCCAGCGCTGGGTTATCTTGTACACCGAGGATGTGGAAATGCGAGGGTTTTAATCAGCTCTAGCGCCCTTGGCGGCTTCTGGCTTGGCCAGCGTGGCGCGCCGGTCGCTCACAGCTGAGGACACATAGCATCTGCCCCACATCTTCAATTTTGCTCTTTCAGTTTCATCCCCTGATCTCTTATCCTCGACCTAGCTCGGTGCTGGGTATTCGGCATGTCTTACGATCTGCGTCTTTAAAATCATGCCTGAAACCACAGCTGCATCTGGTTGTCGGCGGCACGTTTTTGGCTATTAATCGGGTTTACTTTGCATCATCGAGCTTGCACAAGCGCATGAGCCATTTTTATAATTGGGATCGTAGGGCCGGGCTAAGGGCAAAGGATCTAATCATATTTTACTAGGCTTTTTTTGATAACTATATTATTGATAGAATTCGCATTGATAAAATTAGTAATAAAAGGAAATAGAGATAGGGCTGATGTACCTGGGGGCAGATAGTGGCGGATCTACTGGCCGTCTCTCGACTCATCGTCTCTTTCGATAGCCTTCAGGCTTAATATCCCCACTAGCCCCTACTTTTTTTTTTGAAATAGACCTTGAAAGCTCAGGATCTTTTGGGGTCACTCTAGGGAAGCAGCATAGCATACGATAACACTCCGAAGGGCGGCTTTGTCTCTGTATACTTTATAATAGGCGACTGCTCTTATATTTTAATCTTCGTATTGTACCATCTGATTCTAGAGCTTAGGTTTCTAACCACAATGCTTAGTCAGGGAATAATAGTCCGTGTATTATTTCCTGGGACACGTTGGTCCGGCTTGACGAGGTTCATTGATCGCAGTAAATGCCCTATCAAGATTCTGACCTAGCCACCATACTCCCCTACGGGACGACCACCGACAAAAATAGCTCGCGTCATGGTCCATTAGGTCTAAAGTGATGATTAACAATGAATAATGATGATACCGAATATTATTTAAGAGGATTTCGGCTAAAATATTTATTTATCTAATCCTCAAAGGCCATAGATTGCATACAGCCCCATTGCTAGTCTGCACTGCTCCGCATGACATGTATGTAAACTTCACGGCATTACCTTAAACGCGGCCTTCGATTCAGCTCTTCTTCCTCCTCATCATTCAGGAACGGGTCACCCTACCTCCATTTCACATACGATGATGGCTCCAAGATCTTGACATCGGCTTCTCACACTCTTCCATTTGACCCACTCACATCCCCAAACCCCCTAAATTTAGCTTCTAGCATCTGCATCAGAGCTCGGGGCTTGAAACAAAAGGTACAATCAGTGCATAACAGTGTTTATATTCATTTCACCGTGTACATTGAGGCGAGAAATCCGGGACTGTTTCGCGCTGGACGCAATATTTGCAGAAATGACTATTGCATTGCCGATTAGATAAAGAGATCTATACATTTTGGCATCTACCGTGCGAAGTTCAGTTAGTATCGATGCTTTGTCTCGATCCAGACTATCTTATAGCAGCCTATAGAATCTTCGCACGGGGTCGTGAGAGAGCCAAATCCAGCCGGGTGTAAAGTGGCGACTGATTGGTAGTTAGAAGCTGTCCTTTCCCTACTCTGAGAATTTACACAAGCCCATCACAAAACCGACGCCTAGAGCTGCACCTGTGCCCAAAGCAGGGGTTAAATCTCTTTTTCTGATCTAGAGCTGGAAAAGATGTGAAATCTCGAAGTTCAGGGCACAATCAACCTTTTTTTTCACGTTTATGAGTTCGTTCTGCTTGAGATAATAGCAGTTTAGACTCCAAGAGCGAGGTACTCAAAGTTTGATTTCAAAATTCTTGTAGGAGTTGAATTTACCCACATGGTCCATG